TAAGCTATATATAAGATCTATAATAATTACTTATATAAAAGGTAGCTTAAATATTATCTTTAATCTATAAATACAATTATTTATTATATTAATATTATTAGGTCTTATTATTATTTATTAATAATTACGTAAATATAGATATTATCATTCTATACTATTTTTATACATTCTTTTATAAGCCTTATATATTTCTCTCTTTTTCCTTCTTAATATTAATTTCTAAATTTATTATATTATAAAATATATAATATTTCCTATAGATCTTTATCTTTATAAGATAATTTTTATCCCTTAATTAGCTATTTACCTTATTATTCTTTATATATTTATCTAGTATTTAGGTAATTAAGGTCTTTATAATATTAATTCGGTTATTTAATAAAAGTATTATTAACCTTTTAGTTTTAAAGTACTTATATTAAGGTTTAAATAGTTCTATTTACCTATAATACTAGTAGTTATATAAAGGTAGTATTTAATAACTTATTTAGTCTTTAATAAATTTCTTTAGGTATAAATATTAATTCTAGGTTAAGGTTAATCTCTTTACCCTTTTATACTATAGTAATAGTTAATCCTTTAGGTTTTTCTTTAGGTCCTTTAGGTATTAAGGTCTAATTTTCTTTATTTTAAAGGTTTTCCCTATACTTTTATTAATAGCCTTATTATTTAATTTATTTAGCTTTTTCTTTATATTTTTATAGATTTCATTCTTATTCCTTAGTTTATAGAAATACCCAGCTTCCCTTTATAAAGTCCTTAATATATTAAATTTCTAATTTATTATACCTAGATTAATATATTCAGATTTATATTAATCTAATTACTATTTATAGATTATATTTTTCTTCCTAACTAGAGGTTTAGTTATTTGTTTTACCTTTAGGGACTGGTTTATACTTTTAGTTAGTTTTAATAAGGTTTTTATATTTTATATTAAAATATCCTTTTTTTTTATAGTTTTAGTAAGTAATCTTAGATTTATTATATTTAATTACTATAATAACTATAGGTCCTGGCTGTATTTTATAAAATATATTAATATTTTATAATTATCCCTAATTAATATAATTATAATTTCTATTTTAAAGGTTCCTAGTCTAGCTAAGGTTATAAATATTTCCTTATTAATTAGCTTACTTTTCCTTTTATTATTTATACTAGTAATTATTAATATTAACGATAATAGCTATAAGGTTATTAAGTATTTAGGGCTTAGCTTAGATATTTACTATAATATCTTTAACCTTAGACTTTAAGCCTTGGTATATTTATATTATATTAATAGCCTTATTCTAGTCTAGTTTAATTAACTAGTATTAATATTTAACTAGATAGATAGCTATAAATCCTTTTTAAGTTAACTATTAGATCTTAATTTCTACTTCTCGTTTTTTATTTATAATTCTAAAGGTATAGGTAAGTTTTTTCTTAAAGTTTTTATATTTCTTATAAATATACTTAATTACCTCCTTTTATTTATAGTATAGGTAATTAATATAATTATAAATAATAGGTTTTATTATTTATAATAATTTATCTTTTAGGAATTTTATTATATATTATACTTAAAGTTTATTAATAATAAATTATATTAAGTAATATATCTAATAGCTCCTTAGACTAGTAAGGAATCCCTAAAGCTTATCTAAATTACTATTATAACTATCTAGCTAGTAAGGTTAAAGGATTTTTCCTAGATCTTTTCTAGTTATAGTAAGGACTACGGTATACTTAATATATTCTTTATATAATTTTTAAGTATTATTTATATCTTAGCTAAGTAATTTAGTAAGATTTATAACTTTATTAAGTTTTTCCTTTAGATCTTTAATTTTAAATAAAGATTCTTTAGAGTTATATTTAATAACGTTTAGTAAATTATTATAATTCTTTTATATACCTTTAATAATTCATTTAAGTTTTTTAACCTTATTTTTATAAGTAATAAGATAGATCTTTTCTTCCTCTTTATTAATATCTATAGGCCTTTCTAGGAATTCCTTAATAAAAATAATATTCTTAACTAGGGTTACCTATTAGCTAGGTATAGCTATAATAGGTCGGTTAGGGGTTACTAAAGTTATTATATTTATATTACTTAAAGTAATATAATATAATACTAAATAAAAACTATTAATATATAATAGTTAGATTCTTAAGGAATAAACTAATCTATATTAAGTTTATATTAATAGATACTATAGGGGGTTATACTAAGTAGTTATAAAGTATTACGTCTTTTAATAGTAAATAAGGCAGGTTAGGTATATTTAAATAAAGAAATTATATTAATAAGTAGTAAGCTAATATCTATAAAAATATTAATAAATATATTCTATATACTAAAGGTAGTTACCTTAATAACTATTATAATTACTAATAATTATATTAATTACTAAGTAATTCTAGTATTAAGAGGTAACCATATCGTAATGGTTATTATACATATTTTATAGTATAGTAATAACCATATATAATAGGTAAGAAAATATAGGGTGCATGTAATGTAGATACTGGGGTCGTAATATATAGGCTAATATTACCTTATAAATTATTATTAAAAATATAACCTCCTAGGTAATTAAGTTATTATAATAAGTAAAAATAAATAGATAGATAATAAGCTAGGTCTTAAGTAATTAAAATACTTTAATTAAAGTATATCTAACTAATTAATTAATACCTATTATCTTTTTATCTTTAATAATTATAAAAGGTATTATTTTATTAATTTTAAAAGATATTATAAAAAGTATAAAATTATTATACTTTATATATAAATTTATTACTTAGTTATATTATTATTAAATTACTATTAATTACCTCTTATCTTATCTAGTTACTATAAAGAGGGGTTATTAAGTTATATAATCTCGGTTAATTAATTACAGTAGTTTCTTCCCTTAGACTAAAATAACTTATTTTACCCTTTAGGACTTTTTAACCTTTAATAAAAAACTCTATCTTATATATATATAAATTTCCCTCCTATAACTCTAACTTTAATAGTCTTTTTACAGTCCTTAGACCCTTAGTTAGCTTTATAGATTAATATAGCCTAACTAATTAGCTATATAATCTATATCTTATAGCCTGTTTTTAAGGTATTAAGGAAGTCCTTTTTTATATCTTTATAGCCTTTATTTTCTTCTAGCTCTTTAAGTAGGTATATCTCCTTATTAAGCCAGTAATACCGGCTAGGATAGAGGCCTAGAAGCTATAAGACCTTATAGCTAAAGATAATAAAGGCCAGTAGCTTTTTATTAGTCTTACTATTTTACTTAATTACTAATAGCTTACTAGCCTCTTTCTATAGCTTTTTATAGTCTTTAGTAATAATATTCTTATATAATATAGTTATAATAGCCTCTTTACTAGGCTATATCCAGTCTTTATAAATATCTAGCCTTATATATAGGCTTTAATAAGTAGGTATATTAATTACGATTAATATCTTAACTATAATTAAGGTTAGCTTAGTTAATCTATTTATAACTAGTAGGCCTATTTTTAGCTTAATAGGTTCCTTAATAATTATAATCTTTACCTTATAAGCTTAGGTAGGTTAATTAAAGTAAAGTATAGAAAGGGAAAAGTAGCCCTAGTAGTAATCTTTATAGAGGTTTTTATATTATTAAGAAATAGAGTTATAACTAATATAGTAAGTAATCTTATTAAATTTAAGATATTATAACTTTTCGGTCTATATAGAGACCTTTATTATTAATATTTTTATAGGTTTAATTAGGATAGCTAGATCTCTTTTTTAAAGGTATTACCAGACTTAATATAAATAAAATATAAATAATTATCGGGCTACTAACCTTTCCCGGGAATCTCTTTACTAGTTATACCCTCCCTATTAATACGCAAGATAATCTCAATCACATCAGTGTGGCCATCTACTTTGCTAGTACCCTTGTAGAAGGATACAGCCTCAGTGAATTGCTTTGCCGCGTGCTTTTTGTATCCGATTGCATCTTGGGTAATACTCTCAAGGACAGTCAACCCTTCAACCCTCCCATCTATGACATCCCCAAAAATGTGATACCGCGCCCAGATTGCATCGCCATACCTTGTACTCTTGATTGCATCAACATATTGGCTGGCCCAAGGCTCGACAACATGGACTCCGTCGCGCCTAAGAACTTGTTCCACAGGGAGATCTAGGAAAAGTTGCTCTACTAGCCCTGCATATTCGACATTCATGTTCTTCTGCAAAATCAGTATATTATCAGATAGACATCACTAGTCTCAAATACCTTGATTTGACAGGTTGTACTTTTTGGTAAGTTAGGAGAAAATGTTGTTTGTATTAAATAGGAAAAGAAGAAAAAAGAAGGGAAGACAGCCAGATCTTTATATTACATACTGAGCTAAAAAGGAGTGGGGCTGTATGTAATAAAGCATCAATGCATATACAATATCGGTTTATTTTATATTAGTAAGAAGAGCTGTAATTTATCAGTTTTACATATATTATACGACACAAGACTTCACAAGATACGGCAATCTCACTAAAGGAAGCAAACATTGTAAATATCGAGACACTAGCCTCCGGCGGGCAAACAAAAGCATTTCTTACTGGCTTGCCTGAGCATCACATCATCATAGGTCGATGAGGGCTTATCGCTAGTAGCAGGAGCACAACCGCCCAACTAACATAATTCCATTGTCAATATGCTGCTAATGTAGGTACATATACTACCTCCTTCCATTTTTGACGACACTGGCTAATTTATTATCGGTGAAACACCCTGAGGATTCCAAAAGATATTCGTTGGGTCAAACTTGGCTTTTATAACCTTCAGTCGTGGGAGATTCTCCCCCCAGTATAGATCCTGTGCAATTTCCCCTTCTAACTCTGTATCAATGAAGTTTGAGTACTTGCCCCATTGACTGGGAGCTAGAGACTCCGTTACTCTGTTCATCAGGTGTCTTAAAAACTCAAAGATCTCCCGAGGTAAGCTGCCATGCTCACCTATGTCAGACAGTTGTCAGAGTATGACTTTGTCTCTGTGAGGATAAGCCGTGGCAGATGAGTTAACCATGGACACTGCTGAGTTGGGTCCCCCGTGCATCTCGATGAAGATTTCCCACGAGTGGCGGGCGGAAGCATTATTGATATTCCGAAACATGGCTGTTGTTAATGACTTGATTTGCTGTTCAGTCAGAGCCGGTGTCGTAAGACTGCTGGTATAGAAGGTCCCGTGCTGTGACCCGCCATTAGCCAAAGCTTGTGCATGGTGACATATCGGATACATACTGCTTTATAGGGAGCGGATGAGTCCAAAGGTTCACCATCAGCGAAGTACTCAAGCCCCTCGAGCCATCCCACAGTCTCCATATCCGAGACGGTTGTGTCTACACGTGCCAGTAAAGGCTGCAGACCATGGACGAGACCATCCTGGTCTCCGAAATACAGCCCCTGGATGACCTGACTTGTCGCAGTCACGAAGGAAAACATGTTGAACGTTTGTGGAGCGACCAAAGCAAAGTCTTGCAGCGCGCTGAGAGCGTCGAATGCCGCTTGCTCATTCCAAGGAAGTTCAATGGTAAATGGAGTAACATGCTCAGGTGCCTGAAAGGTTTTGAACTCAAATTCGGCTACGATACCAAAGGAGGATCCAGCGCCTCTTAGTGCCCAGAATAATTCTGAGTTCTCATAGGTAGAGCAGAAGACAATAGAGCCATCAGCGAGGATGACACGTGCGCCAGTCATCCAGTCCAATGTAAGACCGTGAGTTCGTGAGGCTCTGCCATAGCCACCATGAAGAGCGTGTCCGGCGAGACCAACACTGCCAGTGTCAGTTGTGTAGCTCCACAGGATCATCGAATCTCATAGTAGAGTTGGGGAAATACTGACCCAGGACATGCCCCGTGTGGGATAGCTCTACCGCCTTGTTTATACAACTCGCTAGAAACATGGCCCAGCCTAGCTCCCGGCTGAATCCTTGCTGTGCCGTTCTCGAACAGAGTGACCTTGTTCAGCTGCTGAAGCTCAATCACAAGATGTCCATCTTCACCACCAAGACCATATGACCCAAAACTGTGGCCTCCACCTTTGGCAGTTACACGTACTCTGTTTTTAATGCCACAATTGACGGCTACTTGAATCTGCTCAATCGTATGTGGGGTTGCAACAGCCGCGGGAGTATAGGTCAGCCTTACATTCCAAGGTCTAATTGATCGTTTCCAATCGACTGATCCTTGGACCATGAATGGTACATTTGCATCGGCAAGACAAAAAGACAATGCAGATGAACTGACCCGAGGCAAGAAGATAGTAGCGATAACGACGCTCAAGATGCATACGCCGCAGAGGATGGAGGTCATGGTCTTCACAGCCCAAGAATAATTTCTGTATACAGCAAAGGAATTTTGGTACTTTGAATGTCTTGTCGAGGTCTGGTTTAGCTTGGCGATTAAGGGCCTGGTTGCCTCATCTTCTTGGGTATTGTAACGAGAAACCATCATAGTGGATGCAAGATCGTAGTCTAGCACTTGCGCGAGCTTTTCCGTGAAGCAAATTTTCGAAGGCTAGTAATAATACTCAGCCAACTGGTTTGAATTCCTACTATGAGCAGTAATGCAAATTGTCCCCTGATAAAACGTTATGGAAGGTGTTAGATCCATTCCAATACCAAGATCGAGCGTCAAATCGCAAAACCGGTCCGTTAATTATTGCACAACATTACATCAGCGGCGACGGCCACGAAAACCAGAGGGAAGATGCGACAGACTCGTGCTACTAGCAGCTCGGGTTCGAAAAGCCCGTGTCTATCTCATGTGTGACATGTTAAACGCGAGGTCAATATTGGCTGAAAGTATGTCGGTTGTCCGGCCCTTGTATTGGCTCAGGTAATTTGGACCGCAAAACAGACATTGCGAAAAAGTGATACCTTCGGAACCCATTAAGAAGGTAAGACGTACTAAGACGTACTAAGATTGTACTTTTAAAAGGCGGCTATTAAGCTCGATCGCAGTAACGTCTGGATGTTTTCCAGCCTATCCATGACAGCAATGGCAGAATCGGACACGAAGGAGCTCCGCCTGGCTACTGCCGGTGGCTATACGACACGCACTATTCTCTGCACACCTGTCCGGAAAGCCACAGCTTCTGAAATTCCAATCATTGACATATCGCCCATTTTCAGCCAGGATTTAGCGGCGCGACAGACTGTTGCTCGTGAGATCCACAAGGCTGCTCATAACAATGGTTTCTTCTACATCAAACATCACGGTGTACCAGCCGAGGTTATCCACCAGGCATACTCTTCTTGTTTGAGCTTTTTCCGTCAAGACATGAAGACTAAAACCAGTACAAACGCCAACGAACCTGGGTCGTTTAATAATGGCTTTCGAGGTCCCAATACGCAGAATTTCAACGCAAATGAAGGGATCGACATCCTGGAGAGCTACGCTGTCGGGTACGACCCCAGAATGGACCCTTGGGTTACCAACCCAAGCGATGTCCCTGAACACTATGCACCGGGAGGGCATCCCTGGGAGTACACAAACAACCTACCCGATTTCAAGAATGCTATGACTTCTTATTTCCAAGAATGTCTAACCCTAGCCCGAACACTTACGCGGGCCTTTGCTCTTTCATTGGACCTTGCTGAAGACTTTTTCGACAACAAGGTGAAATACCCGGAGGCTACTTTGACGCTGAATTATTATCCCCCGCTCGAGACGGAACATCGGATGCGGGAAACCGAAAATTCCCCCGCACGAGTGTCCATCGGGTCACACACTGATTGGCAACTATTCACCATCTTGTGGCAAGACAATGCTGGCGGTCTACAAGTACTTACCCGGGATGGTCAGTGGATCCAAGCACCGCCACTTGACGGAACTCTTGTGGTCAACGTCGCTGACTACATGCAACGTATGACAAACGATAAGTACGTCAGCGCCCTGCATCGAGCACGCAACGTTAGTGGGAGAGAAAGGGTTAGCATTCCGTTTTTCTGGGGGTTTGGCTTGAACGAGAGTTGTGGTGTTTTGGACAGTTGTCTGGACGGAGGCGAGAAGAAGTATGAAGAGATCAAGTGCCTGGAATGGTTGGAATTGAGAAGTAGTTATGTTCTTGACATTTAGAAGGATGGAGAGGATTGAAGTTTGATTGAGCTGTACCTGAGTCCTTAGCTATACACAGTATCCTATTCAACAGTCCCATGTCTTAAAGTGTTTGGCCAATGTAAGCATGTGCCAGTACAGCAGAAATGCCAGACATCAGGGCAAAGGCAGGGCCCATGTATTCATAACCAAATGCATCCCTTATCGCCCCTCCCGCAAGTGGGCCGATAGTAAGACCAAGAAAGAAACAAAGAGAATTAAAGCCAAAGATCTGAGCATATGGGCCACTGTCCCCAAAGAATCCAGGGTTTGCTGCCTCATATTTGGAAGTGAGATCACTGGCATCAACAAAGCTTGGCGAGCTGACAATGCCGAGCGAAACACCATTAAACATCAAGATGACACAGAACAGTACCAGGTTACCCACGCCAGGTAGAAAGCTTCGCGAAGGGATACCGAGTAAGGCTAAAGAAGGTGTCATGAGGGCATACCCATATGTCGCCACCAGCTTTGTACCATACTTATCAGCGGCCATACCTGCCACTGGACCGAGACCAATGTAGGGAAGTATGAGAGCCGTGAAAAGAAGACCAGCTTTAAAGGAGGAGAAGTGAAATAAAGCAGCCGCTTCTGTCGGTATAGTAGCATCAAAAGCCCCAAGAATGGAGCCTTGCACGGCAGTAAGACCCAAAGCTACAAGAAGCCTAGTTTCACGGAAGCAGTACAGAATGGGAAGTGCTCGAATAATACTGCTAACCTCCCCTTCAATCCTATACTTATCATCAGGTATAGCTGGTAGCAAGCGAGTCTCTTCGTTGGCTTGCGATGACTCTGCGTCATGGTCCTGAGCACGGCAGGTCTGCTCTACTACCAAGGTCTTGGATTCAACAACAAGTAACAGCAAGATCAATTCAATGGAAAGAGTTGCTGCTGAGAGCCAGAATACTGCATCCATACCAGCGGCATCATACAGGACACCTCCCAAAGCTGGAGCTATCAGTTCACCTGTGGTGACAACAGAGAAGATCTTGTGACAGGATTAGTAGCTGCCTATGTCAAAAAAGGGAACGGTATGCTTACAGCTCCAATAGCCTGGCCCAGCTTGCCTGAGCCTACACTGTCCTGAACTATGGCTAGCCCGACAGTCCAAACGACAGCGGCAGCCATACCCTGGAGTATTCGAGCAAGAAGTAAGATGGTGAAGCTTTGGCCGATGACAAACAGAGCAGTGCCGGCAACTAAAAAGACCCAGCCAGCGAGGAAAGTGGGCTTACGCGAGCTGTACCTGTCGGCAATCCACCCAGAAGGAATTGAGAACAAGACCGAAGCTCCTGAGTATGCTGCAAGTAGACCCGATGTGTAAGGCTGAACATCTTCGGCCGGAAGACCGAGTCTGTCCTGCAGAAGGAATGGAAGTATAGGTACCACAAGTGCATAGAGGAAAAGATCTGTGAATAGGCAGAAGGCCACGGTAGTAAGAATAAAGGTCGACTTGGACCGCCAATGAACGCCAGCAATATTCTCTGTGCCAGGCATGTCGATGTTGTGAATAGGGACGAGAGTATTTGCGGGTAGATTTTAATGGAAGATATGTTGTTGCAGTCTCTTGAGCTACTATGATGTGCTGACGATGCTGTCGCTGTATGGGTAGTATGTAAAGTCAGCATGGTTTATCATGTTCTCAAGCAGACAGGACACGTTGCTGATGTGAGAAAATTACGTAAAGGCCCAGGTCGGACTGGTAACACAAGACGAGAATGCCGTGAAACGAGAATGACCCTAATGAGATGTACTTTTGCTATCATGTTGTCGTATTTTACTCCACCTCTTTGAAATGACATTCTCGTCGCCCATGGGACGAGAACAAGGCGGCTCAAGGCCAGGCGGCTCATGTCGTACTCGTAGCCACCATTTCTGGGCATTCGAAACATATTGTTACGCTTGTGCCTCGTCGAGATCGAGTCCTAAATGCTGTAACCCGTTGCTGCCCAACATCGGCCTCGGAATTACCCATTGATCAGCCCCTGAGACTAGAGATCATCATCCATGATGTAACACTACTAGGAGTACAGAAACAGGAAGGATCAATGGTCTTAGGTACGCCTGGCCTAACGTGTACCACAACGAACAACACATCACACGGGATCGGATCTGCAGCTGGCTTCTTGAAGAACTTGGCGAGGATTGTCTCTATTTGCAACAGTGTCTCGAGTGTACTTCGTGTTAAAGCTACCACTTTAACCATGCTTGATGCAACCGAATCGGGTTATCGACTTGGTAGGTCATCCATTAATCGTCAGAACGAGACTTTTAACTCGCTACCTGCAGTGTGGAGCCATAGTCATGGAAATCCGAAATTCGTGTCGAGAGGAATTATGTAGGTGAATCACTGGAACATAGGTACTCGGCCATAGTGCAGCTGCTTTTACGAATGCTGTACTTTCTTTCAGGCCACGATATTCACACCTGTTCCACAAGTGGCAGTATATACAAATGCCTGCTCTATGCTATAAATTAAATCGTGACAAGAGTCAATTGTACCAGGACAAGCAAAAAAAGAAAGAGAAAATAAAGGATTCAGCAATACAACCTATATTTTCACCAGGATGCAAGTGGAAACCTTCCATAACACTCAGAGGCATGATGGCCTCGGGCGTTCTAAGCACCCCACGCCGAGCACCAATGAATCGATAAAAAAAGACGACAAGATTCAGGGATTCAACGCGCTCCAAGCTCACAATTATGACATCTCTCGCGTATCTCCCCCAGACTCTGATCGAGATATCACCATCGTGGAGTCTATCGACACTCAGGATTCTGCACCGTTGCAAGAGCTGCAATTTTGGAAGACCTACCTCAAGGACAGTCGCCCAGCAGAGTTTCTACTTGACATGCCCCGTCCAGCTATCTCATCTGAGAAAGCAGAGGTGGAAACCTTCAGCATTGATGGTGGATTGTGGGATCAGTTGCAGCAGTTCTGTCAACAAGAACAAACTACCCCGTTTTCTGTGCTTCTTGCAGCTTTCAGGATTACCCAATTTCGAATGAGTGGCACTTCTGATGCGGTCATTGCGGGTACTGAGAGTACGAACACCAAGCATTTGGGCATAACGGATCATTTTCGCATCAAGATTGAGGATAAGGAATCTTTCCAGCAGGTCCTCAGTCAGATTGATGCCATCAACGATGACATTGTGGACTTCAAGAGGCCGCAGATGGAGCAAGTTGCGGGCAGTCTAGGTCAGACGGTCAAATATTCGTCTGCCACTCCTCTTTCACGGTTACTCCTGAACCTCCACAGCGAGTTGGAAATTCATCAAGATGGAACCAAATATGCCCAGCCAAAGATTCTACCTCTGCCTGATGAAACGGTCTTTGACATGGAGATGCACATCTATCCTCGAAGTGCTTATTTGGAACTCAAAGTTGTTTTTGCAAAGGACCTTTTCAAGCCTGCAACTATCAAAAGCTTGCTGTCAATCTTCCATCAGGTGATTGACCAAGGAATTCACAATCCTGATGTCCCTGTGGAGACTTTGAACTTGATGACCAACGACGATTATGATATCCTCCGTCGTATGAACCTGTTGTCGCCTCAGACCACAGCGTACCCCAGAGATTCCACTGTGGTCGATATTTTTCGACAGCAGGTCAAGGTAATCCCTGACCTCACTGCTGTCAAGGATACCATTAACTATTTGACATACGCGGAACTTGATAAGCAGTCGAATATACTTGCCTTGTGGCTAAGACATCAGAACCTTCCACTAGAGGCCCTGGTGGGAGTATTTGCGCCACGTTCTTGTCAGGTCATCGTCACATTCATTGGTATCTTGAAGGCAGGGTTAGCCTACTTGCCATTCGACACAACAACACCGCACAATCGCATCAAGACTATCCTCTCGTCCCTCAAAGGGCGAACTGTTGTGCTTACGGGATCAGTATCCTCGGTTCCTAACTCTGGCAACACAGAGTTCGTCAAGATCTCCGATATCTTGGAGGGGTCTGTTGCAACTCCAGAGCTCTTACAGGAACTGCCATTACACAATGGAATTACGCCCACCAACCTTGCGTACGTCATGTTCACTTCAGGCTCTACGGGTCGTCCCAAGGGTGTTATGGTCGAACATCGTGGTATCGTAAGGCTGGTCAAAGGAGGCAACATGGCCGGACATCTCCCAAAGCGTACCGTGATGGCTCACTTGACCAGTATTACATTTGACAATTCCACCTGGGAGATATATGCTGCGTTGCTGACTGGAGGAACGTTGGTTTGCATTGATGCCGTGACGGTGCTCGATTGCAGTGCCATCGCTGAAACCTCTATACGAGAGCAGATTCGATCGACAATGCTCACACCTGCTTTACTCAAGCAGTATCTCATCGGGTGCCCAGATGCCATCGCGGCCCTGGACATGATGTGCATCCAGGGTGAGAAGGCCATTGCTGAGGATATGTTCCTAGCAAAGCAGCTCAGCGGTGGCACTGTTATCAACGCCTATGGACCGACGGAGAATACAGTCACAAGCAGCTTCTTTATTATTGACGACGCGGAACCCTGCATCAACGGCGTTCCAATAGGTCTTCCGATTAGCAACTCTGGCGCCCATGTCATGGATTCCGAACAACGACTGGTCCCGATTGGTGTCATCGGGGAACTTGTCGTGACGGGTGATGGTCTTGCTCGAGGATACGATGATCCAGAGAGGAACTTGGAGAGATTCATATCCATCAATGTTAATGGCTGCACAATCCCAGCCTATAGAACAGGAGACTATGTCCGTCATAGGCCTACCGATGGTCAACTTGAGTTCTTTGGCAGGATTGATGGACAAGTCAAGATACATGGCAATCGTATCGAACTGGAAGAGATTGAACACGTAATTCGCATTCACCAACACGTCAGAGATGTCGTTGTCGTTGTACAAAGCATGGACCAGGATCCTCGACTGGCAGCGTATCTCACACTTGACGAGGTTCGTCCAGGCAGTATCGAAGAATCAGCATTGGTCGAGACCTGGTTGGACCATTGGGATGTCAAAACCTACACACCAATAACCAAGATCCAGCTAGAGGACATAGGACGTGACTTTATTAGCTAGACTTCGATGCATGATGGAAGCGATATTCCCAGAGAGGAGATGATCCAGTGGCTGGACGAGACCATCGACGCAATTCTTGATGGAGGTATCGCTGGACATATTCTGGAGATAGGCACAGGCTCAGGGATGATTCTTTTCAACCTGGGCGATGGTCTTGAGAGCTACATGGGCATTGAACCGTCAGAGAGAGCCGTGGCCTTTGTCAACCAAGCCGCCGCCTTGATGCCGGAGTTTGCAAACAAGGTCAAAATGCACCGAGGAACGGCTGGGGGCCTTGATCAGCTCAACTTCACCAACCCACCAGATACAGCTATTCTTAATTCAGTCATCCAATACTTCCCGAGTCAGGACTATCTGCTGAGTGTTATTCAGTCGCTGGTCAAGATTGGTGCAAAGAAGATCTTTCTCGGTGACGTGCGGTCTTATGCTCTCCACAGGGAATTCTTAGCTGCACGAGCTTTGTTCATCGTCAGGGACAATCTTGTGTCCCCGGCTGAGTTCAGACGTATCATGAGTGATATCGAGAAAGCAGAATCCGAACTACTTCTTGATCCAGCATTTTTCACAAATTTGCCTCAGCGCTTACCAAACATCGTCCACGTCGAGATCCTCCCAAAGAGGATGCAAGCTGTCAATGAGCTCAGCTGCTACCGCTATAATGTTGTGTTGCATATCAGACAAGATGCTTCTAGGGCATGCGTTCAGCCTTCAGACATCGGCCAAGGAACCCGAATCAACTTCCGAGATGAGAACCTGGACTGCAAGTCACTTCTTCATTTACTAACCAGTTCCAATGAGGATGCTATGATGTTTGTCGAGAACATCCCGGATAGCAAGACGAGTCTGGAGAGAAGTGTGATCGGGTTGCTCGACACGTTAGATCAATCGGCCGATACTGACGTTGGGAAGATATGGTTAAAGAGGGCTCATCAACAAGCTTCCCTACAATCCTCCATGTCAACTACTGATTTGGTGATGCTTGCTCAACAGACAGGATGGCAAATTGAACTCAGCTGGGCTCGACATGGCATACAGAACGGCGGTATAGATGCTGTTTTCTACCGAGATCACTCAGCAGCTGGGTGCAGCGGCCGTGTCAAGTTTAGCTTTCCGGTTGAAGACCATAGCAGACTAAACATTGCTCTTAGCAGCCACCCGCTTCGACGTGAGGTGACGAGAAATGTTCAGGACCAACTGCAGCGATTACTCCAAGACACCTTACCATCCTATATGATGCCCCAATCCTTCACCTTCCTCGACAAGTTACCTGTCAACCAGAACAGCAAGATCGACCGAAAGGCTATTTCTTCCTACTTCCAACCAGAGGGAGTCAGTCAAGGGAACATTCAAGAATCAATGTCAATGGCAGAAGGCATGATGCAGAACATCTGGAGTCGAGTACTATGCATCGACTCTTCCAGGATCAGCAAGAACAGCAGCTTCTTCAACCTTGGAGGCGACTCTATCGCTGCCATGATGCTGGTCAATGAGTCACGGAAGGTCGGTATTAAGATTGCAGTGGCAGACATCTTTCGGTGGCCAGTCCTTCATACCCTCGCCAGTAACACTGGGATAATAGTTGACCATTCTACGGAGAAGATTCCACCATTCGCTCTGCTTGGCAATTGCATCCATGTTCCATCCCTTACCAATGAGCTTTCTACTTGCTGTGGTATGAGTCCCGATGCCATAGAGGATGCCTTCCCATGCACGCCCTTACAAGAAGGTCTTGTCTTCGAGACACTGAAGCGTCCTGGATATTATATAAGACAGGCAGTCATCAAGCTTTCTCATGGTATGTCGCGGACAAGACTGGTGAGGGCTTGGGAGCGTGTAATTTGTGCAAAGCCCATCATGCGCACTCGAGTCATACAGCATGATCAACTAGGCCTCCTGCAAGTTGTTTCCAACGAGCAGATAGACTGGATTGATGCCAGTTCAATGGGTCTACAGACCTACCTAATGGCCGATAAGCAGGAGTCAATGGGTCTTGGTCAACCTCTCAGTCGATATGCCCTTCTTGGGAACGAGTCGGGAGATCCTGATAGGCTTGTGTGGAGTTGTCACCATGCTCTCTATGATGGGTGGTCACTGCATCTGCTTCAGAATGCTCTATACAAAGCCTTTGATGACGAGTTCGCTTCGGTCGAGCCAGGGCCCCAATTTCAATCCTTTATCAAGTATGTGAAGGATATTGACGTCCAAGAGTCATCTAAATATTGGCAAAGAGTACTTGGTGGTTGCCAACATTCTCCGTTCCCCAGTCTTCCAGCAACCATTGAGCATCCTGTCGCCGATACAGTCATCAGAGACTCTATCCCGCTTCCACAAAATTCAGGAACTGACGTCACGACGTCTGTTCTTGTTCGGGCAGCCTGGGGACTTGTCATGGGCCAAATGACCAATTCAGACGACATTCTATACGCCATGACACTTTACGGCCGCAACGCACCTGTGGCAGAAGTCGCCCAAATGGCAGCTCCAACGATTTCTACTGTACCAATCCGCATCCAGATTGACAGAAGCCAGAGATGCACGGATTTCCTAGCGCAGGTGCAGGCTGAAGCGACCGAGATGATACCTTACGAGCAAACCGGCTTACAGAACATTGTCAAGACTTTGCGGTCAAGCCAAGACAGTTGCCAGTTCCAAACCCAGCTTATCATTCAGACTGGAGAGGATCACTGTAATGAGTGTCCCTTTGGTGAGTGGCAGCAAGGCAGCGAAGGAGAGGGGTTTGTTACCTATGCTTTTACACTGGAGCTGTGGCTACACAACGACAGGATCACCACAAAAGCCATGTTTGATACAAGGGCCATTGAGCCATGGTTAGTTCGGCAAATGATAGCACGGTTGTCACTTGTCATGAATCAACTCATTAGGGCGATGCCGACGCAGACGCTGTCAGGTATGGAGACATGTGCACCAGGTGATCTTCAACAAATTTGGGAGTGGAATAAGGATGTGCCCACCGAGATTGAAGAGTGCGTTCATGACATTTTCCAAAAGCAGGTTCAAACGAACCCTCATGCACCGGCGATTATAGCCTGGGACGGTTCTCTCTCCTACAGACAACTCGACGACCTATCGACTAGGGTTGCCACGAGACTTATCTCGATGGGAGTGCAGGACGAGATAATAGTCCCGCTTTGTTTCAAAAAGTCCATGTGGACGACCGTTGCCATTCTTGGCATTATCAAAGCAGGTGGTGCCTTTGTTATGCTTGATCCGACGCTCCCAGAGCTTCGACTAAGAGATGTTGTGCAGCAGGTCGAGGCGAGCGTGATCATTTCGTCATCAATTAACAAAGAGCTAGTCTCTCGCCTTGCAAAGCGCACTATGACTCTGGACTGGGGCTTCTTCGATGCTCCTGAGGTTCTATCATATGACTTGACCAGCTGGAAGCGAGCCAAGCCTTCGTCTCTCTTGTATGTTGTCTTCACGTCGGGGAGTACGGGGTCCCCCAAAGGCGTTATGATAACACATCAGAACCTTTCCTCGGCGCTACATCACCAAGCTGATCTCACCGGTCTTACATCCTCATCCAAGATCTATGACTTTGCTTCCTACAGTTTTGACGCTTCTATCAGTAACATATTCATCGCCCTGGCAGCTGGTGCTGCCTTGTGCGTTCCAAACGAGCATGAACGCCAGAATGATTTGGAAAAGAGCATACGTGCATCAGGCGCGAATGTAGTAGATCTCACGCCATCTGTCGCACAGCTACTATCGCCGTCAAGTCTGCCTGAGTTACAGTCGTTGATTTTGGCTGGTGAGGCTTTGCATGCTTCAGATATCAAAAAATGGTGGGCCGTCGGCAATGTAAAGATTCGAAACGTTTACGGACCTTGCGAATGCACCCCGACCAGTGTTATCAACTGTACTGCGACTACTCAAGAGGCCTCAAGCCAGATTGGTAAAGGTGCTGGAGCTATCACTTGGGTTGTGAATCCAGAAGACCATGAGCAATTACCCCCTCCTGGATGCACGGGTGAGCTACTGCTGGAAGGACCAATTGTTGGCCGGGGATATCTCAAAAGTCCCTCAAAAACGGCTGCACACTTCATTCAAGACCCATTGTGGCTATTGCGAGGGGCTCCTGGTAAGCCCGGTCGTCACGGGCGGATATACAAGACTGGCGATCTGGTGAAATATCACGAAGACGGGAACCTCACCTATGTCGGTCGAAAAGACGATCAGGTCAAGGTCCGGGGACAGCGTATTGAGCTTGGAGAGATTGAACATGCGCTGCGTAGTCAGGTTTCTGTCGATGAGGCCGCTGCTGTACTCCAAGACGACTCCAAGCAGAATGCTCAGATATATGGCTTTGTCACCATTCACGATGAAGTTGCTGCACGACAAGACCAATTAGAAGACGATCAAGAGTCAGATCAGAAGACTGACGCCTGGGAAGTCCGATTTGATTCCGAGATTTATTCCTCCATGGAGATGGTTCAAATCCACGAAATTGGCAGAGACTTCGTTGGATGGAGTTCGATGATCGATGGAAAGGAGATTGACCGCCAAGACATGAACGAGTGGCTAGACGACACATTAAAGTCTATCCTTAACGGCCGTACGTCAATTGGGAACGTGCTCGAGATAGGAACAGGATCAGGCATGATTTTGTTCAATCTCGCACACGCATTTGAAAGCTATATCGGCTTGGATCCCTCAGAAAAGGCAGTGGACTTTGTTGCTCGGTCGGTGGCTCGTCACCCTCAACTAAAAGACAAGGTGAGAATCTTCACGGGTACCGCCACAGACATTCCTCGACTTGCATCCAGTACATCCATTCTTCCGGATATAGTGGTCATCAACTCGGTTCTCCAATACTTCCCCAGCCAAGAATATCTTTTACAAGTCATCAAAGACATCATCCATCTAGGAAGTACCAAAACCATTTTCTTTGGCGATGTGCGATCTTTTGCACTTCATAAAGAGATTTTGGCTGAGAGAGCTATACATCGACAGGAATATCTCAGTCAAGAGGAACTTCGACGGATGATTCTCAATATGCAAAAGTCAGAACCTGAGTTGCTGGTTGATCCAGGATTCTTCACAGGTCTGTCGGAGAGATTTCCAGATCTCATCCGCCATGTTGAGATCTTGCCCAAAATCATGAGAGCGACAAATGAGCTGAGCTGTTATCGTTACGCCGCAGTGGTACACCTTGAGTCAGCAAATGTACAATACAACATCAGGCAGGTCAGCAATCATGACTGGATGGATTTTATCACACAGAGTCTCGATTGCAAGGGGATAGAGGCCTTGTTGGATGCAATGTCAGGTCCAAGTACGCTAGCTATTAGCAACATCCCTTACAGCAAGATTGCTTATCCAAGAGCTATTATCGAGGCAGTAGAAAAGCCGAAGCCCGATAGTGCAAGACATGGGGACTGGCTATCAAGGGCCAGTGACGATGCGGCTCATTGCAACTCACTTTCCCCGATGGACCTTGTCGAATTGGCACAGAACTCAAACTATCGTGTCGAGCTAAGCTGGGCTCGTCAATCATCACAATTTGGAGGACTGGACGCCATATTCTATCGCCATGACAAGGCAGACGACAACGCTGAAAGAACTCTATTCTGTTTCCCTCATGACCATTTCGGAAGACGGTATCATATTCTCAGTAGCAGACCTCTGCAACAAAGGATGGAGGGCAAGATTCTACAGAGGTTGAACAAAAGTCTGGAGTCACTACTTCCAAGGTATATGTTACCGCAATCCATCACCATTTTGGATCGGATCCCGATAAACAGAAATGGCAAGGTAGACCGAAGGAAGCTCGCAGATTCCTGTAAGAGACAGAGTATCGCTGGAAAGGTCAAACAACAGCCTACAGGGCCAGCGGAAGAGAAGATGCAAAAGATATGGTCAGAGGTTCTCAACATAAAACCAGATTCTATTGGGCTACACGACGGATTTATACAACTCGGCGGTAATTCCCTCGATGCTATGAGAGTTGTGACCCTGGCTCGTCAGGCTGGCATGAACCTGTCAGTCAAAGACATGTTCCGCCACTCCACCACCAGTATCCATCAACTCACGCTGGAACTCAAGCCTACTGAAGAAAGCGAGCCCAAGTCTGTCACTCAGAAGGTCGATCCAACACGTCTCCTGGCAGATATTGCCCGATATGATGCTCAAATCGAAGCTGTGACACTGAATGTGGATCAGGCCACTCGTACAAAAGACTCGCGGAAGCGACCAACTGTACTTCTCACTGGCGCGAACGGATTCATCGGGACGCAGATTCTACGTCAGTTTCTCGAAAACGACCAAGTAGGACGCGTGATTGCCATCATACGAGGCGAATCAGCTGAAGTAGCCAAGAGACGTCTTGTCGACGCAGCAAATAAAGCCCTATGGTGGACTGAGTTTCATGATGCTATCTTAGAAGTCTGGCCCGGAGACTTGTCCATGCCACATCTTGGACTTGAGCCAACAAAATGGGAACTCATCAAGAATGGCGAGGTCGACATATTTGTCCACAATGCTGCATCAGTACACTTTATCAAGAGCTACGATGTTTTGAAACCCGTCAATGTCGCATCTACAGTAGAAATACTTTCTGTGGCTGCATCAAACCCAGGAACAAGGTTCGTCTATGTGTCCAGCGCCCGTCACCAAGACCCAATGGAAGAGGATGAAGAAAGTGTGGCAAGAGATCTCGCTGCCAACTCCAACGGCTACATACAAACAAAATTTGTGTCCGAGGCCTTGGTCAGACGAGCAGCCCACCGCAGTACCAATGGGCAGAGCCAATTCACTATTGTGAGTCCTGGCCTAGTCAGCGGGACGCTCACTGAGGGTTATTTGAGCACTGATGATTGGATCTGGCGATTAATTTCGGCCTGCATTCGGGTCGGTACCTACAACACTGACAACGCTGCGACATGGATCCCGATGTCTGATGTTGGGATGATAGCACAAACTATAGTTGCCACAAGTATGAGCTCCGGCAGTCCATCTCAGCCTGTAGTGAAGATCAAAGGTGGCTTGACGCTTGGGGACCTTTGGGGAACGCTCATCACGATGGGCTATGAGCTGCAGGAAAGTAGTGGCTCAGAGTGTGCAGCAGCAATTCACCGGGATATCCAATTTAGCAAGGAGGCTCATCCGCTTTGGACATTGTCTGATATACTTGAAGACTTGGAGGATACGGCTCAGGACACATGGGCTGCTAGTTGGTATGACGACAAGACATGTTCTGTACGGCTTCGAGTAGCGCTACAGAAGAGCATTGGGTATTTGGTTGAGACTGGGTTTTTGATGTCTCCGAAAGGAGAGCAGAGTAGTTTAGTCTGAGCTAATATTTCCTGGTTGAAGGTTGAAGGTAACCCATAGCGTAGACTAATACTAATTGATTACTATCGAGCGTCATAATAATTGGTTAATGCAAGAACCTGACAATTACAACTCGGAGGTTGTGACCAGTTGAGTAGCTGTATCTATCGTACCTCAGAGATTACAAGCAGACAACGGCAATTAGGACATTTTGCACACAAGGATGAGATTATGTACAGTATTCGGGCTTTTTAGCCAAATCAAACGCTTTGATACTGAATTCCTTCTCTAGCAATCTCCAAAAGGTGATACAAGAATTATACTAGAACCATTCCATTGTAATCCAAAGCTTACTCGCCAGGCTGGATGGCATAGTACTTGCAGCCAACAGGCTTAATAAGGTCAACGGCCTTGAGGGTGAAGGAAGTCCAGTTCTTGTTACCACCGGGGTTGTCGATATTATTGTAGACCCACACAGACCAAGAAGTCTTCTTCAGGTTCTTGCTGTTGGGGCAGGGGACGAAGTTGTAGCCTCCGTGAGTAACTACAGTAAGATAAAACTTACTACTACTAACTTTAACTGCTAGAAGTTCTCTAGAATATAAGCCCCTAGCTTCCGCAGCCCCTCGATAAGAACATCTGTGTTACCAACATACCCAATCCTAACATAGCCCTTGAAATCGTCACCACCACCGAAGCAGTATGACCCAGGGCAGAAGTACACGTGGGTCTTGCTTAAGACGTCCTGGCAGAACTTGAAGTCATCCACAGGCTCTCCACCCTTGCTGAATCGAATGAATGCCGTCGTGCCCGCCTTAGGCTCGGCCCAATGGCAGACGCTCTTATGCTTCTCCACGAAATCCCTCAGGATCTTGATATTATTCCTCGCTAGTGAGATATTACGCTCAACAAGCGAAGGCTGTGTCGCAGGTGATAAGGCATAGCTTGCGACCTGGTCGTCTAGCTGGGAGACAGTGATAGTTGTATAATCACGTGCTGATGCAATAGCTGCCATAATGGTCCTATCTCTGGTTGCGATCCATCCGATGCGAATGCCAGCGAGGGCGAAGCCTTTCGACATTGAACCAGTGACAACGGTTTTTTCATAAGAAAGTGCTGTGGCAGGCACAGGAATGTCGATCTGCTCTGATGTTCCTCCGTGGAAGAGCGGGCGATAGACTTCATCAGAGAACAGGATAATGCCGTTTTCTTTTGCTATTTCAGCGATTTGCTCAAGGCCCTCGGTAGGAATGACAATTCCGGTCGGGCTGTTTGGATTGTTTATGATGATCATCTACGACGTATTTATTAGTCCGGGCCCATAGAGAGTCAAGAGAGATATTTTCCGCACCTTCGTATTGTCCTTGATCAAAGCCCTGAGATCCTGTATGTTATAGGCAAAGCCCTCATCCTCACGCAGTCTCCAGAAGGACACCTCAGCGCCAACGCTTCGTGGCACATCGTATAGCTGTTGGTACGCCGGGTACATACAGATTACATGATCACCGGGGTGAATCAATGTATAGAGTGCTAGGAAGTTTGCTCCAATAGCTCCTTGGGAAATGATGATGTCTTCCGCCGACAGCTGCGTTGGTCCATGACTGCAGTGAGCAGCCACAAGCTCACGGAGCTCTTGGGAGCCAGGCACGGAGCCATACGTGAGTTTCAATCCGAAGTCAATTGGACTACGCTGAGGGTCCTTAGAAAGTTGGATGAGATCGTTAATGGCAACGGAGTCGGCGCAAGACTCGGCAATGTTGATGACTCCTGGGGTGTTTTCATACTCGCCCATGTACTGCTCGACAGCGAACGGCGCGATGCGAACCATAATGAATAAGTGTAAGAAATGGCAAGGATTTCAATGCTAGAATTGTCGAATCTCATTGTGTTTGCAAGACGGGCTATTAAGTATTTCCAGATAAATACTTAACGTAGCCTATCTCTCCTCCCCTCTCTAGCTTGTCAAGTTGCGGGTGAACTTGACCGCGATGTGATTATAAAGCATTCAAGCTGATACCCCAACACCCTTGAATGTTCCCACAGTCCTTAAGGTTAGTTCGGCAGTTAACACCTCATCGCCAACTAGATAACGCAGACGTTAGTCGTGATGGTGGGCATTGAGGCTGCATCACTCGGCAGGTTGATTGAGTTGACTGTGGTTAAAACTGCCTAATTAAGCATGTGGGGATACCTCGTATACCTCGTATGCATGAGCCGCGCCAACTACAATGGCACAACCCCAGAAAAGCTTGGACATATAGGCCAACGCTATTAAATAAACTTATCTTGGCTTACGTGGTTACATTACAAAGGGCGCGCCCAGGCGCCCTAGCGTGTGTAGTTACAAAAGCTAGTTAATTATGATCAACACATTCTAGAGGCGATTGTTACACGTACCGATCCTGGTGCGAATAAGTCCTTATCATTGCCCAGTGCGTGTAACAGTCGCCCACTCTAGATTACCATGCAACCAAGCTACGCCGATCGTGTCAGCACATATCGTGATTATGACTCCTATATCTTGAACATCTGCTCTAGTGTCTATCCTCAAAGAACCATCTTGATAGGTATTCACATCGATTCAAACGGAGAACGTTATGATTTGATTTGTACGGTAGTTAAATTTTCGGACTGATAAATATTGTGCCCCTATGAAAGGCCCTTAGAAAAGAAACTACACCACAATCCACTTTTCTACAAGCTTGTTCGAGAGGGCCCACAGCTTCTTAGCGTTCTCTTCATTGAATGCCCAAGGTGCATACCCCTGATCGGACATGTCCCACGCCGAGGCGCCATCCTTTGCAGGGCCTTGCTCTGCGCAGTCAGCAATGTAGCGACCTCCGCGTCCTTCCCAACCAAGACCTACGGCTGCAAGGACTGAAGTAGCTGCGCCCTGAGGAATATCTTTCATCAGTTTGAAGCTGTTCTTGTCCTCAGCCATGCTCTTCATGACGCTTGGGTCGAGATACTGGCCCAAGTTTGTACCAACAATGCCCGGGTGAACGGCAAGACCATGAAGGCCCTGGGAGCCATATCGTCTTTCAATTTCGTTTGCCATCAACAGGTTGGCAGTCTTCGCTTGCCCATAAGCAACCATGGGGTCATAGGAACCTTCCTCATTGAAGTTGATGTCGTGGAACCGAACGCCGTTGAATCTGTGGGCCAATGACGAGAGCAGCACCACGCGTGAGTTGAAGGCCGGGGTGCTACTGGCCAGAAGAGTAGACTTCAGTAGTTCGAAAAGCAAGAAGTGGCCGACATGATTGATGCCAAACTGAGTCTCAAATCCATCCTTAGTGAGGCCCTGGGGTGTAGCCATGACTCCGGCGTTGAGTAGAAGGATATTCAGCTGGGAGCACTGGGCTAGGAAGGCCTTGGCACCAGCTCGGACCGAGTCGAGAGAGTCAAGAGACATCTCAATAAGGTGCAGAGACTTGGAATCCGGCTTGGTTGCGGTTGACAGGATGTCGTCAATGGCCTTTTGGCCCTTTTCAAGGTCTCTGACTCCCATGTAGATGGTCGCTCCGGTTTCGTACAGGGCGCGTGCACTCTCAAGGCCGATGCCCTGGTTGGCGCCTGTGATGAAGACGACCTTGCCCGTCAACTTCCCAACAAGACCTTCGTCTTTGATGATTTGTAGTGCAGTCGGCCGGCTGTCCCCGGGTCCCGCTGGGTCGGCATGCTGGGCTTGGTAGCTTGACATAGTGGAAGAATTAGGCAGAGATGAGTCTATAAGATAGCCTTTTTGTGAGGACAGTAATGAGGAGAAGAGATGTTTATTGTTGCTGAGGTTTCTATCATCGGATAACCATCATGTCGCTCTTACCGTCTTTATACATCACCTCACGTTCGTCGGGCCAGTGTCATGTCCGAGTCTGCGTAGTTACGGAGATAGCGGTGACTCGGACTCACAGACAAGAACGAGCCATCGCGGAGTAGCGGAGAAAGCTAGAGCTAGAGTTGTGATTTGTAAAGCAATTCAAAGCGAACGAAAGTGGGAACAGGCTGGCAGCCTGTATGCTACTCTCTCGTATTCGTAGGTATGGTTTGTTGCTGTTGACTTGTACATGTCGGTGGCAGATTTCCTGACATTTGTTCTTTCAGTATTGACGTAACTTGGCGTTAGGTAAGTGGCTTGCGGTAAATATGCGTTCGCTGAGATACGTGGATATTATCTCTTAAGCTTAATCGTCTCGCACATCTGACAGCAATGTTTTTCAATACAACGACACATACATAATTGTATTTATTACAATAATAAGGTTAATGCTTATAACACATAGAAAAACGCGCACGTTTTGATTTCCTGGGTATAATCAATTTAATCTTATATTTTGGTGCTTCGCAAAGCAGCTACATTAAAGAAAGTTTGGTCTATTCAAAGAATCTACACAGCCCAATCCCTTCTCCACTTAGCGCTAGGTGTATGTTTTGGGGATCTCAATCTGGTTGTCGAAAAGACGTTCAATAGCGTCTGGTGCTCCTACTTCCTTGGGATCGTCGAGCTTCCACGTTCCCAGAGTGTTTGCAAGTTGGCTATAATACGGGGCAAAAGTGAAGTATGCTCGAGGGTCAGTTGTAGTCCTCGCATTCTTCAGTAATACCTGAAGCTCCTCAATGCCGCCTAGCGACACAGGCTTCACCTTTACTCCAGTACGCATCTCGTAGGCCACTGCGATGTCCTTGGCGCTAGCCTCAGCGGAACGCACATTGAAGAAACCACCCTCACCTGCCAGAACCGACTTGTTGGTCGTAACGAGGTCGATACTGAACCGGGCTGCGTCCTCAAAGTAGGTAAAGTCCCACTTAGCGCTTCCGTCCCCCCAGTATTTCAGAAGCGTTTCATCAGCATCATCGTCGATATGAGCGATACCCATATGGCTGTCCAAGGCGAATTCGCCAACCAGTCCCGTAAAGACATACACAGGCTTGATAGGCGACGTCAGCTCAGCATGTCGGCGAAACGCAATGTAGGAGTCGTAATGCTCAAAATCGCCATGTCGGATTTTGGTCCAGTCCGCATTCCAGGAGTGGGCGTGATAGACCTTGATTCCAGCCCGTTCGACAGCACGGAGAAGACTAATTTGAGCCTCGAGGACGGCATCGGCGTGCGAGGTGTAGCAGCAGATGACACCTTGTGCTCCGGAAACTGCTTTGTCCAATGCTTCTTTGTCGTCATAAGATTCACATTGAACGAAGGATTCCAGCTTTCCCAGTAGCTCGGCCGGCAGCTTGTTTGGTGAACGACCGAAGCCCCGGATCTTATGCCCCTTCTCGAGACCGACCGTTGCAAGGTGCTTTCCCAAGTAGCCTGTCACGCCAGCAACAAGAATAAGCATGATGTTACAGTGTCTGCGATGAGTAGTTGTCTAAAGGATTTGGTCAGATCAGGTCCGGCTAGATTGCAATATGGTTTATACATACGTTAATGGCTGGCAGTCTTGAACTGAAGTAATCAAGATTCTTAAGCTAAGAACCTCCTTAGGTTGAGTGATGTGGAATCGCGATCGTGTGTGTGTTTGAGACAAAAGGATTTTCTGTACGGGGCAGATGAGTGAGACTCATCCCCTTTTCTGTTATCAGTCACAGGGAGCTGGCCTAGCTGCTTGTAGACTTAATCAACAACCAACAATAAGTGAACTTCCGGAATACGACTCAATACGTTACTACTTCGTGTTATGATTACCAACCATGATAATTATCTCCAGTGAGGAGATACCCCCACTACCTTATTTAGCATTTTCGATCTACCGATTTCGTAGCTATCTCCACCTCAAGTCCGCTACGCATTATCCGCAACTAGGACACTACGTACTTGTACCTGCGGAGTTTGAGCTATTTACCAGGCCACTCCTTGTCAGCGAAAACCTTTATCTTTACTAGCTAGGTTGTTTTAATGACTGGAATTAACAGTAGCGGTCTAGTTCACTTAATGATACATAGCTATTACCTCATACTCTAACGCTTTCAAATATGGAAGAGTACTTACGATTGTTTCAAGTATTTAATCCTCTTGTAATCCTCTCATGAAATGGAAAACTATCTTCAAACTATAAAACTAACCTTCTGAGTTCAATCTTTTGTCTAATCTCAACTTGCTTAAAGTCATTAGTTCCCATTTCTTATCAGTCTCTGAATCAAAGGATAATCTCGCAATGGTTAAAATTGCCATTGCAGGCTACGGGGGTGATTAGGCATCCCATTATCTCCTTTTCTCAACGACAGCTTACTAACACTTATCTCTTAGAAATCTCGGGACAAATCATTAAAGCCCTACTATCAAGTGGCCGTCATGAGATCACCCTTCTTGGGCGAAAAGTAGGTACATTCGGTTGTGTATCACGCTTCACTTACTGAGCAAATCAGGATACTCCTAAAGACTTGCCTGCGGGCTTGACCTGGGCCAAGGTGGACTACCTTGACAAGCAACAGCTCGTTCAGGTCTTGCAGGGAATGCACACTGTGCTCTCGTTTATTACTGTTGTGATGGACCACGAAAACCATGCTCAGATCAACCTCATCAATGCTTGCGTTGAGGCTGGCGTCAAGAGATTCGCGCCGAGTGAATGGGCATTGTATGTTATTACTCTTGTGGGTGGTGCATAACTGACTTCATGAAGCTTCAAGGTAGACGCATTTGCTATGTATCAAGGCAAAGTGGCGATTCGCAGATACTTGACGAACTTGAACAGGAACGGAAAGGTAAGCCGGTTAACGAGGACTATAGCTTTACCAGCAGTCACTGACGAACGAGTTTCAGGTCTTAGAGTACTGCCTATTTTTACCAGGAGTATTCATGAATTACCTTGGGCCACCTGAAAAAATGGAAAAGGGAGTTTCTTACACTCAGTTATTCCTAGATTTTGGAGAATGCCGTGCTATCCTCCCAGAAGGTCCTGATGCAACAGTAACCTTCACAACCCTTGAAGACATGGCAAAGACTGTTGCAAAGGCTGTGGACTATAAGGGAGAATGGCCTGTCATGGGAGGAATCGTGGGCAATAGGATCACGATTTCTGGGCTGCTCCAACTGGGAGAGAGAATTCGAGGTATTTCAAGGCTGTTTCGCCGCTGCATCAATGTGTTACGTGCTAACGATTTGTTTGCAGGCAAGAAGTTCACTATTGAAAAGGTGAAGATGGAGGATCTCAAAGTTAATGACTACGTTACATCGTGGAACCCAATAACGCTTCATCCATCGATTCCCGAAGAGCAGCGGGAAATAGCTGGGCGAGAGTTTGCGAGACTCTCTCTTATCGGTCTTCCTGATGGGGGTTGGGATGTATCCGATGATTGGAGCAAACTGTTACCAGATCAGAAGTTTGTTACTCTGGAAAACTTCCTTCAAGATTCCTGGGGCTCAGTTTAAGTGTTTAGGGGTAAACAACAATCGTTACGCTTTATGGCAACCGATCAAAATTAATATTATTTTCCTTTACAAACTCGAGATAGTTTATAAGACTTATAAATGTGAGATAATCTCCATCCCAACACAGTACACCACAAAGTTCACAGTAAGAGGTCACATGTCTATGGAAAAGATTTACTGTCTACTAACTTCAGAACCAGGGATAACATTGGAGAGCGACTGATCTCACAATTTGGAAGGCTCAAGTATACACAGACATCTCAGCCGGTATGTCATCACTGTGCGGTGTGACTTAGCGCATTGAACGTTACATTACTAGATCATGTTCTGGCGAACCTTTGGCCCCAAACTTTGACTTTGCAAAGTTCGCCATTTTGTTATGCAAACAGCCCTCAAGATTTGCACATATGGCTTCTAACTACGACGGACCGGGGTCTACACGATTCTCCCATATCTAAATCTTGTAAACTATCTTGTAGTTTGATATCTTGCCGTCCCGGTATTGCTGAAATCCCTGCTCAACGCCATCCAAGCCACCTTCAATAAGTTTTGTGATGTTTGGCTTGATCTTGCCCGACGAAAGCAGATCAGGCAGTTCTTTGAAGAAATCCGCGGCAAGTTCGTGGTCCTCTTGGCTTGGCTATCGATGTTGTTAGTTCTAAGTCATGTACCTTTTTTCCCCCGGCTACTCACAGGCCAATGGAAGTCTCCATAACGATGGTCTTGGAGGAATGCTGTCCAGACAAGAACATCGGTGACCTTGACATTCTTGGCGACATCGTCAGTGTTGGCTTTACCAGGCCGGACAGTGCACAAGACACCGCTACTGTGAGTGATCGCGCTTGAAGCAGTCTTGGAAGAGGACTCGTTTCCAATGGTATCAAATACATAGCGAAGACCTGGGACTGCCTCTCGAATCTTATCGACTACCTGCGGATCTCGATAGTCAAATACTCCCTTGACTCCGTAAGATTTCAGAAGGTCATGGTGTTTTGGGCTGCAGGTCGTAACGACTTCCAACCCATGCAACTTCGCAATCTGGACTGCGTAGAGTCCCACACTTGCTACAGATCTCGTTAGTCATTGGGGTTAGCAGGAGATCTGATGCAGAACCTACAACTACCGCCCCAGATAAGAACCGTTGGCTTGTCGTATCCACTCGCATCAATAGCAAGGCAGTCCTTTGAGAATAAGCTCAGCAGAGCTGTACATGAAGCCAGTGGAACAGCGCACGCTTGTTCCCCGGTCAAACCTTGAGGAACCGGGAAGCAAATGCGTTCGTCGGCAAGAGTATACTGGCTGTATCCCCCGAGGCCCTTGAATTCACCTAGTTATTTGTTAGAACACGCGAATTAAAACATCAAAGCGCCGGACTTTGTATTCACCTCCCCAGATCAGCCCTGCAACGGTTGTTCCCTTAGTGATCCTGGTTACATCTGACCCGGTCTCCTCGACAACACCAACAAAGTCGCAGCCGAGGACAGCACCGACCCCGAAAGCATTGCTGTCAAGAGATTGAACTGTGCAAAAATCAGCCAAGGCTATATGAACTCGAGACTTGATGTGGCGTGATCTTACCATCTGTGGGGTTTTGGGCGACATGAGACACCTTGACCAAAAGTTGGTGTTTGTCTGGCTTGGGCACGGGGACTGACTCCTTGACGAGCGCTGGGGTATTGTTGCTGTCAAGATTGACGACTAGGGCTTGGCAGAAGGGTGGGGCTGGCATTTTTGCTCGTGAAATGTAGACTATGTGAGTGTACTGTACATACAGGTAAACGACAAAACCAGTTATTTATACCGGAAGTGGCAAGACTATCCACGTTATCATTTTCTCCACTGGTAGACTGCTTACTTGGCTTGCATTTGTAATTGTACTCATCAAAGATCAGTTCTTGACTGATCCACGCTAGTTAAGGTGTCTAGGTATGGAAGGCAAGCAGGTGGAAGCGCTGTTGGTGTGGGGACATTGGGTGCCGAGTCTCGGTGTTTTGTTTTAGTGAGATAACTCCACCGTGAGGTGAGGAATGGCATGTGGACGCGCTTGTAGTCTAGTCTACCTAGATTCTAGTACGATTCAAAGCCCTTCTCCGTAATTGCGTTCACTTGTGGCCTCGTTTCAAGATACGAATATTGCATAACAAATTGTTGCCCATTTACTAGCTTGAAAATGCGAACTAATTCTCCAAGCCCCAGAGCGTTCTCAAATCTCTTGCTCGGTCTGATGTTTTCCACCCGGTTTCGCGCTCAATCTTGGCCAAATGCCTTAGAAGGGCAATCTTTTCAGCGGCGAAATTGTTGTACTCTAGTGGGCTATTCCCATTTCTTACAGTATCAGCCACAGGAGATCCGTTCCCTGCCAACCCAATATGCATCTGTTGCGGACCTCCAGACCCCGATCTCGGAGAAACATCACCCTCTTCACGACCCGGTACCAGTACGTCGCCAAAAGCCTTGCCTGCAATATACAGGGGTTGCAAATGATTCACCCAGTTTGCACTGAATTGTAATTGAGATTAATAACCTTCCGTTGACTGAGAGATCGAAATATTAGAGTGACAAGCTTACTGAGACGAGTTGCTAATGGAGATACCTGCGAGTTCCCGAGCATGCCAATGAGGGTTGCACTACACGATGTCAATAGCAACACTACCAGTCAGTTGGGTACCTACGTTGGATCCCTCCGAGAAATCACCAACTTTGACTAGTCCGCTTTGTAACAAAAGTATTGAACCGGCATGATAGAAGGTGTTTCCACATACTAGTGACTTTATCAGCCATCGACCTCCAAGATAGGCATGATTCACTCACTGGATGAAGATAAAGCAAACATTATCGTAGGGAAAGGGCTCTTTTCTGTGCTTTCCACTCTCAACAATTCCTTGACACTCGGGAAGCGCAATCTTCTCCATCGTTGAAGGTCTTCCCAGAGGACCTGAGCTAGGTCTCTTTGTCCGGTATTATCTTGCAGGTTAAGAACGTTGATGATCCTAGCAAATATCAAGATGGCCAAATTGCAGTAATCATCCGTGTCACCTTTTTAGGTAGCTAGGATTAGCGAGTCGTTATCTACCCATGAGTCTGTGGGGATTAAGGTGGTCTGATTAAGGATGAAGGCGGCCCACACATCTGACATGCGTCAGCAGTCGTCATCTAGTAATGGATTAGGAACGGCAAACCTATTCTTGCGAAAGCCCAGAAGCAGGACTTCACGATACCCTCACTGTTACCGTTCCATTTACACATTCTCAGTAAGTCGGCACAGCCCTGCAAGTACAGAGGCAAGTTAGCTCGCACTCGCCTTAGCCGAAGCAGAAAATGCTCCTCCATATATCCTCTTACCCTAAGATGACGCCTCCACTCGGGAACGCTTGACGCCATCATTTCGTAAGCGCAAAGTATAGTACATGTTGCCAGGATAGACGAATCTGCCTTTGTAGGATTCTGACCTTAGAACTTATATCCTTTTGTTGCACAGACGAAGGCGAGCGAAGAGCCTGTACCACCACCAGTTGCCTCCACCACGGTCATACCGGGCTTTATATACCCACAGTTCTCGACCTTATCAATAATTCCAACCGCCATACGATCCTTGTGAGAGCCTGCGGGGTTGTATTCTAGTTTTCTAAAAACGTCGACGTGGTTCTTCGGAACAAAATGACTGAGGTAAACGACTGGGGTACTGCTAATTGCGTCGATGATGCCGACGCTGGAGTTATAAGCGAGAGGAATTTTGCTGGTCCTAAATTGAGAACTGACGGGAGAAAGTTTTGCTGGCAGATCATGGGTCACGGACGGGCGTAAGTAATGGCGTGAAGCAGGGCTAGTGGCTAAGGTCAAGAGCAGCGACGCCTGGAAATAACCACCATGGTAACAAAACCTGTAATTCTGCTACTGATGTCATAAGAACAGATTACGGCAATGATAGACATCTTGGAATGGTAAGATAATTTCCAATTCTCCGGATCGTTTTACACAACCGTCCCGCCCCAAGAATAGATAGAGAATCATATCATGCTAAGTTTCATACCTGGGCAGATAAGCGGAAAATTTATGTATCTTAGCTCAAGTGGGGGAAATTTATCACTTGCCCCGCGATCATTTCAAATAACGCCACTTGTACCTTTGTGGGCGTAATCCGGCATTGGAGACGGCGATTGCCAGTTGCTGGGGATCGCTCGTTTAACAGCATTACAAGCATTGGATAAAAAATGAGCTGCAGTTAACATGGCTTTTTCTCCTAAGCGGTCCGTAATGCCCGATTAATAATCTAATCTTAAATTTGTAACTGAGACTGATACAGTCCGCTCTTGGTGGATTTGCTGTAAGCCCAGAGCGAAGTCTTTTCTATTGATCACAAATATCTTCTATCCTCACGTGAGGCTTATGCCCCTCGGTCACATATGCTCAATCGTTATAAAAAGCTCGCAAGAGTAGTAATTAACAACCGGCGATGACTAGTTCCCTTTCACCCACACTCCAAACCACTTCTTTCTCTTTATAACTCCCTTGCCATGAATACTTTGTCTTCTCTACGAGCTGATTTATACAATGCCCCTGTCATACCAACAAGCCGACACTTGCCAGACAGCTCGGTCGGCTTATGGCAGCCCACAGTCGTAACCTTGATCTCGGGTCAGTCGGAGGCTGTGCTCGTCGACACTCTCATCACCTCTGAGCAAGCTGTCTCCCTCGGCGACTGGATCAAAGAGACGCTGAATGGCAAGATCTTGACCACCATTTACATAACACACGGCCATGGTGATCACTGGTTTAATCTTTCTTATCTCACCAAGCGATTCCCAGGGGTCAAAGTTGTGTCAACGCAGGAGTCGATCGATCACATGTCCAGCCAGCTGACGCCCGAGTACCGTACCTTTTGGAATGATCTTTTTCCTGGGCAGATCGACGAAGAGTCATTTCAGGTTCTGGCAAAGCCTCTGAAGGATAACAAGTTCACTCTCGAGGGGCATACTTTGGAGGCCGTTAATGTTGGTCATTCTGATACCGATGCAACGACCTTTCTTTATGTACCTTCACTGAACATCTCGGTGGCTGGTGATATTGTGTACAATGATGTGCACATGTGGATGACGGAATCTCCATCACAGTCTGATCGAGATGACTGGGTTGACTCTCTCGACAAGCTTGAATCCTACAATCCATCAATTGTGATTGGGTCCCACCACCGCCCCGGCGGTGTTGACGGCGCTTTCAATATCGGGGCTTCGAGAGAGTATATCCGCACATTCAGCAAGTTCGTGAAGGAATCCAAGTCGGCGGAGCAGTTGTATGACAAGATGCTCCGTGCCTACCCAAGTCGGATTGGAAAGCTTGTTTTGTGGTTGGGTTGCCAAGCTCAGTTTCCCTAGATAATTGCTCTGCCCGGTGATGTGGCTTGTCAGAGCTGTTCTATTAACTCTTGAATATCACTGCCTGTTTGGCTGGCTTCCTATGTTAAAATTTGGAGTTAGGCCGGACATGTTTGGGGCTTGGCAATTCAGTTTAGTTGAGCTTATCGCCACTCGTTATTTTGCTTACGCTGTTTCCTAGCAATACTACTTCACATGTGGTCGCTGCTCTGTTCTTCACTCTCGCGTACCTGACTGTTGAAGTGAAATCTATTATGGGATTCCTGAACGCGGCATTTGACGTATGTAATCGTAGCAGAGAAGTTTAAACGTATTCCTGTCGTCGAGTACCCGTGTCGGTTGTATATAATGGGCTGCTTCGCAAACCGGCGTTGGTTACTTTGTGCTTCTTACTAGAGTCGACATGAAATCGAACTCGAAGCTTGGCAGAGAGTGATTAGATAATTAGCAATACCTGCCAGTTGGTCAACTACCGCAGTCTTGCCCGAATTAAGCATAAGTTACAACAGCGAGAGTCCAAAAAGGAAATTCATTACAGATCTCCACACGTCATGTTTGAATTCGTAGCTCTTAGGTACACATGAAGATTTTAGAGCCATAGGGACCCCACTCCGAGTTCTGCGGTGACTAATTTTCATTCAGCGGGTTATTTGTTCTTCCGCTTATTATACTTCCATAATCACCATTTTGCTTCCTATGCTCCTACGTGACACTACTACGACAGGACTCCCCGCGGATTAAAACAAGGCAGGGCAAGAATGCCGAAACAATCGGGCCAACGCAATATGAGCGCACGTCTTGCAGCATGTGATCCATGCAGACGCTCCAAGCTTGCTTGTAGCCACGAGAGACCTGTGTGTGCGAGGTGTCAAGCCCGAGGTCAGGAGGCCGACTGTAGCTATCGAAGCTTACCCTTCAAAAGAACAACGCGATCGAGACATCATTCACGGTGAGGCAAGACGTCAAGTGCTGCTTATGTATCTGACAAATCTTACAGCCAACAGTCATCGCCAATGCCCGACATTACAATCTTTACGCCAGTCGAAACACCTTCCCAGACGGCGCATCGGTATCCTAACCCTGGATTCCTTGGTCAGTCCAGTCACTCAACCATCTTTGCTCAAATGGCCAGCACTACTCATCATGACACGTCATCATGTCCACTTCAAGATTCGGTATTTTTCGAGTGCGGCACTGAAAGGCCGCTACCAGACGAGAGTCCAGATACTGTCGATAAAGTAAGCCAGCTGTTGAAGCATTTTCTGCAATTGAACTTTGCCCAGTTGCGTATTCTTCTACAAAGTTGGCAAGCTTCAGGGACCAACTTGGCCTTAGCGGAACCACTTACTGCTCGGTTTTCTGATGCCACAGTCGCTTTCTTACAAAGATGGAACGCAGACCTTGGTTCAGAATCATTCGCTAGGCAAAAGTCCCACTGGCTACTCAGGAATAGCCGACAGTCGATCAATTTGACAGAAACGTCCAACACTGAAGACTTCTTCAGTCAGACCATGGGCGACAATTTGCGGCTTGAAGTATTAGGCATCTTCCTGACCGCTGCATGCCGAGCAGTCATGGATATACCGTCGTTTACACCACTTTACACATCACACAGAGAAAGAGTCACACTGGCCAGAACCTTGATGTCGATTGGAGATCTGTGTCTTGAGTGCTGTCTCTCTCTCGATAGCCTCAACGATCTTCAACTTGTTCTGCAATATGAGAACATGATTGTTCATACACAAGTAGACGGAGACCAGAGTATGTCAATGCAGCCCCAACATCTTTGTCATTCTTGGACCAACTAATAAGCTGAGCCTAGGCTATCACTCCTGGAGAAGGATGGGTGATATTAGTAGCAGCCTTTTTGCACTTGGATACCACCAACTACCAGATACTTCAACAGTTCCTCCATTTATCTTGCAGCTACGGAAGGCGGGCTTTGCACGGATCTACACCGCCGATAAAATGCTGGCAGTATTTCTTGGCCGTCCACCCAGAATAGCTCGCGAATACTGGACCACTACGCTCCCTTGCAACAATTCGAACCTATGGCAGGACGGTGTTATGGATATTGATGCAAATGGTCATGAGTATTCTTCTAATCCAGCCATTGAGTGCTTACAAGGCTCATCTATGCCCAAGGAGCCTTTTAACCACATGGCCGATACTCGAGGTCGTGCTAGGTTCTCATTTCTCAAAGAAGATATTCTAAAATTCTCTCGCCGGCATCCGCCTTCCGAGTTAGACAATGCTAGCAGTGTCGAAGTGGCGTAAGAAACTCCTATACCCCACTATCCATTCGAGTGAAAGCGATCTTAACATTAATAGCCAAATCTTCAACGAGATTGAAAGTGCCTGGAATGCTCTCCCTGAACATCTCAGGCTTACACAGACTCTAAAGCTCAGCGACGCCTCTCCATTCTCTAATGACCTTCTCATTGGAATCCGTTTGGACTATCTACATACTCTGTTCTTACTCCACCTAGCGTCTTCGCGACAATTACAGCACCCTGGAAGGGATCTACTTGCTATAGCCGGGGAGATGCTCTCTCTTGTCACTGAGGCGATCATGTTACGTGATCGGCTCGTAAATTCAGGCACATCTTTAACATGGAAGGTTGGTTTCTAGTGCTACGGTTGTGTTGATGCTGTGCTGACATCTTGTTAGGTTGCCCAGTATGGCCTACCTGCAGCTGGGATTATATCGTTGTCCCTGTTGAACGTCCTAGCATACGATGACTGGGCTGGAAAACGGACCAAATGTATTCAAGATCTTAATATCCTAGTCGCGAAACTCAAAGTTGGGGCCATTGTTAGGGCAGGCGAGGCGAACTTTGCACTGTTTAGTCGCGCAACAAGGACTATGCAAAGCTTGCTGAACTTACTAGCCGGAGGTACTTCTATGATAGCCCAGCAGACACACACACCAGATTCTAATATTTGGAATTTGACCGGCGATCTTAACTTATTTGCTAATTTCGAGCCGTGGGACTTTGAGTTTGACTTTTGGGCTAGCTTTGCAGACCACCCCGGATTAAATGTTTATGAAAGTTAGGATTTAGGGTATATTAATAATAAAAGTTGCAAGTAGGAGATTCATCCTCCGATCTGAGTTCGAAGGTTGTTCTTGCGGACTCAGCCGAGGCAACACTTTGCGAGCTAGGTTAATTGTCCGATCACTCCGCTTAGTTGGAGTGGTGTTGATAAATCGGTGGAGGCCTCTAACACATGTACCTCTTCCATAAAATCGGGATAATATAGTCCAGTAGTACGTATCTTCTATAATTTTGAGAAATGATATATCGAAACCCTCACAGTTCTCTATCTCAGTGGTGTCTTTGTTGCTTCCACGAAATGAAAGCCGCCCCTGCATAGGCCAAAGCTCCTATCATTAAGGAGCCTCCTCCGTACGCGATGGTGTTTCGCCAATTACTACCGTCTCCACTGCCCAAGAGAGCCCCAGCTATCGGCGTCCCAATCAGAACAGCCAACCCCATCACGAAAAAGATCATTCCCATGCGTGTACCGATCTTGTCGGGTTGAGGCGATAAAGCCACAATCAGGCAAGGTGTGACGCTTACCACCCCTCCAGAAAAAAGTCCATACGCCAGAGCAAACACTATCAAGCCTCCCAAGCCATGCACCCCAAGCCAGATAAACATGATGACGGCACTGATGGTAGTTACTGACAACTGGATGCGCAGCGCACCGAGCCGATCAGCAAGATAGTTTGGTGCCACACGACCAGGAATACTCCCAGCGTTCAGCAACATAAGGAGGTAAGAAGAGAAGTCGACAGATGTAATTTTGTGTTGAATGGCGAATAGCTGGATGTAAAAGAACGCAACATATAGCGTTAAAAAGACGAAGAAGGAGCCGACGATAACGAGAGCAAAGATGGGGTCTTGAACCGCGCTCATGTCAATGAATGATCGTACCTTTACCTTTTGCTTGATACGTGGATGCATGGCGACTGCAGGAATAATTGAGATGGCCAAGAGGATGAGAGCAATCACTCGTGTAGCCCAAGAAAAGCCTATGATTGGTTGAAGCTTGCCAAAGACGACTGGAAAGACGATTCCCACAATGGGAGAGCCGGTAGATGCGATACCAATGACCAGGGCTCGGCGGCGTTGGAAATATTGCGAAAGTATTGCTGTTGAGGGGACGTATACAAGACCACAACCAAGTCCGATGCAAATCCCTTGTGAGAGTAGAATCTGCCAGTACGCCGTCGCAAAAGATGTGACGAATTGGCCAAAGATGATGAGGAAGAGACCAGAAAGCAGGAGGGAGGGCTCGAAAATAGCCGGCATCGTAAAGGGTTCCCGAGACCGGGGCAAGAATCAGCAGTAGAGCTCCTTGAAGCGAACCAATCCATGATATGGCGGATGATGTCGTGTCGGAGAGAAGACCGTTCTCGTAGTATGTTTGATACATGCCAAATGAATTGACAAGACCCCAACTATCGGCAAGTATGATCCAAGAACATAAAACTTGTATCCAAGCTTTGGTACCACCATCGGGGATTGGTTTTGGTGCTGCTTGCATTGTCAAGCTGGGGTTTACTTCTCAAACCGCCTAATCTCTTAAGTGTCCAAAGTGCAAATTGATCCAAGTTAACTATTTCTATTCTTGTGTGCGAGGTCAAGTATGTACTTTTTGGATGGTTATCTACTGCGACGTATCTCGGGCAGGGTTATCGTAGCTTAGGTGGAGCCTCGGAGTAATCGGTGACTCTTTTTGCTGTTTCCGACTACTTCGCCGATTACTCCGGTGGTAGGATACCGGAGAGGCCGCGCCATAGACCCACCTTTGAAAATCGCTCCCGTCGGCGTAAATGATACTGTCCTTACTCCGTACTTATGATCATTACATGCCGGTTGGTCTTACTGTATAAGGGTTAGTTCGTGCGAGTAGAGACAAGGCCGATTAGGGTAGCAGCCAAGACTTGCGTGATATTATTTAAGAAGAGGACGGACATCGTTCAACTCAACCGCAGTCTTTCAATTTTCAACAAAGCCCAAGTCGGATCCTGGCCAACTGTCATCAGTCTTCAAACTATCTACTATGGCGCCTGAAAAGCTCTTTTACCGTGAGTGGTTGGCGCGCACGAAGTAAATAATGCGGCGGGATTTAGTCCAACCTGTGTATAGTAGGCTAAAAGAGGAACCTTATGGCTTCTATATATAATTTCCTTAAACTCATGGGATTCTAGACTTTTGCTTGACAAGCATTAGATCATAGTCGCTCTGTAGTCTAGCTGGTGCTTGATTTTGTAACTCCTCCCTTCTCGAATCCACCACCCTTTCGATACGGCCTTTCCGCCTTTGCCAACTGTCCTCAGTCTCCCAAATGCTCATGTCCTGCTCTTCATTTAGGTTGCTGAGGTAATAGTATAGCGTACTTATGCCTGCAAACCCAATAAAAATGACGCTGGTATAATTCATGTTGCTTGTGGTGACAGGTAACTGTGCAGGGAAAGAGAACAGAGCAAACGCGACCATCCAGCAGCCAGAAACTACATTGAGGAGATAGCCTCATAATCCAAGTGAGAAAGTAGAATGTCTGAAAAGTTGTCGACCTCGCTAAAGTGAAATAAAGATCGGTGAAACGAAGGAGGCGAACAGGCATATGCATGTTGGTCCGGTAAAGGCTTTGGAAGCGGTTGTGGACCCAAAGTTGATTAAACCCATTGCACAAACAACAACCGTTCTGAGAAACAATGAAGCAATAGGAACCTTTAGTTCAATGTGAAATTCCATCTAATGTATTAAACCGGAAATGGCGCCATTGCAAGAAAAGGCATGCGTGCATCGCGATGACGCTGTTAACGCAGCAATGCCTGCAAATAGCATGACTCCAATAATTTATGTTGGTAGACAAAAGCTAAACATGCTTAGAACTTGTATCCTCGATTTCAACACAATATACGCTGAGACTAACAGCGACATGTTAAAAGAGGCCTTCGCCTAGGTACTTGGATTGCTAGCGAAGAGTACAGATATGGATACAAGGACCTTCGGGCCGTACCCTTATTAAAATCTCACTGTGCCTTCGTGATGCAACACACAATGGTATTAACAATTTTATCAACTGAGGATTTTCAATATTATAAATACTTTAATAAAAAACCTAGTTCCTTTTAGCCTCTCTTTCAGTTGGGCAGTAATAGAGTGCCCTCCATTACTGGCGTCGCCTGACCTGCGAGAAAGATATGTGCTACACCAGTACCCTGGTCATTCAAGATAACATCAACCTTAATGCTGCTGTCCCTTCCAATTTCCTTCCCTTGCTCAATGAGAAACCTGAACTTTGCCCCAGATCCACCTTGCTGCAGTGCAAGATAAACACTTAACGCGCATGAACCACTGCCACATGCTGGATCTTCGAGGTTGATCGCAATCATCCGAACTCGCAATCTTTGCACTATGATATCGTCCTCTTTGTACGGACTCGACTTGATATAGTACATGGTCCCGGTAAATGAAGGAGACCAGCCGTCATCCAGTTTGGTAGTCTGGCTGGGTCCAGGTTTCAAACACATGAATATCTCGGGGTGGCTGGAAAGGTCGGCCAGTGTGTAGGTGACACCTTTGACGATGGATATCGCTGGGAAGCTAGGCTGCATTGTCGATAAATGACTTTTCAAGCCCGCTTGCGTCTCAAGAAGCTGCTGTAGAGTGGTCGGGTGGTGATGGATACGGATGTTGTGAGGCACCTCTGCCGTCACAAACCCTGTTGTCGGGTCATAATTCAGCTCAACGGGCCCGGCATTGGTCAGAATATGCGTAGTGAGAGATGCCTTCTTATCCTTGAGGCTTGGCAGAAGACGTCCAAATATAGCATGGCCGGTACCGATGACAGGATGCCCAGCAAAGTCCATTTCATTCTGCGGAGTATAGATCTTGACGACAATCTCCCCATCGTTATTTTGATGAAGAAGGACTGTCTCGGAGAAGTTGAATTCCTGCGCAATCATATGCATCTGCACTGGCGAGAGAGGTGTGTCGCCAAATTCGACAATGGCCACCTGATTACCCTTGAATCTGTATAGTACTTGTTAGGATCGTTGTCAAGTGGCTGCTATGGCAAGTGGCTGTGGCTGACCTGGCATTTGTAAACACATCAAGGGTTCCTGTTATGTGACTTTTAATACAAGGTTTAAGTAGGCATCATCTATCACTTAAATATAGTGCAATTGTCATTTGAGGTTAGAGGAGATAGACCTAGGTGAACCCAGATTTACCTAGCGATTTGCTGTACAAAGTCACCACCTCTAGCCAGTATTGGATAGCCGTGCTATAAAACTGAAACTGAGGGAAGTTTCAGTTTTATAAAATCAGGCATTATAATAGTTTCATTTCATACAAAATAGTATAAAATAACAAGTGTAGCTATCTGGCACTGGGTGAAATGAAGGAGCTTCAGTGGCTTGGTCTTAGACAAACTAGTTATAAGAATGCTATGCTTCCCCATGGGCACAATTGAAGAGGGTTTTGCCGTCGCCGATATGAAAGTACTTGAAGAAGTAGTCCTTTTTATAATAAAGGATAGAGAAAACATTACAGCGTGTATTATTAAGCTCTAAGTTATGCTAAGGACCATAAGAGAATTCATTATATACAGGGCTTTCCTGAAAGCTGTTTGTGAATTTATTTTATTTTATTTTATCTTTAAATACTTAGGGCTATTTATATCTTTTTTCTCGCTATGCAAGTCTCATTAAGTAGACAACGATATTGGGATAATAATGTTATAAGCGTGGATTTCCTATGAACTAGGTATGGAGTTAGATAACTGGCCTAAGTAATTCTAGATTTCACTATAACTGAAATCTTAATAAGTCTGCTTATATAAGTAAATTCGGTATAGTAATATAGTCCGTTTCTTAACTACTTAGTTAGTATTACACCTGTATTCTAAATGTAAAGCCTTCTTAGTCTATATCTTATTACTAGCTATTATGTTTTTATATAGGTTATAGTTCTCCTAGGCTATAAAGCCGTTTTATATTACAAGGTTAGCCTTAAAACGTCCTAGGTATAGCTTAAAGTTATAATCTTCTTCTGATAGCCTCCCTTAGCTAATTCCTTAACTAATATAGTAGTGATTAACCTAAAGAGTGTTAGTTAAGCTATTGGGGTTTCTAGCTTATATTGTATTTCGCAATTAGCCTTCTTAACATGAACATTTTCTTCAGCTATCCCATCCCGGATACTAACGATAGACTGGGCCTTCTACTCCTCGGTATTAATAGGTAATAGAGAATATATTACCTCCTTCGGTTTCTCTTCCTCTATAATTAATCTCTTCATTCAATCGGTTCTATCTATTCCTAGTTGTCTGTAGACTTGTATAGGCATATTATAGGCTATTTACTTGATATATATCCATTTCCTATACTCCGAGCTTATACATCCTATAAGGTCTTATTAGGGTTAGCAGGAGGTTAGTATGATAACCGAGCTGGTTTGTAATATTATAAATATCGATTGAGTATGGAGAAGATAGTCCGAAACTGATATTCACCAGAATGGCAGGTTGGTAATCTTCGTCAACCTATCATGCACACACTGCTAGCACACCATAGCGGTGCGGCAACGTCCAGAGATTTGATAACCAGCTAGTAGCTTATGGCCCAGGGCGCCTTAATGGGCGGCGAAAACAATAACTTCAGCGTACGTCAAGGTCATGGTAGAGGGAAGTCTCGTCAACAGACGTGATATTCATAGGTGATTCTGTCGTGATATTGTAACGAGTAGCTACCTAACTTAAGAGGATACCCAACCGGAGATGGAAGCACTTTACTTGGTCCACCTTACGTGTTGCCCCAATTTATCAATCCCCGTCGTTCTAGTCATGACAAACAACCTCCCCTTCCAAGTCAAGGACCAGAGTATGTTACACAATGACTCGTATGTGCACGACGCCTAGGTCACGGCCGAATCAGGGAAGCGGTTTGACATCATCGACCTTGGCAGCAACCGCACCTTTAATTCGTGCCCAGAAAATGCATCTGAAGACTTTGAAGTGGCTATCACCTCATCGTATGACGCTTCCAAGGAAGTTCGCCTCCTAAACCCACGCAAATGCGCCGAGCTGCTTCTGGACTGGCTTCGCCTGATTGAGCAGGCCTAGGGTGACCGCGCACAGATTTTGACTTATGAGACGGGCAAGCCCCTATCCGAGTCCTATAGAGAGCTCAATTACTCTTTGGGGTTTACTTAGTGGTTCGCTGGCGAAGCTGAAAAGGGTTTAAGTGTTCCAGCAACCAATCGGCGTTGCAGTAACCCCTATTCCCTGCAATTTCCCTGTTGCAATGGTGCTTCGGAATGCTGGTGCTGCGTTAGTTGCGGGATGCACTATGCTAGGCAAGCCTTTTTTATGGACGCCGTTGACTTGTTTCGCGTTGGCCCACTTGGCTAGTCGAGCAGGCTTTCCTCCAAGTGTGCTCAACGTGCTCACAACGTCACTTGAGAATGCTCCGTCTTTATCCTAGTCGTTAATCACTCGAAGCTTGACCAAGAAAGTTACGTCACGGGGTCCACACGTGTCGGCAAGATTATTGCAGGACTTTCTTGCTTGGGGATAACTACACTTTCATCGTTTTCGACGTTCAAAGTCTTGACCATGTCGTTACCCAGTGTATGGCTCTCAAATGGAGACACGCAGGTCAGTCTTGCATCACAGCTAACCGAGTCTATGTCTAAAAGGGTATTTACGACGATGTTTTTCACGCCGTCGTGGACAAAACCAAACAGTCAGTTGTTGGGCATGGTATTGATGCCGTTACATCTATGGAACCTGTCACTACGTCATGCGCCCTGAAGAAGGTCACGGCACAGGTGGAGGATGCGGTAGCAAAGGGCGCCAAAATTGCTCTTGGCGAGGGTAACGTCTTCCAAAGCGCGACTTACTCCGAGGGCAGTGGCGACGGCAGAGGCGTGGGTGGTTACTTTATGGCGCCTACGATGCTCATCGATATGAACCATGATCCTCAATCAAGAAGAGGCATTCGCTCCAGTCTGTGGCATTTTTAAGTTCGAGAAGGAGGGGGAGGTAACTGAATAGGCCAACGATACAAGTATAGGGCTTGGTAAGTACGCCCAAGTTCGACTATTATTAAACTAAGGCACACAATACTAACAGTTACAGCGTCATATATTTCACCAAGAATGTGGACCGGCTCTGGAAAGTGTGAGACTCTCGAGGCGGGTACGATCGGGCTGAATACAGGCAATGCATCTGCCGCTGAAAGCCCCTTTAGGGGCATCAAAGATTCCAGGTACAATAAGGAAAGCAGGAAAGACATAGCTGTTCGAGAGTACTTAATTGAGAAGACCTGAACATTGACTTTATCCTACTAGGAAGGATTACTATAAAATACGCTATATATATATGTACTGGGATGAAACCTCCTGTTCAACTCAAGGCCTGCATGGGATATAGGAGGCATAGTGGGTATGGAAGTGTAGTAACCGGTTTGAATTTTGAAAACTAGTGAAGTGATACAACTAAAAGGATAACCTTCGAAAAAAAGAGAATCAGTAATATGAGCGACTTCGCACTAATATTAAGGCTAGTACGACAGACTTTTAAAACCAGAATTCGTGTTATGGCTATAAGTCAGATCTTCAGTCTGTAAAAGAATGATTATTTAATAAACAAAAGAAGGAGAGAGAGAAAAAGAGGCAGGGAAGAAAGAAGAAAATCGCAACTATAGTAATAATCCAAAATTTACAATTTAGATTTGTTAAAAGCACCATGTCTCCCTTCACCAGCACTGAACCTCAAAGCTCCATCAATACTCTCAGACTTGATAACCTTGATGCCGTTGTTAAACTCCTGGCTTAGTGCATCCTCAAAAGAATTCGAGTCCCATGCCGCGTAGTAGCAACTATATCGATCAGCATTCAGGCACCCTTGAGGATACTTGATGAGATCCTTGGCAATAGACATTGCTTCGTCCAACGCTTTGCCCCTGGGAACGACGCGGTTGGCGAGACCCATGGAAAGTGCCTCTTGTGCGGTAACCGGGCGGCCAGTAAGCACAATATCCAACGCCCTCCCCAGGCCAACGATAGATGGAAGACGAATTGACCCAGCATCAATCATAGGAACGCCAAATCGTCTCGAGAAAAGGCCAAACACAGACCCCTCTTCGGCGACTCGAATGTCTCCGAGCAGACTTAGCTCAAGGCCACCAGCCACGGCATAGCCCGAGACTGCGCAAATTACAGGCTTCTTGATCATCAGCCGCGTTGGGCCGCAGGGGCCAAGGTTTCGGCCGCTGACGCGTTCCGCGATATTGGGCCCGCTGTATTGCGAACTACGGTCAGCGAGCTTTGCAAATTCTTGCAAGTCGAAGCCGGCGCAAAATGTTCCGCCGTTGCCACTGAATACGCAGACTTTCTGAGTGGAATCATTCTCAAAGGCCAGAAACGCTAGCCAGAGCTTCTGTGCGGTAGGTCCATCGACGGCATTACGTCTGTGGGGCCGGTTGAGGGTGATGGTTGTAATACCCTCAGGTGTTGTTGTGACGAGCACTTGTTCTGTCTCTTTGGTTGATGGCGTCATGTCTGTTGCGAATAATGTGTTCAAGCGATAAGACTCGATGAAGGTTGATTTAGTGGGATAGGCTTGGTCAAAGCTGCAGTTGTCTTGTTTCTTCTCAGAAAGTGGCTGTTTTATCGTTTAACATGGCTCTCTCACTTGCCAGCGCAGGTAGCGGAACAATTCCTTCAATAGCCGGTCTTGCCTCGGCAAAAGCGGCGCGGCAAACTCAGAAGTTAAGTGAGGCTCCTTCGCTCTATTAGGTATATGTTTAGCATTTTAGCCTATTTACGAGTTGATTTGGTGACTTAGCGCAGGGTTAGGAACGTTATAGGGGGAAGGGCATAGCATTTCAAACCGTTTACTTTTATTAGTAGCTGTATAATAATAATGAGTTGATCACTTTATTCCTACAGAAGGCTCTTACTACCTAATAAAACTTATTATAACGTACTTGATATAATAGTACAGAGATGTATTACTATTAGGGCTATATCAGTGACATATATAAACTTCCTTTAATAAAAACTAAGGATTGATATAGGTATTAATTTTAAATACTCAGTTATTGTTCTTTTTTCTTGCCTAACTATCTAATTAACTCTGTTCTATTATTTTATAATAATAGCTTTAAGTTAAATCCTACTTTAAGCTTCCAGCCTGTTTAGTTTAGGTTAATTAAATTATAGTCTCGTACCCAATAATAGTTTAATAAAGAGACAACAAGCTTATACTTTATTTAAACTTTTATAAAACCGAGACTACTATCACAGCAGGCACTCATAGTACAACTTAATTAGATTAGAATGGAAATCTAAAACATTATAACTATACCCTTTCCAAAGAGAAAACTCAAGATGCTCCGATAGGAACCTAAGGATTGCGATATGAAGTCTGACAAATCGGTGCGCTGAAGGGGTCGGGCTGTGACGGGGCCATCGGCGTAAAGTGCTAGTGGGGCCGTAAATCGGACAAATCGGACAAACTTTTAGCACGGTTATCGAAAACTTTTTAATAGGCCGAAACCTTCTCTCGGCTATCTCCTTTGCCATAACTTTCTATCAGTATTAACTGCAGGCCCTCACTCAATGGGTGTAAGACTTGCCAATACCGTGTGCTTTGGTTATTTCAAGTCTCAAATAGAAGTAACCATTGTAGGAGAAGAGCCGCCGAAGTTTGTTCATATTAAGTAGGCTGCAGGCTGTTCACAGCTGGCCGAGTACCGGGAATTAGAGAGTGTAACTAACCAAGTGGGAAGGAGCAGCGGGTCATTTGCTATCTCTTAAGTGCCTGGGATGATGTAGAATTTACCAAAGCTTTCGACATGCTAGCAGAAAGCTTTGTACTTAGCTAATATACTTGACTGTTTGACACTTAGCAAGCTATATCAAGTGGTTTTCGAACCTCGATTATTTTCCATCGCCATTCAAACCTAACACCTTCTCTACTGCAATCATGTCATATTCTCCAAATCCACGGTCAATAGCTTGTTTATATAGTGATCCGGTTAGATGGATCAGAGGTGTCTGAGCGTCTAGGGCATTAGAAGCCGAGTCGATAAGCTCAGTGATGTTATAGCAGTCCTTGATGGCTGCTTGTGCGGACCAATCTTGATTGATCATCTTGGCGACTTTGATTTTGGAGTAAGCCGATGCCATAGGACCAGCGTCGAGAACCTGACCAAAGGCCTCAATGTCAAGGTTTTGGGCTCTGGCAAGGGCCATTGACTCAGCCAATCCAGCTGTCATAGTGATAAGGTAAAGATTGACGGCATATTTGGTCTTGAGACCCATACCAATCTCTCCACAATAAATCGCCTTCTTGGTGATCGGCTCCACTATAGGCATAATTTTCTCAGCAACACTGCGGTCACCGGCAATCATTCCAATGAGTTGACCTTGCTCTGCCGGCACCTTGCTACCACTGACCGGCATTTCAACGAATTGCCCACCAGCCTGGCCAACCTGGTCGGCTAGGTATTTGCTAAAGTCGACCGATACCGAGCTGGTATTGACGAGGGTTTTGCCACGGAGCGCCTCCTTGAATTTAGAATCCAGCACAGACTTGAAGGCCGTCTCGTTGAAGAGCATTGCAAAAATAACATCTGTATCTTGCACAAGCTGCCACGGTGTGTCGGCTACTTTTGCCCCAGCTTGACAAAGAACCGTGTACTTGGAAGGAGTTCGATTCCATACTGTAAGCGAGTACCTTCGGGCCATGTTCAGTGCCATGGGCGTTCCCATGACACCGAGACCCATGAATCCTATTTTCATGATGGCACTCAATGTATGTGTTTAGCTGGAGCTTGACTGGCTGGTTCAGGAATGTTCGAGTTGTATGTTACCAGGAGATTCTGATGAAGGGATTGCGTTTTGAGGGATGGACCTGGTATCAGAAACAACAATGATGACGGCTGTGATAAAGTGGCACGGTTGGGCTCAAGTACTTGCAACGAGAGAGAAAAGGTTTTCCGCAAGGTGCCTCTCCGACATTCCGGCCACAGGCCCGCCTGATGCCCCACATCAGTCCGAGCCACTATGTCAAGTTGTCGCGCCGAGCTCCTGTGCCAAGCTAGTACGCCATGCCGTGTTTAACCGGCACGGACATGGAGGCGTTTGACACGGTACTAGTAGCCGCGCTCATCAGGCATCAGGCACAATTAATCACCACCAGCGGCTTGTATGACATATATCGGCGCCCTTGAATTTGATGTCCAGCAATCGCTTTATTGTCTTGACTCTGTAGATAATGAACCAGCATGACCTGATACTTCTGAGTCCTCTAAGAGTCTACCAGCATCTTCTTGAAACTCAGTGTCAGCAGCACCCGAAAGCTCTATATCCTCATTGACAGCAAGTGCATTGTTAAAGATGGCGGTGATGTATTCATCAAGCCCTAGAGGGTAATATTGAACGTGGTGATTCTCTTTATTCTGTGATAATTCTGATTTAGATATTTTAAGGCGCGGCTTAGGCACTGCTCTGAGAACTGCGTTGGTATTTTACAAATTATGCCCCTATAGGATGCCAACCCGCGTATCTAGCTACCACTTATGGGATAAACCTACCGCTCGATCCTTTACACTACCGTCTACAAGTTTAGGATCGGTGCCTGGGATGAACCCTAGATTGCCCGAGCAGAATACAAGACCATTGTATTTGAAAGCTTGCGAGAATTGGGGAATTGGGGCAGGAGCCTCAGTAATTGATACTTCTTCCAGCTTTGGAACTATTGCGGGTGAATCGAGAAAAAGCGAGGTTTATGTGAGAAAAGAACGGGTTTAATGTAATGTTAAATTGCTGTTCATCTAAATTCTAGTTGATTGAGAATGCGATATACGATAATGAAGTGGGGACCCAATAGTTGAATGGGCCCTCTAACCTCATTCAGCATTTGATAAGCAGCGGTGGAAATCGAAAGTTAAATACTCCGTATTTTAACTTCGGATTGTGGAACCCATATCCACTGATTTACGACTACGTACAGTACTCAAGTGTATAATGACGTGAATACACACATCGTGCAGCCTGCCAAGATAACCCCCCGCGCGCCAAGATGTTCTGCCCCAAATCATCAGTGCGTGCGATATTGATGTAAAACATTGCTATAGGCTCGGTTCTAGTCATGTCCAGACTTTTGCTTGCGTTTCGAGCCGGTCCAGTAATATGAATTCACTGGGTCGCCAACTTTGTGGTAGACTAGCAAAAGACACGAATGAGCAACAATACTCAGGGTAGGAACTCGGATGAATAGGTCGCGAGATTCTAGGGTGATAGACAGGCTTAGGGTATCGCAAGAATATATAAACCCTGAGGATTTGAAGTATGATTTAATACCATCTTTCCGGGCTTCAACAGAGCACCATGATGACCTCTCTCATGCATCATCCATTTTTTACCCTTTTGGGACTTCTTTTTCTCCTTTGTAACACAGTTACTTTGGCAAACGCCCAGTCTCCAGCGATTTATTACGACAACCCACTCATTCACCAACGTGCGGATCCTCATATTCTCAAACACACCGACGGATGGTACTATTTCACTGCATCGGTCCCGGAGTATGACCGCATCATATTGCGTCGGTCCGAGACTATTCAGGGGCTTGCGGATGCTCGTGAGGTCACAATCTGGAATAGGGAATCTTCCAAGGCAGGGATTGGCTATGTCTGGGCACCAGAGATTCACCATATCGATGGCAAGTGGTATATCTACTTCGCTCTGGGCCGTAAATCCGATTTCGACATTCGAATGTTCGTCCTAGAGGGTGCCGGAGACGATGCCCTCACGGCCTTGTGGGTTGAGAAATCCTGGATCGAGACTGACTGGGATACCTTTTCCCTTGACGCAACTACCTTTGAGGTCAACAATATTCGCTACCTGAGCTGGGCCCAGGCAGAACCAGATTTGGAGGGTACTAGCCTTATGTTGGCGCCTATGGAGAATCCCTGGACGCTCAAGCTTCCGGCTGTTGTTATCTCGCGTCCTGAACTTGCCTGGGAACGTGTTGGTCATAATGTGAACGAGGGACCCTACGCTTTGATTCGGAACAACAAGGTCTGGTTGACATTTTCAGCAAGCGCTACCGACCACAACTATGTCATGGGTCTTCTCTCGGCCGATGTTGATGCTGAACTGATGAACCCTGACGTATGGAGCAAGACTGAAGAACCTGTCTTCATGAGCAATACCAATACGAGCCAATACGGGCCGGGCCATAATTGTTTCACGACTTCTGAAGATGGATTGAGTGACATTATGATATATCATTCTCGGCAGTATCGCAACATCAGTGGAGAGCCTCTTAACAATCCGGATCGTCATGCACGTGTGCAGAAGCTGTACTGGAATCCCGATGGAACCCCGGCATTTGGGATTCCGGTGGTTGATGGGGAAACCCCTATAAGATTGCGCTCGACGTCAAAGCGTCATGCCCTTGTAGAGCATAATGGTTCAGGGATTGTGGGTTTACAGCATCACGAGGGAAGTCTTACTAGGACCCAATTTCGGATAATTTCACCCGGACTTGCAGGTCGCAATACCATCAGCTTAGAATTGGCTGATACTCCCGGTTTTGTTGTCGCGATTGATGAGTCAAAGCTCAGTGTTAGTGTGGTTGCAAATGGTACTGATAATAAGACTTTTGCCAGTTTCATAAAGCATCGAGGATTGTCAGATGGAAAAGGTGCGTCTTTTGAGATGGCAGGGAAGAGGGGTCATTATGTCCAAACTGGTAACAACAACACCTTAGTCGTATCTCAAGTCCGAGGTAAAAGACAGAAGCGGCAGGCTACATTTCACTTAGAGTAGGAATTCCTAACCTCAGCTTTACAATACAAGCACGCACGATATGACTATGAATTGATGTGGTGTTGGTAAAGGACGAACGAGTCTATGTCTGTTTATTATAAGACTTCTAACAGCGAAAATACACAAAACGGCGTCTGGGTAACATAACCGATACGGATTCGCCACTCGACTCACTTTATTGTAGGTATTTCGGATAAAGCATCATAGGGATACGGCTCTTGACAACCTTGATGACTTGTATCAATGGGGATCTCATGGTTGAAAACAAAACTTCATGTATAGATGTAGTATTGGGTATCAGACGAAGGAAGCAAATTATTACTTGAATAACTAGGCTATCTGCCCATCCCAAAATCATTACAAGATGGCTTCAGCCTGCATCTCGACATACATGCCTCGCATGCTTAGATTAGATACGCCACCGCAAATCCACGTGGTAGGATATCCAGGGTATTCCCTTTTCCATACATACATCGTGACAGCCTTATAGCACATGTCGATGAGAAACCTCAAGATTTTATAAGCGACTGTCAATCCTCTCTCTACCTCGGCAGCTTTGACTTCAAGGTCGGACAGCAGCGCCGGCACTCGATCTTCCCTGTCAGAGTTATCTTATGTAGGAGGCTTAGAACAGACGAATAGCCATGCAGCCTCGAATTTCTTCACCTAATGGTTCCGCTTCTTATACTTTGGTGCGACACTAAGCTACCTGGTAGCGACTGAGAGACAAGCAAGGGTTTTCTCACGCGATGGAGGTTTCCTGTTCTCCAAGTGAGATGCAAAAGTCTCGCCCAACCGTCTCATGCCGGCAAACACAACCATTACGTGCACACTCTCCATGAACGTCTCGTACGCTATACCCCAGGGAATTGGCATTTACCGAGGCCGTCAAAAGATGTTCCCTGACCGGCACTTTAGCCTTGGGGTTACGGGATCTTTCATCAACGCCTTCTCCGTCATCTGGGTTTCTGTGTTTGCGGTTTTCTTTTGTTTTCGGGTCTTATATCCTACAACAGCTCAGAATATGAGCTATGTGAGGGTTTTTATCGCTGGAGTTATCGTGGTTATCTTGAGCGGTTGGTTTGGCGGAAGAAGGCGGACATTCAAGGGACCGGTTCTCTACTTCCAGCGTCAATTATCGGTAACAATTTGGCTAACATATATCGACAGCATGTTACTTTTCATAACCTAGACACTGTCGTAATAGAAGGGTCTTCAGTGTAACTGAATGGCTCCTCAACGATCGATTCAAGACGGCAGTTGATTAATTGATACTGGTTATGGAAGAATTGAAGGGTCATGTAGCCATGGCTTGGAAGAAGAACATGCGCGCTGAAACATGTCGATGTCGCGTAACGAGCGGGCAAAAGGCCGAGTGTCTCATGGATTGAGTCACAGCCGGCCACCTGCTGTAAGAGACCGATTTTATGGGTGCACTGTGACTCCATGAATATGATTGGATGTCTCGAGGTGTAAGAAACATGGGGTTGGTTTGTTCGAGTGAATGGAATTGTCCCTAGAGATTTGAGGCTGATAACGAGGTTGGCATCGTTTGGGTTGACCTGATCGGCCAAAGCTACGACCCCGGCATCCTTAAGAGACACTTAAAGTCCATGTAAAGGGCCCAAGGTGTTTCCTATGAGCTGGATATGCTCGTCAGCTGCCTTCGCATCTTGGACAACCTCTGGGTGTAGCTTGGTGAGGCAGTTGGTCTATGCATGTTAGTGATGATCAAGGTTTGCCGGTGATTGTCTATCTCGTTCCTTACCAGCTGCTGCGCAACGGACGCGCGTTTTCGAAAACCGTGGAGCACCGATATAGCTGTAAACTTCTGGGCAGCCAAGCCTCGGAGCAAAGCCGTAGCATCGTAGTTGTCGGTAGGCTCCAAAACGACACCGTATCTGATGTATCTTTCATGTTATCAGCTTATCCCCTCAATCATTTCTTTTCGCCTCTTCACGTGAAGCACTTCGAGCCGTCCTCGAGGCTGATAGCGAGTGTAGCAACCAGCTCCCGCCGCATACATACGCATTAGATCAACCGTGCTAAAGCAGTAATAAAATTTCGTCGTCCCTACTAGTTCTACTAGGTACGTCTTGACCTTTACTGAGGTAGCTTATCAATATAAGAATAAAGTCCATGGCGTGGTTAAGTCTTGGGTTTTACTTTTTAACATACTTAAAGCGTGCTTGGGTAAGACATACTTTCTTTGCTATGAGGAATCTAAGAAATATATCTCCTGAGTTTTATAATATAATATACATCGTTCTAGTTAAGAGTTCCCAGACAGATTTAATAATACAATATTTCCACTAACAAAGTTTTTACTTGTCAATATCTGGATTTAGTGAAAGATATACTGTATAAAAACAACTTTTATAAGCTATGGAGTAGTATTTTTAGAATACTTATCAAATAGGTCTCAGCTTCATTAAAGGACATCTAGTCTGTCTTTTAAGATATTAAATTACCTCTAATAGTAGAAACGGAGGCGAATAGTAAGTGGTTGAAAACTTTATGGGTTTACTATCTACCGGTATTCCTATCTAAAGTACCCACAAGTTCCCATTCTCACCAATACATCAATCTCTAGCGCTTTATCAATTAAGCTCTGACTTTCTGTGGTTCTGACTAATATAGCCTTAACACTTCTGAAGGTTCACGAGACTTTACTGCATAGTAGTAGTAAATCGTCATTACCACCTAAAAGCTCATAAGCCTACCACGCTCTAAGCGATCATCCAATTGGTTCCAGGTTTCAACTTAAAACCTGATTAGTATCAGAATAGTCGACCAGTCGAAACCCCTTGGCCATCTTGCCTCCTGTCAAAAGTGTCTTGACTTCGCTTGGATGGACCCAGTTCATAATCAACATGACCGCCAACATCGGGACAGCGTCAAAGAGGTAGATAAAGATCTCATGGCTGATTATGAAGCCATCGAACCCTTGTATGAACTCTACGACGCGCACGAGGGACCGAATAAAGATGAGAACGCTAGTGACGTATAGAGCGATAAGATGCCGGGCATATGGTGGGTTGTCGGTGAGAACCTTCTGCGTCGGGACGAGGCGTAGACGCTTGTGAAATAAGGCTGATGTGATGACGAAACAGCCAAAGAAGACGATCTGCACAAATAGACCGGCCACAATGAGAGTTTCGCCGGTGTCTCGAGTGTCAGCTCCGTCGGAGCTCATCATGCCGCCACCGCCGCCCTGCATGAAAAAAGAGATCACATCACCCGTCACGAAGATAAATGTGAGCCACCGTCTTCGGATAAAGAGATATTGGTCTCCATCAACGAGGGCCACTATCCGCCCAAGCTCCATATATATCGAGGCAGCGAACAAGGCAGGTGCGACAAGGAGAAAGATGCTCTGGATGATATAGGCACCCAGGGTATCAGGCTTTGCTCTTCCTATATAACCGACGATTTCAACTAGAAATAGCACGTTCGTGTTAGTACCAAACAATGCGGCAGTGAACGGGTGTCAAAACTTACATATTCCACCGCAACAAAAAGGAATAAAGAACCACGTGCGTGTCTGAACCATCTGGAAAAGATGAAGACCAGTAGTTATAGTAAACAGAATGATGAAGATAGCCGCGGCTGCGACCGAAGGGTCGTAGTGGTAAAGATGGAAAGCCATTGTGGCCGTGTGTTGCTGGGAGCAGTATAGATTTGCTTAGTAGGGACAATCTAGGAAACAGCCGTATGTGGTTGAGATACTTTGATAGAATATGAATAGAACGGATTACTGTCATGATTTTATTCTTCGCCTCCCGGAAGCTTCGGAGCGGATTTGTCTTAAATTCGACGGGAATGTCAAACCCGCTTCAAGGAATTCAAGACAATCAAGACATTCAACGTCTACTACGCACTAGTAACAGGGAATGTGAGGAGGATTTGTTGATTTCCATATACGGTGGGCCTCAAGTCCGCAGAGGGGTTCGCACATTATACCTTATCAGGTTTAGATTACGAGTTTGAGAGTGGGTCCCTTGAGATCCTAAGGTTGAGCAACGTTCGCTACAGGGAGTTTTCAGGCCTCCAAGAGTGGGATCTTTACAGAATTAGAGTTAGTCAAAACTTAAAATTAGCATCCACATTCTGGCTTTAATAATACTCCTGACTTCACCGTTATTCTTGTTCGAGACTCGCATACCTCGTATGCCCACATTTGTCCATCAAGAATGATTGGCAATTGACGATCAAATCGACCCAATCACTTAAGAATATCATAAGCTCCCTCAACCATGCCCCTGAGAGTTGCGCATGAAAAGTCGCGTCACGGTTGCACTCGCTGTAAGCAGCGCCGAGTCAAGGTAAGTGATGCATGGCCCCCCCTCCTGTTGGTTTCGGAGAATTTCCGGCTAAGTGAATTCGGCAGTGCAATGAGCTCGCTCCTTGTCAGAACTGCGTTCGGAGACACGAAGACTGCAGTCTCGTTCAAGACGGATATATTCGACAGCCACCCAGAGCACAAGTGAGTCGACTCGACATGAGTCTCAAGATTCTGACTGAAATGCTTCTGTAGCATTTACTAACCAGGTACTTCTGCTTCATCATCGATAGTCTACTTCTCCGAGTTCCGTTAACTCAACCTTCTCCCCCCATCCCACAACTGGGACAAGCCTCTTGGGCCAGCCTAAAGAGGCCATATGGGGCGAAGATTTGTTCTTGATGGCCCACTTCGTCTCATCGACAGCTCGAACAATATCTCCCCGCCCTGAAATCTCACAACTATGGCAGACTGTCATCCCCGAAGAAGCCATTACTTGCCCATTTCTGGTCCATGGCATGCTTGCCTTTTCAGCTATGCACTTGGCTAGCCTACGGCCTTCGCAGCGAGAACATTACGAGCAGTGTTGCCGACGGCACCAGAACGAAGCCATCCCTGAGTATCGACGCGCCATCCAGAACATCAAGGTGGAAATGAGCGGCCAAGTATTCGCAATGGCCTCTCTGCTTATCCTTCTTGGCCTGGCTTCAGTCTCGGATAATGCTCTCTCCAAGGAAAATGGCTCCTCTGAAAACAAACCAACAGTCGCCGATATTGTATCAATATTCACTGCGGTTAAGGGCCTGGACGCTATTCTGAAACACGGAACAATCACACGCCATGACATTATCAATAGCCGCCATAGGGTCGTTTTGACCGGTCACACAATCGTGGATGCCCAAACCTTCGACCTACCAGCTGATATCCAGCTGAGATACCAGGAACTAACGACGGAATGCCTGGACAGTACAGGCGATGAGTCAGCTCAGAAAGCATGTATCGAGGCCATTGACTTACTACGAGGTATTCACCGCGAGCTTCTATTTCTAGTTTCTAGGCCTGGCTATAACGCGGATATTGATCTTGCGCCAGGGTACCTTGTAAAATGGTTCGCATCGGTTAGTCCAGAATTCATCACCATGCTGCGACGGGAGGAGAGCGCAGCGCTTATTATACTGAGCGATTTCTTTTCGCTTCTGGGCTTAATAGAGAACAGATGGTATTTGAAAAATGCTGCATCAAACGCTCTGAGTGCGATTCAACTGGTTATAGATGCTCGAGGACTGCACTGGCTAGAGAGTAATAGAAATAAGAAATAAAGATAATATGGTTAGTTAGCGAAGATTGAATTTTCCACTACCCTATGCTAGTTATAATTAATAATACTTATTAGACTTTACTAATTTTGCTGGATACTATAAAGGGAGGAATCCCTATCCAGAGTAATATATATAGGTTTAAGTCGATTAATACTATTATAATCTCAAGTATTACTTAGAAGTATTAAAACTAGTTAAAAAGAAATAAATTTTTACTTATTACTTTAATTATAAAGTTTGTTCTTCTATGTAGGATTATGTATATTAGTAATAATGTATTTAGAATTACTAATAAAGACTTTTTAGATCTAAAGGGCAATTAATAGTAGTAATATTAATAAAACCTCTAGATCTAAAAATTCCAATCAAGTCACTACCATGTACTACCCCGCGTTTTGGAGGCCATCTTTGGTAACTATCCCGGTGCTACTATGCGGCACTAGTCTGGTACGGGTTTCCTCTCCAGCGGTGGCGGATCTTTGGTTGAGAAGAGGAGGCTCTGATGCCGTTCTACCTGGCATCCCTGTATCAAGATCGCGCCGAAAATTACTCCGCACCGGAAGGGTCAAGCTTCATATTGTTCATCTATAACAGGAATATTCAAAGTAATTCATTTTAGAACAACTAGTTCGTAAAGGATAATAAATCATCTTTCGCTCAAATAATGGACGCTTGTATATACCAATGCTACCTACTTCAGCCCGGGCTTGTTTCTACTTAACTTGAAACTTATTTAAACTTCCATCATTGCCTCGGCACAGCAGTGTCGCATTATCCCCAGAAGAGAAGGTTCGCACATCGATCCAAATGCCTCCTAGTGCTTGCAACATTGCAAGGGTAACTTACCCAACGCTTTTCCTCTCAAAGCAAATGCCGCATCTCGCAACTCCAATAATCGCCACACGTGCTGGGGCTTTGCACATTATATATGATTGCTCGCCCGCCAAGATAGTCTAGGTTCTGAAGTCCTAGACTACTTCAGATTTCACTGATAGCCCTTTCATTCTGAACAGAAGTCATGGTATCCTCAAGTGTCCTCGTTGCCTGCCTGTCTGGCGCTATAGTCGCCACAGGTTCTTCTATTCCCACATCCGGTTCTGCCTACGCCCCAAAGCACGTATCGTGCCCCTCATCACCGCTGGTCAGAGGTGCTACGGGCATTTGCGATGCTGAATCCGACTATGTCACTCGGCGACATCAAAAGGCTTCGGCTGCGTTGAAGACGTGGCTGAGATCCGTCGACAAGGGCTTCAACGAAGTCACCAAAGACTGGTCTGCGAAGAGCTACGCAAAGGGCACGAAAGCGCCCGTAGTTGCTCTCACATCGAGTGGTGGTGGATATAGGGCCATGCTTAGCGGCGCTGGTGTTATCAAGGCATTTGATGGGCGAGAGAAGGTCAAGACCGGCGTCAGTGGACTCTATCAAGCCTTGACCTACGAAGCAGGTCTCTCTGGGGGATCTTGGCTTCTTTCGTCACTTGCAGGCAACAACTACCCGACTATCAGTTCTCTGCAGAAGAAACTGTGGGAAGAAGCACTTCAGAGCAGTCTTCTCGTCACCAGTATCCTGGTCTCGCCACAGAAGGATCCCATCTATGACACAGTCGAAGCAAATGTCATGGCCAAACGAGAGGCTGGCTTTGAACCAACTATTATCGATCCATGGGGCCGACTGCTTGCGTACGGCCTTCTGTACGGGCCCGACGGCGGAGTACGAGACACAATGTCAAACATCGCTCAAACCGCTAGCTTCAAGGATCACCTTGCACCATATCCGATTATCACAGGTCTTGGTCTCGAGACTGGATCGTGCATTCCAGAGAGAAACGCAACTCAGTACGAGTTCCATCCTTATGAGTTTGGCTCATGGGATGCTGGAGTTGAGGCTTTTGCCGTGTCCAAGTACATTGGGACGTCCTTTTCCAACGGCCGCCCTACCAAGAAATGCATCACCAACTACGACCAGCTCAGCTACGTGCTTGGAATATCCTCCAACGTGTTTGCAGCAGCATGCGAACCCATCACGGCCAATAATTCCGCCGACGCTTCACTAGTGCAGAACTTTGCCGCCTTGGTGTCTCAGCCTGGTTCTGAGGTCTCCATACGCCAGAGCTTTGGCCTGATCCCGAATCCCTTCCAGGGCCGTCGCAAGTCGCCCGAGGTTTCTGCTCTCTCAACTCTAGAGCTAGTAGATGGCGGAGTTGGCATCGGCTATCAGGGAAACCCCATTTGGCCCTTCCTATACAGGTCGGATGTGGACGTCATCATTGTCAACGAAAATTCGGCTGACACAAAGGACAATTATCCCAATGGCACGCAAATTGTAAACACCTACAAGGCAGCTATGGCGGCGGGCTTGAAGCGTATGCCGACGATACCATCTTCTGAGACCTTTGTGGCCAAGAAATTGAACCAGAAGCCTGTCTTCTTCGGCTGTAATAAGGCAGACGCCGCCACTATTATCTACATTCCCAACTTCAACTACACTTTTGAGAGTGGTCAGCCGACGGCCAAGATCCAGTATTTCCGCAACGAGACAGTAGGAATGATTGACAACGGCGTTGAGGTAGGTAACTATGGTGGCAAGAAAAACTGGCCACTGTGTCTCGCATGCGGTATTATGAAGAGGACGGATGGGAAGTTGCCTAGAGGGTGTACAGCATGCTTCAAAGAGTACTGTTTCAACTGAGAATATGAGAGAATAAAATCATGGTAACAGTTATCTATTCAGCATTCACGTTTATAGTAGCAAATACTTGGGATAAAATAAAATAGATAGTGTCATGCTATCCTGAGTTCTCTATGACTTGTCTGCTCTTGATAGTAAAGTCTCATACTCTCATAGCGTACTATACTCCAAGATACAACTAGGTTGACGCACTTGTATGACTACTGTTTGACGGATATAATCATTGTCAATCACTCTACTCGATCTACGATCATTTTAGCTCGCATTTGTAAGAATAGCAATTGAAAATATATATAATGAAAAGCGAAATACAACTCGAACAAAGCAATAAAGGTGACGATACAACAACAAATGGAACAACTTAAGATGGACATCAAAGGGGCTAAACTAAACAATGTCAAATGAGCTGCTCCTACCAGTGAACCCAGTAATCTTTCCAGTAATGGGGGCCTTGCTGTCTCCGTAGTAGCTCAATCTGTATGTCCCAGCCTGGATAGCCTTAGCATCCTGCCAGCCGGTTTCCCAGGAGACATAAACCTCACTTGATCCAAGCAGACCGTCAAGGCGTTTCCATTCAAAGACGAGATCCCAATCTTCATCTGTGCGAACTTGGGTCCATTCCGAACCGTCCTTCTTCTCTACCACGACGTATGTAGATTCGAGACGAAGGTTGTTGCGCGGATTCGCTCCCACGAACGTGGCATTGATAGTGTCTCCAATCTTGAACTTTGACCTTGCAACATCCTTTATGATGTCACCAAACTTCGTTCCGACCTTGGGATTATCATAGACCACGCCGGTGACGAGGGAGATTGAGTTCTTGCGGTTATCAGGGGCCGCAGGACCAGTCGGGGGTTTCTTGGCATCTTTCTCGCCGAGCAGATAGCCGAGATAGGTTGATGTCAAATTGATGTAAGCGTCGAGGCTATGTCTTCCATGGACCGTTGATCCACCTTCATAGCGCTGCGCATCATACTCTTCGGGCGTAGTAACGTAGTGCGCATAAGTATTGCCCGGTCCACCCGCTACAACAATAGGTTTGACACCACTGCCAAGCCCACCTCTGCCCTCGATCTCATCACTTACGCTCTTACGCCAACGTCTTGAAGACATGGTTGTAAGCTCAGGCGCAGACACGATGATGAAGAGATTCCCCACACGAAGCATCTGGACGTCGACAATGTTGGGAGCCCAAGCGTACGGTAGTGTGATCTCGCCAGCGTCGATCAAAATCGGCTTTGGTGATTGGCAAGCGACTTGCTCCTTGGTAGGATTGCGCAGAAACTTAGATACCACAGCCCAAAGCGGGCTCGCATCAGGATCCCCAGAGTCTGCCTGCTTGAAGTCGAAATACCCAGGGCCGTCAGTTGTGCCAGCGGCGAATGAGTATCCAAACGCTGCCGAGCATGTCTTGACATTTTTGCCATTGGGCAACTGGAAAGTGTAGTTGGCCATATTATGGAATGAATGGTACCCCAGAACACTGTTCCCAGACACCACGACACCACTGCCAGCTTGCATTTGGTCGTACAACTTGGCTGCCTGGTTGAACACACGTCGACCAATCTCCCAGCAGGATTTAGTCCCTCCATCATTCAAGCCCCAGAAAGGACCTCGACCGTGACAGGTTTCTGTCTTGCCACCACATGTTGAATCCTTGAAATCACATTTCTCTCCAGAGCCGTCTTCACACCAGGCACCCTCAACGTTTGGCGTCGTATCTGCCACAGCAGCCTGGGAGAACCCCGCCACAAAGTCTTCAGAAGCTCCTTTGGTGCCCTGGATGGCAGTTTCAAGTAAATAGGCACTAACACCTTTGTTGTCGCCTGCCACAAGGGTGTTGTTCATGTGGAGACTTGTACCATGGATAGAGTGCCAACTCAAGACTCCTGTGACCTTTTTGTCTTCCTCTCGCTTGAACATGAGCATAGTCAACTCCTTATCAACCTCATCCTCATACTTTGCCCTCTCCGATTCAGGGTTTTTCTGATAAGCATAGAGACTTCTGTTGATAGTGACATCATCTACGCGTATCTTGCCAACGCTGAGACGTCCTTTGGCGAGCTTCTCATGCGCTCGCTTGACCGATAGAACGGCGCCATCAACTACGGCTTGATAAGACTGCTGGTTCAGTCCCAAAGCGGAGATCTGTGGCATGAGATAGTTGTTCCAACCTGCTGGCCCAGCATGAGAGTGCGTCCCAGTAATTCCCACATTGTTGGCGGTGTAAACTGCATACTCGGACCCAAGAGCTGCGAGACCCTCGAGAACACCTCTGCGAATAGCTGTGTCACCAGACTGAGTATCCAAGACCAGGTAAACGAATCGCGATTCAGGTTCATCTGGGTTTCCGATGATAAAAGCTCGCGAGTAAAGTCGTTGACGTAAGCCAGTTCCTTTCTGAGAGAGTTCGGCATATCCCATCAGATTGAGCTCGACTACAGGGCCGGTTATGTCGGCCTTGCCAACACCGAGATCGTATAGATCACCAGAACCCGAATCATCGACTCTCTTGATAAGATCATTGAGGGCATCTTTAGGTAGATGATCGACAGCAAGACATGTTGCAACTTGAAAGAATAATGAAGCAAAGCTCAAGCAGATGAGAAATACATTTGAGAGCTTGCAATATGCGACTGGGAGGATTACAGTCATTATCGAATCTAGGCGCCAGATGTATTGGCCTTGTTAGATAAATCAAGAAAATGCCCAGGGACCAAGGTCATTTATAGATGGAATCTTGACTCTAAGCGAGGTGCGAACAATGTGACGAAAGTCGTCCTTGGCTACTCTAGCAACATTACGGAATACAGCTCCGTGATAACACCCTTCATGATAGGAACGTTTGGTAGATGTGCTGGCCTAGAAGGCCAATAAAATGAATCACGGGCTGCTTCCTGATAGCTACTACGTGGAAAGCCTTTTAGCTGCAGATAATAAACTTCAGTGGGGTTGCAGTCCACTCTTGAATCGAGGCGATGTACCGACGAAAGTAACCAATATATTTGATAACATTGGAAAAAAGCAGGGCACGACTGAATTATTGCCGTATCAAGGACAACCTACAGAGATAGCAGATTCCGGCTATAGTCAAGATAGGAAGCTGGAACGATTCTACAGTGGTGGGCGAGTGCTACGTTGTGTCACGCAGATACTCCCAATAGGCATAGTTCAATACGCCCCTCACCAATAGGCACGCTCATGTACTTTTGCTTCCACTATTACTATACAGCAAACTAAGAATTCGTACACACTTGTGATTAATATCTGATATTCCTGGTATGACCCTGCAATTAAATTCAGGAGCAGATTAGTACTACTAAAGACCAATACTGTTCTAGGATGCAGTAGATAAGATACTTATTATCTCTGCTATTACGATTGCTAACGATCTTTCCGCCCGGGGTTGACTCCAGTGATAAAGTTGGATTTAATCTCGGTGCACTAGTACTTGTCTCTTAAATGATACCAAAAGTTTTAGTAACACAGTCCGGGAAACTATTTTTAACTAGTGGTCTACAATTTTCTAGACTGTTAAGTAATAATGATTAATTTAATAGGAGTAAACACAAAAGAATGTAAGAAGGGTACCTCTATGATTATTTCATGAGGCAGAAAGAATCAAAGTTAGACAATAAAAGAGATTAGGTGAATGGAAACTAAAAGTAGCATAGAGATTGTGTAGTTTTAATATACTATGCTAATTTGTAAGCTTGCGAAGGGCAGTAGAAACCTCTTCAACAGAAGTATAGTCCAAATTCCATAGCCCCCGGATGATGTATTTTGCAGGATTGTCCTCGCTGAGATGCGGGTACTGGCCGCGCATAAGCTTGTCCTGCAACTCATCAATCTGGATCTCGCCGTACGGCACTACCCATTCAGTAATTTCACAGATACCAGTTCCAAGAGCAAATAACCCCTTCTCAAACCTGCTTCTTTCCGGGCTTTCAAAGTCGGTTTCAGGAATCCAGTAGCGGGGCTCGCAAGGAAATATCACATCTGGGTATACACCACGTAGACTGGAACCGGCAAAGTCGCTCAGTTTAACATGGTGGTTATCAAAGAGGAGAATATTTCGCGTTGAGATGTCACCCCAGAGCACGCCGCGGCTGTGAATATACTGCAGGGTCTCCGCAAGGTCAAGCGCCATGCTCAACCGCTGGACCATAGGCAGTTTGTCGCCCTTGAGGATGCGCTCGCGAAGGTTGCCATGGGGAGCCCTCTCAAGTTTTAAGGCCCAGGCTTCCCTTTCACTCTCCGCCGTGGGTTCTGGCTCGTTGCTCTGGGCAGCAAGGAGATATGAAACTCCATATGATTTGAGAATGTGTTCGTGCGAACCCAGAGCATCATAAATGGCACCTTCACGTTTGAACGTCTCACTGGTGTCCTCGGCAAGGGCTGCATGGTCGTACATTTCCCCGTCTAGCCAAAAGCCGGTGGCTTTTATCGCAACATGGGGCTCGGATTTGTCAGCATAAATTATGCTGAGGGCTGTTCGTCCCAATGGCTCAAGTCTTGCATTGATCGCGGGGCCAGCGTCACGATCACTCAATCGCATGGTGGTGGATCGAGGAGGCACTAAAATAAATAGTGATCAATTGTTTGGAGCGACCGCAAATAAAACCTGAACTGGCACATGGATTGAAGTTGAAAAGAAAATTCATAGGAAATTCACTGTTGGCAGTGATTGTGTTAAGACGTGAGGGTTTAACAATAAAGAATTAGAACAATATGTATCAACAATTTGCATGGAGAAACGGTGAGGGGGATGCATTACTAACCGAGATCAGCGCCGTAGGTTGGCTATGACCCCTGTGCAGGAATTCCGATCAAGCAATTAGCAACAAAAACAGTCTCGTACCGTGGGCAAATTTTATAAAGATATTTGAGATTCATCTTATGCTCAGAGGTTAATAGGTCTTCGGGCTATATGTGTCTCCCCAGCTTTGTAAAAACCCATCTGTCCACCCAATCACAGCCCCACGCACCCCATAAGGTGTTAAATGAGCGATACAAGTAACGCCCTCGTTAAGAGCTTTCTGAAACTCATATACCGTAACGCTCTGGTCCACCTTCTTGGGCAACTGCTGACACTGGAATACGCCAACGATTATCAGCACCAAAAGGACGATATTTCCAGCAAACATAGTAAACCACGGCCTCTTCATTTTTGCACCTCGCCATCGAGTGGTCCCGCGGACAAGGAGCAAGATGACAAGATCGAACACCTGAAAAGCTAGGGATAGGGAAATAATAATAATGGAGGCCTTGAGCCACGTGTACTGCTCGTAACCTTTGAGCGTAATACAACCAACGCCCTGACTAAAGGACGCAGTGACAGTGTATAGCTCACATCCAGACTCGACAGCAAGGGCTTTGGTGAACAGTGTCGAGCACCATTTCGCTGTGACCTTGTTGTTTCGAGATCCGATAATTACCATTGCGAGTCCGAACATCTGGAGCGCAAGGAGAACAATACCCAGAATCACGGCAAGGAAGGCAACCCAAGCCCGTCCTACGAGATCCGGGCCTTCACACCCTTTCTCAGTAACATTCGTCGGTAGGGACTTATCATTCTCACTTGTGGTTTGATTCGTAGCTATAGCCTCTCATTAGCTTTGGACCCATTCGAATGAGCATGGGGCTGAACATGTTGACATACCCACCACTGCAGCCTCTTCCCCCTCAATCAACGTCTGTGCTTCATTCTGGGTACAAATGTTGCTTTGGCGCTTCCTCTGGATTACTTTAGGAAGAGCCTTAAGCAGAGATCGAAAACCGTTGTCTTCAACAATTAAAAAGGCGAGTTGCATCATTGCTACAATATCAAGAACGACGAAGATCGGCATCCAAACAAGAACTGACTCAGGATGAATACTGTTGGTATACGCCTGGAGCTGAAACCAGATGGTAATAATGGCCAAGATGATTGATAAAGCTTGCACTCTTTCCCATCGGTGTACTCTTATCAGAGTGACGGGAAAATGAATGAGGAACCAGGCAAGTGTATATGGCCAGGGTAGGATTGAGCCCGCATCATCAGGTCTGATGTAGGATGAAAGTTCAACGCATGGCTGGCTCCTGGTCCACGACGGATAGAAATCTGCGACAGTTAAGCCCATATGGGGAGGGCCGACTTGAGTGGTGTTATCTAGGCAAGCGTTTCGGTTCATAATTGATTACAAGTTAATGACTAGATTATGTCCTGACTAAAAGATTCGAAATGAAATCTAGAGGGCGCTCATTGGATTTATGATGGCCGCAATCTGTTGGATCTTTCAGCCGGGGTTCCAGACTGTATCACAAACAAACGTAAGACAGTATGTGCCAAGGCTTCAGTGGTTTTTGTTTGGTTCAACCATCAAATGAAATACTCTCCTTTGTCAATATATTTGTCATCCCCAGGTCGAACAAATTACTTGTGCCCACGTTGCAGTGCGATATCTCAGACACATGGCTTCCTATAGGCTTATATCGACAAAGCTGAATAAAGTCGACGTGTGGCGCTTCTGCCGCGCGGGGTTTTAAGTAATAGTTCAAGGTCTAGCCCAGCCATGAGGCTGCTTACCTGCGCCAAGGTTGATAGAAGGGGAAACAATAGATTAGGAATTGATTTGAACGTAGAAACCAACTGCGGGGTAGTCAGCCTTTCAAGGCATATTTAAATATCGACTTGACGGGCGGATTACGGCCATGCAAGGGGACAGCCGCCCTGCCCACCATGGCAGATCTACCATATCTGGCTGTTTCGTTCCATTTCTTAATGCCTCCTCAAGAGTGACTACCTCAATCCGTATTAGGTCAGAACGCTCACTATTCCACTCAAGAACTAACTACTTCAACTGTTGAGTGAGGCGTATTCTTTTAATAACTTTGCCGAACTAAATCTAATAATATTATAGAGAAGTATAACATGATACATAATTTTAAAAGAAAAGGTCCAGGTTACTTAAGATTGTCAGGCTGTATTCTAGGGTTGTGCTCCGGAATGAAGTGTCTAGCTAGATTGAAAAGAGAGTGTTACACCCCCTAGCAATATTCTAACTTGGTTAAAGTCATGGATGCAGGTAGTGCTCGTGATGGTGTTTACTTTGTTCTGTCTATTTAGATACAAGTGGCGGGTTGGTATGTTATGTAATACTGAAGTGATGTAGTATTTATTACCTCCTGTGCAGTCCATATTAACAAACCGGTATTTACGCAATCATGGTCTCTAGGCGCTTCATCTCGTATGGCAATACTTACTAGATACACCGGTACACTTAATATCAATAGGGAAAGTCCAAGCTATGGTGCCTGCATCTCAGCAAGGACCGTCAGGTGCCAATCAAGGCTCACATTGCGATGCGGGGTTGCTTGAGAATAGCTAGCAGATGTCTTAAAGTCCACTTCTCCCTCGCCATGGCTGAGCCAACCTGAGCTGACAGACAGGCCTGGACTCTATCCAGCCCCCCCAAAGATGACTTCTTATCCGCTGACCTGTGTTAAGGTGGAATGTGACAACTAAGACAATATTTCAGCTCGCCACATTCTGCTGCAAGCGGCCAGATACTACGGTCAGAACAGTAAGGAGAGAAAAACACGGTTTTAGTGCCGGCAGCTGAACTTTTAAGTTGGTGGGCTTGCATAAACTACTGGGCGCGATGGCTCTCGCGGTGATGGAGCTCGGAGAGATCTCAAGTATAAAAACCCGTACCTGGCTTGGATATTAATCGAACCACACAAAGACTTTCTTCCTACACATATTGAATTCTCCCAACAGCTCAACGCAGACAGTTCTACTTATTTAATCTGGATCAACCATTTAACACTTGGTGCGGTAATATAAACCAACGTGCCCTTGCCGCTCTCCCCTCCACCAGAACCAATCCCCCAGCCGCCACCATGGCTACCGTTGAAGCCACTTCCCAAACCACCTACCACTGTCACACACAGGAGGAGGAAGACCCAAGCTGGGGTCCCGCTCCCATTTCCAACCTCGCCGGCACCACCGGTGATAACGCACCAGATCAGCCTGATTCTCTCGTCGTAGGCTACGGTGAAATCGTGCCTCGATGGGATGTTAATACGACTGGTCCTGTAAAGCTTCAGTACTTTGTGGCCATAGACACTTTTCCTTCCCCCAGCGTCGCCCAGACTGCGGCGAAGGAGTTTCAGGCCGCAGCCGAGTCTTGGAATGAACTCGACCTTGGCGTTTCGATTTCTGAGACAACCGACCAAGAAGCAGTAAACTTCAACTTGGTCTACAAAGTCAATACCCTAAAGTCAGAAATGGGCACTCTGGCTCAAGCTTTCTTCCCTCACGAGACCAACGAGGAGGTCATTGTCTTCAAACTGGCCTTAGGACCCCAGTATCTGCCTATTCTGAAGAACGTCTTCCAGCACGAGATAGGCCACATCCTCGGTCTGCGCCATGAATTCGCCATCGAACAGGAAGGGCTTGGTGCTGTGCAGATCTTTGAGAAGAATCGGAAATCTGTCATGAGCTACAACTTCCCTCCCAGGATCCAAGATAGTGATCGTCAGCAAATCACTGAGTTTTACAAGCTTGCCAACGGGTACATGATCGATAACAGTCCTATTACGGACTTTCAGCCCCAGATCCGTCGCAAAGGGAGGAACTGAAACCGACAGGGCGGGCGTTCTATTTCAAATAGGCATTGCAGAAAGTAGTTGGGTGATACAGAGGAAGATGCAGCCATTCCCCAGATATTCTCCTATCTACTATAGTAATTGAATATTATTACAATACAAACTAAGTTAGGCCTTGGGAATTGATCATGGCATCCATAACCATGGACTGTCTCAACATGATGCTAGATCGCTCAAAGTGGCGCTTCAGTGCTCCCTTCTCCCGGACACTCGTTGCTGAGTGAGGTAACATTCCAATGTACTTGACGGTTACTAACTTCAAATAAGCCTAAGGACTTCCACGTGCTGTCGGGTGTGCGTTCGGTAGGTTCATACTGAGTTGTAAAACATATTATTCCTTAGTCCTGCAGCATGTTCCATACTGGTCAATATCAAATGTTCATTACTCTTCACACGTCGTGAAAATATATCCCAGAAATCCACACAAACGTCATTTCAAGTCTCGCTGTTGGGGTCAATCTTGGCCGGGATAGGATTATTCTCGACCTATCCACCCTGCTAACTCCCCTGCGCCTCGCAATCACAAAAGTCGATGGGTACCTTCATATACCGCATGCACTCACAGTAGTCCGTCTTCCAAAGACACCCCTTGTGTACCGAAAACAACAATTTGAAGTGGCAACCAGTAGAAGGCAACTTCTTACCCTCAAGCCTATCTTTGGACTAGTAGTAGCCATTGTCCTTGTTTTTACTAAGCACATCACGAAAAAGGGACTTGGCGGCGGCTGTGATGATACCGTAGCTGGACTTTTGATCTGAGTCGTATCAGTGCTTGACGTTCTGTCCGGGATCGGGAGACGCCATGCTTAGAGTGGGCGTGGGTGGGTGTAGGGGTTGTGCTGGAGGTTTTGATGTTGACACACGAGGCGCATTCGGAATTTGTCACGCAGGTGTCGTCGCCATGATGGTCGGTACTGAGGTTGCACTGGGTATAGGTGGCCGTTGAGGCAAGAGCTGCCGTCCGGTGTAGAAATGGGGAATTATAGGACGTTGGTGAGAGTGGGAAGATCTCTCAGTTGGCCAGGGCCTTCAGTGGTTGGAGCTCAGATTCCAGTCAGCCCGCAGAGAGAAGTCTACAGTTTGATTATATCTTGTTCGGAACGAGGCTCTGCTGATAACTTAATCCTTTAGAAACAGTAAGAGCTTTACTGATTTCAAGTAGTTAGTCATTCACATAGATATTATAAACTATGTAATTGGAAAAGTGTGTGTGCCATCTGCAAATGTCTAGGTGGTGCTACCCTGTATTAGCCGCTAACTGGTGATCCGACATTTCAGCGGATCAGCTCTGTACGTACTCCGTATCCGCAGCCGATATTAATACTCATCTCTTACCGGACTAACCAGATTAGTCTCAGCAGCGTTAGCTTGGCTGATAAGAAGTTTGCTTATCTATCTTAAAATAGACCAGCGCCTTGTCTCCCAATTCAGAGTTAGACTTATCATATCAAGACAAAGCATTATGTAGCTTACTACGGGGACTAATACATGCTGTGATCAGTGGAAGCTTAGTATCATTGGATATAATTAGTGTTCAGTCCTCTATAAAGAAAACTCCGAACTCCCACTTTCGTCAATGTGAAATACTCTACTTGCTATCTCTGTCCCTCGTCTCAAACCTCACTCTACTCTTCATTATAGTTCTTGGTTTAGTGGCTGAGACTTCCTCTACCGTCAGAACCTAGCACTGACTTTCATCGACCAGTATAACTTCTTTGCTATCGGTCTATTTGGTTTATTCGAGCCAAACCCTCCTCATGACCCCTTGCGTCTGTCCACTATTGATGATTGCTTGTGCACGTCTCTCTACGTCAGTATTTTCCTTATAGCACCTCTCCTCCTCTTTGCTTGGTAACCGTCGAGTAGCAAATCCTTACTATAACCTCAAGTGTATCAGAGCTAACGGTTCTCAAAAGAGCTCCAATGTCCCGACGACTTAGTGACACCAACCAATTTCAACCTTTGACCAATGTTCAGACGTTCGGTCTTCTCATTCTACCCCTGGATCATAACATGTCGGCCATTCAGCCACAAGATGTGGAGATGGAGAAACCAGAAAAGAATAAAAGTGCGTATAGGGAGGAGTCTATTGTAGACCATGATGATAGCAAACACTTTGCTCGCATGCTACCCCGAAAGAAATGACAGAACCAGGCTGCGTAAGGAATTAATATACGAATACTCGAAGCGCCGTTAGTAATTATTGAGAGCTAGATCACGGCCTAAACGAAGGGTCTTTGCCCAGAAGAGCTTGAACGCATTCAAATTAGACACAAGATGAGAGGTTCGAGATGGATCAACTTTATCAATTGAATTCTAGATCTTGAAAGACCACAGTAGTCAGAAAAGTATTTACATAAATTTAAAGCAGCATCGATGTCAACTGAAGCCGTACCAATCACTCAGACATCATTCAAGCAGTAGCCTTGGCCTTCTGGGCAGAGCCACCCATAAGGGGGCTGATAACAGCAACACCAGGAAAGAAGGAGGATCGGATAGTAGGGACAGCAATGGAAGCAGTGAGGCCGAGACCATTGACCAGCTCTCCATCCATGGTCTTGGTCGCGGAACTAGGAGCGTTGACAGTCTGAGTTGTAGTGTAAGCACCGCCGTTGCCTTTCTTCAAACAGACTCCAGAACCATAAGAGTTCTTGCAAACGTGCTCAACTGTGCTGCCCTTGCTACTGCCAACGGCAAAGTTATCAACCTTCATGTCAACGCAGGGAACATCAGCGGGGCAGTTGAACTTGACAGGCCCCCTCTGATGACCATCGTTGCAGCTTCCAGACCAACCCGAGAAAGTCATGTTGCTGTACAGAATACCATCGCCGGCGATGGGCTTCATAGAGCTCCATTCCGCATCGAGATCGAGGGTGTATGCGTTGGAGTGGCCCTGGAAATTCTTGAGGGCGACATTCGAGACGGTACCGCTTCCACCGTACGACTTGAACATGTACATCTGGTTCGATCGCTGAGTGTAGATCTTGTTGTACTCGATATGGTGGATGTTGGTATCTGTGGCGAGCGAGCCCATGGCGCAACCGCCAGACCAATTGCAGAAGACGTTTTCGATAAGAAGATGGTCAGAAGGGTTCTTGACAGTGACGCACTCGTCCTTGTTGCTGACTTCAACGTCATGGATGTGAATGTTGGATCCCCAGACGTCGATACCGTCCAGACCGCCTCGTGCGCCTCCATGAATGACTGTATTATACACTTCTCCGTTCGAGCAAGTGTCCAGAGAGAAGTGGAATGCAGGAGCTTTATTGAACATTAGTTGCGTTATCTCAATTATGACCAGGGAAACTTACAGTCAACAAGAGCAACGTCGTGCATGGAGAAGCTCTTGACATCAAAGAAGCGAAGTATACGAGGGCCGTATTTGTTATCTAATGGGCTTTTAGTATGTTGGCTCAGACACTCAACGAAGTGGATCATACTGACTCTTGTGGAACTCATATCCATAGCCTTGGATCGCACCTTTCGAAGTGCTGCTGTAGAACTCAAAATCCACCAGGTGCTTGAACATGAACATGTTGCCGTCACCAGTACTTTTCGCGTCAGCGGAGTCATTCCATTAGACCATTGAAGACTTACCCGATGCGGTAAATAGTTCCGTCAAGACGGAAAGACATGGGAGTCTTGGACGATAGAGTCAACCAGGTGCCAAGACCATAATCACCCTCCGGGATGACAACTTCTCCACCGCTGACTTTACAAGCATCCCAAGCTTTCTGAATAGCCGCGCTGTTGTCAGTCTTGGCGTTTGCCTTGGCACCGTAGTTGGCGATGTTACAGGTCTTGATGGCAGCCTTGGCTTGGCGAGTAGTCAAAGGCCCAACCTTGCCGCTAAGCTGCGCAGCAGCCTGAACGGCAGAACTAATGGCAATCAATGCCGAAATGAATGAATAACGCATGATAGGCGTAGAAAGAGAGTGTGTGAGTAAAGGAGTGAACGAAAGTAGGGAAGTTGCAAAAGCAAAATTGTCAGAAACAGAGCAGATCTACAATATCCATTCTTGTCTGAGGCTCTCTTATCTTTAAGAAGTAGGATTCCCCCTATTTTAGCCAACCACAGTTTGACATTAATGGAAAACGATCCACTGTGGTATATGATCTGTGTGGTTAATGGCTGCAGAAAATGGATCTAACAGCCCTTGCGTAATAAATCGTGATCTATCTGCTCATGACAGGGTTCTTAAAACAACTAATGTTTTGACTAGACACACCTGTTAGGGTCAACTGCGCTAATGCGCTGTTTCCACCAATAGGCACTTAGTGTATCCAGGCGACAAGCGACGTAGTGTTTTAAATAGATTGGCTTAATTTCATATAATCTCTCTTACTAAAATAACTAACTCCAGAGTAAAGTATGTATACATCTCTATATACCGCTTATACTTAGCTTAAGAGAGTCTAGAGTACATTGCCCATGTCTTCACTCTTACCTACATATTCCCTATTAGAAGGTACGAGAAATTGCTTTGCAATAACGATCACTGGCATATTAGATTCATGTCTTCCTTTTATGTGTTATCTTTCACGAGTTAGGACGTTTCAAAGAGTCTAAGGATTTATTAACAGAACCGAGTCACTTGCATGAGATATGTTGAAAAACTTCTTACATATAGGCATGGGGATTCTAGAAAATTAATATTCGTGATAATCGTCTTCAACTCATAGAATTCCGAGGAGCCAGTTAGTCAATTAACTCTTTACCTAGTAAGTAAGATCTTCCGGTTAAGGATGCAGTGAAGGAGGAGCTAAGTATGAAAATGAATGAGATCCTGTCGAAGATTCATATAGGCACCTTATAACGTGGATCACTCTGCCTTGGTATATGCCTTCGTTTTATACTTTCAGCTATTGCTTATTGGGTGGAAGCTAGGCGATGCAATGGCTATGCCGCAAAGCGAACCATAGACATTAGCAACTATAAAGTCATTTATGTCAAGCCTTATCCTTCCAAAAACACGCAATACTCCTGATCATACGACCAAGTAAGCCTTATTTACTTCTTATGATATTAGTGGTTTCGCTACCGAATACCTAAATCATCATTTTTACAATGTAGTCATCTCAGCTATACAGCCTAGTCTCTGTTATAGAGACCAATCTCAAAGCGACAATTGAAATCTGCAAACATGGCACGGACACTTTATCCTTACCTGAAAAAGTCAAGGTAATTGACTCGCAGATAGGCTGGATTTTGGCGACGTTCGAGAAAGCAAGAGAAGGCATTCCCAAAAAATCAAGATCCTTCGCCGGACACTTTTGCTTTGGAAGGTCTTCTCAACGACTGCCTTGAGAGGGTGTCTTCTTTACAAGCTGCTTTGCATCTCATAATCCCTCGCTCAGACTTTTCAAAGACTGAGCAACACAAGCGGTCCACGGAGTTGGTACTAGAGGAAGAGAAGATCACGTTGCTGAAGGATGATTTACTCTCGGATCTTAAGATGATGGCGGAGAATCAAGCTATTGAGGTAGAGACTAGAGAGGTTGTTAAATGGCTTGTAGGTTTTACATCTGGAAGACCAGGGTTCGATTTGTGGGGTGTGCCGGATAGTGAATGATAGATGATGTGGGCAATCAGATACAACATGACGTACCTTATCTTCAGACAAGATTCTATATATGACTACCTTAATTCCACTGTCTTCATCATCCCCTATTAACATAATTTTAATGTCAATGCAGTTCCCTGAGACATCCACTCTGGCATTTCTACTGCCTCCGGGAGACAATATCGAAGCCAACCGATTCGTTGATACGAGGAATGAGGCTCATCCCACTGTCCCGAACGTGGCTTCAATACCATGCCAGCGACCCAACCAGATTCGTGATCCTCTTCTACGCCGAGGAAGAGGAAGTACACATGCTGCAGTGCCTCTAGGAACTCTGTTTCTGTATTCCAGAAACAATAATCAGCAAAGAAGGTTCCGTGCGTAGTCGACCTCTGGCCATCAACTTCCTCATGGTATTTGTATCCTGGCGCACGATCTACAGCGCTGACAAGGGAGCTATCTCGCAGTGACAGGATTTGGCTATCTTCTAGCACCAGGCAATTCCTTGCCAAAGGGTAGGCCTTCTCAAATTCACCAGGCTCAGGACGACTTTGAATAGAGACAGATCGTATGAGCCCAGAAATAAGCAAGTGGCAATTTTCGGTATATGCATGCTGATTTAATCCTCGGGTTGCGTTATTAAAAGAGGTGTCTTTGATTTGAAAAGTTGAGTGCAATTTTAGCCGCGGCCACTGGATTTGTGCATCAGAAGCCGCTACCCACGTCCATGAAGGATATTGTCGGACACGGCCTAGCGAAGTATCTTGTCCATAAGCGCACCACGCCAGGTCCTCTCTAAAACTTGTAAGCCAAAGGCCCGCCAAATAGGACGAGTCTAAAACACTCTGGTTGGGTTAGCAAAAGAGCCTCTTGCACTACTAGCATATATGGACTGGTACCTGAAACCTTTTGGCGAGCCCTGCAAGAGCATACAGCTTATCAGTCGGCTTTGTGAGATTTCTACAAGTGTAGCTCTCAACCAGTTCTCTCCAAAGCGATGCAACATTCGCTAAGGGAATATCGTTCAGTCGCGAACATTGATATTTCAACGGCTGACACCTCTCAAATTTCGGTAGTCCATCACGGGGATTGAACGGACCCTCTAATATTGCGCAACTACAGGAAACATCCTCTTGGCATTCCCATAATATCTCTTGGCTTCCAAAGCATAAGTATCTCTTGGCAAGTAAGCGCTCTTGCAGGGCCCAAGCGCGTGTCATCAACGGAAGTACTTCTTTGATCGGCCATGTGCAATCTGGGTGGGAAATGCCGTGTCGCATATGGATTTCATGGCTAATCCCATCAACAGGCAAATAGATTCTGTGGGGTTTGGTGTGCTTTTCAAGAGACTGAGCGAAGAATCCTCCGTCATCGTCAGCGCTAGCTCCTGCTGCTAGAGTAATGTAGGCGTTCTCATAGATTGATGCCATAAGGGAGGCTTGGGCCTCCCAATCCTTTTCGTCATCCTGAATAATACAGAACGAGTCCACCCATAGATAGCGTATTCCAAGTGCCTTGGTTACACTTACGGCATCCTGAAATGTCATGGGCAGCTCAGACAGGCAAATCGCTTTCTCATTGGCCAGTATATTGGCCCTTTTGGTCAAGTGCTTCGATCTCGTATTGCCCCAACAATGACTCAAGCATGCGTAGCGAACGTTGGGCACGGACACGAGCTGTATGCAATCATCACCGCTTGATTGCAAGTCAAGCAACCGCAAAGGAGTAAACTCAGTTGCCTCAGAACACCTTTCGTGTGAGTTTTCGCATGCTTCTATCCAAGATTGAATGCGAGGCAGACTGTATCGAAGTTCAGTGCTGGGAGGAAGGAGAGGCGATGAAGTGATATGCTTGAGGCGGGTTTGGCCTAAGATTCTAAGAAGATGTCTGACCAAGGTTGAAGGACATGACGCACCTGGAAGAGTGAAAATCTCTATATCGAAGACGCTCTCTTTGAAAAGATGAAAATACATCTTGGATGTATCAATATTGAAAGTAAGCCATGCACTAGAACGCAATTGCTCGGCGGGAATACACCAGATCCAGACCTCGTGAAGACACCGCACTTGGCAATAAATCAGACATCTTGGTTTTTAGCCAATGTGGAATCACGAATAATACTTAAATTCCAGTCATTAAATGGCTCACGCTTGAATTACAAGGCTATATATGGCGGCGGTCAAACAATTTCCCGCTGAATCTTATGTCAGCCTTATATGAGGTCCATTTTTAGTCTATTACCAGCAATAGACCACATCCTGTGCAAAGGCCTGATTTGCTTGTAGGAGGCTCTTTACAGTTGGGTGTTTACTATAAGCCACAAATAGCTACAAAAGCCAAGTCGACTCCATTGCTATCAATACGGCGACATGTCTCCATAGCCCTGCTCATCCCGTCAGACGTGAAAGTAAACAACAGGACTGAAAACCGACTATTCATCCGTTCAGTTATTCAGGGGAGATTAAAGTTCAGGCACGATGAAGTTAGAAACCGGTGATTAGAGCGAATCTTTCAATGAGCATAAGCCTCTTGCCCCTTTCTACGATGAGCCACTGTACTGCAAGAGACTTGTATTGATGTATAAAATTCCATTTGACTGTGGGTATTGGCTAACTTAACACCGTCTGGTAGTATTGTCTTCGGGTCCTCATGATATTTGTAACATGTCGGGAGAATCAGTGCCACTACTCTTGCAATCGATTATATCACTTGTCATCAATACTGGTTATGCACTGTTACTGGGCTCTGACAGAAGGAATGTGATTTGTTAAAGATATTAACATGAAGGTTGGATGAGACGAAAATACTAGGTTGCAACGCTCCTGACTTGAACGGAACTCGGCCACTCGTCTACGTTGGTAGGTTAGGCAGGGGTATTTAGCCAGCTCGGTAAACCCATATCAGTCGGTTTCGGAGCTTTTCTACTACCGGAAAGGATTTTCAGATCTTGTTCCTGAATATGCGGGACAGGTTACAGTCTTGACTATGAAATATCAAGAACGGTATTAACAACATTTTCCAGTACTTGGGGTGCGAAGAATATAAACAAATCAATACTGAAAGCCTGTTGACTAGTATAGATTGATCATGAGCCTAGCTGAAGCGGAGTTTTGCACTAATCTAGACCCGTTCTAGTAAGAAGATGATAGCTAGGTACTTACTAGCAGTAAGTAGTACTTATATGATAGAGCCACGCTGGATTAGCTAACATTCAAAGTCAAGTATTCGTTGCTGCTCCTGGTAGTTACGGAGTATAAGCCTCCGTCCTACATTATGTCTGAAGTGCGGGGTAATACGATCACAGTCTATAGTGAGTCAAGTAGAGTAGTATTTCAATCATTAGCTGTTCATGCATGTGTAGAACACTTTTATCCGTAACAATTACGAAAAAGGATATAGGACGTTTCCTCATATCATCAGTCTAATAAATGCGGGGGCTTTATGACGGACATACCGGCTCCGGATCTCGCGGTATTTGATCTCGGCACTTTAAACTCGCGCCCCTGTCAACACCATGGTGAAGAGTTCTGTGAAGTATAAGACTGATCAGCCGCGCCCAAGGAAGAAGGTAATTACCACCAAGACAATCGGAATCAGAACGTTCACTATGATCAACATCTTCTCGCCGTCTAAGCTGTTGCTACAGCTCAGCCTGGCTGCTAGCCTGGTTACAGCTCAGCTCCAGACCATCAATAACTTCGGGCCGACCTACAGCACGCAACTAACTATGCAGGCGTACATCCCCAACAACCTCCCTGCTAGCCCAGCAGTGATGCTTGCTGTGAGTGACACAGATCATTTGTCTATGATTATTATTATAGACCTTGAGCTGACCGAGGTGTGTTACGGATATTTAGCTGCACGGCTGTAGTGGGAGCGGACCTGGATATTTCCAGCAGACCAAGTACAAGTCTCTCGCCGACTCTCGCGGCGTCATCCTTGTATTCCCTTCCTCTCCTAAGGACTCCAACTGTTGGGATGTCGCCAGCGCAAAGACGCTCAAGCATGACGGCCAAGGCGACAGCCAGGTTCTTGTCAGCATGGTCGACTATCTCATCAAGACATACAAGGCCGATCCCAAGAAAGTCTTTGTCACAGGCACCAGCTCCGGATGCATGATGACGAACGTACTTGCTGCGACATACCCTGACCGCTTTGCTGCTGCCACCTGCTACTCTGGTGTTGCCGCAGGATGTATGGCTGGGTCGCCTGGATCTAGCCCCATCAGCTCCGATCGTGTCTGCTCCGACGGTAGGATCGTAAAGACTGGACAACAGTGGGCCGACCAGGTTCGTTCTATGTACCCAGGCTATAGCGGCTCCTATCCTCGATTCAAGACCTATCACGGTACTGCCGACAACCTCGTCTTCTACCAGAACTTTCTCGAGCAGATCAAGGAGTGGTCGACTATTCATGGCGTCTCCTTTGTCCGCAACGAGACATCGACCCCGCAATCCGGCTACACCACTATGATATACGGAGACGGAACCAAGTTTGTCGGTGTATCTGCAGCTGGAGTTGGACATGTTGTGCCTACCCACGAAGATCTTGATTTCAAGTGGTTTGGACTTACCTGAGACTCATAGTTGTTGTGGGAGACCCACAAAGATGCTATGAGATTCTGGAGAGACAATCGATGAAGGATGGTGTCAAGGTTGGAAGAAGGATGAAACGGAGGAAGGATTGTTATTGGGAATTTTGATTTTTACTCGAGTATTTCACCTCATCTACGTCGCCTCTGCCTATGGAAAATCCTGCTGATCTGATCGTATGCATGGGGCCTCTCATTCTAGTGAATGGAACTTATACAAACCAATGGAATGTTTTGTGCCTACTGCTTGAAGGAGGTGTTGAGTGTAAACATGATAAATCCTCATTTGCAATATTACTGTATCGTGCTACGCACACTCACTGCTCATTAAAAGCTTTCACATTATAGCTGCTGCATATCATATTCTATGAACAATGGTCCGGTTGATGAAGGATAGCCTGTCCTGACGATGACTTGAGATAGTGTAGGTCGAGGAGCTATGACCATTCTGCCTGGTGGGTTGCTTTTTCTCACGCAAGGCAGACAAACCTTGTGTCATCTTTGTCATCCCGGGTGACAAAGTTACGGTCAAGATTCTTCCAGTCCAATAGAGCTTTGTGTAGCTCATGGAAGCCAGTGTCTCGAAATAGTGAATCTCCTGTCGGTGTAGGTTAGCTGAATGGTGCGTAGTTTCATATGATAGCAAGAAATTATCTCCAAACCCTGATCACGGATTAGGAAGCTAGATAACCGCTGCGCAACAAATCCACATGCTTCATTGGAGCTTCACCCTGGACGACGGCAGGGTTCCCCTCAATCCAGTATGGAATCTGTTATCGCAACAGGATTAGTACGTGGAGCAAAGAGAGCGAACGAGCAGTGGGCTGTCTTATCCTATGCTTGTCCCATTCTAATCTCTATTTAAAGCAGATCTGCCACGATAATAAATCCGCCGAATCTTTTTGTTCTTTTTTAATTCGAGGTATTTTTCTTACACTTACATTCTTCCGCCATTCTGTTCAATTTACCAATCGTCTATAATGCCTAAAGCGGAGGAGTTCAATCTTCATCCCTTTGGGTGGGAAGATGGCCCCGACGAGGAAAGATTCAAGCTCTGCGCATTAGACTACCTCTCGACGATAACGTACACAAACTCAGTGATCTTCTTCAAACTGAGTGATGCGGAGAAGAGGTTCGATTCTATTCAAGTCCCTATTCTTATACAGCTCAAGTTCACTAATGTGTTAATAGTAAAGCCGTGACAGTACTGAAAGAGGGTCTGGAAAGGACTCTTGCTCAAGTCAGGCATCTCGTGGGGACTATCGAGAAGGATGATGATGGTTATCATTCTATAGTTAGGAGGAAGGCCAGCACGTTCCAGTTTGTAGTTCAGCATCTTGATTCTCCTGATGATGTGTTTCCATCTTTCGACGAGATCGCAGAAGCCCATTACCTCTCACCAATACTTGGCGACATCAACGTTTTGACCAACTCGCCTATGACTTGCGGCAGCAAGCCAGAAGCACATCCGGACAATAGCCCTATCGTTGCATCATCCAAAGCCAACCTTATTCCTGGCGGACTCATTCTCACCCTATCTACACATCATTGGACCAACGGGCTCATTGGCTTTGCATCCTTTGTTCAGCAATTGTCCGAGAACTGCTATGCAGTTGCGAATAAGACTGAGTTTCCATCATTTGACCCGAGATGCATGGATCGTAGCCTGTTCGGGCCCTTTGGCTCCGACAGCCTCCCGTCTCTAGAGAAACAGGTTGACGCTCCTCCTCGTCAGACGAGGAACACAAAGCACAAACACTCACAAGCGTTGCTTTTCCACCTCCCCAAGAGTAAGGCCCAAGAGTTGAAGAGGGTTGCGACACCTAGTGACGGGACTTGGATCACCACATTCAACGCGATTTGTGCCATTCTATGGCGTGTCTCGTCAAGACTGCGCGAGCCACTCTATAAGCCCGGCTTGTCTTATAAGCCGCTCTGGGCCGGGGGAGTTAGTGTGACCAAATTCTTCACAAACCCTCCAATGCCCGAACGCATCCAAGGCAACCTACAGATAGACATCACTTCGGAGATGTCGGATGTGCCTCAGCTAACACTAGCCGAAATTATCTCAGAAGCACCATTATCAAAGTTGGCATTGTATACACGTCAGGTGACAGAAAGTGTCAACCTGGATATGTTGACTGCAGTGCTCGAGAAGGTTGCCAGCGTTCGCAACAAGCAGGATCTGTCGATCAACGTCGATTCCTTCCAACCAATGTCCTTGTTGACCAGCGACTGGAGAAAAGCCGACTTCTGCGTCTTGGACTTTGGTTTTGGAAAGCCTACTGTTCACCGACATTTGTTTGGCGGGGTACCCCTCAGTCAGGTTGTTGTTTTCCCGCCTCGTGTAGGCCCTGCGGGGGATGACGAAGGGATTGAGTTGCAGGTCACGATTGAGACGGAGATCATGTCCAAGATGATCAATGATGCCGAATGGAGCAGGTACTTTGAGTTCAGGGGTGTTGATGCTTGGGAGGAAAGAACTTTGGATAAGCAAAAGGCTAAACTATAATGGCGAAGGATTATATTCCTGGTTTCCTACAGTGGTAACAGATAGTTCTGAATATGACCTGCCTAGAAATGACTGAGAATATGTGTACTTTGTTCGGTACAAGCCTTGAGTGTCCTCAACCTTGAATCAAGCTATTCCCTCCTTCTATATTGGGCAGTAGGCCAAACCTACTTCTTCCGTCAATGCAGATCATTGCAAGATCTCCTACTTTATACGGTGTTCGTAGGATTGGCATGCATACTTGGTATAAATAGTGGTTCCTTGGGATGAGTCAATGACGCGCCTTGAAAGGCGTTAAGATAAGGATGAATCTGCAAAGGTTACCTGATACCTAAGTTTAGACTCTTGGCAGAAGAGAACTCAAGCGATCTGTTCAGGAGCGAAGATGCCGCCCCGGTCGGGGCTTTCCAGACTGATGTTACACGCATCCTCTAGAACGGGATATATAAGCGATCCGAGCCGTCTTACAGCATAATTTCACTTGGACAAAATAGGGCACTGCTAACAGGGAACGGGTTCTGGGTGGGGATAGCAACTCATTCTCATTGGTACACATGCACTGTAATCCTCCGAATCCTCCAAATCCTTTGACGGGTCCATAAGATAAGACAATGACTTTCCATTCTTTTAAGCTTCCGAAAGCATCCGCTAGATTCCTCCACCATAACGTTCCCTTTGCCAAGCAGCCAAGCTTTTTGACCCCAAGTTCCTGTCATAATCCTGAAGTGATAGAAAAGTCTACCCGATCCGCTTATGTGCAGAACCTCAATCAGATGTGCCGTAAACGCACATATACTTGCATTTCCGGCCTTAGCCACGTCACGTATCCTTTCTGATCTCTCATCCATCTCTCGGAGTTATCACTTAGCCGCATGTCAAAATGCCACAGTGCTCTGCCTAAGATAAGTCGGCCCTCCGCATACGCGAGGCTTTTAGAAAGTTAGTCATCTTCCTGCTGAAGCTGCATAGTTACATCGGGATAACTAAGCAAGAGTGAATCATGACAAACCTTTTACCAATGCAGTTACGAGGGCCCACGCTGAATGGCTGCAAAACCTCTCGTCTGTCGTCTGGGAACGCATCGAGATCAATAAATCGCTCGGGAATAAACTGTTGCGGCCGAGTAAAGTTTAGAGGCGAATGATAAGCGGCGTAGTGATTTACAGCTACTGAAGTCTGCTCCAGTTGACCAGTCAGTTATCAATGTTTCATCGCAGCGAGAAAGCAAGGGTACATACTCCACCAGGAACATACTCGCCATCAATTGAGGCTCCACCCTCTGGAACCCGTCGCGGGAATCCCGGCACAGCAGGTGAGTACAACCGTAAGCCTTCTTCAAGGACAGCTGCCAAATATGGGAGATTATTGGTGTTCTCGATAGTCATATCATTGCCGTTCTTAAATGCCGTTGTTAGCTCGTTTACTAGCTTCTCCATCTTGTCAGGGTGTTGAAGCAGAAGGAATAGGGCCCCGGACAGAAGTGTAGCTGTTGTCTCGCTACCTGCCTGAATCAACGTAGCTGAGTTGCTTAGCATCTCCTGGAACGTGAATCCTTTGCCCTGCGGTTGGCGAAGGATATGATCCATAAAGTCCGGTCTATGGGCATTGTTACTGACGCGGCGTGCGACCTTCTCATAGGTGAGTTTTCGATGGCCTTCTGATCCTCGGACAGCATCGGAAGGAAGCATTGCATTCACAATCTGACGAGCAAATCGACCCAGTAGTGGTATGTGCTGTATGATTCGGAACTGCATCTGTGCTTCTTCGATCTGGTTGAGTTTCAGAAGCCAATCTGTGGCGCCGTTTTCCAGACACCCGAAAGGCTCTCCAAATGCCAGGTCTCCAATGATATCAAAGGTCACAAAATTGAACCACTGAACCATGTCTAGCAGAGTTTCGCCCTGCTCACATGCCCGACTAATACCTTTGATGAACATTTCCACATAATTCTGGATAAGCGGCTCTTGTTCTCGCAGGGAACGTGCCGAGAACCCGGGGGAGTACAAACGTCGGTAACGCGCATGCTCCTCATGATTACCATTGACAATCGTAGGGGCATCGGGGTTCCGCACGTAAAACTCTGGATCTTTGATCATTTCCTGGTCTCGGGTTTTCTTATGGGCATAAATGTCCTTCCAGGCTTGCGGGTTTATGAACGAGAGGTTGTTGGGGGCGATGCGCACTATTGGGCCATATTTCTCATGTAGCTGATGCATAGCATGATGGTGATATCCGGTCCACATTGCCGCCAAGTATGGGATTTTGCTGGCCCTGCGAAACACAGGGCCTGGGTGCTTTGCCAATGGGTGAAATAGGACATTGTAGACGGCGAGTGAAACTGAGTAAATGGCAATCTTGCCTTTGTGAGTTCAGTGCTCATGAGAGAGAATGGCGGGTACTCACGAGAGTGACAATACCAATAATCGCGTTTGGGATGGTCAGCAGCGTCCATCTCAAGGCAAATTGATATGAGCTTGTCCAATTCCGATCTGACATGATGAAATTGTTGTTTATTTCGTTCCCATATGATGATCAGAAGTGAGCGTTTTGAAAATACTTTTTAGTTCAAAGTTAATGCCTTCTCCCCAACCATGGCTACTCACTTCCATCTTTTAACATTCACATTTCTCTCTATTCCACTAATTCTTATCAGGTCAGATTTCCAAGGTCCGTGATAATCGATATTTCTTTTGACTTGCATTGCTATTCCCGTATCCACTAAAACTCTTACCTCCCAATCCGGAAGGTATATGCACCTAAATCCCTCGAACTCCTCCTCCAAGATCCCGAGCTTGATTGTTTGTGGAGTTGACGTGGCCAAGAAGATTGCGTGGGTCTCGGGCGTATCTCTTCCTTTAATGGGGGATAATTTCCCCTCTCCATACTGTCGGCGAAAGGCCGATACGGAAGGTCAATGTGGTTTTTATCAGAGAAGACTTTCATTCTTACCCCACACGTCTTGTGTTTGTAAGGGTCTCCGCGATCTGTAATTCTGCCAAGAGGAGAAAAGCGGATATCCTGTAATACAATTGAAAATTGATTTATTTTGGTCGAGATCTGTAAAAAGATTGCTGCTTAATGATATGAACTGTACATATTCTCATTCCACACGAAATTCACTACTGAAGAATTCATACTCTTCCTCGCGACTGTGAGAGAATAGTCCTTAGTTGATGACAATGTGATGCTAATTCACCAAATAAACACTTGTAATAGTTCTTGGAATACACATATTTAGCCTGATCAGACTACCCACATTGGTAGATGCAATGGTGCCGTACTGTGAAGCTCCATAGTATCCGCATAACCCGATACATGCCCCTCCATCTTTGGTCGCCGAGTAAATACGACGAGCATATCCCTAGTTGTCGGCCGAGTCTCGTCTAGCTGATGCACAGATGTAACACTGTGCTTGAAATCGTGATCCACAAACATCAACGTGTCCAAGAAATGCTGATGATGTACGCGTCCACGGATCAGTGAAGGATTCGTCTCCCATGTCTGCACCCCGGTTGTCTCCCTGTTATCGTGGATGAATGTAACGGCGCTATCAGGCCGCATATTGTTGCTTCCGAGGAATATCGTCATGGTATGGTCAGACCCGTCCGAGTGTACGCCTTCAAGGGCTGGTTCGCCAAATATGCCGCTTTTCTTGCAGGTGTGTGTACGTGCGTTGAACATGGTGCAGATCCAGGCTGGAGAGGAGTAGTCCAGCCCTTCACGGGGTGATACAGCGACGCCCTGGAAGATCAGTGCCTTGAATAGCATCAGGGCCTGGATGACGGTGTTGCCTTGCATGTCCGTTGGCGTCTCATCGAACATGCGGGGGATCCCAGAGTCATGGCGCTTGTAATCCTCCTGCACCGTCAGAGTGTATGGCTGCGACTCAAGCCGCCGTATACTCCTGGTCTCAGGATCGATGCAGTACCGGCCATAAGTTACCGAGCGATAGTCAAGAGTGGGGTCGGGTCCAGTGAGATCACTGATATCCTTGACCGCAGCAAAGTCATCTTGTCGAGCACCCAGTCCCGTGATAATGGGTATCATGTCTTCTCCTCGGACGAATATGTGTCTTTCTCGCAAGTAGGTGCTCCGCAGAGCCATGATTTTGGCTATTGCCTCATAGAACTGAGCGTCGTAGCGTCTTTCAAGGACATTTAAAATGTGAGGAGCACGACGGGTCTTCTTGTGCCCGTTGATGAAAGGCAAGGTACTCTCGTGATGAGGCATGTTTGAGGCTAGTAGAGTATGTGGTTCATGTTTGTGTCTCAGGGAGTAACACTATTCTAGAACTATTTATAATATGATTCTTAACTCCATCAGCTGAATCAAGAATAAAGTACTTGTATAACAGTCAAGAACCCTGTGCTTTAATTCCACATCGCCCTCGGCAACTCGCACGGCAGATGTTAACCTCATCCTTCGTATGTAGTCTTTAGGCAGTTTTATTGCATACCTCCGATCATCTCTGCTTACTTGTTATGGAAGGTCCATTAGAATTCTTATTCTTCCAAGGATCGCGTCGCGCTTTTGTCCAGTAACATTTTCTCTCTTATCTCAGAGGCGTCGTATTCCGTGCAAAGCTTGGCATATTGAGAAAACATCTTACCGCATAAAGGATCTGGATCCACTGGATTAAAGGACAGATCTATTTGCAAAGAATCGTTACAGTGTGTGAAAGCTTTACACCTGAGGATACTATCCTGTTTGAACTATCTTTTTGTCAGCCTATATAAGTGTCTTTAACAATTCAATTACTGCAAGGCAACGCAAGCACCTCCTAGTACCAGGCCAACCTTCCATATCCCTTCTCCCCTCACATTCAAATTTTCCGACTCCAATGGCTACTCGTACACTTCAGGTGAACCGCCTCAATGGACATTCATCTCAAGGCGTAGGTCCTAGACCTTCCAAAGCTTCTATTCTGTCCATTGTCGAAACTTGGTCCCGCTTATTATGTCGCTTGAAGGAGACAACAGCCACTATCAAACAACGCTTTGATGAGCGAGCTGGCATAGAAAAGCAAATATCAGCCCGGGTTGATGACTGGTGCATTGAAGTCTTTCTGGAGACATACACACGGCTAGAACATCTTTCCTCCGAGTTGGAGATGCAACTCGCCATCACTGAGCGTTTGAATCAAGCCCCCAATCAAGCGGACGCAACCTTGTCAAAGTTTGCCCTCAATCCATGGCAGATGGAGGAACGCTATCGTGCATTGATACAAATGCAATCTTACTTAGGCTCATTCTTTGAGAGGGCCAGTCCTGCCTACGATCAGGCTGGAACAGTATGGTGGTTCGACCCTTCATATCACCAATCCAATGGTCTCAATTATGATCGATATGGAGCACCAGATGTGAAGGAATCCGAGGCACGACTTCTTAAAGCACTCAGTCTTGGCGATGAAAAGTTGCCACTAAAGCTGCTATTGACCTCCAGTGGCGTGGCGGCCTTCACCGTGTTACATCAATTTTTGATGAGCAAGGTACTTGTCGCTGGGGACACAATCGTCATATCTCCCTACCTGTACTTTGAGTGTTTTGAGCATTTGCGATTGGTCTCGCACCTCAACGTCGTCAATTCCAGTACTTTCGAAGCTGAAGACATCATCGCAACAGCAGAGAAGCACAACGCCAAGGCTATCTACCTCGACCCCATGGCCAACACTATTGGACTCGAGACTACAGATGTGCGCCGTTTTGCCCAACTTACTTCAAACCGAGATGGATGGGCTGACAGGTTCTTGATCATCGATGGTACACTTGTCTCAGGCGGGATGCGGGTATACGATTGGTTCAATCAACCCAGCCATCCCAATATTCTCTACTACGAGAGTGCACACAAGTACATCCAGATGGGCATGGATGTTGTCATGTGTGGACTTGCCGTCTTCCCAGAAGAATACCATGAAACCATCGGACTCATCCGCCAGGTTACTGGAACAACTCTTTACTCACGCCAAGCAAATGTCTTGCCGCCTATTGACTACGACATTCACCAGTCACGAATGCATTGGCTGACCACGAATGCTGAGAGGATGTACCATTTGTTGGAGAAGACAAACTCCAGCATTGCTCAGTTCAACTTCCCAACCCACTGGCGTAAGCTGGGCTGGGGCCACGGTGGCAACGTGGTGACAATTCGACTTCTCGGAGACAAGATGAACGAGCGGTCGAGTCTGGATCAATTTGTCAGCTTGGTTCTAAGGGCTGCTGATGAGGAGGGTGTTGCTATGACAAAAGGAGGTGGTCTTGGATTCTCGGTGACTCGCATTTGGCCATCGACTCCTTTCATCAGGAATGAGGATCCATACATGAGAATATCTGTAGGTGTGGATCCTGATGAGGTTGAGCCAGTGGTTAGAGCGATTTGCAAGGGCCTTGATAGACACTTTCGTGCTTCAGCATCTCCAATGGCACAATGGAGACTTCGCGAGAATGGACTTGCAGGTAATGACATTCCTGTCAAAACAAATGGTTATCACAAAGCAAACGGTATGAATGGGGAGAATAGTTTGGTAAAGACAGGGAGTGCTTATTTTGATCCTAATCGATAGACATAGTTTATTCCGATACATACCTCAATTCTCCATTGAATTGACTCAACTGAAGAAATTAATTGGTTGTTTCATTCTTCACGTCTTGAATGCTATCTCCCACTACTTCCTGGATACTTTGATGAATATTATCCGAAAGATATCTCTATACTAATTCGCTAAATCTTGCTTCGCCATTCGCGTAATTCCGCAACAAAGATACCTGGCACCTCCCATGCCGCAAAATGGCCGCCGCGGTCAGTCTCCTTCCAATGAATGATATTCTTATAGTACCGTTCACACCATTCTTTGGGCGCATAACTATTGTCACCACCAAACCAACTGACCCCTACTGGTAGTTCAATATGATAGCTAGTTGAGCCTAGCCCGCACTCCCAGTAATAGCGAGCCGAGGATGTGCTCGAGTTGGAGAGCCAATACAACATGATTGTGTCAAGCATCTCATCTTTGCTAAATACCGTCTCCACGTCACCGTCGTGGTGAGACCAGTCCCTGTATTTCTCGTACATCCAAGCCGCCTGTGCCACTGGTGAGTCTGCAAGCCCGTAGCCGATGGTCTGCGGTCTCGTTGATTGCTGAAGGGAATATCCACGGAATCCATCATCCCGACATTTGTCCAGATACATGGCCCGTTCTTCACCTTTCTCGTTCTGTGTGGATATTTGAACTTCTTTCTGTAAGGAATATTAGTTTATATTCAACAAGATCGTGAAGGGATCAGCGACCTTAGGTTCGAAGAATATGGAATTGAAATGGACGCTTTTCAATCCTTTCGGGGCTTGATGCCCCAGGCTCGCAGCCACATATGCACCCCAATCCCCTCCTTGAGCGACCCATCCGCCGTCTGCATAACCCAAACGGTCCATTAACTCAGTCCATGCACGTGCAGTCCGATGGTGGTCCCATCCTTTCTCCGTGGGCTTCCCGGAAAATGCGTAACCTGGAAGAGCGGGGATGACAAGGTGGAAAGCATCTTCAGGAGAGCCACCATGTGACTCAGGATCAACAAGCGGCTCAATTATGTGTCTGAATTCTAGAACCGAGCCAGGCCAGCCATGTGTAAGGACAAGTGGCAGGGCATTCTCGTGCTTTGATCGAATATGCAGAAAGTAGAATTTCACCCCGTCGATACTTGTTGTGAACTGAGGATAGGAATTGAGAAGCGCTTCGCATCGTCGCCAATCGTATTTTGTTTGCCAATATTGGCACAGTTCACGGATTCTGGCCAGAGGTACACCTTGTGACCAGTCAGATACTGTCTCCTTGTCCGGCCATCGGGTCAAGCGAAGGCGCGTTTGTAAATCATCGAGACTGGACTGAGGGATCTCGAGCTTGAAAGAATGGATAGTACTGGAAGGTGCCGACGCCATTGTAAGATGAATGCCCGGGAAATAAATACTAATTACTTGACACTTGCTTATCTTTAGGGCACCCTTTGTTCCTGGCACAAATTCGTCCTGGTTAGTGTGTTTTAATACGACACAGAATAATTCAAGGGTTTAAAAGAAGAAGAGTGAGTAACACAAATTGGATACAAAATACCTCCTCAGTGAAAGATTGCATTATTTAATGTTATCTTATTTTGTTGAATGATTTATAAGCAATATCCTCTGGGTTGAAGGAACAACTCTACAACCCTCATATGACGTATGTGGAGTCATCAAGTGGTAGATACTGAGACTTATCCTCTCAGCAGTCTCAGCTTGTATTCGGCAACACTGGGATCACAACACCGGTATATGTTATTTGCAGTTGACCAGGCCTGTAGTAATACTTTGTTTACGTCCGATAGGCTCGTACCAGACCATTTCAAGGCGTGCCAAATGGCCTCGTACCACAGAATATACATGTACAATTACTTTAATTGAGTTACGCACACACTAATTCTAAACCTTCACAATGAATTTCTCTCCACTGGCTCCAGCTTTGAGACAGTCAAGCATCTTCTGAACCGCTCCCAAGCCCCCATCGATCAGGTGAGGCCTCGGGGCAGACTTGACTTTCTCGTCTTCGAGTGCTTTCTGTAACCAACCTCCAAACACCCAGCGGCCGATCTCGGGATATTCCTGAGTGAACCGAGAACAGTCGGCGTGATGGACTTCAACCGTCTCTGGGATCGACACATCTTCCGGCCATGCTGCGAGTGTGCCGACCTTGACTCTATCGGCAGAGCCGGCCGCATTGGTTATAGCTGCCACTGAAGCAAAAGAGGAGCCCTCAGACCTGGCGTCAACCACGCCACGAATAGTCAATCCTTCACTCTTAATAGCCTGAGCTATCCTTGGTGCCACTTCTGAGTCCCGGTAATCCCAAGCGTCTGTAGCACCGAGGTCTTTCAACCATTTGTGATGCTTTGGGCTTGCTGTCACAAACACGGACCATCCCAATGCATGTGCAGTCTGCAAGGCCGCAACACCAACTGCCGAAGCTCCACTCCATACCACAATAGCGCTTTGTTCATGTTGCGCCTTTTCGCGCATGGGCAACCCAAGACTCTTAAACAAGGCGATCGAAGCAGTAATCATGCCGACAGGAAGCACTGCGCCCTCTTCAAAGGTGAGACTGTCAGGCAGGTGGGCTGTCGCGGCCTCGTCCATCAAGGTGTATGTCTGGAACGCTGCCTTGTTGCTATTTGCCTGAAGTACACCAAGCGCAAAGCCCATCACACGGTCACCTTCTTTGAAACGCGTCACACCAGATCCCACAGCCGCGACGACGCCTGTAAGTTCGCTGCCGAGAACTGCAGGGAATCCATCGATGAGAACACCATAGCTCTGAATCTTCCAGTCAGAAGGGTTTGCAGCGACCACTTTGTTGCGGACCAAGACTTCCAATGAACCAGGCGAAGGAACAGGGCGTTGTCCAGTAACAAGAAGTCCCTGCCTCTGCAGCAGGATAGCGGCAGTATTGGACTCGAAGGAGGATGTCATGATGTGCGGGGCCAATGAAGGAAGACTCTGTAATGAGTATGGCGATTTCTTGCAAGTTTTTCATGGAGTGGCTCTACGTTTTATGTACAGGTTCACAGTATCATCACCACTACAATAGACATCTTCACCCATACTAATGCTTGCATTACTTGAATTACCAACCAAGAATGCCTTTCTCTAGTCAAACCCTTGATCGTTGGATGGCGTTACTGGACTGGAAAGAATTTGCGAGAATTAATTTGTCACAAGGCGTAGCCCTGTGATTGGCACGACAAGATATGCAGCTACGAATGTTTGTTTGTGGAGATTACTCCCTGTTTTCTCCAGTTAAAGTCGACTTATCGATTGGCTACTGGCGAGAAGCAGATGTGGACCATGGAAAGCCCACTTAGACTACCCAATCTTACGAGAAATATTGAGGAAATGATAGGCTATAACTCGTCTAACGCCAGCCCACCATGCGACTTTGACCCGTATTTATACAGGGGCTAGTGACAAAGCTTCGGCGGAGTACCACATTTGGATGCCTAATTCGGTAAGCGTCGCTGCTCATCACACATCAGCGCCATAACGACCAATCAAGATTGCCATTTCCCACCAGTCCTCCATGGTTCTCAATAACAGATTACTTGGCACAATCTGCATCATAACCATTGTAGTTCTACCGGCCTTTATTTATTACATTACAATATTGTATATTCAAGGCCTGCTGCATTTCGGCATAAGGAACAGTTTATAATAATTATTATAATCCCTATATCTTTATGAAACAATACTAGTTTCAATTTGGGTACTAAGATAGTTTATCAAAATTTGTGATCAGTAGGGTATGATGGGAGACGATTGAATTGATTATAAACTGGATCTCATTTATACAAATTCGATTTCGGTATGATTCTTTGATTGAGAGGCTGTAGCCATAGCTTCTAATTAAATTTACTCTAGTAGAGGTGTAATGTCATCAATCTCTTTAATTTTGTCTGCCAATTTCCGCATTAATTAACTTCGCACCAGGCCAAAGCACCGCCACCAAGTAAGGCTGCCTTACTTGGTACTCGGTACCCTATATTAATGTGCACCCTGATTAGTTAGACGAAAGGAAAATTACCACCTAATTCAATCAGACCCAGCCACGTGATTTCTTTCACCCGCATCATCAGTTTCCCTGCGATTTGTGTCATGTTTTGACCTCGAATGGCAATTCTTACCAAATCTATTCAACTTGGCTTTCTTGCCTCACCATCTAAATATCCCCATCATCCCATCGCTCATATAAACCCAGTACGCCTTTTGGATGTCTATCTCCTGCGCACCCGGTAACGTCCGGTCGAAGGGCTCACTCATGGCAAATGTTTTTCAAGGTGTTGGGTCTGCCCAAAAGCCTGACCAGTCCGAACTTCCACAATCCAGGAACTGTCGTATGAACCAGAAAGCCATTTCATGTGCTCTTTGCTGCCGTAAACGACTGTGCACAGTACGGCCAGCAGCCGCCCAGGGCCAGATTCTATACGACGTGTCGAATATTGTGCTCCTCGCGCTCGATGTCCTTATTCAAACAATACAGTTGATGCTAAGTCAACCTGACCACATGGTTCAGTACCATGTTTCACCCGACCTTCGTTCTCGTTATCTTGATTGGCTACACATGTATCACGATACTCACAGTCTTGATCCTTCGCATAATGATACCGGAGAGAAAGGCACAACCGATGTGAGCATCGTTAATAATCATTGTGCTCACACCCCTGCCTTGAATATCGGATGCCGGCTGGAACATACAGACGAGAACATTAATTGTTTACTACTAATGCGATTATTTCATAGCCTTGTCAAGGCTGGGCTGTTTGTCGCATTGGATTCACGGACGGTCGAAATACGCCCACGGATGTTGGATAGTGAGAGGCCTACTATAAGCGATAGCCACGTCCCTATGACGACGATTCGTGACATGGAACACTCGGTACTTCTACAGCAAGATACATCCGCCCAGGCCACGGTCATATGGCCAAGCATATGCGGCATCCACTGGACTCGAGAATCGGACATCTACAGACAATCTGCCCATGTGACTAAAAACACGTCTCTGGTGCAAAACGGCGATGAAACAACCAAACAAACAGGGGGTTACTCCGTTCAAGGACAAGAAAAGCATCATCCAAATACTCAACAACAACAGAGATCATCAACTTGGCCTGCTATGCTGAGGCGGAAGAGAGGAGCAGACTCAGAGGAATCACAAGACGACGACGAGCGAAAGGAGCCGGGACCAGGCGATTCATACAAAAAACGGCGTCTCGAGAGCGAAAAGACGCCAAAATTTGCTTGTCCCTTTTTCAAGCACAACCCTACTCGCTTTGCTGTGGAGCGAGCCTGCTGTGGACCAGGATGGCTCAGCGTAAACCGAGTCAAGTAGATGGCCATAACGCTCCCAATACTTGTTACCATTATACTGACTGCTCTTCCAGGGAGCATTTGTACCGGAGGCACAGCCTTCCAGAACACCAGTGTACCCGGTGCTTCTCTAATTTTAGAACGACAGAGGAACTGCATCGCCATCATCGACAACCAAAGGCCTGTGAGGTACGGGATAAACCACATATTCTAGAAGGGCTTGATCAAGAAACATTGAGTCGTCTGAAGACGAGGTCAAAAAAGCCTCCACCGATCTCACCAAGCCTTTCTGCGGAAGAGCAAAAATGGTATATCATGTATTCAATTATCTTCCCGGGCCATACTTCGGTTCCAAGTCCTTGTGAGTTAAAATTTCCGAACCATTACTATAACGGAAGCAGCCCAGAACCAGAAGCGACTAACATGGCGTAGACTATGAGCCGGAGGATACAGGGCTTTCACTTCTTCCCTCGGAGGCTGTTGCTGAGGAGATATTTCGCCAGAATCTCCAGGAGACGCTTCCAACCTGGATCTTGAGGGATTCAACAATAATAGATTCAATAATGCATGGGAGCATATCCGCTTTCAACAAAACATTCACAGCCATCCACAGACATGGGACAGCCTCAACAACGGCGACAGCAAATATTAACAGACGATTACCAGTAACTGACGAGGCTAGCAAGGCTGAAAACGAGAGTGTCGATGATTCGTCCTGGCCTTCTCTCATGACGCCCGAAAATGATTACGTGGCGCCTCGATTGTTTTACGATCCTTATGGCCGCCTCACACAGTCTTTCACTTTTCACCAGGCTAGTGGAGACAAAGCAGAGACAACTGAGCCGTCAGTGCAGCCACCTACGCACAGTGGTTCATGGCAGCCCAGTTCACTGCCTCCGCCTTTCCCAAGCTTAGCCGCTTACGGCCCGAGTCTTACCCCTCAAGACGATTGGCCTTTCCAGGATGATACGACTGGTGGCGGTCTTGGTCGAGTGAGGGAAGGATGGGCCGTGGATCTAGCCCATTTGAGTTCATCCACATCAGGAGGGCATCAGGACGAGAATGTCTTCGATATAGAGTGACGACTTGGAGTGCAAGTGCCAGATCACTTCACTTGATAGACAGGAAATAGTGCCAGTCACATAGTGGAATTCAAGCAGGTCGAAATATCACCAGGTCGCTGTGGGTCCAAACTTGCAATGCTCTCGATTTTTGTATACTAACTAAGGTTACCAAAGTGATTGGCCCATTCCATGTCGAAGTGGTTAAGGTACTCCCCCAAGCCCATCCCCTGCTCGTCAAGCATGTGTATACTGGTGGCCGAGTTGCCAGCTTCGAGTGTCAGGGTTTGGAGAGAAACGTTGTCTGCAGCAGGTCTTGCGGAGTGTGATGCAGCTTCGTCACTGAGGGGTGAAGAAGAACTTGGCTGGGCATTGGGGAAGTGGCCATCCCTACTGAGAACGTCGAAAAAGACAGGCAGGTAGTTAAGAACGGTACGCAGGTCCCGAGTCGCTTGCTGCTGGCCCAGGTTGCCCTGGCTAGCAAAAGCAAGAACTGACCTCTGTATGAAGTACGGGGTAGGGCTACGGGCGACTGCGAGAGCCTGTACAACGGTGGGGAGGAACGGCGCAGGCACTTGGACAGCATCTGGATAAGCACGTCGATGCATCTCAGTCCACACCGGACCATCCAACTGTCCGTCCTTCTTCCGTATATCAAGGATATAGTCGATGGTATCGGGTGGGAAGTGCATAGCCCTCTCGCAGTCTTGTTGGCAGTCGCACAAGTGTTTGGTTCTGATGTGAAAACTTTCGTGAGGTTAGTCCCTACTTCAAACATGGTCTGCTTGCCCACGTCACGTACCGAAGGTGGCTCAGGTTAACTTCTCCGCTCAGACAGGCTTTGGGGATGGAGGTAGACGTGGAGGGGAATGGCACAAGTGGGCAGGCGAGACGATAGTTACTTGGTGTTTCTGGACTGGTACTCATCGTATGGCTTCAGTCCTCGATGGCGACATTTGAGGAACAGAAACGAGCCTGGCGACAGTGCCGATGATATAGAGCCTGGCTGTCACAACCACAGGCGCCTGAGAAGGTGAATGCCAGGCCCCGCCCGATAATAGGGGTAGCAAGACAGGCTGTATAGACCAAAGCGAATGCAATAAACAGAAATGTGGAAGCAACATCCTAGTCTCTGCAGCATGCGCGGTCGGACCTCTAGGACTAGTTGGAAAGTGTTGACGCGGGTGTTGGGCTCAACTTTGTTCATTCCATCATCGTCGCGATAATTTGTTGGGGCATCTGTTGGCAATGCTGTGATTCGTCATGATTTTGGCCGTGGAGTGCTTTAGTTCCATGGATAGGAGATTGTTGAAGCAATTGATCGAGTCCCTCGTGGTGCGGTGGGTTTTTGGCTATGGGGTTGAAAATGACGGCATACGCAGCAGGTTGTGCAAGCCACTCTGTCAGGCATTCATTCTACCCCTCACTTCTAGCAGGGTCATGACTCTGGAGCGTGCGTGGTAGGAAAAGTCGAAATGGGCTTTCTCCCCATCTCCTGGACCACGGTACAGTCTCCAGGGGTTAGATCGTGGCTGCAAATGCTCTGTGTTGTTGTCAGCAGGCTGCGCTTGATGTTGTTAGCGTGGATGTGACTTGAGGCCACTGGCAATGGCAAGGTAGGCCATAGTCGACGTGCTTAAAAGACCATGAAAAGAGAGGAGACCAAGAGTTGCCATATTCCTAATCTTGTTGCCATATTTCTAAGGACTACGAGATAGAAACCCACAAAGAAGACAAAGAACAAACCAAAGAAAGGTACAGTTGCAAGGACTGACTCGACAATAATCTTGTGGGGCTCGGACAATGCACTGACGCTCGAGTAAAGCAGAAATGACAACCGGCACGAATACAGAAGTCAACCAAACTTCGATACTGGAGCGATATCTGTTCTGTGAAGGACAGTCGAGTGCCCAAGGCCGCTTGGCTTCGGGTAGGCCAGCTCCAACTGTCGAAGAGAAGACCGCGGAGATGAGCCGGCACTTAGCAGGGCTAGGCCAAGGAACAATCGCAGTCCACCCAAAAGAACAGATGAACAAGATGGCTCAGGAGCTGGATAGCCTGCTTGAAGGCAAGTAGGGAGTCTCGCTGTGTCCATTGAGTTGTTGTGCTGGCCCGGCTCTGCAGCTCAGGGGTATATAATCGAGAGGGGATCGTGAAAAGGCGGTAGCGCACATATTGAGGATGTTTAGCAATCGGTGTCGCAACAAGACAGAGGAAAAGTCCAGCCCAGTAAAAAGGCGAAACTGAACAGATAAAACTCTCATCAACTTATATTAAAAACATGTAGGCTCCAGTACATATTTAATCTTCCACCTCAATTAATCTGAACGCATTTGCGTTCAAACGCAAACGCGTTGGCTGTTGCGAGGAATGGAACACAAGACAATCAATCTCCACCAGGTTGCCAACAACACAACGGGCATTCTGGCCTATTGGTTCAGATAAGAGACCCATGCCCCCTCATGGGCCTCCTCGTTCTGTGAAAAAGCAAACTTTGCACCAGCGACTTCTGCCAATGACTGTCTCACTTTCAAGCCACTTTGCAAGGTGACCCGTTGGTACAACGCGTAGCCCAATCAATACATCACTTTCTCGTTAGCCAATTAAATCTGTACAACACAGCATGACATCACGACCGCCATGGTCCTTGACCTAAAAACATACCTTCATGATTGCGTACCTAGACTGGACAAGGAAACCTGAGTCTAGCACCATTCTTTTTCCTATAATTAAAGCTTACTTGATGAGAGGAATTACTTATTATCCCACGACCTGCTCGTACTTCTTAATGCTTTTCGAAATAGACAAGGCTATATACTTGGACTTGACTCCCTTGCATTAGTGTTGCATTGCTGTTGATTGCTTTCCATACATTGGGGAGGTCTGCTCGATCATGTGATCTCGGTCATTTACCTATGGTTTCTAGCCGAAGGGCTTTTCTATGTTTTTTAAAAGTCTAGTTATTGTAGCGGATAATTAGGTAATATCATTGCATTCAAGCTATTAGTGGTTTTAATTTTATACAAACCTCTATACCATTCCTATCTCTTATTTCCAACGTTACTCCACTAGATTTAGTAAAGACACTAGATTCGTTATACCTACTAGCCTCCATACACATACGAGCCTAAACGCGTTATTGGATATGATTATCCAGCCTGTCAGTAACTTGTGAAACTATTCGTTATGCTGCCAAGTCGTACCTCTACAGGTCCTCTAAAGGCTTACCGAGCTGAGGGAAGGATCATTTTTAATGGTGACTCTGGATAACACAATTGTAACTGCGAAGGACTTTACAAATTAGCAGCTTACTCACGTGTGAACAGATATTCGTGTAAGAAAGATAAGATCTTGCTATCAGGCAGTGTTAGACCCCACTATCTTTCACAAATAGATACTACCTTAACATACGACTCTTATTGTAGTGTTTCATGCTAGGCACATCTCACTTATCTTCCACGGTTCAAGACGTGGCGTTGCTTTTGACGTAGGTTTATACAAAGTGGTTATGCAAATGAACCACTAAAACGAAAAAATATATCACAAAGAAGTATACACATACGCCCTTATATACCATCCCCCAACAACCTCACTTAACTAGTATCACATACTCGCTTAGTTGACATGGGCGTTGAAGTTAGCGACTGTAAGCTTAGCATTGCTTCCCCTGTAGTTATATATTAGTATGTGTCTATAAGACAAGAAGATATGAACTTACGTGAAGGGCTCGGTACCAAACTGGAAGGCTACACGGGAGGAATTAGTAAATGTTTCGATACTGCATTGCGTCGGGTCAACATACTCAGGAGATACTGCTTGCTGATAGGGAAGCCTTGGGTATTGGCGAGGTAGTTGTAGAATTGCTTGACGTCCGAGTTGAAGTTGTTGACAGGGTTGGCGGCGACGAAGCTGAAGACCTTCATGCTGCCGTTCATGCCAACCCAGAGTTCCCAAGTCTTGCCTTCGACGTTGACATTGCCCTGGCGAGAACCAATGGGCTGAACTCCGCCGTATCGAGCGAGCCTAGGTAAGGAAATACGGTTAGTAATTGCAACGCAGTAGTGAATCTCATATAAACCTACCAGATCATGAGCTCGTAGTCGCCGCTGGACGTGGAGTGCTTGGGGTCAGCAGCAGTGAAGAGATCGTAGGCAACATTGGCACGGATGTTGGTGCCGCTATAAGACCACGCAGTCGCGGACTGCATGTTGCTGATGCTGCTGAGGAGGCGCTTGGTGTTGAGCTGGAGTGCCGAGTTGGGGTAGGCCTTGACGTTGTCCTGTCCTCCAGACCAGTTCCAGTCGACGTGCCATCCAGCGCCGTTGCTGTTGGACCAGTCAATGTAAGTGCACTGGCTACCAGAGCCAGAGTCCTGGCCCCAGCGGTTGTTGTTGAACTCGTAGCCGGCGTTGGAGTAGTAAGAGTAGCAAGAGTAGCGGTCGCAGAGGGACTGGGCCAGGGCGAAGGGGGCAAAAAGACCGGCGAGGAAGACAAGTGAGCTCTTCATTTTTGATTTGGTATTCTGATTTGGTATTCTGATTTGGTATTCAAGGTGATTCACAAGTGTATGTTGAGAGTAGACAAGTAATTACTGTGTATCTGCCGAGAGTAGATTGATGGCTACGTGTGTTCCCTTTATATTTTAAGTCAATGGAACAAAAGTCCTTCCTTTACAGTCCCAATTCAATCACGGAAGTTTGTCCGTGGCCATATCAGTCCGTTAAACTGGACTCAATGGCTGATTCCCTTCAAAGATCAGGAGTTACCACTACAAAGCCATGGCATTTCCAATTGTATTCGGTCCGTTTAGAAGAATGAAGCCTCGCGTTTTGAGATCTAACGGGACTGCTTATTGTATAAGCCGACGGAATGCTTCACCGGGCGGGTCTGGACTACTGGTATCCAAGAAACATGTCTTGTTGAAGTGATGCTACTGTTACGCTGAAACGTCAGTGGGCTGTTCGTAAATTGCTTACCCTTTGTAGGATTTCCCCTCCCGTAGATATCTTCTCTCAGGGGAAATATTGTCCCGTTTGGTGATCTGGACAATGCACTAGCGCTTATTTAATCCCGGAATAAATATTGGCACGCTGGGGAACAACCCTGGCTACGTCGGTGTTAGCAGCCTGTCACATGACGTATCAAACGGAGGCGAGATTCCGTGGACCTGGAAGAGGTCAAGTTTCGATTGTGGAGTAAAGCGACGATGCTACGGTAGTTCATGGGCCACGGTATGACGGCCCGAGAGAACGGGTTGTGATTCCTTCTGTGGGCATGTGAGGAAGACGTCGATCGGGCGTTGACCTCTACACGTTATTTGTCAAGATAGAGTTAGCATTGCCTTTACCGGCTGTCTAGCCAGGAGAGGAAGACGAGAACTACCGAGACTTGTGCTTAATCACACCTCTGTTGCGTGCGATTAGCTGATAAGCCACGGAGTAGTAAGCATCTACTCCGTAGTAACTTAAATACCCATCTACACTTTACCTCTGTGAAACGTCCCCCTTTCGCTACTCTATGTCGCGTCTGGGATAATGCCGGGTGAGGCCATTCGAGCATGATCTGCCAAATAGCCGAAGCATCGAGGTACGATCCTGGAAACAGAAATCGATCACCGGACGAATTAATTGCATCTCTTATTGCATACAAAAACTGAATTCTTACGGGAGCGCTTATTCTTATTTCTTCCAGAGCTGCGATCTGCTCTTGCGGTCAAATGATGAGTGTCGATACGACATTTCATCTGCAACCGAGTCCAGCCTATTTGCGTTCAGCGACTATGCATTCTATAACTGCTGGCTCCGATCCGTTTTGAGAAATTAAAGCGATTCGATTTCCCAATTCGTCAATCCTTGGTTCAAACAGGACAAGCTTCAAGCCGAGACGTGGAGTAGCCGGCATTTGCAAAGATGATCTGCCGTGTATTGTTCGAGAAGGTTGCTGATATTACCCAATTGCCTGTACTTGACGGATAAATTAAACTCAAAAATGTTTCGTAGAATCTTCCTTTTATGAATAACCAGGCCTTGGAAGACATAAGCGAAATTACAGTCCCGCTCTTGATGGGCCGAACGTCTCATTGAACGGGAAAATGATCAGCTGAATTTCCTAAATGAAACTTTTGCAGTTTCGAAACACCCTGCTATTAAGTTTGTTCCGCAGGGATCTGATACGGATCCACTTAGACCATAGCTGAGCTGTGATTGCTGGAGATATGCAGCAGCTAAATGCTAAATAGCCGGATTAACGTGTTTGTCGGGTATAACGAGCTGTGATGTGAGAGCCAGCATCATTTGTGCTGAGCTTGGTCCGTTTGGAAGTTTTGCGCATCACGGCTAAGCCGTCAGAATACGAGGCGGAGAGAGTATATAAACAAGATTGATTTCACCTCGAATTATAAGTTTTAGTCTTACTCTTCAACAGGACTGCCAGACAGAGCCTATTCACTTCTTTCACATTCTTAAACTACAACACAAAGGATCCAATTCCCGTTTATCAACATGCGCTCTCCCATTGCCCTTACCCTCGCCCTGCTGGGTGCTGCTCAGCTCGGAGAGTCTGCCTCAGCTGGCTGTGGCAAGGCTGCTCCCCAGAGCGGTACCAAGTCCATGCAGGTCAACGGCAAGAACCGTGAATACATCCTTCAGGTTCCCCAGAACTACCAGCCCAACAAGCCCCACCGACTTGTCTTTGGCTACCACTGGCGTGATGGCAACATGAACAACGTTACCCAGGGCGGCTTCTATGGTCTTCAGGGTCTCGCTGCCAGCTCTACCCCTACCATCTTCATTGCCCCCAACGGTCTTAACGCTGGCTGGGCCAACCAGGGTGGCGAGGACATCAAGTTCACCGATCAGATGCTCGCCTTTGCTAAGGCCAACCTCTGCATTGAGGAGAAGCAGGTCTTTGCTACTGGATGGAGTTACGGAGGATCCATGAGCCACAGCGTCGCTTGTTCTCGACCCAGTAAGTTCACAGATGTTTACGACAGGTTTCATACAATCTTGCTAACAATCATACAGACGACTTCGCTGCCGTTGCTGTTATCTCTGGTGCTCAGCTCTCCGGCTGTGACGGTGGCAACACCCCCACTGCCTACCTCGGTATACACGGTTCTTCCGACAACGTCCTGGGCATCAACCTTGGTCGCCAGCTGCGCGACAAGTGGATTGGCACCAACGGCTGCCAGCAGAAGAACGTCGTCGACCCCAACCCTGGTGCTCAGAACCACGTCAAGACCACCTACACCTGCAGCCGCAAGCCCGTTACCTGGGGTGCCCACGGAGGTGGCCACATCCCCGATCCCACTGGCACCAACGGCGTCAAGTTCGCCCCTGGTGAGACCTGGAGCTTCTTCAACGCTGCCGTTGGTGGTAGCGCTAAGGCTCGCTGCTAAAGCACTCATTCAGACACGAAGCCCATGAGAGCTCTCGGGCTGTCTCATCTTTCTTTCCCTGTACATAGGAGCCTGATTCAAAAGGGTTTTGTTACATATCTTGAGCCTGTTTGTACCTTAGGTCTTTACTCTGAGGTTGTATTTTGTCTCTAAGTCAATAGGAATACAATGCAGTACATACATGCCAGTATCGTGTTCGGCCAAATGAATGTTCTCTATATGTGCACATGTCCTTGGCAAATTTACCAGGACTCTAGTTTCCCTGAATCTGCGGAGTAGCAGTTCCAATGCCCTTACCTCAATCGGGATTATATAAAGATTAATTTGTACAGGTTCCTTTCATCTGCTGATAGATAACAACAGTTCTTTGAGTGGGCAGGTAATAATATAGAGGTTAGTATTGGCAAAAACAGACCAGCTAGCAAGGCCTCTTAGGGCAACCAGTTGCTAAATAGTTTTCAGTGAGTGACTTACTGGCGCCTGGATGGATGATAAGCCTTGGCTTATGTAGCTCTTACGCTTGTATGGTATGATGATTTACTGCCCGCCCCAGAAATCATGCATATCGCCTTTTCAGGCAATCTGTCCTTGGTCACGACTTGCCATAAGCCGCCACTGACTTGATTGCATTGTTTATACGACGAGGAGTATGCCTTGACCATGTTGTGTATTCCCCGTTTAAGTACTATTATGCGAGAGGGAAACGTGTCAGCATCGCGCGAGGCGTTCTTTAGTTACCAATCGACGTCTCTGACTTCCATGTTAGTAGGGCGGCTCATTTCCGACTTGGAAAGGGCCAGCCATGAGGATTTAAAGGCATATTTGACTGGAAGGCGTCCTGAGGCAAGTCATCGGTCAACGCCGGTACCAGGCTTAGTAGTGTCTGGAGGGCAGCTTCGGTTTAATTTAGGGAGCTCAGAATTACTTTATAGATACTATTTGATCACGGTCGCCTGCCATTGCTTTACAGATCATCCCTAGGCCGCTCTGTTTGAGGATATGGGTCAAGCCAAACTCAAGAGATTAGATAACATGTATTCCAGTGAACAGTTCTAAGCGAATGGGAAGAAAAGACGGCCTCAAAGGGCCTTTGACTGTGAATAGCCCTGTTGACGGCAGCCTAAAGCCAACGTCAGCGGCTGGAAAGACCAGGGCAAGGACGAGCCTTAAAGAAATCCGTGGAATATATTCTTAGCCCGCCCAATTCAAGCGCATCAAACCGGGCTGGTATTGGTGTATGGACTGACCGGTCCATCTTGGAGGGTCCTTGGCATGTATGAGGCAAGTTCATCGGCGTTCTTGATGGTTCGAGCTATTTCGTATTGCTAAAGGGAGGTAGCGTGTTAGTCGATCGCAGCAACGCAGTCCAGATAGAGGCAGTTATCCACGAAGCAATCCACGGTACGCAATTCTTAATGGCAATGTGCAATAAAGGGACCGCCATTGCTCCTGAGGTTTTGGGGAAAGAGAGCTTCATTGCGGTCACGGGCTCCGAAGATGGGTTCGCCAAGGAGTTTGGACTGGCATTTTAATATCTCGTATGACGCCTTAGTTGACTAAGAGAAGAGAGAAAAGTTGGGCTGAAGAATCCCCGGTCGAGCCTGCCCAATGATCGGGACTTACAAGTGTGATCTGCAATCATACAACTACATTGGTCTCTTACTCATCGGCACTCTACACAACCCTATCGAAATTGGAACTATTATGTGTATCGAATGGCTGTATGCTAACTGACTGGGTGTAAACGACGAGTTACAAACGATAAACGACGAAGGTCTACTTGTTGTAGCCACATTGGGACATTTTTACGAGTGTAAATGCGTGTTGAAGCTAAGCACTACTCCAAGGCAGCTTATGTGTGTGTATCGTAGCCTTAGATGTCAGATTTAGTGCAGGGTTATTCACTATACTCATTGGCTTTCACATCTAAAGAATACGGATAATATTATCCTAGGCATTATGTGGTCAGTTGCAGGTTGGAGGGTCAGTATGATTGAGAAGTATAAATATAAAGTTAGTTCGTGTCTTTTTTTACCTTCCTTCTATGTAAGACATCCTACCTTTTAACATCACGTTTATCTTATCTCTAAGGACAAGGACATACAAGACTACAACGTCATTAACTGGAAACAAAATGAAGTTCACTTCACTCGCCAGTGCTCTTACTGCAGTGATTGCTATTGCCACTGCGGCACCACAAGGTACAACCCCATAACTGATAGCTGCATCTAACATAACCCGTTCTAACAATTTATGTATCAAAGGTCCGAAAAGCCCTGCATCTGAAGGGAAACTCGACAAACGCCAGCAAATTTGCAGCGTCTCGTGCTTCTGTGGCCCAGAGGACAAAGGCAAGTTGCAGGGATGCAGATCTTGCTGCAACGTTGGAAAGCCTAGTGGCTGTTATTGTCAGGTTTGCCTCTGCTAGGAAATCGATTCAGAGAGGAATATAGTGGACTGGTTGGGATGGGCTGAGGTCATAGTCGCTTGAAGTTACCTTGAGAATCTAAGTATTATGACCCAGCAGATGACCCGTCAGACCATCATGTGCACCCCCATAAATCTAGCCCAGTTAACCATGACCTAGCCCAGACTCAAATGGTGATGAGTTACCCGGCATATTCGAAGCCATCACGTCGTGCATCTTCTTCGGAACTCCCTTTTCTGGCGCACCTGTAGCCTCTATTGCTTCTATGAGAAGCACCGCACGGACTTTTCCAAGTTCAGCAATTTGACCTCTGTCTTTTTGATGGTGGAAAACTTGATACCAAAGCAGGTAACCAAATTTGCCAGTCGCGACTCTGCTGCCCTTCTAGGGGTCAAAGCTCTGGGTTTTGCATGTGACCATCGGAATCTGGGCAAGTTTAACGGACCTCAAGATATTCGATGGACAAATATGGTGCAGGGTGAGATAAAGAGAGTAACCAGGACGCTCTCTTGGCTATAAAAGCTAGCCTCAATTCACTTTCTGTAAAATTGAATGAACCCATGGAGATGTAGTAAATCCTTGATATCCTTGATATCCTTGGTATCCTAAACCTTTTCTAGTATCTTAGCACCTCTGTTGACACTGTTTTGTGCTATTAAAGCCCGACCGCAGAAGGTTATCTAATCAGTCAATGTTGGTTTTATGTCCCACTGAAATTCTGAAATTCTGAAATTCAAGGCAGTAAAGATCCTACAAACTGATTCGTCACTAATGATGGACAGGGAGCAGGCACCTTTTCTACAATAACCAATCATTAGGCATTAAACCTTGCCTAGTGCTTATTGGCAGACTCTTCTTCCTTCAGCTATATAACGCACATTCCCGCACAGTTGAGTTACGGATTATCACACGAAATATAAATCTTGCCCACGCATTAGCAGTGGGCTTTTCTGAGATGGAATCTCCTGCACCCAACAGCAGCCTTGGATCTGCACAACGACCTTCTGCGAAACCTTACTTGTTGGACAACAATATCGTCATCAATATCTATCACCTGCCAGACGACATTCTTTCTGACATCTTTTCCTATGCAGCCGTGTCGAAATCCCTCCCCGCACAGTTGAAGATTGGCAAAGCTACTGATGACATATACCTTGATACCGAGGAGTACCAAGGTTCATTGGCGAAGGCGTTCCGGACAGCGCGGGCGCTTTGCCTTGTATGTCGGCGCTTCAATTATCTTGCCACGCCATTTCTTTTCCAACACCTCATTCTCATACAGTATGTGGTAGAAACACTTCCGGACGGAAGTCTTACTGAACGGCAACAAACCCCTGGGTCTGTGGCGCAGCAAGGTAAAACTTTCGGGGAAATGATGAAGAACCTCCATGGCCTATTAGCAATGAGGCCAGACCTTGGACACCACTGCAAATCATTATGCTTCATCTTTAAAGAAGACCCACAGCCCTATGATTCTCGGTATGAGACTGATGAGGATTCCGGGGAAGATAGCGAGGGTAAAAGACCACAAAACTACATCGAGTTCCCTCAAACTGCGCTTCTCAACGACATTTACAGCCTGATGGCCAATGTGAGAGACTTTCAAGTTGATGTGACTGATTTGACAGAGAAGATGCCAGAATTCTCCCAAGCGCTAGCATCTATGCCCAGACTGACAAGGCTTTACATTATGGGCGATGTGGAATATTTACCATTAGTTAGACAAATTGCAACCCTGTCGTCAGAATCCATGTTGGAAACACTGGATATTTCCTGCACCACTGCGATCGAGTGCGTCCAAGATGAATACGAAGCCCAGCAGGCGACAATACTACAAGAACTCCAGGTAAGTCACAATATCATAAAGACAGATCTGCCGGGATAGGTTTCAATATCTAATAGCCATGACTAATATTTACCTCGCCATCTACTCAAGACCTATGCAGGCACAGGACCCTTCACAAGACTACTCACCGGGTTCCCACTCGGTCCTGAGCTACTTTTTCCGCTGGTAGCTTGGCCAAAACGCCTTGAACGACTCGCGTTGCAAATTAAATCGCAAAACACCCGCCACTCACCCCTCGATGTCCCTTTACAATCAATATTAGATACTCAGAAGCAATCACTCACACATCTTTGCATCGAGGGCAACTACGGACCGGGTCTCAAGGGTTTTGACTTGAGAGATTTCCCACGCTTGGAGTATCTTGCTCTCACTGACTCAGTTTCCTCCCATTTTGATGCGTCTCGTGATGGGCGGATCGCGCCAGAATTAGACGCACGAATCTTTGCGCCTCGTCTTAGAAGTTTCTTATGGGTGCTACCGCGAGGATGGACGAGCAGACGTCCTAAGATTCAAAATTTCTTCTCCGATAGACACGAAGAACGGTTGAGGTACTTACTACAAACTGCTTTGCAATTGAAGGAGCAAGCGAAGAATACGGGCGACTGGCACTTCAAGAGAATTTGGGTACAGAGTTCAGCCGTGGCACCAGAATCTCTTGAGCAAGAGGCCCGACAAAATTTTGAAAATAATTTGCGCAAAATTGACGACTTGAATGATGAGTTTGGTCCACTAGGAATAAGTGTACGGCACCTTCCATTCGCTAAATCTAACATGAATGGAGATGACGACGATGGTTATGGATGGTGGATTAGATGAAACTTGGTCCTGGGACAATATTCAAAGTATCTAAATTTATTGGCTGGAACAGTATTTTTAGTCATCACCAAAGAATTGCACAGGGAATCCATAAGATATACATTATGTATTGTTTAAAATTCCACAGATAATAAACCTCAAACCTCCCTGGTTTGACTTTCCACGACTATGCCAAGGCACTGCAATATGTTTACGTGACTACACTGCCGCTTTTAAATGGTCTTATCACAAGATGATATAAGGACTAGATAGAATAAGAGAGTTTATAGTAATTTATACTGTCTTAGAGAGAATATAAAAGAGAGAAACTTGTTGGAACGTTTGCCCACCTACTGCAACATGATGTTTTCATAGCGACGATCATGTAGCGAATTGAGCTGATCCAACGATAATTTTATTCACTATCTAAGGGCCTAATAAAACTACAAGAAATGAGAGATTTCAGTCGTAGCTATAAAAGGTTAACTTGTAATTGTCTTCTAGGGGTGAAAAACATAACGTCTTCAAATAGTCAGTAGAGCAACTGAGGTTGACTGAGATAACAAAGCTTATCAATATTTAGTGAGCTAAAGTCTATAAATATACCAATGAATGTGGTTTAGATGCTGAACTCTGGAATTTGGACTGAAGTAGAATTGTGTTAGGACTGATAGTGATAGAATCTCGATCCTGAAACCGACGTTGTGATCCAGGGAGGGCTGGTCTGCTAAGGACGTCGGTCCTCAATAAGGTGTTGTGAGTGGCCATGAATCATGGAGTGCACATAACACAACCGGAGGGTCACAACACTAGCATTTGCCTGCGTTGGGGTCGATTCTATTTTCAAAATTAGCTTATTGATGCAAAGCACATGCATTTTACTTGTCGTACCGCCAATACCAGCCTGCAACACCGCCCTTGCCTCCTGCCGAATTGGCGGAGAGAAAAGTGAGGCGACAAGCGTTGATCAAGTTGAGAAATTCCTTAGTGCAATCCGAATCCTTCACATCAAAGGACTTTTCTTCATTCTGGTTGGTGACTTCCATTTTGATATGATTAGAGGCAACGTTGACACAAGCGTGCTTTTTCTCTCCGGGTTTAAAGGTGCCTTGAAAAGCGCCCTTTTTGCCATCATAGCCTTCGCAGGCACGCTTGGAATGATATTTCAAGTCGTCCTATGGCATGGCAATACCTGTTCTGAAGCATTGCCATGCGTCGATGTTGGCAACAGAAGCGCTGATAACAAGGACATTCGTAAAGATGGCTGCGGTCTTCATCGTGACACGATCTTGCAATATGTTCCTTGGGCTTTTAAGTTGTAAGATCGAATGTTAGAGAGATATTTATGTATCAAGTATTAAGAGATGATCCAGACGGGAGTAAGAGCCGTTTTTATTAATTACTGTCTAAGAAGAAAAAACCATAGTACCTAGCTTTAAACCTAGGTGTTGTTTTGAGATTATACATACCAGGGAACGACATAGGCCTGTGCCATAGTGTATTCTAGGTAATCGTCCTATGGGACTTTCAAGAAATGTACCTTTTCTCATAGCGCCCCAATTTTCCCCATCGGGCGATAGCGTGGCAAGTTGAGTGGTTTTACTATGCTTGAACTAACTAGCCTGTACGTTACATCACTATCCTGATATGTATCAATGTAGCGCTGACGGCTCTTTCTTGTGTCCAGAGCGTGTTAGTCTTACTAAGATTTACAGCATTAAGCACTTGTGCCTTCCTCTCATACAATAACCCTTGTAAATAAAAGACAGCCCTGCATGTCATGAAAGTGTACATATTATATAATGAACGCCGCGGTGTAAGCCGGCCTTAAGCCTATCTTAACCAATCGGCTGCTCCCGCGTGTGCCTGGAACGCATTACCAAGCGATTGATACAGCCTCCTTCTGGTGAAAAGCGGCGAGGTTAGGTAAAGCCTCTACAGGTTGATACTTTATATGGAGCCCATTTCAACCCCCACTGGGTCAACCATGACGCTTCTTGTTGATTCTGGAAACTCGGCAATAGTGCCAGCGTGTTGAACGCTACGCCTAAGCACTGGATTTCCTATGAGTAAGTTCACACACGCAACAGCACAATCACAAGTACAATATGTACACCGGCAGACTAAATGCGCAAATTGAACAGCAGTCTACACCAAATGTGGAACTTAAATTTATATCACTCTGCGCTGATATATTTTCTAAACCTCTGAGAATCTTTACCCCTGGCAGAAGGCCGAACGATGTTACCGTTATCCCGAGGCAAGCTCCACATTGCGCTTCAAGTAGCCATTGCGGGCAGGGACCGGGGTATTCTTCAGGCTTAGACTTGCCTCAACCCTGACAGGCCGCAATACGGAAACGGACCTTTACCTAGACCATCGGCGCCGATGACCAAATCCCAGGGTTGAGCGAGAGTGGCAGACTATCAGGGGAGGTGCAAATGGATGTACGTGCCTGAGAGAAGCAAGAGGTTTTGTGTATAAAGGTAGTCTATCCTTTGAATTTCCACGAACTTAAATATCACCTCTTCCCAATTATTTATCCAACATAAAAGTCGTTCAACCCAAGAGAACCCCTCCTCCTTCCAACAGATTTCATCATCATAAAGAGCACATCTCTCCTCGCCGCCAGTGTACTTGTTCTGGGCACTGATATCATTGGCACCGCTGACGCCAAATTTTGTTTCGTGACGGGCCCCTCCATGCATACTGGGACAATGAAGTTCCATGCTGAGCGGGCTTGTCGAGGGTACAAGGATACACAAGGCGCTTTCCGTTCAGGTGCGTTTCAAGGTTCCTTCGGACCCGGGCAAACGAAGTATGCATGCGTCAATGTCCCAGAACAGGCCAAGCATCTAAAGATGGAGGTCGGGAACAAGAACAACGACGCGTCATTCGACCTGAAAGATGATGATTGCCTTGCCGAGTTTGTGAAAATCGTCAATGGCTGCCCGTACAAGTCTAATGGGGCTGATGGGAGTGACAAGCCCGACCACTCGAGAGGCGCCCGAACTGACGTTGCAGGGTGGCATTTTCGGTAAGTCAGAAACCTTAGACGAAGCTCTTAATTGAATACTAACTTGCTGCAGAATCGATCCTAACAATGGCCTCGGTTGCTAAAGTATTTATCCTTTTTTGCTTAGCATTAATAAACAAGCACCTTCACCTAAAGCTTGTGTGAACTTCTATGTTTGACGAGTCGTTTCCGGTGGTTATATCGTCTGGGGGGGTAATAAGGCCTTAAAGTCCCTGACTGGGGCACGGGACGTACTGGGAATGTTGTCCGTGGGAAGCGATGTGGCGCAATTCACCAAGGGGAAGACACTCACTTCGCCAAATAAAGCTAGAGAAATAAGAACCTACCTACACGGTCATTACAGAATACTATAACTTCCTCTTAAAATATAATTCTGCATACACATTGATAGACTACACGCCATCTGATGTAGTCACTTTATACACTCTGTAACCCTGTATCTCAGAAGTACCATGGAGGCTGAAAACCATTCCACCGTTGGTAAACAGCTAACATCCGCCACGGCTGATTTGTCTTTTTAACCGTCCACGCAGTGGTAAACTTTTATCACCAGTTCACTGCATGGTGTCCCGGACGAGCGATCTGGGCTTCTTTGAAAAGCGCCAATAGCTAGAGTCCCTTTCCCCATCAATCATAATATGATACCAACCCAAATCTATTCTCTCAAAGTCAATTACTTAGAACTGCAAACAAGTGGTATTTGCAGTTGTAAAATGGCCCTAGCATATCCGAACCCTTCTTCCTCGTGTACCTCCGATGACATTGAACTTCCACGGCATGATGGGCCCTTCGAGCCGCGTGCCCTGCAGGACGAGGAACAAATCGATCCGTGGGAGGAAGGCTTAGAAACTTTTCATATGTTCGCCCTGACTGTCAACAAGATGATTGGTAATGGCATTTACACAGCTCCGACTGCTTTCTACCTTATGACAGGTAGCAAGAGTCTTACACTGGTCTTGTTTTGTGTTGGCGTTCTGTATTGCTTGATGGCGTGAGTTCTGTCGCTCTACCGCCTGGTACCATGCTTCTAAAGAATCTCACAACTACCTGGGGTCAACAATAAGGTGAATGGTTGACAGAACAACAGCACAGCTATCTATCTTCAGTATGCAGCGGTTCTGCATATGACGGAGGTGAACTCGTCTACGTAAGTACTTGCCTCATTCGTGCAGATTCAAAAGCAGAGTTGACCGAAGTAGCTCGATGAAATCACGGCACACGTCACCCCTACTTCCACCGATACGTCAGTCGTTCCGGTGCCTCAAGAGCACAACGAGGGGCTCAATGTGAACCTAGAGGAACAAACTACAGACCCGAGAAACCCGACGAATTCGAGAAGAACGAACACCACTTCCAACGGACTATGGTCGATATTTATGCAATGGTGTAGGAAGCTTATGGGCGATGGCCTGTTAGCGAAGCTCTTCAGCTTCAAGGAGATAACAAAGGGGCTCAAAACTCATGGGCCCGTCTTTATGAGGCTGTCATGATCGTAACAATTCTTTTCTACACACTCCTGAATCTCGTTATCCTCATCATCAACACCATACCCGAATATGTTAGTTCAGACGGTACTGAGCATGTGTTCCCGGGGTATGGCTTTCCTGTCATTGTGGCTTCCGTGATAATCATCGGGACCGCATATTACGTGTTATTCTTCGGTGCCGCTTATCGCTACTACGAGCCCTTGCCAGCCAGTTCAGCAATTAAGAGCGACTAGGAAATTTTCCCAGCCGCGCATGTACAAAGGAATATTGAAGCCTGAAAGTCGGTTCAACTTGATGAAACACGCTGGTGTCCGATGCGACGTTCGCAGGGAATACTTTTATAAGAAAGTCGAGAGGATGTATAGATTCGGGCGGCGTTGGAGAATGCAGTATTCAATACGTGGAGTTGATGCCGAGGTAGGTTTCTCACACTACTCTACTGGTTCAAGTTCGGAAACACTTTTGAAAAATACATCTTGATGATTTGTACTCATTTGGGATCATAAGACTCACATTGAAACAGTATCCTGGCGAACCACAAACCGATCAGACCGGTACGACCTTTGTCATGACCTTGTACTGGGTCTTTGGCGGAACTCGGTTGAAGCAAGACAGAACTCCTTGGGCTAGGCTAAAGGAACGCACGGAACGGCTTTTCTCTTGGTGATCAGTAGCTCAAGGAATAGCACACAGAGGCATAGACCGAGTCAGGAGTTAGTCTTACGTGGACATAGCAGTACTTTACGTGGACTTCAAAGGGGGTGGACACTACTTTGTGGCAGGTTGGTAGTACCGTATCGACTGAGCAAATTCGCTACGACCTGTGGATACCGCTAGAGATTTCAAGCTAGCGAACTGCACGTCTCAATGGTTACGAGGGCAAAAGAGTGGCTTAGGTCAGCAAGATTGTGCTCTTATAGCCGGTCTATATCCAAGCGAATCAATACGAGCTACAGCGTGCCAGCCCGGTATTTCTAGTGGTATCCACAGGTCGTAGCGAATTTGCTCAGTCGATACGGTAATAGAATCCTATTAGTATTACCACACACAAATTAACCTTTCAATTTGAAGGTCACATAGAACAGCCTGAACCAGAAGCTTCCTATACTTTAATATCTCCTTATAAAATAACTAGAAATACTACTTAGAAGACTATGGCCATGTAAGATTCCAAAGGTCTACAAGTCGAGTATTGGTATATTGTAGGACAAAGTCCAAATGTTATAAAGTGTTACCGATAAAGTGTAGACCTTAGGCAGACTTGCACTTTGGAGCGGAAGACCAATGCAAGACAGACATGCTGTACCGAGGAAGAACTTAGCAGGTTAGCTCTACTGTTGATCGTATCCTAAAAAAGCTATCGACCTGTGGTTAAGAGACCGCTCGGACTATTCCCTGTAAACAGTCCATACGATTACGTTAGAATGTCACTGGGCCATGTAATTTCTAGCTGTTATTATACTCGACAGACGTTGCGTCGAGAAGCTACACTTCAGTTACTTATTATTTGATTGGGGCGGAATGGATGTGTATTTGTACAGTGGGTGTGCAACACTTGCGATAAGTTCCTCTCGCCTAAATTTTACATGAAATTATATAAAATAGAAGAGCTTTCTAAAGTTTGTATAATCTAATTTGATCTTAGTTTTATATTATATATAAAGTATTCTAACTATTGTATATTTTATTTATTTGTATTGTTAGTTAGCCCATTGTCGGAACTTTTGCACGGGACAGTAAGTGCTTTACAGTTGTTCCTTTGGTTTATTACTGGTCAATCGAGCCCATGTGATAAGTATGTAAAAGGTCAATCCACTCTAACACCTGCTTTATCTAGTTAGTAGATATTATTCTAGTATTTAAGAGGGGTTCTAGCCCACTCAATTCTTGACCATCCAACTTCCATTTGTTACTACGCCATTAACATTTCCAAAATGTCTCCATCAGAATTCATGATACGCCTGCAGAGAGGTACTGATAATAGAGGGTTATAGTAGTTAGTGATTACTAACAAATTTGCTTCACAGGTATTACGGGTGGATTTGCTCCACCTACCCCGTCTGCTATCTATACGATATCGAAGGGGCCAGATTCTGAAGTTACAATAACTTCTTCGGTTAGAGAAGATGGACAGCCTATGTTAGGGAACCCGACTGAGAAGACTATCACTTCGACTCAAGTCAATGATTTGGTGAACGAACTTGAGACTATTCTCAAGGAGATCCCAGTTGAGTACCCTTCAGGCTCTGAAGACATTTATAGTCTTGATACCGGGATCTTCTGGGGCTCTACTGATTTCGAATGGATGAATGGAGGGCCTGGGGGATGTGGAGGTGGGTCCAGTGAGGCTCAACCAACTCCTGGACAAAAAGAATCTTTTAAGAGAGCTGTTAAAATTATTGAGGAGATGGTCGAGCTTGAGTAAGGAGTAATAGCTACAATAGTACATTATCTATGAGATTGCAATTCCATAACATTGATACAAATACATGGGTAGCTATGGGATGACACTTAGACTTTTCTCCGACTCATCGACCCAACTTAAAGTACCTCGCAAAGAACATCGAATTGGCAGCGAGGATCACCGGCACCACGCTCACCATCTCACCCAGTCCAGCATATCGTGGAGGAATGCGGAACTCAACCCAAGCACCGCTAGCCATGGTGATTGCCAAGACATTGTAGACAGCAGACCAGATAAAGTTGAAGTACATCCGGTTGAACGAGACTTTGCTGATGTCGAGAAGAAAAGGGATCCCTTCCAGACCGTTGAGAAGGACGACATCTGCTGCACCCTGTGTCACGTCGCTGCTGATCAAACCACCTCCCATTTGAGCACCAATGTTGGCCTGGGCTACAGCAATGGCATCGTTGGTTCCATCACCGCAGAATAGAACGTGTCTTTGTTTGTTCTCCATCAGAGCAGCAACATAGTCTCGCTTCTCTGGTGGAGTCCGTTCCCCAGCAACATTCTCATCCGAAATACCCACCGAAGCCGCCACGGCCTTCACGGCCTTGATCTGGTCTCCCGAGACAAGATGCACCGCAATGCCGCGGGCTTTGAGTTCGGAGATGACCTGTACAGCTTCCGGTCGAATCTGTGCCGAGAGTCCAAAGACAATGAAAGGGACCGAGTTACGCGTTACAACTAGAGTAGTGAGGCCGCTCTCCTGGAGTCGTGAGACCTCTTCCAGTTTGTCGCTTTGAGTCCAGCGAGCGTTTCCAGCCCTGAGGTTCGAGTCTAGGTATGTAGCCTCGATTCCAGCGCCTGGAACAACCTGCACATCCATGACCTCTGCCACAGGCTCAACGGTCTGTTGCCCAAGATGTTTCTCGACCGCAGCAGAGACAGGGTGTTTGCCGCCAGATACAAGAGCCTTGGCCAGCGCGAGATTCTCCTGCATGTCTCCGTGGAGGTTGACTTGTTCTGTTACTGCGAGCTCTGCTTCGGTTATTGTTCCGGTCTTGTCGAATACGACATCAGTGGTCTTGCGAGCTCCCTCGGTAGTATTCGCCGTTTTGATGATGACACCACCTCTGGCCGCGATACCACCTGCAACAACAAGAACCATGGGGACTGCGAGACCGAGGGCACAAGGGCAGGCAACCGCAAGAGTAGCCACGGTATACGTGATAGCATTCCCAACACTCTTACCGGCGCTGTAGTCAAGAATATCCATCCCGCACGCAACCCAGATCACCAGAACAAGAACAGCCACAGTTGCCATAGCAGGGACAAACCAGCTGGCGACTTTACCAGCTAAGTCTTGTATCTCTGGTCTTGACTTGGCAGCCTCTTCGACAAGCTGAGCGATATCAGTCACCGTGTTCTTCCCGGGAAGACGAGTCAGCTGAACCGTAACGGTACCATCGCCATTTACAGTGCCAGCGATCAAGTCACTACCCTTCTGCTTCAGGATAGGAAGTGTTTCGCCCGTGAGCATGGATTCATCCACTTCAGTCCTGCCCGAGATGACCACCCCGTCAGTAGGCACCCGTGAATGTGGAAGAACCTTGAAAACGTCCCCATACTGAAGCAGACGAGCATCAATCTCATGGTCGCCTTCTTTCTCGACCAGCACAGCAACGTTATTCTGCTTCGACCGCAGCGACACAGCGGAAACAGCTTGGACTCTTGCAAAAGCAGCGATGAGTCTACCGACGAGAATCAACGTGATGAGCATGGTGCTTGTTTCGAAAAACTGTCCTTCGTCAAGTGCCTTCCCTGCCATCTCGAAGCTGAAGGCAACAACAGAGTAGACGTAGGCTGCCGTGATACTTATGACAACTAACATATCCATCTCAACACTGCGGCTGTACCACAGGGCTGCTAGGGCTGGGCGGTAAAACTCTGGGATGGCAATGAGTTGAACAAGGGTGCCGAGAATCAGAGAGACGATCCCCTCTGTGCGTTTGTCCACCAAGTCTTCGCTCCATGAGACTACTGCGACAGGGATGGTGAGTGCAGCTGCTAGAACTGCCTTTGTGAGTTGGTCCCAGAGGCGATGGCGACTATTCTCGAGCTGAGGATCCCCACGAGGCTCCGCTAGTCCATTGCAGCCTTCCTTCACCAAGGCCAGCAAGTCCCGAGCTCCAATGATGGTTGGATCGTAAGCTAGACGAACAGTTTTCTTGTCCAGAGACTGTACGTCTGTGACACCTCGCGGCGGGCTTCCTTCCAACTGCTTGCCCTGGGTAGGGGTAACCAAAACATCGAGGAAGTGATGTCCACCCACGATTCTGCTAAGCAAGAAACCACTTGCACCCGTCATGAAGGTGAGTACCTCATCCGCATTGGTGATGGATGTGTCGACGTCAAACTCTCCTTTGCCCATGACAAAGTTGACCTGGGCGTTAGACACGCCTGTCATACTGTTAAAGATACGCAAGAGTTTATCGGCGCAAGAGGTACAGTCCATGCCGCTGACCAAGAAACCGTGTGTCTCAATGTTTGCAGCATGTTCGATATCCTGTTTCTTTTCCACAGCTCCAGATGGCTTGAAGGCTGGGACAACAGGAACAGGCTTCTTTTTTCCATGCTTGCTCTTGTCACTCTTCTTGGTGTTCGGCCTCGTGCTCATACAGCATGTCTCGAGAGACGTCATGCCTTGATCGATGGCGCTGCGGCAAATGCATCGGATCTGGTCAAGGTAGCTGCTATACTGGTCGAATGCAGCCTCGAGGTGCGTACCGCAGGCTGTGTCGGTTTTATGGGTGCCCTGGTCATGTTCGTGGGGTTTATCGTGGGATCCTGCATCGAAGTCAATTCTCATTCGCCGAGGCGTTGAACCGGGAACTTACCTTCATGCCTGGGGTCGTCATCGCAAGCCTTCTTGCACTCGAGAGCGGCAATGGCGTAGATGCACTTTTCTGGATGGGAGTGCAGGGTCAGTGTGAGTCCACAAAGGTATGGGGGGATAAATGACAAGGCAGAATTCTTACCGCTGCAATGTTCCTCACTGCCACAACAGGTTGAAGCCTGCGATGTAATGCTGGAGGTATCGGAGTGCCCATCACAGCATGCTCCATTATCGTGGCTGTGGATGCCATCTTGATTGTCCTCGTGATCATGATCGTGTCCGTGGTCGTGCCCATGATCATGTTCGTGATTGTTCGTGTGCTCGACAGTAGAAGAATTAACTCCCTGCTCCTCCACGGTGTTGAACTGACCAGGTTTGGTACCACAACAGGATGCCATGATATGCATAGTTTATGGGTGAAAGAAATGTAAAGTTAATTTGTAAATCTTCCGTATTTTGATATACTAACAGGCGGGTTAGAGAAAAAGCTCTTATGAATTATATATGATTGGCATCATCTGTTGAACATGTCTTTATTGGTGTTCCGCGGATGCTCCACCACCAAAAGTCGCCGCGCTCCGTTCCCGCGCCGCTCTCCGTCCTCTACTAACCGTTTGAGGTCACGTATCACAAAGAACAAGGATCATGTGTGAGCTACAACACGATCGATGATAAATAGTATACCCACAAACAATAGCAATGATATCGTAAATCAATTGATGGGTATCTCGCTTCACCTGTATCTATGGACTATAGAACAGAGTTGGACAAGTCGCATACTTAGTTATTCCTCCTTTCATGCTGATATCACCCTCTGCGCCTCTGCAATCGCCGCTCTCACCTGATCAACGGTCCGAAAGCATGCACAAGCTGTTGTCATGTCAACTTCCTTTGGGCACACCTCTGTGGGATGTTTGGTGGTCGGGAGGGTCTCGGTATTCGAACAGCTCGTGCCGGTCTCGCAATTCTCATGTCCTTCGGTGTGGAGTTGACTCTGCCTCGTCGCCAGTCCGTCCCCCAACTCCAGCAGACAAGCTAATTCGCCTTTTAAGCTTGCTTGTAGAAATGCAACGTAACTCGGCCCGTCGATCGAAAGCTCGACCATGTCTCGCGCATCTGGCTGCTGGCCAACAACGAGACGAATTGGCGCGCCAGAGAGCGATGACTCGGCTGTTCGCTGCTTCTGCATGTAGAACAGGTCGCCATAAGATGATCCAATGCTCGATAGTAAAGAGCCAAGGAGGTATACATTTCGCGATGTACGTGGACTCTTGATAGACTGGAAGCAGACAGTACATTCGAGGATGGTCCTTGCTGATGCGAGAGACTGCTTCAAAACCTTGAGGGTCTGGAAAGTCTCTGATGAGTTTTCTATCTGTGAGAAATGTTGGTTCACCATCTCAACGCATGAGCACTTTTGGGTGGACGGCATGGGCGGTGTTTGACCCTCGGGGCTTGGGGCGGGTGGTGTTATGTTGGCGATGGACTTTTCCCTTTCCGTTGCAGGGTCCGTATACCAATTCTCCTGGCCATGTCGCGTCGCTGTGTTTTGAAATAAATCAGGCGGCAGCCCCTCTGGCGCTCGAGTGCTATTTTGGTCTGCTGAAAAGTCCATGTCAAAAGACGGAAGCGGTGTGCTGAGGTCATCAAGAAACTGGTCCATAATGCCAGCAAAGTTACTAGTGTCGACGGCATCTTGAGACATCGGTGTAGCATTCGTGGTGATAGCCTTATTGGACCGATACCGCAGAGGCTGGCCTCTCCTCGGCCGGCCTATAGCCCTCGTGGGCGAATACTCGCAAGTCAGAGCAAAATGCGAACATCGCTCACACAAAGGAGTGTGGCGTGAACATCGGACCTTTCGCTTCCCTGTGGAAACAGAAACAGACACGTCATCAGCTGATTGCGCAGAGAAAGTGGGAGGACCAAAGACTCACTACACGGGTCGCAGGCGCGGTGCTGGGTCTTGTCACTTATACCTGGAGGCTCCATGCCTACTAAGCGGATTAACGTCGAATTACTGTGCTCTTTGGTGGGTTTTCGAGACAAGTGCGGCCATCAAGGTTCTCAGCCTCGGTATTGCCAAGGGGAAATCGCGGAAGCCCAGACCAGGCCAGACCGCGGGGCGGAGCGGAGGGTTTTGAGACTTGTAATTGGTTGTGTCATACGGAGTACTCCATATTCTCTGTGTTCAATCCGAGCCCGTTACCTACCCTACAGCATAATCTTCAAATGCATGATAAGAGTTTAACAATGCTAGCAAACCTCGAATACCTGCACGTTCAATTCTAGTTTTCAAATTGTATCAATTGTTTTGAATAAAAGTCATAGTTTTATGGTAAAGTTACAGGCAATCACATAATATGCTGACACGATGATCGACTTCGTGTTAGATGTGTGTCTCACTGCGTCGACAAACCTCGATTCACAACACCTAGTATCTTGTTTGCAATTTCTTCGTGGCTCTGCAACTGAAGAAATTACTCACATAGCACCGCATTCTTTCTTTTCATTAAACTTCAACTTCTTTACCTGCTTTAAAAGCCGTGCCGCGCCTGCACATGAGGTGTGTTCACTCATCCTTGCTCCCATCACCGTCGGCTTTCGCTCATTCCCGCAGGCTTGGTCTCAACGCCTACCCCACAGGAGCAATAGTCTAATCGCGGGTAGTTTTCGCCGAACAAGTGGGAGTACTATCTAAAGCAGTCGGCTATCATTTGTCAAGACTTAAGTGCTTGGCTGTGCAATTGCAGGACAAGTTGTAGTGCATATTCCGTAGCATCTCTGTAATCAATGACCGCAATTCTCACAAGCTTACCGGATATGACATGACCATTGTCAAAATTGTATATCCGGAACTTAAAGACTCCTCGGTTACGTCAAAGGGTCCTCGTCACTCTCGCGGGCAGTGACTTGTCGCCTTAGCTGCTACGTAAGCTCGACTTTGACATCGGCAATGAGTGAGATTGCCATCATTGGCGTATGAGAGAGGCTGAGTGATAGACCCTACGTAGTAGATATGCTTAAGTACTTGAATCGCGATAGATACGCAAGACAAGGGCATAATACTAGTATAGTAATAAGCGACATGATGCGTGCTACAGTGCATTTCAACGGGCCCGACTCATATTTATAGGGTCCGATTGGTTGATTCAGTCACTAACCGAGTGCGACAGCCTGGCTGTGCCGTTACCCGGGGACGATAGCACGCAAATATCCATGACGTCAAGACATATCTTTCTGGGATCTCGTACCTATTCTACGATCTGGTTATTTCCTTTGCATGTCAGACAATTGATGTTAATAAGCCCTCTATGTTACAGTATTTCCAACAAATCTTACTTTGTAAGACCATGAATCGATTAGATCCCTCACAACAACAATCTGAAAGCTTGGCATCCAAGTCTTTATCCCAAACACCAACACCAACACCATCACCACCACCCTTTTCAACAACTTCAATGGCTGATATTGGAACCGAGTCCGGAAATCTTTTCCGACTAAAAGACGTCCTCTCATATTTTGCTGCTGTCAAAGGCGACCTCTCCAACGTCACAGCCCCTCCTTTCATTCTCGCCCCTAAATCCGCCATTGAGATTCCAGCCGCCTGGGCATGTCATCATGATCTCTTCCTCCAACCGGCCGACGAGCCCGATGCTGGAGTTAGGGCTCTCCTATTGGCCAAGAACTATGTTTGCAGTCTGAAGCAACTCGTTGGAGCAGACTCGGCAGATGTTGGCAAGAAACCATTGAATTCCTTCCTCGGTGAACTATTCCTTGGTGCCTTCTCCGACAAAGCTGGCTCACAATCACAATTGATTATCGAGCAAGTATCGCACCATCCACCCGTCACGGCCTGCTCCATATACAATAGGGAGCGAGGCATGTCGTCAATTGGCTTTGTGGGACAAGAAACATCCTTCAGCCTTGTTAGCGGAGTGACCGTTCGCCCAACTGGCTATGCTATCATAAAGGACGACAAGCACAATGAGCAGAGCCTCATGACCATGCCGACAATATTGGTAAAAGGTGTAACAACAGGAAATCCATACCCCGAACTAGAAGGCTCGAGCTACATAGCCAGCTCAAGCGGATATCTAACGAAAATCGGATTCCACGGCAAAGGAAGACTCGGTTATGGGCAGAAGAACCAAGTTGTATCCGAAGTTTTTGCTCCGGGTAACAGAGACAAGCCATTGTATCGTATTACCGGGCAATGGACGGGCACTTTGACGATCCAAGACTCATCAAACACCACCCTGGAGGAGTTTCATGTTGATAAAGTACCCATCTCACCATTGAAAGTCGCACCTGTAGAAGAACAAACGCCATGGGAGTCACGTCGAGCTTGGCGGAAAGTTACACAAGGCATCGAAAATCACGACTTCGAAAAGGTGTATGCGCACAAGAGCGCCCTCGAAGAGTCACAAAGAAGACGGCGGCTGGAAGAGCAGAAGAAAGGCGTTGAATGGAATAGACTATTTTTCACTCGGTCTGCGAAAGGGGACGATACAGCGGCATCTTTACTTACAAAGATACCTGAAAGTCTAGATGGCTTAGATACAACAAAGACGAACGGTGCCTGGAGATTCATCGGGGTTCAAGAAGCAGATAACCTAAAGTCTAAGTTGAGCAAGGATACTTTACCATAGTTTATGAACATCACAGGAGCATTTATTCATGGCATAAGAGCACAGATAATAGATTTGAATTAAGTTATACTAGCAGAATTGTTTGCTGCCCTGTTCGTACACTTATCTACCCTCAGTGTTACCAGAGAAGATATGATAAGATGATTCGCAATCAGAGTCACAATTCATCCTCATCAGCTGATGTTGACCTTAGGTCCTGGAAACGTGCTCTCCAGTCTCGTGCTCAGCAGCCAGCTTCTCGTCAAACCTCTCAGCCCGTCGAGCAAGATCGGCCTGGTAATCGGCAGTGTACTGGCTTCGGTCGACAAAAGGAACGAACCAGGGGGCGTTGGTGAAGAGATAGTTCATCTCCTCAAGCGGCAGCTTCTTGGTCTCAGGGATGAAGGCCCAGACACAGAGGGCGTTGGTAAAGTTTCCAATGACGAAAAGGAGGTAGTACTTCCAGCCGACTGCTTCCATAGCAATACCGGTAACCTGGCCGATCATAGTGTTGAATGCGAACGAGGTCATGGTAGCAAGAGAGACACCCTTGGCTCGGGTGCGGGTATCGAAGATTTCGGCGGGGATGATCCAAGAAAGAGGTCCACAGGTTGCTGAGAAGGAGAAGTTGTATGCCCAAGTAACGATGATAAAGCCCCAGCCCTGAGCAGGGTTACCAGATCCAGGAGGATACACGGCCAGCATAATGGTGGCGATGATAAAGGTAAGCATGTTGAAGAGGTTACCCCAGATAAGAGTCCATCGGCGGCCGAATCGGTCAATGAAGGCAATGCAAAGAGCCTGGGCGATAAGAGCAATAATGGAGTTGATGGCCTGATACTTGAGAGCATCCTCAGCATTGATTCCAGCTTGAGCGTAGATCTGGACCGAATAGTACTGGATGGCCGATACACCAGTCATCTGGATCGAGGCTTGAAGACCGCAGGCAATCAAAAGACGGCGGAAGCAAGAAGGGTTCTTGAAAAGCTCGAAGTAGGACTTGGCCTCGTTGGCATGCTCGTCTGCGATGCTTTCCTGAATCTGTTCCATCTCGGCGCGAACCCAAGGATCGTCAACGTTGCCGTTGGAGTGGAGGCGAGCCAGGGTGAAGAGGGCCTTTTCCTGCTTGCCCTGGTCCATAAGCCAACGGGGGGACTCGGGGAAAACGAAGATCAAGGCACCGAGAAGGACGGCAGGGATGATCTGGATACCGAGAGGAATGCGCCATTGTCGGTTGTCAGTGTAGTGGGTGAATGTGCCCCAGCCAGTCCACGAGGCAATGAGGGCTCCAATACCCAGCATAAATTGCTGGAGGGCGGTGACTCGGCCTGTACAAGAGCGGGTCAGTCAATTATGCTTATTAAATTGGATACCGGGCGGGGTATGTACCTCGAATCGAAGGATGAGCAATCTCGGCTTGGTAGAGAGGAATGATCATTGTAAGGAATCCAACACCGAGACCGGCGAGGAAACGGCCTGCCATCAGATATGAGATCGCTGGCGCTGCAGTCTGGAGAGCACCTCCAAGCATGAAAATGACGGAACCGATGGTGATGGTCCATCGTCGACCGGTGTACTCGGTGGTAGGGCCAGCGAATCCGGCTCCGAAGAAGGCGCCGGCCGTGAAGAGGGCAACTACAGCACCACTGCGACCCGTCAGAAGTATTCTAGAGAGACTGATTGTGTGACTTACGTATCAGACTTGCCAGGATCTGTGTTGAAAAGTCTCTGATATGATTCAGAGGCGATAACCTGGGCAATAACACCCAGATCATAACCAAAGAGGAGCGACCCAAAGGACGCAAACACTCCGACGAGGAATTGATAAACCTTGGGCTTCATGATGATTGAGTCACTGCTTGTTGGAGATGCAGCTGAATGTGACAGTAAATTGATCGACGGGGTGCGGGTTTGGCAGCTTTAATACTTTCGTCTCAACCCCAGAAGCTCAAGCATGGGGCCTCGCATCGCGACCTCTACCGCGCCAATGGCCAAACTCGTGGCATGCCTGCAAGCGCAAAAGCCCCATAATCGCCAAACAACCTTTACAGATAAAGTACAGGTCCCCATGGGGAAGAGGGAACGAAAAATGCAACACCAGTCAAAGCTCGACGCGACACGCTAAGAAAAAACGCCCATTTGGCAGCGCGTGACTGGACCTCTAGAAGCGCTGTGAAGTGATTGGAGCGCAAAGAAGGACGCGATTGAACGCTGGAGCTAAGTGTTAATGGGGTGCTATTGACAGGAGTCGAGAACGGAGCAGAGGCCTGTAATCGATCAAGCAGTGCGGAGAAAGCGAATATCCACCTATGGAGAGCAAGGGTCGTGGCCGGACCCTGTTCCAGTTCTGTCCTGGCTCGTCTTATCCCAACGCGGGGTTTCAGCTGACCCCAAGACGCTATTCCGGTTTGATCTTTGGCTTGTCTGCGCTACTCATTGGCCTTGGGGGAAGTCGTCCCGAGAAGAGGTTCATCTCGGTTTGCATCCGAGGCTTAAGTATGGTTGGTGCGGCTTGGCATGAGAAAATGGAAATGTCTTAGATGGAGGAGTCATAGTTGAAAGGGGTCGTGATGGGGTTTACAGCCTCATATCATGTCTGTTAATGGCATTCCTGAGTTGCACGTAGAATTGGCTATGAGAACGTCAGTGATTGGCTCGTCTGATGTACGAGATGTACTAATAAGTGTCAGCTAGGGTGACAGTTGGGGAAATCTCGTGCATATGTTGTTAAAACAAAGGAGATTGTGTGAGTAAACTACTTTGTCTCGTTTACCTTTTCACACGCTGCAACTGAGCATGTCGGGAAGGAAAGCCTTTAATACAATAAATACATGAATAATAATTTAATACTTCTACCATCACTTGTACTCTCTTCTATATCTATTCCGTAGTTGTACGGCTGATCAACTTGCTCAAGTTGATAACTACCGGGTAGGTAATCAGTTGTTGCCTCACTCGGCCGAATCGGGTATATTCCCACGCGCCATGATATTCCCGAGACATTTTACGCGTACAATACGCGTACCGAGTCGACAGAACAATTGGTGGACAATCTCACCATTCATTTCGCAAGGAGGATTCTAAGCTCGGTGCCGCCACCAACGAGTGTGAATAATAACCAGAGAATGTGATTTGCCTGTTCGTCCTCATCCCAAATGAAGATTAACTGTCACGATTCTGCTCACAATCTTACGATGAAATCAGACTACCACTGATGGTGGACGCGACGTGGGATTGGCTGTCTAACCCATATTTAAATGATCCACTTCACTTGACCGTGCCTTCTTGTTGCGTCCAAGATTGACGTCGATCCCCATACACATACATCCAGCATCGCCTAGTTGCCTTCTATTTAAAGCCATTGGCTTAAATAAAGCGAACAATATCTTGAGTACCTTTTTTATTTTTGAAAACACATTTCAGCTAAACCCTTTCTTCTAGTACCACCCAGTTCCATCCATGCATTTAATTATTAGCTGCTGGCTATTGCGAATAGTAATAGTTAAGATTGTTAATGTTTTCTGAGCAAAGTGAAGGTATCATATGTCTTAAAAAGATCAGTAGTGCAGGTGGGGCATATTAAGCCAAAGAGGTGACATAAAAATCCGGTGGGCTGAGTTCTATGAAAAGTGCTGATGAATATAGCCTATATACGAGAATAATCCTTCAGAGATCATAACTGCCGTAGGGTAACGGTTGTCCTAAATCATCGTAGCTTTGAGAACGTTGTGATCCACCCTGGCAGATAATCCGATCTCGATTTGTCGTGTAGTGGGCTGGTGAGAAATGGGCCCCACTGGTGTGAAAAATTGAATGCACATGATATAACTGCGAAGATCGGAGTAGTACTCTATTGTTTGAGTACATATTAGCCAGTGCCAGGGATTCCTGAGCCAGCGAGGTTTGAAGCAGCAGTCTAGGTCAGGTCAGTAATATCCTTAGTCATGAAGGTAGGGTTCCTTACACATGCGAAGGATTTGATGCTTTCTAGACCGAAACCAATCCCTGCGACATAGGTATCGCAAGTGGGCTGGTTGTCTTTTGGGTAGACCAGTCTGCTAAAGGTTTCGCAGTGATCGTCGCCATAGACTATACAAGCTGTGTCTGGCTGAACGAGGATAGACCAAATGGTAAATTCCTCGCCATCACAGGCTCCTTTGTTCACGCCTCCGTTTGTGTATTTGGCGCAGGAAGTGCCTGGCATGTCCTTGCCGAAAACATTGCATGCGCCATCGACTCCGCTGGAGATGATTCGATATTGTGAATTGTCCTTCGGAGAACAGATGGAATCAGTGTGAAAGGTCGCTGTAAGTCTGTGAGTCCGATATGTCCAGTAGAATGCGATGTTATCAATGCAACTGACCTTCCCATGCTGAGACAGGGGCTAGAGCCACCGAAAGAATAGCAAGATAGGTACTGGCAGAGAAATGCATATTGTCGGTTTTGAAAACTAGCTTGGAGAAGGAATATACGCAGAGGGTGTAGAGGCTGTAGAGGGTGTAGAGAATAGATGTAGAGGATGGAGAAGATGAAGAGAATAGAAAAATGTGAGCAATAGACGCAGAGGATTTTATAGTAAATATGAAGATTAATTTTAGAAAGCCCAGCTATAGCTACAAACCTGCTAAGCTGATCTGAATAGGTGAGGAATAGGTTTTCCGAGATGAATAAAGAATTAATCATTCAAAGGAACAGGCGAAGGATTTCTCGTGTAAGGCGCATAGACTAAGCTTGCGTTTATTGGTCAAATTTATGTTTCAATTCAAGCTCAGCCTCTAAAGGATCAGGATACTACCGAGGCTTAGATCTGGGCATAAAGCTTTAACCTTAACTGTGAGATTGTAGTATTGGCAGGGTAGGGAGCAGCACAAGCTTGGCAGGCATAAAATCTAATAACTAGGGAAACAGCAAAGGGAAAAAAGGTAAGAGTATAGAGGATGTAAATTGCTAAAGTATTACCCAGAGTCGGAGGTATTAGGTGACCCATAATAGAGTATCAGAAAGATAACTGTAGATAGTCAGTTAAGGCTATAGAGTTAATTCTATGGTTTTAATGGATTATTAAGAGAGTCGCGAAAGATAAGGAGAATAGAGCCGAATTATTACAATGCCGAGTGGGATGTTGAGTTAAAAACTTCACCGCTAGTCCGAGTGCTCGGCCATAGTTCCGCCCATTAACGGCCCGACCATAGTGCTGCTCGGATCTCTCACGAGTGCGAGATCGAGCCAAGCCACCTCCTGTATATTGCTAAAGGCTCATCCAATCAGTGGTGACAATATAGGTTAATGCAATAGTACCGACTAACGCCCTAGCTGGACCTGACAGTCAGGATCTGCCGTGTTCGACATCAGAAGAGCCAGATTACTGCCGAGAGTAAACAAGTCCAAGGCTAACAGTATTAGAGACATACTCCCTAATGTTAGAATAATTAAAACGCCTGGAATACTAATTATTGACTAACATTAGCCTTGCCCTTTTCGCAAAGGTGAGTTTAGCAAAGATATGGTAATTGTTTTTGAGTTAAATTAGTACTGAAAGCTCTCCTCGAAGTATTCGATTCGAGGCCGAGAGTGTAAGGTTCTAGCTGCCACCGCGCATCTACTCTCATCGGCCATTTTGGCTGGACCACTTGTGACTACTGCAAGACTGCCCTCGCTTTCGATTGCGGAACATCTATCGATGGCTTCTTCAACATTCAATCGTTCAGACCTCCACTCCGCCAAATCGCAGCTGTTTTCATCATCTGATCTACCCGTGGCGTAGATGACGATCTTCAACCGCTCATCTCTGAGCACATCCCTCAATTCGTGATTGAGCACATCGACAGCCAGAGCAGTTTGCCGTACTGACCAGTGGATTTCGACAGATCCTGGCTGACTGGTGAATTGCAGAAGTCTCTGAAGATATGAGAGCGGGACTGCGATACCACTACCCCCAACAATGAAAAGTACTTCATCGAAGCGCTCCAGGGGCAAAGTCTTTCCATAAGGGCCATCAACGGCCACTCGTAATATGGCTGGTTTCGGATGTTCTGCCTCAGCGTAGTTCCTCAAACGCGATGTAAAGCTATCGTAAGGTCGAATCAAGAATGTCATTTCTCGATGGTCCTTTTCCGAATCGCTTTCTGCTTCCTCCGACGAGACTGGAACATTCCCAAGCAAAGCTGATTCTTCTGCTAGTTGTTTAACAGCGTGTCGTTTTGTCCCTGATACTGATGCTACAGTGAAAGGATGACTTTCCCAAAAGTTCCATTTGTTCAGCACCATGAGATAGTAAAATGTTCCAGGCGGTATCTCGTACATGCTTGGGCGCAGTGGGACAACAACGCGAACCATGTGTGCATCTTCGTTGTAAGTAACGAGAGCGCTTGTGTTCCAGATTTGTGGATTGAAGGCCATGATCCGAGCCCCGCGAATGAATCGGTCCAGGAACCATATCGTGACTGGAATCCACACTAGAGGGTCATAGTCGCCTCGAAATATCGACACGTGCCTTGAATCCGGATTAGCATCTTATCTTTCAGTTCGTCTTGCCGAGAGACCTACCCCAACATTGTTGCGAGGATGAGGATGGATAATCCGATGTGGGTTATGAGGAAGAACTCATAGTGTCGACGACGGAGCCAAAAGATTGACAATGTGATAAGTAGGCACAAGAAGATAGTAGCCTATTCAAATGTTAGATATATCAAGTCAGTATGAGACCATGCCACTCACCAGCTCACCCGTCCACCAATAGGTCATATTGCACATGCGCCAGAAGTAAGCCCACCCACCCCCTGGAACCGAGTTAGTAAGTAACAGTGAAAAGCCTCGCCATTGTCTTACTCTGCAAGATGAGGATTGTGTATCCGATCGAATGGATCACAGCTTGAACGGCGGCTATGCGGCCAACCCAGCGATGGAAATTGTTAAACGTTTTAAATTCCCATCCAGTTAGCCATATGATAAGGTTGTTCCGCATACCAAACAGCCATATTAGAGGAAAGTTGGCAAATGAAATAATGCCCGTCCTATCAGAGACATGTCGCAGTAGTTGCATACCTACTGAAGGGTAGCTAATCGCTCGCCTTATTAGCAAAGCACTGGTATGACCCATATGAAGGGTGGACTCACTAGCCATAACCTTCAAAGATTCTGTATCCGTGCAGAGTGCATGCTACATTGAGGAGCATGAATGCCATCAGAGTCAGGGTTTGTATACGTGGTGGCAAAGTACCCCAGCCACCAAAGTCTTGCACACAACGTCGGCCTAGAGTTGCGGGCATAAGAACGTTGCGCTTGAGCCATAAACCCTTGGGGCCTTGACCAGGAATTGGTGATATCCTATTCACGATGCCGACTGCGACTACCACCGCCCAAAAGACAGCCATTGCCCATCCATAGTAATAGTGGTATCTCCAAACATAGTCATGTGCATCCTGTTATCATCTTGAGTCAGCAGAAGAACTCAACGCGGTTACCTCAGGTTCGAAGGAGTGCTGACCAGCGTGCGGATCCAAAGATCGTAGTAGCCTTGAGATGGTAGCATCAGCACGTCAAATGGAGAAGTGCGGTCTGGATCCGTCGCATTGAAGTGTCGGATCCTAGTCTTATCCTTGTCTGTAAGACCATCGATTATGTCGTGCGATGGAAGAGATGAGCCGTTGATATCTTGACATGTCTGATTCATCATCTTAGACTCATACTCCCAGACGTCTTTAGTGCAGTGAATGTCCCAGCAGAGATGTAAGGATGTTTGGTACAGAAGACTGGTGCATTCCTGCACCGAGAAGAATACCCCTTTGGGGGCATCTGCAAAGCGAAGAGTTCGGAATGTTTGGCGACAAGCTTTCCCGCATAGCTTAGGGTCTACTGAGGAAGCTGTCGCCTGGCCGAAGGTCGAGATGAGAATGACGATGAAGCATACTGCAGTAGTTGTCCTCAAGGGTCGCATTTTACGTATCGGGATCTACGATCGGGTGCGGTGTCAACGGCTAGTGGGAGTTGCTGGTCATCGCGGATGATTGAGGCTTTATCAGATGATCAGATAAAATAGCGAGTGGGTCAATCTATCACGTGTGTTTCGCCTCTAAGAAGTTGGCGTGCACTTGGTAGGACTTGGCAACAGTATGGAGCAAATACGACATGCTACTGATATAAATCATGTATTGTGAATAGTCACGTACAAAATAAGAGGCAGAATCACATTGAGAAATCGGACAAGTTTGGGTTTGAGAATAGTAGTTCGGTATCTCGCTCAAAAGTGCGCAATCCGAACTCACGGTATTAAGAGAGTTCAACTTTTACTCAAGCCAAACTCGGACATCTAACTACACTAAGTGCATGGTCAAGATGATTACAGACAACTCTAAAGGAACGATGGTTATAAAATAGCGTATGTACATTGCCTCATAAAAAGGCCGCGAGCCTCATGACACGCCTTACTTGCGGTACAGAGCAGCCATCTTCTGCCAGAAGGTTGCAGGCTCCGACTGGGTAGTGGTTGCGTCCTTGCCTGCGTTTTGACCTGGCACATCGACAACCTCTCCATCGAGACCCTTGTTGTTGACGGCGTTCTGCTGCTTGCCAAGGTAAAAGTTGGGCATAAAGAAAGAGGCAAACAGAGGGATGCAAGAGAGGCAGATAGAGCAAATGGTGATGTGGCCGTTCACAATAGCGTAGGCTCGAATGGATCCTTGACGGATGGGGTCGAGGTATTCGTAAGTCTTGAGCGTCTTGATGTTGCCGTAGATAGTAGCGATGGTGGTGCTGTCGACGTCTGGCATTTCAGTGTGCATCTGAGCGACCATTTGCTCAGTCCAGATACTGGTGGCGACAGCGCTGCCAATGCTGGATCCCAAGGTGGACCAGAGGGTGATGATAGAAATGAGCGAGGCAACATCGTCGTGTGGTACTGAAGCTTGAACACCAACTCGGGCACCGACGACGTTGAGTGAAGAAAGACAGAAGATGAGCTGCGCTGCAACGAGACGAGCAGTACCCTGTGTCATCACTCCGTCAGGGTTGATGAGAAGACCATAGCCGAGGATCTTTGTGGCAGCACCAAAGATCATGAGATTCTTGTAACGATGAGAGACACGGTGGAGCAGACCAACGATGGGACCGACCAGGCAGAGACCCATGGTAGTGATGCCCAAGAAGATGGTCCATTGGTAGGTGGTCCACTCCTTGATGATGAGAATGTACGACGAGAAGTAGGTGTTTCGGATAGATGAGGACATCTGGTTGAAGATGTGAATGATGACACCTGCGATGAAAGCACGGTTCTGGAGAATGCTCTTGGTCATGAGGGGCTTGGGAGCGAGGTAATACTCGTACAAGCCAAACAGAATAAGAATGACAAAGCCAATGACAATCATAGCAATCATACTGGGGTTGTGCCATCCACCCTTGGCGCTCTTAGCGAGGGTAATGGGCAAGAGGATGAGGGAGAAGGCGAAACCGAGGAGGATAAGACCGACGATGTCAATATCAATCAGTCCTCGATACGCAAGCTTGGCCCAGTAGGTCAAGTTCTTGGGTGTGGCCTCAGAGCGACCCACTCGCACGTCCTTGGAGTCAGCCATAGTGACCATACCAGCCTTCTCACCACGGCGCTGCATCGTGTAGAGGGTGAAGATGGCAGGAAGGAGAAGAACGGGGACAAGAATGGCGAACATGCCGAGACCCCATCGCCAATCGTCGAAGAAGCCATCAGCGATGAAGCCATTGATAGGCACCGTCACAATGAAGGGCAGAGAGAGGCAGGCGCCGAAGAAGCCTCGCCATTCCAAAGGCGTCAAGTCAGCGACGATGATATCGCTGAGAAGATCAAGACCTGATTTGCCAACAGAGGTAAAACAGATACCGACCGTATAGGCAGTGAAGTTGTTTGCGCTGGCTGCGACGGCGAAACCCACAGCGTAGAAGACGAGAACGACGACGTAGGTAGTAGGTCGAGAGGTGATGTCGGCAAGCTTTCCGATAAAAGGCTTGCTGATAGCACGGATGATCTGACCAGCTGTGTTGACCGTTCCAAGCTGACTGTGAAGCCCAAAGGTCGAGGCAGCCAGAGTGCCGAATATGGTGGTGGTGATACCCATGTCGAGGGCGTAGGCGAACATGGTCAAACCAATGGAGACACCGAGCAGCCAGAGCAAGATCTTGCCCTTCTTGCCAGACTGGTAGAGCACCTTGTTGAAGGCCTCGACTCTGCCCACGCCGATTTCCTTGTGGGCGTCTTCATCAGAGACGGGGGAGTTGGACGCGTCGTAGTCTTTCTTCTCGTTGAGCTCGAACATGTCGGACGATGGGTTTTGGTGGGCGGCATTATGGGCGGGAGCAGAAGCCTGGGGCTCAGCGCTGTCGGGCTGTTTAGGCGTTGACATGTTTGGCAATGGATTGAGCTGCTACAGGCTCGAAAAGGAATTAATGTTGCATGAAAAGGAAAGGATTAAAGGGTAGATAAAGCCAGGAAAAGGGAGAAGGGAAAGGTCTTCAGTTTGCAGGAGTGGTCTTCTGGCCTGACTTTTTCTTCACATCAGCATTAAGAAAAAGCTGTTGGTCGCCCCCAATTGTAAAAAGAGAGATAAAAAAAGACAGAACCAACAGACAGTGCAAGTGCAGCGAGTACAAGGTCCCCCTCGTCGCCGGTCGTCGGCTCAGTCTAACCTATTGATGGCTCGGGGTGGGTAGGCTTAGGCGAAACCAAAAGAGGATGTGACTGCGTGACTGAGTCTTTTTTTTCTTTTCCTTCTTCTCCTTGCTAGGGTGTTTTTTATCTGATCTTGTTCATCTCCACCTACGTTGGTGGTTAGCTGCATGAAGCCAAGATTATCAACATGCGGCCATCTAATCAGATGGTCGTGTGTAGTAGGGATCGTCGGTGGAGTGGGACGAGAATGCTGATCTCTGCCGTGTTGAGAATAAGGCACAGTACATCATTATTCTTACTCTTACTGTAGATTATCAACTGGTTGCAGGCCTGTGATGCACATGTTCCATCCCTGATCAAGGTTTCAACCCCGACGGAGCTCAATGGAAGTATCGCATGTTGGTTGGCTTGTTCGAGGGAGGCAGAATTTTCACTGATCTGCATGGATCTTATCAATCACAAGCTCAGAACTCATCATCACGAGTGTTACCAGTGTGGCCAACGGAGAAGATCTTTACTGTCCGTGTCTTCCCGAATTGCCAAGTTTATGTACCGACTTCGGTTCCAGAGACATGGTAGCGGGTAACGATCCTTCCAGAATTCTTGGGCTCGAGCTTGACAGCTGTTGAGACATCTGTAGCTCGCCGATCAACTACCGCAGAATGAAGGACTTTCTTGCGGGGTGCATCTTGGCAGCCGAGAACGAGGATTTGTTCATCTGTAGCTTCTTGGTATCGCACGAGTGATAAGTGTTACATGCGGGCTGCTTGAGGAGCTGGCATGAAGAATAATCATTGAAAAATATTAAAAATGCTATAAACGAATTGTCTATGGATATGCCTCTTCTAAATACTATGCTTGAATAGAAATCTTTGCCGCATCACACAGAGACCTGAACAAACTGTCTGACTTGGCATATAGCTCCGAAATGGTATCAAACTCAACTACTCTACCACTGTCCATCACAACAACCTTGTCGCATGTAGCAACAATAGTGTCTAGTCGATGGGCCACGGTGAGAACAGTTGCGTCTCCGACAACCTCGTTGAGCATAGCTTGAAGCTTTGCATCAGCTCTTCCATCAATGGAGGCCGTTGCTTCATCCAAGATGACAATCTTTGATCTACGGACGAGAGCTCGGGCGATGGAGATGAGAGATCTTTGTCCTTGAGAGATATTGGAGCCGTTTTCCTTGACTTCAGCGTCAAGGTTAAGACTTGGTCCTTTACTTCTGGAGTCGGAATTGTCTTTTTCGTCTTGCTCATTCGGTTGACATAGACCAACTCGGTCTAAACACTCCTGAAGCCACTCGTCGTCATATTGTTGGAAGGGATCGAGGTTGTATCGAATGGTGCCAGCCAAAAGGACGGCGTCTTGGCTGATGACAGATAGGTTTGATCGGAGAAGGTGCAGTCCAATGGTATGGATGTCGACTCCGTCAATAAGAATTCTGCCATTTGTAGGTTCGGTAATTCTGAGCAGAGCGGAAATCACTGGAATAAATGTCAGTCGACCTATTCAGTATGGCTACTCGGTAGTACTCACATGTTGTCTTTCCTGCACCTGTACGGCCAACAATGCCAACCTTCTCGCCCGCCTTGATGTCCAGGTTGACGTCTCTAAGTGCAGGTTCCAGCCCAGGACGATGGCTGAGAGTGAACGACTGAAACTGAACATGGCCAGCATGTGGCCACTGTCGAGTCTTCAGATCCTTATCAACATTATCCGCATGGTGTTCAGGCTCTTGCTCAATGTTGTAAGCATAGTGCAGCATTCTTTCCACTGAGTTCATATTGTTCTCAATCTCGGCACTTTGGCGAATCATGTTACCAAATACTGCCTGCGCTGTGACGATGTAGGACAATACCACACCACCAGATGAAGGATCAATGGTGCCACGAAGTCCCACGACAAGCAAACCGGCGGCCAAGACGAGAGTCGCACCGCACAAGTCCAGCCTCAAGTTTAGCCAGCGTTGACACGCAACCGACAGCCAGTAAGCGGTGTTCTCAGTGTCGATCTTGCGTGCGTTGTCGTCAACGAAACGCGGCACAGCACCGAAGGCCTTGAGGGTTGGGAGACCTGAGAGAGACTCGCCAAAGTGCTCGTAGATACGGCTTCGGAGCAAATTATTGAGACGACGCAGCTCTCTCGAGGAAGGTCGGTAGTACATCCCGGTCCAGGTATAAACGAGGAGCAAAGCAGCCGCAATAGCTAGGAATGCTGGTACGATGATACTGACAACGATGATGGTGCCCAGGACCTGTACAAACGTCGAGATAAACAGTCTCAGTGTTTCGCCCACCACGTTGTCGACAGCATCGACATCTTTGCTGAACCGATGGGTGATGCGGCCTTGGGGTGTGGTATCGAAGAAAGCAACAGGTGCCAGCAGAACCTTTGACATGGATGCATGGTGGAGTTTGTTAGAACACCAGAAGCAGAACAGAGCAAATGTCGCACTCATAAAAAAGAGACCGAGCGATTGTCCCACTCCAAATGCTGCGTAGCCTCCCATGTAAGCATCCTCAGAGATTGAGGAGTATTGGTTCTTCTGCCACCAGCTAAGCCAAAGGGGCGAGACAATGCTGGTTCCTTGGTAGATTGCGATAGAGGTTATCAGGAGAGGGACTGTGAGCCAGGCGTTGCCAAATTGTGCGTAGCGGATGTAGGTTCGGCCACTGACGGAGCCAACGACTCGCTCTTCAGTCTGCATCACCTCTTTACCACGGGCTTGACCTCCCTGTTTTTCCTTGGCCTCTGCCTCAGTGGCTGGTTGTGGTTCTTTTGTCTTGGATTCTTCGTCTGTGACTTGCCCAGATTCTCCACTGCCTGCTGTGTCAGAGTCCGAATCCGAGTCGAGGACCAACGGCGAGGAGCCTGCGAACTGTGAAAAGGGCCCGTCCTGACTTGACAGCTGCTCGTATGGACCTTGCTCCACAATGCGACCCTTCTCCATGTAGACAATATGATCTGCCTGTCTGGCAAAGGGGATAGAGTGCGTGACCAGTACAATAGTGCCTTCGTTGTTTCGACGAGCTTGGTTGACCACCATGTCGAAAACACGAGCCCCAACATGGGCGTCCAGAGCTGAGAAGCAATCGTCGAGGAAGAGAAGTGGACTTCTTCCGTAGATAGCTCTAGCAAGGCTGATGCGTTGCTTCTGACCTCCCGAGAGTGAGACGCCATTCTCGCCGACTACAGTCATGTCGCCATCTGGTAAAGCCTTCATATCCTGATGGAGACAGCATCTAGTGAGTACCTCGTCATACCATGCAAGATCGAGTGGTCTTCCAAACACAATGTTCTCTCGTACTGTCTCACTCAACAGCCAGGCGGTTTGTGGTGCTAGAGCGATCTGGGAAGAGGAAGTGGTAAGGCTCAGTTGGTAAGATCGTGCTTGTACAAGCTGCATGTCTCCGAGAAGTGCTTTCAGGACTGAGGACTTTCCGGATGCAACTGCGCCTACAATGCAGACGAGTTGATTGCGTTTCACCAGAAATGAGTCGAGGAACAGCCTGTGGCTTTGCTTCACAGGTTCTTGGTTATCGGCCTTCTCCTGTGTGACTTCTTCATCTGCAGCTAGAATTTGCTCATCGTCGTGGTAGGCAAAGGTTGCATCTTCAACCCTTACTAGAACATCGTCTGGCTGCTTCCCGCTTGTAGAGTCTCCAAATGTCGATTGAGGACCCATTGATTGAGAAGCAGAGTCTGTATCAGAAGCAAGCATGAACAGTGACAGCCGTTCAAGAGCAGCCCGTGCATCAGCAATTGCAGACAGAGAAGTAGGCAGAGCCTGCAGAGGCGTTCTCAGCAGCATGAAATAGGCAAGAGAGGAGAAGACAACACCTGAATCCATGCCATCCTTACTGGTAGCTCCGTAACAAACGATACTAACGACCGAAGCTAGAGTGGGAGCAGTGTATGATACAGCAGTGTTAAGCGCACGAAGAAGCATCCTCTTGCGAATAAAAACAACTTCATCAGATCTCAACTTGCCAATTTTGGAGAGTAAACTCTCCTCGTAGGCATTTGTCTTGACCAGTCGAATAGCAGAAACTGCCTCAACAACAGCTTTGACTCGAGCATCAGTGAAAGGCATACTTCCTCGCCTGAGACGAAGAAGGCGACCCATCATGAACGACTGAAGAGGATACAGCAGAGCAAGCAAGCCAAATCCTGGCAACGCGCTGTATCCCATCGTCCACACGGTCAAAGCGAAGCAGAGCAGCACCTGGAAGATACTCGTCCACGCCACGTGGAAGTAGCCACAGCAGAAGTCAACACGCGTCACGTCTGCGCTGATGAGACTCATGAGCTTCCCCGTGCCTAGACCATGCTTGAGCTTGGCCTTTTCGCTGAGCTGCGTCGTTGCCCTGCGGTAGATGACATGCATCAAAGCACCGCGCAGTAGAACACCGGTTGTGTAAGAGCGGTAGAAACCATGGACGTTGGATGTGACGGAGAAGACGAGAAGAAGGAATAGGCCGACAACGTAGCCGAAGCCTGAGCGTAGAGCTTGCTGAGATGGGTCTGATAGAGTGCCGATGAGGAATCTGATAAGAAGGGGGGAGACTATTTGCGACAAGTCTCCTGCGAGTTTGAAGAGTCCGCCAAGCCAGAACCACTTGAAGCAGACATCGTTGAGGGCTAATGTTAAGACAGTGGTGTCGGTTGTGTGCCTCGCCCAAAATGGTCTCCATGAGAGTGGACCAGATGAAGCAATTGGCTTTCTGTCGCGGTTTACGGCCAGTCTTGCAGCCCAGGCTTCTTCAAGTCGGTCTGCATGATCTTGTACCAGCCTGTCGCCAGGTAAGTCGTACAAGTCATCGGTTTGAAGGGGCCTTGTGTAGCCTGTTGTTAGAAGACGCCCAAGCCAATTGAAGGTCAAAATTGACAACCAGTTGGCCTTGGCTTCTGGCAAAGGGACTCTGTCTTCTGATCTGACGCCTTCTTGATCCTCGACATTTCCTGCCGTGGGTGACGACTTTGGTGCTGTCAGACGTTGTTCAATTGGCTTTGTTGATAGAAGAGGTACTCGTCTGTACCACTTCCTCGGGGGAAAACTCCTCCCATCGTTGCTTGCCATGATGGATGAGTTTAGACTTGCACCTCGTGAAACAAGTCTCAGCAAACATGAACAACACACCTCGGTATCTTTTTCTCCCTAGAGGTACTCCGTAGCATACTGAAAAAAGTGCTTCGCTTAATGACGGTGGTTCCGTATTCGGAGGGATCATCCAAGTCAGGATCCAGAGACTGTGTGGGGGCTTATGATGGGTGTGCAGATCAGTAATAGATTGATAATTAGGTTACATCGAGAAGCTGCAGGGAGCGTCAGCGCACTAACGTGATCTAAATGGAGCTGCGGTATTTATTACACAGAGAAAAGCAGAGAAGAGGCCACTCGGTCAATGGCCTCCTCGTATAAAGGCTGCAGCAAGGAAGTTGAAATAAGCTTGCGGCGGGAATACTTGTTTTTGGTTTAAGCTCGGTACTTTTGCGCTGCTAGAAAGGGTAACTGCCGATCGCAGCCGGCAATGGTCGGAGACTCGGAGGTCACTAAGCCAGCTACGGGTCTTTTTTTAAATTAGCAGATCCTGCAGTGAAACAAGCATAAATCTTAGCGTCTGATGACGTTTGTGGAAGCAGAAGCACGCAGACTTTTTTACAGTCACAGAACGGACGGTTTTTGGACCGAGGATAGGGTATTCAATGCAGCTGATGTATTTGCACCGACGATGCAATGTGATGTGATGATCATGTGCTAGATCACAGTGGATTAAAGCGACCTCAGCAATAGAATCCTGCACGGTCTGAATGCGACGTCAGTGATGATCTGGGGCATATGCTACTCACTGTCAGCGCCCAAGCGAACTGCAGACTACCTCATCGGCAGAGGTTAGTATTGCACGTAGTATTAATGAAACCTAGACTACCGTGACATGTCTCTTTTTGAACATGATCATCGTGCTGACCAAACAGAGTTGAGATATTATGTATTAATACTCTTGGAGCTGTCCCATATTGTGCCCAGCATCATCTCATATCTGTGACAACGTTTAGTCTTTTGAACCCATTAGTCTTCTCAAAATAAAAGTAAGCTATTTGAATGCATCGTCAAGTGTTGATCAGTAACTAACAGAGCTCTAGAAGCTAGCCACACAAAATGACAGCAAACAACACCATCTCGAACGGTCCCCCCCGCAACCCAACGCCACCGAAAGAAGCGTGGGAGGCTTCCAAAGAAACCACATTCAAACTCCCCGATACCAAGACGAGCATTTGGATTACCAATTCCAGCCATGGAAACGGAAGCGACTATCTCGTTGGTTCAGGGAGCACAACTTTGGCTCGATGGTCGATGGATGGCCGACAAACAAGAGTATCACCACCTATGATCAACGAGGACAGGGCACAAGACGGTCCAGTTCTTGAGCTTGAGATCTTTAACTCGGATGTTGACGATCCTCGCTCTCCTTTTGCGTCTCATGGCCAGAATCGAGACCTGGCGTTGACTTGGGCGTCGGTCTACGCGCTGTGGCTACACCCTGACCACAGAGACGATGACTTGATTGCCATTTCGGTGGACAGTCAAAAGATAGGCGAATACATCAAAAGCACTGGCGTTGGAGTTCTATCACCATTTTCACCGTCGACAACTCCCCGAGAGACTATCTACTGGCTTTCCCACGATGCGTTCTGGCAGGGAGCTGGAGCGCCAGACTCACAGCACTGGCTTCAATCGCGACCTGAAGTGACAAACTTCCCAGGCTTCAACGGCACAATGGGTGTTTTTGCCAATCAACTGGGCTTCACGCGCAATGGCAACGTCTGCACCGTTCACCCCGTGCGACCACCCAAGCCCAAGCCAGGCAGCCTCATCTACTCGCGCTACATCGTCGAGCTGGGACAGCAGATCACCATCCGACACATCGACGCGTCAAACCCCGTTCACTTCGAAGCGTACAAGCGATGGCAAAACTCGGACCGAGTGAACAAAGCGTGGAAAGAGCGCGGACCGGACGAGCACCACCGAGCATACCTCGCCAAGCAACTGGCGGACCCTCACAGCATGTCATGCGTGTTCGAGTGGGACGGGCAGCTGGCAGGCTACACCGAGCTTGGATGGGTCATGGAGGACAACGCGGCGTGCTTCTTCGGGTCAAACTGCAACATCGTGGTGGGCGAGCACGACCAGAACTCGCACATCATAGTGGGCGAGGAGCGGTTCCGCGGCGGCAAAAGGTACCAGGCGGTGGCCACGTCCATCAAGCACTGCTGCTTCCTGCGGGACCCTCGCACGAAGCAGGTCGTGGCCGAGCCCGAGTACGACCTCAACCACGTGCAGATCCAGGACAGGTTTCTGCCGCAGGAGAGGAAGAAGCGGTTCCATCTGCCGCACAAGACGGCCATGCTGTTTGCCCTGCAGCGTGAGCGATTTTTCCAGGAGGCACATTTCGTATAGAGTAGAGTACTCCATAGTGCAGTGTAATTGTAGCAGAGATCGGCAATGCAAATTTGATCAAGCTACTGCAGTGCATTACATTACATTTACCATGACGTAACATTTTACATGTGTTTAACCCTGATGATCGCGATAATCTAGCGCAGCCACAGCCACAGCCATTAATTAGAGTCAAGATCGTCGGTAGATACGTAATAAATGCCGGTCTTCACTGGTCGCATTCGGTCCCACGGGTCTAAACAAACGTTATTTGGCTTTGGCTTGACACTGCAGGAAAGCTAGTAACCGTAATCTTATCAGATCATCAGCCCCCACCATTTTCTCACCCTCTCGTGTGTCTCACTGTGCGCCGAAATTAATAATGGGAACCTTAGAGGGGGCCTGGGGGCCAGCAGGGATCGGAGGTTTCACCCAATATGGGCGCTGCAAAGACCTTCCACTCTGGGACCCATTTACCATGGCACACTGTGCTCAACCATTATTCTCGTTAGCCTCTTTTGAGGTGGACATCGTCATCAGTGTGGTTCAAGGCCATGTTGCCATTGCCATTGCCGGGCGATAACGGCCGATTTATTTTGGTAGCTTTTGAGACAAGATCGCATAATACGTATGTCTGGCTGGTGACTGTGTAAACACCACGGCAGATTCCCTACAATCATACACGGCCAACTAGATGCATACTGTTGGTGTAAGCCAGAAGATACCATCAACACCATGAATATCACGTCGCACACCACAAAGCCCCCTGTTACGCAGCTTCGTCCGCTGCATTCTTACGGGCCGGCAATAGAGACGCCGCAAGAAGCCGCCGAGTGTCTAAACTGGACCAGCTCTCTCCAACCCAGACCTGACGATGAGACTGCCATCAAGGCATTTGTGAAGCTCGTATCTCGTCTGATAATTCTCGAAGAGGGTGAGAGTTTTTGTATTCAGGACTCAAGACGTGGTGGTTTCATCCTTGCTCATAAATCGAGCTCTGAGAATGATGCCACCAATGAGTTCCATTTTGTCGAATCTCAGAATGATAGAGACATCCCATCTGATTTCTCCATTGGCAAGGGAAAGGTAAGATTTACCAACTTGGAAGATCGTGATCAATATCAACTAACGAGTGCCAGACGTTGCAACTTCACATTGGAGCAGAGGCTGTGCAACTAAAAGCCAATGCAAACACTATCCCTTCAGAGGCCCTTGAGGCTCTGGGCTGCATGCTCAACGACATCATCAGTGGACTCCAGCAAGCACGGGATGGCTATGAATGGTCTCAACCCTCAGTGCTCAATTTCCCACCAAAGTCCAGTCCTTTATCCCTACTTCGCGAGGATGCGGTCACGCCGGAGACGAGTGATGAAAATACCCCAACCTCACTTCTGCATCACTGGTTTGAGCAGCGTGCGATGGAGAGCCCCCAGAGCGTAGCTATCGACTACCTCACTGATCTCCAAAGCGGCAGCAGGACTCAGTTCACCTACCGCCAGCTCAACATGGTCGCTACGAAACTAGCGAACAAGCTCGTGGAAATATGTTCCCGATCACCACAATCATTCAAGACAGTTGCTGTGTTCATGGGGCCTTGTCCAGAGCTCTACATCTCGTATCTGGCGGCCCTGAAAGCGGGAGTAGCGTTCTGTCCTATTGCCGTTGATGCGCCCAACGAAAGGAAAGATGCCTTGATGGCTGATTTGAAGCCTTCAGCTCTACTTACAACTTTGTCTTCAACGAAATCAGGCTCTTGGTCATCTGGTTCGGCAGAAGCCATCGATGTGACTTCATATCTCACCGAAAGCGATGCAGAGCCTACCACAGCATCATTCTCAGCATCAGCCACTGAGAACGATGTAGCCTACATTCTCTACACATCAGGAACTACAGGCATGCCCAAGGGCGTAGCCGTGAGTCACCTGTCTGCAGCCTGCACAGTCTCTTCGCTGAGTGCTCACTATGGCTTCACTATCCCACCACCGGGATCCAAGCCTGTCAGATGGTTCCAAGGCGCTGCTCCTACGTTTGACATCTCACTCTTTGAGATTTTCTGGACACTCAGCACGGGATCTACGCTTTGTTGTGCGCCTCGAGAATTCACTCTGCAGGATATTGACAAGGTGGTTACAACTTTGGAAGCTGATATCACCAACATCACTCCTAGTTTTGCTAGTTTGTTGGATCCATCATCGATTCGCGGGCTGATGGTTGGTGGCGAGACTTTGAACGCTCGACTTCTACAGGACTTTGCACCGTACAATCCGGCTACAGAGGGTGAGGTCAGCAACACACCAAGAGGCATCTACAATGGATATGGTCCCACAGAAACAGCCATCTACTGCATCGCCCAAGCTCACGTCCCTGGAAACCAACGCGGATCTGTCATTGGAACGCCTCTTGCGACCTGTGGAGCTCTCATCATCGAAGAACAATCACGCTCACAAGATAGAAAAACTCTGGACCCTGTTCCCATGGGTGCGGTCGGAGAACTCGTCATCACAGGTCCCCAGGTCAGCAAGATTGGCTACTTGAATCGTCCAGATGAGACAGCAGCCGCTTTCGTCGATGACTCGCGCTGGGGTCGAGCCTACAAGACTGGTGACAGAGCAAGGCTTGTGTGGGATGCCAGCGGTTCACCGGTTGTGGAGTTCCTGGGCAGGATATCTGATGATCAGGTTAAGCTCAGTGGACGACGTGTCGAGCTGGGCGAGATTGAGAGTGTTCTAGCGAGTAAGGCCGAGGGCGTCAAGGAGACTCTATCTTGTGTGTGGAAGCAGGGCGAAGAGGCAGGCTCAGAGAAGATCATCAGCCTTGTTGTCGTTGAGACACAGTCTGGATTGAGCTTTGAGTCTGTTCGCCAGGCGTGCGTAGAGGCCGCACAGCACCATCTTCCAGACTACATGAGACCTTTCAAAATTCTGCAAGTCGAGGCGCTCCCGAGATCTACCTCCGGAAAGGCGGATCGTAAGACAGCCTTGGCGATGATCACTAAGATGCTGGAACAAGACCTAAGCGCATCCCGGTCAGTACTTACACAAGACGAGTCGATTCAGGATATCGAGCCACTGGCACGACCTGAGGATGCAAGTGTCGAGCAAGAGCTCGTTTCTATCGTTAACAATGTTCTTCGTGATGGTTCTACCTCTGGTCCTACGATCAGAGCCGAAACGATACTAGCAAAAGCTGGCATTGACAGCCTCAGGGCAATGAGAATCCTGAGGGACATCAGGAGATGTTGGTCAACTTCTGAAGAGTCTTCGGATGATCGCCAGAACACCAGACTGCAACCATCTCTGGCACAACTGCTGGACGAAGAAGCAACCATTCGCTCTGTGTTTTTCCCTGGAGACAATAATTTGGAAGCCTCAGCTACAGCCAGGAAGGAAGCCAATACCAGAGCCCGACTTGAGAGCTTCAGCAACAAATATCTTCCAGATGCCGTTGGCAAGCTTGGCCTCTCCGCCCAGTCCGATATTGAGATGGTCCTCCCCGCAACTAGTACTCAAAGTCAGCTTGCTCTAAGTTTTGCTATGGACAAGCGCAACTATATCAGCCATACTGTCTTGCGCCTCAAGTCAGATGTCTCGGCATCAGCACTCAAGGAAGCTATCGAGGTGGTTGTCTCGAAACACGCTATCTACCGATGCGCCATGCTACCTTGCGAGGATGACCTCTCTCCGTTTCTTCAGACCATCCTTACACCCAATGCATGGGAAAGGCTAGGCGGCAATTCGAGTCGGGTTGTGCATAGAAAGACCGACAGAGACAGTGGCGATGTGCAGGCCTTGCTCAATCTGGCCGAGGATAACTTGAGTTTGGAATCGCACAGGCTCTATTACATACAAGTTGTGGAGTCTGGTGATCCTAGCAGTGGTGACCTCTTGATCATCAGCGCTGCCCATTGTATCTGCGATGGCCCATCTCTAGAAGTTCTAATGAGCGACATATCCAGGCAGTACTCTGGCTTGGAGCCTCTTCCTCGACAGAGCGTCTATGATTCTGTCTTGGACTGGGCATCAAATGTCAGCCCAGAGACCGATCAATCGTGGCAGAAGGCGCTTCAAGGTTGGGAGACAGAGCCTCTCGGGGCCATAAGCGGCAATAACGTCAAGCCCTCCACCTCTGGACCTGTTCGCCAATATGCCATGGTTCATCACGCGAGTGACATCCCGTGGCGAGTCCTCGAAGCCAAGAGTAGAGCACTTGGTGCTTCTCCGTTGACAATCCTTCAAGCAGCGTGGGCTACGCTCCTACATATTATGTCCGAGGCAGACACTGATGATGTTACATTCGGAAGTGTTTTATCCGGACATGATCAGTTTGTACATGCACCAACCTTCTCTGTGGTTCCTTGCCGTGTTGCTCTACCTGAAACGCAAACTCTCAGTCAGCTTGTGAGCAGTTTGATGGAGCATTCCAGATTTGCCCAGAGCCATAGACATACATCGTTTGGTGTTTTCAAAACCCTTCCATACAACACCGCCTTGGCCCTCCAAGCATACCCCCAGCCTGAGGATGGTCACGGAGAGGCTTCTACGCCCCTTTGGACAGAAATCTCTAATCCTGCCATCCGTTATGACTTTTCTATGTTCGCCGAGGTCTTCCCTACGAACCCAAAATCGCCAGACAGAAATGGAAAGTTTGAGGATGTTGTATTCAAGTTGACGTATCGCGACGAGACCTTCTCTGAACTTTCCGCTTCATGCATCGCCAAGCAGTTCGCGGACCTTACCAATGCAATCCTCAATTCGCTCCCTGGTGATCTGGTTCAGACTTTACCAGCACGAATGGACCGGCACTTACTCTCCGCAGAGGGAACGATTCCTGTTGAGGAGGAGATTGTGGATGTGGAGGAGCAGCAGGTTCGAGACAGAGCTAGGCTTCTGCATTTGCAGTTTGAAGATCAAGCTGCATCAACTCCAGATCTCCTGGCTCTAAGCTTCTACTCTTCTTTGGATTCTCCTCCAGTCGAGCTTACGTATGCAGAGCTTGATGCCAGAGCCAACGGACTCGCCAACATCCTGCGAGAACAAGACATCGACATCATTCCCATTTGCCTGGAACGCAGTATTGAACTATATGTTGCGGTCCTGGCCATTCTCAAGGCAGGTTCAGCATGGTGTCCCATCGATACCACTTCCCCTGTTCAGAGGCGCACGTCGCTTATTGCCAGAGCTCAAAGCAAGGTGTTACTCACAACAACCGAGTCACTGCCTCTTGTTGAGCCTTGCCTTGCCCAGGATGCCTTGAAGGATGTTCAAGTCATTCTTGTCGATCAGTACGCTCATCACAAGACCTCCACACGGGCTAAGCCGCGAAAGAGCATTTCTGAAATTACTGGACAAGATCTAGCATATCTACTGTGGACATCAGGAACAACAGGAGAACCCAAGGGTGTCATGATCCAGCACAGCGCTGCAGCACAGGCCATGCGCGATCTACAGGTCCTTGTAGAACACGACGACAGCGAGCAGGTACGCACACTACAACTCTCTGCGTATAGCTTCGACGTCTTTGTTCAGGATCTTTTCTATACGTGGGGCTTGGCAGGAAGTGTCATCAGCGGAACACGAGAGTTGGTCCTCGGCACATTTACTGAGTTTATTTGGAAGTCTCGCCCAACTCACGCCCATCTTACACCCTCATTTGGTGCGAGTATCGCTGTACAAGAACTCAAGGGGTCAACTTTGCAATACGTGACGTTCATCGGAGAAAAGCTCACTGAGGATGTTGCTGAGGCTTGGGCGGCTCCTGAGATTACCACTCGTGCATACAACACATATGGACCAGCTGAGAACGCAGTTGTATCTACCATGAGACGCTTCTACGGTAAGAGTAGAGACACAGCCAAGGCTGCCAACGTGGGCTTTCCTTTGGATCACTGCACAGCTTATGTTGTGCGTGAAGTCGAGACTGAGCAAGGTACTAAGCGGTGGGAGCTCGTTCCACGATATGGAGTTGGTGAATTGGCCCTGGGCGGTGCACAGGTCGGCAAAGGGTATCTCTCCAACGAGGCCAAGACCACCAAAGCTTTCATCGAGGGAGGTCCTGGTATTGATGAGCGTATCTACCTGACTGGAGATTTGGTGCGACTGAACGACCACGGCTTCGAGTTCCTCGGCCGAAACGACGATCTCGTCAAGATCACAGGCATTCGCATCGAGTTGAGTGAGATCAGCGCAGCTTGTGCCAGTCTGAAGGATGAAGATGCAGCGATTGAACATGTTGAGACGCTGTATCTCCAACGTCCCGGTGCACCCGCTGGTAACAACAACAAAGTAGTCGTTACTTTTGTGTCCGTCAAGGCCGCCAATGTTGATACTGCAAAGATCAGATCACAGGTGTTCAAAAGGGCCAAGGACCTTCTCCCATCGTACATGGTGCCTGGTCATGTGGTTGTTCTTGACACGACTATGCCCAGGACTGCGTCTAACAAGGTTGATCGAAAGGCGCTACAGGGCATCTACGCTGAATCAGATCTCAATGTTTTGGCGGGCAGAGATGGAACAACGCAACTTCCTAGCCATACTCAGAAGCCCGAGCAACGGTGGACTATACAGCAACTAACCACTCTGAAGGTCATTGTTGGCAACTTCAACATCCCGATTGAGAATCTGTCTCCGGAGGATAGTCTCGCTGGTCTGGGCTTGAGTTCTCTTCAGGTCACAAAGCTAGCTTGGATTCTCAGACGGGAACTAGAGTGCCAAGTTGGTGTTCTTGATCTCATGAGATGCGAGTCTCTGGGTGAACTGGTTGATGTGACTCTTAGCAGAATGCCTAAAAGGGATGTGGAGGAACAGCCAGTTGGAGAGAAGTCTGCAGAAACATCATGGCTAGTTCCCATCAAAGACACCCTCACCAAGAACATAAAAGGCGACATGCGACCACAGGATACACAGTACATCCTGCCCGCAACCCCCATGCAAGAATCCCTCATCGTCGAGACTATGCTCGAGCCTCAAGCTTACTGGGCCCACCGCATCTTCGATCTTAGCCACTTGGGCGAAGTTGACGATCGTCAGCTCAAGAGAGCTTGGACTGCAGCCGCAAAGCGATTCGACATTCTGCGAACTATCTTTGTACCTTTGACGCAGCTTGATGTCGAGGATAGTGAGAATACTGTTACATGGGCACGTGAAAAGGGCGTTCAGTCTACGATCCTTCAGCTGATCCGAGACAAACCAGCTGTGTGCTGGACACAACTTTCCGATGAACGGGACCAGACTTTGAGCCAACTGGCCAAAACACTTCAGTCAGAACTTTCCCCAACAACGACCACAGAACCACCCTGGGCTGTCACATTCGTCCAGGACAGTAACAAGATGATGCTCAGTATGCATCACGCTCTTTACGACGCTGTGGCATCAGAGACTATCCTCGAGACTGTCTCCAAGCTTTACAACATGGAGTCTGTGGGAGATCTGAACGAGGTTGTGCAGTTTGACAAGGGCCTTGAGTTGGGCTTGCTGCCGACTCCTGCCAAGAGGGAAGAAGCTGCTACTATATGGACTCGTCGACTGGATGAAGTTAGTAAGACAGCTTCTGGGGGTATCTTAAATGCTCCTTTCCCAGACCTCACGCAATCTCGACAGAAGCAAGTCCAGAAGATCCTTCTCTCCAAAAGAGAAATTCCTACTTCATTTGCCAAGGCCACATCAACTGTATCTTTACCCACTCTCCTCCAGTCTGCCTTTGGCTGTGTTCTGGCTTCCTATCTTGAACTCGATTCCATCGTCCTCGGTCATACTGTTTCCCAGAGGATTCTACACCCAGAACTCGCTCGAGTCGTCGGTCCTGCCATCGCCACGCTGCCTCTCATCATCCGCTCCAATGCCTCTTCAGCCCAAGAGCTCTGGAAGGACATGGCCCACGACTCTGCCCAGCTGTTCCAGAGCACGCACAATCTCCATCCAGTGGACATCAAGAAGATGCTCAATCGCGGAAGTGGCAGTAGCAATGCGCCATTCCCGGGTCTTTTTGTGTATCACCCTGCCCCAGAAGATGGCCAAGAAGGCACTACTCAGCACATGTTCCGGGAGGTTGGACAAGCTTTGTCGCTTAATGTTGAGCATCCCCTCGCTCTGAACATCTTCGAAGCCACTGGGATGGTGGAACTCACTGGAGACGGGCTTCGTATCGCACAGGCTCAGCTTGAACTCTTACTCGATCAGGTTCTCGACCAAGCTCGTGTTATGGCCGAAACCCCTGAGGCTCCTCTCACTCAATTGCAGAACCAGATGAGCCGAAATTTGCTGTCCGTCAGTGGAGATGCTGCTGGTGAAGAAACCAGTCGAAAAAATCCAACCGACGGCGTCTCTTTACACGCATCCCAACATCCTGATTGGGTCGCTGCTGAAGAGGTCATCTTCCAGACCTCCGACGATGGAGACGAAGTGATTACATCCAAGACCATTACATACGCCCAGCTGGATAAGCTCACCAATGCTATCGTCACTAGGCTAGTTGAGCACGAGGTACAATTGCAACCAGACGACCCTGTGGCCATGTGTTTGGGACGAGACATCAAGTCGCTCGCAGTAACTCTTGCCATCTTCCGAGCTGGTCTCGTTTATCTCCCTGTCGATGAGGATCTGCCATCGGCTCGAAAGCAGCTTCTGATTCGAGACGCCGGGGCCAAACTTGTCGTCACTACTCAAGAGCTGGTAGATGACTTGGATCTAGATGCCTCCGATGATCCACCTGTCTTGATGGTTCCCAATGGGGCCGATGCTCTTGAAAGTATCCTGTCCTGGCCCATTTCCGAACATTCCCAACAGATTGGTGATGGTGGTTATCTTCTCTACACTTCTGGCTCTACCGGACGACCCAAGGGCGTTCGTGTCTCAAACAGAAACCTCTGTCACTTCATCTCTGCCTTCAGCAATCGCATGATCGAGCACTCTCCAGCAACTGCCAAGCTTGGAGGCGTCGGAAAGTATCTGAACCTCACGTCTCGAGCCTTCGATCCCCATCTCACCCAGCTCTTCGTTCCCTGGCACCTTGGTCATCGCGTCGTCATTGGAACAGATCGCACAGCGATGTTGGCTAATCTGAAGGAACTAATCAACGAGTTGAGAATCACCCACTTTGGCTCAGTTCCGTCAGTGTTGTCTCAACTGAGATTGCGGCCTGAGAATGTCCCTTCTGTGCGTGTTGTCACGACCGGTGGAGAGAAGGCTTCGAATGAACTTTTGAACACGTGGGCTCAGGGGCATGGCTCTAAGTCGGAAGACGAAAAGGCTGTTCTTTTCAACTTCTATGGCCCAACAGAAGTCACAATTGGCTGTCTCGGCCATGCTGTTCACCAAGATTCCAACGCTCGTAATCTTGGTCTTCCCTTACAAGGTCTTGAGGCACTTCTTCTTTGCCCTAACACGACCAGTGACGAACTAGTCGTAGCCAGAAGAGGCCAACCAGGTGAACTTTGTATCGCCGGTCCGCAAGTGGCAATGGGGTACCTGAACCGCCCGGTTGAACAAGCCAAGAGCTTCCAGACCATCTCAGTTCTTGGAAGTAGCAAGAGGGTCTATCGAACAGGCGATATGATGAGAATGATGAATGACGGGTCGCTTGAGTTCCTTGGAAGAGCTGATCAACAGACCAAGATCCGCGGTCAAAGACTTGAGTTGGATGAAGTTGTCGGCTTCCTCAAACAGGCAGCTGGCGATGAGAAGAGTTTGGAGTTTGCTGCGACAGTCGCTTCCAGTGGCGACGATAGCTCGAACCAACAGCAGCAATTGCTCGGTTTTGTTGCCCGGAAGCCACACAACCTCAAGGCATACGCTGATGTTGAGACTGAGGTTATCCACCCTCAGGACCCTGAGTCGGTTTCTTTACTTGAGTCGATTGAGCTTGATTGCCAGGCGAAACTCCCCGCGTTCATGGTTCCTACATTGCTTTGGGTTACCAGGATTCCGTACCTGGCTGCGTCTGGCAAGGTCGATACCAAGGTGTTGGCTCGTCTTGCGAACGACTTCCTGGCTGCTCAGCGAGATGAAGAGGCGGGTGAGAGCAGTAACAACACACCAGGCTCAAGCTCTGCTCTAACTGCACGTGAATTGGAAGTTGTCGCCGCGCTTGAACAAGTCGTGGGTGGTAGCGTCAAGGCCACTCCAGCAAGTAGTATTCATCGACTGGGCATTGACAGTCTCTCCGCTGTGAATCTGGTGTCTCTTCTCAGAAAACGCGGCTTTTCTCAGTTGAAGATGACTCATATTCTTTCGTCCTCGTGTACAGTTGGGGACATTGCTAGACTTGCCGATCAAGACACCCTCAGTTCAGCGAGCAGCACACCGTTGTCTACACCTCCATCTACAGACGACAGACAAATACACCCCGATACCACATCCCTTACCGCCAAAGATCTTGGCCCTCTCCCAGAAGGTCTTGAGGAAAACAACATCGAAGCTGTGCTACCCTGTCTCCCTCTGCAGTCCGCCCTCATCGCTCGCTCGCTAGTATGGCTCAGCGCTTACAGTGAGACCGGCAATGCTGCAGGACACGATGTGCCGTACGTAGCACAGTTCAGCTATCATCTGGGACATGGTACAGACATCAACAAGTGGAAGAATATCGCTGAAGAGGTCATCAACTCAGAAGCCATGCTGAAGACCTGTTTCATCCAACGCGAGGAAGATGGTCAGATCTTCCAGGTCGTTCTTCGATCACCTGCTTCTGCACTTAGCTGTGAGGATCCCGCAGACATTGTGGGACAAATGAATGTCCGGCCTCCAATTCGATTGCAGATCCTGGAGGGCAATGATTTTGATGGAGAGGTTGTCACTTTGAAGATCCACCATGCTTTGTTTGACGGTGTGGCTATTGAAGCACTCAAGCACAAGCTAGAGCAGACCTACAAGGACCGAACGACGCTGACCTCTCAGCGCGACACATTAGATCTACTCGCAAACATCGCCAATCACTGCGCTTTGTCGATTAGCCAGCTCAACTCTACCCAGCGATCCTGGCAAGTACAGCTTCGTGATGTTCAGCCATGCCGTGTTGGAACCCTCGATGACAATACTACAAATGGCGTCATGGCTCGCTCGACTCTTTGCCTTGGCTTTACTACATCTGAGCTGAACGCAAGACTCAAATCTCAGTCGCAAGACATAGGTGCTTCGATATCAGCGTCCTCTGCTTTCCAGCTGGCCACTAGTCTTTGCCTTGCTCAACTCACTCAACAGCCATCCGTCGTCTACGGCTTCATCATGTCACTCCGACCATTGCTCGACCACGTCGCCGATGGTGTTGACACCTTTGTCGGACCGTGCCTCAACACCATCATCAAAACTCTGACTTTCCAAAGCGAAGATGAAACTCTACCCCAACTCGTTCAGAGAGTCCACCAAACTCATCTCGACGTCTGTCAAGGAACTATGCCACTAGTTAGCGTAGACAAGGTTCAGCGGTGGTCAGGATCAGAGGACAAGCTATTTGACAGTCTCCTCAGCATCAATATTGTGCCTGCCACTGAAAAGGTCGATGATGAGTGTAGAGCGGGCCACATGACTGCTCTGCCCACGCGCAGCAGTAGCGATATGGCCTTGGCTATCGATGTGGATTTGCACGCCGATGGTGGGATCGTCTTGACGCTTTCGTCCGCTGGTGCTTTGAGCGAAAAGCAGTTGGATGATGTTGGTAGACTGTTTGAGAAGGTTGTGTACAGCTGCGCCGACAAGAACGTCAAGGTTTCGGATATAATACCTTCACTTCCCATGGCCAGGATCACAGTACCCGACGTCAATCCCAACAACGATAATGGCAACCGCGAGGCACACACAGCTGATGCGGGGTACCGCGAGGCACTCACAGATGTGAAAGCAACAATTGGCCGTCTCCTTCGCCTCGACCAAAACGAAGTATCCTCCAAGTCAGAGTCAACTTCTCTGTACCAACTCGGCCTCGACTCAATCACTGTTCTGCCATTCGTCAAGCTCATCAACAAGTCCAACAAGACTAAGCTTTCTTCTCATGCGGTTATCAAAGCCCGCACAATTCGAGGCGTTGCTGAGCTCTTGGCTGAAGCCCGAGCTAAGCAGATCTCTAGCGTCAATGGCGATGCGAAGAACGGCACCTCGCTTGCCAACCGTGACATCACACGGGATCCTTTAAGTGCCGCAGATGCTTATGATAAGACTCTTGAACGTCTAGCCAAGGACCTCATGTTCATCGCAACACCTCTTCAAGAAGGCATGCTTAGTGCATCTCTAGCCACTGGAGGTGATGCTTACACATATGTCCACGCGATTCAACTATCCGAGGCTGCTCTCGAAGCCGATACTCCGGATCTAGACAACTTCTTCGCTGCCGTCAGAGACACAGTCCGGGCTTGCGAAATCCTGAGAACCCGCTTCATGTTTACTGAAGATGACGAATCGCCATGGGTAGGTATTGTATCTCCTACAGAGCAAAGTGATCTTGTCAGCTGGGAGGTCCAGTCATCAACGCCTGGTAGGGTGCATCTTCGAATTCACCATGCTCTCTACGATGCGACTTCTATTCATGCCGTGTGGAGCATTCTGGAAGAGAACTACAACCGTCGTCTCGATAACAATAACTACCATGGTCACACCGAGTCAAGGCATTTGTTTAGACCGTTTGCAAAGGCTGTTTCATCTTCACAAAAGTCATCTGTCGCGTTCTGGACTGCGGTTGTCCGAGGTTACACGTACACACCACTCGACTTTCCCAGCGACGAACTCAAAGCATCAGCTGCTTTCCACTTCACGCTCGATGAGAAAGATCTGTCACTTCTCCAGTCGCGATGCAAAAGCCTAGGCGTTACCACCAAAGCAGCGCTGCAATTGGCCTGGGTCAAGGTACTCTGCGAGTCTTTGTACAACCAAGCAGATGTTGTGTATGGAGAAGTCGTTTCCACCGATGCCGACGACGATAAGGCTATCGTTGGCCCTACCATTAACACACTTCCCATGAGAGTCAAACTTGGAGGTTCTACTTCCATGCCCAGTGTTTCCAAGTCTTTGGAGCTTGTTCAGAAGCAGATTGACTTTGCAAGGGGCACCAACTCAATGGCCTCGTTGAGACAGGTTCAATCTCAGTGGAGGTCTGCTCAACAAGGCGACGCCCCTGCTGGTCTCTTCCAGAGTCTCTTCGTCTTCGATGGCGTCGTCGGCTCCTCGGATACATCAGATCGTCTGTTCAAGCCCGCAAAAACTGAGTCGGCCGATGCGTCTGGACCTGCATATGATGACTACCCTCTCATTGTCAGCTTCCATATCAAGAACAATACGCTGAACGGAAAATTGAGAGCCAAGATGTCGTCAAAGGATGCAGAGGCCATAGGCGGGAAGTTGGTAGCCTCTCTGAACCATATTTTGCATGGTATGGAGATGCCAGTACTCAACACGAAGCACCTCGCGTCGTCCAACAAGGTTTCGAAACAAGCGGAACCCGCAACAGACTCGGCTGCCTCTACCGATATGAACGGCCTAACACCAAAGGCCGATGCCATCTTGAACATTGTTGAGAAGGTCATTGGTAGTAGACGCGGTAGCAAGAAGATTTCTTACAACAGCAGACTGATCAACGTCGGTCTTGACTCCATCTTGGCCATCCGCCTGTCGAAGCTTCTGAAAGACCAGATGGGTCTGAGCGTGACCGTCTTTGACATTATGAAAGGCGCCAGTGTTCGTGACATCGTTACACGCACAGCGACAAGCCCCAAGACTTTGACGAAAAGAGCCGCGCGGCACCTGGCAGCACCTGGCGAATGGCTGAAAGTAACAATTGCCAAAACTCTCGACTTATCAGAAAGTCTAATCAAGTCAATCTTGCCTGCATTGTCTGGTCAACGCGCTCATCTGGAGCAGTGGGTACATAACGGCAAGAGATTCTTCGAACCACCTTGGGTGTACAGAGTCGACGATTCCTTTGATGTGCAGAAGGTGGAGACTTGCTGGGCTGAGCTTGTTCGAGTCCACGACATTCTTCGAACCACATTCGCATGCAGGGAGAACTCTGCTGAACTATACCAAGTCACCCTCAATGAGCGATGGTCAGCCAGCAGGCGATTTGCACCCCTGGTGGACAGTTCGCAGACGATTGAGGCCTTGATCTCCGAGCATGTTGGACAGGAGAATGCGCTGGCATCTGACTTGAAAGAGCCTCCAGTTCGGTTCTCTTTCTTGGAGGCTTCGAATGGGAAGGCAGTGGTGTTGAGGTTACATCATGCTCTTTATGACGCGTGGAGTATCAAGATGATTGAGCGCGATTTGACCGACCTTCTCACCCTAGGCAAAGTGCAAGAGGCCCGCCCATCGCTTGAGCACGAAGTTCAGAAGATCAGAGACATCAGACAGCCCGAGGCTGAAGGAGAATACTGGAAGTCTCACCTTTCCCATGCCCAAGAGACCATTCTGGGCAGCGCTTCTGAGAGTAGCACCCTACAGTCATTGGGTCCTCAGTTCAAGGCCAGCTATTCTTCCGTTCTCCCCCAGGCAATCATCGACTCTCTTTCGCAGCAGAGCAACTCGCAAACCTCAGCAGCCATCATCCTCGCCTACGCCAAGTGCTTGAAGCACTTTACACAACGAACAAAACCAACCTTTGGTCTGAACCATGCGTCTCGATCTCTTTCATCTCCTGATGGCTCGCAGAGTCTCGATCTGACTGCGGCATGCATACCAACGCTGACTGTCACGCCGCTGTCTGTGGATCTGGGGACGTCGGACAGCGAGGTGCTTAGCTTCATACAAGACCATTTTGCCCAGCTCACTTGTTTCGCCCAGGCCGATGGTGTCTCTAGGCTTGGTCCCAAATTCAACTCGTACATCAACATCATCCATCGCGATGATAATGCAAAGGTGGAAAACGGTGGTGCCCAGGGAGAGTCCAATGCCCTAAAACGATACAGGCTGCCAGAGCCGCTCGCTTCCGACTACTTCACTGTCGCTGAGTCGTCATCTGTCGTGTCCACGATTGATCGGCTTGATACCAGTCGTTTGTCTTCCCATCGATTCTTTTTCAATGTTATTGTGAGTCGGAGCCAAGGGGTTACTGTCACTGTGAGTGGTGATAAGGCGCTTTTCGGAGGAGATGAGGAGGTAGTCGCCAGTCTTGTGTCGAAGTTTGGTACCGAACTATCTCAGCTTGTGGAGTAGGATTGAACGGGGTTGATGTAATGACTTTTGGTTTTCTTTTTGTATTTCTGTTATGTATTTATCTCTCATATTGCACAAACTGAGTCAATTCAGTCGCTTATCTCATGTACGTACATAACTGTTTGCGTTTCCAGATAAATGGCAAGCCTAATTGTTAGACTTTCATAATGTTTATGTAAATGCATAAACGTTTCCGCCATCTTATGCCTGGACCAATCGTTTAGCAAACTCTGGTTCTCAGCTTCCGATTGGTGTCCAGCTGCGGAGTTTCTCCATAGCCATTGGGAGAGCTCAAGGGGTAAGTGGATACAGAACTAGCTTTTGTGCCCACTGAGCACCCTTGTAGCTACCCTGCATGCAGCTGGTGAAAAATCACTGATTTTTAAATTCGGGCGAATGGAAAAGCTTGAGCATGATGGACAAGTATAAAGAGCTTTCGTCTACCTGGTTAGAAAAAGAACAAGCTTTCGTGTATTCTTTTGTTCGATTACTCCGTCGTATAAGACAGTTCAATTGGTATGCAATAATAATTGTGCGCAAAACGAATCCTCATCGCTACTGAAACCTTATGGGTCTCGTCGCTGATCTGCCCCGCAAGGGTCTTCCTTATCGCGTTATCTATGGCTACACTGACGTCATTTCTTGGTTGTTCCGCCGTGAACTTCGTAAACGAATGTCAATCTCGTTGCCCCTCTACCCCTCCACGTCAGTTTGTCCCACTCCAAAGCCACTTTCAGCAGCCCTGTGCTGTCGAATCTTTCGATCGTGAGCCTCAATCTCAGGAACAAACGCCGCCTCGAGCTTGTTGCGAATACTGCCCCTCGAATCGCTGTCGAAGGAACGAGAATCGTCGACTCGGAGTGACGCAAAGCGCTCCAAGATATTGTTGAGATCGGCTGCTTTCTCATCTCCTCTCTCGATCGTACGTTGCGCGGCATCGATAACGGACCCGGATATTTTGTCCCAGACGTGCGCCCGCCATTGAACAAAGTGAAGTGTGCGGATCTTGTAGATGCCGTCCTTGCCCTCGTCGATATGTCGTAGCACGTAGTGTCGGTTGATGAGTTCCAGCAAACGGTCGAGACGATTGGTCGCTGTAGCATATCGGTCCCATTCTGTAACGTAAGCCTCCAACAAGAGACTACTTTCCACGGATTGGAGTCGCTGGACCACGGTCTGGAGATGTTCAGCGAGAAACGCGGCCAAGTTCTTGTACGCGATGGCAGCACCGGGCATTAGATGCGCTGTGAGTGCCAATTTCCAAGTCAGAAAGGACACACGACAGACTGGATTGTACTTGTACCTGAGCGATTACGCCCGTCTGCGTTTGGGTCATGGTACATGAGCCTCCACACAGCTCTGACGAATATTCAGATGTTTTCTGGTTAATCGCATCACTTGACTCACGAGTAGAAGTTCATGTACTGCACATATGGTCAACATTGATCACATGGGGGAGATGGCAAAGTCAACGACGTACAGCATCTGGCGGCAACGGAAATTGGGGATCACGATGAATAGCCGCAATGCGCTCTTCCAAATAGGCATGCAAAGCTGCGTCGTCGCCCTCTTCTGGCAGTGTCATGTGTTGCATTTGTTCTATTTGCGCGGTTGCTTGGCCACCTCGACTTTGAAGGTTTTCTTTTAAAAATACGTGGATGATCTAAATCTCAATAGAAAAGAGGAAATGTCTGTAATGTTCAGGATTGAGTATCAAGACAAAGAGCTCCCGAAAAGCACCAGATGAGCTTCTTGACAAACACAGTCATTATATGTTTGCTTGCATCTAGGCAGCCAAGCTAGGCAGCAAGATCAGCCTCATTTCGCCAAGGCTGGAAATGCGCATGTTACAAGCAATCACGTTATGTCAGCGAGAGTGAATGGGAAAAAACAGAGGCAGCCGCAATTCACTGCGGAGGTACCTTACCGTCAGATGACGTGTTCCAAATTTAGAGGAGGGGCAAATTCTGGTGCAAAACGCAAACGAGGAAAAGAGGGGTAAAGTCTCTGCAAGCTAGACCCGCGACCATCCATTATTTAACGCACCGCGCTTCTTCCCTCCTACATTTTCCTACCCTTTCATCAATCATCACCACGAAAAAATCAGTCAAAATGAGCAAACTTTACGTCGGGTACGCAACGCAAATCCACCTGCACCACGAGCGACGAGCATCGCCTAACTGATCTTTTCTCTCTCTAGAAACCTGTCTTGGAACACCTCGGATGAGACCCTCCGTGAGGCCTTCTCCCAGTTTGGCCAGGTCACTGACTCCGTGAGTTCTCTCTTCTCTCTCCTCTGCCTGCACGCGCGCCATCGCGCTCGCATCCTTCTCCCCCATCTCAATCCATCGAAATGCTAACCCAGGATGAACAGATCATCATGCGCGACCGCGAGACCGGCCGAGCCCGAGGATTCGGATTCGTCACCTTCAGCACCGAGGACGAGGCTAACGCCGCTGTCGAGGGCCTGAACGAGCAGGAGTACGTGTGACCTTGCCCTGCTATTGACGCGACATCCTTCCCTTCTCTCTCTCTCTCCATCTCTCTCTCCGTCTCCAGTCTCGATATCTTCCCAGTTCATCCCTAACATCTCTTGTGTCTCTAGGCTCGACGGACGACGCATCCGAGTCAACGTTGCCAACGCCCGTCCCTCCGGAGGTAGCGGCGGCTACGGCGGTGGCCGTGGTGGTGGCTACGGAGGTGGTGACCGAAACGACCGACAGGGTGGCGGCTACGGAGGTGGCTACGGCGGTGGTGATCGCCAGGGCGGCGGCGGCGGCTACAGCCAGGGTGGTTACGGCGGTGGCGGCTACGGCGGCGACCGCAACGACCGTGGCAACAACGGTGGTTACTAGGTGTGGTGTACTCTCCCCCAAACATCACATGGTCGGCGACAAGACTGGCAGCGGAAGGACAAAAGAAACGATCAAGGAATTGGAACGAAATGATGCCCGGATTTTGATATCACTGCCACTGATGCAGTGATCCCCACTCTACTGCTGCTCCGTACAGCAATGTTAGCTTCGAACGAGAATGAACCAGAACGCGACGCTATTGTTATACCCCCAATTTATATGTTGCCCGATTAATATCACACTATTGACCGAGAGTCACGACTGCTTCTTTGTGAGCGACATGTTTATGCACACGGATGATTGAACTAACTTCTTGGGATTCTGTTAGAAGCGTTTGTGAGTTTGCAAACTGCGTGCCCAAGCGCTGATTGATGTCGACACCGAAACGACAATCGCTGCAGCGAAACGTGAACGTCACCTTTGCACTACCATCGACACCATGTTTTCCTCCCCCACTATCGAACACAAATAGCCCGAACCCAATATCACGGCCAAACTCTTCCAGCGACATTCCTCCAGCAATATTCCATCATCGCCTAGGTTCCTCACGCCATCAAATATGCATACAGATGCCGAGCAAACGTGAAGATCGAGCTTTGGCCAAACTCCCCCACCGCCCTCGCAGCCATCATGAACTTCCGCGACTGCAACCTCGTCTGCTCTTCCCACTCCTCTGACGTGATTTCTCCTCTCCTCAATTTGACCATCAATTCGTTCTGCACCGCCGAGAGTTCCGCAGCGGCACCCGTGTGCGGTCGAATCAAGCAGAAGGCCTCGCCAACCAACGCAACCTTGCCTCCGAAATGGCTGGGCGAGTCGCACATCCCGTCGCCAATCTTTGATACGAAGGGGTGGTCTGTTTTCGCGAGTAGTTCAGCGAAGGGCGGCGCTAGGTAAGGCAGATGCTCGACCCTCGCTCTGTCCCACATCTCAGGTCGTACCGTTCCTCTGGGGACCGTGTTTTGATGAAGTTTGCCCTTGGTATCCGTGAAGATTTCCTGCATCTTGCTTGAACCATTCGCGACATTCTCGTACAGTAAGTAATTCATAGTGGCCCCTTCTGCGCTGAAGTCGCCCAGGTCGCTGGGTACTTTGTAGCAGAGCATATATCCACGCCACATCATATCCAAGTTGAACCCTGAGGCGAAGAACTCTCGGGTACTCTCGTTCAAGTCGCTTTCCTTCACCATTCCTCTCCAAACGATGTAGCCTGAGTAGTTCTTGTTGAGCTTTGCGCCCACGAGATCGCGAACTGTTGAGTTGCTGCCGTCAGCACCGATCACCTGGTCTGTTTCGATTGTCACGGCCACGCCATCGGCAAGATTCACGTATTTAACTCTGACCTTGTCCTCCGACTCTGTGATCCCAGTAACTCTTGCGCCACCACGATACTCGGCCTTTCCATGGCCGACAGGTAGTTTCGGTGGCCGAGGAACAGCTTTCGATGCATAGCCGTCGAAATTGGCTCTCAGAATGCGGTAGAGAAGACCCCAACTCGTCACTGTCGAAGGCTTCCCAAGATTTATCAGGTTCGGCCATTTGCCAAGAGATATATGAGCGCCAGACGTTGGATAGCCTCGAAGCACGCCAGTAATGTCATTGGCCTGCAGGAATCCGTCTACAGTAGTCAAATAAGTCATTCCGTACCCATTGCTGGCTCGCTCTGGGTCCGGGTCTTGTTCCAAGATTATAACGTCTCTTCCTTCTCTTCTGAATTGAAGGGCTTGCATGAGACCAGAAACTGAGCCGCCAACCTATCCAAGACAATCAGTAGGGCGCGTGGTGAACATGAGCTATAAAACGAAACAATCGATTCACTTACAACAACTACCGGTTGAGTCATTTTGACAAAGTTTATGATTTACTACACTGTTGGGATAAACCTGGCGGAAAAGGTTTCGGAACTGGAGAGTAAATTACATTTGTAGGCACATGTTGCGAAAAGACGAATGTAAGGGGAGCGGTCAGCAATTCAGGGCCAGAAGGATGTATCACGTCAGCGGGGAATCCTATAGGCTTAGACTGGTCAACAAATAATCGGCAGTTACACGGTCGAATCGGGAGGAATATTTGATTGACACAGCAGCAAATGAAGGTAATCGGGAACCTTATTTTCCCCTGGTCTGACGTGTCGTTCCAAATGATCGACGCTCAAGGCCGGGCGTTCCGTAGATAACGTTTTGGTAACATAACAGGTAGATAAGGTTTGTACCTAGTCAAAGGCATAAAAACAAAAGGAAAACGCGCGTATTTAAGAATGATGCAAGCAATTGTGTCCTTGTTCTAGTGGCCAGTTGAGTTAAGACAGTCGCTCCCCTCGGCATTCAAGGCGGCTGTGAGCTTGCCAAGGTCGCACGACGGTGGTGAGGAATTTCGCCTACCCTATGCATGCTTGCGATCCAGCTTTATATTCTTTTCTGTGTGCATCCTTTTTCATCAAAAGATAATCGAGAAAAAAGTGAAATTTTAATGTGATATTTATAAACATTTCGATAATATCTTTATTCACCTTTTTTCTTAAATCTCTAGCGTTTGACACGAGGCAATACCAGACGTCCGTGAGAGTAAATCACATTCTCGCCTTCAAACCTCTTTGCTATCCTATCACCTCCTTCGTGACGCATAGGCGGGATAGTGCCCGGGGTATTAACTGAACCGATCTCAAGTGAAAGTTTTTGTCCCTTGTCAAAGAGAAACGCCGATGGATAAATAGGCACCAGCACTTTGTACGTATGGCCTGGGACAACTTCAGACCTAGCTGTGACTGGTTGCATGAGGATTCGGTGCGTGTCGAACTGTCCAAAATTCTCATCACGGTGAGAAAGCCGGAAGTAGCCTCTAGAAAAGCTATCCATGGGCTCACCATGGTTGCCGAGTAACACAATAGTCTTGTCGTTCTCATCAATTGCACGCAAATAGATAAAAAGATCTAGGTCTTCTGCCGCTGTACTGACTTCAAGCTCAAGATATGGAGATCCAAGTAGCTCAAACGATTCAGTAAAAGGGACATCAAGTGCAAAGGTGATATTTTCCTTGTAGCCTTGATAGGAAAACGGTTGCTTTTCTCCCTCAGGCTTACTCAGCGAAAGCTGCTTTTGAGTTGTCAGGTAGAAAGAGGTGTCTTGTGCATCTGCTGGAGGGAACGAGGTCTCGTCTTCACGATAAAAACTGCTGGTACCGTGATGTTGAAGAAGTCGAATTCGAGGTACTTCAAGCATTCCGTTATCTTTCTTGTCGAAAAGGAAGTAATCTAGAAACTTCTTCTGTAAGGCAATATGGCTTGGCTCAAAGTATGCACCTAGATGATTTCCGGTGTGTTGTTCAAGCCACTTATACTCGGAAGAAACTCCATTGAAAGCTCGAATATTTCCTGGAAGGTGTAATTCTGGATCTGTCCAGTTACCTGCGAGGTAGATCGGGACCTTTATATCAGAGAGCTTGCGTTTTCTTTCTAAAAGACCAAAGACACCATCGGTCGGGTACTCATTCGTTGTTAACAATTGAGGATAATCCACTCGGTTGGCCTTCAACTGCTCAGCACTGAGCGACCCATCTCGCGATCCATGTTGATGCGGTACGACGATATTGTTGAACCAATGGGATTGGAAATTATTGCTGTAGATTCCTCCACGACGCGCTGCTTGATAGATGCTGCACGCTGACTCGTACGAGACAACACATGTCAAATGGGGTGGCTGCTGCATAGCAGCCCAATAACCTACCATGCCGTAGTAGCTGATGCCAGAAAACCCTACCTTACCAGATGACCAGCTCTGAGCAGCGGCCCATTCAACTATATCGTAAAGGTCTCAAGAAAGTAAGCTTGTTGCGCGACGTGTGTTTGTAATATCAGGGATTGATTACCTTGGCCTTCAGCATCATCTTGGATTATCTCTGATCGTTCCATTCCGAAGGGATCCAATTTGCCTTCGCTACCACCAATACCTCGCACATCGACTCGGAGAAGTGCATAGCCATAGTCCTTACACTATTCACAGCAAAAGTTAGTAAATGGCGGCAATTATTCAGACTACACATACCCAGATCAGTGGCTCGCATAGCTCGAAGCATGCATCTGGTCCAAGGGGACTGATGGACTTATACATCTCTGCGTAAATAGGGGTCTTAGGCAGCCCGAAGGTAGAGGCATGAATGTCTTTGCCATAAGGTCCTAGACTGCAAAGAACTGGGACCTTTTCGCCGTTCTTTGAAGCAGAAAAGGGGAGAAAGAGATCAGCACATAGTTTGACATCATCCCGCATCGGAATAAATTCGTGCTTGATACGGGTGTAACCCTCAACATCACTCGACGATCTCTCATACTGAGTGGACATGATAAAAATTCGACTGGTGAGGGAAGAAAAGCCTTGTAAGAGTGTTCAACTATGAATGAGTCTGGAAATGTAGATGGAGAAGGTGAGATGAGAAGCTGAAAGGATGAATATTATAAGTATGGTCGAGCAACATCCCTAAATATTTCCTGCTAACACCCCTTGCAGCGGTACTGCAGACTTGCTAATGCCGTTTGCAATTACCATTACAGGGCCTAGACTACGCGGAAGATCCGCGATTGACTCCCCCCTCATGACGTCAATATCGCGGGGAAGGACCTGGGGATCGTCCTAACAAGCCGAGTAGCGAGATAATCCATCCGTTTCATCGTGCAATACATGCCATAGACTGGCAACATAGACGGAACATATCGCTACTAGCTACGACGGGGTTTTATTTTGTAGTAAGCTTTTGATTACCAGCTTTAAGATGTCATTTCCCTGTGCCGCATCTTCCATGCGACACACTAAATTACGACCCCTCGCGGTTAAATCACGTATACCCAGATCAAAGACCTCATGGGTTTACATAATTGGTAAGCGGAAGAGGGAGTGTGGTTAACTTCCGGATATCCCGAGACCCAGACCCTTTTCATTAACCTGATGAGAACCGAACCAGACCTTGTGATCTGTACTACCGCAGTAAATAAGACAATTCTTTTAACCATCGGTTATGCAACTCGGCTTGTACCTACCAACAAAGTACTAAGACTGATAACGAGCACTTGCAACCATACTATTGTTCACAACCTTTACATATTTAAGTTCTCCGGCAGCCGCATGTATATATGCACTTTCAAACCTTCAAAGCCCTTTAGAAAATTCTTCTCAAGACAAAAGCTATGCACTACCTCAAACAAATCGTGGCCGTTAGGCGCAAAGCAGGCTTGACCAGGCAAGAGTTCTTCGACTATCATTTCCAAGTTCATGGCAAGATCAGTACAGCTCCTTCGCCGGCAGAGACACCTTCGTAGGTTATCTTGCGTCTCAGCATTCCACAGAAGCGCATACTCATCCCTTGGTGTAGAAGATACTTCCAGACCCATCTCGAAGACGCGGCTTATCATCCTCAAGACTCTAGTCTCGGCCTCAATGCTAGCCCTAAGTGGGCTTTCTCTGACGATATCACTGAGCTCTATTTCCAGTCTATAGAGCATCTCGACCGTGTCTTCAAATCACCACATGTCAGGGAAAGGGTTGGACCAGACGGTCTCAACTTTTCGGACCTAGGCGCATCTTTACCCGTTACAGTGACGGAGACTGTCGTTCCATTTCAGGGATGTGACCCGATTGAGGAACTCGACTCTCGGTTGAGCTCACCAGTTGCTATGTATTTCATAGCTGGTATCAACGGTGGCATCGACGACTTGGTGTCGGGATTCACAAAGTGTCTGCAACAATTCGCCGCAACTCGGGTTCGTACTCTTATATCGAACGTGCCCGTGGATCTTACCTGGGACCCAAATGCCTATTTTGGAAGTGACCCTGGACGTCCTGTATTTGATCTTGTCTTTACTATCCACCTTCGCGATAAAGAAGCAATTCCGACGGTGAGAGAAGCGCAAAACAGCTTTGAGCAAACGTTCGCTTCGCAGCTTAATCTTGAGAACACCTGGATCGCATTTGGCCAGCGTGCGTTGATCTTCGACCAGGACGGAGGTATAGAGGTATGTTTAGTGAGAATACAGCCAAACCCTGCATACATGCTTATTCTTTTCAGTTTGACCCTGCCCGGCAACCCCGTCTATAGATGTATGCAGAACAGTTATGATTTGAGGTGACTGTATAATGGGAATTAAGTTTCATTTCCCAGCCAACCAACAGAGATTGAAGACCAAATTATATGTACCTACTCTTATTCAATCATTAAGCAACTTTGGAAACAAAGTAAAAACAGCAAAACTTGCAACCAATAACTTGATGCCTGATACGTGTGATAAAAAGGAAAAACTGCGTTATTCCTAGTCCATTAGATAGCAAACACGTCTAATATACAGAAAACTATCTACTCAGTCAGACCTGATCACTATTTCATTTTTCTCGCAATACAACTAACAATGTGAAGGCTACTGGAATCATTAACATACAATCATTTCATCAAAAAAAGATTTACTTCAGGCTCTCTTGGAATAGGTCACGACAGTCAGTTCGATAAAACTACTTATATTGGACAAGATGTAATTATGTTATACGCCAAGCTGAGGTGGAAGATTCATGTGCCTTACAAGCATACCGCACTGCCCTTCAACAAATCACAAATCCGCTCATGCGGATTCGCCCGCCGAAGCACGTCGACTTATTTTAGTTTGTCTTGTGTGGTCTCTCCGAGATTGCTGTATTGATCTTTGGTAGCTAGTGTGCTGCAGCCTTGTCAATATCGCATTCCTACATCCTCTATTGTTCCAAGGCCGTCTGAAGACCAAGTAAATCCAGAAGATTGTTCAAACCCTGAACAGCGTCACCACTTGGATCCGAGAAGGTTCAAGCAAGATCCCGCACGGCTGCTTGGGGTGTGTGGCTGTTGGATTTAACTGCAAGTGGAAGAAGAACTGGATGGACCTCCGCGTGGAGAAGATCAAATGATCCGCCTAGTGTATGATGTTCCGATGGAGCGACCGGCTTCTCCGCGGTGGCGGTCACAGGTTTGATATGACTTATGCGAGCGGACCCTCCGCGTCCGAAACTGACCGGACCACCCGCGTGTGTGATACGATTGTGCGAAGTAAGAGATTTATTGTCCATGATACATAATGAAAGCTTTCTTCCGAAGAGCAGCACCCTGAGATAGCCACAGATCCGGTCTTATCCTCGCGACTGACGTTGACCCAAAAACCGAGTTGGGCTACTGATCGTAAGTAGTCCAGCCGCCATCCTGTGTACCAACCGTGTTGGATCTCACTGTATAACCCCCAAGGGTTTCGAGACCAGGAAAGGAAGACTGCTGGTCGAAGTCGAAGCCGTCGTTTGGATTTCCATAGAAAGCGCTATACAGCTGCGCCTGGAACTCGCTTAGAGAGACGCATGGAGGAGTGAGGTCACTACAGCTGACACTTTCGACAATACTAGCATCTCCAGGCCTGGCTTGAGCGGCGTCTGACGACAAACAAGAGGCTTCAGTCTCATGGTCAGAGGATTGAGAATGATCTAATGGTAATAGAGGAGTTGAGGTAGATGGCAACGACTGCTGCCTTGCACCATCACCAAAACTATGGCTGCTAGCATGAGAAGCAGCACTTGTACCGTTCTTTGTCCGATTTGATTCCCATGTGTTGAGGTAATGACGTATCACGTCAGCACAGCGCTGTGAGGCCTTCAGTTTTATTTGTTCAAAAATCTCAATAGCAAGATTGTACAGCTTCCTATCATTCTCGTCCGGTTTTTTATTGCCTTGCTGCGAGCTTGTCGAAATGCTGGCTTCTTCGCGTATCTGGGATTGGGTACGAGAATAATCGCTCGTGACCTGAGGTAGTATTGCAAGAACCGCTTGAAGACAGTAAAAGCAATAATAAGTCCAACGTCGTAGGTGTGGCGCTAGGGTCAAGAGCCTGTGGATATGGCGGATCATATTCCTAGCGGCATTTAGATGACACGACTGGTGAAGTTGATGTGATGCCTGACCCCTCGGCGCATGCCCATCAGCCGGGGTAGTTGAAATGGGATCTTGGAACAAAATGATAATAGCGAGGTAGTAATCTTAGCGAAGCGTAAGTAAATGGATACTGAGAGAGATGTTTCAAGCAGTGGATGTTAGTATGGTGCACTGACGTATTTGAAGACTACTTTGTTGTCTTGATTCCCAAGTGTATAAAGATGTCAAGCTATCATTGTCGTTGATTTCGCGGTCAGAATCTGCGAAGCATAGGTGCTGCGGTAGGGAGGCCCGCCAATGGTCCAACTCGCAGAGGAGCTTTTTCTGCCGCTCCAATTTCGAATTCCCTGGCTCGGAAGGCTCTGCGGACTATACTGTATTAGTGATCATGAGACCGAGCAGGAGCAGATGGGCGGTCATACGAGATCGATAATCCTATTCACGATTTTGGTAATTCCGACCAGTAAAGGGATGAACATGTCTTGCTTCGATACGGGATTGACTTCGCCATTCGGTAGTAGCTTGTTAAGATAAGCAATGATACGACTTCGCTAGTATACGCACGACTTACATGCATTGTTGGATAGTGTATGTTCATGTCCGACGACCCGAAGCACATGGGGCGGCCGGAATCGAGGCATAGTTCCACTTCCTGAATATAGATCAACCACCACGTACGTTTGGCTTCTTGAGTATCAACTGGAAGTGAGCTATGCAATGATTCAATATTCAACCCGTTTGAGAAGGCCAGTCGCGCTGCGATACCATTGAGGATATAGGCCACTGATCAAACTACATTAGTATATGGGGTTGAGCTTAGGAGTTTATGCTGACTTGCAGTTAGGCCTTATTGCATGTTGAGCGTAAGCACCCTGTCAAATGAGAATCTTCGTGTTATTAGATGTTTCTCAAGGTGAATGCATACCAATACGAACCAGAAATAGCGAAGCTTGAACTAAACTCAAGTTACTGGCATTCAGGAGACGCCCAAGAATGCCTTGAGCTCTGGAAAAGTACCATTGGGCCCATGATGAACTGTCTTCTTGTTCGTGCTCATATAGCGCGCCGAGGGCTAGGACGGCGTACATGAGACATACGAACTGTGGTCGTGTGGGATCCTCTTGGGTAGGGATGGAAAGCCGTCCGTCGCCTAATAGTTGCCGTAATGACACATATTGTGCTTTGAAAGCTGTAGGGTTCAGGATAGGAATGAGAATGTGGATACTTCCAAAGAAACTATTGACGTGCCTATCAGCTATGCTTTCATTTAAAAATCGGTCACTGGACGGAGCATTCAGTGGCATGACATAATCGCAAAAGCTAGGTAGCTCATCTAAGACGGGACCTTTAGGGTCTGTATCATGGGATGGTCGACGTTGAGAAATCGCATCAATTCGGCGCCGAGTGGCCATTGGGATACGGACATCGTTATCAAGGCCATCTTCTAGTTGTCTCAGTCTTTTGCCAAGATGGGAAGCAATTGAAATTGCTGATGTTTGACCTAGATCCCATGGAGCGATGAGAATGGCGCTGAATGATCCTGCACTGAGTATAGTTTAACTGACCGTAGTACTCAAAACAACCAGTTTCTTGGTTAAACTGCGCGATGCCGCCAGATCGTCGTTCTACGGGTTGCTGGCGCTGCTTCATGTCTGGCTTTAGAACTATGAACGATTATGATGGATGAAATAATGTGTGGTCAAGGAATACGTACTGCCTCGTGAGAGATTGGACAGAGTATGAGCTTGTTGGGATACTTCTGATTCAATCTTATCAAGACGTAACAGCACAAGCTCGAGTTTCCTAGCTAAAATGTCAAAAATTGCAACGTAACTAGGATTCAATAGGACGGACTCCAGAATCGCCTCATTCCCATTTGGTACAATTGACGGGGCACAGGCAAAGACGCAGTGCGCCTCCTTGCTACTGCATTGTTGACAAGGTTGCAAGCCGTTGCACTTCCAAGGTGCAATACGTGTTAGTCGAGTGTATACCGTACGATCTGAGCCTCTGGGGATGAGCTGAGGCAGGTCGCTTACCTTGATTCGCTTCTCCCTGCATCTTTCGCAAGCCTCGGCGGTCTTTCTACGGACCGCTCTCACTCTACGGAAATCTGTCGTGGTCCCATTTTGGTTCGCGTTAGCCATATTGATAGTTAGCTCAAGAGATTGTCACATAACAAATGAGTGATGAAGCAGAGCGTGAGGAGCGAGGAGCGAAGAGTCGGACGCGACCAGTGGTCAGTGGTCAGTGCTCTTCTCCGCCCAGCCCCTATAGGTACGACTGTCTAGGGCCAGACTTGGCTCTTAGTGAATCTTTAGACACTGTTGCTAGACCTTTAGTCATCTCAATCTTGTTATTCATAGCATACCTCGGCTGGGTCGGGATCGGATGCGGGGTTTAGGTTTAGGTGAGGAAAAACGGGCGGAAGCTCCGCGGGCCAATCGCTGCTTCCGCTGTGACGGCAGTTGCATCCTTGTCACTGGCGACCCCAGACCCCACTATCTAGACTCTATACTCGCGGGATGTGGTGTAATTACAGACATATCGAGTATGTAGAGTGTATTATGGGGAGCAGCAGAGCTCCACATGATATGAGTACGGCTGTAAGGTCAGTGTAGAGCTTGGAAGATAAAACCTAAGCTAAGGGACGAGGCCTTAAAACCTCTTAAGTCACCTACCTCGTACATCTCTGATTCTTCCTACCAGCCAATTAATCTTACTCCGACCCGACATCCCTCCAGGATGAATCAACACACTTCCAAGGTCGATGTGCTCATAATCGGGGCTGGACCGTCAGGGTACTTGATCATCTGCCTGGCCTGGCTTTCATGGAAGCTGACACACATATCTAGTCTTATGCTAGCAACATGGATGGCTCGCATGGGCGTCACGACTCGCATCGTCGATAGGCGGTTTGACAGGTTAAACAGCGGGTATGGCTACCCGCACTATTATACGAGACATTGCGAACTCTTAAATTGACAGTAAACAAAAGGCAAGCCGATGGATTACAGAGCAGAACTTTCGAAGTACGAGACTAGCCGTATCGTGCCTGTTTGTGCAAAGCTTACCCTTATCTAAACAGATTTTTGATTCTCTTGGATTCGGTCAAGACATTTGGCGCGAAGCAAACCACATGTTGGAGATTCGATTTTGGGTGGGATCTAATCTATTCGTCTGCATTTTCAATTATTGCTAACCGCTACCAAGAACCCCGACGAGAACCAAAACCTGTATCGATCTGACAGAATGGTCGACACAAAGCCTGGCCTAAGCCGATTCCAGCAAGCAACTCTGCACCAAGGTAGCCCATGCCTGTCGCTGCCGCAACTATTTCCCCCTACTGACACAACTCTACTGTATAGCACGCATTGAGGACTATCTTCTCAAGTATATTGAGAAGTATAGCGATATTGGAGTCGAATACGGCATGATGCCAGAGTCCCTCGAAGTTGATCCCGATCTGGTAGAGGGCGACGATTACCCTATCTCAGTTGTCCTTCGGTCCAGTCCCAAACCCGGTCCAGAATCTCGGGTACCTGGCGATGACACGGACATTCCCAATGGACTTCACAGAAGTAACCTAACGGCCGATGTCACAGACACCCTGTTACGAGATGCTCAGAATACTCAAGGCACGAGCACGGAAAGGGTCCTGGCAAAATACGTAGTTGGTTGTGATGGTGCACATTCCTGGACTCGGCGGCAGATCGGATGCGTCATGGAAGGCGATCACACAGATTTCGTTTGGTCAGTGTATCTGTGGTTTTCGGGTCATCGAGTATCTCTACTAACTGATAGACCAGGGGGGTTCTCGATATCATTCCCATTACTGATTTTTGTAAGCTTAAAGTTGGCTGATGATATCTAGAATCATGCTAATTTCTGAGCGTAGCTGACATTAGATATCGCTGTGCTATCCACTCGGCATCAGGAAGCATGATGGTTATCCCTCGCGAAGACAAATATGTTAGGCTATATATTCAGGTTACAGAGGTTGACGAAAACGGCAAAGCGGTATACAACCCTTATATCACGAGTTTGAATTATCCAGCAACTTATACTTTTCTTCTAGATTGACCGCTTCAAGATCACTCCGGACAACTTGATTCTGGCAGCAAACAAAATTCTCTCTCCATACAAACTCTCCTACAAGCACTGCCATTGGTGGACAGCGTATGGTATTGGACAGCGGGTGGGATCAAAATTTGATTTACATAACCGTGTCTTCCTTGCTGGTGATGCAGTTCATACTCATAGCCCCAAGGCAGGTCAAGGCATGAATATCAGTATGCATGACAGTAGGTCTACAAGTCTCATCCAACCCCAAAAGGACAATCGCTCTAACCATCTCTTGTGCCTTAGCATTCAACCTTGGATGGAAGCTAGCTTCCGTCGTAAAAGGATGGGCGAACCGATCGCTGCTCGAAACATACAGCAGCGAACGTGGACAAAGCGCAAGAGAACTGATAGAGTTTGATCAGAAGTTCTCTCGACTATTCTCAGGCCGACCTGCAACCGACATCATGGATAAGGAGGGCATCGATCTCAAGACGTTCAAGGAAGTGTTCGAGAAGGGTAACTTGTTTAGCAGCGGCTGTAATGTTGACTATGCCGCAAGTCTCATCGTCGCCAAACCCGGACTCGCAGCAGCTAATGGGCTACGTTCCGTGATTGGCAAACAGTCGCTCGCTCCCAACATCATCATGGGGAAGCGTATCCCAAGCCATAAGGTCCTAAACCAGGCGGATGCGAGACCCTGGCACCTTCAAGAGCTTCTGCCTAGCAACGGTACATGGAGACTTCTCGTTTTCGCTGGAGACTTACTCGACCAGACTCAATTTGCTCGACTCTCGGCGCTTGCAGATAGGTTAAGCTCACCCGATTCGTTCATCAATCGATACAAGCTCAAGGGAGATGGGAAGATGGCCTCTTTGTTTGAGATCTTGACTATCCATTCGTCTCCATACGAAAAGGTTGAGCTACTCTCTCTGCCCGAGGTCTTTCATCCATACTCAGAGGAATATGGCTGGGACTACAATAAAGTCTATGTAGACGATAATTCCTACCACGAAGGACATGGCCAAGCATATCAGAATTACGGCATTGATGCTAAGAGAGGCTCCGCGATTATTCTTCGGCCTGATCAATATGTTAGTTGGATTGGAGAGTTGGAAGATGTTGATAGTATGAACGACTTTTTCAAAAGTATCTTTCGGTTTTCGAAACCCAGTTAGATTAATATAATTATTATATTTATATTCTAGTGGCCAGTCAAGGTCAGACGTAGAGTTTCTGCACTCCGCATCCATTTCAGCAATTGCTTATTCAACCTGTCCGAGATATGCAAAGGTAGATGCGGAACAAATCTGAAGTTGGCATCGGTAAGCATTTATGCAATAAAGCGACTGATCGAACTAATGCAACAAATTATCCGAACAAGCTGTTGCCTCAGGAATCTCCATGTAAAAGCCCCCGCAGAGCTTCTTCTGTATCGTACGCCTTCAACAACTCCGATCTCAAAGCCTCAATTTCATCTTTGTGATCTTTCCTCACACCATCTAACATCTCCTTAGCTGGACCAATAAGATGCGCATCGCTGAGATCCATCACGACTGCCATCAGCACTAAGCTATCGCCCATTTTCGCCAGTTTGCCATCTGCGTCCAGACCGTTCATTATCTTGAGCAATCTCTCAAAATCGGCGTCTCCTGGCTGGAGGGTAACGCGGAGGACAGCGGATGCTTCGCCCTCGACTTTGTACTTATGGAAGATGTTGGGCTGCACAGTCTCGGGCTTACCGACCTGCAGCGGATGGGCTGACGATTCCAGAATGTCAACGTCTGGTTGGGTGGTGCTGTAGACTGATATGGACCCTTGGATCAAGTCGAAAGTCTCCGAGAAGCGCGTGTGGAAATGAGGCGGCACGGTGGTGCCTGGGGTCATGGTTTCGATGAATATGGTGCGCTTGCCATCGTTGAGAGTAGTTGATTCCTCAAGACGAAAGCGACGTTGATCCCAGCGACGTTCTGATGACATGTTGACTCAAGAGAAGATAGATTAGCCTCGAGTTTAGGTTTGGGGATGTCAGATGTCAGACTTCGAGGATAAAGGCGCATTCTTATACTTATTGGCTGCCCAGTCGCCGCGTAAGTTTAGTTCTGACTAAGTTAGTGACTTTGAAGGATCACGGATCGGCGGTTAGACGAGAATCTCTTATCTAAGCGCAGGCATCAAATAAACGCGCAACAATAGTTCCATTGGAAGAATAGGCGATACGTCATTAATACTGAGAGGGCCCAACCACAAGGAAAACTAGGGACAAGTTCAACCCAGTTTCATGCATATCCATTCACCCCCGTAGAGGGGTAAACGTTGCGATAATTTCACCATTAGCTATTGCATAAAATTAGATGAATCACAACAAACTCTTCTCATTTTACTAAATTTTATAAAGTCTTGCCTGGGGATTATATATAAAGTCTTCTTACTATAATGTAGTGTATTTATGTATTTTACTATATATTTTTTTAGTTAGCTCATTGTCGTAACTTTTGCAAGAAACCGTAGAACTACCCTGCATAATAACAGCCGGTAGCATAGGCAGACTTGACTGGCATAGTTTCAAGTCGCACATGCAAGACATAACCATCTACGGCTGTATGATAAAGTAAACTCCTCGTTAAATCATGTTACATACTTGAGAGCCATAGTGTGTATGAAACAAGGTTCGTGGTTCTCGCCAGTCGTAATGTAAATAGTCTCCGGGCCGATTTGGTAGAAACTTTATACTTCCTCCATGAACTATGTAGCAGTGGCACATTATGACTATAAATACTGGCGCCCACCCCCAAAGAAGATGTCTCCAAACTTTGTCGCTCATTAAACTGAACGTCAAAATGCACGCCGAAGCGCCAATAGAAAGTCCTCCACCTGAGATACGGGTCCTCATCTTGGATTCGATAGTCTCTCCCATCGACTTCAGATCGTTCGCCACATCATCGCCCATTTACTTGGAGACTTTCCGTAAGTATCGTCACAGCCTCCTGCAATCACGCTCAACTGAGATGTCAACTCTTTTCCGGGATGAGTATCTACTTTCACAAGCTTTGCTAGCCTGCCGGCTCCAGTGGATTAGCCGTGACTTTCCCTATATGGATCCAACAGACATAGAGCAGAAGGTCAAGTCAACAGTACAATCGCGCTCGCGAAATACAGACAGTCAACAATGGCAGGGCAGCCTGTTTATGCTTTGCGAGCTATATCGTTTACGAGAAGAACTCAGCTATGCTGTCGCTGAGTATGCGGTTGAGGCGTGGAAGAAGTTGGTAAATGATGCTAAGCAATTGAGGGGGCTTCATCTCAAGTGGCCCCTCAGGTACGACCAGACCCTCCGATTATCTCACCAGGAGATTTGCCGAATCGAGGAGGGTTTTATCGAGTTTGAGATTCGCCGTCACTATCTTCATTTCCAGTGCACTAAGCTATGCGATGCTGGAGTACCGCTTGGAATGCGATTTCCTATTTGGTCTTCAAGTACACCTATGAGTCCAACAATCTTGGAAGGATATGCAGAACCTGACTGGAACCTGAGAGCTTTCCAGTCCATATTCCGCTTCATGCTTGATAAGCATCGAGGGATGGTTCACCTTGTGCACGATGCCACTTCTTCAGTTTCGCATCTGGACCGGCTTTTTCAGAGACGAACACTCCACCAAGAGCTTGAATTTGCCACGACTCTTTGTACCCAAGGATTGAAACTGCTTGGGAGACTGCGATTTATGTCCACGGCCAATATCCAACAGTTTATAGTAACAAGCTTCCATTGTTACGTGATGAGGAAGCCATTAATTGATAGGTCTTGTGAGGGACAGAACATGGCATCTCTTGATAGTTATCTCGAAATCATAAGTGGAGAGGTTGACCCCGCGTATTGGCTGATGGTGGAACATGGGACAGCATATTGGAATTCTGATTACAGTTGTGATCCCTGGACACGAGCACGATACTTCTGGGATCGAAGCAGGATTGAATACCTTCGTAGCTTTAAAGATGGAGATACCAGGCCTTCTGATGTGTATAACCCTAGATAGTACTAGCCCTCGTCCCTCGGTAGATTCGTTGGGCTTACTAGGTATTAAAAATGTTAACGACAGCTTCGGGTGGTACCTATTCTGCGCTCCTTCAAGCAAAGTGCAAGGAGAAATCCAATGAGCACAAATATCAACGACAGTCCGTTTCCATAAAGTAGCCCATCCACATAGGATGAGACTATAGCCTTGCCAATCTCCCCTTTTGCTTGATATGTATACTCAACATTGGCAGCGGCCTTGGAAATGATCTGCCAGGCATAGTTAGCATGCGTGGGCCTCGTGAATTGGTGGGAGACAATACCTCTTTTCTTGTTGCAGCGTCCAAGCCAAGACGAAAGAGCTTTTCGTCTAACGATCTTCTCAGGACCATCTTGATAGCCGAGCTTATGCTCGCAATACCAACAATGACGCCAATAGCGTTGGAGAGGAACAAAGTTGATACAGCGGCAGAAGCGTGCTCGGGGTCGGCCGAGGCTTGCGTCGCTACAAATAGAGCACTATATGTCATTCCCAGACCAAAGCCACTAGACAAGTGTTAGATCCACGCATTTCGTTCATGATTGCGCAATGCAATTGGAGCCGGAAGACATACCCCGGTAGGATATAAAATGACTGGAACCAGTTTGTGTTACCGTGCCATCTGGTGAGCAACAGCGCATAACAGACAGAGGACGATATTGTTGAAATGTAAATCAGCCACTTGTACTTTCCAGTTCTGTGCCATTGACAGTTAATTAAGTCTCTTGAACAAGGTGAGTAACATACCGCTTGATGAAGTAGCCGCAGAATACTCCGCCCAAAGCATTCCCAAACAAGGACGGGAGCGAATGCGCACCAGCTTCGGTGTTTGACACTTTCTGAGTGACTCTGAAATACAAAGGTACCGAGAACATCATCTAACACAGCAATTAGCAACCATTTCAACAGGGCCAGAAACGTGTATGGATAGCGTAGAGACTGAAAACGACTCACTCCTAGCTGAGCCGCAGACTGGAAGGCAATGATAAGCAGGCATATGACCACATCGCGCTGCTTGAACAGATCAAGATCCAAAATGGGTTCCCCTTTACACCTCTTCTCGACACACACAAAGAGCACAAGGAATACAGCAGCGCCTACGACGAGACCGGGAATCAGGGGATGAGACCAAGACACCTCCCCGCCAACCTCCAAGGGCAGGAGAAGGAGAAGGATGAAAAGAGCAAGCAATGATGCACCGAGAATGTCAATCCTTGACAACTTCCCAGACTCGTCGGGGTCCTGGTCGGGTTCAGAGTCTCGCTCAGGCACATTGTTCTGCCCTTGCCGCTTGCCCAGGTCGGATGGGAGGGTTCTCCAGCAGACAAACGTAGCCACTACGAGCATAGGAACTTGGAAGCCAAATGACCTGTTGTTTGTCACGGTGTTAGTACAAGGTCTGAGAGAGGGCAACCGTCGACATGTGTAGGGTTGCATACCATCGCCACCCGAGAGTGTCGGCCAGCCATCCACCCAGAGGCCCTCCAAAACCTCTTCCTGTGGTCGCTGCAATATTAACATAGGATCTCCAAGTTCCAGACTCGCGGATCGGCACAAGCTCGCTGATGAGAATCGAGACAAGTAACGTCATACCAGCCCCGACACTGCCAGACAGTACTCTACCCAGAATGAGCGTGAGCATGGACCGAGCCATAGCACTGTATCATTGTTAGTTCGAGGGGTGAGGTGGGAGAGCGACGCGTTGATAACTACGTACACGATCAAGCTGAGAAATGTTAGCCAAACCTCTCCAATCCGAAATTCGTACCAATCGCTTACCAACCAACAGCGAAACCAAGATATGAGAACAAAATAACCGGCTTGTATCCATAGACATCGCCCAGCTTGCCAAACACCATCTGCGTTGCTGCGCCAGCAAGGCTGAAGCCTGTAAAGAGCCAGCTTGACCAATCGAGAGCATCGAATTCAGACCCTATGCTTTGGTGGGTAGCTAGAACGATCGACTGGTTGGCGTTGAAGACAAATACAGCTGGTTTATAATTTTTCAGCTTTTTACACCAACGAAGGGAGGTATTATGCCTTCTGAGTTACCTGGGAGGAGTATGAGGACAATGCGAAAAAGAGCACCTCGGTCAATGGTTACGCCATCACGGTCCGTGGCAGAGGAGATTTCAGATGCTGGAATTTTGTCCGCCGAGCTTCCTGGGGATACATGGCTGGTGGTAGAGGACGCGTATGATACAGCGGGCGAGCGACCTCTCTCATGGTCACCCAGAAGCGCCGTTGATTCTGAGGGCTCGCGGGCTGCTCTTGGCCCTTTGGCAGGAGAGCTAGTGCTAGCCATCCCGTATCCGATTGTGTGGGCAAAAGGGGAGGAGGTCAAGTGTGGTGGGATAGGCGATGGTGTAGGGAGGGACGTGACTCAGCGGGATCAAGAAAAGGTGGGAAAAGGAAAGATCCAAGGTCGATCACATAGCGGGGAATTAAGCCGTGGCTTGGAAAATCTGTCATCTGTCGATCATGGCCATCCCTCATTCTCCTATAGCGGATATTCCGTACCCGACATGTTATGAAAGCCTAGTGAAAGTGATAAAACATTATTCGTTCCTTTTTCTATTCGGGTTTGAGCCGAGCCCATGGAGAGTACCGCGGCAGAGATTGGCGTCACTCTGCCGTGTCTTTGTGGTATGTCTCGGATTAAATATCTGGACCCTGCCGCTTTGGAGATGGATCCTACACCCGGATGTATGCATGTCTCGGGTGCTTTTTCGTTCGATCAATAGCCCCCGAAAAGATCTCCCTTCCCTATTCCTCCCTTACCTTCCAGTATTTCTCGTGTCTCAGCTGTCTGCCACGTCATTTTCTAAACTTGGCCTCTACCTACAGCAGACCTCATTACTATATGATGAGGCATCGCTGGTAGATTAGTTCCAGAGCTAGAACACGGCCTCTTGTTCCGATTCCGACCAGGATGCAGGGTGATGGGCAGTGCCGCTCCTAATGCCTCTCGAAATCTCGGTGAGACGTTACACAGCTGCGGCGATGAGGACGAAAATCAATTTTACGCGAATTATGACCAGTTGCACAGTGTGTGACAAGAGTGGCGCGCTCAAGCTTGAAGCTAGCCTGACTGGCATCGATTTGGATGAAGCAAATGGCAGTTACAAGCTTACGTTTCGAGCGAGTTTTGACTCATGGACGCAAACAAAGAGTCCCGGCTATCATATACAAATATCTTCGGTACTTAACTAAGAGGGTGAGAGAATAAAGCCCACCAATATGTACTCTAGATCATGACGCGATGAAAACGGTGACGGTACATGACTCCCTAAGGTCTCCCAGTCAACCCTATCCAATCCACGCATTGCAATACATAGTCCCAGTATTCAGGGCACCAGCCAGCCCATTTCCAGTCCAGAAGCGCGACTATACGACCATCACTCACTATAATGTTCCTTGACGAGATATCGCTATGCGTAAAGATAATGGGGTATTCGGCACCAAGCTGGATCGTGATTTGATGTCAGTGCATGGATTGTTCTTCCATTCGCTTAGGTGGTCGAACAAGCCAATAATGGAACTCTGCCATTGTTGGAAAAGGACCACCCGATCTGGTCATCATGCTAGGAACGACGACGCCTTGCCCGTCAAGACGGCCCAGGTAAAGACCTTTCGGGGAGCGCATCTGAGCCATGTAGTCCTTAAGCTGATCAAGTATCTCAGAACGCTGGTGAGGCTCAAGTGATGGCCAAGCTTCTTTCAACGTTTGGCCTTCGACATATTCCATGGTGATGCGGTCCCAATCGCTGCTAATGACCTCTGGTACAGGGATTGTCGTGTGGTCTTTGACGAATTGTAGCGCCATCGCCTCGCTTGGTCGGGGGTTGACACCCATCCCATCGGGATGGGTTGTGTATTGGGTAACAGTGTTGCCGGATCGCACCACAAAGCGATCGTCACAGTGATAGATAACCTCACCCTCAGGATAAGGAGCGGCTTGTCTTGGAGGTGGGGGAAAGTCGCCGAACAAAGCCTTACGCCGATCACGCACCATCATTTCCCGCATTTGGGTCGACATTTCTTCTAGGTAAGGAGTTAATTATGGAAAAATCATAGAAAGTGGTAGCTCACGTTATGGATAGAAGGAATGCTTACTTAGGTTGGATAATAAGTGAGAAAAGCCTCACTTGTCTGCGTGACACAATTGATGGAGAAGTTCGGAGAATCGAATTTGCGATTCCAGACTGCAACCAACATTGATTAAGTAGTGATATCATAGACAAGTACGTAGCTATATAAGAATAAATATTTATGTTTAATGCAGCATAATGGGAACCTCACTGGAAGTATAGGTACAGTTCTGTGCAAAATTTCCGTTACCAACCCAACAAGAGATAGTTTCATTAGGATAGGTTGTACGAAATATGTTATAGTTAGAAGACTTTATGTAATCTCAAAATTACATTATTTAAATTCATGTAAATTAGAAGTAGCTAAGAATAATTTATTCAATGTTAGGTAAAACTTGGACAATAGGAAAATATTGTCACTTTCGCGCATACACTATCAAAGACCCCTGTGCAATCACATCCTTAAACCAGATTAAGTCATATTCTCCTCCTCTGCAAAATCTATTTAGAACAACCTTCCACAGCGTTCGGAAGAAGACTCCATAAGTGATCTCTGGTACCGGTATTATCATACTGAACAACGCTTGCGCCATTGGCAGTCGACATGCCATCGACACCAGCAACCTTCTGGCTGTGCTTATTCCAAATTAAGAAAAGACCATCCCCTTTGGATTCAACCCTCCATAGATGGTCTTTAGTGCCATTATCCTCAAATTGTTGAAGTTTCACGCTGTTGGCTGTTGAGGCTCCTTCGACGGCGAGCAGCAGTCCACTGTTCAGATTCTGAAGCTTCCACCATCCACCGGGACTGGGCACAAAACGCCACAACAGATCCCGTGATTCACTACTCTCGAATTGCTGTATGTTGGCACTGTTAGAAAAGGACTTCTTTTCCACACCCATGATCTTGCCGCTATTCTCGTTGCGGATGTGGAAGATCGCTGGTGTCCAGATTTCTAGCTCAGAAAGACCCCAGCCAACGCCAGATCCAGGATTAGGTGCCACAACACGAATTTGCGAAGTCGATATCGCAGGGAAGGCAATAGTGGTCTCGACGTTTGAAGTGGCCGGCTTTGGACTGCGAACCTGTCCAGGAATAGTTTTCCAGGTATTGCCCGTCTTATACTGGAGATCATAAGTTGACGGGATTCTTACGCCGCCAGCATCGTCGTAAAAGAAGAGCTTCATGTAACACACAACGTGTTCTCGACGAAGGTCGACTACAAAGTGATCTTCTGCGTTTGGGCTATTATACGATGTCCAACGACTATTTTGGGGGATCCCAGTCCGCCAGACGATGCCGTCAATCACTCTCATGGCATCGTCAAAAGGAGAGGTGTACGAAGCGAATGCTTTCGTAAGTTGAGGAAATCTTTGGCCATTGGATGCGATGTTGATAAGATGTGGTTCGCTCGTCGGAGACGAACCAACCTGGACTTTGATGGATCCGATTGTCTCTCGGCTGCCTGCAAGTTTGCCATCGACGTAGACTCGCAGACCTTTGCCCTGGTTGTAATGCGACCCAGTCTTATCCCAAAGAATGGTGACAGAATGGCCATGATAGGGCGCGTTCTCAACAGCAAAATAGTCCCAAGACGTAGGAGTCAGAGGGTTAACAACAATTGAGTTGTCTGCCTGTGCGCGAAGACCAATAAGACCCGCAAGAACGTTGTCGATGAAGGTTGAATGGTTGTAATCTTCACTGTGATTCTCCCCATCGTAAATCCATTTATCTGTGTCGGGATGGTGTGCTTCAGCAACATAAGGTTTGCCATTTTTGTATTGTGTCTTGGCATACCGTTGAATCATATCGAAATAGTCGGATGAAGTGATATAATTCTGTGCCGGATAGTTGTTGAGAACGTTTTCCACTGCAGTAAGAGTTTGCGCCGTAGCAAAAGGCCACGACGGGCCATCCCACCGACAGCAGTTCCCTGCTTCGTACATAAACCACTTGCTCCGTCGTTCAGCCGTAGTTGGACCATACTTTGAGGAGAACCCTAGGGAGTCCGTAAGTTGGGTAAAAGCTACGAGCTTAGAGTCATCGCTGGGCATATTGAACGCCCAAGGAAGGTATCCCATGATCTCTCGTGTTCCCAGCAACGCACCAGAGGGGTTATCATCGCGGGCCCGATGCTTGTAGAATTTGGAGTTGTTGTCCCAGAGATACTTTTGAAGAGCAGTCTGTAGGCTTTCAGCACGCTTGCGGTATTCACTCTCCAGCTTAGAATCACCTCGCAAGGCAGCGATTTGCGATATCGCCCAAGCATCACCGTACTGGTAGGAGTTGATTGTTGGTCGAAAGCCAGCACCTCCGTGGTAGGGATCGCTGGACTCGTAGGAAGCAGCCGTGTACTCCGTAGCATCCCAAACGGGAACCTGCCAGTATAGGCCAAGGGATTCATTGTAATGAGTATCCCAACCGCGATATTGCTTCACCAGGTTATCTAGCTGGCCGACGATAAAGTCACGGTCCCCTGTTGCCAAGTATTGTTTCCACAAAGCACTGGCAGCCCAAAAGCTGTACTCGTGCGCCCAGTCGGAGGTATCTTTGTTAACTTCTTCTCTCATCGGTTTAGGGAACTGCCCAGGGCCCGAGAGCCAATAGTTTGCAACATCTTGTCCGTATTTGGTGTCGCGTAACCATCGCCCTTCAGTGATGTGATGACCAGCAGCTGCCACGATACCACCGTAAGGCGCGCCATAACTGACCGGACTGAGGAACTCGCTGGCCATGTAACCATACTGAGCTCCAGTGTAGACAAGATGGTCCTTGTAGGTCTGCCAGCGGTAGTAGTAGACTTCCTGGATCTCTTTGTCTGGGACATCAAGAAGGGGGATGTTCTTGTCAAACCAATTCTTATCTTCTAGACCCTTCAAAAGTAGGTCGTGGTTGAGGAAATTGGTCGCTGTCCCTAAAACTACCATGGTTGCGTTGAGGAGCAAAGGGAGGGTCCGCATGATGAATATGTTTGATTGAAACTAAGGGATAGGCATGTGAAATGTCTTAGATCTACCAATCAAAAATTGGTAGAGAGGTTAAGGTGATCGGGATTTGGATTGGCTGTTGCGTTGTGTAGACGTCGCAAATGATACGATTCTCCAAGTTTCCATGTGCCAATGAAAATTGAGCAAAATAATTTTATTAAGTATTTCTAAGAATTGAAATGAACTTATGGGCCTCAAATACGAGATGGGGTATGCGGCGGGATCGGTTGCTGAAGGATCACATTATGCGCCTACATATCGGAACCATTCTGAAGGTTCCAATTCACATAAGTACCCTCAGGTCCACCATTAACCATGTCAGAATTACCCACCCAGGCCACTTGGAAGCAAGATCGACGAGTCGGGTCGAGCTGTGCAGGGGTGTTAGGTGTGATAATGCCGCAAAACCCCTGCGAAAGGTCTGAGTAGGCTGTTGAGGAGACTACCAGATGTAGTATAGGGTGCGAAATTGAATTGAAGGAAACTCAAACCACCATGGACTCTGCAATCATTTCTGCGACACACAGAGTGGATTAAAGGTGGGAATCTTAGATACATTGGTGCTCCGTTTGTTTGTTTAACCTAATTTCAGCCGTTTGGCCTATAGTTTCCGACCCGTTTTCGAATATTTCTCCCGCTGTAACGGGTCGCTCTGTAGCTGCACGAGCCGGTCTGACCAATTGGTGCAGTCGTAAATAAATGGTGCAAGCAGAGATCCTGGGTTGCTCTTATCATCACCCGGTTGAGGGTCTGTTCTTTGGGTGTTGTCAGAGGGATACTTCGGTGGTGAAACCAGGGCAACATACTTGATGACCTTGATTGGGACTGGTTTATGGTTGATCTTATCCATATTGTCTTGGAATAAATGTTTCGAATTGTGTGAGCTGTGGAGATATAAATGTTATCGTATATGAGAACTCACTTTTATTGAGGATTGATGGCCGACATTTAAGTGATGCTTGTCCAATATCATCATTGAGGCTGTTTGCATTACCTCGTCTTTTTGAGCAATTGTTGCTGCACCCCAAGATTCACCCCGAAAAGAGAAAGGTAGACGACAAGGCTCTCTTCTTTGTGATTGGTTTGACGCCTGTATGCTGGCCTGACTTGAGATTGGCTATGGATACACGAATTCTTTATGCTACGGCAGCTGATTCGTCGTTTCTCACCTTGCACCCCAGGACGAGATTGACTAAGCCAACTGCACCCCAAAAAATGCCCCGCTGCACCCCAAAAAGGCTCTCCCTTTTTTCAGTCGCTGCTCAGTGTCAATGCAGCGACCTCTTATTTAGCATAACACTCCCATCTCTCTCACCTGTAACCTCGATCTATATCGCCGAGATATTGAATAAGATTTTTCAATTATAATCATCTCTGCCGCCTAACAGCCTGTGTCCCTGGCATCCACCGGTTGTTTCCTGATGGCTATCCTCTTCCGTCCCCATGTCCGATATCAGTGATACGCATGCTGCCCTTCTTTGGGACATGCAATGCTTGGACATTCCTACCAAAAGATTAAGCGATAGCCCTTCTGAAACTTTTGAGCGCTCATATCTCTCAGAACATTCTATGGAAGTAAACCCAACTGCCTTGCAGGAGCTGGCTAAGCGCCGTTTGCCTCCCTCAACTTGGCGAATCGATAGTCGAGAAGCTTTCGAGAAGCGCAGCCATGAACAGGCTGATTTCAGGGTGTTACGCCAAAAAAGCACCTCAGGTCACCAGCTTCTGGCGTCTGAGACCAGCCTTCAGCGCATGACTGATGACCAGCAAGCTTTGCATTGGGTAAATTATAAGATACCACAACAACCAGAGACTGGACCTATGGGCCAGGACAAGCTTATGGAAGAACTCGAACTCATCTATGCGGGCCTGGCGAAGGTCGAATCTAATCTCACCACAGAGGCTCACATTATCTCTCCCTGCGTAGAACCGTTAGTCAAAGACTCTGGATTTTCGCGTTGGTCTGAGCAGAGCAGGATCGAAACAAGCACGCTTAAGGATGATCTTTCGCAGGCTGGAATTGGTGAAGGTCTCCATACCCAGAGGTCGACACAGGACTTCTCGGGCCACAGCCAATCTCACAACCTGGAGTTTAGAAGCTTTGCACGCAAGATTTCCTTGCACTGCCGGACTTGGCGTCGGATTAGCGATCGCCTACTGCCCCTTCTAAGACGCGAACAACACCTTGCATCGTCACAGCAGTGGGTGGAGGTTATGAAATTGTCTTCGTCTCTTATGCACCTCTTGAATGAGAACGAGTCAACGGTAGCAAACGCGGACACTGCACTAGTGGGAGCTCTAGCCCGGGTCGAAGCCATCTTAAACCGATTGATGCTGAGATTCAGGTGCAGATATGATAAACTCGAGCAGAAAGTCGGGTTGGTTGAGGCGATTTTTGAGTTTCCCAATAATTTCAGACACTTATGTACAACGATGCCATGGACAATTGCTCCCGCGTTGTTGATACTTTGGGGTGTTTGTTGGATGTTCTTTGGTTCCCCTCCACCCCCGCTGCAAAAGCCTACTGCGGCTGGGCCTGCAACTTCACCCTCGCCAGTTTTGGATGAATTTCTTGGGGGGGACCCTAGCACTGATACTTCAGGTAAGTTTCACGTGAATGACAACTATACCATATCTAACCCATAGTAGATTACCTCCGATACTTTAATATCCCATACGCGGATGGCTATGGCAGTCAGGATAATGTACAGAGCTTTGTGCATGATGATCTTGATTTATCAAGCAGCTTTTTTGACCCTCTGAGGATTACTCAAGACACCCCACGGGATCCAGACTTTTTACAAGTTGGTCACTTACTGCAAACGAATAACTTCAACTTGGAAATGCTTGACCAAGACAGCGATGATACAAGACGGTTACCAGAGACCACTGCGTCGGATACACAACCACAATCCCACCAGACACAATATCGTCAATCAGCAACGAATATCAGCGGGCACGAGAGTGAGACCCAGTGGTAAGTTGAAGCTACCTCCAGCCACCGTTGAGAGGTTAAGGCTAAACAAAGCTATAGTGGAAATCGGCAGAGAAAACCTCATTTTGTATGCCAAGACTGCCAACAGCCGTTCGCAACATTATTTACCCTGAATCGTCATCGCGCAGAAGCACATGCGGAAGTAGCTTCAACCGTTGGAAGGTCATTTCCATGTCCTAGTCCCCACTGCAAGAAGTCAAAAGAAGGATCCCCTTTCAAGCGGCTCTATAATCTCAAACGGCATCTAGCGAAATGCAAGCATGATAAAGAAATAGCAAGACCACAAGTAGGACCAGCCCTTCCGCTTATAGGGCCAACGTTGACACCGCCTTCACCTGACAAGCTTCCTAGACCAGAGGTAAGCCCAGAAGCAGTACTTAGATCTAACAGTACAAAGAAGAGAACGAGGTCAGAGGACGAGGAAGACAGTTTTGATGATACGTGGCTAATGGATGACGTGATGAGGAGGTACAAGAAAATGGCTCAGGCGGTCAAAGAAAAAGAAGTGGACTACTTGCGCAAAAAGAGGGAGTATTTGCAGTCTTTGGATGATTTGAAACTCTTTGAGAAGATCATTCAACACTCAAACAACGCACAGCTGGACTCATAGTCGCTAGTTATATATCTTACTTGGTTAGATTTAAGGGTTACTCTGGGTGTGTTTAACATAGATTAGCTGGAGTTAAATCATGTTCTCTAGGATTTGGATCCTGGTACTTAGGGTATAACGATGATAGCCGGCAAGGCTTTCTTCTTAAATTTGTTTTATAGATTGCATCATCTTGAAACTGTATTGAGTATTGGTCAGGGGGTTATATACGTGTATTGATTCTACATGGAATTTGGTATTGGCAATGCTTTGGACTTCACAATGACTGTTATTTGTGCCAATACTGGCTATCGTCGTTAACAGTCAGTCACTTTAATTTATTTTAATTTCACAGGGCACGCCTTCATGAAATAAGAATCGAGGTTCCGTAAATTCTTAGGGGGAAAATTCGAACTGAAGTGTATAATCATCAATTTTGTATTGTGAGCCATATGAGCTGGAGGTACCTGGCTGCATGTTCCTTGCAATCCAACTTCGAATCCTCCCCAGATGAATCCATCCCGGCTGCCCATGCGTATAAACGTCAAGTTCGCCATCGTAGCAAATCTGCATACTATAGATTTGCCGCATAGCATACGGCCTCAATGGGCTTATGACACGTATGGCTGATAGACTGTGCCATTACGCTGTGCCTCACGTAGGAGACGCTTGTTAGAACGAAGGAGCCAGACCTTCATGATGATAGCGCAGGCACTAGATGCCAGGCCGAAGGCCATCATACCAATGAAAGCGCTGATGTAGCGAGGCTCTTCTTTAGTGACGAACATAAAAGGAGCAGTGAAGTTTCCTATTAAATTGTGTCAGTGATGGTGGCTTATGAATGCCAATCAAGGTGAACTTACCGATTTGCGACAACAGATTGCACAGGGCAACGGATACAGCTCGCTTTTCAGGAGTCTTTGCAAGCGCGCCTATGAAAGTTAGTATCTGCTCGAAAATATTGAGCTCGCGATATCACATACCAGTGACATATCCCATGATGAGAGGGTTCGCAATGTACATGCCGCCGACATAGATGAAGGAGGCGCCGTAACGAGCTTGGGCATTGGTAGTTGCCAAACAGACAATGAAGCCACAGCAAGCAACCGCAACTGGAATGGCATAATGCAGACCACGCTCCTTGACCCTGTGGAAGTTTATCAGTATGTAGCGAGCAAAGAGTGGCGAGAGAACTTACTTGTCAGAGTGCCATGCATTGACGTAAGATCCAATGGCAGCAAAGATGTATGGTGGTGCGGTAAGCACAAGGGCGATGACGGGACTGTAACCCCAGTCTGCAGCTAGACCGCGAACAATTGAGGGGTAAAAGTTGGAGAATCCATAGGCGGCAGAGATGGTAATGTTCATGAGAGTCAGGATGTAAAGCTTAGGATCGCGAACACTGAGCTTCAATCCCTCCCAAGCGCCAGTCTTGGCCTCCGAGGTAGAGGGTCGATCAGCAGCCACACGTGCGAAAGCTACCTTGCGCATATCCTCGGTCATGGTCCACATAGCACTACCGGTCGTCGAGTCGGGGTAGTCAGGGATGAACCAGATGCAGATCATGGCAGAGCCAGCGCCAGCGGTAGCGAGAATGATGAAGAGCCACTGCCAGCCAGCAAGACCGTGAACGGTCTCCAAGGTAGCGTAGATAGCTGCGGCGATAAGACCAGCAGAGCAGAATGCAATTGTTTGCGCAGAGTATAGAATGGCCATGCGAAAAGCAACTTCTTTTCTAGTATACCTAGACATGATGTGAGCTCGACAACATATGACTTGAGATGGAAAGACTTACCAGCAGCCGAGAAGATAGATGGCTCCAGGGAGAAGAGGCGCTTCAACGAGACCAAGTGCGAATCGCACACCCATCAGTCCCGAGTAAGACGTTACACCAACGGTGGCAACGCTAACACCAGACCAGACAATAGCCATGAGACAAAGGTAAAGACTGGGTCGGACTTTGGTGATCAGCATGTTACTGGGGAGCTGGCCAAGGACTGTAGGAGATTAGCACTGGGAAACACTTGGTAAGTTGGGGGGTTGTACCATAACCGAGAGAGAGAATGGAAACAGCGGATGAAAAGTTGGATCCTGTAAGATTCAGGTCCGCGTCAAAAGAACTCAACCTCGCATGTCCGATGGATGCTCTGTCGAGGTAGTTGAAGAAGTAAAGACACCACACACAGGGCATGAGAGTCATGTCCAGACGTCTGACGATCTTCTTCTCCAGCTCGCGCCAATTGGGAATGCCCAGAGCGTCGATCTGCTCCTCTGCGCTGGGAAGGTGCCCAACATTCTTGAGATAGCCCTCCTCCACCAAGGCCAGTTCTTTCTCAATGGCAGATTTAGTATCGAGGTCTTTTACATCGTTCTTCTCTGCGGTGGCTGTTTGTGCAGGGGAGTCGACATGAGACGCTGTGGTCTGCGTGTCTTGGGGCACATCACTGCCCGCTTTCTCGTCAAGAGCCATGGTTTCCTAGGGGACACGTTCTCGCCAACTGAAAGATAAGATTGGTGAATGCCGTCCGTGGTGCAGTACACTAGGTAGATCTGAGATGAACCAGGTAGAAGCACTAGGGAAGAGAATAAACAGAGACAGAAGAAGCAGGCAGGCAGCAAATTTTATAGATCTCTGAAAACTGGTGCACAAGATGAACCCCGCATTGATGCGACGTTTTCATGCTGGGGAAATATTGCCCCAGATGGAGTTGAGCGAAGCCAAGAGTCCGGGGGATGAATATCTCTTGGGTTAGAACTGGGGTCCGAAGATGAAGGGTTCTGGCGGTCCACAAACCCCATATGCCAAGTGAGCATGAGGGGAGAGTCAGATGGATGCAAGCAATTCGATTGCAAACCTTTCGCTCCTCTTAAAATTCTCTTTGTGGTCAGCGGAGTTGTTGCTGTCGTTGAAGGCGGCTGAATGCGAGATTGCCGGTGGAAGAGCCGCATTGTCGGCATTTATTTCAGCCGCCTTCAGGTTAGTCAACATGCTACGCCTTATACGAATATTGAAGTGTTGCAATTCTAGACCAAGGGCTAGATCCTACTCTCTTCTTTGCCTTACAAAATAGGAATATTCCATCAAACTCTGCTCTGTATGGAGAGTGGCCATCAGCCAAGCGCAGTGACTTTGCCATGTCGTCAAGTGTTCCCCGACTACACAACCATCTTGCAAACAACTGGAGTAAACAACTTATCCGTTCTCGCGTTTCTTCCCGTCTCTCCAACATCATTCCCAATCGCTGCACTCTTTCGCCGTGTCTTCCCGTGCCAAGCGCAAAGTGTCCACTACAAAACCTGTACAACATGCTGAGGCTTCTCGTCATCCACAACAACGAACCATTTTCGCTTGGCAGGTGCCCACTGTACGTAAAGGCCAAGCTCTCCGACAAGGAAATAAAGGTTGAGAGGTTAAACTTAAGCTTGAACAGGATCTTGGCGAATGGGGTTCTTCCTTGGCCTGCCAAGAATAGCATTTGCTGTATTGGAATGTCTATTTCCTACCAATCAGCGCTCCAGTTTGCCAATTTCAGTCTACCCGCGGGAATAAAAGTCCACTCCGACATTTCCCCAATTTTCCCCATTTGGCGTGCCCAGCCAGTCCCGCGGGAGATAGGCACATCCGCGTGAGGACATGAAAGTAATCCTTGTTATCGGGAGTAGATTTGTGATCCTGCCAAGTTATCTGGGCTCAGAATATCTCCGAGGCAATTCAAGAACTTCTTGGTAGTAAATTTGACGGCTGGAAGTTTACCATCTCAGAGATCGCGATTCAATAAAGGCTTGGTATCCAACACCGTGATGTGACGCTTTGTAGATAGCTTCTGGGAGAGGAGACCAGTTTTAATAGCCAAAGTCTTGGTCATGCCAGCTCACCCGCATTTCTATCACAACACTGACCATGAATTCGATACAATAGTCTTGTCTTTCCCCAGCACTTCAAAAGCACGCAGATTAACCGCAAAGAACAACATTTGCCACTTGAAAGAAGCAGGAAATTATACCGACAATCAGTTTGATAGAATTATTCCAATCGTCAGACGTCGCTAAATGTACCATTGCCCATCAGTAGATGCAGAGCGGCATTATGAAGGCGCGGGCTTACAACATTTACCTCGTGCCTAAATTATCTAATTTGTGAATGATCTAATTGCGGTGGTCTTGTCTCAACCCTGACGACGCTTTCAAGAGCTTTATTTACATTGATCATCATAGAACCGACAAAGCTCAAGAGAAATCTGGTACGTCCAGTTGGACCGGTTGTTGGTCTCAATCGGATCTCTGGATGGTACCAAATTGACAGTCATGGCTGTACCCGCTCAACTTCAAGTTCATAATTGTGTCGAGGACAGTATGATGATCATTGGAAAGACACAGGGACTTGTGTGCCAGCAAAAGGATACTGCAAGCAGAATGATGCCCGCAAACCTTCTACGACTGCCAACGCCAGCCTTTCGAGATCAGTGAGGCTTCCAGGGACGTCGTCACTGAACATACCATGGAGATCTTAGAAATCGGTCTCCTTGCGCAAGCGAAACAGACCCTTCGGGTTATGATTTCATGATTGGGAAACAGAATAGATCGGCCCTGAGTGATAAGCCTGCTGCCAAGCTTTTGGTTGCTGTTTTCGCACGTCCTTTCGTCTGTGCTTTGGTGGGCCTCCTGCGTGGGATCTATCGATTCTTGCGCAGACTCATCATACTAGACCAATCTATCATTTATCATTAAAGTTTCAAGCCTGCAGCTCTTCATGAAGCGTTTCTATTCTTTCGCCTTGCCAAGGGCGATAGAACACTACGTTGGATAAAGCACATGTGAACGTCCGTGGTAAATTTCCCGACTCAAGGTCACGGCAAAATCATGAACTCAGGTTGCCCAAAGTTTGTCATTAGCTTCCCAACATCGAGGTCATCAAAGACCGTTTTGATTGCGCTTAGCTATGATGGACTCATTGCTTTGAGCGCTCTTTTGTCAAGAACTCTCACTACCACAGGTGTCAACCGACTCAGCTATCGTGTCTTACCCTATACACACATTTTAGGAGGAGTCGTGGGAAGCAAGCTGTTACTGACGTCAAGCTCAATTCTGAGGATCTTCTTGCTCCCGTCAAGGCCAACAAGAGATTTTCTATGGATATGGGTATCCTGTACACTACTTAATTCTGCAGCCGGTGATACTGGCTCGGAAAAGCTCCCGAAGTCTCCTGCCACCAAAGCCCTTATCAATCGTACTGGCATGGGGCAAGACATTCAGGACCTTATCAAGTTCGCTGCATTAATGACGATCGAAGGTCTTGAGCAAATCCACTCAAGCCCCGGTGGTGTGATCCACAAAACTGCTTCCAAGGAGTTATAGTGGGCGTGCAAAAGGATCGACGATCTCCTTCCTCTTATATTATTTTACATATCCCTAGGTGGGTTGTTGTCGGAACTGCTGCACGGAACTGAGGCAGACCAGTCTTGGGATACTCATCGCACAACGCCCATCTCTATCGCATAGGGTTACCTTGCCATCTAGCCGCCAATTGCGGCACCATCTCTCTCCAACGTTACCCGACTCGCCTCATGGATGTCAATACTGGGGCATCGAATTCTTTCCTGACTGGCGCTTAAGCCGCAGCTCTATCGCTGTTGAGTTCTAATATCCATGGGCTGTCGTCGACTTTGGGGCCCTTAATAAGCATTTAAAAACTTCGTAATAGCCGACATGGTCAAGTGGTACAGGTTTTACAATATTGACACATGATTGTCTGTCTTGGAGCATGAGGAGATTGTTCCAGGTCTTGTTGTTACGTTTGACGAGGTCATGTCCAGCTGGGTATCTAAAGTCCTCTTCCACACCGATTACACGATGCCGGAACCACTTTAACGGTACCTTTCGAGGTTGACAGAGTTGTGCATTGAAATCATTGCGTTTACAGTGCTGTCAACCTTTGTCTCATCAAAGTTGGCATGCCAATTCTAACACCGAAAGGGCTGCCGACCTTGATGAGACTCGTGCATAATGATGGGTATACTGAAATGAGCATCGGTAGACCAAACATTCGCCTATGGTGCAAAGTGTGGAGTAAGTTCGAGGACCCGGAGAGGCCGTGAAAGATAAGTGGCGCAAGTAACATGTCTCGTATTAGCTGTCTCCAAATATAGGTATGGATAGCCCACAAAAGACTCAAATCATAGTCTTACAATGTTTTCCAATATGATATAGGGGGAAAACAGGTAAAAGGGCCCTATTTTCCCTTTTTGTTCCTCTTTCACATCCCGAGCCCTTGGAGTTTGCTTCTCCCTTCAAATATGAACTCATCAAATACGGGTTTAGGGGAATTCCATAGTACCCGCCGACTATTCCATTGTTCTCCTTGCGTTATTATTAGTATATACCCCGGCTAGCGTAAGCGGAAATATCACTTTGTTGGGTTGTCGGTCACCAGATTATACTATCCTGCTAGTTGGAGGAATGATGGTGATAGGAGGGTGTAAATTGCAGGGACAGCCCCTTTCTCCGCATAAGATCATAGTCTGTTCGGGGGCCAATGATGCCGATCTCGACGTTCATGGTTCTATTGGATGACGGACTATACTAGCCACTCGAACCGTCAACATTAAGACAAGTTGGCCACTCTTTTTCTGAGAAGAAAGCCTGAGCACCAAATATTTGCAGGGCACGAGGAGGAGCTGGGTATTCTTGATTCAGCGACCGGTCAGTACTGGTGGAAGATCTACACAGTCACGCAGCAATTAGAAGAGATCATGTTCAGTCATCCGGAGCTAACTGCGACGCTTCGTTTGTCTCCGAGGGCCCGAGAGTGACAGTTTCCGAATATTGGAATAGGTTAGGGCGCCCGAATCCGAGATAAGCTTAACTTAAATACGCGGGTAGAACGTGGTGCGACAGGGGGTCTAGCTCATGCTAGCCTATGAACATCAGTTAGTCTGTCATCCCAGTGGAGGAAATACAAGATCCGCCATCACCCTGAAACATGAAACCTGACACAAGGATAGTTTATTCTTAATCTAATCCTTAATTCCGGTCATTAAGATCCTTATTGACTCGCTAAGCTCTCGGACCAACAGGAATTAGCAAGTGACTTCGTACAAACCCGAGCGCATGGGATTTAATGGGTCACCGTCATGCGAGAAGGAGAGTGTGAAGACATATAAGAGCGTTGTTTCATCCTGCAATAGACATCTTCTCTCGGTATCTACATTCTTAGCATCTACATTCTCAGTCTTTACATTTTTAGTTTCTACAATATCTTTTTCTACATTCTCAACCTTTACTCCCCCATATCATCTAAATCTGCCAAAATGCACGCTCCCAGCATCGTCGCTCTTCTCTCCACCCTCCCCGCCGCCATGGCTTGCCTTGGCTACACGGGCGGTGTCCCCAAGGCTACTGGAAGCAAGTCTTTGGGATCACCTCAATACATCAAGAAGGGAGCCGTCTTTGACGCGAAATGGGTCCGCTATGACCGCGGTGTCAAGTGCTCTGGTCAGAGCGAGGGTGGTACGTATCTCTGTCAATCTTATCCGTGATCCGGAACAAGTTTCTCTGACATTTCTTCTAGGTGAGAAGGACGCTGTTTTCGTCCTTGAGGATGGCGCTACCCTTCGCAACGTTGTCATTGGTGCCAACCAGAAGGAGGGTGTTCACTGCCTTGGTGCCTGCAACCTCGAGTTTGTCTGGTTCGAGGACGTCTGCGAGGATGCCATCACTATCAAGGGTAGTGGAACTGCCAACATCATTGGAGGCGGTGCCTACAAGGGTTCTGACAAGCTGATCCAGCACAACGGATGCGGTCACGTCAACATTGTCAACTTCTGTAAGTTTCCAGTTCAAGGAACGATGGCATGTGACTTAAGCTAACTCACTATAGACGCCAACGACTACGGCAAGGTCTACCGATCATGCGGTAACTGCAAGGGCAACTCCAAGTGCAAGCGTTCCGTCCACATGGAGGGCGTCACCGCTGTCAACGGCGGTGAGCTCATTGGCATCAACACCAACCTCGGTGACAAGGTCAGTCATTTCCACATATACAGGAAGAAGATCATACTGACTAAAATTCGATAGGCCACCTACAAGAACAACTGCTTCCCCAAGACCCAGTGCCAGGGTTACAACGGCTGCGACAAGTCTAACGGCGAGTGTGAGCCCACCAAGGCTGCCAAGTGCTAGATGCGCGGGTAGACTGGTACTGGTTGCTGGAGTTTAAGATTGTCTTGTTCATTCTTGTTGTATAAAGTTATTTGTTGTATCAAAGGATATTGATTATCCTGTATATTAGATCCGTTCTCCCATGACCCGCACGGCAGGGCTTAGTTACATCAATTGATGCTACTGTTCAATAATTCTATCTCAGAAACAGTGCAGGCTAAAACCCCATGAGGGAAAGCCTGTTAAGGGCGGCGAAGACAATGAAGGGGCAACATAGATTGGATTGTTTTGTTGAGAAATGCCATCATGACAATCGGTTAATAACGTTACGCTATATAAAATTTATAGCTAGACTGGGTGGGATATACTATCCCGCTGAGGTAGTTTGTCAGGATAGGAAGTTATCGCTGGTGGGATGAATGAGGGCGGGATAAAAGAGGACATTGACAGAAATAAAGCACCATTTCTGTCGCCAACTGGCAATTGTACGACCATTCTTTTTTTGCATCCCGTCTCACGAATGATCTATTTAGAGCAGGTTATTAAGCAACAATTGTGGAGACTGTTGCGCGAAATGTAAACACCACATGGCCAGCTTGCTCACTATTCGGGACTATTCGCGAGAAATACGTACACAAACTGTGTCAAGTCTATTGTCAAAACAACAAAGATATCCAAAGTATACGGAGTGAGTTCGACATATGCCAGACCAATCGGCAATGAATGTGAACACGAAAAATATGTCTGCCGAAACCTTTACCGCTACTAATGACGTCCTCGGAAGCGGAACCAACTGTATGAGGGTCCATGTGGATCACCGGCTGTTAAAGATCCGGTCGCACTAGCCAAATCCCCCGCAGTATAAGAAGTCCAGGAGTCATTGAAAGGAACTTCGTCTTCGAATTTTCGTAACCAATATCATACACCGCCGAATCATCATCATGTCATCCGATTCTGTTGTCTACCACTACCTCGCCATCGGCAAGCTTGGCCGTGGTGAAGTCGTCAAGTAAGTAGCTCATATGGCAGTGAGTGGTTTCATTGAATTATCATGGCTGATACACGCAAACAGGCTGTTCATGACCGACGCTGGTATCAAGTTCGAAGAGAACCTGTACCCCGTTGATGGCACTTGGCCCGAGAAGAAGGAGGAGCTGAAGAAGAAGGGCCTGACCCGCAACGGCCAATTGCCATCTCTTGAGTACAAGGGTCGTGTTCTAACTGGCGTGCGTATTTATCCCTCTCAAATCTCCGATGACTGCTAATAGTTTCCACAGCACGTCCCTATCCTTCGTTACCTTTCTCGTGAACTCGGCCAATACGACGGCGAGACTAGTGAGGATAAGTATCTCGTGGATCTAGCCTCGGATATCTACGTCGATTGGAGAGTGCGTTCGCTACCATGTCCCATGAACGCAACGGAGGCTAATGATATATTCAGGCGCGCTGGGTGACCAACCTCAAGGGCCCCAACGACGAATACAAGACTAAGCAGGCTCCTGAGTACTATGAGCTTATTGGGAAGTACTACGCCGACCGCGAAGGACCATACCTTCTTGGAAACGAGATCAGCTACGCAGACTTTGCTGTCTACATGTCCATCGATAACGACAAACGAACTGGAACACTCCCGGTATGATTTGAAGCTTTGATGATTGACCGGTAGATATGCTAACACCTCAATTACAGGATACGCTCCCTGAGTCTCTTAACAAGTTGAAGGAGGCCTTCGAAGCCCGTTCCAACATTGCGGAGTACATCAAGCAGGGCTAGAATAACCACTATCTAGAGTTTAAAATGAGTAATAACAGGGGAAATATCACAATTGAACTAAATTTCAACATATGTCTATACCCATCCCCATCGGAGCTTGTTGAATTATAGAGAAAAGTAAGTGACTCGGTAACCCACTGAGTCGTCGATGCGATGGGCTATTTCGTGGCCGATCTCCGTTTGCATCGAGCAGTCACGTCATGACTCTACTCAAGTTGGCCAGGGCGGAGCGGGTAATCCGCTTTGCATCAACTTATACTTTCAACTCCGTCACCCATAAGTAGCAATGGAAGCTTGGGTGTCGCTGGCAATAGAATTGACTGCAATAATTGGTGACTACGCTCTTTAAACATCCAACGGGAAGTTACGCAACGTAGCATTGACCAAGTCATCAGGACCACGACAGAAAATGAGCTTTGGTTCCTTTTCTCCAATGTTCCCTTCCTTCCTTTGCACAATATGATCTACACAGACAGCCACAACTGATTCGAAAAGTTCAGTAAACTCAATATGTCCGCGCACGCACCAGCCAAGTATGATTCCACTCCAATCTCGTTCTTTCAGTATGCTTTTGAGCTCTTCGAGGTTGTTGCCGTTGGCATCGAGATTGAAGCCGACGTTGGAGAATCGAGAGGCAGTTGATGCGGGAACTTTTGATTCAGACCATTGATGTTCTAAGCCAGCATTGATGTCGCGGCCGTTGAGATGGCGGGACAGTGACACGGTAAGGACAGGAATCGGTGCTTGAGAAGCCATGATGTGGTTGCGTTCAAGGTTAGGCTGGATCAGGATCAGAAAGGCGAGATCCCGTAGAACTTAATGTGGAATGGATCTTGGCTCGATGCTAGCTTCTGTGTATCATGTACATAGGTGGTGCCTTTTTCTTAAATAATCAAGTCTTATTCTTGCTTATGAATCAAACTGATGTGTCTTTCTGAGGCAATGAGTAACGATGAGATAAGACACCTCGGTCTCTTCAAGACGCCGAGGTGGGCCACCCCGACTATCCTGACACCACCCGAAGAAATAAAGAATTATCTTTGCCTCTTTCCAACTTGTTGAGAAAAGATGCAATGCTTTGGTCTGGTCCTTTACTGCTGACCACTCATTTGGCATCATCATTGAGTCCCATATCTCCAAGAAATACGTCATCGGAACCATTTTCAAGCCATTCGTCCATGGCAGCCTGTCTCAGCTTGGCATTCCACCATTCCGCCGGGCCCAAATGCTGCCCGAATGGTCTTTTTGGTGTTCCCTTACTTTCGCTAACTCGTTCGCGAGACTCGGTTCGAACAGATGCCAGCCAGAAGGCCTGGCTTGGTGCGTCGAGTTTACGTCTATAGATTGCCCATAGAGTAGGGAACAACTCGACTCGTCGCATGGTCCTTCGAGAAACATGGCCCGCCGAGTTGAACATGTGCATGTTGGTTGTGTCACCGGGGGTAAGCCATCGAATCTTGGTAGAGTTGGTGCTTGGAACATCCTCGTTGATGCATTTTGTGAAACTTGCGAGAAACTTCTTGGACTCCCCATCATCTCTGCTGGCAAGCTCCATAAGTTGCAGATCACAAATCCCTTCAAGGGATACATTGAATTGACTATACAATAGTCTGGATAGTCCGCGGATATCAAACCCGACTTTTGGGACAACATCTGACTCCAGAATAGTGCGGAGAGATGGCAAATTGTCATCGACAGAGGACAAAGCTGTCGCACCAAGATGTCTGAGACTGATGTTGTAGAGTTTGTTGGTGGAAGGAATCCAAAGCTGAAGGTCGATTAATTCATCTTGGCCCAAACCCGTTCCATCAATGTAGATTGAGGGCGACTTGGTTGGGAGCTTGTCGAGATCTTGTAGAAGTTCTTTGAGCCGATGAGGCGACTTAATAAAAGTAGTAGAAGGCTCGTTTCGCTCTGTGATATCGTCATTAGACTTCGGAGATGATTTCTTGTCCATGATGAATATGAGCGGAATCTTTCAGTACAAAGCGCCCTGGGGTTCCCCCAAATCTGCCTCGCTATATAGTCCATGAACCTTCATTCTTCGTGACGTAAACAATCAGCATGACTATTTTGAGTAGCCAACTAAACGCGTGAAGCAAAATCGCTTCCCAATACCACTGTGCCGCTAGCCAACGGTACCTGCCCGGTGAGAAATACTCATGCGCTCAGCTTGGTCGGCCTCCCGCATTTGAAACCATGCGTTGGTGCCCAAGAGTCCGTACTGAATTTAACTGACTTCCACGGGACAGTTTGCAGAGATGAGGTCATTTTGTATTGCTTAAACGCCAAAATGGACATATGGAGCCCAATAAGCAGAAACCAACTTCGGTTCTTCGCACGAGTAGATAGTCCTTGCGTCTCTGTCCCCCTCCACCAGCTCTACCACAGGCTCTTTCTCTCCACTTATCCCATGCAGCCAGGCATCTCTCAGTATCCTCGTCGCCTTGTGCAACCCCCGACACACCGACTCGTCCGTCATTCCCCCATCCTTTATACACCCATATGTAACACGAGCGACATCGACGCAGTGATCATCCTGTACCTTCCACAACGTCCCGATGACATGTCTAAAGCCCGCTAGCTGACATGCGCTTATGAGATGAATGCTTTCATCGATGAACTTGTCGTCTTGGACGTGACCTGTGCTACAAGCAGAGAGATATGCGAGAAAGGGCGACCTTTCATGGAGGTTCAGCGCTAGCAGATCTCCTACTGTAAGATGGTCTTTTGTGTCAAAGCATAAATAACTCTTGGAGGGGTTGTCGCTATCCGTGTTACCATGCCCTGCAAAGTGAAATATGTTGCAGTCTCGTAAGTAAGACAAAGCGTTTTTCTTGTCTGAAACGCCCGTGACGGGTCGTACCGCCATGCTGCTGCAAATACTGCTCACCACATCAATCTCATCGCGAGCTTTCGGCAGTGGATCTTGACCTGGGGTTTGTTCCATCGCTACAAGTAATGCCTGTGAAGGGCCAGATATAACTCCGCGCTGCCGTCGTCCCCGCACGAGAGCCTTGAGGGATGTACTGTATGATGATATGACCCTGTCCATGACTGTCTTTCCAGAACGCTCTTGATGCCGTCCAGATGCATGAAGTGGAAATCTGCTTATCGGCCCTGTGGGAATCCACCACACATGCGACCAATCTTGCTCAAGCACTGGCGTGCCCGTCAAGCCCAGTACCTCCAGCACGGGGCCTGTGATGTGATCCCAAAGGAATTCCAGAGTCTCGACACTTCCAAAGTCACCGGCGGTTGCTCTGTCGATTATCTCATACTCCTTGAGATCTCTGAAACCTAAAGTGGTAAGTGCTTTTTCCTGGATGACGATAGCTTGACATCCCATCCAGCTGCTGTTGATAACCACGATAGGGCCGTATGCTGCTGCAGCAAGAATCTGCTCTGTGCTTAAAGGACCCAAGAAATCCTCAAAGCCAGCTTTTTGTCGAATCTCCAGTAGTAACTCGTCAAATGACTTGGCAGCGATGCGTCGATGATCTCCATCATTACTTCGCGAGGGGCTCGCTTGGCTTATAGTATCCACATGTGTGGAATAGTCAAGTTCGTCCCGCAGACGTGTAAACTCCTCCGCTAATCCAGGGAAATCCTGCTGAAGCTCTTTGATGTCAGATCTCATTTCTCCCAATGATGACCCAAGCACACCGCGACCCTGCTCCAAGAGGCCAAGGACTTCCGATGGCTCTTTCTTGAGCTTAACAGCAGCTCCCACTGTAGCTACCGTGAGCCCTGATGTATGACTGAGAAGGTGTTGTCTGTCGATCGTCTCAAGCGACCGCGCTGCAATAAGACTAGGAATTAGAGCTATAGCTGTCCGCCCTATGTCATAAGCATCCTGGTACTCTTGACAGTACGGCATCGCTGACGCCGCTGCAATGATACGTCGCAAAGGCTGGCCCACGGTGTGGTCTACAGCGGCTCGATAACTTTCCACCGCCTGACTGATATCACGATCATCTCGGGTCTTGGAGTTTCTTCCAACGAAAAGATCCCCAAGTGTTTTCCAATGCTCTGTCCTGGATGGGGAGTCCCTTGGGGTCTGATTTAAAGCCGTTTTTGAGACTTCGATTGCTTCATCAAGATCAGAGAGCGATCCCTCTGCCTTGAACCTCTTTTTCAACAAGACTGCAAAAGTACTAACGGCAAAGGCCCGTCCATTGTAGATACCCTTCGTTAACCCGACGGTCTGCCTCCCGATTTGTATACCCTCCTCGAGATCCTGGTAAGATCCTCGCTTATCGTGTCGCTTATTCAGGCCTCCCATTAGTCGGTTCAAGTACGTTGCGAGGTCCGGATGGTCTTTGGGAACAGAGGCAACTGCTTCTCTCGAAAGAGCGATTGCTTCATCCAATTCCATCACGTCATCCTGAACTCTGATAAATTTCTTGAGCAGTACGGATGCTAAGTTGTGTAATTGGTTATGTCGCGTTGGACAATCCTCTGGCGTAATATCAAGCGCTGCTCTGGCGTGTGTGACTGCTTCTTCAAGATCCACCAACGATCCTGTTGCTTGCGACCTACTTGAAAGGGATGCTCCAAGGTTGCCATGAGCCAGGATCAGGTCGCTACTGTCTCTCGATGTTTTTTCCAGACCCTCCCTTCCCATGTTGATGGCTTCTTCAAGATGGCCCAGGATACCTGTTCTTTCGTACAGAGCAGCAAGCTGGGCTGCGGTATCGATAAGCTGTGAAGATCGCTTAGAGTCGTCTTTGTCACACCTGGTTAGAAATTCCTCCCCGAGACGTATTGCCTGTTCAAGATCCTCCAGCCCGCCTGCTTCAAGATACAACAAATACAATCTGAAGCTGAGGTGCCTTGTTAGACACAACAATTCAGGGTCGCTTTCCTCCGAAGCAGACATTGCTTCTTCTGTCAGGCCAATTGACTCCCGAAGAGCCGAGACATCACCCTTTTTCGTGTGGATATTTTCAAGTGTCGTTGCGAGCTTGACCTGCCGGGCGCACTTGTCTATTTCTCGATCTTCTGGGGTTGCAGCCAGACACTTCTTTCGTAATCTCGATACCTGTTCGAGATCTTCCAAACTTCCCTTCCAGGTATAACGTGCGTCGTAAATATCGCTGGCTATCTCGAGCCACTGGGCGTCTTCATTTCCATTTTTCGCAGCTATTGCGAAGGCTTGGTACATAGCCCCACGAGCATTACTGAAGTCCTCCTCAGTTCCAAGGAGCACATACTTCTCCTTGAACAACATTCCAAGATTTACTAGAAGCACCGGGACCATCGGTGCCTTGTCTGGTAGTTGCTGCAACAAAGTCTGAATCAATTCAATAGCGTCTTCCAAATCGGCAACTTGTCCTGTGTGATAGAAACAATCACCCAGCATCAGAGCCAACCAGTATGAGTACTTTTGATGATCAGATGAGGAAGATGTCGTCGATTTGAAGGCTCTTCTCTGGATAGTTACCGCCTCTTCTAGATACTTCCACTCAAGTGCTATGTCCTTGTATTTTTTGTAAAGGGCCCAGGCAAGTGGGTGGAGCAGCTCTGGGTGGTCCTGATCTGTCGCTGCAAGCGCCTCTTTCGTGATGTGGATAATCTCAGACAGCATGCCTGTATCCTCTTGCTCGCAATAGCCTTTTACTAGTTTCTGCGAAATCTCTTGTGCACGTAGTATCGCCTCGTGAGGGGTATCAGTTGATGTTGCGGTATTATCCGGCCCACTGCAAGAGATATCTCTTGGTCTTTCTTCCATCGCGACTACTTTCTCGTCTAAAAATGATGGAACCGGGGCTTTATTGTTCGAGATTCTTTTTTTCTTTTGTTTCTTAGGAGCAAACACGACTTGGCTCTATGGAGAATCAATGTGCACGCTGGGCATAATGAAGCTAGATGAGCCTCACAAGAGCATGTTTCCAAATTGCAGTTGATCTCAATTGGTCACATTCATTACTGTGCAACTTTTGTTGGAGGGTTCAAGGCTCGTTCTCCCAAGTGGGTGGTCAGCCCAAGGGTGTGATAGTGTCAGCATGATTCCCAACAAGAATTGAAAAGACAAAAATGCGATGTCATGCAATATGCGCGAGCGGATATGTGATGAGTCCACGTAAATCTCATGCGGGCTTCACTGAGAAGCGCGTTTATAACAACTTTTTTTGAGGTACAGCCAATAGTGAGTACTGAGAGCGATTGGCGAACGCGACAGGTACAAACTTTAATTGATATTCTCCCAGATCATATCAGTATGTTGCTCAGTAATATACAAGATTCTATTTCTCGGATTTTCAACACATTTTGCCTATGGAGCTCATACACAATGGCCTGATGTTATAAGCAAGACAGTTGTGCTTTTTACCTATCTAACCTTGATACATCTCCTCGAGATATCGAAGAAGGTGATTCAGGCATCAATCACGGCAACGCGTCTGAACATTCGGTTCAAATCGTAATCCGAGTAAAAAAGAAAAAAGCAATTTTTGCGTTTCATTCCCCTGATTCTTTCAGCTCCATGCAGCTAGTCAGCCAGACTAGCGAGTGGAAATAAGGCCATCGTTGCTTTTTAAACTCGAATTATGACTTGTATCGAATTGTTAGAAGCGCGGAATCAGCAGGCAATCCCATAAAACAAACTTATTGGCTTGCTTCATACACCTAATTTCCAAGATGACACTATAGAGAAGCCCCATCTTTCTGCTACAACCGCATATTTCCACCGTTGCCCCTCGATATTGTCTTTCCCTTTCCAATAAAACAGACATCTACCTTTTTTCTCGTCGTCGCTCCTCACTCCAAACGCAACAACGCGACACGAAGACCAACAGAAACTGCAACAATGAGGTATGACTGTTATACAATAACAATTGTATTATCCCAATAATTACTGACTTTTATCTACAGCACTCTACGCTCTTCCTTTAATCCGGCTGCCTGGGATTTCAAACCTCGCCAGGCAGAGGGATGGCCGATGCCAGCCGATGTCAAGGCCAGTCCTAGTGCATGCGATACACAGAAGAGTACACTTCCCGACAACAATGTCAGTACATGGCAGCCAATTCCGCCAATTCCCGAAGGGTGTCCTGGGAACGCCAGCTACGAGGAACTAAGACTGAAAGATTACAACCAGGGCAAAGGCAAGCTTAATGTCAATGGTGCTGCCACCTTTAAGCCCTCTACTGTACCCAGCGTTTCCTTTCCAGCCGGCGTCTCAAGTTCCAATAAGAAGATACTAGACCTGTAAGCACTCTTCTGATTTAGTATCGACATACGGCTAATATTGGCAGACTTTGTGGGAGTGGAATTGACATACATATCGGCAACTCAGAATTACCATGTGATCAGTGGTCGCTCCCCATCAATCTCATCTCACATTATTCGCTTTACTTGAAAGCAGCCTCTACACCGAACGATGAGGGACCTATTGCGAAAGTCAATCTGCCTGAGCACGATGCTGCTGTATTTGGCCTCTTTGTTGAATGGATGTACTACGGGAGATATGATGCTACATCAACAGCAGCCGATCCTCATATTCATGGAAAGTGCTGGATCCTTGGCGATAAGCTTCAGTGCCCTGAGTTCAAGAACTATGTTATGGGCCTTCTCTATACTCAACATATAACTCTTGCATTCGCCAAAAGTATAACGAGAGAGGAGGTGCAGTACGTTTGCGACAATACATCGTCTAATGCGAAATTAAGACAGTTCTATGAGAATTTTGTCGTTAAATATTACGCTACTACAGACAGATTGCAGGGGTCTACGGAAGAATGGGATGCACTTTTCCAGAAACATTCAGCAATGCGATTTGCTCTGCTTCAAAGCATGAGACACGGTTTTACGGGAGGAAGTCTCATGAGAGACGTCTCTGAGTACCTGGAGCCTACTGAAGGTCTATTAAAGCCAGATATCAAACCAGCTGAGGGTTTGTTGAACCTGGATCCCAAGCCAACTGATCGTCTGTTGAAACCAAATCCTAAGTTAGATGAAGATTCAACTACATCACCGACCAACGAAGAGACAGGTGAGCCAGCGCAGCCCGTCAAGCTTAAAGATGGACTTCAGTGGACGTTTGATCCAAAGCTAGATAAAACTGCTTCTGGATCGCCTTCCAGCATTGAAATAGAGGAAAAGGAAGAGAAGGAGAAGGAGGAAGAAAAGGAGACTCAGACTATTGTTGATCACCAAGTTCAAGATGAAGTGCGCGGAGGCGCTTCTATTATGCATCATGCGCCTCAGGTTGATATTGGATCCCTCAGCATCATCAAGGGAAATGAGCAAGAGGATACTGACGAGACTCTCGTCAATGTTGCCCTGGGACCCAAGTCCAAGAAGAAGAAGTGGAGACATTGCAAGGCAAAAGGCCACTTGGTGAACAAAACGCTGGAGCTCAGTGTCAGAGACGATCAGCAGATAGATTATTCTTCGTCTGGGCATGAATCTGAACAGGTCAGCACTGAACAGACCGAGGCTGAAGCAGCACCAGAGTCAGCCGAGGATGAGGATAATTTCAGTACTGACAGTGAACCAGACAGCTTTGCAGACCTCGTCAAGGCAAATCGTGAGAGGCAGGAGACAGGGTTGCCAAACGTGTAGCAACGGTTACATTTATACTCAAAGATCTCTAGTGAAATGGGAAGGGACAGGTCAGCCTGCTATAGTTAGATGTGTGTGCTGGAATCAATTTGGGGTTTTGCAGTTGGATATGTGTGTTACGTTTAATGTATAAGAGAAACTTCCTAGGAGTAGGTTGATATTTTGGAATTGGAGTTTTTCGTCCCATCGAAGCGTACACTTTCATCCGACTTTCAGAACCATATTTCAATACATTATGGTCAGAAAGAGGGACAGAGTGAAGCTACACAACAGGTCATTAGGTGTGATCTCTAACCATTTGTCAAATAAAATGTGTTTATGATAATCTCATTAGAGTTAGGTATTGTGAGCTATATCAGACTAGGTCCCTGGTGCATCTTTGATTACGCATGGCTGATTAGAATGGTATTGTATTGAATGTTCTTCACCGAGGCTGAACAGATAATTATGTGATCACAGTTGCCCGAAGTACCAGAGGCAAATTACGATCACTTAAATTCTCTTCGAGCTAGGGTGGCTTAGTGCTTGCACCACAGACCATCAGTGAGAAGCAGAGGGCCGAGATAAGACTCAGGAACTGGAAGAGAATATGGTTAGTGTCGTCACAATATTTTCAGGGTAAGGTAGTACTCACTGTCGAGTCCGTTCTGGAAGCTTCCGCAAAGAGTTCCCCAGGCCTTGTCGTTATCGCAGTTCTTGAACTGGGCCTCGGTTCGAGCAGCTCCAGGCGCGTCTTGGTAGTTCCACTCGCACCAGTTATGGGCAGCCTTCGGTTATTGTTAGCATACAGCTCGTTTACGCGTTGGAAATACTTACAAGACAAGTGACACCAAGAGTCTTAGAGTCAAACTCGGGCCCTTTGCCAGCGCAATCCTCAATCTTGAAAACCTGTGCAAGGTCGGCCCAGCCGTTGTCATGGATAGCCTGAGTCAACTCAACCTGGGTGTTTCTCCAATCGTTGGGGTTGTGAAGGGCGTAAGTGTTTCCGGCATCGGCGTCGATCCACCACTGATTGCAGTTTCCACCAGGGCTGAGGCCGTCGCAGGAAATGGCGTCGGTGTTCTTGGCAACATCGAGGGCGTTGTAGCCAGTGCTTCGGGATGAGACGATTCCGTTGGCCTTGAGAGCGTTTGACAGGATGAAGAGCTGGAGCTGTCGGTACAGGGTGCTGGCCTGGATGGTGAGGGAAGTGGTAACTCGCTGAGAGAATCCACCCTCCTGGCAAGCGGCGAGGAATAGAGTGTGGTCACCCTGGACCTCCTTGACAGTATCGAGGAGGTTCTGCTGGTACTGCTCGACCAGCTTGGCCAGAGAAGCACCAATGTCGCCAAGCTGGATGAATCGGCTATTTGCAGTTTGCGTCTGTACCAGAGTCTTGCCAAGCTTGCCAGAAAGGTCAAAAGCAGCAGCCAGACCACCACGGATGAAACCAACAGCAACACCCGCATCTCCAGGGACCAGACCAGTGAAGATAGAAACAATACCAAGTGTTGAGCCGAGAATGTTCATGAGATCGCTGGTAGGTGTGTTGGCCTCAACGGGGGGAGCGACCTTGGCGACGATGCTGTCGATGGTTTGGCCGGCGAGGGAAGCTCCGCTGGTAAGAGCGGCAGAGTATTGGTTGAAGAATTGGTAGATGGTGTAGATGTTCCAGAGGGCCTGATATAAATAAGTATTGTTCAAAGCAGTCGACTGGGATTACATACATAGAACTGCTGGTTAGAGTCGTACTTCTCAACGTTCTTGGTGGAGAATGGCGGGCAGGTATCGCTGGTGATCAGGTTGCAGGTGAGGCCAGTGAATCCCTAAATCGACAGTTAGCTTGACATATGAGTAGCGGTATTTTGCACTCACGTTGAACTGCAGGTAGCACTGTGCGAAACCAAGTGTGTCACATTCAGCCTTGGTACCATTCTCAGCGACCCAGTCGGTGATGTACTTGTTCATATCCACTATTCCACGTCAGTTGATGCAATTCCCTGCTGCAATTGTGAACTCACAAGCCTTCCAGCACTCGGCCTTCAGACCAGTAGCTGATGATGGCGAGCAGTCAACATCGCTGGTGATGGGAAGAGGAGCAGCGTCGGTGTCATTTCGTTCGACCAGCGGGATGGCAGCGACGAGCGACGAAGCGGACGTCAAAAACAAAAGTGATTTAAAGAGCGACATGATTGCGCAACGAAAGTGTAAAAGACTTAAAAAGAGAGACTATGCTCAGTGACCAGCAACGAATGAAGAATAGAATGATCGATAGAGACTTGAGATAGACTAAGAAAGACTAACAAGTGGCGATATATATCCCCAGACGGTCCGCGTATCGGCAGCTATCCGACCCCATAACAACTTCACAAATGACTCGGCAGTGAACTTTAACAAGATTATATTACTCCATACGTTATCGGAAACAGAAACTCGCTCCAATGGCGTGACACAACGTCGCGCCCTACAGGAAGTAACCGGCTTGGCAGAGCCTCATGTTGACGGCAGCTGAACTTTAACAACTGGGGATCTCGTCTTATCTCATCTGCAACGGGAATGTGCATGACAGTTCCTGGCGATCTGAAACTATTCGCGGTGGGTATCCTTGCACGTATTCCAAACTGAGTCCTTCGTATTCCCATTGCCATCCCTGTTGCGGTTCCGGTTAGGGCTGCTAAAGTGACGATCGACAGCGGGTAGGGTTTCAGGATCAACTCTATTATTGTCGGTCCGAGTCGCGATCTCGGGATGAGGAATTTCGGCAGATGGAAGGGATCTAGAAATATTTTAAATCAGACGAATAATTGACGGACCTTGGGTTTGTCTAATCCTGTTGGGAATTAGATATGCATAAACCTTGGCGGCACAGATGGTCGATCAGATTTCTTGGTGTTATAGTGAAACGAACTACGGCGTCACCGATCAGGAAGACCCCTGTACAGTAACCCCACGTGCCAATACAACCGCGTCATATTTCGCATTGTACGAACGTGAAGTGTTTGAGTCTCTCATGACATTGCCTACTAAGAAAATTGAGCATTATTGAATGGCATGTAATATCAAGTCAATTTGAGGCCACCCAGCTGCGGCACAGGTCTCAAGGGTTAAAAGAGTTCGTGCTGATATAAGCCCAGATCTCTGAAACCAAGTCAAACATATTTATTATGTACGACAAAAGGTGTCCTATTTAAGCTTACAAGAAAGTTAATCGGAAATTTTCGTAATGAGATTATTATTAGAACGTATATTCTAGTGAGGGTATGTCAGTAATAAGTGACAGATCATAAATAACAATCTAGTACGACAGAGAATTTGGTGTCTCATGATCAAAAGCATGATGTTTGTTCTCCCCCATTCCTTACTCATATAAACACCATTTCCAACAATCAGAACATGATAGTCCCCAAGGGATCTAAATATCTAGGAGAAATGTGGAATCCAAGCCAACCAATCCATGGTAGTGTAGACACTTTCGGGCATAGATGAAAGACAATAGAAAGTCAACCCGAGAACTCCTAATCTTAGCAGAACATATACAATTCCAACCGCGATGAAGAAAATGATGTAACCTCTAGTGGTGATTATTCGTCCATTTGGGTCTAGGACACCCCCCACTACAAAACTAGCCATTGGCAAAATCGACGCCGCAGCAGTTCCGAGGTTGAACCACCTCCATAGTTGCTGGATCAGGGGCGTGGGGAATTTCCAGTTCCACGCCAGAAGATGGATGACTGAAAACCCAATCACGGTCAAGTAAAGGGCACTTGAAATAAGTTTCTCGGCAAGGGTTCCACCCGGTACAGCCATACGGAACACGAATTGACTACCAACATCAGGGTGCGATTCCGGTATCTTTTGCTGAAACAATATAGGATCATACTTGGTTAGATCATCCATGGATAGAAAAAGTTGAAGGCTGGAGAACTTTCCAGACTGGGGAAGAAGGGGAAGGACTCGTCGTGATTCGTTGTCGAAAGGTTTCGACCACCAGAATATATGCATGATAAATGCACAAAAGATAAATCCCAGAGTACCCAGCTCCAGCTGCGACATAGCGTACCCTTGGGCGCTGCGGGCGATGCATTGCACTGTAAGCCATGTGCACTGTATGATGGCAAAGACTTTGGTTATAATATCGGCCTTGCTAAGGTCTTTAATCTCATGCTCGGAAATCCTGACTTTTATGTCGCCGAGTTCCGCTATAGTCTGATTAGCTGCGTTATGGGTTAATAGAGAGCAGGATCTTACCCAGTGATGTGATTATCTTGCCTCGGGGCATTTCCAGGGCATCGATTCCATTCGTGGTCTCCTGGCCCTTTTTTGCAGTGGAAGACTGAGGAACATCATAGATAACAATGCCGCCCATCTGGACATAAAATGCATGAGCCATGGTATACTCTTGCTTTCTATTTTGGTTAGTTGAAACTTTCGAGCTTCGAGCCCCGGACTTACAGCTCCCTAGACCGCTTTTTATTGGCGTTCTTGAGATCCTTCCGTGCCTTCATATGTTGCTGCACAGCGAGTGACACTCCAATCTCTGGCGCAAGCGCGATGCAGCACATCCAGAGAACCTTGCGGCTCCATTTCCTCCTCAGCGGCGCTTTGGGACAAACCGATATGTCTGGCAGAAACTTTACCTGCAGCGTATGCCATTCTCCTTTAACCTCTTCGTGACTGGGGATGTTGAGGTGGACGCATTTCCAAGAACACACGACGAAGATGGACATGCAGCTCCAGATGATGCTCCAAGTTGTTCGACGGGGTGCGGGGGAGACCCATCCAATCATTTTATCGCCATTGTTGTTGTTGGTAGTGGTATTGTCCTGCGCCAGGGCTCCCCTCAATATGAAGGCGCCGAAGATGAATGCTTGAAAGATGGATGTCATGGTGAGTAGTAAGAAAAAGAACCAAGTTCAGTCCTATTCCGATCGGGGCAGTTCTGTTCTTTAATAACATTTCCCACATTTCAGCCTTAGCATCTCAGCTGGTTCGCCTTTACTTTTTGGATTGGCGAACCAAAGTTAGCGTCTCGACTATTGACAGCCTACTTTTCAACTCAAGATAGGGTAGGCTGTGATTCGCTAAACCAGCTTCACTTTGAGGCTTTGCATTTTTTTGATCCGACTAGCCCAGCACTCAGCCCAGTAAATGTTGGAGCTAATTTTATCCATTAGCAATTGATACCCAGTTGGGCAATGCATTTCAAGTCATATACGACACAAGGCAGAATTTCTTACTCGTGATCATGTCATAGATCATTAGCCAGATATCATGTAGCGAAAACACAGCCACAATAACCCCTGATCCTACTTTCGAAGATGACGGAATATTCTAATTGCGCGCCCGTTTCGACAATTTCCGTCATTCGCACACCTTGTGATCTGCAACTAGTGGCATCAAAACATGGAGTCGCCAACACTAAAAAAGCGAACTCGGGCGAATGTTAGGCAGTCCAAGTATGGTTGTCTCACCTGCAAGTACGATACTCCATCTACCGAACAAAGCGACTCTCCCAACTGACAAGCGCCAGACAGCGACGAGTCAAGTGCGACGAGGCAAAGCCCTCCTGTCGCCGCTGCTTACTCTCCAAGGTCTCGTGCCTCGGCTACCCACTCGGCGCACCACCCGGTCCCTCAATTCCCTCTTCGACAGTATCGGTCACTGAAAGGTCTCCACCTCGCAACATAAACACTCCATTGAATCACTATGCCTATCTCGCCTGCGCTGTTCTCGGCGAAGGGCCGCGCCGCGCAAAGAGCGAACATGAGATGGGCTTTTGGAGCTACGTAGTACCACAAATGATTTATTCGATTCCATCTGTGCAAGCTGCCGCTGCAGCATTTGGCGCGTCGTATGATGAGCGCATGCTCAAATCTCACACCCAAATTAGCGGAGGATTGATGACGACACGAAATTACCACCAAGCCTTGCGATTGGTACAGGATGAGGTTTCGAGCCTGAAAAATGGCACTTTACCTTGTATTGTTTCTTGTCTACTCATGAGCTTCACGGAGACCTTGCAGCAGCGAACTGACAGGGCATATATGCATCTTCAAGGAGCTTTCGCAATATCGGCAGCGCGGTTCAAGGGGAAGTCCAAGGCGGTTAGTGATGAAGATGACGTATCCAGCCTATTGGAGAAGCTCAATCTCCACACTGCCACTTGGAGGATGAGTAGTGAGCCTGTCTCACCTGCTCCTGAGGCAGACAGCTCACGGTTTATGACAATGTCCGCTGATAGAGCACTGTATCACATTCTGCAAGCGTGCTATCACTTCATCTCCAGAGCATCTCCTTTCAAATACGCCCATTTGATGCAGGTCCCTTATGATCTTGTCATCGAGCAAGGTCGTCATCGCGGGGATCTGCAACAGTGGCTCGCACAACACCAACTGGACAACCCCACCACGAACAGCCAATCCCAAAACGAACAACTGCTCGTTCTTCGTATGCAGTGTCTCGCGGCATTTATATACGTATCTAGCGTTCTAAACCCTTACGAAACAGCATATGATCGTTATGGGCCAGAGTTTCAGGAGATTATTTCATCAGGCGAAACGGTTCTTAATATTCGAGCCAGTGACAAATCTGCGAGGTGTTTGCCTCCGTTTACACCCGAAATGGGCATCATCCAACCCCTGTTCCTCGCAGGCTTGAAGTACAGGAACTCATTCTGGCGAAGCAAAGCTATGGATTTACTCCGACGGAGCGGGAGCGAAGGGCCATGGTGCGGCCGCAAAGAATCCAGAATTCTAGAAACCGTGATTCATGTTGAAGAAAACAAGCCGCGCGAGGCCTCCTCCAACGTGGAAGAATCGAACCTCGTCCCCAGCTACCCCGATACCATTACCGAGGATGAAAGAGTTCATTCATGTTTGGTGGTGGACTATCTCGATCGGAGACATGAGAGCGTGGTGCGAGACGAGGGACCGGGAAGCTTAGTACGTTTTGCAAAAGTTCAGTTAAGCAAATGTCGCGATCTAGATGCTATGCTGAGCGATGAGACAAGGGGTCCCTGTAGACAGTATTGGGCAGATCAGGCGCATTGGTATACTTGGTTTGAGACTGTGGCACTTCCGGAATAGACTAATTGTTGGGGCAATAAAAAATCCCCATCTATCCAAATCGTCTACGACCTATGTCACTATGCCTAAGATAATCAGGTTCTTAAACTTCAAATGAGGCTTACTCCCGAAGTGCCACGAACAGCCGCTCCTAAAGATTCCCATCACCTGCCAGATACCCCTCCGCCCTCCACCTACAACACACCCATGGCCAAGGCAGTGTCTTCAAGCCTTCTTGGCATTGCTGAAGGCCGGCAAGTCCAGTAGGTGCTTATACACTCTCTCCCCTTTGCCATCAATAACGTCCTGAAAATACGCCGCAAGGCTGGTCCATTCCATGTCAGGGTATAGCTCCTTGGTGGTTATGTAGCCTAAGTATCGAGCATACTCGGGAGTGTTATCCCCTCGAACGCCACAGGAATACCAGTATTGGTACTTCGCTAGCGTCACAAACTCAGACGAATCTGGACTTGGCTTTGCGGCCTCCATCTCGGCGATGCTGGCTGCGATCGCCTCGGCGCGGACCTGCTGTCAAGTCAGCTCTGTTCAGCGTATGCTTAGGTAGGCTCACGTACATATCGGCGCTCGAGTTTCTCCCCACTGACCTCTTCCAACAAGTCATACAGTTGGCTGTGGGTAGCGACTTCGTTGTAAGCGAAAACCATTCGATTCAGAGTCCGAGGATCAGCAATAATGCGAGCAACATAACGCCCAACATCCCGAAGATCTGTCAAAGCAAATGCAACGTCTCCATCCCCAGCAATGCCATCTGTGGTCTCCATAGCGACGTAGTCGATGCGACCAGAAGGGAGGCGGGGCAAATTGACTTGGTACCACCAACCGACATCTATGACTGTGTAGGGCAAGAAAATATTCTTAATGTGGTTCAGCACATCCTCTTTCTAGAAAGTTTGAGTCAGTCCTGTTCCTGTAACTGGATATCCATAAAAGTAGTTTACCATGTCTCGGAGCATAAGGGCACCCTTGGGAGCCGCCACCGTGGCGAAGAAGCAAGGTATATACCGCTTGACACCTGCGGCTTTAGAAGCATCAATCAGAGAAATCTCAGCTGCCACACTGCCTCCATAGATGGTGGAGACGACTACGTCGGTATCTTTGAGCAATTCTGTTAGTTCATCCTTTGACCCCCCGAGGTCAGCAGCAACAATCGCAACCCCCCTTTCCCCCAACTCAACCACCTCAGGCTTCTGTAGGGAGGAAGGCCTAGTCAGAGCTACGATCTCCTAGAGGTCATATTAGCGCTGTTGTGCAATGCGAACTCTTCAACTATGAACATCCATACAAATTTAGGTGTAGTTGACTTGAGGAGCGCGTCTACAATGACAGCGCCAGTCTGGCCGGTGGCCCCAACGATGGCGAGTTTCATAATAGTTAGAGGGCAGCAAATTTCTGATCGTGGTGTGAAGATTGAATAAAGTGTATGTGCACATGCTTTGCGTCGAGAGTGGCCGACTTATTTATACCACAGAAAGTGTTGGTGGCTGGCTTCCTTAGTTATCTTGAATCGTCGCTGATGCTAACCACTCAAGGCATCAAATGCAATTGCCGCCATTTTCCGCAAAGCCGGACAACGGCGAAGTGGCACTCTTCACTATGGGTACAGAACTCCGCACCCGGACAATCCGGGCCATCCATGGGCTTACAGCTGAGCAATTGGATTGTGAAATTTAGAGTTAGGTCAGAACGCTGATGGTATGCTGGGTTACCCTGAGAGGTGCTGTGATCAGGGATGAAAATTGGACACTCTGCAGGCTGTGCCGGGTGCAGTAGTGCAGAGACTGAGGTCTTGTCAATGTTCCAGCCATCTACGTATGCTCATATAACTGCTGATGTGTTTACGGATCAGAAGTATGACGACCATACGTGACAGGGAATTTAATGGAATATATTTCAGAGCGCAAGTCAAAGGTGGAATCCTGGGTGCGGCTGCTTGAAATTCTTGTGATTTGTGGTGTCTAGTGTTGGTAGCCCTCGAAGCGTTGTGACTACTCAGGTAACCATTGAAGACAAGGATGGCAACAAAAAAAAAAGGATCAATCAAAAAGTAAATGATTTTAGAGCTTGTTTCGACCGCCAATGCGTTTGTGTATGAACTGTGGCAAGGGTCCTCATTGCAGGACTCTGATACGCATGTTATGAGTAAACAAGATGTTTTGCGATACCATTTACCGCGTTTGTCGGGCAGTATGAACTCTGATATTGGGACTAGTTTGCGAAGACTTCAGTATCATCCGATTTGGCTTACTCTCTAAGAACTCAGTGATACTAAGCCGTGGCCCGTGTTTAGATTCTGATCTCAAGTGCAAGGGGTTGAGTATTAAGCATGAACGCTAATGCAGCCGCCTTACTGCGCTAATGCAAGTGCCTTACTGCTGCACTGCTGGATTCCCCATCGCCAAACCTGTCATCGTACTTCGTACTTCCCGGATCTAAGGAGCTGAGCCCGCCGGTGCATCAAACTCCGCAAAATCAGACAACGGCGGAGTTGAGCATTTGCATTTATAAGCATATCACCACGTCAGCGACCCCCGAAAGTGTCATTAAACCCAAGCCTTCCTTACAGGACTGAACCCGATCATTCTTGACATTTAGGAGGATGAGTTTGGGAAAGACAAGGTCGAATTGGTCGTCGTCAAAGACTTTTCAGCACCTAGAGGATCCGGTGTAGCAGTCCAAGGTTTTTACTATTGCCCCAGCTTTGAATAAAGCATATTTTGACAAATACACTGCAGGCGTTGCAGGTATTGCTCACGTCGCGAGCAATGTGACTTTCAATCCGGACCCCCAACATGGTTATCCCGGATGTCGCTTGGAGCATTCATGAGATTCTCGAATCAGCTTCTAGAACACCAACAGTGGAGAGCCTCGTATACATATTATCCGCTGTCGCCCTGGCTCCGCCTACACCAAGCGTTGCCTGTTGACTTGGTCCGAGATATACAGCGGTGAGGATGTAAAGGTGGCCTGGGCTCCGCCGCCATACCTCCCTAGCCGCGCCATATCCGTATATACCATCAACAAGATCGAGGGCGAGAAAGCTCTTTTCAAAAGGGTCTACCTAGCTTTCGGTTAGATAATGCACTAATGCAACTGGGTGACAGGTACAGCAGGCTATGTGGGGCTACCTATATGGGGAATACACTCTGAGAATCCTTGAAACTGCGGCTAGCTGAGTGGGAATAGAATATTCCTGATACTATATAGGTGCTTTATGCCGAGCAAAAATCTGAAGGAGCTACCCAGAACTTCTAATATCAGTTAGGGATATTACAGAGAGTGAATCCTCTGGGTACCTGGCCCTCCGGTAGGTAATTCACCCGTTTTCAACCTGCATGTATGTTTAGAAAGCATATATATCGTGATATCTTATGGTGATAGAATGATCGGCCACTATGCCAGGCATTTCAAACTTTAGCTTCTTCTTGCGGTGATTTCTAGCAATCTAATGCGGATGTTTAAACAAACTAAAACGCAATCTTTGTCTCGCCTCTTTTTTGACGCCAGGAATTTGTCGCCTCCAATAGTTCTGGACAATTTCGTGCCAGCCCACCCCATTTCTGTAAGAATGAGGTGCTTGCCTCCCACGATTGAGGGTCCCAAGCATCGCCCCAGACGATAAGAGGAGCAGGGTTACAATCATTGTCTTGCACGTCCAGGACGTCAATACCTAACGCCTTTTGGTCGAGGAGGCCAGCCTCCACCTCACGCAGGATATTATCGCGCATGCGGGGGAAGGGAATCAAGTCGATCCAGGGATGGTGCCTCACTGATATCTGCAACACTGTAGGACGAAGCCAGATAGGGTAATGCGGCGACCGAGGGTCTGCGACGGGAAGGTCGGGGCGGTGCTCGGTGAAAGGCGATAAAAGATCCGGACAACAAAGTCCTTCGAATGCGAAGCCGACTAGGGCTGCGTTGCGCATAATAGCATTCAGTACATTAAGCCGTATCAAGATGTTGAGCTGATCTAGTCGCGGGGCACCATAATTGTAGTCGTTGTATGCTCTTTCCGCAAAGCTCTGAATCTCGGAGCGTGATTCAGGGGTGGACAAAAGGAGATGACCTTCTGGGGGATGGCCTTGTGAGAGAATGCCGCCAATCCTCCCCCCAATCACCATCTGGTCGTCGTTTGTCGTACATACAGTGTAATGCTTCGAGGTTGGCAGAGAGACAAGACCTGCACGCCTCCTTTTCCCTGTTGACGCCCGTGGCTTGTCAGCTGTGCGCAACCAAAAAAGAGAAATTGGTGTAGAGACAGACGAAATGCTCTTTGATGGAGACGATTCTGTCGCTTTTTTCTCTCCACAGTACTTGTCACACCGGTCCAGTCTTCGTGTAAACCTTTAGCCTCTAACTGCTGAGGCATCGGCTCAACGGTCACAGCCGGAGCATTTCTGTACAGCGGCGGATCCATAGCTCAGAGGGCTTTCGCAGATGGATGGAAAGAATTGACTGTTGTCACAGACGAAGACGTGACGTATGGGGCTGGGATCTTGATTAGTTATGCCCACCACCGCGTCCCCTCTAACCACAGACGGACACAGTGCCGAAAGGCTGCCAAGGGTAACTGCAATTACGTCGACTAAACTGCATGAAGCTGGTACCAAACTCTCAACAACGCTGTGGATGCTATGTTTCAACACCAAAGGCACGTCAATGTGACTGGCTCACCGGATATATCGGCGATTAGCCCTCATCCCGTTAATTCGTGGCCACAGCGCTATTCTCAGGCGCACCTGTGGAGAGGTAACTGGCCTCTCTATCGTCATGACTTCAAAGGTTTAAATGAAGCAAGAGGACTTTAAATCTGGTGCCTGCTTTCCAGAACGCTTGTCAATCATTTCCCTCTCACACGCATGTACTTTGCACGATATCTATCTTCATCAACGTGCCACCATTACAATTGTAAGCACCACAATGTCATCCATGGGCGCACCAATTTTGTTCGAAACGAAGACAAATGGTTTGCGCGAGGCCAAAGCACGATCAAACTTACCATTTTCTAGACACTCGAATTACCAAGATGACCAACTCACTTCCCTTTGGCGGTCAGCAAGTCCCTATCCCCGGCTTTGGAGCCATGGGTCTGAGCTCTGCCATGGGGAGCGATCTGAGCCTCGAACAAGCTGAGCCGGTCCTTCTGAAAGCGATCGAGCTCGGCTGCACGTTTTGGGATACAGCGGTAATAGACTCATCAATAGAGCTGAAGACATTATTTCTAATGGCCTCGGGTCCTAGGTTGCCTACAAGAATGGCGCAAACGAGCAGCTGCTTGGAGACTTTGTTAAGAAGCATAAAGTCCGTGATCAGCTTTTTGGTGAGTCTCAAGACCTTGAATTTTATACAATGCGTCATGACTGACGGCAGCTGTTACACAGTCGCGTCCAAATGTGGATTTGATGTGTTCGGACCTCAGCGGAGAGTGACCAACTCAGCAGCTCACATCAAGGAGTACATCGAGGGGACAATTGATAGGCTTGGTTTTACTCCCGACCTCTACTATCTCCACAGGATCGACCCTAGTGCGTCAAGTTCCCCTACGCAGGCTCATTTGGAATTTTCTAACTCCGAAGTCAAGATACTCCCCTCGAAGAGTCCATTGGCGCCCTAGACGAACTCCGCCGTGCTGGAAAAACCAAGTACATTGGTCTATCTGAGTGCTCTGCGGAGACCTTGCGCAAGGCGAACTCGAGTTTGTACACCGATGACTAGAAAGCTACAAACGCTAACATGTTCAAGTCGCCAAGATTGATGCCATCCAAGCTGAGTACTCAGCCTTTGAAACACTGCACGAGACCAACGGTCTTATCGAGACAGCCAAGGAGTTAGGCGTGGCATTTGTGGCATTTAGCCCGTTAGGGCACGGCTGGCTTGTCGATGACTTCCAGTTCAAGTCCCCTGATGACTTTGCACCTGATGATTTCCGACGCACTGGTAGGTCACCACAATTTCTTGCAATAGTATTTCCGTCATACGAAGACTGACTTATATCATCACAGTCCCTAAGTTCCAGGGCGACAATTTCTACAAAAATAAGGCCATTGTGGATGAGATCAAGCAATTGGCGACGGCAAAGGGCTGTACTGTTGCACAGATCGCGCTGGCTTGGGTTGCCGCGCAGGGACTGCTTGCTATCCCGGGCACGACCAAGGCATCTCGCCTGGAGGAGAACTGGGGGTCTCGAGATGTCGTGCTAACGGAGGAGGAGTTGGACACGATGCGGAAGATTGTGGACGACGCGAAGCCGGTGGGAGAGAGATTCTCTGCCATCTTCCAGTCGATGGTGGGTCACTAGAACTAGGGCAGTATACTCAAATCATCATACTACAGTTACTTCCATTTCATTCGGGGGAGCAATATCGAACGAATTTCTTCAAAAGAACACAGTACGAGGTTGTCATGCCAAACAGGGCCACTATCGGAACTCAACTCATGATGATTGAGAAGCTAGAATGAATGCAGTCTAGTGGCGCGTAAGCCAGTTGCATTAGCCAAAACTCTCAGAAAGTAAAAGCCCCGAGTGTGACCGAGTGGGGAAGATCAGGAGACTGGAACTGATATCATGGAGGCCGACTATATACCCCAACATTATAGATGGGGAGATTCATGCCAATGCTCTCGGCGCTCCATTTTCGGTGACCTGAGTTGCAGAGATAGTGAAAGTGCTAGAATTTATCCTCGCACTAGCATGACCTCGGAGTTACAACTGAAATGGATCGACGCTCGAGAAATATACGGGCTTCTACCGACGCATAATTTTAGTGCCCGAATACCATGATCCGTCGAGCAGACACTACTTACACGATAGTCACAGTATGCAAGAGGACGTCGACAACATGTCACTCAATCATATATGGCTTGTAGTATAATAAGCACAAACGATGATCCAACCCGGGGATTGGGACTGCCGTGTAGGCGTCTAATCATAAACGGCCCGTATATTTGAATACCTTGGCTAGCTACTGTTCAATCGAGTTAAAGCTATCAGCTTTGGTTTCTCTCTATTCACGCGACCAGACTTTCTGAAGGAATGATTCCAGGCCTATGAACTTGTAGTCAGGCAGAAGCTGGTTCCACTCATTTGTCGCCGTCCATGCCCCTCGGGCGGTCGCGATCAATGTACCTATCACAACGTCCCTCTTGAACGCCTCATGCTGGTCCTTTGGGAAATCAGCCATGGTTTGGTCAGGCAAAGGTGGCAACCAGTTTGTTTTCAGGACGCCTGCCTGAAGGTCGTCCTCCTCAACCCATTCGATAGTCCACGGCTTCCCTGCAGAGTTCATAGCAGTTAGTGCCGTGATGTGGAGAAATTGTTCAACCCGTTTCAAGCGTACGATGTGATTCACGCACACTTACCTCGTACTTGCTCTCCCAGCTCTATGAGCTTCGCGACTGTGACTTCACTCCCCACAATACCCCCCACCGTGGGCCATTCGCCTTCGTACTCCACCGCGCGAGCAACTACCGCCACGATGTCCTCAACAGCCGTGTATGTCACTTTACTCTGTAGGTGGTTTCGACTTGCAATGGCGCGCATATCCTTAAAGTCGAAAATGACTGGAAAGAGAGTGAGGTGCTTGGTTGTCTGATGAGGATACCCAAGGTAGTTCATGAATAGTCCGGGGTGGAACAAAGTGTACTCCAGGACCTGCAATACCTATGTCAGCAAGTGCGAGATGGCTCAAGTTAATTGTGGCTTCTCGAGGGTTCCACGGTTTACCTTCTCTTCCCGGTTCAGTTCTTGTAGATACGTGCGGATGCCGAGTTTACTGGTGTACCAAGGCACGGCATCTCTGATTTCTTCGAGCTTCATGCCGCTATTCCCCACCATTAGCTACCGAGGAGCCTCAATTCGTTCGATCCCTTACATGGACCACTCGCTGGCAGCGTATCGCTTAACGCCTGCTTCAAGGGCAGCATCGATCAAACGCTTCTGGGCGACCCCTTCTGGGTCTTTGTGGGCTATGAAGAAACACAGGACGGTGTGAACGCCGCTGAGAAGACGAGCCAACACCGACCTATCTTCATAATTTGTCTGCGCCCACTGAACCCCAGGAAGTGTTGGAAACGACATAGGATCCTGCAACATTAGCTGTGTTGTCTTCAAGTTTCGGCACAGTCCCAATCGAGCAGTACCTTCCGGACTAGTCCAACTATCTCGTGTTTACCAGTCTCAACGAGTCCATCCAAGACCTCACGGGCCAGTTCTAAATGACGGGCAAGAATGATTAGCTACCGAAATAGAAGACTGTACAGTTTTGCTGTAGCATACGTCCAGAAACCCCTGCAATGGCAATTCTAACCATGTTGAGTGCCAAAATGTGGGCGACTATAAAAAGGAGGCTTTTGCAGGCACGACGAAATGGGACTTAAACTCTGTCGGAAGATATATGAGAAACCATTAAGCACATCGACGTATGTGATGGCGGATTTAAAGAAAGCAAATCGGGATGACTTAAATGCTTTATAATCCCAGGACGACTTGTACGTTGCAGGGAGTGGAGCTTTGTTCAGCCACGTCTGTCACCAGTGGTCTCGGCGATGTAAGCGGGATGAGCGGAGCGGAGTTTGCGGGCTGTCAAGGATGGACTATGCGTGCCCGCTAGGTAAGTTCTCAGAGCTTAGAGTATCTATAACGTTAGATAAAGACTAACGTTAAAGAAATCGATCGGCATTCCGGGATGTACGACTCCACTGCGAGGCTGACCGCTGAATACAATTTCTAAGCATGCCGTTCAAAGGCGTTTATTAACTATTTATGCCTTCAAGATATATAAGGGGAGTCTTGTGTCCCCGCAAGCCCCTTACGCTATCAGCGAACACTCACATCATATCTTCTCTCCTGACTCCTGAAAGACGATTATCTAGAAAAACCTGCTTCATCCTTCACTATCTCCAAAATGTCAACTCAATCTCACTATACATCCAAGCTTGTGGGTACACGTATCCTCGTTATCGGTGGCACCACTGGTGTTGGCTTGGCGGTTGCTGAAGCCTGCATTGACTCTGGAGCTGCTTCTGTCATCGTCTCGAGCTCAAACATCGACCGAATCAACGCTGCTGTATCGCATTTGCGAGATTACTGCCCCGACGCAAAATGTCATATACTTGGCTTTCCCTGCGACCTGAAGCAAGAAAAGTCTCTCGAGACCAACATCGAAGCGCTTTTTGCTGCGTCGACGTCGAATGGAACCAACAACCTCGACCATGTTGTCGTAACTGCCGGCGATCGACCCACGCCAAGACCGCTGAGCGAAGTCGATTTCAATTTCATCAAGGAAGCCGGAATGATACGCTTCTTTGCCCCTTTGTTGGTGGCAAAACATGCCGCAAAGCACCTAGCATCAGGTTCCGCATCCAGCCTTACGTTCACGTCTGGCATCAGTGCATACAGACCCTATCCCAACTGGAATGCGATCGGCGCGTACGTCTCCTCCTTGGAAGGCATGACAAGAAGTCTAGCTGTGGAGATGAAGCCAACACGTGTCAATCTCATCTGTCTAGGCCCAGTAGACACAGACCTCATGGGCCACTTTTATCCTGACCCCGAGATACGCAAGAAAGCTTTGGAGGCTATCTCGGAGAGAGCTGTGACGGGGGCAGTTGGCAAAGTCCATGATGTTGCAGAATCATACCTGTATTGTATGAAGGACCATAACCTATCGGGATCCATGATAAAAACAGACGCGGGAATGTTGTTGGTTTAGTAAATGATAATATATTTTGTAACTATTCCTTTCTTTCTTTTTCTCTATGTTTTAAAAGCTATTGGTAACTTGATAGAGGCCTAGGAATAGGAATAGACTTGGCGAGGATACCTTACTAAGAGTAAGACCAAGAGGTAGGTATAGGCCTACACGCATCTTGCCTATGCCTAGCCTAGGATGATAACGAAGGTGTCAGTATCGAGGTCTTGTGTTTCAACCTAGGGAAACAGTAATAAATCCTTGATTATAAGCAGTCTACTTGAACTATAGTCTTTGCAATCTTTCTGGATCTTGCTTTATTACTAACAGCCCTTTGAAGAGACATTTTGTTAAACTCTTTCAGACCTAAGATGCCAGATGAGAGTTATTAGAGCCCCTTGATCATAAGCAGGCTGCATTAGCGTCACACTAGTTTGTGCCTGTTGCACCATAATTCGGCCAAATTTTGTTGTTGGAATTGATAGATTGTTAGGTTCCCGAAAGCCCCTGTAACATAAAAGAGGAGTACGGCAGTTAGCCTTTTGGCGGAGTTTGGGGTGACATGTGCCAGCTAAGCTTCCGGGGTTGCGTTTGCTGGCTGATGAGTTTCCAATCGACCCAAGACCGGAAACTCAGACTGATCAAACCACTTGGAGACTGCTTCACTAGTCTTCAATAGAGAGTCGGCACTATGGTCTCTCCGTGAACAATGTACATTGGTAATCAAGGTTTCTTTCTGACAAACCACTCGACGTGACTTCATCGTACTACAATTCGAATGGGAAAGAGGTTTCATGGGTATATAAGCGCCCGGTTGCACACACTCCATCCCTCTATCTCATCCAATCTCGCCTTCTCCATTACAGTCAATCCCCCTTCCTCCCACCAGGTCAAAGAAAGTCACCGATACCAAAGATAGTGAGGTTTCACCAGTTGGGCGGGCCAGAGATGCTCCAGCTCGACGAAATTGCGTTTGAGCATCCGTCTGCTGGCGAGCTGCTGTTGAAGGTCAGCGCCATTGGGATAAATCGCATGGAAGCCTTTTACCGCGCAGGCGGCTTCGGCCTTCCCAAGGCGCTCCCTGCCATGCTCGGATCGGAATGCGCTGGAACGGTTCTGGCGGTCGGTGAAGGCGTCAATGAGTTCTCGATCGGGGATCGTGTAGCGACCATCCCGGGGTTCACGAGCGTCCCGGGTTTCGCCACAGAGATGCCAGGGCACGAATGCGCTGTATACGGCGAGCAAGCCTACGTGCCAGCGGAGATGACGGTAAAACTACCCAACGGCATGTCGTTTGTTGATGGTGCCGCGTTGTGGATGCAGTACAGCACAGCCTGGAATAGTATGGTTGACACTGCCCATCTGCAAAAGGGCGAATACGTGCTGCTGACGGCCGCGACGTCGTCGGTGGGAATTGCGGCGGCCCAGGTCGCCAAATCGCAGGGCGCCATTCCGATCTGTACGACCCGGAGTCAGTCAAAAGTGGCGGCACTCAAATCACTCGGTATTGAACATGTTATCGTGACAGACGAGCAGGACATTGTGGAGGAAGTGGCACGCATTACCGACGGTATCGGCTGCCGCGTTATCTACGACCCAGTTTCTGGAAAAGATATGGGCAAGTTACTTGATTCACTTACAATAAACGGGTTGCTCCTCGTCTACGGCGTTCTGGACCTATCCCCAGCCGTGATAGACCCGCTGAAGGGAATGGCCAAGTTTGCCACGATCAAGTTTTCCGCTGTATTTCAGACGTTGCTGAATGCAGAGAAGCGCGCTAAGATGACAGAGTTCGTGCTTAGGGGCGTTATCAACGGCGCGCTGAGGCCCGTCGTCGACAAGACGTTTCCGTTCCAGGATATTGTTGAGGCACATCGCTATCTTGAGAGCAACCAGCATGTGGGAAAAATCATCGTGACTGTTGATTGAAGTCGCCGAATGACAAGCACTGGAGGAAGGCGATGCAAATGGCAGGCTAAAGCACTTCAGTGGAATATAGCCTCATTACTCTGAAGCCATGTGTGAATAGCTCTTCTTTAGCAAGAGATTCCGTAGCGAATGAAGAATGTCGAAAATGTAGTGCGTACCGAATTTGCCCCGTGAGTATCTAAGATACGGTACATAAAATAGCCGTATTGGTGAACCTGATCAGCAATGGGGAAGGGACTATAATTACATTGTGTATAACACACACTACGGATCCGATACGGGATTTCCATAATTGCTCGAAGTGTCTTTATTTCTGCCGCGCCTGAAAGATTACCTATTTTTCGTCCTCTTCGCGATGTGTTGCAACCTAGAGCCTATTATAGGATGACAGCGAAGCTGTCAGAATCATGGTCTTCTATTCCAACCTACGGAAACCGAAGTACAACCTTGCTCTCAAGATGATCACTATATCGTTGGTAATACTCTGGGGCCTCCTCAATGCCGATTTCTGCGCTCACCACAAAGCTCGGGGAAGCTTTTCCAGATGCAATAAGGTCGAGCAGGGGAGGGGCCTGGATTAAGGGTAGGACAATACCCGTACCAACGTGTAACCCTTTTCTCCACAGAGCAGCAATCGGCATTGGTATCTCAGCTGGCAACTCCCCTGCCAAGGGTCACTCGTAGCAAGACCGCAATATTAAGAGCCAAAGCACGCCAATAGGTCCTTGCCCGAAATGTGCATCATTCAATCGCGATTCCTTATAGGCTTAAAGTAAAGGCACTTATTCTAGCATTACAAAGCTATGGACTTACTACGCCAGAGTGGTGAAAAAAGGCGACACTATAGCTATAAATAATGTAAAATTTTACAAGTAATAATTAGTTATAAAGAAAGGATAATAGATAATTACTTTCTTAATAAAACGCAATTACCCTTTATTCTTTTTTACTTTAATTTTACTACTAAGAATTGAGAATATTATCCAACATAAACCTAGTACTTTTAGAAAACATTGATTATTAAGGTATCAATAACTCCTAAATTAGCCAGATCGGTAATGACCTATATTATTAGGACTAAGATGAATCATGGGTACGGGTATTCAGGCACATGTCCCACTCGATGCGACAGGGCATGCGGTAAGCTGCAGAACTAATCGTGGCCTTTATTGGGACAAACATTCGGTCAAGCATCAATCTTGCTGTCCAACACACCCTCGGCCAAAGGCCGAATCTTCAACTTCCCCGCAGAAAGTCTTTGCTATCATCTTGTCTACCCGCTCCTCTAGTGAATTGAAACTTCTTTCTCTTTGGGAAATAAGGGCGTTTGATACCTCTATTTCTCAATTGGCAGGTATCGAATCCTCACGAGGAACCTGCACCGGAACCCACCGCAGCCGATCCCCCTATCTAGACCAGGGGCCATAATGAATACAATGCGGGTTGGGTTTGTGGTCTGCTTAAAGAGCAGACGACAGCCATAGCCATGCTGGACCAGAGACATGCGGATCTCTCAAAGCCGTCAATCGATCGCAACTCTTGCGCCCTTGGATCTACTCTAGTAGCCTCTCCCAAGGACCAATAATCTGTTTAGTTGACGTTTCACCTCTAGACTTTTCACCGCCACGGTTAGAAACACTGCAGCTGTGTTCAAGGATGATACCCATTTGCGTTACAAAATCGAGTCCAACCGAGTCAGCCGCTCGGTTGGGATGGGTGGCGAGATTTCAACCGAATGTCTAGCCGCTGACGTCTCAGTGTATGCAGATCAAGTAAGAGGCTGGTCTGACAATGCAGCTAGTATAAGCTTACAAACTGCTTCGATAAAGGTCATCGATCGTACAAGCATAATCTAAAAAAATGAGGGGAACCTTGTGGGTTTTCCTCACGTGGCGAAGCAAGGGGACAATAAACCTGGCAGACATCTTAGAGACTAATCAGAATGTGGTTTATGATTCGAGGCTATTTGGCAAAACCTCCGTGCTCGAATGTAGGGTCTCGGCTTTATTCGTTTTATTTGAGTCATGAGTGGGCCAGATCAAGAAAGGTCAAGGATCAAGCCCTGGGAGGCAAGGAACCGATTGTGTATTGGCCAAGACCTTATTGGTATTGTATGCCACAGCCGCGCAGATTTAAGATCGGACCTCGTCGGTCAAAGTCAAACGGCGGATATAATGTCATTCCAAGGACAAATGAAGGTTTCCGTGTCGATCTTGAGAATCAACGGTGCAATTCACATCCTGCGTGGAAAGATATGATCTGACAGCTGCTGTGCTGAAGTTTGAAGTTGGATACACTGTGACCCTCATGAGACGAAGGAGCAATAAGGAGTCATTGACTAACGGGTCGTCCCGTTTACTAGCTCACCGGTCCGACAAGAAAAACAATTAAGTTACATTGTGTCACAAGTAGCTGAGCGGTACGACATTACACTCATACATAGGTTCAGGATTTTGAACCAAGATGCTCGAATCAAAGAATCCTAGTAAGGCTGTGCATAGATAGGCCTTGACTCTACCATTTTCCTCCGTGAATATTGAAAAATGAATACCCACGTTACACCTGACATCATGCCTTTTGAATATGATTAATTTCGTCCGTACTTCTTTAGGGCAGGTGGTAATCGTAGCAGGGGTTTAAATCGGACCAGATTCTCAATTGGGCCGAAAAGCGACTTGGCCACCATCCCACCCCGCCTATTTGGGTAACATCGCTATCCAGATAACAGGCGCCACAGACAATAGTCAGAAATAGACGACCAAAAATGCACGAAAAAGACCCCAGGAGTGATGAGTGATTTTGTCGTCTATATCCCGTTTAGTAGGTAGAATGCAACGATCAAGTGAGTACCCTCCTGCCATATTCGGTGCTGAGATACATGAGATGAAACCTAGATCTCACAGGACCTACATCGGAAGTATGCCAAATCCGGAAAGTCCTAGAGCAATAACACCCACCAACTATACTGAACAATCTTGGTTTTACAAAAAGCCTCTCTCAACACAACTGAAACAATATTACACTCTCGTTGAAAAATCGTTTATGTGTAGTTCTCTTATCTAGGTGGTATTTGCGGGGTTAATACGGTTGCAACTGGACGTCATTACTGCAGATAGTGCGTGCATAATGCAACCACTATCACGTAACGCAGATCAAGATCGGTCCCGGGCGATATAGTTTCAATTATAATATAAAAACACCTTGTCCCAGGCTTTGCCAACAGGGGATGGCCCTGATCCCGACAGACTTTGCTTTTGTTTTCTGACAGTATTCGACTTGGCAGTAATCGGCGTTTCCCATCATGGCTCCAGCGGCTGAAACGAGAGGGCCCGAGCTCATGGCAGTTATGATTGCTTTCTTCGTCATGTCCCTCATCTCCTGTTTATTGCGGTTCTACGTTCGATGTTTCATGATCAGGGCGTTCAAAATTGATGACTGGTTTATGGTCCTAGCCATGGTATGTTTACATATCCCTTGCTTGGATGATCTCAGCAGGGGTTCCTATTGCCGGATGTTGCTAAGATCTTCTTAGATATTTTACACTCTATATGCATCCTTCTCTATTTATGGCGTCACTCAAGGGACTGGCCAACACATGGAGAATCTCAGCTTGGAGCAGATCCACAAGGCCATGTTGGTAAGACGCCTGAATCTCAAGTCTATTTGTCTCTGAGCTAATCATTTTCATATATAGTGCTGGTGGCTTGGTTATATCTGGTACTGTCTCACCATGCTAGCCTGTAAACTATCAATTGGTCTCTTTTTGCTCCATATAGCAACTAGCAAACTGCACAAGTGGACGATCTACATAACCATGTTTTGCTCCATAGTCTCGGGGATCCTCTTCTTCTTCATTTCTGTGTTTCAATGCCGCCCGATATCCTTCGCATGGTACAAGGATCAGCCTGGGAAATGCATACATCTCAACGTCACTATCACCTTGACGATTACTTATAGTATCACTGCTGTTATTTCCGATTTTGTGTTTGCAATTCTCCCGGGACTTATAGTTTGGAAGCTACAACTTAAAAAGAGAGTTAAATATTCCTTGATACCTCTTCTTGCTATGGGCTGCGTGTAAGTCGATCATCATAAATGTCTATATCTAGTAAGCCCCCTTTCTTATACTAATGGTTGTGCAGTGCGAGCGCTGCCGTCGTTGCTCGGTTTCCGTACCTTGCTGGGTACAGGAAACCTGATTGGCTCTGTAAGTTTGGAACAAAATTCTGTCCACGGTGTGTCTTTGTGAAAGTCAACTTACCAGCTCTTGTCAGGGCACACTGTGGATGTTGCAATCTGGTCGGCAATTGAACAGGGCTTAGCAATAACTGCTACCAGCTTGGCAACTTTACGGCCTTTGTTCAAACTCGCAGGATTTCGTCTTGGTCTTGCTAGTAAACCCACATCATTCGGAACATATGGTCATAACTCATCGTCACGTACTGCTGGATCTGGTAACCACGCTGGCCTTTCTCGGCAATTTCCTGGCCGTGAAGTTCACGCTCTCCCATCTATCAACCGTCTAGACGCCGCAGACAGAACAAAGAACGTAAACAACTCAAGGTTCTTAAACGAGAGCGAAGTTGGTATCAGGAGGGAGATAAAATGGGAGGTCAACTTATCAACTCAATTCAGGAGTGAAAGCAAGGAAATCCTGCGTTCACCTGACGCTTGGATCGATAAGCCTGGCAGTCATTGGGTTTAGATAGCTCCGTATACTTTTTATGAATAACGAATCACTCTGTAACGTCTTCTCCAGGCCGTGTCATGATGAACAGCAAGCCTTTTGACGTACATATGCATGATCTGGATCTTGCCAACCATGTTATTATAATTAAATTTTGTATTGACACCATTCCCTTCATTAACATCCAATCATAACCCACTTCATCCCTGCATAATTCTCAGCAAATCTGGTCAGAGAAGTGTTAGAAGCAAGGGATGGCTCAGTATTGGGTGGATCAGACGCATTGGTACAGTGTAACAGATCCAAGTTGATGCGACTGGACTTGGCGCAATCAGCGGAACTAACCTCGGCCTTTATTGGCACATGATGAGTATTTAACCACCCTCTACCAACAAGAAGAAGGGTGAGGCTTCTATTGCCTTCAGAAAAGGCTTTTCTTAAATTCACTTTTCTTGAGCATGCTCCTCTCCGTCAATTCGAGTCCACTTCGTCCTGGGTTTCGCTGTTAAGTTTTAGTTAGAGCTCATTTTTGCTCCGGCTGTATCTTTCACTCTCGACTTTAACAATCAAGTTCAGATTGTGAATCCTACCAAGGCCCATATAGGCACGTTGAAACAACTATTAACTAGGACAGTCTTGCTCAGCCAGAATCACTTCCTCTAGGACCGGGCCGTCACGGTCGGCTAAACGCTCGGGCTCTTCCAAGCGATTGTGGGCTCTAGGAACAAAGTAAGATTTAGTGTTATTAGCATTGGTATTCTTGTAAATTTGGCGCTTTGCCTTGCGAAAATATTGTACAGAATGGCTAGACCAGCCAGCGAGGAGAAAGCTTACGGAGCGGAGATTATATAGCCTTCGAGGGAATATCCATAGCCCCTCGTGTATCGTGATCCCATTTAATCCACGATTAAGGAAGCATTTGAACCCATTTTCATAGACCTAGGATGGCCGTAATCCTCGTAGCATCATTATAGCCATGGTGATTCCTCCTATAGCACCTCCGCCAATGATCCCGGCTATGGTTATTCCAACCTCTCCCACAATAACCCCGTAGAGGAGACTGCAAATATCCGTTGAATCCGCTAGAAGTCCAACCCAGAGGGCCCTACTAATACCTCTATAACGATGTTAGGTTTTACGTGCTTATCAGCCCTGCCATTCATTACTGAGACTAACCTTCTTCCTCCATCACTTTCGTTCTCATCTCTTGCAGTATACAAAAGAGCTCCATTAATAGCTTCACGGGCACCCATCATACGTACGAATAGCAGATATGGGGCTGGTACGTGATAATGATGTAGCGAACATGTGAGCTGTGGTGCGAAGAAACAAGCTCCGCCTACAGCAACTCGAACGATTGAGAGAACTTTAGTAGCCGTTATGAGGGATGACGACAACGGCGGGAAGCCTGCCTTCTTCGGTAGCGGAGTTGAAGGTGCCATGTTACGAGCTTTGATGGGCGTTTAGATATAATTCAGTGTTGTTTAATAAAATGCTACAGATAGTTATTAGGGAAGCGGCATATTTTCTTATAAGACTAATTTTCGGAAGGTCGGGGTCGGTTAACAATCTGAGCGACCTGTCGGGTGGATTACGGAACATACCGCTAGATGAATTAGCGAACGGGTTACGGAACATATCGAGGTGAATTGCCGGACGGATTACGGAATAAGGATATCGCTAGTCAGATTAAGTGCCGAATGAATTATATGCACGACCCATTCTTCATTAGGTAACCTCGCGGCTGATTGGCCGATCTAAAGAGAATATGAATTCGGCAACCCAAGCCAATGAAAAGTTGCCAAAAGGTCAAGATATATATTGCCAACATAATATTAACGTCATCATTTTGTCGTCTTGCTACCTTGTGTATCTTAGGAGCTGGACTTGAGACTGACTGAAGACAGAGAAAGACGTTGATTTTGAGGTAGAAGGATAAAGACATAAAGAGTCAGTTGTTTTGCAAGCAACTAAAAGCTCAAACCGTAGGGTTCACCTAATATGCCACTTCCTATCTAGTACGAAAATTATTTTAAACATCACTGTAAAATAGGATAACCCATTATCTATATGGGAAGCTTACTACGATGTCGTGTTGTTAACAATGCTGGAGAAAACAAGGGTGGAGTAAAGCACGCAAAATTGGGAACTGAGGTTGCAAGGTATGTAGGATGTAATAGGAATCTTTTAACAACTGAGTGGTTGATTGTCCACCTTAATTAAATCCTGACTAACAGAGTTTCCTCTGTGACTTTTCCATCCTCTGTATAAGAAAGAATATTTAGTCTGGCAACAATTTAATTGCGTGGATATCACGTAGGGTAGGCTAGTGCGCACTGTTATCTCTCATATCTTATCTTATCCAATGCCGACAAGCGCGCTTGCCCATCCAGACCGGCTATGCGACAATGTGGAGGTTTTTTTTTTTTTTCGAAAACGGAGGGAATTATAAAGACTCTGAATCCTACTTCCATTATAAAGGGCGGTCCAATGTAAGCATTGGCACAAGATCGAAGTGGTCCGTGGTATCACGAGGACATGATGGTTGAATTTCGAAAAGATCGAGAATCAAATGGGTGCAAGGCTGTGTAGGAAATGGAAATCTGAGGTAGAATATTGATAGCAGGGCGTCTCATGAAGTTTGTCTAGTAAGGCGGTGCTGACTTTAGTCCCAGTGCTGAAACTATTGGCTTGGTATGTTTGCGTAGAACGAGGTTGGAAAGGGATATATACATACCTAGTAAAGTTGAACACGTGAACATAGGAAGAGTACCTATGCTAACAAGTCAGCGTGCCCCTCAATTTCATCGATAAAATCATTGGTTGTGCACTTGTCTTGACAAGGAGGCTGGCTCCCCCTCACGCTAGTACCATGAAAGCGCTATTTAGATCCATTTTCACAAGTTACCCCGGCCTTCAATGGTCCCTCATTGGGCCGGTTCAAACTCTTCTGGTTTGAATGCACTAAGTGCAAGATGGATTACGTTGAATTCCACTGCGGGGTGGTCACTCGTGACGTTGCTTCGCGCCAGAGATCTCAGCAGCAAATCTGAGTGCAGCAACGTCGTGATTCTTTATCATTCCAGAGCAAGTGGCCCGCGATAAGTACCTAAGATTGGAGCGCTTGGAGTAGCGCGATTTAGATTTAGCGTCCTTTTGCATCCATTGTCGAATCTCTCCAACATTTATAACGTCGCTGACTTTCTTTTTTTTCTTGTTCTTCTCATCTCAACGATTCAAACAAAACCGCACAATTCAAAATGTCTCAAGGAAAGACCTTCACCCTCAGCACCGGAGCCAAGATCCCGTAGGTGGAACCGACGAAGCTTGCGGGGAGAAATGAGCTAATTTGTTCACCAGTCTCTTGGGATACGGCACATGGCAAGCCTCTCCCGGTGAGGTCGGCCAGGGCGTCTACGAGGCCCTCAAGGTCGGCTACCGACACCTGGACTTGGCCAAGGTCTACGGCAACCAGCCTGAGATCGCCGAGGCCTTGAAGAAGTCTTTTGCCGAGATCCCTGGTCTCAAGCGAGAGGATGTCTTCATCACCTCCAAGCTCTGGAACTCACAGCACGACCCCAAGCAGGTTGAGGCCGCTCTCGATGACTGCCTGCAGGAGCTCGGTCTGGAGTACCTTGACCTCTACCTCATCCACTTCCCCGTCGCTTTCAAGAACAGCGGAGCCCCCATCGGCCAGGATCTATTCCCTCTTACCGGAGGAAACCAGCCCGATGGCGATGTCGTCATCGATGACAGCATCTCAATCGTCGACACATGGAAGGGTGAGTCTGAACTCTCGAGATTGAACAATTGGTGAAACTGACTGACATTTCGATGCACAGCCGTGACCGAGCTGCCCAAGTCCAAGGCTCGCGCCGTCGGTGTTTCCAACCACACCAAGGAGCACGTAAGTAACCTGCCTCATCCCAATCGGAACTCGCAGCTGATATAACCTAAAGCTTGAGGCAATCATCAAGGGCACTGGTGTCACACCTGCTGCTAACCAGATTGAGCGCCACCCTCTCCTCATCCAGCAGGACCTCATTGACTACTGCAAGGAGAAGAACATCCACGTTACAGCTTACTCCGTAAGTACACACAAATGAGTTTCCTAATTTCAACACTAATTGACGTCTCAGGCTTTCGGCAACAACATGGTCGGCGCTCCCCTCCTCTTCACCTACCCCGAGATCAAGAACGTCGCCGAGCGATTGACCAAGGAGAAGGGCCAAACCGTCTCCCCCACTCAAGTTTTGTAAGTCACCACCATCGTTTCACATTGCTTTACATGGCTAACGTAGTATCTACCTAATAGGCTCGCCTGGGCCCAGGTTGGTGGCCACAGTGTCATCCCCAAGTCCGTTACACCTAAGCGTATTGCCGAGAACTTCGAGGAGATCACCCTGTCTGAGGATGATATCCGCGAGATCGAGCAAGTCGGCAAGGAGCAGCGCCGATACAACGTTCCTTACGTCGCCAGTAAGTTTGGTTTAAGTGATTCCTGGTTGATCCATTGCTGACTATTTTCTCTCAACAGACAAGCCTCGATGGAACGTTAACATCTTTAGTCATGAGGACGAGAAGCCTGCTACCCACCAGGTTATTATCTAAACAAAATAGCATGATTAAAGAAGCACTCGACTCTGGGGTGTCTATAAAATAAAAAGTGATACCATTTCAAACCACATTAGCATTAGCTGGACATATTATGTGATACTTTATAAGTTTCCTATGTGATGTTTACTATCGCTTTAGCATTTTCAAAAGTCATAAAAATGACAGACAATTGTCAAGTGCCCTATGAAGGACATGCATGCTACACGGAGCGGGTCATATTTTAATATTGGCATCTACTGGCAGATATGCAAACATACAAAAAAGCTTTGGTAGAAGTCTTTAGGGTTAGCAGATATATATCCGCGGATAGAAGTGTCCTGAAACCTCAACATAACTTTCATTTGTTAGCTTGTTTACGTAGCTAACGTAGAACTCAAGACAGTATATGCCCTATCCCCCCATAACTAATTCGCATGGAGCCAGGCATCACCCGCCACAAGTGCCCAGTCTCCAATCTACAATCAACACACCACCACCGCGAATCCTCCGAATTTCCTCCCCATTCCCTCATGGAAACGACAAAATCGATCTTGAATCCGTACACATTTTTGCGCTTGATGGCCAATTGCATACTCGACTCACTGTCGAGTTGGAGTAGAGACGAATGCGCGTGGAGTGGCTCGCTTCGTTTAAACATGCTACTGATGATTTGGGTCTTAATATTTCAACGAGGAGCTTATGGAACAACTCGCGCGGCTGGACAAGATCTTCAAGGTGGCGCGAGATAAAATCGGCCTGATCATTCACATCGCCACAACGTACGCCCCCAAAGTGAGAGGGTTCTGGTCCGGGGCGTTGGAGACTGCGGATGTGGCTCACCGGAATATGATGCTTTGCAGAAATTGGTCACGACTGATGGTTATGACGATTTCTGCGGGAGACAAAAGCAGCCAAACAATCTCAGCCCCAGCAATTTCTTAAATTGCCGTCAAAAGGTCCGACTTCCGTGTAATAGCTGCCTGCTTGCCACGGCAATTGTCAGACCTAAAGTCGAGCTCAGCAGGTGCTCTATGCCTCTTCCAGTCAGTCACACGAGTTGCGCTAAAGTCTTTTGGTTGTCGACAGTACTGTAAAGTGGGTGGCCTCACTCCAAAGCAAGATGATTGGAGATTATTACAAAGCACGTCCGGTACTTGAACCTCGTCGAATATGCCCTGTTGTGGCAAGTGTGTCAGCAAAGCGTTCCGTTGTTGATGGAACGTCAGCCAAAGCTCCTCACGGTTTAACGTCCAGGGCTGACTGTCTAAATAAGGTTTATACGAACTTTCCGAGCCCTACAGGTGGTACCATGGATTAAGCTTACACCGTATTTTCCAAACTAAGGAAATATTTCCCGCCCTCATCTCTGTCGAGATGGCCGATTTGTGGCTAGCTCGGTACATCAGCCCGTCTACATAAGCCGACTACAGCTGCGGGGCTTTTCGGGATTTGTTGAACCTCTTGACCAATAAAGAAATGACTCTTTTGCTTTCCCTCAGAAGACATGCTGATGATCAGTGGTAACACAGTTGGATTGTTCTCTGAATGGCGAATGTATAGTTGTTAGTTATTAGTCAAGATAAGCTGATTCTCTTGCACAAATGGCACATGTGAGAACAATTTGACCATCGTGACAAGTCATCTGCAATCATTCTACTCCGTTGAACGGATGGGATCATCTGGTTGGCTGGGTAGTCGGCCGCTCATGCATTCTGTAAGCGGGCATGCCAATATTGCTACCCAAAGAAGCTAGTACTAAGCCTGTTAACGTAGGTACTGAAATTCCATTTGGGAGTAGTAGGTAGATGACTTATTTTCCAAGGTATCAAGACAAGATGCTACACGGATACCTTCTCAAACATTGCCTATAAATGTTGGCTCTTCGCCACTTACTTCTGATGTCCCAAACGCAATCGACATATCAATTTCACCCATCACCACAAAGTTCTATCTCATCATCATGAAGTTGACATCTTTCCTCGGTGCCCTGGCCACTGTTGAAGCCGTCAATGCTGGAGAATCAGTCTATGTTGTCAACTCGCGAAAAGGCAACGAGGTATCCAGCGGCTTCGCATACTATGCGGACAATAAAGTCAGCCCATGGGGTAGACGGCCTGATGACTACACTGATGTCACACACGGGTCTCTAAGGGTCTGGGAAGGGAAACGTACAACTGGTATGATACATCCATAAAATTTAAACATACAAGCTAACGGGTAACTCAAAGGCCGATTCTCAAGCGGTGTGAGCTTCTATGTCGACATCAATGCCGATGCCTATCAGCAAGGATATAACGCCTGGGTTGGAGGAGGAAACAATGGATTCAAGCAGTTCACATGCCACAAGACTCATGATCGGGCTGTTGTGGTTCCGACTTTGTATACTGTTGATGGTTGGACCGTGCAGGGCATCTACTGGTGCAGAGAGTATGTTGGCGGTAAATGAGATGCTGCATGAGGAGTAAAGAGCTATCAAGGTTGCTTTATAGGTGGGTATCTTGAGAGGGTGAGTGTCTTGATTTGAGGAACTACATAGTGTTGGCTTGTTATAGGAAATATCAGGCCACCTTCTCTTTACTAGAGTGCATCGACGCACTGTAGAGCTGCAGTCCACACGTTCATAGCCACCTACCTATGGATACTCTTGACAGAATGTTCTTGTCTGTGAAATCGAACTAGTTCTATCAAGTGTAATAGTTTGATCGACTTTCTAGTCGTTCTACAACTATAGACAATAAAAATGGTTTTGAGGATATGGTACGGTACCAAATGGCGAGAACTTTGGCTTTCTCGAAGATATCGCGTACATTCCTAATTGTGGCGAGAAATGGCCGGGAACACATTATGTCTTAGATACATAGTACTTTTGATCCTCCACCTTTTCTTTGATCATTCCTCTCGTGCACTTTTGACATATAAATAAAATAAATCAATCATAAATAACAGTTCGCATTTTTCAGTTACCTATAATAAACGCTACGTCCAAAGGTAAGACCTGTGACTTTCCCCAAAGAAGCCTTGCGGCTGGTACTACCACAACCATCGGCACTGATACAAGTGTTCCGCTGGCAGCATGAGCTAACTGAGCACACCTCGCCAGCGGCACAGTCTGCAGTGGTGCTGCAACCAGCAAGATCGCTGCAGGGGGTATCCCCGTCATAGCAGAAGCCTGCTGATCCACCACCGACAACGGAAGCGCACACAAACGAGCCTCCAGGACCCCAGGGCCTGTATGTATCACACCTCTGACCTGTGCATGAAGGCACCGCGCACACGCCCTTCATACACTGGCCCGAGGGACACTAGATGCCATTCGTTAGTATGCTTTGTGAAGCCTTATATGAGGGAAGGCCTGTTCAAATACAGACAGAGCAAAGCAGGGAAACCTACAACATTACCGCATGTTCCGCAATTGGCTGGATCTGAATTGTAGTCCGGGCATTGGCCTTTACACTGGGGTTTATTGGAGTTTTCGCATATGCAACTCTTCTTGACGCAATGAGCCTTCAAAGGGCACTGTACAAGATTCCAGTCGTCAGTATACAAGCTCCATTGGGTAGTTAAGGTAATGTCGTGCAAAACACCTCCTTGTATGGGATTTCTGAGAACCACGTACAGATTTACCACACTTGCCGCAATGGGCATCGTCAGATGTAATGTCTCTACAGCGCCCGTCGCAAAGCTTTCTGTCTCGGTTGGTTCCCATTGGACCGCAATCATAGCAGCGACCCTCACCTTTGGCTGATACAACTTCGCATATTTCGTTTGTTAGTGGGAAGTGTGTAGCACACCACTGCGCGCATCGGTTCTTAGCCGAGTGATCATGACCCTCGGCAAATATGGCACTGGCTAAGAGAATAGCGAGGTTATTTGACCATGTCCCGAGTTGTTGTCATGGGAACTTACCAAAGGCGAATATGAGCAAAGGCAGAAATTTGAACATGATGGCAGCTGATTCAGCACTGTTGGATCCGTGGCGTGTGGAAAGTAGAAGTGCTCAGGATTATCTGACAAGTCGAACCTGGATGAGAGTGAGGTGAGGAGGAAGAAAATGGCTTTGCGGGGAGATGGATTCGTATCTATGTTCCTATCTAGAAGGCTGAGTTCCAGTATATAATGCAAATTGTGATACGTTCAGCCAGGTGGCATGCAAGCAAACACAAGGCAGATCCGGCGGCACTTTTGCCAAAATCAATGCCAAAAAAGAAAGGGGTTGGTGGAGGCTTGCATGATCTTCAACTGATTGAAGACTTTCGTCAAGGCTTTTGCAACGGTGGGTCAATATATCTCGATACGAGAAGCCCATAGGTGTAGCGGGTAAATCACACAGAAGCATGGCTTAAACCCAACAGCCACTCAACTTGGAGATTGGTGTTATACACTCGGCTTTTACCGAGAGGGTAGCAGTACTAATGTTGATTCATTGATTCTAGATTTACTTGCAATCAGCACCCATATCTACTCTAACCAGTCCCCAGTCTGATTACTACAGCGGTCCGATAGGCCAACAGCCACTTGATGTATGTATAGGGGTTCGACTTTTTCTCGAGGTAATAACACCTGGATAAATGTTAATTCATTGATTCTTAAGCTAGGTACGTAGAGTCAGTAGTGGTATCTACTCCAATTAGTCTAACTATCAGGGTACGGCCGGCTACTTCACGCCTGCTGGGTTGCAATCTTCGTCTACACCATCACCGGATATAAGTCTCGTATTGAGGGTTGTCTGTCAAGTCAAATATCTCCATCTAACGTCAAACAACCAAATGTTTCCATCCCTATGCAGGTTCTGATTTATACAAAATAAACAAGATTTATTTAACTTCAAACCTAGTTGCCAACTACCCCGCACTACACGACCAAAGTACTGGTAATGGAAGCTCCGCGTGAATGAACAAGGGGCTGCCGGCAAAGAAGTGTTTAGGAATTGATTGTCATGCATACGAGATCTTGCTTACATATAAGGTAACTCACCAGCAATAAAGGATGCTACTTTAAAATATGTCTGGCTCGGGAGGAACAGGCACACAGCTCTTGTATATTGGGGAGCCCCACTAGCATGTAGAACTCACCAACTCAACACCAAAGACTGAATTAAACACTGATGATAAAACTTTAGCTAAATCACGGTTTGTTTTCTTTCTAAACTATTCCCCATCACCCTTTATACACCCAGGGAAAATGTCGTGGCTAATGTGATGAATGGCATACCAAACAGTCTCGCGTTGTGTAATCGGCTTTGTACTCTTGTCGCCGCTTGAAAGGCTGGCTAGCTTGACTTCGGAAGCGATGCCCACAACAAGACTTACACCACGGTGCATGAAGAGTAGAGGTATTGTGCCTATTCCTGACCATTTGTCTCCGAGTATTGTCAGCGCTATGTAGAGTCCGGAAATCAGCTATGTAATTCAATAAGCCTAGATGAGCAGTCCTATTATATTTACTGTGAGCGTCATCTTGAAAATATAGAAGATAGGGCAACCCTATTTATATTCTGGTGATTGGTGGAATGTGGAGGCACGGGTTACCAAAACTGGTAATGAATGGCATCGCTGGAGGTTGTAACTGCCACATTTAACACTAGCCGGAGAGGGAAACACACGGGAAAGTAGGCTCACCGCTTGATTGCAGTATAGTTCGCCGACTATCTGTTTACCACAAGACGCGGCCATATGAACAGTCGGCGAAGGCTAATTATGTCAGCAGCTCACCCCTCATGAATCGGTCGGTGAAATAAGGGGCTCTGGCGACCTCTTTGAATGCTCTGTTCAGTAAACACAGCTACCAATTGCACCTAATCATTTGATCGCAAGGAGATACGTATCAGAAGTCTATATCATTCATTGTCAACACCCTCTCGTAGGTAAAGGGCCAGATTTTATCACTCGTGATGTCAGCCTCCAGTATAAACGAGGACATTGTGGCCAAGGTTTCGGCAAGCGAAGTTCTGGTTCCTTGGTGTGAAGAGTTTAAGAAAATGATAAGCGGGATGGAATAAGTACATGAACTCTGCTGTACGACATTCTGCGTACAAGGATTGACCTACTTTTCAGTTTTGCAGCATCAAGAGCGCGCGAGCTTCAGGATTTCAAACTCAATATGCGGCGGAAGCTGCAGTCATTTAACGACAACAGTATTCCCGAGGACAGCACTTTAGCATCTCTCACCGCGAGGCATATGGCAGTTGCTAAGGATTTCTTCGGGCGCATGGGCGCTAATGTTAATATTGAGTCCCCGTTCTTCATCATCTGGGGCTGTAACACTTTCATTCGGGACGGGGTCTATATGAACTGCGTGTAAACCACCACGAGGAGGTTCCTCCCTTCCACCGATGGCCGCAAGAGAAATACGGGGGCCAATCACTAACTGCCATCATTTGACAGTGTCTCAATCCACGACAACGCTCCTGTCTTCGTTGGCGACAGGGTGCTCATCGGCCCGGAGGATTGTATCTGCCCCATCACTCACGCCTTCGACCCAGATGAACGACGAGAAGCCAGCGGCACGTCATTTGCCCATCCTATATACATCGAGGACGATTGCTGGATCGGCGCACGAGCCTTGATCCTACCCGGAGTCCGCGTTGGCCGGGGTTCGACTGTTGCTGCCGGAGCCGTGGTGGCTAAAGATGTGGAACCGTACTGTCTGGTAGGCGGTGCACCTGCGAAACTTATTAGGAGGCTAGCCAACCCCAAATGAAAGGTTGTGACAATCACTGAGGTAGGTTGCGACTCGATAGAGCTCCTCGTTTATGTCGGCTTGCAAGGGGAAAGGTCTGTTAAGAGAAGTCTTGATGAATGGTTTAGTGCCTATTGTATATACTCATACAACTTACGTATTGCCACACTCTAACCTCACATTTTATCAATTATTGCACCCTTTAATACTGCAGAAATAGTTGAATGGGGCAAAAAGATACGTTGGATCAAGGCCATCTAAAAACATACAACAGCGGGGATTCGCTGGTCGTCACCGACCCAACTACTAATCCGCCGGTTAGTGGCTTGACTATGGGAGAGCGGACGGGATCCCGTATTTTCCACTACCTTTGGTCGTATGTACCTACTGAAGTGGAAAAGTGGTCTATATTCTCCAATCTCAGCCCAATCTTTAAACAGTGACCTTGTAGCGACTATATCACTCTTTTTCAGTAGTTGGCTATCAGGCCCGTGATATGGAGCTCCTAAATCGGTCTCTCGCGGTACTTGAATTTCTCTATACCCGATTATTGTATAATGAATGACCCTGCTATCCAACCCCCTCCCGTCCCAGTCTGGTACTTTCCTTGGGTAATGCGATGGTGGCTTACTCTCGGCTTTCTTGGATTAGGCCTAGACCATGTCAAGTCATCATGACTCTTCCACAGCCTACCTAGTCTCAATCCAGTATGCTGAGCCGCCCATCACAAGCCATTCGTTACTTCCATGTTTCTTAAACTATCAAGACATGTAATGAACTAGCCGAATTGCGGCAATAATATACACACAATAATCTGATCAGGCCTCGCTTGATCCATGCATCATAATCACTGCTTGCGCCAGCTTTCACTAATTGTGTAACGGAATTCTTTATTCTCGTTTCCAATACCGATCAATCTTACCCCGCTCCTCATTTGACAATCAGCAACGGCACTCATTACGACGCATATTCAACAAACTGACAAGAAGTTGCAAACCTGCCATGTCAAACGGTGGTAAGTAGGCACTGACTTTGTTTTCGACGTTCCAGCAAACAAAATCTAATCGGCTCAGATTTCGTTCATGACGCGGTGGAGCTCATCAAAGCTCGGGTTGGGCTACCAAGTGAGAACCCTACCACCGCAGCCTGGCAAAATCCACCGCATCCAACAGTGTCGAGCGCCCAATCCCATGCATTACCAGCGGAATCCGATGTGATCATTATTGGTTCGGGCATCACAGGCATCGGTGCTGCGCACTGCCTTTTGAATCATCGAAACGGCACAGATCTTAAGGTTGTTATGCTGGAAGCCCGAACAGCAGTCAGCGGGGCAACGGGCCGTAACGGAGGCCATCTCGTCTCTGATAGTGATTCTTTATTTCCAGCTCTCGTCAAAAGTGTCGGTGTCGAGCGTGCCACAGAGACGGTGCGGTTTAGCGAAGCGAATATTCGTCGTCTCAAAGCTCTTGTAGCTCAACTTAGTCCGGCGGATCAAGAGGCAGTTGAGTATCGTGAGCTCATGACGGTGACAGCTTATACAGATCAAGACTCTTTTAAAACGGCTGTAGAAGATGTTCGTCAACTTGTGAAGGCTGTGCCAGATGGCGAGCTGAAGTACAAGATATTTGGCAAAGAGCAAGCTGCCAATGTAAGGCTCTCAACAGGATCTTTGGGGACAATTTACTAATGTACGTGAACCGCAGGTCTTCAACTTCACCAATGTCACTGGCGCAGTAGCGCAAACCGGTGTTGCTGCATTGTGGCCTTATAGACTTCTCACAACTGTTCTGGAGTCACTGAGAAAGGAATTTTCGGGTCGATTTGTTCTGGAGACGAACACACCTGCTCTATCAGTTCAACAACGAAAAGACTCAGCAGAACCATACCCTTATGTGGTTCGAACACCTCGAGGATCTATTCGCACCAGGCATGTCATTCACTGTACAAATGGTTACTCAGGCCATTTGATCCCAGGACTCGTTGGAAGTCTTTACCCATTGCGAGGAACAATGTCGACACAGAAGCTGGGACCAAGCTTTTCAAATGTTGGTGACAAGGTATCTTGGTCTCAAGTCTCTCATGGATCATACGATGCAAAGACTGGGCACATCAATCTCGGTTTGTACTATGCTCAGCAGAATGTCAAAACAGGAATCATGTTTCTCGGCGGTGAGTCGCAGAAACTGGCCACCCTGCTGACCAGTGACGATTCCACAGTTGCGGAGGATGCCCGAGAGAGTTTAAGTTCTGCAGCTCCCAAAATCTGGAGAAATGCAGCTCCTACCGAAACACTTGAGGTGTGGTCAGGAATAATGGGGTTTACAGCAGATGGGTTGCCCGTGGTGGGAAATCTCCCCCACAGTCTTACAGGTAGAACTGGGAACGGCGAGTGGATTGCCGCAGGCTTCAATGGCCACGGTATGGACAAGTGCTGGCTCACTGGTGAAGCTATTGCCAGGATGGTTATTGGAGAGCAGAATGTTCCAGGTTTTCCAAAGGCGTATCTTCTCAGTGAGGACAGAGTCAAATCTTGGTCACCAGAAAATGCAGCCATAACTCTGATGGACCATATCATTGTTGGAAGCGCAACTCCAGCAAGCCGTCTTTAGTGATAGATTTGGGCACGTTCCTTATTCTTAGTATACAAGAGTGTGAGGTTGTGGCCAGAACATCTACCACAAATGTAGCATGGCCGCATGCAATTTCCTTGCATTGAAAAAATGTGATCATTTAATTCTAATCCATCGCATTTTCTTTCATCATTTTAATGGTATCCTGATTCTTCTCCATTGGTTCAAGGCAAGCACTACCGGGCTTGAGAGGATGAATGTCGTGGCCAGAAACATCAAGGCATTTCCGCCACCCGCATTCTCAGTCTTCTACGGGATTCTCGGCTTCATAATGGAACCCTCGGCCACCGACTGGCGGGATAAGCATTAAGTTCCATTCGATGGCCAGGAAGCTTATCGGTTTTGCTGCTATTGTACTGCTTCGTGGTCCGGTTCCAGCTGTTTCCACTAAAGAACCTGGCGATGTGCGGGGGTTCAAGACGCTCCTCAGCCTGCCCTAAGAGCATTAGCGTAGTTAATGACGAGATTAAATTTAGGCCACCGCTCACTGCAACGGCCCCTTCTGTCTGGTCAGTAGAGGGAGAAATAGGTACCAAGAGACTTACTTATAAAAGCTCGCTCGGGAGTGAACAAACAGGATTGACTGTAATCATACCAACGGCCTGATACCCATTTGCACTCATCAATTTTGGCAAACTAGTCCATCATGCCAGCTAGTAGAACGCCCATTGGAACGACCAAGCTGTCAGTCCAGGGCCTTGGTGTTGTCAAAGGTCTAAGCTTCTCCAACAATATCCACCAGTTCAGTGGCATCCCATATGCATCTTTATCTAAACGCTGGACACGTTCTCAACTTAGGGACTCGTGGCCAGAAGGTTTCCATGATGGAACAAAACTCGGGTATTTTACCACAAGTTCTACCGTGTAAAAGCATTTACTAACCCATTGACAAGATGCAGCGCACCAAACCCTCCAGAGTACAATGGACCTGAGGATATTCTCGTGCCCGTCGCCATTGCTCCGCACTTTGAAGAGCCTGTTGAAGATGAGCTCAACTGTCTTGTAATGAACATCACCACACCATCGCTCTCATCCGATGCAAGACTACCTGTTATGGTGTACATCCATGGTGGCTCATTTCTCTTCGGCGGTGCCAACAAGGGTGTTTTCGACAGCGTCAATTTCGCAACACACGCCGCGGCGCGCAACACCGCCGTCGTCGCCGTCAACTTTAATTATCGCGTCGGCCTCGGAGGCTTCCTCGCTTCATCAGCAATCAGGAGAGACATGGAACGCGACGGTCAACAAGGCGTGGGAAACTTTGGTCTCTACGACCAGCAGGTTGCACTTCATTGGGTGAATCGCTACATTGCTTCGTTTGGAGGTGACCCAGACAATGTCACTATATATGGGGAATCTGCTGGAGGAATGAGTGTTTCCCACCAAATTGCCGCCAAAGATCCCGCACCCTTCCATCGAGCTATTGCCATGTCCGGGCATCTAAACACAATCCCGACGTGGTCACTGGACCGCCATGAGAAACATTACCGTGCGCTCTTGAAATATCTGGAAATTGATACAGACTCGCCTTCAGCACTTGACCAGCTTCGAGCTGTCCCTCAAGATATAATTGCCGCTGCAACAATACCTGTCGAGGGTAATATGAATGCTACCGGCAACCCTTGCGACGATGGTATCTTCCACATGTCGAGACCTCACTTTAATGCTATTTCTTCTCCTCCGGCGTGGCTCAAGGGTTACATGGTGGGAGACACAACCGACGAGGCCATGATATTTTCTGACAGCTTGTGCGAGGAGACCTTCAACTCTGTGAGGAGTGGCATGATTGCCTTTTTAGGTCAACATGTCACCGATGCCATCCTCAGCCTCTATGGAATAACCCCCGAGCTTACGCAAGTCGAATTACTCAAAGCGCTAGAAGTCATGACAGGCGATGCGATCTTCAAAGCCCATAACTGGGTTGCCGTTCATCGCTCTGAGGTCCCTCAAACATTCGGCTATCACTTTGACCAAGTATGCACACACGACAGTATCTTCAAAGGACAAGCCTATCACGCCTTGGATTTATTGTACCTATTCCTCAATTTTGATGAAAGGTTGACGTCCGGTCAGCAGAATCTGGCAAGGTCCATGGCCAGTAAGTTTATCGACTTTGCTTATGGTAAGGATCCATGGCCTCGCATCAATGAGGGATCTCAGTGGATGCTATTTGGCCCGGACGAGACGAGCAAGCTTGTTACTGAATATGAGGATGAAGGGGTTCGCAGATATACACGAATGCAAAAGATCATTGATATGGGAGTGTTTGAAGAGTTCGTCTTCGCCATAGACCATATTGCTGGTCAGAGAGACAGGATGGGGACTTTTGAGCGTGAGAATGATCACTTGAATGATGCGCCAAGCATTATCACGTCTGGGCCAGTTTTGATAAAAGATGCTGGCATCAAGGAAGTGGTTGCAGTTTAAAATACATCATACATCAATTTTAAAAACGGTCTCTGGCGACGAACATTGCCAATCTAGTAAAGGTGTATCTCAACGTTCAACTCCGCCGCAGCCTCTGTAGCCATCATCAACTTGGATACCTCGCTTGAACCTTTCCCGAACTTCCAGACTTTGGCAATGATGTCTAATATCATCTGTTCCGTCTGCGACTGTTCACTTTGCATTAAATATTGGAATGCAACTCGCGTCAATCTCTGTTCTTGGTCGTTCTCAGCCAAGAGACCAGCGATGAATAACGGATATAGTATGGCCTTGGCGAGTGTGAGCTGGAAGTTGAAAGTACCAGTATTGATGATTGCTTGTATCGCTGCGAAGACTCTCATTCTTGCCACTTCGGTCTTGAGTTTGCTTAGCAGAGAAGCAGTTAGATCCGGGCTGCCGACTAATGCGCGACTGTGAAGTATGCCAGCGAATCGAAATGCTTCCCAAAGGTGAATTTGTACGAAATCGTCCCCTATTTCCCCTGGCCATTGCAAAAGGTCATTCTCGATAGTAGACGAGGCCATGTCGGCCAACAAGCTCACCAGCGTATATGGAAGTCCCGAGGTCTGCTCAATACCCAACTGCTTATTGGGTTTGACATATAACTTCCATATATCCAGTGAAGGGGTAATTCGGTTAAGTGTAAAGCAAGGGATATCGAGCAGGGCTACCACCTCCAGTAGATGATCTGCAAGAGGCGGCCTTTCTATGTTGCTCAGAAGCTCACGGGCTTGGAGCACTCCATGCAGACCTTTCAACAGGGGAGACCAGATGTAGAGCGAATTGATCTAATTCAGTCAACAACATAAACGTTTCTGATTTCTTGGTATTACTTACGCTAACACTACATAGGAGAACCCCTGTCGCCAAGGTGACATCTTGAGTCAACCTGCTCGGAGTATCCAAGTCACCGAGATAGTTGGAGAGCGCCGATTGCATGTAGATTGGTGTCCATCTACTTGTATCAGCGCTTAGGCTTGCTTGATAAGCCAGGCAAGCATTTCTGAGTGATATGCTACTTTCACAAAGAGGTAAAACGTCGGATCTGAACAGTGTGTCCTGTCCTGCACGCCCCGTGAGGGTTTGGTATCCGGTGGTTGTGACTAATGCAAGGTCAGTCTAAGGGCTACATGTAGCGCAATCTCTTCTCACATGATTCCATGAGAATTTTCGCAACATCTTCATCTGGGAGCTCCTCAGAAAGGGACTCAAACTGCAGGCAGAGAAGATCCAGTTCATCCGGTGACTGGCCTGAAGTAAATTCAGGCATATCCAATGGAAGGTCTGGCATGCTCTCGCCCGTATTGCCTACATCCCTATTGCGCGAAGACCTTGTCTTAGCACGGGGTTGGCGGACGGGGTTGAGAACAACACCAGCTCCTGTTGATGTTGCAGTGTTGGAAGGGCCCCATGTTAACCGCGTCTTGTATCCCTCACAGGTCATTCCGGCTTGGACGCATCTCTCACAGACAGGGCGTTTCTCGTCGCATTTCTTATGACGTCTTTTGCAAGTCCAGCAACTGGAGGTTGTCAGCACAGTGAAATGATCTGGATTCTGACTTATGCATAATAACTGACCCACGTCGGGACCGCTGGCTCATGCTGTTGGCCTGAATGAGCAGGTTTCGTGTTGACAATCATGGGTTAATCAATGATGTGATGCCAGCGCAGTGGAATTAGGGCCCTCAGCACCCAGGTATGTCGTCTCCTTGACGTCTTGAGGTAAGGGGCGATGCCTCGGGCCGAGATTGGTTATTTTGATTGTGTCCTTTAATGAGGGACGAAGAGAAGAGGGGTAACGTTATCGGTACTATGCTGTACCAGGCTTGGTACAATTAGCGCTCGTATAAATTCCTATCAAACGCCAACAGTCGATAAGAATAAGATAAAGATCGCTGTAGCTAAATTCAATGATGATGACGATGTGGCATTTGTACCATACCATGGAAGCCAGATAACGATTCGGAGGTCTCCCATCAGTTTGATACAAATTCGCCGGCATTATCCAGTACCTAGCTGAAGATTCACGGTAGATTTAAATCAAGGAAAATTAATAGCACAAAAGGCACATTCTTTGCACTACTGTTTTTTGCCCACGGGATCTCTAATCATGTAGTACATAGTGACTGTTGATGTCGCGTCATTCTCTTGAACAAGTGTTTTCTCTTCAACAACCTTGAAACCGTATTTCTCATAGAAGCCAACGTTCTTTTGATCCGTGCACTCCAAAAAACACGGTGATCCCCCTAGTTTTTCCACGACCCATTGCATGATTGCCTTGCCAACGCCCATACCTTGGCAATCAGGTTTCACCGCTGCAATTTCGAGGTAGTAAAGAGAGTTAGATGGATATTTATCCTTGATCTTGTCTTCAAACTCGTGATGAGCTTCCATCATGGTTCCGATTTTCTGAATAGTTTTATCATTTAGCTTCAGAACCTGTTTTCAGGTACAAACATCTTACCTCGGGGTCAGAGAATGGCTCCGTTGGCTTTGCCCAATATTCGTCCCACGCGACTTTGAAGCATGACGGCCACCAGAAGACCTCTGACCATCGATAGTGCGAGCCAGGTGGGAAGAGGAAGCAAGACCCCACGCTTTCCGGAGTCTCACTCACAGTTACAGCTTCCATGGCGATTGCTTGAACAGCATAACCGCGCAGCCTTGCTTCCTGCCATCTCTGTAGGGTAGGGGTCAGAGTCTCCCAGCCAGGCCCTGTACGGTCACGCGATAACCAGCGTATTAAAGGATCTGAGGCAAAGGAGAGGCTGATTATCTCTGCAGCGACTTTGATGGAGGTGGTGTCTTGGGCCGATCTTTTAGTGCCTGTAGTTAAAAGTTGACCAAGGTGGCAGTCACTCACCAAATGGTAGTGGCCTCAACCTGACTTTGGCGGCGATTGATTTAGCCATAACGATATTTTGCTAAACTACCGATGCGTGGATTCGATTTTAGTTCTTTGGGATCTGTTTTAACAGCATTTTGACGCTCCTGAGCCTCTTTTACTATTGTCAATCATTCACGGGGCCCTTGATTTCCGGCCCGATTTTGTTTGATCACTATCCCCTCCAACCCCCAGTCTAGACCGAGGACCCGCGCGCCTCAGACTACCACAAGCGGAAAAGATCACCTCAGAAACACGCTTTCCCCTAAGAGTCAAGCAGTTCCGCGCGGGTTTTAAGCTCGTCAATTTAATACCATGAGAATAGTGAGACGGTTTTGAGCGTCTCCCGAGCTCTAAAGTTGTAGTGATAGGTAGGTATATAAACGATACTGCGCTAATAGGTCCCTATGGCACGAAACGCATAGAGTCGCATCCACCAGCGAACTGCTTGTTTTCTTCACTACATCCAATACAATGTCGCAACCACCTCACAATACCCGGCCCAGCCCTGGCAACGAGCTGTACCCCGACATGCCGGCAATGAGAGCACCATCGATGGAGTTTGTCTACCGTCTCGTTGCCAACATGGACCCCGCCAATGATTACGATATCGCTGATATCCAAGGAACCGGTGTTACACGGTCTGTCGCCCACATTAAGTCTGGTACTGTTAAGGGGCCAGGGATTGAAGGTATTGTTGTGGAAAACAGTGGCGCTGATTGGGCTGAACGTGTTCACTCCCAGAAGGTCAGTTCATCAATCTTGATTGAGGAAAGACTAATATTAATTAAATCCAGATCTATTATAAGCTGGATGCGAGATATGCTATCAAGACGGATGACGGACACTTTATTTACGTCCAAGCTCGTGGTCTCTTCAGACCTGGACCAGGGGTAGAGTTTCAACAACCAGACTCCATGGAGGTTGACTATACCCAAGATGAGGTGGAATACTTCACGCAAATGACGTTCGAGGCGGCGGGTAATAGTCCGTATAATTGGATGAATGGTATTGTGGCTATTGGTGCTCTGCAGTCGTTCCAGGGTGCTGCTGTCATTGACTGTTGGAGGTTAACGAACTTTCCTGGTCAGAAAGTTGAGGATATATATGTAGGGCGATAGGTAAATTAAACAGCCATGATCGCTGGGAAGAGAAATATCTGCACCATGATTGCAATCTGTTGATGTACTCGCAGTCAACGATGTGCGAAAACTCACTGTTTCTGGTTTACATCTTGAATACGTTTACTGAAATCCCAACATATTTTGTCAATTGCATTGGATTTGCCGTGACTAGTTTCTCAAGGCTATAAGTTATACCGCCACCCAGTGTAAGTACTTCGTAATTCTCATGACAACAGTAACAGTGACAGACTTGGCCATGATGATTGTCCCGACAATCTTCCCCGCTTCCCCGCATTTCGGTTTCTATCCCGGCTGTCAGCTACAGTCTTCTCATGATAAGGCTAACTCAATGCAGTAGGCGGAGCCCCCTTGGTCTGGAGCAAGACCTGGATCAGCTGCATGTGCTATCTATCAACTCTATCTTGAATCAATATCCTAGCTTGGTGCCACCGCATACGCAGAGATAAACACCTACTTAAGACTCCTGGAGCAGTCACTTAAATGGATTTGGGTCAAGTCATAACTGCACAGCTTTCTCAATCGCGTCAAGAAGCAACCCAGTCAGACTGACAAAATGCCGAGGAATGTAGAGAGTGCGCCTTTGGGCTTTACCACACCGCCTGGCACTGTACGGTTAATTCATGGTGAGTTACCCAAGACCACAATCTTCCACGTCGGTTCTAACGTCTTTGGCAGAAGATGGTCATCTCGAAACACGGCAGCTGGTGCTGCAGCCGACACCAACTGACGACCCGAACGATCCATTGGTATACACACCGCCCTTTACTGTCTGTTACAAGTCGCTAAATCTAGCAAGAATTGGACACGTACTCGCAAACTGATGAATTTTGTTCCCATCCTCGCCGTGAGCGCAATCATTTTCACGCAGTGAGTGGACAACAACGGGAAATTGAATTGAGGCTTACCGCTGTAGAACATCTCTACCACTCGTCTTCTGGGTCTTGTGGAATCCAGAGTTCGGTTGGTCGTACGGACAGCTTAACAACGCAAACGCCCTCAACTATGTAGGCACAACAGTCGGCTGCATGCTGTTCATCCCCCCTGCTGTTAAATACGGGCGTCGATCTATGTACTTGCTCACAACAGCCATTATTCTTGCCATGGCTATCTGGTCAGCACGCATGAAAAGCTTGACCGAGCTTTACATTTCGCAGTTGATCTTCGGCTTAGCCAGTGCTACCAACGAGAGCATTGTTGAGATGACTGTAAGTTTACCGGACCCACGATGGGAGCATTAACTGACCATACTCGCGCCAGATTGCAGATTTATACTTCGTTCATCAACGTGGAACTGCCAATGGACTCTACATGGTGATGGTCATGATTGGGGTAAGAAAAACTTCATACTTCCAGCAATCAAGTTACTAACGAACTATAGAGCTTCCTTAGTCCAATCATTGCAGGATACATGGCAGCCAACGGTAACTGGAGACTTTGCTACTGGGTTACCGCTGCTGTCGATGGTGCCCTACTGCTCTATTTCTGCTTCTTTTTCGAGGAGAGCAAGTATATACCACACCTCGAAGCTCGGCAGCTCTCCACCACAACTACTGTCACGATCCCAACAGCCAAGAAAGACAGTATCTCAGAAACTCAGACGGGAGAATCGTCAACCTGCCACCGACAAGCATCAATCACCTCAACTCATCAACTCAACCCAAACATACCGCTACTTTCATGGCGTCAACGTTTACGGCTCGTCACAAAGACTGACGAGAGCTTACTTGAAGTTGTCAAGACAGCCGTTGTGATCTTATTCAAGTTTCCGGCTGTCATGTACACAGCTTTGACATATGCCTTTTGCCTCTGTTGGATTTCGGCCCTAGCATCGGTCATTTCTATTGTTTTCACACAGCCGCCATATAACTTTGGTACTGTTGGAGTTGGCAACATGAGTCTTGGGGTGTTTATCGGCTGCATTCTAGGGTCTGTGTACGGTGCTATCTCAGATCGGGCGATTCTCTGGTTCACCAGACGCAACTATGGGTACTATGAGCCAGAAATGCGACTGCAACTCAATCATTTCCCTGCGCTCTGCATGGGCAGTGGTTTTATCATGTTTGGAGTTACTGCTTCCAAGGTGAGAAAAATGGAAGCATACCTACCATCAGACGCTAACGAACACAGGGAATGCACTGGATTTATCCAAGTGTTGGTAGTGCCATCTTCGGCTTTGGTCTTGGAGGACTCAGTGATGTCGCATTATGCGTGACGATTGACAGCTACGAAGCGGTAAGTATTTCGAAGAGAACTGTTGTACCGGTCGATCTAACTGCTATCAGATAACTGGAGAAGCGTTCATTGGCGTAGCGTTTGTGCGGAACGCCTTCAGCATTGCCATTTCCTTTGCTCTTGTCCCTTGGCTTGATGCCCAGGGCCTGCAGAGTATGTCAATCACGATGGGTCTTTGGGCAATTGTGATGGCTTTCCTTCATGTTCCACTCATGATATGGGGCAAAAGAATCCGCAATAAGACTGCGGAGAGCTACAAAAGAATGGTATCCGCGAGAGCCAATTGATAAAATGAGTCTTTTTGAGGAAGCAATGACGAACAAATTGTATTCTTCTTCTTATACTCGGCAGTTGTTTCTCGATCAGTTTGAGATATGATATGTTCTTTAGTGTTGTATGTGCGACCGGGATGTTTGAAATGCAACCTTTTACGCATATTTGTATGGCGGTATACTCGGCAGCGACAGAAATAGTTATAAGTGGCTACTTGATAGCCAGATTAAAGCCGAAGACCTTCTATCATGGATGATTACTTGATCGACTGTTCAAAAAGTAGCCCCCTACGCAGCGATCCTCAGACACCCTAGCCCTCTCTGCCTCCTTCTCAGGTTAGACATATTGACCACCCTCCCATCAATACACCACCACCAATTCTTAAAAAAGCATTCTCCCATCTCCCACGACTCCTCCGCGAACTCGCTCCCCTCACCCCATGCCACCAAATTCCCATGTATTCGACACCCATCCGCCATATCATCCAGGTCATGCACAATCTGCACAACAGCCTTCGCCTGGCCGCTGCCATCCTCATCCCCCTCCTCCCTCGCAATCAGCGGCCTTAACTCGGACGGCAGCGCAAGTATGCAGATTAACTTCTCTCGCACCGAAGGCCAGGGCAATATATCCAGCAACGGGTGATGTGGGATCGTGATCTGCGCAGAGGTCGGGTGCAGATTCGGAGGTAGGTTTGGGGCTGGGGTTGGAGAGAGTGTGTGCAGGTAGTTGGGGTTGTGGAAGTTGGAAATGACGCCTATGGCTGAGGCGATGGTTGCGAAGGCACGGAAGGTGGAGAGATTAGGGATGGTGAGGTTCGTAGGATCCGGGGTAAGAGGGAAGGCTATTGGAGGTGATGTGCAGTGTGGAGGGGGTGGTGATGAAGGAGTGGAAGGATCTGGTGGGAGGAGGAATGCGGTTGGGAAGTCTGGGTGCAATTCAGTGTTTGGGGTATTAGCTGGAGGAGCTTGTGTACTGAATTTATGGGAGAGGTCAGTTCCGTAGTCTAAGAAAGGAAAGGCAATCTCTGTCGTGCTTCGGAGTATGTCTTCAATGTCCACTGTTGCATTGCCCTCTAAACCAGGACTTGATATCACTTTGGAGCTCTCGGGCTCGACTGGTGTGAAGGTGATGTCATCCAATGGCGCGTTCAACGACGCTGTGGGCGATGGTGCCAATTCGATCGCTCTAGCTTCAAGTTCTGCAAGTCTCCTCTTTTGTTTCTGGCCTTGTGTACTTGCTTAGTTGGGGAAACGAAATAAGCAAATGAGGACACGTACGGTATCTCTGCTGGGCAAGCACATTCAGAACTCGCTTTCGATCCGGGTCACCATTATTTGGTACACCTTGTGGCGTCTGTTTTCGTTTCTTTGATCTGATCTGCACCGTAGACATGCTGTTGTAGTGTGGTAAGCTTCACGTTATGGTGGTTGTAACCCTAAACGGGAAGTCAATCATTTGGGAGACGATGATATGATATGCTAAGATTGGAAGATGAAATAATCCAATGTTTGTGAGTAGAGGATACAAAAGCATAACGTTATGCTGACGCCAAGGATTACGTGGGGGTTGTCAGAAAGCTAAGCGCTGGAGCGTTATGGTCTGACCCCGGACAGGCTTAGCTCGATAGAACATAACATTATGCCGTTATGTCCAATAGTTGTATATAAACGTTGGTTTGGCTAACGATTCTTAGATGGTAGCATTAATTGCACTCCAGAGCCAGAGGCGCAGGAATTTACCAATTTAACATCGCGCACTTCTACATTACCAAATCTCTTCACCAATGGCATCTCCTAGCAGCCCATCGTCGAACCAGACTGAGCCACTGCTTAGTGTCAAAGCAACAGACGTCACAGTACCGAAACAACTGTCGTCAGTCACCTCAACAACCATCAAGACTGTCTCCGTCCTGCGCGTTATCTTGGGTGCTGCCTGCGTCATCGCCCCCCAATTGACCTGCGAGATCTTCTTCTATCCGGTCCCGACGGCCTTCTCGATCCTGCCGCGCCTGTTTGGCATCCGTGACCTTCTCCTTGGCGCGCTTCTTGTCACAGCCGAAGACAAGAACATCCCAAGTGGAGGCAGACGGGAATTGAGAAGGACACTCTGGGCGAATATTGCGGCGGATAGTGTGGATGTAATTAGCATCGTGCTATCTTTAGCTCAAGGAAATTTAGAGAGGCTACCAGGGGCGGCACTTGGGGGAGGAGCAGGCATCTTTTTGATCATGGAAGGAATGGCTATGCGGGGATTGTGAGAGGTTAGGATGGGGTTTGAAGGATAGATATATCGCAACTGTTCTAGCAAACAAGGCTGAACCACGGTCGGTGCCAAGACTATACAATCAGCACTGGCCATCCAAAGGACTCCAGATAAAGATACATAGGCCATGCTTTTTACTAGCTCACCAGCCACTAATATGACTACTTTACGTCAATGAGCCTTGCCTTCACTATTAATTTTAAAATTTTAATATCTTCGTCACAATTCATCCGCAGCCAAGCAGGATCAGGATCAAGAGTGACAGTCACAATCACAAGCACCATGAACGCTACCCAGCTGAGACTCACAGCCCATCACCGTCGACCTCAGCCTCGGGGAATTCCAATTTAAAAACATGCATATACCCAAGAACCTCGTAGCTGTCGCTTCCACGGTGTGCAGAAGCTAATTGAAATCCCATTGTAAGAAAATAGGCGCTACCGCATTAGGGACCAAGGAGCGTCCTATGGTATGCTTCGATGTCAAGCCGAACGAAGTCTGCAGTCGACTCTAAGTTGGTTGTGGGCTAAGAGAGCGATCAAATTACCCTCATTCCGTTTGCCAAGTAGCCGAAGTAGCCCGTACGATGTTCGATTAATTATGCCCTCACAGACAGGACTTACAACCGCTATCCGGTACAACAGCTCTGCAAAAGCCTCGTCATTCGTGCGTCCACCAATATCCTTCCCTATTGTCTTCAACCCTTCCTATAATTATTTGGATCGGGAATAAGGGATGACATGTTTCATGAAGCCCGAAAGAGGACGCACTAAGTCATCCGCATTTGTACTTGTACAACTCATCCAAAGACTTTTTAGATTCTCAAGGCTTGACAGCTCCTCAGACGAGGGCTTTTTGACCATGCCGACTGTATTGGTGCCTCAGTCGGCCTTTAGTGCACGACAAGTAGTTCAAATCTTATAGCGATTGGAAGTATATTATTATATGCAGCCACATATCTATCCGGATGCGCCAGTTCGCGATCAAGTTCCGTGACCTAAGTTTCCTGGACCTGCAGGTAATTTTCCATGAATGGCTTAGTTTCTGACTACGGAGAATATTGGACGGCAGATTGGCGGATATGTTCGGTCTTGAACAAACACTGCTGCTCGTTCGATCCTACTGAGGAATTGGATACAATCCTGGAACTCGGAATGATTAGTTTTCCGACGATGCATATGGTTAGCTTTATCCGGCTTGTGCCGAGATCATTAACTTGTTGTGGCTAGCCTTCCGGAGTGTGCTAGGGTTTGTACCGTCGATTGAAATCAGCTCCACAGCATAAGGTCTTGACCGTCAAGATCAAGCATTGCCCCTTGCCAAGCTAGAGAAACTCTATTGCAGGTGGGGATATTGGCATGAAGAATCGCATCTATCGATTTCTTTTTTCGTAAATCATCATATCCTGCGCCATTTCTACTCTGACGATTGTCTCAGCGCCAATACTCTCAGGCCGGCTTTATCTGTTTCTCTTGCTCCTCATGACATTGCGTTACCCTCCTTGTCCAAGATTCTTTTCTTAATACCCCCACACATCGACATAACCCACAGGTTGAAGGGTGTAGTCATCCACCATGGTTAACACTGGCAAGCCTTCAATGGACTGTTTTCCGTGTAGACGACGGAAGCTTCGAGTATGCTTATCAGCCATTCTTCTCGTTGATATATATCGTCCAAAGGTGGCTAACGTTTGACTCAAGTGCGACTTGAAACCGGAAACTTGTGGCCAGTGTCGCCGAGCTCGCATTTCATGTCATGGGTACCGAAATACCCAGGATTTAATCTTCCGTGATGAGACGCATGCGGCTAAGAAAAAGGTGGTGGCCCGCCAATGGTATTATGGCAATCAGCTGGCCATCTTGCCTCCACCTGGGCCCAACTTGAATCTGGATGTCGTTACACAGTGTCGAGAGACGTTTTTTGTGTTATATGTCACTGGGCTTTCACGCAGCTGTGCCTCTCTCCTACCGCTCTACAATCAGGTTTCTATGGTCAGCCATCTATCATATAGCGTCGATGCAGTCAGCCTGGCCTTTTCTGCGATACAGTTCGATAGCCGAGAACTGTCAGGTTTCGCCACGAAGAAATACTTGGCTGCCGTGAAGAGTCTCGGACTTTCACTACGTGAACCGAACGCAGTGATAAATGATGAGATTCTACAGTCGATCCTTCTTCTCGATCTCTATGAGAAGCTCATGGGGCCAAGTCTTAACATGTCTGGATCTTGGATGACTCATATTCAGGGGGCAATGTCAATGATTGAGTCTCGAGGATTGCAGAACGTCTCCAATCATATATCAACGCAACTTACCCGAAGTGCCTTTTCTCACTTGGTGATTAGTTGCGGCATCGCTAAGTTTCCTATTCCGGATTCACAGATTACAGTACGGAAAGATCTTTCCAGACGCGTAATGGATGAGAAGTGGGACTACATGGGGATATTGGTCGATATTGTTAATCTGAGGGCCATTTTACCTGAGAGTAAAGCTAATCTGGACAGTGGGATAAAAGAAAGAGCGTTTGAGATAAATCGTAAGCTTGAGTATCTCGAGGAATCGTTGGCAAAGACTTGCGGGCCAGTCACTATTCGGGCTAATACTGCTTGCTATGCGTACTGTTTTGATGGACAATATGACGTCTACCCGGCTCATTATGCGATGCAAATTTGCAATGCTCTGCGGTCGATGCGTTTGGAGATGGAAGATTTGATGAGAGACAAATCCCGAGAAAGCAGGAACGACGCTTCCAAAACCATCAATGAGATCGCAAGGCAAATATGTCGCACCGTCGCACCGTACATCATGCCTCATGGCAGGCCAGAGAATGCCGAGCCTTTCACCCCGATGCAGAAGCTTAAATGCAAGGTGCTACTAGCCCCTCTGTTCCAGGCTGCTCAACTGTCAACAGAAGCTTGCGTGCAAGAGTGGGTTTGGAAATCGCTGGAATACATGTCGGAAAGAGGAAATATGCGATTAGCGAAGGAGGTCCTCAATCTGTCAAAGAAAAGACAAAGCATCGATCATTGGACAATTTGGGCCATGGCAGGATGCTACGCAATGGCAGCTTGATACGGGGGACCGGAACGCTAGCCTATTTGAGAGCTTAAGGATATATAGGAGTGTTTTAGCGGTGATCTCACATGTACATTATAGTATCAGTTACGAGACAGCTGGTCACTCGTGATCAATACATCCAGTACGGAATCTATGCGAAAAGTCTATAGAAGCACCACATCACAGCTCAAAATGAGACAACATGAGACCAGACAACATATCAAACTGTTCTCGGCGCTGCTGGATGGAGCTCAAGAATGATGCTTCCGGTCCAATAGCACCGACAATGATGTGATCCACCCCCGAGACCACATGCGGCCATGTCTTTTCTACGAACTCGGCCACGGGCATACCCATAGCCCGGCCATTTTCGGGGCCCATGTAATCGTGAAGCTCGGCTAGGAAATAAACTTAGTCCACTATATTTCGAGAGCCCTTGGGATGACTTACTCTGGACAACGGGAGGCCACAGCTCAATGATCTTGGTACTGGATCCTACATTCTGGCGGCGCAGACACGTGACATACGCTGTCAACGCGGCTTTCGATGCAGAATAGGCCGGCATGGTCACGGCAGGGACCTGGGCGAGCAAAGTTCCCGTAAAGATCAGTGCGGTTGGGAATGGCTTCTTCTTAAGGTGTGGAAGTAGCTTAATTGAGAGATCAACCAGCCGGTTGAAGTTGGTTTCCATCTCTTGGTGGAATGCATGTAGGTCAACTTCCTCGGGCCTTGACAAGCGGACCTGGCTTTGAAAACCCGAGTTGAGGAAGACGCAGTCTAGATCGGGGTATGTGTTGGTGACCCTTGAGGATAAAGATCCAGTCAGGCTAGCTCTCTATAATATGTGGTTGGGAGCACAGGTCAGGATTGAGGCTCTGCTTACTTGTCTACGAAGGAATCGAGGCCAGCTCTATCAGTAACATCGTATTTGACAGCGCTTGCTTTGTCTGCGCCGTGTTTTTGGACAAAGGCATCTAGCCGGTCCTGACGGCGGCCAACGGCAATGACCTTGGCACCCTCAAGGATAAACTTGTCAGCCAGTGCTGCCCCTATTCCGGAAGTGGCGCCAATGATGAGAACATGCTTATATGGTGAAGACATATGTGCAATTTGTTAAAAGATCTTGGAATTGGTAGATCTGAAAGAGTGCTTCTTGTAAGAAGATATGAGAATGTGCGGATAGTAGGGTAAGACAACTGGCGCTGGCTCACTCATTTATAAGGCCACTCTTGGCTTGTTTTGCACCCATACCACAGTGAATAATTTCCTCTTTCAGAAGATCAAGTTAGCCTTCCGGTACGCTGGGATTTGAGAGCAGAGCGAATGAACCGAATGAATGGCATGGATCTTACCTGGCTGCGAAAGAGCCTGGCACGACCCTTAATGGCAATCTGTGTCAGTGTTGTTCGATATCCACCTTCATGCTAGCTAACTAGATCAAGCTAGCCTTCCGGTGTCATGATGGTCTTAAATTCCTGTCGTTGTTTTCGGACCTTACCGGACTTCGTGGGGAAATAAAATACCGATGGACCTTATTCAGCAATTACCACTTGTCTAGTGGTTACTGCTAAATGGATATGTTGGACTTTTTTGATACTTGTATCATTCTCTTAGCAGCAGAAAGTCAAACACCTTGAGCCTATTCGAAGCAGCGCTTTGACGGGCTCTGTAATGGTATCTCGCTCCTTAACAAAATCATGAATAGATAAGCAGAGCTAGTTCAATATCTTTCCTTCTGGTGAACGGTACCCAAACTACAGGTTCCTAACCAAAAAGAAAATTATCAGTTGTTAAGAGATTTACTCATTCATGACGCTCCCCTTTTGACGCGAAGCAATAACTTATGCGAGCCGGAAGTTGATTGTAGGTTGACCCTGGCAAGCTGAGGCAGTGCGTGATCAAGATTAATAATACCTTTCTGCCTGATAATAAGCAATGCTATAACAATTAACGCTTGTAAAGTCGTGCCGGCACTTCGTCTCCATACACGGCATTTGTCACATGCCGCGCTCGGATATCCTCCAAGTGCGAGCGAAGTTTGAGTTAGCGCTAGCTCCAGCACGAACCATCACATAAATTATAGCATATTGAAGAGATTACAAATCGATGATAGCAGAAATGTGTAGTCATGGTGTCCCTGGCTAGCACTTTGTTGATACCTGCTTGCATATGTCACGAAATGACTATATATGTTATACAGTGGCATCCCTTGGATGTAATCATGCCCATCTTACTCACCAACTCAACTCTATTTTCGCATCTGACTACTCTTAAACCCTTCCAACCAATACATTAAACACCAGCCTTACAAAATGCCGTCTCCGTGGTCCAAGCAGCCTTTGAAGCTTCTCTACCTACTTTTCATCGTACCCGCAACTCTGACATCGGTGGCTTACGTCGTGGCCTCTGGTATATTCCGGGGACTCAGACCGGATCCAACATGGCCCTTTCAAAAGTCGGCCGCTGTCCTGTTTGTTAAACAAGTTTTTCTTAGGCATCTTTGCGCCCTTCGTATGCCAGCTACTCTGTCCATGGACCCGGGCTCAGAAGGCGAAAGATTCGTCGTCATCCCTCCTGCGAAAGAGGCTCAGATTACAGGCCCGGCAAGTGACGCTGAGATCAAGCCTGCACAACTGGGTGGTACTTGGACGCCAGCTCCTGCGGGGCAGAAGAATGATATGCTCGTTCTCTTGCACTTCCATGGAGTTGCCTACGTTATGGGCAATGGTCGAGATGCAGATACAGGCTTCATCGCTCAGACGCTCTTACAGAACACGCCCTTTACGCATGTCTTCACGCCTCAGTACAGACTCTCCAACAACCCAGGTGGTCGGTTCCCTGCCGCACTCCAAGATGGTCTTTCGGCATTCTCATACCTAGTGAACGATCTCGGGATCCCTGCGACAAACATTGTTCTGAGCGGCGACTCAGCCGGCGCAAACCTTGCAATCGCCATGCTCAGATACATCGCAAACTACGGGCCCCAGACCGGACTTCCCTGGCCCAAGGCGGCGCTACTTTGGTCCCCGTGGGTGGACGTGGCCTCTTCCCTGGATCCTCGCAACATGGAAAGTCACCGCAACTACTCTACAGACTACCTCCACAGCGCCTTTGGCAACTGGGGTGCAGAAGCCTTGACCGGGTTTGGGGCTGTATCTGCAGAGGACCCTTACCTTTCCCCAGTACGCAGCCCATTCCACATCGGAGTGCCCGTCTGGGTTCAGACTTCCGGCAAGGAGGTGTTTTATGACGATAATGTGCGATTCGTCAAGGCTTTCCGAGAGATGGGGACCAATGTGGACTTCTACGTCGAGGAAGATGCCCCGCACGACATCATCATGATGGGAGCCAGGATTGGATTCATCGAAGAAGCAAAGAGATGCGCTGTTAAAGCTGGCGAGTTTCTGAAGCGAATCGCTTGATACTGCTGATATGAGCAGAAATGGACTGGAGTCAGAGGCTAGGATTTTAAGATCGTTTGAGGAAATGGAGGGTTTGTAACGGGGAATTGTCTTGTGCGGAGGGTAGGCGGTGGAAGTGTAGGAACAAGTCTATTGCGAGTGTGGGACTAAGGTGATTCGATCTACTGGTGGTGGTTGGGGGATGCATGATATGTAAGAAGTCATACCCCTGTTTGAGACATGTAACTTAAAACGCATAATATCATAATTAACCTATTCTCTTTGTGGGGTCATAAGGCTCAAGGGCGCTACCTTGAGTCACAATGAACGTTCTACTCAGGTGCCTGCATTTAATAATCTGCTAATAAACACACGACTGGATCATGACCAATGCATGGATCTCAAGTCCGTAGCCGCTTGCATTATTTCTAAGGTGAGGGTAGAGTCGCCAGCGTTGCCTCATCCCACTAAGAACTTAGTAAGTTAAACCGAACTAGCCCGGTTGTACTTTCCAAGAATGTTTACCCCCCGTAACGAAATGAAGAAGAAAGCAAGGCTAAGGATTTCGAGGACTATCACAACCAGACCTGCAGCAAAGATATAAAACTACAACAGCAATGATTAGCATTTTGAAAACAGTGACTCAACCAAGTTCACTTACCATTTCTGTGCATAGGGTCGCCCAGGGAATGTAACTCTGTCGTGAGTTGTTTTGGCAGGACCAAGACCAAAGGTCCCAATGGTTGTTGCGAAGTATCTCCTTGTCAACAATCAAGTAGACGGATGCGCCAACCCAACCTGCGATAACGATGCCAGAGCTGGCTACGAGGGCGCCAGTATGCACTGAGCCGTTGCGGAGAGAGCGGGACTATTTTATTGTTAGGCCATTTGAACAAGCTTTGAGTGTCTTTGAGAACTTACAAAGCTGAGACGGGTAGCTAGAGCCACAATCTGAATGAACGAGGCAAAGGCTGCAATGGCCAGCATAAGCCATGTCGACAACATTTTAATGGAAGCCCATCGGGTTCTCACCCAACCGTCCTCATTCCTATCAACAGAGTTGTGCATTGTCTTCCAAACATTGACTCCGTGGACCAGCAGGCTAAGGATGCTGAGGTCGAGCAGAAGAATGAGGATGCGCAAGGCGAGCCTGATAGTGTCAAAGGTGCCTCCGCTCTTGTTTTGCGGCGCACTGCGCTGCTTGAGAAGGGCTCGCTCATCCGAACTTGGACGCGGTCCCTTCTCAACGTGACCATCGTCGACTTCGTCATGAGGGTCAAGCCGGTTCGAGTATGAGTCGTAGCCAGAGGGTATGCTGAGATCCATCTTGGATATTGGATCGTTGGCGTTGAGGTAAGCTAAGTTCTGACCCTAAAAACAGAGTTATGAGCGCGGGGTCATTAACTTCTTATGCCATAACCCTATGTAAGCGGGAACGAGCCTCAAAGGGACTTTGGCGAAATCCTAATTTTAAAGATATCGTCAGCCACGATACCCGCTTACACCGCCTCGCTCGATGGCCAATCGCTTTACTTCGGATCAGACCCAGCAGTCAGCCCTAAATCCATATCATGCATAGAAAATTGTTCAACAAATCCTGATCAGCACTAGCCATCCTGTCAAGCTTAAGCGAATCTAGCTCCTACCGAAAGCAGCTACCCTCAACGCTCGAGGATTATTCCCGTGAAGGCTGAGCAGTCGGTCAGCAAGTAACAGCTCCATTGATTGGTGAATGTGGAGTACAGGAACTGTCACACAGCCTTATCGTCTCCAGCTGGGGGCCATATTTTGTATTACATGCACGCTAACACTGACAACTGGCCAGGGGCTAAAAATAATCAACTATCAGCGGGCCAGTCTATGGCAGCATTTGCGAGCTCACGAGGCACATAGACTTGTGTATAAGATAAAGCACAACGCCGCCAGTCAAAAATACCAGTATTAGCAATCACTTCTCCACCTCACTCCCAACAGCCTCTCACACTTACTGCATTTCATCCTTTGATTCTCTCCCTCTTCATCTCCCACAAACAATCCAAATCCGCCACAATGCAGTTCTTGTCTATGCTTCTTCTTGCCGGCTCTGCCCTCGCGGCACCCCGACCTGCCCAGTCCTCTGCTCACCAACCTCGAGCTGACAGCATTGATGATATGCTGCCTCCCATCGTGCCTATCAACACACGAAGCGGAGACCGAGATCTAATTACCAAGATCATGACCGCCCCTACTCAGGCCGAGCGAGTCAAGCTCTTGAACCAGCCCGGCGATTACGTCTTTGACTTTAAGGCTGTTTCCGCCACTGGAGCCGGAGAGTCTGTTGGCAAAGGTGGAAAATCTGTTTCAGCTACGGCTCTTACCATGCCTGCCCTCATCGGTAACGGAGCTTCTATGACAGTCGCCTTCCTCGGGCCATGTGGAATGAACACCGCCCACGTCCACAACAGAGCAACCGAGCTTAATATTGTTGTCAAGGGCCGCCTTGTTACCAACTTTGTCATCGAGAATGGCGCTAAGCCTATCGCCAACACCATGGACACCTTCCAGATGTCTGTGTTTCCTCAGGGCGCGATTCATCAAGAATTTAACCCTGATTGCGAAGATTCTGTCTTTGTCGCTGCGTTCGATAATGTCGACCCAGGCGTGACTCAGGTTGCCCAGAGCTTCTTTGCTCTCAATGGTGACGTAGTTGAGGCAACCCTCGGCGGTGTCCCGACTTTCAACGGCGAGGATATTGAGACCTTCCGTGATCACATTCCTCATAACATCGCTCTTGGTATCGAAGCTTGCTTGAACAAGTGCGGCATTAAGAGGAACTCAAAGCGAGATATTAGCGAGCTCTTGAACTAATTGGGGCGGTAAAATATTTTGGTCATGGTAATGAGTTGATTGGCGGTATACTGTTTGCATGTATATATTTAGATTCCTGTTTATATCCTGGTGTGTGTTCTTCAATCTGGGAGGCGTTTTGGCTGTATCACAAGCGGATGCTTTTGATGGTTTGCTTTATTAATTCATCATTCAACTACGTACCTTAAAATCCCAAATGTTTAAAGTATTAAGCTCCTAATAGTGTTAAAAGGCTGACTACTGTGGTATCTGTCCCGACACTTGACAGAATGACAAAATTAATTTATAAGGAGTTGTTTATCTTTGGTGGGTATCTATCTCGACGACTTCAATTGTTTGCGTCCAGTAGTTAACGGGCTGTTTTCGATTGGTATCTATGTATAGCTGCACTTGGCTGATTCTTGCTGCTACAGCGATGCTTGCGCACGCACCACCTTTTGCAACAAGGTGTACCTCACGCTAATTCATGATGCATAGCTTCCATTTATTCTTTCTTCGGTAAGTTTGCGCAATAAGCCTATAAATTGTTGTGGTGCAGCAGCAAAGCTGTTACTACTTGCAGTGACTTAGATACTATTTACATAGAGGTATTAAACTTCTTGATAGTGTATCCTTCGCCGTCGCGGGTCGTCCCGTGCCTAGTTATCTATTCAGTCCCACGTTGTTATCGACAACCACTATCACCATCGACCCTAGGTGTCCAGTGTTATAACGTTCGCTATAGGGTGCGCTGTAAAGTCTAAAAGGCCCTATAAGCCACCTAATATGTAGTGGGTAGGTGCTATAGGCTTAGTGGGTTAAGGGCTCGACTAATGACTCGACTGAGTGCCCGGCTGAGTGTCCGATTGTCAGTCCGATTGCCAGTCCGATTGCCAGTCCGATTGCCAGCTGTCGCTTCAGCCCATATCCAACATTTCAACAATCAGGTATTCTGACAGTTTTAAAACAAAAGAGTATTCTCACATTCGCCCTAGTTGAAGCACTCTTTCTTGAGCGTATGTGCTCTAAGGTACCCCAGTCTAAAGTGCCGAGTCTAAAGTGTCGTGTAAATTGTGGTCTATCCCTGTATCAGAGTAATCCGCCAGGTACAGCTCCTCAGGTTCATTAGATGAGGTGAATAAATCATATTGAAAAGTATCTAGATACACAGATCTAACGCGGGCCACAGCTTCGTACGGACTTCAACTAGAGTGCGGCGATCCATCGTCAAGCTGATTCGAGCTGAATCTTGGGCTGACGCAGAAACCTTCATCCGCAAACAGCTAGACCCCCAAACACCCCAGCGAGTCTCATTGATATAGTCCGTGCTTTGTCGCACTCCGTTTAGAAGAAATTCCCCTAGTAAATCTTGCCAAGACTCAATGTCGGTTTCCTCAAGCGTCACGGAATTATCGATCCTCGCGCTTGATCCATTTGGGTGGACCATGGCCCTTCGTTGTGCACGCTCACGAATCTCTATTCCATAGAGCTTCATTGCGAGACGTACTACTACTGAAGCCTCAACGTCAAAGATGAGTTGACAACGATCAGTCCCCGGTGGGATAGATGCCGTTACACAAGCGCGAGAATTTGTCCGAACAATTAAGTCACTAAGCGTTTTCTCGAACACCGATCCCAAGTTACCGGTATCTGGATAAGCCCACTGATAGACAGGATCAATTTGGAACATAGAAAAGCCAGCGATTGGGCTCATGTTCTCTTGTAACGAGGTAATATGGGAAGTGTTCGAATCAATTGTTTGTATCATGGCACTCAAGACATCAAGAGATGATCTGTGTTCCTCGATCGACGTCGCCGGTACTGGAGCATTCGGCAATACAGTATGTAGTTGATTCGGCGGGTATAACTCTAAAATCAACGATGGATTGGCTGGATAATCGTGTAGTCCGGCGTGTTCAAGTTGGTCTGAAGCGTTAGATAGGGCATTGGGTCACCGACTTGGGACTACTTACTTCGGCGTTGGTAACCGTGCGGGTCAGTCCATAGAATATACTCGATGTACTGCTGCAGGGAGCTCTCAACCTCTGTCTGTGAAACAAAGAGAGCCACATCTGATAACATAGAGACCGGAAACTGAGACAGAGTCTGGAATACTGCCAAAACGTTATTGTCGTCAAGGCTTACAAGGAAAATCGCTAGCCAGGCCCAGAAGCCGTGGGATCGAAAGGTACTCGTTATGCGGTCCGAGGATTGGATCCTCAAAAGGGCATCGTCTAGGCCTATCGTAAGTATGCTCCAGTTCTGTCGTACTGTCAGATACCCTGACAGCGTCTGGATGGTGTAGCTCGTTTGGTCGACCTGGCCATTATGTGCTTCCGGTACCAATGGCTCAGCCATGTCAGGATCCCAATCATATGGGTAGGAAGAGACGAAGTTGGTCAAATCCCCAATAGTTTCTTGGTCTCCCATTGAGAATATTGCATAGAAATAAGACTGAAGGTGTGGTTAAGAAAGAGGCGTGCCTCGGGACCAGCGCTTCTTATACCCAACCATAATGTTCTCAGTCTTGGATTTGATGGTAGGTAAGGCTTTGGGTGGTCTGGCAAGCACATACGTTCCCGCACAAAGTTTCACTCGGCTTGAAGAGCCGGCCAGTCTATTCGTCTCAACAAAGCATGTTATACTGCACTAGTCTACTAATGGCGCCCCAAGTATTGTTATAGCTTCCAGAACACCTCGAATGATGTAAATATACCTTGAAAGCGAGGAAGACCCTGGTTAGTTATTCGGACGTTGCTGCATTTACTCGAGCCAATCAATTAGGCCAGCGATGTATCTTAGCGTGGGTGTGTGCACCAACTCATCCGCTTTTTCGTCGTTACACCCGGACACCCCGTGGTACGCACAGTAATGAGCCCGGATACCCCAACAATAGAACCTGTCAGCGGGCCGCTCATTGCCCAGGAGGTGTGGTACTAACAGATTCCCAGTTCAGAGATTGGGTGTGCTCGTCGAACATGCATCAGCTTAAGTCGATCGACATGCGCAGACTGCTAAATATCGCACCTGTGGCTTGCGCTATGCAACTTCTCCTCTGTCAAAGCCTCACCGCTCAACGTTAGAACCTCTGCCGAACTGGAATGGACTAAAGAGGAAGACATTTGGAAGAGAGGCTCACCTACCTATCACCAACAGCCTTGTTTCATGAACATTTTCCGTTTACTGCAGCACCATTCAGTATGAACACCCGATTCGCTTAATATACTACTATCGAATTTGTGCAAGTTCTTGTATCCCATATATTCACTAGCAATAGAGACACTCAAGCAAGATGGACGGTTTCGAATTAAATCTCTGTTAGGCAAATGGCCGAAACTTTCACTGCTCCTTTGTAATACGTCACATTCTGATATGTGTTTTGAGAACCGCTACGGAAAAGAGGCAATCGTTTAAGCAGGCTTTTCTCTCAAAGCACATAGCACACCAGTGTAAAGATCAACGATGCAGACCATGTTCCTGTGGCGCCATGGCATATCAACATTGGTATGCTAGGTTTGTCCCGTAATGAGGTAATACTAGAAAACCGCGTCGAGCTTTTCAGGCAACTGCTGACTAGCGTTGAAGTTGAGATCATTGTACTTGGTATTATCATTGGACAAAGGAAGACAGGCTTGTTCCCTGCTCTTTTACTCAGCTCACCCACCACTCGACGCGGTACCTGAGAAATAGAGGGGCTGCGCTGCGCTTTCTACTTCGTGTCTTTGAGAAGCAGGTCTGTGCTTGAGATGAAGTACTCCACTCCGTCTCTGCTTGAGAGGGAGTACTCCACTCCGTCTCTGCTTGAGAGGGAGTAATACTCCACTCTGTCTATGCTTGAAAGAAGTCGATCTACTCCTTCTCCTTTATGTCTTTGGGAAGCAGGCCCATTCCTTATCGCCTGACCTTCTGCTCGATAAAACATGACAATTGGTATATCTTACCTACAGCCTGCAGCCACCTGGTCGGACAAGGGGCAGGTAACATGCGAATTCATAGTCAAACCAAGAGCTCTCAGACTGTAATTGATATCAGGATCATTATCTTCCATATCCTCGCTTCAGATCTTTTCAATTGCTTACAGAACTATTACTTCTAATGCCTTTGTTAAAGTGCTATACAAAGAACGCTGATTTAGTCCCACAAACAGATGCAGAACGTTCCCGAAGCTAGGAACTGGCAGGGATCATCTAGGTCAGCCCGGCTCAAGCGGGGGAGGGGTTTACCGCACTTCGCAGGTAATCCGCCTTGCAAGTCAAAGGAGTGAGCTCATCTCCTTACTAGCGTGACTGTTATCCCGTTGTATACTATTGCCGAACTGTCTATGTTTTTGCTATGTTTTGTGACGTCACACATGCAGAAATGTGTAGTACACTACCTCGATATATTAGGACTCCTTGAGAGGTACTGCCATGAAGACCAGCTTAGGATGTGCGGATAGGGTAGGGGCGTTTGGTGATTCCAAAACCTTTTGGTTGGGCCTCAAAAGACGGAATGAAACTATTTCGCGACTCGACAAGTTAAAGCAAAGTGTATTTTCAGCAAACTTTTTGCCTTAACCTCCTCGGTGCCAAGGTACTGAGCTTGAATGATAGCTGTCCTCAGCTTCAAGACCACCCTCTTCCTGCGTGAGCTTTTAGACAAACGGCATTCTGAGTCCATCTCGGCTCCTATCTCAATACTTCCTATATCAACGGTAGATATATTTCATCATATGCTTATGAAGGGCTCACCTGCGAAACGACAGCACGATATGATTAAGCCCCGTGCGCATCCCAACGCACGATAATCTGAGCCTGCGAGTCAGGCCAAGCATCGTTGCATGAACATGAAGCAAGCCTTTACAAGTTGGTCGCAGACTGATTTTAATTCAATTAAGATGCAGTGAAAGAACCTCCAACAGACAAGCAAGACAAAATCGCCCTAGGTCTTGATAAACATGGTGGTCAGAAACTCTCCAAAAAGGAACCAATCCAAATAGCGCACAAGTAATTAGCAGGCAATTATATAGCCAGAACCATTCTCTCTTTCGATTCATGGTTCATGTATCCAGTATATACTGTTTCGACTGTCAAAGTATTCGTATATCTCAGTCAATGGCAAGCTGTTGAGGCTACAGCACCTAGGTGGTAAAGAGCCGAACAGAAACACTCAGTAGAAAAAGGGAACCCTTAGTAGCCAGAGAAACTTGTGAAAATTCTAAAACATAAGAAGAGACACGCGGCAGGCTCGGAAGCCAAAGTCAAAAGGAAGAGCGGCGGTTTTATATATACTGAGCTGAATTCTCAAGTTCCTAAAAGTGACCAGCCGGCTATCGATAAAGAAGCCACAGGCCGCACGTCGATACGATACATCCTGGCACCCCTGAGCCTCTATGGGCAGCAGCAAAACGGGCGCGAAAGGCCTCGCCGTCGGAGAGATATGATTTCAGGTATAGGGCATCGGATATTCTCGCACAGCTTTCTTATTGTTTTTCTACTGTGCACCTACTGGTAAGATCACCATACTAAACGCTTCGGCTGTAAGTCGACGTATTATGATCCACTAGTTCTATCTTGAAACATTGCTATGGCGGGTCAGTTACACTAGATAGTAGTAATTAAGCAGTTAGGTTAAGAGCAAGTGGAAGAAATAGGTAAGTCGCTTAGGCAAGTCGAGAAAACAGGGGGGTTACTTGGGCAAGTTGAGAAAACAGGGGGGTTACTTGGGCAAGTCAAGAAAACAGGGGGGTTACTTGGGCAAGTCAAGAAAACAGGGGGGTTACTTGGGCAAGTCGAGAAAACAGGGGGGTTACTTGGGCAAGTTAAGAAAACAGGGGGGTTACTTGGGCAAGTCAAGAAAACAGGGGGGTTACTTGGGCAAGTCAAGAAAACAGGGGGGTTACTTGGGCAAGTCGAGAAAACAGGGGGGTTACTTGGGCAAGTTGAGAAAACAGGGGGGTTACTTGGGCAAGTCAAGAAAACAGGGGGGTTGCTTAGGCAAGTCGAGAAAACAAGGGGGTTGCTTGGGTGGTTGGTTGCCTATGGAGGGATTAGCGATATATCCCTATAAGGCTTCGTAGCCCTGTATTCTCGGCCAGCAAAACAGGGCCATAACGATGTAGTGTGTACTCTGTATATGGAAGTCAATCGTTATATCAGTGACATCGCTGTAGAAATCAGGTCTATATGACTTCTTAATTTCTTTTCCAATATGTAAACTCAACCCTTTTTTTATCTTATTTTCTTTAAAAAGAAAACCAATTTTTCAGGCCTAAACTGAGAAATCCCAAGATAAAGAAAAAAAAGGTTTAAGAAGAAATTATAATTTAGTAATTACTAATAAAAGTTCTTGCATTTAATACGATGTCGTTAATTGTAAGGCCTATTATTATTTTAGTAGAAGACTGTTAAATCGAGGTCATATTATCGTAAGGACCCGAACATCGGGACAGGACGTGATCGTTATAGCCTTGGTTTACTGTAATTCGAATACAATAAACCTCCCATGAGTTCAGGTATAGTTAAATCCCAGTCGATACGACAGGGCTTGGCGTAAGCAGTTGAATCAATCTCGATCTTGATTGGTACATTTGGCAGACCCATGATCAAATATGGCGTAGAGCACCAACGAAACTACACTATTTAGATCCTACAGGTGTGGGACAGCTCGGTCTTTCAAGGGGCTGTGCCTGGACTTTCTCGTGTTAATTGTATGAACCAACTCTTTAGCAACTCTTTGGCAAAAAGGTAGCTTGATCTTGCAATTATTTAAACACCGCTCACGGAACTCATTATGGCATTGGAATTGTTGCTACATCTATTCTTCCTTCTCCAAAGCTCCTTCACCATGCTATTCTACAAGTCTTTCCCGGCGCTCTTCACTCTTTTTGCCAGCGTGCACCAGACAGTGGAAGCAAATTCTCGATATTGTCCACCTTACGGTCCCGTACTTCCAGCTCCCAGATACGCAAGTCAGCACCCAGCCGTCAAGTTCTCAGTCGATGCTATTACCTCAATTCTAGAGCAACAGGCGAAAAACTTCAATGTCTCTGGTATTTCTGTTGGCATCCAGTCTATGCACGAGGATAAGCCCTTGCTGAACTTCCATCATACCCCTCCCATTGTCAATCCCAAGCGCGGAGCAAAGGTTGTCAACGCTGATACTGTCTATCGACTCGGAAGTGTATCCAAAGTATATACTGTTTTAGCTGCCTTGAAACTGGCTGAAGATGGTGTGCTGAGTATGAGCGACCCAATCACGCGATGGATTCCTGAACTTAAAAAAGGTACTGGTCATAGCGCACGAGATGAACTTGATGTGACACATTGGGAAGACATCACAGTTGGAGATGCTGCAGCACATCTTTCAGGCCTCGGTGGAGACAGTAAGTTTATTTTTTCCGAACTCATATCAGTTGGGTCAGCAAAACTAACAAGAACAGTGACCACTGAGCTTTCAGCTCTCGATGTTGATTGGAAATCCCTTGGTCTTCCCCAGATCCCCGCAGCTCACAAGGTCCCGTCTTGTCCAGGCCCTGCAGGAGCTCCTGTTTGCACACGTGAAGGTGAGTCACATCAAGCACACGTATCTTTCGGCAAGATTGACCGTCATAGAATTCCTCAACATCTTTCAAAACTATCGCCCACCGGTATACCAGCCCAGTCAATCACCTGTTTACTCCAACGCCGGCATCAGTCTCGTTGGGCTCGTCGTAGAAGCAGCGTCAAACAAGACATTCGGGGCTGCCATCAACGATCTGATACTAAAGCCTCTAGGTCTCCGGCATACGTCCACAGGTATTGTTCCTAGCAATGCCAAGAATATGTTTATCCCTGCTGGAAGCGCTGATTGGGATGTTGATGTGGGAATATTTGGCCCGTATGTTTGTCTCTGTGACATCTCAGGAATACACTAACAAATTCATAGCGCTGGTGGAATGGGATCCAGCACAGCCGATCTCCTTTCTTTCATGACCAACATTCTGAAGAACAAGATCCTCTCACCATCCGCCACTCGTCGCTGGCTAAAGCACAACACGTTCACCTCAACATGGAGTGGTGCAGTTGGCTCGCCCTGGGAGATCTACCGTGTCGACAACCTTACTTCTGATGGTCGGATTATCGATATCTACACCAAAGGTGGAACATTGGGCAGTTACCAATCCGGCATGGCTATGATACCTGACATGGGCATCTCAGTCTCTGTTCTCGGTGCAGGGCCAGAAGTAACAAGTGTCTGGTCACAGCTTGCAATCCTCAACATCGTGGAGGCGTTGGTTCCCACCCTGGACATTGCGGCCAAGGACGAAGCCAAGACACGATTCGCGGGAACGTACTCTGACAAGTCCAGTGGCTCGAAGCTTACTATTTCTTTGGACAAGGGCCCGGGTCTGGTCTTGACAGACTGGGTAGCTCGGGGCCTTGAGGTCCTGCCCAACTTGAATCGCTACCAGCCGGGACGAATCAACGACACCACACCTTCGGGCATCAAGAGTATTCGGCTCTATCCTAATGGTATTGAGAACAAGTCTCATGCAGCTTGGAGAGCTGTGATTCCTTCTCTGAGTGAGCAGGAGGCTGAGATAATCGAAGGATTGACTTCGGTGAAGGATGTGACTTGCATTACCTGGCACATGCTGGATCGCTTTCTTTATAACTCACTTTCCATGGATCATTTCGAGTTCAAGTATGGTAAGGATGGGAAGGTTATTAGCATTAAGTCCAAGGGTTTTGACATCGAGATGGCTAAAGGTTCGGCCTGAATTGGAGATTATCTGCTAGACTTGGAACTGGGAGTCTTCAAGCGTTTAAGCTCACTCTTTGTCCCGTTAAATAGGTAGTAAGATAAAATCTTGTCGATAAACCATGTTATCAATTGCATGTGACAGTGGCAAAGGAAAGACACATACACCATTCTGGTCTTGATTTTTTATCTCACTCCCCCACCTTGTGCTATATAGCCGCTGGTGTCAGCTTTCCCACCACAACCCCCCTCACTACAGCAGGTCCACAACCTGTTAATCTTCCGTAGTATAGTGGTCAGTATGCAAGCTTGTCACGCTTGAGACCCGGGTTCAATTCCCGGCGGGAGAGATCCAGCCATCTGCGATACGCAGGTCATTCTTTTTTCAATCTTGACTCGAATAGTGCACTACTCACAGAGACGTGAGGTGCAAGGTGTTTTATCTTTTTTTCGCTTTGCGATGGCGATGGCAGAATGGAGCCGACACTTCACGATTCACAAATAATGATGAGTTCTGCTTGAAATCACATGGACGTAGCATTTTGATCACCATTCTATTGTCTTTAATAAGTTTAACTTTCTAACAGTATTTCCTATCTACACCATGCATTTCAGACTTGTACAAGCGCTGAAGTGCAGCGACGTAGACTGTTCCATTCACCATTCATTCTTCTCGTAGTTGATTTATTCCGGATCTAAGCGGCCACTCCAGCGAGAGCGTTAGGCTCACCGAGAGCACCCTGAGGGAATCTGGAGTTGAAGCCAATGACGGACTGGACGCTGTGGAAGGTCGATGCCTTGATGGAAAGCTTCTGGTCAGAGACCAACCATCGGACACCCTCGCTGCAGGGAGGAGTTGTCAAAGAACCCTCATAACTAGTCAAGGTCAGCCTATGTCTCATTATCATAATCTTAGGTGTAACTCACGTCTGGAAAGAACCAGCAGCCAGGGTGCTAACAAGCTCGGCCATGTTGAGCGACTTGGTCTTGGTGAGAGTTCCAGGCTCGGTAATCTCTCCGACCGAGCCAAAGACAGTCTCGAGAAGTGAGGAAGCAGTTGTAGCGGCAGTAGTAGGGGCGTTGACGTGGAAGAAAGTGCCTCCAACACCAGGGAGTTGGCGCTTTTCGTGAGAGTGGTCGTGGGCGTGGGCGGAACCAACACTCTTGCGAACCATCTTGACGAATCCGTCTCTCTTGCGAGCCGCAGGAGTGGCGGCAGGTGGCAGTTCAGAGGTAGAGTTACCAGCGGGACTTCCTCCAGCGCCATCGTCGACATCAATGAAGACACCGACAACAGCGATCTTGGAATCCTCACTCTCCCAGACCATGTGCATCTCCATAGCCATACTCTTTCCAGCGTCCAGATGCTCACTGGGCAAGTGGAAGTGGAACTGCTGGAGAGTGAAGCTGGTATTGGCGAATTTCATGGTACCCTGTCCAGCAACGACTTCGACAGTGGTGCCCAGGTTCTCGAATTCGGTTCCCTCGAGCATGTCAGGGATAGACAGGCCCAACTGAGATGCAGGGATAATGGCATTGGCGCCTGCGGCCATGTCGATGGGGGATTGGTTTACACCTGTTGAGCAAAGAGCGTTCGCCTGGGGGTCCAAGCCAACCCAGTTGGTAGGTCCCTACAAGTATTGTCAGCCTTCATCCTCATAACAGATTTTCCGAGTCAGAACAATAAGGACATACGATCTTGCCAGTGTAGCCAAACGTGTTGACCTCAACAGCACCACCCTCAGCTCTAGGGTGCAGAAGTGTTCCGTAAGCGCACGAAGCAAGCGCCTCCGAGGCCAAGGCGCCAAGGAGAAGAAGTTGTCGGGTGATGGAACCAGCCATGATGATTATAAGTCGTGGAGTCGTTGAAAGAAAGAGATTATACGACGGTGAGAGTACAAGAAAGAATGAAACAATTAACAGAAATTAGGCAAACAAACAGAGGCCAGCCTCAAGGAGAATAAGAAACAATGGTAGAAACAAGAGACAGAATCGAACGATGATGCCGAGAAATCAGCAGGTTGAGGACGAGGCATGTGTTTTAATAGGAAACTTGGCGAGGAGGCAAAGGTAAGGTCCGCCAAAACATGTGGAGACCAAAATAGTATCCTGTGTTTAGCTCTGTTTCGTTATGTATGCTTAAGGTAACCTTAAACCTTGACGTTGCGGAGGGTGACATTGAAAAAGTAGCGTCGCAGGTGGTGTCGCGTGGAGTACTTGATACTCGCCCGGTCTCGGATGCCAAGATGACAGCCGGGGATATGATTGCAGATTGAAAGTATTGTAGGGCTTTTTAATTGAGTGAAGAAGAAGTCTGCTGGTTGTGAGACAGCTTGAACTATGAGATTTGTGTTGAGTTAGATTGAGTTCAAATGAAATGACTGCAGATAGTGACAAAACAGCCAGAAATCCATTATAGCTTCAACTACTCCAGTAATTCCCCACTGATCGGAACTCCGGATGGCACTTACATGGTGAAACCCAAGACCAATAGCAGCAATAGCCAAATCGAAAAATCGGATGATTTTGACGTCTAGACCTCCATGGACCCTGTCTCTCTAACTGCAACAGTGGCAGGTTCTGTTGCAAGGGGCACGGGGCAAAGCTCAAACGGTCTCGCTTACCGCGAACAACCTTGCCACGAAGATTATCTCTCCTGGGAGATAAGAAACGGTTTGATAAAGTTTTGATTAGAGTATGTAATTGAAGATCCCGCGAGCAGGTTTTAAGTTTTGTGTTTGCTGTAATTTTAGATCTTATTGAAACCTCACTTATAACAACCGCGCGTAGCCAGACTCTTCCGACCGTGGGGGCCTAGATGCAATACCCTGGCCAGCTATAACAGCGGCCATAAGGAACTTTGACCGGGTTGTATGGCGACGAAGAGAGTGTAATCCGAGATAGTAACATAGCTGGATCTCCTATTCGACGTCATTTTATTTATCCTACTAGCTTTATCTGAATATAATAGTAAACGCGGACACAAGCGCCCTCCATGTCCGTGATCAGAGTCTCCAGATACCGCTGAACAGGGGAAAACCGCGTCGTAGGCTGGTTCCTGTAAAGAGCCTTGAGGAACAAAATTACCCAAGGCAGTTTCCAAGGTGCAACCAGAGTTATCCTTCAAGTCGGCAGCGACTTGACAAGCAGCCTAATCTGGGGTAGATTACGTGAGATGGGGCGTCTAATGTTTCTAAACGGGTGGTCTTGTAGTATGGCATTACGGTACGGATAACTTGACAGTCACTTCTGGCAATAATGAGCGGATGTGTCAAAAGCTTCGCCTATCAAGCAGTGTAATATTCAATATCTGGATCTTATAATCGCGAAAGGCAGCTATAGATATATAAACATTCTTCCACAATGAGAATGAAGCCAGGATGAGAAACTGTGAGCCCCTTCACAGTGTCCCCTCTGCGCCCCAATCTATTGAGGAATCATGGTTGTTTAAGAGTACATCCTATAAGATAGGACATGTGTAGAACGGTACGGTTGGTGTCAGGACTGCCTAAAAGGAGCCTTCTCTGACACTGAAACAAGTGATAGAACGATCGATAGCGACAGGGTTTCGGCATTTTGTGATGCGATGCAAAATTTGACAACGATGGGAGATGTTGCATCCCGTCTTTGGTGACGACGATTCCAGTTGGACATGAAGGAGAGTTTGTGGAACTTCAGCCGTCGTCATTCGTGCAGTGATGGTGCTCCGAGATTAGATCTTGGACCAACGCAGAAGCACCGCAGCAGCGATGACTGGCAGCACGCTCACCAACTCTCCGAGTCCCGCAAACTCTGGGGGAATCCTCGCGTTGACAAAGGCACCCGCAGCAAGAAGAACTGCAAAGGTGTTGTACACGAAACTCCACCCAAAGTTGAACTTGATGCGGTTGACAGATTTCCGACTCGCATTCATCATGGTAAGAATACCAGCCAGGGAAGGGCGCATGAGAACAACATCCGCAGCAGATTGGGCGACATCTGTGCCTTCGTTCATATGGACGCCGATAGTAGCCTGCGCGAGAGCAACGGCATCGTTCGTGCCGTCGCCGCAGAAAACGACAACCGGCTTCTTGCCATGTGTGGTATCACTGAGGAGAGTCTGGATGTAGTCCCTCTTGTCGGCAGGCGAGCTTCGAGAGCGTACATTGTCATCAGGAATGCTAAGCTTGGATGCCAAGTTCCGAACGGCTCCGTCATCGTCGCCAGAAACCACATGTACCGAGACACCACGCTTCTGCAAGGTTTCAACCGTTTCCGCAGCATCAGGCCGGAGTTCGTCCTCCAGTCCAAAGACCGCCTTCAGCTCATTATCGATCGTAAAACAGAACACAGTGTAGCCTTGAACGAGCATCGGCTGGACGAGTTCGTGGTCTGACAGATTCAACCAACGAGAGTTGCCAGCTCGGAGTTTCTGACCGCCAAGGGTGCTTTCGACACCTTTACCAGTCAAGCTCTTCGGCTCAGGAACAGTCGAAGTCATGATTCCGATGTCCTTGAGGTGGGCAGCCACAGCAACCGAAACCGGGTGTCGACTGTTTTCAACCAGGCCCAGAAGAAGTGGAAGTTTGTCTTCATCGATGCACTCGTTCCCAACAACCGAGAGCTTTCCTCGAGTCAAAGTTCCTGTCTTGTCAAACACAACGTGCGAAGTCTTGTGGGCGACTTCAATAGCGTCCGCAGACTTGAAAATGATACCCCGTTCCGCCGCGACTCCGCTGGCAATTACAATAACCATGGGAACAGCCAATCCAATTGCACAAGGGCAAGAGACTATAAGAACAGTGATGGCATAGGTGATGGCCTGGATGGTAGCTTCAGATCCTCCATAGCCACGGACGGTCATCCCCACTGCGACCCAGATGACAAACGTAATGACCGTCAATGCCACCACCACAGGGACAAAGTAAGATGCTACCCGATCTGCCAGGTCCTGTAACTTGGGCTTTGATAGCTTGGCCTCGTCAACCATCGCAGCAATAGCGTGGATGGTATTGTCACCAGGCAGACGGTTCAGCCGAACAGTCATGACTCCAGGTCCATTGATAGATCCAGCAATCACCACCGATTTGGGATACTTCTCCACCGGCCTGGATTCACCCGTGAGCATAGACTCGTTGACCTCAGAAGACCCGGTGATAACAGTGCCATCGGTCGGAACCCTGGTGTCGGGAAGAATCTTGAATGTATCGCCATATTGCAGAAGTCGGGCGTCGATCTCACGTTCCGTTCCACCTTCTTCGTCGATAAGGATGGCTGTCGATGCCTGGAGTGACCGGATGGAAATGGACTCGACGGCTCTCTGACGAGCGAGTGCTGCAACCCATCGGCCAACCATGATCAGAGTGACCAAGAGAGTGCTCGTTTCGAAGAATTGTCCAGTAGAGAGGGGCTTCCCTGCGACAAAGTACCCAAAAGATACCACAGAGAAAATGTAGGCAGCACTGGTGCTCAGGACAATTAAGAGGTCCATCTCGATCACTTTGGAGAAAACAAGTGCTTTCAGAGCCTTGGGATAGAAAGGTCCTGCGATACCAACTTGAACGATGGTTGCCAACGCGAGTGAAGCCGAGGAATAAGCCAACTCCCGCTCGGGAAGAGGAGCCCATGCCATGACAAGAACAGGAATCGTCAAGACAGCGGAGAGAAGCGTCGTGTATCCAACTTGACGGACATGCTTGCTCCCAGCCTCTAGCGAAGGATCACCACGAGGCGGAGCAAGTTCAATTGGCGGACCCCAGATCTTCTCGGCGAGGTCTCGGGCTCCCACAATCTTGGAGTCAAATGCAACTCGTACAGTCTGTTTGTCCACAAGCGTCATATCAATGACACCCTCCGGCCATTTCTGATTCATGAATTTCGAAGGGTCGTCGGAGACGACAAGATCCAGACTGGATCCCTGGTTCTGAACTCTTTCGCATTTGAATTCGGTCGTTCGCTCCAGATGTTTCACAACTTCTTCCACCGAGCCGAGGCGGAGGTCGATGTTGAACTCAGCTCGTGAGAGAACCAGGCTCGTCTTCAGGTCTTTGACGGCGGCAACTGTGGCGAGAGTTCGATTGAGCTTTGTCTCGCAGCCAGTACAAGTCATGCCGGAAATACTGAGGACAACATGCTCCTTGCCGGTACCCTGCTTCTCTACATCGGTGGTCGCCTGAATCGGGGCCTTCTCAATCTCTAAGCCGTGATCAGGCGCAGCAGAGGAGCAGCAGGCATCGGCGCAAGAGCCCTGTGGGCTGACCGGTCGCTTTTCCGAGCAGCAAGAGTCCGCACAACTAGTCTTTGGAGGCTTGCCGGTATCCTTGTTGGCTGGCTTGCAACAAGATCCTGCACATCCACTGGGTGGAGGTTCAACAACGGGCTTGACCTTCGAACAGCACGAGTCCGCAGAAATGCTCTTGGTATCATTGTCGTTGACATGCTTGTCCCCGGGGCAACAAGAGTTGAGGCGTCCAGTATCGGCGACAGACGGCCTGGTAGGCTTATCGGGGGAGCAGCACGATTTGGCACAATTGTCCTTGACGGGTAGAGCTTTGACAGACTTGTTGTCGGAGCAGCAAGAACCGGAGCAGTTAGTCTTTGCTGGGGCTTCTTTGGCTGGGCAAGATCCAGAAGGTCTGATGTCAGCTACAGCTTCTACGTTGGGCTTGGCCTTTGAGCAGCATGAATCCGCACAGCTGGTCTTGGGGGGAGGCTCTTTGGCAGGCTTCCCTTCGGAGCAGCAAGACTTGGAGCATTTGCCCTTGATGGAAGGCTCTTTAGCGGGCTTGTCCTTGGAGCAACAAGAGCCCGCGCAGGCAACAGTAGATGGTTTTTTGACAGATTTGACGCTTTCTCCGGAGCCCTTGCGCTGGCGAAGGCGGTTCTGCGCGGCGTGGTACTGCGTGCCGGAGCCGCTGCTGCTGTAAGAATCCAGCGAAGTACGAAGAAGGGAGCGGGCAGACGACTTCTTGGAGCACTGCTTCCCGTCCAGCGAATGGCGCTCGCGAATTTCACAGCAGGTTTCCTGGCCGAGAGCAATAAGAGCACGACAGATGCATCCTAGGGCCTGAAGAGTGGCACCATAACGGTCGAGCGCAGAGGTACTGTGCTGGCTGCATGCCTTGCCGTCGGCAGCTCCACTGCAAGCTGAGGCGAGTTAGCAATCTCGAATGGCGTTTTGTAGGCACGGCTACTCACTCTTTGTCTGGGCGACAGCGCTTGTCTCGCATTCCCGCATAGCCAAGCGGTCAAGGCAAGACGTGTCGCAACATGGGCCTACCTTGCCACGGCAGCAATCAGGCGCGTCGCTGTCATCCTTGGCTTTATCGTCGGCGCATTTGCCAGAGGAGCAGCAATCATCTGGTACATTCTGGTTGAGCTCTTCCTGACCCGGGTCCTTGGTCTCGAGAGCCTCATCGCAGCAAGAGTCCTGGCAACTGCTCGTCTCCTCAATTGGAGCCGCGATTGGTGCAGCGACCGGCTCAGTGGTTGGAGCCGGTGGACCGCAACAGTCGCATCCCATTGTTGAAGTATCCGTGTTTTTTTTTTGCTTTTCAGTCCGAATTTCGTGAGTTGGGGTTGAAATGGTGTTGATGTTGATGTTGGAAATTGAGAAGGTTTAGGAATTGAGGCAGCCTCTTGAGACCAGTCTCTGATGCCTGCCCTTGGTCAGCGATTGCCGAAACACGCCCTTGCATCCGACCGTGCCCGAGACCAATGGACCAGAAGTTAATAAAATGGGAATTTTGCTGATCAAAAGTAATGTAAATGATTAAATATCGAATAATACTTCTAGACAAGGAGTAGTAAAAAGTAAGTCCAGAAGATGTCGGGAACTGGAAAAAGATATCCAGACTGGTCAAGTCTAGTTGTTGTTTGTCAGTCGACATTGGCCTGATTCGAACAGACGCCTCCGAAGAGAATAGATTTCTAGTCTATCGCGTTAGACCACTCCGCCACAATGCCTTGTCTGATTGATGGAAGTTAAAGACGTGTCCTACTTTATGAGGGGGTAGTCGTGAGGAAAATGACTTGTAAAACCTCATCCACCAGAGCTCTTCCGCTAGTCACGCCGCCATTCACCAGTGAGAAATGCCGCGAACAAAAGAATGAGAAAATTCTATCAGAAAATGTGGATCTCAAACAGATAAGCACTCACTACCAGTGTTTCCTGGTAAGGAATTCATTGAACTACATGTGTTCATTGCAGAGGCTGCGATTGCATCACAATTAATTAAAGTTAACAGGTATCAGGCGACACTCAAAGTAAATTCTTCAATGTCCATGACGACAAAGTAATTCACCTTCCAATAGATGTTTCGCTCATTGTTACTATTGCATCCGAAAAAGAATGAGTGAATTGTTGGTCGCTAGAGCACTAGATCCCATACAGAAAGACAGACATAACATTTAATAAATGCAACAAAGTCGCAAATAAAAAGAATAATCGTCCACTCAAAATTGCGAAAGATTTGTCGGTAGAGAGGTTCGAACTCTCGACCTTTGGATTACTCTGATCTAGGACCAGATCACAACAACTTGTTATGAGACCAACGCTCTAACCAACTGAGCCATACCAACTTGTTCGATGTCTCAGCCTGCGGGATTTGAGACTATGATCCTGGTCACGCAAACGAAAGGACACGCTCTACCACTGAACGCGGCGACTGCAGATACCGAGTTGTCTCGAATCTGTCTGGCGTCGATGGATGTATCACCACGCGTTCTACTGGTATGGCTTTGGGTGCTCTAGAAGCAAATGATGGGAAGAGAACAAGCATCTCGACAAGTTCTTGCATCTAGATGAGTCGCGGTCTAATGTCGAGGGATGGATTCCTCCGTGAACCAGTTCGATAGCCAAAGAAGCCATTCGGTCTTCGACGTAGTCCATGGTGATGCGATCCGGTTTGATGCCGATCATACCAGGCAAACTATTATAAAAAGCTTCGGAATAAACTGCAAATGCAGTGCTTCGCTGTATGGGTGTTATTCCCTCCCAATTGGGACATGTCGCGTCTGCCTGTCTGGTGAATCGCGCTATTACTGGTGAAGAGAGTCGCCAAATCGCGCTCAACTACGCGTCGTTCCAATGGAGTATATTAATCCATTTAAATAATTCGGACCCGTTACTAAAGAGTAATACGCGATCCAGCAAATAAGGATTTAAAAAGAAGGAGAAAACATGGTGATGAATGAAGTGAAGGATTGCAACATGCAAGACTAACCATGTCAAATGACAAAAATAGTTGACAAGACTGGGATTCGAACCCAGGCCCCTTTCGAGACTGCGAATCGTTACTAGTTCTAATCGAACCTGAACACAGCGCCTTAGACCGCTCGGCCATCTTGCCTTTTGATTGGATACTAATTTTTCTCCCAAACGCCATCATATCGCAAGAGTCAAATTTGCAGGTGAACGTGATCTCAAAGACCAAACTCCAGTATCTAGAACATCTTGGACATATCTTATGTGTAAGTAACCAAGATTTTATATGTTCTTTCAGTTTGATTCAGGAAGAGGTATAAAAATGATGGTTTGTGACATTCTTGTTCGAATGTTAATAGTGTCAGAGAAACTACAAATCAACCATACTTTCTCATCGAGGAGATAATCTCACGAGACACAAATTCACGCCATCACTTGATCCGGCCTGTTTACTCATTTAAAAAGACACGAGATAAATAAGCGATTAAATGACAGTTGTTATACAGAGACTTCTCCACTTCTACTGCTCAATATATTGTCATAACGACCTATTTAACGTCGTCGTCCTGTGATATCTGTGCAAACTACCCTGTAGCCATAAGAAGTGAGACATCTACTGATGTCATAGCTTTCGGTGGAAACGTTAGCAAATTTTCGCGCCCTGTTTCAGGACTGTTTCTCGCTTGCATGACCCCTAGACTTTACGTGCAAGCAAATTCGCGCGTCGCGTCACAGTGTGTTCCCAGCCTCCTCATTTACAGTGATCTGGATGAGTTCAAACTAAGGACCTAAAGAATTTAAGAGTTGTTAACGTGTCTTTGAACCATGAATTCGAAAGCAATAATAGTAGGTACCGTAATGTGATGCATTCTCTAGACGCCTCTTGCTTCGCCTCTTTTAGGTAGAAATGCATGTCCATTGCGGCCTCACTGATACCCCTCATGTTTTCCCTCCGTCTCCATGGGGTTGCAGCCGTCTCTGCTCATATTACTCACAAAGCTGTAATGCCAAATCTAGCTCTTGAAATTTTCTCAAAACCGCAATGTCCACGCGAGAGAAGAATTATTTCTTGGCGCCGATTGGAAACCCCCCGGAGGGTCCTATCCGACTCGGAAACATTGTCTCCGGTCCAGCATTCGCAGACGATCCTATCAATGAGGAACACCTCCCGTTGGACTCGGTGGCCATGGAAGTCAGTGAGCACAACCAAACCAACTTCACCTTTGACATGAGCATGAGCAAAGATGGCTTTGTCGGAGTTTGGGCATCATTCTTGCAAGTGTTGGGGATCGGCGGTGACGTGACGTTTGAGTGGTCCAGGGAGCACAGCGAGAAATGGGCCTGCGAAAACTTGAAAACCGTTTCATGCAACCCCAAACTTTCTTACATTACTCAGTGCTTGAAAGATGAGGGTGTGCAGCATTATATGCGTGTTGAAAAGCCTTGGCTTGGTGCCTCCAAGCTGTATATGGTCACCGGCATCAAAGTGGCCTACGGAGCTGCCTCCACAGTCGCCTACGCGAGAAAGAATGGGCTGAACCTCCGATTCGGCACAGATTTCAGTTCACAAGGTGTTCCTCTCAGTTTAGGACCTAAAATTGGAGGCAGCAATACGATATCTGTTCAGCAGTCGCAGGAAGGCGCCGAGCCATTTGTTTTTGCCTTTCGCTTGCGACGAATCAAGATCTCGCGAAAGGGTGATATTCGTCATGAGAACTACACTAGAGGAACAGTCCTCAGTATTAAGGAAGATGGCCCGAGTGGTGAATCGGATATGGAGATTGTGGTTGATGGCATTGAGGACCATGACGCAGAGGGCTCGGAATTTCAACTTGACAGCAAGGGCGCTTTGGAGGAGGAATCCCCAGATGGTACACGCTGCAAATGTGTGGTAGTTGAGGATACATGAATCTGCACTTGAACGATGTTACTGGTCTCATTGCCCGAGTGAATGGGGCTCAATGAGATTCGTTCAATGGTCCGATAGCAGACTGCGCCGGTCACATGAAAGTATTGATATAGTCATCTGGATTTGTATTTATTATTGTGACGGCTTGAAGCACCGAGCAACCTCCGCCCCAACTTCCAAACCATATTCCTTTCTCAACTCATCAACTATAAACCAAGCAGTGATCAACCTCTCTTCACCAGCCTTTCCAATAAGCTTCCACGGAACAAGGAACTTTAGCCCATTAGGACCCTTCTCACTACTTGCAAGTCTCAATACTGATAGTATCGCTGGGGTCTCTTGTAGGTAGGTCTGTATATCCGGGCTTTTGTTGAGGGGAGACTGCCGGGCGAATTCAAGAATCAAGGCTGCCACCCCCGCAGCAATAGGGCATGCAAAAGACGAACCAGACCATGTCCTTTCGGTGTTGGGACTGGGAATTCCCAGACCTGGTGCGCTGAATCTAGATCCTCTGCTGTGTTGAGATGATGAAGAAGGAGCGTATCGCGCGTGCTCGCCATGCCCATCAGCCGCATCAACGCCTATCACGTTGTCGGATCGTGCTGGGTATAGGATATCATTCGGTGGGCCGAGAAGCCCATCGTTGGAAGTCGAGGCAAACATATGGACCCCATTCTGGCGTGCAAAATCGATGGCTTTGCGGACGCCGTCGTGGTTGTATGGCCAGCCAAAAGACATGTTGATGATATCAACTCCCCATCCACCACCATCGGGGCTGTCTTTATCCGGCTTTGCAGCAGCTTTTTTGATAGCTCTTTCCACGGCCGTTTGATCCGGAATCAGGCTTTTACCTTCTGGACGTACTACTCGACAGATATACAATACTGCCGTGAGGCTGACCTTGAGTATCTGCACAGCCACTGCTGTTCCATGCCCAGATGGATCTGTCTTGGCTTCGGAGTCCGAACCGCCTTCAATGAAGTTGGTAAATTTCTTGACTCGTTGATAGTATGGTTTCAGAGCCCTTTTGTCTTCGGCTGTTGTGTAAGCAAAGCCGGTGTCAAGAACGGCTATCTTGATTGGCGTAATGGATTTTGAGTTTGATCCGTCTTGTCTATACATGAACTCGTGTGTGGTTGTTTCCAACATATTGAACCATTGTTCTGTTGATCTGGCGCTGTGAATTGTTAGATCAGAACCTCCAAAACCCGTGAAGTTCATTTCTCACCTCGAGTCAGCGGCAGACGTCTGGAAAGCGCCTAGGTTTATACTATCCATATACTTGGCTTCAGGTTTTGTCTCATTATTAAGTGTGGTGGTTGATTTTCTGTCAGATTCTTCAAGACGGCCCGAAGCACTGTAGTTATTAGGGTGTACAGTATGGATAGCCCGCTCAGAAGTCGAAGCAGAGGCGACTGTACTGTGATTCGTAATCTCATTGGGAGCAGTGGCAGGTGAGTCAGTTGTGGGTTCAAAAGGAGTTGTAGATCCGCCAAGGCGAATGTGCGTATGGATCGCGCGAGGTGGCAATTGTTTTGGATGACAGTCGACTGAAAAAACCTTAATAGCAGGGTCGAAATCGAGAACGGCGATCCGCCCAACAATGATCATGACTCTCAACTTGACCTTACCTTCTAGCTCCCGAATAAGCTTTAGGAAAACATTAGGCAACAAATCTGCGTCGTTGAAGTTATTGCGTAGAACCCCCGTATCAATAACAATGGTAAACTCCTTTTCAACACGACGCTCGAGAGCCAGTATACCAGCTAAAGCTTGAAACCAGTCGCGGGAGGCAACGAGTTGCAGCACTTTGACAAGTAGCCCCAGAGTAAGAGGTGTCGTCAGGGGATATAAAGCTTGCAAAGCTTGCATCGCTAGCTGACGAAGAATATCGTCCATCCGATTAGTTGTGAGATCAGCTACCTCGTCTGGCAACGGACTCAGAAGATAAAGAACCACGTCGGGTGATTTGACGTTATTCACCACTTCGATTCCAAAAGTATCCAGGGTCTTTCGCTGCTGTGACGTACCCATAACGAGCAACACTGAAGGGTCTGTACCATATGCCCAGTCTTGTACTTTCTCTGTATCCCATATAGAAGAAGTGATACTCTTACTTTGAGTTCCTCGTGTGCGAAGAAACAAGATACGATCTTTGATAGCACTCTGGTTGATTGCAACGCCATTATTGTGGAATGTTGGAACCTGCCAGATTAAGTCGTCGTCAGGCAGGTTGGTAAGCTTCCAATGTCCTGAAGAGAAAGTTTCACGAACTTTGCCCCTGTCAGCCACGACGAAATGTTGGTAAAATAACCACATACTGGTGATAATGTGACGAAGCTCCACAAGATGATTGCGATAGTCGTTATCTCTCATCTGCTGTTGTATACTAATTATAGCTGGGTGTTGCCGTCCAGCATCTGACTCTCGGCGTTGTAGTTGTCGCTCTATCTCGCTCCGCAGAGACTGTAGAGGATCCATGTCGCGTTCTTGGACGGTTGAATGCTGTGTGAGACATGTCTGAAACTCGATTCCAGGAGGGTTAGGCGCCCTGGTCAGACAATGTGCGGGAAATACCACCCTGATTGGCTGGGTGGAGTCACGAGTTGACACCCTTGTCGCCGAGGCTGAGCTTTTGTTCTCATTTCAGAGCCAGGTTCAAAGGTCGCAGATCGAACATCACTCTATTAAGATGCCCTCAGCACCGCGATATAGTCGCAGACAGCCCCAATCGCCCCCGCCAAGACGTAGGCAGTACTCCCCTGCCTCTGACATTGACGAAAGGCGGCGCAGGGGTAGTGTCGACGACTACGAGAGGGGCTATCGGAGGAGACGATATGAAGATGACGCTGGTAAGTCAATTTGGCTCCCTATCCCTTCTATCAGTCTGATGCATGGGCCTTAGCCTCCCAATCTTCAGACCAAGACGGTCCTGATCCTCCTCCTCCCCCAAAACCTGAGCGGGAGGTGGACCATGACCGCGATGTTGATGCTGACATAAGGTATCGCCCTATGGTCCCGTTCAGCTGGCGCAACGAGATCTGTCGCTTGCTGGAAGTTTCTCCTGATGCACTAGATGAGGAGGTTTTCCAAGCCATAGGCAAAGCGTCCAAGATACTGAAGGAAACCGAGAAAATGCGGGCCCTTTTTGAAGCTCGACAAGGTCCGCCACGGTATCAAGTAATACACTCAGTTCGATGCGAGAAATCGAGAACGGAGGGAAAACTATACCTCGATCAGCCTTGGGTGGTTGAGACTGGCCCGCAAAACGCCCACCTGCGGGGTAGCCAGCCCATTCTGAATTTTGAGCTCTTTCTGGAGAGAAACAAAGAGGTTGTAGCAATCATCTACAAGAATTACAGATGCTGCGGAAATTCACGAGCGTACCCCAAAAAGGCCCGTCATGAGGATGGTGACCAGATTGAAGCGTCCTCGCTTTTGATTAGCGAGGAGATAGCTATCATCTCAGAGGACTTGAAATCCGCTATGGTGGAATTTTCTGATAGCATGCTGGGAGGATTTCCGCACCCCAAGTTCGAAGAAGATGAAGAAATGAAGTATCCGTACATTTGGTGGTTTCATCGCCGGAAGGAGATCAATGGAGCGCTTGAACGGTACCAATCTTCCGACTGGTTTCCTATGGTCAACTTGGTCCGTGAGTATATGCTTGAGCGCATGACGGAGGAATGGGAAACAGTCGACGACTTGCTCGGGAGGAGGAAGATTTGCCTCCAATACATGGGATATCTGTTTGTGAGTTTTCCTTACCCACCACGCAATTGCCCCGACGAATCGCAATAGTGAAGCTGACATTCCTCATCAGGTCCCCGAACAACTTGCTATTTCAACTAAACAAGGACGTGCCATCTCAAAGCTCGAGGGCGTTGTAACAGACGGTTGGCTCGAACAACAACCATTTATTGAATACTCGGCAATTGTTGATGTGACCTTTTGGACTTTCGACGGCATGTTCCACAAGACCTCTAAACAATTTGCTATCACAGACCTCCCTCGCGACATTAAATCCGAGGCGGAAGAGTTTGCTATTACTGATCTACCGCTTTACCCAATTGAATATGCCAGCAGTGAGGTTGCTGAAGCCCTGCGTCAGCGGGGTCGAATGTTTTGGAAATGTCGTTTTCGCAATTATGTGTCACTCGCTGGGGAGATGAACGAGGATATACAAGATTCGGTTTGTTACTGATGTGCTTACCTAGTTAAAGGCTTGCTAACTTGGTTTCAGATTGGCTCTCGGTTCATGGTCGATATCGCAACCCACAAGAAGCTGCATCGTGAAGGCAATGGCCGGTCCCAGCGAGCACCGTCTCCCGGCCCTAATGACCTGGAGGCGGAATACATGTCCGAAGATAACCCCGATCTTGCAGATGACTTCTTCATGTGTCTCCCAACATCAATATTTGGATTCAACATGGATAAAAAGGAATGGGGTAAGTGCTTGTGATACTGCTTTTGGAGACTCATGCTTACCCATCCGAGTCAACTTGGACGTACACTATTTGCGGGATGTTGTCTGGAATACTGAGGCTTTTGATCTCCTTGTTGTTCAGGAGGAAACGAAAGTTCTCATCCAGGCCGTGGTCACGAACCAGCTTCGGACCACGGAGAATGCGGATCTCATTCAAGGAAAGGGCAACGGTCTTTTTATACTTCTCCACGGGTATCACTCCCCTCACTCATTAGTCCTAGATCCGTAGCTAACAGCAAGACAGAGGACCTGGAACAGGCAAAACTCTCACGGCAGAAAGGTATGTACTCCCCTCTGCGAAGGATAACCAGCTCACAGAGATGCAGCGTTGCTGAAGTTGCGAAAAAGCCATTATACAGAGTTACATGTGGTGATATCGGCACCAAGGCTGAAGATGTCGAACAGGTCAGTTACATACGCAACTATCTCTGATATAGCTGACTGTATAGTATCTCAATGTTGTCTTACATCTCGGAAAGACATGGGGCTGTGGTAAGTTGTAACACCTGGTTGCCCGTACAGCTTTAACCCTTTTTAGTTGTTCTCTTGGACGAAGCAGATGTTTTCTTGGAACAGCGCTCCCTAGTAAACCTTGAGAGAAACGCTCTCGTATCAGTATTTCTACGGGTTTTGGAGTATTACGACGGTATTTGACCCCAATGTAAAGCAACGGCTCACGTACTAATAACCACTAGGAATTCTCATACTAACAAGCAACCGAGTTGGTATTTTTGACGAGGCTTTTAAGTCACGCATCCAGTTAAATCTGCGTTACAAAAATCTCGATCGAGGCCAGAGACTGCAGATATGGAAGAATTTTTTTATTCGCCTCAGTCGCCTGGAACAAGAGGCTCTCAAAAAGGATCAAAACAGCCTATCCTATGGAGTCAACGTGAATGAGATGACAGCCAAGCTTGACGAGTTAGCTGATGCTAATCTCAATGGCCGCCAAATTCGCAACGCTATTTCGACAGCGCGGCAGTTGTCAAGGTATCTCAAGGAACCATTAGGCTACAAGCATTTGACGGCAGTGATCGATGAAGCGAAGAAGTTTGATGAGTATTTGTTGGAGTTGAACAGGACGTATACAGCGGATGAAATTCAGAGAGATAAGGGAGAAAGGTAGTTTGAATGCGTTTTCATACCCCACGCAAGCTTTCTACGGAGCTACTCTGTTGCTACCTTAAAGATGTAATCCATACATAGAGAAGAAACAAGATAGCGGGAGAACTCTCGACAAAGGTTGAACTACAAGCCAATGTCAGCCTTACAGGGTTGTCCAATCAGTGCAGCGTTCCAAGCGCTGTGGAGGCCTCCCTCCATAATTGGCATAGCCTCAAGTAAGCACAACATGACCCCGAGGCTGAAAGCATTACTCAATTACCTCAAGGCAATTGAACTCAACCAACTCAACCCAGATACGTGACTAACTATCGAAAACATCAAAATACACCCATCCCAGATTATTTTGAGAATTGATTGCGCAGCGTTATTCATACCCCACAGTGTACAAGTAACCGGCCTCGCATGTTTCGTCGGGCGGGGATCAGATATTCCGAGAGCTCAGAGGATGAGGACTATGAACATTCTCGATCAAACGACGGGCGGAGGGGATACTACTATTCTGACAGGGAAGAGAAAGCCGGTCATGATCGAGTCAAACTGGCACGACCACGTGAAGCGATGAGGTTGAATGCTACTGAGACTTCATCAGTTCGACGTCCATCGTCAACCACGGCATCGCGTGAGCCCGTCCGCGCTCGAGGGTCCTATTCCTCTGATGATGAATCCGGCAGAGATATTACGGTCTTCGAAGCTAACGGGAGATCGTTTGAGCTCGAAAGAAATTTCCTTCGGCGTGACCAAAACTATGTGGATGGGCACAATCGACCAGGACACAGCGCAGCATCAAAGCTTCAACGACAAGGCCCAAGGGCACTGAGTGATGTCTGCAACAAGGATACTATATCTAGGGACAACACAGTAGGGAACCAGGCGCAGATGGATGAGGCTCTTGCCAGTTTCGGAAAAAAGGTGTTTGGGATGCACTACCATGAGCTGCGCGAGCAATCTCATACGGAGCCAGTTTACAGTTGTAAATACTGTTTGAAGGTTCGTTACTGAGTCCCTACCAAGTCCAGACTGTTTCTAACAAACACAGACCTTTGATACAAGGAAGGAAGAAAGGTTTGCTATTGTCCTTGATGAAATAAACTTTTCTAATGGTTTGGTACAGCCGACACCGGATATACCTTTGGCCTTCTGATCCCAGTCGAGGGCGATGCAAGACTTGGGAGGAATACTACGACGAGAAAAACTCCAACAGGCATGTTTTAAATAAGGAACAAGTATCAGTTAATATGCTGACGGTTACTAGCAAGCGGAGACAGAGGCAACAACTAGCCCAGGATGAATACGAAGATGAGACAGAGGCAGACTTGCGCGAAATAGGACCTCGGACGATTCCAAAAGAATACTCAGACAAGGCGAACGCGGCCCTTGACTATATCCAGGCTTCCAGGGACAGGGCGAGGCAATATGCAAAAGCCGAAAGAGATTTAGAGTCAGATGATGACTCGTCTGAGTCCGGGGATGGCGCGGAGTATGAAGAACTTAGCGATTACGTGTATTAGAGATTGGCCACTGTAAGGTTAGGGGAACTGAGAATTCCCGCGGAGCGTCTATATTGATACATCTGGTGTCTTACGTTGTGTCTTCCATTTGCCGTACATAGACTTATTTGTCACAGTGCTAAAAGAAAGGTGTAGGATCATAAGTCATAGAGGGCGCCCATTAAAGAGCATAATAAGTATTAAACTAGCTACTTCGTATATCTAAGAGCCATTGCCATATCCTTCATCCATATATGTACCCAATTAAGTCAGACCCAGGAAGAGCGGCAGAGTAAATGAACAACCCACTTGAACAGCCAAAGGCACGATGGCGTATGTACCGGCAGAGAATTTGCCAGGAGAGATAGTCCAGCCCCAAGGAGCACCAAAAGACATGTACATCATACCGGCTGCAAGCACGATGCAGATGAGGAAAGTGTACTTGAAGCGGTGCATCATCTTGTTGAGGCCGATGTAGATACCCGTAGGACCCAGCTCCTTGGATGTAGACGCCCATTCGATGTTGATTGAAAAGGCGTGGCACAGAAGAGCCTTGGCACAGTTGATGCTGATACCGCCGAAGAAGAGAACGAGGAAGGGAAGCCATTTGCAGGCTTCAAGAATAGCAGACCAGAACGACTTTTCCTTGAGACGGTGACGAGTCATGCTGCAGGCAACAGAGGCGACACCGTTGAAAACGACTAGGAGCGAAACCCAGATACCCCAAGATGGAGTGTAGAACTGGTCAAGATCGTAGAAGAAGAGACCAACGAGGATGTAGTTGATGAGTGTGAGGAGTAAACCAGCGGCGATGGCGTAGTCTATGATCATTAGCTTGTTGGTCGGTCGAAGTGGTCTTGGGTAAAGAACTTACATGTGAAGATGTAGGCAATGATGGAAACCTTGCTGGAAACAGGCATGTTGCTCCACAGGAATCTGAGGAATAGTCGAGTGACCGGGCCCTTGTAGATCCACTGGTAGCTGTAGTAAAAGTATTAGTAGCTGTCAAGATTGTTCAAAGCTGAGTGGACTTACAAAGGATGGAACACAAGCTCGTTGCAGCCGTAAGCGTACTTCTCCCATCGGTTCAGCTCATCATAGACAGTCAGAGAAACACCCTCCTCGAAACCGCCGTTGTGGTACGTAGCCAGACGACACACCATACCTGCCATCTGAACTCTCAGACTGATATCGAAATCTTCAGAGACGTGAGTGTCGGACCACCACTTGGTAACTTTGTCAGATGGATCAACAAACGCGACACCTTGTACAGCCTTCCAACGAAGGAAAGCGTTGTGGCCGACGAAAGGTGCGACATCGCCGGTGCCAACACCGTATTTGATGGCTGTGTAGACAATGTTGGTGAAGTAGGTGATACCGTTCTCGAAGATGTTATGGGCAACTTGCATGACACCAGAGCCGTGCTGGAGAATAGCGACCTCGGGACTCTCGTACATCTCGAGAGCACCGTAGAGAAGACAGTCGATGGGGACACGAGTATCACAGTCGATGAGCAGGATGATCTCACCCATGCGGATGTTTCCCTCAGCCCAGGTCTTTCCCTCATCAGCATCAACCATGTTCTGAAGAGCTTGGTCGTAGAGTCTATCATCGTCTTCGGCAGAGAGGTCATCATAGCTGCATCCACGGCTCTCGCACTCAAGTTCAGTGAGGCGATGCATCTCATCCTCGACACGGTTGGAGAAAGCAAGGCAGTAGTTCATGTTACTAGCCTTCTTGAATTTACCCTTGCGAACGAATCCAAGTTGGTTAGCACGGCCCTGAGGGCTGACTTCGCTCTCGTCCTGGTTGTCCACCTCAGGATCAACAGGGGGCGAACGCTTGAACCATGAGAGAAAGCTCTTGCTCTTGGGGTTCTTCTTGTTGGGGAGACGCGCACAGTAACCGATGCCGTTCTCACGGTAGTACTGCTTACGGGCAGCGGCGAGTTCAGGCTGGATGCACTGCATACCATCGTCGTTGATGTAGACGGATGCTGTGCCACCTTGGTTCTCGTAGTGTTGGATGGCAGCCATGACGGAAACCATGGTGGGGACGATGACACTTGAGATACAGTCAGTATGAGCTGTGACTTGAAGATAATGGATTGGACTTACCCTCGGAGACCTTCTTTGTAAACAGGCATCTGAACGGTGATGTGAGGCAACTGGTAGTCTCGGTAACGCTTGGGATTGGGTTTGACAGCTATTTCACAGAGTTAGTTCAGGTCTTTGAATGGAGAGTCGACTACTTACCAGAATGATACTTTGAGTTTCTCAAACAGATACCAGCTGGGAGAAGCAGTTGAAAGACACTACTAACGACGACGATGAAGAAGAACTGATATTTGGTTAGTTTTGGCTGTTTTCTAGCGCACAAAGGTTACCTACCAGTGACAGCACACACAGAGGAGGAATTACAACGACCAAGATGAAGCGCTTGTAATCTCCATCCCAGGACCATTGGCGAAGCAGCTAAAAGCAGTGTCAGCAATTATCCTGCACGGTCACAAAAGATCAAACTCACTCTCGAAACACCAACACTCTGTGTGAGAACAACCAACATCATGACAATACCAATTCGGAACGAGTGGACGAGAAGTCTAGGACGTCTAGGCTGGCTGCCCTCGAGATCTTCGTCACTCTCGTCATCTCCCTCCTCGACTTTGATGGCAGCCTGGTATACCTCGTTTCTCTCATCAATGGCACCACGAACAGGCGTGGGAAGATTGTTGACAGATTGCTCCTCGGTCTGAGCTAGCAAACCGCGGGGCATGTTGGGGCCAACAATCTATCACAAGTCAGTCTTGAATCTTCTTTCACTCAAATGTGTGGTTTTACTTACGACACCCAGCATTTGCTTCTCAACATTGTGCGCCACGTTGAGAACAGTTCTTGACTCATGAGCCCAGATAAGCACACAGCGTTCTTGGACGACGATACAAGCGCTCGTCAGATGAACAAGAGACTCGTGGACATCTGCAAAGCTTTGGATAATGGGAATGCGAGCGCCGGTATCTTCGTTGACAAGACTCGCCTGTCCAGGCTTGAGGCTGTCAAGGACTGCGCACGTCACCTCAGATGCCATGGACACAATGGCAGACTCATTGAGGCGGTTGACAGCTGCTACCAAGTCTGGGCTGGGGTCATCTGGCGCGTAGATGTAAGAGCCGTCTGGCTTCTTGAGGGCGATACATGTTGATGACCAGCCGCTGGTGATGGCGGCGGAGGCAGGTTCGTCAAACCATCCCAGGAGAGTTGCTCGTCGAGCAATGTACTTAGCCACCTGCGGTTGTTAGTGATTTGTGTCGACGAGGTTGTAGGAGTAAGTGACGATGATGTTCAATGCGCAACGTCCCGACAGTATTGTGTTGGAAAGGAAGTTGTGATGAGTCTTATTAAAGACTGACAGTATGAAAAAAAGTTCATGCAATAGAAATAAACAACTTACAACAGGAAGATCCGAAGCCGCGGCGTCGGGAATCTGCATAGCAGCAGGCGTACCCGAGTAGGAGCTGTGTGCGGATCTCGACGGGGGAGATCTCCTCACTTGCCATTCTGGAGACTTGTGCGTGACGGGAGGGGCATGATCCCCTGCCTCGAGCTTCTTGAGAGTAGCAGAGTCTGTAGTAGGGCTGGGCGGCTGAAGCACACCCGTCTCTATGAAGCGAGAGGCAGACTTCTCAGGATCCATGGCTTGGGAGACTTGCAGACAGGATCGAACGAATGTTTGCGAAGGAATGCAGAGATTCCCTCTTTTTCTTTTCAAGCGAAGGTAAAGATCTGCCCTCACAGCGACCAGGGGAAGAGGGTGGGGAGAGGGGAAGAATGAGGAGGAGGAGGGACGGCGGGTTTGGGAATTGGAGTCGACAGCCAAGAAAAGAAGAAATCCCAAAGGTGAAGAGAATAGCCGTGGGTCAAGCAAGTTATGAATGAACGAAACCCTTTGCACACGCCTTATCCGTAGAGCGTAGATTGGGGAGATTCTTCCTACGTGTACCTGTAAGCTGAGCTGAGTCTCGATCTATCTGGCATGCCATGTAAGCATCAGACAATCGGCCACTCGGTCAAGGCGTAAAGAGAGTTTGCTATGGTAGCTCGCCTCGCCTCGCCTCTCACTTCGCATATTTTCCTGTTTTCGAAAATTGCTTTGTTGGGAAGTGGTTTATTGCCCCCCTCCCCCCATCCATCCACCATCCCACTCCGAAGAAGCTGCATCTCTTCGGCCAGACCAGACCTGAAGCACGTAACACAAACCGTATTGAACCCTGTACCTGACTGCAGAAAAACCAATACAAGTGTAGTGGCCCCTGGCTCGGAGCCGATGTGCTCCGTTGGCTGTCACGTTTAACGAGCTGACGCCAAGTGTGGGCTGGGAATAAACCTGGAATCACGACGACAAGGTGGAGGATGCTGTACCCGCTGCCAGATAAGAAGTATTTTCCTTTTCATTTCCTGGGTTTCGTGCTCGGTATCAAAGCTGACATAGAACGGGGTAAACGTTTGGTGAAGGAGACGGCGTGGTCGAGATATCATCGGCAGTTGGTCGAGGAGCGAGGCAAGAGTGGGTATGTTGTCGTGGTTACGAGCAAGGTCGCAGAAGCGTCATGTATCCGTGCGGCGTCTAATTAAACTGTGATTTTATGTCTCCGGAGCTAATATTAGATCTAGGCAGCTTGCTATCGGTGGTTGCCAAGGTTGAAACCCAATGGGAGGAGGAGATTGGGAGTGATTAACTGTCGAAACTGCTACGTATAAGCACAACCACGTTTCACCAGAGCAAGGTTCGGAAGATAACACAAGCACGCTATGGCATGGTATGGCATATGCTACGGATAGAGGATAGTGTTATCCACGGCCCGCTTGCCGCTAGCGAGGGGGAACGAGGTTGGGAGAGCGCTAATATAATATCCGCAGAGAGTATAACGTTAAAATCTTAGATAACATGCCCCTGGTCCTGCATCTCTTGGCACGGGGATCCATAACCGAAGCCGGGGAACTTCCTCTTTTACTTCTAGCGGCGTGGAATCAACAATCTTTCCCATACTACGTAGCAAAGAGACATGCATATCAGACGGGCTCATGACCGCTTTTGTGCAAAGGTGGGAAAGGTTCCTGGCCGTTAGAGGCTTGAGCGCCGGGCCTTTTATTTTGTTTATTTCGTTGCTTTTTTAACCCATGAACCGGCCCGTTGAGCCTTATTTGCTCTATACCAATCGTGATCATGACAGGTTTTTGTGGCTTTTTAGCGCACGCCACTGACACAATTAATTCAAGGTCTGCTATCATTCGTCACGACGTATCTTCCACACCTTCACACCTTCGGGGGATAATATCCAATGTAGGTGCTGAATGTGCTCGAGGCTAGACTTTTCCATCTCAACACTTTTCTCTCTATCTGATAGCCACGTTACGCTTGCAACAGGAAAAGCACGTTTTTCTCTCGGCCGCATAATCAACCCACATGGTCGCGGGCTTACGCGATAAAAGAACTCAGGTGTGCTTGGGTCCAGACCAGGTTTCTTATTATCCCTGTCTCTGGTGTTGGTAGCGCAGTGCTTCGTATCCGTAGACCATCAATTCAGCTCTTTGTCAAAGCCAAGAAACATTTGACAACGCAAGAGCAAAAAAAGTAAAAGGAATCTTTTGGAGGGTCATTTAACACGACTCCCGTGGACAATTCGTCCCTTTTTTTCTTCTACCTCCCTGGTCTTTCAACATTGGCAAACCCCACTCTAGTACTGTTGCTGCTATTTTTTGCTTGTGATGGACGGCTCAAGGACTGCCACCTCAGCTGCGGCGGAGGATTCGTCCTCGCTGCGCATGAATCCCTTTGCTACTCCCGGCGCTGAGTCTACCGAGAACCCTTTCGCGACCCCAGTTGCTGCTACACCTATTGCCGAATCTGTGGAATCACGACGTTTGACACAGACTCGAGATGCTTCTTCTTATGAGAGTATGTATTGTTAATGTATTAGTCGATCTGCTCTAACATGTTGCAGTCACTGGCCCTCGCCGGCGCTTCAAGAGCAGTCGTCTCACAGGCGATTTTGAGAAGCCATGGCTAGAGCAAAAGGAGACAGGCTTCAAGAACTGGAATTGGGATAGCATCATTTTCTACACATGTATCTTCATCGGTCTGGGTAAGTCAACACTTATGCGACAGCCTCTTCACCCACTAACATGAACAGGAATCGGCGGATACTTGTGTTACAAGGAGACTGTTAGTGTTCCCAAGCATGAAGTAAGTAGTACATGGCCTTCAACTGAGCTTCGACTAACCAATATGACAGTACTGCCTGGTTATGGACGACACATTTAAAGACCTTGACAACTGGAACCATGAAGTCCAGATGAATGGCTTTGGGTATGTCATCCAACCTTTACTCTATTCCCTCACTAACAGCCCTCAGTACTGGTGCCTTTGACTGGACCACAAGAGATGAAGCCAACTCATACGTCGATGCAGAGGGCCTACACATCGTCCCTACCATGACGCTTGAGAGCACTGATATCACCCGCGATCAACTGCTAAACGGCTACACCGTCAACATGACCACCAACAGCAAGACCTGGGGTGAGTGCACAGCAGAGGACATCAAGAAGAACCAAGACCGCTGGCCCTGCGCATCTCACAGTAACGCCACTCTGGGTCAGATCATCAACCCCGTGCGTTCCGCGCGCCTCAACACAAAGGGCAAGAAGACCATCAAGTATGGCCGCGTGGAGGTTACAGCGCGTATGCCTCGCGGCGATTGGCTCTGGCCTGCCATTTGGATGATGCCCCAGGATGAGGTCTACGGAGAGTGGCCAAAGTCAGGCGAGATCGATATCGCTGAGAGCCGTGGCAATGACGCAAAGACTTATCCCATGGGCAATAACCTCGTGTCTTCGGCGCTTCACTGGGGCACTGCTACTCAAAATGATCGCTGGAGGAGGGCTTATGGTGAGTGGGGAGGCAAGCGAGTTCTTTACTCTGAGGACTTTCACACCTACGGTTTGGAGTGGAGTGAGAAGTACCTCTTCACTTGGCTGGATGGCCGCCTTCGAGTAAGTCTTCCTATCACATATCTGCGACGCCGTACTGACTCCCCAACAGCAAGTTCAATTCTTTGACTTCACCAAGAACAAGAACCTCTGGACCTATGGTGAATTCGCCGGCGAGTCCATCAACGGTTCCATCCCCGTGGATCCCTGGGGCAGCACCGGTCGTAAAAATACTCCATTTGACGAATCGTTCTATCTCATCCTCAACGTTGCAGTTGGTGGTACCAATGGCTGGTTCCCGTAAGTAACAGATGCCCCTCTTTGTCTACCACTCTGCCGCCCACTTTTATATGCGATCTCGCGATCTTTGGGACAATCCCTTCTGCAGGGACGAATCTCTTGGCTAACATGTTTGTTTCACTTACAGTGATGCGATCGGCGGTAAGCCCTGGGCTGACAGTAGCGAGACCCCTATGCGTGACTTTTGGAAGGCCAACGATACCTGGCTGCCCACTTGGGGCCCTGTAAAGGACCGCGGCATGGTTGTCAAATCGGTCAAGATGTGGCAGGAGGGCGCTTGCTGAGCGACGAACTGATACAGAGTATGTGGTTTATTTTCTTTAGGGGAATTTGGGACGAATCTGATTACTGGACGGAATAATGTCATGAAAGTGTTATCTTTTTGTGCCTTGTCTAGCTCTAATCTTACATACATAAGGCTGGGATCAGGCTGTGGTTTGGGAATTGTTTGGGGCTAAATTCTTACAATAAATGCGCAATTGGTGCGAATTCCGAATATTACCACCTCCGTATCATTTTTCTAATCTTTGCGATCTTGGCTGTCAGCTGTCAGCATCGGGGGTTTTCCAGATTTGCACATGCAAGCCCTTGCATCGCCGTCTTACTCCGGTTCGCATTGACTTCACATGTGGCGTCCGGAATGATCACCACGTGCATTTCCCATTACACAGACCGTGTTTATTTACCCAATGGCAGATAGGGGCTGTCGATAAGATTCTTACAAAAAAGCCACTCGACTTACAACAACGTCTGTGCATGTGCGAGAGATATCGTGTTAGTCAATGCAGCTGTTATTTCTCAATATTTACAAACTGCCAAGAACCCTGTCCAGCTGATGCGCTGGCACAATTCCTGTCCAAGAAATATTCCAATGCAACACTCCGCCAAACATTTATTACTTCCATATCTGCCAAGCGAGGCCTCACTGGACAGAAACCTAACCGATCAGATACGTATCTGCCTGCTAAGCGCTCAAAACGACAAAATTCACTGATAATGAATGCAGCTAGCAAAATCAAGTATTCATATCATGTCGCCCCCCGTTCCGTGCATTGCAGCTTGCAGCAGAACTTTTGATTGCAGGCTCGTGTTTGTGCGTTTAGCCAAGAAGCCGTGGGGTTGCATCAGACAGGGCTGTTTTCGTTCCCCCGTCGGTTATTACCAACGCATCCACCAACCGGAAGTGTGAAAAGTGGAAATGCCCGAGTCTTGCAAGGTTCATGGAATATTCTACCAGCCACACCAAAGTGGGAACACTCTCCTCCCCTGGTTCGTATGACACCCACTCAAACAGATCGAGAGATTGGCATCTTTCTGGCCCGTCCGTCAGCCGCCGAGCTCTGACCCTGTCGATCAAGAACACCCTCCACCAAACCTCGGCCGCTATGGTAGCAGCAGAAAATGCAGTATCTACGAGGCTGAGGGTCTGAAAGGAAATTGACGCATCAGCACTTATTGACCCTCATTGCCAAGTCCAGCTCGGCAATCTAGACCCTTTGGTAAAGAATGGAGCCAGTATGCAGTAATACTGGGCTGATCTGATGGCTTTTGTCCTGTAGAAGCCAGCGTCCTCCATCACATGGCTGCATTGTAAGATAGCTTGCTGCTCTACGCCGTCGACGCGCCCGTAATCCTGCATAATCAGAGTAATATTCCAGTCAGCATTTCAATAGTCTTGGGAACTAATGGGCTGACTCTGAATTTGACCACGAGACCTGGACTTGGAGCACCTCTGGGCGAAGGGAAGTGGGCATGATATACTTGGGAACTGTTCAAGGGGGAACGCGTCAAAGTGATATATCTTCAAGGGGATCCGACCGCCGCAATCCTACTTGTGCTTCTGCATGGGAATCTCCTCAGACCCTTGAACCTCGTTCACATCACATTCGTTCCATTTTGTTCCAGTCTTTCGTTCAGCTGCACTACGCCACCTCATTTGTTTGTTTCATTGCCTCTCTGTCATGTCCGTCCTTCGCCTTGCTGCGCTCGGTGCAGCGTTCTTTCACTTATCTTCAGCCGGTGCGGTCCTTCGCAGGGATCTCGAGCCGCCTGAGGCCCCCGTAGAGGGCTGGAGCTATCTTGGCTGCTACGTTGATAACGTCAACAGTCGCGCGCTCAACGGCCCCGTCCACTACGATGAGACCGGCCTAACTGCAGAGACCTGCATTGCCAACTGCGCCGGTCTTGGCTATGCGTTCGCCGGTATGGAGTACTCCAAGGAGTGCTGTAAGTGAATTGTCCTCGGTAAATTTAGCGATTGGTGACTGACTGTGGTGCCTTTTCTAGTCTGTGGCAGCAAGAAGCCTACCACCAAGACCAAAGAGTCGGACTGCAGCATGCCTTGCACTGGCGATGCTGATCAGCCGTGCGGTGCAGGTGACAGATTGACTGTCTTTGGCAAGTCCTCTGCCGGAGGTACCGGCGTTCCATCTGCAGAGCCCACTCAGACTGCTTCAGCTACTAGCTCTGCGGTCGCCACTTCCGGACCTATTGCCACCGATCTCCCGGAGAACTGGTCCTACCGGGGCTGCTACATTGACCCTCCGGGCCGTGCCATGGAGCAGGCAGGCACATCCTCATCCATGACTCCCCAGAAATGCATTGCTACCTGTATTGAGAAGGGCTTCACAGTGGCTGGCCTGGAGTATGCAGAGGAGTGCTACTGCGGCAACGCCCTTAACAATGCTGCCTCAAAGACCAAAGAGTCTGATTGCAATATGCCCTGCAAGGGCGACGACGATCAGCTCTGCGGCGCTGGTAACCGTCTGTCGCTCTACTCCGATGGAGACTTTCCCATTTGGCCCATTCCTGTTCCTAAGAAAGATGATCTGCCTGGCGACTGGGAGTACAAGGGGTGTGTCTTTGACAACAACAACCCCTATGTTCTTGAGTGGCTCTACGAAGACTCGCCTAGCTACGCCACTAGCAACATGACCATCGAGACCTGTCTCGCCCGCTGCCAGAAGTTCGGTTACTCCGCTGGAGGTATCGAGTATGGTCGGCAGTGTGTCTGTGGCGATCTCGGGGCTGTTGAGGCCAAGGGTGATATCTGGAAGGACGACAGCTTCTGCAGCATGCCTTGCCCTGGTAACCGTAACTACACTTGCGGTTCAGGAAACCACATCAACTACTACGAGTGGACCGGCACTTCTCTAAACACCTTTCACTATGCCAAGGGCGCTGCTGCAGGAAAGTATGATCACTTCTCCACCTCTCCCATCATCCCCTTGATCAGCTCTGTCGGCATCAACAACAAGGTCGTCTTTGTTGAGAAGCACGGTACATCTAATGATGATACTGAGGGTTCATTCGAGTTCGACTACTCGACCAACACCTACCGTGAGCTCGCTCTCAAGACTGATGTTTTCTGCTCTGCCTCCTTCACCCTGCCCGACAAGGCTGGACGTATCATCAACATTGGTGGCTGGTCAGCCGAGTCAGTTTACGGTATTCGCTTCTTCACTCCTGACTCACCTCAAGGAGTTGACAATGGCACCAATGTCTGGGAAGAAGACTACACGAAGCTCCGTCTCTTCGATCCCCGTTGGTATCCCACTGCTATTGTCCTTTCCAACGGATCTATTCTTGCCATGGGTGGCGAGTCTGGTTCTGATGCCCCTATTGTTCCCTCTGCTGAGGTCCTACCCCATCCCGCTGGTGTGACAAAGTCGACCTACCTCGACTACCTTGAGCGCGCTGAGAACATTGGACGAACTAACTCATACCCTCACATGGCCATTCTGCCCTCTGGTAACATTTTCTTCACTCAATTTAACGAGTCTCGTCTTCTTTCGCAGGTCGACTTTCAATCTATTCGCAAGCTGCCCGACATGCCCGGCCAGGTTGACAACCCCTTGACTGGACGTAACTATCCTCTGCAGGGTACCATGATGGTTCTGCCTCAAAAAGCTCCCTTCACCGATCCCGTTGAGGTTCTCATCTGTGGTGGTACTACTCATGAGCCTGGCAATGAGGCTCTCGACAACTGTGTTCTCATGGAACCTGATACTCCTGGTGCTGAGTGGACTATTGAGCGCATGGTAAGTTGACCTAAAATGGATAGGTCCTTGTAGATTTGTACTAACTTCTCCAGCCCTCCAAGCGAGTTATGCCCAACATGGTCGCTCTTCCTGACGGCCGCTACCTCATCCTCGGTGGTGCCCAGGTCGGCCGTGGTGGTTTCGGTCTCGCTGACAACGCCAACCTCAACGCTGTCATGTACGACCCTTCAGAGGCCCTTGGCCACCGCATGACTGTCCTTGCCAACACCACCATTGCTCGCCTGTACCACTCTGAAGCTGTTCTCCTCAGTGACGGAAAGGTGCTCGTTTCTGGTTCTGACCCACAGGATCAGGGCAAGCATCCCCAGGAGAAGCGTATTGAGTACTTCTGGCCCGACTACCTCCTTTCTGGTGCTACTCAACCCAACTTCACCATTTCCCAGCGTGATTGGGCTTACGGCGGGAGCTACACCTTTACTCTCACCTCGGACCTTGAAGCGGGTGCCTCCAAGATGCGCGTCTCGCTCATGGCCTCGGTTGGAGCTACTCACGGCGTCAGCATGGGTCAGCGTACCTTATTCCCCAACGTTTCGTGCTCTGGCAAGACTTGTACTGTTACAGCACCACCCAATGCCTTTGTCAGTCCTCCTTCTTGGTACCAGATGTTTGTCCTCGACGGACCTACTCCGTCTCATTCTATTTGGGTTCGAATCGGTGGTGATCCTGGTCGTTTAGGTGACTGGCCTAAGCTCCCTGGCTTCACTGCCCCGGGTGTTTGATTAGTGCACTACATAAGCATTTGATGGAGCAATTATCTCTATGGTTGTACGATGGAGTACTTTAGGGTGTACGACAATGTCAGTTTGTTTAATGGCAAATTCTATTTTTTTATGTATATAATTGGTGGATCATAATACCATTTTGTTCTATTTCTATCAACACTTGATACTTACTATTAACTGAATCATGTTCCTTGGTGGAGTCACTGGTCTGGTAACCATTGAAGTTGTGGTTGAATTGCCGGAGTCGGGTGACCTCAAATTCTAGACTTTTATACCATACCTGCATATGCATATTGATTTTACCTTTGCATTCTAACTCTACAGACTTCGCGTGAGTTACTAAATTGAGAAGGGAGTAAAGAGCATAAATACTGATGCATTGAGCAACGAACTCATATAACCTTACGTTCTTTCTCATTTTGTTTACCGAGACAAATATCACAAGTTGTCATACCCCGACATAAAAGCTCCAGCGACAAGCCCATTGAAGAGATTTATCATAGTGTGGGCGTAGAAACTACGCATTATAGAGAAGACTATCAATAAGATTTAAGGATGAGGCTATAGAATGTTAAACATTTGAGGGGAGTTTGTCATGATATGTATAGCCGTATATAGGGTAGGGGATAAAGGAAATTGCCGCTTTGCACACCCAGTACGTCCTTTTTAGGCAATATCGGCTGAAACTGATAATGGTTAACCTTACTCTCTTTCTACTGAATAGACAGCCATGAAGTTTTGGATTTGAGCCTAAATATGATTCTGGAGATTGAATACTGTGAGATGCATATGGACAGAAGAAAGTAAATTTCACCGATTAGCGAGTTCGCATCTTTTCAAGATACAGAGGTGAAGCATCAGCAAACCTGCACATGCATGATTTCTCCAAGCTATCTTAGTTCTAGCTCATTGTAGTTTCCAATAAATGCCGGTGTAGGTCAATCTTGCTTGAGCATCATATGGTTAGGAATAATGCTGCTGACGAGAATGAATCCGAATCGTATCTAGTACAAGCACTGTGTGAATGCTCTACCACTAAGCCATTGCTAGTCCAATTCTCCATTTTGCGCACAGAGTGAAGCTAAATATGCACGTAGAATTACCAAAATAGGCAATGCTTCACAGGCTAAATACAGGTTACGTCAGCACTTGACTGTGTTAAGTATAAAACCCGTCGGGAGGATTCAGTGGTTAAAGTGATTGTCTCAGGAGGCGTAGTTGCGAAGAAATGGCGTTGACTGCGTCTCCCCCTCGATTTTCTTTCCTCTATCGCTTTTGTTTCCTTGCAAAATAACTGTTCAGTAATCTCTCACGATATGAACTCGTTTAAAGTCATCGTTGTTGGTGCAGGCCCCGTGGGGTTGGTGCTTGCTCACGCCCTGCAAGCCTCCGGTATAGACTACGTGCTTATCGAACAGAGATCGCAAGTCCCGCCAGACCCGGCTTATGGTGTATTTCTATGGCCTCAAATAATGCGCATTCTTCACCAACTAGGCCTTCTTGAATCAATTTTAGCCGTCAGCCAGCCCATGCTCGAAGCCATACACCGATCGACAGATGGCAATGTCCTGCACCGGGAGGAAGGATTCCAAAAGCTCGGAGTGATGTAAGGGGGAATGCAATAACTTCGGAGTCACTGAGCGCTAATAGGTATCAGGTTTGGCTACCCCATGTCGTTATTCAACAGAGGGGACTTCGCCTTAACATTACTGAACGCACTTGATAAGAAGGAGGAACGCGTCAAGACAGGCAAACGACTAAGCAAGATTACAAATAATAAGACAAGCGTCCGAGTCGATTTTCTCGATGGCACTCACGAAGAGGGATCGATCGTCGTTGGCGCCGACGGAGTTTGGAGCAGCGTTCGAGATCAAATGGCAACCCTGGCACCCAAAGGACTATTTGACGAGGCCCCGAACCCATTCGAAGCCACCTACGCTGGCGTGTTCGCCAAAGCGAGTCTTCATGAAGCGAGCTTCGCCGGCAAAATTGAGCCCGGGCGAAACATCAATGTCTACCAACCAGGTTCCCACGTACAGGTCTTCACCACGAGGGACGAAGCTATGATTATCGTTTATCACCGCATCTCCGCGGAGAGGAAGCGCACATACTTTGGCCAGAACGACGCTGAAGAGGCTGCTAAGCCATGGCTTGACGTTCCTGTTGGTGAGGGGCTTACATTTGGTGATGTATGGGAGAAGAAGATTGCTGGTGGAAGCGCCAATTTCGATGAGGGTGTACTGCCGTGGTGGCATTGGGGACGGACGGTGCTGGTTGGAGATGCAGCTCATAAGGTGAGACCCTTGAATAATTCATTATGAACGAAATACTAACATATGACAGATGAACCCCATCAGAGGTGCAGGCGCATGCGCTGGAATCGAGGATGCCGTAGCTCTCGTGAATGCCCTCCAAGATGTCCTACGCCACGAGCCAAACCCGTCGTTCTTTGAACTCACCCAGGCGTTTGTAGCGTATCAACACGAGCGGGAAGCCGCAGCAAAGATCTGGTTAGAGGTTTCCCATCTTAATCTCGAGCTGTGTATCGGTCCCCACCAGCCAGCATTGAAGGCTGCTAGCATTGCCGACTTGAAGGTCATGCCTTTGGTTGCATCTGGCCCTGTTCTGAAGTATCTTCCGTTCCCTGATGAGAAGAGTGGCTTTATACCCTGGGTGAAGAAGGTGAAGTCGAAGGATAAGGAACAGATCAAGTCGCATCTGTGATATGGCACGAGGCTGCAGTGGGCGGGAATGTCGAATAACATGGAGTAATTATTTATTAGAGTGGACAATAAGCTTCATAGGTATGGAATCGGTTTTGCTAGATATAATCGGATAGAGAGACTTTTCGCGCATCTGCTATTTCGGAAAGATTATGAAAACACATGATGTGAAATGTGCTGCAATCGGCCAGCATACCGGACTATCAAAGTTGGGACACATTCTGGCCAGAATTTTATTGTGAGTACTGCAGGCTCTACAGCGCCTTCTTTCTCTCTTCCTTCGGGATAGACCCTGCAGTAGAAAAATGCCATCGTCCCAAAGCTATCATGCCTTCGCAACCCAATGGTCATTTCGTTACCACAATCTTGGCTCGTATCCTTAAATCTGAATAGCGAACTGGTGGTGTGGATAAATCCTTCGTTCTGTTAACCGTTAGCCGTTTTCTCTAGAGAACGGTAGGATGGTAGCGCACCGTATTACGAGTACGTACCTCACGGGTGTCTGCAGAGACAATCGCGACAACGTAGGACATGAGATACTGAGCTACCAGGGCCACGTGCCTCAAAGGTACATCCGAAAACCTTAGCACAATTTCGGCATATTCTCGTGTCTTCCAGAGTGGCCACAGAGAGATCAACTCTCTCTCTGTAAAGCTTATTACTCTTGAATTCGCCCACGATCGTCTTTTCATAACTTGCAGCCAATCGCTGGGAAGCCCTCAACTGACTCTGTACCTCCTTGATCTTCTTGGTGAGAGCACGGAGCATTTCAAAAACAAGATTATGCTCAAGTTCCACGTCTTGAAAGCCTTGCAACTCTATGAGCTCACCCATGCACTCTGCTGTAGCCGAAGCGACAATAGCGCATAGTTTATCATCTCTGTTTGACTTGGACATCTCTTGGATCACCCGGGGAAACAAGTCTGCCTCTTGGCCCTGTTCAAGGTTGGCCTGAATCTTCGAGTTTGCCAGCTGGGCCAGGCTCTCGATGTTGTAGTAGTCAGCGATTGCATTGACGCGGAGATGCGATAGTATGTTCTCGATAGTTTCGTTCTTCATAGACTCTGGGCCGGAGCAGGGCTGCGAGATGCTATCTGCCTCACCGTGACACTGTTCGTCACTGGGGATGGGACTGTCCTCGCTCTTTGTTTCGACGTGGTATTCACCGGTGTAAAGAAATGATATCATGTGCCGAACAGTAGAGATATCGAACTCATTGACATTAATGATCTTGGATGTGGTTTCCTAATAAAGAAGTAAGTAACAGCTACTCAACTCAGGTTTTAATACATACCTGAAAACCGCCAGAGAGGGCAGCGGCAATAACAAGCGACTGAGGACAAACAACTACCCGATGCAGTTTGAACTCGTGACCATCGCACACAAGAGTGAAGTCGCTGAACTCTCCAGTCTTCACCATCGAGAACAGAAAGGCATGAGCTTGGAGCGCCATTTGGTAGAATTGTGCTGTTGTTGAGAGGTGTAATAATGTCACAAATGGATTGTCACGACGAATGAAAAGTGTTGGTTGGAAAGGTCTTCTACCTTAAGGCTTGGAGAGGTAGGCTAGAGTTTCTGTGAGGCAGCTGAGTACATGACGAATACCTGCAAGCTGGTGGGCCTCCTGCAGCATCATGCTTTGATGACTGGATGCCTTGGCCAACTACACTTACAAAGACAATTAATTAATACAGTACTGATTTATTTAGAAAATGAAACACGCCACCAAAATGTAAATTCAAGGATAACGGCATTGCCATCACGATTGTCCCGGCAGGAAGCATCCACTACTCTGGCTAACTACAGACACTGCGAGTACCACTGATTCTGCGCCTTGCAAGTATAAGGAGACTCACAAAGAGTCGCTCCAGTCCATGACGCACCACCGCACTGTCCATATCTGGCCACACGTGGACCCGAAGTATCAGTAGGCTTGGGGGGAGTTGTGCTCGTGCTGGTAGGCTTCGGCGGCGCATCTCCGCCGTTAACAGCAGCGGCGTGTTGGTATACTAGAGGCTGAGCCTCATCATCCTCCAGGTAGATAGTATTTCCGTCATCGTGGTTCTTTCCGTACGAGTATCCAGAAAAGCCAAATTGCCAGTACATATCGCTCACCTCTAGATCCAGCGAGGCTTTCTGCCACTTGCTCAAGGTACTCACGCGCGTGGCCTTTTCAGTCCAGCCATACTCCTCGTGCAGAACTGGCTTCTTAGCTGCTGCGCCAGCTGCTGCATGATCTTTGATCCACTGAACCACCCAGTCGGATGTCTTGCTCCAGTACTGAGGATACGAGTGGAATGTATTAAAGTCAATGTTGGGAAGCGCAAGTTCAGCTTCGAAGTCTGTTCCATCGGCACCGTTGTAAGTCCAGTCGTCAGACTTGCGGTTGAAGCCACCTTCACTTCCAGTGGTGACAAGATGGTCAGCGTCGATGGACTTGATGTAGGTGCTCATTTCATTGACCCATGATGTGATCAGCGCAGGGCTGCAATCCGGGCCCCGGGGAAGGTTACGGGTACCGTCGGCGCCGCAACGGGGTTCATTGGCAATTTCCCAGGCGAGAACCGCAGAAGAGTCCTTGTATCTGTCGACGACGTTCTTGATGTAATTTTTGAAGGCCTTCTTGATAGCAGGTAGACGGTAGAACTACATCACGTGTATTAGACATCTTGTTCAGATTGAAGACTGTCGTACTCACATCATCATGGTAGCGGCCACCGAGATTGACGGTGTAAACATCCATGCCACCGTAATCAGCCCAATTGTTAGTCAGGGCCAAAATCAACTTCATGTTGGTTGCTTCAGCGGCCTCAACGACAACATCAAGCTTGCTCAGATCAATCTTGACAGTGCCGTCTGGATTGAACACTTGCATAGCAGTGTTTTCAGCCCCTGTACCGTACTGAGGAAGACCACCAGCCACATATGTCTTGTTCTGGTCGTGGAAAGCCCAGGTACGGATGACCTTGAGACCAGCATCTTTTGCAGCCTCCAAGCCGACCTTGACATCCTTGTAGTGGTCTGTTCCCCACTGCGAAAGTTAGCATCAAGAAGTATCATTTCTGGCCGGAGTACTCACGACGTTGAACGGGAGGTAGTATGCGTTACTACCGGCAAAGAAAAAGTCTTTGCCGTCAAGAGAGAACTTGGTGCCGTCAGTGGTAACGAAACCAGCGGGCACAGCAAGTGCTGGCGCGCAAGCAAAGGTCGCCGCGATGATGTAAGTCAACTTCATACTGTCGGTTGAGTGATGAGCAGTTGAGATGTTACTGATGGCGACGATATACTCAATCTCGCTGCAACATTTATAGTTATGTAGTATCCAGTGTCCCAACAGAACATGTCATTCCCCTCATCTGCTTTTCCCCATGGGGTGATCGTGCCCTTCAGTGCAGCACATCGGAGCTTCACATGCCGTGATGCCCAGATCAGGAATGACCCAAGAATCGTCGCATTCAATACGCGGACCGAAATGCCTGCTTCCACGTGAGATGATCAGATCTCTAAGTGATTGCATTGCTTCGCAATTAAAAAAAATCTTATTTTCGATCTTTCCATATTTGGTCATTTATTATATCCCGCGTTTTATATACCAGGTTGGGCTAAATTGTGCCTGCTTAATGTTTTTCTACTCCGCCACATTGACAAATTCCACCAATTATACTCGAATCTAGTCACGTCCCGATGATGTACTATCTCTTTCAGGCCCCGGATGCTCCTTACCCGCACCTCCATCTAGAGGTCCTTGAGTTTATAAAGTTGTTAAAGTATTGATTGTCATCTAAATGATACATAATTGGATATTGCGATGGAGGAGCGGGCAAGGAGCATCCGGGGCCTTAAAGGACGAACTGGGCAATGGGCCTGGTCAAGATTGTTGCGTATTTGCACATGCCCTGTACTTGTCTATGATATTTGCAGGTACGTAATTAAACAAACTAAACCGGGATGTTCGAATGCGATCATCAACCTGAACCAATGGGTTCTGTGGCATATCATCCTGACAATGAACGATACTCAAAGACCCGATGACGCTAATATCGCGACTTCATGTGTCTTTAAGAAGCAACAAACCGAGCGGGTTCAAATACCAGAATTGTGAAAACACAGAAATTGCACTTGTGGTACACGAACCAGACCCTCTGTCCTTAGAGCCAGGAGCTTGTGTTTACTGAACCAGATTTAATAGAATATATACCTTTAAAAAGGTAATAATTAGGTTACCCTATAGATAATACAATGAATTTTAATATAATAAGAGGTATTATATATAATACTAGATAATATAATAACTAATCTATTAAAGTTTATAATAATATTATTTAAATAGCTAATTACCTAAATAATAGTAGCTAATATCTTTAATAAACCTTATTTAAGATAAATAGCTAGCTTTAATCTGTAATATATAAATTTATAGTTTCCCTCTGCTTTTAGCAGACTAAATTCTTTATATACTATTAAATTCCTAAATAGATTATAATTATATTATTAACCGGCCACTATAAAAATATATTACTATATAATCTAAGTTATTAACCGCTTTAAAATCGAAGTTATCGGCAAGTATATAACTTAATATTTAATTATTAATACCTTTTTAAATTTAATTAGTGATAACGATATTATAATATTAAATAGGGAATTCCTTAAGGAAATACTACTTTTTAAGATATATAGTAGTTAACTTTTACTAATTAATAAGCTATAACTACTATAATAAGTATATCTTATTATCTTTAGCTGTTTATTACTATGGTTACTAATCCTTAATAATCTAGATAATAATTCCGACGAGGGATTTTATAATAGATTTTAATAGGTTGTATTATAGAAGCTATCGGACTGGCTTAATTGAAAAGAGTTATTAATACGGCAATAGCAGGCCTTTATAGACAGTATAATGCCTATCGATAGTTATAATTGGTATCCGATATGGTTTACGGAGTTAAAATATGCCGTAGCGTTTGTCGAGTTTAAGGCGTTAATGTTAGACTGAGGGGTAATAGGAATAGAAGGTTTTAGCGGGAGTGGGGAAACCTAGGACGAAAAGCTAGATTATTAGTTATACTTAACTTAATCTAATCTTCCGTTAATTATATAATAAAGCAATAAATAATTAACTTGTTAGATATAATAATACAGTATAGTAATATAGCAGTCTAATATAGTAGTTACTAAACTAGATAGATGTATTATTCCTGTTAGATTTATAAATGGGCTGGCTAATAAATAAGGTTAAAAATAAGAGAGACGACATTGTGTGCACCCCCAAAAGATGCAGCTATAACAACCATTCTGAAAATAAAAGTCGAGGCGCCAAAGGAGAACCGTGTATTAAAATGCTCACAAGAGATTAACTAATTGAATAGCAAACCTGAGTCACTAACTCAGATAAATTTTAGGTAGCTCGTTATTACGTAGTTTATAATCTAAAATGATGATGAAGCTTCTCATCCAATCACCGGTGAGATGGCCGAGTTGGTTATGGCGCCAGGTTAAGGTTAACCTTAACACCAATTTCCTGGTGGAGCAATCCTCCTGGGTTCGAGTCCCAGTCTCATCAGTCTTTACTTTTTGCAGCCAGCAGAAATCTCACCCAATATAATATGGTCAATTCTCATCTATCAATTCCTTCTTAAATCCCCCTACCTGTCAAAATGTCTCATATGCTTTTGAGTGCCATTAATATTGCGTTATTATTCTAATAGTTATTATGGTACAAAGTGCGGGGAACTCCGACACCCCCAAATATGCTGGTACAAGTCAAGACAGACAGTCTACTCCAAAGCATCCCCACACAACATCTAGACAGCCACACAGTCTTCAGAAGGCTGCTTCGACAGCTTCTTCTTGTCTGTTTTTATAGTCTTCCATTCAAAGCCGAATGACGCAAGCAGAGCAGCACAGGCCAAACCAAGCCCAAGGTACCAAATAGCTTTCATCGAATCATTGTATGCACCCAGAACAAGCTCCATCTTATCAGCAGGTACAAGACTCTTGACACCTGCGGCGCCGCTGTTTGTGAGTTGGTGAATATCGATATCAGGGACATACTTCGTGATCTTAGTTTGAAGTTGGCCTTGAAATAAGCTTTGAGACACTGTGATGAAGATCGTTCCACCGAAGAAGTTGACAAAGTTGAGGATGGACAGACCAACCGCACTATCACTGTCCGACAGGAAGGTCTGGATTGCAATGGCCGGCTGCTGAAGTGCCAAACCCATACCCGCTCCGGCAATCATCTAGAAACGTATCAGCACGGAACACAAGACCATGTAGGAAGTACATACCTGATATCCCACCCATTTTCCTGTACTGACATCCGCTGTCCAAGTGGTAAACAGCGCCGAACCGACCACCAGTATAGCAGCTCCGCCGATAGCAAATGGTGTGTAGTACCCAATTTTACTAACCAGAACTCCGCCAAGCATGACCATCAGCACACTGCTGAGAAGCAGAGGCAACAAAGCAATACCAGAGTCTTGGGATGACTTCCCCTTGACTACCTGGAACCAGACTGGCAGGTAGAACGGGTACACCACCAGTACTGAACTAACGGCAAAGCCAAAGAGACAGGCGACCAACACCGTGCGCTGCTTCAGAATCCTGGGCGGAATGGTCGCTTTCTCACCTCTCCAGACTTGATAACCCGCAAAGATGAGCAACAAGACAGCAAACACAACAAAGAGAGCGACAACACGTCCGCTGGACCATTCTTGGTTCTCTTTGCCAAACTCAAGCGCAAAGAGAAGACTGCTGATCGATCCAGCAACCAGGACAAAACCAAGCGGATCAAGGTCGAAGAATCTCTGGCGCCATGTATCCGCAGGTTTGGAAGGGGGCGGTCTGTTGGGGGCGAGGATACAGAGAAGGAATAGAGCAAGACCACCGATGGGGACATTGATCCAGAAGCACCAGCGCCAGGTGACGGAGGTAAGGTAGCCGCCAAGGATTGGACCCAAGATGGAGGAAAGACCAAAGGCAGCGCCGAGAGCACCGAGATACTTTGGACGTTCCTCAAGAGGGAACAGTAGAGTCACGTAGATGAAAGCGCCAGAGCCGATACCAGCGCCACCAATGCCCGTAATGGCTCGTCCAACAATCAAGGCGTTTGAGGTGGGTGCCGAAGCGCAGACGATAGACCCAATTTCGAATATGAATGCGAGTGCGAAGATGACCCATTTAGTGGAATAGTATTTGAAGACGAGGCCGAAAGATAGTTGGAAGACGCAGAGAGGCAGGAGGAAGGCGGATTCGTACCACGCGATGTCCCCGAAGCTGTCGAACTCGGCCGAGATGGTGGGTATAGCCGTGCCTATAATGGTACGGTCCTTGGGTAGATATTAGTAGAAGATAAAAGTGTCTTGCGTTGGAGTTAACTCACTAAAGCAACAAGGAAGAAGACAAGGAAAAGAGCAATCATTGTCGGAAGGACGATTTTCTTTGGTGGGTATGTCTTTTCAATTTCTGTAGAGTCTGGCGGCTGGACTTCCCCTTCGGTGCTCGGGCGATCTGACCTGTCGACATCTTGAGAGTCTTTTTCGCTTAGATTAGGATGTTCCATTGTGAAATAGCGAGGTTGTTGAATATGGAACTTATAACAAAGCTCGGTGCTGATGGGAAGAAAGACGTCTGAATCAAAGAGACAGCAACAGTATAGATTCAGCTAAGAAGTTGGTGTATTGAGATAAACACATAAGAAGACCCCAATATCAGGGAGCCATCCATCTTAAATATGAAAAGAAACATTCCTACATGATTCAAATCAATTATATATTTAGCACGCGTCATAGGCTTTCATCTCAGGGGACCAATCACACGCCGCTCTCAGACTTCGGTCTCGGTACCGAGCCCGAGCTAGACCACATTTCCCGCGCTCGAAAACCTCGCGACCGACCCCGAGTTTCTTTAATTTCACCAACGTCATGGACATTCAATCTCTCAACGATTACCACAGCTGAAAAATCTTTTAACGATCGAGCGACAAAAGAGCGCGCGTGTCAGAAATGAGATCTCAGGCTTGCGAACCATGCGCCAAGCGCAAAGTGCGGTGCGATAGAGCAGAGCCCCCTTGCTCGAACTGCAAGCGGCGTAAGCGTGATCATTGCTCTTATCCCGAGGTATCGCCCTTTGAGAGAATTAGGAAGTTGGAGGACACGGTGCGATCGCTGAGTGGAGATGCGCCAGACAAAACCCGGGGATCCAGTGTGGTTGTTAATATTGCTACGTCGGAGGGGAGTGCGCAGACTCCCATTATTGTGCAGGAGGAGGGTCGCTCGGTCTATCACGAGTCGTAAGTCACTTCCTATTCAATCCGTCTACTCGCGGGGATTATCTAACTCACTTCTTGCAGCGAAGGTTGGCATAGTTGGATCGACGTAACGCGACTTTGTAAAGGCGCCAAACCACACTTCAACGCCTCCGACCCTCGCGGCTCCTCGTTATCGCCTGGGAAATTCCTCCCTCACGCGTTTCAAAGCTCTCCTTGGATAAACAGTAGCCTATGCTCCGAAGGGTTCCCGATCTGCCCCATCCCGGCCGAAGAAGCTCTCAAACTCTGGAATCTGTTTATGGAGCGAGTCGAGCCTCTTGTCAAGATCAGCTTCAAATGGACTCTTGACCATCTTCGGGCTGCGTTAACAGATGCAGAAAAGTGGACAAAGCTTGAAGATGGCGAACAGGCTTTGGCCTTGTCGAGTTGTTTATTTGGGGCCATGAGCTTGGCGACCCACGAGAGTTTTAGTATGTTTGGTCGGTCGAAGGCGTCGCTCATAAATGACTGTCGTTTCCAATGCGACGTTGCATTTTCGAGAATTAGTCTACTAGCTATCGACGATATTTCGACCTTGAAAGCCTTGTGCATGTACATCGTAAGGCATCCTTCCATCCCTCCGGTCAGTCTGCTAACACGTCCTTAGAAAGCCAACGTCGACGCCTTATCATCCCGCAGCCTCTGGTCCTTAATGGGTCTCGTTTCCCGAAACGCCGAACAACTTGGCTTCCACCGCGACGGAGCAGCCCTGGGCCTTCCTCCAGTTGAAACAGAAGAGCGCCGGAGAGTCTGGTGGCAGCTGCGACACGTCGATCTCGTCTTATCCATCAAAACCGGCTTGACGCCACTGTCCTTTGGAGCAGCCTGGGACGTCAAGCTCCCCCTCAACATTGAGGACAGTGATATTGATCCAAAGTCCCAAGTACCGCCCAAAGAGAGGACAGGACTGACGAGCTTCTCGTATACGCTCTATAACTACTACGTTATGGAGAAGCAACGAGGCTTTCGGACCAGTCAAACAAGCGAGGGAGGATACGAAAACTCCTTACTGGGGTGTCTCGCAGATACCATCGTCAATGATCTTGAACAAAGCATTAACGAAACGTTTTTGCAATACTGCGACCCTATCATTCCGCTGCATATGATCCTCCAACTCTCGGGACGGGCTCTTATTAATGTTATGCGACTGAGGAATATGCATGAAGCTCGAATGCAATCCAAGAATGGTGATGATGATTGTCACATTGAGCATTTCAATACATGTATGCAAGCGATGAAGTACATCGTTGTTTCACATTCAAATCCTCAACTTAAGCCCTTCACGTGGTTGATGGAGGTGTCATTTGTTTGGCACGCTTGTAAGTACGCTTATGGATGCATTGTGGACTGTAGACTAACTTGTGGCTAGTTATCGGAATTCTAGTTGACATGCCAAACCTATCAGACGTAGCCATGATCCAATCAGCTTGGACACTGCTGGCAGAGTTATACAGTGTCACAGCCCATATATCCGATCTCTCGGAGGATAGAAGGAACTTACACGCAGCTAAGTCGGTCGTTACAACATGGTACGAATGTCAACAAAAGCAAGGTCTGCGAGATATGGAAAAGCCCGGGTTTGTGTCAGACCTTGAGAGACGTCTATGGGAGCTAGATGGAAATGGAAATGGAAATGGAAATGGAAATGGAAATGGAAATGGTGCTGACGATGCAAGCGGTAATGACGGACAAATTAATTTGCAGAACGTTTGGCAGAATCAGACCAAAGAGGATGAGCTGCTGCCGTTTGGTTTTGAGTTTGCGGATATCGACTGGGCGTTTTGGGACAGTATGTGTTAGCCAAGGTGTGTAACATCTGGATGAGACCGGAATAATCTGAGGTAGTAGTGTGCTGCTTATGGCTTTCATCCACTGTGGGGCTCTTGCATCTCGGGAATATCACAGTTTGTGTCAGCGATAGAGTTCTCTCCATAGTAAGATGTGGAAATGATCAGTTCATAGTAGGCGCGTTGAAGTTTGAACATACGATGGAGGCAAAAAGCAATTTTGCTGTCATGGTCAGTCGGCAAAGTGTATTTTGAGTGTGGCTTCTAACTTGTGTCCGATTATTTGTCTCTGTGATCATAACAAGACTTGGTTTCGTGGTCTAACGGTTATGACTGCGGATTCTGATTCCGCCAGCGAGGGTTCGACTCCCCCCGAGACCTATCTTTTGCCAATTTTGAACTCTTCTACTAATCTGCATGACATCCATGTGTCCACGACCAAGGCTGGGAGGGACCCTGAATTCCATGCTTGGACAGGTCTGGAGGCACTTTTTCGCGCATTCGTCTCCAAGATCGCATTCCTCTGTTGCACCGAAATTAGTGGCGGAGGAGTTCCAGCCAGTGCTGTACTCCACCTGCGCCCCGCTTCTTAACGCTATTTAACATCACGACAGTACTAAGACTGCAGCAGGAGAGAATATGAATGTTTATTGCCAGTTGTAATACACCGCTGTCTGCTACCACGTATCAGCTTACACTGTAAAGCTCTACTGATAGTTCCTAGCTCCTGTCGCCAAAATCACATTCCAACAAACGCACACCTTCGAAAATCTTCCCGATATCTGTCTTCAGGATCGATCCGCAATCCTGTCGGATCTGTTCTGCAAGAACTCGCAGGAATTGTACAGGGCTCTGTGGAAAGTTCGACTTGTTCACCAGCCTTCCTCTAGAGCCTGGCGGAATGAAACCATCTGGGCCGAGAACAACAGAATCATCTGCAGTGCCCCAAGCCAGCCCAAGCGAATCGCAAACGTTGCTATAGTCTTTAAAAGATGATAAGTAGAGCTGTCCGGAAAAAAGGTTAAGAAACAAGATAGCACTCCTCGGGATTGAATCCACAGTGAGCTCTCCTGATACTCGATAGAGTTGCAAATGATCGAGTGACTGGAAGGCGAGGTTTACCCTAGGAGCATACAGATGTAAAGTCACATGTCGAGACTTTTCGATCAATGGTAGTAGCCCCTGAGCTTCGAATGGGCTTATAATTACGAGGCCAATTGACTCAGTCTGACACTTGGCCGTCAGGATCCATTGCACCGGACGTTGAAAGGAATCTGAGGGGTTGTTGGTTCCGAAACTCTCTTTGACTGTCTTGGCGAAATCCGATGTGGCACGTACGCTGCTGGGAAAGCTTTGAACGCTGAGATACTGAGCTGCCGATGTGTTCTTGAGAATTTGGAAGGCTGGCTTATGGTCAACCCTGAACGAAGCGATATTCATCGAAGAATAGCCATTCAGTATCCAATTCCTTAGCGATTGGCTAATGGAATGCGCTTCTGGTTCTGCCGCAGGTGGGTTTTCAACTTGTCGCTCTTGCTCTGTTTCGGGAGAAAGTTCTCGCTCCTGCTCTTCCTGTAATGATGCCGTGTGAAGCTCAGTCAATCCAAAGTCATCGCAGCGGGCTCGCAACTCGTTGACTGTCGAGGCACTAGCTTCATCCAAAAACGAATTCAAGTTAGTGCGGTCCTTTCTTGGACGATAGCGTTGGTCCAAAGTCTGAGCTTCATCTTCAAGAAACTGCTCGGCCCATCCAGAAGCAACACTGCCTTCACTTTGAGACCAGAAAGCTTGTTGTCTACCGAATCGAACACCCTGGTTGAGCCATAGAGGAATGGCCTTGCGCAGATCGAGACACGTTTCGGTAATGACCCAATTAAGAACGTCCGATACGATGACCTCATGCCCGCCAACTTTCTCCTGGGTTTTCAAATGGACGATCTTCTGCTCGATCTCCCACGGTACACAGAACTCTACGCTTTGGCCTTTCCCGAGTTTCCGCATTCGCATACATGCTGTAAGATGATGAGCAATTATCTTACAGTAAATTGGTTTCACGTACCCTGAACTAATCGATCCTTTGTTAAACCGGTTCCCAGCGTGACTACTGCGCGGTAGGTGGGGGGAAGCTTGAGATCAGTTCCTCTGGTGTGGGATTCATCAAGGAAAACAAGGCACCGATCTAGCTGTTCGAAAAATGGCGACGTTTCGAGCTCTTCGACCTTACCAGAGCGGTCGAGCACAACAATTTCGTCATGTTCATTGAAGTAGATGATTGCTTGGGTGTTGTCATCATTCTGATAACGTGCCAGCCACTGTTCTGCAAACTGTAGGTTAGTGAGGTCAATTACCTGAGCGCCGACGTCCAGAATTACACGTGTCTGTGCATTCATTCCCGATACCATATCCAGAAGCATCCGGCTGTTGAAAGGGGTAGCTTTAGCTTCCTGCGGCACCAAAGTGACTCCATTTTGTGGTTGTAACAAATAGCCAAGCACGAGAGCGTTGGTGTGCTTCTGTTCCGGAAGGTCTAGTTGCTTGATATCCGTAGGGAGAACATATCTTGAATCATTGGTTCCGCTGAACCCAGTCGTAGGATTGTCTTTAATCTTGGCTAGATCCCAGCCCGAGGCTGACAATTTATGAGGAAACTCCTTTGCCTCTCTACTGAAAACCAGCTGACTCAGGTAGTAATCAATCGCCAACTTAGAGTAGCGAAGGTGTGGATATATCTCGTCTCTGAACTGGGCCCGATCTCGCAAATTGACGCCTTCTAGGGTTTTGAATGGTGGTGGTAGGGTCGGAGCGGTTCTGGTCCACTCGTGATATTCTGTTCTGGCATTATCTGACTTGGTAAGTAGGCGAAAAGCAAAGAATAGGGCTTCTTCGTCTAAGCCGCCATAGTAGTAGCTCAGACACGTAAGGGTAATCACGACGTCGGGGTGGCTGAACTCTGATCGTGGTGTTGGACTATCTTTGGCGCGAAAAGGAACAGCTAGCTTAGTCCCAGTCTGGCGATACGGGTCGATTCCATAGTTGACTCTCCATCTCTTTTGGCCCAAAGCAAAAGCGAGGATACCGCCGGCAAACAAACCTCGTAAAAGTAAGATGCGACCAACTGTTACCCCGTCAAAAAACGGGCTTCGCTCAACTAACTCAACATCTCCTTGTTTGAGCTCCCAATGAGTGACATAACGATGCACAGCCTTCTTGAATTTCTCGGGCTGGTGGCTAATCGGAAATCCATTCATCCCAGTCTCGCAAATCTGAGAAGCAACATGATTGAGAATCACTTCCCCAGAATCAGCTTGTAGAAAGCGTATTGTGGGATACTGCCCATTTTTCCGGCCATCAAACTCAAGTGATGTCGAAAACTGAGATTTGACTTTACCAGCGAATTGGGCGACTAGCCCTAGCACTTCTTGAGTGACTACCCATCTACTGGGGCTATCTTCAATTGAGCACTGCTGGCCTAGCGTGTAGATGAGCTCGAATTTGACGCTGAAGTTCTCGTCGCTTTCATCGACTATATCACGAGATGCATTGTCAAAAAGTCCTCTGACTGCCCTCAGTCGCTCCGCAGCTTCTTGGCGACTGCTGAGTTGGCATTCTAGCTCCATCAGCTGCAAAGACAGTAAATGTTCCGGCTGAACCATTAGAACACCACCTTCGTTCATGCATCTTGTGACTAATTGATGAATCGAGTCTGCTCTCTGGACGCTCATTTGGATATCTCTGGAGAATGGTAGGAGATAGACTGGGCGGTCGAGCAGGCCGGCGAGTTTCGACACAAGCATCTGATACATCTGTTTTGCTTGCGGCTTGGCAACAATGACACGAACCATCATGGAGCCATTTGCAAGGGTAGTGGCTACCATTGGAACGATAACGGTAGATTTACCCTCACCCATATTCAGCTGCATGACAGCGTTTTTGTCCTCGGGGGTGCTAATCATCTTCCGAGCGACCTGCTCTTGCACGTTTCGGATCATGATCTCGCTCTCGCATTCCAACAACAACCATTCAGGGCGATCCTCGCCTTTCCAGGTCTCATGCCCGGAGTTCTGAATCTCGCGAAGAAGGTCTACAGGGCTGCTTTGGAAACGCATGAGTCGTCTGGCCCGCTGAACAGCGGTGACGGCCGTCGCATACTCTACGATAGCCATCTTCCACGTCTCAAGCAAGCAAGAAAAGCGCGACGGTCGAAGTTGCTGCAGCATCAGGAGTGGCGTTATCCTTGGCAAGCAACCAGAATCTGTAAGTATATGCTGCATCAATGGCGGCATGAGAGTCCCATCCTCTCGCGCCAAGCCGACCCCAAGAATGTTTTGCAATAAGTTCTGATAGACCGTTGTCCTATGATTCTCGCAATGCTTCAGGTGCTCCTGAAGCAAATGATCGACTCTTGTAGGATTGTTGATTTCAAGCTCGTTGCCGACCTGTTCGTTCAAACTTGAGAGACTCTGGCGTAGCTCGTCCAGATATCGGTGTTCGTACGGTAATTTTGCTTGAATGTCGAGGTTATTAATGATGCCGGTCAACCTGCTTATGGTCCCCGGGTTCATATTCACCACTTGAAGTGGAACATTCAGTGTCGGTATGGGACAGAAAGTGTACCGTGCATTTGGCCTAGAAAATAAATCCTCAATGGATATAAATCCCAACAATCGGCGTTGTGAAACCGCCGTCACCCTCTCAGGTTGAGGGTGGAGCTTGAGACCCTGCATGGGCACCTCCATTAGACGAGCAGAGATTTCTTGGAGGTATTGCTTGAAACTCAGATTATTATACCATGATGACCATTTGGGGTACAATTCTTCCATGGCTTTTTCGCATTTGAGGTAGGAATCGACCTCTCTCCCCTGCGGCATATTTGGGACTGCGCAAGGCCATTGATTGCATAATTGGTCGCTGAAAGACCTAACAGCGCGATTTCTACTTTCTGTAAACTGCCGATTGCGTCTTTTCAGTAATTTTTTGGGAGTTTCGTCTCGTAAGCGTGGAAGGGAGCCTTCCGGGCATGAGTCAATAGAACGTGCCGCACTTTCTGCTAGTCCATTAACCTGTCCCAGAACGATTGCATATCCTTGGGATAGATCGTACGAGGGCTTGGTGGGCAATGGTACAGCTGAGACTGAAGCGGACAGTGCCATCATCAAAAGTACCTGGGTGATTTGGGGATCATGATGTTTGGAATAAGACAAGGTGGCTATCCAGATCATTAACTCGAACTTGTTTAGCCAGTCTTTTTCTTTCCGGAAAGCATAATGAATCTGACACCAGTCAGATGAGAGGAAATTCCGGGTTTCTCGAAGCCACCTTGAATCGTACTGCATCATGCTCTTGTGTGGTACTTGGCTTGTATTCACAACACTGCCCTCGGAGAGAAGTCGATACAAAGATTCGGCAAAAGAAGGCTCGATTCTCTTGATGACGTAACATTGGGCATGGTAGACTCGGAAAGCGATCCCTTGAGCGCGGATTGCTCGGGCTGACATGTTCCCTCGGGCCCTTGGGATATATGTGACATCATGCTGAGCCGTGAACTCTTCGGAGCCAAATCCAGAAACATGTACCCTAGAAGCCCTGTTGATTGCTCGTTCAACTAGATGAAGGGAGGAGTGAGATGGCGAGTCTGGTACTTCGTGTTTGGGGTAAAGAAAACAGATTTCACGAGATCTCGCGAGTATATCCAATACGACTTTATAGAAGCGATCGCTCTGGGACATGTAACTCAGTCTAGAAGACCACTCGACGACCTGCATCAATTTCTCGTTCCTTGGGTAGAAAGAACGTGTTGGTGATAGCTTGGCGATGCAGTCCAGGATGTTGTATGAAGTTTCAGTCAAGATGCTAGGTACGCGAATTACCGCAGATCCCAAGATGTCCAGAGCTTCTTCGGTTCCTGTTCGTCTAATGAAAGGATCCGGAAGGCAAAATGACGTTAGTCCGTGGAGATATGCCAGGTACAGTTTGCTCTCAGTTCTGGTACTACCTACAAGTCGACCCAGGAGATCGTCGAGCTTGTAGGGCTGTACACGACGCGCGCTACCATGTACCACCCTGACCATCGTGTGCTTATCAAGATGGTTAAATGTCTTCATCTCATATTGGACGTCGCCTTCAGGAATAAGGACCGTTCTAATAGGTGGATCCCTGCTGCTGGACAACACGAGTTTGCTTTTGAATCCCACAAGTGTCCCTGTAGACTGATCCGGATCGATGTGCATGTCGCGGAACTGTCGGGATTCCATGGAAGACTCTCCCGATTTGAGAAGAAATTCCAGTCGTAGATTTGGAATTCGGATCTCGGTGATCTTTTTGACAGTGTCATAAATCAGATGAAGCCCCAGTGGTTCTTCAAGCGGATCAAGGATCACTGCGATGCGCTTGGCCAACTCACTTGAGGGGGCAACGAGAAAAGCATCATCATGGAGGCTAAGTTTCCAACTACCATGGTCTTGTGTAAAACGCCAGTTTCTCTGATCATCCGAAGCCCAGTGATTGTGAAGTTTGTAGAATTCTATGCTTTTGGTCTCGCATTGGTACCAATGAGCAAAGTTGTCAGCTAACTGATGCGGGACCGTCCCCTTCAGCAATCTGGACGGAACAAGATTTAGCGTCGATCCGGGTTTTTCCAATTGAACTAGAAGGTCTTGACCTTGCATGCCAAAGTGAACAGTGTAGCCTAGAAACTCTCTGGTCGCGCTGAAACGCATGCCTGATACATCACTCGGCATGACATCCATTATCATGGATCCGAAAAGTCTGCCATGGTCTTCGTGTATAGTATAGTCGCGCGGGAGACGTGATAATGGGTCACCATTGACCAAAAGCTCGCCTGTCAGGACGTTAAAGTGCACTTGCCTTTGGCCAGAGTTTGTTTCAAGCCAATAGCATGTCGAGGAGGCTAGGGACCAGTCTGTTGTCCGAGAGAAGTCTGACCAACTTCGCTTGATAGCCAGATCAAGGCATGTATTGCCGCGAGATATGACTTCATCGACAAGGATTGAACGAGTGCGGTGTAGGGTGTAATGAGTTCTATCGTCCATGATTCGTTGGAATAACCCTTGAGCCTTGTTGTTGGCAAGAGTTGTATTGTTAATGACAATGGAGGATTCAACAAGAAGAGATGCTTGTTTTGAGTCTCCAAGGATCTCCTCCAAGTGCCTTTCATCAACGTTAAACGTTTGTACACATAGCATGGCAACGTCAAGGGCCGACTCCGAAAACTCCTTTCGTTGCATGTTGTCGGCTGTGTCCTGGACTTTCCTGATCAAAATCAACATCCAATGATGTGAAATTCTGCGACACTCTGATAGAAGCCTCAAGATACCTTGCGACAGTTGTGGGCTAGTCACAGAAAGTAACCGAATCGCTAGAAGTGTAAAAGAACACAAAGCTGTGTGGGACTCCCAATTCTTTTCGATCCTTGAGACTGCCTGCAAGAGACCCTTTAACAGTTGACGACCAAACTCCATGTTAGTGAGGCGAGTGTGAGTTTCTCGGGTGATCTCCAACATCGAGTTTGGCCCAGCTTGTAGGCTTATCTGAAGCAAGAAGATTGCCGTTTCGTCTTGATTGAAGTCGATCGTTGGCATAGCGAGTTGCGTCAATATGCTCATCCACTGCAGACGGTATCCGTACGGCAAGATAGCTAAGGCTTTGAACTCCCCCAGGGTCATGTGTTTGGGGCATTTGTACTGACTGGCTATCACCTGATTGGGAGTCTCTCCATCAGGTCGGAGCCAGGTGCGAACTAGGAAAGGGTACAAGGCTTGAGCGCGCTCGGGAAGTTTGAACGTACACAACTCCGAAACGGCCATTGACTGGGTAAATGAAGAAGTAAAGGTACTACTCTCACGGTCGTGATAATGATAGATGAGACCATTTTCTAGATACACATCTGCCACATCACTGATCGCGATGGACTTTTGACGTCGGTGAGTTTGAACATGGGGCTTAGACTCTGATAGAAGATGGACCCGGCTCGGTTCAGAGGAGTACCAGGGATAGAGGCCGTCGTACGAGTCCAAAGAATAGGATGAACTAGGGTGCTCCCCAAGTGACTTGAAAGCAAGCACATCATGGATGAAATAAAATGTGACATCTCGCCACTGTGCAAATTGGTGAGGGATATCGAGTTCAAAGACCGTAGCTTGCGCTTCGAGATTATCGGTAGGTAATGGCCACTCATGGACCATAATTTTCAAGCCGTTCGCTTGATTCATTAAAGAACAACGATGGCAGTAGGGATCATGCTCAGGATAACTGACGCCCAGTGAAGTTTTATTAATTTGTCCGCATGTGGTGGCGTTATACTGTCGTGTCAAGTCGTCATACCTGTCTTTAAGTTGATAGAACTCTCTGATCTTGGCTTGTTTATCCAATTCAGCCTTCTTCTCAATGGCGATTTTCTTATCCTGGAGCGTTGATGACGATTGGAAGTATCGTACAGGAAAAGACATGCTGTCGCCAAAAGAGCGAAACACAGATGGCCTGCTTGGTGTCCACTTGCGACCCTTAAGATATTGCTCAAGACGCTGAAGCCTTGCCATATCTGCCTGCGACTGGAATAAAAGTGCTTGCCAAATCTTGGTGGGTACTTCGGCGTCGTATTCCTTGAGCATAGGGTAATTATACAATGTCGCTTTGTCGGCAGCTACCCAAATCTCACCGACTGTTAGAAGCATCCGTGATGCTCCTTCTGGGCGGCTTGAGTAAAAAGCTCTTGCAGTCGAATGGTAGCTTTTAAGGAGCGTTTTGAGTGAGGCGCACGCCGTTTCCTCATGAAGATGCTTTTTGATCCACTGATCGAGGTTTTGTTGAACCCACGACTCTATCATTGCAAGGCTAAACGGGACATACGAACTGTCACGTGGTGTGCGAACCAGTGGAAGGCTGTCGGCATTGAAAGATGAGACGTGGGGTACTGGACGGAATGTTGTGGTGTCATTTTTATTCTCACGGTGAGAGATGGTTGTAATGAAATCGTCAATCTTTGGAAGAGAAAAGAAAAGATGGTCCCTTATCTCGGTCGAAGCCAAGAATGCGATATCCATCTGCTCCTCCGAATGATTGCGGATTCGGTCCCATCTCTCGTTCAGAGTCTTAGAAGCTTTTGATATAATACCATGGACAGTCGAAAGCCACTTATCGTCGCGAAGTCCTTCATGCTTGCAGAGGCGATGTGGGATCTTGGTCATCATGATGTGAAGCATCTCGCTCGAGACCTGGGCTTGGTTTGCTTTGAGGAGAGCCTGCGCCATCAGGTAGCTCATAAATCGCTTGTAAGTATCATGTGAACCACCCGAAAGGCGGCTCATGGTGAGGTGCAGGCCCACACGGATAAGTAGCCAGACTGGGGATCTTCTCCACGGAAGCTTGCTACTATTGTAACTGGTTTCCTCACGTGTGTGCTTGCGGATGCCTTCCACTTCCACTTGTTTTCCAACGCCTCTGAGGAAGCTCACCAATAGCTCATTCACAATTCGTGGATCTGTGGTCTCTCGATCCTCGTGGTGGTCTTTCCGAGCCTTCCGAGCCATTGGCTGAGCTTCAGCGACCCTCTGATGAGACATCTTAACAAGGGTGTTGGCCAAGACTTCCTGGAAATGCTCACTCTGGAAGTCTTTATCGGGTATCTCGGTTGCGGTGTCGGGAAACTGACGAACTAGGCGCCCTTTGGTGGTAATGGCGGCTGCATTGGTAGGAGACAGCTCAAAAGTCTCGAAATAGAACGAAGTCTCCAGTCTGCGAATAAGCAGGCCTGCGTTTTGTGCGGCGACATGGAAGAGGGCGACAGAGTCTATAAGATTGGTTATTAGTTAGGGAGAAAACTATAGTAAAGTGATGTAGGTATATACCATGTAAAGAAAGGGCTGCGAGGACTTTCTGAACGCCAATTCTTTCCAGAAATCCTCTCGAATCCGTCGTGTCTCGCATGGTTTGTAACATAGAAATGGCAGACTGGACGGGAGCCGTATCTTCTCCACCCAATTCGTCGGTAAAATGTTGCAGAGATTGCAGGACAAAATTGGTTAGAAAGATGCTATTCAAGGCAGTCATGTCATCACCGCCTGGTAGCTTCGGGGGCAGGAATAAGTGATGAAAGAGATATTCGACTTGATCGCTGTTACTGAGAGCTTCCATAATGGAAGGAGAAATGCAGATACGCCAAGCAAGTAATAATCGATGTCTTTTGAAAAGCGAGTTAGATAGCTTGGCTAAGCACGTATCAGTCTGAATTCGTTGAACGCGCTTGAGGAAAAGGCTACTACACTGGAAAGTTTGCTAGAATCTCGATTATTACTGTAGACAGAGAGACACTGATACAAGTATTGAATCAACATGTAGAGGCCCGAGTTGGAGTCGGAGGCCTGCCTGAAACGCCAGGTTGGCCTCCCGCGTTGTTAGTGACGAGTCGGTTCGACTGTACGAGAAATTGTCGGGAGATGCAAGACCATGTGACGTATTTATCTCACGGGGGCTTTTTTGTCTTTGGCTCTCTTCTACCTTTTGCTAAGCTATCAAAGTTGCCTACTTTGACTGCCTGTATTTTTGAGCATACTCCCATGCAGTCCCTATTCTCTTGTGCCTATCCCCTGTACTTGTAGTTGAGTGCATCAATGTATTTGACATGGAACACGGTAGCGATCAACACCTTTCCGACAGAACGAATGTCCGCAACAAGTTCTTTCCTTTTGTTCATATGTATGATGGCAGTTAATCTACCGTATTTGACTTCAAGTGTCCGAGGCGCGTTAAGACAAATCCTCTGAAGGAAAAGTTCTATTTGAGACTTATTCCGTCGTTTCACTGTGTTGTAGACAGTAATTAAACCACTATCAGTGCAAGTAACTTATAGATGATCACTAAATCATTTCCATATTGGCAAACAAAACGATTGGGTTGAAAATTGGCAGGATTGGCTGCGAAAAGCTACCTCAGTTTCCCTCGGCGTGTAAGGTCACGGCGGTGAATGAGAGGGGGCTTGTTTCTGGATGCGCCACCGTTGTTCGATGACTTCATTTAGCAGCAAGACGGTTTCTTACCTGGTTCAAGACATCAATACTGAATTGTCCGATAAACGATGAAATGGTGGCGAGGAGCCGTAGTGAAAGTCGGTGAGCATGTAACATTGTATCTGATGCACACCATTTGTCTTTGGCAAGCTTCACCGGTGAGGTGGCCTGGAAGATCGGTCAGTTGCATCTGGCTAGTTGTACACGCGTTAGGTGTCTTGAAGGTGTGCCAGGATCTCTCATCGGAATACAACAGAGTAGGAACCTGGCCAGCTCTTAAGCCGCCCCAGCTGATGCTGTTCTGATTCCTGAGGTGCGTTGCCTATTTTCCTTCGACCATAAGCAAAGGTAAACCGAAAAAGGCTCATCGGCAGCATTGGACCTGTTTCATCTTCCTCTTTCAACACCAGAGAGCCTAGCCCGATACTCTCAACGAATATTTGCCACAGCACACCTAACGCGGCACGGATTATTGTGCGTGACGTGGCCTATGGCACCAAACTATGCGTATATCATGCAAGCGCTCGATCGTTTGTTTCTGTGACATTTGTAAAGACCAATATCACGTACTGTGTCACTTGCTGTTTGTGTTCAAAGATGACCAAACCTACACCGAGTTTATTCGAGGCCCTTATTTCAAGGGGCTTGACATTGTACCAAAATCTCATTCAGGACAGATAACTTCAATTAAGACTGATCGTGTTTTCGTTTCTTTGACAAAACTACGTTCTATCAGGATCAATACTTGGTTAGATTGTACGAAATGCATGCTAGCTTCTCTGCGCAAATGACGAAGGACAGCACTTTTGGCTTGACCCTTTTTTAGTTGCAATCGCCCGAGGTATCATTTCTTATAAGACTATTTTGACGTTATATTACACTACGAGACAATGATCATTGCGATACCACACGTTTGTAGTCTGGTTGGCAGGAAGAATGAGGCCAGCTGTATGTGGAGAGGTTCATTCACACTTGTACGGTCTGAGCATTATGCTTTATCAGAACGCAGTGGTTGGTTGTTCAGGTGCATCGAGGACATACGAAAAGGGATGTGAGTGCATATGCTCGGCCAAGGCCAACAGGCAAGCCAGAACTTTTAGGAGGTAACACGGTCGATTACAGCGGTGTACGAATTCTGGGCTTGAATGATAAGCCAGCATCACAGGGTATGTATCAAATGATGTCTTCAAGCCCCATACATATTGACATGGCCAATATGGAAATTGGTCTCTGTTTAATAACCTTTGGTAAGTGTTCCGCTCGGATTTCCTAGTCCCAGCTGATCAAATATACACACTCTGGCTCGGTTTATGTTTTTAGCGAACATATATTGTGAATTTATATCATGATTGCGACCACTTCTTTCTAGTTGTAGCGGTAAAGCTATGTTATAAAATAAGATACGTACAAGAATATGACGGTAACGGTACCTATACAGACGCCGGAATATCATGTACCCTGCTGAGATGAATCAGATCCTCGCATCGGGACAGGTCCTGTCCCCGAATAATGTTAGAATGATTGATTAAGAGCGGGGTAGGCAAGAACAAAAAAACGACGACGTGTCGCACATGCAGGAGGCCGACCACAGTGATCGGCATGGGCAACGGACTTCAAGGATGAGATTAGTTTTACTTCTTCTGATGATTCCAAGAAAGTTTTCACGATCGATATCGCACCGCAAATATCTCTCAATTTCTATATCTTGGTATATCACCCTATTTTCTTATGAACTTTGCTTGCGGTACATGCTGGAAAACATGGCCTACTTTGCGATCCCGTGACCAGCATGTAGCAGACACTTCACATGAAGTCCCAGACTTTGAATGCTACACATGTGATCGCTACTTCAAGAGCCATTCTTCTCTTGAGCAGCATATGAATGATCTCGGCCACTGGGATGCTTCAGCGTTGGATTCATCGGAAGAGTCCACCTACTATTGCGATTTCGACTATTGTGACGAGGAACTTGATACTTTAGATGATCTGAGGAATCATGAGATCAACGATCATCTCTATTGTGATCCGTGTGATCGGTCTTTTAAAGACTTGAACAGCATCAAGATGGTTAGCTATCAACCTCAATCTGCCATTGACTGATAACTAATGAGTATAGCATCTCCGAAGTAGGGTACACCAAGGAGAGAGTCAGCCCTGCCCTTTCTGCGGCCATCTATACGTAACTGCAGCGGGTGTCTTCCAGCATCTTGAGAATAACGGCTGTCCCAAAGCTCCTTTAAACAGGATGATGGTTTACGAGACAGTTAAGAATCGGGATCCAAACGGCTTGCTGACCATGAAACTCCTCGACTGGTCCCAGCCCGCCGAGTACAAGGCCACTGAAAGATCCTGGAATGCAACCACAAGGACTTTCAATTGCTCCCTCTGTGGGTCTCGTTTCAACAGGCTCCAATCTCTTAATCAGCATCTTCAGTCGCCAAAGCACGAGCAAAAGTTGTACCATTGTCCAAAAAAGGGTTGTGATAGGCAATTCAACACGCTTGCTGCCATTACCAATCACTTGGAAAGCGAGCAATGCAATTTCATGCGCTTTGAGGATGTTCAAAAGGCTGCAAGTCGAATTTTCGACCCTGGTCGTATGATCGCTTTTTAGGACGTATATAATTAATAAAATAAGATAAATATAAACCAGGCAATGTAGTGGTCTTGAATGCCTAGGTCTCCTATTATTAGTAACTAGTTATCCTTTATATAGTTATAGTTGCAACAGCCCGACAGAAATCTTAACAAACACGGATATTAAAACGGATTCTACCATCAGAGATGCAGGTCTGTGTCTTATAAAATTCCTCAGACTCCTCTCATGTGGGTGATCAGCGGCCAAAGAGTCGATGTTTAACTCAACACGCATCGCTTCAGCTCAGCCAAGCGACTAAGCATTAAGCGCCTCAGCAAAGCCACTGGGTGGCTAGGGCTATACACCAGTCGGTATCTAATGATCCTAGGTCATTTTTTTACAACTCTAGAACAGAGGGGCGAATACAAGGTTTTATAAGCATCATAACTCCAAGGCTTACACAAGACCTTTTTCTTTTTTTAACCCTGTCCTAACATGAGGCCTAGGCTGCTTCACAAAATGCCCTTCCTTACCCCCTTCCTTTCGGTCATTTTCTCATATTAAGTCATTTTAAATATTTAAAATGAACTTAAGATCCTAAAAGCCTCATTAGCATATCACAAGATACTCGAACGCTTAGGAAGGGTATTCCATTACCTCTAAGCTTCCACATCCTTTATTCTCTGAATTTCCATCTATTGTAAACTTTACAAGGTCTCTCTTCTTTTTCTGCAAGCATAGGATTCTCTGCGATACATTAGAATTTAGCATAAGTTCCAAGTTGTGTAATTGGACCTGGGTTTGTTGAAGTCTTACCTCTTCCACCGTGTTTTTCATTATATATCTAAACACCTTAACACTCTTTGTCTGACCCATGCGAAGGGCTCTCGCAATAGCCTGTTCCTCGACTGACGGGTTCCACTGCGGCTCAATGATATGAACCTGTGTCGCCACTGTAAGGGTGAGTCTGTATGACCGTCAATTTGAGCCCAATGGTTTAGGGGATACTTCACTAACCCAACTGCTCCGGTTTGCATAGTAATTAGAAGAACGGACGTGGTAGGGTCATTTTTGAACTCGTCTAGAACCCTTAGTCTGTCTTCATTTCCCAACCTGCCGTCGATACGCTTTAAATCGATTCGCCTCTGCTCCAACAACGTCTGTAGGAGATCGAGGGTTGTCGTCCAGTAAGAAAAAACGAGGCTTATTCAGTCAGTAAGGTTAATACAGAAAACAAGGCTGTGGTAGGGTTAAAGGAGCTTATACCTCTTCGACCGCTGACAAATATTGTCTGCCACAGATTGAAGTTTCGTTGACAATCCTGAATTAAGCCCTGGAGATGTTGCATTCAATGCAGTAGTGCAAACGTCTTCCATCTCATAAGGCAGACAACTATCCTCGAGAGGAGATAGCTGGACTGATTGGCTGCGGCTCTTTGAAGCGTTAGGCGTCGACACTGACAAGGATCGATCACACTCTGGACATATGAAGTCCCTGTTCAACTTTGCCATATTGTCTTTCTCGGCTGTATTGCAGTAGTCACAGGACACGTGGGTATTCGCGTCATCCAACGTCCTAGGAGGTTCAAGCAGTGTGCCGTGATTGCAAATCCTTCTCAACTCTGATATCATAGAGAAGCGTAGCGTAGTCCTTTTTTTATCCAATTTTGTTAGACTGCTTACAAGGTCTTCCAGTTGTCGCCGATATTTCCGGAACACGTCGTCGTACAATGTCTGTTCGTCGTGGTGGAGTGATAATGTTACAAGCTCATATTCTGCCGCCGGAAGATTCAGATACTTCTCTGTCCGTCTCAGGCAAAAGCCTTGAAGAAGTATCTGGAGAGGGTTAGTTGACTCAAGAAGACTTTCGGCGTGGAGCGGCTCCAGGATATGTCGTCGGAAGACATCCATATTCGAAAATGGCTCGAACTTAAGAAATCGCAAAAGCGACACCAAGTCATTAATACAATTTTGAATTGGAGTCCCCGAAATGCACCATCTCCGTTCCGTGACCAGTCCCTCCACGGCCTTGAATTGCTTAGAACTTGGGTTCCGAATCCAGTGGGCTGGTATCATAATCATTAAAATCTTGTACGCTCGAGAAGACACTGGTGGCAAACACTTACCCTCATCAAGAACAACTCTAAACCATTCCAGGCTTTGAAGGACCTTGCGACGTTTGCAATCAGAAACAAGGGTCGCAAATGTAGTTAAGACAATATCGTAATTCATCAAGGCGACTGTTTGAGTTGGTCGAGAATCCCCATGGAAGGTATAAACCCGTAATGACCCAGCTCTGAAATGCCTGTTCTCCCGTATGGTTAGGTCTACTGGCCAATATGTACTCAGGGTACCAACTCTTTACCTTGAAACTTCAGATCGCCAGACCTCCATAACCTCTTTAGATGCCTAGTCAATGAGGGATGTCCATTTGTCTGTCGGCTAGGAAACTCACGGGTTGATGTAACGACTACTAGCGTTGCGCTTGTCCGAGGATAGTTCGGCTGGTCCATGCCAACGGCAGTGTTGACAATTTGGAAATTCTCCGCTGCGAGTCTCGCAAGATGAATTGAAACTAGAATCGTGAGTGTTTTACCCAGACCCATTACATCTGCCAATATTCCACCTAGTGCAAATGTTGGGATCGCGTTGTGTGACCTGTACTTCAAGGTTAGTAGTTCCGATTTTAACCTGAGACTGGTTATGCGCTTACGCGATACGGGTATGGAACAGAAGCTCCCTAGCAACCTGCTGGCAGTATTCGGAATTTTCGCGGCGTTGGATGAACAATAAAGCAACTTTCTGGTGGCTAACCTTGTCAGTTTCGGCGATATATAGCGTAGGGGCCGCCAAACTCACTCCTGTAGGGGAGTTATGAGATCATCTGTTACAATGATATCCAGATCATTGATAGCCAAGGCTGGCATGCCATGGTCGAGAGAAGTCCATGAAACTTCCACGGCGTCTGAGAATTTCTTGGCTTGAAATTTGGAATCGTCCATACCAACCAAATGGGTCATGTACCTTGGTCCGTCTTCAAGATCAAAGAACTGCGGATTTAGGTATTCCACACCGTCCTCGAGGTAAAATGGGTGCTGCAAGAACGCTCCAACTTTAGATAGTTGCTGTCCGATATCACGAGCATCTAACTCCCGCCCATATATATTCACGGATATTTCAAAAGACTTCTTTGCCGTCCTTGAGAGCTGGCGCAAAATTCTGGCCTCAACTACGGCTTTAGTGAAAACCGACGTTTCTTCAAGAATATTCAGTTTCTCTGCCGTGATAAGGTCAATCATCACAAACGTGTTTGCGTTAGGTATTGCGAAACCGTAGGTACTCTCTTGCAAGTAAATGTCGAGTAGGAAAAATTCTGAGGCTCCAGTCTCCAGGCATTGATTTGCGTTAGGTTGTAGGGCAGATCCAGCGTTCAGAAAGTCAGTCGGTTTGACATGAACTTCACAAAGCTAGATAAGGCGGCATGAGTATTTTATTTCAATTTTAAAAAAGAAGAAAATTGAACGCACTGTACCGAAGCATATTGGTTGGGGTTCACTCGATCGATTGCTTGGAGAACTGGTATCCGTATAATCAATGCACCATCCAGAATTTGCCTTCTCGCCAGTAGTAGAACCATCTAAAGTTGAGCTTGTGCTGTCTGGAAAGAGTTCTAGGTGTTGTCGTTTTGCGATCGGGTTATCTGCGCCATCGTGAGTAGCAAGTTGGCGCTTCGACGACATTTCACTATAGAACCAAGAAAGGGCAATTCTCAAAACCCAGCGTCAATCCGTTGTGACTGGGAGAAAGAGGCCTCTTAGCTTGAAATCTTGACTTGAAGATAGGTAAACAATCAACAGCGGGGAAGTCCTACATGGACAGCCTCGTCTGCCTAGCCTACACAACTGGCCAATGAAACCCATACTACCACGAACACTTGTCTCAAATATTAGCTGCTTGGTGGTGGCGGTGTAGGCTCAGCCACCAAGCCCGTATCAGCCAGGGCAATCTGAATGTGCCTTGTCAAGCCATGAAAATCTTTTCCCAAAGACCTGCCATTTCCATCCTTGCAAGCCAGGGCAAACAATTCACGTAAATCAAGAGATATCCAGAGAAAGCATCTTGGTGTCATTACGAAGCGATGGCTTCATCACTACCTGAGACATCGCCACCTGCTGGTAGAACTCAGGCACGTACAGATTCCGACCTCGTATTTGGCAAGGCTGTCGCCAAGTTCAAAAGTCGCCTCAACAGAACTCAGGCAGAACAGTTCGCAAAGTGCACGATAGACGACGTCAGAAATCAGATCAGACATATCCAGAACCATCACGGCTCTCAGCGACGGTTGAGAAATATGGATCGCCTCTCTAAATTCGTCGAAGGGATGGTCCATTTGGGTAAGGTCGTGGAGGTGTTCCTCAATCTTCACAACGGTGTGGCATTGATCTGGGTGCGTGAAAATTCAATTTCGTCAAAGGCGAAGATGTATGCGCTAACTATATGGAACAGGGCCCTATCAAATTTCTCCTTCTTGTATGTGTTTCCGATGATTTTGGGATGTAGCTAACCTCCCATATTCAGGCAGCAAGCAATTGGATTGATTCCCTTGACAGCCTGCTTGGTGTTTATGGGCAAATTGGAGAAGTTCTACCAGATCTTGCTCGCTACGGGCAGATTTACAAGGAATATCCTTATGTCCATACCCATCTTGAATCGTATTACTGTGATATCCTTGAGTTTCACAGTAATGCTCTTGATGTGTTTGCTCGACCAGGTGAGTGCTAATCTTCTTATCTACTGGCCGTCCCAGGCTTACAACCCTAGGCTGGAAAGTCTTGTTTCATTCCGCCTGGAAAACGTTCAAGACCCAATTCGATCCCATATTGAAAAGTCTTGAGAGGCACAGGATCATGCTTTCAGAGGAGAAGCTTACAGCTGTCATGGAAGAATCACAAAAACAAGGGCATTCCATCCAAGACAAACTTGATCAGTTGCATAAACAATTGCAAGAGAGAGACCAGAAGAATGCTGAGAAGGATTTGGCTGCTCATCAAAGTCGAATTGATCAGCAGTACAGCACCGTTGAGAGCAGGATCGACGCCCCGAACTACCATGAGGACTACGAAATTGCATCACAGAAACGATTCCAGAACACATCTGGCCGCTGGATCCTCAGCCATCCTCTTGTCTCAGAGTGGCTTGACCACAGTTCCAAAGCTAACGGAAAAATCTACTTGAGTGGTATACCTGGGGCCGGTGCGATCACTACACAAACAGAGTCAATTGATTGACAGCTAACTTACATTAGGCAAAACTGTTCTTACGTCTAGTATAATTGGCTATCTTAAGGAACGACGGTCTTCCAGTAAAGGTTCGGCTAACAGTTTTTCTATATCGTACTTCTACTTCAAACACCATCAGCGTAAGAAAAGCTCATTGCTCTCCTTGCTTCTTGCACTATTGGCCCAGCTAGTTGCTCAAGACGAGAGTTTGCTTGATCACGTCTATCAAGCTTGTCGTTCCGCCGAACTACAACAATGTCGATCATTGGATGAGGTTTCCCGCCATGTCTCAACGGCGCTCCAGTCACAATCTCGATCTTTCGTTATTATTGATGGACTGGATGAGTGCACAGAAGCGTCCAGAGTCTTGGAGTGGTTTGAAAGTATCATGTCCAAACAGGATGATGCTTCAAGAGCTACCGACTTCAATATTCGCCTTTTTATATCCGGACAACGGGATGGAATTCTTGAAAGCCAGATGTCCCATTACACAAGAATTGACCTGGAGACATCTTCAGGACATGACCAGGATATCGAGGCGTTCGCGGCGACTATGGCCATCAAAATTCGAGAAAGGTTCTCTCTGGATCCTGGAGTTGAGCAGGACATCACTTTACGTGTTACGTCAAAGGCTGGGGGTATGTCGCCCTCTCTGTCTAGTCTACTTGAACAAGATGCGCTGACTTTTAAAGTAGGGATGTTTCTATACGCGCAGCTCGTCCTCAATAACCTTTTTTCCCAAACCTCAAAGTATGACTTGAAGCAAGAATTGAAGGCTGAAACGTTTCCTGAGGGGCTTGAACAAGCGTAGGGGACTTTCGAATGAATTTATCTGAGTTCATGGGAGCTAATAGCATAGCAGATACGAACGTGTTGTTGTTCGAGTGCTGAAAACCGCCAACAAAGCCGAGAGAGCCGTCGCAAAAGACGTCCTTGGAATGATCATGAGTGCTTGTCGCCCCTTGCATTGGAGAGAGATTCAAAGCAAGTTTTGCATCGATCCAAGTAAAGGGGAAGCTGATATTGATCGAAAGCTTGTGATAAGCTGTAAGCACATTTGCAGCTCTCTAGTGGACGTCAGCTATCTCGACTCGTCGGCATCATCACCAGGGGAAGAGGTTATCGATCTCGTCCACACCACAGCCAAAATGTAGGTCGCCTAATCTGAAATATTCCTGAAGCCCTTTGGTCACTCTGCGAAGCATGTGTGAAGCTAATTCTAGATTGCTCATAGATATTTGGTGCAAACCAAGGAAATTGATCTTCAAACCGAAAATGCTAAAATGGCTCTCTTCTGCACAGAATACATGATATCTCGGCCACTTACACCCGGGCTTCCGAAGCTAGAGATTCAAGAATATGCTTCCAAGGGCTATTATGGTTTCCATGACTACGCCGCCGCGTTCTGGTGGAAACATATTCAACAGGTTCTCGCCGCCTCGGAACTAGATACTGAGCTGGCCCGGAAAGTATTGCAAGCTGCTGATCGTTATGTCACGGATATTGGAGAGATCGACCAAATTAAAGCTCTCGATGATTCGTCAAAAGAAATTCAGTCCCTAAAGAAAAAGCTTGGAGGTATCCCTCAGAACCTCCGGGACTGGGACTCCATGAGAATCTACGAAATGCGAGCAGTTGCAGTCAGAGACGCAATGGAAGTACTTATTAATCAACCCTATGAACAGAAAGAAGCCACTTTAGCTCTTTATGGACCGTGGCGATACAAGTGCCGCAAGCCATGGTGTCAGTTTTTCAGCTGTGGTTTCGAAGACGCACAACAGCAACATACTCATATCAACCAACACGAGTTGCCCTTCACCTGCGAATATCAGGGATGCCATGCTACCGAGGTTGGGTTTGGGACAGAGACTGATCTCAAAACCCACACTAGAAGATGGCATCCTAAAGAAGAATCTTCACTGTTCCCCGCGCCCAAGCGGCACACCCCGAGTCACAGCGACATCCTGAAAGCTGTTCGAATAGGAGACCTAAATAAGGTAAAGGATCTTATAGAGCAACTCAATATCAGCCCAGACTATCAGAGAAAGGGGGGCAAATCCCTTTTAGAGCTCGCAGTACAGAATGGACATTTACACATTGTCCAATACTTAACAAAAATGGGCGCAAATGTCAATGTTAAGGTTCGGCACGAAAAAAGTCTATTGGATGTAGCTATCAGGAGCCGTGACCTGGAAATCGTTACTTTTCTGTGCAATCTCAACAGCATGTCACTAGATGATCACTACAACACTCTGGCTACGTGTGTTATGTTAGATCCGTTCCCACAGGCAATCATGGGTCAATTGCTACGCACAGCTTCTCTCAAATGTTCACGAGACCTTGTGCTTTTCGCTATCAGGTCAGAAAAAGCCACAGCTGTAGCATACCTCGCACAAGCCCTTGACGGGTCTTGCTTCGACAGTGGCTTCGACAGTGCTCTTGAGGCTGCCGCCACGACAGGGCATTTGCCTTGCTTAGATGCCTTGCTGTCGTCAGGGAAAACTGACCCAAACTCTGGCGATATGGAGGGAGCCCTGCCGCTCCATGCCGCTTGTGCATCCGGGGCACTTTCAATTGTTGAACGTCTCTATGCTGTCACTACTACCAGCCACATTGCACACGCCTCAGGAAATACACCTTTGCATTCAGCCTCCGTGGGCGGCCATGTTGCAGTAGTAGAATTTCTCATCAAAAAAGGTGCAGACATCAACGCTGCAAATATACTCCTTAAAACACCATTGCAACTCGCCACAAGAAACGGCGAAATGGCGGTCCGAAGGCTGCTGCTTGAAAACGGTGCAAGATTAGACACAGTTGACGAGCCAGCTGGCGCGTTGCCTGATGCTAACCGGGTGATGGGACTGGACAACTCGTTTGGGCCATTGTTTGACGGGGGGGGGGATGGAACTCGCTAATCCACTTAACTCAGGTGACGTTTTGAAAGACTTTGACTTTGATTCGTTTCTACACGATCAAGACGGGGAAACTAGCGGTTTTAACTTTGTCGAAGAGTTTCCTATGGAGCCTTTCAACGCAGATTAGCTGAAGGGCATGAGGGATTTTAGTACAGTATGAACCATGCCGCCAGAAGGTCTCATTGTATTGATAATGACTGGTATATTGCTGGTGGGAACGAATATGTTCAGTCAAGTTATCAGGCCCATATGATGAGCTTTTGCGTTGGAAATTCACTCCTAGACCTTAAGTTATATACTCTTCTTATTTCACATCCACGTATATCATTGTCACACTGAGATGAATACGAACCAAGCAATATGGCAGCCAAGAATGCCTGGATTCCCTGTCATTCAGTGCATGCACCGACAAACTACGACCACGCAAAAGACCACCAGCATCCCGCTGGGTTGGCTATTATTTGTCTATGCCAATCTTATACAGCCGTAGAGTAACAAGAAACAAATCCCCAGTCTTCAACGGATGGGATGAGCAAAAGAAAGGGTCTGGCCGGGGATTGAACCCGGGACCTCTCGCAAGCAATGCTGTAGGGTTTTCCCTAAGCGAGAATCATACCACTAGACCACCAGACCGATGAAGCCATCACGTGATAACACATGCATCAGATTCTGGAATCACCATCCTTGAAGGGACAGACCCAGAACCCTGAGTAATTCTAAACAAGCACTCCTACTCCTGATTCAAAAGTTTCGTTGTGATTTAGCTATATACTTCTAATTCGGACTTTGTTTCGGACAGCATGATCTCATCCCTAGTCATCATCATCCAAGTTCACTACTCTACCTTGGGCAGCTGAGGCCACTTATCCAAAGTCGCCTTCTTACCCGTGAGCGTCACCTTCACCTTGGCCTGCACAGGCTCATCAAGTAACAGCGTATAGGTACCAGGGTATAGCACAAGATCGCCGTTCTGCTCCCGTCGCGCAATGCTATCAAGCGTCCACTGAAGATTGACGTGCTTGGTGGCACTTGGGGCAATGTCGTATGAGCGACTGTACGCTGCGAGTGTCTTGAGCGGGTAGGGTTTTGGCCCGATGTCGCTCTTGATGAAAACCAGAGAAACAAAGTCGGAGGACACACGGCCGGTGTTCTTGACGCTTACTTCGATGGAAGGGAGAGGGCAAGTGTCGGCATAAGTAGCGCCACAGCCATCTAAAAGTTTCTGGATATCGAACTTCATCTCGGAGGACTTGAACTTGGCTTTAAATGTGGTGTAGTGCATGCCAAAGCCGTAGGGAATCGCAGCTTTGGAATACCAGCGGTATGTTCTTCCAGGACTTGACTTGGAGGGCCTCAGATCCATCTCCGTCATACCTACAGCTTTGGCATAGCTGCTGGGGTATTGCGTAACAGGCAGTCTTCCAGCAGGGCTCTTGCGTCCTGTAACGATGTCCATAACAGCAGTTCCACCGTCCTGACCGGGGTAGTTGAACCAGAGGATACTGTTGACGCCCTTGTTCTTCAGCAGAGGAGAATCGTCTACTTGATCACCCAGCTGAATGACCACAAGTGGCTTACCCACCTTGGCCAGTTTCTGCAGCAAGGTGAGCTGATTACTGGGCCAGTCGAGAGTGGTGCGGTCTTTCTCCTCGCCAGCGGCTGTGACGTCGAGACCGCCGAAGTACAAGATGTAATCGGACTTCTTAGCAGCAGCGATAGCTTCGGTGGTTCAATTGTCGTGGGTAGAGCTATTCTGCAGCGTAGGACCCCAAGCGATATTGTAAGTCAAGCCGAGCTGTTTAGCCGCATATGCCGGGGTGTGGAGGAACGGCGCAGGGCCACTATATCCGCCCTGGATCTTGGACTTGTCATTGGCCCAGAATCCGATCATGGCTACGCTCTCTTTCTTCTTGATCTTCAGAGGTAGTGTGCCATCGTTCTTGAGAAGGACTGCGCCGCTCACGTCAGACTTGAGAGCTAGAGCTTGGGCCGCTTTGGTGTTGACGTCGTCAAAATCGAGAGAAGCCCACTGAGCTTTGGCACCGTCGAAGAAGCCGGTGTGCACAAGACCCTCAAAGAGGCGATGGAGAGCAGGATCCATCATCTTCTCTGTCAGGAACCCTTGTTTGTAGGCGTCGGAGACATCCGAGGTAGTCGTATACTCACAACTAGAGTCCATGCCATTCTTAAAGGCGACGGCAGCGCCCTCAGCATTGGTCTTGGTATAGTTATGACGCTGCCAAATATCCTGCACAGCTCCACAATCACTGGTGATCCAATTGTTAGTCTCGGTCCAGTTCCAGTGTTTCCTCAGAATAGTCTCCTGGAGATACGAGTTTGCGCAAGAGGGAATGCCATTGACAGCGTTGTAAGCACACATGATGGAGCCGGCCTTGGAGTCGCGGGTGCATTCCTGGAAGGGTCTGACATAGTATTCGGCCAAATCCTGAGCAGAGATACGAGCGTTGAAGTCCTGGCGTGTGTAGCCACCCCAGTCCTCAAAGTCGTTGCCAGCGTAGTGCTTGCAGGTGGCTACAATGCGACGCTGCTTTTTATGGCCCTCGAGGCCTCTGACAATGGATCGGGCATAGCGACTTACATGCAGAGCATCCTCGCCTGGAGTCTCTGAGCCGCGACCCATCTTGGATCCTTGAAGGGATTGACGTTTGGTGTCCAGTAGTTGACTCCACTCCCGTAGCCGCCATTTGCCCAAGCGCGAGACTCGGTGCCGATGACAGTGCCGATGTCTTGAATGAGATCATCGTCAAAGGAGGAGGCCATGAGAAGTGGCATAGGGAAAGAAGTCGCAGAATCATATGGTGGTTTATCAGCAAACTCGGAGCCTGGAGCGCCTGCGACACCATGGAGGGCCTCGTTCCACCAGTTGTATCGTGGCAGCCCAATTCTCGGTGCACCAGTCGCATTGCTACTTCAGATTAGAACAATATTCGTCTTTCTCGACATGTTTGAGAGATCCTACCTAACGAGGTTCCCAACCTTCTCCTCCGGCGTCATGGTCGCAACCAGGGCCGCCGCCCGCTTGGCAGGCGTCTTGGTAGTGTCACATATCCCATTTGAGCTCAAAGGCTTCTTGGAGTAGTCAGGTCTGGTATAAGGTGGTGTAGCAGCCCCAACCCCCGTCAAATTGATGGAGAGGAGGAGAGCGCTAGTAGCGACCTGCACATTGAGCAACATCCTGTCGCTTCTTGAGGTTCAAGTCTGCATTGGCCAAGATATCATGGTGATGTCAATTTCTTTTATACTTTTCCGTATTCTTGAGTCATGATCGTACCATGAAGGTTCAATGAGGGGTTATGCATATTTACAGTTATGCTTTTATAGCCGACCAAATCGCATTGCAACGAACCTCCAATAATGATGCTTTTATTATGATACGATACTACGTACACAATGATCGACATGTGGTAGACATTGCCGGAGTTGAGGCTAATAGGATATTTCACCAAACGCGGGAAATGCGCGGAGTAGTCTTCGGCAAAAGCAGATCAACGGTGCATGTAGCCTAATAACGCTGACCACATTATATCACATTCGGCATTTCTAGCGGTTCTTTGTAAGTTTTCTAGGATGTGAAGTTCATGGCTAATTAGTCTCTTGCTCCATACCCGCCTCGCCCCTTGCATCTAACTCAGTGTGCGGATCGGTCTCCTCTACGATCATACCTGGAGCCCAATCATCCAGCATGTACCGCAATCTATAATTTCTGGAAAAAGGAGTTTCGCCATACAAGTGCTTCTCAAGCACGAATCCCTCATCTGCCAAGTGATCACACTCGGTCGTTTCCTGAGCCCCTGGTTCATGTCTTTCCGTAGCGATACTGCTGTCGTGGCATACAAGAGCCTCATATGAGAGTTGTAGTTGGGCGCCTGTTCTCATACGATGGATGTTTAGATAAAGGCCCTGAGGCTCTGACCCAGAGACATTCGGATGGTCGCGAATGGCATCAAAGACATGATGCCAGTCTGCGTAAGAGCACCCTTTTGAGGGTTTCACGCAAGCTGTCTCAAACCGACGCAATGAAGGCATCCGGGTCACAGCATCCGCTAGTAAAGCTGGGCGGACAGTATCGACCGAGTAAGTAACGTGCTTGAGAGCTGACAGGTCATAGGTCAAATGCTGGGTAGGCCAACTGATGGCGCCGCCTCCCCAGAGGTCAAGGTATAACAAGTTGTCACGGCATTTGTCCACCAGATTTTGAACCATAGCTGATGACCCTCTCTCCGCTATCTCGAAAGTATGAGATGGGAAAGCCTCCAGCACGCTGTCCTCAATAAACCAGTTGACTTCCCTGGTTGGTATTCGGAGTCTTAGCGTAAGCGTCTCCAACTCACTGAGATATATGTCATCCCAGCCCGGGATCTCTGTGCACTTGACGTTGCCTGTCATAAGCACGTTGATATCCAATTTGGGCACAGCAACCCTGGAAGCCGCCAAGGACGACATGACTGTCGTGAAAAGTCGATCGCCTGATACGGCGGCAGCGCAATGACAGCCATACTCATGACTCTTGAAGGTGTGGCAATGAGAAGGGAGCCCGCCTGGTAGATCTGACATGGAGCATTCTTTGCTCGTTATTTTGATCACCTGCAGGCCTTCTCCCAAGGTCTTTAGTACCTGGGTCCATACGTCCTGGAAGTTCTCGCTTTCTTCGAGGAGTAGCTGCGCTTCTCTGGCGGTGTTCATATAGGCGGTATACCTACTCTCCACTTCTGTCTCTATGATTTTGGGTTGTTCAACTAATGACGGACCGATGGCGATTTGTTCAAATGTCTCGCGCAGCAGCATCCAGCTTGGTGGCGCAACGAAGGTGACTATTTCCACGAACCGGGCCACGCGAGATAGATCAGCGCCTTGATAGCTGGTCAAGCCTTCGGGAGTTGCCTCCACTTGGATATGTGTAAATAGAACGGCGTTGAGAGAGTCGAGATTGTAGAAACGTTCATGCGTCAATCGCATATTCTTCAATTGACCGCAAATCCATCTGTAAGGTCTGTCAGAATTTGGCGATACTTAGAATCGGTGTTGTAGAGCCATACTCGTAATCCAATGTCCCTGGGTTTTCATCGCCGACGATCTCGCTAACTATGTCGTTGAGAAGTTCCACTGGGAGGCTAAGTAGGCCACGAGGTTGGTCCTTGAAAATAGTTCCCATTGTAGTATTGCTAAATCGTGGCCGAACAAGTAGTGGTTGTGTGGATGCACGTGAGGAGCATAAAAATTCAATTTTGTTGGTAACTAACTGCCTTAAGGACTCAAGGCAACAGACGAGAGGGGAAATCCATGGCAATCTCACTTTCACGTGGCGTAGCGCTTGGCAGACCGCATAACGTTACCCACATCATCCGATCGCCATGAACGCAAGCATCCTCCGCAGCGTTAACAAATATATGCTCTTTGGAATAGAAAATCACAAAGTTGGATTCGTCACGCAAATGTCTCATGAAGCCCCAAATTTATGAAACAATAATTCAATCGCGGATCTGTATCTAACAGACGTGCTGAATTCCCGCCAACGACATCGCTGCCGTTTTGAGAAACATACACGAACCACTGTAGATACCATCAATCGTGCTGATCCGGCCTCTCAACACTCAACCTCATGCGCCGGATATTTCAACGGCTGAGAAGTCATGCGCACTTGGCCAGCCCAACCTCCCTTCTGTGAAGACTTGCAGCAACCACTCAACGCGGCGTTGGAGTTCAAATAATCCGCACATTTCTCCACGGCTTCCTGGATGGCTTCCTTCTCAATAGTTGCTTCACAATCGAAACTAATCGTGGTCACGAAGTAGGAATAGCCGTTGACATATTCGCCGTTCGAATCCGTGCTGGCGCTGAGAACGCAAGGGGCTGAATCTTCTTTGTTCTTAAACAGACTAAAGATGGTTTCGTGAACGATCTCGTACATGCCGAGTGCAGAGTAGTCTGGTCGCTGGTTGAAGATTGCAGAACATGATCCAGCGAAGCCAAATGCGAGATAAGTAAAAAGAGTTTTGCTTGCGTTGACCATTTTTCAAGAGATTCAAAGCTTATATAAAAAGGTTGCGGCTGAAATACAAGGTCGAAAGTTGGTGAAAGATAGTGCTTTCCCGAGGAGAGAAGGGACAAGAGTTTAAAGTCCTAAGGAACCACAAGAAAGCAGGAGTGCGGCTTTTCTTGATAACCAACTATCACATGTTCCTGTCCCGTTGAAAATCCCAGAAGGCAGTTATTACCAACTGTCAGTGACCCGCTGCGTTTGTTGTTGGTCGTTAGTCCTGAACCTTTTGTCTCCAGCTACAAGGATCACGCGCATTAGTCTCGGTGGCCTCGGAACAGACGGCAAGTCCTCGCATACAACATGGTTCAAACCTGCTCTTTATTCATCTTGGATTGAGGCATCCTGATGTTCTTGGTCTGATAAGCTGAATCAATACTCAATTGGTCACTTACAGACCTTACCACTACCATTCCGCGTGGGTTCCCTGAAGTTTTGATAAAAGTTTTACTACTCTCAGATATATAGATTATTCGGCCGCGCTCAGCCGGCAGTATGGCACATGATACAGACGAACGTCCATAATTTATGAAACTTGTGGGAAGGATTTCACCAACATCAATCAGCTTTACCTTTTCTTGATTAATCCTGTACGTTTGACCTTTGATTAAACATTCTCATCTTTTTCCCGGGATACACCTCATAGGATACTGAGTCTTTCATTGAATCGCAATACTACACTGTAATGATATTCCAGCTATTGGGATCGCCCGACAAGCTATGCCGCGTGATTCGGTCTGTTTCGGGCAATCCCCGTAATACCAACCAACAATCCTGTATTCAGGCAACATACCACCGCCACGTACGGGCCGAGATTCGCTTAACAGGAACATAAAGAACACAAGCAAAACTCTCCCTACTAGTCTGGTATTACGAAGTTGCAACGTTTTCTTCCCGAAAGCGTCGGCTGCGTGGCATGATCCGGTTGGCAATCCTGCCGCAGTAATCCATTGGTTAATTTAGGATATGTTTTATTTGATATGGAAGAGGGTGGCATGACATGACATTCCGAACCAGTGGTGTTGGGTGTAATTTGCAACCTGTCTCACTGGAGGAATTAACCTTCTGCATATATTCCAATAATATTGTCCCGTTACCAATGCACTACTGAGTACTACGTAGTATATATCCTCCCATTCTCCACTTCAAAATCCCTTGCATATGCTCCGTGATTGGTGATGGTGTTTATAAAAGACTCTAGAAGGGTCTTCAAAGTATTTTGGCTCCAAGATCGTACTATTCACTTAACTTTTAACCTCGGGAATCAGAGTTCCTTCACGACTTTGGCTCAAGTTTAAACGTGTGAAACAAAGCAGGTTGCTTATGCGGATGTTGCACTCATTTCAAGCCTTTTAACCGTCTAACCGGCTCACTACGAATGCGCTTGTGGACACTGGAATGTGTTTTCACACAAGGGAGACGATTCAACATTCTGATTCGACCCGCGTTGCACAGTCAAGATGTCTCCCTGGAATGGCCTTTCCCAATAGCCAAAAAAGTGAGACCCCACGATATTGTTACAAGTTTTGAGATTTGAGACAAGAATGTATGGCATGTCGAAACATCACACCGCGCAGGATTAAAGATCCCGATTTTCGACTTGTGATGATTTTCGGTTTCCCAAGTTTTCCACATCTTGACTTAGAAACTATGAAGAGCCATATCAGTCTTGCTGCTATCTTGGGAGCGGCCAGCGTAATTGCTGTGCCTGATCATGGAGTGATTGAGCTGAACACGTTTTGTGTTACCTATCTCTCCACCTATCTTGTCCCAGTGTCACAGAATGATTCTTCAACAAATGATCAGTTCACACCCAAACCACCTTTTTTGACGACGATGGATGGTACAGTCGTTACTCTAACGGACGAGCCGCCTCAACTGACGACAGTGGATGGGACTACCTTTACTCTGACGGGCCAACCGGGCTTGAGTATGATATCCTCGATGCACTAATTCGGCATGGGCTGACATTACACCTTTCGCAGCTTCCAACCCAACTGACTCGTTGACATCTCTCACCTCGGGAGACATCACGTCTTCCGCTTTGGCTCCGTTCATTTCCGAGTCTTCGAGTATCCAAATCGACCCGACCGAAGCACTAACCTCCGGTACACAAACTGGGACATCAACTGATGAACCGCCTCTGCTGACGACTATTGATCTGGGCACTACCACTATCACCTCAGTCATTCCAACCTCAAGCGGTATCATTGAACCACAAGGAGAAGCCGTCATCTTGGCAGTTAACCTCGAGAATAATAACCAGAGGCGATCTATTAACAAAAGAACACTCGGTGGTTTCGTTGGTCTGAATGACCCTAATGTCTGCACGTTCGCCTCGACCTTCAATTTCGCTGAGTATCAGCTCTTCGTGAGTGGTCTGCCAGTCTTTTACTCCCCCGGAGACACAAGCAAGGAGTTGGTTGGAGGAGACAACCGTCCTGGGGATGCAGTCACCACAGGCTTCACGATTGATGGTGGTGCTCTTGGGTTCAGAAACGCAAATTTGCCTGGCGGCGCTGCGAGTTTCTGCCAGACTGAGGACGGTCGGGTTTTCATTGTCTTTACTGATGGACCTCCGGAGTGCGTTCCGGTTGTTTTGTTGGTCTATAGTGGTGAGTACAATATGTTGAATCGGGTACGATTGCTGATTTGAATGCCAGTACTGCGATGTCAAAATGGTCGGATCGTTGGTCTTGAGTCTACGACCATCTCTGACACAGCCACTACCCAAGCTGTCAGTACAGACAGTACAACCGTCATTGGAAGCACACAATCTGCAAACAGTACCACCTCTGTGGTATCTACCTCCATTGCTTCTCCCCCATCGAGCAGTCAATTCCAGTCTCAGTCCGTCGCTCCAGTGTCCCAGACCACTGACTCCAAGGCGTCCACTGCGGCTTCTTCCAACGTCGAAGAGTCAACTGCCTCACTTGAATCAACCACCGCAGAGGCACCTGTATCTGAAGCTTCCACTACTGAGTCTTTTGCTGCAAGTGAAACACCTGATGCTTCAAGTACCGAGGCGGTGGAATCTACTGCCGCCGCAAGTGATACCACGTCGCAACCTACATCAGACTCAAGTCAACTTCCCGAGACTGTGGCTTCAACTGGCACTGAGACAACAACCTCTGACGCCTTGGAGTCAACCACCAAATCTGCAACAGACACCGAGACGTCTACCGCAGGCGGTACCACCACAGAGGGCGTGACTACTGCGGAGACGACGGCTACAGAGACGACTACCACTGATGAATCGGAAACAACTACTACTGTCATCGACACTACCACCACCGAGACCACTACTGCTGAGGACACGACTACAGAGCCTGCAACAACTGATACCACGACAGGCGAGACGACGCCTGGTGACACTACCACAGCTACTGAGACGACTACAACAGCATTGGAGGATACTACCACAGCTCTCAGTGACACCACAACAGCCGCCGAGGATACCACAACCGCATTTAGCAGGACCACTACGCTGCCCCCCTTACTTCCAGGCACTACCACTACTGAGAGCTCCTTCTTTCAAGAAACTACTACCACTCCGGATCCGGTTCCCACGTGAATGACTGTCACGAGGGTCGAAGATCCAGGTTTTAGCTCATTGGAGCCTTTTTCATTACGGGTTATGACATCGCATTCAAGCGGTATATTTTACCAAAGTGTAGTTCGTTAGCTGGCTCGGATAGATTAAAGCAATATGTTTAATGATAATTTTCACACGTCCTCAGTTCAGTTGCTCTTCACTCCTCTGGTGGGCCGACAAACGCTACACAATATTGACGTATCATTGGATCAATGTGAAAGGTTTGTTTTGGTCCGACAGTGTCAATCTTTCGAAACGATGGTGAAGGCGCAGGCTTTAGGTTTCTCGATCAATCTATCAAGACACTGAAACGTAAACGCAAGCTTTCATCATAACTCGGAGATCATCTGACGTAGACTTGACAGCCCAGAGCTGTGCTAATCATTGCTTGCCGAGCTCACATAGGATTTATACCACGGGCCGTAGCGAACCCGTTATATCGATGCAGCACTAGTTAGACTAATCCGGCAATAATCTCTTGTCAAGTCCCAGCTGAAGACGATCACAACTGGGTTATCCAACCAATCAACTACGTACGTCATGCGTATTGGTGAAATGTACCGCCACCAAACTGCCGTTGACGTTATTCTACAGCAAGTGAATCTAGACCTGGAACTTTTTAGTCGTCGCGATCTTCCGCTTACCTGAACAACTAGTGTGAGGATGTCTACCTTGAGAATTGATCTTACAGAATTGATTCGTGCAATGCCATGCAGACTTTAACAATAAGTGCTTTTTCATGCAGTGCTTTGACATTCAATATGTGTTAGGACCATTTGTGAGCAAGCATGGTATCTGATATGGATATGATCTCTTCTCAATTTCATAACGAGCAGACTTGACGTTGTGGAGGTTGCTCAACTAGCTAGTTTACTGATGAACAATGACAGTTCACCAGAGGGATTTTCAAATTCGCCTACATCATTGGTCGTAAAAGTTGTGATAGCTTTATTGTAAAACATTGAAGCGCGTGGGTCATGATTCGTGAACGTAGTCCCGATGGTATAGGGTTGTTGGCTGTGGGGAAGATCTTATCGATAGCGCTAGACAAGCGTGGTATACCACCAGGTGACAGCCAGCAGACAGCAAAGTGAGCAGGGCCATGAACAACGGACGTCATAAGGACCAAACATGACAAGCGGAATGGTTCAAGCGATGGCCATTTTTAGAGAAACCGTCATCAAGAATGATGGGCATTCCAAATGATGCAGTAGCATTGAGGGCAGCCAAATTATAAATAGAAGTCTTGGCAGAGAAAGGGGAATTCCACTGTGTCATATTCGTCCTGAAATAACAGCAGAGGCTTCGTTTAGTGGAGTCTCCCGGCCAGCGATTAGCGGAAAATAATTTGGGGCGATTTTAGGTATACGAGGTAAGATCCCAGCTGGCGTCCGAGCTGGGAGAGTCTAGGCTCGGTCCATCTGCCGCATGGAGACTTTATTGCCCCTGGGTTCGGGTTTTCAAGCAGCGCGGATACACGTCTCAAGCTGATGCCGACGTGGTATGTCGATTGGAGATAAAACAAGAAGAAACTGCATTCCTTGATGCGGTACAGCGGAGAAGGTAAACAGACGTGAAAACAGTGTCCAACCAAGTGTCCCTCTTGGGCGTCTAGGAGCGGGCATTATTTCTAAAATTAACTGGCCTTGTACCGAAGTCCCCAATCCGACACTTGGGACGAAACCAGGATGGAGAAAAAAAGGGGACGGGCCACTGAAGCCTCCGCCCGCCATGTAACGGTCTCTCCGGAGCATAAGGGCATGTCATGTCATCAATACCTACGCTAGGCGACAGCCGGCCATTCCGTTGACGGTTTTGTCAGCAGAGTGAGGCAAAGAGTCTCTTTGGACAGATGCTTGCGGTAGAGTGCAGAAACTATTAAATGCACAGCCAGCCTCTTGGACAGCCACAGAGTTTCCTTTTTAGCTCAGTTTGGCTATGGAATGAATGCGCTGGCTGACCCGAGCAATGTCCATTCGTCGATTGCATGTTCCCTGCTGATTATGTTATTTATCTGACGTTAGCTAGCCCCTAGTACCTGCGTCTAGACGGGGGTGGCCCTGCCGCTAATCCCGGCACTTCTGTAGCATTGACCGTTAGAAAAAAACCCTATACAAAAGGACAACCACGCTTCAAATCGTGTCTGATCTCTTATCATCACATATCCAACTCCAGGTGTCCCTTGTACAATATCTTACAGGACCGAAGATCACTCATCGCCTCGCTTTTCTTATACTGTTCATAGTCTTGACTCACAGCCCTCTTCCCACCCCACATCAACGAGCCTCGTATAGCATCATGCAGGCCCCCGGATCCCCTAACGGCAGTGTCATGACACAAGCCGAGCTAGAAGCCTACCGAAAGCGAAAAGACCAAGAGAAGGCGGACAGACACGCCAGCGAGAGCGAAGACGAGGAGGATAACATCAATTACGATTCCGAAGACGACGGCAAGAATTCAAAGCAAAACGATCAAAGAAGGCGCCAAGAAGCGCACTTCGCTGGCTACCGACAACAAATGATGAAGACCACCGTCGGACCACCTTCAATACCGCACAACCGCATCCCCTCCATCCAGGGACCTTGGATGAACATCCCAGACTCTGACTCAGATGACGACGTCCCGCTAGGAATGCTGCAGGCCAGAAACCAAAAGAGTCGCATGTCAAGATTCACAAGATCAAACCCCAACCTGCGCGCATCCGCTCAGCAGCAAATCGTGAGGCCTGGCTCAGCACAAGGACGGCCCAACAACAGCTCACATCTGCAATTGCCCTCCTTCGCCAGCAATCTTCCACAGGACCCATTCCAAGACCCATACCAAGACCCATTCACGATAAACAAGAAGCCCATGTTCACGGGTGGATTAATCAGTGTGATCGCGAACGAAGAGCGCGCCAAAGCCTCGCGAAGAGGTGGTTCCACAGTTAGCTTGCAAGCACCTCCTTCACAAGGATTCAACGGTTTCGGCCTCTCCATGCCATCGCAGCAGATGGGCGCACAGTACGGAATGATGGGACAGCAGGGCTCACGACCAGGCACACCGAGCCAAATGCAGCAGCACATCCCGCAGGGAATTCAAGACCAGATGCAGTTTATGCAAACAATGACATACGGCGCCCAGCACAGACCTGCCCATTCGTGGAACGGCACACCCATGAGACCAGGCACGAGCGGAAGTATGGCCGCCCCGTTACCGAAGCCTGCTATGCCAGCGGCCTATGGAGGATACGCGCAATCGATTCCCCCAGCTGAGCGAAGCAACGTCGGCCTACCAAGTCGTTATAGAGCTGTTACAAAGGCAAAGGCTTGATCGATATATATCACAATATTTATGTACGAAAATGACCGAGGTGGAATTGACGAGATTGGAAATACCACGCGCATGTGTTGGGAGCTTGATACAGCTCCAAAGAGAGTTGTTTAATAACTTTTATTTGTATATGTAAAACTAGGGTGATCTGGAAGATGCATTGGCTGAACATTTCACTGTGAATATCGGGGTTATCGGGAAAAGGCTTACAGCTAGCCATGATTTTAATGTAAAAGCATTTTAATTCTCGTTGCAAAATCTAAACCTTGATGATAGTTGGGATGTGCTTGTTTACATTTTGTCCCATCATGCCTTTGCGAACACAAACAAGTCGGTTGTTCGTCGACCAACGCATGGGAAGACAGTGCTGTTATGTTTTATACAGAAATGACGCACTCGTCTTTGGACTGGAAGAGCTGCTATCCAGCGGCACATAACCTCTAATCGAATCTCGATGAACATGCAGTCCCCTCTTTTTGATCCCTCCGGCCGCCTTGGGTGGGTTGTTACCGCAATCTTACTGCGTTGTACCAATAGGCAGTGCAGGGTGAGCACTAACTCAGCAGAGAAACTGAGAAGTCCATGACCACAGAATAGGGCGTCAAGGACTCAAAAGTATAAAGACAAGCCTATCCGCCGCGAAACTTCAATTCCCGAGAGCTTATGCAATCTAAGTTACTTGACCTTCATCTCGATGATCTCTCGGACATGCGAAACGGAACGGATATCCGATCAGATAGTATAGGGCTGATGGTGTCAGCAACGGTTGGGCTTATCAAGATGCAGTGATACCTCGGAAAACGCCAAGAAGACCGAGTGTGGCCGCTTGAGCCAATTAGCTCAGGCTTACTCGCCCCGCAGATTAGTGATTGAGCGCTATCTAGACCCAATGCCTGTTGAAAGCCCACTGAGCTTACATTTTTCGGATGTCCATGTTTTCGCGAAGATGAACGCTCGTGATTCTGATGCAAGGGGATGGTTGATGATGTATGCGATTCCTTGACTATAATAACCTGGGAGGGGATCTCCATTTGACAATATCATCACAAACAACATCACCAACTTAAACATCAACGCAACATTACAACATCTTCAAACACATATCCAACCGCAACACAATACCTTTACTTAACAACAAGCTTTCTATACTCCACCATTAAAATATCTCAAAATGGTCGCCATCAACACAATCAAGAAGTCTAACACAACGGCCCTACCCCAAGCTCTTCCCCAGAACCTCACAGCGGTTTTCCTCGGCGCCACATCCGGTATTGGTCGCAGCACAATTAAACAACTTGCCATCGCCACAGACAACAAATCGCCAACAATCTACATCGTTGGTCGAAGCATCTCAGCCGCAGCCCCTCTTGTTGCTGAGCTCCGCCAGAGCAACCCTTCTGCCACTATCGAGTTCATCGAGAGAGATGTCTCGCTTGTGAAGGAGGTCGATGCTGCCATGCAGGAGGTTGCGAAGCGCGAGACAAAGGTTGACTTGCTGTTCATGTCTGTTGGATTTATGTCTTTTGAAGGAAGAAAAGGTAATGATTTCAACCCCATCACCTCATAGATCCAGATACTAACAATGAATAGAAACAAAGGAAAAACTTGAACCTTCCCTGACAACCCGCTTTTACAGCCGCATCAGAGCCATCCAGGTCCTTCTCCCTCTCCTCAACCGCAGTGAGAACCCCCACGTCACCAACATTCTCGCGGGCGGCCAAGAAGGTCCTCTCGTGGAGGATGATCTCGACCTCGCCAAACCAGGCAACTATGGCATTGCAGCATCAGCCCAGCAAGCCGCTACTATGCTCACTCTCACGCTAGAACGCTTCGCTCAAGAAAACCCCAAGATCAGCTTTGTCCACGCCTTCCCCGGTCTCACAGCAACACCGCTACTCTCTCGCGGCTCAAGCGGTATCATCGGCTTCTTGCTCCAGTGGATTGTGACGCCACTAGGTGGACTGTTCTTTGCCAGTCCTGAAGATGTCGGTGCCAGAGCACTCTTCTATGCTACCAATGCCAGATTCACTGTTAAGAGCGCTGAGGCATCTGCGACACCCATCCCTGAAGGTCTGAGCAAGGCTTCTCGATCTGCTGGCGGTATCTTTCTAGTGGACCCCAAGAGTGAAGCTTTCGATAATGAGAAGGTTCTTGTCGGGCTACGAGAGAAGTCAGCAGAAAAGGTGCGAGCTCATGTGGACCAGGTCTTCAAGAGAGTTCTTCAGTAGTAATGGAATGGGAATGCTAATCAGGGTGCGCTACAATGGGATTTTAGGTGTCGGAGTTACGCTTAGAAATATGTTTTTGGAGCCGGTCAATTAATTCAAACTTCTATTTTACTCGGTTTCTCATGACTTCGCCTTGTGAATAATTCCGAGAATCAAGTCTGCGGGATAGAAATTCGGGACCCCGGACCCGTGGGAAGCGGGGCCGTGGCGACTTGAACCTTATCTGCTTACCGTGAATATCCGGCCTGTCGCTGATAGTACACAAGTCGCGGCCCCGCGCATGGCAGCGGTGGAACGGTATCACTATGAATCATCTCGACGTTTTCCTAAAAGGGCTAGCATTTCGACTCTGACTCATCTCATTCGACCAATAACGGGACCGAATTGTAACAGCCACTTTCTTCATATCGATCAGAGATTCTTGAGGTCAGTTATATAAATACTTGTGGCTTCCATTTGGCCAAGTGCAATCATTAGCACCTAAAGACCAAACCTCTAGAGTCAACTCTTCACTAACCTACATCACTCGACCCATCCTTATCTATGCTAGGAGCAACAAGCACTACCACTGCAACCACCAGCACACTAATGCCACCTTCATTCCCAATCACAACTTCTTTCATCACCATAACATCGACGGAGGAAACCAATCCTCTTACACCTTACATCATGAAACCAACCACTTCTGATCCCACCCTTCGAGTCTTTGACTCAGAACGATGTCTCTTTTGCCCTGCGACCTCACCAACCTTCCTTGAAAGTGTTACTCATATGCAAAAGGCACATGGTCTCTTCATCCCGCACAAACAACATCTTCTAGTCGATCTTGGAACATTTTTCAAATATCTACATCTCGTCATCTTTGAGTACCGGGAATGTATATACTGCGGAACAGAGAGAACCACCGTCCAAGCTGTACAACAACACATGTTGGGCAAAGGTCACTGCAAGTTTGACATCTGGGAAGACTCGGAGTTTGCCGACTTTTATGACTTTTCGCAATCTCAAGATAACGCAGAGGAGGAATACGACAGCGATTTGGATGCAAGTGAGGAGGGAGAGACATTCTCAAAGCCCGATCAGAGGCCACTACAGATTGACCAAGATTCGATACGTCTGCCATCTGGAAGACTCATCTCAAAGAAGTCTTCAAGACAGGTAGAGCCATCAATCTCCCAGCCCCGTCGCCAGACACGAACAAAGCTATCCCAACTCGAATATTCTTCGATCGATTCAGATGAGAACCACAACGAAGATCATGGCGCCGATGTTTCTGATTCCCGAGTCTTGACCCGGCGAGAAAAGCGAAAGCAGGCCACAGTGTCATATCAGCTAGCGAATTTGAGTACAAATGATCGCAGAGCTCTGATGCACTTGTCGACGTCTGAGCAGCGATCATTGATAGCGACGCAGCACAAGCTTATGGAGAAGGTTCAGAAGGAGGAGAGCAGAAGTCAACGGAAGGTCGATCGGAAGGGGAATAAGAACTTGTATGCTTATTGGCATACTGAGACGCCGGTGTATCAATGTGGTTAGATGTAATTATACTCCTATACAGAACATTTGCATGTAACACGATGCCTATCTTATCTAATTCTAGGCAAACTAATTGCAAGAACAATTTCTAAGCATAAACATTTTGCAAAGCTGATTCCTACTCATACACTCAAAACAGCGACCACAGATAATCAGCCGCAGGGTCTTTCCATAGCATAAAGCAATCTTGCTCGTTCGTCGTCGGGCTAAACGGTACCTGAGAAAGCATCGTGCGAGTCTCATAGACTTTCGTCAATAGAATACATGTCGGGCCGCTCAACATCGCAGGAAACCCAAAGGCAACCAGCGGCATCATAATCATGAGCCACAAGCAGAAAAAGGCTAGAAAAATGCTGCCGAGCACAAGCGTGGCCGGTAAGAGAACCCAAAGCCTTGAGTCCCTCAACCCAGACGCTCCGGTGTATAGTTTGGCGAATATCCAAGCAAAGACAAAGAAGCCGCCCATGACGGTGTAAAAGGTCGTGATGGACATGTCATAGGGCAACACCTTCGCAAATCCTTTGTAAAACTCATTGTACATGCCACCAGCATACTCGAGCCATATTGATTTGCCTTTGTAAAGCGACGAGCCGACGCAGAAGAGCCATGCTAATGCTGAGGTTGTGGAGCCAAAGTCGCTTACGTAGATGATCTGATACCAGCTAGGACATCGCCGTGGGTCTCCTCGGCAGAAGATGATCGTGGCTTCTGCGTCGAGTTTTGGAATGTACTCAGTCTCGAGCGCTTTTCCGAAGCCCGGTAGTTTCAGTAGCAAGGCAAGAGACATGATTGAAACAGCGGCGCCACCAACCGCTAGCTCGAACGTGCGATGGTCGACGATGGTGAGAGACTCCCACCCGTAAAAGCTCAGTCGTCGCTTATATAGAAAGATTGAAGAAGAGAACTGGAAGAGTGTACCAAAAATAGCCGCTGTTCTTCCAAGTCGCACCCAAGCTCTTCCAAGCTTTGACCGAAGCCGTCTTGCGCGATGTAGCGACTCATCGGATGATTTATCGGGTGTTAGTGGTACCTTCCGCCCAAAAAGAGTGTTCCAGTGGCGCGCATAGATTCCGAAGCTCTCGCTGAAAGAGTGGGGGGATGAAATGATGTTGATAATTAAGGATGCGTGGATGACGAATAGACCCAGAGCTGTTTGAACCACGACTATTAAAGGGGAGAATAGGAATAATACGGGTTCGATAGTGTCGAGCCTCTCGTTGCGTAATGATTGTAGGTTGCAGAAGGCGACAACCGCAGTCAAGTGGGCGACTATGAGCTTGACGATGAGCTCTCTAGTGGTTCGGCTGTCACCGGCAGGACAAACATCTGGCGCCTCCATGACGGCAAAAATACGAGGGGAAAATGTTCATTAATAATAATTCGTGTTGAAAGAGGAGATGTTTCGAGGATAAGGTGAAATTCGAGGCATTTAATAAGAGGACTTTGGTGAGGCTGAGTATTGATCAACATTGCAGACTGCCCGAAGTATCACATCACGCACAGGGCTAATCGACAGGCTGACAGTTGGATCATACGACCAATAGTAGCACATTTAGCGAGAAATCGTCGCTAGTGAGGGGCACTGCATCTTGTCTTAGCGTTATTCGCATTTTTTCCAGGAACAGATGTCGAACAGGCGATATTCGGCTTACTCATTTCGTATTCGGATACGCTTGGTGTAATTATTTGATGACGCCGTTTTGTTGAGAACAATCCAATCTTTCCTGCAGATCACAACAACGCGGTGATACACTTCGCGATGGACGCTTTACACAGCGGTTTTAGAGCGTTACCGCTGTCAGTATCGATCCCTCTATCCATCGGTGCCATCATCGTCATCGCCATTGCCAGCAACGTAATTGGCCAGCTATGGTTCCCTGACCCTCACCGCCCCCCTGTGGTATTCCACATTTTCCCCTTCATCGGCAGCACCGTCCAATACGGTATTGATCCGTATAAGTTCTTCTTCGACTGTCAGGCTCAGTACGGAGATTGCTTTACGTTTATTCTGCTCGGCAAACCCACGACTGTTTTTCTTGGGCCGAAGGGGAATGATTTTATTCTCAATGGAAAACATGCCGATCTCAACGCTGAGGATGTTTATGGGAAACTCACCACGCCGGTTTTTGGCAAGGAGGTGGTTTACGATTGTCCGAATTCGAAGTTCATGGATCAGAAGAGGGTAAGTCAATGAATATTTGAAGATAGTTCACATCAGCTAACCACCATCCTCAGCTTCTCAAACTTGGCCTTACCACAGAGTCTCTACGCTCATACATCCCCAAATTCGTCAAAGAAGTAGAAGACTATGTCAGCACCTCTCCATACTTCAAAGGTGACACCGGAGTGGTAAACATCACCGAGATCATGGCCGAAATCACAATTTACACAGCCGCAGGATCTCTGCTTGGAAACGAAGTCCGCTCCAAGTTCGACAGCACCTTTGCCACTCTCTACCGCCATCTAGACGACGGGTTCCAGCCTATCAACTTCATCCTCCCAGGCCTCCCCCTACCACAGAACTTCCGTCGTGATCACGCCCGTAAGGTCATGGAGGAGCTGTTCAGTGATATCATCCGTCAACGTCGTGAGACGGGACATCAGGGTGATGAGACTGATATGGTTTGGACACTTATGGATGCGCAGTACAAGGATGGCACGCCTCTTCCAGACCATCATGCTGCACGTATGCTGATCGCTATTCTTATGGGTGGTCAGCACAATACTGCGGCGAGTGGTGCATGGCTTATTCTCAACCTTGCGCATAAGCCCCATCTGGTGCAAGAGCTGTATGACGAGCAAATCGAAGTGCTCGGCTCGATTTCAGCGCCATTGACTTGGGAGAACCTACAAAAGTTGACGCTCAACGGACAGGTTATCAAGGAAACTCTGCGTCTTCACAGTCCCATCCACTCTATTCTTCGACAGGTCAAATCTCCCATGCCGGTACCTGGTACCAAGTGGGTAGTACCTCCATCTCACACCTTGCTCGCCTCTCCCGGCACAATGGCGCGATCTGAAGATTTCTTCCCCCGACCGTCAGAATGGGATCCTCATCGCTGGGACAGAGTCGAGTCGCTTGAAAAGACTGCTGAAGATGGACAAACAGTGGATTACGGGTTCGGTGTGATGAGCAAGTCTGTGAGCAGTCCTTATCTGCCTTTCGGCGCTGGTAGACATCGCTGCGTGGGCGAGAACTATGCTTATGCGCAGATGGGTGCCATCATTGCGACTTTTGTGAGACTACTTCACATTGAACAGCCTGACCCTAAGGCAGCGCTTCCAGCCCCAGACTATTCTGTGAGTTTCCGATATAGGGTTCGGTTCTCTTACTAATGTGGTTTACAGTCAATGTTTTCTCGACCTATGAACCCAGCGGAAATTCGATGGCGTCGTCGCGTAGTAGAATAATGTTGGGTAAATGCTTGATGGCGTTGTCTGGTTACGCAGAGAGTAAAGGGATATATAGATGATAGACGGGAGAGAAGTTAAAAGGAGATGTGTGTGTTCCAAATTTAACTATTGTTGTTGTCCCCGTAACATGTTCGGCCTCTCTGCACACTTGCGACTAAGTGCGGAAATAACAACTCTGAGTCACGCCGCGAACATATCGGCTGTGTGTGGCCTGTGAAATTTATAAATGCGCAACAACCTTCAATAAAGGGAGTCCTTGCACTCAACCCGTCCACTCCCTACTTTGTCGAGTATTAGAATATTTTAGCGACAATTGAGATGCAGCCCGATCCTCTCAAAGGGCCTCTGTGCACCAGACCCTCTTTCACCAACGACCTACAAAACCTCGGTCTCAAGCGAGGAGACACCGTACTCATCCACAGCTCTCTAAGCAAGATAGGTTGGATTAACGGTGGAGCTGAAGCACTCACCCAATCTCTTCTCGACGTCCTCACTTCCCAAGGAACTCTTGTTGTTCCCACGCAAACCAGCAGCAATTCAGATCCAGCAGGATGGATCGCTCCGCCTGTGCCAGAAGAATGGTGGCAAACCATCCGCGATACCAGGCCTGCATATGACCCTAGAACCACCAGGACCGAGAGGATGGGAGCTTTGGCGGAGATGGTCAGGACCTGGCCAGGTGCAGTGAGAAGTATGCATCCGCAAACCTCTTTCAGCGCAATTGGCACGAGAGCGGAGTTCATCACTGAGGGACATGCCCTGGATAGCATGCTTGGGGAGAATAGTCCTCTGGCGCGATTGGAAGATCTTGATGCAAAGGTTCTGCTCCTAGGTGTTGGTTTCGGCTCCTGTACCTGCTTTCACCTAGCCGAGTATCGGACTGAGATGTCGAAAGTTGTTACATCGTTCGCTGTCATGGAAGATGGCGCGAGAAAATGGAAGACTGTGTCGGATGTCTCGGTGAATGACGAAGACTTTGTGGAGTTAGGGGACGACTTTCTTAAGACATGCTCTGTAAGAAAAGGCAAGATTGGCGCAGCAGACTGCTATCTGTTTTCGCTGTCCGAGGCGGTCAAGTTTGCTGAGAAATGGTTGATTTCCTATCGGTGCAAGAAAACGTAGCACTAATTAAGAACAAAGCATTTTACTCGCGTCAAGCTGTTAAGACTATGGTTTCTGACTTGTTTCCTGTCTATTTCCCATTATGCCAACTAGCGCTGTTATTCGCTACGCAACAAAGTCTGATATACGGGAAATAAACTATTAATTACGGCTTAATTCAATGGTGCATCCCACCACTGTAGTGAACTACCTACTTTAAAGTCTATTTAACTACTTGTGCCGACTCAAGCTTCTCCAACATCTCCAAAAGAGCAGGGATAAACGCTTCTGTTTCGCACTGGAAGCCTTCATGGTGACCTGGCACTACCATCCGAGGACAGTCCAAGATCTTCGCCTGTTCATCAACAGTTCTGCAGTAAAATGCATCTTTGCACCGCACGCTCCTCATAACGCCCACGCTAACATTGTTCTCCTTGATACGGAGTAAGTTGGGGCAGTAACCAACCAGTGGCGGAAATTCGTTCTCCCAGAAGTTCTTTGCATTTCCCGGCTCAGGTGACAGAGGCTTGGGAATTCCTTCGGCGTCATACCCAATCAAACAAGTCTCAAATTCCTCCGCAGCTTGCTCGAAGCCTTGCGTCTCGCAGAGCTCTACAAGGTGGTACATCCACTCAGTAATCTGTGTAGCATCAGGAAGTATGATTGAAGTTCCTGCTTCATGCGAGATGAAGTGAACGACCATTTCAGGAAAGTCATGGGCAAACTGGAATCCAAAAATGCCACCACTACTACTCCCAAAGATAATAGCCTTGTCGAAACCAACAGCTTTGATGACGGCTCGGATATCTCGTGCTTGTTGTGGAGGACTCAGTCGTTTGTTGACAGGGACTTGACTGGCTGACATCTGACGCCGGTCAAAAGTAACACATGTAAACCGGTCTGACAAAGCTGCCATAATGTTGTTGAATTGTCTCCCGTGTCCATTTCCGCCAGGAACAAAGATCATAAGAGGGCCCCTCCCCTGGTACCAATAATGCAGGTCGCAGCCTTCATTATGGACAGTTGCTTTGGTGGGGTTGGAATTCATGGTGGAATATTTCCAGATTGTGAATTGTGTTTGAGAAGTGAAAAGTGATGTCTTCTTGGTGTCCTGTCGTTTTACATTTATGCTCCTGGTTCTGAAGGGGCAATAAGGTAACAAATTATAGTTGTTAATTAGCCTAAAACCGTCATCATGCTACTGTAATCCTTCTTGTGAGTCAGACCGCTGTTTAATCGACCACCAGGCAAGCCAGGACGAATCGGAGCGACAGTTAGGCATTCGGGACCGCCTTCGCTTATGATATCAGTTGCAAGTCATGGACTACGAAGTAAGACTCGGATAGATAGTATCCCACCAGACTGCGTAAGCACCGCATGAATTCCGAGATCGACTCTCTCATGATAACCAGGATCTCACGTCGGCTTGTCACTCCTCGCGTCCAACATGACAGGTAGGTATACATTATACAATGTGTACATCTTATAGAAGGTGTATGTCTCTACTCTACTCATAGGTCAACGCTGCTTTCGCTAACGCGTGTGACTTCCCCCATTATCCTGACTGCCTTGCTTTCTTGTAGCCACTCAACCGTCAGCTGCCCACCCTCCTTTGACTGCTGTAAAGATCGAAGAGTGTTTCCACTGAAGTCCGGGTGGTACTCCTTTAGTCGTGCTGTTGTCTCAGAGTTGGATAAGACATGTGGGACAATCGCTCGATGGGCAGAGCCAGTCTTGATCATATTAGTCAAAGCCAATCAAATGGTAGATTTGCTTACAGCAATATCCTCCAGTACCCTATCACCGTATGTGTTATGAACTCGACTGTGTATGTGCTCTGAGGAACTTTTCGAAACCTGGAACAAATACATAAACACACCAAGAGAAACCTAAAAGTCAGACTCTGGACCTTAAGTGCAGACTTTTGACTTACCAGTTTGGAGGAATCTATTTGCAAAGCCTTGAGATCAAGCTCAGGACTGTACTCGATTAGGAGATACCCGCTTTGTTCAAACACGCCGAGTGGCTCCCCGCTACCCTCCCATCGAGGATTACATGCCTGGTCGAACACGTTCTTCAAATCGTCCCATCGTTGAGTATCCTTTGTAACCGGGGAAAGTCTCAGCTCGGGAAACTCGATACCGATGAGATTCGTATTCTCAAAAGGGCTTGGGTACAAGGAAGCAGAAACAATGCCATGGAGCCTCGTCAGATACCTCAAGGTCTTGGGTGGGCTTGAAAGAGTGTTAAATAAGTGATGAGACAAAGCAAGCGTCGCATGGCCACAGAGCGGTGATTCTTGGGTAAGGTTGAACCATCGAACGGCATACTGCGGCGCCTCAGGAGACCCATTCGATAGGTTGAGAGGAAGCGCGAACGCCGTCATTGGGTGACCCAATCCCGTTGCGATTTCTTGGAGTTTGGAAGCCGGTGGAAATTCTTCATACGGGAACTCGCCTTCTCGTTCGTATGTAGAGGCCTGTCCGGGCTTAGGCAGGATGATCACTCCCGCGGGATTACCCTGGGCTGAAGCTGATGAGAAGGCATGGTAAGTTGTTACAGTTCGGGAAGTCATGATGATCTTGTTGAAATTCTCCACGGAAAAAGAGAGTTAGAACGCCAATTGAAGTATTTAATGAAGTTGATAAATGGGATTGCTCACTTTTGTAATTCGGTGAAAGGGCGTAAGTGACATGTGAATGCGCGTAATCTCGACCCCGCAAAATGGCGAATTGCTTATCAAGAATTAGATTACCAAGATTACGCGACTAGGTTAGCTGTACATGAATAGCCCACGGTTCTTGGAAGCAATCACAAAGACTCGCGGTAAACTTCTTAATTCAAATTAGGCATCTCTCATGTCGCAGCCGCTTTATCGTATCAGATCAGCAAGCTCTCTACATACCAAGTCGGCAACTATTGATTACATGCGAGGTCGATTGATGACTGCACTAATTACACAAGTCGGTTCTAACACGCAGGTCAAAAGCAACATATCCAACTTAATTTAATCATCATCAGTTGTAGCTATCACCCCATATACTAAAACTGACACGGAGTAGAAACTGTTCTCTAGTACCCTAATACCACAGTTTCTCATTAGGCTTAATGCTCTTTTCTTCGCAAGGACCGTGATATAGGTGCGCAAAACTGAAAATGTCCATCGTCTCCCTCAAGCTGTCATCATCATTGAAGAACTCAAGACTGCCTGTGATGGTAAAGATCACCTCAGATCCAGCACTCATGAACAGAGTGTAAATCGTACCCGGATTCTCGACAACGTAGTCACCAGGCCCTGCGACCCAGTCGTACCTACAACAGTCAGTCAATGCAGCGGTTAGTGGGGAATGTGCACTTACTTCTTACATCGCCAGTTACCTACAAGCGTGACAGCCGTGACGGTGCCTCGATGTCTATGCTTTCTGAGCCACGCATCAACTGGCGTCCGCAGGGACACCACGAAGCTGCCAGACCTGGTCTCGTACCGGAGAGGCTTCAGCTCCAACGTGCCTGTCCAAGGATGCCACAGGGTGTCGTTTTTGTAACTAATGTAAACATCTGGGGAGCTGTGCTTGTCCGTGAAGGCAAGTTCCTTGCGATCCTTGTCAGTAAGGACCGACTCGTCCTTGGAATGCTCCAAGAGGTCAGCGCTCTTGTGGGCAGTAGGAGTGTCTTGTTGGGTCTTGGATGGAGGCATTGTGATGATACTAGATGAGGCTGGTAGAGGGGTATCAGGCTGGTGAGATAGCTGTTGATGGCTCGGGATTGTGGGTAGACTTTCGCTCTGGCTGATGGTAACTCTTATAGTCTTGAGGCCTGAGATAGTCCCGGGGCCTAAGCTGACTAAATTGAAACATATGATACGTGTTGCGTCAGGTCTGGCTCAAGTGCCGGAATCTTGGGTACCACAGATGTGTCTTCTGACTCGCTGCAGGGGCTAGTGCCAACGATCGCCCAATTTCCTCCCCGGATTGTTACGGTGAATGAGGTTTTAGCTGAATACCCTGGGACAGTCTAATTCATACAAGGGAAGAGACCTCGTTCCATAGCTTAGTGTCCTGCAATATTATGTCGACCCAATCATGGAGGCCACCAAGACCACTAATCGTTGGTCTTGATCTTGATGCCTAAACCAGCAACTCACCCATCATAGTTAGCTATAATATCTATCATCATTCACTTACGAGGCAGCCACTTACGAGAGCCATTAACACTGTTTGTGGGCTTGGCTTTCTTCTCTTGGGATATTCGTTCACCTTGGCAGTTCCACCGTGGGTTATGCTAACGAGAACATTTATAGATGATTGAGGTGTTATTAGAGACGTTATAGGATCCCCTACTTTCTAGTAACGATTCGAGCCACCAGATGTTTGTCCCTCCCCTCTCCACAATCTTTTCCTATCATATCTAAGTTCTAAATTGGAAGGTGAGTCTTGTGCTATAACCCACCAAAGCCTCATCGTTGGCCTCTACGACCTCGGATGCTTGGTAGGATGCTTAGTTAATTTTGACTGTTCGAGATTCCGTCGACGTACGTTCATTGTCAGTACACCCTGGTCCTCAGATTCTCCAACGCCTAGAGCATGCTGCGCTTTGTCCAGATTCGTTATCCCTAAGCAGCTTGGTGTTAGCGGGAAATGGTGCCTTTTATGTTTGATTGATTAAAAATGAAGTCTCGGTCACAATTTTCAAAGTAATATTCAAGAAAATAGGTCTAATAGTTTCACTATTATTAAAGCAAAACATGTGAAATCAGAATAAGCTCAACCCCAGCATTTGAATCCTAGTTGTTCTTCTCCGACTTTATCCTATCAATAGTTTCGAATTCCAAACCAGTATACCAAAGGCGGGACAACAAGCTCAGTAACAGTAGCATTTTTTGTCCACTGAACCTTGTATCCAAAAGCGAAGCCCGAAATAAGTCTTCCAGCCCCGCTTAGCGACAAAGCAGCCATGAGAATATTCAAGGGTAACTGTCTATTCGTAATATCATACGAGGTCCAGCATAGCGCGGCGCTGAAGCCAATGAGTGTTGCTCCTAGGAATCGGTATTGAGAGTCAAGCTGAGATGTTGTCTCTAGAGAGATTTGGGTGCGCTCATTGGGTGGGAGATATTGAGTGACGCCGCGGACCATGTGTGAAGCGCCCAGGTATGCTATCCATGCTGAGAATGCTTTGAGGAGGAGTGGTGTGTACTGTATTGCTGTTGATTCAGACATTTTGGGAGGGTTCAATGAAGACTTGGGATGATTTGGATGGTGAAGATGAAGTAGAAAGACAAGAGTTTCAGCAGACCAAGCACTTTATTTATAGCGTTGAATTCGTAGTCCACGTTTTCGGAGACTACATTGCTCGCGCGCGCTTGATCCAAGATGGTGAGATCGGACATGTAGTTGTGCGATTACGGTGTAACAATCTTACCGCTAACCAATCAACGCAAATACCGCTGCGTAAAATGTCTCCGAGATTTGAATGCCGGGGTGTCAGCCTTCAGGAACAGTAATTCCTGGGTTTGCAAACTTTGCGGAATGCTGCGCCTTTGAAAGATATCAGTGAACAGGCTTTACCAGTGAGCAAATCGGTATCGGTTGGGGCCTGATTAAACTGCCATTTCATCCAATGCAGCAAAAACATCATGCATGTGAACGGCTTGTCAAAATCGGGCCATATTCTCCTGACTGCACTATTCCGAGTTTAAAGTATAACCACACTACCAAGTTTGCAAAAGACTAGAGAGTCACCCGTCTGTTTGTTCTATGGCATGAAAAGTCCAGGTCATTTTGTTTCATGATCGGGGATTAACCGCGGAATTATGTCGCTTCGTGCCGTCATGGGCGACGTCGCAAGCATCTCACTCAAATTCTGTGCAATGTCGATGTTTGTGAGAAAAAGGCCACTTCCCATCTTGTAATGGGTCATGACGAATTTGGATTTAATTGAAAGCCTTGGCAAATTTTTGAGACTTGTCTGAAGAGCAATAGAGCTTGTCGGAACAGCACCCATGTGGGCGAAATTTGATCCAAGCCTCTTCAGTGCAATCATATCGTCGGGCGAGTATCAAACTCGTTTTGCAGTAGAGGAAGAAAATAGCATTTACATGAAGACGATAATTGTAATATTATGCCTACCGTTATGGCGAAAGGAGCGTCCGTATTATGTACCGCAACGACTTGCACGACGACCTTGTTACAGAAGCAGCTAGCGGTCCACTGTATCTTGGTCAAGGAGCAACTGATGGGGTAGACCGAAACGCTTACCTGCGATGAGAGAAGCGAGACTGGCATAGACAATTTATGGGTAAGCTTGGGAGGAACTGCTAATAAGATCCAATTAGGCAGGCTATCAAAAGTTTTGATACTGGATAGTTTGGTGGTTGTTTAAGGCACGGTTAGCGCACTTATCTCTTGTCTCAGGGAATGGCCAGGCCATCACCCAGAGTTCGGCAGTGCAATCGTTGTAGTAATATACTGGAACGGAATGTCACAATTAACAAATAGAGCTAGTTGTTTGCAGTTGATTTCTCATAAATATGCAAGCGCGAATAAAAGAATATCTAGACTGTAAATAAATGGTGAAGTGAAAGTAGAGGGGTCGGATGAAATCGACAAAAAGCGAGGTTCTGCCCGGGCTCGAACCGGGGACCTTCTCGGTGTTAACGAGATGTCATAACCAACTAGACCACAGTACCTGTTGCGTTACATCCCGTCCTTGTGTTAGGGATCATGTTCGATTCCACCTCAAGCTGAGAGCGATGGGACTGACCTTTCCTCATCAGGACTTGGCACGATCGCAAAACAAATCACCTTTACTGTATGAGTGGAGGTGAATGGTATGAATGGGGGCTTAATGCATAGTTTCTATGACTTGATTGGTTGACAAACTCCGCTGCCTCTAAACCCGCTCGTCAATCAGTCCAGATCAGGAAAGTAACCGTCAGCTCTTCATTGTGTGCCCCAGTTCTATTTCACTCCAATGCATTTGCTCTTTACTATTTATTTCTTGCTATGGCTCTCTTTCTTATTTACTTTTCATCATTTGTTTTATTTGTCTATCCTCAATCACTTTCTGGTCCGGCTTCGCAATTTTAACAGCATGTCTAGTAGGACAAGCTTAGTCTTTATTCCTGGCGCTTGGCACACGCCATCGTGCTACGACAAACTAAAGGAACAGCTACAAACACAACACCATTTGAGATGCATCCCCGTCACCCTTCCAACTACAATGAACAATCCAATGGCGACATTCAAAGACGACGTCGACGCAGCTCGTTCTGCCATTATGCATGAAACAGAGAACGGCTTTGATGTGATTGTCATTGCGCATTCCTACGGAGGCACGGTTGGCAATAGTGCTGTCAAAGGTTTCAACAGACCAGCCTTTATACCCGCTGGGACATCTTCATCGACCCAGACTGGGATATCAGGATCTAGGCCCAACAAACAGAACACAGAGACAGGATACGTCATCGGTCTCATCCTCATTGCCACTGGATTTTGCTTCACTGGATTGACTTTTATGGACCATTTTCTAAATGTCACTCCTCCCTTTTTCCGCGTCAATAACGAAACTGGGTTTGCTGATCTCACGGTTCATCCTCAAAAGTTCTTCTATCACGACCTACCGCCTGCAGAGGCAGATCACGCGACCTCTATGCTCACAACGCAAAGCCTCAAAGCATTGTTTGAAGGCAGAGAGTATTCATACTCCGGGTGGCTGGATGTTCCTGTATGGTTCATCGGGACCGCTGAAGACCAGGGGTTACCGATCGCTGTGCAAAGAGCTCAGATTGGGATGGCGAGGACATTGGGTGGTAACGTGGTGTACACCGAGCTGCAATCAAGCCATTCGCCATTCTTGAGTCAGCCAACGCAAGTGGTACAGATCATGCTTCAGGCCTTTCAGTCTTTCTCGGGAAATACGCCCGACGAAACACCAGAGACACTCGACTTAGCAAACAAGCAATACATTCCTCTGGTAAGCCCTTGGCGACCTGTAACATGGTTTCGGTACGGTCTGCCGCTGGTTATTGGTCATTTTGTGGGCTGGACTATACTATCGTATAGAAAGATCAAGAGCTTTTGGGAGTTTCAGTCTCGAGGCACAAAGGTCGACTAGTACTTGAGACACAGTGCGATTATTTTGTATGAAGAAAAATCTCCGATCAGTCTTTACGATTTATGTTCGATTTCAAGGTTCCGTAACTAAAAGAATTGATAACTCATCTAAGGAGTGATATCTCAGATGTATAGCCCTAACTCAACTGGTGCGTTCTTTATCTGATCCTCCTGCATCTCTTGGATCAATGGGCTATGAGGATAATCCTCAATGTTCAAATCCACGTAGCCACGAGCAGCCCATTTTCGCGCACATACAAAGAGCGTCCTCCCGTTGACGCTTGGGTCGCTCAATATCCTCAATGCACATTCACCTGCGTCCTCGGCTGTTGCAAACTCGACACCTGATTCTTCAACTTGGTCGAATTGTTCTTTTGACAAGATACCTGTGCGAATATACCTACAACAAGAAAGCTCAAGTTAGCTCGTGTCTTTTTGTTGCCCTTCTGTACTTACCACGGCGCAATGACGTTTACACGGCTACCATAGTAGAATGTTGTTCTTCGCAAGGCGTGCATGATCCCTCGAACTGCCCATTTCGTGCTACTGTACTCCGGACCCCTGGGCACATCGAGAAAGCCAGCTCCTGAGCTGACCAGGATCAGGCACGTATCTTCCTGACTGTCTTGGGCTTGAGTTCTATTTTGCGAAACAAAATAGTGCATCGCGAGTTTTGCGGTATATAGCGTGCCTTTCAGATTCACGTCGATGGTCTGCAGGTCTGGTTTCTCAGGCTCTTTATCTTTGCCTATGCCAAGATTAGTCAAAAAGTCTCCAACCAAATTTCTTTCCAAGTTTTACCGTCAAATGTAAATGTTTGGTCGTGCTTTGTGATACCTGCGTTGGCAATAACATAGTGGATTTTGCCAGAGCTTGAGAATCCTACTGCCTCTTTGAATAGTCGCACTTGATCTTCCCACACAGTGGCATCCACTTGGACAAACTTTGTCCCAGGTAACGCGGACGCAAGTCTCTCGCCAGCAGTGGAATCTTTATCACCAATCACAACTTTGGCACTATCATGGTTGTCAGCTGAGAGGGTCATTAATTTGACTGATTCATAATCACCCTGCTTTGTGTAAGGCTCTTACATAGGCTTCTCCAATGCCACTGGCTCCTTAAAATTATTAGTATGGTTAACTGAGCTGTAGAGATTTGATCATGCTCACCTCCAGTAACAATTGCAGTTTTATCAGCGAGTCGAACAGGATCGAAGTCGACGTCACAATCAGTAGGTGGCTCAACCTTGTATGGAGGCATCTTGAAGGGTTCTACAGGTAAGTGAGACGTTGTTTCGGTAGATATGGATGATGAGGTAATCAGCAGACAAACATATTCGTGCTGTGAAGGCGAAAGAAAATATTGAAATTATTAGATATAAACGATATTTAATGACTCTAGAAGAGTTTCCACGGCATTCTTCATCAAAACTTAGTAATCTTTCGAAGCGCATGAATGAAGCACTTATGCAACTTGATGATAAGTACGTCCCTTGAGGCTATTCGCAACACTTCTGCACATCGGACCGACGGTCAGCAACCCTCTTTGTCTACCAATAGGAAGTGCCAATCACTGATCTAACCTCATCCAAACATTCAAACTGCGCTAATGCAACCTGCTGATAAAGTGGGTCTCCAATCAGTGGCAGTGATGATAATCGTGACGCCCCTGGTATCAAAAACTGTACCTCCAAAATATCGTCCCATCATCTCTTTCTTGGTTGCACATACGCCTCAAACGACCCAAGAAACAAGAATCCTTCATCTAAACGGCGTTTGAAGATGACTGACCCACAACGGATCGCCATACAGCCCATGAACCAGCAGCTATTGGTCCAGAATGCGAAGGAAGACTGGACTGGAGTAACTAGCACTGCAGAGAGACGCAAGCTGCAGAATCGCCTCAACAAAAGATCACAGTGTGAGTAAAGCCTTAGCATCTATTACTTATGTATCTCACGCGAATCACCAAAAGATCTTAGGAAACGACAACAACAGGAGAGAAGGCAATTTACCTCGGACATCATCAGCCAAGCCATCATACCCACTGAACCAAAGACTTCAATCAACTTTGGTCTCCAAAGACCACCAGATGAAATGCTCCAAGCCATTCTAGAGGCGTGCGAAGCGTTTGCCACCCCCGAGCTTCGCCAAAAGGTGTTTGCGCTTGCGAGCAAGGCTTATCTGGACTACACCATGAACGCTCCCCGGCTTTCGCATCTGCCATTTCTAATCACATTGAACGTCAACATAGCAATTGCCAAAAATGCCACCCTTATGGGCTTCGATCGTAAACTCATGTGCTTAGACGAGAGCATCTCACCATTCAACCACAACGGACCAGTTCCACCTTCTTTTAACCCCCCAAAGCTTCTCGAGCCTACACAAGTGCAAAGGGAAGTACTGCATCACCCATGGCTAGACATATTCCCCTTCCCCAGGTTTAGAGACAACATGATCAGGGCACTGGATGCGGGACTGTTGGACGATGATGAACTTTGCAGGGATTTAGCCGAGGCCAACTTGGATAATGTTGAGAAGCCCAGCTTGATCGTATGGGGCGATGCTTCACTGCCGCATTCTTGGGAGGTTTCACCTTGGTTTGTTCGGAAATGGGGCTGGCTGCTTCAGGGCTGCCCTGAGATGCTGGAAGTGACCAACAAGTGGCGACATAGTCGGGGAGAAAGGATGCTAGAGTGGAAGCATTAAGGGAGTCTGATATGTAAATATTGCAAATTTTATGGAACACTTCATTTTCGAATATGACTGGTTCTTGCTTTAATGTGGCGCCACAGAATATCAGCACCTCGCATTGGTGGAGTCTTGCACACAATCCATGCAGGTTGCTGATGGCCCACAGATGATGTCTAGACTGCGTTTACCAAAAAGAATCAACAATTGCACAAACCCCATGACGATTCCGAGCCGCTGGTTTCCACAAATCCTACAGAATAGCCATCACGAAAGCCGCCACTCAACAATTGGATACGGTCGTGTGGCCCAATGGCAAGGCGTCTGACTACGAATCAGAAGATTCTGGGTTCGATCCCCAGCATGATCATCTTTTTACTTGTGTTGATAAATCTCAACCTGTAAGTTTGAAGGTTTTGACCTTCGAAATCCTCTTATGCATAAGATGTCTCGTAGATCGCTTCATTCGACTGGAATTGTTCTTTTTTCATGGTGGAGCGATTAAGAGTTGCAAACTTCAGGAATGGTGATGGGTTTCCCACAGATGTCAAAGTGGGCGTTGATATGATTGTTTTCCGTCCTACTCCGGTCAAGGTAGCTTCTAAGCCTGATATGACGGGAGCGGATGTATCTTGTCGCAAACGTAGAAACCATGTGGTTTTGCAAAGATACTATATAAGATACTTGCCATGGTCAAGTAAGGTACGTGCAAGATACGTGAATGAGAAAGAAAAGCAATGATGATTGTTCTAAATACGACGCTAAAAAGATCTACAATGCACGCTAGTTCTATACCATATACTGAATCGTCCTACGCCTCTCCCTCTTCTCTTGCTCCTCCCTTTCCCTCTCCGAATCCTCACCCGAGGAGTGTGTACCAGAGAAAGTAGCAAACTCATCTCCAGCGAACACACATGGAGGCAAATCGAGGGGGTTCAACGCATTGTCACCTAGAGGCCGGCTGAAGCGGTTGAATGCGATGAAGTTGTCCTCGTCGCCAGCAACGGCATTGGCGGGAGTGGCTGAAGTGAACGACTTACGTCTAATGGACACAGCGTCGTCTTGGATAGGCTCAACACCGCGTTGGCGGTAGATGAAGTCGAGGAGAGGGATTGAAAGGCCGTGGACAACGATGGAGAAGAACACTAGAAAGTAGATGACTGGCCCAAGGGCGTTGAGCAAGTTCGTTTCCTCTTCGTCTGCGTCTTCAGGATGGGGGAAGAGATGACGGATGTGCTCTAGATAGAAGACAGCTCCGACACCAATAGGCCCGAAATAACCCATAAACAATGCTTCTTTGTAGTCTTGGACCACTGCAGGCATAAGCTTGTAAAGCAAAAGAATGGCCGGGATACGTCGAAAGGCGAGGACCATGAAGCCAAGAGCGATGAGTCGGGGCACCGTGATACCAGTACCATCTGGATCGTGGAACTGGTCCCAGGGAATCACAGCTCCGATGAACATGAAACCACCAAAGTTCAGAAGGACGTCAAAACAGTGATTCACTTCATCGTGTCGACGATGGGTCTCGGCAAGAAAGTCTCCATCCCAGTTCAACGCGTTACCAGCAACGGTGCACGCGACAAGGTCGTTCGTACCAATTGCACCACATGTTCCAATGATGAAGAGGCCCAGCGCTGCAGGGAAGAGCAGATATGACTGTTCATCGACCCACCCCCTGTTCAAGGTTAGTTGCTGTTCCTTGTCTGTTCCCACAAAAGATTCGAGCACTTACCGGCGAAGTGCAAATTTCAAGCCTCGGCATGCAGCGTAACCCACAACTGCTCCATAAGCAATACCCATCAAGACGTAATAAAGCCAAGTCTCGACGATCCAGTTCTTGAAGGCCTCGCCGACGCCACCTCCAAGACGGCCAACTTCGCCACCAGCACGAGCCATCAGCTTGTGGGTGATTTCCACATGGCCGTCATTGTGGTAATCACCCGTACCGAAAGCGTGTCGCATCAGGTAGGTTGCAAGCATGAGAAAAGGGAAGCCGAAACCATCGTTGGCGCCGGCTTCGGAGGAGATGATTTCTCGCAGATGTCGCGGGACATATTTGTCTGCAAAAGGTCCCTTTGCTACGGCCTGCGACAGCACGGGATCGGTGCAAGTGACACATGAAGCAAGTGCTAGGGCAGCGAGCAAGCTCAGCTTGGGGATAGTGGCCAGGATGCAGCCAGTTGTGCAAAGCCACATGAGAGTCATGACAGGAATCAGACACATGGTCAATTCTCTCCAGCGCTTGACATTATACTTGGCAGGTAGTTGGTAACCTGCGATCACGAGTTGCACACCGATGACAACCCGCATGAGGCCCTATAGAGCTGTGAGATACTGATGATGGTGCAAATAGACAAATGGAACTTACCAGTGCAATGTCCTCGGTCTGTCTTTCTACGGCAGCACCCCATCTCTCCGAGTCTAGGAATTTTGCCGATACTGGTCCAAGGATAATGCCAAACACCATGGCAGGTACTACCCATCACAATTAGCAGTGCACCAACAGTAATACATAGGGTCATCAGTAACGTACGTGCTTCTCCAAGGTACCATGACTGCTTGATCTTTACAGAAATCACACCATAAACTGTCATGAAGCCACCTGTAAACCGGTCAGAATGCCAAGGCTCGCCAAGATCTGGGCACTTCACCACCAAGAAATGCCCAGAGAAGGATCGCACCAACCTAATACTGCCAACACAATGTTGAGCTCGCTCAAGTTGAGAATTGGCATGATGGCGGTTTCGGACGCAAGGGTTGGTCCAAGGATGAGTTATCAGGTTATTGCAAAGTTTATGGTTCAGAAGTATATAGTCTACTGGTCTGCCACAGGTTGTAGGTCAAGAATGTTTGGTGCCAGGCTCGATGTCTTTCAAGAAGTCGAGCCATAAATTGGTAAATGATGAGGAGGATGCTGAGGGTTTGGTGACGAAGGACGTCAGGCTGTGTCGCTGACACTTGCCCGTGAAGGACTTGGAAGGCCTCTGTTTGCGTAGGCTATGCAACGACGAGGTTGGATTTCAGTAACAGGACATAAGAAATAAGAAGGCCAACGACAAAGATAAGGTGGAAATAGGGAATACTAAAGGTCTGAACAAGAAAACGCTCTTCAAAATGGTTCTGCAATGCAACGCACGACCTCTGGGCACAGAAAGCTTTTTGTACAACAACTCAGCTGATCAAAACGAAGAAGAAATAATATCAGGTTTGAGAAACCGTAGGGATAAAGGTAAAAGAGCAAAATCCCTCAGTGTCAGGGATGGTACTTTAAACATGAGCCAAGCCGTGGGTAACATGTTGGTGACAGACTACCAGGACAAGGGAGATGAGGAGAGACAGTACTAAAACACAAGATCTGCGCGGGCGATTCAACGATGTCCAAGCTCACAACTTCTGAACTAAAAACAGGATATCGGGGGTTAGATGTCTGCGACCCGCAAATGAGCTAAGACATAGACGTACACTCCACGGGGAGAAGCAGCGGTTTTCGAGTGAGTTTGGCTTGATAGGGAACCAATACACGCCATGGGCCACTGTCAGGAGCGTGTTTTGCTCCGAGAGTAGAAGTTGCGGTATTTCTCTTCCCATTGATGACGCCGCTATGCTGTGTTACATCCTCTAGTTACACGTAGCTTAGGCTTTGGATTACGAAAGTGCTGAATTGTCGTGAGGCTCAATAGCTGACGACGACAGAAGATCGTCCAACACGATATGTTTCTAGGAGGCTCATTACGCTTCATATCTGCAAGAGCTAGAGACAAGGCATAAAGATCGACAAGACAAGAAAAGAAAGAAGAGAAGCCGGGGACACCCCCAAGGGAAAGCAACAACCCGCTTCATTCTCGCAAGCCCCGTGTTGCAAAAAAAAAAAAAGCATCTGACTTCCCTAAACACAAGACATCCAAGCGGTGGCCAAGTGCTCTTGGCTTCACAATAATTTCTGGGGCCTGAGTCTGAACACCCAATTGCCGCGAGAAGACAAGAGTCGCGTCACGAGCCAAGCAGCGGATGTTCTTGGCTGGGTGTTGCAAGAGTATTGAGATTGGCGCTTGGCGCTTGGCGGCTACTTGGCGGTTAAGGTTACTTGTTAAGCTTGTGGCTGTTATGCTTAAATAGTGGTGCTACCTCTCCGCTGGCCAAGATATGAGCGTGGGGCGGTGATGAGTGCCAAGGTCAAACGCCAAGAAAGGGTGGAAAGGAGTTGGAAGAAGTAAGCTGGCTGACTCTTGAGGGGAGCGGGACGCGGAGGAGCCGACGGGAATGCCCAGTTGAGTTTTAGGAGAGTGCTCGGCGGTTAATCTCTGATTCTTGTTCCAAGCATTTTGAAATGGTGGTGAGAAGGTGCTCTGTTACATGTGTTTGGCCGGAAGTGTATACATAAAGTATTATGGCGCAATCAGGAAGAAGAACTCGCAAGTCACACGATCCAGAATATGATGCTCAACGTCGTATGAGGTTCAATCATCACGTTGGTCATGTAGTCCATCAAGTCTTCATGATCATCCGGGATCTTTTCGCTGACAGCTTCAGGGTAGGCTAGGTCATCAGCGAGGTTAAAGAACCAGTAAATCCACTGATGTTTTCCTGGGGGTAGCGAGACGCTAGAGAAATGTATCAGAAGCAATAGTTCATGGCATAAATATAAAAAGGAATAAACTTTGGGTTTAATAACTGTATAGTCGATTAGAAATCGATCAATGTAGTCACTTTGTAATCTACCAGAGGTACTTGAATTGCAATCGGCCACTTTTTTGCGAGCACAGCGGACTCGTCTTGGCGATAGTCAGGGGCGGAACAATGTTGATCAGTCACTCCGCTTGGCAGAATGAACTCGTTTTCTTGTGGAATGTTAGTGACTAATTCCGCCTGATAAAGATAATACCCCTGATAAGAAAGAGTCGTTATCTTGCTGTCTTGTTGAGTCTGCAAAGTGAGACATGAAGACTGCCGCGGAGGTACGAGGACGAATGGGGAGAGACATTTTGACCGTTCTATGGCTCTCACAATAAGACAATTCCCTGAGGGCTGTTCCTGAGCACTGTTCGATCCTTCAGATACACTTTCTGTACGTTTTTAGCACGGCGCTACTGCCACCAAAGTCACGAGTGTCGATGATACACATCCACATGAGCTGTTTATGAATTGTAAAGTATGATACAGCTTGATATTTATAACCAGTCCACAGATGTAGAGTTTCTCAAATCAGTATACATAGAAGTTTGTAACATCTGGATGGTCCCTCCTCGTCTTGTTGTTCTGACTCTTCAGATGGAATCTCAGGCCCCATGCAATTATGACAACGCCAAGCGAGAACGCAATGCTCGCAACCCAGGCCGCGGTATATCGAGGCTCATGAGACGAAGGCCAGAGATAGGCTGTATAGACGTGAGCTAAGTTGCCAAATGTGTTGCAGATCGCAAGAGACACCGCTTTCTTCTCGGCAGTCTGTCCAACTGTTGCGCTGATCCACGCGAGGATGATGTTGTTGATACCAAAGCTGAAGCCCACGAACAGGTAGATGCTGAACATCCGCGCAGCTAGATTCAGGGTGGAAACAGCAATGATGAAACCAACCATCACGATGCATTTGCAAATGGTGATGTGTAATGTGCGCTCGTTCCAGCGTCCAGAAGTCCAGGCCATGGCGATTCCAACGAATGCAGCGAGAAGATATGGCGGGCATGTCAAGACTAGTGTGATAGTTCTATTGTATCCGAGGGTCTGCATCACAGATGGGAGGAAGTTCTGGAAGCCGACCGAGGAGAGATGCAGGTTGTACATGAGGCACAGAGCCCACGTGCGCCAATCAGTAGCAGACTCGCGAAGCCCAACCCACACACTGGTTTTCTCACGGACGTCTGTAGTATCAGTGTAGATGCGGTTATATGCCAGCTGTCTTTGTTCTTCTGAAAGCCATCTAGTGGTTAAGGGGTGGTCTGGGAGAAAGATGAATGCGAGTATAGCAGTGAGAATGGAGAGAGATCCCTGAATGATGAAAAGCCTGTACAAGCAATTGTTAGTCTATCTCAATAAGACATCTTTTGAAGGCCCGACTTACCATTGCCAACCAGCTAGACCATGTTTCTGATCAAGACCAGCAAAAACACCCGCCGCGATGAGGCCGGCGAATGAACTAGCCACCATATTACCTGTGTAGAAAACAGCCAGCCTAACTGCAAGCTCTTTGCGCGTGTAGAACATGCTAAGGATGAAAAGAGCACCAGGATAGAACTACAACTTGTCAGTTGCGACTCGGCAGTGAGCACGGAGGTACGTACAGGAGCCTCAGTAACCCCAAGGATGAACCGGAGAGCAACCATGCTGCTGTAGTCTTTGGCTAGAAATGTCACTAGACTGACGATGGACCATGCCAGACAGAAGCCGGCCATGTACCACGATGGTTTGACTCTGTTGATGAGCATGTTGCTTGGAACTTGCCCGGCACTATGACTGTCAGGCGCTATGTGTGTGGTGGACATAGGCAAACTCACATGTATCCGACAAAGAGAATTGACACGCAGGTGTTGTACTGCGTTCCTACTAGGCCAAGATCTTCCTCAAGGTTGTTGAGTCGAGCATTGACGAGAGCGTTTCGATCGAGGTAGTTGAACAAGTACATGAGCCACAACATGGGCTAATAGTTTATTAGATGGGATTGGTTAATCGTCTAGAAATTGTATGCTCACAATGATATACTTGTCCAGCTTCTTTACCAGCGCAATTTCTCGAGGGTCTGTCTTTGCGTGGGCGCCAAACTCGTCCACCTTGTCCATCTTGGGGAATTTGGAAAAGATGGCGTCATCGCCTGGGCCAGTCTCGACTCTCTCGACGTGGTCGTTGCGGGCACCATCTTCATTTTTGGGCTCGCTACCAGTTACTTGGGGGGGATTGGATGGGTTTGACGTCGCCATAACTTCAAGCTTATAGCTACAGGTAAGAAGAAAGAGGAAAATACAATACGTCAAAATGATACTCAGGGAACGAGCAGAGCAGCCTGGTTTTATCTCTGCCGACCATCCTCCTCTGTTGCCGAGACTTCCCCCACGGGGTACGATGCGGGGGATCAGCGAAGCTCAAATAAGGTTGTCAGATGACGAGATAGCATCTTGGCAAGACTCGTTGGAAGATGCCTCATTGGCACGCTTTGAATTAAAGTAGCAGCGGCCAGTACAGAAAAGTAGATAAGAATGGTCGATCTCCCGGACGAACTACCAAAAACCGGTAGGACGCCGAGTTTTGCGGATGCGGTGCACGCCTATTTGCTGGAAAAGGTGTTGGAAATCATTTGCCGATGATGACGTTGGTTAATTTGAGTACCTAGGCATTGGGATCAGCGTCCCGCGCCAAGTATGTAATGTACGTATCAGGTGAGTAGCTAGAATCCATCATTTGTGAACTCAGGGACTGGTTCTTTGATATGCAAAAGAGTCGCTCTTACACTCTATGAAGGCCTTATGCGCAGAGGTCGAGACGTTTGAGCATTGCTTTATGGGCCAGTATCGGACTTCGGGTAAGAAGACAGAATGATCCAGTCAAGCCGAGCGATAGCGGCCGAGGCGCAGAAATGGGGGTATGTGCAATTAAACATAAGATGTGTTGAGGAAAACGAGGCCGCGAGGAGGGACCGCCTCTGGTACATTGCAAGGAAAACAAAGCCCTCAGATGACGTTGCCTTACCAAAGCAGCAAAGTTAAGTCTCCTGAGGGCTTTAATCTGAGCAAGGTTTCTTCTGTCCTCGAGCAGGAAGCATCCATAATAATCACGCAGGCGGAAAGTATTTACATCAAACCTAAGATCAAGGTTCACGTCAAGCTGTGCGTGTCTGTTCAGCATTAGCCCTGGTGGTCACGGGCGGTGGAAAGGTAGCTCCGTATCGCGAAGCTTAGTAACAGGCTCCCCGGAAAGGAACCTAATCTTTGGAAATCTTTCTCCCACGAACCTTATTCGAATGCCATCAGCCCTTGGCTTTCCACGTCATCGGGGCTTGAAGGCTACACTAGAATGCGCGTCAAGAAACCCTCTTTCGGTGGATCGAGTAACCGCTGAGCAACTGATGTTTTCGCGATGATTGCTTGGAGGTTGGATATAAGGTTTTATGTCCAGTGAGTCATTAAAAGACGTCATACCATTGGTTGCCTTACCAATTTGATTGGATATTGATTGCCGATATTAAGGACAAAGGCTGGCACCAGACTTCGATGATTGCGTTACATATCATACTACCCAGAAGTGAAATGGAAAACAGAATATGGTAGGAAAGTAAATCTACTGCTCAGGTTAAGATAGCGTAGAAGCAGAAGAGTATTTGAGTTATTGTCCCCCTGACACATCACCATGGTGGTGGTTACTGCCTCCTTTTAGTCTATACCTTACTCGCCTTTCTGGCGATTGGCCGCAATATCTCTGCTTTGGGCTACGCTGGCTCATGTTTGAATATCTGCCGGTTGGCCTTTAAGACCCGCCATCAAGTACTGTCCGGATTGAGAGTCGGCTATTCACAGAGCAGCAGACTCTGAGAACCTCCTGGATGTTCTCCAGAAGGCTTTCGGCCTAACTTGAAGAAGTATTCTCGAGGGAGTGGCCTTGAAACCGTGTTTATTCTTTCTCCAGCAGCCAGCCATGAGCCCGACATATATCCTCGTGAGGTGATTCTTTTGCCTTTTGCTCTTTTTGCCTTTGGCCCGCTATGCTAGTTCACAAAGGAGCCGATTGTGATATCAGCCCTGCTTTTATCCAACACTATAGATTAGTTAGTCATTTGTAGAGAGCTTACGTGAGTGGCGCGAGAGGCTCTTCTCGGGCGTTTCCCAAACTTCCACTTCCAGGGGAGCAGCATATAGGTAGGATTAAAGGTTTCACGACGAACTCAGATAACTCATAAACGCTGCACTCTCACGCAACACTGAGCAAAGGACACGCTATGGATGAGTGATTATTCCTGGCTCAAAAGTTATAAAAAGGTCACCACCCCCATCTGGACAAGGATCTTTTCCTGTTTCTTCTTCTGCCAGAAAAAAACACCCTACCCCTTTCCCATAGTATACCATCTTTCACAATGGCTATCACACCCCTCTTCCGAGCTCTGCTCATCGTTGGCCTTCTGGCCTGCCTTGTAGCCTCCAGTGGTCCTAACCCCGAGCCCCTGGACCAAAACTACAACATCCCCTACAAGCCCGATGACTACGACAGGGAGGCTTTGGACAAGGCCCGTGTCAAGGTTGCTCCTCAGGTCACCCCCATGCCCTCCCCCGTCAAGCGCCAAGAAGGTATCAAGATCTACAGCTGTGGTGGAGGTCAAAAGCGCGAGGAGCACGGCAGCTGTGGTTGCAGCTCTGGTAGAAAGCACTCGCCTCTCTCCAAGCGCCGGAATACCTCCATGTGTGGTCGCGACTTGGGCAACCAGCCCGCGCAGCCCACCAATGTCCCGGAGCACAACTGCTGTGGTTGCAACTCGGGTAGAGAGCACAAGCCACCCACCAAGCGTGAGGAGAACAACAGCTCTGCCATCGCCTCGGAAGCCAAGCTCCCATATCCTCCTCTCGAGCTGCATCCAGCCTATCCCGGCTCAGATCTTGTATTTCCAGCGTCGGAGCTCGAAGTCCTGAAACAGTGGGCTGCCGAGGGCAAGTACACCAGCTGCAACTCAGGCATGAAGGATAAGCTACCTAAGCGTGACCACCTGGAGATGTACCCAACCTATCCCGGCTCAGATCTCGCAGTCCCAGCGTCAGAACTCGAAGTCTTGAAGCAGTGGGCTGCTGAGGGCAAGTACCCTGAGATCACTGCCAACATGAACAAGCATCCCATGTCGAAGCGTCTGCCCCCTTCCTTTGAGTCTTTCGAGGAGCTCAAGAAACACCGAGAAGAGATCAAGAAACAAAAGGAACAATTGTCACGCGAGAAGGCTCTCCAGAAGGGCCTTGAATCCTACGAGAATGAAAGGATTGCCGCCATCGCCGATGTTGATGTCAGGATCCAGCAGACACGCGTCCCAGACGAAGATGGTGACCTCCCTGTTGTCATCAAGATCACAATCACCAACAACAGCAAGTGGAAGATCACCTACTGTGACAAGACATCTCCCATCAGCAGCAACGCCTACAAGATGGGCTTCTTCGAGGTGATCTCTCGCGAGTTGCGCGCAGACATCGGGGCCCCAGCCAACAACACCCTGGCCGCAACCCAGCCAAGTTGGGGAGAGTGCAGCCGCGATCTGTACAGCGGCGAGTCGGCTTCCACCTGGATGACTTTCCCTCCCCCTGACGCTCTCGACAACCCCAAGCTTGGATCTTTGAAGGGCGGAAAGTACGATGTCCGCCTGACGGGAGTGTGGCACGGAATTCAGGCGATGGGTGATCCTGAGGTTGACCCTAAGTGGGATACCAATGAGTGGTCCACCTACACTCATCGTTTCTCCTCCAACACCATTACCATTGATATGTAATGGATACCTGATCTTGAAGACAATCTAGGCAGTAGATAGTCAGTTTCTTATGATCGGATGCACATGCAACATGTGACAAAAAAGCCTATCAGCATTAAAAGAAAAATGATTGTTCCCTATCAAAGTGACCCATGAACGTGAGATGGCAAAGCATATATCATGTAGACCGGCTTCCTTGATGGTCTTGTTTGAGCCCTCCCCGCTCACATTGAAGGTCCATGTTTAGAGTGCTAGATGTCCAAAACTGACAATTATCTTTATTTCCTATAAGGTGCAGTCGTGAAACGCTAAAAGACTTTGCAATATGACTCGATCCTGTTTGTTTGAAGGAATAGCAGTCCCTCTCCTCAAAAAGCCGTTGATGACATGACTCTCCCCTTACGCAACCCATCTGAAGTTTGGGTTCTTCCAATCGAGATCTTGGATCTCCTGCTGAGACAATCCAGCAAGCTCAGCCTCGGCAGACCTGCTCGCCCGCTTCCGGTTATCGCGCTTGATCCACCACAAAGTTAAAGTACCCAACACCAAGATTGTGCTCGACGTAGCGAAGTTTAACCCATTTCCGATGGGATAATTCGGAGCGTCGCTCTTGACGAAAGACCAAGTTGAGATTAAACCACCGACATTGCCGAACATCACTGTAAGAGGGATAAGTCAGTATTACGAGACACATTAACCTGAGATAGGTAGTGAAGTTACCATTAGTTCCGATCGCCGCGCTTCTTGCTGTGTCGCTGAGGACATTGGCACTAATGTGAGAATTTGTAAGAGGCGCCAAAGCGAACGCCGAGCTAGCAACCAAAAACGTAGCTCCGTAGCGTGCGTGACCGTTCGTAGTCCCCAGGAAAATGGCGTATCCGACCATAACCATGGGCGCGCAGAGAATGATGAAGATCTGCCGACGATCAAGCTTGTAACTAAACGCTGGGATGAGGACAGTAAAGAAGGCCCCGACGACATATGGTGGGACGGTGAAGAGTTGCTGCGTGATGGTCGTCCGATCGGGATAGATGGTTCTGACGATGGTGGGTAAAAAGAAAGCGAGACCTTGGACTGTGATGTTGTCGAGCAAGAAAATGGCCGAGGTGGATAGCGTGACTGGACTGCGGATACCGGCCGAGATCTTGGCTGTGTCCATCTTGTCTAACACTTCGGTGGTTCCGAGACGTTCGGCTTTGATGCGGTTGATGGCGAGGACCTTTTCTTCTTCGGTGAGCCATCGGGCTGTTTCGGGGCGGTCGGTGAGGGTGGCTGATGATGTTAGCGAGAGACATAGAAGTAAACGCCTGGGACTTACCAAATGAGATCAAGGATAGGCCGACAGTGATAATTCCTTCAATGGCTATGATAGAGTCAGCATACCATCAAGATGAGGTTGGACTTGGAGTCGCACCAAAAATCATCTCCCAGTTGTGGAACCTCCCAAATTTCGGGAGCTTCAGAATCGCAGACACAAGAAGGCCTCCAAAAGCTCCTGCCAATGGCGCCATGACGATATACAACGACAATCGGAACGTAAGCTCTGATCGTTTATACCATCGCGACATGTAGTATGCGATTCCTGGCAGCATGCCCGCTTCGAAGATACCCAAGACGAAGCGGACGCCGCAAATTTCGGGAACGTTCGAAACAAACGCGGTGAAGATGGAGCAGAGGCCGAAGCCGAGGGATGTCAGAGGAATAAACCAGCCAGGGCCCATGTATTTGCAAAGCAGATTCGCGGGGATCTCGAATATGATGTAGCTGATGTAGAAGACGGAGAGAACGAGGTTGTAGTCGTTTCCCTTCATTCCGAGGTCTTCTTCCAGACCGGCGAGACGGGCATTTCCTGAAGACGCGTTAATTCCGACACGCGTTAATGGAACGCGATAACATACCGATGTTTGCTCGGTCGATGAAGCAGAAGAGGTACAGCAAGCAGACTGTCGGCACGATCATCCAATCAATCTTCCGACGAAGCCGAGCCTCTGCTTTCGGATCGATGTAGAACTGGGCATTCTCGACACTACCCCACAGTCAGATCTGTCTTTCAAAAACAAGGGGGGAAAAGAAAAACGCGAGTCACGAACCCTTCCACCGTACCGCCACCCGAATCCGTCAAGTTGGACGAAGTATCCGCTCCATGCTGCAACTTCTCATTTTGCGTGCTGTGTTCCATGTTAGACAAGATGAAGCTGGAGAAGGATGGGTAGGAATGTAACCAGGCTCCTGGGATAGCTTGCTTTATAGGCTTTCTGTAGTTTGCTATTGAGCAAGGGCTCAATCGATCGCTCGTATGCTTAATGCGCCACGAGCGGGGTCTTGGTGTCGGATCTGGGGTAGACTGGTCTCGAATGTCTCACTGCAAAAAACGGAGCTTTGGAAATCCGGGGAACTGGAGTAATCCGCGGAAGACCATAGCTACCGTAGAAACAAGATGATTGTCGGCATATGTCATCGGCTTGTCAGCTTCTTCCAGGCTATCCCATTGGGTGGGGGCAAAGGAACTTTCCCCGCGATTAAGATCTATTCCCTTTCCATCCTTTGTCGTTAGGCTAGAATATTGCCGCTATACTGTTTCCATAGAGCTGAGACTTGGGGGCTTGGCATGAAGAAGGGGTCTGTGTTTTCGGGCAACTTTTACTGGATGATGTTCCTCGGAATAGGGTCGGCCAAGTTATCTGAGGGGGCAGAAGTAAACAGCTTGCTATTGTGGTTTTAATGGATGTGCCTAGACCCGTCTATTTACTTGCAAAATTCTAAGCGAGATGCGGGAGTGCAATGGCGAGATCGGATCCCGGGTATGCTGTTGTCGTGCGTGTAGATGTGTGGCTAGGATTCCTTTCCGAGGAGATTGTGATTGAATGACCGATGTTTCTTCACTCTGCTTAGTATTAATAGAAGGTAGTGGGCTAACACTATTGACTTGTTGGTACTCCGTAATCGGAGGACACCGAGCCGAGATGTTGTAATATTACGCAGGGTGACTGAGTACGGATAGGATGAACAGGCATTGATGTATCATTGGAGATGGGGGAATAGATGGTCTCTTGTAGTATGAGGAAAGGTAAAATAAGGTTGAAACCAAACCTAAATTATTCCTTGTCAATGTGCACAGGCCCAATACCTTGTGTCTGTCACTTAAATTGTCGTAAAATAACCGATAGACGGCAGTTTTTAACGTGTGCCATGTTTATTGGTACCAGGATTCCAGGATAACGCCAGTCTATTAACGGTGAGAGATCGTCGTACCCAATCTGTTGAGGCCTCGAAGTGGATCTTATCGGATGACATAATCGTCTTGCGCGGACGAATTCCAATCCCGTCTCGGTAAGCTAAGAATAAAACTGTTGGCGTTTGAAGGTTTACTCTAAGATTATCTCAGAATCTCACAATAAGTAGACAAGCACGATCGTATATCAGCCGATAGCCATGATGGAGATCAAATTTAAACTGGCAGAGGCTCCTCAACCTCAGAAGCGCCCTGATTTCGAGAACAAACCATCCAGTCTGGCCTTCATACACGTCAACAACCCAGCACAAGCCAAAGACAAGACCATACAGCGCAAAGTCCGTCGCCATGTGATGAAAGACATCGGTCGCTCGAGAAGATTAGGTTCCATCCAAGTAGAGACAACAGCAACGCCCAAAAACAATTCGGTGTCAATTCCAGCGTACTGGGGCGATGTGAAAGTTTGCGTCAACTTTAGGAAACTGTTTTGGGCTATGGATATGGTTTCTGAAGGACTTCTTTCCATAGCTGTCATTGACCCCTCTTGTAAGTTGCGGAAGAGACTTGCTGCGGGCCTTGGCGACCTTCAAACCTTTGATGAGATTGAACAGTACACGGAGTCTGTGAGCCTAGTACGAAAGGCCATCACACCGGAAAGCCAGGCTTGCCAAAATGCTATTATCGGTACGATAATTTGTCTTGCCGTGTTTGATGTGAGTTCACGATATCGCGAGCTAACAATTCACTAATGGAGTAGATGCGTGTAGGGAAATCGGATTCGTGGATGATGCATATGGCTGGACTCGAACGGATCATTGAGCTGGCTGGGGGCGTTGAAGTCCTAGACTCCAGGCCTGCTATACGGCAATCCTTGTTCATGTGAGAGACCCGTAACTTACAAAAATCGTTCACTAATGTTCTGCTGTAGTGCCGACGTACTCGGCTCGGTGCTTGAAGATGCGAGGCCGAGGTTCCCGTTACCTGCAAGCACTCTCGCCTTACCCAGCGTCTCACGGTCGCGATACGTTCAAAGGCTATTAGTTTCACTCAGGAACTTGGAGCCTCATAGCAAAACGCCCTCAACTGTTATCGACAACTCTCTCCAATCGGCTTCGCAGCTCGCCGCGCTATTGACTGATGTTTGTCAAAAGAGTGGGATGAAACTAGATCTCCTCATCCCATCGTGCACCATGGCACATCAAGTGCTGTCACTACCTCGCATAGACTATCCCACAAGGGAAAGGGGCATGAATAGCTCGTGGCCAATTTCAGGAGTAGCAGAGCTCATACGCCTATCTGCTCTCTCCCTCTTTGCAGTAGTCGTAACCCAAACCTCGGGTGAAGCTATTTACGTTGCGTCTCGTCGACAGGCTCCGGTCAAATTATTACTCACACAAATCAGCGAAAACATCTGGAGCGGGCGACAGGAACTGAAGTTATGGGTATTGGTCGTACACTCCTGCATAGAGACGGGTTCTTCGAGGTTATGGCTCGTGGACCAGATAGTCCAGGTAATGTCACTACTCGGACTGAGGTCTTGGACGGACTTGATGTCATGTTTACGACGGGTTGTGTGGATTGAAAAGATCGCGTTATCCGGGATGGCGCAACTTCGATCTGACGTTGAAACTAGTTTGAAGTATCTATGACAGTAATAGCCTTAAGAAATGAAAGCGAACTAATATGTTACTCCTCCACTGACTCCGATGTATTGTCCTGTGATCCATCTGGACTTCTCATTGACCAATAAAAGCACAGCATCGCCAATGTCGCCCGGCGTTCCCGCTCGGTCGGCAGCTCTAGTAAGGGAAATTTCTTCCGATGACAACTGTTCTTCCATCCCCTTGGGATATATGTCTGTGATGACCGGACCTGGAGCTACAGAGTTGACGGTAATGCCCTTACTGCGTCCAAGCTATGAATGCATGTCAGTCATTATGTCAGAGGATAGTCATGAAGTCAAGATCACTCACTTCTGCTGCCCAAGTCCAAGTCAAACTATCTAAAGCGGCCTTAGATGCGGCGTAAGAAGAGATATTGACATTCCCTCTCTTAGAGTTCGTGGAACTGATGTTGATGATTCGACCGCCGGTGGGCATGTGGGCAATAACGTAGTGGACCATGAAAAAGGCGCCAAGGACGTTGAGTTGGAAGACCTTGGTCAACTCGTCAACGTTAGGCTCCTCAGTGATGGGGCAGAAGTGCGCGGTTCCCGCGTTATTGACTATCATGGTCAATACCAATTAGATTCATCAAGAAAACTCCTTATGGTCAACTCACCCAAGACATCAATATGATCGGTCTTGAAAACCTCCAGTGTTTTGTTCACAAGATATTCAGCTCCCTCTTTGGTATCGACGGAAGCTTGGATGGCGATGGCTTGACCACCTGCTTTGCGGAGTCTGTTGCAGACAACTTCGGCACGATCTCTGGTCGAGTCAGAGACGTAGTTGACTATCACTGAGGCGCCGTTGCGAGCAAGGGCAAGGGCGATTCCAGCGCCAATGCCATTCTCTCGACCTGAGCCGGTGACGATGGCTACTTTGCCTTGGAGACTGAGGGTATCGGCCATGATTGTGATATCAAATGTATTGGTTATGAATGCTTGATGATGATGGGGAAAAAATACAGGACTCTTCAAGCTCTTATATACCCCAAGCACCAGGCTATTTTCCTTCTGATATATGATCCTTCCGACTCGGCGACGCGTAATTGTCCGAACACCGATATCAGGTACCCAAGTTGAGTGTCTTTGCAGCGGGTAATCTCATCGTGTTTATGACATTTGCCAATAGATTCCTGCCGCTTTTGCGGGCTATTTGTTTGTTGAGTCGTGAATTTCCTTTTTAGGAAAATGGTGTTCGGGAGATCTCACCTCCCAGTGGGGTCAAGCTAAGTGTGACATCTGTCTAGACGGTAGAGAATATAGAAATCAGTGGTGGGATTTTCCCGGCATGTGCCTGATTCTTACTCTTGACTAATATGTCATTGATAAGTTGGCTTACTGTACTCGAAGCCTTCTTGTTGTTGGGCCACCCATGGTCCCAACCGACACATGCCAATCTAAAGTATCGTCAGCAGATGTGAGAACCAAGATGTGTCTAATTAAATCTTCGAGAATACCAAAGTACACAGCTAATAACCAGAACGTTTTATCATAATCTACAGGTTTTTACTGAAACCAATCGCTGGAAAATATTTCAACAATTTTTAGTGCAACTCAAAGTCACCAAGTCTTGTCTCACAAGAAGCAGACGAAGTTATGCGATTTCATGATACAATGACCAACAGACAACATACAGACAACACACTACAACAAAACAAAAAGAACAATGAGGCACACCCGACTCGAACGGATAACCTTCAGGTTTTTGGCAACTTGGATTGTGCTGGAATCTGACGCGCTACCAATTGCGCCAGCGCCCCATTGGGTTGTGGATATTGTGAGCAAAATTTGCTTTATATAGGGACTCATGTCGATGAAGAGGGTCATTAAACAACAAACAGCTTTTTGCTGGCAATTATCATATGGCCTGGCATTAAATCTTTTTATCTCTGTGGTAAGGATATTTCTCTAGTTGAAACTAACTATCCTCCTCAAAGTCGATATACGGCATGCGTCTGGTTAACAGGGGACTTTTCTCGCTGATCATCTTCCAGTTGTGTGCATCCATACAAGCCCTTCTTGACGCTAACACGGCTGGACGAGTCCTCTGAACGACAGTTTTCTCATATTCGTCCAGAACAGTTCTCAAATCTGCCACTTCTCCACCTTGCTTCAGAACCGGAACAATTCGCTGTACGAAGTCTTCTACATCGAGAATGACATGGTTCGCACCCTCCCCTCGGTCTGTACTGTTAGTCATCTCAGTTGAATATTGTGGAGAGGGAGAACTTACACATTGCCATGGCATGAAGTGCATCTCCCATGAGAACCGCTCTGCCCTTTGTCTGGAAGTCCTTCGGTGGAGGAAGATCTTGGATCTTGAGGCCTTTCATCTCTGTGTCTGTCGGCATACCCAAAATGAGAGAGCGCCATGGCTCAGCCAAAGTCTCTGCAAATGCCTTGACTAGCTTGTATTTCTCTTCATGCGTTTCGGGAATCTCGATTGGCGTAGAACTGCCGAAGAACCCCTCACGGTATGGCCACGATACACAGATCTGAAGGCTGTATGGATGCGCGCTGCCCTCATGATTTCCAGGTGCATCAAGCACTAGTGAACGATCAGCTCAATTCTAAGTATGGGCGAGGTGGTACCTACCGCTCATGTACACAAACATGTCATTTTTCGAGTTTGTGCTGTGAAGGAAGAAAGCATCCCGATCCCGAATCGGCTTGATCTGTTCTTGCGACAATTCCAACTTCATACCGAGCATACGAACAGGAACGTCGTACATCTCCCAATCGGGGAATAGTGAGTGACGTACTCGGGAGTGGCTCCCATCACATGCAATTAGTAGACATCCTGTTGCGGCAGTGCCATCTTCAAATGTGGCGGTGATGGACTCTGGGCTGCATGTTGTTTCCTTTAGTGCCTTACTCCACTAGAACAAAACGTCAGTAGCACAGAATTAAAGATTCTCAGTCGCATCTACCTCAACATCAATTCCAGTGGCTAAAATATCTCTCAGGCCCTGCCTCGTGACCCTAATTCGACTTGACTCGGGCGCTTTCGGCGTTGAAGCTACCAATTCACCCGTACTCAAGTCGAAGAAAGGAAATGCTGAGGAGAGACCCTCTGCAACAGCCGATCGGTCGACATAAGCTTCGGGGAGACGGTTGACTAGATCCCCTGGTAGTAGTGATCGCAAGCCGGGAAGAGACCAGTTAAGGGTAAGCCCCCAACCTGCACCACGAGTCTCAAGATCGGTGTCGCGTTCAAATACTCGGGCTGGAATACCGTGCTGTTTGAGGCTTTGTGCTAAGAGAAGGCCGCTGATACCGGCGCCGATGATAAGGACTGGTTGATCCTGGTTGGCAGACATGGCTGAGAACTCTTTTGATATGCGTCGCATGTGGTTTTGGAAGAAATTGTGCAGGTTTCATCATCCGTCAGATGTATTTACCCGGCAGTACAGTCTTATGTAAGGTACATGCACCTGTACCTTCTCCTCACCCTCAACGGCTGTCAACGGGCGTCCCCCTCGTACAAGGTAATAGCCGGAAAAGCATAATATCTCCGTGTCGGTTAGCATGTGCCTGTTCAACTGTGATGATCTCCCTGTCGGGACTTCGGCTCGGGGAGGTCCCGGAACAAGGGGGCTATCCCTGCAGTGGCAGTCCACTGTGCAAGGGTGGTGCAGATACCGTCAGGGTTTTAAGCAGCTGCCGAGTTTGGCTGTTATGTTTTTGACACAAATTTTGAACAAAGTTTATTTGCAATTTCAATAAGCTCTAGAGAAATGATTGCCGTAAAAATTCTGAGCTTTCTCATTTCTATACTCGTGCAATTTCTGACTCCTGGCTTTCGCCTTTTTTCTGGCCCACTCTATCTACCTGCACCGTATACGTGACTGACTTGACTATACCACCGTGGCCCAAGATGTTCTCTTGACTTCCAGTTCCTGAATCATTCCCAACTGTAGTAAATAATGATGTGTCCCGCTTGCCAGGATTGCTGAGATCTTTGAGCTTATATCCGTTACTCCTCAACCCTTTGCTATGGCTTGGTATATTGTAGTCCGACGGCTTCGATCTGTATTGTCGAGCCCTCTTCAAGAAAATGGGGGCGAGGAACGGCAGTGACGATACAATGTTCTGAGAGAAGGTCAGTATGACGCATGTTGACTCTGAAGATAATACTCACTCCAACATTAAACTCAATCGTGCCCCAAAGTACCAGCATGGTTGAATTGCCGTCTTTGGGGTTTTGGATCCGGTCGATCTGACGGTATCTCTGGACTGAGCAAATAGTTGTGAATATCCCCAGCGTGAAAATCACAATAAGGCCGATCTTCTTCGCAAGTTTGATCTCGAGCTTTGCCAATACCGGGATTGGTAGGACTGCGACCACGACATCGGCTACGATGGTGACGACCGCATAGCCAGTAAATGATGGTCCTGCGGCAAGACATTTACCTTCCATGAGCGGATTCCAGGACCTTTGGACCTATGCTGTGTAAGATTGTGATTTTCGAAGTATGGAATATACGTACGGGTTTGCAGGCGAAGATCAGCGCAAGGGTGCATCCAAGATGCGAAGCAAAGACCAGTGCGATGGTCACCCAGATGACCGTGCGATAGATCTTGTGGTCTGTTCCTCGCAGCAGGCGTAGGTAACTAATCAACAAAGCAATCTTGAAGAAACTGATACCAAGCTGATAAAACGGTCGGCCTGCAAAGTTGATTCGTGTATACGGTATCAGATTCTCCTTCGGTCGGTCGGGTATAGGAAGGCCGAGGCCATATCTTGTCTCTAAACTTGGTCAGATATGCATCATCGAAGTGTTAGGTTGTTCAAACTTACGTGCGATGCAAATGAAGGAGTAGATCAGGGCGAATATCATCGACAATGCTGACATCCAATCATCGCCGGCGAGGCCACGAGCCTTCCATCGTATACAGAGTCTTGCACCCACGATTGATGATGCGAGTATCGAGAGAACCACGGTGATTGCGATAATTGTTGGGTATTCGGAGGAGTCGTTCACTTCGGGTGTGGCATTTAGGACCCAGCCCATTGTGCCGCTATGTAACTAAATGAAGATTGAGGATCAAGACAAAGGAAAGGTCGAGAGGTCAAAGCAATTGTATCAACTAAAAAAGAGAATAAAGTCAACGTAAGTTCGGTCAGACAAATCACCTCCAATCTGCACATCTGGCCGCACCGGCAAAAGGTTGATACAGACAAAAGCCACACCCAAACTCGGCTTGCTCTCGCAAATGAAGACCGACAAGCCCTGTCGCGCCCGTGTCGGAGACGCATACCAATTGTCATTGCATGTGCCTTTGCAGATTTCTGTGACAAGCCCTCAGGGTTCATCCAATACAATTCGTTACATAAACCATCAAGAGCATGATCTTTACTGACTGGGGCTATGCAGCCAGAATTCGTCTATACCCAGGACAAACACACATTATGCGTAACCACGGCTAATAACTCGTATATCCAATAGATCCCTTGCACATGGAGCAGATCCTTCCACTCATAGAACGCTGTCTTGACCAGCGTCTGCAATCCAACCCTACCTTGCATATTTTACATGGGTGCAACCAACACTCTGCAGGGTACTTTTTACATCTCGTCCTTGCAACCAACTGCATAGATCCGAGATTTCGCATGAGGTCTTTTTCACTTACAATGTCGCATTGCGTTACGCGATGCCTGAGGAGTTTCAGATTAAGATGTGTGGCCGATATCACCCAATCTTCCAGCAATGGATTTTTCCACCTACTTTTTGGTAGAGTTTTGAGTCGGTTCCGTTTTAGGATCTGCAACGTCCTCGCCTATCTACCCTTTTGTCAAGCAACCATTTTTTTCTTCTTCCTGAGAGCTATTGTTTTCTTTCCACTTCATCACCCTCTCTTCTGTATCGCGCATTCATCTCGTGTCACGTTCTTTCATCATGTCTCACCCGAGTACTCCCAACAAGGAGGCCCAGGTGACTTTCTCGTCGCAGTCAGGCGCAGGGGATGTCGATGCGGCCTGGAAATTTCTTGACCAGAATCGCGATGCGGCGGGAGCTTCAGAGGCTGTTGATATTGACAAGATGAGGCGCAAGATTGATTGTCATATTGTTCCGTTGATGTTTTGCTGCTATACGATGCAATTCCTTGATAAAGTCATTCTCAACGTAAGTGCGACGTATCTTAAGATGGGAGGAGATTCTGACGACGTTGTAGTATTCTGCTGTGATGGGCCTCAACCAAGACCTTAAGCTACAGGGAAACGATTTCTCCAACATCGCGACATTTTTGTTCGTTGGCCTTCTTTGCTTTGAGATTCCCAACAGTGAGTTTTCTTGCCCTCCGCAAATGTTGTCATTAACACGTATCAGTCTACTTCCTCCAGATGATTCCTGCTGGAAAATGGCTTGGAGCAAATGTCATCGCTTGGGGCATTGCCACAGCATCCGGAGCTGCTGCGCACAACTACCGAACCCTTCTTGTCTCTCGCGTATTCCTAGGAATTTTCGAAGCCACCATTGGCCCATCCTTGATGCTTATCAGTAGCCAATGGTACACCAAGTCAGAGCAAGCTCCTCGATTCTCGTTCTGGTACCTTGGTCTAGGCCTCGGACAGATCATTGGCGGACTTGTGTCGTATGGCTTCCAGCATATTGGACCTGATGCGTCGCTCGCGGGATGGCGCATCATGTTCATCACTCTTGGTCTCGTCACTGTCACCATCGGTCTGGCTACTCTTGTCTTTCTCCCGGATACGCCCATGAAGGCCAAGTGGTTGACAAACAGCGAGAAGGTCGCACTACTGAAGCACGTCAGCGTTAACCAAACCGGTATCCAGAGCCGTAAATTTCGCCCCAAAGAGATCCTGGAAGCCCTGTGTGACCCGCAGCTATATCTCATGCTTCTCTCAGTCGTTCTTGTAAGTGATCGTTCTCTTACTGACAGCCATCTCTAACTTTTTGCATAGCTTTCGGTCTCATCTGGTGTAGTTACTACTTACTCTGCCACTCTGATCCGGAACCTGGGGTACAATCCTAAGAAGGCCGCGCTTATGAACATGCCATCTGGTGTTGTCAGTATCTTTTTCACCTTAGCTGTCGGGTTCGGAATCCGACACCAGTCTCATCGCTGGGCTTGGATCATCGCTTGTATCATTCCTGCGTAAGTCTATCATTCGGATAAATAGGGATGACACTGACATGTCTTAGTATCATGGGAGGCGCCTTGATGTCTTTTCTACCTTCAACCAACCGAGCTGGCTGTCTCGCGGGTATCTACCTAGTCAACGCCGTCGTCGCCCCCTTGACCATCTTTTACAACGTAAGTGCTCTTCAGCGAAGCCGAAAAACTCTCTTCTAACGTGCCTCTAGTGGACAGCTGCCAACTTCGGAGGTGCAACCAAACGAGCCTTTGCTGCAGCCATCGTCAGCGGGTCATTCTCTCTCGGCAACATCATCGGCCCCCAGACATTCCAAGCCAAAGACGCCCCCGAATTCCGGCCCGCCAAACTTGCTGTCATGGGGACTCAAGCTGGTTGTGCGTTGACAACCTTTTCGCTGTTCATGTACTATGTCTGGGCAAACAAGAGACGTGATGACCGCACCAAGCAGGTAGAGGATGCTTATATGTCTCCCGAGGTTTGGTCGACTTTGACGGATAGGGAGAACAAGTCTTTCCGCTATACTTATTAGATGGATTTTTAGGGTCTTTGTACTACTAGAGACTACAGTACATGTGGATATAGAATGAGCACATCGCGATAGATTCAGGAGGCTTCAATGTGTGAGTCTGCCAACACTTCGATTCAACCTAGCCACAATGAGAATTTGATTCCTTCGACAATTTCAGAGACGCAGTTCATCCAAACAATGATTCCTAACATAATCAAAACCATAGCATTACCCATTGAACAATCAGCCGCTCCGGTCACCCCTGGTCTTCCTCCATATCCTCAAGTATCAAATCCCCAACCGACCTGGTCAGTCAATACACCAGCTGTTCTCATCAGAGTCCTCGCACCATCCACAGTAGTCAGCCGTCCTTGGAAAGCAGCAGCCGCAGCACTCATAGCAGCCCGGCCAACATCTTGTCCAGCGTTAGACGGTGGCTCTCCCCTCTCCAAGATCTCGTTCAACACAGTATCGCCCACCAGGCCTTGATATCGATCCAAACACAATTGTTTGATGGCAGGACCGTACATCTCGGCCCACTGGGACTCGCTAACGGTGGTGAAAGTCCTCTCCCCGTTGTCGTGGATGTGGGAAAAGGGCCAGTTGACCTTGACGACTTGGTAGCGCTTGGTGGAGAAGAATAAAACAGGCCAGGAGAAGATCCATAGGAAGGTGAGATAGAAGAGCCAGCAGATCCAGCTTGTCAGTCGCCAGTTGTTGAGTTTGCTAGAAGAGTAGATATCGATTGCTCGATCACCAACGGGGAATTCGATGGAGAGGTGGCCTTTATAGTTGGTTTTCCTGATATGGGCCTCAAGCTGATTTCGTAGCGCTGGTTCGGCTAGACCAGTTACGCAACGAGTAAGACGGAATCTAGAGGATGAATTAGAATTGTTCCATAAACCTCGCAGGGGATGGAAGGGCCTTACACTTTGGTTCCCGTTGCTTTGGCGCAGTAGCGATGACACCACTCTTTGAGAGTAGGTTTCGTGTGGCCAACTTCAATATCACCCTTGACACCATCCTGTCGAGTCTTGAAGACAGTTCCACGATATGTTTTCTCTCCACTCTCAGCAGTCACTAGACTTGTCGCGCCCAATGCGCCGGGAATGAAATTTGGCCACAGGTAGTTCCGGAGACTGACCATGATGCGAAAGTCGGTGACCTCTTCAACTTTGCTCTTGCCATCCTTATCACGCCTCGTCTCTTTATGAGTTCCCGTGATGTGGATGTACGGTGACGGCGGGTATCTTGCCATGATTCGAATCCATTCTTCAAGATAACCTGGGTCGGCGTCTGAGCGGGCGTCTTGTAGCGGGAGGACCTCGTTTCCAATTGTGGTCCGCTTTTTGCCGATGCGCTTTGAGGTAGATGCGAAATGGCATTCAGGATCGCTGACACCGGTTTGGTATTCGCCAACATAACGACTATCCGGTTGTGTTTGCAGAATGGGAGCGCTCTCGCTATCAGTCGTGGTGGTTTCATCATAAGCTGGTGGTGGCGCGTCTGCGTTATCAAGGTCATCATCGGCAATTGGTTCAGCGTGGTACGAGGATTCTCCCGCTGTGGTGTGCATAGACAGAGCATCCGGGTCGTCCTTGAATGGACGTGGTGAAGGAGGACCGCCCATAATTACTGAAATATGGTAAAATTTGCGGCGATACTTTCAATAGGCTGAGGGATGGTGTGTTTTATCTGAACTGCGCAGGTTTAGGCAGCGATTGTATCGTGAGAAATGGTCTGCGCGCTCACGGTGCGGTTTTTGTCAAATCGGCCCAAGACGAAAAACGTAATCGCCGGAGGCCCCTGGAGATACGAGCTGTGGCCAATGAGCACTCCATACGGAGTCGACGTGGAGAAGAGAATAAGCACTAAGCGCCTTTCCATTCTCCTGAGTGATTGGTTCGTTCGCCAGCACTGGCTTCTGCTAAAATAGGATAATATCATCTGCATTTAACGGGAATAATATTATCACAGCTCGCAGCTGTTTCATAACAGTGCATATGTCATTTGTGTGTATCGAGGTCATGTAAAAAGGATCTACGAGATCGTACAGATTGTAAACTTTACTCTGAAAGTAGCTTAAACTAAGCCCGAAACGCGACCTCGCTTCGCCGCTGAACCAAGACCTAAGAAATACGTATTTTCTTCAACTTCATATGGAATCTATCCAAGTAATATCCCTTTTCTTTCTTGCTTTTCCCTGCTTTTGTCTTTAAAAGGCAAGACAGGGTTGAAGACTCTAAAACATAGGACCAATTGGTTAGCAATAGCGATCAAAGTCTCAATCTCTAAGCCACAAACAGACGCACTTGCGAGTGTGACTATGTTCTCTATTCACCGCAACGCTAGCCAATTTCTCGATTCTGAGACAACTCTTAATATTCAGCACCTTATCAGCCATTAGGGGGAAATCAGTATCGCAAAGGGCGACTCGTCAATGCACTGTCAGCAGTGCAGATCACAGTTGTTCAGCTGAAAGCTATGATACTCTAACCATGACGGCTTTTCTAGCCTGCACGGGCATCATCTGCATATTCGGATGTGTATGTATGGCTGTCGCACAATATGACCCACCGTTTCGTGGGGTAGCCAAGAAAGTTCAGCAAAGCCGTATCGTGCCGCGCTGCCGAGATCTACCAGCCGCTGTGTCTTTGGAGCTTAATCCACACTGGTGATTTGTTGAGACTGTGAGTATGTGGATTTGAACTGGGTATAAATACTGGTGCGAGTGGCCTTTTGAGAATGATAGAACACACGAAACATCTGAGTCAGTACCATAGAGCTCTGATCTACCCATCAAGGTATGTGGCATCTTCAGCCCTATTACCCTGGCCAGGCCAATTGACATTCTGTCGCAGATCAGCAAATATGAAAATCACCACCACTTTCACCTCCCTTCTGGCTGTGGCCCTCAATGTCTCCTTGACCAGCGCAGCGGATTGCTACAACTACGGTACTGGAAGCAGCGGCATCGGTGCCTGCGCTCACCGAAGTGACAACTACAAAGACCGAGAGACGTTTTGTAGTTCCTTGGCTGGTCAAGGTTCGTGGAACCGCAAATGCCAAAACGGTTCCCATAAGGACCACTGCCATTTCGAGTACCAAGGTCCCGGTATGCCACAGCAGATGTGCTGGGATGCCTTTGAGAACATCATCAATCAGTGCTTCACCCACCAAAACGGTGGCGGATACCATTCTGGAGCTTGGTCTCTCAACGGGCACTGGTTCTACATTGACAGATGCAGCGCATGAGCGTTGAAGCAAGCTGTAAATGAGGGGGAAGCATTGGCAATAACGGAAGTCAACATTAGGAATAAAAAGCTTACTAAATCCATCCTCTCTTCATGAATCTCATTTGATATGATTGAGAACATGCTCTTTTGCCTAAGAAAAACCAGTGTCAACGTATGTGCTATATCCAAGCATTACTTGTTCCTCTTGGCAAAGATCGTCCTCCACATGGTCTTGGCCAAGCTAATTTTGGACGGAATTTATCGTTGCCGCTAATTATGCGCAAATGTCTATTCAGTAAGCGATGACCAATATTAGCTTGGTTTTACACAAGCATTTGTCGTCCGGCATGCTAAAAGAGCGCTTCTCCATTTGCGTACCTTCAACAATCTGAATCCTCCCACTTCTACATCTACAAAAATGCTTTCCTTTCTGAGATCACCCGGACCACCGCGCACACAAAATGCTCAAAACAACCCAATCATGTACGAAGGCGGGCGGTCCTCTGTCACTTTCTCCGGGCCCGGCTCTCAGTACATCATGACGCATCGAATCCCACCCACAGACAAGGAAAACGGTACCTCCATCATTGCACCGCCATTTCACTATCACATCTACCAGGACGAGTTCTTCCGCATCCAGTCTGGAAAAGGCAACTTCTACCGAGGCATTGACCCAAATCCCTTCGCTGTTTTGTCCGACGATCCAAACGGCCAAGCTACCGCGTCCGTCAAGGCAGGCAACTACCATCGCTTTGAGAACGCTAGCGAAACTCGAGACCTTGTTGTTGACATTCACCTCACTCCCGAGTCGTATGAGAACGAACAGCAATTTTTCAGGAATTTCTTTGGGTATTTGGATGATTGCAAGACTGCGGGATGCGAGCCCAGCATTTTCCAGCTCATGGTTTTTCTTCACGCTGCCGATACTCCTCTGGCTGTTCCTCTTCCTTGGGAGTCCCTTGGTCGAGTGGCTAGCAGAATTTTGCTCACGACTGTCGCTTACTGGGGAAGATATGTGCTTGGGTACAGGCAGACTTATTCTGAATACTATGATGCGAAGAAGTCAAAATAAAGAAAAACACTCAACCCGGAGTATAACTTTGGTGGGTTTCGGGAGGTATGATTCGTCTGGACAGGTCGCAGGAGATATAGACGCTAAAAGGATCTTTATCAATCACAATTCAGTATGTCATCTACCACCTGTAAATCATTGCCGGTCTTACTCGGGGCATTTCAAAAGACTCTCCAGGGACTGCAGGTCGTCTCGGTCTTCACCCTTTTGCCAGCATCAAGGGCAACTCCCCAACATCGAGAGGGGCAGTTTCTGAGAATGAAGCAGCTTCTAATGAAAGATTCAATATACAAGCAAAGTAAGACCGGAATCCACAAGGCGCACTAAGGTTTTATGAGCTCGTACAGGTGATTAATCAATACCAGACATCAAACTGTGGACAAATCGCCAGAGCCAATCACGTACTCTCCATATCTACAGCACCATGTTCTGACACTTCTTGGAATAAAATATATAAAATGTATAAATATCACTCCTGCGACTTATACGATCTGGTTTTTGTCTCGAACTATCACCACAACTGGCCACTCATATCTTTGCAATCTGATTCAGCATGCAACTTGTGAACACTTTTTCTATGACCTTTTTCGCCACACCGGCTTTAGCAGCCGCTTGTCTTGGAACAACCAAGGAAGAAATCGCCAACTTCCTCGATGCGTATTGAGAGGCTTGTTAGAAGATTTATAGCAACTCAGATTGCAAGTATCAATAGAGTTGCACTACGCGTAGCACTAAAACGATCCGAGGCTTGTTTCAAGTTGCCGTCAACGTTGAGATTGCTCGCAAGAATATGGAAGATCATAAAGGGTTTAAAAACTGCTGGATATGTAACGTCTACGTTGATTTTTGAGCTATGCTAACTAACAGAGTTAAATGAGCTGCCACTGAGCATCATGTCATCAATCCCTCTTCGTCACATTTCCTAACATCCTTAGAAGCACAGTCGAGTGTGTGTTTACAATGAGGTAACATTGGTGGGAACCTGGGAGCATAACGGCCAATTCGACCAAGTTGACGCGAAATCCAATTTGTTTAGGTTAGGACAATTTTATGGCGCAGAGGCTGGGGTGTGACTGAAACAGGCGCCGTTACTTATCGGTTTGTCTATCACTCTGTTAGTTGCTTTCACATTTATCCTTATGCATTATGATCTTGATGATATCTAGAAAAGACATTTAGTCATGGAGCATTGACAAATCTCTGATAGCCGCATATGGTGCCCTTGCATCACCTAAAACAAAATGAGTTTGGCTTTTCTCTCTCTTTATATTATGCAAGGCTTTTAGCCGATAAAAGACTGTGGCTAATATTTGTATTGTGACTTGGGGGGGTAGAATTGCGAAGGTCGCTGAACACCAGGGACAGAGCTGACAGTACTCTACAAGATAATATCCGAAGGCAACGTGGTTAACGCAAGAATATAGGATCCCCCAGAATCTGAGTGGCTTCCCGCGTTGCGTCGTCATAAGCCCTACCTGCTACGGTTATCGCCCAAGATGCCACTGTAGAGAAACATAACGGGTACGCAATTAATACAAGAGGAGGGAAGGCGAGCGATCCCACGCCAGAAACCCAGCCCGCAGCCCCGCTACCCAGGTATGCCATGAGACCGACTTTTGTTGCTATGTTACAATCATCGGGCAGAACACCCACAAAGTTAAGAAGCAGCCTGACTTCATCCATATCATGACGAAGTGCAAACCACACAAGGTCCGTTCCACGATGCCGACTTCCAGTAACGGTCAGTGGTAGCAGTTCGTCAGCAAAGGCGATGGGACGGTCTATGACGAGAGGGTAATAGGCCGGGATGACAAGATGCAACATAGCGGTACGCCCGTAATCGGTCGTTTCAATGAGAGCTTCTCTATCGGCTCTCATCCTCACACAGATCGTTGCAAGATCATGATCATAGCCACCGAATGCAGGACCAAGGGGGTGTTGTGCCTGTCTTTCTTCGAATGCAGGATACCAATCGCTGTCTGGGTGCCAGACATAAAAGAAGTGGTGTTGATCATCTTTTGTACCGTTGACGGTAGACATCTCGTTCTGAACGAAGCGATGTATGTAGCCTCCAAAGCCGCCTTGATTCCAACCTTGAACCCTGGCAACATTTGAGATTTCGAGTTCGGATCGTATGGCATCGAGGCTTGCACCGACTCTCTTGATAGCACTCGAGAGGTCTAATAGTACCAAAGGTATTGAACCAAGAGCGGCTGCCTCGAAGTAGGTCAAAAATGTCGGAGCTGCGTTGAAAGCATTTGGGACAACCCGAATCTCTCTCGACTGGATGCTGGAGAGTAACTTCGGCAGAGCGTCGCGTATGTCCTGCAGCGTAAGCTCCTGTTGTCTCGCAGCTTTCCCTTCTCCTCTCTGGTTCCAAAACTGCAGCAGCGTGAGAGCTACTGGGCCCCCTTCTTTGAGAAGTTTGTAAACCTTATCCGCAGGAAGAGTTCTGATTATACGAATGGCGGTAGCGAGACTCATTTCAGCACCTCTCCAAGCCAGGCAATGAGTTGTTTCTTCGTCCACCAGCAACAAAACGAGAGAATGTTTCCAGTCAAGACGAGCGACGTAGAATAATAAAGTCTGGATAGATGTGAAAGAAGCAGGATCCCCGAGCGTCATCAGGAAAAACGAGGGGTTATCGAAGCGCCAGCCTGATGCGCTGCCGTCAGAGACGCACATATCGCCGACCAATTAGACACTTCGCATTTCGCGCGCGCATACGAAAAGCATTGTTTCTATTCGGCGACATTACAGTAGATGGTGGCTATGTTAACCAACAACAATTATTAGCCAGTGCGGCCTACTCATCATTTTGCCTGGGGCTAGGTCGAAGAAAAAGTAGGGGGCAGAGTCATAAAGATTTCAGTTAGTAAGATAGACAAGACTGGTATATATTGATATGATATGAGAAAGTGAGTAATTTACTTGCACATTCATTCATTTCGGTCATGTTATATTTCCACATACACTCAAAGTCGCGGTAGCTCACCCTGTGTCGTTTTTCGCATATGCCATTTTGGGAGCAAGTTCACGAAGGATTCGTAGACCTTGCAGAATCTCCACTCTCTTTTGCGGAAGCGGAAACCATGTTCACGAAAGACTAAAATATAGATGTTAATAGATAGACCGTAACAACTACAAAATCGACATCTACCAACTGCTCCAAGATAGAACAAGCATAAGGGCGATTCTTAAATGGAAATTCCAAATGCTAGTTTGCTAGCTAAAGAAGAGGACCATCAGCTTGAGGCGTAAGGCATTCGGTGAGATGACATGGAGGTGCAGAATGAAAGTGCCGGGACTAACATCGAGCACAGATTTTCCCTCTTTCCTAAACGCCCTAAGTTCAGGTGGCCTTGACTTCGAATTACCAGTAAGGATGAGAAATAATGAGCTTGAAAGGCTGATCTTAATAATAAAAAAAGGTAGCACCAACAAAAACATACAACAGCGGGGATTCGCTGGTCGTCACCGACCCAACTACTAATCCGCCCCTTACCAGCTTATCTATGGGAGAGCGGACGGGATCCCGAGTTTTCTGATAGGTATGGTCGTATGTGCTTGGGTTCGATGTAAAGTGATTTTATGTAGGTGTAATGTGGTAAGGCATATATCTATAGAGTGGCAACCTTTGGACTATATGACCCTGTCGATAGGCGTCTCACACTTCAGGCTTCTTAGCAATTATCCATAGAAAGCTTTCTTCCGCATCTCCCTCCACCACTGCATGTTCAATACTCAATCCAGCGTCATTGGCCAATGTCTTGATCACCTCGTCCCGCCCAAGACCACTCCAGAACATCCACCCGTTCTCATCAATCCACTTCTCCTCAACAAGAACAGACGCTTCATCAACAACGAATGTCGACAGGAATACACCCCCGGGTACTAGCCAACTGCCAATCCGCTTCATCATCTCTTTCTGTTCCTCTTGTGGCAGATGAATGATGCTGTACAAAGCTACGGCTGCTGTGAGAGATCCGGGCGCAAAGTGAAGCTTCATCATGTCTCCCGGATGAAAATCGACACGCCCTTCGTATGTAGCCAAGTTTTTGCGTGCAGTATCGAGTTGAACGTCTGACAGATCGTTGGCGTGTACGTGCACAGACGAGCTTCTGGAGAGTAAGGTTGTGAGAAAAGGGCTTCCGGAACCACATCCCAGCTCAAGCACACCCTTCTTTGAGCTATCATTAGATGATGCTAGTTCTGGGCAATGTTCAAGTAGCTTGTCGAGATAGGATTGACGAAGATTATGATGGCGCTCCGTCCAGGTGTTGTATTTGGGTGCTATAGCATTGTAGGATGCACGAAGACGTTGTTTTATGTCAACCGGGACTTCCATTTTGAATTGCGGAATGGAATTTGAACACAGTCTGCTTAATTGGATTCTTGGATACTTGGATGCAGCGATGCAGCGATCATTCAAAAGGAAAAGGCTACCAGTGTAAAACGAACTCCGCCTTGAAGTGGTGGAGTTGATGAAATGAGTCACTCGGGGAATAGTTCGCGCACTTGATGTAGCGTCATTAGTTGCTCCGGGCTAACATCGGTCCTTGCATAGTCCCGTTTCTACAGCCGAAAGAAGGGAACAATCAACGAAATTACTCAAGAATAGAGTAAGGTTTGAGAATGCGGTCCAGACGTAAGATCAACTTCAACGTTACATAGATGCGCGTATTCTACCGCCGACGTTGGGCGCAGTCTTGTCTCTAGGCAAAAATGGTGTGTAAAATGCACTATGATAAACTTTAAAGTGCTGATAGTCTGAGATTTCACTGATGGCCTTGCTGGGCAGAAACATAACTTACGTCCTGCCTCGGGACATTCTTGCTCACGGCACGGCTATGCGTCACTGCAAGGCACAACCACATGACTCTTGCATGAATTTTCGCTCGTCCCTTCATGTGTTCACGGGACTTTTGAACGCAGATCTTTTGCCCCCAATGCCTATGTATCCATTCATCCAAATCCCTGTCTTCCCCGCGTCGCTTCTGCGGCTCAGTAATGCAGGCCATGCGGATAAATTATCCCATCCACACATACCATGAGCTGTTTTACCCGGGCTAAATCAAGCCGAAGCATTCGGGATTGATTGAACCGAGTGATTTTGTTGTCATTAAAGACCCGGAACTTGGCCCGCAAGTGTTCCATCTCGGCCCCTTCGTTACTGCAAACATAGTCGCGGAAATCATGTTGGGCTTTACTTTCAAGACGTTGACTTTGGCAGCCGGATTGATAGGTCATACTTTGGCTGACTTGACTACCTCGGAGAACTCAACCCATATTTCTCTCTCCAACAAGCGATTTGCGGTTGTTCTAGCCAAATCCAGCGGACACATCATCGACGTCACACTTGACGGTCAAGATCTCCTTGGTCCAGTAAGCGGAAGCACCGGCAAAGGCCCCTATGTGGACTGTTCGTGTATACCAAGTGGTTTCTGGACACCAGGCAACACCGCCAAACTTGAACTTGTCAAGGGCACAGACTCGACTGGAACCAAGTATGGAGGAATCATCATGAGCGATACATACAAGGCTACCAACCAGACTCTCTCGCAATACTTTTTCCTCCACGGTGAAGAGACGGGACTGCATGCTTTCACTCGCCTTACTTATTTCAACCCATCTACGCCCTTTCTGCGAGATCTCGGCGAGTTGCGCACGTTGTTTAGACCAAACACCAAACTATGGACACACTTCTCAACGAGTGAGGGAAACTACGGTCCTCTACCGGACGCTTCGGGGGCTCTTACAGTCCAGGATGCGACTTGGTACGTCGGGAACAAGACCGATGACCCATACGTCAAGCAGTATTCCGACTACTGGACCAAATACAGTCTTTCGGAGAGCTGGCGCAACCACGATGTCCATGGGGAGTTTAGCGATGGGTCTACTAGCGATGACGGGAGCACCTTTGGCGCGTGGTTGGTTCACAATACTCGCGAGACATACTACGGCGGTCCTTTGCATTCGGATCTAGTTGTCGATGGTATTGTCTACAACTACATGGTTTCAGGTCACCACGGTGCCCCTATGCCCAACATCACCCACGGTTTCGACAGGACATGGGGTCCCCAGTTCTACTACTTCAACAAAGGCGACAAAGACACCACGCTCGCGGAGCTGAGAGCCGATGCAGCCAAATACGCTGATCCCCAATGGAATGTCAAGTTCTACGACAGCATTGCCCCCCACGTCCCCAACTTTGCCCCTTCGTCGAAGCGAAGTACATACAGCGGCAAGGTCAATCTTCCAAAGAACGCCAAGAAGCCGATTATTGTACTCTCCGAGAACAAGCAAGACTTCCAGCTCAACGTCTTCGATACGAAGTCGCTTCAGTACTGGGCCGAGATCGATAGGTCTGGAAGTTTCAGTATTCCGCAGGTCGTTGACGGAACCTATAGAGTAACCATCTACGCTGATGGAGTTTTCGGCTGGCTGATCAAAGACGACATCCGGGTCTCAAAGTCACACAATAAGGGTACTTTCACTTGGAGAGAAGAAACGGCTGGCAAGGAGCTATGGCGCATCGGTACGCCGGATAAGTCCTCCGGCGAGTATCTCCATGGATACGCACCCGACACCTCGAAACCTCTCCAGCCTGAGCAGTATCGAATTTACTGGGGAAAATATGACTTTGAGGAAGATTTCCCCAAAGGTGTCAACTTCCACGTTGGAAAGGACAGTGAAGCCGAGGATCTTAACTACGTACATTGGTCATTCTTCGCTGCCAAGGGAAACCATCTACGATCTGAGAATTACTACGACAACGTAAACAACTGGACCGTCACGTTTGACCTGTCAAAGAACCAGCTCAAGGACGTCAAAACGGCTACTTTTACAATCCAACTAGCAGGTGTGCGAACAGGCAACGGCAACGCAAAGTGGACGCCTGTCAAAGATCGTTTCAACAGTAACTTGCCCTGGACCGTCAACGTAAACGGAGGCTATGAGGATACATGGGTGATACCCTACTGGCGGAGTGGTTCGTGTGCTGTTCGAAGCGCGGTTGCGTGCCAGAATATTGAGCACAAGTTTACGTTTCCTGCTTCGAAGCTGCAGCAGGGCAAGAATGAGTTTGTGCTGAGTTTGCCTTTTAATGCTTCTAGTGTTGAAACGGCTTTGTTGCCTGATACCTTGTATGTTCAGTATGATGCGTTGAGACTGGAGGTCAAGTAGATCAGCGGTTTTGGCTTGAATCTAGATGGCGATATGATGAGACAGGGTCTCGTTGCACAGCAATCCGGTCCTAGGTGGCGAGTGGAGGGATTATTGCACAGGCCTAATGATCAATCTCATCTGAGGTTCAAGCTTATGTCCTCAACACAAATGCTACCTCATCGTCGTGAAGTCGTTCTCTAAAGGGAGGATATTCATTGATAAGCTCATTAATGATAGCATCTATTTCTAGTAAAGTTCAAACCCGCTCCCAATGCCCAGATACAAATGGAAAGGGTATTACAATTAATCATGACCAAAATTTTAGTTTCCCAACCCAGCCAGTAGACTGGCTCCCAGAACTCCCGGAATCATTACCAGAATTGCCGAATGACACCCTCCGTGGTTTAACGTAATAAAGATCGGTTTCTCTTACAGAATAATCCACGTTTGGATTTGTCGGTAATACCATCTCCCAAGGTGACGTCGGTGCTTGTCCTATATCACCACTACTGTCGCTTTGACTTGAGCCCTCGGACCTTCTCTCGTTGGGATTCTCGTAAACAGTCGGTGGAGGCCTTGCTCGCTCGAATGATGGGAACTTGTAGCTTCTTTCTGAAAGGCTCGATGCACATCTCTCTGGTCTTGTTGTTTCGAAAGAGGAGAATTGTCGATTGCTTCCCGATAGACTTGACCCTGATCTTTCGGGTCTCGGCGAGCGAAAGTATGTGCGTAAGGGTTCGGGAGACACAGGCCCTGAGTCACGAGATGATTGGTTTGATGAGTCGCTGGATGAGTTGGCTGAGTTTGCTGAACTTGACAGGCTGCTCATTCTATCGTGGTTGAGAATGCTTCGCCCAGAAAGGTCTGTCCTTGTCGTGGGACGTCTAGCAAGTTGACGAAGTCCAAAAACCTGTTACGATATTAGTATCTATCCTTGTCAATACGGGTGATGTTACCATACCTGAGGCTGATCCTGTAAGGACTCTCGCGACGGTCGCTCTGGCGTGGTTCTCCATTCGTGAAAGCAAGTTACAGCGAGGCGCCAAACCTCGCCAACAGAAGGAACAAAGAACATGCCTATCAAAAACAAGGCGTTGAAAACTAGAAAGACGTATCCAAGTGCACTCGCTGCTGTATGGCTCCACAAGGACGGGATCATACCCATGCAGAGTAAAAGAGCACAAAGTCGTGCACCCGACATAAAGACAGGTTTGATAAGTAGCCCAGGCGCCGTTCTAGCATACGCCAGGAAGCACAGCTGAATCACTTCGCATGACATCAGAGAGAACAACTGTGGTGTTCCGAAACGTTGCAGTCCTCCGATTATTACTCCACGGGCGAGAATAAGGATAAACGTGACAAGAGTGTAGTAATCTTGAGTTCGAGAAGGCTCGTCCTCGGAGTCTTGCTTGTGCAGGTCATCAATAAGAAGATATCCCATGTTTTGAGGGCTCCGTGACGATATTCCCCACCAGCTGGCGATTATAAGCAGGGCCACGACCGCAACTACTAACAGCGAGTAGTATACTGGTCGTGCACTGGCGCTGTCAAGTTGATACGTTGTCCAAGCGGTCAGCGGGAGCAAAAGGTAGCTGAGGAATACCCGTAGAGCAATCCAAATTGTCGCCTTATGCCGTTGTTTGGTGGTACTCTCAAGCATCCAGCTCCCTGAGTGCTTGAACCAATCTCGCGTCCATCTTAGACGAATTCCGACTTGGAGCACCGCGAAGAGAATAGCGAGGATAGCCAATGCCAAACTGGCGATGTTGGTCCAGGTTTGCACTGTCACTGGAGCACCCATCACCTGCGTCATATGCTCAAGACCTGATGTTCCACCAAAAGTACCATTGATTTCGTGAATTCCGTCGTTGATACCATAATACACAGACTTCCTCCAAATTATGCCTCGTCTTGACATGAGAGTAGACCAGCTGAGGGAGCTCACAACTGGTTGCAAGAATCCAGGTTGCTTAAGACTTAGTGCGCTGGCGAAGAAGATGAATTGAATGTATGCGAGACAATCGGCTATTCGCGTTAGATGAGACCTGTCCCTTCTTGTCTCCGGGCCGCTCTCTTCATCGGCTCTCAATTGATGCACGATATCATACCACTCACGCCATCCGGCAACAAGAAGTACCAGCGCGAAAGTAATGACTGGTCCCCAGAAGGAAATTCGCTGATATGTGGTACCAATATCGGGAGTCAGGAAGCCGTTTATACACCCAACCGAGAAATGATCAGGGGCGTCGATGTTGACCTCCATGTCGTAAGCCGCCAGCGGCGAAGGGTTGTCGATATTAAATAGGACGTATAGGGATTGTGAAAATATCTTTTTGTTGATTTGCTTAAACTCCAGAGTCCTGCATGTCGCATTCTGGATTTCCCCATTGTAGCGACTCGTTCCGCCCAGCGCCGCCAGGCTCAACTCAACAGAAGCATTCTCCAGTAACGATCTTTGGCAGGCCGCCAATGTCAGAAACTCGGCATTTAACCTAAGTGTCAGATCTGTCTCTGTATGTCCCCTGTCGAGAAACGCTCCTAAGCTCGTTGTCTCGAAATGGTAACTCGACGATGACGCGACAGCACAACTCCTGAATTGAACATGCGCCCCCAAAGTAAAGCGCGCGAAGATTAATGACAGAGCAAGGATGATATTATGTAATGAGAGCATCTGCACCAGACATTGAATACGATAGGAAAGATATTATAATTGATGGCGCGGAACAACAAAGGAATGACGTTGGATTTGGGTTAGATGTTGTCTCGGCTGCTTTGGGAATGGAAAGGGAAAAAGGATAGAAAATTGGTATTGATGCCTCAGGCGGTAAAGTGCGCTTTGATCCAAAGGCAAAAGTCTCGGACCGACCTTAGGCTTTTGTTAGCGTTTGAGTGAAACATGCAGAGAAACATGATCCATGACTCAAGTGCCGAGGCTGTGTAGATTGATGATGGAAGAATGAACTGAACTCAATTGGATGACGTTGGCTATATATTGAGCTACGACATGACGATCTAAAATTTTCAAGGGCTTGCTGCCGTTATTTCTTTTGTCTTTTTAATGAATTGCTAACCAAAAAGCAGAGACAAATTCTCTCTAGAACAAGTCAACGTACGTGTACCTGCATAAATGAATCTGGGGTCGTGCCCCTCGTGCAACGCACCTCGGACATCTCCGTGTGGCAAATTTCTGATTGGCCAGAGAGTTGCCGGATTATGTATGATCCTACACATCAAACGCCAAGCCCCTTTTGTCTTCTTCATGAACCATGTTGATAATATTGCAGAGGATGGAATACACCTCATCGCCAAAGGCAACGACAAGATGAGAATTCCGCAATAATGTTCAACTGAAGTGCATGAGGGAAGATAATTAATTGGCGGTGCTCTCGAAACTCAACGTTCGAGATCTTCATTCATTAGTCCCAAATAGGTTACCCTAGAACATAATATTGTTCTTCCCCAATAGCCAATCTTGTCACTAGAAAGGCTCTGTAAGAATCTGACTGCTACCTCAGATATTCTTCACGGGCGGAATTATCATAGATAGCAGTGACCAGAAAAGTGCGACACCCATACACAGTGGCTGCGGCTACATCGACGTGATCAGTGGGTAAATAGTTTCGTGGGGAATGCATTTCTCTGTCACTTCGCGCCCTAAATTGAAAGCGATGCCTTTGTTCTTCCAGACTAATCTCAACTCCGATACAATGCACGAACGCCTAAAAGCAAACCAGGCATTGTGTCGACAAACACAATACCCCAGAATCGAAAGTGGCTGACCACAAACGACAAACACTAGCCCTACCCTGAAAGGCCAAACTAAAATAAATACCCACTTCCCGGAGCCACACGACCACCGCGCACCGATCGCCTCTCCCTTCAAGTTTCCACCGCCTCGCCACATCGTGACTCCAACTTGTCAACTCCACCATGTCTTCCTCGTGCTTCTCCTCCGTGCCCCGGCAACCAACAGACGAGATCTTCGATCTCCTCGCCGCCTACAGAGCTGATTCCAGCCCGGACCGCGTCAACCTCGGCGTCGGCGTCTACTGCACCGATGAGGGCAAGTCTTGGCCGCTGGATGTCGTAACCCGCGTTGAGAAGGACCTTTTCGAGGAGGCCAGTCTGACGAGGCATGATTATCTCCCCATTGAGGGCGACCAGCAGTTTCTCAAGGTTGCGCGAGATCTTATTTTTGCGCAGCAGGATGAATTGAGTATTGCTTCGGTGCAGACTGTCTCCGGGACCGGAGCGAACCATATTGGAGCTCGCTTCGTCGCCGACTACCTCCGTCCCCAGAACATCTGGGTGTCGGACCCAACATGGGCTAACCACCATATGATCTGGGAGTCTGTAGGACTGAAGCCTAGACTTTACCCTTACTACAAAAAGTCAGACTGCTCCCTGGATTTTGAGGGTATGATCAAGACCCTTGAGGAACAAGCTCAACCCCGCGACGCCGTCCTGCTCCACGCATGTGCGCACAACCCTACCGGTCTGGACCCTACCAAGGAACAATGGAAGGCCATCGCAGAGCTCTGCCAGCGCAAGCAGCTATTCCCCTTCTTCGACGCCGCCTACCAAGGATTCGCCTCCGGAGACCCAGCGGAAGATGCCTGGGCGATCCGCTACTTCTACCAACAGCAGCCCCGTCCTGATATGATCGTCGCGCAGTCCTTCTCCAAGAACTTCGGCCTGTACGGACACAGAACGGGAGCTGTGCATCTCGTTCTTGCAGAGCCTTCCAAGGAAGTGAGAGACAGCACTTACTCGACACTATCCTACCTGCTGCGATCAGAGATCTCCATGGCGCCCAAGTATGGCTCTACCATCGTGAAAACTGTGCTGGATAGCGAGGAGTTGACGGCGGCTTGGATGGCGGATCTGCAAGTTATGAGTAGTCGTATCAAGGACATGCGACAGGCTCTCTACGAAGAGTTGGTTCGATTGGAAACCCCTGGTACATGGAATCACATCGTTGATCAGGTAAGTTTCAAGGGATGCTTTTCAGTAAAAGGTCCAGAACTAACATATTCAAAGATCGGCATGTTCTCATACACTGGCTTGTCTACCTTCGAAGTCAAGGTCCTTAGAGAGCGTTTCCACATCTACCTCCTCAACTCGGGACGTATTTCCATCTCTGGATGTAAGCCACCTTGCGCCCTAGTTTGCTCATTTCATGATACTGATTTTACTATAGTAAACAAGAGGAATGTGCAGTACGTCGCAAAGGCTATTCACGATGTTCGCACAGATGGACATGGGCTCAACGGCACCAACGGTACGAATGGTGTAAACGGCACAAATGGTGTGAACGGACACTAGATCGGATCTTTGCATCACTTATAGATCACCAAAGAGCTGTGTACCCTCCCGGGTGAATAGAAAAAAGTATTTTCCAAGAAGAGACAGTTTGTTACATTGCTAGGCGATATATGATCAGTGAGCTACCATCTAGCAGAGGGTACGACCTGGTCGAATGTATTTACAAAGCACATAGGACTATTTCCATTCACTCATGATTCATTTCATGGTGATCCTCAAGGCAACAGTCAGAAACGGGCCAAGTCCGATGTCGGCCCGATCTCGGCCACAAAAGTGTTTTCATGCGCACAAAAGCAACTTGTGTTACTCCAACCTCATTATCATCAGTCACTGGTTCGGTCATGGATATTCTACTCTCATGAGGTCAGATGGTGTTTAGAAGGTGGACCACAGTAATGGTAACTGCCGTTCATTTGAGCACTCAGGTTCTTTACTAGAACCAGAAGTATACCAGAGCTCTCTTCTCTTCAGTAAATCTCTTGCAACAGTCCTGTCGCATACTAAACGGCATAATCTGGAAACTTTGACTATTCATATCGATACGTAGTCAAGATATTGATCCGTACGGAGTACGTATACAAGAGGGATCGCCTCAAATCACCTTGCTCAAAGGTCAAACATTTGGTGAATACAGCCGGATTGCGAGTCGTAGGTCAATCGCAGCTTAATTTCCCATATTTATTAGAAGATCAAGACTATCCGCTGAAAACGTTTACCATTGCGAAAACAAAAGTGCTAAAGAGTTATGACGTCGTTGCAAATAAAACGTCCCACCACCAGGCGAGCCCCGTTGTTTGTCCCCAAAGAACGAATACGAACACGTTACTGTTCATCGTCCCATCACCAATTTCTTCTAAACTGCTGATAATCTTATCAATCAATCTTCCAATCTTCCTCAGCCTAGCAAGATGTCTCGGGTCCCCTCAACAGCGCATGAAGTCGGTGAATAGGGCGGAACGATTCTCCGCTCCGGCTCGTCTACCCCACCAACGTACGATTGTTGAGGCCACTTATCACCCCCTTCGCGTCCAACGCAAGACAGGATATTCAACTCAAACATCTTCTTTCGAAAATGGCCAATCTAGGCATCTACGCAGCGGTGACGACTCTGGTCGTCTTTATCCTAACTTATGGCGTCCCTTTGTTCCTGAGGGAATACTTCCCTTGGCAGAGTCTCTACAAGCAGCGCCACGGAAGACCTACCGTCACCACAAAGTCGTACAAGGGGCGAACTGTGCTCATCACGGGCGCCAATGGAGCTTTTGGTTCGAGGGCCGCCAAGATATTTGCTCATCGCGATGTTGAGACGCTTGTTCTTGTTGATGTGAGGGACTGTGGCGAGGTGAAGCAGCAGATCGCCAAGGAGCTGGGCGACTTGGGCAAGCCGGTGCCCAATGTCCTGATCTGGCAGGCGGATCTCATGACATTCGCTGGATGTCAGGAGCTCGGAAGAAAGGCGAAGGATTTGAAGTATCTTGATCATGTCTTGATGACTGCTGGGATTCTCTCTTTCAACCGCAAAGAATCGCCCGAAGGCTGGGAGACTTGTGAGTATCGAACAGTTGACACTGAGAAGAAGAAGCTAACATATCTCCAGCTATGCAAGTGAACTTCTTTTCTGGGGCACTCCTCTCACTCCTCTTCCTCCCACTGCTCAAGTCCTCTCCTTCCAACCCCTCACCACCGGTCTTAACATTCGTCACAACATTCGGCATCTACCCTTCATCTTTCACCATGTCCATACCCAAGAACGGCTCTTACCTGAAGAAGCTCAGCAACAACAAAGACGGCATGGAGCAAGCGCATCAGTACGGCCGATCAAAGGCCCTTCTCTTGTACTTTGCCCGCGAACTCGCCGCCCGGGTAACTGCCACTACAGCTCTGGAGAAGCTTCCGCGAAAAGTGACAATCAACAGCGCCGATCCTGGCTCTGCGTGGACACCCCTCACGAACCCGAACCAGGACCAGCTTATTCCCCGGTTGATTATGAACTTTGGAGCTCGGGAGCCTGAGATTTGTGCGACTGCTCTTGTCAATGGTGTTTCGGTCGGGGAGGATGCGCATGGCAAGATTATGCAAGATTTTGATACTGCTTCGTAAGTGCATTCATGCCTATCGGAACTTCGTGACACTAATTCAGTGATAGGTACCCGCCTTTCATGGAGAGGAAGAGTGGTCGTGCAGCCCAGCAGCGTGTTTGGGAGGAGACGAGACAGGAACTTGAGTCCAAAGCGCCGGAAGTGAAGGCTATATATGACATGCTGGATCAACAGTGATTCCTACATTGTCCATGTCTGGCCTAATTGATGTCGCGACAGGATCTCTGGGACACTTGACAGCATCGGGTAGAAGCCAGGCAAGGCATGGCTCGTGAGTTCGAGGAAACCGACAGTGACTGTTTGACATCATGAGTCTGTCATAGTCGAACGGAGACGCATCAATTGTCATGACTGCCACCGAAACGCGTCATATATACAGGCTACAGCTGAAAGCATGTCATAGCTAGAAGTGAAGGACATCAACATCATTGACTCCACGTACACCCATCTTGACAATAAACATAGTAGATTGCTAGCTAGTTGGAGGCATCAAGAGAATGGCGGGTGTTAATGCATCTTCTGCAGCTCATGTTTATGCCATTGCCAACCGACACAGACCAGAGTCATGACCGCACGTAATAAGCACGTCAGCCTTATCTGGACTACGGATTTCTCCAGGTTAGGCTAATGATGCAGCCGTTCAGTAGTACGTTTAAACAGCCCACACTTCACAATATTCCCCCCACGACCAATTTGGTGGCGACGAATTCCTGCAGAAAGACTGCGCCAATATAATTGCTCAGCAACAAATGCAATTCACCAACAGGACGATGTCAACTGATGGCTTGAAAGTGCAGTTCCTGCCCCTGTGGGTTATGTGACATCAGCTCAATCTGTGCAGCTGTTTTCAGGGTAGGTTGTTCCACAGCCTCGTTTTTCTAGGCACTATCTCCAGGGATCTAGTCTAGCCGACGTCTGCAGCAGGATCCGAGACATAAAACCCTCAACCACCAGTCCACCACGCGACAGATGCATTGGAATATTTAACGACAGAACCCCCAAGATAAGGCAGGCATTCAATCACAAAACTGAGGCGGATAGACCTACTACGTATGTGGTGTGGCATCCTTGTTGCTGTAATTTTCACAAACAAGGCAGCTTGCAAAACAAGTGACATTCATCCACAGGGGCAGAGAGGATAAGCGCCCCAAGCGACATTTCCCTGGGCCCGTCTAAGGCATTGATCCATAATTTATTAAACCAATACAGTGCCAGTGCCTGCAACACTTTGTCACGGGAGGGAGCTCTTCCGCTCTGTGCCACGGCGTGACATATTGTGTGCCGTGCCGTGCCGTATGCCGAATAAAACGGGCTCCATCTCGTAAACAAGCGCAAACGCGCAAACATGGTGCGGTGCCCGCGGAATACGGCAAATATTCTGTCGTCTTGGATTGGGCTGAGCGTAAATGTCAGAGAAATGTTAAGCTTTCAAGGGACCATGGTGGGAAAGCTTAACCTGCCCAAGTGGCGAGTCAGAGAGGCCTGTCACTCCCAGATCCTAGAGTCCTAGACCGAGACAAGTCAACAGGCCCGGTTAAAGGGCTCCACCCCATTTTTCAACTCAGGGGCTTCACCCACAAGTCTAGATCCCTCCAAGCCCTGTTAGGAGGAGAGCGCCGAAAAGCCTGGCACTGCAGCTCGCCTGTTAGAGCCGGGGCCGGTGATAGGCTAAGCCGTAACGGGGCAACCAGCTCGAGATTGCGCCTCCACAAAAGACAGGGTTTGTCGGTCGATATACGGTAAACGAAAATGGATCTTTTGACCAGGTCTAACAGAGGCGCAGCCAGTCAACGTCCCTACTCCGTACGGCTTTACGGCTACGGCTACGGCTTGACGAGCTGGCCAACAAGCCCTCTTTCTGTCTTTTCTCTCTCTCTTGTCTCTCTCAGTCACTTCTTCACCCCGGTCCTCACTAATCTCCAGCGACTACCAACAACAACAGCCCCTCCTACCATGATCCCTCCGCGCCCCCCCTTCTCGAAACATGTTGGGCCTTTCCTACTCTCGCTCGCCTTCCAGCCTGGGCTAGAATGGATCCAACCCTCCTGACCATGCGAACCCAGGTCTAGATCGTCGATGATAATATCCCGTAGCCGTTAGTCCGTCCCCCGGCAGGACCCTTGAGAGGGGGAGGGGGAGGGAGTAATATTTGCGGCGCGGCTTTAAAGTGAGCGCTATTTATCGCGTGCTCAGGGTTGCCATCCTTCTAGCTCTCTCTTTTGCTTCCTGCTCTCTGTTTTCTGTTTTCTGTTTCTTATTTCCCGTGTGATCAGTTTTCCTCAGCTTGAAAAAACTCAAATACAACCATGGGCAATCAATAGACAGATCTAAGTGTAACAGGGAGACATTGTTAGGGCCGATCAACGCCCCGTCGCGTAGTATCACCTGCATTACCACCCTCCTTTTCCCCAACGCAGGCGGTTGCTTCCCACGACTCTAACCACAGAAACCACATCTGCCCCGTTCAAGATGGTTTCCTTCAGGAAGATGGGCTCTCTCATCTGCTCACGACTCGCCAACCGGAAATTCGCCTTTGCTCTCGTCACATTAGCTGTCTGCGCTGCCAAGGGAGTGCACCTTCACAACCACAGATCTTCGGTGGCTCCCAAGCGCATGATCCTCTTCTTCTTTTCATTCTTCACACAGGACATCCTTCTCCTGCTCTTTATCAGACTCCTTCTCAGCCACTGGGTGCCTAGCTTTCCCGGCAAACTTCGCAACCTGGTCTACGTTATCTCTTCTTACTTAATAACATATAATGTCTCACTTGGCATCGTGTCAGTATCTTTCTACCTAGTCGCAGGCTCCGAGATTCACTGGCGGAACATTGGTTTCATCTCCGACCCATCGGCCAGAGCAGTCCTCTTCTCAGGCTTCACAGCTTTTCTAGGCGTGTTGTGCCTCTGTCTTTGCCTTAGCGGGGTGCTTCAGACTGCGTGCTATGGATTGTTTGGCTGGGGAGCGGATATCGTCAACTGGCCCATCGCGTTTGTTTGGCGCAAACTTTGCTGTTGCACGAGTCGCAGAAACAGCTACCACCAGCTTTCACAAGGAAACACGAAATACGATCTGCCACAATGGAGCGACAATAGTGACACCGGGTCAAGTCACGACGAGAACTCGGATGATGAGTACAAGGAGAAATCCAGATCGCCTAATGCATCGCCACGACGTTCATCACGAGGCCTCACCGCAGGCGGTTCTTCGACATGGAAATCAAGATGTGGCCGCGTTCTACGCGTGTTGCCTTACACCATCGTCAGCATCCTTTTGACAGCTCTTTTCACCTTGACATTTATGAGACCCAAAGACCCGTCACTCATCTTCCTCTCCTGGACCAGTGGACTTCTGCCATTTGTGGACTTTGCTTCGACATCACCATTCCTGGATGATCTTCCCTCGGTTTTCGGAAACGGCATCCAGCGCAGCTGGGATGAGCGCACTGCCCTTGTTCGTCCCAAGCCTCTGAGCTGGCTTCCCAAGGACCCGACCTATGTGAACGGCTTTTGGGATTGGTACGCCAATGAGCCTCATTATAGCTCTGCATCCGATCCTATGAAGATTTCGAACTTGGACGAGCCCCTGCGAGAGTCTCTGCGAGGGCAACTGCAGGACATCAAGATTCGACACGTTGTCATCTTGTTTCTGGAGAGCACCAGGAATGATGTTTTCCCCATCAAGAAAGAGGGCCTGATTTGGAACCGATTTGCCGACACCTTTCCCGGCAAGAAACTACCCAAGGAGGTTCAAAATAAACTAGCCAGCTTGACACCAACAGCGAATTTTCTCACTGGCGATTATGAGGACGGATTCGAGCACGCAAACCAGACGAAGCGTGGCGGAATTCACTTTACCAACGCACATACCGCCGGAACATACACTTTGAAGAGCATGACCGGCACAGTTTGCGGTGTGGCCCCTCTGGTCGGCGACTTCAACCTCGAGCACAGCCACCACATTTATCAGCCTTGTCTACCCCATATCCTGGAGGCCATGAACAAGGCGGAAAACACAGAGACCAAGGAAGACAAGTGGAACTCGTACTTTTACCAAGCAGCAACAACCGATTACGATAATCAGCACAACTTGATGGCAGCCATGGGCTATCCTAGAGAACACACAATCGGACGGGAGTATCTCCGTAGCCCAGCTGCTAGACATGGAGCTGTCACTTTACCCGACATCAACGAATTCGCCTTCCAGGAGGATCCTTTGGAGGACTATATCAACGACGTCTTTGACACCGCTGCCAAGGAAAAGAGCCGCGTCTTTCTTACCCATCTTACAAGTACCAGCCACCACCGATTCCACATGCCCAAGACGGAGGAGTATACACCTTTGGCGAAGGGCCTCGATATGATGTCTCGCTATATTAACACCATTGGATACGACGACAAATGGATCCGAAAGATTCTCGACGTTCTGGATGAGCAGGGCATCGCCAACGAGACGTTGGTGATTCTGCAGGGCGACCACGGCACTTCTTTACCCGAAAACGACTACGCTTCGCCATACTACAACCCCAATATCGGCGTCGATCACGTCCCCCTGATTCTCTCACACCCCCAACTGCCACCATTTAACGTGGACGACGCCGTCCACTCGACACAAGTCCTCCCCACCATTCTCGACATTCTCCTGGAAACAGGCTCTCTCAGCGAAACAAGCCGCAAGGCAGCTTCCGACCTGATCCGCAACTACGAAGGCCAATCCCTCCTGCGGCCTTTGATCACCGCCAACAAGACCTCCGGACAAGGACAGTGGCAGTTCACAGTTACGAACCCCGGCCGAGCTATGCTCACAGTTCGCGACGCGCGGTATCCCGACCGCCATCTCGTGGTGCCCGTGATCGAGAACGTGGATTGGAGATTAACGGATCTGAGCGTCGATCCGCACGAGCACGATTCTGTGCAGGCTTTGGATTTTGAGTCTTTTATACATAGCGTGGAAGAAAAATACGGCCGCGAAATGGCGGAGTGGGCTGAGGAGGGTGCTTTTGTTACGAGATGGTTTGTTAAAGAGAATAGCAGGCGTTGGCGGTTCGATCACCAGGGGTGATTTTATGAAATCATGCATGACCAGATACATTGTTTAATATTATTCGTTCATTTTTTTTCACGAGCTTTTGCTTAAGTATGTGGGAATTTTCTGTGAAGTAATTTGCCTCATTGCTAGCTGATCCTGATCCTAGCTGTCTGCGAGATACGCTTCTGTTGAAACAGGACCAGGCAGTCTACCATTCTAGATTCAAACCTTCAATCTAACTATCATCTTGCGGGTACTTAAAACCAGCCGCAACTCTAATCTCGTCCATCAACTCCATCATCCGAAGCGTCTCTTCCAGAGGGATAATTCCATTCTCAGTCCGACCTTTGGCAATGTCCTCCGCCACAGCATCCGCCTCCCAGTAGAAACCCAAAGTCCCCTCAGGTCTCTTAACGTTGAACACACGCTCTTGTCTAGTATCAGCCTCAGGAGAGCTTGGTCGTGGCCCCTCAGTGACGCGGAATCCATCAGGTACACTGACCCCAGGACCAAACAGAATAATGCTGCCGTTGGAGCCCTCGATGCGTCCGAAGTCGTTAGGGCCCTTGTACCGGAAGCTTGATGTGCATACTCCTGTCTTGGTTGCTCCTGTGGCGGAGGGATATTCGAGAACAACCACATTGGCCTCATCGATGCCGTTAACGATGTCTAGAGATGACAGAACCTTCTTCGGCTTGGGGTGTTCCTTGCCCACTTTCCATTCACCAAGGATAATCGAAGCAAAGGTCAAAGTGTAAAAGCCAATGTCGAGTAAAGCGCCAGCGCCAAGAGCAGGATCTCTCAGGCGATGATTTTCAGGAAGTGTATCGAGAGGGAAGTAGTTTCCAAAATCGACGGAAAAACGCTGAACTTCGCCAATGGACTTTTTTACAACGATCTCCTCATGCAAGGCTTTGAACAACGGCGAGAACCGCACCCAGGCCGCTGACGAGATTTAGCACAGTATTGAGTATTTCAACGGGAGAACATACCTTCCATAACAAAGACACCCTTTTCCCTTGCCGCATCTACAATCTCACGAGTTTCCTTCGCATTGATGGTGAAAGGTTTTTCACAGAGCACATGCTTGCCAGCAGCGATAGCATCGAGACAGTTCTTCTTATGCAGCGAGTGCGGTGTGCCGACATACACCACATCGACATTTGGGTCATCGTAGACTCCTTGGTAGTCTGCGTAAACCTGAGGTCGAGGCTTCTCGGGAGCTTTCTCCCAGACTTTCTCGACAAATGCGTTGCCTTTTTCGAGAGATGAGGAGCCGATCGCTGCGATTGTGTGCCTCGCTGGGGCGTTGGGCCGGGTTGCTAGGAGGTCTGTGAGAAACATGGTAGATATCCATCCCGTGCCTAGGATACCCCATCGGACATGAGGGATAGAATCATCCGTGCCAGTCATGATTGTGAGCTTATTTTGAGAAGTCTTGTTGGTATACAATAATGAGATTAGAACATGATGTCTCTGTTTATATCTACAAATACAAAGGTGGGCCTGCGTGACTTTCTGCACCGCGAAGATGTACCTCAATATTGCACATCCTTGATTAGGGACCGGCCGATACTCCCCGAAGAGCGGGGTTGTATCATGATAATTACCATCAAATGACAGAAAGTTGTGGGACCGACCTCGCACCTTCGGGATAAAGTGATGCGGGGAACACTTGATGGATGGATGACCATATCTCCGGATGAAGGAGTGGATACGCTAGGCACGGTAAAATAGGACGGTGATTTGTAATTTGAAGTTGGTCACTATAATAGAGATGTTGTAAATCCTTTCAGAAGCAAGAGTCACTGCTTGGAATCAACTCATCGTCAAACTACGCCAGAGAATAACCATGGTCATCAAATTCGGCATCGTAGGCTATGGCAATTCCGCCAAGACCTTCCACCTTCCATTCATCACTGCTGTTCCAGAATACGACCTTGTAGCTATTCTTCAGCGAGCCGAAGCCCCTGCAGACCCATCCTCTGCGTCAAAAGGCTCACACTGCACTGTCGATTTCCCTCACGTTAAGCACTATCGCGAGGCCGATAAGTTCTTTGCCGACGATGAAATCCAGTTCGTTGTTGTCGCTACACACCATGACACACATGCTCAGTTCGCTGAAAAGGCACTCCAAGCGGGGAAACATGGTACATCAAGCACTACCTCGGTTTTGGATGTCGCTAATATGTCTAGTAATTGTGGATAAACCATTTGCTGTGACATCCGAGGAGGCCGACAAGGTCATCAAACTGTCCGAGGAGAAGGGTCTTATCCTTACATGTTTCCAGAATCGACGATGGGTAAGACAACTGGAGATGTCATCCAGAGCATGAACATTGATACTGATTTGGTGAAAGGATGCCGATTTCAGGACGCTGAGTCACCTCATTGAGAAGGGTGCACTTGGCGATATAAAAGAAGCGGAACTGCACTACGACTTTGAATCACCATCATGGATGTATGGGTTGGGAGCCAAGTTCATTCCTGGCGCCGGAATGTCTTACGGACTGGGTATGAGATCGTTATCAAGATATCATGAATATTGTGACTGACGCTTTACTAGGAACACACAGCCTGGACCAAGCTCTTGTCCTCTTTGGTCGGCCAAAGTCCGTCACGGGTTTCTTCCGTGTTCAACGCGACGCCGAGAGCGAGGTAGAAGACTCGTTCACGATTATTTTGCAGTACGATGGTGCGCAGAAGGATCTTCTCGTCACTGTGAAGACGTCTGTAATTACTCCTATGGCGCAGCAGCTAAAGCAGCTAGTTCGAGGAACGAAGGGTTCTTTTGTCAAGGTAAGTTGTCTTGTAGAATATATCAGATTCAGTAAACCCACATGCTAACGCTGCACTCTACAGTTCCAACAGAACAGCACTTGCATCACAGAAGATCACATCGCTGCGGGGCTCAAGCCACTCGACGAAGGCTTTGGTGTAGAGTCTGAGAAGCTGCGAGGTACTCTGACCACATACGAAGAGTTTGACGGCAAGGTGCAGAAGTATGATGAAGTCACCAAGAAGTATGTTGGACAGTATCCGACTGTTCCAAGCCGATGGGTAGGGCTATATGAAAATATCGCAGATGCTATCAACGGCAAGGCGGAGTTGGTCGTGAAACCTACACAATCACGGGATGGACTGAGGATCATCGAGCTTGCGAGGGAGTCTCATGAGAAAGGTGTAACGATTACATGGTCATAGAAGTAGTCGCATTTTCAAAATAGTCCTTAATAGTAAGAAGGATTGTTAAATTACGATCGATCAAATTGGCAAAAAAGAATCCATGCAGCAAGCAAAAGACAGGATAATGATGGGTTCTAACCACCTATGATGGACGAACAGGGAATCGAACCCTGGACCACTCCCATGATGGTTTCTCTGAGAGAACATGCTAAGGGAGTATTATACCACTAAACCATTCGCCCGAACCGACTTATGATTGGTTGAGAGAAGTCATTTGTGTGAGACTCTATCAAGCCTCGTTGTGAAAAGGCATTGTGCTATCTTTACCGCTTCTAAAACCCTGTTGTTTTTGTGAAATCATGAATGATTGCCTTCCTCTTGATTTGTAATGCCAAGAATCGAGCTCTTGCTGTTAGTATTGCATCCGCAAAGGGTGAGTTGATTCGGAAGCAGCCATTTCATGTGGCGTGATAAGCCAAATACATTTCTGCATATCATAGTTATGTTGAAATGTCCAAGGCAAAAAGAAGTCTGTTCGTACATCCTGACTTGAGGTAACGGTGTCATGCATGAGTGCAAAAAATGATAGCCTCGCATACGCTCGCAATCGAATCTTTATAGGAACAGCCCGATGCGGGGGTCGAACCCGCAACCTTGAGATCGCGTACTCGTAAGAGTCTCACGCTCTACCGATTGAGCTAACCGGGCGTGGCTCTTGATGATGTCTGACGAGTTTTCAAAATAGCACCTATGATCCTGGTCACAATGGATCAGTTGGTTGAACGAATCGTCATCCATCTTTCTTACTCGGTAACCCCAGGGTCTTGACCCTAAGGGCTACAGTACGTTTACGGAAATGGTGAAATTAACATTTGTAAGAACCTTTCATTCTTGATTGGGAGAGGTCTATAGACGTGAACATTTAATCGACTCCTAACCCAGCCTACTCTTGGCAGGTGTTGCTAGCCCACACAGCTTCAGCATCGTCATCTTCGCCCTTGTACAAAACCACATTGCCATCATCCTGGATAGCAAGATAAACTTCATCTCCATGGTCACTAGTGTCGGAAGCCCAGACAGCTTCGTCGTCATGGGTACTGCAAAAAGCGTTGTTAGATCTGCAACGTGGTACTGAAGGCAATACTTACTATAAGACGAAGTTGCCATCGTCTTGCAAGTGAACACCCTTGATATCATCGCGTTGATCCTCTGTGTTCTGCCAGACGCAATCCCCTTCCCAGTAGATACAGATCTTGCCGTCATCTTGCATCTTAAACTCATTGTTGCCGTTTTCACTTGTGAGACTGTCTCCAGGATAGAGCCAGTTATCGTTATCAAGCTTGCCCATTTTGAACGGATTGCTGGATTAAAATATGTGAAAGAGCAGTTGATTGTAGAAAGATGTAGCGTGTTGTGAGATGAGATGAAGAAGAAGAAGCTAGAGGTTGACGAGGTGTGTGTTTTTATACATCAGTGACTGGGCTTTACTGCTGACGTATACCTGCGCTTTCACGCTTTATTCATAATGAGGCTGGGTTTTCAGACATGAGACATGCATATGCGCCAAGTTCTCAATTTGAAGTAAAAACCACAAGTTATGGATGTGAGGCCTCGTGAAGTAGACAACACAGAGTAAAGGCCAAGCCAAACGTCAGGTGATATACATGATACACTCTGAGTACCTATCTTACGTCATATTCAATTCCTTTAATTCAGTGGTGGAAGTATGAGGGGTCAACAAGCCAAGCCCGGAAACGGCATCTAGGATTCCCCATAGTTATGCAGCTCTTCTCGCATTATCCGGCTCGGCAAGGCAGAACATAGTCTTGAGCCAGAACGATACGATAACGCTGGCGCCACGTTGCTTGCATGTATCCGATAAGCGGCATAAGAGGACATAGTCGAGTTTATTGGCAGTCTCGGCGCTTTCACATGATTGGGTTTGCGGATGAGGATTGCGCGTAAAACGACATCTCTTTTGCCAAGACTGCTTGGCGCTTATACGTACCTAGTGGTATACAGTTACAACAACAGACTTCACTTTAACTAACTCTATCTCTGATAATAAACAATCTAGTTGTGTTAAAATCCCTATAATTCTATTATCGAGAATAATTGAGGGTTTGCTCACATCAGACAGACACATACTCCTTCGCAATGCGCAAATCCCCGTAGACACAAGATGGCCACAAACTGTCAACCATCTCTAAGGGAATTGAGAAGAAAAATGCGATCCATGGGCCCTTTCTAAGTCCCAGCGGTAGCGTTTCGAACATAAACGTCGCTCGTGCACAAGAAGGCTTTCGGAAGACAGTATCGGTGACAGGGCGTTACCGCGTGGTAATTGAGAGATCTTGGGAAAGGTCCGCTATTGGGACTTCGAGTTTCGGGCGCAAACCACGGATCTCCATAGAATTAAAAAAGCAGAATTGTAGGTGAACCCCTAGATTCTAGGACAGAAGGGTTTGATAATCAAGGAACGTGTCCTGATGATGAAGAGGAAGAAGAAGAGGACCAGTTGCAGTACCAACTTCCGCCACAGCTCATGTGTGAGTCTGAAGCCGTAGAATAAGTATGAGGAGGAGGGTTTGCAGGGCCAGATCTACCAACGTGACCAGGAGGACAAGGAGGACCGCCACTTCCAGGGCCCCATCCTCCAGGACGGCCGTACGTTCCATGGTGAGGATCATGAGCCGCAGGAGCTGGACAATATGAGCCATCAGGAGAAGCGGGGGGATTGGGAATATGGTGATTATGAGCCTCTGGAACAGGATTCACATATGGCTCATGAGCGTGGTAAGGCTCTTGGGGAGCAGGTGCGTGATGGGGAGGTGTATAGTGAGGAGGTACATGAGGAGGAGGAGTTTGAGGAGCAGGGGCATGATAAGCAGGCTCACTATAAGGTTCGGGAGCAGGATAGTAAGGTGATGGCTCCTGAGGAGGGTAAGACTTATGGGGAGGTTCAGGGGCAGGTTGGCTTTGATGCTCTGGAGCATATTCAGGGGTACCTTGAGGATTGTCACCATAGGGTTCAAATCCAGGCGAACCAGTCGTCTCATAGTGTGCGACATACTCGACCTCCATTCCAGCCCCCATGCCATCATGGGTCCAGTCATTGGGATCTTTAGGCTATAACCTGTTAGCTCAGTTCAGATGGGGACAGACATTTAACTTACTCGATCACCGCCAACAGCGACATTCAGAATGAAATGGACCTTATTAGCAGCGATAGTCTTCCACACAGCCTCGTTGTTGATCCTGGCTCCGGTGACTTTGTGGAATTGGACGCCGTCGAGGTAGATGGTAACACTCTCCTGCACCCATGTAGGCTTGGTGCGGTCGATCACAGCTCGCCATGTATGCCAGCCCTTTCCACCATCAAGTAGACCAATAGACCCAGAGATACCCGTATTCTCATTACAGATACCACCTGGGTTTTTATCACAGTGAATGGCTCCATAACCGAGGTGTTCGCCACTGAAGATTTCCATGATATCGATCTCTCCACACGCCGGCCAGATAGGCCCCCCATTTCGATGGCTGTCACCAAGCAGCCAAAAGGCAGGCCAAATGCCCTGCTTATTTTCTGGAGGTGAGTCGCCGACTCTGATACGGGCTTCGACAACAGTGATGGCACCAGGAGTGGGCGTGAAGACGTACTTGCTCTCCATGCGCCCAGAAGTCCACCCTCTCACGGCGGTAGTTTCTCTCCAAGGGATGATGCGAACGGTACCTTTGCCGCTGAGTTGTAGGTTGTATGTAGAGGAGGTATACGTCTGGAAATCACCGTTAAGATTCTTGTACCAATCCATCAAATTCCATTTAACGGTGTCGGGCGAGGATCCCTCTTTGCCATCGAATGTATCCTCCCAGATGAGGTCGTAGCCATCATAGGAAGGGGTTTTCTTAGCCAAGACCGTGACAAGAAGGGGTAACACAAGCACGACGCTTTTCGGCAACATATTGGAGATTTTGATCGTAAAGAGGCAGAGGCGAATTTGTCTATCAGATGTGAAAATGGGAAGAGGGAAAAGGGAAGAGGGAAAAGAATTAGGAAAGGAGAGGCGGGGAACAGAAGGTGAAATATATATGCATCATGTAAAAGCTTAAAGAATGGTAAGCATTCTGGCAGATTGAGGGCATATCACAAAAGGGATGTCATTGGAAGGTTATAAAGCCAGAATCATCAGTGGCTCTGCACACCGAACCCTGCCGAGGACGCATGGAAGGAAAGGCAGAGACGGCACAGTTCTGCAACATTTCATTTTGCAATAGACTGATGAAGCTATTCAAACGTCCCATGCGTCTGTTACTGTAATAAAGGAAATAATTTGGAGCATGAAAGAATAAGTCGCGGTGCGTTGGGCTTGTTGCCAAGTGCTACGTATATACTCAATTTGTGACAATAACCTTTGTATCCGAAGCCTGATAAGAATTTATTGATCTATCATCCAATAATATGCCCGTCCATGTGAAGATTGCACAAAGCTCCTAACATACTTCGCACAAAAGATGAAGATTGAGCCTGGACGACATCGACTTCTCTTAAGCTTTGATGAGGATGAACCGTATTGGTAGTGGTCCTTTGTGGTCATTGGAAGTCCTCCGAGCTTTTTGGAAGCCCTGTACCTTAAATTAGCAGCCTCGTGCTAAAGTCTAACCTTGAAACTATCTCAACTGCACTTATTGATACTTAACAGAAACTCAAACACCCACTTTGACAAACTCACAATCTATTAGCCATTTAACTCGTATCATTCAAGTAATCAGCCTTCAAGCTAGACTGTATGATTCGACGCACAACATTATCACCGTACGTATGTTTACACTAAACTGAGTACGCCCCGCCAACTCCCAACGCAAATAGCGGTCTGCCGCGGCGTCGCCGATGACAAGCACATGATAGATATTAATGTCTCGAGTAAACCAAAGAGCTTCGAGTGATAGCATGGAGACATTTGAGAAACTGACTGCAGACCTTTAATAGTGTTTTTGCGCCAACGAAGGGAGAAGAGCAGTCTCAAGTCTCAGGAGCTGAGGGGCTCGCAAACTTGCAAATATTGGTGTAATTCAAGAAATAACAGAACAACAAGGTATAAATAAGGCACACATCAGATTCCCAACAATATCGATAGCCCATGACCCCTTCAACACCCCTTAACATCCACCACCTCCACCTCCACACCCACCGCCGCCGCCGCCGCCTCCGCAACCGCCTCCTCCTCCTCCTCCACAACCACCTCCCCCTCCGCAACCTCCCGATGCACATCCTCCGCCACCGCTATCATCTCCTCCATCTCCTCCGCACCCTCCTCCAGCCGCATTTCCACCACAGCTCCCACCTGCACATCCCGGCGCAGCCCCGTATGCATAAACAGGCGGCACAAACATCACTGGAGCCATCCACGGTCCGTACACTAGCAAAGGTCAGTATGCTCCTCACAAACTAAGAAAGGTGAACTTACTCGCATAGGAATAGCCCCAGTGGTTGTAGTACTGGTCCTTGGGTGGCAGCTTGCGGCCCTTCTTCTCGGCGCGCTTGCAGGCTTTCTGGTAGTTCTCCTCCAATCGCTTGTTCTGCACTGCGCGCATTCTGTTCTGTACCTTCTCGACGTGGTTTGACGCGACGAGGCCCTCTTCGTATGATCGAACGGAGTTGTGTGAAGAGATGTGGGCTGAGTTGTCAGGAGGGCAGACGTCAGCTACTCCAGATTCGTAGAACTTGTCCGCAACTAGACCATGTTAGCTTATATCAGAAGGTAATATGGCCAAACTTACTCTTTTCACTATGTGACAACTTGAGCAGTCTACCGGCGGATGAAACATGGGCTGCCCGTACGGACTCACAGTACCAACAAGTACACTCAGAGTACACCACATCGTACATCTCCTGATACGTCTTACTCGTCCACTCAAACCCATCATTGAGCTTCTCATCCTCGATCTTGTCGTCGTGTCTCACAAACCTTAGAGTCATCTTCGTCGTGAACTTGTAATACGAGCACGGCGTGAGTTGGTGCGTATGCCACGCCAAATCGACATCAAGCGTTGGCACAGCCATCTTTCTCGGGTTCCTGGAAATGATTCTGATGAAGCGCTTGTACTTGACACAGCACCTGCCCATGGTCTCCTTGGCAGTGGGAGAGTGCAACCAGTCAAGTTTGCACATCTTCTCCGAAAAGATACCCTGGCGCATCACGCACCCGATGAGGTCGAGTGCAAAAGGGCTGAAATTCTCCCAGTACCGAGACATCATCTTTCGAATACAGACTTTGGAAACCCGCGGGACACCAACCTTCTTTGGCAGTGTTTGGCCAAGGATCGTGGCCACGGCGCTACTACTGAAGAGCGCATCAGACTCAATCATCTTGCGCACGTTCTCCATGGTAGGCGGGTCTTCAGGATCGGGATTGTCGAGCAGAGTTTGGATCTGCGTGCGCAGAACATGCTGGATCATTCGGTTGGGGAACATGCGCTGGTCGTATTTTAATCCTTTGTGCGGCATCACGAGAACAGGCGTGCCGCTTCCAGGCCACAAAAGAGTACCGGGCATAGGCCGGCTATTGAAGACGAGGTCATCAACATCCCTGCAGAACTTGGCCACGCTGAGGGTTTCTTTTGTGATGCGCGTGTTGCACTTAGGACAGCGGGTTTCGAACTTGCTATCTCCGTAGCCAGAGCCGCTGAGACCTGGTCGTTCGGGACTCTTTGGTGTCTCTTCAAGACCACACGACGTCCATGGGACCTCAAGCCTTTGGCCGCAAGTCTTGTTTGGACATGCGAGTATCTTGACAGCAAGATCGTCAGTGTTTTCCCACTGAAGACCCGTCTGCGCTACCCATCTGGCCTTGTCTTCATCCGACACGTTGAAGTTGAAAGATCCGTCAATTGCAGCGTTGACGAGGTTCCACGGCATACCGCTCTGCCAGAACTCGCGAAGCCCTCGTCGGATACAATCCTCCAGGAAGTTCTGGGGGTTCAAGAGGTGAGAATGGTAGACCAGTAACACGTCTGAAAGGGATTAGTGATGCGGATGTTAAAGCAGTATATGTGACTTACCAAGAGGTGGAAGTGCCTTCTTCTCCCACCAAGAAGGGTTTTCCCCAGCTGTAAACTTATCAAAGGATGGAGCGTTGATATCACTCATGTCGGGCTCAGTCAGAGGAGGAAGTTCTCGAGGAAAGGAATTCCACCAAGCTTCATAGCGATCAACGGCGCGCGCTACAAATAGAGCCCATCGTTTCTCGCGCAGTTTGCTTAGAGACTTGGTCTTATCCTCGACATCTGGGGTGTAGCCTTCGTCGTAAGTGCTCTCAATCACATCACCGTTCTCTTTGGCCTCGATGTTGCCATCCGCCCGGGTATCCCAGATACCCCAGAGACCATCGGTATAACCAATGTCTTCTTTGAGTGCCTCAAAAGCGAAGAGGAGTCTAAGGTGAGCAAGACAGCTGTTTGGATCTGACTCCTCCGCATTTGGCTCAATGTAGAGATCCCTGAATGGTGCTGTGATGTCAAGGTCTTGGTCTGAGGCGTTTGTTGGTGGGGCATCATCAGGCACGGCCTGATAAGCTGGAGGCGCGGCCATTGTGTACGCAATAGAGAGTTGAGATTGATTCTAGAAGGATTGTGTGTTCATTGATGATCTTGGCATTGAGGATTTCTTGGGTCGAGAGATTAGCGACTTTATATCACGAAACTACGCCGTTGGTGTCGCCCCATTTCTCCGCGTTTGCATCATTTGGAATGGATTGCCAAGGCAGTGCAGCTTGTAGATGGAAGGTGTTGGTTGCAGTTTTGGAGGGGTCCAATTGAATGATCACATGGCGGGCAGTGATGCCGATGATCCGACAGGGACTGCATGGGCTGAGCGCTAATCTGCTGAGGCACTAATAGTTGCTGTCGTTCAGACGGTCTAGATCAGCAAATCTAGGGTGTTATCAGTCCCGCAGCCTCCACTGTTTTGCCCTGGCGCTTTAGGCTGATTTGCAGCTGGAGCGCTCAGCCACCGCCCGACTACAGACCACATGAAATCACAGCCAAATTGGGCAACGTACATGGCAGATTAATCGGACTCATCATGTCATCGCATCATATGATTCGATATGGACCAAGGAGGAAGGCTTCTAGAAGGATTGATGATCTGCGATCGGTGCTAGGCAGCGACATTATTCTGTGGCAATCAATCCAATTCACTCAATGATCGGCTGTGTGTAACCCATCAACGTTACGCTTGTTTCGACAAGCCACAACATCTCCAAGCTGACCCTTATCAATTGATCGCAATCATCGACCCTGGGGGCTTCCGTCGGTGATTTCCCAGTAAAGCGACATGCGTCAGCAACCAAATTCGGGTCATCTCACCTAAAGCCGCCAGACAAACCCACACAGCCCTGTAACAGAACAATATTCGGAGTTATCGGTAGGCTAGCCAATCGGTGATAACCACACCGGAGAAAGTTGCTACTCATTCAATAACCGCCCGGTACGACGAAGCCATGTTTAATGCGGTCCAAAGCATGAGAAATGGGCATGGGAAGTAAGCACTAAGATTGATAATTAAGAATAGTCTAATAGAGAGATCATATTCAAGCCACGAAATGATTTACATGAAGGCCATGGGCTCTTCAAACATTTATCCCCTCGGGTTCAAGCAACTGGCAACAAACACCGAAACCTCCGAATGTATTATCCCCGAATATGTTGTCCCCGAATGTCGCTCCCCTCAACATTTAAAACGCTTCCCGACGCAATGAATTCTGTTATCCATTCAATTCTTCATTCTCTAAAACATGGCACCTCTCAAAGTTCTTATAGTCGGCGGCGGTGTCGCTGGCCCTTCTCTCGCCCACTGGCTCTCCCGCATGCCGTGCGACATCACCCTCATAGAGCGCTCGCCACAAATCAGAGCGACAGGCCAACAGCTCGATATTCGCGCTCAGGGTGTTCCGGTCATGAGAAAGATGGGCATCGAAGCTGCTATTCGCTCTCACCTTGTCCGCGAGGCAGGAACACAGCTGATCGATACCAATGGCAAAACAAAGGCTTTCTTCCCTGTTTCGGATCATGGCTCCGAGAGCCAGAGTGTCACCACCGAGTTTGAAATTTGCCGCGGTAATCTTGTGCGTATCTTGGTCGGTCTGACTGAGAAGAGCAAGAACGTGCAGCACCGCTTCGGCACCACTGTCACCAGTCTTACGCAGGACGCGGATAGTGATCCTAATGGTAAAGTCCACGTCGGCTTCAACGATGGCCGCAAGGACGACTTTGACCTTGTTGTTGCGGCGGATGGAACGGGTTCCAGGACACGCCAACTAATGCTCGGTCCTGATGCACCAGATCCGCGATACTTTCTTGGTGGATATATCGGCTTTTTCAGCGTCCTGCCAAAGCCACACGACCCATATCGCTTCACCTTCTGTCATCTGCCCGGAGGGCGATGGATCGGTACCAGAAAGGATTGCCCAGAGATGACCCGTGTGTACATGCAGTCGCGTGGCCACAACGAGGCCCTCGCTGCAGCGCACAAGTCAGGAAATCTTGCGGAGCTGAAGACAGCTTGGGCAAAGGCCTTTAACGGCGGCGAGTGGGAGTGCAATCGGTTCATGAACGCACTCAAGACCGCCCCAGAGGCAGATGACCTCTATTCGACCCCTTTGGAAGAGGTTCGCCTTCCCATAGGCTCGTGGTCCAAAGGCCGTGTTGTGGCTATCGGCGACGCAGCGCACGCACATACGGCTAATGGTTTCGGAACAACATGGGGTATGGTGGGCTCGTACATCCTCGCGGGTGAGATAGCGACATTGTATAAGCAGGATCCTACCACAGCAGTGGTGCAGGCTCTCAAGAGGTATGAAGACGTCTTTCGCCCGATAGCGACAGCTCAGCATGGCGAACAGGGAATGTTGCGAGAGGCGCTGTTTATGCCAAAGTCGGCCTTTGGGATATGGATTCTTCATTCAGTGGCGAGAGCTGTGGCGTATTTCAAGTTGGAGCAGGGGATGGGAATGAGTTCCGATTCTGCCAACTGGCGGGTTCCAGAATATCCGGCTTTAGATGTCCAGAAGTAGGTAAAGCTTTTGGCTGGTGGGCTGTATGAATAGTCAGATATTGAGATGTTTGTTGAATTGCTTCTCAGTTTACAAATACTCACGTCTGTGTAAGAGTGGGCCATAAGTAAATCATGTGTATAATCAAATGAAATTCAAGATATCAGTCCTGACATATCACAATACACCATCAGATCCAGAAGGTCACTAGGAAAAGAACAGGCTCATCGACCCTTTGCACGCACACGCACGACACATCACCGGACACTATTCTGCGACGACATAGAACCCCTACCCGAAGATCCCGTCATGTGTTGTTCACTCTGCTGCATGAAGCCTTGCCTAGAGATGGAGTTGATGTCTTTGGTGCCTGGTAAGCCGAACGCATCGTAGTCCAGAGAATCGTACCCACGTTGTCCCTCGATAACCTGCTCGATGTCTCGCGGGCTGCGCGACCTTTGCATCGCGATAGAGCGCGTGCGGGTGCGAGTATTGCTGGCGTGGCTGAGGCCGTTGCTGGGGTAGGTTGTGTGGCCTGAGGAAAGGCCTGGGATGAATTTGCGGAAGATCGGACGGAGCAGAGCAAGACAACCTGTGGAGGGTTAGCATGATGGGTCTGAGGGATGAGAGAGGTACGTACTGGTAAAGACGGCCAGGTGAACTTCGACGTTGGCCCATACCATGGCCAAGGAGAACTCGAAAGGAAATTCTCTGGAATTGGCTGTGTATCGTTGTGCTTCGACGATTTGAAATATTGAGGCAATTCCGACTCTGGATCAGTGTTAGCAATGCGTGGAGCAGCTGGCTCAAGATGAGGACGTACACGGAACCAATGCTGAAGATACAAACAACAGCAATCTTTTGCCCAAAGATCAATCTCATCCTGACAACTTCCCAAAGAGGTAGAGCAAGGATGATGAAGTCCATTAAACAGTGAGTCAAGTCAGTGCCGAGATAATATTTGCCAATATTGGTTAGGCAGCGCCCATCAATCGACTTGTCCCAATATGCTTGAACGGGTATGCAGTGAAAGATGGTCATGAAGGTTCTGATGGTGATCCAGCATGCACAGCATACCATGAGGACGATGATAGGTATGCGGATAGATGCGAGTCGGAAGATGCGACGGTAAAATGTGAGTACAGCCATCTTGGAGAGAAAGATGGCCCATGAATAGAGTATTTCGCTGACGAAGAGAATCTGGTGCGATTTCTCGAGGATGTAGTCGATTTTGGCGTCGGGTAGATGCCCGATTTTGCGACCCATGTAGAAGTGCGTGGTCCCTTTGGAGAAAGTCAATTGACGTGAAGAAAAGTGGCTTGAATGGAATGTCACTCACACACGATGAGAAGAACTGAATAAGCAAAAGACACAAACTAAACAAGATGATGAGCATTTTTATTATTATCGCTGCTTAAAAAACACAGCACATCACGGAAGGGTTTGCGTACCCAAGCTGCGATGGACAAGGCATCGTCATAGCCAAGGCCCATCTTTGTCATGCGCCGCGCCTTAATCCTCAGCACCAGCGCGAGGGCACTCGCGGGCACTGGGATGATGATGGCGGCCCAGACATTGGGGACCCGGCCCGTCATGATCGAGGTGGGAGCAACGAACAGGGAGGCATCTAATTGTGTTGTATGTGTGAGGAATTATACGACTCGTCCCGTCCTGCAAAATAATTAAAGTGAGACTGCGAGGGGGGGGGGAGAAGAGAGAGGGAATACGGAAAAAAGAGGGGCGCGATGGGGCAGCTTTATGACGGGGAGAGAAACGGAAAACCTCAACATGCGGGGGTGGGTAGGCTACATAGAGATACCGAATGAGCTAACTAACGGGGGCTATAGAACATGAGAGATAGCGACAGGTCAAGCATTGCCACCCTGTCGGGCGGAATCAAAGCAAGGCCTGGTTTGGCCTGACCTGGCTGACAGTGACAGTGACAGGCGCAGCAGCGCAAGGGTATCACCAGAGGGAAACACCACTTGTGCGACCCCCCAGGAAATGCTTTGGCCAGAGCTGAAAAAGACGACAGCCAGCAAAGCAAGCCCACCTGCATAAGATTGGGAAGGATTCGGCTTCTGACGCCCTGTTTAAACGGCTGCCTTATTTTTCAACCACCCACCGCCAGCGCAGCCTCTGCAAGAGAAAGCCCCCAAAAGTCGCTCACACACACACATCCACTTCCCCAGACTCTAGCCCAACCACATCAAAGCCAAGCGTTATCAGCGACAGAAACGATGTCACGCGATCCCGCCAAGCTTTTCTGTCCACCATGCTGTCACGTTTCTCTCACAGATAAGGCTTTCTGCACAAGCTGAACAGTGCGGTTTTCATCTCCTGGCAAGGCATGAAAGATTAGGCTTTTCGCCTTGCTTTTGTCTCAATTGATGACACCTTCTAAAGTAAGCTTAGACGTATGCACTGGTATGTGTTCTTTGAGACATTCTTTTTGTTCTTTTTATCTTTGACTTCTTCGTCATTCAATTCCCGCTGAGTCTGGGGTAGCATTCGTCGCTAAATTAGCTTCAACGCTTTTCCCCCAGACTTTCTCCCTTTACCGTGTCGGAATCCACTTCGTCAAGCCATTTTATCCACTGCCGTAAGCGGTTTTAGCGAACCGACTTTCTTCGGTACGGTTAGGGAGCGGCTTTGTTCGTGCTTTCAATCACGAGGCTTTGCTCAACTGTTTGCTTGAGATGATCGACGTTTGTTGGTGTGCGCCACTATTTCGGTGAGCGATTGACGGCAGCCTTATGAGGTAGGCTCTGGAGATGAGTGCAAATATGTGTCATTTCTTGCGTTAATCATGCTTACTGATAAGCGATGTACGAAAAAAGAAGGATGACTCTGGTGCATTCGCTGATACATGCAGGAGCTTGATACACTCACTGAGGAGAGGGTCAGTGAAGCTCGTACCAAGAGATTACGACTTGGTCGTTTCTAATACACCTCTCCAATCTCTATCCCACTTCTGATGAAGTACTTCTTATCTCTCACGACCTTGAGCTACGCGACAGCAAACCCCAAGCCTCATTCCCTCCCAGGTTTTACAATCTCTCAATAAGAATTCCGTTCGTTTATGCGCCATTCCAGCATTCTTTCTCACTACCTCGCAATCTCTACAGCAGACACAATTCCGTCTTGTGGCAATCCAGCGTGGCCAACTCCTCGATGGCCCGTGTCAACGCCACATTCTTTCCTCGATTCTCAGAAGATTCATCGTCCTCATGGTCAAAATATTGCGTTTTTAAGCGCCCTCTAAATAAATTTACGGTGAGTTCAAAGCTGGAGTGAGGTTAGCGATATCCCATGAGTCAACCATCAGTAGAACTTGGTATAAATTGGCCACGAGGAAATGGCCTTCCACATCGCGTTGCCATACATAACCGGGGGCACCAGATATTTCTTTGTCCATCCAATCTGTTGGGCGTGATCCCCACATTCTGGTGTCGGGGAGGTGTCTCGCGGGCAATTCTATAAAACCACGCAGCACTATTAGACCCTATAAATTTCTTTCCCACGGGCGTAGATTCTTGTCATCTGCCGTGTATCTAATCTCGCTATCTCTGGACTCAAGACATCGTTGTGAGTGGTGGTATCTAGCACGTGCGATTAAAATAGTAAATTTATGAGTTACAAGAAGTCTACCAACTTGCAATATTGCTCGCGATGGAAACTACTTCATCGAGAGGCAGAAATCGGTGGGCGAGAGGTATCAGCTAGCTAGGGATAAATACTTTTTAATTGGTTGATACCACAGTCTCGACCGCGAGATGACGCGTGATGACGTAGGCAGGCCCAGCCAGTCGCGTAAATGCACTTCCATTCTCTAAGTACAGACAACTTATCCCCTGTTACATCAGATCGTGCACACTATACCTCCATATTGAATATACAATTACCATTTCCAGCTCATATGATCATATCATAATGGCGGAACCTCTTGCACCTCTACCTCCCACGGTGGTAAATGCCATGAAGACCGTGGGTTCACATCACCCTCGTCTAGGGCTAACACTGACCAGCGACAGTTGACCGAGAGTATCATCCGAGACAAACAGGCAGAAGCGGCCGCCAAGTCAAAGGAAAATACCCTACCATTTTCTTCACCAGCTGCAAAGCCTACTCCTACCTCCGGCAAGAAGCGCAAAGCGGAATTGAGCCTTGATGAGGAAATCGCAGCATACAAGGCAGATCTCGACGACGTCGTGAGTCCCGACTCATTCGAAAACGACGAGCTCGTCAGCTGCGGTACCATCCGCAGCAGACTGAACAAACTCTTCGACTCAGGAATCATGACCAAGGCAGATTTCTGCAGAGCCACCGGCGCAAACTCAAACTCTCTCAACAAGTTCCTCAAGCAGAAGGGGCCCATGGGCGGCTCCGGAAGCTGCGTCTGGTATAACGCCTACGCTTGGTTCAAGCAGCGAGAAGTCATGGGTCTCAAGATGCCTGACCCCAAGAAGCGCCAGCTGGAACAGCAGAAGAAGGACGACGCTGCCAATGGAACCCCTTCCAAGACTCCAAGCTCTGCAGCAAAGACACTAAAAGATCTCCCTGACTTAAGCGAGATTTATCTCCAAGGCGAAGAAACAGACGAAGTCCCCGTGTACGACGACTGCGACGAGATCCGGCGCAAGATCAACGCGCACATGAAGACCCCCGGTCTCACGCAGGCACAATTCTGCCGCGACTTGTACGCGCAGCTTAAAGCGCCCAAGTGCAAGGGCATCCAGTCTAAGCAGCTGACTGACTTTCGCGGTGCTAAGGGGTCTAATGCGGGAGCTAAAAGCTCCGTATTTTACGCAGCGTATGTGTATTTTGAGAAGCTCCGTATTGCGCAGGGTAAGCCGATAAACAAGCATCGAGAACACATTTTCGACATATATCCAGGAGGATTTCCTAGGGATGCGGATTATAGGACGACTTGGTATATCGGGGCGGCGTAGACTGTTGACAGAGGTATGTGTGTGCGTTATAGTATGGGCAGCTACGTGGCTGTATCATGAGAGAATCTGGTAACTTTCCTTAGATTTTCCTCGTTACTGTATTAGTCTTCAATCTTTATCTCATTACCTTATTCCATTTTGTTGTGCTAATGACCTGCGTTCCAAATCGACGGTAGAACAAACTCTCGAGAGGCCTATGCACCTTAAATCAAGTCACTTCTGGAATGCGACAAATTACATGCTTAACGCCATCCTTTTAATGGATGATAGCCTTGAACTTAGGTACGTTGTGCAAAGGTCGTGTCCGTAATGTTGGGATGCTTGTACGGCCCTGTCCAACTCAACACCCTCGGTCTTGCTAGCCATATTAAATTTCACAGACATAGAGCAATTGAGCATCCCTCGGCATGATGTCCGTTTTGTATGCATTGTTGATGTATGGTAAATATCTCAGCCACGTTAGCTACAGGTAATTTCAAATTTTGTCTCCACTACCTGCATCCGTACAATCATCGTCATGGCAATCAGTTGTTCCTCACTGAAGCAACTAACAGTATTTCTTAGCTCTGTTGTTGCGTAGCAGATGAAAGATGAAGCAGACTTGAGCAAGCTCTTCAGACCCTTGTGTGAACTCCTTAGTCTCAGGATGCGAGTCTGTTCGATATGGGAGGTGAGCTTTTGCCTAGTAAAGGGCCTTATTGGATCTCTTTAGCTGCAGGGCCTCTCTTGGCCGTAGTTTTCTTTCTGATATCAGCATTCTCTCTCTTTTGACAACAATGCGGTATTCTTCGGCTGACTTTTCAATTTCTTGAGTCGAAACAAAGGTTGGATGTAGGCTATAGGTTCATCGAACGGAGAGTGCTCTCCAACCATGCTACCTGTCAAACCTGACAGATTGGCTTCCGTGAGGTATCCTCAGGGATCAAGAAAACTTCTAGCCCTAAACCGAGCAGTTACATTAGTTATTTAAAAGTTCTCCCAAAGCTTCGAAGTCTTTTTGTCACTTAGTTTGTCGGTGAACATGCGGAGTGTTTATGCTGGGGCGATATAGAATATGTATTTTTAAAACTTTTATTATGCTTTACAGGTCTTCGTCCGAAAGCAGACCAGGTGGAAGCATATTGGCGCCACCGTGACATACATCGTTCCAATCCACAACGCCCGTGATCCTAAAAATTGTATCTATCCAGCAACACATCGGCAAGTCCTGATGAATAAGGTCGACACCAATGCTCTTAAACAGAGTCTCAAGATACTTATCGCAAACATTGTCAGCATCACTTTCAATCTTCCTAAGTTGCGGAAATTCGACACGTGCATTCAAGGCCAGGCGAAGCAGATCCTTCCCCATAACACCATGTGGTGTCTCGGTCTGTTCCGAAAGTTGCAGAGATGTGATATTAGGGGGGAGAATATTGAGAAGAGACTTGATGACAGAAGTCTTGTCGCCAGAATCAGAGTATTCCGTGCCATAGAGAAAGTGTGTATGGAGGAAGAGACTCTTCATCTGAGTGAATGCCTTTAAGCTGGGCATTTTGTGATTCCCCCGCGAATTGCGATGTCTCATGTCAAGGTGTAGAGACTCAAGACTAGCGCGAAACCTCGATTCATTGAGGACGTTTACAACGCCCACGATATCAGAGTCAAATGCAGTGTAAGAGAATGTGGATAAAGCACCAGTGCAGACTGATAGACAGTGACTTATGGTAGAGACTTGGATGGCCATCTGAGATCGAATGTGAAGGTTTCTTACGCAAGGCATACTCGGATACTCGCCTGATCCAGAAGTCACTAAAGTCTCAAGCTCCGGTGACCGAGATAGTAAGTTTTGGAGCGCATGATCACTTTCAAGTGTCTTGAGCGGAATAGAGTTGATACCCAGGACGTCGAGAGTAGCAAGTGACACGTCGAATTGCCAACAGCGGTTTGCTTCAACACAAATGTGAGCTAAGCTCGATAGTATAGACACCAGGATGGACAGAATTTGACCCATGACCATGGGAATGAAGTCTTCCGACCTCATGTATTGAGGTGGAGGTGCCCCTCTAAAAAACGCCCTCTTGATGGCTGACGAGTCAGTAGCGTGACCTTTTTCATAAACATCTTCCGCACTGCGTCCGAGAGTACGTGCACAAGCATCGAAAGCTTTTCGACATTGATCAAAGTCGAGTGATTCGACCAAAGCGACTTTTAGAAAGACAGTTTTGACGGAGCTAGCCAAGTGTGGACGCGAGGCCATTGTCCGAAGAAATGGTTCGAGACGTCGCTCCCACGGATTAGGAGCACCGCATCTGGGATAACAGGGATCGAACGAATGGTGCAGTATCTCTTGGTCAAATGGTCGAAAATACCGCGAGACGAGGCACAGATTGTACAGAGTCGTGTTATCTTGGCTTCTCTCTGACGGCGGCGGAGCTCCAAAAGGCCACTTGTACTCATTGCAACAGTGTGGACAGAAATACCTGAAGATAGAGCGCAAGATTTCAGGAGAAAGTTTCAAGAAGTGGGCGATTGTGGAGTCATCGCGTCGAGTTTTGTCCATCCTTCTGCAGTTGGGGTTATGAGGGTGAGAATGTTGGGTGCTGATGGAGTGAGCTGGAACAGAACTTCATAAGAAGTGGGGTCCGGAGGTCAATTAACTGGCTTGGAAACCCACGGCTGTTGGTAGTTAGTACCGACAATGCAGAGACTAACAGGCATCTGACAGGTTAAAACACTCTCCACTCAAGTCTACTAATTTCAGATTCTAGGACAGCAGAACCTATGGAAATACAATCCAATGAACAATACCACTGCCGCAAGGGCATGCAGCATCGTAGCAATGCCTCCAGTTCCCAAGCCCATCAAGAATGATATCCCGACGGGTAGGGAAGCACCAAATGTCGAAATACCCTGAAACCCCGCTATTACTGTGGTAATAATGAGAGATGCTCCAGATGAACCATGGCCTCCAGCAGCTAGGAACAGATTCGATATTCAAGTCAGCACAAAATACCCGATAGGTAATGTTCAGTTCTCTTGAGGAGCCATAGTTTGATCTGTGACAGGACCACCGCGAAGAGCAGAATCTGGCCCACAGCTTGAATCGAGAGCAAAAATGCTGTCTAGATATTAGGTAGTAGTCGAGAACTTGAGATATAGACAAAGACGAATGTTATCGTTTTGGTTCTGGGAAGTATATACCTTAAGTAATTACTAACTGAATCTCAGATATATGTATTACAAGATTAGCTCTGGCATGGGGCGAGCCATTTCGGTAACAATCAGGGCCAAGAGGCCAACCAGGAGACCTGGCTGCATGCCCAAAGTGCGAACACCGTTCTGGATGTTTTGCGGAAAGCTTTAGTACAGATATCCGAGTGATTTGACGACGTGTTATGTTCAATTTGCAAAGACAGTGGATAAGAAAGGGAGTGTTAGGTGATACAACAGCAATAAGAGGGAGGAAAACGAGACAGTGTCACAAAGGTAGTAGTACTACGCGCAAATTCATTGGGTCGATCTATTCAGAGCTGTATAGGGCTCTGTGTCAAGGCGGATGGATTGTTGTGATTCATGAGATACTTTAATAGGATCGTGATTAAGGATAGATGGTACCACAACCTGACGGGGGATAGCCCCATGGAGGCAACATATAAAACTTCACTCAGCCGCTGTTCTCTCTGTTATCCCCTATCCAAATACCAGCATACAAGATTACAAGAACACAGATAAGTCATCCACACCAATCACTCCATCCCATTATGTGTCGATACGTCACGGTCAGAGAATTATGCCGGGGGTGTAATCGTGTAAAAAAAGAGACTCCAGTGACCCACGAATGCCTAACACCAAACGAGGGAACATGCGACCCTGAAGCTTCCGTTAAGGATACTCTTGTACCTTGGCCTGATTGCAGCAAGTGTGTGGCAAGGAAGAAGAACAAGTACAAGCAATGAACGGAATGAATACGAATATGTATTTGCCTGATTGTTACTTGCAAACATGTCCTTGAAGCTGGAATCTATAGGACGTAATATTAGCATTTATTTACTCTGGACTCTCTACTGGTTCGCGTGACACCTTCCTTTTTGAATCGCGAAAGCCGAGGTCTAAGTATACTATAAAGAGATCTTGTGAGGAATGCTCAGATGGGATGTTAGGTGACGCGCTGTTGATTGCTGAGATCATTCCAGGTACGTACGATCCAGTATTCAACCTGACAACAGTCTTGCGATGTGACATCGATACTCATGAGATTCCCTGAAATGGATTGAAACTGAATCAAGTTGACAAATTTATATAAATACCTTGGCCTATCCCTACACTTTACTAGACATAATATACGCATTCATCCGAAACTCAATATCGATATAATAGTTTTATTATTATCTATTATACCTCATCAAAATCTCCGAATGAATGGATAGCACAGACGCTTATGCTCAGGGTGCCAAATACTTTGGCCAGATTTCACCAAGAGATCTAAAAAATCTAGAACACAATGCTCAGAGAGCAAGTTCGGCGCAGATGGCAGAGGCTGCAGCACTACTTCAAACAGCGTTCCATGGTCAGAAATGTGCATGGTTTGGAGGTTGGGCACTCAGGCTCCGAGGATACCAAAGAGAAACTAGCGATCTTGATCTTCTAGTGTTAGCTAATGATGTTAGCCAAGTCAGAGCCAGACTCGCCCCTTTTAACTGGTATGTTTTATCCCTTCAAGCTGAACTTGCAGCGTATAACCGACTCCTAGGGCTATCATATCATACTATACATTAACGGGCAGTACCCAAGAAAGAATGTTCGTGGATATTGGTACTGGAAAAGTTATCGCTGTCGATATTGTACTCTCAGGTATGCATGATCAAGTCCATCCGTCACCCTGAGAGATTCCAAGGCGATTGTTGACAGGAATAGGCCAGCTCAATACGCCATGTCTAGGATCCGAGGACTCATTCGAGATGATCAGACCAAGCTTCTATATACCTCAGGTGGAACAGGTCCCCGTCATTTCCTTGACGTATTAGCAAGTGGAAGGAAAACTGTGGGCCTGGGTCTCAAGAAGAAAAACTTCAGATTTTCAGGATCTCGTTTTTTTGGGGCAAACATACGCAAGTGCTATACGAGCGTGGAGTAAACATCTGCGAAAGGACTGGCGAGAGGAGTTTTACTGGATTTTCGTAGTATAGGTGACTGATTCGATAGTTTGCAGAGATGTGCAAAAGACGCTGTGTCTCGAGCAATACTATGAATGTACCGAGGGTTTTGTCATCTGAGACAACGACAAGGTAGCGGTTGAGACAAATGCAAGACAAGTTAAATTGCCTGAGGCATCTAATTAAAAGTTAAGACTCTGGATCTCACCCTATACTCATGGTTTTCACAATAATCATTGATCAGACAGCGAATATGGTCTCACTGATGGCTATTGAAATATGTAAGAGGTTAAGTTTATCGACGTGCAATACTACAATGTTCATATTTCTTTCCTGCTGACCTTCAGATTTAATAGTCTTTAGAGAAATATGTTATCAGACCAATCCGGAAAAGTAACAGGCTCAAGCAAAAGCTCTTAACAGCCACTTTCTCATATGGATAGGCAGCAACTCCAGTCCTTGCGTGGAGCCTGATAACAATAAAGCTCACATCGTTTCTAAGTTCTTCGTTTCTGGTTTGCTTCAATGAAAAACTCCAACCATGATTTCTATAACACTTCCCGTATTAATTATCGGATCATGGTGTTACAATTAAATGTAATGTTGGTTCAATTCCAGACCTACATACCCTACACTCCAAACAGTTAACAAGGTAATCGAACAAATTTTACGAGATTGATGATCACCGAACCTCGTCATGAAACCACAGTCTTTTTCGGCCCCTCGCGACGTTTCTGTAGCAATAAGAGTGTGTTCCACATGCCAGCCTCATATTTTGAGAAATCTCTGCTTGAAGTGACGGTTCCATTCGTTGAAACCGCTTGAAGCCATCATAACTCTCGGCATTACCCACAGTGGTAGGCAGCTCCACTGGAGAAGCGAGATTGGGCCTGACAAAAAAGTGGCTGGGCCAGATGCAGAGTTTTCAGCGGGAGCCTCAGGCGCAAAGACTCAAGCGCGTCGGCCCCACATCAAACCTCTATAAAAGTTCTGTTTCCCTCTGACCTTTGGACTTTTTTCTTTTCTTCTTTATGTCGACAATACTTCAGTATGTCCCCCCCTACCTACTGCCACTCCACCCGCACAACAGCCGCTAACAACTCTTTCAGGAGAATCATTTCTATAGTATTCGACCTTCTCTTGGTTCCCTAAAAGAGCCACAGATCCCACCCTGGTTGATGAGTGTATATCCTCGACACCCTAGAGTGAATACCTTGGTCCTCTCGCTCTGTCCGCAAGGATGGCGGTGGTTGCTTCGCGCAGCTACTGTATAGAGAGTTTGTTTTCCTCTTGATGATCTCGACCCCAGCTGTGGTCTGCCTTCGGGCGCGTGGCTGGGTGGGTGTTGATGGACGTCTGACAGGCGTGTTTTTTTTAATTCTTTTTCGTTGCTTTCTAGGGCTTGCCTTGGGAGCGAGGAAGATGAGTGAGCATGCGATACTAGTTGTCGTATGTTCGGACATCAGTGACTGAAATGCTTTTGTGATTGTTACCCTTGACTCACTCTGAGATCTGCCATCTTACTCCGTGGCTTATTTCTATTTTTGTTCAAGGAAGAGGAATGCAGCCCCATACTCACCGCGATATACTGGCTCTGAGCTCTTGTGGATATAGCGGTCCATCATCAATGGCCACATGCCTCAACCATTAATCTGGTTATACTTTGAAGCGAACCTTTTAGTTTGTGTCTAGTCAGTCTCAATCAATACAACAGAGCCTCATACGTTGTCTACGAAATATCTCCGTTTTTAAATCTTAATGCATCGCATATCCTTTCCATCGTTTATAGACCAGTGCTTGTCAACAGCCGCATTCGTCAATGATTAAGGTGCTGTTGGTATCTGAATCTGGACTGAAAAACTCCTTGTCTTGACTAGTTCATTGGCCTATCCTATTTGTTCTTATGAGTGTTACCTGCGTTTTTGTGTAGCACCAAGAGAGGTCTAGTAACAAGTATCTCGGTGTGTGCTTCGGGAGTTTTGCTTGATAAATGTGACGCGTTCCGCGTCATTTTCTTTTTGTTTACCAATTTGCATTTTACTATCCCTACTCACAATACACTACCACCCAACTGAACTTTCTACCTTCCCGTTTTTATAGTATATGCCAACTCACTAACACGAAGTCAGGCATGAGAAGCTCACGGCTGCCGTCGCAATAGAGATTCCAGGAGCGATCAATTCACTAAAACTCATCACGACTGAAGCAACACTGGTCAGAGCAGAAGCAGCTCCCCCGCTGGTAGATAGATAAGAGCACATGGCACAGTTGTTCGACGAAATATCCGTGATGGAATAGCGGAGGTTCCCTGACAGTGCGCCAGAACCGCCCGTACCGGGGACTTCAATAGCGACAGCAACGTGAACAGACTGCGGGAAGACCGTACTGGGATACCCTTCTGTGATGTGGCAGTGGTTCGTATGCCCATCCCAGCAAAGACCCTCGCGGTGCATAAACATGCGCTGGTCATCTGGTAGCTCCGTGTTGTCAATGGTGTCTTTGACAATGGCGATGAGCGCCTCTTTCATCATAGGCACAATGTTGGAATCCGCGCTTTCGCAGGTGAAGGTGATGTAGTGGTCGTTGGGCATACGATGCGGTGTCTCATCGCAGAGGGCAGGCTGCCCGTCCGCCTTGAGATATTCGTTGAACCACCATATAGGATCGATGTGCTCTTCAAAGACGACGGTTTCTTTGGAGAACTTCATGTTTAGACTTGGCTGAATCGTAGCTCCACCTGAAGCTCCATCTACAGCTCCATCTGCAGCAGAAGAATCAGACGATGAGCCTTGTGAGGACTCCTCTTGGTTCATGACAGCGTTGAATGCGCCGACTGCTTCCTGGCCTTCTTTGCCATTGGCCGCCGCCCCAGCGGTTGTGCAAAGGAACCAGGATGAAGTGGGCGCTTGGCATACGTTTTGGAGGTTGGAGCAGATGAAGTTTGCGATGGTGGTTATGTCAGACGTTGCACCATGGGGAAAGTCGTTGGTGTTGGAAGGCTTGTAACCATACCCTGCCATGCTATCCTGATCTTGGACGTACGCAATGGTAGGGTTAGTGCATTTGCCAAAGTCAGCAGTTTGACGAGGAATAATTGCACCGTTGGTGAGTTGTAATGGTGCCAGGACCCCAAACAAGGCGAAGGTTGCGACTTTAGCCATCATGACTGAGAATAGTCTGTAAATGATATCAGAGAAGAGGAGAAGTAGGAATTGAAAGTTTGATTTGTGAATTAGTATAACGATTTCTCGTGGCTTTTATGATAACTTCTCGCATTGTAGATCCCCGAGCTCCTGGCTAGTATACAGAAGGATTTCAATACTACTGCTTGAAGCTCAGAACACCCTTGACACTCTTCTATCGAGTTTATTACCCCAAGCAATAGCCAAGCTGGGTACTGTATGTTGCGAAGCATGTCCGGATGTCCCGGCCAAGATCTTTGCAACCCCGGGTTTGGATTCAACACGCTAACGGCATTGGAGGGCTAATGTGTGAAGCATGAGGTCTTTTCTTCAAACTTGTTTGTGTAGTATCTGCCTTGACTACAAGTAGGATGAAACTAGAGAAATTGCCTTGACTAGACGGCACGGATTGCAGAAAGGATCGCCCATACATAGGATGGTAGCTTAACCAAAGCACCTCATAGCCACGATATTCGGCGTTTCATATGATGCCGGTAGATGTTTACAGTTAGGCGTCGAGTTTATCCTCCATCCGAATAGGAAGGCAATTCATCCACTGTCCGTTGTTCATTCTCTATGAAGCCGAAGCTAGCCGGCATTATCACGATTACGCATGTTAACTAATTGGACCTTGGATCAAGGTTACGCAGACATATATCTTACTAAAGAAACCTTATTTAAGCATGAGAGAGGGAATTTAGATCGTGGACTCTGGGATAAGAAGGACAGTAAAGCACAGCATCTGTATAGTGCAGTGAACCTCAGCTTGAGAGAGAAAAGACTCTTCCAACGAGTGGACAGAACTGCACAAAACGCAGTTAGATTTACTGAATGTAAATAGTGAGGCATTGTAAATGGGAATGAAAGATAGATATATACGGCAGATGCCCCCCTTTATGAATTCAGCTCTCCTTTTGTCTGTTTATGGCGCTAAAGGTGGTCTTGCCTGCAGGCTATTGCCAACAGTGCAGTAGAGCTAGTAAGAAATAGTAAAGTCAAAGACCAGCTATAGGTATGTTTCAGGCACAATCGTGCTACCTAAGAAGGGCCATAACCGATTATGTTAGTAGTGTTGCGAGAGAAAGGTCTGATAGCAATCACTATTGATGTTCACCATCACGGTAATCGAGGCTGTTTTGGCAACACTAAGTCCAGAACACCTTTAGTCCGCCACCAAAACCTGTCACAAGACTCCTTCTGTCTATTTACAAGACGTGATTTTGAGAAGACTCAGAATAGTTCACTCACTACTCATCGATATCAGCTGGGTTGTGGATATCGATGTGTATTTAACTCGAATAATATCTTGATTGTGAATTAATGATGTCAATAGCGTCAGGTCCCTACCGCTATCGCCGACCGGGATGACACATTAGTTAATAATACGCCACTTCTGACTCTTGATACAGTCAGAACAGTCCCAGCAGCCCTTATCGCTCCAACTCAACTTCGTAGAACCAAACTGCTGCCACGAGAGACCCTTGAGTTGGAAACCTGCCAAAGCGCATTTACCATACTCTTCAGACCAACCCGACGACATGCAATCGGGGTTCGAGTTACAAAGAGCCGCACATCGTTCCTCAGAATCTTGGTTGGGAAACTTGGAAGGTGCATCGTCCCAAGACCAAGGGAAGTACCCCGAATGTTGACAGACCACATTGCTGTCATCAACCTGCCTGAGCTGACAAACGGCATCCTCACTTGTGATGCTAGGAGTGCAAGCCGCAGAGGGTAGTGCAGTTCGCAGGGACGCGGAGTATTCATCGCGATCTTGGTCATGGCAGAAACACAGATAGCAACTCTGCTCACTCCAATTCTGAGAACCGTCATCATTACCAGGGGTGAATGAGGAGCTAAAGATGGAGCTGGAGGAAAAGACGCATTGCTGTAGGTTTTGATCCCATGCGGAAGCCTTGCAGCGACTGGGCATCTGATTGCACATAGCTACACAGTTTTGATAAGTGTTAATGTTGAGCTGCCAGGGGTATTCATCCTCTCTGAGCGTGAAAATGTTTCTCGAAGTTCCGGATTTGCTGCACTGAGAATATTCATAGTTGTTCTGATCAAAGGTGCATCCATCAGATAAGGCGAGCGTGCATTGAGGCATGGAAGATTCAGTGGTTGTTGGGGCATAAGAGGAGATGAAAGTTGTAAGAGGTTCAGTTCGAGTTGGAGTCATTGTCGTGTACTCCACAGTATGTTCGGTAGAGCTGAGAGCTTGGCTCGTAGTATGATCCTCAGCTGAACAATCATTTGAGCACGACCAGCAACCCTTGGAGCTCCATGGGAGAACATAAGCAGAAGGGTTCTGATCTTGAGCCTCCTGAAACAGGCTGCTTGACATGGCGGTGTTGGTGAATATACACCTCTTTCGCGCATAATCATATGCCGAGGTGCTGCAATCCTTGAGTATGAAACATATAGTTGCACACTGCTCTGAAGTTGTCTGCATAGTTGACTTATCAAAGTCATTGTTGGCATAAGGCTGGAGATCAACAGTGCCAAGGTTACCTATCTTCTCGCAGACAAGATCTGAAGATGGAGAGCTCTGTAAATGACAGTGGGGGCAGGCGGTTGGGACGGATGGAGCAGCAGAGGTGGTGATTTCTGGGAGAGAGGTTGTTGATGGCGCAACAGATGTCGTCTCAATATCCGCTGGGTTCTTGACATTGCAATCATGACACTCGAAACAATCGAAATCATTCCACATCAAAGAATATTGCTTATTTAGATCGATGCCAACTACGCCAAGTGTATCGGAAAGAAATTGGCAGGAGCTATCCTGGTTGATGTCATCCAAAGCAAAGGCTTTGCAAGCAGAACCTTCTTGCTTGCATAGTAGGGCACAGTCTGCGATAGAGTTTTGTCGAGGGTTGCTTGAGGTTGTGCGGCCCCATGTACCGGACTTTGCTCTCCCAAAGGCCCAGCAGGCTCGAGGAGCGGTAGGTCGATCATTATCTGACTCCTGCGGGATTCCGGGCAAGGAGACCGTTTGTGTTACTTCTGGCTGAACGGGTGTGCAGTAGCCGGGAGGTGCGGCTCCAACGGGGCAGACGCGTGAGCCAGTTGGCAAAGAGCTGGCAGTAGAGAGGTCGATAGTGGTTGGGTTCAAGGTAAGAGTGGGAACATGGCTCTCTGGCTCGGTTGATGGGTCTCGGGTAGCAGGCTGAGAGGCAGTTGATAGATCTCGAGTAGCAGGATCAGAGGCAGTCGATGAACCAGCTGTATGTGCTTCATTCTGCGTCTCTGAGGAAGGGCGGATTGTAGTCTCAGACATAGTTGATGGACTGAAAGTGTCAACATCAGAACCTGTAGAAAAGCCAGTCGTTGGGTGCGCAGTATCTGAAGTGACGACATGAGACCCAGTGAGCTTCTCGGTCTCTGTTGACGGCCCATGGGTGTTTGCGCTACTGCTTGATCCCATGGATGTGGTAGATTCAGCCAGCAAACCACTTGAAGTAGAAGAACTACCTCCAGCACCAAAGTCAATCGACACATCGTTGATCGTCTCAGGAGTAACCTGGTTAGACATAAAGATGGAGTCAACATAGATAGCTGCAATTCCACCAATTGGACAATTTATCGCAATTGAGAAAGCACCCTCCGTATTGGGAACATCGGTTTGTTCGACAACAGTATTCCAGTCCGCAGCAGCTCCAATGCTAAGAATCGTCGACGTGTAGAATACATGGCCAGCAATAGAAGCGCTGAGCGTGCAAACATTAACGCTGCCAGCTAGAACCACTGCATAAAAGAAACGAATAGTGTACTTCTTCTTGACATCAAGAGAGTCAAGCTGCTGCGAAATGCTGACAATATTGCCAATGGCTCGCTTGCGCCCGGGAGGTTGGTTAGCAGCTTGCAGCTCGACACAGCCCTTCTCTTTGCTGCCGTCGCCTGTATAGCCCTTGTTCTCAGCAATCTGGACACTTCCTTCAATTGTGAAGTTAGGGATGTTGTTTGGGTTGGTTGGGTCCCTATTGGCAAAATTTCCGTTGCCAATGACATTCTTGACAACGAGGGGTCCCTTTGTTTCTGAAGTCGTGGGGCCGGCTGTCGTTGCTGTTGCGGTGGTGTCAATGGTCGTAGCATGAGGCTTGCATGGGCCAGCGAGGGCAGCATCAAAGTTGGCCAGGGTGGCCAGGGCCGTGAAAGTCAAAGCAAAGGCGGGACGCATAACGAGTGTAGTAGCCGACAAGAGGCGCTGAGAGGGTTGGTAGAAGAATCAAAAGCATAGGCCCCAGGAAGCGGCGCATCGACTACTTATGAGGATACCTCGGACCCCTAATTCGGCGAAGGTGTTTCCGAAGTAAGGGGTCGAGGCCTTTAATTTTTTACGCTATGTTGAAACTATTGACTTGACGTCTCGATCGGGGTCTCGTACCTTTTTGACGTTTGTGAAACTAAAGTCGTTAGACCATACTCTTAGCATTTATCTCGCCGCGTCGCCGGTATCTTTTCAGTATAAGAGTGATAATTGTCACAATAATCGCAGCAGATAAACTAATCTGTACTTGCCAATCTCACATAATAAAGCTTTTCATTTTTCCAGAATGTCAAACATGAGAGAATTCAACCCCTGACTTCAGCTTGAGACTAGCGAATAGCCCCTGTTCACGATAGTTCCGTCAAAGGCTAGAAGCCTAGCGCAAGAGACTATTTGATCTTTTAAATGTGCTTGTCCTGACGTTAAGCCACCGACCGAATTTGGATAAGCAAGCTAGATAAGCATATTAAACCCGGGCAGTTTGGAGCGGAAACCCGATCAGTAAATATCTCCTCATCCATAACTAGCCATCTCAACATTGTCATGGCCAAACTCTTAGAAGGCTCTCCAGGTACAAAAGATCATCTAAGCAACCTGGGATATCTGGCCAGCCTGGTACGGTGTAAAAAGAAAGACAGAGAACTATGAATTTTTCGCATCCTGGGCATTCCATTTATTCATGGTTCTCAGATTTGTGTCCTGTTGGGAGAAAATGGATCTGGGCGATTTGGCATGAATGCGGTGGGTATTTGCGAGAAAACCCACCTGACTGCCGCGATTTTGCTCCAGGGATGGAAACAGATTTAAGTATGCTCAAGTTTTATCTCTAAGTATATTAGCATCTACGCACTACACTAGGTTAATTAAGACATAGCTGAAACTATTAAGAGCAACTATCAAGGCCTTAGCAAGATTGAATAAACATTATATTAATTAACAGCCAATGCCAAACAATAAGTCTGGTCATTATTACTAATAATAACAAAACTAGACGTGATAAATGAACCTAATAACAGAAACTCTTAGCATTTCATTAGACGTTATGGCCCTAGTTAATCTTTCCCTCAGGTTGTTTTCCTTATATCCTTCACTGCGGAAATGAAGCGCTGTAGGGACTGAAAATGATATCCAGAAAAGAATCCTTCACAAATCAACAGCCATGTTAGAGAAGACGCCATAGTCGTGATTGCGGGTTGTTTCATCAGTAGGATAAGCCCCATCGAGTTCGACTATCTTTGTGCCGTAGTTAAAGTCCGGTTTGTTGTAGAATGTGCCAGGATTTGGTTTTGTTAGCCACTCCAAATCAAGGACCAGATCCCACGGCACGGAAATGCCGTAGTCTTGCTGACATCCGAGCTGGAATTGGTCCCATGTGGGAATAGTCACCTCTGGGATCGGGATATAGGTGTTAGCTGTGTCCTCGGAATAGAATGTGCCAGGCATGGGTTCCGAGGGAGCCTTCCAGTCCGGAAGCAGAGTGTTGAAGTCAATCTGCGTTGTAGATTCGAAGGGTGTGGACTGTTGAAGATAGCCATCATCTTTGGAACTTTGTGTAGCCAACTCATCAACGACTGGAATGCTTGCTTGGCTATTTGATTCATAGGCTGGTGTCTTGATACCTTTTTGCAAACACTGTGATATTTGAATGTCGTCCTCGAGGTCAATGGATTGGCTTCGATTATTGGGGCTACAAGCTTGATCTGCAGTGCAGGCACATCCTAGATCGACGAAGACTTCGCCGGCCGAAAAGTCGGTACTAGGACGTGTCGGCTTTTTATCACCGTTGAAGCCCGAAATAGTCTCGATCATAGTAAATACCGTTTTTCCCACAGCCCAAACTCGTGCCAGGTCTTTGATGGCCCTCAGGCACACTCCAAGTCGCCGACAAGCAAGTCTACGGGTAGATGGACTTGGCGTATTCGAAACGTGTAGATGTACGACTATGGCTGAGAAGAGGCTGTGAATGATGAATGGAGAACACCTGAGAAGCTGTTGGTTGTAGCTGAGGACTTCAACAATCGAGGTAATCATGCTTGCAGCGTGAACAGCCCCATCTCGTGATCCATAAGACTGCTTAGTGTCCTCCAGGGCTCTTTTGTTGCGAGGAGAGCTTGCTCGATGGAGGAGACAGCAAGCGCTAAAATAGTGCAATTGTAGTATCGCGGACCAAAAATGATGCCTTGATCTCTCCCAACGCAGGGCCATAGGACACTCCAATAACCATTTGGATAAAGTTGCTCCGATAGAGTTACTGCCTGTGCAGTCTTGACCAAGCTGGGATTTTTTGGAGTATTTCGACGCCACAAGTCCGATAAGCTTGCAAAGCTTCACGTACTGGATGAAAAAGCCCACGTGAATAGGATCTGGCGGATATTCATGGCTGCCAATCCCTTCATACTCGACGAAATCATTTTCGGTCACCATGTCGATATCACAGTCGTCGAGGTTGATAGCAACCGAGTGTCCCAGCGCGACAGCCAACGCGCGATCTCGAGTAAACAGCGTCCACCAGATACGCCTCCGCAGCCTCGTTTCGGTTATTGAGAGACTCGAATGATCCATGTTACGGTGTAAACCAAAATTCTGAGCAATGACGATTGCAGATTGGCTCCAGTAGAACATGTTTTTGGATATGTCGTCAGGACCAGCCCAGTACCAACCCATTAAAAGCATTGATTGCACCAGTGTGATTCTGTCGCGCTCGTAGTCAGCATCGTAGAGGGCTTTTGCGCGTCGATAAAAGGTCGCCACGGCAGTTGAAGTTGATCCGTCTTTCATCAACTGCGGGTTGGTGCTGATTCGAGCGCCGGCAAGTAGGATACATTGGAGGAGGAGTAGCGAAGGAGGATTTTTGGCGTCTCGATATCGCGACATGAATTGTGTACGATCAATGACGGGCACGATCGGTTGAACCCAAGTGAAGTAGGTCTCTATCAAGTCGTCGCATAATGATTTAGGAGGTAAGATAAAAGCTCCTCTTCGTTTTAGGATTTGCATCTCTAGAGGGTCCAGCCCAGCATACAAAGGCATCTGAACTGCATCATGAGGCATTGGGTAATGCACAACAGGGCCATGATTGCCACGGACGAGGAGGTTAAAGCCGGAGGATTCTCCGAGATACACCACTTGGCCTGGGTTTGTGACAGGTGAAACATTAAACTTAGGCAGGGACACAACTTGACCATGATAGGAATGTCCATGAATCGACTGGCTGCTTGCGGCGGGCGTGTTTATGTGGCCGTTTGAGATATCTGTATGGGTTCTGATTATGGTTAGCTTCCAAGACGACAAATCAGATACATAGTATTTCAATGGAGCTCGTACGTGGTGCAGCGCTTCCCTGCTAAGGTGGCAAGAGTCCTGGCCTGATGTTCCCCAATGCCCGGCACCTGGCACTTGACATTGAAGGCAGAACATGTGTTGCAGGGAATGCCATTACTCATAGCATCGCATCGAACCTTGTAAGTTTTAGTAATAAGACTTTCTCTCGTTTTCCAGAAAGAGACGAACCTTTTTCAAATGACACGTCTGACGGATTGGTAAGGTTTAGTTAAAAAGCTGGTTGTAACGCAGGTCAACTTACCACGCATGCTCGAAAAGATCGAATTCGAGATAGTCTGTACCGGTTAGATGGCCCGTCTGGGAGGATTTACGGCCGCACGTATCTACATACCTCTTGTGTCGGGATTGATAAACTGAAGTAGCCATGGCGAGTTTGAGCGTCGCCGTACGCTTGAGAGAATTGAACTTGGCGAGAATATTCTCTATTGGTAGTTGATAGCTAAGGATTGACACAATATTTGGGTTGAACAAGTATAGGGCTGGGGAACCGTTGAGGTTTGTACAAGATTTGGGTTAAACAAGTATATGACGGGGGAACCAATCGAGACTTGTATTAATTGCAGATACTGTGGCATTTCTCTACACATATAGGCATAAAGGCATGGCCGATCACCCCCTAAAGAGCAGAAGACTGCATCTGCCGCCTGACAGGGGCAAATTGAACACTACTGCACCCCGCATTGTCAAAAGGTATCGCTGGCCATCAGCTGCTCTGCGGGCGCAATACGACACTAGCAGTACCTGCTCAATAGACACAAGGCTGATCTCGACCATGAAAAGGGGAAAGAAATGTCACTCCTTTTTAGGCTCCAATATCAGTTGATGTCATTAATATTTCACTACCGAGCGCCTCTCATCGCCTGGTGGCAATTGAGTTTGAATGATCTTGTTTATCGGATCTAGCCTAGACTATGTTTCACTAATTATGACTATGATGACTTTGGCGAACAAGAAACCCCCATTCTGGGCTTGTGCTTCAACCAATGATTACAGGGCCAACCGGCTTTCCCGCGAGGTCCAGAAGGGCCTCGATTAAAGCGCTGGATAGGGTCGCCAGGCCTCTGATGTCAAGAAGGGAGGACACTACATTGTTGGTCTTGCACTGACTCGGCGCCCCCTTCCCGTTCATGATATCAATCAGCCACGACAAAGCCTTTCCAGCCCCAACTATGGCAAGTGAACCATGCTCCGAGATCAAATCTCTATTATACTGAATCTTGGTACCGCCAGAGCAGTAGGTCTTAACAAGATCGTCAGTATCTTTGATGGGGCTTACTTGATCCTGAATCGACTTGTAAATAAAAAGGGGAATGCTAGGGCTGTGTTTGCCGAGAGCATTCTCTTCCAGGATGCTCTTGGCAGGTTCTTGGTCCAAGATGGCTGGGTCCTTGAGCATTGACACCACGTCCTGCGAGAAGAACGAAAGGACATCGGTAACAAAGCATTGCTTCGCAACGGCATCAAACTTGGCCTTGTACTTTGGCAAGACACCAGCATCAAGTATCGCGCCCAGTTCTGGATACTGCTGACCCAGGCCAATCATGCCAGCAGGGATGATCCCAGCCAGAGGCGACTTGTTGATACTCTTGATAACGGATGGGATTTTTGGCACAGTACCACCAAGCGCAGCACCTGCGATACGAAGCTCAGGCGCGTAAGACTGCTGAAGCTCTGCCGCCGCAGCTGACGCGATGCTTCCGCCAGAGTACCCCCACATTGCCACTCTGGGGTCCGCCGCGATGCCGGTGAAATTGGCCGAGTTTATGGCAGCTCTTATACCATCAAGCGTGGCGTACCCTGCAAGCTTGTTGGCCAGATAAGCCGCTTTGGGGCCTTCATGGTCTGGGGAGATCACCACCCACCCCTGTTCGAGAGCCGCTTCGATCAGCAAAAGTTCCGCTTGGGTAACAATGGTCCCAAGGGGCCCACCAGTTGCAGACGCAATTGGAATGCATAAGAAGGAGCACAGCCGATGTATGCGGCATCTTCGGCAATCTGGTACGACAGGACTTTGGTGTAATCGGCTTTGTAGGGGACCAGCACGGTGAGAACAGTGGCGGTGGCCTTGTCAAAGTTGTCGTTGGTTCTGTAGAGAATCTGCCATGTACTCTTCAAGTTGACGGGAGATATGCCAAACGCGGCAATGGGAGCCGGCGGTTTGCGGTAGTTGATGATGGTGCCAGGAGGATAGTCATTGACGTTATCAGGGACCTGGTAGAAAGAGTCCTCGGTGGGGAGCACAGGCAGTGCCGCTCGCAGCTCTTCCAGGGGTGCACTGAGCCCGACAGTGGAGAATGTCGCAAATAGAAACAAGACCAAACGAGGAAACATGCCGAATTATCTGGGGCAGTGGGTTCTTAGTGTTGGGAGTGAGTTTATGATGCAATGAAGAACCTAAGTTAGGATGGTGGTATGGATATCATATATAATTAAATACTTGATACAGTTTACATGAATAGTTCTCCCAAGGGCATTGTGTATCTCACCATGTGAATCCTCGGACAGAGTAACAGTAGGGGAAATTGGTTGAATACTCCTAAGAGAGGAAATTGCAGTCTCGTCCCGGGACGTGCACACGGCGACCCCTGGCTAGCAGATGCAAAGTCCTCGGCGTGGACGCGAATTGCAAATTCCGTCCTAGGGGACAGCGTTAGCCCCGGACGCTAGAGGCTTTAGAGGGAAAGTAAGTTCTCGAGTAGGCCAAGATCGGCCAGGCCAGTGCCTCTAGACCTTTTAGTACCAGGCAACCAGCCCGCAAATACGATCATAATTTAGTTAGCTTTTTGAGGGGAACCATGTTTAGCGCTGCTCCATAGGATACTACTGTAGATCGCGCAGGATTGAGTCTATGAGCAGAAATGTCAAGCTCTCTGACATGTTGTAGGAAGAGTCACATGATTATCAACTAATGCGTTATAGATTGCACACTTTTTGCGTTGAATGAAATTATATTGCAGCAGGGTGGATCACCAGATGTCGAGACACCCAGCTTTCAACCGAGCCTGAAACGATTATGAATTGAAGCTGATGCTTGTGGTGTTATTGTTGCAACACCGAGCAGCAGGTCTTGTTCAAGATTTAAAATGATAGTTGTATAATTAAAAAGAAACTCAGGCTCGGCTACCTATGTGGAGCTTTTGATTCCATAAACAGTTCTTAGATGGACTCTAACGTAAGAAACCAATACGGATGATACTACATATTTCATACTGAGAGTTGTTGTTCTCCTGTCCTTCCTGTAACAGTGCCCTCCTTTACGGAAATCCAACCATTGATTTGGTACAGCCGCGTGAGCATCAGCCGCAAAGATGGCAAACACACACAAATCATTCCAACGGTGATCTCAATCGTAGACCACTTTGAAATCTCGTAATAGTCCCAGGTTGGATTTTGGGAGTCAAGATGAAACCGCTGAAGAAATTGGAGACGAATGATGCTGAAAACGGTCATCCTACACTGTTGTTAGTCTCGATAATCTGGAGTGCCAAACAATTCAGTACGTACACAAGACCAGCTAGGAACATGAGTCCAACACCAAGCATCTTGAGAGGAGAGAGTTTCAACGATCTCACTTGAGATAGTGGAATCGCCAACATCCATATGTCGAGTAAGATACCAATTATTGCATACGACCAAGCCACTGCCTGCATGTTAACACAGGAACCACTATGCTCCCCGTCCCACCGCAACCAGAAAAAGTTTACGGGGCTGCAAGGAAACAAGCCAACTATAAGGAGCGCAAAAGTAAAAAGAGCTGTGAAAACAGTTGTCGCCATTGTGACTTTATAAGCCCTGGGGCAGACTGAAGAAGGAAAGAGACGTAGAAAGAAAACCAGCATCGAGAGCTTGAGCAAATTGAGTGTGAGGGTATAGAAGATGGTCATGATGTAGAAGAATTTGGCAAAGTTGGTAATTTGGCCGAACTCGATGGTCCAGATGTCACGACCAAGCCCATTAGCCACGACGCCGCAAATGTTGACGACAGCACCAAGGACTCCAGAGACTAGAGTCGCTGATATCATGTAGTCGTCCGCTTGGAAGGAATTTGCTTCGTAGAGCTTGAACATAATCCGCAGGAGAATGAGCAGATTTGCCGGGACAGAAAATGCTAGCGCCATTGTGATGTACTCTCTTTCCCTGTTGCGGACAGGTGCCCCGCAAGCTGTCATAGTGGTGTTTTGAGTGACTGTCGTGGAATACCAAGATTTAGTTGGTGTCCAAGGCAAAGGATATCAAGAAAATAAGGAAGTAGAAAGCATTAACTTACATAGAGCTTGCTTGATTGTACACGAACTCCGGATACATATTTCTGCTTCATCTTGCAAAGACGAAGTCGTGCAGATACAAGTTGTATTAGTCGACGAACAAGGAGACGCCGCGACGGCCTCAATCAAACATTTGACCTGAAAAAAGACAGATTAGTAAGTACGCGCTTTTTTAAAGACTTAGTTAATAATTATGGTGTCATACAGCGCAATCAGGCAGGTGGCTCAGCGTGGAAGAAATGTTGAAGGACTGATCAGGTGATCCATCGCATGGGGCGAAGAGCAAGGCGAAGAGGAAGACGAGAAACGCCAGCATTTCAACGTTGGCTAAAGCATAAAGAGAATATACAAAGGATGAGAAAGTTGTCGTTACCAAGCAAACAAATAAAGATTCACTGTGGGACTGCTTCTTTATGAGAGAGTCGTTTCGCGATTTTTCTCTTATGAAAGGTAAATTGTAGCAGAGCTACAGGCATCGACTAGCCACAGAAGAAAGTGTGTTCGCTTTGGCGCGTTTTTGACGTCATTCACTAACTACCTAAAGAAAAGAGTTTCACTACCACACTACGGCGGTTCAATGGGCGCCAGTGGCAAGACTACTTTTTGAAACCCCTGTGGGTGATTCTGAGGAATTGTTTTAAGGACTAGAAGCGGCACAGAGTTCCATTGAAGTAGCAGCCCTCATCTGGAAATGGGGTCGAGAACGGAGGTTCAGAAAGCCGTCCTAGCTTCTCCACGCCATGCCAGAGTTGGCCAATCATATGCTATTGAGAAGGTCTCTCTGCCCATATCTTCCGGTTTTGTAACGCTGCCTGATGCGGGAAACCTAACTCTATCGTCCCATGCAAGCACGCATCGTACAAGTAAGCTAATCACACTTTCTTTGGGAAAGGTATAACAAGGCACAGTAGTTTTGAATCAATGGCTGATCTCAGCGCTGGAATGTTTAGAGTCGTATGTTCCCTTCGCTTAATATCTCTGATTCATAGGTAGTATGGCCAATTATGAAGTGGAAATGAAACCGCGTAAAAGTCTAAACTAAGTTAAGCGTGAAGGCTTGACTACGTGAGCTTGATAAAGTAGTTACCCGGTAGAGATAACCTACTTTTTACTACAATGACTCGAACGGAATTGTAAGCACTGGTATGTATGAACTGTGTGGCTGTGACATTTGATCAAAAATGAAGATTTGTGTTTTCTCTCTGGAGAATCTCATGCTCTCCTACGCATTATACGCTGGCCATAGTCCTAGAGATATGCCGCGAAGCAGTCCGGCAATGTACGAGGCATTAAAGCGGGCCAGACTCATCGCAATACTTCACTAAGTCTCGAAAATACCAACTTAAATACCTGAATCACAGCGTGACGATACTCCGATTTATGCTTCTACTCCGATTCAGCCATGAGTCACATATACTCGATTAACCTTCAAATGTTGGAAAAAAGCCAATATCTTGTCTGATAGTAGAAGTCCAAGACTATATAAAGAAAAGTCACATTCCACTGTTCAACTCCCCCATCAAGACTTGCCTCATAAAATCTAACAACCAAACTCCAGCACATTAGTTGACCACATTCTATTCGTTCACAAAACCAAGTACTCACATTTACAGACATGTGTAACATACGACGAACCGGATCAAAGTGCCCGAAATGCCGTAGGGAGTTCGGCATCACATGCGACCCGCCCGTGAAATGCAAGGAAGCCCGAGTGGGGAAGCAATGCAGAGTCAAAGTCTTCTCGATGATCAGCTTTCAGGTAAGATACTGTCATGTGTGCAGACAAGATCTTCGGGAAATAGTCCTGAGGGGAACTGTGGAGGATGCAGGATATTGAAGAGATAGATAGAAAGGAAATACAACAAAAGATCACTACTTGCCATACCTATATCCTCACCTGATCTACCGGGACTGGGAAGGTATTTGAGTTTCTTTCCCATATACTTTATTTTACTCAGTGCTGTGTGGGAGACGTGATTATCTGGTGTGCGAAAGGAAGGGGATAGGCGAATCATTTACTGACAACAGCAGAGGCCCATAGTCAGACTCCCTCACAATACAAAACCAACGGTCCTACCATCTTTGCATGTCACCGCGTAGAATTTCCTCAACCTGACTTCGCACTAATACAGTCCCAACGAACCTGCTTCTCGACAATGTGTACTATCGTTCAGAACATACAAAAATGCCACGTTTGTGGGAAATACCGTATGCTCGATATAGGCCAAACAGTTCAGTGTAAGGAAACCAAGAAAGGCAAGAAGTGCCAGGCATCACAATCGAAGAGAGATACCATAATTGGATGTGTCAGACTTGCTTTACCGGCAAGACAGCCAACCAAGGATAGTACCTAGGACTGGAACTCTACCAAGACTCTAGAAAGCTTAATACACATACATTCTCCGACCTAATAAGATGAACAGTTGGACTCTAATTATGACCATGCCCCCACATCTAACTGTCAGCATTGCTGCGATTAAGCTATCCCACACTTCGGGTTTGTTAGGGGAGTCACCCCTGCATAACCGTGGATATTGCGGGACACCTGATAGGGCTGCATATGAAGAGTCGATGGCTAGTTTGGTCCCTGAAATCTAGTTCCAAACACACCAAAGCTGATATGGAGCCGTGCAAGCCCTTGATGAGTGGACTGCTGGACGTGGGCAATTGAGTCTTCACCGCTGGTGAGCGCTCAAGATAGCTATCTTGATTCATTCAGATAGACCAATTAAGTTATAATTCAACAAGGCCCATCAACAATGAAACGACAGGCGGATCCATCAGCCCAATTGATGACTTGCTGTAATGATGTTGGACTCTGCGCCGTAAGCTAAGCCTTCAGCTCAGCCCCACCATGGAGATGTCCGCGGACGACTCCGCCAAGATGTCCAGAATGGCGTCCGATTGGCTGCGTGGCCCCCTCAACATGGACCAGGAGATTGGTATAAGAAAGATGAGAGGAGCACGACACTAAGAGGAAGAAGAATCAGCATAACCGAATTTCATACTAGACATAACGCTTCGTTACTCACGCCATCTATTTAAGTTCTTCAATCACCTCGACGAAAACACCTGCACCATGCCTTGTCACCCTAAAAAACCCGAATTCCAAGTCCGAGACATTCCCAGCCTTCGGGGCTACATCGCAATTGTCACCGGTGGTATGTCATCAGGCGAAGGTTCTCCTGGGTTTTGGACTCACTGACAAATATAGGAAACTCTGGTATCGGATATGAAATCACTTTGCAACTCGCCCTACGCGGTGCCAGAGTCTACATCGCCAGTCGCTCAAGCGACCGCGTCAACAAGGCAATCGCAGAAATGAGACAGAACAGCCCAGACCTGGACCTCCACTTCCTCAAGCTAGACCTGCAAGATCTCCAGAGTATCAAGGTCACTGCGGCCGACTTCATGAGCAGAGAGTATCGCCTTGATATCCTCATCAACAACGCCGGTGTAAGTCTGTCCACAGCTCGGTCGAGAATGTGCTAACACATTTCTTAGATCATGGCTAGTCCTTTCAAGTTGACCAAGGATGGCTTCGAACTTCAGTGGCAGACTTGCTTCCTCTCACATCACGCCCTCACTATGGAGTTGATGCCTCTGCTTATCTCAGCTGCACAAGAGAGTGGCCGAATGGATCGCTCGAGAATCGTCAACGTCGCTAGTGATATGGCTCTTCGAATGGGACCTGAGAGTATCAACTACGACGACCCTAATCTCACTGATCTTACCGGAACATTGGCACCATGGTGAGAAGCCTCGCTTTTGTGCCTTGGAGAATGTGCTAACCTGTACTAGGAAAAGATATGGCCATTGCAAGGAGGCTAATATCATCGCAGCCCGAGCCATCACAGATCGATATCAATCCCTCGGTGTGACGGCCTACTCCGTCCACCCAGGCATCGTCAAGTCCGGCCTTCAGTCTCACAACCCCAGCAAAATCTTCGGAGCCGTGAGCAAAATCGCAATGACGGTCGGCCCGACCTCCACTACCCTCGAGGCAGCCTTGAACTCGCTCTTCTGCGCCACAAGTGGCAGAGCGTTTGCGAACCCTGGAAGATACTATGTCCCGGTGACTAAGCTTGACGATCGGGCAAACAAGTGGCTTGATGACCCTCGGGCTGTCAACAAGCTGTGGGATCTGGCTACTAAGCAGCTTAAGGAGCATGGATTCGTCGTTGGAAACTCGCCCCAGTATTACAACTAGTTAGAGAGATTCGAAATTTGGAATGGTTGGAGGATAGCATTTGATATAGTGAGAGTTATATAGTACCCAATATATTCATATTCAATTATGTTGGTTGTTTCTGGCTTTGCATGTTTGACTAATCTAGAAGCACAGAGTATCTCATAGCAAAAGCTCGTATAGTCTCTGGGACCAAACTTTCACTCATTGAGGTGACTGATAAAGCTCCTTCATGTTTCGGCGTCTATCTAATTAAAGAAAAGAACAGTGGATGAATAGAAGGGGAGGCCTGTGCATCAACTATTGCGAGATGCATTATCTCCAACTTTACAAAAGTTCATTGCGGTCAGCCGGCCCTTGTTATTTATCGCAGATCATTTCCATGTTAGCGACGGGTTAAGTCTTTAAAGCGCAGTCGCACATCTTCCACGGCACTTTTATGCCGAGCGTACCTGCAGCGAGCGATAAGAAACCCTCTGTTCATGGTGCATGTGATGAGCGAACTACGATCAACTGATATTCAGGGTCTTGATAACTTAACAGAAATGCGAAAGAACATATTCACACGTTTTTATTTCACAGAAGCCTTAGTGTTGAATCTGTGTGTTATAATGCATTGTTTGTCGAGAGAAGTCAACCCCTGTCGCTTTTGGCATCCCCATGTTATTGATGCGGTTACTGCCGAATGATCGAAAGAAATGCCGCTTTCCCGTCTCTTTCGGCCCATTGACTGTAACAAGCTTGATGGCAACCTTGTCTAAGATCCAAAATCACCTCAATCAATTTGCAGCACCTAACGCTGCAACCCACAGATGGATCCTTTGGCACTATAGTTGATGGCGCCATTGTAAAAGGGTCCTTTCAGATAGGAAAGTGATGGATATATCTTGATACGACTGCCGGATGAAATATCCAGAAGAGGGAGGTGGTTTGCTTTGATATTAAGCGTCTGATCTATCATGAGATGTATTTGCTACCATCACGCTCATTTTGAGGTGTTCCTGGAGAGCTGGCAGTTCGGAAACACGGCATGATGAGGGTCGCGATACAGTCTCACCTGCGATTTGCGGGATAGCGTACTTGAAGAAGTTCAAAAGAATGTAGAAGTCCTATGAAAAGAGACAGAAGAACCTATCGACAAATGACTATATAAGAGCACAGGATGCCAAGAAAGAAGAAACTATCATCACCAAGCTTCCAAAGCAACACAAAGCCCAGTTCTCTCAAGTCCTCCCTATCCTTCCAATCATCAACATGAAGTTCACTCTCCTCTTGGCCGCTGCTAGCATCGCTCTGGCTGCTCCTGGCGCCAAGCTTGTTCCTCGAGACACATCCCCTCTGGTCCCCCGTTCCGCACGCAGGGCCAGATACAGCTCTGCCCCCAACCAGCGACTCTGGTCTCTCGACTCAACCGAACGCAACGACCAGTACTCTGGCAACTGGGCCGGCGCCGTCAAGATCGGTACTGGCTACAACAAAGTCCAGGGCACCATCACCGTTCCCAGCGTCAGCGGCGATAGCGGCTCTGCTGCTTCTGCTTGGGTCGGAATCGATGGCGATACCTGCCAGACCGCCATCCTGCAGACTGGTATCTCGTTCTATGCGGACGGTACCTTTGATGCTTGGTATGAGTGGATTCCCGACTATGCGTACAACTTCAACAACTTTGGCGTCAATGTCGGCGATGAGATCCGCATGACTGTTGACGCGACCTCCAAGACCAAGGGTGTCGCGACGCTTGAGAACCTGACTACAAACCAGAAGGTTACTCACACCTTCACCAACACCCCTTCTACTCTGTGCGAGACCAACGCTGAGTGGATCGTCGAGGCGTTCCAGGAGGGTGGCAGCCAGGTTAACCTAGCTAACTTTGGCACTGTTACTTTCACTGATGCCTCCGTTTCGGGAACTCGCGGTACCAGTGGTCCTTCTGGAGCCCAGATCATTGATATTTCACCTGATCAAGGTCAGACTGTCCAGGCACAGGGTTCCCTTAGCGGCAACTCGGTTACTGTCCAGTATGTCGGCAACTAGTTGAATGGATAGTAGGTGGCGGTTGAATGTTGCTCAGGGGCTGGACGGGGATGGAACATATCGGGAAGAGATGGGAAAGACGGAGAATTGGGCTACATGTGTGGGGCAAGTGGCATTGCGTTCAAGCTAGTATAAATGATAGTAACCAGTATATAAACCTAAATTGCGATTGGAATGTCGATAGTCGTCATGCTCCTTGATTTTTCCATAACCTGTGTCTAAGTGGAAGTTCTCCAATGCTCTTAGCAAATGCCCTATCAATACTCAACTAGTCATGCAGGAGGATCAAACCCAGAACAAACTTATTTGCCAGGTGGGTTGAGATAGTATCACAAGTTGTAGGAAGTATGAATAAGAAGGTTAGGTCTGTATTGGGAAAAGCACTACTATTCGAGCTTCATTGGTACAGTCTTTAGCCGTCTCCCATCACATTTAACCTCACTATATGACCTCAAGACTCACGTTGTAATAGCCTCATTATACGAGTTGAGTGGTATTGAGCGGGTTGAATTTCAATACGTCTGCTCATGCAGCAACAAATTCAGCAATTGCCTACAGAAAATTCCCCACTGGAAGGATTTACCGAAGGCTTCTGTGGTCTGTCGTAGAGAATCACGTGTCTTATTCCGGAACAGCTGCTGAAGTCAGAGTCAAATGTGAATCTGGGGCTTCACGGTATCCTGTAGGATTCTGAATCCTTTGTGCTGACAGGTCTAATCGTCAATCAAGTAAGCTTATCCGCTCGGCTACAAAGGACCCGAATTCAGGAGGAGCGGGGGATCATATATCGCTCAGTAGACAATCATCCCCTGTGATTGCTAGGAACAAGCGTCTCGTCAAATCAAATGAATAAGATATGCTCAAATAATGCCAGAATTCATCACGGCTTGCAAAAAGTTAATATAGAAGCTCGAGAATTGACAGCAGCTTCACTGTGCGTTATTACATTCTAAGCTTGATGCTTTAGTGCTTACGTTAGAACGTTTTCTGGGTTGGGGTATGATCGTCCTCACAGCCCCCAAAGAACACTACACAAAACTGTTCTTTTACGCGAACTTGTCAGAGTTGAGGGGTAAAAGAAACGACTAAATCACCAAATTATAATCAGCATAGCAATGAACACGACCTGCGAGATCCCTCAAGGGAAGGAAGTCCCTAACGACCAAGTCAACGATGATCTACCCACTGCCGAAACCATCAAGATCGCCGATGCAGTGGAGATCCTTGACGAAAAAGGCGAGAAACACACGTTCAAGAGCATTTACGGCGGACCAGAGTCGCCGCACCGTGTTGTCGTCTTCTTTATTCGGCATTTCTTCTGCGGTGTAAAGTACCCTTTTCTGAAGATATGCGACACTTCTAACATTATCAGGCATGTGTGAGCTACATAAAATTCTTGTCTGAACAAGCCACACCCGAAAAGCTCAAAGCGATCAACACTCGTATCGTTATCATCGGCCATGGCGATCCGGGACAGATCGAGTTCTATCGTCAAGACACCGGCTGCAAATTTCCTCTCTACACAGACCCATCTGAGAAGCTGTACAACACTCTGGGTATGATTCAAACGTGGGTTGACGGGCCGCCAAATAAGTACATACCTGATTCGCCACTCTGGGTCGCGTATTCTTCGATCAAGAATGCCTTCTTCAAAACTATTGCAGGATACCCTCTATTGAAGTCGGGGACGGTTAACCAACAGGGCGGGGAGTTCCTATTCGAAGGAGAGGGAGATGAGAAGGTTGTGAAGTGGTGTCACCGGATGAGGTTTTCTAGAGATCATACGGATACTGATGAGATTCTCGAGGTGTTGGGGATCAAGAAAGATTAGGCGGCGAGAAGCAAGATACCACAGAACGTAGTAATTATTTTATTTGATTATGCCAGAAATACACTCTATTCGAGTCACAGGAACATCTCAGAAACTTACACCACGCATAAACTTGGTATGATAATATTTATTGCATCTTTCACCGTAGAGGTACTTAATTTCTATCGAAGACCTTTTGTGCCTGGATCCCATTCGATGTTGATTCAAAAAATCTTCACTGACAGCATACATAATTGCATGACTTGGACGCTTTTGAGTTCAAAATACCATTAAAACTTTACTATTATCAGCATTGCCAGATATTTGGTCATGCACAGGCAGCCAAACCAGTTGCTTGTGAATTGATAGAAGAGATCAAGTCCACAAGATGCAAGAAAAAGGAAGATTTGGGTGACCTGGGCCCTGGATTTTGTTAACGACTACAAATCCCTTCACGGACTTAACGCAGCCGTGCAGAAATGGATATTGGGTTGGCGATCCTGTGTCCAATCCGGTAACAAATACGCGACCCATTTTGCGTAGTCGTGGCCACAGTAACAGAACCAAGAACAACAATGACACAACTTCCCGCATTTCGGTAAGCTATCGATTGTCCGACATCCAATGGCAATAATGTCCGAGCGAAATAGCTGATAATCTTACATGCTTAACGCCCCAATTGGATAACGCCGTCTATAATCTCACATAAGCCCATTCGGTAGCATCGGACCGGATTTTGAACACCTCGGAGGAAATTATGTAAAAAGCAGCTTTCCTATCTTTATTGCTCTTTCTTTCCGAAGCAATACAATTCGAAAAATACCGTGACTATGGAGTTCATCGCAGCGGGCGCAGCTTGGGCGCTGAACAGAACATCACCGCAAAAGCTCCTTAGTCGTCTCGGTCTAGCGTCCCTGTTAACGCAGAGCACTTGGCCAGAGCTATCTTCTAAGTTGTCTCCTCAAGCATCGATTGTGCTGCCGGAAGACCCTTCGTTTGGCAATCTTATCAGCAGATGGCGTGACTGGCATGCACCTGAAGTGGGAGCAGTTGTGACGGCATTTACCGAGAGCGATGTCCAAGAAACAGTAAGTGAACGAACGATAGTGTTAATGATTGGGCGCTCCTGATGTTTTGCAGATTCGATATGCGAATGAGCACAATATCCCATTCCTCGCGCGATCTGGTGGCCATGGGGCAACTGAAGCACTTCAATTAGCCAAGGATGTTATTATCGTAGACATTCGAGGCCAAGACGATGTTCAGATTGCGAAGGACGGAAAGTCTGCGACTATCGGGGGAGGCGCAAATGTGAAGAAGGTTGTTAATCATCTTTGGGAAGCTGGGAAACAAACAGGTCAGTTCTACCTTAGCCATCAACACAGGAGTTAACACATTGCTCAGTCACCGGTATATGTGAATGCGTTGGCATCTCAGCACCCGTACTTGGAGGAGGCCACGGATGGCTGCAAGGTCAGTATGGCCTAGCATCAGACCAGGTAATCTCTGCGCGCGTCGTCCCACCCAACGGCGAAGCTGTCACTGCCTCTGAGGAAAACAATCCGGATCTTTTCTGGGCTCTACGTGGCGCGGGCCATAACTTTGGTATTGTGACGGAATGGGAGTACCGCATCTACAACATCAGGAACCCAGAGTGGTCTTATGAGATCTTCATTTTCCTGGGCGATAAACTTGAGGAGCTTCTTGAGTGGACGCAGAAAATGATGAAAATACAGCCGCCTCACCTGATTCACTGGCAATACATCGTTAATATCCCGGAAATTGATCCTCAAAACGTGAGTCCTTTTCTTTCAGAGTTGGAGCTTCGCTGACAATGATAGCCGGTCATCTGGTATGCAATCATCTCTGATGGTCCTGTTGATGAAGCAAGGGAATACGCCAAACCACTCCACGACATAGGCCCCCTCAATGTCAATGCCGGCGCAGTCCCAATGCCAGATCTAGCCATCATCACCATCATGGGCCAAGACACGCCCGCCTGTGCCAAAGGCCTCACCGGTCTGCGCTATCCCATCGGCCTCAAGACCTACAACGCACCGGCCGTCCGCAAAGTCTTCAACTCCATCGCCGAGATAACGCGCCGCGTCCCCGAACTAGCCGGATCATTCTTTCTGCTGGAGGGGTACCCCACGCACGGCGTCAAAGCAATCGACGCCAAAAACTCTGCATTCCCGCATCGGGATGATGAGATCCTGATCACGTCGTACTTGTCTTATAAGCCCAATGCTACGCTGGATGGCTTGGCGCAGGAGCATGGGGAGAATCTGAGGAGGCATTTGCTAGAAGCTAGCGATGACCCGGAGCATTTACGGGCGTATGTTAATTATGCACATGGTGTTGAGTCGCTGGAGAGCATGTATGGACATGAGCCTTGGAGGATTGAGAAACTCAAGGCGTTGAAGAAGAAGTGGGATCCCGAGAACCGCATGCGATTCTACGCGCCAATTGTTTAACGTGGATGGCCAAGGCAGATTCAGCCCTAGAGTTAGAGGCCTCTTACAGCGTAGCGCCTCTGTAATTAGCAGTCAGCCCTATGCTTGGCACCCCAGTCAATCCACTCCGCCCTCTCTCGGCCCCTCCGTATCAACCCAACCCACCGGAGAAATGGACACATTGGTCACGGCATAGATCCATGGCCAAGTCTCTAAGATAACGGGAATTGAAACTCATGAAATGATGTATAAAATGACACTCTGCAAACAGTAGCCAATTCGTGAGATCACCACGTGACGTGAGCATCCGCGTCAGTCCAAGACCAACGAACAATCCCACTAAGCAATCAAGCTTAAAATATCCCGACTAACCCATCACGAGTGGATTTGTGAAATGTGAGGGCCTCTTCATCTTTTCAATCTCTGCAAACCCCAAGACCCTCATCTCATATCTGCACTTACACTCACGATGCAGCCTCTGCGAGCAACCTTGTCGTGCAGCTCCTGTCGACAGCGCAAGTACGTTGCCCGCCCCTTTTGCTTGTTGCTTACTGAGATGACGCTGACAATACCCAGATTGAAATGCGATCGTGATGAACCGTGTAGTAACTGCGTTGCTAGAAATTTCTCATGTCAATATGCTCCCTGGCCTAGAGGCCGCGTTGCTGCTGCCCAGCGACGTAATAGCAGACAGCCAGATCTGAACGACCGCGTGCGCCATCTGGAACAACTCCTCGGCTCTATTGTTTCCCAACTCCCAGCTGGACAGCAGCAGCAGTCTACCTCAACTACGTCACCCAACATCAAGAGTTCAGCTAGAACTTATGTAACTACTCAAGCCTCACTCCACTCTAATGGCGACGGTTGTGAGGTGAAACCTGGTCGCATGATGGCGAATCCTAACGAAACGATTTATGTCTCCAGTAGTCACTGGTCGGCCATATGCCATGAGGTAACCTTTACTTCTACTAAGACCAAGACCATATCTGATACTGAGCCTTGCAGGTTGAGCATATCCGTGAGCATCTTGATGAGACCAACGAGTCTGCTGACCTGGGTATTGTCGACCAAGCTCAAAGTCAGGTGCCGATACTTCTGGGTCCTGGACGACCAACGCCCAGTCTTGAAGAAATTCTGGCGGATGTTCCACCCAAGAATATTGCAGACAGATTTGTTTCACGGTACTTCACGGGCACAGAGCCGTCAATCAGTACGTCCGTCGTTCAACCGCCGTTGCGTTTGCTGATAGTCCAAAGTGATAACCCATTCAGGAGAATTTGAGAATGAGGTATACACCTTCATCACCTCTTGTGCAATCCCTACTAAAATCTCATAGTACAGACGCTTCTGGGACGACCCTCACTCGGTATCTGTCCAATGGATCGGCATGTTCTTCGGTATCCTAGCAACAGGAACTTACTTATACATCCGCTCGCAAGATGAACTGCCCGAGGGACTAGGCAACCCATTCGAAGTGGCAGAAAGCTTCCAGCGACGCTGCACGGACTGTCTCCTACTTTCCAAGTACTCCACAGCCCCTAGCAAATACACCCTGGAGTCGCTTCTGTTCAACATCCACGGTGAATTTGTGCGTCGTCGCGACGCTCACCTCGGGGTGTGGATTCTTGCCGGCATTCTCATCCGGTTGGCCATGCGAATGGGTTACCATCGAGACGCGGACAACTATCCACGTATTTCACCTTTCCACGGCGAGATGCGCCGTCGTGTATGGGCTGTCATCCAACAGCTTGACATCCTGACCTCCTGCCAACTGGGATTGCCATCACTCATCCAAGAGTCACAGTGTGACACACGTCTTCCGCGTAATATCACAGACGAGGACTTTGGTCCTGAATCCACTCAACTACCCCCACCGAGACCTGAGACGCAGAGTACAGCCGTTCTCTACTCTCGAGTCAAGGTCAAGATGATGACGGTCTTTCGGACAATCTTCAACCAGGTATCGCTTGGCAAAACAGAGAACTATGAGGAGATTATGGCTCTTGATCGACAGCTCCATCAAACGCATCAGTCTATGCCACCTTGCTTCAAAATAGCTAAGCTTGAAGATTGCATCATGGTCCCATCGTATCTTCTCATCCGACGATTCAATCTCGAATTGCTGTTCCAGAAATCACGATGCACACTGCATCGTCACCATATGGCCAAGGCTTACTCGGATCCCAAGTACAACTACTCCAGATCAGCCTGTGTTGACTCAGCCATGACTGTACTTGGCCATCAAGCGAGTATCCTAAAGGAAGTTCAAGTCGGAGGGCTTTTGTACAAGGATAGATGGTTCCTCACCTCGCTCGAGCGCCATGACTTCTCACTAGCATCCATGGTTGTCTGTTTGGAGCTCAGCAAGCCAGACGAGCAGCAGAATCCTGAACTTGTTGGCTACACTCGCGAATCAATGATCGGGGCGCTTCAGACATCTCAAGCGTTCTGGGCTGCTCTAAAGGGAGTTTCTGCGGAGGCACGACAGGCATATGATATGCTCGCGGTGATGCTTAAGGCTGTGTCAACGAACTCGAATGGGAACGGAACGCTTCCGAAGATGTCCCATTCGGAGAAACCCCATGCTCAAGATGGTAGGTGAAATACCTCAAACGCTTATAACTGTTAACTGACGCGTCCAGGAAACATGTTGCCGCCTTCTGACGTAAGCGAGACACCTTTTTCAGCCGAGTTCCAAGGAATTGAAGCTATGTTGAACAGCTCCGATGGAGTTGACTGGGTGTGTGCCTCTTCCGTCTGGAATTTAGTGACTGATGAACTAACATTTCATCCAGGATATGTGGGAGTCTTTGGTCCATATGCCCGAAGACTTTTCCAACTATGAGATGTCAGAGGAACCTTAGCAGTGGTAATATTTCCAAAGCAGAGATTTAAATGATGAGAACAACTGTTATGGCAACAGCCAGTCCCTTAATAGTCTACTTTATACACACGGGCGCTCTGCCTATACGCTATCCCAAGTTATATTGGAAACTATGGTGATAGATATGGTTGCCATGACAAGGGATTCGAAGAACTCCACCAATCTACGTTCCGAAGTAACATTGCCTTCGCTCCCTCGAATGTCCCATTCCCACAGGTGGGAAATTTTGTCATCGGACGATTGAGGATCGTCCCAAAAACCAAAACTTATTCGGGATATCGGCACAGATGAGGAGGTAACTCCACCATAAGTCCATAACATGAAACGTTCATGCACTCGAAACGGACAGGGGATGATAGGTGGAAGAAATCCAGTAATTCTCCGAGCTATAGTTCAGGTACCGATAGAACGCCGATCTCATTATTTATATCACCGCCATGAACCGTGTCCTGCGTACTCACGTTCTGGAGAACGCCATCCCACTCGTCGTGCAAGTTCAAGATGCAGCTCCCTACAGTAACCAGCCTTGTCGCCCTCCTATCCGCGGCCAACGCGCAAACTATCGTCGGTTTCGGTCCCGCATTCTCCCTTGGCCCAACAAAGTCATGGATCCGCGAAGCCACAACGACCCTTGTTCTACCCAAGGTCCCTAGCCCTGCTAAGGACCGCTTGGCTCTCTGGCCTGGAATGGGGACGAGCAGCGACTCGCTGATTCAGGCGCTTGCTGTCGCTTTCTCAGACCCTAACGCGTAGGTTCTAATGAAAGTTAGGGAGAGATTAAGCTGATTTGTCTAGAAACTGTGGTGCTAAGGCTGGACAATGGTGTACTTGGGCTTCGACTCTGCAAGGTGGGAGCGGATATTGACGAGACAATCCAGAAGACTGACTTGATCAGGGACACAACTTGGCGGCAAGCAAGTTCCTGCTGATCCCGGCGCAAAACTGACCATTCACTGTAAGACAGCCTTCATATTCCCCAGAATTCTGCTAAATGGAGATAGACGTCTACAATGACGCAACAAACGAGTACGACCAGACTGTCTCAATCGACGGGACTGTCGTTTCATCTCTTTCAACCAGTAAAACCCCCAAAGCGTACCGTCAAAAATACTTCAACTAATAAAACATAGCTTCTGGACACGCAGAGGGATGGGGAACCGCCGTCGAATGCCAGGATGATGCTTGCGTCGGCACAGTTGAAGCACACAGTAAGTAAGCCATCCACTAATGACGGCACAAAGGAACTAACACGACGAGACTATCTCGATACTACCATCATTCTCAATGAGGCCGATGCCACATTCGGTAACACCCTTGGGCTTAACGAGGCTACGTCTTCGGGTCTTGGTACTTCGGACGGCGGCAAGACCTGGGCTGTCGGTACCATCAGTCACAAAGCTCACACTTTTGCTGTCACCAAATGAGTTAAATGCGGCAGCAAGAGCCTGGGGCCTTTCTGTTTTCTTTTTATCTTCAGGATGGGTTGATAAAACCTTGTGTAAATAGTGTATGAAAACCTTCCCTGTAGGGATCAGTTCAGTATATCACAGACTTCAAGCAAACGGGCCTTTAAATAGCCACTCCCCTATTAGCTTCTGAGCCTCCTTCGTCTTCAGCTCAGCATCCTTCGATAGTCTACTATCTCTGTGCAAGATCTTCATCTTCTGGTAGTGATCATACCCATGGATCTGATCAGGAATCAATAACCAACGATAACTCCCATCCTCTGTCTTCACCTCGTATGAGAATCTCTCATCATCGAGAATGAGCTTTCCTTCAGGACCAGTCTGAGATCTTCCAACAGTCTGGCCCGCCATTTCGATACCTGCCAGCTCACACGCCATTCTCCAGGCCTCTCCAGCTAGCATGTCAAGTTCAATGCCAATGAAGAAAATGTTAGGCGGCAGGGTCTCTTTCGGCGCGTAGATAGGGCTGAGCAAAGGATCTTGTAGATCCTGAGAAGGCAGAGTATACGCCGCGTCAAATACTGGCGAAAGCTGAAGAAGGAAGTCATACGGCTGCGCTCGAAAGCCCCCGAGTGAAGGCTTGTACTGGCGTGTCTGGGTCTTGTATTCTCGCCTTACAGACATGTCGACCACTGGGTACATGGGGATGACAGTCTTGATACGTCGCACGCCATCTCCACTACCACACATACTAGGTAGTATAGAGACAGACAGAGCAAGGTTTCCGCCGGCAGACGAACCCATGAGTGCAACACGGTCTTGGTCAATGGGCAAAGACGAATCAGATAGGATTGCAAGGATGAGTTGCTCAAGATCGTAGATTGGCGTGGGGAAGCGCACGCGTGGTGCTTTGGAGTAGTTTAAAGCAATAACAATGACGGAATGCATGTTGGCGAAGGTGTAGTTAAAGTGATCATCGTCTCGGGGGTCGCCTATGACGAAACCACCACCATGAATGCTGAGGATAGTCGGCAGCTTCTTCTGTGAGTTTGCAACGAACGATTTTGGATAGAATATTCTGAAGGGAGTCAGCTAAAATTCAACTTGATTGCTTGCCCGCAGGAGCGTACCTCATGGGCAGCTTTGGTCGACAAGCATAGGTCTTTATAAAAGTGGGTGCATTGGCGGATGGCAAAAACGTTTGCTTAATCGACAAAACATAATTTGCAGTAGCGATAAACGAATGAAAGATATACGAAATAATTGTGTATATGATAGCAAACGGCTTGGAAATTGGTTCCTTGAAGCGCCGACGGGCTGCTTCTAGAGTGAGCTTATCTGGCATATTGGTCGACTGTGAAGAGGATTGTGAAGGGAGAAGTGAATGAGTTTGGCGAAATGATGAGTATATATATGGCCCCGCAAGTATGCATGTTTACGGCCTCGCTTCGGTAGTATAGGTGTTGAAGTCGTATCACATGGAAGAGAGATTATTGGAAAGATAAAATATTTATCATCCACGGAATAATTAATTGCTGATTGCTCGGTACGGAGTAGTATCGAATGAGTATCTTTTTCCGTGATAATGACCCTTACATCTACTATCAGTCGCTTACTTCTTAGGCTCATCCTTCGGGCATCTCATACCCGACGCTAAGCTTATCTCGGTCCCGAGATGTCCGAAGCCTTCATGTCTCATTTCAAAGCTTTATTCACAACATGCTTCTTTATCTTTTTCAACTTACCTTTACTCATGGCCTCGCTCAGTGAAGAACCGCGAAAGTACGCCTGCACAATCTGTGCCCGCCGTAAAGTCAAGTGCGACAAGCAGCTCCCTTGCTCCAATTGTCGGAAAGCACAGACCCAATGCTCATACGAGGCACCACAGCCGCCCAAGCCCCGCAAAAGGGCTGCTGATGAAGATCTGCTGGCGAAGATTGCCCAGTATGAACAATTGATGCGGGAGAATGGAATTGACTATACTCAGCATGCCAATGTTTGGGTCCCTTCTACCTTGACACCAAAGAGCGAGAAGGCTGCTTCGGTGGTCGATGAATTGTCTGCTGCAGAGGAAACTGAATTGTAAGTGACGCGACCCCAACAGACTGTGGACAGGTTATTGATCGTCTCTTATCCAGATGTCTGTGGTCAAGACTATGCCCGGAAGTAAGTCGCTAAAGAACTGCCACATATTCTTGGCTAACCTGTCCCCAGCTCAAGTATCCGCCAATGTTAAGCCTGCGTCACAGAGATGACCCTTATCTGCACCCCTTACCACCATTGCATACCATGCTCTTCGATTGTGAATCAAGAGTTCATGAGCTTCATCCTGAGCCAAAGCAGATTTACTTCCTGTGGCAAAAGTTTGTCGACGCCATCAATCCTCTCATCAAGATTGTTCATGTTCCGACACTTCAGAAACGCATCCTCGACGCCGTATGGGATCCCGTCAACATACCGAAACCTCTGGCGGCACTCATATTTGCCATATATACAATCTCTGTCACGGCCATGTCGTCTGAAGAATGCATGGCGTCCTTCAACCAAGACAGGGGAACCTTACTCACTCGCTATCGATCCGGCACTGTTCGCGCTCTAGCCGAGGCCGACTTTCTCTCAACTAGAGATCTTGAGGTCCTTCAAGCCCTTGTTCTGTTCATCTTTGCAAATCCAGAGTCGGAGATAGCAAGCACCCTAACAGCATCTGCCATACGGATTGGACAAATCATGGGCTTGCATAAAGCAGACTCTGATACAAAGCTCTCATTCTTTGAGAAGGAAATGCGAGTTCGCATTTGGTGGCAGGTAAAAGGACTCGACTTTCGAGTTCGCGCATCTTCAACACCTGGAATGAAATCAGCAAAATTCGACTTGGGCGACCAGCGAATACCTTTCAACATCAACGATGCCGACTTACATCCAGACATGCTGGAGCCTCAAGTAGAGTACCAAGGGCCTACAGAGATGCTCTGTGTTTTGATGAAATTTGCAACGACTAAATGGCTCGCTTCGTCTCCCAAAGCAATAAAAGTCTTTGAATGTATGACCCCTGGTTTTTCCAAGGCACAGGTGTCAATGAAGGTTGAGAACGAGGTCCTTAGCGAGCTCGAGGCCATTTTTGAGGAAAAGTATCTCTCAAAACTGGACCGATGTGTGCCTTTTTACGATCTTACGTATGTCATGGCAAAGCTGGTCCACGCCCGTCTGCGATTCAAACTTCACCACCCGCGAGGTCGCACAGCTCTCGGCGAGGGAGACGTATACATGAGCAAAGAAGAGAGCGATATTCTTTTCAACGCCGCGTTATCTTTTGTTGAACTCGTTCAAGTTGGCTTCAAGAGCAAGTTCTCGTCCCAGCTATTCACACATCTGAGCTCCACTTACCAGATCGACGCATATATACATGTCATCAGTGAGCTGCGCAGGCGGTGCTCTGGTCCTAGAATTGACCTGGCGTGGAAGTTGATTGACGACCTCTATGCCGAGCACCCTGAGCTAATTGAACATGTTGAGAACTCGCTGTTTTTCGCATTGGGTAATCTGACTCTTGAAGCGTGGGAGGCACGGCGCAAGACGGTCGCTGAGTCTGAAAAGACACCGAGGTGTATTGAAATGCTTTGGAGTAAGCGAAATGTTGCGGATGGAGATATCGGGATGACGATCCAAGGTGGTACTGGACTTGAGGGATGGGAGTTTGATGTTGGAAATGGGTTTGACTGGAATTCTTGGAGTGACTTTTTGCGGTTTTGATAAACTCATCTTTATCTGGAAATTGGTAGCTATTAACGTGGAAAAAACACAAAATCTGACAGTAACGTCTGGGTATTGTGATGCACCAATTCACCAGTATTTGTGTGTGTTGGGTCATCCATCCCTCAACGGATTCTGCATAATATCTTGCCCTGTTCGAAAAGATAATACGAGTGGCTACGCAACGCCCACGTTTCTGGCCCAACAGCTGACACCCTTAATATCCAATGATAAAGCGTAGCTAACGTTAGGTGGTAAAAATCTTGACTTTTGACGCTTCGGAAACAGGGATACATCGCAGCCGTCCGTGGTCGCATTAGCGTAGTTCTCCCCCATTCCAGAGAAGAGGGGGAGGAGAATTAATTTTGTGATCAGCGTTAAGCATTCATGTATTATACATATTGTGCAGTATATCACTGGAGAGAAAGGGAAAGGTGAATGCGGTCTCTTACATATCGAGGTTGATGAGATATCCAATACTCAAATGATGAAATCTTCGGCAGACAGTAGAGAAACGAGACCCTTGATCGCTTCCCCTGCAAGCCCCGCCTGTCATCCTGTCTTCAGTGGACGAGCGTCCCCGTTCATGCACCTCCGACGCCATGTTTACGCCGCAGAACAACATGACTTGTCATTTCTTTGTTTGGGTAACCCAGCACGAGTACATAAGGGTGCAGAAACCCCGCATGCAAAAGCTTTTCTCTCGCGTATCTGACACTCATAATGGCGACCCAAATTGAAGCAGTAGGTGTGACCCTTGTGGGGATAGATCAAAACTGATGCCGGTAGGATCCTGAGCTGGATTTGGGGAATGAGAGTGGGAGTGACATCTCTGCTGAGAGGTACGTCCGTAGGTGGGGTAATTGGGCTTTTGCTGATTTAGACGTAGCGACACTGAGTCAACGGCGTCTATCACGTCAAGTATCTTCGAGCATCGATATTTCCAGGGCAGGGCGTATGCCAATCCCAAATATGGAAGACACTGGTAAGTGACTTGGCACTCCGAAGGCGTCTATCACTGATGATACAGGGCCCCCAATGATGAGGAACAACTCGAAGCTCTTGATCTCATGTATGTTTGATGCTGTGAGCTCTTATGCAGTTGCCATACTGATTTCTCAATGTAGACACCATTGGTTAACACTAATGCTCGATGACAAACTTTTCCTCGCACCCATTGGAGATAATCCCCAGGTACCTCTCATGAGCCCAACTTAGAAGGCTTCTCCTCATACCTTTAAGGATATTCTAGATATCGGTACCGGCACCGGGATATGGGCTATGTGAGTTGAATGAGAACTTTTATTTACATAACTAACACGTCTTAGTAATATGGCAGATGAGTTCCCATCTGCAAAAGTTGTAGCAACAGACATTACGCCAAGTCAGCCAGACTTTGTCCCACCGAATCTCGAATTCCAGATCGACGATGCCCAACAAGAATGGACATTTGAACCTGAATCATTCGACTTTATTCACATTCGATATCTGCAAGGCTCCATCGAAGACTGGGATAAGCTGTACAGCCAGGTGTATAGATGTCTTAAGCCTGGCGGGTGGTTTCAGCATATTGAACCCGATCTTCTGATGGCTTCCCAAAGCCCTGATGTAAAAGTGGATGACAAGCAGTATACCTCTCCGCCAGCCCAGCATATTCAAACACTGACAATTGACCCTAGCATCTATACCCGCTGGGCAAACATCTTCAACGAAGTGGGCCAAAAGACCGGCCGAACATTCGACTTCTCCAACCGCAAACTCGAAAAGCTCGCCGAAACCGCTGGCTTCAACAAAGTAACCTTGCAGACCCACAAGATCCCTGTTGGACGCTGGCCAAAGGACAAGAAGAAGAAGGAGTTGGGCACGTTTGTTGGGTTGTCGTTTAGCCAGGCCCTGGATGGGTTTGTCAAGCTGCCTTTGTGTGAGATTCTGGGCTGGAGTCCAGCGGAGATGCAGGTTTTTGCGATGGAAATGAGAAAAGTGCTGATGAATCCGAAGACGCAGACTGTTGGACATGTGTAAGTTCTACATGATGAAAGGCGAGATGAGAATACTGATTGTGTTATAGGTTCAGTGTTTATGGACAGAAACCCGGGGTGCGGACGGGCGCCCCGGCATCTGAGTAGTTCATGGTAGTATCTCGGTAGTCCAGCTAAGGGATTCATGCGGATTCATGGCTCCCTAATAAATTAGGTTCACTGTGGCCGTCATCGTTTGAGCTATCTTCATCGACATAAATCGCTTTCAGCTATTTTGCTCCAAGGAGGACATGATCTTATTGGTAAGGATCGCACTATAGAGTACCGGCTGTATTACTATTCAGTAATTTTAATTTTAATTCGCCCTAGACATGGCCTTCTTTGCTGCCGCCTTCGAAGTGGTGTCTGTGTCACCCTGATAGGTATTACTATATCAGAAGGTATAAGATCGGCTTTCAAACCCTCAAAATTAACACCACTTCCAAGGAGTAACACTTTAACTTGTAGCTTAGGTGCTCGTTTAAGTATCTCCCCCAAAAGATTTTGGAAATCAGTAAACCATGAGAAGCCTTCTGTCGGCACAAGGCTGTGGTCAATTGTTGCCAGATCGATCACTAAATAAATCTGACCTCTGGCTCGGAGTAATGCCGACCCAAGCAGTTGAAGCCAGTCTTGTTCCGCCTTAGCTCGATGAAACTGTGCGCATTGAAGAGATATAGTGCTTTCGGTCGAACAGCTCTCGGATAATTTGAATGCCTGTAAAATGAGGTGTTTAAACAAATCTGTGGTCGAGGCTTTACCTCCTTCAGTATTATTCTGCGGACCTCGAAGAGCCCAAACTACAGGAATGTTTTTCGATTGCAGTTGCTGTATGATCTTGACGCAGAACTTCCTCGAAGCATGGCGGGCACGAAAACCACCCTTAATAATAGCCAGTTCTGACTCTGGCGCAGAAGACCAAACTTGTAGCTTGGGGGATTGCCAGAACTCATTGGTCGTCTCATGAAGCCGAGCGTGGTCCTGACGCATCTGTAGCGATACGTTGAATCGAAAAGCTTCCAAGGGATCACCAAGCTTCCCCTCGGACATATGTGACATAATCTGTGAGAACTGTAGATCTGAAAGCCTTTGGTTCGTGTCCAGCTGTGCGCTTGACTGTAGAGCCTGGAACACCTCCAGTTTTGCGACTATAGTCTGATTTGTATGTAATAAAGCGCTCGACTGTGTGGCTTGGAATGATTCCAATTTGGCGACGATGGTGTTCAGCTTGAGGCTGATGTCTCTGATTTCCACACGGGCACTCGAGGCTGCTAGTTGGTCGATCTCGCGCGAGTTTACCGCGATGTCCTCCAGCAGGTCTTGGTATCGAAGTTCTGGAGGTCGAGTGATGCTGTGAAGTAGATGGCGTAATTTGCCCTCCTGGCACCATTCATAAGCTCGAATTAAAAACCGCACAAGATTGGCATAGAGGTTGCTAACTGCTTGCTTTACGCGCACAGTTGGATACAGTATGGTTACAAGCTCAACGCGAGGTAGCGAGTCTGCTATTTGTGAGAGGGCTTTTGAAATAAGGCATATTGTTGCTTCATGATTTTGTGCAGCCTCGATCTCATCAGCAAGCTTGCTTCACGGTTTTCACAAGTATCTTCTTCAACTTACTACGAGTACGAGTTTCATCGCCCCCCAAGCCAGTGAAACATACTCAGGATGATGCTGAACCAAAACATCCATGATATTGCCATAATGATGGACCTTCGAAATGGTTCGCTGGAGCCACTTGCTTGCCTTGGGAAATCGCTTCGCATCTGAGTATTTTATGAAAGAGTCGCGAACTAAGATTTGAATATCTTGTATAGTGCTGAAGCCTTTGGAGAAGTCAACCTTCTCAGCATCTTTTGTTAGGTTTGAGGCAAAGCAGTTTAATCCCTCTTGAAAGGCTTGTTGAGCGGCTGGGAATGCAAAGTTCCTGCACTTATCAAATTAATCATTGGAAGTTTATATGACAAAATAAAAAGTATTTGAAATTAGTTCTACTTACGAATGTGTGGTTTGTTGAGTTTGGTTATCAAGTGAATACCAAGTGCTCAGGTAATCTGACATAGGGTGATCCATGGTATAGGTGGATGTAGCGACACTGAGTCACAGCCTGATTTTACCCAAAGGCCAGATTAGCGGATAGGTATAAATACCCCTAAATGTATGTTACTAACTTCACGTATCTTGTAATGTCTTAGCATAGCCCTACCATAGCCCTGTTCGCTTGAACGCTTCAAGTAATGTCGCAGTGCGGCTGAATTGTCTTGTCTCAAATCAAGATCATTCTCCGCTTTCCTTATTCGTCAGCTTAGTACATGACAGGGGCTTTGTGCTTTGGTGTTGATATCACCGGCTTCATCCGTGCCTATCAGGTACCTCAGACCCATGAGCGTGAATAGAATTGCCAAGGCTGGCTGCAGGAATGGTTACGACGCGAGGAATGGTTGCCTTGTTTCCAATCGGCTGCATCATCAAATACCCCCTCAATCTTTTCATTCCTCATTTCGAAGGAGATGTTGACCTGTAACCGTTGTGATCGGTGGCAAGTTAATTTCTTATCTTCATTTTCATCCTTCACCTTATCGCTCACCACGTCAAAGCCTCAGACGAGGCGAACATTCTGTCAAGATTGCTCAAGAAACGAATGAGTCCCCCCAGCGGTTGATTGGGCTGGGCTTGTGGACCCCAAGCGTTCAAGTTCAAGATAACCGAGATCCCGGGGAAAGGTTTGTGTGGCCGAGTTCCTGGTGTTGCGCAAAACTAGGCTTGCTGAAGGTGGCACAAGTGATTCGGAAAAGAGCATAGACGATACCGACAAAGAGGAAATTGACAGCGATAGCGACGAAATAGGTAACTGTAGTGCAAGGTAAACCCATATCCGAACTATAACCGAACTTCTCAAGCTAAGAGACAGGTCCTATACCGATAACAATAAGGGCGAAAACGCGAGTGACTTTGGCAATACCCCATACTCCTACGAAGGCGACGAAGGCGACGAAGACGACGGAGACGACGAAGACGACGAAGACGACGAAGACGACGAAGACGACGAAGACGAAGGCGACGAAGACGAAGGCAACGAAGACGAAGGCAACGAAGACGACGAAGATAAGGACGAGGACGAGGAATCTGTTTACCCGCCCTCTAATTACTCCGAAGGTTCTTTCAACTTAGAACCCTCCTGGCCACTGACCCGCCACATCACCATTTCTCGAGATCAAACGCATGCCAGCTCTTTCAGAAAAGATCTACTTGCCGCGCTCGACCGAGAAGGAGACCCGCAAGAACTAGACTTCCTCATCGATTCGGCGACCGAAAAAGAACAGGAAGAAGATAAAATTGTAGGGAATTGCTCTTGGTTCAACGCCCTACAAGAACAGAAGAAGGTATTCATGTTTGTGCATGACCGGAATAGGAAAATGATGCTGGCGGCCATTCAGGAAGATGAAATAGTGCACGGATCCTCGACTGAGCTTGGTCCAGCGCAGCTTGTACCTGCTTTTGGAGTTGAACATGAGACCGGGAACGACAAGGAACCTGCCAACCCCGAAGCATCAATCAACTTTGTTCAGATCTCCCAGCTGGAGCAAGAGATCCAAAGGTTGCGAATGCTACAAAATTCGCTCAAGTCTACCACCTGGCTTGTCTTACACAAGATAGATTGCGAATCTACCACCTACCTTGCAAAACCCCGTTGGACCCTGAATCAAGGGCCGCCACTCTATCTCAAAGGGAACTCCCCGCTAGCCAACGAAATTGAGTATCTCAAGCATAGGTCTGACGTTGCATTTGTGGTAAACAGACACTATAAGTCTGGGTTCCAGTCAAACGATGTCAAAAAAGCGATGGAAGAGGGATCAACAATGCCCGACCCGAGACCGGTCATGGAAGAAATTCAACCTCGTTCTAAGCAGATGATTGCCGCACTAGACAAATTTGTTTCCTCCCATCCAACATTTAAGGAGAAGTTCCCAGACTGGAGGTCTTATAACCCTATCGATTCACCCTTTCTATTCTGGTATTGCTACCGATCTTCAGGTGTTCTTGAGGGCATGGCAGAGCCTCACAAGAAGCAGATGCTACTTCTTGCAAAGTGGATTGATGGAAACTACAGCGACATACACGCTGGAGTCCAGAGTAAGTTCTCGGCGGGTTATGTATCCGAATCAACAATGCCGTTCTTCGTACAACCTGGAGAAGTATTGCTATCAAAGAATGAGAAAGGCTTCCAGGGGCATATCGCTGAGTCGTGGCCAAACAAAGAGTCGAGCACCTTTGGTTCACCACCCGAGTATTCCAACGAACCTCGAAGGATTACACAACGCTGGTCTGTTAATGTTTGGAGCTATAAGTACGATGGAAAGTTCTATCGTAGCCACAGTACCCTCTACATCAATCTTGAGTTCGATGAACAGAATCCAGATGTCAGTATAGAAAAGCTGAGCATCCTGCCCATGAGATTTGGGAACGATGAGTTTCGTACAAAGCTCGACCGTCGCGCGCGGACTATGTGGGCTTGCAGGAAAAGGAATCTAATCGCCTACAAAGAGAATTCTGAGAGTGATCTCGCTAAAGTAAGTAAGCATTTATCATTCTATTTTCATAACGCTGACATCAGGTAGGAGGGAGAGAGATACATGATCGATTTCAACACATACAAACAACTACACTCAGACTCGAACAAATTCAAGACGACGTATCTGTCGCTAACGAGCACAGATCGCAAAGAAATGGAGGCAAAAATTATGGAATGCGATGATCCGCCCCAGGGCCCTGAGCTGTTTGTCTTCCCTAGCACGATTGTCGGCTATAACCTTCGACAGAAGAAATGGCGTAAGAATGATACAAAATCCTCTTTTATTAACAAGCCCATTGATTGAGATACTGACTTCGTGCCCAGAGGACCTTCAGATCGATCTCATGCAGAAGGTGGACTGGAATAAGCAAGCTTTCAGACACTTGGTCATTGACCAAGAGATCAAGGACATCATACAAGCTCTTGTCACCAGCAAGTTACAAACGGATCAGACGACAGACCTTATCCAGGGAAAAGGAAACGGGCTAATCATCCTATTACATGGAGGACCAGGCACAGGCAAGACCTTTACTGCCGAGAGTGTGGCAGAGCTAGCTGAGAAGCCTCTCTTTCGCGTAACTTGTGGTGATATTGGCACGAAGCCTGAAGAGGTCGAGAAGTATCTTGAGTCGGTCTTACATCTCGGTAAGATCTGGGGTTGTGTCGTCTTACTTGATGAGGCCGATGTCTTCCTGGAGCAACGTACTCTTACAGATCTTGAGCGTAATGCTCTAGTTTCTGTGTTCCTCAGGGTCCTTGAGTACTATGAAGGAATCTTAATTCTCACCTCCAACAGGGTTGGCACGTTTGACGAAGCTTTCAAATCTCGGATTCAACTATCACTCCATTATGAGAGTTTGACGAAATCCCAACGGCGTACCATCTGGGAGAACTTTCTCAATCGACTCAACAACCTTGAGAATGAGAATTTATCTGTTGGTCCCATTGAGGGACGGAAGCGCAAGTTCGAAGAGAGTAAGGAAATCAATTTTGATGAGATTGAACGCCACTTGGCGGATCTGGCAGAGGAGCAAATGAACGGACGACAAATTCGCAATGCGATCACGACGGCGCGACAACTTGCCAGGTTCAAGAATGAAAGCATGACGTATCGGCACTTAGAGCATGTTATTAGGATCTCAAGGAAATTCGATAAGTATTTGGAGAAAGTCAGGGATAGTTACACTGATGATCAAGTGGCAAGGGAGGATGGTCTTCGATAATAGGCTAGCTAGCTTGTGGAGACGTTTATCCTTGATCCAATGATGCTAATTTCTTTTACATGTATGCTGTGATCGAAAATAAAAGTGCAGATACTAGTTGCATCTAGTGGGTAGAGAAATGTAGATTGGAAAAAGTGATACAAGAACGAAAAGACCTACGAGTGGTAGTGAGTTCCTACGATTAAATGTGCGGAGAGCAAGTGTTAAAATCGGCACCAAAACCGAGGTAAAAGTTACGGATGTCGTTTTGATCTGCTGACGGTTGAGAAGCTATTGAGAAACCGCCATTGATGAACGTTATTAACACTGATAAAGCAATCATTGTTCTGAAAAGCTTCATCTTACTCCATATATGTTCATTTTGCTTCACAAGGGGATGTGCCCTGTTTGGAAGCTTGTAGGCAGGACAAAAGTGTGTACTTGGCCAGCACTTGTTCCAGATCCCCGAATGCAAATGGTTCTCAAGTTGCGCTCGTAAAGCAGAACGCGCCAAAGCTATCGATGACGACTTTAGTTACAGACCCGGGATGAACTCATGGGTAGTCCAGCTGAAGGATCTCATGTGGAGGCTGAGTCCCCTAGGCTGTGCTGTGGGATGAAGTGGATGGATATTAAACGTACTGTCGAAGGATTGGGACTGGGTGTTGATTGAAAACGTACCAGAAAGCATTTATAGTAAGACGATGATCCTCATTCATGTGTCATGAGAGGATGAGTATACAGCTGGAATTTATCCTTGGGAACAATTCGCGAACTAAAAGGCCATCTTTGCTTGAGACTACTTGGCTAGCCCAGGTTTAAGGTTGCTGTGATCGATGTTAGTCGCTTCCGCAGAGCCTAGTGATGCAGGGCCAGCACTGCACAGTTTTTAGGCTTCTTTTAGTGCAGAACACGTGTACAAGAATGCAAAAGTAGCGGCGTTCGAGATAATCTTGTTGAGGTCAAAGACACCCGATGATCACCATAAACGGCCAGGCTGGAAATTCGTCTTGAATCCTTGCCAAGAAATCCGTCTCAGCTAAACCCGGAACAAGTCTACGATCCCAATTAACGGTAATCTATTTGAAGCCAAGTCTCACTACCAGCAGACAAACTGCCGCATTCCAAGCCTTGCCACGCTTTCAGATCCTCTGATAATTCTTAGAATCTGCTCGGATTCCCCTCGGACTGCATTCTTCAGGCTCGTAGGAACACCCAATTGGAGTCAATGCAAGGGGGAAATTAGGGGACCCGCTATCGCCTTCGCCACGCTGCATTGTTTCAATAACAATCTAGCGCTTACGCTGGGAAATGATCAGGCTTTGTCTCTATTGTTTCGTCGACGAGTCTCACTCGAACCAAGGAATCGGAAACATTAGACAGGACGCCAAAGACAGGTTCAGGACACAGCCACAAAGCTTCGGCTGCTAGAAATGAGCAGTACCTGGGCTTAGATACCCACGATGTCCGTTGGCATGCTGCGAAAAGTTACTGGGCATGGGACCCCTGGAATGCCCCGGCCTGGATGTCCACCGCTAAACCGAACCCGACATTAGCAGCGCAAGGCATTCCTCTCAGCTTGGTCTAGACGTCAGTCCGTCCGCAAATCCTGCGATCCTTCAAATTAAGCAAGCTTACTATATATGAACTGCACGCCAAGTCATAATGGAGGACTCAATCCAAGCTCATCACTCTTTGTACAACCCTCACCATGCAGCTGACTTCCTACCTCTCCGTCGCCGTCGCCATCCTGGGCCTGGCGACTGCTTCGCCCTCGCCCAAGGTCGCTTGCAACAAGCGCTCCCCTGTGCCTACCCATGAGAATGGCCAGTACGTTGTGAGCCGCGATGTCAAGTTCGCCAACAAAAGAGTCTGGACCTTCAATGGCAAAACCCTTCCCAAGGGCCTCTATGCCAGCGAATATCAAGTTGGAAACACCCACGTTTACACCTCGTCTGGCGTCAAGCTTAACAAGGGCTACCTTGAGCTTACTGTACCTGGTGGCCAGAAAGCTAAGCCCTACAAGGCTGCTGAGATTGCCACCGAGATTGAGAACATCAAGTATGCCTCTGTGCGAACTACAGCCATCCTAAGCGAACCTGCAGGTGTTTGCAACGGTAAGCCTAGCTATCTCTACTCAATTGGCCGTGACTAACCCTTTGCAGGAATGTTCTTTTACCAGTCTGACACCCAGGAGACCGACATCGAGTGGCTCTCAGACCCCAAGTCCCAGTCCAACGATGGCGGCGTCCGACATCTTTGGTTCACCAACCAAGACCGCGACGGTGACGGAGAGCCTTCGCACAAGGCCGTCCTCCCTCCCTCCAACCCCACCTCCACCGAGCACGAGTACCGAATTGACTGGACCGCGAACCTGGTTACCTTCTACGTCGATGGCGTCAAGCAGTGGTCTACCAAGAAGGATGTTCCCAACGTGCCTGGTCCCTGGATCTGGAACAACTGGTCCAACGGCGACAAGGGCTGGAGTGCTGGTCCTCCCAAGCAGAATGCTGTTTTCAAGATCAAGAAGATTGAGATGTACTACAACACTGCTTAACTTGGATAACTGATGGAAGAAGTCATGTGCCGAAAATAGATGTTGGGTTTCTATGTTTGTGAAGCTGGAAGCTTTATCCACGATTTGTTGGAAAGATCACCAAAGTAACAGGATTAACAATATATACTTCGCAACTACTCTACCTATTATGGATTTGTTACCATTCATCTGGTTCTATCATTATTCAGATGAAGTCTTTTCGCCTCTTCAAGCTTACTAAACCGTAAGAACTAACCTGCTAAAATTTGTACCTCAATCAGGCACGGCAGCATACGATATCTGTTGTGAGTTTTCGGAATGTGCACTTCGGCATATAGTGATGAAGAATATACTTAAGAGAGTAGCACAATTGGACATATATGGCAGTATAGCCACTGGCGCAAGGGGCAATAGGCAGAACCTATGCACTTGGGAAGTAATCTAGGCATAATCTAGGCATTTGTCCAAATTACTATTAATCTTTTCAGGCAGTGGTTAAACTACCCACGGTCCTTACCCATCATGGCATCCAGACGCCAGTCCCACACTCCTAGTAATACTTTACCTAGTAGACGAGGATTTGCAGCACAGTCATGAGCTTATGCAGGGCCATACTACGCTACCTGAATGGATCACTACAACTGCTGCTATTTCCATGGCAGAATGTCTAGAAAATTCAAGACTTGCAAGGTATCTTCCGCTGGGTAGATGGGTAAACCACAATGCATCGAGTGATGATGGGCTTCGTTAAGTTGCAACACCCGCGCTAGCTTTGGTTTTAAAACTTCGTCACAGTGTCGAAACTAGTAAAAAGAGTGCTAGTGATTTGTTCGGACTTCATTCCGCCGAGTATTACCATTATTGCCTGTCAACTGCATACGCCTTTTTCGCTTCCAGTGAAATAGGTAGGTAACCACGCAATGTTCGTGATCCTTCGACAAGTTCTTGTATCTAGTCCACCAATTGGGAATAATCAAGCTAGTCAATAATCACTGACATGTGGATATCATTCCTCTTTGGGAATTCGCCGAATCTTGCTTAACTACCTAGGGCCAAAGGCGGTCTTGGCACCGTCTGACTGAGGTGGTCTTACACGCGAAACCAATCACGCGGGTCGGGGGCGGGAGGCGTAGTGGGAAGGATTCTGGTAACCAACTTATATAAGAAGGTCATATAGGGACTGAGGATAGCTTTTTGTACACTCAGAGATTCACCAGGTATCTTGCAGCATCAAAATGTTCATCCAGTCTACTCTTGCTCTCGGCCTTCTGGCCAACGCCGCAGCTGCTGCTTTCACAGCATGTGGCACCACAGGTTCTAGCCAGGCTTTGAAGGCTCTTTCAAAGGACCTTCGTAATGAAGGCTTGGATATTAGAGGGCAAAGGAAGAATGTTGAGATCAAGACATACATCCACGTCATCGCAGCCAGTGAGAAGGAAGAAGACAACTACCTCAGCGTACGCCTTTTCCCAGTTATATGATACGCGAGTACTGACTTTCTCGACAGGACGAGAGTGTGCAAGGTCAAGTCGACACGCTCAACAAGTATTTCAAACCCTGGGACTTTTCTTTCAAGGTAGCCAAAATCAACAGGGTTGTGAACGAGTCCTGGGCAGACCTCGACACCGGCCCTGAAATGCCCGATTATGAGGACGATTTCAGACTTGCGCTCCGCCAGGGAAGCTACAAGGACTTAAACCTCTTCTTCATCAGAAACATGATACCCGGTGGAAAGTGTGAACTCCCCATCCCCAACCCGACGAAGCAAGATGTGATCAACGACGGTTGCATAATGAGACCCAACGGGCCCAGCATCCCCCCTAAGTACGACGACGTGACGGTGCACGAGGTTGGCCATTGGCTTGGGTTGGAGCATACCTTCGCAAACGGCTGCGAGTTTCCTGGAGATTTCGTTGATGATACACCTTATGAAGGGTATCCCACCGGAGGTGACAGTTGCCCCGAAAAGGGCCGTGACACTTGCCCTGATAAGCCGGGTCTGGACCCTGTTGACAACATCATGACCTACGTTGGCCCGTGAGTATTGCCAGGCTAATGGAGTTGGAGTCGAGATACTAACGAAAGACAGAGACTGCGGTCCCCAGAGGTTCACACCTGGCCAGGCGGAGCGCATGCACAAGCTTTGGAAGAAGTTGCGAGCAAACTCAAAGGCTTGAACTTGGCCCGTTGGAAGGCACAGATGCGAGACTCATTGATAGGGAATAAAGAGCAAGAAGAGGCCCCTAATCAAGCAATCTATGCAGGGCCTCATCAGTGGGGCGATGAGAAAGAAGGTGTATACTGTATGTCTCAAACAAATCTCCTGAGACCTTCTTTGTCTGTACTATCTATAGCCTAGATACATATGCAACTAGTCATCGGACACAATCAATGCTGTACAGGAAAGAGTCAAGGGGTTGGTGATTGAGGCCTTGATAAAAGGTTTGCCCTTCGTCGGTATTTCAACGTCCTATAGATAATGAAATCAGTTTGAACTACGGAGTAATCGAAACACATTGTGGTAGGTAGTGTTAGTGGGCATATATATAGGCGATGAAAATGGCAAAAGAAAAGGCTGCGGTTTATGTGGATCGAACACATGACCTTCAGATATCGACTGATAGTGATTGAAGTTTAACTTCAGTCTGACGCTCTCCCAACTGAGCTAAACCCGCTATTGGATAATGCCAGAGGTTAAAACTGGAACCATATTCGACGCTGGCTCGACTGCCCTCCTTCCTTGGAAATTCACATATCGAGAAGCTTTAGGCCAAAGCTGGAGGCGCAATATACGAAGAACACGTTGCTCGTCCCTCGATCAGATTCCATTAATGCAGCTTGCTTGCAAGCTACAAATGCCACGTCGACTCTGTTGAGGCCCGAAAGCAAAAAGTGTTAAGCCTGGTCATTCATTTACTTTTGGACCCTCAGCCAGTCATTCCTACAGTCACGTCCCGACGCGAAAGTAAACATGCAACTTTGCTTAAAGCTATGCCTTTCTCGACCATTCAGGCTCTCAGACTCAGATCTAGGAAGGACGGTGCGTCCGCCATCGTCTAGTCTCTGGGGGTTCAATTCTGCGTTTGGTTCCCAACCTGCTCATGTCCCCCCACAACTAGACTTAGTCTTCATTCCTCTCCTCCTCAAGCACATACGACCATACCTATCAGAGAACTCGGGATCCCGTCCGCTCTCCCATAGATAAGCTGGTAAGGGGCGGATTAGTAGTTGGGTCGGTGACGACCAGCGAATCCCCGCTGTTGTATGTTTTGTCTTTTTGCTTTTATGTATCGTATCATACATATTATGTATGGTCTTGACTAATAACAAGCACCTTCTATCTCATGTAGCCCATTTTTGCTATGTGTTAACTGGTAACCAAAGGTGCGAGTATAAGACTCAAATCTTTCCAAGCATGGCTCCTTGGCCTCTTGTAAGAACAATATGACATATCTTTGCCCCACTCGGAATTTACTACAGCGGTAAACTCGGCCTTGCACAACTCCGAGTAATCCGGATACTGGCCAGACTGTTGCCAGTCAACCAGAGCAAGAATGCTGCAAAGAGACTCTTCCGAAACCATTATGGCACTTGGATTGATATCGGAGTGACTGAAAGCAACAGCCAAATCGTCAGGCAGCATCTGGCAATACGGATCTGCTATGTCCTAGAGCCCATATCTCTTCAAGTGGTGTTCCCAAACGCCGTGCTTTCTCATTGTCGACAGCCAGTCATGAAACTCTTTGGCCGACGAAAAGAACCCAGAGACAGTCTCAAGGGAAAATAGTGTAAAACTGATGCACTCCTAACTGAACGGTCCATTTGTACGACCGTCTTGGGAAGGCAAGGCGATTTGTCATGCAGCCAACAGAGATAACTCCGGGGTTTTATCACCGGGCAGGGTCGCCGCGCATCAAATAATGCCCATGGGCGGACTTTACCCAAGACATTCCGCTAAATCCGAAACCGGCCGGTTCTGACCCAAATACATAGTTGCCTTCTCGCCCATGAAGCAATGTGCTGTAACGTCAATCTTGGGAATGTTCACTATAGCATCAACAGAAACCACACACATCATGTCACAATACAAAAACCTCGTTTTAATCACTGGTGAGTGACACAAACCAACACTTCGAACGAAGTTGAGATCCTGTACCAGGCGCCAATCAGGGCGTTGGCTACGAGACTGCCAAGAACTTGCTCCTATCTTCCGTCAAATACCATGTCATCTTGGGCTGTCGAGATGAAGCCAAGGGCGAAGTAGCAGCAGAAGAGCTACGGTCGATGGAGGATATCAAAGGAACTGTCTCCAGTATGCAAATTGATGTGACAGACGATGATTCAGTCGACGCTGCGGCCCAGACTCTGGCCTCTGAATGGGGACGACTGGACATCCTGGTTAACAACGCTGGTATCGTCTCCATGGCCAGTCCTCCAACACGCGAGACCTTCCGGAATATCCTCGAAACCAACCTCGTCGGCGCGTTGAGCGTGACAGAAGCTTTTCTCCCTCTACTACGCAAGGCTGAGCATAAGCCGCCGCGTCTCATATTCGTCACATCTAGCACAGGCTCTATCGCTCATGCCTCCAATCCGGACTCCCCACTCCATAATCCAGGGGCTGCCGAGTATCGCTCCAGCAAAGCCGGGTTGAACATGCTCATGGCTCTATACAACGTCCGACTCAAACCTGAGGGTTTCTTGGTATTAGGAGTGGACCCGGGGCTATGTGCCACGAATTTCACCGGCGATCCTGAGTCGCTAAAGAACCGAGGAGCGGCGGAGCCTGTTGAGGGGGGAGACCGAGTGGCCCGTGTTATCAGAGGAGAGAAGGATAGTGACGTTGGGAAGGCTATTGGAGTAGATGGAGTAGACCCATGGTGAAGTGGTGTCTGGAAGGAAAGAGATGGTTTAGTGGTCCAGGCCTCGTATGAGGTAGACACTAGCCTGATCAACACTGCCAGGAAGAAAGTCTCATGGGCATTGCTGTCTTTTTTAAGATTCTCGTTACTTCAATTTGGGTCAAGTTCGGCATTTCAACATTGTCATTTCTCCACAGAATTGATTTGTCAGGATAATCAATTCCTTGACGGGAGTGCAAATGGTAATCGCTAGCGAAAACGGAGAAAATACAGACTTGGCGCCTATAGCAAAGAACGCCTATCAATCAAGTCTCCAGTCCCCACTGATGCTGACACCTGCTGACGGTGTGCCAACTTAAATTCCAGATACAACTCACTTCCGATTACCCTTGGCACTCTAACTGCTTTTATTGCCCAATATATTTGCCGATAATATCTGCCTGAAAATGACATTGACTTGGTTCATCACCGGCTGCTCCAGCGGCTTTGGTGCATCACTCGCCCGCCAACTCCGTGCTGCGGGCGACAATGTCATAGCCTCTGGCCGTAATGCCGACACAAAACTCTCCCACCTCAAAGACACAGGCGCAGCAATTCTTGACTTGGACGTCGCATCGTCTCCCGAGGTGATCAAGGCCAAGATCGACGAAGCTTGGGGTATTTACAACGGGATCGATGTGCTAGTCAATAACGCAGGGTATATCTTATCCGGTGCGATTGAGGAGTTAACGTAGGTACTGAGGACGATGAATCGAATAGAGATAACACCAAAGCAGGCAGGAGGATATGGAAAAGTCTTTCCAAGTCAACTTCCACGGACCTATGAACATCACTCGTGCTGTTCTGCCGCATCTCAGGAAGAGGGGATCTGGAACCTTACTCTACGTCAGTTCCCAAGCCGCCTGGCACGCGGATCCTAGCGCATCAGGATATTGTTCCAGCAAATTTGCACTCGAGGGTGAGTATGACGTCCATAGAATATCACATCACTGATCCTCATCAGGCGCTGTTGAATGTCTTGCCAAGGAACTCGCCATCTTCGCCCCAGACCTGAAAGTGCTTCTGGTCGAGCCAGGCTACTGCCGCACACCTGTGTTCAACAACATCCAGCACGTGGAGGCAAGGGTCCCAGAGTATGCACCGTTCAATGAAGCAGTGCGTCAAGCTGAGGCTACGTTGACAGCAAATTCTCCTGGAGACCCCGAAAAGGCAGTTGCCCGCATGATAGACTTGGTCAAGAAGAGAGGGTTTGCAGAGGGGAAGAGTGTGCCTTTACGTGTACCTTTGGGCTCGGATAGTTGGTTTAGAATGAAGAGCAAGTGTGATGAAACGCTGGAAATTTGCAGGGATTGGGAGGAGTTGGCTAAGAGTGTAGACATCTAGGTTGCGTACTGGAAGATTCTAGTAGATGAGTGTTACTTTTCAGCAAAAGCAGACAACTCGACGAATGCCATAAACACAGTTCTTCCTTCTCACCTTTAGCGTTCTACGATATATCTGCACCTGGACCACGAAAAGCAAAAAGAAGGGTCTGGCCGGGGATTGAACCCGGGACCTCTCGCAAGCTGTGCTGTAGGGTGTACCCTAAGCGAGAATCATACCACTAGACCACCAGACCAAGTGTTTCACTGATTGAATCTTGGAGCTCAAATATGGGATTACACGACAAGACGTATCCTGTCTCCGTCCCATCTTTATCGTTCCACCTTTGATCGGCAGACTTGACCGACTTGGCGGACCTCCGTAGGGCTTACCCCGTCAAGGATCATTTATCTAGGCGATGTTTCATTGGTGATGGAGATTTGGATATCCGCTACGGACATGCTAGCTCTAATAAGATTAACCACCTAAGTCGTTTGTGCATTGTTAGTGCCTGTCTCTGACCGGGGCGTTATTCCCATCTTCTTTTGTCTCCTTTCTCGTTCCCATCACGATTCCCTCTTCTTCAACATTCGTTCTTTAGTCACTCGCTCACTAATTCACTCTTTCAATCGTTAACGCGACAATCCAAACTCACCCTAGACACTCTTTATCTACGTCGCCAAGATGCCTTCTTCTCTCACCACCTCCATCTACATCATGGGCGATCCAGGTTACCCGCTCATCGCTGATGTCGTCGGGGCGGATGTCACTGCTACCACGTATGTGTTGAACTGCCAGCCGCCTACAGCCACAGGCGAAAACGACGACGACGATGAAGACGACTACGACTGTGGCTTGTACAATATGACCGTGACAGTTGGACCGCATGCCAGTAAGACTCTTCCTGCCGGCGCCGCGAGCACGGGCAGCTTCGACATGTTCATGAGCATGCCTGATGATGAGCATGATTTCAAAATCTCCCTGCACTGCGACATGTCCAGGACCGTCCTTAAGCAATGCACCACCATCAACATTGGCGGCAACGACGACGGACATCCCACGGCTACCTTCTCTGGCACCAAGGACAACGCGATGATGTTCCCCATGGCTTACGTCCCTATCACGGTCACCGCTGGTGCAGAGCTGCTCGAAGCCACGCACACGGGAGCAGCAAAAGCCACCACCACGGCTACTGACGGCCAGACGGCTGCTGACGCCACCAAGACCGGGGGTGCGTCGAGTGCGGAGAGCGGAACTGAGACTTCTGGTGCTTCTTCATCGGTTGCGCGCTTCCTCGGTGCTTTGTCTGTCGCTGGAATTGCCGCTGCTCTCGTTATGTCGTAAGCAATGGGCCCAAAAGGGGGCTACGGGAATCGGTACTCTGTAGTTTAGACTTTGAATCTTAATGGAGGATTGATGCTCCACTACTCCGCACCGAGACATTGATTGAACTCTGTAGTTGATCTGACAACCACGAATTAAACTACGGCCCGCATCGGACGTTCAACTTGCAACTGGTCTTGTGGGCCATAGTCAATTGGTGTCAAACTAGATCCCCTACAACAGGCACTTCATGAGCGTCGATCCTCCGCTTGAAACAAGTGAAGCGAATGCAGTAAATACTCACAAGAGAACCTCGACAAACAAGCGATCCAACATCAGCTCACTCCACGTGGCGAAAGCGTACCGAGAAGAAGAAAGCTTTTGCGCGGTGTTCTATTAACGAATCAGCACCAAGACCCTATTTGCGCCACTGGGTTAGGTGAGGAAGTCAAACCCAACGACGCCTGATTCAGCCTACCAGGTCTCGACGGGACGGAAGGTTCGGCAAGATCCATTGGAGCGCCGAGCCTTAAATAAGAAGAATACCACATGTCCTGACCTGGGACACAGTTACGTGGTGTGAAATAAGAGTGTGTTCTGCTTCCAATAACTCAAATAGGGTGTATATTTATCATGCCACTCCATCCACCCCATACCAACCAAAACGTAACAGAGTCCCAAATCATCCGTCTAACTCCATGTTATCTCCAAAGTAATACGAGTAAAAACAATAATTCGACTTAGCCCCTTGCCTCCAGCAAAACCTCAGTCTCATTGCATATGGTACTCGAAAGCCGGCTGTGATCCTGGATGGCTGGTATGCAGGGAAGGATCACTAGCCGACAGCTGTCCATCATATGAAGAGCTGTAAAAACCATCCCCATGACCATACTGGTGCATCGGCTGGGGATACTCCTGAGGCTGTGCCGCAGAAGGATCCCAATCTAACAGGGGAGGCTCGCCCGCGAATAAGTTGGGGTTGACCTCTAAAATGGCCATACTCGCCTCGTGAAGCTGGGCAGTAAAGCCTCCAGTCTGCCCATCAGCTACCTGGGCCTGGTTGCCTTCCGCTGGCAACAAGATCTCCTCGGCCGGCACTCTACCGACCTCGTCAGCAGACAAGGCGGTAAACTTCTCCGGGCAGAACTTGCGCTCTAGCTTTGGGCCCCCATTGTTCCTGGCTCCTGGTGGACGCCCACGTGGGCGAATCCACCGCAGGTCCTCTGTAAGAGAAGTTAGTTTCAAGGTTGTTTGTGTGAGTGGAATGACAGTCTTTTACTTACCCATGTGCTTCCCCGGCTTGCACTGCTCCGATCTGTTGCCTCGAATACACTTGAGGCAAGCAAACTTCTGGCCGTTAAGGTGTCGGCCCTTTCTTGCCTTTTGGATCCCGGCAGAATTGGCCATCTCGAAAAAGTAAAGTTTGAGATGGTAGTCGAAAGGAATAACTAGAAGTTTTTAGTTACGGTATAGTACCAAAACTTGTTAGTTGTGAAGTAAATACCTAAAGGTTCTTAGCTGTAGCCTGTCGAGTTTATTGAAGAATCATATGTGTGTACTTGGTATGATGACGAGAAGGTTCACTTGGGATGAAGAGGAGGAGAGAAAGGACAGGGGTCGAAAAAAATCACTATATATACTCGATGGATCTTTTAAGTTCACCACTTTATCACAAGAGCCAAAGTATTTCACTGCTAGAGAAGAAAATGAATAAGGAAGTTTATCTGTACGAAGAGGAGTTGCGCCGGGAAGGTGCCGTGTTCGCGGGGTACATTTGTGTGTGGGTGAATTATTATTTTGAGTTGAATGTAAGGAAAGACTTGTGGATGATTCCTGCAACAGTGTAACTTGTACAGAACCTCACCAGTCTGGTTCTCCTCAACCTCTTGTTGCTTGTAGTAATCTCTCCGCGTTCTCTTCTACCTTATCAGGAGAGATTGCTCATTGACATCGAATCTGGTAACTCGTTTGAGAAAGGGATCTGGCTGTCCCAGAAGGTTGTTCATGTCGACCGAATGTGCCTACATCGTGACACACCAATTCTAATTCCCGCGCACATATCCCTGACACTAGCCACTGTGTACTTCGGCCGAGAACTCAGCCAAAGTTATTTGTGTAGAAAGGTGGTGAATTCAACACTATTCAGCCAGTAGTATACTCGAAGCCCATAGTATCACCAAATTGCTATTTACTACAGGCAGTTGCCCGGGAGATTTCCTTCAAAGTGTTCGTGGCTAAGCTTGCCACATCTTAATTCTTGTACTCTGATATCTATTCGTAGTACAACCTTGCATCCCATTAACATTTGACTTCACATTCGGCCTCCTCCCGGTCATATTCTGATTTCTCTAGCACCAATGGTACATGTTGAGTCTTGATGTTTGGATAGAATTGTCTAGCTTTGCCAGCCATCTTTTTCTTCCTTTCTATAAACCTAATCATTTCTCCACCCACAGAGTTCATTCTCTCCCTATAAAAGCTCGCCCTCCTTCCTCTTTTGCAATTTCCATTTCATCACATTCCCAAATCTCACCAAGCTTCAACCTTTAGTATCAAGCCACATACCATTTCTATCATCCAAACTTCTTTCCTCTCATCTCCCCGGCACTACCAACCACCATGGCCCGTACAGACATACACGGAAACCCGATCTCTTGCATCAAGTGCAAGACGGGTCACAGGGATAATAGCTGCAACGACAGCCACCCTGGTAAGTTCACCACTTTATCTTATCCATCTACTTCAAAGCTAACTTTTCTCCAGGGCCCTGCTTCTATCGAGGGAAGCGGGGACGCCCGACAAAGGGCGAAGAAGGTCGAGCCGGGGACCCGTTGGCTGTCCCTGACTGCCTTCTTCGGCCTTCGTCGGGTGTCCCTGGGGGTCCCGCACCTCTGCCGTCGCCTCCAGCTCCTTCTGAGGCTGTGGGGTACCCTCATCTTGGGAATAATGACTTTTCTGCCTTTGCAGCACCAGCAGAGGCTTCCTCATGGGATTCGGTTCCCAGCAGTCTGGGTGGCCCTGGGCAATTGCCCATGGTCCCTCCGCCTACGCCTCCTTTTGAGGCCGTGAGGCACCCCCAAGACGTGGGGAATGGCCACGCTGCCTTTGTAGCACCGCCATATTTACCCTCCCCCGCTCCCTCTCCCAGTGTCCCTGATTTCTCTGGGCAATTTTCCGTGGCCCCCGTGTGCCAGCCTCAGATCGGGGGTAATGGCTACGATTTTACTCTGCCACCACAATCATTCCCTCAGGCTCCCTCTCTCAGACATTTGTGGGCTGTAGACGAGCCCACCGCCCTTGTTTCCGATTTCTTTTCGAAAGAAACTCCGGCGGGCACGGAAGACCAGGGCCCCCAAGACACAGAGATGGCTCCCAGCGTCTCTACCGCCCCTCGTCTTCCGGACCTTTCTACAGAGCCGGCTGCCGCTTTCCGGCCTGGCACATGGGGGTCACCTACGGGGTTCATGTTGAATGAGGATTTCAGTGAGTTGATTAGTTTTGATGATGAGTGAGGAGAAACTTGGGTGCTATTCCTTTCTAGGAGTTTTATTTGTAATTCTATGTAACGTTTGTCGGCTGAGCTGGTCTCTCTTCTTATTTTTGTATTGTTTTTTTAGATTCGTTTTGTTCGTCGAGACAATATGATACCCCTTGAACACATCATGAGAATCCTCCTGACATTGTCCACGCTGTTCTCTCCATGTTTTATTTGTCATTGTGATCTTCAATTTTAAACTCAAGCTGGACCCTAGGGTTTAAAAATGCCACCCCGCTTAGAATGAATGTTCATTTGTGCGTCGACCTGTATAAGAAATAGAGAGCATCAGACAGCTAATAGACAAAATTCGAATGTGATGTTTCTTCCACTACGGGCACGTCTTGGTGGGAGTCCAAGCAAGAGATTGGCTAGAGATGTATGCTTCACATCGATTTACTCTACTAGCGTTAACTCAATTCTCCCGACTGACTGGCGTTGGTAAAGCCAAGTAGCAACAAATTAACTTTTAACGTATGGAGAAGCTGCCACATACTGTATTAAACTTCAATTATGGCATAATGCACTTATAGTGAATGGCTGTACTTCATGGCGACGGCTAGGGCATCAAGCCTAGTTAACTGACTCTGTGCGTGAAGTTAATCAATGTCTGTCGGCTAGGACAAAGGGGAGAAAGGCCTATTGGGACAAAGAGAAGTCAAGGGAGGTCAAGAAATTAACACTTTTTCTGGCATCCGGCTTACTAAAATTATGCGGCAATGCTTCATCGTCCCCAGGCTCACAACAGCTTCCATCGAAGTGTTGATGATAGGCGACTGATCTTACCAACAAAGGATATCCTGTAAACAGTGCCTCCGACTAATTAATTAGTTTCTTTCTTACTTTGCAATATTAGTCTGGCACTAGTCCAGTTATTCCTCGAATGACGGAAGCATGGGCCTTGTCTCCGAAGAACCGAGCGTTGCTTCAATTCTCAAAGCAGCTTCGGAGGGTCAAGTTCCGATCTCCACCTCATGTCATAAACCGGCATCGAAGTTGACTTTTTACATCCCTTGCCAATACATCGTGCAATAATGCTTAAGTAGTCATGTGCTAGCAATCCTCCGTTGCCCGGAATCTGGTCTTCCGTTGTCAGTTACGGATCGGTCCACGGCCTCACGATTCCCCCATGGGGAACCCTTCCGGGCTCTCAAGAGGTCTGTTTTCTGGCCCGAAAGGCATGATATTTCCGACTGACACTGCGGATCACGGGCCGGTCTGTCGATTCACTACCGAGACGAACGTGAATGGGTTCATACTAGTGAATCACTCGTAGTGGAACGTCGGATATTGAGCATAGTGATCCGAACACGCTATGGGGCGAAGGCTCCATGCGGTTAATCACTGGTATATCAGCAAGGACTATGGAATATAAAAGACATTGATTCCTCCCTGAAACGAAAGAGTCTCCTCAGTTGGTCACGACATTCCATAATCAACCCTACATCGAGCATCATGAAGTACCTTTTTGCTCTCAGTCTCCTGACCGGGCTCTCGGCAGCCCAAAACGGAGCTTGGTCCCAGTGTGGCGGAGAGAGCTGGACCGGATCCAAGACTTGTGTCTCTGGCTACAAGTGCACTGTTGTTAACCAATGGTACAGCCAGTGTGTTCCTGGATCTGAGGAGCCTACCACGACCCTCAAGACTACCACTCAAGGTGGCACCTCGCCCACTGGTACACCTGATGGAAAGTTCATCTACGTTGGCACCAACGAGGCCGGCGGTGAGTTTGGCGAGACCAGCCTGCCTGGCACCTGGGGAAAGCACTTCATCTTCCCTGATCCTGCTGCTGTTGATGTGAGTTCAACCTATCCCATACTATGAACGCGTCTAACAATCCACAGACCCTCGTCTCTCAGGGCTACAACAGCTTCAGAGTGCAGCTCAGAATGGAACGAGCAAACCCCAGCTCCATGACCGGTGCCTTCGACACTGCTTACATGAAGAACCTCACCAGCATTGTCAACCACATCACCGGCAAGGGTGCCTACGCCATCCTGGACCCCCACAACTATGGCCGCTACTTCGACAAGATTATCACCAACACCGCCGACTTCCAGACCTGGTGGAAGAACTTTGCCACCCAGTTCAAGAGCAACGACCGCGTTGTTTTTGACACTAACAACGAGTACCACACCATGGACCAGGCCCTTGTCGTCAGCCTGAACCAAGCCGCCATCGACGGTATTCGCGCCGCTGGTGCCACCCAGACCATCTTCGTCGAAGGCAACCAATGGTCCGGCGCATGGTCATGGCCCGACGTGAACGACTCTATGAAGAGCCTCAAGGTTTGTTTACCAAGACTTCATCGAAGTGCTCCGTCGTTAACCAATGTTACAGGACCCTCTTGACAAGATCGTCTACGAGATGCACCAGTACCTCGACTCCGACAGCTCCGGCACTTCAGCAACCTGCGTCTCCACGACCATCGGAGTCGAGCGCCTCAAGGCTGCCACTGAGTGGTTGAGGAAGAACAAGAAGATCGGCATAATCGGCGAGGTCGCTGGTGGCCCCAACGAGACCTGCAAGACCGCTGTCAAGAACATGCTTGACTACCTCAAGGCCAACTCTGATGTTTGGAAGGGTGTTGTTTGGTGGGCGGCTGGTCCCTGGTGGGCGGACTATATGTTCAGCTTTGAACCTCCCAGCGGCACTGGATACCAGTACTACAACTCCCTTCTCAAGACCTACATCTAAGAGATCCTGTTCGGTTCCCATGATGGAGATGCTATATCGTAGGGAGAGGCAGGGCTTTGAGGGTGGTGGTTTGCCATAGGCCGAATCGGATAACAAGGATTCGACAAAAGCTTAGTTTTTGCGCAATTGAATATACTATATGAATCCATCCAGTGGTCACTCAAGTACTGTAAGTTCTGTGACATAGCTAGTCTTTTACAAATAGGGTCCATTTCATTGGTCATGAATCCTACGACACAAAAGACCATTGAGTCTTCTCCCACCCCTTCTTCCTCTGTATCTTCACACCAAACCCCTCCCCGTTATTCTTGGGCTTGAACGCAGCCTGCGAAAAGTCGCAGTCCCTCCCAGCAGGAATTCCAGGTTGGCCAGTCAACATCACATCAAACCCGGCCAGTAAGCATGTCACCAGGCCCAAGTTCTCTGCGAACGCAAAGTTGCGTCCAGGACACAGATTTCGACCTCCACCGAATGGGATATACGCCGCTCGTTTTGCCTTCTCCGCCTCGCTGTTCTCTTTCATGCCGCTTTCCAAGAACCTGTCTGGTTTGAACTCGGAGATGTTCTCGCCCCATACGTCGAGGGTGTGACCCACGAGAGCAGACATCTGTACGTTTTCGCCCCTTTTCAGGAGGTAGGATTTGCCATTGCTGTCTGTCACCGTCGTATCTTCGAGTACTCTTCGGTTACCGGCCGCTTGATTACTTAGACGAATAGCCTCGCGGTAGCAGCTGACTAGCAGAGGGCACTTCTGGTCCAAGATGGTGACGTCAACGACACCTTTGGCATCGCCATCAGTCTGCACAACAGGAAGAACTTCCTCTCTCAGACGCTCAACGAGTTCAGGCCGGTGGAAGATGTGAAAGAAGAACCAGTATAACGTAGGAATGGTGTTTGCTGTTCCGACCTGGAGCAGCGCGAGCTCGATATGGCCGATCTCTTCGTATGGAACGTTGTGCTTTGCGAACGCTCCTGCACGACTTTTCACGATCTGGGCTGCAGCCTCGTGTTCATACTTGCGGGCGCCGTAGTATTTTCCTAAGGCCGCTTGGAGCCTTGCTCTCGCTTGATGCGCCTTCGGAGCAGTGATGGATGGGAAGATGTTAATTAGGAGCATATTGAGACCGCTCTCGAACGTCCTGCGAAGGTCAACACTCTGACGTTACACCCAGGGGGTCACTTACCAGAGATCGGTTGCCAAGCTAGGATCTTCTCTCAAAGGATTCTCCGGACCGTACAAGGCTTCCGATGTCGCCATGGTAATACAATCACGAAGCCAGAGCCACAGGTTCGGGTGTTCCAAGTCACCAGAGTCGCCAATGTTGTTGATGTCATCTGCGATACAATTGAGAGCGTTGGCGTTCATCCGATGAAGATGGTCTCCCGTCATAGCCGGATGAATGACAGAGAAGAAATCGGGCACAAGACTTGTTGTCTTGAGTTTGTCGGAAGTCTCATTGGTGAGAAGGAGTTCTCGCTGTGCGAACTCCGCAGCATATGGTTCAAATGAAAGTGTCTTCTTTCTATAGGCCGACTGGACGATAGTAGGATCGAAGATAACATAGAGCTTTCCGCCAAGAATAGGTAGAGTGGCGATCTGTCGGCGGGAGCGGTCGCTGGAGTGCGCGTTAGTCATTCCGTACCCGTTCACGCAACATACACATACTATAGCATTTTCATGTAAGTATTCTGATATTTCAGAAGCCCTATAAGGTGTCCAATGACGGGGATTCGAGGCTGGAGCAATGGCGGTTCGCGCTCATCAAGCGATGGAAATGAGAGCTTGCGCAGCACAATGGCGATGAGGATTACACCCAAACCAATAAAGTAGCTGCCCGGTGAGCGTCTGAGATCATTGGCCAATGAGCCTAGCAGGCCATTGGAGTCGGATGTGATGTTCACTGCCATCTTCAAGCCTGGACGTCTAAGTTAGAACGATGGGCAAACCCCAAGAGAACCAAGTTTGAGGCGACACAGATATTTATGGTCAAGAAGTGGCGGGAGCTAGCCTCTGCACTATCCGCGGGGCTATGCTAAGGTACCTACCGTAGTTTAGTGAGGCATAGGATGAGACCTGCTTCCCATTCCAGATAAGCAAGTACTTCCTTTTGCCGCTAATTCCTGAGATTAGATACGCCCTGCGAGGACGTCTTACTTCTGATACTGCGAATCATCGTAGGGAACAGGACAAAAGGGATCCACAAGGCGCACCGGATTTCCATGAATTGGCACAGCACTCGCATGGAACTGCGGTTGAAGGATTTTAGTGAATATTGAAAACAGGACATATCATTGGCTACTGGCCTGTTCTTATTCGGATTCTATTCAGCAACCAATGGAATGAGGCGCTATGAGGCTTATCCCCTGCTGAACAATCCTTCGCTCGAAATACCGCTTCAATTCACGATGTAATGCTGTTCCCTGCACCATATAAGACCTAACGTTAGTGACTAGTAGGGTAGGTTATTAGCAATCACATTTCTCGTTGCGATGCAATATTTCGTCTCCAAACGGTTTCAATAGAGATGTGATGCAGGACCAAGCTATTATACCAGCTACCACCAAGGTTCAGTATCTATGACGCGTAGCCAGATCTGTCTGGTATTCACCACAGACATGGCAACTTCGTACCTATTTATCAATTACATTTTATTTCCTGGGTCGGTTACCATACCATGCAGATATCTTCTGCCACTGTGAAAATGTTCTTGTCAGATCACACCTTATTGCTTGTGCAGATAAGATCTTGGTTCCTGACTATGCCGATTGGGGACGGACAACCCAGAAGGATGCATCCAGTACGATAGATAAAGTGGCAATGCGTCTTGTTCTGCCTAAATATATTGAGCTGGTGGCTGTTGGTATCCCAAAATCTGGCTGGAATCTTACCAAGGTCGACGTGTACCGAGATGTGTCGAGATCTTGCGCTTTACTAAAAGCCGAATGACAACATCGCCCACTGTTGGTCATGTTCAGTGCAGTAGTGACCATAGACACAAGTTACACACTCAAGAGGTAACTCGTGATGATTTCGATGTTGAGCAGTTCCGTGCAAGGTTTCCGATAACAAGACAACTACTGATATACATAATGACAAGAGTTCTCAGAATGTATCAAAAGTAGCAGACTTAATATGTAATTTTGGATAAGAGCATATGACGTTCTACAGTAAACACAACCCATCATGATTTAGATAACCTTATGTCAAACACATGAGGCTGTCGTCACCTTTGCAGTCTCATTGTAAACATCAGTCGCAAACGAGTGAGAATGCCCATTGTCACTCGCTCGTCCAATCCTAGAATGGAAAGGCTGAGAGCAGAGGTTCAGTCTCCCATAACCAGAAAGCTTCCCAGCTAAGATGAAGAATGTAACCAAAGAGAGACTAGGGTGATATGAATAGGTCATCAATATTGCAATGTCTTAGTGCGTTGACGATGTGGATTAGTGGTATTATGTATATAACCAAACGCCAGATAACAACCTTGAATAGCTCATTGCATCGACTGCAATACACTACAGAATGAAGTCATTGCGTTCCACGTGAGTAAAGAACAGAAGTAACATCATGTATTTATAAGGATAAAGTTGGTATCGAAAAACACACGCCTCGCTATTATGCCATGTTTATGTATGTACAGGTAAACGTCCAGGCTAAATTCCCTACGTATCCGCTCATCGCAACATGCCCTTGTCATGAAACGACATGGAGGTTCGGATAGCCTCATGGTCGAGTTGGTCGTTGGACTCCATCTGACAAGGCTGTGACAAGTCGATAGCTGAAGGGATCGAACTTGCAACGTCGCCTAGTTTCAGACTCCAGGTGTTTGCCGAGCGGATATGAGACACGCCACACTATTCAGATAGGGCCGGCATCTACGCCAGTTCGTGTCTCTGATGCTGGCCCGTCGACAACTCCTGAGGCATCTGCTCATGCGCCATCTCCGACGGTGGATGCGTCTGCGTTTTATCACCCGCGTAGGTGCCGCTGTAAGTAGTGTTGGGAGTAACCACAATGGGAGAGTTGTCGTGCTTGTCGACTGAGTCGCTGGTACCAGCAGCATGGTACTTGCGCTTGTTGCGGCGCCATAGGAAGAACGCTGCCAGAGCGAGGGCGACAACGCCAAGAGTGGCGCCTACAGAGATGCCAGCTATGGCACCAGATGACAGGCCTGTGCTGCCGCTGGCTTCGCTGGTCGATTCGCTGGTCGACTCGCTGTTGGAGGAGTCTGAGGTGTCGGTGCTGGTAGTAGAGGGTACTGTCGAGTCGGAGCCGGTCCCGGTCGTAGCTGTGGTAGCATCCGTCGATGAAGGAGGCTGTTGCTTCAGTCAGCCAAAGAACCTTGGTAGAGAGGTTTCAAGCAGGATAACTTACCGCAGTGTAGAGCGTGGAGTACATCTCGTCATCGACCTTTCCAACGCTGCTCATCACCCAATGTTGTCGAAGCTGTTCCCCCTCCAAGTTGGAGCTCATGAAGACAGGACCGCCAGGGATGCAGTCGAGATTCCAGCCTTCGCCAACATCAACATTTGTGAGGCGGTACTCGCCTGAACCCCATATCGCCACGTCCCATTTCTGCGCGTCCGTGTCGTCGATGGGCATCAAGCACGGTCTCGTTCTCTTCTTCTCGTCTATAACCTCTTTTGCTGTTCGGTTGCATATCGATAACTGTTTCTTGAGGGTCGTGTCGGAGCATCGTATTTGGTACCGGCCAGGCGTGTTGCTTATTTTTTGCTACATGGTGTTAATAAAATGGGCGATCTTGCAGGCTAATCTAGTGTAACATACAAACTGCCAGTAGGACTGCTGGTTCGCGTCCCATACTCTCAAGTCACCGCCGGGAGATGTAGGTTGGAGCATGGACTTGAGGTCCACATCGTCGTCGTCAACCGCAAGTTCGGAAAGTTGGTACCAGACGTTGGAGTCGAGATCGGTCGCGGGTTTAAGCTTTTCGGACATTTTGGAAGATATGGCCTCACCAACAACAAGTGGAGTATGAAAACAGGACAAAGGGGATGATCAAAGTAAAGAAGGAGAGTCAGCGGGAGGGGTGGAAAAGGGAAGAATGAAGAAAAGTAGGCCGAGTGGATGTTGATAATAACAGGCGACAGGGTAGGGCTGAGTGGTGGCTTGGGGGCCGGTTTTGCCTTGTCAACTGGATCCTTCTTGGCGGCTTACTGTGGGTTATGTAGACTGTTTAATCTCAGGATGAAGCAGCCATTGGTTCAATCTTAAAACGCCCAGGCACAAATTTGCCTAGAGGGTGGGCGATCAATGGAGCTTTTAATGCTGCGACACCAATTGAGTTGGTCAAGTGAGCGAGTCCGCCTTGTGGCGTCAGCGTGTCTTTACCGCCTAATTTCTGCCTCGGGGTTCTTAATTTGACGTAGATGTCTTTCTTCTTCGACTTTAGAAGAGCTACTCACTATGATCATGTCACTATGATCATGATGTTGTAAAGAGCTATTCTCACTATGGACACTGTCACTCCTACGGTTAGCGATAGAGTAATCAGGCTATGGACGGATATACTGACCCGGTTTGTTTGCCACAGTAAGCATGATCTCATTTGTTGATCCTTCCCAATCCTGCTGCGGCCCCCAACAGCCAAGATGATCTCTACCATGTGCGAGAGGAATACCAGCATCAAAAATTTAGTGTGCAAAAGTTCCGATGAATTCTTGCTCTTATATCCTACTTTGAATAATATAAATCAAATAAAGTCTAATGGGCTTCTTCTTGATCCAGCCCTACACAATCTTATCCCGATTGTACCTAAATTCTTGTAATTCTATGTTATTTTATATTTATGAGTCGCTCATTGTGAAGGCCTTTGCACCGGCCTGGTACCAATAACACGAAGCAAAATCATACCACTCGTATGCATGTGAGACGTGAGATTCTGTTTCCACCGGTCGCGTCTCTTCAATCAAGTTCAATGCAGTTTGTCAACCTCGACAGATCAACGTGCCAGCTTTTTGTGAACGAGTTTTGCGATGCAGGTGGCAATTGAGCCTCACTAATACTTTGACTGGTATTTAGACTGTAGCCTTAGACATTCCGTGAGCTCAGGAGACTCATGTATTGACTCATTCGACGTTCTGCCATTAAGAGCACTGACTAGGAAAGCTTCAACTTCACCAAGTCCATAGGGCTGTACGGATACGGACTCCGTACGTCGTGACATGGCGGCCGATAAGATAAAACCCGGCACAGTTGTTGACTGTCCCCGATCCGAATTCATATCCACATCGGAGATCAAGTACAGTACTCCGTATTTGCGCCGTATTCCCACAACCTCCAGACATCCTCTTCTGGTTTAGGGTAGGTGTCGACATGCTTCATTTTGTTGCTCGAAAGTGCAGAAGAGTATTCTCCGTCTAAAACATTCGTAGTGAATGCTTGAAACTACTGCTCCAGATTGTGATTTATATTTCCATTTATGTAAATGTAACGTGGCTTTATGAATGACTTGGTCCATGGATTGGCTCATCAATTTCCTACCACATCGATTCCTCGTGACGTTCTGAACATGCGAAAGGCGATTTGGAGTATTAACAGAGGTTCAAGCGTAAAATTATGAGTGGAAATCGCATTTCAACCGCGCGACAAAGAAACAATTACATGCAATATTTCGTGTTGGTCTATGATAACGCAGAAGCTCACGGGGTGAGAAACGGACTCCTCCGTATCAAGTCCACAACAGTTACGGCATAGTCCGTATTTCAGTGGACATTATTATCATTTCCCTATCTTATATCCGTACCCTTGGAGTTTTTAAGCCACTTGATAAGAGATCTCCGGGTCCTCCCCAGATTCGACATCCAAGCCGAGGTAACTCGGTCGCTATGATGCTATCGCGGGGTAAGAATTCGCTATTCGCTTGTGAGTTTTAGTGACCTGCAGCCTGTACGACCTGGCCCATCGGCGCATTGCCCTGAATCTGGTAAACAAATCGACTTTCGAGCCTCACATCTGCCCTCACCTTTACCAGAGCCTGGCCAACCAATAGAGATCGGTCCCTTTCTCCATAGTAATGGCAGCGAATGATGTTGATAATGTAGCATCGATTATCTCACAGCTCAGCGACTTACGCTTCACCGTCACAGACGCGACGTACTTCCAGCTACGTCACTATCCTCCGACAGCTGCTGACAGCAGTGTATTCACGTAGTATGTGACGTGTGACAACGCGACCGCCCTCAATAGCATCGGATTAGTCCCTCGGAAAGGTGACAGGCGGTTGGAGACGAGAGCCTTTCGCGTGTGGTTCGCTGCAGTGTTTTGCGGAAGCGTCACATCGCTGTACTGCTTGTACCAATTAAGGAGGCATGATGCATCGGACGAGCGTGATAGGCAGTCTGTCTTGTGAGCATATAGTTATACGAAGCAAACGCGGACTTTTCACGCGCCGCAGAAAAAGCTGACGTGAGAATGTCGCAGTCGCCAAACAGCCAGCGAGCTGCAGTTTATAGCCAGTATTTTTGATTTGGCAGTTCCTAAGGAATGCTTAGTAGTTTAATTGCCATTTGCGGACACACACATTGTGGACAAGATTGACTGGGAGGTTGATTAGATAAAAGTCAGACGTAAACGGAGTTGGTCGGCTACGGGTACCATTCCAGAAGGGGGACTTGGGCGACATTTGGGATAGCGGATGGCTCGAGCTCAGTTGGACAAAGTTAATACCCGACCTTGGAGCGACAGTTTTTTCGATAGTTTACGGGTAAAGGCCCTCTTCTCGACTGATGGAACAACTTTTCATCGCGTGCTCGGCTGCCAAGAGAGTCCGCTTGGACACCATGGACCTAGGAACTCGGTGATATTCCCGGCCGAGTCTGATAAGTTTGCGTCTTCAAATCACGCAAAGATAATCGTAAAAAAGTCCAGCAATTGAACCGCTGCTAATCTCTAATTCCTCTGTCGCCACATTCTAGGCTCAGGCTTATCAACTCGGTCCAGGGTCTGGAACCACTTAGGCCCCTGAATGTCCCCGCCTCCAGTGCCCTCCACCACGCGACAGCATCAATCGACCTTCCTACTCTGGCCAACAAGAAACGGTATCAGAAGCTTGAAATCGACGCCATGAGACGAGCTCTTGGCTGGCCAATCGTCGGCCATGCCAAGCCGTGTCAAAAAATAGAGGCTGCTGGCTACAGAGGGAGCAAGCACCAGGAACAGGTTAGTGAGTGCTCTTTTCTGACGCAGGGGCTGGACACCAGATTTCACCTTTCGCGGGTGAATGCCCCAGAAAAGGATGGATCGTGTCTCCTCATCCAAGCCGAAAAGGCCGAAATTCCTTCTCAATTCTTATTGCTCCTCCCACTTCCGAAGTCCCCCCCATCTTCTCTTCTGGTTTTTTTTTTATCACTAGACCTTCTCCCCTCTGTCTCGTCTAAATCCTGTGCTGTCGATCACTTGCTTTTTTATTTTTCCTGGGAGAGAATGCGGTGCGGGAACCACGGACCAAAAATAATTCCCACGTTTTAATTACTTGCATCGTCCATCGACTCCACCGCCTTCAAGGCTTGGCGCTGCAACTCCGACTCCACGATCTTTTTGGTCCTTTGTTTTAAGCTTCTTCCCTCCCCTTTTCTCTTACCTTATCATAACATAATACGAACCAAACTCCGGGGAACGGTCAACAACCGAACAATGTCACATGACATCAAAAAGACCACCGACATCAAGGTCGAGGTGGCACTCGCGCGCGATGTCGAGGTTATCGAGATGAGGGCCATGAGCGCGCCGACGCACCAGGACGAGAACCCCACGACATGGGCCATCTCGGCCAAGAAAGCGGCCGAGGATAGCAAGGAGCCCAGCGACTGGATCGACGGCTTCCGACGGGCTGATCGCAGGAAGATCAAGGGCTTGAACAAGCAGTACCTGGCCGAGCCGAATCCCAATGCCGGGGGAGATCGATACTTTGATCTCCAGGCCGCCAACGCAAAGACTGCGACGTCAGCACTTGCACGGGAGTTGAAGGGAAGACATTTGCAGATGATTGCTTTTGGTGGTGCAATTGGTACGTCCGTCTTGGAGCTACTGGTCGTGCATCTCTCGCTAACGATGGTCAAGGTACTGGACTCTTTGTTACGTCTGGCAGTGCTCTCCATGAGGGCGGCCCTGGAAGTGTCCTCATATCGTATATCGTCATCGGCGCACTGCAATATTGTACCATGCAGTCGCTGGCCGAGTTAGCTGTCATCTTCCCCATCGCTGGTTCATTCTCCGCCTTTTCGACACGATTCTTGGATCCCTCGTGGGGATTTGCTATGGGATGGAAGTAAGTACTTAGAACCTGTCCAATACTCTTGGGTGCCCCAAGATGTGAATCTCGAATGGTATACTGACTGTACCAGTTACTGCCTCCAATGGCTGTTCACTTTGCCTCTAGAGATTATTGCCGGTGCTTTCACTATTACTTACTGGAACCCAGATATCTCCAAATCCGTCTTTGTAGCCATTTTCCTCGCAGCCATCTTCATTATTAATCTGTTCGGCGTCAAGGCCTACGGTGAAGCTGAATTTGTCTTCTCCATCATCAAGGTCACTGCTATTGTAGCCTTTATGTACGTTCTGTCCCCACATGCTGCTCTCGCGACTCAAGACTTCAGTCACTAACATACCCAGTCTCTTGGGTATCGTCATCAACATCGGCGGTGAGCCCACAAGTGGCTACATCGGAGGACGCTATTGGATGGACCCGGGCTTCTTCAACAACGGTTTCAAAGGCTTTTGTTCAGTCCTCGTCACATCATGCTTCTCCTTCACCGGCACTGAACTCATCGGCCTTGCAGCAGCCGAGACAGCTAACCCCCGGAAGTCGCTCCCCAGCGCCATCAAGCAGGTCTTTTGGCGCATCACACTATTCTACATCGTGTCTTTGATGCTCGTCAGTCTGCTCGTTCCCCACGACGACCCTAGAATCCTGGATGCCAGCTCTTCCAACTCTTCAGCCTCACCCTTCGTTATTGCTATCGAGACGGCCGGAACGACTGTTCTTCCTAGTATCATGAACGCAGTCATTCTCATCGCTGTCATCAGCGTCGGCAACTCGTCTGTTTACGGTTCATCGCGAACACTCGCCGCTCTCGCCGATCAATCTATGGCTCCCGCTATCTTCTCATACGTCGATAAGCAGGGTCGACCTTTGGCTGCTATCATCTTTGCTTCTTGCATTGGCTTGTTAGCCTTCATCGCAGACTTGAAAGCTCATGATGTGGTGTTTAACTGGTTGCTGTCTATCAGCTCCCTTGCAACACTCTTTACCTGGGGCAGTATCTGCCTCACACATATCCGCTTCCGAGACGCTTGGGCACACGCATCACATACCCTCGAACAGTTACCGTTCAGATCACGACCCGGCACAATCGGCTCATGGTTCGCTCTCAGTGGTTACTGCCTCATCCTTCTGAGTCAAGTGTGGACAGCTGTGTCACCTGTCGAGTCCCAGAAGAACGCGTCGACAGGAGATATCGTGCAGAACGTCTTCCTTCGACTGATGGCGGTGCCAATTGTCTTGGTCATGTACCTTGGCCACAAGCTTTGGTACCGAACAAATTTTGTGGCTCTGGATGATATAGATATCCAGACTGGACGACGGTACTACCGTGTGCATATGATGAGTGATCAGGATAGGGAGACACGCGGGGCGTGGCCGTTTTGGAAGAAGGCTTACCGCTATTTGTGTTGAAAGCGTTTATCTTTGTCTTTTTTACTATTCATCTGGGTTGATCTTGTATCGATAGTGATATGATAGGCCTACAGGCCTTTTTATGAAAGCGATATCTTCGAGTAATGTTGACACTTGTCTTGAGCAAACTTGGTTCTGTCCTTTTGGTGCCTGTTTCTCCAGTAGTGATTGTAACGCTTATCCATAGGCCACTCCGAGAAGTTGAACCTGCTTTTTCTTTTACGAGATAGACAATATCCAAGAGTGAAAGCCATATGTTTGGAAAAATTCGGAAAGAAGGGAGTCCTTATTATGTCTCTCTCAAGATGTACCGCCAAGAAAAGTCGTACCTGGGCCGTGCACCCGCGCGAACCGACGTGGCAGTAATCGTGGGTCTGATCAAAAGTTCGTGCCTGAGCTGCGTCGCATTGCACTCATATATGCAGTATTGCGGCGGTACTCTGCATAAATGAAACAGCTCTGTTTCATTCAAAGCTACCCATTGCGGTTTCTGAGGTGAGGAAATGGAGGAACGTTTGAACATTGCGGAACCGTTTGCTGTTGTAGCGATGACCAAATATCATGCATGAAATTCAACACTGATCGAATAGAACCCGGGCTATGCCATTGCAAACTCAATGAACCTGGGCTATGCCATTGCCAGCTCTATGAATTGGTGTACTACTAGAATGATTCTTTCTCTAATCTCCGTACTGTTACCCAGTCAAAGATATGTAAATCAAAGTTCTCTACCACCTACCATACCAGACTAGTCGAGCGAACTTCAAGGTTTCCACGAGGGATTCCATTCCTCTTCAGCTCATTGGTCTTTTCCCCCTGCCAAGACGTTGTCCTAATCTCAGCAACCGGAGCATTGACTCTTCTGGCAGGCTGGATGGAATATGAAGGACTTTAACCGGGCTGTTGGATCTTCTACCAAGGAGTTAACTAAGCCGTTAAGCATCTGGCCTCAGTATCCAACCTGAGCCTGACCTATGCATTAGCTCTGTTTTCTCAATCTCAGAACCGCAAATCTGTCTCGCTTACTCACGTCCTCCCGTAGAGTGTCATTCTTGGCTGAAACGCTGTTCTGCAGGCATCACGATCCAATGAACCTCAGCGCACAAGGATCTCAACAATTGCCAGCGGAGACCGGGTCCGCTCCCGGGCTCATCATGTCACGCGATTCCGGACGATTTCCCATTTAGCGTTCAAGAGAAAGGAAGAAAAGTTGAGGATTTGCAGCTAAACGTTATTCACTGCTCACGGTCCGAAGCGGAGCATACCCGCTCGGATCAAGAACCTAGATTTGCTTCGCTTATAGCCTCCTCGGGGTGTTACTCCAGCTGGGATCCCCTTGCTTGTCCCGGGAAGAGCAGCCAGGAATTTAACCTATCAGATCATTCACATGTCATTGGTGTCTTGTACGACTGCCACCTCGCGCCGTGATTCCGACAAATACTACCGAAGCTTTCTTGTTCGCTACGCCGCTCATGGGAGTGGCCTTTTGGTGATCAAAGTACCGGCTAGTATGCTTGGCAGTATGCTTGGTTTGAAATGAAGCAGGTACTAATTGGGGAGGCGTAAATGTGTCGTAGGGTCCAAGGGAGGTGATATCGAGATGCAGCATGCAGTGGCTTAAAATCGCTACAGTTGATGTAAGAGGCGAATGTGAGAAATTTCTTTTAAGAGAAGCTGTAACATGCATGTCTCAGACGTGGAGAGGCCCGGTTGGGTGAAGTGCATACAAATATCTACAGCATGTCCTTCGTCAACTGAGGCCGGGACTTTGGTCTCTTCTTTTAGTTCCTGATCTTCAAAAATTGAATCCATAATTCATCAGTGGTAGCCGTGGATTGTCTGTTGGTCCCGTTGCCTATTCTACTGCATGTCAGGTCCTCCAGTCCCTCCCAGCGATGGGAGCCCTTACTTCCCCATCTCCGAGCGAGCGGCGAGTCTTGCCAGAATGCACCTAGGGATAACATCTCCTCTGCTTGCTATCGCCCTGGTTATGTTTGGAGCGAGGATGTGGTTGAGAGTAAGGCCAGTGTGGAGAGTTAGTTGGGAGGATTATTGCATGACGATCGGAGTTGTAAGTTGCGATGCCTTCACATGGTACTACTGCAGGGCTATCATGGCTAACGAATATTCTGCAGGCTGCTGCCGTCGTCGATTTTGGGTTCCTCGTTCCACAGATGTACACATCAGCAATACTCATCACCGAAGACCAACGAATATGGGCACGAAAATACGGGTTTCTCGCTATTCCCATCTGGGGCATTGCCATGATGTTCATCAAAGTCAGCATTGCAATGATGATGCACCGGATCCAACCTAACGTCTTCTGGTGGCGAGTCTTCTGCTTCTTCATTATGGCTATCTTAGCAGCTTACGGTATCGCAAATACCTTCTTCATCCTGCTCCAGTGCCAACCTCTCGAAGCGTCTTGGGATACGTCTGTGTTACAAACAGTGGAGGGAGCTAGCTGTCTTCCTATATCAGGCATACACATCATGTCCAACTTGGGATCTGGCATCAATATTGCGACAGATATCATGCTTTCTTTGGCGCCCACACTGTTTCTCTACAAGTTGAAGAGACCCTTGAAGGAGAAGATTCTCGTGGGTGCGCTGATGGGTCTCGGCATGTTTGCAAGCGTTGCCTCCATCGTCAAAGCAACCCTAGTGAAGGAGTTCGGAATAGCGAAAGACGGCTGGGCTCTCACCAACGCCATCGCAACATGGACCGCCCTCGAGCAGATCCTCATCATGATCGCCTCCTCGGCGCCCTTCCTGAAGCCCCTAGTCCAGACTGCCCTGCACCGGATGGGCTGGACTCTATCGGGCACGTCTGCCGCTCGCTCAGGCTACGGAAATGCCTACCGTGAGCAGCGACAGTCGCGGATTGGAGGAACCAACAAACCGGTTACCTCACGTAGAGACATCTACGGCGGAGACGAGGATCCTTTTGCAGGGGGCGATAGCGTTGATGCGATCCCGTTGGAGGTCAAGGTTTTCGATGTGGGTAAAACGGGGGATGAAAGAACGACGCAGGGGTCCTTGACTGAGAGGTCTTGGGAATCCAGAGAGGAGAGGGGGAGTGAACATGGTGACGGCAGGGAGTTTACGCCGAGCCATGCAGTTTGATAATTAGCACCAGTAATACCCAATTGAATACTCCGTAAAATTTCGTTCTCTATTTACCCGGATAGTTTTTCACTTGGCACTTTTGAGCCGTCCCAAAAGTATCTGCAGGAGAGAAGATCGATTGCCGTTGGAGACTAGTGGAGTTGTTGGCCAGGAACTGGGGATGTTTAACTTGCTGGGATGATCGGATCATCAGAGAATAACTCGGTCAGATATAGGCGAACCTTCCCCACATAATATCAAATACCAGATTCTTTGAAGCGGGCTGTAATTGTGGTACTAGATGCTTGGAATCTCGCATTAATTCTCATTTATGAAGGACATGTTCGACTCTTCGTAAGCACTCAAAGCAAGGGAACCTGGTCAGCCGAGCCCCCGGAATCCTTCATTAAACAAGGCATGGTTGCCTTTACTTCTCCCCTCCCTGCGATTCCCCTGCTTCGCCGCAGTCCAACATGGCGGATCCATCCTGAGATTCTGTTGGAACCAAGCAAGCCGAAGCTCTTTTTTTGGACATTGCGCATATCTTCGATACGACACTGCAGGTACCAGTTCAGGGCCTGGATCATGCATATCTCTGAACCAACAGACAAAGTGGCGCTATTTTGCGAACCCTGACCATCTGGAGGCGAAGTCTTCGACATACAAGAAAGCAGCTATTCCAATCCTTCTTCTTTTGCCGATCACCCATCCTCAAACACTTTCTGCAGCGATCATCTCATCTCTGAGACTCTTGCCCTTTGTCCACGATCAACTTCTTTTCACACCATGGTTGCCATCAAGTCGCTGTGGACTGCTGTCCTCCTTGCTTGTGTGGCTGTTTCTGAAGCAAAGAGCTGCAAGAAGCCTTTCATCCGAAGAGAATGGTAAGTGACGCTGTCACCTGGTGGATGTCGACTGTAAGCTAACTGCGACTAGGCGTTCACTTAGCTTGGGTGATAGGGATCGTTACATCAAGGCGCAGAAGTGTTTGATGAAGAAGCCAAGTCAATCGTCGAAGGCTGATATCCCTGGTGCCAAGAGCCGATGGGATGACTTCCTTGGAACGCATATCATCAATGCTGACGATGTGCACTTTGTGGTATGTACACAGTGACATTTTCCATCTCAAAACATGTTTTTAACCTTAACAGGGCACATTTTATCCTTACCACCGCCTCCTCGTGCATGCCTATGAGCAAGAGCTTCAGACATGCGGCTGGAAGGGTGGTGTCCCCTACTGGGACTGGACCCTAGATTCCGCAGGCCCAGACAACGACACATCTGTGTTCTATGACTCGCCCATCTTCGACAATAAGCACGGCTTTGGTGGAAATGGAGCCTGGGTCCCTGGAAACTTCTCCAGCCCCCAGCCTGGTCTGCCCGTCAACCCCCCCTGGGACGTCCCCGACCGCTCTGGCGGCGGCTGTCTCAAGGTCGGGCCCTTCGCTGGTCTCAAGTCCAACCTGGGCCCTGGCAACGGCACGGCGTATAACCCCAACTGTATCCGTCGTGACTTTGCGCCTTTGTCTTTTAGAGATATGTCTGGACCGGCTGCCATCAAGACTGGTATGAGCCAGAAGGACTTTGGCTTCTTCGATCGTGTCACCGAGAGCACTTTCCACTCTGGTGGTCACTGGGGAGTTGGAGGTTTGTACGGTACCATGACTGACAAGTGGCAAAGCCGTAAGTTTCTATCCCACTTGAAAATGAATATGTTATACTGACTTTTCATAGCCGCTGATCCTCTCTTCTGGGTGCACCACGCCAATGTCGACCGTGCATGGTGGTCGTGGCAAATCCGTGACCTCAAGAAGCGTGAAAAGGACGTCTCTGGGCCTCTTGTCAACTTTGACTACACCAACCAGGCTGGAGGCAACGTGACTTTGGACCACCCCATCTTTGTTGGCGAGACTGTCAAGATGAAGGCCAAGGTCAAGGATGTCATGCACATCCGCAAGGGTATGCTGTGCTACGACTACGAGGACACTTATTAGATGATAAATGCTTGAGGAATTATACTTGTAATAATTGTAAATAGCTCTTTTCTTCTCCCACTATGTGGTATCAATTCTATGAGCATACATGTCACTAGTTGAGAATCAACTTAACCTTTCTTTTTACTTCGTGATCGGACCAACTACGTAAGAAGATTATTTCCATTACCCCGCCGGGCATAATACATAATTTCTCCATTCAAAGTATCCATTGTTGGTCAAGGAATTGCGAGATGTCAATGCTGACTCAGACCGATAAATTGCCGTCGAAAGGCGTCACGATCAGCTTGAGCCTATATCAGTCAGCCTAGGAACCGCTGCATTGACATTCAGCTTACTATCGATACCAACCACTACTCCAAAACCTCCTCATCTCAATTCTTTCACACCTAGTCTGCGATTATGTCATCCAACTCATCAGTCGTTTACCACTACTTTGCCATTGGCAAGCTTGGGCGAGGAGAAGTTGTCAAGTAAGCAATACCTTCAGTTGGAAAAGAGCGCATCAAGGATAGAGCTAGTGAGGATGTGAGACTGATACAGATGCTAGGCTGTTCCTCAAAGATGCAGGCCTTTCTTTCGAAGAGAAGCGTTACCCTCACGACGATACCTGGAAGGTAACCAGCGAGAAGCTGAAGCAACAGGGTATCATCCGCACTGGACAGCTTCCTGCCCTTGAGTATAAAGGCCTCGTCTTGAGTCAGGTGAGTCAACATTAAGACTTTTAGGAAATCAGCTGACACCCTGGAAAGCACATCTCAATCCTTCGATTCCTATCTCGTGAACTCGGCAAGTACGATGGTCAGACCAACGAGGACAAGTATCTGGTAGATGCTGTCTCAGACATCTACATTGAGTGGAGAGTACGTAAACATTCAAACATTGGTTCAGGCCACATACTGATCTCCAGCAGGCCGGATGGGCATCCAATCTTGGTAAAGCTTCCGAAGACTTCAAGAACAAGACTGTCCCCAAGTACTATGACCTTGTCGCGCAGTACTACTCTGACCGAGAAGGGCCTTACCTCCTTGGCGAAGAGGTCAGCTATGCAGACTTTGCGGTCTACATGTCTATCGACAACGATATCAGAACCAAGACTATTCCTGTAAGTCACCTATTGTACGAGTTGTTAAAAGGGTTTTGCTAATATGATTGGCTTTAAGGAAAAAATTCCAGAGGTTCTTCTCAAGTTCAAGGAGACATTTGAGAAGCGATCGAATATTGCCTCTTATGTCAAAGAGGACAAGGCTTGAATGCTGTCGATTCGGGGTTTAATTCAAAGTCACATTCTATTAGAATACATAGGTCAACAAAAGTAGAACTTCAAGAGGAATACAGTGCATGGTGTGTGCGTGAGAGTCCTTTACGCCTTGAGACGGTACTACAATAGGTGTGCAAAAGTTCTAACAACTTCCTCTCGTCTAAAATTTACATGATATTATATAAAAAGCTTAAATTTTTTATAATTTATAAAACTTAATATAATATTATATATGAAGCATTCTAATTATTTTGTATTTTATTTATTCCTAGTTAGCCTGTTGTCGGAACTTTTGCACGGGACTGCACCCTTGTCTAGTGAGATGCACTGGTTTTTGAGCCATTGGTCAGGTCATTCCCCCTCCCGTATCTTGTCGCTGACATTCAGCTCCCAAATATTTCCCGCACCGTGCAACAGCGCGCATTTCTTTTGCGCCGAGCAATTCACTCAATAAGCGATGAGCTCGAATAATATCGGCCTCTGCTCAAGCTGCGCCGCCATTGATTTCGAAGACCTATTTTATTCGCATCCCGATGGCTTGGGTCCTGAAGACTCCGCGCGTGGAGCACAACACACACTACCGTGTTTAGGAACACTCCAGGAAATACTTGAACGGGTGGAAACATGCCAGTTCTGTAGACTTGTCATTGATACTTACAAAGAGAGATTTAAGCGCATGCCCTCGGGATCTTCGGAGCAGTTTGATAGCAAAACTGAACATGAAGCTCAAGACGAAATTGAGGAATACGGTCTTTGCCTCACGTTTCATGATGAGCCCATGAAATGCTATCTCGAACAGCGACCTTTCACGCTCGAATTGGATTACCTCCATGATTATTCCGACGAGAGCGATGTCGATTCCGCTTTGGGGAAGGAGGGCGTCGGCCGCCTTTCGCTCATACTGGAGCCTCGTCCCTGGATGAGCGGAACAGCTCAACCCATCATCTTGCAGGCCATCTGGCCCGATGGCTTTCCTGAAGCAAAAGAGGCAAACGGTACCGGCAGATACATGTCTTGGGAGGGCACTGGCCGTCCAGTCGAATCCCTGGTGGACCTCTCAATCCCCCGGAACTGGATACGCCAATGCGAGGAGGTCCATGGCGGCCTGTGTTCCAAGCCAAAGTGGCTGAGTGATAACGACAATGCATGGCCCAATCATTGTCGAGTCATTGATGTAGAGGATGGTAGAATCGTGGATTTACTTCCCACCATGCGCTATGTCGCCCTAAGCTACGTCTGGGGATTAAGTGAGAAAGCAATAGAGCTACGCTCAGAGAGACGACTGACACGAGATAATGTGTCTCGGCTTCAGCAACACAACAGTCTAGACCAAATGCCAATCCCGCAAACCATCAGAGATGCCATGGCTGTTGTTAAAGCTACTGAAGAGCGCTACCTGTGGGTAGACGCCCTGTGCATTGTACAGGATGACCCTGAAGATCTCAGTCAACAAACTGGACGGATGGACCTGATCTACTCCAATGCTCTGTTCACCATCGTGGCTGCTTGTGGCAGCGACTCCGAATCCGGACTTGCAGGCCTCCCGAGTAGCCCGCGAGATATCTTCCAGCGCCAGGTTAAAGTCTCGCCAAGTGGACTACACATCATGCCCTGTCTTAACCTTTCGGAGGGAGATACCTTGAAGTCCTCGAAATGGAACACCAGGGGTTGGACGTTTCAGGAGCGGCTCCTCTCCAGACGTGCGCTCATCTTCACCAACTCCCAAATCTACTGGTGTTGCGAGGGCAGGACGTTGGATGAAGAATCCCTCCTGGATGCACCCGGGTCAACAATTGTGGCCACGGCCCAAGAGTTTGGATGCTACGACGAGTGGGAAAGCATTGAGGCCAAGTTCTCCGAGGAGATATATAGTACTTATATAACACAGTTCTCAACGCGGCAATTCACCTTTCCTTCTGATGCCCTCCCGGCTTTTCTGGGCATCATACATCGGTACGAGCATCTCAACAAGCAGAAGCTCCACTGGGGATTGAAGACCATCAGGTTCGACCAGTCCTTGATGTGGAGATATGGACGGGGCCGGCGAAGGGAGATGTTTACCTACATCTCAAAAGACTCGGTCGCACGCAGCGTGCCTTACCCTAGCTGGTCGTGGCTTGGCTGGACTGGGTTCATTGGTGGTGGTGACAGCTATCAGATCCATGAGGTTTATGAGAAGATGGATAACGGGCGTCCCATCCTCACTTTCTACTCATTGATGAGTGATGGAAGTGTTTGTCCGATCGAGCAAAGTGTCTCGGTAGGCGAGATGGGCGTCTCTCCGAAAAGAGATGATGACACACTGAGAGAAGAAAGTAACGAAGCTTTGTCTAGTGAAGTACCTGGGTGCAGCAGTAGGCTCAGATGGAAGGGCGACACGACAGTGTCTGGGCCGATAAGAATGGGGGATGTTTTACTTTCTTCGGAGTTTGAGTCACTTGACATGAATAGTGACGAGACATCCCAGAGTCAGATACCGTATGACACAGGACGCCTAGTATTTTGGACAAGCCATACCAGGGCTCAGATATACATCGACACTGACGACAAGCCGCGCATCGAGGCACAAGGACAGGCCGTAGAGCTAGATGTGAACTTGGTCACGGAGGTTATGCATACTCGCCGCTACTTCCCAGTCAAAACAATAGGGAAAGATGCTTTTAAGGGAAAAAGTTCAAGTGAGATAAATGCTCTGATACCGAGACGTACAATCGATCTCATCATCATTTCTCGCTGGTTTGGACCAAACGGTGGTATGGAGACGCGGAAGTTGAACTTTCTCGTTGTAGAGGAAAGGGTGTCGGGTTCGGGCGTCTGGGGTCGTATTGGTTTTGGGTTGATTGGGGAAGATGAATGGGAAAAGTTGGAGCTGGATTGGAGGTTAGTAATTCTTGAGTGATACAGAGAAGCTAACGATTGAGGTCGCGTATGGGTTATCCGTAGTTGCATGGGATATTGGGCGATGTCACGATGGAAATAATAAAGGGAATACTAGCGCCCATTAAAGTCACCATTGACGTTAGACCTACCTAATTGCGGATAAGTTAACCGACTCCCGGGTCGACGGAACTTGACCTGAGTCCGATCGCGATAACCAACCAAGCTCTAGCCTCAAACGTCAGGCCATTTCAGCAATGACCAACCAGGAATGCGGCACGGCAAAACTCTATATTTGCCCACGAGTCATGGAACTCTTGGACGACAACAACTCGTAAGCAAAACAAGGATGCAGCAGCCTGAATCAATGCGAATTTATCTCCTAAAAGCCAGTTTATCTCCAGCATTTCCCCCTGATCTAACCCAACTTCACTTCTGAACCACACAACAACTCCAGGTCACCCCCGGCCCGTAACCGGACTTGCCGTGAAAGCGTGCGGAGCGGAACCACAGCGATTCGTCCCAACTTCTCGCTTCCCCCCGACCCAGCGCCCAGAGCGGTATAGTTCCCTTCTGTAGTAAGACGGCACGTGCAGCCGATCTCCTCTTCAGCTTTGTTCCCCCTGGGGAAAATCTGTGTCGCAACCTTGATAAGGAAAGGAAGTTGGTCGCTTCCCTTCAGCTGAAGGCCAGAACACATCGCCAACCACCAAAAAAAGGACCATGGTCTACCAGCGTGAGTTCGAGATGCAGGCTCTCCCGCAGACAAAAGACGACGAGGACGAGCCTGCATCGTCAGGTCCGCTGCACCGTCTGCTCAAGAGCTTCAGCCGCGCGCCGCCGCACGAGGATGCATACAGCGTGAGCAGCTACAACACCACCACCTACGCCTCTAATGGGCGACTCTTCAACATGGGCAAGGCCAACTACAACTCTGCCAACACCGCCCTCGCTAGGGAGCTCAAGAACCGCCACCTGCAGATGATTGCCTTCGGAGGCTCCATCGGGACCGGTCTTTTCGTCGCGTCCGGCGTGGCGCTGTACCGCGGCGGTCCGGTATCGCTGCTCATTGCCTTTGTCGCAATGGGCATGATGCAGTTTTTCACGATGCAGGCGCTGGGGGAATTGTCTGTTGCGTTTCCTGTCGGTGGGTCTTTTTCGAACTACTCCACGCGGTTTCTGGATCCGTCGTGGGGTTTCGCCATGGGGTGGAAGTGAGTAGTTGATTGTGTCTGTCTCAGATGATGCAAAACTGACTTTATCAGCTACACGCTGCAATATCTTGTTGTTTTACCACTTGAAATTATTGCGGGCGCATTTACGATCAACTACTGGAATCCAAACGCCACAAAGTCCATTTTCATTCTCCTCTTTTTCTTTCTCATCCTCGGCATCAACCTCCTTGGCGTGAAAGGATATGGTGAAGCTGAGTTTATCTTTTCCGCGGTCAAGATAACAGCCATTGTAGGCTTTATGTACGTCAACCACAAATGTGGAATTCACAATGCTTACTTGTTCTGCAGTCTTCTTGGAATTATAATAAATATAGCAGGAGATCCCGAAGGGGGCTACATCGGTTTTACTCGCTGGCAAAGCCCTGGTGGTTTCCACAATGGTTTCAAAGGATTCGCCAGCGTTTTGGTAACTGCAACTTTTTCCTTCGCCGGCACAGAAATGGTTGGTCTCGCTGCAGCTGAGACGAGCAACCCGAAAAAGTCTCTTCCAGCAGCTGTCAAGCAAGTGTTCTGGCGCATCTCCCTTTTTTACATCCTCTCTATTCTCATCATTGGCTTGCTTGTTCCATACGATGAACCTCGTTTGCTAGGTGCCAAGTACGGCTCCGATGCTGCAGCCAGCCCCTTCGTTATCGCAATTGAGATGAGCGGCTCTGATATACTTCCTGATATCATGAATGCTGTTATTCTTATTTCTCTGATAAGCGTGGGAAATACGGCTGTGTATGCCTCTTCACGGACCCTCGCTGCATTGGCAGAACAGTCTCTGGCTCCGAAAATCTTCGCCTATATCGACCGTACGGGACGTCCGCTTATCGCAATCATTTGCTGCGGAACTGCGGGACTACTAGCATTCAGCGCCAACTCCAAGGTCCATAACGAAATCTTTAACTGGCTCCTTGCCATAAGTGGTCTGAGCGCGCTCTTCACATGGGGATCCATCTGTATCTGTCACATTCGATTTCGCAAAGCATGGAAATTATCAGGATTCACCGTGTCCCAGCTCGCTTTCCGCTCTCAAGTCGGTGTCTGGGGATCCTGGGTTGCGCTATTCGCATACGGCGTCGTTTTGATTCTCCAGGTCTGGGTAGCGATATCTCCCATTAAATCCGAGGGCCAAGAGCCGTTTTCACCAGCTGAAAGAGCCAAGAACTTTTTCCTGCAGGTCCTGACGATTCCTATTATTTTCATATTTTACTTCGTGCATAAGATCTGGGTGGGGACAACAATTGTTCGCGGTAAAGATATAGATGTCAATACGGGGCGGCGATACCTCCAAGTCTGGAACGAGGAGGAGGAGCAGGCGAAGCGGAAGTGGCCGTTATGGAAGCGAGTGTATAATCACATGTGCTGATGTCGAAATATAGATATAGATTTAGAATGACATAATGATAGTTCGAATGTTCACCGATATATTTGGATAGTGTGTTGCACTGCGTATGGCATAGCGTATAGCGGGCGTATTGGTGGATTGTGAAAGGCAAGCATTCCCACCGGATGACTCACGGCCGATGATCGACAGTGGATGCTACAGTGAATGGGTGGGTAAAAGTCCTGACTTTCTTTCTTTTATATTTTATCTAAGATAATATAAAGTACTATAAATTCTCTTATTTATATGATTATATATAATCCTATCCTAAGCATATTTATAAAGTATTCTAATTATTTTATACTTCATATATCTTTATGATTATATATACTCCTAGTTAGGTCGTCATCGGTGTTTTTGCACGAGACTGTTCATTAAGCACCACCTCCACAGGGCCGAGTCGCATCATAAGAACGCGCCATCCAACGTGGAGATAAGAGCATCATCACGCCTAACTCACATGCGATCTCACAACTATTGTGCCTTAGTTCATCAACCTGGTGAAAACCAACAATGGCCACTCACACTTTCTGGCAGTATCTCAGACTCAAAGCCATCGTCACTTTGATCCGCCTCCTCAATTACATCGGCACACGCTCCCACTTCAAACCCTCAACGACCTGCAACCGCAAAGCCATCCGCCTCCCATCCCGCGATCTGGGACGCTTTATCAAAGCATGGATTTACTACCCCCAAAGCTACAAAGAGGGCGAAAAACGAGGCCTTGTCGTCAATTGGCATGGAGGCGCTTGTGTGCTGCCAAACCTCGGAATGGACCACGAATTCTGTGAGAAGATAGCCAATGAGAGTGGCGTCCTTGTTCTCGACGTGGATTATCGCAAAGCACCGGAGTATCCCTTCCCTGCAGCTGTGGAAGATGTTGAAGATGTTCTGAGCTGGGTTGAGAGCCAGCCGCGTCGCTTTGACACTGCGCGAGTTGCTCTATCCGGGTTTAGTTCTGGCGCAAACCTGGCCTTGGTCGCATCATCGGAACTGAGACGGCAGTTTAGCATCGATATCAGAGCGGTCTATGCTTTCTACCCTGGCGTAGATTTCACCATTCTACCTGAACAGAAGACTGTTCCGAATCCGATCCGACCACTTCCCGCAGGATTTCAGCATCTCCTGACAGAAGCTTACCTCCCGCATGTGGAGGACCGCAAGTCACCCAGGGCATCGCCCATGTACGCCAACGCGGCGTCCTTTCCTGAACGTGTTTTACTTTTCTCCTGTTCGGGGGATGTCTTCACGCCCGAGATTGAGGCTTTGGGAGAGAAATTGGAGAAAGCTGGGTGCGGTGTTGAGATTGTTAGGATGGAGGGGGCTCATGGATGTGACAAGAGGATCAATCCCAAGACTTTCAACCCTGAAGCAAGAGATATGTCATATAACAAAGTGGTGGGGAGTTTGAAGAGCCTTATGTAGATTGTCTTGGAAATGGTATTGATGAAGTTATTTAAGGTATGCACCACCGCATGGCGTGATGTTGCTCTCATTTTGGACAGGTTAACTTCCTCCTCTAAGCAGACAGAACTTGGCTGTAGCACCACTGTTGATCTTTTATCTTGATCCAAACTCCAAGTTGGCCACAAATTCATCCGCTGCTCACCAGCGTGGGTTATCACTTCGTCGCAGTGCTGCCCTTTCTCACTGGCACTGCTCTACCACTTAAGGGGGAGAAATAAAACACCGACAGTAACTCTACTACTTAGAAGAGATAACTTTAAATAAAGTTATCTCCCTTTAATATAATATACTATAGTTTTTACTAAAGGCTTTTCTAAAATCTTATCATTTTTATATTCTTTATATAAAATTATTATAAATATTCTAACTAAGAACTCTAATATGTAAGAAATCACACCTGGTGTTTTATTTCCTCACTGGCACTGCTCTACCACTGTCACCATTGTTGCCTCAGAGCAACCAAGCTGCACCGGACTGCACGTGCACAGCCCAGCTCAGGTTCCTTCACAACACAAGCAAACACTCTCCCATGTTCCCAAACTTCAACTCAAACACAGGAGAACTTGGAGGTCCGATCGCGACGTGTCAAGGCACTATCTTTCAAGCTTCGCAAAACTTTATCTCATCGTCATTCTGGCCACCGCCTCAAGCCCGCCATGGCGCAGGTCACTATGCAAGACTTGAAAGGGCACGGTCAGTCGATTGCTAGGTAATTACCCCTTTGCAAACTAGGCATATCGTTCTGATGATTGCGACAGGCTGTACCTAACTGGCGACTACTCTGATCTCACCATTGTTTGTGGCGACGACCGGTATAAAGTCCACAAGGCAATCATCTGCTCTCGCTCACCGTTCTTCAAAAAGGCATGCGATGGAAATTTCGAGGTCAGTTGACACTATCAAGTGATACGTCAGTAGTTGTAACGTATGCTGACTCGACATCCAGGAATCCCAGACGAGCGAGGTCAAACTTCCTGATGATGATCCTGTCGCTGTACACATGATGGTCAGATACTTGTATTTTCAAAAGTATACACCGCCTCTGCTAAGTACAGATGCTTCGACGGTCAAGGCAGAGCTGTCTCCGACTATCAGCGGCGCCAAAAGAAAGAAAGACATAGAGCAGTGGGGGGCGTCCTTTGCCGGAAATAAGCGGATGAAGGAGCAGGATGGTCGACCAAGTAACAACAATTCCAGTCCTAGTGCGACGTCTTTATCTTCCGACTCCGTCCATCCTACAAGACAATCACTGTTCTCGATTGGTACACAGCCCTCTGCTTCGCCTGCACCGGTCCATTCCACAACTTTCCTGTTCGGGAGTGGCACAAAGCCAGCCCAACTCTCTACATTTGGCTCGCCTTCTGTACAGTTGACACCCAATCCTCCTCTGCCACCAGGATCCAACGACGCTCCTTCAGCAAACCTGTGTCTACATGCCAAGGTCTATGCTCTGGGAGAAAAGTATGGCATCGAGCATCTGAAGATGTTCGCGCTCCGAAGTTTCGAGGCCGAGGTTGAACTCCATCTCCAGAGCAAAGACTTTCTGTCGGCGATCGAAGAGGCCTACACTTCGACGGTCGAAGAGGATCGAGGACTACGGGACGCAATTGTCAAGACAATGAAGAAGCACAAGGACTTGCTCAAGAAACCCTCAGTACAAGCCATCGTCAAAAACACTCAGCTCGGATACGATCTTTTGATGAATTTTGCCTCTGTATCAGAGGAGAAGTAAGGATGCAGTCGCAGCAAACTCGGTTATTTGTGTTCAATTTGAGAATGTCCAAAAGTTAAAGATGAAGCTGGTCGTGTATTTAGTATCACTGAGGGACAATGTCGGTATCTCTCAGGTGTTAAAATGAATCTTTTGCCAAGCAAGCACTACCAATCATACTATTGTCCAATCTGCTCTTGTCTTTGGACTGCTCGTATAAAGCTCTTGCCAAGAACCATATGTTCGCCAGTCTGTGGGTAACGCTCTTCAACCCAGAGGTCCACTGGAATATATTTCGACCACTCTTGACGCCGCCATTCCAAACCCAAGACCTTTCCCACTATATTTGCCCTTGATGGCCAGTTTTGTTGTTGGATGTAATCACAATCCTGTTGTTTAAGATCTTGAGTGAGGAGTCCAAGCTCTGTTGCTTGTTTCATCGAGATGAAGTTGTCCTGCACAGTAGTGTCAATTGCAGACGTGATGTACACCTCATGCAGACCTTTATGCAGACTACTTTCTGGGATTTTCAGGAAGCCTGATCTAAGGGTGTATGTGCCCTTTTCTTTATCCTTTGGCAACGAAGACGTTCGCAAAGGCTCGGGCATGCCTGCTGTCTGTGGATTATTTGGTGTTTGTGGAGTCCTTGGTGTTTGGGGAGTCTGCACTAGTGGTGATGGTACTGAAGAGCCAGAATCCCTGGTTGTAGAGCTCTGCTGAGATGATGGCGTACTTGGTTCCCTAGGAGGATCCATCTTCCTGCTCTCGTGAGCAAGGCGAGTTATGTGTACCCCTGACAGTGAATGAATAGAGGGTGTTCGACGTATTGGTCTTGGACCTTGATCTCTATTGGATTGCCGAGGCGGTACAGTGAAGTCAACCTCGACCTCATCTCCTTGGCTACAACGATCGCCTTTTCGTATCCGAGGTTGTCTTTCTGACCTCGGTCTTCGTAAGTTAGAGGGTGTGTGCGAAGGTGCTTCTGTGGTTTGAGGCACATGTCCAGTACGTCGCATGCTTTGTGCTAACCGAAGAAGCGGTGCCGCTATACTTTGAAACTCAGCATCGAAACCAGGCCCATAGTTGGTTACAAAGTCCCGGTCGTCTCTCAACTTCCTGTATCGATCCTCACTGATTTTGAGCTCGCGGCGAAGGGATTTGCTGAAATGCGTCAGCAGGCAGAATCCTGTAGTCGGAGAATCTAGATGCAGGAAAGGGGGACGGCTCACATTTGTTCTTCCATAACTTCCTTGACTTCGGCGCTCGATCTCTGCTTAATGTACTGATTGATCTCCATTTTCAAAATTGGACAGACAAATGATAAACAAAGGCCGAGAAGCTGCATATCCGGAAACAAGGAGTCGAGTTCCATTTTATTCCAGACATACCACTTAAATCTTTTCAAGAATGCGTGTTGTCCACTCATACACTTCAAGCCATGCTGTGCATCTTTCAGCTGTCTTGCAACAGCTTCTGTGCCCCGGATAAGGATATCCACAGATTTGTTTTCGCTTATGTACTGCAAAACGCCGGTAGGTGCGTCTGGCATCTTCTGCAGCGTTGAGCAATGCCCCTTAAGCTGTTGCACTGCAAGATCGACTGTTGTGGCTGACATCTCAATCTGGGCAGCGATTCTGCAAATCGCGTTCGCAATTGGGTCTTGGTGTTGGGCGATACTTCGAAGGGCCTTGGTGAGCTTGACTGTAGGTTTCGCTAGACTTACGATGGTCGCGACACTGGCGATCACGCCAAGAACTTCTGCCATATTGCAGTGTTATTCTTATAGTGGAGTTTTACGGGATATACGTTCCGCTCAAATTAGATGTTGTATAGTTGATAAGTGTAACACAAAATGATTCGGAACATTGGGGTCGCGGCTTATTTGTGCCGCTGCCAATACAGCCGTTCTACACATTTCTTGCGCACTCAATTGCGATTTGAACGCAAGTCACAGCCTACCTTAATATTGACGCAAAAGATGCAGAGTGCTGAAATTGTGTGTGTATTCGGCCCCCTACTTCTGGATGAGGGTGGGAGCCTGGCTTCACTCAGTGATTGACACGTCGGGCTGCACACATATTACCGCATCCAACAACATAGCCTGGTAATCATTCAGTAATCACCCCGCCTCAAATTTTCGGTTGCCTTAATTGCGGCATGCCCGAATAGGACATGAACTGCAAGGCAATCGGTACATATGCATGTGAGAAGAGAGGCTGATTTCAAGACTTGCATTAAATGTTGGTAGTTTCCAGAAATGGTATGCATAGCGCAAGCGTTCTTATCACCCGTATAAGTTGACCATAGATGCAAGATGCAATTGCTTCAATGTTCTTATTGGTAAATCTCATCTTTTTGCTTCGCACGAATAGTTACTGGATCTCCCTTCTCCCTTCACGAGCTTCTCCAGGAGAAGACTTTATCTGATCCATTCGTTGCCTTCCACCGCTCCGCTGTACAAGTGAGTAACCAACTCGTGGTGTCAATTTCATTCTATCTCATACGCTTAGATTCTGGATGGCCCGGAAATGCCATCTTGAGGCAGGCATACACAGCGACGACCAGCGCAACGATCCCCAGATATAAATCACCGGTAGCAGTGATGCTGCCCACAGGCTGGCCTTTTCCTCCATCACGTGGAATCAGACTAAAAGTCTTTGAAATCGACGACCATGCCGTAACAGCCGGTGCAACCATCGTATCAGCCATGCCAAAGCAATACTCGAACGGCAGTCCTGTAGACAGCGACAACAAGTATGTCAGACCCAGAGAATACACCTCCAACAACCTGTGGCGCCTCCCCGATCCAAAGCACGGCAGCGTGAGTAAGATGAATCTGTAGACGGCATGTGCGAATACCCAGCTCTTCGATGCCGCGGTGAAGACGAAGAGATTGTCGTGGAGCAAGATGGTTTTCCACTTCACCCTGTAACCTTGTAGGATGATCCAAGCAGACAGCGCGAGACAAGCAACCTTGCAGCAAAGACCACGAAAGGTGTCTCCAGATGGAGTTGCGACCATCATGACGATGTTACCGTAGACGGCAAAGTTGACATAAATGGTAAAGGCGTGCAACCACCGCTCTTTTACCGGTCTACTGGCAACAATGAAGAGGAGCACGGAGCCGAGGCCAAGGGGCAGTTCGGCCATAGTCTTGATCATTTCGCCTTTGGTGGAGGTGCGGTCAAAGATGGCGATAACAGCGCTGGTGATAAATACGGTTGTGAGGAGGACGCCGGGTTTGGAGATGAGGCAGCGGTATGTGAGGAGGAGGATAGCGCTGAGGGACGCATTGAAGGGGATGTCAAGGTACGGCTCGAGTGCCGCGTAGGCTGTTGCTAAAACCATGATAACACGCTGCTTTGCTGGTGGGTTATAGATGTTAGTGAGTTGTTTCTGGTGAGTTTTGTCATCTTTCTCGGCAGTTCTGGGTGAGAAAACACGGAATGTGACACTGACCGGGGTTAAGGATGCATCCTTGTCAGTGGGGGTTTCCAAGTGCTTTTCGGCTGAAGGCTCGAATTTGGCCAGTTTTATCAGCAGAGGCACCGCATAGATACTAGAAGCCTAGAATCTCCTGCTATGGATGTCATTTTCATTGAATTGAGTACTGATTCTCAGTAAGGTAATTAGGAAGGCGTTCTTGTTAAAGAGGCCGTTACAACGGTATTGTGGAGCCCTAGTGCTTCACTATTGAAGCCAATGGATCGGTGATTTAAGCTGCTCGTCTTATTTTCAGGGGATGTTTTTGCATTGAGGGTTATAGTCATAGACCATCCTGTATAATTCCGAACCTCACTGAAACGATATTCCTCTTTCTGCTATTATCCCAATGTTTCCGGATCACACCACCCTACCTACGGATTTAACCATTATCCACCTAGCGCGATACATATTCCCGAATGACCAATCCCACGCGGAACATCAAAAACCCCGAAAGCCTTGACATCATCCTTCAACTTCTAAAAACATCACAACGTCTCCGTCCACTACAGATTCCTCGTCATGGCTAAGGCGGAGTTGGGACTGAAGGTAGCTTTCTACGCCTACCCGTGCGTCCTCTTTGTCACCCTGCTAGGCGTTCAGTCTGCGCAGTTCTACCTCAGTCGCCATGGCAATCCCCAGGCGCGTCACGGCGCGTTGGATGCTGACCAGAAACAGCGGGCGGACAAGACTCGACGGATTTTCGCCCGCTTGATATGGACTTTTCAACTTATTCTGTCACTTTTGCTTATTGCGAGTATTGTCCTTACGACGAAGCAGGTTTTTGCTGATCAGGGGGATGTTACTGGGGATGTAGCTTTTGCCTTCAGCGCATATCTAGTAAGTGACCTTTCATCGTCATGATGAGCAGCACTAACAAAGAATAGGCGTCATTTGTGGGAGTTCTGCTTTACTTCGTCGCCGGTCTTCTTCCCGATCCTGAAGGACCTTGGAACCCAAATGGTTCTCATCTTTCGGCTTGGTGTGTCGGCGCACTTGCAGAGATTGTCATCGCAGCTGTATTTTCATCCGCGGAGCCTCGTCTACGTGTATCGCCCGGCTTTGTTGACACTATCAACATCCTCGGATCGGCCAGAGTGTTTGTGCTTGCTCTGATGATCGGTGCATTTGGCTTGAGAGAGTACAAGTTGAAATCTCTTGAGCCAAAGTCCGTGCCCGAGGAACGACAGTCACTGCTAGAGAATGGAAATGGTGCGGCCGAGAGCTACGGCAGTGTTCCTCCAAGTGCGCCTGAACCAGCCAGAAGGACCCAGGTTTCCGGGACAGGTTGGCTCGATTACTTTGCTGGTTTCCGTGTTTTGTTCCCCTACCTCTGGTACGTACGTCCACGCCCAGGCGAACCTCAGCTAACACTCCTAGGCCTAAGGACTCGCCTCTTTACCAAGCAATCGTGCTAGTTTGTCTCATCCTTCTTGTCTGCCAGCGTACTGTCAACGTCTTGGGCCCTCTTCAGCTGGGTACACTTGTCGACAGCCTTGGCGAAGGAAAACTGCCCTACAAGGAGATCATTCTGTACGTTGTGTATCGCGCTCTTCAAGGCAATCAAGGAGCTCTTGGCGCTATGCGCAGCGTACTATGGATCCCTGTATCCCAGTCTCTCTTCCGACGACTCTCAGCCGCTGCCTTCGAACACGTCCTGGGCCTTTCTCTCGAGTTCCATCTCAACAAGAAAGTTGGTGAAGTCACCAGCGCGCTCAGCAGAGGCGCATCTATCAACACCTTCCTTGAGAGCTTCTGCTTCCAGGTCTTCCCTATGGTGTTCGATATCTTCGTCGCTGGTGTCATCTTCTTCGTCAAGTACGACGCCTTCTACACCATCATCGTCTTCTTCATCATGTGGTCGTACATCTTCCTTACCATCTACGTGGCCAAGTACCGCGGCAAGCAGCGCCGAGACATGACAGTCAAGACTCGTGAGATGGAGGCTGTCAAGACGGATGCCATCGTCGCGTATGAGACGGTTCAGCACAACTGCGCTGTTTCTCGTGAGACTGGGCGGTTTAGGGAGCACATTACTGTCTTCCAGCGTGCTGAGCGCTTGGTACAGTGGTCGCTGGCTGCGCTCAATCTCACGCAGAGCTCCATCTTCACCCTAGGCACAGCCCTTCTTGTTTCCGTTTCGGCATACAAGATTTCGATCGGGGAGCAGACTGTGGGCGAGTTCGTCAGTTTGATCAACTACTTTGTGCAGCTTCAGGGACCTTTGAATTTCTTTGGCACATACTACACCATGCTACAGAACAACCTTATCGAGGCTGAACGGCTTCTTGATCTGGTAGGTCTCTTTCCACTATGCCTCGCAGGCAATGCTAACTAAAACAGTTCAAAGAAACACAAGGCGTAGAGGAAAAGCCCGATGCCATCGCACTTCCGTCACCTAAGGGAGAGGTCGCCTTCAACGATGTCAAGTTCGCCTACAACACGAAGAAGGGTGGCCCTGTTCTCGATGGAATCAACTTTACTGTTGCCCCTGGAACCAAGACTGCCATCGTTGGAGAATCCGGCAGCGGCAAATCGACCTCGCTCAAACTCCTCTTCCGTTTCTACGACGTCACAGACGGCTCCGTTACCATTGACGGCCACGACCTTCGGGATCTCAAGCTCGACAGCCTCCGTAGAAACATCGGTGTGGTGCCCCAGGATACGGTTCTGTTCAACGCTACCATCATGTACAACCTGCTATATGCCAGACCTGATGCGACGGAAGAAGACGTGTACGAGGCGTGCAGGGCTGCCAATATCCACGAGCGTGTCTTGAACTTCCCTGATGGATACGAGACCAAGGTTGGAGAGCGAGGGCTGAAGTTGTCTGGAGGTGAACGCCAACGGGTATGTGACTTGTCCATGTCATGGTTGTTCTTTTGACTGACGTTTGTAGATTGCCATCGCGCGCGCTATTCTCAAGGATGCTCGTATCCTGCTACTGGATGAAGCTACCGCTTCTCTTGACTCGCACACCGAGCGTCAAATCCAAGATGCGCTCGAGCGTGTCACCACTGGACGAACAACAATCACCATTGCGTAAGTCGCATCCATAATCCCGACCATGCACCAACTAACCGTTATCTACAGCCATCGCCTTTCCACAATCACCACCTCTGACCAGATCATCGTGCTGCACAAGGGAAAGATTGCCGAACGCGGCACACATAATGAGCTTCTGGCTCTCGGCGGCCGATACCATGCCATGTGGGAGAAGCAAACGACGATTGAGAAGAAGGAGAAGGAGAAGAAGGAGCTTGAGGGGGAGACATCAGAGGCTGGTTCTCAAGAGTAGGCATTGATCAAAGAGTGGTAATAAAGAATTTGATGTAGGATATACGAGTGTATCATAGATGTATGGAGTCAGTCATCCGCAAAAGAGTTGGAAATTGGACATTGTTGGATTGATCAAAGTCAACGCTAACATCTTGAATCACCAAAGAACGGAGTAAATCGACAGTCACTTTGCGCGCCGCACTGCAGACTTTGATCCGAGTGGGATGCAATGCAACCGAGACATTCCCGGTGTGGTCAAATGCCCTCGTGGTTTTGTTGCTTTGTATAGCTTTTCCTACCAAGATCATCCAGCACAGTCCTGCCTCCCTAGAGGTTCAATTGTTCATTCTCTCAATATCTTCGTTCGTCTCACACATACAAAACAACCTCCTCAAAAAGGCATTCAGCCCCGTCTCTGTCTGTGGGTATCAGTGGATGTACTTCTCTTTCTGTACCATCGTGAGTTCCACCCCATACCACCCCACTACAAAGAAAAAAAATGCAGAAAAAAAGTCTTCGCGAGAGACGCTATTCGTGATGGGTCAACGGTCAATTGAGAATGCCATCAACAAATTTCCGTAGCAAAAAAATGAAGATATTCGCAAAGTGACGTGTTTGTCTGTGATGGTGACGACATCGACTGCCTAAGGCATGGCATTCCTCAATTGGAAACTGCTGCACAGCTCCCTTCCTAAATGAAGGCAGTTGAGCTGCCTATGACGACACTAGTGAGACCTCCACCACAATTATCTCCCAGCGACCCCTCTATTTACCTTCCTCCAACCCATCACCATCTTCTTTTTCACACAATCACCAGCTTCACTTCTTCACACTCTCCACACACAAACAAACAAACAACCGCAATCATGTCTGCCATCCCCACCTCCACCTCGGTCCTCGAGTCCGCCGTCATCGAAGCCTCCTTCAGCGACGTCTGGCACCTGATCAAGCTCCAGGACTTCTCCAAGTTCTACTCTGCTCTCGAGACCTCCGAATGGGTCAAGGGCAGCTCTCCCGACACCGACATCGTCAAGTGGACCTTCAAGGACGGCACCGTTCTCGAGGTCAAGCAGGAGGAGCACTCCAGCATCGACCACTACATCACCTACAGCGTCATCTCCTCGCAGCCCGCCCTGAGCTACACCTCCGTCGTCAGCACCATCCGCGCCTACCCTGTCACCTCAGGCCAGCACGAGGGTCACACCTATGTCACCTGGAGCGGAAACTTCTCCAGCGATGCTGATGCCGGTGTCATTGCCGACGCCAAGTTCAAGCGTCGCGAGGCTCTCGCCGACCTCGCCAAGGCTGTTTCCAAGAAGTAAACGATCAACAACAGAACGCATGATGATATGGTTATCTGGGAGGGCAGAAATTGAAACACAATTAAGCCAATGAGAGTCAAAATGGAACGGTTTTCGTACAGTGGATGGAGGAATAGGCAGAGCAGAGTTATCCCATGTTCATGTAGCTTATGCCCATCTGATGGAATCACAATCAATATCAATTGTCAAGCATAAATCTGTGTCGTCTGAGTCTTTGTCTCGAGCGTTTGCGGATGTCTGTAAGATGCGTCTTCGCTTTAAGGCGTGTCGCATGATTGACAGGCCTACCTACCTAGCTTACAGAAGCACTGACCAGCCGATTACCTCCATCCGCTTGAACTGCGACAATGTCTAACGGTCGCATTTGGCTCATACAACTTACCGTGAATCGAATCGAATGGAGAATCAGAAGGACGAGCCTGTCGTTTACTATGTACGGCAGTTGAAAGATCTGCGCACAAAGCTCAATTTTTGCACAGATTTTCAGGGTCTTCGGGATGGGTCCATCCGGTGGGGAGCTACAGGGTAAGAGCAACGGTCGCGAACATGATATTTTCAGCACCGCCAGGTCGAGCTTTGCAGAATGGGAAATGCAATGGATAGTCTTGATTATTGCTACAAGGTATCCCAGTAGGTATTGTAACATGCGATTGAAGTTTTGATGATTGTTCAATCTGTGGTGAGTGGATCTAAATGGTGGGCTCACACAGCGTTCTGTTTGAACAAAAACTGAAAGTTGCACCAACAACAGTTCCGCCCTTTGCGGAACAAGTCGTTGAGCGTATAAAACAACAGCCATTTTGTCAAAGATTACATCGGATCAGATACAGCTTCGAGCTAGACAAAACATCGAGTGGTCAAGTTACAGGACATTTTTACATGATGAACCTTACCTAGAGGTTGTTCCTTAATGCGCGAGGCTCCCATGTCCAAAAGCCTGAAAACACGCGTATTGAGACTCAATCGCCCCAATGCCTGCAAGGCTTACGGAGTACTCTGTACGAAGTAAGCATAAACAACTTGCCAGCCTCAATTCTTATCTTAACGCGTATTACCAAACTAACCGCGCGTTTGGAGGGCGTAATACCACCATTTTAATTCTCAGCCCAGCTGTCGTCAGCAAAAGCCTGCAATCCGTACTGACCTAATTGGCAATTGATTCCTCGCTTATTACGGAGTACTCCATACCTTTTTCGTTTCTCTCGTCAGCATCGCATCGGGGTTCGGTCTTTTGCGTACGGTCCGTGATGGGGTTTTAATCTCCTTTTCTTTTGTCGGGTCCGACACTTTTCCATGCCGCGTGGATTCTCCCACATGCAATTCCGTGGGCGGCCGTGGTTACCCCACTGTTAATTTTACATGCTCCACTGATATGATACAAGGAAGGGGACCCGAAGTTGAGAAGATCGTGTGCCTTGTTGCTGCATGCGTTGTGAGCCGAGATCGAAAGGAGACTCGCGCGTGTTGTTGGTTGTTGGCTGTTAGCATGGGTTATCCTGTCATGACGGCATGTGGGGGTCATCGGGTGAACATAATTGTGTATTGGCATTATCTTCTAGATTAACATTAATATGGTTCATTCGTTATGGCAGGATACACCGGTCCGATGCTGCAGTGTGTGCATGAATAGGTAGGCATTGACAATCGTTTACTTTCCACCCCGGTTTCCAGTGGTGGGGAATGGCTTCTCCAGCTTGACGCACCACAGGAAAACATCCTCCAAGGGTAGTAGACCCAGCAAGATGCGGTTCGACAACCAGGCAACAAGTACAACACCCGTAGCAGCCGCGGCGTCAAGCCAGTAGTGGTTGGCCGTGGCCACAATAATAGTCAAGACAAACGCTGGGTATAGAATACTCAAAGCCACGAAAAACACCTGCCACGCCTTGCTCATGCGCTTCTCGCGAGGCGCAAGGCGTCGGCGGAACAGACCAGAGTGGTACAATAGAACAGTGCCGATGCAGAAAGAGTAGCCAAAGTGTAGCGAGGGGAAGGCGGCAAGTTGGTTGAAGAACTTATTGGTGGCGTAGATGGACTCGGCATCCTCGCGGCGGACGGTGTCGAAGAAGCCGTACTCCTCGGGCAGCAGACGTGGCGGCATGCATGGGTACATGGTGAAGACGACGAAGCTGAAAAGGTTCGTCAGGGTCATCATGCGTCGAGCCTCAGCGAACTGGGCGTGTGTCGGCGCGGCGTAGTAGTACCATGCGAGGAAGCTGTACACAAACAAGTTAGAGAATGGTTTTCTTTGACTGTACATGAGGAGTGCGTACCTGACTGTGACGGGGATGTGGATCAGCGAATAGGCTCGGTTGAGGATGGTTAGCATCGTCTGGTGATCGTTCCTGAAGAAGGACTGGACATCGATCTCGCGTAGAGGGAACAGCCAGCGGAACGGCCCCTCGTGCTCAAACCAGAGAACAGCCTTTCCATGGTTCTCCGCCGTTTGCCAGATCCCATCGGTCGCCGCAACAAGCTCACTGGCCTGCTTGACGCCCACGTAGAAGCCCAGGTTCACCGCCCAGTAAAACATCTCCACCAGGAAGGGAAACTTTTGTATAAAACGGCTGTGCCAGTATTTTGCGTAGCGGGACGAGTTGGGCGTACGCACAACAGCGCCGCAGCACGTTCTCTTCTTGGAGGGATGCGCCTCCGTGTCAACGGGTGAGGGGCTCGCGGCGTCGCTGAGGTTGAGACGCTCCGTCTCGTCGAGCACGTCGTCTTCGTCCCATGGCTCGACCTTGGGCTGGCCCAGCAGGCCCTGGTCCTGCTTCGATGAAGGGATGACGGAGAAGTTGCGCAGGCGGTTGAAGTAGCAGGAGGCTACCATGACACCAACGATGAACTACATGGCCACGTGCCGTTGGTTAGACTTCGTGATAAACAAGTGCGGCGCAGAGAGGGAATCGGGAATCCTGTTCAAGGATGTGGAAAGCGTTGGGTAGGTTAAAACGTACAATTGGTTCGACAACAGCATGGTAGGCGAACTGCGGCGCGCCCAGGTCTGCATCGTCTTGATGTTGAGTTTTATTAGCCATTATGAGTATATCTGCGGCATGTCCCGATTCTGGAGTTTAAAAAAAAGAGAGAGAAAAAGGATGCAAAAACCCAAAAAAGAAGCACCTGCAGAAATTTGGTTCGTGGCCAAAGGGATAAATAACCATAAACTTCGGAAGACGCGGAGAATAAAACTAGGATTCAGATGCAAAGCCAAGTCCTGCAATGCTAATGCCCATGCCCATGCCCAGCCAAGAGCCGGACCTGATTTGCTCCGGCAACCAGGGGGTTAGGTAGGTTGTTTAGCAGGATTTACTGGGCGAATCAGTGTGCACTCACGGCACTGTCACCGCTAATTACAAGGCAAGGCAATTTAGGGATGGAACTCAGTGATAGAGAAGGGCGGGATTCCAGGCGCCTTTCCTGTTATGGCCAGAGGGCAGCGCGCGTGTTTATTACGTGTCTTTGCCATTTGGCTGAAATTCAATGCAATGCCCCCAGCGTCAGCCCCTGAGAGTGAACCAGTAGAATGTGGAAGTACCGGGCGCTTGTCAGCTGTGACGTATGCGATCCAAGCCCTGGAGGTTTCAATTCGGCCGTCGGGGGGAAGAACTAAAGTGTGTGAGTCCAGGGGATGGTCCTTTCATTTTGTTGGACGACAGAAAAGTAGGATACCCGGTACCGCAAGTAACTGATGCCCTAAATTAAGTCTCCCCCCACTGTCACGCTATGGTGGGGAGATGCGTCGAATCATTCGATTTCGTCCAATGCCAACCCCTAATTCTGAGTTAGTTCGGCTTAGATTTTTTTCGGGGCTGATAAAGGGTCACCCCCTTCTGTATCTAATGGCTGTCAGATTTCGGTCTCAGCGGAATAATCGAGCTTAAACATCTCACTCCTTTCCAAATACGAGACGACTTGACCGCCAAGACATCTGTACAACGTCGCTTGTCGATTTTTCTTTCTTTCTTTTTGTTTGTTGAATACGGATACACAAACGACCTTTCTTCCTAATTAATTCTACCACTCAACATGTCGTCTTCCCCAATCCTGGGTCCCGCGGCCCAGCCAAAACAACACTTCGACTTCGACGAAGAGCGCCTCGACTGGGCTCCCTCCGTGCCCAAGAAGTACCTGCGCCTGCTAAGACCGCGTCGCTCCGCCGTGATACTCGTCCTCATCGACTTCCTCATCGTCGCCATTCTCGTCAAGGCCTTCTGGCCGCTCATCACACTGCTGCGCCGCAACGAGGAGTTGTTTGGCGCACGCCTCACACTTCCTCTCAACGACACTTCCTTTGCGCCCACTCTGCCAGAGCAGCAAACGATACCGAGAATCTTCCACCAGACGAGCGCGAACGAGACGGTTCCCGAGGCTTGGAAGGATTTGGTCAAGAGCTGCAGAGATGCCTACTCTGATTATGAGTACAAGGTTGGTGGCCATAGCCGAGGCATATTTTGAAAGCGGATCGCTAACTCTTTTGCAGCACTGGACTGACGAGAAGGCTCGCGACTTTATTTCAGAGGAGTACCCTTGGTTCATCGATACCTGGGACACATTCCCCTTCAACATCCAACGTGCCGACGCCATTCGATACTTTGTTCTACACCACTATGGCGGCATTTACCTTGACATGGATACCTTCTGCAACAACACCATCCCGCTGAACCAGATCGAGGCCGACGGCGCCAAGCACCACGCTGTCTTCAAGTCTACCACGCCCACCGGCGTCTCCAACGACATGATGATCACATCACCGAACCACCCAGCATTTACAAAAGCTCTCTCGCGCATCCAACTCTACAACGACATCTCAAAACCGTTGGGTTACATCTTACCTCACGCCGCCGTGATGGTCTCTGCTGGCCCGCTCTTTCTCACCATGGCGCTGAAGAACTACCTCCTGGAGCAGCCGTCACTCCCCGAGAAGACGGTGCAGGTCATCAACGCGACTGAGCTGGAGCCGTACCTGACTGATTTCGAGGGCGCATCGTGGCACCACGGCGACACGAAGACGCTGATGTTTGTTGGTGATCGACCCTGGATCTGGTATATGCTGGGTGCTATTGGGCTGAGCGCTGGGCTGTATGTCATCAACCTGCTTATGCTCAAGTGCTGGACACGGTTCTTTGAGAAGACGGCGAGTGACGAGGCCAAGGATGCTATCAAGCTTACGTAGGGGATGTTTTAATTATCTACGACTATAATAATTGTAATGCCAGCGTTTGTTTATTTTACGTTCGTTTTTGTGATACTATTGGGTCTGGTCTTCGGTTTGTACGATGTTTGATATCTGAACGTCTTTATTTGGCTTGGCATTTATTCCGTAATGCCTCTCGTTCTGATCACGATTAGGAGGCCGCGCCAGCCTCGCCGCATCTCATCCCCTCGACACGTCAGCGTCAGCCACTGGCTACTTGAACGATTGTCGTTAGTCTGTCCGCAGACGATATAGATCCAATCAATACAACTCTAATGCGATAAATGGCCATCTCGTGACCGCCCCCAATATCCAACAGCGTTATCGACAGAATGCGACATGACGAGTCGTCACTCCCAGTCGCCAATCCACTTCACCTCGCTCTCGCTTATCAGTTCTTGCTCGTGACCGTTCGATGCAAAGCCATGCCGCAGACGAACTCTGAGATGACGTCGCTGTGCTTGTTTCGCGCCATACCCCGCTTCAACGGTTGACCTGGGTTGGTGTTGTTAGTTTTGGCCGAGCTAGAGCTAGTCTGTGTTGGACATCGTGACATGCATCTTCCACATCATTGGTGTTTAGTGCAAATGTCTCTTCAATTGCAACACTGCCATACTTGTGCAGATTATCTGGCGAGACCAGGTGGGTCAGAAGCTAATCCGCACACCAAAGCACTCTGTGCACCTTGCGATATTCGTGATAAATATTGACAAAATTTATGCGTCGCTATTATGCCAAATTTAGACAAGGTCTTTCTGTCAGCCTTGCTTGGTGTGCGGGTTATGTTCTAACCCACCTGCGACACAAATATCTACTCCCACCTTGCATATTGAGTAAGACTCACGATCAGGCGAATGGTCGCAATCAACGTCAAGAGGTAACCCTGAGCTTTGCAAACTCAACACATCTACCTGCCTCTGTGTTAAGATCAAATGGCTAGAAGCAAAGATAGTAGGTCCTCATGCGTTTGCAAGAGCAATTCGCCCGTGTTACTAGCAGAATCTATATAGTACGTGCCCTACTTAAAATTGACGACCCATTCTCCCATCAGCAGCATCGAGCTTGAATCTCTTTAACGCGAAGAAGTTGTTCGCTCGTTCTAATCTCCCTCTCCATCGCTTTTCCTCCCTTTGCGCAGCTCTGTCGCTCGTCACCTTCAGCCGTGATAGTTGTGCCGCGAGTATGGCTTCGTTGGCCTGTACGATCTCATTGTTTCCATTTACTGTCCTCCGATGTGCAATCTCCGTGCCAGGCTCTGCAGGCTTTAGTGGGTTTTGGCGCTTTTGGTCGGGGGATGGCTGAGGAGCGCGAGGTTCTTCATGTTTTCGGTGCGAGATGACCTTTCCTGATGGCAGCTTCACAGGATCACTGGGGTCTTGTTTCCCAGTTAAGGTGTCCTCGACTTCCGGTATTTGGTAGAACTCTTCTGTTTCGGGTGATATGTCGAAGCGGCAGTGTCCTTTGGCTAGCATGTGGTGCTGTATGCCCTCGACGGTACCCCTTCGGGTGCCACAGCAGATGCATTCTCGATAGTTGTGGATGACAAAGTGAAGATATGAGATTATGGTTTCGAGATCAACCGCCAACAAATCTTGAAAGGGAACGTTGAAGCTGTGTGCTGTAGTCATGTGTTTCACGCTGTCGTCTGATGTTGCAGAGTCCTGAGCGCAGAAGAGACATTGACCTGGGACAAGCTCTGATGTGAAAATTTCATCTCCATCTTCATCTTCTTCATCTTCTTCATCTTCAGTGTCCTCATTGGCTTGTTCATACTGGCCCTGTTGTTTGAAGTCCACCACAGCATCGTTGCGCTTTCTCTTCGGAGATATGCTTCTAGTAGAGTGAGGTGGCTTCGCCGTCAAGTCAACACTTCCAACCTTTTGTTTGAGTTTCTGGACACTGTAATGAGGTGTTAGTCTGCAGTCTGATGGTCGGGTTGGTGGACACTCACTGCCCGTCACTCTTGATATGAGCTTTCCATGTTTCCAAACCTCTCATCTCGATGTTATAAAGTCTGCAGAAAGACGGAGCTTGCGCGATCCTTAGCGACTGCTGCTGCTGCTGGTCATCGACAACGCTTATGTCTGCCATGTTTGGTGGTTTAGTGTGCGATTGGTGTCGGCTGTGAGTTGAAAAGCTGGATTTATGATTGAAGGACCAGAATCAGCAACCGAGTGCCAGTTGTTTCTTTCTGAATTAAGGAGATTGTTGTGCTGCAAGTGTGACGATCATCATTGGGTTTATTTAAGTTATATAGAAGTCCTTCCAAAGTATGAGTCGAAATGAGTATTGCCCTTTTAGGACTCTAGTGGCCGCAAGCGGACCCGCGGTGCCGGGCTATCGAGCGCGAGCCTCCGGAGCTAGGCGGCGGTGGTCACATAGTGGTAAATTCAATTGGGAAGCATTATATAGCCTTGCTATTGCACACTGATGGTACAACTAGCATTTAATATTAAAACTCACTAGTCAAACCGATTAACAAACTTGACAACCTTTCTTCCCGTCTCACTCAGCTTAAAGCCACCAAGTCCCTCAACAAAAACGACCCGAAAGCGATGTTCGTTCCCTCCAGTAACATCAAAGAAGTATCTGAGCTGACCTATAGCAGCTTCTCTGTAGACAGGATCCTGGCAACACAGCAACCGGATTTCCAACAATGACTCTGGCGAAGACTCCATACGATTCAAGATGACCTGCCACTGCAAAATTCCAAGATCATCCTGCTGCATAACCTCGCCGAGAACTCCAAAGTCAAAGTATCCCCCATCCCAGTCAAAACTGAAGCGACGATCGCGACCGTACAAGCGAAGAACTCGCATGTACGGCCATTCGTCTTTGGGAATGTGCGCGTGAGCTTTAGCAGATAAAGGATGGAGCGAGCCAATGTCGGCTGTCATGTATCGCACGAGAGGATTCCTCAGTCGAGCAAGAGAAGTCTGTGCAATCATCCCTTTCTCCCCTTCAGAGAGAGGCGCTAATCCACTCATCTGGGTACAAGACAGAGGCAAAATCTCGAATATGTTCATTCGCGTGTCGAAGATAAAGTCTGCACAGTCCGCAGATGGATCCAACTCCGTCAGATCAGGATTGCTCACCCCATACGGTCCGGCTTCACTGCTACCGACCATAGAACAAATCTTGACACAGCCGAGAATAGTATGAACGTGCTTTCTTTGGGCAGCGGTGAGTGATTCAGACGTGTATATGATCTTGTTGAGCTTGATCTTATATCTTTCAGCCGATGGGAGAGTTGAGATGTATTGCACAATTGAAATGATCTGGCTCGAATCACCAGCCAAAACATTGACGCGAAAGTCTTGAAGGTTATTAACGACTTTTGTGAGTGGCATGGTACTTCCAGCGGCAAGCACTGAGGCGCCCGCATTCTCTAGTATCTCGCACGTAAGATCTAGAGATCTGCGTACTTGTTAGTACAATATCAACTCTTTTGGTGTGATAGTACCTATACAGGTGCCCTCCCCAATGTGTCGATAAGACCCAGTCGTCATCCTTAATGACACCCGTGTTGCGAAGGAGCCTCCCAAAGTTTGCCCTATGAATACGATTCTCAAGTACATCTGTGGCAAAGAACAGAGTCTGAGAACCTGATCCGCCACCGGTCACGCTCGTGTAGACACTGCGGCGGTAGGTGTTATCGCGGCTATGGTCTTTGACTAGTCTCTCAATCACATCGTACCTGCTTATAAGTCAGAAAATGGTCTGCTGGGGACTTTGGGTTACTAGCAGGTCTGTCTTCCAGAGCAGTGGCAGGCTGCGTAAGTCCGGGAGGGATGAGGATGCGGCTTGCTTCGTGACAGCCTCAACAGTATTTCTGTCTGGAGGGTACTCAACATCAGAGTAAAATGGGTGAATGCGAGCTATTGCAAGGATCTCTTGTAAAGAATATCCACGATGTGAAGGCATGGTAAAATATGACCAAACGCTCAGCTTTTGGTTTGAAGATATGATGATGTGTGTTCCTTGTTTTTCACATCAACCCTTTATTAGGGTTTCGTCCCACAACAAGGCTCTGGACACTGGGAATTCCTGCACTGTGCGCTGTATCAATAGCGGAAAGCCCACTCGAGACCATACGTCAACTGAGACATTGGATGTGCCTAGAAAGTGAAAGAAATTTGTGTCCCGAGATGTGGTTTCACAACATGGGAGCGGCACGATGTTAACATCGCAACACCCGATATCACTCCATCCCGAACTGCTGTGTTACGCTAATTTACAAAAAGTAAAAGATACAAGTTTATAATGGCGGTGTAAAAGTTCCAATACCTTCCCTCCTCTAGATTTTGTTCCAGCTTAATAAATTACAATAGACTCTTGTATTTCACATGCTCTATATCGTCGCATAAGAATCCTTCTTACTACCATGTACTCTTTATCTTTTAGTTTTGACATTAGACGAGGAACTTATACATGTTAAGCTATTTTATTATCCGAATCTTTATATAGAAATTCAGAAAATGCATGGATATCCTAGCCAACTAACAACTGTCTGTACCCGCCGGATCGTCGCTTCGAAACTCCGGGGCTGGTGATACTTGTTACACCAAGAGGATGGTTACACCTATCTTTGAAGCAGATTCCGTGTTCCTCTACATCATTACTCGCAACCCAGAGCCCACAGCCATCATGCTATGAATCTCATCCGTGGAAGTTTTGTACTATCATAATGAGCCAAGCCAGGTACCATTGTCGTACCAAGATTAAATCTGATGCAAATTGAGGTGTCTTGCATTTTCAACAACTAGCAGTTAACTATGTACTAGGGAATGAATAGCCTTTGACCTGTCGTGTCAATGTCGCACTTCATCACAGATTCCGTCAAAACTGCATGCATCCCACCTCACTCTCCGAAGGTGGCGCTCGGGGTCCTTGATATCGTTCCTTGCATGCAACCATCGCCTATTGTCGATCAGGACAATTGATCCTTTTGGGAGATCTGCTGTTTGAAGGTGTAAGATAGCCTGAGCTTGGATATCTTCGTTCCGTAAAATCCCCTTTAGATCCTCCAGCGCCCGAGCTGCCCTATCCGTCAGAGGTGTCAGGATATCCTCCCTAAAACGCATCACAGGTAATCGGCTGCTTGGAGTCAACCCAAGGATGCTTCCGGCGATATAAGCTTGAGAAGAATTTTTGATAAATTCTGGCGGAATAGTCATTCGATACTCCGGAGCTGCAAGGGAAGACAAGGTTTCCGAAGAAAGGAGCCCACACAGCTTCTGAACATTCATTATGGACAGAGTTCCACCTCCGAATCGATCATGCTGCAGGACCTGTAGAGCAAAATATCTCGGTGGAGGATTCTCATAGCTGCAATCTGTGTGCCATGGAAATTCGCTCATTGTCTCAGACCTTGCTTGATGGTTCCCTGCCTGAAACTTGTCCTTATTGGGTCTCACATCCCAGTACCATCCGCGGGTAGCGCTGTGCGAAATGGGGAGTTTGTGGCCTGAGTATTTGTGAAGGCCGAGGATGAGGCGTGTGAGGTAGTTGCTTTCTTCATCTGCAAATCCTAAAGTGATCTTGAGCATGCCAGAATTTGCGAGGTGTTTCGATACGGATTGGACATGATCGATGTGCTCAGCGAGGTCTATATCCGGGACATGGATATTCTGCAGACTGCTCAATGAGATGGGATCTGAAGAGAAGGCACTATGAGCTAGGTATCTTTGGGTAGTCGGCTTTCGAAGGATATGAACCCTCCTGCTAACCGTTGCTCTGAAAGGAGTAGGCGCGACATGTTGATACCGGAAAATATAGGAGGGGGAGAACATGTCCAGGACTGTTATGCTCGTTGACTTGAACTTCCAACTTCAATGTTTAGTTGACCTGTGTGATATCTTATCAGATATACTTGCTCGGGCTTGCCAATAATAGGTGACCAGGGAACGGTTTATATCGGAGCTGAAAGCCAAGCCACCAAAGAAAGTTTTCGAAATTTGGACGTACATATCGGGTGTCCAAGATCGCGCCCACTCACATTGTGTAACCATTGTGATGAAAGGATATGCAGAGTCACCTTTGAAGTAAAATTTTCGTAATTATTGTGGTGCAGTGGTGTTTCTCGGGCCCCGCGTATAACTGTCTCGGCTTTTTGCATGCCGGAGACGAAAAATGTCGTTGTGCGTATGTTCTTCTCTCCTTAATGATTGGACGTCCAGGAGAATTTTAGGGTCAGGACGTCTATGCTAGCATACTGTAGAGCATCGGTAGAATTATATCCACATCATGTATAAGAAGAGAGGGAGGATCACACAGAGGATATGAAGAATGGCAAGGACAAAATTAGACACGACATCTCCTCGATAACAATGGCTTCTACTCGCCCACTTACTCAAATCCACATTAACCCTTCTTCCAATAACTATGAGTTAGTGTTGGAGAGTAAGATTGATACCGAAGCATACGCCAAAGAAGAACAAGTGTATCAGGGAGCTCTTCTCCGAGACTGCCCTTCACAGCTTTGGTACAATGAGACATACACCACGGGGTGCCCCAGACCCATTCTTGTTGGCTCGCATCACGAAAGACAAATGCGTGATCTTCACGAGGCATTGACAATTGCCATTTCAGACATCATTGATCGGTGGTGGAGTGATGGGGACGCCCGGTTGTGGGAACGAATGCCACTCAACGAAGATGAAGAAGATCTCTTGAAAGTGAGTGATATGGGGATACTTGCATATAATGGCGCTGACAGAGCAATAGTGGTTGGATGACCAAGTGAAGAGTGGAGAACTACCACCAGCCTCAGAACGCCTGGGATCATGGCGACCAGACTTCCTCGTCGAGGATGATGACTTCAAGGAAGAGAACTACAGAATTACTGAGATAAACGCTCGGTACTCCTTCAACGCCTTTATGCATGTGATATATGGCCAACAAGCTTTGAACACTGCTCTTTTCCACAACTCGACCCTTGTCAGTGCCACAGATTCAGAAACGGTAAGTCTCTTCAATGTCTGTGGTACTCATTCTAACGAGTTTAGGTTCTCAACGGCTTATTTGAGCTTTACGACCCCAACTATCCCTTGCATCTCCTCAAAGATGAAGAGAAAGGTATTGATGTCCACATGTTCATCGATGCGGCGAAACGTCGCTTTGGCTCAGCGCCTCGTCTGATTACTCCGGATGATCTAAGGATTTTGCCTGATGAAACCAGTGGCAGTGGTTATCGGCTTTTTTGTACAACCAGCTCAGACAGCTCGCCTGGGGCTGCAACCTTGGTAGTTGGCGGAGAGACATGGGAAGAAGTTCATCAGGTTGGGTTAGAGCTAAGGCAACATGAGATTATGGGGATGCAGCCTGAAGTCCTTCGACAGGTATCTCTGCGCTGCTTTAACGACATGCGAACTATCCTCCTCGTTCACGATAAGCGCATGCTTGGGATTGTTAGAAACGAGGCTCCCCGTTTAGTGGCCCGAAAAGTCATCACATCGGCGCAAGCTGAGTCCTTGAAACGAGGGATAGTAGATACTATTCTCCCTGGATCACCGGAGATGAGAAATATTCTCCAAAACTCCGAGTCTTCACCAACTCTACGAAACGGATACATCCTCAAGCCTATCCGCAGCGGGAAAGGAGACGGAATCGTCTTTGGTGATGATATCACTCAAAGAGAATGGATATTCATCCTCACGAAGCTATCGGCCACTGGGATTCCCCTCGAAGATGCCTGCGTGGTACAACGTCGGATCGTGCCTCGCAAGTATGATCTATTGTTGAAGGCATCAACTGGGATGGTGCGATATCCACTCGTTGGGACTTATCATGTTATCAACAAGAGACTTTTGGGTTTGGGGGGTTGGAGAGCGAGTGGTGGTCGGATTGTGGCTGTCTCATCTGGGGGCTCTTGGATCTGCTCTGTGGTTGAACGGAAGGATAGGGAGAAGGCTGGCGTTTCCATTTTCAAGCATTTTGCAGATTATTCCTTCAAGTTTACTCAACATGTAGGCTTATAAACAGGTCATGATTGAGAGCATACTCTTTCTATGACATCGCTATAGATCAATTGAGCAAACCGTGATGGGTTCTTTCATAATGGCTTGGAGTGTGACTGATGATATAGAAATAAATTTGACAAAAATGCACTTCAAATTTCTCTCAAGTCATGCAAACAAAAAATATTCTCCTTGTTAAACACCTTCCAAATCAACAACGATTTCTCACCTCACCACCCGCGTATCCCAACGTCCCCCACACACTACCCCAAACGGACAACCCTGCCGGGGCTAACACGCGGATTGGCTAAATCGAAAATCACGACAGACGTGCTAACATGGCGACATTATACAGAGCAACCTCGCTACTCAAAGACAAGGGCCGCAATTGACTAATGATGTCATGGATATTGATTGAGCATCTCAAGTGGTTGACTCTGCCGTTGAGATCGTCATTCTCGCTACGCATGGAGATAATGCCCCGACGATGAGATCTAGATGAGTGCATCCACTCCTTGTGTGCTAATCGGACAAGGAAAACCATCGTAGAGCTTGTCTCTAATACCTCCGCTACTGTGGCGCCCGTAAGCATAGGTAAAGTACAAGTACCGCAGCTCTTAGTACTTGTGTTGGAACACGCAGTTCGAAACCTCTTACATCAAACCAAGATGGATGCAACTCAACAGTGTTTAAACAGGGGCCGTATGGTGCAATAAAAGTAGAGACAGGCATCATTGTGCACTTTTGTTCAACCTATTTATCGCGAACATCCCCAAAATGCACAACCGTGCCTACTCAGCGCGCATCTGTTCTTGCGATATATACACAGCTTCACACCATGGCGACAGGCATCAAGAAAGACTCGCCGCCGGACCTCAGTGATGAGGCTGGCACAGTCGACTCAGGTCCTCCTGTGAACGAGAAGGCCCTCCTGCGAAAACTCGATCTACGACTTCTCCCAGCTGTCGGCGTGCTTTACCTCTTGTCGTTCCTTGACCGCAGCAATGGTATGTTTTGCCTTTATTTTGAAACGATTCCATGCTAATGTGCTCTTGTTAGTTGGTAACGCTCGAATTGAGGGAATGGTCGACGACCTTCACATGAGTAAGAATGTAGAAACGTCTTCACCCCACAGTCGCTGACACAATCCAGCGGGTAACGAGTATTTGACCGGCTTGACTCTGTATTTTATCGGTTACGTTATTTTCGAGGTTTGTTTCCCACAACTCGACACAAACTCTACTAACAACTCTCAGATCCCATGCAATATCATTCTCAAACGTACCACGCCACGACTATGGCTTCCAACACTCACCGTTGCTTGGGGTATCGTGGCCACTCTGCTCGGAATCGTACAAAACAAAACGGGCTTCTTTATCGCCCGCTTCTTCCTTGGTGTAACTGAAAGCGGATTGTTTCCCGGTAAGACTTATGCCTCTTGGTCTATGACCACATGTGCTGACAAAAACAAGGCGTGGTGTATTATTTCTCTATGTGGTACAAGCGACGTGAGAGACAGTACCGCATCTCGCTCTTCTTCAGCGCTGCATCCCTCGCCGGAGCTTTCGGTGGAATCCTGGCATACGTAAGTTCTGGACCCTTTCGGAAGTTTCATAACTAAACAGCAGCAGGGCATTGGTAAAATGGCAGGTGTAGTCTGGGACAATGGATGGCGATGGATCTTTATTCTGGTAAGCCGTCCACTCAACTGTGTTGTCTAATATGCAGCTAATCCCTAGCAGGAGGGTATTGCGACTGTGCTGGTTGCCACTGCGGCGTACTGGTTCATCGAGAACTATCCAGATACGTCCAAGTTTCTCACCAAGTCTGAGCGCTCGTTTATTCATGAGCGTTTGCATGCCGACAGCGACGCTGTTCGTGAAGAGAAGTTTACCTGGGCTGCTGTTCGTGAAGCTCTCACGGACCCTAGCTGCTGGCTTTATGGCCTTGGATTTCATACAATGAGCTTGCCATTATACACGTTATCTCTATTTTTGGTAAGTCTTCATCAAATTTACTGAGTATGTCTACTTATTATATTAGCCTACCATCATCAAGGATCTTGGATACACGGCAGCTGTCGCGCAGCTTCTAACAATCCCACCGTATGCCGTCGCGTTTGTCACAACCCTGAGTGTCGCCATTGCCTCTGAGAAACTCGCCAAACGCGCCGTCTTCATCGCTGGTTCTGCTTCTGTCGCTGCGATCGGATACATCATCCTTCTCGCCAACAAAAACCCCACAGCCAGACCAGGAGTATCATACGTCGGAACCTTCTTCGCTGCGGCTGGAATCTACCCTGCCACCGCTCTTGTGCTCAGCTGGCCCGCCATCAATGTTTCCGGACAGACCAAGCGAGCGATTGGGAATGCCATGCAAATCAGCATAGGTAACCTCGGTGCGGTGATGGGAACGCAATTGTATCGATCTGGTGACGGTCCGCGTTTTGTCGTTGGCCATTCTATGGCCTTGGCATATCTTATCGCCAATGTTGTGGTTGTAACTTTGTTGGCATGGAGACTGAAGAAGCAGAACCAGAGTCGGGCTGCGATTAGTGAGGAGATCAAGCATGTCGGCGATGTCGAGAATTGGAGAGGTGACTCGGACCCAAGATGGAGATTTGAGTATTAATTGATGCTCGCGAGATGACTGAAAGAGACTGTCTGGCATTTGCGGGGATTTTCCTCTCAAATCTTTACGTAAAATAAACAGATGCCGTTCATGCCTTTTATACAGTTCTATTTAAGAGTTCTGATAACGTGCTAGTAAGGGATAATAATATTAAAATAAATTACATTAAATGTGTTACAGTTAGAAGATTTTATACATAATCTTAAAATAATATTCTAAAGGCTTATATGAATTAAAAAGAGTAAAAACTAATTTTTATAAATTGAAAAGAGTTTAGAAACGTTTATGTAATTTATTAAAATAAAATTTAGGATAGAGGGAATCATTAGAACTTTTACACACTCGCTATATTGAACCCTAGAAAGAGAACTTGCGTTAGGAATACTACAATTGCGATACCAAAGAGACCTATTAACAGTCTTGTATGGCAATACGCTTTGTCGAATCCAATCGTTCTTGTCTAAAGTACGGAGTATGTACCTCTTTAAAGACTTGAAGTTGCCTTTGCTCGTAGCCTGGCACCATATTTCCACAACAACAACGGCGCCGCCACTCCCAAGGCCAATAGCGCAAAAGCCAAAACACTATTCCCCCACCCATAACCCAGAGAAGCATACATCTGTGGCGTGAACAGGGGGAACAAGAAGGCAGCCAAGCTCCGAGGAAACTGTTGCGCTGAAATCGCACTAGAAGTGTGGTCGGGGTAGGAATCCATCATATATGCCTGCAAAGGCATTCCTGAGAACTGCATACCAGTCATGGTAATGAACATGGCCACGTCCACCCAGATCCAATGAACTGTGTACTCGGCGCACCAGCCATATACGATGAAGCCAACCGGTGCAACAAAGGCGCCCATTAGCATGAGAGGTACTCTATACTCTGGCAAATGCTGACCACCACCGCGGTGCTCCATTCTTCGGTACCAGTAGTCCATCAAAGGTGCACCGATTTGTGCCCCGAGCAGCTCACCCAAGGCACAAGCGATGTAATGCAAGCCAGAGATCTCGACAGATTGATGGTAATGCTGAGACCAAAGCTCTCCAAAGCTGGTGAGGACAATGTAGAGAAGTCCATAGTCAACAGCGGAAATAATGGCGGCGACTTGGATGATGGGATGGCGTGTAAGAAGGCGTAGCGGACGGCTCATTGCTTGGCTAAGGATTTTGACCGGGGACCTTTGCTCTTGAGTTCGCTCCTCATGTGTGTAGTACGGTTGGCCCGTTTCCTTGCGTAGCTTCTTGGCTCGCTGGTTTAGAATTGCCGGCGCGTATGTTTCACGAAATGTGGTGAAAGAAAGGGCAGCCATTGCAACTTGGAATAATGAAGTAGACCAGAACATCCACCTCCAAGATACTCGGTCGGTCATGAAACCACCAATAATGGGACCTTATCTCAAATTAGCTCACAATCATCTACTCCAAGCTGGAAGACTTACCAACTGCAGCACCCAACAATGGAATAACCAAAAACCAGCCAAGTGACCTGCCACGCTGGTCTGGACGCCAGATATCACCCAGAACACCACCCCCAAGAGCATAAACAGCGCTTGCTCCAAAGCCAGCGAGGAATCGAGCACCGATGAGTAATTCTTTGGTATTGGCAAAGCCGCACGCGACATTCCAAACAAGGAACCAGATATTGGATACATGCAGGATATTCTTCCGGCCATATACTTCAGACAAGGGGCCAATGAAGAGGGGACCGAATGCAGTGGCTAACAGATAAACACTCAAAGCCATGACCGATTGAGTCGCGGTCATGTCCAAGTCTTTGGCGATTATTGAGAGCGCGGGAGCCATGACAGTTGAGACAAGGATTCGGTTAAACCCGGTCACTGAGAGGACATTCGTCATGGCCCATTTGCGCTTCTCTGGCCAGTTCTTGGGGTTATCACTGTCGAGATCATTGAAGGCAACGAGGAAGGGGTTTGGGTGGACTGGATTAATTGCAGAAAGTTCAGTACCCGCTGCGAACTCTAGAGGGTCCTTTTTTATATCAGTAGTCATATTGTGAATAGAAGAATGAACAAACAAGATGGGATGATAGAAGTGACTTAAATCTCACGGTATTCCCGTCGCTCTTTATACCCCGCATCGCACCAGGCAGAGAACATTCACGCCCGGAGACCGAGAATATCCACAGGCTGAGACAACAAGGATGCGGTTCGGAGTTATCGGTCACGATGCTGCCTGTTTATCAGATCCTACTTATCAGATCGGCAAATTAGTGGCGTTACATAAATCATTAAGCGGGCAAACGTCAGCCAATCCTCTCTGCGAAGGATCCGATCCTGACAACTAGCGAGCTCAAAGAACCCGACCTATCCGGAACCACAGACGAAAACGGATGGAATAGGCAGGTGTTTTCTTATCAATCAGTGATGTGATCAAATTCGGTTTGCTAGGTATGCAGCACACACCGCCATACTATGACTCAAACGATGATGTTATCCTAATTTCCCTTGGACGCCTCAAGTTCCTTCTTTTCTTCTTCTCCAAGAAGACCCAATGCTTCTCGACGACTCGGCGCTGACGCTTCGAAGTAAGGCTTTTCAGCCAGCGAAGTCACACGCGTGCCGTGTCGCGGCTCTCTACCACTATAGTCCCAGCTGGCATTGTGAATTGTGATGCTATAAGCTGTCAGTATAACCCAGCGTCCTAAGATCGAATTGTCACTTACCGATTGTCCCAGAGCGCCGAGGTTCGAGGAGTCCATTTGAATCGCACCTGGATATCGACATTCTGCTCATATACGTCATACAAATAGTTCAGAATAACGTCGCTCTCAGCCTTGTCAAGACCGACAATTCTGTCTGTCATGGCACGGTTCACCCAAAGGGCCTTCCAGCCCGTCGCAGGGTGAACGCGCACAAGCGGGTGAATTCTCTCAACATACTGGGGACCTGCTTCGGGATGATCGCGGTCGAGGTAAGGATGCGCAGAGCGGTACACAGCAGACCTCCCATCGATAATCTTGCGGAACTCTGGGGATAGCTTTTCATACGCGGCGTAACCAGATGCCCACAGTGTATCACCTCCAACTGAAGGGATGGTATCGTTATGGAGATGGGTGATGCCTGCTGGCTGTTTCTCATGAACCAGGTCAGTGTGCCATCGCGATGCTCCGCCAGGTTTGCGGAAGCTAGCTGGGCGTTCAGTAGCTTGGAGATCGGGCCACAGGACGCTGACTCCAGGCAAGCCTGGGACCTGAGGAACTTGAGGCTACGATGCATTGTCAGCCGGGACCTGTCGAACGACTTGAAGGCATAGCTTACATGAACTTCCACTTCTCCGTACCACTCTCCAAGTTCCTTCTGTTGCTGCGGAGAAAGATCCTGGTCTCTGAAAAAGACAACGCTTCGCTCCGCAATCAGCAAAGCAAGTTCATCACGCTGCTGGTTGGTAAGATCCTTCAACTGCAGGCCTTCAATCTCAGTTCCGATGTATGCGGTGAGATCAGTGACCTTTGTAGCCGCAGAGAGAAGGTTCTTCTTTGACTTATCAGCTCGAGCTCCAGCATCAATGTGGTCTCGGGGCTGGTCTCTGATCTTATACACATCATCGAGATACAAGGGTCGAGATGGACGGTAGGGATACCCCTTGGATAGATCTACACCTGACTTCTCGAGACGTTCTTTGGCAGCTGAAGGGAGCTTAAGGGTGTCTTTGATAGGCTCGGCGACATCCTTGATGCTTGGGTCGATGGGAGCTGGAACCATATTTGCTAGTAGAGATTTGTCTTATTAAAAATGATTTTCTGTGATTATACTGAATATATGCTCTATTAATCGTTGGCCATGACATCTACATATACTCGAGTCAGCCCCTCACCAATGCAACCTTCAGTGGTGGTCACGCCATGATGGCACTGAATGACCAAGACGTACTGTGGCGGTTGTGATTGGCCCACCTTCAAGATGCGACCTAGCAAGCATGATTGTAACAAGCATCATTGGCCAATGTATCACTCTGCCGATCGCGCCATCACCGATTTCGACTTGAACAAGACGTGATAGCATGCTCGTACGTTGGATGAGGGTGTCGTAGTCCTATGGATTTGTAAGTCGAGATAAAGACCCCTCACTTGGTAACGGTATCAACCAAAACAACAACTGCTCCTGGTGGATAACAAGGCAAGAATTACCAATCGAAAAGCTGTCACATCACATTCGTTATCTATGGAATCATTATCCACCTACAGCTTCGCCCGGGGAACACCAGCAAGCTCCTGACTATCGCTACTCCTCCAAGCAGCCGCAGCCTTGGGCTTACTGTCCTTCCACTGCCACTTAGGCTGGACCTGCTTCTCGTCCACAATAAGCTTATGCACAAACTGACCAAAGATAGGCAACATCTTGAATCCGTGACCACTATCACCACTGAGTACCGCCAAAGATGCATTCGTCCCGGGAACATAGTCGATGATGAAGTCCGAGTCGTCGGTATCAGCGAACCAGCAAAGATGCTGGTCAATCAGAGGTCGCTCGGCAAGGTGAGGGAATACCTCTTTGAGGAGCTGTCGAATGTGGACTTCATCCTCATGAGGCATGAATTGAGAGTCTGCGAGGTTAGGGAAAGGGATTGATAGACCGTCCCTGGTGTAGGAATAATTTGTGAAAGCACCGCCCATATGACAGAACTTGAGCTTCTTAGTTTTGAGATCAGGCTCAAAGAAAAAGGCTAGATCCCGGACGTTGGTGACCGGGATGCCCTTGAGTTCAGCGGCTTCTTCATCTGTGAGTTGGATATGTGCGACGCCCCATGCGCGGCCTGTCATTTGCTTGCCAATACGGGGAAGAAGATTAGCGGCGTCCGCACCCAAAGCAACGACAGTCTTGTCTGCTGTGTGGATGCTTCCTCCCCGGGTCTTGGCTCCTATGCACTTCGTGCCCTCTCTACTTGAAGCGTACAACAATGACTCGACCTCTCCATCTTTCCCAAGGTGAAATTTGACACCAAGCTTGACACACTGCTCGTACACGGCCCTCAAAGCGTTAGCAGAGTGACCATAACCGGCAAGTTTGTTATGATAGCCGGCGAATCCATTGAGGGGACCTGTGAATTTGGGAACAAGCTTCCTGATCTCTTCACTGCTGTTTACACGAGTGGTCTGGCCATTGAACGCTGGGTTCTTCTGCAGGGACTGGAAATAGCTCTCCACAGCACCCTTGGTGTTTTGAGCAGCTTTCCCCGATGTGACGTTCAGAAAGCCAGTTTGGTGATAATGAGGGCTGTAAAGGGGATCTGACTGCCATTTCCGAATTGAGTCCTACATATTGTCAGTAAATGATAACATCATGGCTCAAATTTACCTACCAGAGCTAACTGGGTGTAGAAGTCGTCCGCGTACTCTGCGCGAATGACCTTGTTCAGATCGTATGCGGCAGAAAAGCGACTGGGCACGTCGATGTCCTTTTCGAGGATTGTGACGTTCTTATAGCCCTTCTGAGCGAGTTCGAAGGCTGTGGCCAGACCGAAGCAGCCGCCGCCGAGGATGAGAATTGATTGATTTGTGTTGTCTGCCGACATTTTGATATGATGGGTGGTTTTTGGCTGTGGATGGCTGGTAAGAACCGTGCAGTTAGATTGTGATCAAGCAGTAGAATATGATCCCTTTTTTCATCAAAAGACACTCAGTTTATGATTATGAGTAGGATGTTTGAAGAAGGAGAGAAGGAACTGAAGGCGAGCGTAGCATAAAAATAAAAATACCCCGATGCTTTGAGCGTTCGGGATGTAGATAGCACCCAACGGGTTGTGATCCGATGTCGCCCAATCGACTACATCATTGGTCCTGGCTGTATTTTGGTTGGACGATATGGGGAAGGGAACGAAAAGGGTCGAGTTTCCCCTCACAAGGACCATTCAACGGGTTAGCTTAGCCGCCAAAAGATAGCTACGGAGGACGGCAAGATAACTCACCTCCACCCTTTGGTGATGTTTCCCCACCTCGTCGGCCTGTACCCCGGATTGTGGCATGATCATGTGGTCCATTTGAACAACTCTGTAATCAGTTCTTATCACCGTGCACTACGGTGCTAGTGATACAAGGGCGCTCAGAGGTCCTATTGGGCCGTCGAGGTTAGTAAAGGTTGATCTTTTAGACTGACCGAGATTGTGATGAAGAGCCAACATACGATGAATAAAAAATATCGACTTCTTTTTCCATTCTCATACTGGGCACTAGATTGGAGGAATACAACAGGAATTGACTGTCATCTGCGGCTCCACTGCCGATGATCGGACATGCCGGCTTTCACCTGGTACAAGCTGCGGATGGCGTCCCGAACACTCCCAACCCCTCGGCCCCACCTGCAGGTGACCTCTTCGTCTCTTGATCACCCTCTTATTTACAATAACATGTATTCTGAATCGTAGATGAATCACAAGACTAATATCCCATCAACAAAGCAATCCTCATGCCGGACTCCGCTGATGGGATGATACCCCAAACAGGCTATGCAAGTCCACTACGCTCAAGCCGTCACAATGGCATACCTCAGCAAACCCATAGATGCACCAAGCAGAATCGCCCAAGGCGCTGCCAGACCAAAGTAACGACCTCCCACAAAGGTCGTGGCAGTGACAACAACCCACCAAGGATCATCAGCCAAACTCTTCCCTGACTGAAACCCTTCATCAATGTAGCCAACCTGCCAGATCCTATAAACAGCCGTGTAGATCAATCCCACAGCACCAGCATTAACGCCTCGCACCGCAGATTTGACCCAGCGTCGGCCTCTCAACACGCCCCAAACGCCCATAGTCCCGTGCACCAGAACCATGCCGGGGACGAAGATGCCAAGATACGCAATGAGTGCTCCGGCAATGGCTGGATATCCGCCATGAGCGGCGGTAAGACCTCCCAGAAAGACAGCGAAATTGAAATTTGGTCCCGGGAAGGCTTGGGCGATGGCGAGGCCGATTAGAAAGTCACGCGGTGTTACCCAGCCCTCGGCGACGATGAATTCTCGCAACAAGGGGATGACCACTGGACCTCCGCCGAAGATAATTGTACCGGCAAGATACAAGTTTGCGAAGAGCTTGTATAGCAGTGGCGCATCGCTCAGACTTCCTCGCAATGCAACGACAATGACGAAGCTGGCGAGAAACGTAGCAATAATAGCGGTACCAGATCTCCATGAGAAGTTGAGGCGATACTCCTGAGGGACGATTCTTGGCTCGTCATCTCTTGTCTCAGAAGTGTCCTGCTCTCGGAACGCAATGCCCGAATCACTGACATCCGCGCCAGTTCCATTTTCAGCAGTCTGAGCATTTCCGTCCTCTGTCGTTCTCCCTCTCCTGACCCTGTCAAGGGCATTTCTGACAGCTCGAACGGGACGGTGAAGCCAGCGGTAGTCGAAAATGATAGCGCAGCAGCCTGCTGCAACCATGAGCACCGGAAAGTACCACAGGGCATTGTACAGAATACCAGCTGCACCCGTGAAAAAGACAAGAAGTCGCGTGGTTGGATCTGTAATGGCTTTTTCTGAGAGCTCGACGGCTGCTAGCGCAATGATACCAACCGTAGCGGCGTTCAGGCCTGACAAAAGGGCGTATACTGCACGGGGTAGAGCGTCCCCAATATTGGATACACCGACTGAAAGGCCAAACATACCCAGGCAACCAGGCAAACTGTTTCTCAATCAGCAGTGTTCATAAGCTATGTGTCGCGAGAGAGGTTTTACCTCCAGATGAAAAAGGCCAAGACAGCTTGCAGGGTTCCTCCATGAATCAAGTTAATACAGTACAGCATCTTCGTGCTTGCAGGGCCGGAAAGCGCTTGAGAGACACTGAACAGCTCCTGGTACTGATCGCAATTGTCAGTATATGCAGAGTCAAACGTGGCGAAAACCTACAATCTGCTCATCGATCCAACCCAGCTTCTTGACAAATTTGTCGTGGAACTTTTCCAGTTAGCTGCAAGTTAAATTGCGAGGAGGATGGTTGCTAACTATTTTGAAGTGCACTGGCGGTCCACCAAAGGCAGTGAAGCCTAGATGCCAATTGACCCGCAGGGTCTGGAGACCGCGGTCTGCAGCTCTGCTAATCGCGTTTTCCCAACCTCCGACTGCCATCTTGAGTGCGTAATGATGAGATACCACTAGATCGTGGATGAATTGATGAAAAGGGAGAGACAATTGACGTCAATTCGCTTGAAAGGTTATTTTTAAGCATTAATTTTGACTCACAGCTGTCACATCATCCAGTCTAAACCCCTTTCAACCCTTGGCTAGGAATAACTACCAATGATAGCAAGGGAGTGTCAGATACAGTGGGTAGGCAAAAGTTCTGACAACTTCCTCTCTTCTACACTTTACATGAGATAATATAAATTATAATAAACTGTCTTATTCTATATCTAATCTTATATAATTCTATCCTAAGATTACTTAGAAATTTTTCAATTATTAGTTATTTTATATATCTTCATCTATATTCCTACTTTGTAGTTTCGTCGTTGTTGGAACTTTTGCTCGGGACTGTACCACTTCGTGGGAGCTTGACAAACAATGTTCTCTGGTATAGCTTTGAGCCTCATTTATGTTGGTAGGTTGAGCTAATATTAAGAAATCAATCGCGTGTGGCCGAGTCAGGTTTTGGCCAATGCCGTTCCTCCGTTTATATACGTGTGAACCTGGCCTCAAAAACCAAGCTCTAATCACACAAGCCAGCAATAGCTAGCAACAGTGTAAGTAATAATGATCATCATATTTCACAGCAGTATACATAAAATGAGATTTCGCACCAACCTGAACCTCTCAACAGGCACACCCCTCTTCTTCAACTCTGCTTCAGATAATCGTGGATCATCGTGCAATTTTACTTGAAAGCCTGATCGTATTTGGTAAAAGAAGGGCAGGCCATCATCCCGAGATACACCTCTACCGAACCCTTCAGGAAAAGGAACATTATCCAGCTGCGGGTCTGTTATCCGCACATCCAAACCATTTTGGAAGGAAATAGCTGATTGATCTAAATCATCCCATAATATCTCCCAACCATGGAAATCATCCCCGAGCAGCGCTTGGCTCTCGGAGAAGCCGGGATAGTAGCATGACCCGATCACAGAGAACATGCGAAATCCTTTCTGGGGCCGCAGAAGGATTGGGCAAGATGAGCCAAGAAACACGACAACTATGTCCCCTCTGCGGCCTGCGGGCGGTACGCGTACGAAGTTTCCGCTCCGGGTCTTTGAGCAATCAGTTCTTGTGTCTATCCAAGGCCGGGAACTCATATATGCGCTGTCGCCCTGCCAAAAAGTTTCCGTGTCGTCCTCGTCGGTGAAGATGCTGTTCAACCATTGACGGATCCTCTTCCGCCAATCTCCAAGAGAACGTAACCGCGCGGCCATTTTTGGGGGGTTATGCCTCTGGGAACTATAATCCCAAACATATCTGTATAGCAATGCCATGCTAATCCTGTCGAGGTAGTCGTCGTCATCGACCGAGCCATTGTTACTCAGAACCCGGATTGCTTCAATCATCAGTTGACAGTACTCTTCCAGCGGTTGTAACAGCTGCCAATTTGGTACCTGTACGGGGTCTTCGCACAACTCGTCGCACCAAATTCCAGCTACGTTGAGTACTTGAGAATCGTCTGAATACGCATAGGCTGCGAAAAATCCTGCCGTATGGGCAGTGGTAAAAAGATAACCCCCAACTATTGAGTGTTTTCGAACGACTGCCCTGGTTTCTAATCGTCGCGGCCTTACTATGTATCGGAAATATTGCAAGTTTCATCGCGACACAAAAAGCGACACGCGTATGTTCGCGAACCTCTCCTATACCAATGGAGTTGTCAAATCTAGCACGATAGTCTTGTCTTGATGCAAGATGTTTCCAGTGCTTCACGCCCAACGCAGGTTTCGTCATCTTTGAGATTATGGATAATGATCAGCCTCACGATAACCCATGGTTTGGGTCTCCAAGTTTTGGACAATTCAAGAACTATTATCAAGTCTCCTCTGTGGGGATTCGCATCGAGTGTTTTGTTGAAACAACGAATGAATGGGCTACAGTGCCAATTTAGCAAATGAATACTTTTTCAACAGTAGACAGCCTTCTCAGGCTATGGAAGGAAGCTCTTACCATCATTCAACTTCCGAAAGACGTCACTTGATCACATCCTCTTACTGGTCCTCTCGCTGGTCTTTTAAGGTCTCCGAGCTTTGGCTCTAGAAGAGTTCCAGAGCTCACTATCGATTATCTATGATAAATGTGCCAATGGACTCCACGAAAAGGAAAAGTTCTACCTGCTCCTACCCTGGCGACTTGGAATGAGAGCTTTTTACTGATGGTCGATCAATTTGGTAAAAACTGAACAGCCATTTGTCGTCAACAACCTCCTTTCGGTGATGACTTTTGGCTACCTAGGCAGAAAAAAGTCCCTGCTGTGTGACTTTTGCAAGTACATACCTCGGCAAAATGCAAGAACCTTCGAGAGAGATTCGAGTCGCCCTGATATATGGGTTTGCAAACCATGTTCTGAAATGAACCGTCCATGCACATTCACTCCAATTGGTATTGTAAGCGAAGCTTGGGGGACTGATCCTCCTTTGTTGGGTAGTAGTAATTTTTCTGTTTTTCCGCCTGGACCTCATCGCAAGCTTGCCTTCCACCGGCCGATCCCTTTTGGAGAAATGGATCACGCTAATTATCATATGAAAACCATTATGTGCGCAGGTAAATGGGATTGTTGCAGAACTACAAGAAGATGGGGAAACTGACGTTGGCGATGTTTCTCTGGACATTGATGAAAATGAAGATGAGGATGAGGATTGAAGAAGAGAAGAACTGCTTGGTGTGCATGGAAACCAGGTCATTATGAAATTGCATGGAGATTATTTAAGTAACATTAGCGATTTTGCTGAAGAGAGCGATAAGGATAGGATTAAGGTGAAGATGCAGAATACATGAGGGGAAAGACGATCAATTGGAAGGCGAGATACATAGTGGCTTTGGGAGTTGGCATCAAATTAGTTACTGGTTTTAATCACTTTTAATTATTTGGCTCTGTTCTGTTCCAAAACTCATATTTCTTGTCACGCTATTGCTCTTTGGTGTGTTTTGGTGTAAAGTCGGATTTTTAAGGGGCACCCCTTACATTTCCAATTCCCCACCAAAATCCAGTACCCCACCATTTCAGCCGTGTCTTGTGTCAAGTATACCACATTTCAGTCCAGGTTCTCTACAATCATATTTCACTACCAGATCAACTTCCATTAATGAACTCCCAGCTTAACTCCTATCATCAGTTTAGTTCCCAGCCTGTCACCGACTTAGCACCGGACTTTTTACCAGCCCAAGTCACTGCCAGCCCTTCTACTAGTTTTTTCACCACCTTGACGTTTAGTATTAATTTATTTTGGAGTTACTATAACACTCTAAATTATATAAATGATCTCTAGATTTAGTTATAAGTAGTGTTTCATCTTCTTTTTTTGTGTTAAAATGAATAATTTATAATATTCCCAGGGTGGCTGTAGACAAGCTCTAACGTTAGACAAGTCATCAACGCCAAACGTAATACCCAGTCTGGTTATTGGCATAACGCGGATCTCATCAAAACGTAAGCAGAGGCGGTTTCAGATAGCGTAATTTTACATAAAAGTGATTGTAATATTGACTTTGAAAAAAATATGAGATAATAAAACATCAAGCTAACAAGAGACCGTATCCAGTACAAGCCATCCTCATATTTTCTCCCTACTAGTTAGCAGCAACTAGCACCTCAGGCTCACCGTTGGTGTAGCTGACGCAGACCTTTCCACTTCCATCAGACTTGACAGTACCCTGTCCAAACACTCTGTCCCAAGTCTTGTTGTTCTTTCCAGTGTTGAAGCAGTACTCTCCAGAGAAGCCCTGTCCGCGGTTGAGAGTGAGCACAATCAGGTCACCGTCGGCGCGACTCCAGGCCAGTGCGCTGTCCTGAGACATGAGGTACTTCTGGTCGTTGGCAGCCAGGCCGCCAACAGCAGAGCGGGCCTTGGAGAGACGCGAGATGGTCTGGTAGAGGTCGGAGCTGGTGTCGAACTTGCTTCGCCAGAGATCCTCGCGGTTGGCTGGGTCGTTGCCGCCGGCGTAGCCTTGCTCGGTTCCGTAGTACACGATGGGGATACCGCGGGCGAGGATGACAAATGCGAGGGCGTTCTTGAGGAGGGACTTGTCGTTCTTCTGGCTCAACCATCGAGGGTTATCATGGCTATTACCACGTTAGACCATGAAAAGAATCATGAATGAGGATAGTGGAGTGTAGGACTAACTTATCAATGAATGAGGCTAAAACTGATGGGTCGCTGAACTTGGTGCTGATCTCGTTGTGCATGTCGACCACGGCTTGAGGGTCTCCCTTCTGCTGGTAGAAGCGGTTCATGGGGTAGTACATAGCGTAGTTCAGGAGGCCAGGCATGACCTTGGAGTATCCAGCGAGATAATCGGGGCTTCCGTCCCAGACCTCACCGACAGCATAGACACCAGCAGCCTTCTGGAAGTCGGGCCAGAAATCCTTCTCAACATGCTTGACGGTGTCGATGCGGATGCCATCGAAGCTATACTCGGTAACCAGCCACTTGATCCAGTCGTTAAGAACCTTCTTAACGGTTGCGCTTCCTGTGTTAAGGTCGGGAAGGCCGGCAATCTCGCACTGCTCAATGCTGTTCTGGTTGTTGTAGTCGATGTCGCATGCGGAGTGGTATGAGCTCTGCTGGTTTAGAGGCTCCGGCTTGTGGTCGGAGATTCCCTTGCCCATGTGGTTAGCCACAACATCGGCCATGACGTAAATATTCTGTAAAACGGATTAGTAACGTCATCATTTATGGCAGGACGAGAATTGCGGTGTTTGGTATGGTGGCCGAGATTGTGCATCTGAGAGGACTTTGAGCTCACCTTGGCATGAGCAGCCTTGACGAGATCCTTCAAGTCATCCTTAGTTCCATAGTTTGAGTTGATAGAATACAGGTCATTGGCCCAGTATCCGTGGTATCCGCCAGCAGTGTCTGATCAAACATGTTAGTGTCGATGTCGCACAGGCTCTCATGATACATACTAGCAACAACAGGGGTGATCCAGATGGCATCAAAGCCCATCCCCTTGATATAATCGAGCTTGGACTCGAGACCCTTGAAGGTTCCACCACAATAATTTCCGAGATTTCCACACGAGTTGCCACCAGTATCGTCGGCGCTTCGAGCGACACGATCGGTGAGGGCAAAGTAGATGTTTCGCGACTTCCAGGCGTTTGCGTCTGCTGCTTGCGCAAACGGGCTGACGCTGGCAGCCACCAGGGCGGCGAGTTGGAGGAATCTCATGATGAAGAGTTAAGGGGCAATGGATGGAAAGTAGAAGAGGCTGAGGAAGAATGATTCAAAGTTGGAGTATCGGCGGGAATGATAAACCTTTTTATCGTGATCATCAAGATCCAAGACAATGTGCTTGGGCTGTTTCGGATGCGACGCTGAAGGATTTGATTGCAGTGCTGAACGCTGTGTTTAGCTGGATGAAGGATTCACCAAACAGTGGGTTAACAGCAGACGACAGAAACCACAGACCACCTGGAAGAAAAGCCCCGATTCGGCAACAGACGATAAAGCGTGTGTCTGCGGGGTCATCTCATTAGAACCTGGGGTGCACGAGCGTTTGATGTTTGATCCTGTGGCTCCAATGATGAGCAGCGATGATCGATCAAAAATGATGCTAACAGGGATCATCGAGAAGGCCAGATGACCCTCAGCTCTGGGCTATCACGGCACTCAACCCCTGGACAGTATCGGCCCGAAATGTGATCTTAACTAGCGTCACTTGACAGCGGAGTTTCCGCATCCTTCCTTTAACTCACTGGCCTCGTCTTGAGGCCTTAATACAATATTTCCACCAGGAACTGACAGGGTACGAGACCCATCTATAATCTTGCAATTGTTTCACTGGCTGTAGGACGGTTCCACCTCCCTATTAAGTCACGGAGCTTCTGCTGTTTCACCTACCCGGGACCGAACGGGCAATGGTGCCCGAATAATGACCAGAGCTAGATGCATAGTCTTGACACTATTATCATGGACTTGGAGAATAGGCAGAAACTAAGACCCATAAAGTCGGGCCGCCCCCGCATGTGTGGGTGGATTGACGTTGTATCGGAAGATAATCACAGTATATCCTCGGTTGTCAACCCCGGATTTCAAGCACATGGCAAGTGTTCTACAGCTTCTTTTGAGTTTATGGCATGTTTTCACAAATCTGACTGTTCGGTCCTATTATCATGGCTTCTCTGTGCCAAGAGCAATTCTCCGTGGCGGAAGAATGTCTGGTTATGTCATAGCATCTTTTCTTCCAACATACGAGTTCTAGAACAACGGAATAATCGTCAGATGAAGGAATTATCGATGGCGATTGCTTCATGCAACTCTATCACCGCCGTCAAAGGGCCGAGATCTTACTACTGTTGAGGTAATGATGGGTTGCCTTTTGGTCAGATTTTTGTCGTATCAAACATGCTTTCCTAGGCTATCGGGTTTTGGGGCCCTATCTGGTTATGCTATCGTCGATCACGGCTCGCTGCCGAGGTATTTCATAAGACCCGGATCATTATCGACCGAAGCAGCGATGCATCGCCATACAATTCGGACCGAGTGAGCTTCTAGAGATGAATCACAAGCGGTTCATCTGATCCAACTCAAACTTCAAGGCAAACTTGACCATGAGGCCTTTCCACAATTAACCGCTAGTCCGATGAAAAGCGGTAGCGACAAATGTCGGTTAGTTGTTGTAATCGTACCACGTCTGATATCATCAAGAAGCATCAAAACGAGAGGAATTCACACATCCATTCTCTCTATCAAGTTTTGGTCTCCTCGGGATTTCACCTTACTTATTTATATCCTAACCGTCATTATTCTTCTTTAGTGTAAGCATCTCTGCACTAAGATCAAGCTACCATAAGCATCAACTCCATATTAGCCAATAGGGTGATAGTTGTTAACTATTGTATATTATTATGTACTTTATTTTCTTTTTAATTCGCGTATTTGCCGCTGTGTCTCTGATTATCGGTAGGTTCGCCACTTACCCCAGCTTCGACACCATTGATCCGTCCTTCTCCCCCATTGACAGCGTGTGCGGTGTTTTTACCCTGATCACGGGCATGGCTGTAATCCTCAACTCATCCGACAACGTTCTTTGCGCGAACCCATTGAGGCGGCTGTTTGGAGAGAGGTCAAATGCTATTGTGATCCAGCCTCTCTTCCAGACACTCATCAATCAGATTACAAAGACAAAATCCCACCTGTGAGATTATAATCTTGGCTTTAGCGAGGAAGATAAAACTGGTACTATCAACACAATCGATGCTTTGGTTGAAAGTGTCGCTCAGGACGAGCTTAGAAACTCTCTCGGAACACTAGATGAAGTGAGAGTGACCAAGAAGCTAGAAGGCACACTTTATGAGCGCATGGTTGCATTTTGCGTAGAGACTATTTGTTAGCAAGGCCCGAGGAAGACTGGAGGCTATGGCTAACGATAATTGACGTCCCTTCACGACGGGACTGCACCTAGGTAAGAAAATCGCTATTGGGCGCAATGTTGAACTGACGTGGATGGACCTTGATATATTTAGCGTGAGTTTTACCAAATTTCCTCCCGATTCTCTTCCTTCATAGTATCATGACTCACAAACATTGTACTTTCCACCGGGATCGATCTAATTCATGCTGTGCGTCTCTAAAGTTAACAAGACCCTGATGTCAACAGCAAGCTGTCACCATAGGCAAGGCAAAGCCTTCGCCCTTGGTCTTCCTCTTGGTCTTTTTTTTAGATCTCTTATAGGTGCCTTTTCCTCGATCTTCATAGAGGGGATATTTCATAACTATCCTCCGGGGGGGGGGCCTCCTCAAGCAGAGGGCAACCCAATCCCTCGCCTACGGCTCCGGAAGTGATATCGCAATAGGTTCAATTCTTTTGGGAAGGCAGGTGCCGGTTTGTGATTATCCAATAGGCTATAGCCAAACGAATTGGCCAAATTAGATTAATGGCCGAATTTTATAACGGCTACTAAACCTTAAGGGCCTGACTTTAAAGAGGCAAAGCGGGAAGGTATACCTTCTTCACTTCGTTTATCTGATAATACTCTTCAGTGCGGCTTTACCTAATAAAGAGGACTGCGTCAACAATAGCAAAGAATAAGATTTCTTTTTCACATCGCAAGAGCATTTGTATCTCAAATGCCTATACAAGTAGCACGTTTATATCCGAAAATATACCTTTGAGGGGCGGGTTCGTCACGCTCTTGCGTCTGTCGTGAAATCAGCCCTATGTGATCTCGATGGAGAGCATCGTGCATATATTTCACCAGCAACGCAACTAATGCAACCACTATTCCGAACAAGTCACTAAACTAGAGAAGTGAGCAGATGGAGATAACCCAGTTAGTATAGTCTTGTAGTGGAACGCATCAGGAATTAGCACATGCAGGTGCATAAAAAGCCTGTCTGCCAGCTTAGTTTTCTAGTTCTAGTTGATTTACCGCTGAGCTAACACCTAAAGACGAGTTTAGGAATGAAGAAAATCAGAAAGTCACGACAATCGTAGCGATTTAAAGCTGTTTGCAAGTGAAGTTATAGCTAGCCATCGTTTTGTTAAGTTGCGTGAAGATATACGAAACTCTTTGATAATACTACGATATATCAAGTGTAATTACTGAAGGTATTATATGAAGTCCACATTATACCTATGCCAAATTGCGTAATTTGGTCTTTGATTTTAAAGCTCGGTTTACGATTTGGAGTAACTTTTGCATTATTAACTAATGAGCTCAAGGAGAAACAAATTAGGATTCTGTTGGGTTCAAGCTTAGATGGCCTTTAACGTAATACATCGATTAGCTCACCTGAGTAGTACGGATCAAGGCAGGTTGAGGGTTTCCGCTACGATCCTTAACTACGGTACCGTTGCACACCCAGATATTGTGCAAGCCAAAAGTGCACTTTCCAACTGTTTCCCTTGACCAGTATTTGAAATTTCTTAGTACTGTATGTGATAGATCGCCAGAAGAGAGATCAATAGATTGCACATCGAACTTTCTCTATTCATTCTCACTGAAACTCAGACATTGGAGAATGAAGTCCCTGTTCTTGCTTGCTACAATCTACTGCGACGGTAAAGGGGAGCTTACAAGACTGGAATACAAGTCATTTGTCTTCACTCACCACCTTCCCCTTTTTTTTCTTCAATTTTTCAATTTTTTTGCTTTATCGTTCAACCTTATCAAGCCCAGCCTCACCCCCTTTCATATAGCAGTAAAGTGGCCCAGAAAGTCAGCTCGAGTCTTTTTGGGCTGCCATCCGATTTGTTGAGACCCAAACTCTAATTCAGTAATATCAAGATCCATTCCCCACAGTGTTTTAGACCCCTGCTCTAAAGAGATTTCGACATTTTATCCGTTTGTAGCAGTCCAATTTCTATTCCCACCTTTACAATGTTCTCAGACACCCCTCCCGGGGATACATGGCCAGTCTCAGTAAGATCCCTTGCTTGTTTGAAGGCAAGATTTGACCTTTCAGTATAAGGTTTACCAAGAGCTTGTAAGGGAAGACATATAATCAAGATGGAGGTAGTCTGGTCCGACGAAACTAACGTACTTGTCCCTCTTTGGAGCGTGCACTACCAACTCAGCCTGCATTGACGTACGATTAATATATCCGGAACTCAGCCAGAGCCACCTAGCAATAGAGCCTTTACCATCACGGACCTTATTCTGGTCTTCAGGAGTAAGATAAGGAAGTGGGGGGGAGGGGGGGGGACAGAATGGGGAATAAGATATTCAGGTACCGTAGTACAGAGAGGATATCCGTACAAGAATGAGAGGATAGCAACACTGCGTGGACGTATGGCCTGTTTATAAGTTAGTAGATGTTTGCTACCAGGTACCTAATGATGAAATTCCATGAGTGGGGCCTGTTTTACGACGTATCCACTGGTAGACTCGGCAGATAAAACTTGGATACGTAGAACCGCGCGGCGCGGCGAAATATCGGATGTGGCTCCTGGTTTGTGATACGCTGAAAGCACTGACTTTGACCGCCGAGGGAGACTAATGACCAAATACGTATCTCGATTCCCTGCAGAACCTTCGCATCCCACTCTTCGTTTTCGCTATTTTGATACGGGAGACCCACACTTTATTTATCAGCATGATCGGGTAAAGCCGATACAGTAATTATCAATGTCTCCAAGGGATGACGACGCAGAAATATATATAAGGCTGGGTAGACAGAAAATGGAAAATTTGTGAAAGTAACTGCACCAGTTCCCATCTTGAAGCAGCTCCTCAATTCTTTAATATCGTTCTTCAACATTGCCAGTATGCTTCGAACCGTTCTGTTTGCAGCCCTGGCCGTCACTGGCACTCAAGCCTATGACTCGCTCCTTAAGTTCAACGGCGCCCCGACTCGCGAAAACCGAACCATTGAGGAGATCTACCAAGCTGCCTTGAAAGAAGGTGGCACAGTCACATGTTGGCATGGTGGTGATGAAACCAACCAGCAGGACAGCTTGAAGGAGGCTTTTGAAACCCGTTTCCCCGGAATGACCCTCAATATCACTGTCGATGTCTCAAAATTCCACGACGGCAACATTGATCGACAGTTGTCCACTGGTGGTCTTTTCGTGGATAGCATAATCCTTCAGACTCTTCACGACTATCCTAGATGGGACAACGAGGATGCGCTTCTCCACTATGCACCTCTCAATTTTGATAAGGTTCATCCTGCTTTCCGAGATGTTCGGGCAGCGTGGTATGGCGTCGCGGTTTTCGCTTGGACCTTCATCTCCAACAACAACAAGATCAGCGAGGGCCCTCGTGAGTTTGCGGACTTCCTCAAGCCCGAGTTTAAGGACAAGCTCGTTTTGACGTATCCAAACGACGACGACGCAGTGCTCTATGCGTTTGACCTGATGTGAGTCGCTTAGTTCTGTTCAGGGCTCTCACGCCACCATTTGGACGATGCTAACATGTGATGATAGTATGCAAGAATTCGGCTACGAATGGTTCGAGAAGCTTCTGAAGCAGAACCCTCGATGGGTTCGTGGAACAGCAACTCCTGTGACGTTGCTGAGCAAGGCCAACAGCACCGTCGCTGCGACATTCACTGCAGGCATAGGCCTTCAATCATCCGGAAACTTGAACGTCACCATTCCCACCAAAGGATCTTTCGTCACCTGGGCGCAGCGTGCGGCTATCTTTAAGGATGCTCCTCACCCCGAAGCAGCCAAGCTTCTGCATAACTTCATGTTGAGCAACGAGTACCAGAACGGAACTGGCAGCTGGAGTGTATTGAAGGATGTCCCTGCTCCTGAAGGCTATGCCGGTATCATGGATACTCCCTCTACTAACCCGGTTGAGTTTGATCGTTTCATGAGTGACCGTGTCCGTGTCGAGAGGCTCAAGCTATTCTTCGAGGACAAGATTGGAACAGCTCAAGGACTGAGCCCTCTAATTGACGACCTGTAGATAGGGTGGGAATGCGCAGCCTCCATGCCTGAGGAAAATCGATTGCAGGTACAAGGAACCTGATGCTTGACTAAATTACATTCTCTCGTCTAATTAGACCCATTTCAACATAGCTTCAATAGTGTCGCCCTTCTCGGTGTCTGAAAATGCCTTATCGAAATTTTCTGCCTTGTAATTCGTAATGTATTTCTCCAAAAGGCACGCCCCTTTTGCGTGCCGCTGAATTAGAAACGTATCATCTGGAAAGTATGTTAGATCCCAAACCTCGTCTGGCCTGAGCTCACCAAGGACGATGGGCTCCAAAGCGACTGGTTTGTTGTGCTCACGCAGCACAATGGCATCGGTTGTTCTAGACAAATTTGTGAGTGGTGGCACTACGGCTATGCGTACATCAAGATCGGCCTCGCCTTTATTAGAGATCAAATATTCATGAAACAAACGTGGTAGCAGATAAACAGTCTGTTCAGATCATGGGTCCATGCATAAGTGCCACCATGAAGCGATGGATGTGGGATACCGACGCCTCATGACTGCACTGCACTTTTTTCTCCTCCACTCCATCGTTTTTTAAATTGTCCGATTAGACTGAGCGAATTAACCCATACATTAATGCCAAGTACCAAATACCAGTCAATGGCTTTGTTCTTGGCAATACCGTTCCGGTTCCCGCTCAGCAGTGCCCTCCGCTTTGTATGCCGAGCCAGCAACCCCCAGTCTCCAGCCTGGCAGCGGTCATTAATGTCCCCAAAGGAGAAGATTTATGCCTTACCGATAATGAATCCCCGGGGTTGGGAAAGAGGCTTCCGGATAGCGGTATGCAGATAGCGAGGTTAATGGAGCGATGACGGGAGTCATCAGCGACGCTGTCAATTGTCTATGGTTTATCAACTTGAAAGACCTTCTCGCTTTTGTGATCGCCATTCGACTCGTTAGTGATGGCGCTGCAGCCACTGGTGTGGATACCTATAGATTGTACCTTTTCCGGCTTTGGCTAATTGGTGGTACAGGAACCGGGCCGCTGCTGGTCAATCTGACCACTGGTCGGCCCGAGGACATAGGAAACACCTAGCTGCACAACGTTTCTTCACGCATAGAATTTTCTTATAAGATGTCAATGGATGCAGAGGAGGTCTTGCAAATCACCGAGAACGTTTATACCGTACCCATCTAAATCTTTCTATTCTCATCTCTGTTGTGTTGTTGAGGATGGCAGGAATCGTCCACGTCGTGCAGCTTCGCTTCAAGCCCGATATCAGCAACGACAAGATCACACAAGTCAGTTTATGTACCATTGCATTTTGAGAACCAAACAATGACATTGGAAAGGCGATGGATGATGTCAAATCTCTCAAGGCCAAATGTGTGCTCCCCGACAGCAAACATCCTTACATCAAGTCTATTACGACGGGAAAAGATAACTCGGTTGAGGGATTGCAAGTACGAGATAGATTCTATCGCCATGCTCATCAAGCTGGGCTAACCTGAAGCAACTACATAGAATGGCTTCACCCATATGATCATCATCTTCTTCGAGAGCGTTGAACATCGCGACTACTATGCCAAGTCCGACCCTGCTCATTTGGCGATAGTTGCAGGTCTGACTCCTGTGTTGGATGGGCTGCAGGTACTAGACATCGAAGCATGAGCTGCCTCGAGGATAGCTATTACACGAACATAAATTCAGGAGACAATACGATAACATTCAGACAACTCTTAATTTGTCACCAGCCAGGTGTAGTAACTCAAAAGCGGCTCCAACCCCCTCTCCGCCCATACCCGAAACCGTTATCCGATGTCTGAGCAAGACACAGCGCAGGGCCGCGTGTGATGTTTTCCCCGGCCTTTAACGTCTTTTCTTGTTAATTCGTGATTTCTTGGTGGCTTTATGAATTTAGAAGTGATCGCATGTTAGAACTTCCATGTGACAGTGATCGCGAATACTTTCTCAATCTTCAAGATTGAGAGTGGCAAGCATCATGATAGAATCGAACAGTGATCAAGGTTTAGCTCAGGGTCAAGGGGCTAGCCGAGCCCCCACAGATAAATCCGAACAATACGAATCTTGCTGAGTCAGTGTCATGCGGGCCAATCCTAGTTTCAAGCAGCTCCCTTGCCTCAGACGCGCATCGCGTCGAATTGTCAAACACCAGAGACGTGATCACACGTTAAGAGAGCATCTAGTATACGGAGCTTTTATTACCTTTCACACACACTTGGAAGCTATTCAGACTAGAGAGTGGCATCGGTGACTACAGCATGAAAACTCAATGGATCACGTCCCTTCTGGAACCAGGTTCAACAGCAGCGTGATCCTACCTAGACGTCACGATGCCAACCATCGAAGAAGACATTTACAACATCGGCCAACAAGCAATTCGATCGTGGCGTCTCAATACACTTTACGTCTTCCGCACGCCACTCATTCCCGCGAAACAAGCTGGGAAGCGTCGCTCTGTCAAAGTCTTCTTCAAACTTGAGAACTTTCAATTAACCGGGTCGTACCACTTCCGAGGGGCTATGGCATGGATGTCAGAGTCTCCTGCAGATAAACCTCTTGTTACGGCATCTACAGGAGACCACGCCATGGGGGCTGCGCTGGCGGCTCATGCTCTTGGGAGAGACGTCACTATCGTGATGCCAGGAACAGTGGCAGCTCACAAGCTGGAAAAAGTCAAAAGTTACGGTGCCAAGATAATGATCCACGGGAGTGATTTGAACGAGGCCAGAGAACACGCGAACAAAGTCGCCAAGTTGGCGGGATACACATACTTCTCGCCCTACAATGACCGACTAGTCATCGCTGGCCAGGGCGCAGTTGGAGTTGAGATCCTCCAGCAATTCGAAGCCATGAACTCCCACGCCGACAACATCTTTGTTCCCATGGGCGGTGGCGCACTCATCAGCGGCATAGGTTGCTTTGTTAAAGATGCCAGAAGGGCCGTTGGAAACGCACGCCCTAGGGTCAAGGTCTGGGGTGTCGCCACTATGAACTCAATGGCACTGGCAGCTTCGCTATCCGCTGGTTTCATGGTTGAAACAGACAACATGCCAACGCTGGCAGAGTCTGAGTCGAATGACATAAGCAGGAATGAATTAGCCTTGCGTCTGGCCTTGAATGTGGTTGACCATGTTGTGTGTGTCTCCGAATGGGAGATCCAGCTAGCGTTACGACAACTTGCTGTGATGGAAGATCAGCGCGTGGATGGATTTGCTGCGCTCGGTCTGGCTGGGTTTAACAGGGTGGCGAAGAAAATGACGGGGCAGACGTGTGCTATTGTTTTGACGGGTTGTAATTATGATAGACAGCTGTTAAGCCAAGTTGTCTATGGCCCATGACTCGATGGTAACAGAGAGCTGCTGGCCAAGTGAGTAAGGTATTTGTTCCTCGTATGTCCCTCGTATGTTCTGGACATGGCGGTGAAGGCTATTGTGATGTTCACATGTACATTAATCTAAGCAAATGAATTACGGTTTTATTATCCTGTGCATACATGCAATCAAGCAATGTTCCGCGTTCGGAAGAAGCAGTTGAAGTTTTAAGCCATAGCCTTCTGGTGTTCGCGGCACCGATACTGTGAAAACTGCACGAGCCTCAGTGTTGTATGTTCTATTCTTTCAGCTACGTAGATTCATCGTCGAAGGGACAGAACTACAGTCTTATGTTCACCAGTTTTCATGGACAGAGGCAAACTGCAGAGTATCCTTGCATTCTCTAATTATAAGAGTGTAGCTATTCTGACCTCACCAACCATTATTCAAACTCCTCCAAACAGAAACCCACTTTCACATCACAACCGCAAACATGGATGCCATTTCCAAGTGTCTCCTTCCCCTGCGGATTGACAAAGACGAGGATGATGCATCGTATGTGCACTCTGCAAAGCTATACGTCGCAGCTAACCAAACTGTCCGACCAGGCTTCTACCACTGGAGTTTCAAAATCTACGATGAAAACACAGAGAAATGGACGACGTACGAAGTTCGCAAGTCCCCGGCTGATAAGTATCCAGTCAAGCATGTACATGACACCGTTCCTAGCTTCACCGGTCTTGACTTTCGATTATCCGAGCTAGTTAGCATTCCGTACCATTGGCTGCCCGAGGTCTATAAGGTGTGTGAGTCTGCTCGTGTCCCTGGAGTCGGAGGCAAGAGATGCAGTCACGTTTATGTTCGCTGCATTGTGGATTGTCTGAAGAAAGCTGGAGTTGTAGGCGAAACGCAGGTCAACGATCTGTTCAGTGAACTTGAGAGAATCGAAGAAAATGACGATGCCTGAAGGGAGAATTATGTAAGGAGTGAAGTCAAGTGGTTTACGGGGAATCTGAGAGGACAACTTTTTCTTCTTACTCGGAGTTGTGGTTTTCGCATCAGCGAAACGCAGGTGGACTGCCTATCGTAAGTTTGTAGAAGTTTCTCTTTCAGTAATGTAGTATACAAATCAATAAGATTGTTTAACCCTATTTAGACTTCCCCGTGGTGACGTGACAAGCCGAATTCTTATCCGATCTTAATACCACCTCCACTGGCACTAATCACAGATCCCGTGATCCATCTTCCATCATTTCCACAGAGAAGCCCTACCACATCAGCAACATCATCAGGCTGCCCAAAGCGCGGTATACTCTGCGTAGGAAAGAACTCATCCTGGAAGGATTTGACCGCTTCCGGGCCACAATCCATAACCGCATCGGTCTCCGTTAAGCCAACTGTGACAGCATTCGCAGTTGTGCCAGCCATGAAAGAATACTTCTCATCCTTTCCACCGAAAGCTTGCGCCCATGTCCGACAAAGAGATTCGCCGGCTGATTTGCCTGCTGCGTACATGAGTTGGTCAGCCCATGGTTGGCGAGAGCGGATGGAGGATATGTAGATGATTCGACTGTTGGGCTGGAAGTATTTTCTTCGAACGAGCTCTTCGACGATCAGAACTGGCGTTTGGATGTTACCTAGTAGACTTCGTTGAATTTCTTCCGTTCCCATATTGCCAATGATACCAGGCATGGGGTCTCCGGCACTGTTGACAAAGACGTCGACTTTACCGTCGAATAGCTCACCGACGGCATCGGCAATTTTCTTGGCGCAGTCGCTTGAAAAGATATCGGCGATGATGCCTTTGATCTTTTGAGAAGCCGGGCGATCTCGCGATGTTGCGTTGTAAACATGTTCAGTGACCTCGGTATTGAGGGAAGACGACAAAGCATCGACGCCCTTTTCGCTGACACAAGTTCCAAGGATGGAGCATCCTCTGGAAGCGAGATTGAAGGCGATTGCTCGACCAATGCCGCGAGATGCACCGCTGATAACGGCTACTTTATTGACGAGGTCTAATTCTCGGATTGGCGACATATTGACGATGGCTTTGTAGCTTGGAGAGTTGCAGTGGTTTGTTCAGAAAGACTTGATGCTTTGTTTCGACGAGTAACAGAAGCGATAGCTTGAGATCTTAGGGTCTTCGATATATGTATAGGACCTTCCCCTGTGTTTTATCCTGTCTGCACTTGCCCAGAATTTGAAATGACTCACCCAAGTTTGTGGCGCGATGCGGGGATTGTACTTCTTGAATCTGTAGTGATTGCTCGGAAAGCTCATTGGACCGCTCAACAAAGGTTGTTTGTTACCCGACAGGATCATCGATGCTACTGTTACAATGATCTGCAGGGCGGGGTACCTGCCTGGATGACTCTTGTTTTCAAGAATGCATCTTGGCATCAATCTCTAGGTCAACAGGAGTCACGTTGATATCTTGTCATGGTGATCCATCTGAAACTAGTTTGTGGATGCGAGTCACTTCATCAGAGGACAGAGCCATTCGATTGAAGTATGATCTGCAGCAAGCACACATGAACTAAGCGGGGACATTTTTTTCTCCAAGTCAAATCTCTAAAACACTTCTAAAAGCTCGAACACGAACAAAAAGGCAAGAAACAGCATTGAATTTTTATTTATTTCAGCTGATAATGCTAGTCTCACCGTTCCAAGCTAACGGTTGCAATTTCCCAGCCACTCCTGGGCACTTGCAGCACTAGCTTGAATTAAACTTCACTCATACGTCATGGCTAAATCTCAGCATAAGCAAATTCTACCTCGTACCTCGGAGTTCTCGGTTTCAAATTAACGATGGCTATGGTACATCTTCGCCATCTCACCCACCATTAATCCCTCAGCAGGTAAAAGGAAGGCTCAGATTGAGCGACCAAGAGATCAGGAACAATGGTCTCTTCAGAAGAAACATCCGAGACCCAACATGAAGCACCGGCATTGCCCCAACGGCGGAAGCTCCCAGCGTGGCTGGATCACTTCAACGTCCACGATATGAAAATATTCCTGCGCTGCTGGATCGCGTTATGGGTCATGCTGCTCCTGATCTTCATCCATCCCTCCCTCGTCGAGCTTGGACAAGCAACATTCCTCGGCGCCATCCTTCTCATCGCAGTTCCGCCCGCGAGCATGTTTTTCATCTATCTGCTCGCCGCACTTTCGCTGCTCCTGGGAATGTGTTTGGCATGGTGCTGGGGACTGCTTACCATGAAGGCAGCGCTTGCTACGCGCTCTTCAACAGAAACTCAGGCAAGATATGAGCTTCTGCAGAAAACGGCGCAAGAAGTAGCTGGACAAACGGGACAATCGCCGACTTGGGAGGGGCAGATATTGATCCATGAGGGTTTCATGCTCGACACTCGAGTCACAATTGTATTCTTCGCCATGAGCTGTATTTTCATATACGCTGTAGCGCGAATGAGATGCGCCAACCCCAAACTCGTGGTGTTTCAGACCTTCGGCACTATTGTCACCGACATCTTCCTCTTATTCGGCCCTGGACTCCCACGCTTCCAAGGCAATCTAGCATCAATTCTAGTCAAGCCTGGGGCTACCGGAATCGGTCTTGGCGTAGCATGCTCTCTATTGCTCTTCCCGAAATCAACATCATACATAGTCCTCACGGAGATTGAGAAGTTGATCCGCATGTCCAACAAAGCTCTTGCGGTAACCAAGAATGGTCTTGCGGGTGAAAGCAATCCACTATCCGATCTTCAAGCCAGCCGAGCGGGTATGATAGGCGTTTTCAAAGCTGGACAGCCTTCGCTCGCTTTCCTTCCCCTGGACTTCTCACGCGGACGGTGGAACGCGCATGATATCAAAGGGTTGCACGAACGTGCACGTAAGCTCATGTTCGCCAGTCTTTATCTTCTCGACTTTCAAATCTCTCACGTCCGGGGACAACAAAAGGCAGAGGCGCATAACAAGGCCAAGGGAGACGGACATATTCAACCGGCAACCAATGGAGAGAAGGGTGAACCGAACAAACGCTATTGGCAAGAAAATGACAGACTACTCAGCGCCTTCCAAAGACCAGAAAGTGCAGCTCTGCGGTCCAGAACAAGAAACACACTCCGAGAAACGACGTCCGATCTTTTGGAGATTGCCCCACAAGCTGTGAACCTCGGAGCCGATTATATACGCGCTGTCAATTCTTGCCGCTGGTTTGGAAAGACATCGCCAGCACATTTTGAAGAGCTCAACAGTAACCTACACGACCTGCTGGCTCGATCGCGCCAGGCTAGAGAGGCGTGCGTCCTCAACACCACCAAAGGAGTTCTTCAAGCCCACGCCGAGTTATTCGACGCAAACGGCCGACTGAAACCTATCGAGGGAACAGGCACACCCTTTCTACCGAGTATGGTTATTGGAATGGTGATTGAAGAAAGGATTCTCAATATCGCAATTGCAGTTGAGAAGCTCCTCGAGTACATTTTGTATCTCTCGGAAAAACGGACTACCCGTAGAATCTGGTTCCCATCGCGGCTTCAGTACGCGATTTCTTGGGTATTTCATGGACGAGTCACATTCCCTGGCTACGATGTGGCAGCAGAAGAAGACCCTGACAAACTCATGGATACTGAAACATTTGATGAGCAGACGAAAGAAACTCGCCGAAGGCTTGAAATCAGCCGTGGATATAAGGGCGCGTCAGCTCGAAGAAATAAGCTCAGTCAAGTTATCATTGCTACATACAACTGGCTAGTCAACCCTGCGGGTATGTATGCAATGAGAATGGTTATTGTTACTATTGCAACATCGATACCAGCTGTCATCCCGCACTCTGCAGGGTTCTTCTACCGAGAGAAAGGAATTTGGGCCGTCATTAGTGCTCAGACTGTGCTTCTCGTTTACCTGGCGGATTTTACCTTCTCCCTTGTTGCGCGAACGGTTGGAACGATTGTGGGGGGTGTGATAGGCATGGTAACCTGGTACATCGGAGCTGGAAGCGGTATCGGTAATCCATACGGCATGGCAGCGGCCTCGGGCGTCATGATAATACCTCTTCTCTGGTCGCGCCTTTATCTACCGCCTGCTTTCGCATTCGCTACTATCATGGCTGGTGCTACCTTTTGTCTCGTTGTTGGCTTCAGTTGGGACCACGATCATATTGTCCAGTATGGTCTCCCAGGCAAAGGCTATGAAGCATTCTGGAAACGGGTCGTTACCGTCCTGATCGGTTTTCTCGCAGCATTTATAGTGCAACTGTTCCCGAGCCCCCCATCTGGAACGGCCCATGTTTGTAAAACACTGGCAAACTCTGTGCGCAGTCTTTCGGACCACTATGCTCTGCTCATCTCCCACTGGGGCCGCACGGACAAGAACAGTGCTCTGGGTGCAATTGCTGAGAATATCTCTATAGAGGTGGCGGAGGTTTTACTTGCACTTAACCCTTCCATCGCGTTGTTGAAGGGCGAGCTTAGCTTTGGGTCTTTTGACCAAAAGGTTCTTCAACAGACGAAGGAGCAATGCCAGTATATGAACCAAGCACTGGGCGGCCTTCTCAACCTCGCGTCAACTCTACCAAAGGAACTTCAGGACCGCCTTGTTCATGTCGCCGGCATCTTGGATGAGCGCAATATCGGAGACATCATGGCTGTCCTTGTCATCATCGAACAAGCTTTGCGGACCGGGTCGCCTCTTCCTGAGCGATTACCAGGGCCACTTGTCCAGCGAGCTATCAATGCGATCCACAATCAAAGCGATGAAGTAATATTGACGACGGAATTAGTTCAGGATGAGGCCCACCGACGTTATTGCGTGGCGGTAATATTGTACTTCAAGTTCTTGGGTAGTATTGATGACTTGTTGGTTGTGCTTAAGGCAGCACTAGGGGAAAGACATGTTATCTACCAGTGGGAGGATGTGAAGAATATTGCATAAAGAGGGAAAGAGGCAATGTATCTAAAAAGTACTTACTCATGGAACTTAGTCCGCTATTATTTAATCGATTGATTGGAATAGCAATGTCAGTTTCGTGCTCCACTGTATTCAGAGGCTCACTGATCCTTGCTAAGTTAGGTTTTGAGTGCCGTGAAGATGCCTATCCTCACACAGATCAGATTACCGCTCTGGCCTAAAAACATATAGTGGGCGTACAGATCTCTACTTCTCTTAGCCTAGGTGTCAGGTGCCGAAGGTACCTGACGATATGTAACGCGCTTTATAACACGTCGTCAGACTGACGTATCCTTAGCTTAATTAATTTATTTTATATATATATACTTAATAATTAATAGTAACTATAAACCGATTAGTAATCCTTAATATAGACTATAATTTATTCTTTTCTTTATTATTTTAAGAGAACTATCCCTTATCTTAAGAGGACTATTAACTTATTCTTTTTCCCTCTAGCTACGATAGTAACTAGCCATAATGCCCTTAATAAACCGAGCGGAAGTAAAAAAAGAATAAATTATAGTCTATATTAGGGGTTATTAATCGGTTTATAGTTATTACTAATTGTTAAGTATATATTTATAAAGTAAGTTAATTAAGCTAAGGATACGTTAGTCTGACGACGCGTTATAGAGCGCGTTACGTATTGTCAGGTGCCTTCGGTACCTGATATTATTGTTAAGTATATGTGTGTGAAGTAAGTTGATTGAGCTAAGGATACGTCGGTCCGACGACGCGTTATGGAGCGCGTCACGTGTCGTCAGGTGCCGAAGGCACCTGACACCAGGCCACTATAAAATGATAAGATCTGACATGAATCCAAGGTAAGTGAGCCAAAGTTCCCGAGCTTTCAAGATCCAAGGCAGCAACAAGTTAGAGGTACCTCGCTTCAGGGCTCACAGCGGGCAAGCCAATCGCCAACCTCCCTACCCTTTAACCCCTGCCTTGCATTAAGCAATTGATGCCAAGGTGCCAGGCAGCGGCGGCGTAGCAAGACACAAACCAACACTTTATAAACTCCGACAGCCAGTTCGCATATCAGACATCGTATCTCATCTCATCCCACACTGTTGCAACTCCCACGATGACCTCTTTTAATAAATTACCTCCCGAGCTTTTCGGAGAGCTAGCAAAGTTTATGCCCTCTCGAGATCTCAAGAATCTCAGTTGCACAAGCAAGCTGATTCGCGACAACCTGATTCATATTCTCTTCACCAACTTGGCAATCACATGTCCGTTGGCTTCTGACAAGGGCTTGGATGCTTTTATCAACAAATGGGGAGGCTTGGTCTCGCGCGTTCACTTGCATCTGCGTCTAATCCCAAACACAAGCGATGAGGATGACATAATCATACCGTCGCTATGGGGGACACCGCCATCACAAATGCTCAAGAAAATCGTCCAGGGTCAGCTTCTGCCGCACATCGACACCTTGAGCGTGAGATTTGACCCAGAGCAGTTCGAGAGCACGGGCTCATGGGATGGGGATGGATGGTGGGGTGATCCTTCGGACCTAGGGACCATCTATACTTTCGAAGAATCAGAAGATCAGGAACGTACGCTACAACAAGAGGCAGAATTCATCTGGCGAGCTCAATACACAGAGTTCTTCAAAGATGTCTCAGCAAATCAGAACATCAGGCACTTTACAATCTCGAATCTGCTCCCCCGAAACTCGTCAGTTTGGGAAACGCAAGAGTGGAAGACATTTTTAGGGAGACTGGAAGAATTCGATGTCAGTGTGTTTGGCGGCGACAATGGTGCTGGGTGGAGAGCCAATTCACTACCAGGGTTTGCCGAGTTTATCGAGAGTCTGCCAAACTATTTCATGCAGCATGCAACAAATGTGGTTCGCCTAAGGATCGAAGCACATCCGTGGGGTTTATTTGGATGTGCCGGTGATTGTGGTATCCGTCTTCCTCTAAGAAGCGACAACTTCCCTTCCCTTCGGTCACTAACACTTAAGAACGTCCTGATCGGAATTGAGCTGATCGAATTTCTCATGAGCCACGGTGATGGCTTGAAGGAGCTCACGATGGTAGACTGCATGTGCGTTGAGGGGTGGCCAAGAGATGCTACACCTGCTTGGGCCAACCTCTGGCAAACCCTTCGCGTCGACTGCAGTAACATATCCAAGGTCTCAGTTGTGCGAACGCAGACCCCACCCCTTGCACACATGGAAGGCTTTGAAGGCTACGAACCAAGTCCAGATTCGGAAAGCGCCAGTAAGATACGCAAGATGCTCAAAGAAGACGAAAGCTTGGTGTTGTGGAGATATGTTGCTGTTAACACCAAGTATGGGATGGTGTTTGAGGTCGAAGAGAGAAATATTTTGTGTTTTGAGGCAGGCGAAGATCAAAAAGAGTATTCCATGCTCTTAGATGTGATTCGGGAGCGGAACAAGAACACTCTGATTGAGTCATGATTGACTGAGCCCGGTAGTACCTGGAACAAACAGTATGAAAGTTCTATACGGGTTGAGGAATCAACAGGCTCAATCGTGTAGCAAATTGTCGACTATGTGGCTGTCTCGAAGACAAGGGGTAGTTGTCCGGGGAAGCGGGGCCCTAAACAATTCCCCAGACAATGATTTGAGCCATTTGACACGTCCAAGACCCCAGACCTTCGTATTCCGTAGGGTAGATCGAGCTACACCATAGTAACCACGCGCATGATACATCGCCCCATCCTACCCGGCAGTCCTAAATGCGAGACCTTGGCAATCCAGTCTGGTTCAACAACATTGTTAGTGAGATCTTCGCAGACGGATAAAACATTGTGGCTCTGGCTACAGCAATGCAATCCCTCCCTTGACTGGTTGCTTTGACAGACACTAACCCACCCGGGTCTAAGTTCTAACTATCGGTCAGCCGTGCTAAGGAATGTACACTTAGACCTCGTAAAATGAGGTCTCGTATTTATACGAGTTAAGGCAGATATGTCTGCTGCCGACGAGCCGAAGTGGCTGAATTGTCTGCAGTTGGAATGGTGATGATACAACAGTCATTTTACGAGGAATTGACTTTTAATGGTAACGCTAGAGATGTATATAAACCAACAACCTTTGCTGCTCTTCGCAATTACACTCAAGCTATCTATTTCAGTATTTGCTACGGAGTACAACTGCCCCGAACTTTAATTAACCTAACACATTCGTTCTCTTCATCAAAATGATTGCCAACACTCGTTCTATCCTTGTGGGACTCGTCCTCGGCGCTGCTCAGCTCTCCAACGCTTCGCCTGCCGACTCACCCACCGATTTCTCGTCTCCGATCTACCCTACTGTCACGGACTCAATCCCTCCCCTTGTCAAACCTACCGCCACCCAGACTGCGGTCGCTTCTGGCACTCCAGTTGTCGATGCATGTGCCCAGAAATGCATTGACGCGCACGACAAGTGTAACACGGCGCCCGATGCCAACCACGCTACCTGCGCTGCCGAGTTCGCAGAGTGTCTCAACTACAACCCTTACGGCGGAGATGGCTTTGTCTCCCCCACAGCTTGCTCTGCATCTTCTTCCGCCAGCGCATCTGCAACTGGAGCTCCCATCGATGCTTGTGCCCAGAAGTGCATCGATGCGCACGATAAATGCGATACCGCACCTGATGCCAACCACGCCACCTGCGCTGCCGAGTTTGCCGAGTGCCTTAACTACAACCCTTACGATGGCAAAGATGGCACCCTGGTTTCCCCTACAGCTTGCTCTGCATCTTCTGCTAGCGCATCTGCAACAACAACTGGAAAGCCCCTCGATGCCTGCGCTGAGAAGTGTACCAAGGCCCATTACGACTGTGACACTGCCCCTGATGCCAACCACGCAACATGTGCTGCCGAGTTCGCCGAGTGTCTTGGTTACAACCCCTACACAGGCACAGGTGGAACGCTTGTCGACCCCACTGGCTGTTCCGCCGCTACTACTCTTGCTTCTGCTACCTCCAAGCCTACCGGTGGCGAGACTTCAAAGCCTGCACCCACTGAGACTACTGTTATTGTCAACGGAGCTGAGCGTGTTTCTTCTGTCAAGGTTGCTGGCCTTGTTGGTGCCATTGGTGTTGCTGCCCTTGCTTTCCTTTAAGCTAGTACCACCTTACCTGCGAATATGTGTCTCGATAATGGCAGGGTTCAAGAGGAGGAAACACATTTAATTCTACAGATTAGATAGATGGTAGCACTAAAACAATTAAAAATTAATATTTACCCTGCAGAAGACATGATAATCTGTGGAGCATCATAGTCGAGTGTTACATTGCATTTCGTCCAAAGCGCGACACATTTCACATCCTCCGCCACACACTTTTGACCGTTGAGAAGATATCAGATATGGGCTATAGATGGGTTTCAATAGCCGCTGTCAATAGCTTGCATTATTATTAGCCGTGCAACGCTATCGCACCCCTGCAGTGCAACCTCAAACCCATGCAGTCGGCGTCGCGTATCAGAAATTGACTTTCGACATCTCTCACGTTTCAAGTCCACGTTGCTCTCAAACGCCCTCAATAGGTGACAGAAATAATCACGCAGACTCACCACAGTTTCAGTATGACAGAGTATGAGAATTTTGTCACGTTTCATCCCGCCTGGTTGGCCTGAATCTCAGATCTATCCAGGATGCTCGGATCGCAGAGCTTCCTGTTTCCAAAAACGCTGAATAGGCAACACGCCGGCTATGATCAAACGCATCGTTTTGAACTATCAACTTTGGGAGCAGGAGCCCGATAACCTCAAACCTGCTATGAGTATAAAGTCTTGACGATGCCTTTGTCTCTGCTATTTGCTTCATCCATCTCATCCTTCCAACTCTCTTCAATACACTCACTGTTCTTTCTTCAGACTGCTGGAACAGTCAAGCCTGGTGCTTTTCAATCTCATTCTTTTATTCAGCATTATTTATATCTTCAGTCGTTTTCATCGCCACAATGAAGTTCTCTTCCGCCCTCGTCGCAATCTACCTTGGCCTAGCTACGGCTACGCCTGTGTACCGCAGTGTCTCCAACAGCAAGCGTGTTGTTCGCAGATCGTCGCATCTCCACAAGCGACAGGTCCCCCAGGAGCACTCCCACGACATTGTTCTTACCATCACCAAGGAGATGCTGGACCTCGACAACCCCAAGGAGATTGCGGATCCTGTTTTCGGTCTCTTGGGTGATGCGGCTGCTGCAGCTGGCGCAGGCAAAGTCACAAACCTCGCTTGTCTAAAGCAGGAAACTGCCGACCAAGCATACACCAACGCGAAAGCGATTGGCGATCTTCGAGGTATGGCTGGATCATTGCTGTTCCAGGCCATCGAGCGCAACACTGCCGGTGTTGGTGTTGCTAGCAAGCTATGCACAGACAAGGCAGTCAACCCCGAGATTGCGGCCCTCACGCAGCACCAGGATGCCGCTTCGGAGGGCGCCGGTGCTATCAACAAGGCTATCACTCTGGAGTTGGCCAAGCAATTGGCGGGTATTGGTGCTGATCCTAACCTGGCCCTGCTGAGTGGCACATTTGCCCCTGGAGACGTAAGTACATCGACTTCCAGACTTTTCCATCTTTACTAACATTAAGCAGGCCGGTGACTCAACTGGCAAAGGAAACTCCTGTGATGAAGAGGAGCCTGACCTTGGCTGCATCTTCTCCCAGAAGCTGCTTGTGTTGGATGCCACAGAGGATGAAATCTCCTCAGCAGTGGCAGACGTGGCACAGACATTCACTGGTACAGGTGGCATCTTCGCAACTGAGCTGGTCGATCTCGCTGCATTCGACGTGGCCTCTGTCACAGAAGTTGCTGATCTTGCTACGATTGTTCAGGGCGCTGCTGGAGGAGCTGCCACGGATGCAGCTGGTACTGACGCCGCCGCTACCGATGCTGTTGCCACGGATGCTAAGGCTACTGGCGATGCTGCCGCGCCATCAGCTACAGCTACCAACTCCGCCAACGCTGGGGCAACAGGTGGTGCTGGAAAGGGAAAGGGATGCGCCGCCAAGTCCAAGGCAGCGGGCGGTGCTCTCAAGACTTTGGCTCCCACCGGATTTGCGACTAAGACCACCGCAGCTTCTGCCACCGCTGGAAATGGCGTCAAGGCTACAGACTCTGCCGCCAACGCCAACGGAGATAACATCCAGACCTTCACCGGTACCCTCGGTGGACCGCCTCCTCCCGTCGTCTCATCGAATGCCGACAGGCCCTTTTCGGTCAACGGAAACACCTTCAACGGTGCTAGTGTAGCTCTTGGCCGATCCTGCGATATCCAGCACAACGCTTGTGCTGACGCCGCCAACTCTGGTGAGCTTTCTGGTGGTGTTGGACAGTGTGAGACTCAACTTGCGGAGTGCCGTGCTGCCGCTGGCGCTTAGGCTCGAGACATGTATAGTAGGATATGTTTAGTGTTTGAGAATACCCGAAGTAACGGTTATATCTTGAGCAAGCAGTCAGAGAGTCCTGTACTATCGTAATACTTAGATAGCCTCGGAAATTTAACTGCGTCAAGTATTAATGCAACGGAATTGATCCAATCTAATCAGTAGCAAGTGCGTGCCACGCGTGAAATAGTCACCAAGTACACTAACCAGTCAGTAGATTCGGTACCTATTGAGTGGAAGCAACATAATCCGTGATGAAACCAGCGGGGGATATCTACCTCTTATTCGTGGGGAAAGATATTGCAATGCGATGAGCCCTCCATGGCTGCAGACCAGTGGCGATGACTCAGAAGGTCGATTTCAGGTACTTGACGATACAGAATCACAACCTCAAACAACTGAGGAGTGGCGCACAGCGACAGATGAAGGATTACCACAGAAGCCGAGTGCTTCGGGAAGTGAGCTACACAGACCTGTGACGTATAAGAGTTATGCGACATCGAGCAGTAGCCACGCAACGACAAGTAACGGTTATGGGTCAACAGATGACACCTACGCGACAGCTACCGGCTCGATTTCATACGATTCGTCCAGCTCCGCTGGCATGCCCACTGGGCGATATGGATACCATGAAGATCAAGGCTATCAGAAAAACTATCAGGAAGAATATGAGTACGACTTTCAGAAAGTCCCTGTCGCTGTACAGGATTCTACAGTTTACGATGCCACCAATGGTCGAGAGCATAGCAGACCCTCCTATGATTACCAGAATTATCAGACAATCAATGCCGACCCGCGGGGCTATCCAGATGGCGACCTGGGTTATGATAGTGCGCTGGCTACAAGTAAACAGAGTTACAACCAAGATCCCGAATCAAATACTGTCGATGATGCGGCTGATGCCGGGATGAAATCAGCCAATCCGCAAGATGATGAAAGATATCGGCGAGAATATGAAGCAGAGAGACACCGAAGAAGCAGGCAGAAATCATCGAGACATCGGCGCCGGTAACGAAAGTGGCCGGGAACAAAATGTGTCGTCTGTGGAGAGACTGGGGTTTAATGGCTATTTTGTGAAAAGAACTACGGTTTTTACTTATTCTGAGCTTGTCCCAACTATAACCACAAGCAGGGCACTGGGTGCGATACTGCATCCAATATTGTATCTACCATGGGAAGGATTGCAGCTCATTCTACACAGATGAGAGAGAAAATTGTATTACCCATCCACACGCTCGTCGAGGCTCAATCCCAAAAGGCAGTACGTACTTACTTGCATGATTGATAAAACCTTGCTTGGCTTCGAGTAAAAATTCTGTATTGGGGGGAGTGTTATTCCTGTCATCTGTTCAAGACCCTCAGCCTACCTGCAGCATGCAGGTAACATCAGCAATGATACGTGGTAGTCGCTGCTACGGGAGACGTAACAGTAAGGAGGCGAGTGTTTGTAACAAAGGGCTGGCGGAACTGAGACATCAATTGATAGACCAATCCGCGGGGTGCAATAGGGAGCCTGATTTCAAGTCTGACATGAAAAGAACAGACACCCAAGGCGTTTTTGGCCCGCCACCAGAGGCAGTCAGCCTATCAAGCCACCGCTGACTTAGTGGCCTGAAGTTGAAAACAATAGTGTCATCAATAGCGCGGTGAAGCACTGAGGCGAGCCTATCCAGTCGGGCCAGACAAGCCTCTCTCACGTCATGATAGGTGTGTGAAACCAATCAGGTCGGCGCTTTCAAGCCAGAAATGTAGGCATCGCAGGAGTCACATTCAATAATTCCAACCTGCTAGTTAGTGGACTCGAAGTGTAGAAACCCTTCTTTCACTGACACTTAGCGATCTGGATTTTATCGCCCCTCGACGCATATTATTATAGAATACAGAGAGCGATTACAGCACTAAATAGCTTGTTACCTGTTGAACCACCTCAACATTCATCATCAGTCAAGCTTACCGCTGACCCCAATTAACTCTCCGCACAGACATGGCTGACCTCGGTCTAGCGATCGCTGGCGTCGCCGGCACAATAGATGTCTGCATAAGGTAACTTGGCGCTTTTATAAAATTATGTGTAGAAGATTACTAACTATCATAGACTTGGCCAATACATGGTACACGCCTACAAAGATTATGGCCGGTCAGATGAGATGGTCAATGAGCTGGTTGTCAGAGTTGAAATCTGCTGGTCGCGCATTGCTGGCCAGTTGGAAATCAGCAAGGAATTATTAACAGACATGACGGACGAGCAACGAGAGCTTCAGTCGCGAATCTTGCCTATTCTGCAATCGAAATTGAATGCTGCGACACAAGTTATTTCGCGAACTGACAAGCATTCCACTTCGAAGAGGATCAAAGCATTGCATTTCTTAACACTTCGAGAAACCCTTGAAAACACCGTCACGGATCTCGAAATTTGGCAGCAACGCTTCGAACCATCGTGGTTTCAAATCATCAAAACTGGTCCCCCGACAGTCGATGCAGTTCTGCGCAACCGAGACCGCGAGGAACCGGCTCGCGAAGGCTTGAGATTCCGTCGAGCTTTTGATAACACCCCGTCCGCTTTCATCGCGGAGAAAAGGCTTGAGAGTTTGGACAAGAGAGATATCACATACTGCAGTGCCCAGCTGGCTATCGACCAAAAAGACGGCAAATACTACATCGTTGATGCCGTGTCTCAAGAAACAGTCAAATTGAAGGATGCCCGTGAGCTTGCATCGCGACTTCGAGATTCGAATCCCTTCATTTTTGGAACCTTGAAATGTATAGGCATTGTACGAGTACCCGAGAAGACATCTTTTGTCTTTGTCTCCAGGGTTCCTGAGGGTTACTCAACCATACAAAGCTGCAGGCAATTGCTTCTTTCTGGCCATACGCCAAATTCGCTGACGAAACGGCTGAGAATTGCGAAGCAACTCGTTACCGCTGTTTATTACGTCCATCTGTACGAGTTTGTCCATAAGAATATCACCCCGGAGACTATTCTGTCTCTTGGGACGACCGAGCCGGGGCAGGACGAAGCAGTGGTCTGTCTTGTTGGATTCCAGCTCATTCGTAATGCCGACGCACGAACAAACACTTCTAAGGCAGACCGAAAGGATTCCGTGTATCAGCATCCGTCGCGGATGGGTAGTGCAGATATTAGCTTCACTATGCAGCACGATATCTACAGTCTGGGTGTATGCCTTCTTGAGATCGGCCTGTGGCAATCTCTTGTCGCTTACGACAATAGCGGTACTACGAGGATTTTGAGCGTGTTAGGAATCACAGGTAGTCCATCGCAAAGTCTCGGCCCTGATGAGATCAAAGCGAAGTTAATTTCGTTAAGCCGCGTTGAACTTAGGGCTGTGATGGGCGATATTTACAGTAAGGTGGTAGAGACTTGCTTAACGTGTTTGGATGAGGGAAATACTAAATTTGGTGATCCACGAGATTTCGAGGATGAGGACGGAGTAGAAGTTGGGTCGCGATATGTCAAGAAGATTATGGATGCGATGAGTGTTATTTGTTACTAGACCGGAGGCAGGTATGGTGCGATAGAGTGTGTTCTTATGCTGTCATTTAGAACGCTATGGGGGTGATCTTGAATTAGTATTCATAAATGTTTGAATGTGTAAACAAACTGTGAAGCTCTCTTGGATATTCAAAGCTCAAAGAAGGGTAGAAAAGTCTATCAGTCGACACTATACAGGTACGACAGAGCTGATCAGACGCGCAAAAAAGGTATGCTGCTGCGAAACCTGAAAAACATCAAGCTCTTGATATAACCGCGCGCCAAATCACAGCCCATCACGTTGTTTCGCTTCAGCCACAGTATGTACAAAGAAGGCAAATGAGGGGAAGATAGTAGACGCGCGCCGACGTATCTGGCGGCCCGGCAGCCTTTCAGCTCTCAGTCAGCCTCACGAGGCAAACCGTCCTTGCATTTTCAATCATCCAGAAAGCTACCAACTTCTTCGACAGTTTTGATCACCACGGAACATGTCAGGTACTCCTACGTCTGGTTTACTGGACGATATTGTCCGAGACTCCAGACTCGAGACGTACTACGAATGGCCTCTCACCATCCACTTGCGTAACGACCCTCACACACGACCTCTGACTCAGAAGCAGAAAGAAAGTTGGAAAAAGGTGCGCACGTTGGGATATGGTGGTCAGGGACAGGTCGTGCTCGAGAAGTGCGTCGAAGGCAAGCCAGCTGTGACTGAGCGCGCGGTGAAAAAGATTCGACTTCAGACCGATGATTCGAGACGGCGGTATGAGGAAGAGCTGGCGACAATCCTCAAATTCTCTCACGACAATGTATGTACCATAGCGGGCTTTTCTCATATCATCTTAATGCTAAGGGTGTTCACTAAACGATGTTGCTCATGTAGTACTCTCAATACTTTGTCAAATCATTAGGATGGTATGCAAGAAAGGAGAAACTGTATCTAGCAATGGAATACCTTCCTGCTGGAGATCTCTTCCACTACGTTTGTGAATACGAACGGTTAGTCGAAGATGATTGTCGAGAGATAGTGAGTCAGCTTGTGTCGGGACTGGCTCTCATGCATGCAGAGGGGTTCGCCCATCGCGATGTCAATCCAAAGGTATACACACTACCAGGGCCTCAACATCGTCATACTCTGGATAATAGCTGACTTGGAGTGCCAGAATATCTTGATCAACAGGCATCCACAGGGTGACAACCCAGGCTCTTGGTGGGTAAAACTCGCCGACTTTGGTATCAGCAAGAGGCTCGGCACAGACACAAATGCAACCACCTACATACCTGGCACCCGGCTGTACATGGCACCTGAGCTTATCGACCGAGATTCTATCAACCCTCCTAGGAATGACTACTTAAAAGCGGACGTGTGGTCCTTAGGAATCACTGCTTTCTTTATCCTGACCAAGAACATCCCTTTCCATAACCCATCCTCTATACAAGGGTATGGGAGAAACCCGGCTGTGTCTTTTCCTTACGGTCTCTTGGATCATCACCAGGTTAGTGAGGCTGGACAAGCCTTTATCCGGGAGGTAACAAAGCCTTTCCCGAACGAGAGAATAGGTGCAGAAGAAGCGAGACATCTTGAGTGGATTAGAGATTTCCTACCAGAAATTCCAATACTGGGAACGAACAGCCGGTAATTACAGACCAACCCTCCCAATTTCAGTTCGTGAGCTTACAGTCCTAGATCCTCAACAGTATCGTCTACACGCACTTCTATCGACAGTCAGAAATGGCTCACCGCCGAAATTGCAACGCTGGCTTCCCAGCCGACATCGCGCGGGATGAATAATGAGAACCACCCAGCTTGGATGCCGCCACAGTTTGGAGCCCCATCGAGGAGTAATAGTGAGGCAGTTACCTTACACGAAAGCCTGATCGGTCGCCAAAGTGAATCACAGCCGTCGATACGAGGCGTGGTTTCGTACGAAGATCTAGTTTACGCCCTTCTTACCAGGAATGTTGAAGCAGCCAAGACTATCATAAACAGCAATTTCAACACCTTCATGCAATCCGGTTGGACGCCATTGCACCTCTCCGTCGCTTACAATAATGTACAGGTAGCAGAATATCTAATCGATAATGGCGCAAATATCCACGTGACTAGAGACAATGGGAATACACCTCTACATGTATCCGCATGTAATGGCCACGAGGCTGTGACGAGGCATCTTCTCAAAAACGGCGCAAATATCGAAGCAAAGACAGATTTAGGTTACACGCCTCTCCACCTAGCTGCGCATAAAGGTCATCACGCGGTGGCAAAGGTCCTCCTTGAGAGCGGAGCGGACATCGAAGCAGAAGACAAATGGGGCCGAACATCACTGGTGTTGGCAGTTGGGAAGGGCTTCACGCCCGTGGTTAAACTCCTGTTGGGAGAGGGGGCTGGAACTGAAGTCCGAAATGAGGATCACGAGACGTCGTTGATCCTGGCAGTGAAGGAGGGCCGTGATGGTATGGTGAAGCTGCTGCTTGAGAAAAAGGCTGATATTGAGGCGACGGATAGACAAGGCAGGACGCCCTTGATGATAGCTGCGCAGAAGAAGCACAAGGCTTTGGTCAAGCTTTTGGTGCAGAACAGGGCCAAAAAGGGCATGTCTTATTACCTTAATCGTTTTGGTGACCTAGTATAGTGCAGTTCTCTTGATGTTCGGAAACCAGGCCGAGAGGGTACAGAGAGGATAGAAGGATCTTAATGTCGGAGGACCATAGGAACAAGCGTGCGCTTCATACCACTTTTCATTTTATAATTATCTCTCTTACTGAAGTATTGAATAAAAACTTCTACGCCAACTATAATGATAACCTCGCATGCCTTTAACCTGGTCTCGTTCTACTTACTATTCTTCGAACCCCACCAGCCTGTTTGATTCATCCCACAGTTTGGACTCCAGATCCTCGTTATAAATCCATGGAGCGTATCCCGGATGGACTGACACAAGATCAACGCCCGGCTCGAGTGGTGGTTCTTCAGAACAGTTACCAAGATACCTCCCCCCTCGCCCCTCCCAGTCTTTACTCAGTGCTGCATACACAGTGGTAGCCGCTCCTTGAGATGGACTCTTCAAATGCCGTCCCAAGTCCCCGCTCAAGTCGAACTGACTCATGTCCACATACTGGGTTAGGTTCGTTAGGATAGAGCCTGGATGCACAGCTAGAGCGTGGACTCCATGGTTCTTATATCTTCTTTCAAGCTCTGCTGCGAAGTAGATGTTCGCGGTTTTCGACTGGGCGTACGCAAGCCAAGGGTTGTAAGGCTCTTTTTCGAAGTTCAAGTCTTCAAAGCGGACGCCTCCCGTGCGATGGGCCTTTGAGCTCAATGAAATAACACGAGAATGAAATAAAGGTGTCGCAGAGGCCACAAGAGCTGTTTGAAGTAGTTGGAACAATAGGAAGTGACCAAGATGGTTGGTACCAAACTGCGTCTCGAATCCATCCTCTGTCCTTCCCTCCGGAGTTGCCATGACTCCAGCATTAAGAATAAGGACATTTAGCTTCTCACTTCTTGCAAGAAAGGTTTCGGCAGCAGCCCGGACAGACTTCAATGAATCAAGCCTCAACTCGATACCGTACACAGGCGCCGTAGACTTGACTTTTGGCCAGGATACGATATCATCGATTCCCTGCTGGAGCTTTGCCGAAGATCGAGCTGTGATGAAGACCCTAGCGCCAGTGGCGTGGAGGGCTCGAGCAGTTTCGAGACCGATGCCTTGGTTGCCGCCTGTGATGAGGACGACTTTGCCGAAGAGTTTGTCCAGGAGGCCTTCATCTTTGATGACTTGCAGGGCTGTTGGTCGTGAGTCGCCGGGTCCTTTGGGATTGGCGTGGACAGTTGCGTAGCGAGACATACTGTTGACTGGAAGAGAAAGAATGATAGAGATGAAATCTTCGCTTACAATTGTGATAAAGCAAGGACGTTCATAAAGGGCAAAGTTGAAAACACATCGATTACCCCCAATCGCTGTATATAGTAATCAGTATCAAGAGCTCCAGCAGTCCAATCAAACCGTCTTTTTAATTAACCAGTGATATCTAGCCTCAAAGCTCTTCTGCGACCCACGTCGTTGCTCTTGTGGCGGGAACATCGTCTTAACTCCGTGTCTGCGCATTACTGGCGAAGTGTTTGTTGGCAGCTCATTGCCTGGCAAAACCCTACAGACTTTGTAATTATCCCCGGCTAGAATGCCGCTGACTGCTGAGCTCCGACATAATTTGGACGAATGACCTACAGCATAGTGCTATCTGGGGCGAAGATCGGAATTAGCAGAGACGAAGTTTGGTGGCTGATGGGCTGATGAGAGATGGATCTCATAAGCCACTCCCATTAATTATGGCATATGAGAATCCAACAGCAAATCAGTCTCGATCAAGTCAGGACAACGTGATAAGCATATCTGGCTGAGATAATCAGTTTTTCACAGTGTTTAATCATACTCCTGTTTCTGAATTTTCGTGCTGATCTTGTGGGTGGACGTCACATATGTTTGCGCGTTGTTGAATGAGACAACAGCCAAATACTCAGCCAAGCTGTTCCTAAATTTGTCACTACATTGCAACGTAGCGTGTCTCCAAAGTCGCAAAGACTGACAGACTGTTGCAATTCCATTATTTGTTCATTTGAGACTAATTATGAAGTTACAGATGAGACAACATGCCGCACGATGTCAATTTCAATTGCACCTTTATCATCTGATCACCCTCAATTTACTTCTCACACCTAACATGGCCTCATCATATCTCCGTGAAAAGTCCCTCGCGCTTCAAATGCTTCCCAATGATTCCAGCGTAAACAAGATCACCAAACCCGGCGACACATGGCGATATCAAAGCGCCTCTAGCCAGATCCAGCCTCTATAGCATTACCAAAGGACGAGGGTCAAATCGTCCATTGTTTGAGATATCCGCCCAAAAGACATGTCAAGGTGACCGCGAAGCGGTCAGGCCACCCATTCCTGGGACTCGGCTTCGCGTTCGCTAGGAACCTTGCTGTTAGTATGCAAGCCTTTAACTCGGTCAGCTATAACGAGAATACGATGTTACTTGGTTCCGGGGGAGGAACGTGCGTTGGGCCTGTTGCGAAGTAACGATTAAGACCGCTCGAGAATACTTCCCTCATGTTCGTGGTTGGAATGTGAAATTAACAGGGTCAAGTATTGGCTGTGGCGTCGGGGCCACGTCTCGATTGTTAGGCGCTCCAATGGATAATTCTGTGTCCATGGAATTTATGCTTTACGGCGGCACTAATGATACAGCCACGGAATGCTCATTTGTGCTTTGGGCAGCAAAGGGTGCGGCTGCGTCCCGTGGTGTCGTTTTGTCGATGACCGCAAAGACTTTCAAGCCGGTAAACAATCGCTACAACCGATTCATCTATGTCGATAATAGATATACAACAACTTCGCCACGGCTGTTCATTTCATTGCTTCTCTCGGTGACATCGGTGTAAATAACGCCGCGAAGGCTTTCATCGCCATCAAGAACTCTGGTGCCAGCACAAAATGTGTAGACAGCTTGCCATTCGATGGAGCCTAGTGAACCAGATCACTAGAGCAGATCTCTAGGATGATCCAGCCGCTTCTGACTAGGTTTTGAAACCTGTTCTTGATGTCATCAAAAGTATCAGCTTTCGAACCTCGTTAGATGAAGTATCTGGTCAGAGGGGGAATAGCCTCGGTAAAGGTGATTTCAGTCCTCCTTCGTTCTACACACGGTCTTTGGTCATAAATACTAATCACCCTAGTGACTATCGACCAAACTCGGGTCTTGTTAAGCAGTACAATTTCGGCATTTACGCGCACCGACATGACGAAAATGGGCTTTGTTGATCCCTGGACAAGTCTATCCCGTGGCTTTGCTGATGGCGATGTTGGGAACCTGCATGGCCAAAATCCGGGGTAAATTCGATGTGATGTCAATGTTGTCGACAGTGACAGCTCCGCAGCTGATAGGGAGGCGTATACGAAAGGTTTAATAGTGCCATTTGAGAAGTCGTTAACAGAGGCCGGGGTGTCTATTCGCGGATTGTTGATTATGCCGATACCGACCTATCCCAAGAGAAACTAGCTCCTCGACTATAAGGCGACAATTACGACTGATTGGAGAGGATCAACGCGCAGGTAGATTCCGAAAGACTATTTACCAACATTGTTCTACCAATTTCTGCGCCAGGGGCACGAGACGTAATACAAGGATAGAGGCAGTCACTAAAGGAATAGTTCGTCGGCAATTTAAGACATTCCTCCAACATAGTACACAAAGAAACACACACTATTGGTCCTTTTCTTTTGCTACATCACCTGGACGCGATTATCCTAGCTACTCTTTGCTACGTTCTGGTTTGTCCGCATCAGATTCGGCACTCAGTTGCCGGTTTGAGGTTACATCAAGGCCCGGGCCATGGTTGTTTCGGGACGAGCACTAAGTGTCAACGCGACGTCGATCGGTCTACCCCGCGATTACAAGAAGCGAGCGAATGAGGCTTGGCGTTTCTCAACACCACTCTAGAGCCAAAGTGTAGACTTCGGAGGACTCATGGCGATCAATATCGTATCGAATAGGGCAGGTCATGGCAATTTCATCCGATGTTAGACTGGGATAGATTGACTTTTTGACTTCTTTGCTCAGTATGAATTGGTCTATATAAAGCCCCCATTGACGGGACTTAATTCTTTCTATCAGCATCAAATCGCCAACGGCACAACTTCGAGCTCTTAACTATTTACTTAGACTCTTTGGGATCCTTGATACCATAATGTTTTCATACAGCACCTTGGCCCTTGGTCTAGCTACTGTTGCACGTCTTGTCGCCGCAGGACCATGCGATATCTACCAGACAGGCGGCACTCCTTGCATTGCTGCACACAGCACCACACGATCTCTATACGATAACTTCAACGGCGCGCTTTACCAGATCAAGCGTGCTTCGGATGGTTCCACCACCGATATCAAACCTTTGTCAAAGGGCGGCGTGGCAAATGCCTCTGCTCAAGACTCGTTCTGCAGCGGCACCACCTGTCTCATCACTGTCATCTATGACCAGTCTGGTCGGGATAACCACTTGACACAGGCTCCTCCTGGTGGTTTCAATGGCCCAGAGGCAAATGGCTATGACAACCTTGCCAGTGCTGATGGTGCACCAGTCACCTTGAACGGGAAGAAGGCATACGGTGTTTTCATCTCCCCCGGGACTGGATACCGCAACAACGAGATCAGTGGGTCAGCTACGGGGGATCAGCCCGAGGGCATGTACGCTGTTCTTGATGGAACTCACTACAACGGTGCCTGCTGCTTTGACTACGGTAATGCCGAGACCAACAGTAAGGACACAGGCAACGGTCACATGGAAGCCATCTACTTCGGTGACAGCACCGTCTGGGGCTCTGGTGCCGGCAGTGGTCCTTGGGTAATGGCTGATCTTGAGAACGGCCTCTTCTCTGGAAAGAACCCCAAGAACAACGCTGCTGATCCTTCCATCAATTATCGATTCCTGAATGCTGTTGTCAAGGGCAAGCCTGGCACTTGGGCTATCCGCGGAGGGAATGCTGCTTCTGGCGGATTGTCAACATTCTACAACGGGGCTTACCCTGATGGTGGCTACAGCCCGATGAAGAAAGAGGGCGCCATAATCTTGGGCATTGGTGGTGATAACAGTAATGGTGCTCAAGGAACCTTTTACGAGGGTGTCATGACATCTGGGTTCCCGTCTGATGCTACTGAGAACGCAGTTCAGGCGAACATCGTGGCCGCGAAATACGCCACAACGTCCCTGACAAGCGGCCCTGCTCTCTCAGTCGGATCATCCGTTTCATTGAAGCTTACTACATCTGGCTACACCAACCGATACCTCGCACATACTGACTCAGCTGTCAACACCCAAGTCGTCGACAGCTCCAGCAGCGCCGCTCTCAAGAAGCAGGCCAGCTGGACTGTCCGATCGGGCCTTGCGAACAGTGGCTGTGTGTCTTTCGAATCCAACGATACTCCTGGTAGTTACATCCGCCATTACAACTTTGTTTTGGTGGTCAACAAGAGCGACGGCACCAAGGCCTTCAACGAAGACGCCACATTCTGTCCCCAGACGGGTCTCAACACCCAAGGTATCGCGATTCGATCCTGGAATTATCCCACTCGCTACGTGCGACACTTCAACAACGATGGTTATGCTGCGTCCCAAGGAGGTGTCCATACATTTGATGCTGCCAACAGCTTTGCAGACGATGTCAGTTTTGTAGTTGCCAAAGGCTTTGCTTAGACTAAGTTACGATTTGGTTGGATGGTTTACAATCGTCCTTGATAATTGTGTAGCAAAGGCTTATAGGCGGAATAGCTATCTAGTTATATACAAGTTTCAAAATTCATGCTACCTTTAATCATCTGTTTCCTCCGATGGCGCATCTGCAAACTCGAGCGGCTTCGTCATAGCCGACTTCATAAACGGACTTCTAGCCCTGATTTCCTTACCCCAGATGAAAACAGCAATAGGTGCAGCTGCCAATACCAACGAGATAAATCCCAGAAGTGAACTCGCCCAGTGGAAGCCGAGGTTTGTGTACATGCTACTAGAAGCAAGCGGCAGAAACGCAACTCCCAAGTTTTCCCCTAGGACTGTCGCTCCGATGGCACTTCCGGCATAGTTGCTATACGCATCAATCAGGTAGTTTGCGATACTAACAACAACAGCCTCAGTTCCAAGTCCAACCAACATTAGCCCAAACGCAGGTCCAACCCAGCTGACTGAGGAATAACTTGTCCAGGCGTACACAAACATTCCACCAGTAACACCGACAAACCCTCCGATAACAGCAGCGTATAGTCTAGCTTCGGGGATGGGCTTTCCCGGAACTTCCTTGTTACGCGAAGCAGAAGCGTAATACCAATTGTCTGTCATGACGCAGACGCCAAATCCTAGAATCTCGCCAATGACAATGGCAGCTTGCACATAACCGGCTTCCAGAGCATTCCATCCGTACAGCTCGGCGAAAACTTGTTCAACAGACTGCGTGAAGAGATAGATTACACCCAGGCTGAAGGAAGTCCAGATAGTGGAGATGAATACCACTGACTCGGTACAAAGCATGTACAAAGGACGCTGGATGCTCACCCAGATATCATGGATAATTGACTTTGACTCAAGTTCTTTTTGACTGTAGGCGTTCTGCCCTTGCTTTCTAAGAGTTTTGGCTCGCGCCGTCAATATCGCTGACCCTCTTGTCTCAGGCAGTGCCAAAATAAAAATCGGGAAGAAGGCACCCGTCCAGATGAGTTCGATGTAGCCAATCCATCTCCAGGGTAGGTGCTGAAAGATAGCGGCTCCGATAACCGGCCCCAGGCTGCTCGAGTTCAAGTAAATCATGATGTACAATCCAGTAGGGATTGTTCGTTCTCTGTCGGTAGCAAAGACATTACCGATGATGCCTGCCACGCTGTTGGCAATTATAGTGCAGCAGCCGCCACTAAAGAACCGGGTGATAATAAGAGTCTCGTAGTTCTGTGCTACTCCAACTGGGATAAGAAAGCAGAGGAAGACGGTGTAGACCAACAAAAATATCATCCTCATGCCAAAGTCTTCCATGATTGGGAGCAACACCAGCGAGAACAATGCACCGCCAAGGCCCCAGGATGTGACCGGCCAATATGAATGTGGGAAGTTTGCATCGCTAACGTTGAAATCGTCGCCTATGGCTTCGTGGGCTGTTGTGATAATGGTTCCGTTCATCATCGATATGAATGTCGCGAAGAGGCCTAGGCCTACGGCAAACCATTTCTTCTTGAGAGACCAGTTATACGGGTTATGAATATCGTTGGGTCCAGACCATTGTACGACAACTGGTTGATCTGGGTAACACAGATTAGCACAAGTCTTATGCTGAATGTGTTCCACGCTTGGATTGCTGCATACCTGTTGAAGACTCATCGGCTTGTTTTCTAGCCGTAGCTGTGGGACTTGTCTGAGCGAACATATTGTCGAAGTTAATTCAGTTGTTGGGTGCTTCTTCTAATAACTCTTGGCTTGAGATCAGATGGTTTCACCTCAAGATGACAAGTCAAGTTGAAGCAGCCAAGACATAAAGCCAAGAGATGAAATGCCAACAGATCGGAAACCGCTGGGGATTCCTCTCATGACTTCATTCTCGCCAACATGGTCCGGAGATCCACCTCGAAATTTTCTCTGTGATTAATCCAGACCCATAAAACAATCTCATTACCTCATATTAACCATATTGAACCAATGGTCGCCTTTCGGGTATGGCATGCTTGCTGTCACGCTAATCCGGGAATGCGTCAAAGAAGCCGACTGTGGGGTAGCGCCGCTGAGTTTCGACTCATTCGGAACAGCGCGATGTGACGCTATAACAGGTATGGATATGGATATGGATATGGAATGGACAAATTCGACTTTGAAGCTGATGGTATCCTGAGACGAACCTCAAGCGACACGTGATCTGCTAATGGATGCCGGTTTTATGGCACCCAGACAGCCCCTTATCAGCCTGTACTGAAGCTATGCCGAAGATGCCTAGAACAAGAAGATGCTTCCCGTCTTGAAGAAACGGGTTCCTCAATTCTTTGCCGCCAAGGTCACGCACTCACGGATGGGCCACTACGAGTTCTATACGTTTGATCATGATGCGATTATGGGCCGCATGCTGAAATATCTAATTTGTTGTTTTGCGTCGGCTTCTCAGGGCATGGAAGCTAACAGGCTCCGGCATATGGGCGAGGAGTTGCAGAGCTCATCACATATGCAAAGTTTCGTACCATGGACTTATCGTCGATTGCTTATATTCTTAGCCCGCGCAATCAACCCCCGCTTGAGCGAGCTGTAATATAGAATAGAGAACTCAAGTATTGTCTTTCAATCAAGTCCGTACAAAAAGCTATGAGATTTGTCATTTACATCTAATCATGAAGACTAGCCAGGCGGTGGGATGCCACCTAGATTGACAGCATGACGATGGTACTAAGCTGAAGTGAACCCTATTTGGAATGATGCTGCTAGATTCACGACTTCAAGCTTGAACTCGCTTAACCCGCCAAATGAGAATCCAGAAGTAGCCGTATTAGCAAAGTTGTTGAATGGCGGGAAGTCTTCCCACCCACTCTTTGCTGCAGCTTGTAGCGCAGATAGAACATATTCTTGTCCTCCACCAAGAGGGGATGTCAAAAGTAATAAATTTGCGCAAAACTTGGCGACGGATGCCCATATTCTAGCCTCTCCTATGTCAACCGGAGCACCAAAAAACATCTTGACAGCCGCCGAACTCGCTTGTTCGACAAACTTTACTTGACTGTGCGGATCAGAAAGATAACCCTGTAAGACACTTTGAATCCCAGCTGCAGTAGCATCGGCCTTTACCATGCCAGTGTTGGTGGTTTTCGCCTTTTCCGCTTTGTGGGCTAATGAATCGCAGTCATCAGGATCGATATTGATCCAGAACAAGCCGTTGATAAGACCGAAAATCATGTTGTCTTTCCCGTGATTGCTTTGGTTCATGGCCACGCTAACATCAGTGGTGCCCGGCTGATCCGCTGGAACACCAAACCAAAGCACCTTCTTGCTGCCTTTGCCCTGTTCCAGCAAGAGCTGAAACTGGCCAGTGAAGTTGAAATCAGTTTGCACAACTGTGGGCGGATCCATGTTTATGGGATAGTTCTGGTTCGAGATTGACATTGTTATACGGTCATTTTCCACGGACATTGAAAAGTCTCCCGCGTTAACACCAAGGACCATACCCTGGGTACTATCCATCCGGATATTAGCCCAAGCGATGGTGGCTGTGTTATTGATAGATAAAGTACTCTCATCAACGGTGAAGTCGCTCTGGTTGCTTTGGATAAAGAGCTTATACATGCTAGGCGCAAGCAAATTATTCAGAAACATGGTCGGGGATATGAGCAGACCGCTGGTGCAAGTTGGTGGAATAATGCTGGTATCCACCTGAAATACCGGATTCGTATTGACGTTGTTATTCACCATAGACAAGATGGCAAATACGCAGTTATCGGGTGCTGGATCCACCGGCTCCACAACCGCATATTCACTACTGGTTGGCTGAAGCCAAGTCAACGTGGCTGGTTGTACCGACTGAGGTAGAGAATAGACGGTAGCAAACGCAAATTGGTACGAGCTGACGATCATATTGATGCTATTGTTGACCAATTCCTTGAAATTAGACGCATCGGTAGTGTCTGAGATGCTGCCCGCTGAGATGACGGTCACTGGGTTGGTAACGCTTTGTGTGTTGACCACTAGTTTGTTAATAGCGTACTGTTGGACCTGAAGCAGCGTATTCGAGGTGTTGGAGTAGACATAGAACGACCTGCCCTGCGGTAGGTCTGTGATCTTCCAGGAAAACTGATCAATGACAACCATTACAGTTGCGGAGGGTGATAATGTCACATTGTTAGCCGCAAACGCCTGTATGACATCGTTTGTCGCCGTGGGGCTGACGTTGAGCTCGCTTTGAAGCATGAAGATGTTGTTGCTTATGGAGAATTGAATCGGACCTGGCTCTGCAACCCATTTCAAAGAGACACCTATGATGATGCTTTGTCCACCGAGGTTATGAACACCAGAAGCGCCGTGAAATACGCCAGTTGTGATTGGAATCTTCAGGTTGATGGTCTGGCCATTGCCCCCCTGTGCGAACTGCCAAGTCCCAAACTGCAAGTCGGCGTAGATGCTGGGTGATAAAGAAAAGAGGTAATTTTCATGAGAGGGACCACATTGTGCTGCAATCTGGGCGTCGATGTTTGCGTAGGTGGTCGCAAAGACCATGTCCCACCCATACGTACTGATAGTAGACATATTATCTGAGGCTCGAGAAATCACGTCGAGAGGGTGAAGTTTTCTTACTTATTTTTGAATATTTCCGTATCGATACCTTGGCGCCAACATATTCAGTCTTAAACCCCTGTAAGCCTACTTCTGCCCCGCGTTGGGCCTAGAACGTATTGAGGCTGAGACACGGCTGATTATGGCATAGCTAGTGTCTAGATCTATCAATAGATTTTCATTCATCAAGGCCTAGAACCAGGTCTACTTGACCGATCCCCAGCTTCGTCCAATAATCATCTCTTGGTCAGAGCTAGAGTTGGTAATGCTTGGAGTGGGGGAGATATTGGTGTCTAGGTAAGTTGGACACACGGTGGGCAGAGCCTCTCATTCATGCTGCTATCCTCTCCTGGCGGCGTCATGCTGACTTAGAAAATAGTTGATATCATCAACAATATCAGGCATCTTGATAGTTGATAGGTAAGATTCAGTAGGTAGAAGATGTGTTGTGTGGTTGAGATGATGATGCTATTACCGTAACGATCAATGTGTAAAGGTTGATGGAGATGGCAAGTTGCGAGTGGGAACATTTAGAAAAGTGCGGAGTATGTTCATGTTGAGGTAGTTGATTGATAAGAATTAAGCTGTGGCAAACAAGGCTGAGCAGGCCCCTTTGCTACGTTATGCGCACTTGCGCATAACTCAGAAGTCGAAGCCATGAACTACGTACAGAATCACAGTTCGATCCTGTCCTTGATACGGCGGGGGAGATCAGCAATGGTTATTACCATTCAATTCCACTTGCACGTAAGCCTGCTAATGCCCATAGTATCGCACTCTTAAAACACGTCCAGCCCGATCGCACTTATTATGACCTGTCAAGTGAAGACCACCAAGGAAGCATTATCTGCGAGGGGATCTTATATAGATGTCATAATATTGGTCGCTCCCAGACCCGATGTGATGAGAATAACGCCAGGTTTAATGGAGGCACGAGCACATCATTACGCCATGTGGCCAGCGCCTTATTCGTGTCGAGTCAAGATGAAATAGAAGTGTTTCGAGTTGTAGATGGCGTTATAGGGGGGAAGAATGGCGCCTCCTGCGTAGCCGACTTTGGCTAACTAGTCCGCCAACGAAGATAAGTTCGGTTGGAGGGAGGAGACAAACAAATATGCTTGACATCGTGTCCGCGCATCATCTCACAAGATGAAAGATCTCGCCGCCGTCATTTCCAATGAACCTGAAAGTATATGAACAGGGGCTCATCACTGTTTGATTAATAACGCCGACCATGCGGAGGCCCCTATCGATCAATGCGTCGAAGGGACGCAGGTTTTCTGAGAATAACCGAAATGCTGCCTCTATTTCCTTCTGACGATCGTCGTCTGTGTCAAATCCAGACTGGAGTTGCCCTTCTGGGGCTAGCCGCAGAAAAGGTTGGCAAGCGACGTATTTATCTCTTGCATAGTCTTCGTCCTCAACAGCGTCATTAGGCTGAAACACCAACTGCGCCATGTACCTATAGGCTAGTGTAGAGTACCACTCTGTATCAGTAGAACATTACCGGCTTGGCAATAGAGACGGAGGCACCTCTGTAAACTCGAGAATCAAGTTCATGCTCATAGTCAGAGGTCATCTAGACACATCGAAGCCCCCATATCTATCTTGAACCAATGATCCAATGCGGTCAAATTGTAGCGTAGATAGCAGCAAAACGATGTTGGCCATCTGTGCGTAGAGAACTTCGAGCTTCTCTGCGTCGACGTTGGGATCCAGGACATGAGACTCGCTGAAGCTGATAACAGGGTCATTAAGAGCCTCTGACATTGTTCTCTCCTGTTCTGCATGATCCATGATGATAGAAGGTCTTGTGCCAGCAAGATCATCTGCTGCGAGGCCTTAGTGGTAGACCTTAGCAACCGCAATCGTTGTTTTATCCGCAATGTACCGCCTTGTTACGACCTCATGGTGGGGTTTCTCGTCAGGACACTAAACAATTCCTATTATAGATTGCTTAGCAATTACCAAAAAATGAGGACGGTACTTGTTTGCCAAATACCCTTGCAGGGGATCTTCAGAGCAGCCGAGGAGCCATCCTTATACTCCAGACGGTAGAATATGTTATACCCGCCTCCACTCGGACTGTGAAGCTCCACGGGCTCAACGGGTCGGTATTTGTTGATAAAACTGCCAACATCGCGGCAGACTTGCTCCTTGAGTAATGATCTCTCCCACGCTTCGGCCTCTCTGTCGTCTTTCTCCCAGGCAAGGTCATCCTATCTCATACGCATATATCTCGGTTTGAGAGTCATGACGAACCCGCTGTGGCTCTATTTCAAGACATGACGGTCGGTGTAGATCATGTCAAGAAATTAAACAACTATGTGACTTTGGTGTAAGTTGTTGGGACTAGAAGCAGAAGGGATCACAAACCTGAGGTCCGGAATTTAGCCCTGGTCCAGTGAAGGGCGTTGATCTGCTGCTGGTGACGCAGTTTCTCAACCTCCAATCAGCAATATTGTCACACACCACAAACCCACCCTTTCCTATCCTAAGATGACGGAGCTGCTTTGACCAGTGGTGAGATTATTATAAGAGCCTAACCGAAAGTCAGACAAGACAAGGGCCTACGCAGATCTATTGAATGTTAATTATAAAATATTGACGTTCAAGGTACTACAGATACAGGGCTTAAAATACATCCAGTTATAGTGAGAAAAGACCAAAGATACTAGAATAGACTAAATAAATAATAAACTCAAGAGCTGATATATCACTATTGAACTTGGATCTAGTTAGCTGATGTAGTTGATGTGCTTATTCCATATGAACTGCACTGTCTAAAGTTCTTGTAGCTGAGTACAGAGCCCTTATCTACCTGAACACCTACAGAGATTATCCAACTACGAAATACAGCCCTAAAAAGCATATTAATTACTGATCGTTTGATAGGCGTCAATCTTGAAATACAAATATTCAGCTCTTTCTCTGAGCCTTATTCTTAGAGTCCTCTACTTTTTCCTGAATCTTATAAATCTTCACGGTTAGCCAGAAGCCTTAGGTGCAACAGTACCAAACATACCACGCTTTTTGAAGGAGGTGAACCGGTAGCTTGAATCCACGCACCAACATGGGCAACTAGATTATCTTGAGCTTTTTTGTGGTTGTACTTGATGGGATCCAGAGCCATTTTGAAAGAGGATATAACACAAGGGGTATATTTGCTAATAAGGTCGAACTCTTTGGTGGTTCGAGTTGCAGAAGACGATGGAGTCCGTCAAATTCAAATCTATCGTTCATGAGCATCGCCATCATATATAGTCAATGATGAGATCTACTCTTTCCATCACGAGACGAAGTAGCAGTCCTAGCAATACTCGACATCACATCATAATCTTTGGCATTGCCAAATCTGGACAAAACAAAGTTGACTACCATGGTGGCAAACAAATTTATTGGACATAGATAAATTATTTCAAGCCTGGTTGCATTATTAATGTCTCCGTCTCGCTTGACGGACATTTGCACAGCAATCAGGAAATAGTTTAGTAGTTTGCTTTGTCTGGATTCGGAAGTTCCAAAGTTTCAATTCCCCAAACATTAGACAAAATGTGGAATAGCGTTACAGCAGCCGTTCCAGTTGATCGGCCTGAGTGATTAGATTACGAGGAGCTACCTCTAAGCGTCGAGAGATCTCCTGCATGGAAAAATAAGGCTGTTGAAGTAGCCTCAGCATTGCATTGGAATTACCTGATGAGGTATGGTGGGCGATCTGCCGCTTTGGCCCGCTGTCATCGAGTTGAGATGAAGCTGCTAACATCGTAAATGAACGTGGCTTTTGGAAACGTGGGTAACGTCCTTGGCGGTGAAGCAGAAACTTGAGACATAACTTTGGAATCACCCCATTCGGCTTAGTCTAACTCTGGGGGGTTGAAACAACAACAGCAATGTTATGCCCTCTTGTCCAATTAGTGACCCAAGACAAGGATTATTCCAATCTTACCGGCACTAGCTAAGTATGACGTGTTAATTGCTTTCTTTTTTTTCCTTTGTTGAGGTGAAATCACAAAATCAAAAATTGCAATCGATGCTAGACTACTGCCTGCTTAACTTGCCCTTGTATGTTCTTTCATATGTCGACGTATGGTGTAACTCTGACTCGCCGTTCGTTGTCGATTAATCTTCATTCTCTGCGCGTATTCTTTGCCCCAGTCGCACAACCGCTAATGATTCCACGAGGGTTGACCTTTATCGAGAGCCGTGCTCCACGAGCTGCCGGACTTTCAGAAAAAGCTCTGGATGAGCATAAAGAGTTGATTGGTGATCTGTACTTGAGTCAAAACCTTAGTCGTGGCCAAGTGATTCAGCATCTCAAAGCAAATCGGGGCTTCAGCATATCGTGAGTCTGGTCTTCTCTCCATATTTTCTTGTGGGCATCTCACATTAAAGCTCATAGCCCGGACCAGTTCTCAAAAGCGACAAGACGTTGGGGATTTCAGAAGCAGCGTCGCGGAGGCAGCTCTACCCAAACATCAGTAAACGAGCCAGCTATTCAATGCATGATGCGCGACACTGCCAGAAACGAGCTATCCAGTACGGCCAATATAGACGACATGGGGGACCAAGAACCGATACTCACAAATGAGTCGAGCAAACGCCCAAGAAGTGTTGCAAGCTCCATCAATCACAAAAGCGATACCACGACTCATGGCTCCTCCTCACCTCTTCCTCACCGCCCGGTGAAGCGATCGAAACCCAGAAGCGAGTCAGACGACACACCCGCTGGAAGCCTGTCACACACACAGTTGGATTTCGCTACTGACAATGACCTCGTTTCAACGCCATCAACTGAAGAGGGAAGTACTGAATCAAGCTCAAGGTATCAGTACAAGTACGATGGCGAGCTATCGGCAAACTACTTAGCTTGTTGCTACCGTTACACCAAAGCATTCTGTTGCTATTATAACATCTCGATACCATTTCAATGCCAGACCTCATCGCCCAGACAGCGACGCGACAGAATTCTCGATATGGCAAGAACTGCCAAGACGCGGAGAACCTCTGAGATCGTGAGGGTGATGATGGAGTCTGAGCTCAAGATGAGTAATGATCCTCTGTCTGAAGATGGGTCGAATAAATATCCCCCAGGCGAGGCTAAGATGTGCCCCATACAATCATTCTTATTCCATCGTCACCTTGCGGAGATCTACGTACATCGAAGCGACGGCGCCAGCCTGGTACAGAAGCATCTAGATAAAGCCAGAGGCTTCACAAAGGCCTTCGACACACTTGCTCCACCATCGATAGACCTTTGGACATTGCTTCGTCTTCTTCCAAGATATAAGGATACCAACATTCCAGGAGACTTGCTCAATTCACTCAAATGGGATGAGAAGTCGCTGGCCTTGGATATGAGGGATTGTCTTAAGCGTTGCTTGGAAGCACTATCCCAACCCGAGTCTTTGCCGATGGACGTACAACACTATGATGCAGGACAGCACGAAAAGATGGAGCCCACTAAGATGAGCCACTTGGCTCTTCAAAACAACCCTCTTCATATCTGGATTAAGACCAGCTTTCTATTCACATTCTTCTGGAAGCATATATATGGTAGAGCGTCTCCTATTTGGGGACATCCTACGATATCCGCCACGCAATTCCTGATGATTGTGAGCAGGATGATCGTCCGGCGGTCATTACTTATCTTCAAATACAACAGGTGGTCGCTAGACTCAGAAAAGAGGCTATTAGAACTTCGGGCCTCGGATCAGCTGGTTTATCGTGGTGTCGTGCTGGAGCTCTTTCAAGAACGCCTATTACCACCAAATCAAATCAAAAGAGAATTCGCTACAGAATTTGTTGAACACTACTCATGGTATCCACCAGTGGCTCGCAAGAGTGCCCTCATTCAGCAAGTTCGAACTTACCAGTTGGAAGCTCTTGAATCGGTCCTGATCACGAGAAGAGACAGCCGCCCGACAACGCCAACTTTTACAAAGCTGAGAGAGGTCACGGATGTGAGGGCTGAGGGCAGTGAGATGCGATGTTTATCAGCGGACAATGAGTTTCTGAGTTGGTTAGTCGCGCAACAGGAGCAACTAGCCTCTACAAGTCAGAGAGACACCATCACCTATGTCAAAGGGGGCCAATATACACCATCATTCAATTCTTCCAGTGCTTCGTCTTATTTGAGGACACCCTCATCCGCGTATCATATATACCTCAACGCGCTTAATGGAAACCCCACCATCTCCAGATCGTTGGCATCTCAGTCGTCACGCTCTTCCCAAGTGTCCGTCTCGAGCTCACTCAAGCGATTCAAATCATCAGCACTCAACAGACGAAACTCGTCGGAGTCGATGATGGGGCTGAACCTATATGACCCCGGGAGGCAGTTGCAGGACGACTTGTTCGAGGCAGTGCAAGACCTGCAGGTTCGGAGGTACTTCAAAGTAACAATGGGTCTGTCAACCTTGATAGAGGATGACTCACCGATTCCGGAAGAGGAGGAGTATACAAGTCAGGAGGGGAAACCAGAGGGAAACGGAAAGTCTACAATAAGGGGGAGGATAGGGAGACTGCTAAAAGGCAAAGGCAAAGATGACTTGAACGAGAGAGAATGGACATACAACCCTAACCATGACTATAGCATAAACGACTTGGAGGGAAGCATCCCTTATCACCATCTTGACAATAGATCGACAACTTGAATAGTAGCTCTATTTTGATTTAAATAGTTATCTATAAATGGGCCTTGTAATAGAAGCTAGAGTTCCTATAAACCTAACTACTGTTATGAAATCGGACTTAGTCATATTATAATAGCTCTTACTCATAATACATTGCCAATCTCACGAATCAGATCCAAGATGTGTAAGACCTCGATCCCCCGAAAGACGAGACTCTGACAACATGATCTTGTGCTGGAAGTAGATGAAAGGGCATTACCAGGATAGGATGTTGTGTTATCTGTGACGTACCTGTTATGATAGTTTATATACAAGCCTCATTGTACAGGAACTTTGATATCAATAAAGCCATATGCGTTATGTAGCTGGCGGTATCGTTGAGACGTAGAAAGAGTAAACCACGAGTCACGTACGCATACGGGGCGCTCGAAGCATTAGCTTTCATGAGACTCTACTGATGACAAAGCTTTACAGTTCGAGTTGACCCTTACACATATGGTGTTAAGCTATCTCATGCTCGGCATAGTAATCAGACCTGCGTCGCTTTCAACACTGCAAGAAAAGTATTAGTACAGACACCTGACGTCAATTAGCATCCGGATGCTGGGGTTATCTGCTGCCTAATCCTCTATCCTTAAGGACAATAAGGCACCCTCTGAAGGGCGTGCTCTAGTATTAATTGGCTGCCGATTGGTCCGCCAGATACGATAGTAGCACTGACGAGGCACAGCAGTAAGAGTCAAGATCGCGATCTGCAAAGCGTATTATCTAAAATACCTTGGCCTCATCTCGGTCTACTCATAATTAGAAGTACTTTTGATATGGCGCTCCATGCCGCGCATCAAAAACATGGAGAGGCGGCTAGATCGCGGATATCGGTGCTAACAAAACAGGCAAACTCGTATATAGGACTGGTAACTGCTCAAGACCAGCCCAACCTCAGCACCAACTCAGCTTAGAGCGATGGGAGCTCAGCTCTAGAAACGTAAATGGACTTCAGTATACTTAAGTTTCGTTTCCGAGTTAGGTGGTATTTTAATTCCGTGCTGCTGATAAATCAATGATATGCTAATGAACGTAGCTTTTCAGGAGAATTTCCTGGAACCTACCAGGTCACCCATAATTACGGACTGCACAAACCATTTAGATACAAGGAGTTCCAGAATCAAATCAACCCACGTGGCCTGTGATAAAATTTCCCATTTGTTGGTTTTCCTTCCTCGATAGATTGAGAGTAATCGTCGTCATATTCAAGACTGTGCCTCGTATGCCAAGACCTGAACGGGCACATCAACCAGGATTCTCATCGCTCTGGGTTTTGCCAATGCCGGGACAGCTGAATGAACCTACGTAGATTCTCGCGATTGGTTGTGTTATTAGGCTGGTTCACTTATCAAGCTCGGCCAGAACCAATTAGGTCTATGTTCCCTCGATAAATTACTTGTTTTTGCACGACGTTTATATGATTGAAGTTGGGGGCCAGACGAAAGCAGAAACTACCGCCGATCACTTGCGTGGTGGCCACTCTGATTGGGCTTCTTTCAAGCCGCCATCCTGCCTCAAAAAACTGATTAGGATACATCCCCGTGTGTCAGGTTCGGCATGCTGGGCGAGGAAGAACAAATATGATGAATAGCCAATCTCCCCAAGTCCCCAGCAATTGAAACTTCCCAGCAACCTTAACCTTTCCAAACAAACAATTGCTTCGAGCTTCAAGAACATGCCTCAAAGAAGAACTCACTTGGGGCCTCTTACTACAGAATGGGAATACCCGGATAGTTGTACTGTGCCCATTGTCCAATGTCGCACATGCAAAATCGGGTGGCAAGGCCAAGTCTGTGGAGATAACGTGGGAGACATGGTGGGTCTTTCAAAGGCCAAAATGCCGAGCATATCCTTACAAGAATTTGAAGCAAGGTGTCGCCGATAACACAGAATGTTGGCCACCGGCCACAATATCGCCATCGACCGTAGGCGCCCTCAACGGATGGGGTTATTTCTCCCCGGCCGTCGATTGCCCTCGGGGCTACGGACCAGCATGTAGCGCAACGGGGACCCAGACGAGCGATTTCGAGTTTCAGTTCTCGGTGAGTAAAGACGAGACTGTAACAGGATGTTGCCCATCGTAAGATCGTCTTCTCCAAATATGATATATAGAAAGGCTGACGATAGTAGTGGATACACATGCAAGATGGCCCGTGGAGGCGCACAAACCTGTGCGTTTACCGCCTACAGAGGCACTTTGGAAGTCGCTGTGTGTGTCAATCGCAAGATTACTCCCTACTCCCTGCCCATACCGGCAAAGGTCGCCGATAAGCCAGGGGAGAAAACCGTGACGATATATAAATTCACTGCTTATGCGCCAATGTTCTAGCTGAACCGGCGAGAGGAAGATTCATCTTTACAAATGATCAGATCTACAATTGTTGATGCAACCTCACGACATGGGATGTTAGGTCCGACGGCGCAATCCACATCAACTTCTTCAGATTCGACGGCGCAATCCACATCGATTTCTGGATCGTTTGTACCGCCCGACTCTTCCGGAGGCGGCCTTTCCAAGGGAGCCCAAGCAGGAATTGGAGTTGGAGTGAGCGTCATCGGTCTTGGGATTATTGGGGCAGCTTTTTACCTTTGGAGAAGAAGGCGAAAGGCCACACCGGCACCAGAGCTGGAGACTACAGAGTCCAAGCCACCCACGAGTGTTGGAGGAACCCAGAATTCAACTCCACCCCAGTATCGTCCGGTCGAACTAGATGCAACGCATCCTGCTGAGCTTGACGCATTGAACACAAGGCATTCGAGATGTGAATGTTAATAAACAGGAGAGTCGTAGTTAGCGCGGTTCAGGCTTTACTAGAATAAAGTCTTATTTTCTCTTCTGAAGGGTAGGGTCTGGTAGTCAAGTTTGGTGCCCCCTAGTTGAAATTATCGATAGTTAGGTGGATCATGAAACTGTAATAATGATTTTATTTGTTCTTCGTGTTACGATTGAAGTTGACCTGGAACAAACCTTTTCTCGCCATGCCATTAAAAATAGCCCATCTGTCATTCTAGTCTACATGATGGATGCATGAAGAATCGGAATCAGAATCAGGTATAATGTTGCTTAAAATTATCTAACCAACTCGATAGAATGCCAACCACTTCCCAGACCATATGCTGTCGTCAAGAAGTGAAATTCAGATGACCTCTGCAGCTCAAATCCTGGCATTCGGATCGAAGTTCGCTGCTGCAGCCGCACAAGACTCGCCCACTCCAGAGACTACCTGTCCGTTGGCAGTATAACAATACACATCCTCGTAAGCTCCCTCCAATCCAGCCGGTGGAGTTCCCAGAATTTGATGATAAAGTGTGACTTCAGCAATAGCCATCTTGGGATCAGCAAATGTATCATTGAAGTAGATAGTGTTGCGCTGACACTTCTTGTTGTTAAGAAGTTGAGGATTGTTGATCAGCGAGTGGAACGTATGGGCAGTATAGGGAGAGTCATTGGTAAGCTCGAATAAAATATCGAAAGCTGCAGCGTAGACGCCAGGTCCAGAGACGGGGTTCGGGAGAAGAAATGGCTTGACTTGTGTACTGTAGAAGCCGTTGGGAAGAGACTTGGCTGCAACCGTGTCAGGCGCGAATATCGCAGGAAAGATGGTTGTGCCTTCAAAAGGCGATACGCCCGAGGCAATACTTGGCACGATCGCCTGGAGTGTCTGTCCATTGGTGCCTCCGATGTAGAAGTTGACAGGAGCACCGATAGGAGTCTTTCCGTCCTTTGTGACGTCGACATAGGGCACAATGAGAGAGCCTTGCATGAGGGATTCGATCTGCAGAGGCACCACGTTCAAAGCAGTCATGCGGATGTCGTTGTTGTACCCGGACTGGACGATGAGTGGGTGCTTGCCGGCTGGGAAGGACGGCAGAATGCTGGCATCGATATCGAGGGGGTCGTAGCCCGTGATGGTCTTAACAAGGCTTTTATTGATAGGGACCAGGCAGTAGGCTGTGATTGTCAGTGATTTGTTATCATGCCAAGAATGTAAGTTCTATACGTACTTGTGTTGGCTGACATTGTTCTGTTGGCTGGATTGTACCTTGCCAGCGTATTTGGGCCAGCCTGGGCACTCCCTAAGGAGACCAGAGCGCTCAGTGTAGCAGGAATGTATGTCAGCTTCATTTTGGATAATTTAGTATGGCTAGTTAATGGTGCTACTTCAAGGATAGAATGGGACACAGCCAAGTATATAACCTTCCTGACTCCTTAAGTCGATGCCTAATATCGTCACGCTGGACAAGACAGCACGGCTGGTAGAGACAAGACTGTCTCACACTGTCTCACATCCCATGGCTGAACCCAGTTTTTCCCGGTGGGTGATCTTGTTTTCGGGAGTTTTGATAACGATCTGCACTAGGATCGACATTTGAAAGCTCAGACATTGGCACCACTACCACAACGTCTGGACCAACCAGCAAGCAAAGCAGCGCCTCCTTACATCTGAGCTGAATATTTGTCTGAGGAACCAAGTCTCATGACCTTCCATTTGTTCACCGGCAGTTCTGTGGCGCAGAGATTTGTACCGCGAACGGTGGGAAGCCAGCCTGGCGTATGAACCGAGGGGGTCGGCAGTTTTCGTCTGGTGAGACATATGACTGCTTGATAATTGTGAGGCTGGAGCAAAGTTGCGATGCTTACCCGGTAGCTATAGAAGTGATAACATCAGTCACTATGTCCTTTAACATGGTGAAGCTATCTTGATTGAACGTGATGAGGTACAGGAGCACAACTGAATAAGGGTCATCGTTGCCGTGAGCTAAGAAATTTAGGCTTCTATTAAACTTCGCTAGATCGGGAAGAACAACATCCGCGCAAAAAGTCTGCGTTGCGTCCAAGCGGTAGTCGATCGATCTCGATAGATTGCAAAAGATCCGCCCGCACGGTCGTAAAAAGGTCCGAGCACTGATAATTGGAGGCTATAAATGTTTCCTGTAGGCCACATATCATGCACATTGGAATGCATACACATTTACTTTCACCATGCAGTTAAGAACATGGCCTCAGAGAGAGGAGAGAGAGGTTGGATGTGTTGTCAAGTACTCATACTGAGTACGTAATTAAGGTATTATCTAACAGGCCGAACCAGTTACTAAATCGTCTAGTTGTAGAGCTTAGGACCCTCAGCAGCCAAAGTGACATAAAACAGCTTGGTCTGTCCAGTGATAATCATCCTTCCCTTTCCGGCGAACTGGAAGTTGGCAGCAACAGCTCCGGTGTAGATCTTGCCAATGAGCTTGCCAGAGGTGTTCCAGACGTGGACACCATCACCGCAGCCAGCGTACACACGGCCCTTGGAGTCAGTATGGACACCTGAGATAATTAGTGGGGATATCGTTGGGATGAATTGCGAGTAGCTTACCATCGGGAATGAAAGAGGAGACGTAGGCAAAGGTCTTGCGGTTCTGCAGAGTGCCGTCCTGGTTCACGTCGAAGGAGTAAACCGAGGCGGGAGAGGAGAGGTTGCGACCGTAGAAGCCGAGGGCGATTCCAGTGTCGGTGACATAAACACGCTTGCCATCAGGAGCAAAGCCGATACCTGGAATATGTCAGTATGCTGCAACACATCAATCGAAGAAAGACATACCGTTGGGAAGGGTGAAGTCGTCGGCGACAACAGTCACAGCACCACTGTCAAAGTTGTATCGGTAGACTTGGTTTCGCAGACCAGGAACAGGGCGGAAATCTTGGAGATATCCGTAAAGGGTGTCGGTGAAGTACAGATCACCGTTCCTGGGGTTGATGCCAACGTCGTTCAGTGAGTTGAATTGGCGACCGAAGTAGTTGTTGAGGAGGACTGGCCACTGTTAGCTGGATCTCATTGAAGAAGCTAATACTTCGGGTTGCTTGTGTACTTACCAGTGGTGTTGTAGGGAGGGAGAGGGTTCATGCGGAAAAGCGACGAGGGAACCTCATCACCTTGACCTTCACCTGCGAAGATGATGTCTCCCTTGTAGTAGGTCCCACCTTTGGTTCAGTTAGTATTGTAAGGCTCGGCGTCATTGGATAACATACCATTGGGGTTGATGACTTGAGGATTAGAGTCGACGACTGTGACCTTCACTTCATCCTTGCTACCCTTGCGAACAGCATCGGCCTCCTTGAGAGAGATCTTCTGAATGATGGAAGACTTGTTCAATCCTGTTCCAGCAGCAGGGGCGCCTGCGTTCTGGACAAAGAAGACTTCTTCGGTGGGAGGGTACCAGACGACAGCCTCATGGAAGATGGGGTCTGTGTCGGAGGTTGCGATGAGGGTCAGAGAGGGGTCCTTTCCAATAACGTCGTAGAACTCTTCATCGTAGACGTGGAAGGGCTTCTCAAGAAGAGAGTCCTCAGTCACTCCGGGCCAGGTAAAGACCTAATGTTCAAGTCAGTGGAGAGCGAAAGAAGAGGTTGTAGTGGAGCTTACCAGTGTGTCGTTGGCCACAGCAGGAGGTGGCACATCCTTCAGAACGTTGAAAGACTTCTGGTCAATGATCTGAGCGGTAGAAGGAAGTTTGGCAGCTGCCACACCCCAAACGGGAGCGAGAACCCCAACAGCGAACAAAGTGATGGTGGAAGGCATGACGAAAAGAGCGAACGAATGGTGGGTGTGGGAGGAAAGAACCTGAGCTGCAGGATGGTGCAAAGGTGATACTTAATAGGTAAGGCACAACCCTGTTCGGTTCATCCAAAGATGAAGGTGTTGGTTTGTTGGTTGGAAGCCAGGATTGTAACGGACTAGAAGCACAAGGACATGGATAAACGAGGGATTATCGATTGGGTCGAGTGGTCGACATCGTGAGGGGGGGCAGGGATCTGCCGGGGTTTACTCCAAGCTTGTCCAAGGTCCGCAGACTTAAGCTTAAGCTAGTGCGGGACCGGCTTATCCGGGTCAATCACCGCCCATCGGCAGTCAAGGTCGGGCCAGGAGTGTTGAAGAGTGTGGGGAATAGACTTTGTGGATAATGCTCCCAACCTGTGCCCGAAATACAAGAATGCCCCTAGCATAATGTAACGGGAATATCTTACGATTGTATTGAAGTTCTAGACTGACACCGGGGATCGTGGGAGGTTCCATCCGGCGGCACAGTTGATCCCGATCGCCTAGACCTGACAAGTTCGGAGAATGGAGCGAGAAGCATCTTGGGGGACCCTGGTCTTCAGCTTCAGGTAGTGACAAACCAACCAACGCACCTCCTAAATGGTGCATGACTTGGCACACGAATTACTACGTTTTAAGACGGTGAGGGCTGAGTCCTGACTGCCGAGCACAGACGCCACTGCCACTGGTCGAGGAACGTACCGAACGGACAACGTGCCGCGCTTGGGAGGTGAGTTCAGGAACCATACATAAGACGGATTAAGATGTTGAGTTCGTTGTGCCTTACTTGATTGAGTAGGTGCGACAATCAACGCTTGGTGTGACGTTATGCGGAGTACAGAGGGAACTTCCCGAGACGTGATATTATCCGATCGTGCAGTGCTGATCGCTTCCTTTCTCACTGCATTACAGGTCTTGCAAGATCTGGGGAATTATGAGAACTTATTACCACAGCCTTGGGCCGCACAGTACCTGGTTCTAACTTCTCGCTTGCGTATCGCTTATTTGCTTTTTACATCGATAACTCAGGTGATTTTGAGTCAATCCTTGACACACCCTGCATTGATCATAAAGGCAGGGATCGACACCCACCTTCCTCAGAATTAGAGTTTGATTTGATTGCCTGTTGGGTGTCCTGCAAAAGGCCCAACGCCAGATGAATGTGTCACTCGCCTGTCAGTTGCATGATTAGCAACAGCAAAACAGGATAGTGAGACCGCCACCACACTGCTCCTTTGACACTTTTCAGGAGGACGCGTGCCGTTGAGTTATTTAAACATGAGCTGAGACGTCGCGGAGTGCCTGAAGGTCGTAGCAAAATTAATCTAGCTCCAGAGCCTTCAGGCCAAGAGTAGAAAGCTACTCTTTATTTCTTCTTGTCACTCCTTTGAAATCCCTTGTCTCTCCAGATTATCTCCTCCACCCAAGTTAAACCGCGCCACGAAATGCCACGTCTCTCAAAATGGCCGAAGTCAACACCAAGAGCGGCAGCGTTGCCATCGTAATCGCAGTCTTTATCAGTATCGCCTTCTACAATGTCCTCGAACTCAATGCCTTTATCTTCGGCAGCTTCAAGAAGCGCAGCGGGCTCTACTTCTGGAGTTTCGTCGTCGCAACTTGGGGCATTGCCTTCAATGGAACGGGGTACCTCATCCTGCACCTCTCGCTATCCACGACGAAATATCTTTACTCTACACTTATTCTCATTGGCTGGTGTACAATGATCACAGGCCAGTCGGTTGTTCTGTACTCTCGGTTGCATATCGTGATGCATAACCAGCGACGACTGAGAATGGTCTTGATCATGATCATCGTCAATGCACTCTGGCTACACGTCCCTGTTATTATTCTAGTGTACGGCGTTGGTTCTTCAAACCCAGCACCTTTCCAGAAGCCATACGAAGTCTTTGAGAAGATCCAACTCAGCGTCTTCTTTGTCCAAGAGCTTATCATCTCAGGCTTGTATGTCTGGGAGACCACAAAGCGTCTTCGACTGGAAAAGAGTGTCGGCAACACAAAGACCAAGATGGTACTGAACCATCTGATACTGGTTAACGTTCTCGTCATCTTGCTCGACGTCTCCATTCTTGCCCTCGAGTTCGCAAACCTCTTCGACATCCAGACTGCTTGGAAACCACTCGTCTACAGCATCAAGCTCAAGCTAGAATTCAGCATCCTCAATCGTCTCGTTGAATTGACGAGAGGACGAAACGATAGCTCATACACGCGCAGTCATGGAGCAACACACACTGACGATGTCGGCCTGGAGACGCTGAATCGCGACAGGAGAAAACAGTTCACCGGCGCCAAAGGAACCCTGACGGGGGACTATGAGGTCCGAGTCGGAAAGGGCGATGACAATCATCACATGTACGGGAACGAATCGGAGTTGGTAAAGACAACTGAGATTACTGTCCATAGTGAACGATACCTGGGTCATAGTGATCTGGACAGAAGGGGTTTAGAGGGAGGGTCAGGGTCAGCAGAGGGTATTCAGCGTGTGCAAAGGGGCAGTGCGTCGTCGGCTTCTTCGGAAGTTCAGTTTGCGAAGTACGGTAGTTGAAAATAGATGATCCTAGGCACTTAATTGTGTTTCTTTTATAACTTGACTGAGAAGCATATTTCTGCGATGCCACGTTGGTGACGGTTCGTGACCTATATTTTATATCGTTATTGCTATAGCGATGTACTTCGCTCGGTGATTTATTTAAAAACGTGTATCCGTTAATCCTGTAAGAGTATCTAATCTCCTTCCCGACAATTTATGGGATCACTTACCTCCACTTAAAACACACTAACCATTTGACCCTGCTTCTCCGATTCAAACATGGCGACTAAAAGAGTGGAAATGTTAACCATCCTAAGTTAGGGTAAAGACAGATGTGTCATGTCGCCCGCATAATGAAATTCTTGATCAGCTCTCGTATGCTGCTCTGATCCTCCAAACTACTATACCCGCCCGCAATTTCAATTTCGGCGAAGGTAAATCCACTTACGCTACTAGTAAGCGACGGAAGATACCTTCTCACTCAATAGCCCGCTCTGTTAAAACACTCTATCAGGCCCGAGGCCAGAACCCTGCAATGAAGTCCTGCACGTCCTTCCACAAAGCCTCTGGCTCCTCGAGCGCAGCAAAGTGACCACCTCGGCCATGCATGCGATACCAACTGACCTGCTCCGTCTCTTTGATCCACCTCTCAGGAGCAGTGATAAGCTCGTTCTTGAAAGCCGAGTAACCCAAAGGTACTTGAAGAGTCTTCCAAGCATTCATCATGAGCTCATGGTCCTCAAGTACCGTGCGGTGGAGATAGATCGACGTCGGGTAGCAGCCAGAAAACCACCATAGGGCAATGTTGGTCAGGATCAAGTCGTCATCTGGTGTTCTGTCGGACCACCTGATCATTTTCTCTCCAATCCAGGCTAGCAGTGCAACTGGGTTACTTGCGAAAAGGTAACCCGCCGTGGCTGGTTTGGTGCCATCGAGCTGGATAAAGGCCATTTCTTTCTTGGCAAACTCGGCCATCCTGCCAAAAGCTGCTGCTTCGTCGACGCTGTACTTTCCGGCTTTCATACCTGCCTCGATATCTTCTCCTGCAGGAGGCGGAACATTCAACATGTTCATATGGACAAGTTTGCAAGCCGGGTCAAGGTTGGCGATGACGGGTGCAGTCCAGCCGCCAAGGTCACCACCTTGCGTGACATATCCTGTCTTGTTGAAACCCAGGGTATGCATCATCTTTGACATAAGGCGCGCGTTGTCGAAGTGCGAAAACTCTTTGTCCAGAGGTGGTGCATCGGAGAGTGGAAAGCCAATGTGGTGAGGTACAATGATGTGATAAGGAAGCGACTCAGTATCATATTCAGACTGGAGTTTCTGAAGGATGGGAAGATACTCTACCACGGAGCCTGGCCAGCCATGTAAAAACAGGATAGGGACAGCGGATGGGTTCTTGGAGAACAAGGCGAAGAAGTTAATCTTGTAAGCCTTGGAGTCGTCATCAGTGATGGTAATGTTGAACTGCGGGATGGAGTTGAGAGCAGACTCCCACTTCTTCCAGTCGTATTCGTTGGTCCAGTAATTGGCCAACTTCAAAAGTGTATCTCGTGGGAGGCCATAGGCACCATCTTCACGAGTATTCCAGATGTTGGGCTCTGGAATGGGGGAAAGCTTGAGAAGAGTCTTCAGCCTCTGAATTTGATCATCAGAAATGGAGATGGTAGAGGGCGTGAGGTTTGCTGACGCGGGGACAGTGTGGGGAGGCGTACCAAAGGGAAGGGAACTCATTTTCATTTATGATTGGATGGTTTTTCTGTTCGTGTTTGTGATTGGAATGAAGTAAGTATAGAGAATATTAAAAACATCCAAGAACTGCCATTTTTGTCCTTTTAAGTATTTGCCAAACTTTGGATATCTGCGGCTGCTGCCTCGAGATGGCCGCACAGACGTAACTCGAAGGATCGTGCTGATTCTGGAATTTTCGAGAAGACGTGTGAGTCTGACTAACTACATCGAGTCACATGTGTCTCTCAGGACGCTTAGCATGTCCAGAGAGGCTATTCCTGTTTAAGTCTCAAGTAAGACGCATAATCGATAAGATGCTGATCCACCTTGCCATGCTCCATCTGGTGTAAAGAATTATGAGCCGATTTGACGGCTCGCATAGATACTCCGCTAATTGGCTTTTTCCGCTCCTTCGTGCTGACTGCATGAATCCTTCGTAAAACATCGGCCGCTGACTTGCCAATTTTTGAAACCACCAGTTCAAAAGCTTGTGTTTGACGTCGTAGTCCAAATGTCTCAATAGAGGGGGTTGTTAGCAGTGCCATATCTACCCCGAACCTATTTAGCCGCCAGTATTTGGTGAAGATATTATAGATTTGCGCACTTAACAACCAGGTACTGATCTTATATAGCTTGACCTCCCGCAACACATTTCTGACCAACGTCAACAATTTTAGTCCTAATCACAACCCAGCTATTTCGCTGAAATCATGTCGCATCCAACCCATCAATCTCACGGCAACCGCCTACTACCCTCGCTCGTGGATGAGATCGCTGTAACAGATCCGGGCCGGGTCTTTTACTCAATCACCAAGACGCAAGATCCTGCCGATGGGTTCCAAGACATCACTGCCGCAGAAGTAGCCCGAGGCGTTCATCGCTGTGCTTGGCACATCGAGGAGCATCTCGGTCGCGGCGAAAACTTCCCTACGCTTGCATTCATAGGACCTCAAACCCCAATCTACGCTATTGTTGTTCTCGCTTGTATCAAGACTGGATACAAACCTCTGCTTTTGGCTCCTCGGAATACACCCGAAGCGAGTTTATCACTTCTGGAGCAGACCAACTGCAGCACCATTCTACTCCCCCCAGTCTTCCCCCTGCCTGTCATTGGCGAGCTGGTGCAGAAGCACAGAATGAATGTCCTTGAAATTCCCGCTCTGCAACACTGGCTTGACGACGGGTCTGACAAGCCCTACCCTTTTGACAAAACCTTTGAAGAAGCAAGGACTGATCCAATCGTCGTGCTGCAAACCTCGGGCTCGACGGGAATGCCAAAGCCAATCACCATAACACACGGTACATTTGCAGCGATAGACTCGTATCTGGAAGTACCGTCGTTGGCTTATCCTAACATGTGTGCTGGTTCTCGGCTATATGTGGCCTTTCCAGTTTGCCACTCAGGTGGATTGACGAATTTGCTTCCAGGATGCATCTACGCAGAGTTCACAATGGTATTTGCACCATTTCCGCCTACTTCCGCCATTATAAACGGCGTGCATATACATGGCAACGTGCGACAAAGCGGTATAACCCCCATGATGCTTACAGATCTTGTCAAGAATCCGGAGTACCTTGAAAATCTCAAACGACTTGATCTTATTCCTTATGGAGGCGGACCAATTCCAACAGCAGTAGGAGACATCATTAGTTCAAAGACGAGGCTATTCAACTGCATGGGAACAACAGAATGCGGCCCGCTTCCTTCTCTACTCTGTGATGAAGAAGACTGGGCCTATTGCAACTTTAGTCCCGTTCTTGGCTCTGAATTTCGTCATGTTGCCGACGGTCTCTACGAGCATTTCATTATACGCGATCCCAAGAGTACCCGATACCAGCCCATTTTCGAAACATTCCCTGAGCTAGACGAGTGGCCGATGAGAGATCTTTATTCCAAGCATCCTACCAAAAAGGATCACTGGTTGTACAGAGGACGCGCCGACGATATAATTGTATTTGCGTCAGGTCAGAACCTGAACCCTATTCCTGTGGAAGACACAGTTACTCCCAACCCTGCAGTCAGCGCAGCGCTTCTGATCGGTACCTCTCGTTCACAGTCTGGTCTCTTGGTAGAGGCGATCACTCCACCTACTAACGATACCGAGCGTAAAAGGCTGCTGGATGATATTTGGGAATCTATTGAGGCTGCGAACATATCTATCCCGACCGAAAGCTTGAAGGTTCGACGAAATATGGTTATTTTCACCACTATTGAGAAACCTATGTTGAGAGCTGGAAAAGGGACTGTGCAGCGCAAGTTGACCATGGATGCGTACTCGTCTGAGATTGATGCTTTATATAAAGCCCACGGCGACTCCAAATTAGGGCCATACCACGGTTTTATCAACGGGCAGGATTGAAATTGGTAGATGGTTTGTTATTTGAGGCTGTAAGTTCTCATACAGTGCTGGACATAATGCAAAGAGTGTTCAGCTGCCTAGGATATCGGAATTCTGTCACTTCCCAGCCCAGTAACCGCTGAAATTACGCTGAGATCTCTGGAGAATAGAACACAGTTCGTTTGTACTCACTTCCTCTAACGCCGTTGGGTTTCAATAAACACGGGAGCAAATATGCATAATTCTTCATCTTACTCCGCTAGCCGTCTCACCTAAGCTTGGCCAGAAATATCGACCCCATTCCGAACTAGTGAATATCTTCAGTGGATTGATTCATGCTTATGTCAGAGCTTGACCCCAATAGGATGGTATAAGAGTAGTGAAGTCCACAAATATATTTCCACTGCTTCTCCAGCTTTCAAGGCCTCGCAACCTCTTGAAGACTTACTCGGGCGTATTTGAACTTGTTCGAGCAGGTCATATTCATCATGGCGCATTCCAAGACCTCCGCTACCTCATCTACTGATGGTAGTAAAGATGACGGTCTTAAAGTCGTACACGCAGGCCTTTACCGTACGGGAACCGCTTCCATGGCCGAAGCCTACCGGATCCTAGGGTACAAGACGCACCACGCACTTGCAAATGTCTGGGAAGTCCCCTGGGGGCAGATAGAGCAAGCAGCCGAAGCCACCTGGCCCCATCTTGCTGAACTCCCAGAGTACACCTACAGGAGGAAAGACGGCTGGGTGACGCCTCGTCCGCCGTTCAACAGAGAAGACTGGCAGAAGATCTGGGGCGACTATGACATTGCCACTGATGTGGCTTCCACCTTTGCGCCGGAACTTATCGAAGCATATCCCAATGCAAAGGTCGTCGTCGTGCAGAGAAAGTTTGAAAGCTGGTGGCCATCCTTCAAGTCAGAGCTACTGGGCAGTCTTTACAACATGAGTTGGCTGCAAAGTTTTATCGCATGGAACATAATGCGTTTCCGCGCGCCACATGCAATGCGAAAAGTTCATGCAGGATTCTTCTCCGCCAATGAATACTCTCTTGAGTCCATTGAACCGCGGGCGAAGGATGCATACGAAGAGTATTACCGCAGAGTTCGCGAGGCTGTTCCAATCGAGAGCGGACGAAGACTGGAGTACACGCTTGGGGACGGGTGGAAGCCACTGTGCGAGTTTTTGGGCAAGGAGGTTCCTGATGTTGAGTTTCCCAGGGTTAATGATCGAGCGAGTCACGGTGCGCAGATAAAGAGGCAGAGATCTGAGATGAATTGGAGCTTGCTGCGTGTGGGTGGGCCTTTGATTGTTGCAGTAATTGCTGCTGTGGTTGCGTACAAGAGATGGTGATATTGAGTGGTATCCATGGTGATGGCAAGATGAGCTCAATGGTTCGAGTCCAAATTTGTTGGTGGGATTCTTACATACTAGTTTGAGACAAGTCTTCATTCGTATGCGATGTTTGTAGTGAGCAACATGGATGGTATCTTTAAATGTCATGTATCAAAAAGTCAAAGTCCATTATATAATACTATCATCATTCCAGCGCCACATAATAGAACCGCAAAATTCGTCTAAACCTTAGACCACAGATTGAAAACCCCATTAGGCCCATCTCGCTTCCTGAGTGGGATAGCAGTACTGTTTCTGGTTACATTCTTAATGGTGCAACCCTCAGTCTTATACACCTGGGCATACTTGCCCGTCAGTGCAGTCGCCAGCCATTGAATAGCTGGGCCAGCGCTGAGGAGAAACTCTTGAGAATGTGATCCAACAGAGTTCCTCTCGTACAGAATGTTGGCGCCCACGGCACAGTATCGCTCAATCAGTTTATCTGTGTTCACAATGGGGCTGATCTCGTCCTTGACAGACTGGTAGGCGAAGATAGGCCATTGGGGAACACCGTGGTATCCCATTATACCGTCTCGGTTGATAGCAACCAGAATCTTAGGGTCACGGAGGATGTCCAAGCCTTGCTTGAAAAAGTCAAAGAGGTCAACTCCTTGGTATGTAGCACCAGCCTCGGCCACAGTAAGCTTCTCGGCAGCCAAAAACCCAGTCTTGTTGGTTGCGCCGTCGGTCTTGAGCTGAGAGATGAGGTACTTGCGCACCTCGGGGTACTGGCTGGTGATACCGATGATTCCACTGGGGCCCAGGCCCGCGGAGTCTTTACCTGAGACGGACTCGAGGACAGCAGAAATGTTGGGCGTGATTCCACCGATTGCGGCTCCAACGACGGTCTTTTGAAGATCGGGGGCATATTGTACAGCGAGTTCCGATGCCCACTCACTTGCCAACGCGCCACCTGAGTAGCCCCAAAGCGCAACACGAGGAGCAGTTGTGTTGAGACCAAGGCCGAGTGAAAGTACAGCACGGATTGAATCAAGAGTTGCGTGTCCTGAGATGACACCGGCGGTGAATGAAGCCAGCGGGCCCTCGTAGTCAGGCACGTTCAAAAAGAGCCCCAGGTTCAAGGCCGTGTCGAATAGCACATTGCCACTGGCACCCTCCGCAGTATACGAAGAGTAACTGGGGCTGGCGTCGACATCTGCGGAATCATAGGGAACTTGGTATGAGAGAAGAGCACTCTGGTTGAATGCGCGTGCAGAAGTGCTGTTTGATCCCAGCTTGGGGATGAATAGAGTGGTGACAGCCCAGGTAGGTTTGTACTGGCTGTCTGTGGTGCGGTAGAGGATGTTGTACGCAGCAGAGCTGTTGCCGACGATTTGGGTCAGGTTTCCCGGCGCAGGTCGCACGCGCAAAACGGTACCAGGCTCTGTGCTTTCCCAATCATTGTCGGGTGCAGAGTACCACGGATCTTGACTGGGAGGAAGTGGTTCAGAAGAAACAGTCCTTCTGTAAATGCGAGAGGGTTGGAAGGCAGCTGTGAGACCTAGCCAAAGACTCAAAAGAGCCAGCATACGATGAAGAGCCATTGGTAGTATGACAATGGTGCAATTGATGTATATGCGGATCTACAGAAAACACGAGGGTTCTCTCGTCTTTTGAAGCAAAGTCAATCCATTACGTGGACTTGGAGTGCGCAATAATAGTTAGGCTGGTGACGACAGCGCATAATGCATGCCGAAGGATCCGTCCGTGAGCTCTTCCAACTTCCAAGCCTCAACTCCGCCACGAAAACAATATTTCCAGCCAAGTCCGCAGTGATGACGGTTAGTTCTTTGGGCGGAGACGAATCAGGGAAAGCTATTAAAAAAGTGACGAATCACGGTGGTTGGTGTCGCTACACAATCGGCCGGGGGTTCCCAGATGGCGCCCACCTCAGCCCTGCCTTGCTGGGCGGAGTCAAGTCCACTGGTACAAATACAGTCAGCTTAACGGAACGGGTCAAACGGTTTACATCCGTGTCCGAAGGACCTTCGGCATCGGTTTTTGTAAGCCCGATGGCTCCAACTTTTCGCATTTAGGACGTCGCTTATTCTTAGCAAACACTTGCTGCGGTGGAATATCTCGTGAGACAATAGCATCAAGATCTGACGCCGAGGAGAACAGTGGCAGGGATGAGATAAACTGATGACGAGAGACTGCGGCTAACACTGATTTTGGCAAGCGTCTTTGCCTGTCAAGAGAATGACTAGCCTTTATTGCTCTGGTGCACGAGTACAGTAGGGCTCCTGTTACTGGCATTCCTCGTCTTCATTCACGACCCCGCGTTGGGCGTCCGTCGTGAGGGGTTTACTACGACTGCTTGATGTGTCACCTCGGTTCCAAGAGATGCTTGACGGTGTGTAAGATTTTACTACAGCGTAAAGCAATAGAGTTTGTTATGGTTAAGACAGTTCTAGAAATTTGTCGATGACGTATGATAGTCGCGCGCTTGATAATTCAGCAACGGGCGCTCCAAAGGGCGGGACCTCGTGATCTGAATTATGACATGAAATCAACTCCGTATCAATTAAAACATGAACAATTGTGCGCCATTTCAACAATGGTTATACCAAAGGTAGAGTTTAGAAGTCAAGGAGCCTTCAAAGCATCTTGATTACCATTCTTTCAAACCGGGAACCCTCATCAAACTAGTTACCCTGCAGCTGGATTCTAGTCTCTAATCACGACACTTGGCGAGAATTATACGAACACTCACTTCCAGAGTCATGAAATAAGTCATGAATCAATGTCCGTTTAATTTTGAAGACTGATTTGGGGAGTAAACAGCCTTGGCTACTATTGATTTTAGTTTCGTAAACTGACAGTACTTTTACTCTGCGTGCCACTCTCAACCGTGCCCTTGAGCAAATTGGCTTCTAGTAAAAGTGTGAGAAATTTCAGAATCCAGCGACACTCTATCGTACAATATAGTACACTAAAACCTCTGTTTCCCAGCAACTACCGCTCCTGCTGCGAGCATCCTATCAGAGCATCTGACATCATGCTTATACGCCGAATCGAAACTCGCGGAACTTCTTCTGGTAGTAATACGTAGCCAATGCACCTACAGCACCGAGAGCAATGGGAACAGGCGCTCTGCCTCCAGTCTTGATGATCCTGGGGACAGCGGAACCAGTCAAGAGGACACTGTTAGCAAGAGCAAGTTCAGATCCGTAGTCCTTGTTGTTCTTGAGAAGGTATCCTAACAGCTTTTGTTAATAATAGGACCTCAGATGTAAGTATTCACCCTACCGGCATATGCGTATGACACTCCGAGACCGAGACCAGCCACAAGAGAGGGCGTCGAGCGAGTGCGTATGTACCCGGCGGTACCGCCAGCGGCCACTATAGAGGCAGAAATGGTCAATTGGCGGTCGGATCATGCTATGATAGTACGCGTGACTTACAAAGACCGGCGAGAGTAAAGGAAGGATGCTCAGCCATTTTTAGCTATTGATTGATGACGAACGATACACACGAGAAGACACTTTGAAGTTTTAGCGGTGATGTGATCTTGTCGGCATCATCGGGATTCCGAGGTGCGAGATTGGATGACAAATGATTTCATGGCGGAAAAACTTTATGCCAGGTCTTATCAGATAAGCGTCACGTCTGTATAACGCGTGATGAGACAGAATATCACCGAACATTTTCTGCAATATGTCTTTCTGGTTGAGTTCTATTTACGTAAAAGGATTATAAACGCCCGATTTGGGAATAATTTCACTTGTCCACAGGAAATGTTTTGCTTGGACGGGTGTAATGCAAAGAGCGCATTTATGTGACTACTTTACGGGCAACAAGAAGTCAAACTCATGTAACTCGAAGCCCTTCGATTTCGAGTCCAGTTCTGGCTATTTTTTTGTGTCTTTGATTATAGCCCTATCACAAGTGTGCCGTTCTTCTCCGGAAATGTTGACTCTGACTTCATACCCGCTCCAAGTAAAGCTGGAACCAAATGCCACTGATTCCTTCATCCATTCAAGGCATTATTATTATGTGTGAAGCGGCAGTAGTATCATTTCAAAGATTTCGTAGTCATACTTTGGGATTAGACGTGAATTTTAGGGACATGACCATAGCAGAATCACCATCGAGCCTTTTGACTTTTCTCGAGCCATTTATTTGAGCAGAAAATGGAGGACAAGACGTGTCAAGTTTAGACGAGCCCACTGGCCATCTAATGTTCTGCTGTCTCAATTAGCGTGGTAGAAGTGGAAGTCCCATGTTCTATGCTTTTGCATCCCCGACGGCATCGTCGATCCGAAGACAATCAACAGGCAGTGTTTCAGCTGGTCTCCCTAATCTCTCACCGCTGAATTAACTATTCGTGCCCGTATGCTTTGAACAATTTAGGCTGAAATGGAACTGCATTGAGCTGGCACAGCAAAACTTACACAATCGATGTCTCTCGCACTGTAACCATACTTGGCCTCGTTTTTCTTCCTATCACATGTCCTCCATTCCATACTGTCGAATCGTACAACGGGATGAGAGATGTAGGAGGCCAACCGTATGTAAATAACCAGCCAACAACACTTGAATACCTGCATACCCCTCATTTGCTACGAATCTGCAGTTTCTCAAGGGAGGCTGGTAGAAGCAGGAGGCCTACCACTTGAGAGACAACCAATGTCTTTCAGAGCATTGAATTAAATGAATAAAATGAAAAAAAAGGTTGTTTGCTGTGCCGTAAAATGGTACACTTGCTCAAAGTTGATGATTGTGATGATGCGTTCTTGAACGACATTTCAACTTCAAGTGGAATAGATCTTTGTTTGCTCTTGCGCCAGTCTATTCGGCAGACATAATGCAGGTTAACTGATAATGTGTTTCTCCTTTGCTTGCTTTTGCAGTTCACTAACCATGAGCGGCTGCTTGTCGTTGATGCAGAATCGGTGGTGTGGATGCAGGCGGGGGGGGGGGGGGGGGGGGGGGGGGGGGGGGGGGGGGGGGCTGGATTCCTGCCGTGTGTCAGTGACTTAACCTGCCCCCGTTCACTATTCATAGCATTGCAAGTTCTTCCTACCTCCCAAGAGACTTTTCCTGTCATCCTCTGTTCCCTTCTATCTCATCATTTGAGCAACACTAAGTCATTCATTATGTCACGCAAAAAGTCAAAAGTAAAGGAAGGCCCATCGTGGGCGATCTATCCGGACCTGCACGACGAAGTCGCAGACAAACTCGAGGAATTTCAGCTTGACTACTCGTTCAACCCCAACGATGATGAGATAGCAAAGATTCGAGATTACGACACCAACATCATGGGTCGCTTCACCTGCAACAACGAGAAGTGCAAGAAGAAGGGGTGGTCGACCAAGATGATGCCGATAACCATTCGCGAATACACTCGTGATCGATACAACGCAAGAGTCTACTTCCAGCGCTGCATGCGATGCAAAAGACTAGGTCAACCTACGCTCGACGAGAAATCATACATCGAAAGGGTTGTGTACTGGATCAAGAAGTGGAATGGTGTAGAGATGGAAAGACCTATCTTTTCAGGTAGTTCGAAGGGACCTCATGAGAGTGACCTATGTGAGGGATGTATCAACGGTCATTGTTCCCAGACCGTCAAGGGCAGATACGTGTTGGCATAAGCATCTAACCTTTGGATTGCGCTGTTGGATAAGAAGCTCGCTGGGTGATCAGGGACTCGAGTAAAGAACAGAATTACTTTGATTCGACCCCACAGGCACTTTTAGATGTTGGTGATCACGGCAAGTGACTTGAGAAACAAATGGGACATTGATTTAAACATTCTCTCTCCAGTAATGCAAGTGAAATCTTCTGCAAAGTGCACCGCAGAAGCCAAGCACATCTGGAATATTGGCGAGCTGATAAGCGCCGGCGTACAAGTATTACATGCCATTATTAACAGCAAAAGGTAAATCGCTTACGCTTTCAAACCGTAAGTTGATGAGGTATTCGCACCGGCAAAAACATACAACAGCGGGGATTCGCTGGTCGTCACCGACCCAACTACTAATCCGCCCCTTACCAGCTTATCTATGGGAGAGCGGACGGGATCCCGAGTTCTCTGATAGGTATGGTCGTATGTGCAAGACAGTGGTTGTATTAGAGTATATAATTGAAGGACACGAAGAGTAAGATCCAGTGTGGTAGACGTCCGCCCACTGCTGAGCCAGCTCACCATGGCAACTCCTCCCCCTTGTATGTAACAAATTTACCCGATACCGTCTCCCGAGTAGCATCATCAATCACCTTGAGCATTTGTGTGACCGAGTCTTCAACAGATGCCAGCATAGCCAGAGGAAATCCCCACTCCGTAGCAGCAAATTCGCCCATGTCCGTACCCACAAACCCAGGATGAAGCGCAAATGCCACGAGCTGCTCGTTCTGCAAATGCAGCGCCCGTGTAAGCCAGTTCAATGCCGCTTTGCTTGGACCATAGGCACCAGCCACAACCTCTTGATAGGTGATGCAGCCAATCGAAGAGGAGATATTGACCACCTTGGGCGCAGCTGACTTTTGCAGTAAAGGCCACAGTGCTTGGACGACTGTAAGAGGTCCAATTGTATTTATCTCGAAGGCAGATCGAAGGTCGGCTGTGGGTATCTCGAGTGCAGCGTATGATTGGAAACTGGCAGCAGCGTTGTTGATGAGAACGTCGATGTGATCGATGTCGAACGCGCTGCGGATTCGTTCAATCGGAATGCCCGCAGAAAAGTCCAGCTGGGCAATGGATAAAGTACTTCCGTCACCTTTTGGTATACTCTCGACAGCAAACTCCAAGTCAGACCTAGACTTGTCGTTACGGACAGTCGCGATTACCGTGACAGAGGGGCGAGCAAGGAGAGCCTTCACAAGGCCGAGACCAATGCCTCGATTGCCGCCGGTGACGACGTATACGGTGTTTTTGTGGGAGGTCATGATGGTTTTAGATAGTCAAGAGTGATTTGAACGGAAAGACGCCTATTGTAGGACAGAAAGATAACAAAGGGGTAAAGTTTTGTACAGCGACGCAAAAACAACTGATGCGTCTTATATGTGATCAGGCAAGATGCACCAGCGTCAGCACAGCCAATCAAGAGTGATGCGATATGGAAGATAAATCATCCGACTTACATCCTTGGCAATGTGTGAACCAACAAAGATGAGATGTGGTGGAGAGCAGCACGGTCAGTCTAGCGTGCGAATGTAACACCACATAGTGTCCATAATCATTAATGACGGGAAAGATTTTACAAATTTGAAGCTGGAAGTGCTTTTGTATATGCAATAAAGTTTACTTACTGGGATGTATCCCAATTCTGTCCCTGTGCTAGATGGCTCATTACTCTATTTTGATGTCCACGCCTAGTTTTCGGGACTCAAAATAGCGTCGCAAAACTGCGAGATGAAATGTCAGGGCACGTATTAGATCTGGTCTTTCAAGTTAATTTTGAGATTGTAGAACTATTATCATTTAAGAGAACTCACTACAGATGCCATCAATTCTCGAATTGATGAAGGTTTTCAGCAGTGTCGAAAGGGGTCATTCCTCGATGGTACCGACCGACAACGTGGCGCGTCTGGTCTTACCGACTTTTTCCCCTACAAAATTAACCACAATTCTTGTTCATAATTCTTCTCAGACTTCCAATCTTTGTTGAACCTGGAGAGATGAGGGGCGGCCTACTAATAGTCTCCGGCGCTGTGTGAACTTCCAGCAAGGCGACTTGGAACTGACAGATCTGAAGGTGTCTCAACACCAAGCTAGCTCGGAGAAATGCCTCAAAGATGCTGATAAGAGTACAGATTGGTGATTCAACGTGTCCATATCCGTAAAGTCTTTTGCAGTAGAGTTCATACTCGAAACTTTGAATGACTCCTCGAGAGCCGCACGATGCAGCTGCGAAAGTCAAAAAACTTGGATCAAAAATATTGAGCACATCTACACAGATTCGAAACGACATCGCATAGGGTCAAATTGGTAACATTCACTGCATTCGAAGCTCATCCCTTTGTCTTTGTGTCTTTTCATCTGAACATTTTCCTAACTGCACCAGACAGGAAGGAGTGGCAGATCCAGAAAGGTACCTGTCACGTGGGGACGCGCCAGCACCACGAACTTTTCTCCCACCAAAATTTGGTGCGACAGATGTTCACGCGTCTGGCAAGAAACTTTGGCGGCGCGACAAGCTTTTGCACCGCATAGAGCCAAATTCTGGGAGGAAACGTTGGGCAAAAGTATTACAGGTATAAAAAGGAGACAGGCCTGCGCCTGTCAAGTGCAAGTCTCAGAAGTTTGGTTATCATTAGCCACCTTTGCGCAAGTGTTCTCGGCATGATCAGATTTTGATCTTTCGAATATATAGATGTATCATCATTGACTGCTGTTGGTAAGTGCTCATTTTATTTCAACTTAAGTACTGTTGGCAAGTTGTTGGGCAGGTGGGGGAGTTGGTGTCGTCGTTCCTTCCCTTCTCGTTGTTGCGCACCCTCGTCCCGGAGTTGAGGCTCCACACGAACGCCACACCATGGCCACAGCACAGTCTCCGCCAGCAACCCCCCATCATCGCGACAAGGACGAAAACAACTCATGTGCGAATGGGTCCCTATTCTTGTCTTGCGTTGGTAGTTCTGCTTGCTGTACTCTTGGTCTTGAAACCCCTCCCCCTTTCTTGAGCAGTGTTGGGATGATTTCGCTGACGATTCAGGTGGACTGTACGCACTGGGGGATTGTGATGGAACTGGGGGGATCCTCTCGCTCTGAGAGGTATCACAAAAATCCGAATGTCAAATTGAGTGTAAAACTGTGGAACAATGATGATACTGTATTGCCCTCATACTTCTGGGTGCCTTGCGTCTTGATGATCGCGAATGGTTGCAGTCTGAGTTCAACTTGTCCCAAAATGCTCTCTCGCTGCGTTTTCACGGAAGTCCTTTATTACGCAAATACCAACTTTTACTCATGTTCTTTCAAAACTTCCAACTATGCTTCAGTGGTTCTCCAAAGTTGGAGTGTCTGAGTCTGAGCATCGAGATTCTTGTTTGCAATTTCCTTTTCGCCTTTCTCCTTTCACTCGACTGTTCATAGCGAATGTCGGACTTCTTATTGTCCTCATCCCACTATTCTATCGATATGTGATATTCACACAGATTTCATGCCTGGTGTCCCCTGTTATTGGAGGGGTTTTCAGCGAAATGTGAAGTCGACCTGTTTCTGCACCGCAGGGAATATCGGTCGTCAAAGGAATATCGACACCCGCAGCAAGCGTACGTTCTCTCAGCTTGTGCAGAAAGAATTCTTCCCCATACGATTTGTAATAATCATCGATGCAGCCTACCACCCACTGTGATCGCTGACTTCCCTTGTCGAGAGAATTGTAGACACCCATCCACGGCCCCATGGTGCCAGTACCAGGATGTACTCTCAGGCCACATACGATGAAGATTCTTGCCGAAACAAACTTCTGCGAAGTGTCAGATATCTGAAAGTCGAGAAAGCCTGTGAAATTCCCATTGTTGTCCGTGATGAACGACTGGCGCAGATGATCCCACAAGTCTGCCGGCTTGGCTGCGAACGTATGAAGCTTGAAACCGTCGCAAATGTTGAATGAGACTACGAGATTCGTTGATAAGAGATTTTTCAAGGCCACAGAGCCAAACGGGCTGACACGCTTACGGATGAAGATCTTGTAGCGTGCGCCAGCCCAAATTCGCGAGTCGCGTGTTTGGAACAGCTCGCCCGGACGAGTTCGAACGTAACCATCGGCAGTCTTTACCAGGTAGACACCGACTCTTGCCAAGTCGCCATTTCTCTTGGGTAACATGCACGCCAGGTTCAGGATGTACTCCGCAGTGGAGGTCTCAGCCAGGTATGTCTCCAATCTCAGGCCCTTATTCGTCATGGAGAACTCATAGCCGTAGCGCATGCTGGGGGCTCTGGAAAGGTTGCGACAGTGCACAAACTCCTCAGGAGACTGCGCCAAAACACCACGAAAGTCCTGGGAAGGGACATCTGTTCCCTGTTGAGCTTTCCATGCGAACACAGAGAGGTCAGTTGTCTCCTTTATTATCTCTTCCTGCAACCTAGAGAAAGCCTTGGTACCTTCCCCATACATCATTGGCATGTTAACATCGAAGATTCCCAGCAGACAATATGCTGTATCCTCAGTTCGTGTGGTCTTCCGGTTTGCTGCCCAGGACATCCGCTTCGCTATCGGTATACTTTCAAGGAGGGCGTTATTTTCCAGTACTGGTAAGTCAATCCCCGTCATATCCGATATTTGGTTTCGTAGTTCTGCTTTAGTCCCCCTGTATTGCCACTCGCAGTCGTAGAATTCCAAAGTTTGCGAGGCGATCAGTTCTTGCAAAGTCCACCCTCTGGTGAACCACCTACAGGACGGCAAGCCTTCAAGAGAATCCTTCTCGTCACCGGACTGAGGCTCCAAATCCTCAAGATGAGTGAAGCAAACTGACGCGCCCTTGTACCAGAGGAACATAGAATTGATCGCCTCGGTCAACTCTGCGCTACTGCGCTTATCAACACAGCAAGTATCGACCCACGCATACTCTATCCCTCGCCGCCTTGCAAGTCGACAAGTGTTCTCAATCTTGTTGTATCCTTGTTTTTTCTGGGCTACCTCAGTCTGCATCATGTCCTCAAAGGTAACTTCATTTTCACTCCATGTATGCGATAGAATTGCGTATGAAGTTGTTGCCGCGTCAACTCTTTCGAGCCTGATCGTGGTTGTGTTGAGAAGCCACATGGTCACTGGCACCTGATGACAAGCCACAAAGGGCGAGAATGAAGCTCTAGTTAACTTTCTCGGCGGTATGAAATAGTGTTTCGAAGAAGAAAGAACTGATGCTGACAGTAAGCCTGCGGAACCAATTGTTGGTATCAGAAGCGGGGTTGCGAAATGTGATTTGATGCTTATTTAACAAATTGGCTGCGCCATTAATTGCAGCGCGAAAATGATTGGCACAATCGCCAGGTCAAATGACTTTCAGTCGTACAAAACCGTGACCTTGAAGCGGAGAGTGTATCTTAAAGTTTGCCTGACGACGTCAAAGTAAGCATTTCCTCAACAAGTTGTCCCTTGCATCGACGTGTTCCGTGATAGTATATTCTCATATCCAGCAATTGCTTTAGCTCGGCTTTCATAGATGTCGCATGCACAAGAGCCTTTCACTTACTATAAGGCTGTCAAATCAGTGTGCTCGATGTTACTTGCATTTTTCCTGAGTATGATGAACAAACTGTAGGCAATAGAGCTTAGCGACGAGCTACGCTCTATGCGATATTTGGCATTTGAGACGAGCTCAATACGGCCGAGATTATTATCCACCTAGCCGGGACCGAAGAAATTCAGTACCAGCATTAAACGAGGTCAGATGCAAATTGTGTTTCGGACAATTCAAGGTCTTGGAGAAGGGGGGCTCCTATGCCCTGATATTTTCCTCCCCTCTACATTCTTTTCAAGTTACGCGAATCGTTTTCTTCAGGTACGCCCACTATCTATATTTATAGACATATATGTTGAGCGAACTAGGATGTGCGAATAAGGGTCTCATGCCATCTACGGAGTAGAAAGGGGAAAATAGGAGCCAAGACGACAGGGGTGGTAGATCTCAGTCTTCTTAAATCAGCTGCTAGTCCAAAAAAGAGACAAAAGAGTAACTAAGAATATTATCATATTTCAATATACCGGCCTCCAAGAAATATAGGAATATGGAGCGAAAGGTTAATCACTCTCAACATCCGACAAGAAATCTGGCCTGAAAAAAATCTGCAAACTCAACCAACAGCCCATTTGAGGTCCAAGCTCAGATGTTGAGAAAAACCAAGCTTTTGCAGACTGTAGGCTGTAGATCTAGATAGCTCAGGGCGCAAGAGTGGTGAGACCACCAGCCACCATCATTGAACTTACTATAAAATCTAGCACTGCGAACACGAACACGCTACAACCTTTATTTCAACACCACTCACAATCGTCTCACTCTTTTTCGCATTCAGATTCGGCTCTTTTCTGGCCTGTTTTTCCCTTTTTCGCTAACAGAAACAACACTGTGCGGCGGGCCGCGGCAGACCGAGATCGGCCCACCAATTTCCATCGTCACCTGATCGTCATCCTATTTCCTGTGCGGACCAAGATAGGAGAGAAGTTGGCTTTTTAAATACTTCGGTACAGCCATTTTATTTCCAAAGCTACACAAAATTGCTGAAACACCAAAAAACACCACTTTTTCCTCATTGCATATCAATGATTGCTATTTAGTATGGCAGCAAAAGCTCGTTCACAACCTCATAGCAAGTGTCGGGAGAGCGTTTCTGTGAAATATTGGCTCGTCGATAATCAAATTGGTATGTATCTTGGAAAGTCCCTATTGAGGGGCACTTTCAGAAAAAGACGTGTTCCCACAATACTGACTTTTGCAGGTATCTGCTTGGCTCTGCTGGCCCCTCTGCTGCTGGCCCAATGCGCTAGTATCACACAGCCTCTCACGGCAAAGTTCACAACACTCTCGTACTTCAATGAAGAGACAGGGGAGTATGGCGTCGGCTTCGACGACAATTACCTAGTCGCTGTCCTCATCGTTTCCCTGACTGGACTTCGCGATGCGACTATGCGATTCGCTTTGGCACCAATTACGACAGTGTGTGGTCTTAGCAAGAATGAGTCCACGAGATTCAAGGAGCAAGCTTGGCTTTTTATCTACTACTCCACTTGCTGGTCTATAGGCATGGTGAGTTCCTCATGTTCCAGCCGGTGAAATATGTGTGCTGACAATCCTAGTACATCTATGCCACGTCTTCATATTGGCTTAATCTGCAAGCGATGTGGGTAGACTGGCCAAACCGTGAGCTTTCGGGCCTCAGGAAATATTACATGCTAGCCCAGCTCGCCTTCTGGCTCCAGCAAATAATCGTGGTAAATATCGAAAAGCGCCGCAAAGACTTCTGGCAGATGGTATCTCACCATGTAGTCACCATCGCGCTGGTCTATTGCTCATATCGCTATGGCCTTACCCAAGTCGGCAATGTTGTCTTGATCTTGATGGACTTCAACGACCTGATCTTCTCGGTTGCCAAATGTCTCAAGTACCTCAAGCTTCAGGCGTTGTGCGACATGATGTTCGGCGTCTTCGTTGTTAGCTGGATATTGTGTCGACATGTTGCGTTCACTATGGTATGCTGGTCTATCTATGAGCATAGCTTGGCCACGGCAGGAACCAGATGTTTCGTCGGCTCGGGCAAGAGCATAGTTGGCCCCCAACCAGTGCCGCACGACGAGGGCTACTTTTATATGTTGGAGCCCTTGATCTACACCTCTGGAAGGGTATGCTACAACTCCACCATCAGGTCACTCTTTCTCAGTGGTTTATTATTCCTCGAGGGGCTTATGATCTTCTGGCTTGTTATGATCATGAAGTTGGTTGTGCGAGTTCTGCGCGGTGAAAGTGCGGAAGATACTCGAAGCGATGACGAAGATGAGGAATGCGAGGTCAGGTTGCCGATTGAAGTCCAAGTGGATGCCGAAAAACTTCAATTTTCCAAGCGAAATTCCACTAGTGAGAAGGGATCGTCTTCAGTGTTTCAAGCAGCGAGGGGTTACAATGTGTCCAAAGAAAAAAAGAATTATCTGGATCGCATCGGTTGCGAGCAAAGAATCTCTCGATGAGGGATCTGGTACGACGAGGGATAGAATAGTTCGAGTGGGATATACCCTAGATTATGACATGATTTCGTATAGAGCATAATGTTTAATATTAAGTTCAGATTACGTCGCTAAGAAATTACTTTCTCCTTTGATAGTCTCCTGGTACTTTCAGAACCATCGTATGGTTTGATTTATGCTTTTCGGTCTGTAGTGGGTTTTGTTGGGATAGCTGGTTGCTTTCTCGGAGGTGCCACCAGACTCAGCATCAATGATGATTGATTTACGCCTTCTCATCCCCAGCACTCGGTCCATTTTCACTACTGGTTCAAATCTTATGAGAATTCTAGAATTGGCTTGAGGTAAAAGAATTAATCTAGTCAATTTTATGGTTGTTTAGTTATTCACTCACCAGACAAAATTCATTGTCCATGGAAATAGTCGTATTATTCTTCCACTACTGCAGGGTAACCGGCACCTTGCGTCGGCACTTGCGACCATCTCCTCAGAACAGAGTTCCTACGCGGGAACAGTGGCCAAAAGCAGAGATAGCTGCGGTCTGCGGTCCACGATGCCTTCAAGAAACAAAGTTCTCGTTTGCATCATTGAGGCTAGCGCTAAGACGTTGTGATCCGAAGCGAACCGCACATCCCTGCCCACTGTCCGGATAACTTCACGCTACCCCGCAAGTTAATTGCCTGGTCGGAATGATTCCAAATTAATTCTGGACCTGCCTTTACGGTATACCCAGTCGCTGCAGCGCGATGGAATAGGCTTTACCATCCGTGAGAAGTTTAAGAACTTTGTTCAAGAGCCCTATACAAGCCGGCTTAATGAATGCAGGTCCTCAGATTGCCAAACCCTAATTATAGAAAACAAGAAAGCGCTCGAATCACGCGGTGATGCTATAGGCTGGTGTGGCTGGCATCGTGATTGCGTGCCTATGCAGGGACGCGGCTCTGGCAGCTGTGCCATGCGGTTGCAGAAGGATTGATATACAGCTTCTGTTTTGGTGTGTGCAAAGCCGTTGAAGAGGCAAAGTTGCGACTACTGTAGGCGGGGTTCAGGGATGGTTAGATAGCGAAATTGCCACTGGCGTTGGAGGACCAATTGGCAAACCACGAGTTGAATGTGCGATGTGACAGCCCGATAGAGTTGCCGCTACAGGATAACCGAGGTGACCAAGTGCATTTGGCTCAGTGACGGCAATCCTTTGCGGCTTACAGGACCACAACTAACTGATGAATCAGACCATTCACTGCTCTTGGATCTGCAGTGTATGTGAAGCCAAGACTCTTCTGCAGCAAACAGCAGATTATTGTAACTATTATTAGAAAAAGATGTCTTGGAGGAGGCTGCATGTTTCTTTTGTTGTCGATGTTGTTTTCTCCATCCTCAATTGTTTGTCTAGGAAATAAGCCAGGCTCGAGAGGCCCAGCAGCTTGGGTGCTTGCGTGGATCGGATTACTCTCGTAATGGGCCATGGATGCATCTCACCGCAGTATTTGCAATTGCATCCTCGCTCACTGAGCCAAGACAGCAGCTGTGCGAATCACAAGGCGGATATAGAATGCTGACGTGCCCCAAGACCATCGTAGGATCACAAGGGTGTTGCAAGGATCGGGCGCCCAGCCTGAGCTCAAGCTTATCGTCAGCACAAACTGCGGTCAGATACTGGGATGAGAGTCCACGGAAAGTGCAGAATGCTCAGCAAAAGTCATCCACAGTTCAAAATACGGGGTGACACAGCAGGGCGAGGCCAGCATTCGGGTTCCGTTGTCTCAGCTTACCTTAGCCTTCTACCTTAAAACGCCTCATCTAGAATTGTACCGGAAGTCTGAAAACTCGCCTTAGCTTTGCTCTTGTTTATGTGACACGGCATTTGCCCCATGACTTGGGCCATTTCCTCCGGCCCGCGCCCACGGCATTGATGGTCATGCCTAGCTAATCTGTTTAATTGTATTCCGATTGGGCACAATGCGCTGGTAACAGTGGGTAATCGGACCACTTAGTGGGATGTTACCCTTGGCGTTGAGATGCGTCCCAACTTACCTTAAACAAACTTGGTCAAAACGTCTTTATCCCACCTGGGAGCGACAATTATTAAGCTACCAGGCTAGGCCCAAGACCACGCGGTTCTTCAAACCTAATTACGCGAATCTTAACAAAGTTTGGCTATTAATTCATGCGGTTTCACGGCCGAAAGTTAATACCTCTCCAAGCCTTCCAAGCTACCACCTTCTACGTCCAGTAGCTCACCCCCGTCTCACGTAAACCAATGACACGGGCGTGATTTCTTATCCCTGTCGGTAGTTGGCCTGCAGTAATGTGACTGAGGTGCTGATTGATTGCCGCTTATCAGGGTCCCATTGAGTTTTCTGCACTAGCCCGCTCAAGATTTCTCCGTCTCCAGTTTCTTTCTCCACACGCGAAGCTCGGACGACGCGCCTTGTTTGAGTATTATCAACGCCTATCATTATTTGGAAACAAACCTGGTGACGTCTTTTTGGTGCTTGAGCAGAAGAGAAAGAGAGAAACCTGTCACCACACGTTTCCTTGGCATGCTTAGTTAGTTGGTGATGCCTCACTGGACTGACCCTGGCCCTGCACTGGCACACCAACACCCTGTCTTCTATGATGCACAAGCCCCATCGCAAATAGCTGCCCGCATAGGTAATCCTGAGGGCCTAAGCCTCGATTTCTAATGCCAATCCGTGCGTCTGACCTGTTGCATAACGCCCTGTACCACTAACACTGCCGACTTGGCGTTGTGGCAGCCCCTGCAGATCTCCAGTACAGCATTCGCCATCTGTCTACAAAACCAAACGCAGATCCTCCATGTTTTTCCTTTGCATCCATCTGTTTATTGTTTCCAACCCTCAAGCTCCTAGTACATTCCCCACTTGATCCGGAAACATGCACGGCATCTCACCTAGCTGGCTTCTGCTGGCCTCTGGCCTCGTGCCTATCGTGGCCGGCGATGGCTGCCCCTTCGCCAAGCGAGCCACCGACTCCAACTTGGTTCCTCCCAGAGCTATCGGCGAGGATTTCGGCCGATGCCGCGTCGCTAGCAACCAAGCTGGTGGTGGTTCAAGAAGCAAGGACTTCTGGCCTTGCCAACTGAAGCTCGATGTTCTGCGACAGTTCTCACCGCAGTTCAACCCTCTGGGCCAGGAGTTCGACTACACTGAGGCCTTCAAGTCTCTGGACTGTGAGTGCCAATCTTTCCGTAGTGCCAGAATATGTTTGCTGATATTTTTGCACAGACGAGAGCCTCAAGAAGGACCTTCACGAGCTTCTCACAGATTCTCAGGATTGGTGGCCTGCTGATTTCGGTCACTACGGTGGACTGTTCATGCGATTGGCATGGCACAGCGCCGGTACCTACCGTGCCATTGACGGCCGCGGTGGTGGTGGAATGGTGAGTGACAACTGAACCTCATTCAGCAGTGAATTTGCTGACATTTTTGCAGGGTCAACAACGATTTGCCCCTCTCAACAGCTGGCCCGACAACCAGAACCTCGACAAGGCTCGTCGTCTGCTCTGTATGTAACACCCCACGGTGAAATTTCATATGCTAATATCAAAACAGGGCCCATCAAGCAAAAATACGGCAACAAGATCTCATGGGCTGACTTGATCCTTCTCGCTGGCAACGTCGCCCTCGAGGGCATGGACTTTGAGCCTCTCGGTTTCGCCGGTGGCCGTCCCGATACTTGGCAGGCCGATGAGTCCATCTACTGGGGAGCCGAGTCTACCTTTGTCCCTAAGGGCAACGATGTCCGCTACAACGGCAGCACCGACATCTTCAACCGAGCCGACAAGCTCGAGAAGCCTCTGGGTGCTACTCACCTCGGTCTCATCTACGTCAACCCCGAGGGTCCCGACGCTAGCTCTGACCCCAAGGCTTCTGCCCTTGACATCCGCGTTGCTTTCGACCGTATGGGTATGAACGACGAGGAGACTGCTGCCCTTATCATTGGTGGTCATACCTTTGGTAAGACCCACGGTGCTGTGCCTGCATCCAATATTGGCCCTGAGCCCGAGGCTGCTGATCTCGGAGAGATGGGTCTTGGCTGGCACAACAAGGTCGGTGAAGGCAACGGCCCTAACCAGATGACCAGTGGCCTTGAGGTTATCTGGTCCAAGACACCCACCAAGTAAGTCCATCCGATCCACAAGTAACCATTGTCTTTATTAACACTTCACAGGTGGAGCAACCACTTCCTCGAGAGTCTTCTCAAGAACGAATGGACCCTCGTCGAGAGTCCCGCCGGAGCTCACCAGTGGGAGGCCCTTAACGGTACCGTCGACTACCCGGATCCTTTCGACAAGACCAAGTTCCGCCGCGCCACCATGCTCACCAGCGATCTCGCCCTCATCAACGACCCCGCTTACCTCAAGATCTGCAAGCGCTGGCTCAACAACCCCAAGGAGATGGGCAAGGCCTTCTCCCGCGCCTGGTTCAAGCTTCTCCACCGTGATCTCGGCCCTCACGCTCGCTACCTCGGTCCTGAGGTTCCTAAGGAGCAATTCATCTGGCAGGATCCTCTCCCCGCGCAGAAGGGTGAGACCATCAGCCAAGCCGATATCACCAGCCTCAAGTCCGCCATCCTGTCCGCCGATGGTCTTACTGTTTCCAAGCTGGTTTCCACCGCCTGGAACTCTGCTTCTACTTTCCGCCACTCCGACAAGCGTGGTGGTGCTAACGGTGCCCGCATTGCTCTTGAGCCCCAGGTCAGCTGGACCAGCAATAACCCCAAGCAGCTCAAGCAGGTTCTTTCCGCCCTCAAGACCGTCCAGAAGAACTTCAACTCCAAGTCCAAGTCCAAGCAGGTCTCTCTGGCTGACCTGATTGTCCTCGGTGGTGTTGCCGCTGTTGAGAAGGCTGCCCAGGATGCTGGCTTCAAGAGCGTCGAGGTCCCCTTCACTCCCGGCCGTGTTGATGCTACCCAGGAGCAGACCGATCTCAAGCAGTTCGGCTACCTTGAGCCTCTTGCCGATGGTTTCCGCAACTACGGCCACGGAACTGCCCGCGCCCGCACCGAGGAGATCCTTGTCGACAGAGCCGCTCTCCTGTCCCTCACACCCCCCGAGATGACCGTCTTGGTCGGTGGTCTCCGCGCCCTCAACGCCAACTTCGACGGATCCTCCAACGGTATCCTCACCGAGAAGAAGGGCCAACTGACCAACGACTTTTTCGTCAACCTCCTCTCCCCCAACTTCCAGTGGAGCAAGAAGGACAGCCAGGGCGAGCTCTGGACTGCCACCGACCGTGCCACCAAGTCTGCCAAGTGGACTGCCACCCGTGCCGACCTGGTCTTCGGATCCCACGCCGAGCTCCGTGCTATTTCTGAGGTTTACGGTAGCGCTGATGCCAAGGACAAGTTTGTCAAGGATTTCATTGCTGCTTGGACCAAGGTCATGAACCTCGACCGCTTCGACGTCAAGGTTGAGAACTAGATTTAGAGTCACTTTGACGCGTTTTAGATTACATATTTAGCTTTTAGCACTGTTCATATTTCTTTCTTATATTATTACATACACCGGGATATCTCTACGAGCCCACCGTGCCCTTACCTAAACATGAAAGACCCATGCCACTAAACCGCGATTCGCCGCACATATTTGTCTCTCACTGGTCTTGCCTGCAAGCCTCAATTTGTCAGCCGAAGATTTGAAGTGTTCTGATCGAATCCGAAGTACTGGGATCTTGGTAATTGAGCAGGCCTTGGTGGGCTGCACACCTTCTCATTCCATCGGGCTCGTGAGCTTTATCCTGGGCGCCCAGACGCCTTTTCGAGTCATATTGTTCCATGACGAGCGTCTATTGAACCGCCACATCATTCATGGACTCACTTTAGTTCGGTTTTGTTTGATCGAAGTGCGTGGACACAACGTTGTCGCCACAGATTGGTGTTATGGACTTGAGGGCATCAACCCATCGCTACCTAGCTACTGACGATGCAGACCAACCCTCAAGTGTTGTTACACCACCTGTGCAGACAAAAACCGCACCTCTTACACCCCAACCGATTAAATCTCAAGCAGCTGTTGATGACGTCAAAAGTAAGCTGAAGAACTGGTCGCACCAAAAGGTATCAATACTTATCAGAGCCATGAAGAGTTTGTCTAGATAAGGTCGAACGTATGTATGTAATTCTTAGAGACGTAGCTCTCGGATTCTCAAGTCTAAGGCAATTGAAACCTCCTTGCATATGATTATGGGGGTCGAAAGAAGGAGTGCGAAACATGCTGACGCTACGTAAAGAACTGCATAGGTGAGGCTGAAAAGCAGAGTGGTTATGCAGGCATCCATTTATGGAAATTTGTATAGTTATTGGCTTGCTTAGCTTTAGGTCACTGCTTATAAAACCCACCCGAGTATCGTGCCATTTTCTTGCGCATACTCTGTAGCGCACCACACTATATTCAGCTTTACCACTCCATACCAGAGTCTAGAACTGGTCAACAGCAATCATGGATCAACAACTGGCACAGCAAACAACGGACGGCTCACAAATCCAGAAGATGGTAGAAGGAATGGATGATTCACAGCTTCAAGACACATTGAAAGGGGTTGATGATTCACAGCTTCAAGACACATTGAAAGGGGTTGATGATTCACAGGCTCTGCGCATTGTACAAGCACTTGGCCAGCCACAACAACTTCAACATGTTTTTCAAGGGCTTGGCCACGGAAGAGCTGCAAAGCTACAACAGACTGGTGAGTTCTTCCTTTAGCATCTCGGACCCGGTTCCATGAGTCCTCTCTTACATTCTCATCAACAGGCTTGCTCGTCTTGAACTCACAGACACTCTCTATTGGTGACAGTGATGGCAGCACGCATAGACGTAGTAATCTTTGTCAAGGCTCACCCCACTTCACGAGCTATGAGAGCTCTATTTGTGACTGTGGTTGGCATGACTTTGACGAAAAGGTTGCGCCTATTGAAAAGAACAGCTACGAACTACTCGTCGATGGCATCCTATGGTCACACGTTGAAGGTCTTCCCGGTCGGTATATGTGTCGGGCCTGTTGTGGCGACTATACACATGCGCCCTCTATATTTAGCCTAGGAGAGTTCGCAGACCATATTTCTCGTATGCATTACTCTTCTTGCAACGGGTTCGACAGCCGGTTTCTTGAACTTTATCGACGCTTTCTATCACTTTAGGGGGCCACCAACTTTTGTGTGCTGGCAAGCGTTTCTGGATTTGGAAAGGTACATGGCAATTCATCTTATTGATCGAACATACCAAGCAGGAGGCCAGTATAACGCTCGATTAGTCTCTCATAGTATTGCCTAGCCCAGGTTGTATGACTGTTATAAATATAGACAATTATGGATTGGCTCAAGTCAAGTACAACCTATCTTGTTGTAAACATGCTTTTTACATCGACCCTTAAGTATATCAGCCTGCGAGAATGCTGACACGGCGCTATACCAGAAATCTACTCAAAATGTAGAAATACCGTCCATCACTGTGTACGAGTGGTAAATTTCGCCATTACCCACGTCTTCAAAATTCAGAATCTTACATACGGTTCAATTGTCCACAACACAATCATTAAGATTGATTCTACAGTAGAAAAAACACTGGCTTTCGAAAAAACCCGCTAGTTGATAGTGAGTGAGATGAATGCTGATGAGTTGGGGCATCTAGCAAAACACGTGATGCTTACTGTTGCCTGATTCATCCTCCTAGTCCGTCATCAACTCTGGCAAATACAATAATCCCTCTACTCACATCATTCTACCATACAGAGTTGGGCCACACACCGCAACATGGTTCGATTAACAGACATTCCAAATGAGATCATTGAACATATTCTCACTTTTGTATCCGATATCAACCACTCCACCATCTTCAGCGTTGCTCTAGTCAACAAGCACCTCAGTCAGGTTGTACGTCCACTTCGAGTCCGTCATTGGAGCGACGATGGTTACTACGGCTACCACAATGGCGGCTCACCCTGTTTGCCCATCTCGCGACTGGCATTAGAACTCTTCAGACGGCCTGAGCTTCGCCCGCGAGTCAAAAGTCTCAACTTCACATTTTTCCAGAGCCCCACAGACTTAGACCCGGGTCGCGTGCGATTGAGCCCCGAAAACCTTGAACTGCTTGCGGTTGCCGCCGAGGAGATTCTCCCGGATTTTGTGAGAACTAGTAAACTGTGCGAGAATATATTGGGGCGCTGGGATGATGCCCTAGCTGTTCTTGTCATTACCTGGGCTACAAATTTGACCAGCCTCGGAATATCGGTACCGTTCTTCGAACCTGGCAGTGACGTTGGCACAGATCAGGAACCGAAGGACGAGTTTCTCGTTCTGCGCTATGCCAAACAACTCGCATTGCAGTTCAACGAAAAAGGCTCCAGACCAAGCACGCCTTTGCCGTTGGCAAAACTACATTATCTAGAGTTTCGGCACTGGGACACCGAGAACGATGTTGATGTAAGATATTTGACACCGTTCTTATATCTGCCGAATCTCAAGAGCCTCAAAACATACAGAACAGGCGACGAAGGATATGATGAGCCAGATGAGCGCACAAGAACCCGAATAGAAAACACATACATAATGCCTTTTCCGGTTGGCACATCGTCTATCGAAACGATGGTGTGTGAAGAGTCCACGTCAACAAGTGATGGGCTATCGTCTCTCATGCGTGCCTGTCGGGGCTTACGGGTCTTTCACCTGGACTTTTCGGAGGTTCTTATTGACAACGCGCGGAGCTCCAAGCAGCTGGCTCGTGATCTTCTGCATCACGCATCAACGATCGAGGAGCTGAATCTCCCGCTTGACGATACGTGTGATCTCGCTCTCCACGAGGAACCTTCTGACGACGGAATCAGCCTAGAAGAATCCTACAAGCATCTCAAAAAGCTTAAAAGATTTACTGTTCCCATGCTAGATCTATTTCACGGGAGCCAAGGCGGTAACGGTTTAAACGGTAAAATCATTACAAGTCTCGTGCCGGAGTCTGTTGAATATCTCAAGTTAATAAACTCGTTGATATGTTGCAACTGGCAATCTAGGAAGGACGAAGCTCAGCAGTGTGCGGCTGGAATGCTGACACTTCTTGAGGAGACAGGACCGGATGGGCGATTATGCAAGTTGAGGACTTTGGACCTTTCATTTGGGATGCTGAACGATCCTGACATGGAGGATATTGTCAAGGCCAAGTCACTGGCTGAAGTTAATGGAGTCATGCTTATACTTCAGCCGTTCCCGCCTCATCCTCATGATATTATTCATGGGGCTTGGACCTGTCAATAGCTGGACAGTGCGGGCATAGCAGATGGGGAAGTGAGAGTATTGGAATAGAGTGTCTGTCTCAGAGGCGTACGCTGTTGCTAAATCACTGGGCTACAGTTAAGTTATTACACAGGTAAAGGGTTTAATTTAACTCAACAGACGTTACGGATACATTACATATTCCTAGTCCTTGTCTACGAATACTGAAGCAGAGTGACGCCTCATCGACCTTGATCCTGGTCTGCCTAAATTAAGCTTTGATAGTACCAGTAATTTCTCCACTCAAAAGTTACATCAGACAGGGAACCATTTCTTCCAGCATATAGCCGAAGCCATAGCCATAATTAATAGGTCTGATGGTCTCTGTAACAATAAAGTTCGAAGAAGGGGTCAATGGAGTCCGGAGGATCGGTAAGCGCTTAACCCATTGTAGAACTGGACTAGTACTATTTTGAGTTCTCCGCATTGCTAATTAAACAAAACCAACGCCCAAGCCACCAAAATGTGTTTGTTCCGCCCTCGACCACTCACCGGGCATTTTGTGTTGCACAATGAATGCCACGACAGCAGCTTTAGCCGATACCAGGCCTACAGCTGAGACAGCATCGTATTTGAAGGCTGTTGTTATCTTTATTCTTCCTTTTATTTTAACGTATGTCTTCACTACGATCGGGAATAAAAATTACCAGCATGGTGAGGGTTCGAGAGAGCCTCCGAGGGTTCCATACTGGATCCCCTATGTGGGCAATACGATTGGTTTCGCACACAACACCGAAAATTTCTTGTCGTCTATACTGTAAGGCGTCTCTTAATCGATCCAGAGATCCCTCCACTCACCTTCACGCGATAGGTCCAAATTCGGTCAGGTTCCTCTGCGCATCTTCGTAGGTGCGGAGCCCATGTATTTCATCCCTCACGGCAAATTCATTGTGGAACTTTTCAAAGCTTCTCGCCATTTGACGACCAAAAGTCTAAGTGTCTTGACCGTGCGAGATGCCTTCGGTCTTCCAGCGCCAGATATGGCGCTATACGCTGGAGATGACTCTGGTTTTGACGCGAAGCCCGCGCCAGGTTGGGAAAATGTAGAACCCACGAAACGATTCCACTTCGTGCAGCATCGAGATATGCATTCGTTCCTAACTGGAAGCTCGCTCAATGCAATGACTGGCAAATTCGTTGAAGTCTATTCTAGGAATATCGACCAAGATGTCAAGTTTCACGAAGGCCACTGGACCGAGGTTGATGACCTCTACGAGTGGCTTAAGAATAGCCTGCTCCGTGCTGCGGTGGGTGCGTTGTGTGGAGATAAGTTCCTTGAACTTTCACCAGACTTTCTCGAAGACTTTTGGTCATTTGACTTCCACCTGCCAAACCTGTTCAAAAGACTCCCTCGGTGGCTAGTTCCCAAAAGCTACACTGCGAGGGATAGAGCTCTTGGAAGTGTGCTGCGTTACCACGAATTCGGAAGGCAACAATTGGACTTTGATGATGAGGATCTGCTCAAGAAAGACTGGACTTCGGAGTTTGGTGCCAGACTCATGAGTGCGAGACAAAAGATGTTCAAGAACGTTGGCATCAGTGCGCGAGGCGGTGCTGCTCTAGACCTGGGCATGATGTGGGCGTAAGTACATTCCTGGTCCCTCCACATTTAGTCTCTAACAGGTTCCAGTGTCAATGCTAATGCTATTCCTGCCGCCATGTGGATGCTTCTTGGTATATTACTTGATAAGAACCTCACACACAGGGTCATAACTGAGATGGAACCCTCATTTCACGACAAGTCTCTCTCGTTCGATATCGACAGATTGTGCTCTGGACCTCTGCTCAACTCCATCTATTTTGAAACTCTTCGTGTCCGTGTTGCAGCACCGGTCGGACGTGCCTCACTCATACCCAATCTCAAGTTTGGTAGATGGCAGCTGAAACAGGGTGTCGGCATGCTTTCAACATCGTGGACGGGAGGCCACGATCCCGACTTCTGGAACACTGGAAGTGCCCTGCCCGATGGATCTGACGAGCACCCTGTGGACTCTTTCTGGGCTGAGAGGTTTCTCAAGTGTGACGACGATCCAGCAAGTGGGCCTGTCCGACAGGATGTGAAAACCACCGCAGACAAGTCTGTGCAGCGGACTCCGGAGGACGACCGCAAAGCACGCGCTGTTCTTGATGGCACACAGGGATACTGGTATCCTTACGGCGGCGGAACTAAGATGTGCCCAGGCCGTTTCTTCGCCAAACAGGAGCTTATGGCTGGCGTAGCAGTCGCGCTTCGTGCTTACGAGATTGAACTTGTCGATCCTGTAGCGGCGAGTAAGATAGGGCCAAACATGGACTACTTTCCGTTTGGAACTATCCCACCCCGGGGTAAAGTCGCGGCGCGAATCAGACGACGTAAGCTATGATGGAAGTGTCGAGACTGTTTCTGCTAGGAACAGTGGGTACCTAAGTATTGAGAGTCATTGAAGTTCTGTCCGGTCTATAGACGTATATATAACTATCTAAGCCAATGTTGGGGTGCGGTCGAAAGTAACATTAGATTTTGTCGTGAATGATAGTAATGTGGTCAATTTCTCTTATTTCTTATTTCTATACCGGTACTGAATGTAGCTAGAGATCACAAATTTGTAAGATCTCTATAGTAGATACTAGTTGTGAAATATACCAGGCTTACGATGGTCAAATGAGCTATACTGCCAGTGTATCTTCACTACCACATCACCTCGCGACATGTTGTGGCTTGTTCCAAACCCCTGGACAGATCATTGGGCAAAATCAAGTTATATTCTTTCAGCTAGTGATTAATTCTCTAAATGTAGGATGCACGCTAGACAGGTCTTCTTGCGGGCCTTGTTACCAACCTCGCCCTCCACCGTTACACTCTAGGTTGCAAACTGAATCTTACCAGTAGCACCCAACTGGTTTAGCCAAGACTTTATATCCGCCGACACACCCTTCGCCAACTCATCCTCGACCACACCAACTTGCCAACTACACGACAGTACCAATGCCCCGCCTTTAACAGAGATCGTGCTGAACGTCAAAGCCGGACCAGATACACTCGCGCTTTGAGAAAATGTCGCGCTCTCAACTGTCCACTTCTGCTGGCCGCCAGTAGTTTCCTCTGATGCACCTCCATTGAATACACCAAGATTACTGACCTCCCAGGACATCACTCGGCTTTTCGTATGGTCCATCAAGAATGATTTCCAGTTAGTGATGAATTTTGCCAAGCCTACTGGGTCATTCTTAGCACCCTGCTTCAACTTCGCAGACAACCCGCCTCTTATCGCTTTGGCAGCAGACCAGACTGTAGCCTCCACCTGTGAATTCAACTCGGGGGTTGCTTTCGCATCGCTGATCTGCCGGCGAAGAGTTGCAACGATTTCCTGATCGAACACGAATGGCCAATAGACAACACTGTTAAGAGCTGTCTTATTCATATCGATGTTCGATGTCCCTGGCTGTTGAAATTGTCTAAGGCAGACAGGAGTGCCGCACTCAAATGCTCGAGCTTTGGATTCGTCAACTCGAGCAGCCATTGACACCAAAAGGAGCGTCTGCAACAGTCCAGTCAAGGTTGTTTCGTGCTCACGACACGCGTTTAGTATGGGCCCCAGGAAGTCTTTCGCAATTTCTATTTGCAAGAGGCGGCTCTTGGCCAGTCCTGTCTTGATAGGTGCCCACTGTGCCGTTTGCGGTGGCTTATTCGGTCTCGTCGTGGCGATCAAATCGCGCCCGAATTCACCTAGGATGAAATTCAGAGAAACGGGAAGTTTGATTAGGCGGTGCAGTGGCGGCGTGAAATCTGCGACAGGGACCTTAAAAACTCGACCTTGCAAGACAACGTTGTCTTGAGCCTCTGTTCCGTCGTTGAGACATGCCAGTAACTTGTCTTGAAATAGCTTGCCACTTTTGCCATCTCCTGCTGTGTGATCCCAAGCAAAGATGACGTCGATAAAGTTGGAATTTGCCGGTCTAATTATAGTTGATCTCCATAATGGCTGAGCATCTAGGTTGGCATAAGGAGTGTTCACCTGCCAATCAAGTGCGTCGTCGTGGACGTTCGTGTAGTCCTCGGTTTCAGAAACGGTCTGCCACTTTATGTGGTTGTTGAAGTCAATCCGATCGAGTCGGACCCAGAGTGGTTTCTTTGTGTCCACGTTAATCCGACCAACGGTGAAGACGGGAAGTTGACTGATAGCCTGGGCAATTGCGAGTTCAATTCTGCTTTCAAAGGATGGTTCGGTGGCCGATGTCAAGAGCGTTCCGGGTACATGGTATCTGCAAGAGATGACGCAGCCAACATAAAGCCCCAATAGATGCGTCGCCGATTGGAAAGATTCGCTGGAAATAGTTAATTATCTGGTCCATATTATACTTGCATAGTGAAGACACACATAGGACTAAGCTTTCTCAAGACTCCATCCTTGCGGTTGGAACTTAGGGCGCTATCACGGTTGTACAAGGTGGCCATTTTTGTTTTACCCAGAACTGAACAAAACCACACAAAAACGACGACCTAAGGGGCGAGGGCTTGTTTCCCTTATCTATTAATTTTCTACCTTCGATTCATCATCATACAAGGGACTTTTTGCCCAAACGGTCTCTTGAATCAGGCAATATTACGGATACTAATTTATTGTAGCCGCAAGCTTGCTGGGTTTCGCAGGAAATTACGCTGTTGGTGAGCCAATCAGCGGTGAGAGAGTTCGCACTCGACAACCATGTCAGGGCCGCTTACGTGAGATCAGAACTTATATCCCTTAATTTCTTCCCCTATCGTCTTTTGGGATGATACGACCTGTTTCGGTTTTATCTAAGAGAGTAACTTCACTAAGGCATTCACACCTTTATATCTTATGAAGACAGCATATTTATCCTGGCCTGTACGAAGTACGAAGTGGTTGTTGTTCTAGACCCGGGTCTTAAATTAAGCGAACGATTTACCCCAGTCCAGTAGAAGCTCCGCCTCGATGGTGTGGCCGTTTGACCTTGTAATCAGCTGTTTTGGGAGAACCGCTGATACTGCCAATCTGCTACCAATCGAAGTCAGCTACCTATGGTACAGTTCCGTGCAAAAGCTTCGACAACGAGCCAACTAGAAACATGTACTAGAAAAGATGTATAGAATATCTTATAATTCGAAGACTTTGTATATAATGTTTTGACAAGGTCATCTAGAACTGTACCAAAAAAGAAGTTGATCATCCTTTACATAATTTTGTGTAGAATTTAGAACGTAGTAAACACAGATAATGATGGCTTTAATGAGATGAAGTAGTCAATGAGCTGGATGAGAATGAGCTGGATATTTTGTCCTTCTTCAATGATATCTCGTCACGGACGTCATAAAATAGGCGTGTGATGAATCCGAAATTCCCAATAACCGTCGTTTTCCTTGCTGTCTGCGGGTTTAGAATGCATTAAACGAAACTGCAGTATTAAAGTCCTTCTTTTGGAATAGCTTGCATGTGTTCTACTGCAAACCTCCGTCATATGACCAGGGAGAAGACAAACCTAGCTCAGCAAGATATGCTATTGACTGAGTGATTTATTCTTCTCTGCTTCCGGATACAGGTGCATCTAGGGTATCTTACTATAAATAGACCCGTGCAGTCCATGCGGAACTCCCCAGGATCATAAATCGGCTGATTGGTCAGGTTATTTCGACATTCCATACCGCCCCACCGCCCGATCATGAGCCTGAGTCGCGTCGTCTTTGATCGGCATTTGATTTGCCTTTTGTCCCTTCTGCAAACCTACATCATAGCCCTGGGGATTGCCCAAATCTTTCTCGTGGAGGGAAGCTTGGCTCAGAGACATTCTGGTTCAGCGCTGGCCACTGTGTTCAAAGCTGGCAATCGCGGCCTGACGCAGGATATGCCGTTACGGGCGTTGATGGAAACCTGGACGTAGGAACTTTTCGCAATTGAATTTGAACTTGGTTACGTCAAAAAGGGAAAAGAGAGCGACCACTCATTGTAAGACAATTGGATGACCTAATCCGGCCGCTTTGAACGCATTGACTGACTTTGATCGCCAGGTGGCATAGCGAGATGCGCTCGCAGCAGCACTGTTTCGTCTCAATTCCCATTCCTCGCCACATCCCACCTCAGGCTGTCCTGGACTACGTGCAGACGTATGAGCCTGTCCTGCGTCACAACCCAAGCATGGTATCGTGGCAAAATTCCGCCCTGGATCATAACTCAGTCGCCAACGACAGCTTTTTTGATATTTCCGACCCCAACCAAAGTTTGCGCTGCTACCAAGCCTATGAGATCATAAGGCTGGGCCCTGGAGTAGGGCGGGACGTGAGGTGGCCTATCATCTTCCAGAGAGTCCCAAACGGCATCGTCTCCAGGGCGGATGCACCTGCAGGGGTGGTTAGTTGGACGCAGTGGTATGTCCGACCGCGACAGAGCGAACAGTATGTGGAGTCTGTCAGTACTCCAAGTACGTCAACGCCGTCGAGTTGTGCGGATGAGGAGTGGGAATTATACGGCATCGTGACGCTCGAGGCTCACAGGATGCTGATGCCCTGGATTACCACCAGTTCCAAGAGTTCCCAGGCTTCTATCGGCCAGGGGATAGTAGACGATGTATGCGAAAAATACAACTCAAGAGAGCTTGAGAGATAACACATTGGCTGTCACTATTGGCACTTGGGCTGTTGCAAAGCGTCGGCGGAATGCGGGAGCTTGATTAAGCGAGCTCCTGGATTCGAGATAGCACACTCAGACAGACATTATGTAGTCACCTCGATACCCTTATGCTATAAGGCCACCATTGTTTAGTGGCCAAGTAGACGATGTCTATATGTTACGTGTCACAGGATTAGTCAATAGCAGTGAAGGAGCCTCGCCTCCAATTCAAATGTGGTGCGTTAAATTAAAGGACAGGTCATAGTTATATTTGTGTATGAGAATTCAAAGCAAATGCCGTTGACTGGTGTTCAGAAAATCCGAGACACATATGTCCAGGCTTTCCACCTTTTACCCACCACGCTTCCCTGCCAAACTCAGTAAACGTAGCGGAAGTTGAGGTTCTTCCTATCTGTGACATCGGAAATCTCCAAGTGTCCGTTCTCATCATGCGCCGAAGCATTGGTCTGCTGAAGTTCGTCACGTCTCTTATTCTCTCGGATCAAGGTGAAACGCAGAAGGAGCATGGTGAGCGTCGACACGCCGAAGCAAATCGTCGTGGCTAAGAATCCACTCTATATGTGTGTAAGCCTCTTGTCCATGTCACGTTAGGTTGATGTTCTGTGTACTTACTGAATATCCTGGCGCTTCAGACGGGAAGAACAAAAACGGGCCGATGATGTTTCCAGCTGTGTACGCCATGAACATCATTGCTGAAGCCACACTCTTCTTAGTGAAGCCAGCGACGTTGGAAGCGACCATGGACAACGAGATGGGAAAGCCAGCGGCAAATGCGACAAAGACCCATAGTCCAAAGAGTTGACTGCCCTGGTTTGGGCCGTAGCGGACGAGCAATGAGCCAGTCAAACTAAAAATGTTAGCTAATAGCCTTTTAATAAACGCGAGGACCACACTTACCTGATCAAGCTGAGACATGCGCCAATAATGGTTCTGTACCCACTGTAGCGACTGCAGAGGTAGGTCGACCCGAGTGCGAAGAAAGCTAGGATGGCACCCATTGGCATGTTGAGTAAATAGACCTGTAGCCTATTGAAGCCGAAGCCTGCCATGACAAGACTACTGAACTGTGCAATGTTAGGAATAAGAAGCAGATGTTAAGATAGCTGACCGCTTACAGTTGTATGGGCTCCATTGGGGATACTGAATGTAAGTTGAAAGAGCATCAACAACAGCACGTTTGGGTCCTTGATAACCTCCCGGACCTGCTCCCACTTGAAGTTATTGTTCTTCATACCAGTCTGGTTGACCCTGATTCGATCGACGGCATCGATGCGTTGCTGTTCGGTGAGAAATCGTGCGTTCTCGGGGGTGTCGGGAAGGAAGATGGCCAAGACGATGGCCCAGACAAGGGTGATGAGACCGAAGATGATAAAGAGCCACTGAAGAGAGTGTTAGTAGGAATTATGTGATGGAGGAGTGGGAGAACTTACTCGCCAAGCTGCAAGGGGACTGCTAATTTGGGCGATGCCATAAGCTAATAAGCCTCCTAGCATCGTAGCAATTGCGTTTCCGAGGAACCAAATGCCGTGTCGGAAAGGCTGTTCCTCGCGTTTATACCACATGCCAGTGATGAGAGAGAAGCCTGGTGAGATCGAAGCTTCTGCTACGCCGAGAAAGAAGCGAGCGACTAATAGGCCGGGGAACGTTTGGACTGTGGCATGGCAGCAAAGGATGATAGCCCAGGCAAAGCTGTCTAATGGTTAGAGCAAGAGATTTGTGGTACAGATAAATGTACTCACCTGGAGGCAGTGAGATACTTTCCCAGTGGCAAGCGGACCATAAGGAAAGATGCTGGGTAGCTGAAAGAGAGGTAACCGAAGTAAAAAGCACTGCTGCACCAACTATACCGTGATCCAACCAGGTCCTGGTGATGTTAACGAGGGGGCTATCACGATATAGAAGGGGGGCTCACCAAGTCGTCGATTATGCCCATGATAGAGGCAAAGTTGAGAGACTGCTTGTCAAGGAACTGTAGCGTATATGACACAAGGAGCAATGGCATGAGGCTTGAAACAGGTGTCAGTAACAGCCATTCGAAGCCATAGAAAAAGACTTACCAGAAATCAATTCTTTTGAGGACTTTGCGTCCTCTATGGCTGTTGTCGACATTGGCTTCTCCGATTTGCATTGATCCTTGGAGACTCAGCGTCTTGCCCATCTTGGAGTCAGGGTCCTGGACAGGGAAATCGGTCTTATCTCTTTTGTCAGATGACATAGTGATAGTAATGGGTTGTGTAGTAGGTTATGGTAGTAGAATGGTAGTTGGGAGAAGCTCTGGAGGGTTGTTTGCTGAGGGAAGCGATGGCAGTTAAGTAGAAGAAGAAGAAGACAAGGCCCAGATCAAGTGGCTTTATCTTTTGATGAGTTGAGTAAGAGCCTAGATAGATATCTCCACCCCCGCAAAATCCACAATCAGGTGGCCAGACCTCGTAGATAGATAGTCTGGGGTTATCTCTGGGCTGATATTCAGGCGAGTTATCGATCAACATAAACAGAAGATGGTGTAGTAAAAGTCAGAGAATGCAGCTTGAATCATTACCCGTTAAAAAGAGCCGTACCGCTAGTCTCTCCGTCTCGGATATCCTAACCTCTTAATTGGTCACATCGGCAAATCAAGGTTACGCCTATAGTTCCGTGCGAGAGTTCCCCGACCCACCCAGAGATAAATAGAATCTATGAAAATTAGACCATTTAGGTATTATCTTAGTATCAGATCATGTAAGATTGTATAATTCTTTTGAGACTGTCTAAGATTGTATTAAAAGAAAAGAATTTATCGAAATTTGTGAGATTTAAATAAATTATAAAAGCACAGAACGATCGGAAGTGTTGCGTGCCCACTACCTGAAAAACGGCTCGAAGGTGAGTTGTCGACCAAGGCGTATCCGATTGGCCAGCTCGGCAAAAGTTAGTAACTTATCATCGCCAAAAGATATCGGCTTCGGCAAGTGGCCAAGAGAACAATCTCCGTTTGCCGGACCCGACTGATTGGGAATGTGGCCCGTGACGCGGGGAGGACGAGCTCTTGCAAAGTCTGGGGTTTCAGAGATTGTAGCTGTGGTGATGATTGGTATGTTGAAAGTACCCCGTGGTGGTTCCTCGGCGTCGGGGAAGTTGTCGAGAAAGAATGTCACGATACTATCTGAGTGATGTCATTATGCCCGTTGAGACGTTCACATGTGATAGGCTTCTCATGAAAATTTGGAGTTTGAGAATGGTTACTACATCCTAAACCACAGATGATATGTGCACGTAATGATTTAAGGATAGATTGAAAATCAAGGCTTTTAATTTACCGCTTCCTTACCACAACATTATCTAAAGTCTATAACCAATAGGTTCAACATCTCTCTTAAACTCATCCCTCGCTTTATCCATTAGTTTAGTCCGCAGAAGCATCTCACAAGCCGTAGCAGACAATCCCTTCCCACAGTCTAGAGCTCTATCAAACGCCTCTCTTGTTCCAGCAGCCGCTGCAAACTTTGGTGTGTGAGGCTGCACGAGAGGGTCTTCGGTTCCGATGGAGAACATGGGATGAATACCAGGTAGGCAGTATGTGACATTGCCTAAGTAGTTGTTAGTTCGCGTGTGATCTGAAGAGTAATGTCTTTAGTCTTACCCATATCTGTTGATGCACCCATTGGTGGCTGATTTGTATCGCCGATGTAGTCTCGACCGAACGCCTTCATGTGTTTTGTAAACTCGGTTGTCATGGATGTATTTGGACGAAGCTCCATGTAATCTTGATCCCTGTTGATATATTAGTGCCAGGCCAACCTAAGAGCGAACTTTACTCACAGTTCACAACTGCACTTCACCTTGCAACCTGTTGCAGTTGCTCCGGCTTCAAAGCAAGCCTCAACTCTATGGGAAAGATCTTTGACCTGATCAACACCAGCCGCTCTCAAATAATATTCAAGCTCTGTTGAGTCTGGAATAATATTTGGTTCTGAGCCACCATTCCGGATGACGCCGTGTATCCGCTCGGTGGGCTGTATCTGCTGCCTGAGGAGAGAAATGTTGACGTAGGAAGACACCACAGCATCTAGAGCATTCTTTCCATGCCACGGCGTATTGCCCGCATGAGCGCTCTCGCCGGTGAAAGAAACCTTGAGCTGTCTCCGCGCACTTGTCTTGGCAGCTGAAACACCGTCGATATTATCCGAATCTGCTGGCGAAAGACGTCCTGTTGGATGTCCCATCAGACAAGCATCGACACCTTCGTAGGCTCCAGCTTTGATAAGGCGGACCTTACCGCCACCGCCCTCCTCAGCAGGTGTTCCAAGAAGCCGAACTCTACCAGAGAGTTTTCCTTTGCATATTGTCTCGGCTGTCGCGATGAAGGCTGCGATGGAACTTGTGGCGATGAGGTTGTGGCCGCAGGCGTGACCTAGACCTGGGAGGGCGTCGTACTCGGCGTTGAAAACAATGAGTTTTCCTCCCTTGCCGAACTCGACTTCGAAGGATGTCTCAATGCCGTATGCGCTGCGCTTTACATGATAGCCCAGACGTTGCAGGAGATCGCAAATATTGTCGTGAGCCTTGAACTCTTTGTAGTTCAACTCGGGGTTCTCATGTATCTGTCACTTGTTAGACGTGTTTAGGTAGATGTCTGGATAGAACTACCTTCTTGCAGATATCAGCCAAGTCTTGCTCATGCTGAGCCACAGCCTTGGAGATATTTTCGTGAACTTGCTCAATAGACAAAGACATGTTGTATGAGATGATGAAAGCGAACTGTATCCACCTTTGTGATGGCCGTTGGAAATAACCCAAGGGCTTGGCTCCAGATTTATATCAGCTCCTATAGCTCCTGCAACCCATGCATGACACAATCATCATGACCAGGGTCGCACTTCATGACACGCTCCACGTAAAACTCTGAGTCCGTGTCTCATGAAAGCGGAAACTCCTTGAGAAACGCGGGACGTACGGAGTCCGGACGACACCAAATACTCCATTGGGCTAGCTATCAAGCCACTGACAAACTAGCATCCAGCTCAGGGGGTCTGTGTGCCAGTTCCAGCGGATACCTTGACCCGATGGTCACTAAAATAGCCGAGCGATCCAATCAGATGCTTGCGAGGTGTTATCACAGATTGGGGGGTTTCTCGGCGTGCGTTGCTGCGTCAAGACGACTTCGGCATGGTTGATAAGCTGTTGGACGCGATGTAAAGCACGCATCTCAATCTTTTGACGATCCATACCCTTTAGGCTAAGTTTAATTGGAAGCAATGATGGACTCTGCATACTTTGTACACTTTATACGTATCGTTGTAAGTTACTGTGAGATAGCGAAATATTTTCCCGATTGAGCCCTAAAAACGGATCCAGTCAGCCTAACTACACCTGTACTAAGAGAAACTCTAACATGCCCTACGGAAGGGATCCCCAAATCCTCAGTGTCACTCTGACCTGGCAATTCGCAATTCCCGCATCACTCCAAAAGAGCCACAAAAAGCCATTCGGCTCACCGCGGGTCTAGACTATCAGTGCTGTCACTGCATTGCATTGCATCAATAGCAAAAGGAAAAGAAAGGAAAAAAGAAAGGAAAAGAAGGGGGGAATTTATCTCCCCGAGTCATCCGTTCTACCACTACCATCCCCTCACGACTCAAATGCCTACCCTTTCCCCAGTCGCAGATCGGCGCAAAGCGAGGTCTAAAAATGGTGGGCGTCACTACTTGCAGCCGATGTCGCAGAGCTAATCTTTTGTTTTGCCAACAATAAGGCTGTCTTACTTGTCGCATCCGCAAGGTCAAGTGTGATGAGCGACGGCCGGTTTGTAAGAGATGTGAGAACAGTCCCAATAAGTGCGAATGGCTTGAGCCCGGGCAGCCTTTGGCTAGGGGTCAGACTTCCAAGGGGGTGTTAAGCCCAAGGAGTTACGGTAGTCCAAAGGCTCTGGTCACTGGCGAATCGCCAAATACGAGCGTCAATAATGATATCGGCTCTGCAAGCCCAGTCAGTCTGATCTCACCATCGCGAGACCTCAGCAGCCTTGAAACACCATTGCCGACTTTCCCAGCAGCCCACATTGCTTTGGCTGACTCGCTCCAGTTGAGCTCTGAAGACCGGGCGGCGTTCGCTTACATCCCATCTTCCATCATGGTGTTGAGTTACGGCAAACTATGGAGCTGGAGCTGCTTCTCATATATATACACCTACATCGCTAGCAAGTACCCCGGGGTGATGAGAAGCTTCATCGCGGTAGCGAATATGGAACTTCGGGCGAAAGATCTACTGATAGCCCAGGATTTAATGGATGCGGATGCTTCGGAAAAGGCAGACCAGCTGGGAGCTGCTGCCGCAGTGCATTATACTCAGGCTCTAAAGGATCTATCGTCGCTATTGGATCATATATGTCAGGAGCCGGAACAAAGTCGTGACATAGACGCCTTGTTTGTAATGTGGTTCCTGATTCTCAGATACGAGGCTCATGATTCAGAGACGACTGGTGCATCTCTTTTACATCTGGAAGGGATTCGGTCATTTCTAAGACCATACTTGCAAGATGAGGGAGAGAAGAGTGATAGACAACTTCCTTGCGTGGCACAAGCGATGCTCTTATATACTTTGTGGGTCGCCATACCGGTCAAATACTATATGCTTATCAATTCTAGATACCTGGATGCAGATTCAGCAACCGGAAACATGAACAGTGGACAATTCTGCCTGGACTTTCTCTCTCGCGACGCTCACGACTATATCTCCCACGAACACTTATTCCTCAGTGTAAGATCAGCTTTGCCCAAAATATGGGGCGAGCAATATCCCGTCTCTGAACTTCTCGACGACTTGGAGAACTACCGTCCACTGCGCCTATATCATCTATGCCAAGGTGCAAAGCTTGAACTTCTGAGACTCGCAAGGTCCGCAAACCACGATGAGTACGATTCTAGTAGTCTCAAGAAACTATGGGTACATGTTGAGCGGTTTGGTGATGTACGATGACGAATGATGCATATGATACCAGCTGACGAGTTGTAGGAATTCGCGGATATTCTCCTCCTAGCTAAAAAGACACCTGGTTCTGGGGGCAAACGCCTCATGTGGACAGTCTACTCTGCAGCGCTCGATTTTCACGCTCTCCAGATCCTTTGCTCAAGTTTGGACGCTTATGACGAGACCTCTTTCAAGCCAGAACCCTCGCTATCGTATATCTTCACTGTAGCAACAAAGGCCCTTGGGGAGGATCCACGGCAGATCTATCGCTTCATGTGGTCACTATCTGTTGCGCTGGGCAAAGGTCGAGGACACAGCAGCCAGTCGTGGTTATCCTCGCAGCTTTCCCAAGCTCGAGTTTTGATGCCGAGGTTTGGTGTTCCAGGACTGATACTAGACCAGTCTGGTGGACTGCAGTTTAGCCAGGACAGCTGACATGAAAGATTCTTACTAATATGGTAATCTGTTGTATTTTTACTCCCGAGCTACATCTAAGCATCAACATTGAATGAATACTCCAACGGCAGATCTCGACTACTTCCACCAACGAAAATCGTGTAGTTTCCGGACTGAAGCACCCACTGTTGCTGAACAACATCCCACACGCTGAGGTCACGTCGCAAAAGTTCAAAAGAAACCTCTGCAGACTTGCCCTTGTCCAGTTTCACCTTCTCAAAACCTCGGAGCTGCTTTGGTGGGCTGTTGGGAATCGCCACGTAGACTTGGGCGACTTCCTCGCCGCTTCTCTTGCCAACATTGGATACTGTGGCCTGAAGAGTTGCGTACGTCTCCCAGAGGTCTGCCTTACTGCTAGATGAAGAGTCTGTATGGGCCTTGACGGAGAGGGAAGAGTACTCAAACGTCGTGTAGCTGAGACCGTAGCCAAACTCATATCGCGGGGTGATGTTACGGTCGTCGAAAGAACGGTAGTCCAGATACACACCCTCAGTGAAGTCACACTGCGGATCGTTGCTATTCTCCTCACGACCGCAAGGCGCATAAGGCACGTAGTCGGTTTCATTCTTAGCGAGAGTGTAAGGCAGCTTACCCGAGAAGCTAGCCTCGCCATAGAGCAGCTTGACGAGCGCCTCTCCGCTATCTTGTCCAGGAAGATGAGCAATGATGGTCGCAGTGATGTTGGGGTGCTCAATCCACTGGTCCACGAGACGAATTCCGGCTGCATGGATGGCGACGATGGTGTTGGCGCACTTGGACGCGACGTTGAGGACGAGGCCGTCGCTGAAGTCGTCGTGGAGACCATCGCGATCCCAACCTTCTGTGGCCATGGCGTTGATGAAAACTAGACATACGTCGCTGGCTCCGTTGACGTCTGGGTCAAAGGACGAAAGGTCCCAATTCACCCAGCCTCCGTCTTTGGCAGCTCTTTGCTGAAGAGCACTGAGAGGCTACCGAATGTTAGTGATGTTACGAGCACTAACCCGTATTTACTTACATCGCTGATATACGGAGGTGAGTTAGCAGCCGCACGACCTCCAGAGACAATCGTGCCTCCTCTGGCAGCCTGGTCAAAATGCTCTTCATTTCCTAACACAGCCTGTGCCATCTCCGGCGAAGACGCATATCCGAGCTCAAACAGCTTGCCTGTGTTCTTGGTAGCAGCCACGGTAGCATCGTACCCAAAGACGGAAATCATCTTGGGGTTCTTCTGGAAGGGGAGAGTGTTGTTTTCGTTCTTGACGAGCACGTGGCCTGCGATTGCGCCCTCGAGCAGAGTTGGCCTGGACCCTGGGATACGAGCTTCGACTTGTTCGTGGGGCAAAGAGAGGTTCTTCATGCCAATGCCTGGGGTGGGGAAGCCATTGTCTTGGCCGACGAGGTACCAAGCTGCGAGGATTCTACAGAAATATCAGCAAGAGCAAAGTCGCTTAAGAAAAGAGACGAACCTGGTAGCCATATCAGTGACTCGAGATTCTGTAACCGTGCCGTTCTCAACAGCCTGAGTAAGGTTTTCACCCCAGAAGCCACCCATGGGCATAACCATATCGAGACCAGCATTTGCACTCTCAAGGTTATGCTGAGCATTCCAGTCAAGAAGCACGAACCCGTCAAACTCCAGCTCTGACTTGAGGATGCCGTTCATCAACTTGCTGTTCTCGCAAGCATAGGTGCCGTTGACGCGGTTGTAAGCGCACATTACTGATGCGACGCCAGCTCTGACAGAGTCCACAAATGGCCAGAGATAGTACTCGTGCAGCGTCTTGTCGTCGACGTTGGAAGATACTGCTTCGACTCCAAAGTAAGGTCGGCGGTAAGTTTCTTGTTCGTTTGCGATGAAGTGCTGTACCCCGTTAGCAGAAATAGCGGTAGATTTCGTTTGCATCGCTGACCTTGACGTTGGCAATGACTCCAGCATCTTGGTGGCCGATGATAGACTCGGCACTGAGTTTTCCTGTTAGGTATGGGTCGACTGAGAAGCCCTCCCAGTTGCGACCCCCCAGCGGTGTTCTGCCTAGAGGGCCGACGTTGGGTCCGAGGAGAACGTTGACTAAATAGAGAATCAGTATGAAGGATTGCATTTCCTATGTGTTTTTGACTCACCTCCTTTGGCCTTGAACTCTTTGCCCATGTAATATCCCCTCTGATACGTCAGGTTCTTGTCCCAACTGGCACCAACATGCAAAGCCGAAGGATACGAGTTGACCAGATCTGTTGCCCTCACGCCGTTGCCTGCATCGTGCAGACACAGCCCAGGCCATCCAAGACGCGGTATAGTTCCAGTATTACCAGCGCAGACATTATCCGTCGCGAAACCTCGCGTGACATTAACTTTTTCTTCGAGCGTCAATTTGTCTACAAATTCTTGCGCTTTCGAATACGCGCTCTTCCAAATACCTCTGCCAGATCCTTTGGCTGCAATTGGAAAGCGTTAGCTTGAGAGTCAGGGGTAAGCTTAAGCTTGGGTGGGTAACCTTACGCGAAGGGTACTCTTCAGTGTGAGTCTCTGTGGGAAGCGCCAATGTCCCAGTGACTTGCAGCGCAAGACACAGCAATTGAGTTGACCACATTTTGACAAAGAGGCTGTGAGAATCAGTCAAGTTCTCATGCCGTGAGTTTGCTTTGATGATGCTCTGTGCTCTTTATTTATCATCTCACCTTATCCCTGAGCTCGGTCTTCAAGAGCAGTGCTATCCGAGAAATAGCCGAGAGTTTCCACCAACACGTCATACACAAGGATCGTGGACACTCCGCCGCTGTTTAACTTGTTCTTTTGTCTCACCGCCAAGAAAAACATCAAATCGGAACTCTGTCCGCTGGTACAGGGTAGCGAAAAGTTCCACGATTTCCTCTGGAGTTACAATCCGGGGCCCCCGGAGGAATCCCTTTCCCCGCAACGTTTGTCAAGTGATGATGCATCTTGAAATGCCTCGTGCTTCCGGAAGGACGGGAAAACGAACAATTGTTGAAGCCTGCAATTGGATTGAGAGCACACTGAAAAAATAGCGTTTATGCGTCGAGGCCTTAGCCTAGATCTAGCAAAAGAGCTCGATAATGTAGCAAAGCTCGGCTTCAAAAGTTCTGCTGTGCTGGTAACGAGCATTGAACCAGCGTAAATCAACAGGTTATACCAATGATCAGAAATCGTGGTTTGCTGATAAAAGGAGGTGTAATTAAAGTTCTCCCATAAGAAATTCCGATATCTGTGCGATCAAGTCAGCTTACCTCAGATTGAAGCAACCCACTGGAGAAGTGCCGATGGAGGTTCGACATCTCATGCAGTAACCGGATTACACGCGCGACGACGTTTCATCCGAGGAGCCCGCTGATCTCGCCAGGGTTCTTTTCTAAGTATCATACAGCCCTGTTCCTATAAACACTTAACAATTGGGTTTTATCCTCTTAGTAAGGAAGCTCCAACCAGTCCAAAGCAGCAATTGGACTTGTATTGCCAATTCTATATTACATGGGAGAATTTTCAGTGTACAAAGAGTGGCCTTAAGTATGCCATTTCACGGCTATACACACCCAGTCTTAGGGCCATCTCGAGTAGTATTTCGCGAGGACTAGAAATACAAAAAGTGATTTAGGGAGCGTATGGGGATAAATTGAGCTTACATTTAGCCTTGCTCGGCTTTGATAACCGCTGAGTAACCCCGCAAGCCCTCTATCTGTTCGATTGCCGCTAAGAAACATACGGTAAAACCCCCCGACACAGCCAATAAGAAGGATTCCGTTTCGAGGACACGGTTCAGACGGCTGTCGCTATCACCCTTGTGCTTGTGCTTACATGTTTCAACCCCTCTCGTCCAGGTGCTGAGCATATAAAGAGGAAGGCCGCGTAGGCCCCAGACTTTCACCAGTCAATTTTTATTCACCTGCAAAGATTATGTTGTACCATTTGGTCGAGTTGTATGACCGAGCGCCAAGGGATTTTGCCCTGGTGCTGACTCTCTCAATCTTTACTGCTCTTTACCTACTACGCCGCGCACTTTTGCCCAAACCGATCCCAGGCATACCGTACAACGAGAATGCCGTCAAGTCGCTCTTGGGTGACATCCCCGAATTCCGCGCTGCCCCCAATCGACGGGAATGGTGGGCGCGACAGGCTATCAAGCATCAATCGCCGTTGTTCCAAGTCTTCATGCGGCCCTTTGGGCGTCCGTGGGTTTTTGTAGCGGATTATTTTGAGGCTTCGGATATTTGCATGCGTCGTCTCAAGGAATTCGATAGAGCCGACACTACGAGGGACCAGTTTGTTGGGTTGACTCCTGCACACCATATCATTATGAAATCTTCAGATCCTCAGTTCAAGAAGAATAAGGAGTTGATTCGAGATCTCATGTCGGTCAGCTTTCTTCAGCAGGTTGGTCGAATCACCTCAAGGTCTTTATGTGTACTGATTTTATTAGGCTACCGCCCCTCAAATTTACGACAAATTCTCAACCCTTCTTGAGCTTTGGGGACGCAAGCGAAGTTTAGCTGACGGAAGACCATTTAACGTGGCAGATGATATCCACAATGCAGCACTCGACATCATCCTAGGAGCCTCCTTCGGCCTTGAACCTGACCAAGGGCAACTTAGCCGACAACTTTCCCAGCTCAAGAGCAAAACAGTTTCTGGTGGACATCATGATGCTTTTGAGTTTGAGCCAGTTCCACTTGACGATGAGCTCGCCTCTTTCACTATTCTCGCCGACAGCGCCAGCGTTGCCATACGGTCGCCTGCACCCGTCATTCACCACTTCTTATATAGAAATCTTAACGCCAAGATGAGGAAGGCAAGGGCTGGTCGTGACAGACTGAGAGATCGCGAGGTTGCTAAGAGCATAGAAAGAAGGCGACTAGGCCAGCCCCAGCGCTGTGCCCTGGACAGTATGCTTGCTCGTGAGGATGCTATCGCTGAGAAAGAGGGGCGCAAGCCTGACTATCGCAGTCAAATGATCATGAGCGAGGTATGTTGCCGTTTGACAGGGAATGAGGGTGAACTAACAGTCTACAGCTGCTTGGCTATCTTGTTGCTGGACACGAGACAACATCGGCTGTTTTAAGATGGGGAATGAAGTACTTGACTGCCAACCAGCGAGTCCAGGTACTTCTCCGCGAATCAATCTGGAAGGCCTACCCAAAAGCCAAAGACGAGAACCGCTTTCCCACCGCCGAAGAGATCCTCAAAGCTCACAATCCCTACCTCGATGCCGTCGTCGAAGAAATGCTTAGGCATTCTCGAGTTGCCCCTGTCACAATCAGGCAAGCGACAACTGACACGGAGATCCTCGGAAAATTCATACCAAAAGGCACCACAGTAGGTTTCTTGGCCAACGGGCCGGGCATAATGATGCCCAGCATCCCAGTGAATTCCGGCAAGCGATCAGCAGCTGCGCGGACACACATGTATAAGACGGACCTGCTTGATGAAGCCGACATTTCCGAGTTTCTTCCTGAACGATGGCTCACGACAAAGACTACCGACGCGGGAGATGAAGAGACAGTATTTGACCCTAGCAAGTGTCCTTCCCAAGCATTTGGTCTGGGGCCTCGTGGTTGCTTCGGGAAGAAACTTGCTTATATGGAGATCCGAATCTTTCTGACCCTACTCTTCTGGGAGCACAAATTGGAGCCGATTCCACCTGAGTTGGCTACAGATGATGAGATGATTTCATTAACGCGGACGCCGAAGAATGTTTATGTGAAATTGGCAAAGGTGCAGGGGAACGAATAATTCGATGGACCGAGAGATCACAGCTGGGTGTTAACTGCTCAAGCTACCACAAATATAGACTGGCTTAGCGCCAACATCCCCATCGAATCTTCTCACTACAGCAGGTTTTAACCTGTTTCGTCTTCCGTAGTATAGTGGTCAGTATGCAAGCTTGTCACGCTTGAGACCCGGGTTCAATTCCCGGCGGGAGAGATCCAGCCGCCTGCAACATGCAGGTAATCCTTTTTTACAAACCCATAGAAGGATTTTGTTTGATGCTGTCTTTTTTTCCGTAATTGATCAAGGCCCTAGAGATCTCACCTGAGACGATAGTAAGCTGCAGGGGAGTAAATCAGTATCAGCATGTAGGGCAAGAGAGCTAGAATTTCTGTGGAGTAGGACTAGATATCTTCATCTTCTCTTTACCTAGATCTACATATTTTGCTTTAGAATGAGTTAAGTACCTTACCAAGTTTTGAACTATATTACTCCCGGACCATATATCGAACTTAAGTTGCACCTGTCACCTGCCGCCACACAGATTCAGGTTGAAAGTAACGTCGTACTCTTGCAAAATCTGTTTGTGAAACTGGACTTGGTTCCGCAGCATTTAAAAATTGATTAAATACGATTGATTGGGCTGAAACGTCACGATGTAACACCAGCAGGTAGGTGGGCGTGATAGTAGAGGCCATATATACAGAAATCCAATCAATGATTCAAGTCAACCAACAGAAGTGGAACGTATTCATCATCCACTCTAATTTGGATACATCCATTTGTGTTTCTATATGGCTATTTGATTCATCATCTGAGCCTTAGTTATCTCTACTAGTCTCGTATTTCAAGCCTACGACACTCTCAAATCTTGGCCTTCTCAACGGAAACGTATCCTTCAACGGTAGCAAGAATCGAGTCCTCTAGACTAGTCCAGCCAGGCCGACCCATATCCTTCAGAAGCTGCTCCGCCTTGTCGACCGGCTTGATCTCGTTGGCATCGCGTCCACCCGAGAAGTTATCGGGGAACTTCCGGTCGGGATAGTTCTTTCGGAAAATGTCCAGGATCGAATCCCAGTTAAAGTGGCCTGCGAAACCAAATATTCTCTGGTCTTCTAGGTGGCCGAACAGGGCTGTTGCAACATGCAGTCTGCCTGTGTCGTCAACGTCGATGTAGTATTCTGCACGTGAATTAGTCTGCGGTTCTGCTTATTGAAAGGGTTTGAAAACATACGGGGAGCGATGACATTATGTATAGGCGTCGCGTTGCCCTGGAATAGCTGGATAACGTAGCCGGTACTGCTGGGGAATCCCTGGTTGACGGGATCGATAGACCTGCCCCAGTTGAAGTTGGGTAGTACTAGAGCCAGTTAGAAAGAGCAACTTATGTCGGTCCGCCACCATCTTACCGGTATTGACAACCAAGTCAGGCCTCTCGCTGCGATGTTCCTTGTGGTAATCCCAGATAGCCTTCTCAGACTGGTTCTTGCTTGCTGCGTAGACAGCTCCAGCCCTCTCCCTCTCATAGGGGGGGTCTGCCCAAGCCTTCTTGACAGCACCCTCACTCCAGCTGTCCTCGGTGATAGTAGCGCCAGGGGCATTGTGAATGGACACAAGGGCAGCGCTGGATGAGGAGGTGAAGACGAAGCGCTTGACACTTGGAGTGGCGTATGCGGCCTTCAAGGCACCAACGGCACCAGCGATGACACCAGGAATAACGTTGTTGGGGTTAGGATCCATTGACATGATTGAAGCAGTGTGTGCGATCATGGACACATCTGGTTGCGATGTTAGTTCCTGGCCATGGTGTAGGTGAACCCTAAGCTCTGACCTTTGGCGACCTCCTTCATAGCCTCCTCGTCAGTCATATCCGCCAACTTGACAAGCTCGAAATTCCCTTGTCCATACTCGTTGTCGAATGCGGTCGTGAGCCACGAGTTCTTCTCCGGGGACCGAACCGTTCCGCGGACTTTGTAGCCGAATTCAAGGAATTGCTTGGCGACGTGGGAGCCAAGAAGGCCGTTGACTCCAGTGACAAGGACCAAAGAGCCCTTTGGCAGAGCGGGGTTATCGATGGGTGACATTTTGTTGTTAAATGTTTGCGAGAATGAATATGTCAAAACAGAAATGTCTTCTCAGGACACTCGTCAACATTATATACCGCTCTTTGACAATGCGCCACAATGACCCCCGCATTGGCCGTTTGATGCGCGTGGTCCGCAAGTCCGCACCCGCACTTCAGCACTCATACTACGTAGATGTGAATCTAAACGCCGGACATAGTTCCTCTTTTGTCTTGGCGCTGCGGGACCAGAATCACGAATTGTTTCATGATTTATGATTTATAAGCTTCCAACCAACGTGGGCTTTGCATAGCTGAGTCTTATACGAGAGCACAAATTAAATATTCATTTTGCGTATGTTATCTCAGTGAACGCAACTTCATCAACTAGACGTTCGCGATGATTGATGCCCTCTTCAATATTTCAACGAAATAGATTAAGGTTTATTTCAGAAGCCCACGAAAGTTTGTTACCCCCTAGAGGCTACAACAGCAAGAAGAAGAAGAAGCGGATCCCGCGGGCTGCGCATGGATTCCTTCTCAGAGGCCGATCCGCCATACAAAGCGGATTTCTTCTCGGAGTGTCGTGCATACATGGTCGGGTCGATTAATAATCAAACAGATCTCATGAGTCAAGTCGACGTTTTGGTCTGGAAATACCCTAGAATAAGGCAACGATTCATTTTTCAAAGCTTTATGATACCTGTACGGCAAGAGGGGATGAAATTGTGTTCCAGGCTATAGTTTGAATGAACTGGCTTGACCTATCCTTAGGGAGTGGAGGCACAATCCCGTATTTAAGATAGGAATACGTCGAATCCATCATTCGTGACGTCAATATCATTATCAATCAGCCTACTCACCTTCGGTTTCTAAACTCTAAAAACGAAAGTAGCGGTCGGCTTGGTGACGAAGGACAGAAACAGTGATAAGGGAGTACTACAGTATATACTCGGCCCTACATAACATCACGCCGCTTTCCATCATACCCCTACGAGCTTGAGAAAGGTCCCTAGTTAGCTAATACTCTACAGTCTACGGATATAGAGGAACCCGCAGTCTACCACGGTACCCCGACTAAACGGTAGTTTCTTACTCCGCATTTACTTTAGTTCGCTTCCCCAAATGCCCTGGTCCTTCTCCAATTCAACTCACTAGGCCGATTCCCACCTTGCTTAATGTCAGCTGTCTTTCACGACGATAGTCTTATAGGCTCCTCTATCCCAGCGCCACTTTCGTCATATCATGAGCGCGCTGGATCTGCTTCAACAAGGTGGCATGCTCAAGTCCAAGAAACTTGCTGAAAGGGAGGTAGGAGTACCAAGCATACGCTGTTCAATAGGCCATACAAACCAAGGGCCAAGAACAATACTAAGAAAGAGTATTGATTTTGTTGCGTCATTGGCAAATAATAAGCGCCACATATTTGCAGCTAGACAACAGTAGGTATGGTGAGAGCCTTGGAACCTTGGCATGTCACTAGACCGTGGTCATTGACTTTCGATGCTGGATTGAGGCATCAGATCCCTTGATTCTTTTGCCTCATAGAATGTGCGATGGATGGAACCTGTTTGCGTTGGAAGACGATAGTTCAACCATAATATCATGGAGGCTGCAAATCCAACAAGCTGGTCATAATCTGAAAGAAGGAAGTCACAATAAGTCACAATGTTGCAGAGTCAAACAGTACAGCAACGACGTTTGGGGACTTGATTGTAATCTGACAACTCGAGCTAGATTTGCATACTAGATTATTTCCTGTCAAAGGCAGATCAAGAATGTGACAGATCTTTTCCTGCATGATACAGATCGAGCTTGGTCATCCTGACGCTTGTGAGACAGGTTACCACTCAAACTTTACAGAGTGTACATGTAGCGAGGGTTATGCTCGCCCATCTCGTTTATCTCCTCCTCAGTCTTGCCCTCAATTCTCCAGTCTTCTTGACCCGAAAGCTTTCTCTTGTTGAGCTTCTTGAAGTGCAGGTAGACTGCAGTGTGGATGCAGACGGCAAGGACTAGCATGCCGATGGAAGCTCCGTAACCAGGACGGTATGTGGGCTTGTATTTGTCCTCGAAAAGGAATGGGGAAGCGACACCGGCAGAGTTTCCAATAGTGATGAAGATACCACTGGCGAATGCACGCTTACCATATCGTGGCTGGTTGACAGTGATCCAGGCCATACCCGATCCAGAGCCAGTCCACAGTCCAATGGCAACGATGAAGCAGCCTGCGAAACTCATGGCTTGGCTTTGGTTGGCAATAAGAAGGATGTAGCCCAAGATCATAGTCAATCCACCACCGATACAGAAGATACCTCTCTGCTGGATACGATCACTGATCCTCGCGCAGACCAAGTAGGTCACGAAACCAACAGCGTACACGGGGACTGTAAGACCCTGGACCTGCTTGGGACTCCAGTCGCCCATTTCCTTGATGATTGTAGGCAAGAAGACACTGAAACTGTACAGGACCGAGTGACTGCAGAACTGGGCAATTGACAGCGCCCAGATGGTCCAGTCCTTGACTCCGGCCATGACGTCCTCCTTGTGTAGCTCTTGACCAGATGTGGTCTGACCGATCTCGGCAGCCCGGACGTCCAAAAGAGCCTGACGCTCTTCATTGCTGAGAAACTTGGCTGTTTCGGGGGTGTTGGGGAGGATGAAAGGGATCACGAAGGCGGTCAGGACGGTGGGGATACCGTTGATGGTGATGATCCATCGCCAGGCTCGCCATCCTCCAGCACCCTGACCCGGACCATCGTAGTTATCCAATTCACCAATGCCCAGGGCCACGAGACCACCAACGGCACCGGAGATGGCAGAGATGGAGTAGAAGTAGGCGTTGCGAAGGGAGATGTGCTTTTTGTGGTAGAACATGGTGAGATACAGCCTGGCCTTGTTAGTAATGAGCCTTGAGTCACAAGAAAGTTCGACACGTACATAATTCCAGGGAAGAGACCGGCCTCGAAAGTGCCGAGGAGGAGACGGCAGGCTACTAAAGAGCCAAAGCTGCTGACGAATCCGGTGAAGATAGCCACAATACCCCAGAAGAAGACAAGTCCCGCGATGTATCTAGCAGGCTGCATCTTCTTGATGATGAGGTTGGAAGGTGTCTCGAATAACTAGGAGTAGGTTAGTTGTCTGTTTGCTCTAGGCAAAGAGCCGAGAAGTTGAGACTTACACAGTATGTGACGAAGAGAATAGACACAGCGAGTTGGTATTGGTTTGCACTCAGGTTGAGCTCCTCCTCAAGACCATAAAGACGAGCATTACCAATTCCGACTAATGCCGATGTCAGTTGTGGTTATTAAAAGGCAATTGTCGTTGAACTCACCTCGATCCATGAAGTTCATGAGATAGATCCAGCATACACATGGAATGATTCGTCTATCAAGCTTCGTGAGAATACGCTTCTCTGTCTCTTCTGAAACGAAGGGAACGGAGTTCTCGTTGGTAGGGCTATCACTCTGGGTAGCAACGCCCTCCTCCTCCTTGCCAGGGGAGTGGCGATCACTGTTCTTCTCTGAACCTAGAGACATGATGAAGACCTGAGCCTAGGATATCAGGCAAAGATAGAGGATAAGTGGAAGAAAGGTTGGAGGATGGGGAAACCAGAGCAAGACGTGACTGGGGAGCAGAGGACTCCTATTTTATATCCTCACGCATCGTCGTAATGGTTGCAGCGAAAGACCGCGCGGGGTACCAATGCCCAGACATTCTAATCCAGATTACGAAGTGAAACCCGGCCTAAGGGGATGCCCAGACATGCAAGAAACCCCAGACTGCCAAGAGGGAGAGAGAAATCCACAGAGTTAAACACTCGCGGAGAAAGCTGGGGAAAAAAGAAAAAGGGAGGGAGAATCGAGGGGGCGAGCTAAGCTTTGTGGAGAAGGAAATGCTTGGTGCTTGGCCAGGACGGTGATATCAGTCTGGCCAAGCATAGCCAAGACTATAGCCAAGCGCTTAGAGAACAAGCAATCAGTGATGATACCCACCGCCCTTGGGTACGCACGTACGTAACTGGGTTTTTGGAGGTCAGATTAGGCGATATACCCCCGTAAACTTGGCAATACTTGGCGTCTTTGCATACGGAAGTCATAATAACGGATCCCAATCTTGGCGAGTAAGCCTGGTTGGTTGCGTATGTAGTAAGAGAAAGAAATGATGATGTTGGCTTGTCTTGGCTTGTTGACTCGGACAAATGGAATTGAACTCATTTAGGCTAGATGTACAAGACCTTGGCGGTTATTATGCAATCGAATTAAACCATCTTTTTGTTGTCTCATCGGATGGAGGCCTGCGGATCTTGGTCTTTTGCAGCCTGCTCCACGTGTAGAATTATGCTTAAATGACATTTCCCCCTCATCTCGGCCACGTCAATTCCCAGATGGTTCAACTTGGCACGTGGAATTCTCGTGGCTGCTGCCGAGTCTCGTATTGTGACGCGTTGGCAGACAGTGTGACTGTAACCGTAACCGCGGTTTCGGTATTATCTCAATGCACTCGTACTCCGTTGAAGCGAGAGGGTTGCCGATATATATGAGATTCAGTAAAGGCTGTGTGGACGGACTATTGAACCCCCGCTCGGAGAGCCAATACTCCGAGTCATGGAAATCCTTCTTCTCCGCACCAGTGATTCATACCTAACATCTGAGCCTCCAGCGTCATAACCTTTTATCTCCTGAATTGGTGAATATGTACAGACATCAGCGCAATTTCGCCAATGCTAACCTCGTGATGAGAGATGTCTTTGATCTCTAACGGTTCCCGAACAAGCTTTGCAATCCCAGATCATGAACCTGGAGATCGTTAGAGAAAACAACCCCAACGCGGTGGGGGAAACCCCATTGTGGGACACTTGCAGGAGTCACAGTGGAGGTGAATCCATTACGGCCAGTCTGTGCGGCGCCTCTGGCGCTTACAGGGCATTGAGCCTTGGGGTTACAGTTGCCTCCACTAACCAAGGGCGGGGTTGACCGCCTGGAGACGTGAGAGAATTGCGGAGGTTGGTCTCCTCACCAGTGACGAGATCATTCCGATTCAGAGTAAATAAGAACTTCAACCAAGCACGTCCTATTAAAATCACAAAGAAAATTATCGTTTATTTGAACGTTTCAGTATTCCACTCACGTCAAATAAAACCAGATGAAGCGCGCAATATAGCTGCCTAGCAATTAGTCAGATGAGACGAATACCACAACAATCTCCCTTACTCCACAGATTGTTTTAGAGACTCCCAACACACTTAAAGCCATTATATTCTCTGGTGTCTAATTGCCACCGGTAAAATCACGTGTATACCTCGAAGAACAGTGGTGTGCCTGAGCCTATGGTGGATTAGTTCAAGTCCTGTTTGCTACCGGATAACTAGTAGAAGCGTTCGAAGCTTAATCGTGAGTGAAACTACGTAATTTGACCCAGGTTTTGATTTACTAGACTCTCTGAGGAATAATTTATCCAGCTATACTCATCTAGGTTTATATTCCAGAAATCGTCCTTCCTAGCTATGATTAGATGCTCATTCTACCTTTTGAAGACGCTCAAGTGTCAGGAATATGCCCAGATGTCAAATCCATTTATCGATTTGCCTTCTTCGATGTATCTGATACCAGTCATACATATATCAGATATTGAGCTCACTTAGATTGTTCTGCCTCTTACATTGTGGAAAGACATCGGTTGTGAGTTGTTGGAGTGATGTCCGGGAAGCTGATAGAGAATCAAGTATCATTCAATTCTCACGAAGTGGGCCATCTTCTATCCAATTTAAATTCAAGCCTTGAGCAGACTCCTTGTGGGACGCAACTTCAATCAACTTGAGCCATAGTCGTTGTGTGAAACAGGTACACCGTTCATGGTGTGCTTATCGCTTAATAGATAGAGCCTCTTCACAGCACTCCCCTTTTCCCTCGCCATCGCTTCCTCTTTCGAAGACAAACACCTTGCACCTCCAATACCTTCCACGCACTATGGCATGCGTGTTTGGAACTGTCTAGTTTGTATCTTGTTATATTGCTAGATTATTGGCGAGTCTCCATATTGGCGTGAAATCCTCCATGATATTCACTCCAATGGCACAATTAAGAATTCAACCTAGATTCGTCACGGCTAACATCAACCTGAACCTACTCGATTGCCGGTCCGGATCTAGGTTCTCTTCAATGCCCACTTATCGGATGAGAAATTACACATGACGAGTTGAGACACTTGCTAGCGCGATGCGTTGTTTGAGCTTTACCTTTGAAGGCAAGAGGGGAACCGCGTTTTATAACCTCCAAAGGTAAGGCCTCGGTGACTTTTTCCCTCTTCACGCGAGATATTTGAGTTTCCGGCTTCACTTGGTTAAAATGAAAGAGAAGATCTCAAAACCGGCCCGGTCTGAGTTTCTTATCTCACATTCATTCTGTCATTGGAAGGCGCATAAATAACAGTCAATTGGTGCGACGTCCCACCGATTAACTCACATCAACCCCTCACCTTGTGTATTTCTTCAGCTTCAAAATTCGTTGACGACAACTTTACCAGGAGAGATTTGCAAGATTTACAAGTATTTGCAACATTTACTTACCTAGAACCACTTTATCGCAACAATGACTACCATTCCCCATCCTTTTGACCCTCTGAGGCCAGAAGAGATTTCGAGGGTAAGCCTGTCGATTACGCCAAATTCTCTCTCCTTAGTAACGACGAAAGACTAAACGATGTTCAGGCTTCTCGTATCGCGCGCCCTCACTTCGGAAATCGAGACCTCAATTTCCGAGTCATCACTCTTCTTGAGCCAAGCAAGAAAGAAATGATCATTTTCCTTGAGAAGGAGCAACTTGGACAACATATAGAGCACATCCCAACACGCTGCGCTAGAATCGAGGTTTCTATCAAAGGAGAAACTAGCGGCAATCAACTTTTCGAGCTGATCGTTGATCTTGATCGCGACACTGTTGTCAGGAAAGAGCACGTGGAAGGAAAGCATTCTTACATCGATACCGATTACATGAAGGCTGTTGAGAAAGCTTGTCTTGCTAATGAGGAGGTTCAAGCTGAGATTCGTTCTCTCGATCTACCCTCCGGGGCTACGGTCGTCGTAGAGCCGTGGGCGTATGCGACGGATGGGATGAATGATATGACTGATCGAGTCAGCATGGTGGGTCATTTTATGCCGTGTAATAGTCCGTCTGCTGTACTAACCTCGAACAGTGCTGGTTTTACCTAAGACTGTTAGACAACCCCGATGCAAACTATTATGCCTATCCCTTGGATATTTGTGCCGAGGTATCTGAGTCTCTTCAGGTCACAAAAGTCTACCGCTTACCAACCACACCACACGAGAGGATCAACAATGAAAAGAAGCCTTTCGACCATCGGAGGATTCATTCCACGACTGCAAGCGAATATCACCCTGATCTGAGACCCAACCCCCGAACCACCACCAAACCATACCAGGTAGTCCAGCCGGAAGGTCCGTCTTTCCACATTCAAGGCAACCATGTCGAATGGGAGAAGTGGGATCTTCGTGTCGGCTTCAACTACCGAGAGGGCCTTACGCTTCATAACATTCGATACGATGGGCGGAGTCTCTTCTACCGTCTGTCACTGGCAGAAATGTTTGTTCCATATGGAGACCCACGATCCCCATATCCGCGGAAGGGTGCATTTGACCTTGGTAATGATGGTGCTGGGATCAATGCCAACAACCTACAGCTTGGCTGCGACTGTTTGGGAACCATCAAGTACTTCAGTGCGTACCATAACACGCCATGTGGTGAGCCTATGGAACTGCCGAACGTTGTATGCTGCCATGAACAAGACGACGGTATCCTCTGGAAGCACACCAACTTCCGAACGAATACTCCTGTCGTGACACGCTCTCGCATTCTTATTCTACAGACTATCATCACTGTCAGTAACTACGAGTACATCTTTGCGTGGCACTTCTGTCAGGATGCTTCAATCTTTTATGAGGTTCGGGCTACGGGGATTCTATCGACTGCACCAACTTCAATTGATCACAAGGATACGTACCCCTACGGCACTGTCGTGGCACCTGGTGTTTTGGCCCCGTATCATCAACATCTTTTCAGTCTTCGCATCGATCCTGCAATTGACGGCCATACTAACACCCTTGTGGTTGAAGAGTCAAAGGCACTGCCTATGGATGACCCAGAGATCCACAATCCTTTCGGGGTGGGTTATGTTACAGAGAGCCAAACGATTGTGGAAGAAGGCGGGTTCGATCTCGACTTCACGAAAGCGCGTACGTTCAAGTTCGTCAACGAGAACAAGATCAACCCAATTACTGGCACGCCTGTCGGGTTCAAGCTCATGCCCTTCTACAGCCAAATGCTTCTCGCGCACCCTAGTTCATTCCATGCAAAGCGCTCCGAATTTGCCGAGCATGCGGTATGGGTGACAAGGCATGAAGATAACGATCATTTCCCTGCCGGCAAATACACGATGCAATCATCTGGCGGCGATGGACTGGCTTCTGTTATTGCCAAGCGTCGAAGTACTGGTACAGCTCAATCTGTAAGGAACGAGGACATTGTCATTTGGCATACTTTTGGCTCAACGCATAATCCGCGGATCGAAGACTGGCCTGTGATGCCGAGTGAGAAGCTCGTGGTGGGTCTCAAGCCGGTCAATTTCTTCTCGGGGAATCCAGGCTTGGATGTTGCTCCCTCGACACAGGAGCAGAACAAGAGCGTGCTATATGCAGGGGAGGATGTTGAAGGCTCCTCATGCTGCGCCACCAAAACGTGAAGAAGGGTGATGCTGGTGGTGTAATGTGACGGTTTAAAATGAGGTGGCTGGGGTGGATGACAAGTGTGAAAAACGAGTCACGTCCAACTTTCACTACCCTAGAGCTGGATTGATACCATCTTGCAAACACATTCCGTTCGATATCCGGCTGTCTACGGAGTACAAGATCAAGATTGGGGGAGATAAAGATTTTCACACAATAGATATACTTTCCTACGTAGTATGGTAATTCATCACTATCTTCTACTAATTAAAATAAAATAAAAAGAGCCTCAGCAAAAATTTGCATCATTTCCTAGAAAGCATTGTTGGCTACACGCTTTCTCCCACAAACTCTTCTGTCAATTGTTGAAAGACTTGATGGACCGGAAAAACCGAATACTAGCCTTAGACAAGACATTCCACCAATAAGAATATACAAAATGGACAACGCGAAGCTCAAAGCAAGGGACACTGCGAATAGAACGAAGCAATTATCAAATGATATCCCTAGTGAACGCTCACAGGCACCGTGCACCCTCGCTAGCCAGCCTCGTCGTCCACTGAAAACTCTGCTTTTCACCGAGTTTCGCACCGAGAGAACTTCACCTTAGTAAGCGAAAAATCCATCGGCCAGTGCTCCACACCAACTGTGTATAAAAGTCTGCTCTGCCGCCGGCCATTTGGACTTTTCTTCTTTTCTTCTTCATGTCGACAATACTTCAGAGAATCATTTCTATAGTATTCGACCTTCTCTTGGTTCCCTAAAAGAGCCACAGATCCCACCCTGGTTGATGAATGCATATCCTCGATGCCCTAGAGTGAATACCTTTTTGGTCCTCTCGATCTGTCCGCAAGGATGGCGGTGACTGCCTCGTGCGGTTGCTGTATAGAGAGATGTTACTCTTGATGATCTCGGCCCTGACAACGGTCTTGCCTTCGGGCGCGCTGTCGGGGCGGGCATTGATGGACGTCTGACAGGCTTTTTTTTCGTTGCTTTCTGAGGCTTGCCTTGGTTGTGAGGAAGAATTTTGTGAAATGCGCTTTTGCATACGTGTAGCTCGACAAAACCATACTTAAACTCTTGTTCAATATTTCTCGTGTGAACTCATCTGAAAATTGGTGTGACGGCACATCGACCGGTGGTTATTCTTCTAGCCGTTCATTCAAGTACGCCATCCTGATCTCATGTAATTTTACCAATCTCATTGAGATGGATGAATGCTACATACCTAATGAAAGACATGTCAGATTGTGCAAGACACAAGTGTTAGACATCAAGTGTGGGTGGAGAAAATGTGCAGCGATGGAAAGAGCAAAAATAAATGTCCAGTCAGAATTCGTTTCCTCAAGACTACCCACTGGTGATGGCTTCAAGTATACTCCGTACTGTATTCACACTACAATCCCCCTCAAGATCGACTTACGACCCTAATGCTATGATCTGTTGTTCATAATACATCTACAAGTTTCTGAGTCAATGAAAATTGGCATATCTTTCTTCTGCTAAAAGTATGCAGGTCACTTGTACTATGTCGAGCTATTGAAAGGGTTTGCTCATATAGTTGTTTTGATCCTCGTTGATCAATTATGGTTTATATGGATAGCAAGACTCTTTGTGAAGAATAGTGTGTCTAATCATGCCTCTTGATAAAGAAGCATGCTACTCTATTGTGATGATTTATGGAAAGCGAACAAATGGTGCCACGTAAGTAGTCATGTACACACCCTTTTTCTTAGAGAAGTTGAATGATATGAACGTATGGACCTTTGGAGTCTCCTTCGTAGTATCAACAACATCACTGCCACTACAATCATTAGTACGCCGACACTTTGTGATAGAGACTTCAACTTACTATGCGTCAGAAACAATCTTGCCATAAGCTCCCTCAACACCCCAAGCCCAGCCTCGCTTTCGGAAGACCTCCTCCATGGCTTCAACAACCTCTTTATCGTTCTTGAAATACTGATTCAATGGTACATAAACCTTCACTTCCGGCATGTCTTGCCCAGGCTTGAGTTCCCAGCTGAAGCAGGCGCCACTTGTACCAGGTTTCTTTTCCAAGATTTCTTTGGAGAACTTATCATCGATCTCCCTGTCTTCAGGCTCGTTGATAAGCAAGTTCCACATATCATGTAGAATGGCTAGACCATCCAATGTCGTCTTGTCTGTTCGTTTGCCGCCCAAGGTGACGTGCTCTTGTACTGCTTCCCACGTGTTGGATTGCGGTTCGATGTAGATCTTGACTCGTGCACCTTCTTCTGGACTCACGCAGTCTATTCCGATAACAACAGTTAATGGTGGATCTTGGTACAGCCTTTTCTGATACCCCTCAATGATGTCTAGTGCAGGCCCAAAAGAGGCACCAAGGGGCTCAAGTCGTCGGATGAGATCGAAGCCAGCTCTATCGGAGTTCTTTTTGGAGGTCATGTACTTGATGACAGGATAGAAATATGCCTTCATGATTTGCTTGTCCTCCTTGAGATCAAAGGCTAGAAAGACTTTGGGTATGCGAATAGTGTCCTCTGGCATCTTTTCCGCCAAAACCGCAGCATCTTCCTCCGAGGGAAAGAACTCGTCTGCAAACTGGTTGAACCATTGTAAATCTGCACCAACTCTTTCAGCAATTTTTGGGATAGGGTTTTCAGTGAGACCATCGGACCCAGGGAATACTGGCTCATAGCAAAAACGCACATATGATTTACCGCTATCGCTATTGTTAAGACTGGTTTCGAATGGCGAACCGTTGGGTGTAAGAAGAGATCTCGCGCGAGATTTTACCGGCGCTCGTCCCATAGTAGGAATAATGTAGTTGTCAAGGAAGTCCAGGTGGGAAGCTTGTTGCTCGAGAGTGTAGTCTCCGACGGATTTGAGGAGAGATGTGAGCACCGGCTTGGTGTGGTTTGTCCAAAAAGCTATGCCATCTTCTTTGGCTTTGGCAGCTGAACTGTCGCTGCTTCAAGAGTTTAGCATGAATCTGAAATAAGGGAATGTGCCATACCCTCTCTCAACTGCGTCTTGCAGTACCTCTCCGCGCTGTAACTCTTGGGGGGGATCCCTCTGAGCAGGATGCATGGGTTTCAGCACGTCCGGTGCTGATGCCATATTGTACAAAGCTGTGGAAAATTCAGTGCTAGACTTGTCCAGAATCCTCAATGCTTATTATTTAAAAATAGGAAGCTAACAACTGTCGAGACGATCCAAGCAGAGAGAGCCGTGGAGGTTAATAAGTGAACAGCGGGGTCACTGAATAACCCTTGCCATACACACCAGGCATCAGCGAAGTTAGACTAACTGATTGACACAATACACAGCCACGCGCTTTCTTAGCCCGCTAACCTACAAAGTGACACCAAAACAGAGGAACGCCTTTCTCAACTGTCTTCTCGGCTTCAATTAAATACTAGTCCGAAAACTATTGAGTGTCGACATGATGGATCACTTTAACAAGCGATTCACCACCCACGATGGTGACACTTACGCCTACGATTACATCCCCGCAAGTGACGAAAAAGACACTTTTCTTTTCATCCATGGATGTCCATCTTCACGTTACGACTGGCGACATCAAATTGCAGACCTTTCAGAAGCCGGCTATGGAGTCATTGCTCCGGATTGTCTTGGTTACGGCGAGTCTGACAAGCGTGTCGACCTTGAGGCCTACAACTTGAAGCGCCTAAGCGGACACTTCGCAGAGTTGCTAGACTATGAAAACATAAACAGGGTCATTGGCGTCTCACATGACTGGGGTTCTATGGTCATGTCTCGAGTTGCCGTGTGGCATCCAGACAGATTTATCAAGCTGGTTTTTATGTCGGCCGGCTATACCGCTCCTGGGGTGTTCTTCGACATCGATGGTCTGAACGTCTGGAGTCAAAAGGAACTTGGGTATATGCAATTGGGCTACTGGTACTTCTTCAACTCATATGATGCCGAACGTGTTATTCTTGACAATGTAAGTGATCTATTCTATGATATCTGACACCCAAATAACAGCAAATTCTAGCTTGAGTCGTTCTTCCATCTGGCATACGCTGATGACAGTAAGCTCTGGGTGACAGGGCTTGCCGCAATCAACGGCACTCGCGAGTGGCTGACGTCTGGCAAAACTCGCCCACTACCTCCATTTCTTACTGAAGAAGACAAATCCCGATGGCTTGAGGTCAACAGCCGAAAGGACACAATCAAGGGGTTTCTCAACTACTACCGCTCGCTGATGCGAGGTATCCAGGCAGATGACGAAGAGCCATTGACGGATGAACAGCGCACACTCAAGGTTCCTGTGCTTGGCATCTGCGGTGGTGCAGATATGGTTACGAGGGCGGATCAGATTGGGAGGGGTATCATGCCATATGCGAGCAAAGGCTACACTGAAGTGGTTCTCGAGGGTGCAGGGCACTGGATCATGCTCGAGAGACGTGCCGAGGTGACAAAGGCTCTGCTGGATTTTGTCCGTGAAAAGCAGTGATTTGATAGGGTTACACTACATGCTCCCATTGCGTAGGAATCAGCCAAGGAGGCATAAGCGGGCATTTACCCAAGTACCAAAGAAACTTGGAATTTGGTCTGCGAGGTGGTATGCCCGCTGACGGAATCCAACTTTGAAGGATCTGACTGTTGTGTGCATATCCATATTTGAAGTTCTGGACTTGGCGACTTGGATTTAGTGCGACCTTCGTGAGGGGCTAAAGAAAGCACGACACAGGAATAGGTTGGAGATCGGCGGGCTTGGGTGTAAGTCTGCATCGTGTTTTCTTTGGCGCCGGCCTTCCAAGGTTTTTAAACTGCTGCCTTGTGGTCTGCGGGGTTCAGGATCCAAGACCTTGTCTTTCTGCAAGGTTGACGGAGTTTATCTCTGCGGGGTTGAATCATGATAGAGGGGATTTGAGGGGGCGGGGCCTGCGGAGAAGCGAGTCTAGCATTGTGGGATGAAGGATTGGGACTGCATTGCATAGAGGATTAATTGAATTTACGTGTGTTCCCAAACATTGCGGCATTTAGGCGCAGTTCGAAATGACACCCAATTTTCTTGATTCCAACTGAAAGGTACTTCTCAGATACAAAGTGATTACCTTGTATACATACAACCTTGCCTTTAGGTAGCTACCACATCATAGGATTTGGTAGAATCTACAACTTCTTGTCTCACTATTGATAACCCTGGATTAGGCAACTTTTGAGTTTGATATAGCATTGAGAAATAGAGATTAGAAGCTACGGTATGCCCTTTCAGGCATGGTCTCTCTTCCTCAAAGTGATGAGCACCCGACCACAAGGCTCATCAATTGTCACTTTGCGAACATTCTCAGGCCTCTCCTCCAACCTCTCGAAATCGTAATCCAGAAGTAGATGGGTCAGCGTAAGCTTGAGTAGATTACTGGTAAAGAACCGCCCAGGGCAAGCCCCTCTTCCAAGACCAAAATTCAGAAAATCTGGAGAGATGTCCGTCATCTTGGGATGTTCCGGGTCTGTCAATGATCGGCGAGGATTGAACCCCCCTGGATACACCCTCTCATCACGCTGGTAGGCTTTGATCGGCGCTGCAAGGATTGCGCCTTGCGGCACGTGGATGCCGTTGGAGAAAGTGAAGCCACCCTTTTTGCCAACGGCTCGCTCAATGCCGGTCTCCCCAATTGGGTTGAAGCGGATACTTTCCCTGATAAGAGAATCCATAAGCGGCAGTCTCTGGAAGAACTCATGTGAAAAGGCGTCGCCCTTGTTGATTTCCCTATTGATTTCCGCCCGCAGATCGCTGATCGTATCCTCAAAGTCCCCTTCTGGCAGGGAGATGAGGTCATATATCAGATTGGTCATGGTGACAAGGTTGGTGTAAGACTGTACAAAGTTCAGAACCATCATTCTGGCTACAATGACCATTGGCTCGTACTCCGATGGGCCGTTAGGATCTTTCTTGGCTGCTAAGATGATTGCGCTCAGCATGTCATTCTGTAACTAGATGTCAGCTGCCGATCTTAGCTCATATGTGGACGTACTTACCGGTAGATCCGGTTCAATGTCTTTCTCCTCAGCGGTGTCAATAATAGCCATGCGTTCCTTGAGAACAGGCGTCGCATGCTTTGCAGCTGTCTCGATGCAGCGCATTAGCGGCCGACACATGTAGGGCAACAAGAGCCTGAAGGTCTGTCAGCGGCTTATCTCCACCAGTACTCGAGCCTATGGGTACTTACGGGCGAAGAAACGGCGGGATGAACCGTGCGTACAGGGCTGACGCGAAGAATGTGGCAGCATACTCAGCAGTGGCATCTCGGTACTCCTTGTTGTCACACAGAGGCTGGCCTGAGATGATGCGGTTTGCAGATCTGCTAAGAATGGCGCTTGCAGTATCCCACATGTTGATCTTTACCACTCCATTGGAATCGACCTTTGAGGCAATATTGTCGTCAAGAGCAGCTTTCATCTCTTCATCCACCATTCCCATCTTGTCTGAGAGCTTCTGGTAAAGCTCTCGGTGGACAACGTTTCTGTAAACGGGGTGGATCACAATATGAGCTCCCAGGGTGGTGTAGTCTGGGACCAGCGCCTGGAGAGTGTATCTCTTGAGAGAGATGTCATTTTCAGGCTGTTTGACGTATTCATTAAGAAGTTGCTTCGGTACCATAAGCATAAAGCCAGTGCTGCAGTGGGGAATAGGAACAAGTTGGATTCCGCCATGGCCAGCTTCGAGTATCTGTTTTCGTCAATGAATTGTGGAGAAAATATGAGCTCTGTAGAAGTTACCTTACGGTGGGTGTTCTTAAAATACTCTCTCGACTTGAAAGCAACCTCATATGTCGCCTTGAGAAATATGCCAACACCTCGATTACCACCAGCCCAGCTGAATTCCTGGTAGTCTTTCGAAAGGGCAGCCTGCAGCGCAGGTTGCATGAGATGCAACAGCCATGCTGCTGTGGTTCCAACGATTGTATAGACTATAATTCGGGGCAAAAATGCCTGAAGTCCTGTTGCGAGATCAAGAGCCATTGCTAAACGAAATGTGAGATAATGCAATAATTAGGGTGGAGGTTACAAGTCGCAGTGGGCTCGCCAAAGTGACTTATGAGGTCCGAGGAGGAAGGATTCTTAGCACTTCGCAAACGCCCCTCATCTGCACCCCCACGGGAATGATGTAAAGGTGTAATGGGAAGGATCCAACCTCAAACTCTCAACTATCCAATGATCTGTCGGAGAATTCTGCCGCCTGATGGGAGTGAGATTTGGTTCTGCAAGTAACTCTGTAGGAGCCCTAGTTGGGAATTTGATCGACTGGTAACAAAGCTTGGCGTCATACTCCAAAGCTAGGGTTGGGTAGTCGTCTAGCGTGTGAGAAACTGGACTTTGTTTGTCATTTTACCTTGGTACTTGGAAGGTACCTGAGTTCGGGATAGCCCAAGAGAGAGCCGAAGAGGAGGTAATGGCGTTGGCGGGATGGGTCGCGAGTCACGCTTTCGAGGACAGTGAATGGGAGGAAATCCTTGGCCTGATGCGATGCTGTGTACTAAGTGAGTAGGATTGAGCTTAGGATGACGGTGTGCCACTTCATAATATTGCGGCTTCGCCAAGTTCGTGTAAAGTGAGGGTGTGGTAATAGGCAATGTAACGGCTAGCTTGATGCTTTTGTGACCAGGATTTTTACATGTAGTTTTATGCTCGTCAGTGCCCGTAGATACAAGGCATCTTCAAAATTCTACTATTCATCTTTGTTATTGCCTTGAAATCTGGAATGTCGCGCAAAAACACTTTCTACAGCCTGGGCTTGATGCCCGCACTGATGGGCGTAGGCCACCTGGCCCCAGCAATAGGGGCTATTCAGGCCATAACTGGTTCGTACCAGTTCCCTGTTAAGCTTCTTGGACTCATAGGAGCCCTTTCTGCTATCGTCGACTGTAAGTGGAGTTTCCTACTGTACTCTCTATATGCAAGGCAGTTACTGACATCTCTAGCTATGGATACATACAAAGACCTATCACCATCAGACAGACCTTCCAAATTGATATGGAATATTTGGGTCTACGGTGTTTGGTCTATAGTACTTGCTTGTACTCTCATGTTGGATCTGAAAACTGTTTATGATATCTATCGTGTCCTCCCCCTTGGCTTGCTTTGGGGCATCCCCTGCGTCCCTGCATACACAGCGACGAAAGGATGGATCTTGAGCAAGCCGAAAACATTGGTGAGTGTATGATTGTACTACAATTCAAAGGAATTTGGGCTAATTATTCAGCTTTTCGAAGCCAAGTCTTTGGTGGTAGCATTTTGTATGGCTACCGTCACGGCCGATTCGAGTATAAGTTACTACTGCCGACAAGACAACGTCCAATGCCACGATAAAGACCTACGTATGCGAATATTCTACCTCGCTGTGCTGTACCAGTTCTTCCGCGAAACATCATGCGATGTAAGGGACATTCCAGAAGATACGAAGGAAGGACTCAAGACGCTCCCTGTCAAGCTCGGCAAGCAAAATACAATGCTTCTCCTGGCGTCGGTGGGATTTTTAGTTGAGGCTATCTTGACGCATGGAATTGATATTGACATGAATGGGATCACAATACGATCTCTACAGTTAACTTATTCTCTGCTACGGGTCGGACTGACCATAGCGGCTTACTGGCAAATCCTGAGGTTTCCCAGACAGAATTCATGGGCTTGGGGATCTATGTCGCTTTTTGGTCTTGCACCAGTATTGCTAGCTCAAGCTGCCCTAGGAAGCTGATGCATCACATGGTGAGATGAGTATAAATATTGAGAAAAAGACGTGAACGGTTGAAGTAGAGTGGGTGGTCACTGTGGATTTAGATAACGGGGTGGCACTCCAACATAACAAACTAGATAGATATGACATACTACCCAAAACTTGTCCCTATTGAAACTTTTCTAGATACTCCATTAAATGTGACCACATTTCCGCCGGCAAAGAATTTGAAAACCAGGTGTTCCCTTCGTAATCTTTGCCCACAACCACAAACACGCTTGATATGACCGAGACCGTGTTGTGTGATGGATCAGACGCTTGATAGTAGACAGGATGTCCACGTCTCCCTTTTCTGGTTTCGGCTGCAGCCGGCCGTGCAATCGCAGGGCTAAAGTCAAGTTTCTCAGCAAGGTTCCCTTTTGTCCAATTCGACATGAACTGGGCAGTCATATCTACGCCACCGAAAATAACTGGCATCTCCATAGCCTTCATTGAATCCACAGAGAGAGCTGTTGTAATCTTGAGTTGCTCTTCAGTGGTCTGTGTCTGTATTGTCTGTCGTACCAGAAGCGCGAGCTTCCCTATAGGCATGTCCACGACCTCGTTGGCGCGACAAAAGTAGAAGATATTAGTCGGGGAGTTTTGGACGTAAGCTACGTCTGGTGAGAATACGGACTTTACTCGACTGCGAGGGTCAACTGCCATGATATTCAACAATTCATCTTGGGAGCCCTCGCCTTGGTACTTTGCCAGTGTTTGGCATGCAATAGCTGTGAACACATCTCCTTCGCTGATAAATGGCATTGCGTTTTGCGTTTCTTCCCTTGTAAGATGGCCTTTCGCTTCCTGCATCATCTTGTCCAGGGCGTGTCTCGGGATACACAATGTTCGAGATTGGATATCAGAACATTGCTGCGACGCGGATAGGCTACGTGTACCCCATTCGTAAAATTTCCCGCGGTCGAGAATTCTGTCTGCGAGGACGTGACGTTCCTCTGGTGCAGACTTGAGCATGTCGTGAAAAATATCTTGACGGTATCCCGCCATAGGAGCAACATTCTCAGACTTCCCAGCGAGAACCAGGCTCCAGGCTTCAAAGATAGAGGCCAAGCCCATCAAGTCAGTCGATACATGGGAGTGGGTGATGGAAACGAGAGTGCCATCTGTGAAAGTGTGAACATGTAGACAGAACTGGGGTGCATCGCTATTGACATAGCCGTCCATGTTCTTTGGGGTTTTTGAGCTAAGTCCAAGAGAACATAATTCTTTCGGCCCGGGATAGGTACTAATCTTGCCATTTGGTTCAGGCAATTTGGATGCTAAGGGATGTTCAGACAATGGAATATCATGGTTCTCTTGAGTGAACAACACAGCCGGGCGTTCTTCTGTGAATTTCTCAGGAACGTGTATCTCAAGACCTCCATCTGGCTGCTACGCATTAGGGCTGCTCAGAAAAACTCTCTGATCAACGCACCTTCATTCTGAACCTTCCGCCCAATCTCCTCCAGCCACTCATACCGAAGAGTTCCGACAGAGCATCGCACAACTTTTGAGGATTCATAACATCCTCAAATCGGAATGTCCATACTAACACTATCCCACGAGCTGCTGTAGAGTCGTCGAAAAGATGCACCGGGATGACATCATCTGACTTGACAGTTTCTGGCACCTGTGGTTCTTCTTTGTCCTCAGAGGGCGGGCAGCTCGAAAGACCAGACATTGTGACTTTCTGATGCGTAGGGATTAGAGGCAAGATTATTGATGACGGAAATGGAAACTGAAGGCCTTTCTGTCAATGGAGTGCGAAATGCGCTGCGGGTTGGAGTTACAGCAGGATTACAAACCCTGTTCCTACAGCGGAGTCGCTGGTGTCCCCCAGCAAGGCAGCAGTTTTAAAACTGATCATCAATCTGTAAAACAAAGCGCCCAATATGCGAGATTTGTTTCTCGCAAGATAGATCTGCATTAAGTAGGCCTGTATCGATCCGATGATATCCCTCTTTCAGCCAACCCCGAGGGTGATGATTGAGCAAGATGCATGAAGGATTTGGAGGCGGCTAACAGGCAATAGGCCTCATATAATAACCCTGTAAGTTGCCCGTACATGCCGCACACCAAATATCCTTCTAGACCCCGCTTATCCGTCATGTTCGCCAGACTCATCTTTGTCACTGCGTTGCTCATTGTATCCCTTGCCTATTTCCTGTCCGGCGACACCGCATCACAGCGCGAGCCATATATCCAGGGCAGAAACAAAACTGTCCTCTTTATCACGAATAGCGAGCATGGCTTATCAAATGTCCACCTTGCAACTGCATCAGCGCTATTGGAGAACTACTCGGACATAGAAGTCCATTTTGCGTCTTTTCCAAGTATCAAGCAGAAGTTGGATAAAATTTTGTCGTTCGCAAGACGTCAATCTCTCGGCGTGAGGGATATTACTTTTCATGGTCTAACTGGATTGACCTTTGCACAAGCAATTGTTAAAGAAGGACGAAGCTTTATCTCTCCCCCAGGCTGGAGAGGTATTGCCTCCCTAGCAGAGCATATACAGCTGTGGATATCTCCATGGACGTTTGAGGATCATGTTTATTTATATGAAGAGCTTAGTAGTATCATTAATGATGTGGATCCAGCAGTCGTTGTCCTGGATAGTTGGTTTCGGCCAGCAATTGATGTTACGCGCAAGAAAAACCGACAGCATGCTTTCGTCACCCCGAACACCCTTATAGATCATTTCTTGGGATTGCAACCTCTCTGGGTCAGACTGTGGAAGTATCCCGCGTAAGTTGTCTTCTTCCTTGCCTTGAGAAAGGTAAATGCTCACAATGCCAGTCCTTCTTCAGGGTTTAGCTTCCCTGTTCCTCTCAGAAACCTCCCAGAAAACATATATATGAACGCTCGTTACATCTACAGCGCCATGTTTACTCCTGATGCATCCACGAAAAGGGCTCGGCTGAGGGAATTTGGGTTGCAAGAGCCACTGAATCTGTTCGGGATGCATCGCCCAGATGTTCCCTGGATCACGCAGAATACTGAAGGTGCTATGATACCAGTGGATTATGTCCCTCCTAATGTTACCTGCGTTGGCCCGATACTCCTCTCGGGTGCTTCGGCTGCAGAACAAGACCCCGAAACCGCGGCTTGGATGAAGAGATCGCCTACTGTTCTTATCAATCTTGGTAGTAATCTCGCCGTAAGAAGAAAGCTCTGGAAACACCATTGATGAAGCTAATCTTTCTTAGTATGATGAGACTAGGGCAACAATTATGTCGCTGGCTATAACGGAGTTGCTCTCCAGGACCGGAGTTCAAGTACTTTGGAAGTTCAACAAGCTGGGCGAGTACCCGGACGCTTTCATGGAAACATTAATACCGCACCTTGAAAGTAAAAGACTCAAGATGCCGAATTGGCTTAGAGCAGACCCATCATCACTTCTCGAAACAGGAGATATCATCGTTTCAGTGCACCATGGCGGATCAAACTGCTACCATGAAGCAATCGCGTAGGTATCTCAAATCTGTACATGTCTTTGTACTTGCTAAATACTATGTAGGGCTGGTATTCCACATGTGATACTTCCCCTCTGGGCCGACCTCTACAGCTACGCTGCTCTAGCGGAAACGAGTGGCGTGGGTGTATGGGGCTGTAAGGATACGACACCAGACTGGACAAGTCAATGCTTGACTGCAGTCTTTCTTGAGGTCGTGGAAGCGGATCACGGCGGTGCCTTGAAGAAAGTTGCGGAACAGTTAGGTGAGAGGGTGCAAACGGCCAGGAAGGGGAGGGATATTGCAGCGGATGAGGTTGCCAAGCTGGCATATGTGCTATAACCCGAAAGGTTTAGAGAGGCTTCAGTAATCAACCGGGCGTTTTTCGAAGAGTGGTATCCTTGATTCAAGCATCGGCCATAGAATCTAAAAAGCGAGAGGCTCTATCATAGGTAATATGAGAAATTCCATTGGGACAGAAATTGCTTGAGCTGCTCGTTTAATCGTCCTAAATTCTCAAACTCTTTTCATTTACACGAGATGAGAAGTAACGAATAAGTTTCTTGACAACTCAAATACCGTTTTTTACCCTGCAACCTTGCTTTCTAAACTATCGAGTCGACCCCAAGGAAACCTTCCTACCAGGGATTCACATACTTGACAAAGTGTTGATCCGTCGTAGCTCACAAGAATAAGGTATCCTCAGTCCCCAGCAAGAACAGTATGGGTAGTGCCGAGCCAATGGGCCAGCTAATGCTAAAGCACCAATAGCAACGATCCAGCTGGCAGCCGTGAAGCCATCTCCCATCCGGTTAAAGCGAAGGGTGTAGTATATGCCGAGGCTAGCACTTCCAGAGATGATGAGAAACATCAGGAAGCATATTATATAGCATGGTCGTATATTACAGACACCGGTTGGGCGATAAAGTGTTGGTAGAAGTGATGACGCGCTTGGTGTTGCGTTTGCCGTTGTTATGGAGTTTTTCGGTCTCGGGGAATGCGATCTTGTGTATGGCCTCGTTGTGGTAGGAGGCAGCTTTCGAAGGCGAGGTGCTCCACCATTGTTTGATAATCTCACTGTCTCAACACCTGCGCTTGCCAAGGCTTTTATCTTAGAAGCGCTGTAGTGAGATGTTTGATGACGCCTCAAATCTAGGCATGGTTAGCGTTGACATCATAATACCAGAATAATTTCTTACATATGCTAGCTATCGAAGCACTTAAGTCAATAATAAACTTTTCAACCGCTGGGTCTCCAGCTTCATTGAGCTTAGTTGTATCTATGTGGTTGCCATAGCTTGGAATGTTATGGCACATATGAAGTCCAGCCGAATTGGTCGAATCGGCGAAGGGAAGCAGTTGAGTTGACTGCATTTCAAACTCAAAGGGCACGTATGTTTCCTGATATTCTCCACCCCGAGTTCTTATCAAAGAGGCGAATACCGCTTGAAATCTATCAAACATCCCATAGTGAGCTAGCTGCAAAGCCCAGAAAGAACCCCTTGCGAGAGTCACCTCTGCCTCAGTTTCGTTGGATGTGCCCAAATGAATGACTCTCTCTAGACATTGATAAACACTTCGGATTAGATTATCGCGGCTCCCATGGGAGAATATCATGGCGTACTTGCAGATCAGGTCACCTAGCCCTCGAGCCACGAATATCAGAGGGTTAGATGACGCATCTGCAGAAAGTCGATTTTCTATTAGTTCGGTAAGGAGACTCAATGCATGATCAACGAAGATATTTGGCGATGCTTGCGAGTATGACTTGTGGTGCGTGTTGTATCCAAACGTGAGTATGCGAGTCTTCTGCAGCCTTAAAGCTAGGAGCGTCTTGGACGAAAAGCCCGACTGTGCTCTCACTGCCCACGCACTTGTGCGATTTCCAGCCAAGCCATGCACGTAACATATGTCGACTATAGCATCCGGTTCATTGTGGATAACTTCAATACCCTCTGGAAATTCTGACCAAGTGGTCTGTTCTGGTAGGGTACTGGTGAAAGAGAGACCAGGAATATTTATATCGGCTTGCTGGTGGGCGGTGGGATTCAGTGACATAGGCGGCCCGCACTGAGCTGCGAGTTTCTTCGTGGTCTTCGTAGTCATCCTATCGGACTGTGTATAGTTATGAGGAGCCGTAAAATGTTCAGAATAGAAGCAGGTAAGCTGCTACCTTCTAACCAAGGCGGTGAGGCGACATCCTTCAGCCGCACGGAGGCCTTTCAGGTGTTGGTTCGCCAGCTGCCTCATTGACGAGCAGTAACCAATCATACATCATACCTACCCGCAAAGGCAAAATCGCCTGTTACGGTAAACTAGGAGACCATCAATGCTGTGGAGGAGAATAGAGGTGTGTGTTGTTTCGTATTAATGGTTTATCGCATTATCGCTCGCTATATCGGCTGTTCTACCAACCTCGGAACCTTCCTGTCAAACCTTCAGAACCATCCCCCTCCTAAACTATGTCGAAATCTTCAACTACCACCTCTCCAAGCTCTACCCGTCGCTTAATATACATATCTGAGAGTCCATATCCCATGCACGGCCCAACGTACACAAACTGCTCACCACGCTTGCGAAGCAGGACAAGATCTTGGTAGCCATCAATTAAGCAAATAACATCCCCAATTCGGCAATCCTGTGGCCCCAAGCCCAGATAACCTTGATCTGTTTCAAAGATTCTGGTGTTGTAGTTTCGTTTAAGTGTAAAGATGAGTCGCGAATTAGTTTCAAATGTCCTGGCTTCCAACGCCTCGTGATGGTCTGTGAAAGAAAATGACGCTGATTGCTGTGCTGTTCCAGAACTTGAGCTTGAGTGATCCAATTCTTTTAATCCTAGCAGGGGGGAGATACACGTTGCGAGCTGAGGATTATTCCCGCCGTCAAGACACATCATCACAGAAAGCCCGTCAATTTCTGGAGTCTGGTAGTATTTTGGAATACCACTTTTCTTTCTATCACTCACTGGGATGTCAAGATTCAGTCGCGCGATGAAGTTCTGCAGCAGTAGCAGCGTAGGCGTGTCTGTCACCAGTCTATGCATTCGCATGACGACTAGGAACAGCGCCCAAATAGACGGAATCTTGGTTGCGTAAAATGGTATGCGCTTGATGTAGTCTTGTATCCAGTCAAAAGCGTTGCCACCTTTCTGGAGATTCTGGATTTCTGGATGCCCTCCGATGCTCTTCAGAGTCTGCAGTCGTATGCCACACAGGCTTAGAACCCCACCGGAGATCCTTGGAGGTGGTAGACGTAGCACAATATCGATGAGACTGAGCTTTTCGTCGAACATCAGGGTGGGAATGCCAGATGCCCTCAACGGAAGCTGCGGTGCCCATGATGGTATATCGAGAGAATCGTCGAAGACGCCGGCACCACCATCCCGAAGAAACACGAGGTCTTTCTTAGTTTTCCCATCCTGTTTATCAAAAATTGCACGACAGTAGTCAATGTATACTTCTCTCACTTCTTTTGTATAGTCAGGCTTGATCGGTAGTGAACTTAAACCAAGGAGTCCATAAACGTGGTCACGAGGGTCAGTTGCCTGAAGCAAACTGGCATATTGCGCAAGAGTGATATCAATCTGCCGCTGCTCCTCCACGTCGTCCTCCTTCGCTTTACTCGAGTAAAGAACTCTTGCAGTGCCAAAGCGAAGAATGTTTCTTAGTGAAATGAATCCGGTGTGTTTCGGTGGATTAAACATGTACCAAATGTGGGTGGGAACGAAATCGGGTTTGTTCGTGCGTTCATCAATTAACGTCTGTGATAGAATGTCGAACATGGTACATGTGTTCATCAACGTGCCGTACTCGATCGACATGTTGGGCGTGATGTAGAAAAGTGTCGAGGCCAGAATGTTCTCTTGCAAGATCCACACGCGTTGCCAATAGGCCAAACCTCCAAGATAGTTGAGTGACTGCCAGTATTTGTCACAGGCCGGCTCGTCGACAAGACCAGATCTCTTTAGCCATTTGAGGTCCTTCAGCTTTTCCACGTCCCATTTGGCTCCTCGAAAAACATTTCCAATAGTGGTAATTGTGCAAATTGCTCTTATGATCTTCTCATTGTCGTCTGCACCGAGCCATCCAAGGACGAGATCGGCTGAGGAGTAGATTGCACGCATGAGCTTGACTTGTTCAGTGCGTTCTACTTTGTCGGACTGGTTGATACACACGGCATCGACCCAAATCCTAAACTCAGATTGGTCTGTATCAGGAAATTCGTATGCCCAGTATTTCCGAACATGCTTCAAGGCGTTTGAGAGGCTTCTAGAGACGGTCATTTGGACACCATCGATTTCGATGCTTTTTGTATCAGCTGCATCACCCCAAACGTAGGATAATGCAGCAAAGCGGAGCGTGCTGTCGAAGGTGGCAGTGTATAGTTTGCACCTAATGGCATCTTTGTCCTCTATCACCTCGAGTAACCTGATCTCGGGTTTTGTCATGTCGAGCGGGGTCTGGTAGAGATGCTTGGAGGTCATACTGGCAGTTGTTGGAGAAACTGCTGGTAAACAAGGCTCCATTGTGCGACAGTTAAGTAGAAAAGGAAGAAATACAAGCTATATCGCAAGATTTTATCAAAATGAGGCAAACCTAGCTCGATCATTGTGCATGGCAGAAGTGTAAAAAGTCGGGCTGTGGTATGGCTGTGACAAGCGCCCAATCTGCCTTGGAAAATGCCCGCCGGCGCTTAGCAATATTCGGATAACCTGTGATATTGGCGCTCGACCAATCAATTTCTTGAGCTTCAATATTATTGAGGAAACTGACACCTGATCTACTGGGTATTGACCCAGTAGTTAATTTTAAGGTAAAGTACAACATGTGCATCAGAAGCGAAAAAGACCAAATATTCGCCCTGAATACATGGAAGTAGAATTCGCAGTAGTTAAAAGAGAGAAACGCCCGGCCTCAGGAGCTGTGGAAATCTGGTAAAGCGCTAAACAGAGAATAATCGTAACAGACAGGATCCAGAAACAAGGGATCGAATCTGGGCATGGCCGAATCTGCATTCCCGCGCCCTGGGGATACCAAGACCATATCCCCTCCTAGCTCACCTGCACTAGGCATCGAACTAGAAGAATAAGGTATTGTTTGTGACAATGGCAGTGCATTCATCCTATCCATAGCGTCGGCAACAAGTTCTGAGGCGCAACAGCGAAGACGATCATACTCGGACTCAGCCATGCGCCACATTCGCCGTGCGCTCTTTAGACAGCCTAGCACCAGCGTCACACGATTGTAGTGATGCTCGAAACATTCTTCAGGATGCCCCCGGGAGGTAGCAAGTTGGATGAAGCCACAAAGTACGAGGGCTGGTATAACGAAAGGTGTATGTTTCGGTACGTTGGGACACAACGATATGCAATCGGATATCCGTCGTGAAGCGTCCGTTGCTTTAATGCCTTGAATTAAAACCGTGGATGTCGATAGAGGATGATTTTGTGAAAATGGCAAAAACGGATCTTTGACGTCTGCGAGTAGGGAGTACAAATTGCTTCGAGGTAGATGTAATAGCATGCTTGCCAAAGCAATGATCATATGAGCCTGAAACATCATCTCGTCAATATTTCCATACGAGTCCACAATTTCCAGCTTCTCAGCCGGTAAGTGGTTCGACCAGCTGAGGAGGGCGTTCTCAATCGACTGTGTTTGGTCATGGCTGGTGTTCTTCAGTTGATTCAGCAGCAAAACGCGACCAAGAATAGTAGCAGCTTCGATACGATAGCTGAAGGACGAGAACGTCACATCGCCAGTAGAAATTACTCTTCTTTTGAACTCGAGAACTTGATGGGGCTGTGGGATATCCAATCGCCCATTGTAAAAGGCCTCTTCGCATGGCAAGCAAACTTTGGGCGGAGTGCTACTGCAACGCAGGTTCATCGTCTTAGGCGGTATTCCCATGAAAACATCAGTCACATATATCTCCCACCAAGTTCTTCTCAGACTCTCGCCCTCGATAGGATTATCCAGTTGTCTAGCCGATGCGAAGTCTGTACGATGCATACCGAGATCCAGCGCCATCTGAGTGCATCGGTCGAAAGTCTTGCTAGCTGCATCCAAGTCGCCGTTGAAGAACAAGAGAATCGAGTAGATCAGAAGTGTCTGAACCATGCATGTTGAATTTTCAGTTATTGTCATCATGTCGGTTGCTACCTCAGCCTGCAGCTGTGCGTTGGGTCCCGAAGGTGCATAGTGAGAGCCGGCGTAATCTACCATGCGCCGTAGATATGGCGGATAGTTCCGAGATGTGAAAACAGAACTGGGAACCAAGAACGGGTGAGCGTTGTGGAAATTTTCATAATAGAGCCGAAGTAGGCGATCGCCATCGGAAGATGGCTGTATATGAGTGTTTAGGCTTAGCGCACTATTGTTGATGGTTTGTGTTATTAGTCCAGGGTCTAAATGATGATAAAACGACATAGCAGGATCATTTAGCTGCTGCAATGGTGGCGGTGGGCGATTTTCTTGAGTGCCATCCCCACTGGCCCTCCTCTCGTCTCGTGAGCCTTCGGACGGGGGGGAGTTTCGTGATTGTCGCGGTGTGTGCTGTAATAAGTTGTTGTTGATAGTCGATGTGTGTGACATATTAGAAGTTGGCAGCAATTCCTGTGAAGAGGTCGGTGTAATGGGTAAACTGATAGGATTAACAGTTACACATTCCACAAACCCCGTCGTATCGCTCTGAGAAGACCTCATTGCTGGTCTCCTCGGATGCGACTGCAGTGGTGACTCGAGAGCCACAGAGCGATGCTTCTTACGCCGTCCGCCACGTCGCGACGGCTCGTAGAAGCATACCTGCTGCGACTCTGTACATCGCGCACACGAGGGTTTACCCGCATCGCATTTGAGGTGTTGCTTTCTGCAGACGGTGCAGGCTAGCGCTGCTATGCCGCTTGACTTAACCGATCCAGAAGATGAGACGGTCATGGTGATCTGCTCTGGGAGGTGTGATGTAAGATGGTGAGAGGACGGTGGGTTCGGTGTTGGGCTGATGAGTCGGCGATTGAAGATGATAAGCGAGGTTTGGCTTGGTTGCACAAATTTGGCGGTGAGATAAGGGATGAGGCGGCTAATTCATGGTTGAGTCAATCTTGTGTTCATGTGATAGAGATCTTCAAGGCTTTGAAGGGTCTCGCTGTAGCTACAGAGAGATCATAAAGGCGATCATATAATTATCATGTTATCTCAGAGGTCTAAAAACAAACCACGAAGACTAGAACCACAAAATTCCACCCAGCCTGGTGGGTCTCTGTCAACGGTGGTTCTGTCTGATTATTGGCTAGTGGACAATTAAGCTCGGCTTACCCATACCTGGGCCACTAGATTACAGCCGATAAGAGCCGGCTTATCCACATCCTGTGCAGTACAAAATATGAGCAAAGACTCGGCTGATAATACAAAGTACTTCATTTCAACAGTAGATTCGATGTAAAGCTAAACATTTGGAATTCTTCAGAATTTTTAGTTGTAAATACTCACATGACAACACTTTTGGGTAGTCGAACACCTCGTATCAAGCAAGTAGACCCTTGCTTCAGTTCAATCGCCGACCAGAAAGAAGCGGAGCTCTCCGATGTTTGCTGACTGTATAGTCTACAGCCAATCACCTTTCAACTTGAGTCGCCGACCGAAGTCTCTTGCATTGACATATTAGTTTGCCAACTTGTTCTTTCAGCAAGCACGATATTATGTGTGGAATTCGGAATTAGCTATCAGTTTGCCTTTTTACTATCTCATTTGGAATATTTATCCAAGTCTTGCCACACGCCAATTATCCTTTGTCCAATCGTAACACACAAAATCCGACAAAATGGCTGCAGTCTCTCAACGTTTTGCACCACTGCCACTGACCCAGCCACAAACATCGTGCCGAGCAACTTCTTCCTTTCAAAACATTGAAAGCCCAAAAGCCTACTCCCTGGATGACTTCGTCCGTGATATCAGAGAACATTTGGGAGAGTCAGGTGGTATTGGATGCGATGAGGTTGACGAGGACTACCTCATCTCCCTGGCGCGGAAGTACATGTCCAATCCTAATGACTGGGCACGATATTACCACAATTGTCCCGGCAAGAATTACACACGCAACGCGATTGTGAATATTAACCAAAAAGCGAATATTGTTAGTTCAATACAACCCGGTGCAGTCGAGTCTCGTTGAAGCTAACGGATGTACAAAGCTATTGCTAGTGTGGAACCCAGGAAAAGGATCACCAATCCACGACCACGCCAATGCACACTGTATCATGAAGGTTTTGGCGGGAGAGCTCACAGAGACGGTATACAAGATGCCTAAAAAGGGTTGCGAAAACAATCCTTTGTCGATCAAGAGCAAGACTACACATCAGGCCGACCAAGTCACATACATCTCAGACAGCATTGGCTTGCATCGCGTACACAACCCGCATCCCACACAGGTGGCAGTCTCCCTACATTGTAAGCCCTTCCCATGTCTTAATTGTTCAGTCTAAACTAACCTTCTTGTGATAGTATATACTCCACCGAATGCGGCAGATATCGGCTACAATATCTTTGACGAGGCAACTGGCCGGGCAAGTTTTGTGCCAAATGCGCAAGCACACCAGAACAAATGATTCAGGAAAGATTCACACATAAGAGGGGCTAAATAGAAGAAAGAAGAAGCATAGATACCAGGGAATTGAAACGAGCGTATAATGTTTGTATTAGAGACACAGAGAACATTAAAGCTAGCATATTGAGAACACCCTCACATTCTCGCCACCTGACAATCAGACGATTCCCCCAACATTATACATAAGTGAATGCTGTGAAGGGATTATGAAGCTCCCTGCTCGAGGATTTCTGAGACTTCGGTCGTCTAGAAATATGGCGGTGAAGGCTGAAGGGAATTGTGAGAAGCCAGCGTATTCCATTCAAGACCATGTCGTTCTTAACAAATAGCCATGGGGAGAAAGAAATAAAACATAGTCTCTCACTCAAAAGAACTGATTGGTGCCGGGTGTCCGATTATAATCAATTCACAATATAGCCGAAACAGGCTTAGTTGTCGAAATGATTATTTTTAGAAATCACTTGCTTGGTCAGCCTCCTCCGCTTCCGCGGAAGCGGCTGCATTACCATGATATATCCACTACCGACAACCTCCATGGAAGCATCGAAATCCTCACAGTTTTGGATCTCGTACCAAAAAGATCGATACCATTCACGGAACTACTTTGAACGACCTGCATAATGCAAGCAAACCATCGTCCAAGAAAGGTATAGCTTCCAAATGGCATCCATTAGCGTCGCTGACGACTCTCCAAGGCCTGCGATCTCTGCTACACTCGCAAGATCAAGTGCGATGGGCAACAGCCACGATGTTCTAACTGCGTCAATTATAAAACATCTTGTACACACACAGTTCGCAGCAGAAAATGGAAGCCCAAGGCGCAACAGCCCGGCGAAACGACAGAGGCTGACGAGATTCGGATCCTGCAAGCACAGATGCAACAATTACAGGACAAATTAGTAATATCCCAGTGTATTCCAGAACTAGGGGTGTATACTAATGTTACTCTCAGGCCCAGTACCAGATCGAAGATGTTACACCCGATTCCTCTGCACTCTCGCCATCCGTGGGCTCTGGAGACGGGCTTGCTCAAGTTGGCAATGCAGTTCCCTTGATGAGACTACCACCACTGCAACAGACTATGCACATGGTTGGCACATTTCTCAATACTGTCAATTCTGTTCTTCCCCTCTTTCATCCTGACTCCCTCCTCCGTCTGGTGGGAGAAACTTACGCTCTTCAACCACGACAACGTGACCCTGTTGCATGGGCCGCTATCAATGTTGTGCTAGCCTTGGCTTGTCAACAAATACCAAATGGCGAGGATCCAGACTTACAGTATGGATTAGCAAGTGACTATATAGATAAAGCACAGTCTGTTGTGTGGGCTGTCACGCTCGGCGATACTCGTCTTCTCAACATCCAGACACTAGTCGGAATGGCAATGGTGCTTCAGACACAAGGTGCAGATAAAACGCCGGCTTTAGTCATTATTTCAGCAGCGATGCGTCTCATTCACAAAATGGGGCTCCATGACCGCCGTTATTCGGCGCATCTAGATGTTACCGAGAGAACGCAGCATGCTCGCGTCTTTTGGCTAGCTTACATAGCGGACAAGGACCTTAGTATGCGCACCCAGCAACCTTCGGTACAGCTCGATGACGATATAGATGTCGACATACCCGCATCCACGGCAGCCATTGAGGGCGGCGATTCTGCAGCCGGTATAGTTACCACAGCTGATGGGAATAACACGATGGATTATTTCCAAGCTCGTATACAACTAGCTCATATTCAGGGCAGTGTCTATGACCACTTATACTCGACTCGAGCGTCAAGAAGGAGCCCCGAGGAGCGACAAGCGACGAGAGAAGATATTACCAAAGCACTCGACGAGTGGAAAGCCTCTATTCCAATGGACTTCAGGGCCACTAGTGTCATTGCAGCAACGTGCAACAATCCTTCCATGGCTTCTTTTTTCTGCATCCTGCATACAACTAGTCTGTTTTGCTTGGTACTCAACACTCAAGCCCACGCTTGGGATGAGCAGTGGGTGATGAGCCTACGAGATCATGGCAGAGGAAGAAAAACATTGCAACTACCAGGCGAGTGGACGGGAATGGTAGCGGAATCTCGAGATTTCATGATCTTATATGAGCAGGTCTGTCTCAAACATGAATGGCTAAGATGGTAATAAATCATGAACCTACGAGCTGCAGTATGGACTAACGACTGTAGGATGGTTACATGCACATACACATCGGCAATGGTGCTATTGACAATCAACAATTTGAACGATCTCCAGCATCCCGAGTTTGAAAGAGACAGTGACCGTATTCAGAAATCTTTGGACTGGTTCAAAGAGACCACAAAAGAAGTTTACTCAAATCTAGCTTGCGTTCTTGTAGATGTATGTACCGAGGCTTTTGGAACGATGAAGCAAAGGCGTGCGGATGACATCGCACTAGCACTTGGAGGGGATTGGCTTGTGGGTTTCCTTGAAGATTTGGAACACTCCGAAGAGTAATTAATATTGGAGAGCACGATATTCTATCAAGAGCGTAGTTGGTTCAAACATGAACTGGACTACCAAGGCACCTGTTGAAAATCGCCATTCTCATACTCCCAGAATGTTCCCCCGTCAATGTCACCCTTCGTCGACTCAAGTAATCTTAATACAGACTCAGCCCCCTCAATGGGATCTTTCTTACCCCTGTAGCCATTAAACGCTGTCTTACAATGGCCCGGGCTAACAGCCCAGAATGTTATCCCAGCCTGCCCCTCTCTGTGATTCTCGGCAATTTGCAAATGGAGCAAGAGCATGTTGAGGCCGGCTTTCGAGACACAGTAGTCGATGTTGGCAACGGGAGGTAGCTGAAACGGACGTAAGCGTTTGTGGCCATACTTAATTTCATTTCTCATACCTCCTTGTTGGTTGTTCTAGTCATACTTCCACGTGCACTAGAAACCATGATGACTCTTGGCCAGGGACTGTTCCTAAGTAGTTTACTGAAGGCATGAATGACGACTGTGTTCGACGTGATGAGGTTATTGTAGCAGGAATTAGATGCGACTCGGATATCTGATAGTTTATCTGACACTCGCCCTTGAACTTTGCCAGCGTTGTTGATTAAAACTACTAAAGTCAGATATTCCACCGCTTATGTTTCCATGGATGATACAAGATAATTCCCACTTACCATCCAACTTCCCATACATTTGTTCTAACCACACTGCCGCCGCTTCAATTGAGGCATCGCTCTCAATATCGATCTCAACATAGTCAAGCTGGGCCGTCACGCCAGTTTCACGAAGTGACTGAATTGCTTCTTGTGCTGCGTCCTTACTTCGGCATCCAAGGATAATATTGGATGACGGTAGACGGGTAGCGATGGCTTGTACAATGGCATAGCCAATTCCACGGTTTGCACCAGTAACTAGAGTGTTCGCCATTATCTTCGGTTGGGGAATGCAAATGGGGGATCCTATCTAACCATAGACAAGAAATTATCCATCATCTCTCAATGCTGGTTTTATGAGTCCCATTCCGGAGTTAACGAGAAATAGGTCTCTTAATCCGACTCATGGCAAGACTTGCTCCAAATCCGAGCCACTAAGGTAACGTTGGCATTGGGTTAATTAGCTAAAACAAGGCCGGTTAGCGTATGCACATAAATTAGTTGGCCGATTACAAGTGCCACAAAACATACACAGCAGCGTAGTACTGCGGGTGAACCTTTTTGATCAACGACAATTACAATAGGAGAGGTTTTTTGCTCATAAAGTCCTGTATGTCTTGCTGTGATATCTATTGAGTTGGCTTGATTTGCCCAAAGGAAGTTGGGAGATTCGACAGGCACGAGTTTGTTTGACGCACAGGAACATTCTCTTAGAAAAAACATCGCAACCCGATTTCACCAGATGGAGTGCTCCGCGAGAATTGATACAGAGTGCCTGCTTTTCAATCCACCACCAACTACCTATTTGAGAAATTGAAGCCCAAACTTCCGGTAGACATGGCAACAAGAAAGACAGAACTCTATAAACAAGATAACAGCATGTTGGCCATTTTGATTTGAATCGGTACCATGGCGTCGTCTACTACGAATCGCCTACCCTGGAGAGTGAACCCTATCCTATCAGTTAAGGTAACAGCTGGGCTAGAAAGGCGCCACCCCTCCCGCCACCGGTTGTGATCTCGTAGTTGAGCTTGCTCCGTCCCTGGGAGGAAGATAGAATCTCGACAATCAACCACTACTGACTTGCAATGTTAGTAGCTCTACCGGTTCGTTGATCCCTTGCCACGCTGTGTATACTACGATTGTGCTTACAAAGCTGACTTAGCTGCCGAGACTTTCACCAAGCATTGGATGACGACTAAGACTAGCCAAGCATTCAGAAATGTCTGAGAGCTTTTCTTTGTCTCCGAGGAGGCTATGCTAAGTAGCGTGTTTTGGCAGTGGTGCACTAATTCCCTGCCGCTGATCATGCACAGCTCATTCTTGGCCTGGCGTCATAGAGTTTTGAGGAAGCATTTTGTGCATACTTCGGTGCATACCTTGAAGCCTTCAGACACTGCCAATCTGAATGCTTTGGCCTTGGTCGAGAATGGACGACAGCACGAGTCAGTATATACACTGCCTCAATACATTATCGGTCAGAAATGCGACTCTCGGTTGGCCAGTCTTTCCACGACTTATCTTGCATCCCGCGTGTCACCAACCTTCCGTCCACATTGTCAACGTTTCTAACTTTCTGCAACAGCCATTTGTGATCCAGTAAATCCGCGGCTTTATCCTAGCCAGGGCCCTGGAAAGCACTTATCATCCGAGCCCATGATGCTCTTCACCAATCAATTACGAAACAATGCGAGACGGTGAACAAGAAGCTTTTTCATGTCTTGGAATTGAGTCTAGAAAAGTGGCTTTTCCACATTCTACGCACCACGCGGCCTTATTTGTGATGCTGACATTTCCAATGCCAAGATGGCGTACGTCAGCTCGGGCGTCATTGAACCCTTGTGGTGGATAAGGTTATCGCCTTTCGGATTTAGAGGCACTGGCCTGTCAGCATCTCCGACATCCACCATAAAATATTCCCCATGGCGGGGCCCGAAGCCCGGCCACACCGGATGATAAACATTTAAGCTTATTATGAGGGTGCAATGAAACTAGTACGGTATCATCAATGACAGGTGCAATGTTTTTGCATACCAGAGAGCAATAGAGTTAATCGTAATTAATCGATGCATCACCTGTAATACACAGAATTAAGTAATTAAAGTCATTTGGCGATATCATCTTATTACAATAAACGTGTCGAATTGGCCTTGGGCGAAACGTGATGGAAACCTCGCGCAACCCGACCTCCGAGCTTGTGCAACACAGAACCAAAACTATTACGACGTCCGAGTGGCTCAGCCTCCTTGGAAAAAGCCGGTCTGCCCAGGCGACTTAGGGCTTGGCTTGCTAACTGGCCAAGAGATTGCCTATGGTGCCCGTGTCATAGATGGGACCGGCTTTCAGGACAGGTAAACTCCGAATGATATGAAAACATATATTTCGTACAATCCTATTGCATTTTCCTAGATGTTTGATCTATAAGGCTGCTTCTCTCTGCTTGACGGATACCATATTCGAAGCATCCAGCTATGGGTCTCTTAACCTGTTTCTGTCTTCTTTTGCAGGTCTTCTCTTTAAGCACAGTGCAAGGTACGCCGATATCCCAATATGATGCTTTTCATGACTGACGTCGTTCACTGTAGCTCTTTCCTTGACCAGAGATACCATTGATCAATCATCGACTATTGAGACTCTCGAATTTTCGCAAGATCCCCACACAATCACTGGCGCTTCTTCATTCCAGGTAGAATTCGAGGTACCACATGAGAAACAACACATCACATTAAATTTACAACCATCTCGAAATATTTTATCACGCCTCACGACCATCGAGCATATCAAATCCTCGCCTAATAACGAGGCCATCGCGGACTTGAGGAGCGGACCCCCATTATTATACAGGGGAGCAGCTTTTGTTAACGATGCCGAGAAGCAGACACAAAGAAGAGTAGGATGGGCACGAGTTATGGTCAGATTCCGACAAGGCCGACACATTATTGAGGGCACCTTCACGAATGACGGAATGTATCATCATATTTCACTGGATTCAAATTATCGCCAGGCACGACAGCAAGGCAGTGAGCGACAGGAAGGACCACAGAAGATGGTAGTCTGGAGGGAGTCACACGACGACAGTAATAGTATTATTGCGCAGAGGTCTTCCCCACAGGCTTCGACGTGTGAAGCCCAACGATTCGACGATCGACGTCGCCACGAAGGAGCATTTGGGGGCGAACAAACAGACGAATCACACAGTCCCACGCTTGGGCATACTCGAAGACAAACACCAAACGACTGGTTCGATCCCGCTGACTACATCGGATCGACCGACGGATGCCCCTCATCGAGGAGAGTCGCGTTGATAGGAATCGCAGCCGACTGCTCATACACAGCAGAGTTCAACTCTATGCAGGACGCTCGGGACAATATCATCTCTCAAGTCAATGTCGCTTCGCAGCTCTATGAAGATACCTTCAATATCGCTCTGGCAATCCAAAACCTGACAATTAGCGATCCGTCTTGCCCGTCAACTGCCCCCAGCTCAATGCCCTGGAACCTTGGGTGTACCGCGAACGTCGATATCAGTGAGCGCCTGAACCTATTTACTCGATGGAGAAGTAGATTACGCGATAATAACGCTGTTTGGTCTTTAATGACTGCGTGCAGAAGTGGTAACACTGTTGGGATAGCCTGGATCGGAAGTCTATGCAACAGATCACGGGGATCATCATGGCGAGGCGGTGGTGTTGGATCAGCAAACGTGGTGGTTCGTACAGCAGCCGAATGGCAAGTCTTTGCGCACGAACTGGCGCATAACTTTGGAGCAGCCCATGATTGCACATCCAGCGACTGTGGGACTACCGGTTATTCCCGGTCCGACAATTGCTGCCCACTGAGTCAATCGACCTGCGATGCCCGCAACCAATATCTCATGAACCCACAGAGCTCACCCGGCCTTGAGGAGTTTTCGCCCTGCACCATCGGCGCTATCTGCACCGGCATAGGACAAGATCAAATTGATACGAGCTGCCTAGTAAGCGAGGACGATGTCCCTGATGTCAACGACAGTGAGTGTGGCAATGGGATCGTGGAGCCTGGCGAGACGTGCGACTGTGGCGGTGAGAATGGGTGCCCAACGGACTCTTGCTGTAATCCCTCTACATGTCAGTTACGAAATGGCGCAGAATGTGATCCAGCAACAGACGGATGTTGCACCGACGAATGCCGAGTTGCTCAGAGCGGCCTAGTCTGCAGAGAGAGCACATCGGATTGTGACCCGGAGGAGACATGCGATGGGAGTTCAAGCCAATGCCCCATCGACGAGCAGAATTGTGACGAAGATGAAGATTCTAGAACCAATGGATCCGGAGGGAGCTGGGTCGACAATAACCGGACAGTTATCATTGCGACTTCAGCTTCTGTTGGCGGGTTTGTAATCCTGTTGGCGCTTTGTCTAGTCTGTTCCTGCATTCGAAAGAGGAGGAGGAGACAAAAGGGTACTCAACTTCAGAGTGGTAGTTTTAGCGACGGGTTAAATGCCCCAGCACTTGGGAACACTGGAGGAGTTACTCAAATGCCGAGTGCACCGCCCTTGGTACATAGATACGCATAGTTTTGCATTCGGACATTGGAAATCGTGTGTTAGAGGAGTTATGGGAACGGTGCGTTGTATTTAATGATTTATGACACAAGATATTCTTAGCATCGTCAAATTGGAGCATAGCAATGATAAATCAAAAGGCAAGTAGAAACTGAGTCGTTTTGATTTGTCAATATTTCACTGACCTTATTGACTGGCCCGCGCTGTCTTAAGTACGATATGTGAATAGTAATCGTGCATGCAGATGTTAGATCAAGGAATCGCCTCAACAGGCGGTCCAGAGTATTCTGGTTATAAAGAAGTTCACATAAGCAAAATATAGATGTTGCCATACGGAAAGTCGAAATGCAGTTACGAATAATGAGCTATGTATTTTGAGCTTCACTTTCAATATGTACCACGGTGGGACGGGCGAAGAATCAGCAACGGCCCGGGTCTCTTCCTGGCGAAAGGGTCTCATCAGGATTCGGTAGCAATAAACAAATTGTGGAGGAGCCTTTGTTAAAAAGTGTCGCGATCAAATACAATGTCAATATGGGACCGTGTCACAGAGTGTCAACATGGAATACGTGTGGAAGTTGGTACTGTCCTGTTAGAGCTTCTGCCTGTACGTGTGACACGTTGGCATTATCTTCCCATATGACTGTATGGCTCACATTCTGTAAGTTTTTTATTGCAAAGGTCACATCACGTTGATCATGGAATTGCTAGTTACGCTTATGGTGGAATTCCTTGCGAACTAGGAGGATGGCTAGGACCGATTACTACTGCGAAGAATGACACAGTGTAAAAGAACACTTCCCACAAAGTCCAATTACCAGTAGTAAGCTGACCAGAAGGCCGAGTCTAGTCGACTCATAGATATCATGAGTTCTTTGGGCATGGGGCGCTCTCCTTCAGAGTCTCTCGGGGAACAGGTGAAGAGCCCGACTACCGCTCTGGTCAAAAAGTAAAACCCCATAACGAGGCTACTGCAGTAGACGCATTTTTCGCCTAGTGATATCTGCAATGCTCTGAAACACAAATCATCTCTTCGAAAAGGTTCCCGTAACAGTCAAGTGCTGCGTTTGAGTTTTCACCTTGTGTTATTAGACTTACAACTGTACACCCTCATTTGACGGCGTCGAACTGCAGGTAAAGCCGAATGATCCCCTCATACCTCAAGCTTCAACAGATCACCTGAGAGTGTGTTTCACAAAACGCCTAGTCATACCCGGTCCTGAGTAACACAAGGGATGGGTAGCTGTGTGAACCTTGTCGACAAAGCCTCAGATGTGTTGTAGATGTATCGTTTGTGGTTGTCAGTATGGTTAAAGGTTTATTCTCTTGTGACTTACGCGAGTTAGGACCAGACCAAGGATCAAACTCGCGATTGTATGCCAACATGAGCTAAGAAGTAAATTGCCAATAGGCATCGACTCCCCCAAGAGACAAGTTGAGCTGACCGAGGCTTTGTCACTTGACCTTGTATAGTAAGTGGTTGTATCATAAAAGAGTCGATGGCTTGATGGTGTTATCTAGAGTCTATACATATGGCGTGCTATTTTCTACGAGCTGAAACAGTGCCGCCATAGTTTGACCCAAGACAGCACGCGCCACCTGCTGGAGCTTTCTGTCCGCTTTTTAAACGTGGGACTACGAATATGGAAGACTCAGATACCACGCTAAGAGGAACAACAGTACATCAACAAGCCAGCAAGTCGGTCCATCCTGGTAAGCTTCGTACTTAGTACCCTTAGAAGTAAGGCCTGCTTCGTGCTTGGGTCTAGATGCCAGCAAAGTCAGGCCATGTCGGGATCAAAAGACTACTCCTCTGCTGAGTCAAAAATTATAAACGTTTGTTGATTGGGCTGATCGCGAACTATTGAATCTAATTCCATGCGTCACACCGCCAACTCCGCCCCATGGGTTGTTGAAGACCCGATGAAGCCGCTTCTTATCGGCCCGCTGAATTAGATTGGGAAATTCAGCTTTTCCAAATCGGCGACGATCAATACCGCAAACTCACTAAGAACGGTAGGATTGCCAGCCCTAAGATTGCTAATCGGCGATCTGGGGGAGTCCCAACGCTAGGATCTCAACTTGGCACAGACAGTGAACCAGGATCCAGCAGCGACCAAGACGATCTATCGCCTGTGCGATACGTTGATCGACTTTGCAAATTCGAGCGATACAATCCGCAGGATAAAATGAAGCCCACGGTGAACACTTGTCCGCAGAATAAGCTACTACGTAGTAGAGCTATAGAGCACACACTTGCGCAGGTCCCTCAAGTCTTGTGGCCTCTTTGCACCAGTGCAGTAGTAACAATCTGTAGTACCGTAAATGTGGCAACAGAGGTTATTAGTCTGTTCTGCACGCTCTCTAATACACATGCTGTTAGAATTTGGAATAAATCATGCTGCAGGCGACTGAAGATACACCAAGTCCCCAAATCAGGCATTGAAAGCGAAACTGGTTCCAACTTGGATTAGCAAAAAGCCCAACCTTCTATTTCGGCTCACGGGCCCCCTGAGACAACTCCAGAAAACGGCCGGTTTAGCCACCGCTGTCGTCATAAAACGGCCTTTTGCTGTAATAGCTGATGTCACTCCGTTTACCGTCTTGACTAGCAGAAAGCCTCCCCGCATGGCACGGACATGCGACTTCTAGCTCCGTGGACCAACCATAAGCTTAATAATTCCAAGCAAGACATTAGCATTCAATAAAATCAACTAGCTCGGCATTAGCTCAACGGAAGCCCGGCAAGGGGCATTGGTGGCTCTATCCAAGATCACGACTCCACATATTGCTGATGTTTACTTGTGTGAATCGTGTACTACGTAGTAGAGTGATCAAATAAACGGAGAACGACCAATGGGAAGGTGGTGATCTCTAATAAATAATATTTTAGTGCGGGGGATCACCTAGCCGCAAGACTAAACGAGAACTGTCTTCGCATGTCTTTTGGTGTTATCGGATGAGTATTGTAGACCAATGTAGGAGATGTAACAAACAACGTCATCATTAGGATCGTGCATCTGCAAGGGAGCAAACCAAGAAGCAAGCATAGAGGAGAGTAGGTTCATAAAAGGGTCGACTGTTTCGGGTCATCAATACTTGTGTCCGTACGACCACACTCATCTTCCCCTCTCCATCCTTCTCATCCTTTTTATCATGAAGATCTCTCTCTCCTCATGGCTCGCAGCAGCCTGCATCTTCCCCACTGCTCTTGCTTTCCCCCAGTTGAGCCCTGAACAGCTGGAGACCTATCGAAGACAGGTCGAGAGGAACGCCGCACCTGAAGCATGCCCCTTCGCTGCTGAGCGTGAGAAGCGCGACGCAGAGGCCGACTGCCCTTTCGCAAAGAAAGAGAAGCGAGCTGTCAAGTTTGATGCCAAGAAACAGCGCGTCAGCGTCTCTGGCGAGCATCAGTGGAAGGCGCCCAACTTCAAACTGGGTGACCAGCGAGGTCCTTGTCCGGGTCTCAATGCCTTGGCCAACCATGGCTATCTTCCCCACAACGGAGTCGCAGACCTGCAGACCATTATTCAGGCCACCAACGAGGTCTACGGCATGAGTCTTGACCTCGGCGGCTTCTTGGCCGTTTATGGTACCGTTATCGACGGTAACCCGCTCTCCCTTAACCCCGGCTACTCCATCGGCGGCCCAAGCAAGTTCAGCCAGAACATCCTTGGCGGAGGTGGTATCCTTGGTACACCCTCTGGCCTTAGTGGCAGCCACAACAAGTACGAATCTGACGCGAGCGCCACTCGCGCTGATCTCTATGTGACTGGAAACAACTACCACGTGGTCAAGAGCCGCTTCGAAGAATACTGGCGCGCCATCAAGCCCAACACTCCTGCTCCCAAGCAGTACGAGGCGCTGGCGCCCTTCCACAGCAAACAGTTCGACGACTCGGTAAAGACCAACAGCCACTTCTTCTTCTCGCCCTTCGCCGGAATTCTGGTCTCACCTGCTGCGTATGCCTTCCCCCCGCGAATGATGGCGAACCACTCCAAGGAGTACCCCGAGGGATATCTCTCTCGCGAGGTATTCACCAGCTTTTTCGGAGTCAAGGGCAGCAAGCCCGGCAACTTCCAGGTCAACCAGGGCTGGGAGCGCATTCCCGAGAACTGGTATAAGCGTCCTGTTGGCGATGACTACTCCATCCCCGACTTCCTCATCGACGTTCTCGCGCACGCTGCCAAGTACCCCAAGCTTCTGAGTTTCGGTGGAAACACCGGAAAGCCCAACAGCTTTGCGGGCGTGGACATCAAGGATCTCACTGGCGGTGTCTTCAACACTGCTAACCTGCTCAAGGGCAACAACCTCGAGTGCTTCGTTATGCAGATTATCATGGCTGCTGCCCCTGACTTTATTGGCAGCCTATTCACTGACCAAAAGAAGGCTCTCCGGCCTTTGTCGGATAAGCTCGCCCAAGAGCTTGCCGGAAAGAGCTGCCCCAGACTGCAGAAGGTGAACAACAAGCTGTTCAAGAAGTACCCTGGTTATACCGAGAAGTACGGCACCTATGCTGGTATTTCTAAGGGAGGTCTTATCGGTATCATTGACACCACTAAGGGAGTCCTTGGTGGCCTGTGGCCGACTGGCAAGAAATAAGCGATGAGTGTTAAGCGCTCAACTTTGTGTTCAACATTTGTGGCTTCTTAGTTATGAACTTATGTCTGGGTGAGGGAGGCGCATCTGGCTTTGGAATTTTGTCGGTAACCAACCTGTTTACAAGTTTTTAATCCAATCAATACTGCTTTTGCAAAACATTACATAAAGTAGCTCCATATCAGCCGTTCTGATCTGACTGGTGTTCCACTGTATCTCGGCCTTAACTGAAATAAGCTTGAGTAGGATGTTGCCCACACAACACAACCAAAGTAACGTATATTCCTAATAGGAAGTGTTGTTTCCGAGGTCTTCATGGATGCATCATAGGTACATCCGAGCCCCGTGGCTTTGTCCACATTGAGTTGTGACACTTTCTTTGCCAGACGTCATATATGTCCACCAGATTCATCACAGTCAGGTGTGTTACGCCAGCAGACGATTTGCAGGACTAAGAAGAACTAAAGTCCGAAGACCCTCTTGCGTAAGTACTCAGCTGATGGGGACTGATTAATGGAAATTACTATCGGAGAACTGACATCATTCTGAACTTACAGTAGTTCTTAGCTAACCTTGACGAATCTGGTAAATAAGTTATAGGGTATTTAGGTTCAAGCTTGAATTGCCTATCCTGGGTAAGTCGACGTGCTAAATCAGCCATGTAGATTTATAGCTGGACATTGCTGTAGAAACATGGAAACAAATGTAACTGCCGCCAGCGGAGCGAAACGCCCGCCTGGATACGCTTGAGAAGCCTAAAATTCGATAGCTCAGGCACCTAGCGCTTTAACACTAACGCCCACAAACAGGGGTAAGCCGAGGCTAGTGAAGCTGGTTCCGGGAGCTAACACTTCGTATTGCTCACGGCAATCGACGCGTAGCAATGTTGGAGCTATCGAAAAGCTATGATAAGATAGGTTGCACACGTAAACATGCAGATGTGTTCCCCGCGTCATAGATCAAGTGTGTGTGACCTAACGCGAGGTATAGTTATGGGCCTCGGACACCGCCAGATCCGTGGTGGAGTTTGAAGAACTTGCTTAATTGAGATCGACGTTGCAACTTCTCTTATAGCTATCTGATTTCCCCCACTATCTCTGATCAATCATATTTTTCTCAGGAACAATGCGGTTTGGCGTGCACCTCCTGGGCCTCTGTGCTCTGTCTGGCTTTAGCACAGCAGCACCATCGTCACCGAACCCAGAGCTTGAGCAGCGACGGGTTCTGAGCGGTATCGTTAATGGTGTCGATAATGCCTTGAGTGCGACGATCAGCGGGCTTCTCGGCTCTCTCCGCAAGGCTATTGACAGTGGCGATAGGCAAAAGACCCTTGATGTTTTGCAAAAGCTGAAGTCCACGAAGAAGCCAAAGAACGTCAGCGATGCCAACAAAGTGTTGAAGGCCGTTGTGGACTCCAAGCCTAAGGATATTGTTGAGTATACCGGTCGCTTGATTGCGAATGGCATCATTGCTGGGGATACAGTCGATCTCTTTAGTTATGCTAAAGGCCTTGTCAGTCCCGAGAATGGAAGCAACAACAAGTAAGTCAAAGACATGGTCGCTGTACTATCATCTAACCGCTGCCAGAAACCGCAATCCGCCAAAGGGTAAATCGATCTACCCCAAGGTATTGAAATGCGATGCTTCATACACAGTCCCCGAAGCAAAGCTGCGCGCTGCCATCTATATCCCAGACACATTCACGTATGGTAGATTGCCTCCTGTCATTCTGTTTCCCGGTACTGGATCCACTGGGTACACCACGTTCCGTGGAAACTTCATCCCGCTGCTGACGGGAGTGAACTGGGCCGACCCTGTTTGGGTAAATGTGCCTGGACTTCTACTCGACGATGCCCAGACCAACGCCGAGTACGCCGCTTATGCGCTGAACTACATCGCTGCTATATCAAAGCGAAATGTTCAAATCATTGGCTGGTCTCAAGGCAACATCGACATCCAATGGGCGTTCAAGTACTGGCCCTCAACACGCAAGGTCACAGAAGACCATGTTGCTGTCAGTGCAGATTACAAGGGCACTATCCTCGCCAACTTTGTCGATATCTCTGGTATTACCAACACACCTGCCGTTGTGCAACAAGAAGCCGGCAGCAACTTCATCAGAACGCTGCGCTCGGGTGGCGGTGATTCAGGTTATGTTCCCACAACAAGCCTATACTCTAGCTTCTTTGATGAGATCGTGCAGCCCCAGAAAGGCACCGGAGCTTCAGCCTACTTACTCGACGCTCGCAAGGTCGGTGTCACTAACGCCGAGGTTCAGCAAGTGTGCTTCGGGAAACTAGGTGGTTCATTCTACACACACGAAAGTATGCTGGCGAACCCGCTCACCTTTGCCCTGGCGAAAGATGCTCTTACTCATAAAGGTCCTGGAAAGATATCGAGGCTGGACTTGGCAAAGGTCTGCAGCACTTCTCTTGCGCCTGGGCTTGGTTTGGAAGATCTTTTGATCACGGAGAATTCGATTGCAATTGCTGGTATTTCTCTTGTTTTGTATTTGCCCAAGGTCAAGCAGGAGCCTGCGGTGAAACAATATGCTCTGAAGGTTGCTGCCAAGTGCTAAAGGCGCAGGTAGCTTCGGAGGTTGATATGTGTTTAGTCAGGTTTCCAAGTTTACTGTCAGATGAAATTATGGCAGGTTGTGTAACATGTCTTACCCCTTGCATAATGCACGAGAGCAAAAAAAGAATCGTGCCTCCACACAGGATTGAACTATGGACCTTCGCATTGCTATACAAGTGCGACGCTCTACCACTGAGCCATAGAGGCAGTTTGTTGTCATCCGGGATTTTATGATTATACATATCCCTATTGCCACAATGATGATACCATTGTGGCAATCTATTCACACTCTGCGTAAGGCATTTGGCAATTTGTTTATTATGACTAAAAGATGCTTTGTGGCTTTAGTAGTGAGATTTTATAACTCCATAAGGTCTCATCACCAACTTCTGGTATTTTGCTAAGTGGTTCGTTCGGTTGTCACAGTACTAGTGAACCGTTGACTAATGAATTATAGTCCCATCTTCTCTGATGCTGCACTGTAAATGGTCATTTACCCTTCAGTCGTATGGCTGCATAACACAGGACTTTCAAGTCATACCATCGTGTTGTGTACTCGAAGGCTTCGTTCTGAGTCCATGAAGAAAGTTTTGCGTGGCCATCGTGTGGTGTTTGACTCAGCCTAACGAACAGTAACTTGGTTTGAAACTTATATAGTCTATCCTCTTAGCGACTAGTGTATATGTAACTTTGGTCTTTCTAGATGAAATACTGAACAAGGATACTATATTCTCTTGCTGTGTCATCACTTCACCACTTCTTGTGGCCTTCTTCCATTGTGTTTGTTTCTAACAAAATGGAGGGAGTTGCCTGTAAAACAGCAGAAGTGAGCTTTTACTTCCCCCGAAGAAGCCGAAACTAAAAAGATATCCTCTTTTCATTTCCAGGTCCTACGAGTTGGGTTTGACAAGGTACGTGCTCTGTCTGTTTCACAGCGACTGGTCCACCAACACCACCACCCACTTAATCTCAATCACATCCACCAACTGCGAGTCTTCGTCTCAGACATTCTAAGACACCCTGACAAATCCTGCACCACGTTCAACCAGGGTTTTCCAACATAAATGTCATTTACCTTCATCGAACCTCAGTCACAACAAGGATCGATAGCTCAGTGGTACGAGCGAGGGATTGCAGATCCCTAGGTCGCGTGTTCGATCCACGCTCGGTCCTAATGGCACATTTTTGCCTATCACGACGTGGGCTGTTTCGGAGTATCTGGTGGATTGTTTTGTGAACACAGTCGCCAATTCTTGGGGGCCAATGCAACATGATTGTGTTATCATGTGTAACCTTTGGTATTCAGGCGCATGTTGCTCCGAAACTCATCTTATCGATCCCCCCAACCTCCATGGAAACAACCTTTTAGACAATAAGAATTATACACTTTGTACACAATCTTAATTGCTTATGAAGCTCTAGTAGCAAGGTTCATTCTTCTTAATAGTTAGCTCGGTGCCCACAGCCAATGGGGGGCTGGCGCAACGGTAGCGCGTTAGATTCCAGCGATGTCTTCCGAGTCCTACTCGAAGTTATCGTGACTCCTAAAGGTTATCAGTTCAAATCTGGTGTCCCTCATTTTTGCCTTTCCATCCGTCCTTTTTCTAATATGCCAGAAATTCTTTTTTTTTTTACATCTCGGGTAAGTTAGGCCGAAAATCTGTTGCACATCAATGCTTTGAGCTGCTTATGATGGGGTAAGATAGATGCCACGTATCAATGAACAGTCAATCTGCGAAACTTCAAGCCAATATATATATTCAACACCGGAAAACGAAGAACCCTTTTGGCTCTGGCGGGATGACTTCTGACCTGCCAATGATATTCTAGACGGAGTCGTTGGCTGGGAGTTCACCCATGCAGCACCTACTCAATGTACGATCTTTTGGAAATACCCAGACGAGAGATTCTTCGGCTCTCGACAGAGAGATGTTTCCAAGGACCAGTACTGGGAAAGAAGGTCTAGAGAAGATGGAAACCATGGTGCAAAGAAATATGGAAGAGGTGAAAGATCGCGTATCAGTGGAGGGTGGTTCAAGAGAGGTAAGTAAACAGGTGCGACATGCTGAGTTGTGACTAACTTGATCGAGTTAAGTGAAGAATTTATGATATCGTTCATGTCGCATAGCATTGCTGCTTCGAAAAGTGGAAATATTTGCAGGATTGACACTAAAAAAGATCTGTCGGCTAGCCAGTACCCTCTCGGTCTTCGCTCCTACTCGTTGCCTTCCGCTCTCCTTCGTAAGAGAAGCTCCCAGGGATCTTTAGGCATCATCCTTTGTAGACCCTTCTTCCCAATCACTTCACTACAGAACTTTGTAAAGGGTTAGGGCCCGTTTAGTTTGTATTGAACACTCGGAGCTCGTTTTCTTGAGCCTTCAGTGTTGTCACAAATGGGGAAAGAATAGTCAAGTTACTAAGCTGATTCTTTCGTCTCGTCTCGGTGTACAGAAATAGAACCCGTATAGGCACTCCGCACTTAGACCCCGCGGCGGTGATATCTCCGTCAATGTCAGACGAGCCAAGACATGAGCTGAAGCACAAGGGTCGTTATAGCTTGTGACATAAAATGGTTCCTCCAGTCCGAGTGCGATCCATGGCATAACTCGACGACCGAGCTTGCTTGATCAGGTAATGGAGATAGCAACCACAAAACCGCAGCTAACTCCTGTACTATTACCAAATCATCATAAACATATTTATTGCCATGACTTCCAAGAGGCCAGTGGTTCTTCGCATAGGCGAGGACATCAAGTACAATCATGACTTTTACAACAACGTCTTTACTCAAAGATTCGACGTCATTGCAAACGAAGAGCCAGATCGGGAATCATTCATCAAAGCCCTGAAAGAAAATAAGTAAGCTTTCAGTGACATGTCGGTTCCCTTGGACAACACCTAATGAATTGACAGATATGGCCAATTCTCAGCGATATATCGCCCACATTTCCAAACAGGTGGCGAGATGGGTCAATGGGACGACGAGCTCATTTCGCTTCTCCCCTCTTCAGTCCGCATCTTTGCCTCCGCTGGCGCAGGCTTCAATTGGGCTGATGTTGACGCACTTGGCCGTCGGCGTATCTGGTATGCCAACGGCGCCGGTGCTAGCGACGAAGCTGTCTCTGATACAGCTCTCTTCATGATCTTATCCGTATTCCGTAATTTCTGGCAATCACAGCGCGGTGCACGCACGTGTGATCCTGAGCAATTTCACGCCATGCATAAGCTCATCGCAACCATATCCTACAACCCGCGTGGCCACATCCTCGGCATTGTCGGCCTGGGGAATATCAGTAAGCTGCTGGCCAGCAAGGCACGATTGGCACTTGGTATGAAGATTCACTACTACGACGTGGTCCGTTCCCCACCGGAAATAGAGGAAGAGCTCCAAGCCACATACCATTCATCCCTCCACGAGCTTTTAGGTGTCACCGACTGTGTTACCTTGCATACCCCTCTCAACGCGCATACGCAAGATCTTATCAACACAGAAGCGTTCGCGGCTATGAAGGACGGTGCGAGGCTTGTCAATACAGCGCGGGGACAGATCGTCAACGAAGACGCGCTGATCAAGGCGTTGAGAAGTGGCAAGATCTCAGCCGCAGGGCTGGACGTGCATTATCATGAGCCTCAAGTGTCAAAGGAGCTGGCAGCGATGGATAATGTCACGCTGACATGTCACAACGGTGGGGCGGCAATTACGACAAGAATAAACTTTGAGCTGATGGCTATGGAGAACATTCTGAGGGTGGTAGAGGAGAATGGGGAGTTCTGTGGCGAGCCCACCACGGCGGTGAATCGCAAGTCTTTCGAGGAAGCCACTAAATAGAGAGAAAGACGCTCGTGAACTAAGGGTAATCTTACACAGCAGTCAGCCTTGCGGAAATATCACGGGTCAATCAATGAGTGGACATGAGCTCGTAGGACCAGGAAAGCTCAATTGTCAGCTTAACGCATGTTTACTGTATGCCTTTAGTTCAAAAATTTGCAGGTATCTTAAGCCAAACTATCTGTTGCAACCCTCTTGCGCACAGGGTCTTGCTCCACGTATCGATCTCGGGCGATAAGTCCTACCAGAGCACCAGTGAGCTACCACTCGACTGCAGAGGACGCAACAGAACATTACGGCAATATTCCCGGAATTACATTAGCTTCCCAGTCGGACATCTATCCGCCAGTTGTAGTTTCAAGTGCTTATGATACCGGTGATCCTCCCGAGTGGTCGTCTGCCTACATCTCTAGTCGATCTTCTGAGGGTAGGATCAGCACATGGAGCCACTTCCCCAGGTTTACCCCAGGTCTACCCCGCTAGAAAGGCATGGCTGTTACTCCACGCAATAACCCAGTGCTGTTGATCCGATGTATATAACCAGATGCCACCATTCGGTTCCCAGATTGAAGAACAGTAGGGTACAAGGGCTTCTCAGCATCCTTTCAAAGAAAACACTTCATAACATGTTCCAGGCTGTTGCTGAGTTCCTCAAGCCCAAAGCGGCCATAAAGACGCAGCACTATGCGCATCTCAAGAATAACACGCACAGAACTTGGTACAAGGATGCAGGTCTCCGCAAGAACGTGTGGCATTGTGTAGGCTTCTACTTTGCGGTCTTTTATCTTGGGGTATGTTTTGACAATCGGCCACCCTGGTAGAGGCTGACATTTATCCAGTATGATGCATCTCTTATGAATGGACTCCAAGCGATCCCCGAATGGGAAGCATACTTCAACAATCCATCCGGAGCAACTCTGGGACTGATCTCGGCAAGTCTCTTCCTTCCTGCTATAATCACGCCATTCATAGCCTCTTGGATAAATGGTCTTTGGGGTCGAAAATGGTGCTTAGCTGTCGGTTCCATCTTGTTGATCCTCGGTGCGTTTCTCAACGCATTTGCCAAGAATATCGGAACATTCATCGGCGGACGAGTCATCATTGGTGCCGCGGGACCATTCGGAAAGATCACGGGCATTGCGCTACTTCAAGAACTTGCGCATCCTCGCCTACGGCCCTACGTCGCAACTGCGTATTACAGTAACTACTACGTTGGCCAGATTGTGGCGGCTTGGTTCTGCTACGGCACACTGTCTTGGCCGTCAAGTCAGTGGAGATGGAGAGCTCCCTGTCTCTTCCAAGCTTTTGCCCCTGCTGTTGTCCTCGTTCATCTGCTCTTCGTGCCTGAGAGCCCTCGATGGCTCGTCGACCATGACCGATCGGAAGAAGCCCTCAAGGTTCTGGCCGATGAGCACGCCAATGGCGACATAGACGACGAGTTGGTTCGATACGAGTATGATGAGATTTGCCGTGCTCTCCAGCTCGAGAAGGAAAGCAACAATGCCAAGTACAGTGACTTCCTCAAGACTCCTGGCAACCGTCGTCGACTACTCGTGCTCGTCACCATGGGCACGGGTTCTAACTGGGTTGGTAATGGCATTATTGCTTACTATCTATCTCCAGCATTAAAACTCGTCGGTATCACATCCTCCAGCTCCATCGCTGGTATCAACGGCGGCATGGCGATCTGGTCTCTCATCTGGGCCTACGCTGGTGCCATGAGTGCCGAGCGTCTCGGTCGCCGTACACTCTGGATCACAGGAACAGCTGGCATGTGTGTCGCTTACACTATAATCACTGGTCTTAGTGGTTCCTTCGCCGAGAACCCGTCTCGGAGTGTAGGTATCGCTGTGGTGCCGATGATGTACATCTTCAAGACTTTTTACTGCATCAGCTGGTCCCCTTTGCCGTTTGCCTATGGCGCTGAGATCCTGCCATATAATCTGAGACTTAAGGGCTTGAGTATTGAGCTCAGTGTACAGAGTGTTGCATTGGCATTCAACCAATGGGTCAACCCTGTGGCTCTTGAAGCAATTGCTTGGAAGTAGTAAGTCGGCCCCAAAAAGTCCAATATTTTTACAGTTACTAATATTTGCTAGCTATATCGTTTACATCGCTGTCATCGCCATGTATCTTGTTCTTATCTTATTCTTCTTCCCGGAGACCAGGTACGTCTTGTCTGAGATGCACTAAGTCAAATTCACCACTGACTTTTCCCACAGGAATATGACCATTGAGGAAGTCTCCGTCCTGTTCGACACCGGACGAAAGGGCGATGCAGCAGCAGCAACCCGCAAGTTCCACAATAGCACGAAATTGGATGACATGCTTGAGGAGGTCGATGATCCTGAAAAAGAGGGAACAGTTCAAAGGGTTGAGAAAGCTTAGACGTATTAATGCCAGCCAGCTAAAAATAGCCAAATATTTGGTGGTGAGAGTCTGGAAGATAAGAAATTAGGGAACAATTGAAGGCAATACTATGAAGCCAAATGTTCTACGTGTTTGATGTGATCAGCCATACCGTCCACCTGTGTGATCCACATTTACAAAGCTCGTTAAAGGTTCAGATGGGTGATTGGTGTAGGTTACACCACAGTTTACTGGAAAATGTTATCCGTTCAGTAATGCAGTAATGTTTACTGATATCTTGGCAAACTAGAAGAGGTTTAGCTCATTGGTATGTCTCTTCCCTGCTCGAGCGGATCTTGGCCAGGAACCCTGCGAAAATCCGGCCCATGGTCCCAATTAACGACATGAACTTGGTGTAGATAACCGGATCGTAATGCAGGATGATATTCAGACTACAGAACCTTATCAACCTTAAATCAAGATTCTGGTTTTAATACCATGCAATAAACAAATGCATTTCTCCGAGACCTATAATAGTGACATATTATTGCCCACGCGATTAATCAATGCGTCATTAGACATGAATAGTCAGCTTTGCTAGCAACGACCCCTGTCACGTAAGCTGCACGCAACCAAGCGTGCCAATTCCAAGATAAACCCCATGCACAATACGAGGCGTTCTTCTGCACGTGTGCTCATGATGGCTGCATACCCTGACCTAGTCTTGCGGTGGCCACCGGGATTTATTGTCAAGTTGACTTTCGCGGGGAGTATCGAGGCCAATGAGCCAACACCACGAGATCTTACATACATTGAATGCTGACCGACCTGCATTGCCGTCTTAGTAAGGTCTGATAAGATGATGTCAGGAACAAACCCGTTCACTTGTTCTAGAGACTATTTAAGGCGATGAAGGATCTCATTCGACGCCACGTTCTGCCTTTGGGTGTATCTTCGAACGCACAGGTCTAAACACTATCCTCAGTAGTTCAAGCCTCAAATATCGTAATCACCATGCTGTCTACACTTCGAAACGTCCTCGCCATAGCGGCAATGCTGGTCACATTGTCGGTCACACCGGCCGCTGCACTCCCCAACATCCGCGTGCTGCCTTTAGGCGACTCTATCACAAAAGGAACGGGTTCTTCAGGACTAATTGGCTATCGCGGGCCATTGCGACAAAAGCTCCTCAATCAGGGCGTCAAGGTCAACATGGTGGGCACGTTAAAGAATGGCAATATGGTGGATGGACACCACGAAGGACACAGCGGAAAGCTTCTTTCCGATATCAACGGATACTGGCAAATGCCGATCAAAGCCCGGCCCAACGTCGTACTCATCCACGCCGGCACCAATAACATGGACCGCGGAATAGATCTCGACATCGCAGCAAGCATTATGGCTGATATTGTCGACGGGATCTTCAAAGTCGCTCCGGACGTCACCATCTGCCTTGCACCTGTTATCTGGGCCAACGACGCCAAGATGCAAGTAAACACCGACAAATTCAACCCTAAGATCAGGTCGCTTATCGCTGCGAGACAAAAGTCTGGCAAGCATATCCTGGAAGTGCCGATTGATATCAAGAAAGCCGATCTTGGTGACACGAAACATCCTAATGACGATGGATATGAAAAGATGGCTGATGCTTGGTTGAAGGCAATTCTCCAGGCTGATAAGAAGGGTTGGTTGAAGATGCCTATCAAGATGAGTCCCGAAGATGCTCCTGGAACTGGCTTGGGGGCATAATGAAAACGAGTGGGAAGTTGTTTGGAATGTTGGAGATAATACAGGTGAACACGAACATGATTTTATGATAATGAGAGAGGATGGGCACATTGATGTTTCCTTCGCGTCCAAGGCTTTGTGACCTTACGCATTGTACCACGAAATGATAACGATTAATGTGCCACGCCTAATAAAGACATGATACATCAATTTCCGCTCTTGCATCGCTCGATGACATGCTGATAGTTGTGCCACAGCGAGTTGTATTTGGAAGGTTCCCAAGGCGTGAACCCGTGCACGAAGTAACAAGCTTCTGGCTTCAGGGCCTCAGAGAGCGGGGAATTGACACCTTGGGTGGTTTTGCGGAGTGGCTTGGCTGCGGAGCGGAACAAGTACATCCGGATTTAGATGACGGAGCCTGTAAACTCCGGCTTCTATCCCCGGTTCTGCATGATACTCAATTGAATAAAAATAAAGAGATAACGCCCCTCATTCACTGTCCATCGACATAGAATCACCCAAATCCCTTCTCAAGATCACCATGGCCACAAAGTCACTCATCGTCGGCGGCACAGGCGGCATCGGCTACGCTATCGCCTGTCGCATCGCCTCAAGCTCACCGTCATCAACTGTCATTATCAGCGGCCGCAATGAGCCGAAGGACATCCCTCACTCAAACATTCAATTCCGAGCCCTCGACGCAACCTCAATGCGCTCAATCAAAAAATACACCGACGAGTTCAAGACGTCGCAGGATCGCATTGGCACTCTTGTCCTCACCCAGGGTGTTCTGACAAGCGCTGGCCGAACGGAAACGCCAGAGGGCATCGATCGCAAGATGGCGCTTCATTACTACGGACGACAGCTGCTTATCCGCGAGTTAACGCCGGCTCTTACAGACGACGCCAGGGTGTTGATTGTGCTAGACAGTGTGCGTGGCGGGCCTGATAAGCTCAATTGGGATGATCTGGATCTCAAGTCCACCTTCAGCCTCGGAAGCGCTGCTGCGCATTCCCTCTCCATGACCGACGCCATGATCCAGAATTACGCTACAGAGCAGAAGCTCGAGGGAAAGTCACGACATTTTGTTCACGCGATGCCTGGCGTGGTCAACACAAATATTGCGCAGTCGCTACCTTGGTATATGCGTATTCCTGCATCGGCTGCAGCCAGTCTCTTGGGTACGTCGCCTGATACTTGTGCTGAGAACATGGTCAAAGGACTGGATGAGGTGGCAAAGGGTGATAAGAACTATGGTTTCGTTAATGAGAAGGGAAAGGTGTTCGAAAAGAAAGCTTGGAATGAGGATCAGGTTCAGAAGGTGAAAGATCACACCTGGAAGATTCTGGATGAAGCCTTGAGTAAGGCTTAGTTCTATTGATACGCGTCTTTTGGGAGCATTGGATTGTAATTATGGCGATTGGATCGTCTCATGGGTGGTATCTCAGATTGACAACGATACCCAACTGAAGCTGACACTGCAAATGCCGTGTTGGGATAATAGCTGAATGAAAGGGAGGACAGTGTAACATCTTCTTTCGACAAACAAAAATTAATCTTATGTCCCACCCCAAACGAGCATCAACGTGCTTTTCTTTGTTTACACCACTCCCTGCATTCCAGTAGCATACATCAACACCGCCAGCCCCAACGTCGGTTTCTATAAGCGCCCGCCACTCTTACATATGCAATCCGCAAAAGTTCAAAAAGCAAATTCCGATCAACTTGGATCTTGTTGTGCCACGTCAAGGGATCGAACCTTGGACCTTGTCATTACTTGTGATGGCATACCATACTAGTGACACGCTCTACCACTGAGCCAACGCGGCGCGTTGTGATTGGTTGAGGACGCCAGTTGAAAAAGACATACTCGAATCTCGTCACAAACCACAATCATTATTTCATGTTTTCTTAGCCTTACCATATGGCGAGACATTGTTGCAATGATCTAGCTTCACAGAATGCTACTTATTAGGTATGCAATCCATGGCGTATGCGTAGGACACCGCCTGAAATTGCACCAGTGAAAAGTGCTTCGTCCTCAACTTCCGTGCCAGGATTGATAACTTATCCTAAACACACAATCGAAGAAGGGTTGAAATTGATGAACAATAAGTGTTTCTCATATTACACAGCATATCGCCATGTAATTTAAATGGTGATGCCTCAGGACTGTCAATGAGTTTAAAAACCGATGAGATTCCGAATCAATAGGGTAGCCAGCACGCGCTTGCGTGGAATTGCAGTGTCGCACGAATTTGTGTCAGATCGATGAAGGAATGTCAAGTGAATACCGTACGGACGGACTAAAATTCCTATTGATGGAAATTTCCATATTTATTATTTGGCTATTGGCCCGTCATCTCGTGGGGGGGTTCAGATAGCACACCGTGATTCATTCGTCCTTTCCAGGGTTGATAGACGTTGAAACAAGCATCTTCTCCGAGGGCCAACGGTTCTCGCCTAACCCGAGCACCCGTGGCGAGAATCACAAGCCAGAGCAACCAAACTGTGGACCTAACCGCGGAACAATCGGTTGATCGCTGCAGACATGATCAGATCGATACAGCTTCTCTCCCCCCGACCATCTTATCAATCAGTGGATCACCGACCTCGGATGCATTGCCAAGCCGGTTATCACGGGTGAGTCGATCGTTCATTGGCCATGGACGATCAACTTCCTGTTCTGTCCGTCTGGCGCCGTGTGGCTGCAGGGGACGTTGTCTAGCACGGCGGTCCAGCATGTTAGAGCACTAACAGAATTTGGTGTAATACGCTGTCAATTTAGTTGATCAATTATTATCGTACGACGATCAATTTCCATCTTTCATCATCGCGAGATTGATAAAGATTTCTTGTAGTCATAATTACCTAAATTGGCCTAACCCATGCACTCAGCGGCACAATCAGTGTGTAATAACGTGGGGACGTTTAGTGTCGTCGGCTTGAGCACCAAATGAAGACAATCGGACAAGAAAGGTCTGAACAGGTATGGCGAAGAAAGCAAATTTTCATCTTTAATACCTCACCGAAGGACAGCCTTCCCTCGATTAGCCTTGGGTTTATCACTCCCATGCTTGTCCACACTGTCTCCCTTGGCTCAAACTTCCTGCACATCTGATACCATCCACGCAGCCCAGGTGCATATTGAGTAACCATGGACATCGACAAGAAGACCCCGGATGTAGAAGCGGGCAGGGAGTCACCCACCATCGAACCAACACCTCTCGGGACCAACAACGATGCAAATGCCGACGCCAAAGCAGCCTTTGAGACACGCAATGTCGGTACTCTGAACCGAAAGCTCAAGTCTCGACACGTGCAATTCCTCGCCTTGTCTGGAGCCATCGGCACAGGTCTCTTTGTTGGCAGTGGCCAGGTCCTGTCTCTCGCAGGGCCCCTCTCAGCCTTTTTAGCCTACACCATCACGGGCTTCAACATCTACTGCGTACTCAACAGTGTAGGCGAGATGGCAGCTTGGTTACCTATTCCCGGCCCAGTTCCCATTTTCGCGGCCCGGTTTGTTGATCCCGCTCTTGGGTTCGCTCTTGCTTGGAATTACTGGTACCAATTTGCCATTGGAGTCCCCATTGAAGTCACCGTCTCGGCTGTGATTGTCAATTACTGGCACAACGACGTCTCTCAAGTCGGTTTGATTACACTCTTTTACTTCTCCATGGTGCTCCTGAACTGTCTGCCAGTACGAATCTATGGAGAAGCCGAATTCATCTTCGGTGCGATTAAACTGTTAACCATTGTGGGACTGATCATCCTGATGTTCATTATCACCGTCGGCGGTGCCCCCAATGGCGAGGCAATTGGTTTCCGCTACTGGAATCACCCAGGACCGATGAATGAATACCTGAAAGAAGGTGCTCTGGGAAGATTCCTCGCATTTATCAAAGTATTCATCACGGCAACCTTCTCATATGGCGGAAGCGAGATGGTAGTCATGGCCTCTGGAGAAACCGAGAACCCTCGCCGGAATATTCCAAAGGCTATCCGCCGCGTCTTTTGGAGAATTGCAATTTTTTACGTTCTCTCAATCTTCCTCGTGGGCCTCTGCGTCTCATCCAAGGACCCTGGCTTGCTTAATGCCATCAACAAATCCGCCCCTGGCGCTGCGTCGAGTCCATTCGTGATTGCGATCCACAACGGTGGTATCAAGATCCTCCCATCCATCATCAATGCCGTTATCCTGACGTCGGCTTGGTCTTCGGGTAATTCGCTCTTCTACGCAGCGACCCGTGTTCTCTATGCCGCTGCTCTCGACGGCAAAGCCCCAGCTATCTTGGCCTGGGAGAGATTTGGTGTGCCTTATCTCTGTGTCGCTGTCACCACCGTCTTTGGATTGCTTGTCTATCTAAATGTCAGCAACAGCGGCGCAGAGGTGTTCTTCTGGTTCAGCAACTTGAGTGGCGTTGGAGCGCTCATCATCTGGGCAAGTGTCTCTTTCACATACCTCCGTTTCTATTACTGCCTTCGCTATAACGGCATTGATCGCAATACGCTGCCCTTCAAATCGCCACTACAACCATACCTCGCTTATTTTTCCTTTTGCTTTTGTACTATTGTGGCCGTCTTCAATGGTTTTGATGCCTTCTTTCCCGGTCGTTTCAGCGCCAAATCCTTCTTACCACCGTACATCAATATTCCGATTTTCTTGGTTTTGATCTTCGGCTATAAGTTCATCAAGAAATCGAAGTACGTCAAGTACTCTGAAATGGATCTGTGGTCTGGCAAGGCCGAGATTGATCGCTTGGAGTCGACCTGGCCAATTGTTCAGCCCAGAAACTGGCTTGAGAGAATCTGGTTTTGGATTGCCTAAAGTATGGTGATTGTCCAGGGAAGAGCTGCCGGGTGGAATGGATTTATATATAGAACCGCTTTACACAGGAGTATGAATAAAAGGGTATATGGAACTCTGGTCAAGGAAGGTTACGGATCGTTGGAGGCTTAAAAGAAAATATTGTTATTCAGCTAAGAAAATACAGGTCCCGTCATATAGTTTGACAAACATGTGACTAAAGTTGTTTTACTTATCGCCCCTTTGCTTCCCAATTTGGCTAACCCTGTATTTATTGAACCGGAAGCACTCAGGCATGTTCGTGGCACTCCAGGGTTCGCCCATGATGAGTTTTGCTAATCCAGGAGCGCATTGGAAAATTCGGGCCATACCTTTATACTGGTTAGCTAGTTTAGACAAGGATCTTGAACAACTCACCATGTCCATTAAAACCAGCGCAAATCCACTGGCCATCCAATCCATCAATGGGTCCAACGAGTGGCACAGCATCGGGAGTCTCTCCAACGATTCCGGTCCAAACATGAGAGAATCCTTCTCCGTGTCGTTCTGTTTTCACTGAAGGTGATCCAAAAGCCAGCACTGAGAACTCATCGATGCTATTTGCCATAATGCTGGGGTTGTGTGTTGAGTCATCAAATGTGAATCTGTCTTTGAGGTAGTCTGGAGTCCAATCTGAGTCTTGTCTAGATGCCCCGCCCCCAAGAATGATCATGCCATCCCTGAGTGGGTTGACGGAGAAAAAGTGCTTGGGCCCATATCTCAGAGACATTGTGCTTCGCAGAGTATTGGCACCGGACAAGGAATCTGGAGGTACATATGAATGGCCCTGTGCTCTTCTTGGTTTAATAGTATCAGCCAACTCCGGAAGCAAGAATGCCGCGTATGCATTGGTACAATGGATCACAGTCTTCGCCGACACAGTTCCCCGTGGAGTGGTAATATCCCACCTCATGCCAGTTGAGGGTGAAGCTTTGTGCTCTAGGATCTTGGTAGCAGGACAGTGTGTCCAGAGCTGGCCGCCCTTTCGAATTACATCACTCAAAATCCATTGGCACAGCTTGGCCGGGTGGTTGGATGCCGCAGGCCATTCATACGCACACAAGGCCGCAGGAAGTCTGGTCTTAATCTTGGCTTCTTCCCCGTCGTAGAATCTGATGTGGGATACATCGCCACCAGCGTCACGGAACGCGGCAAATGCACTGACTAAGTACTCCTTGTAGTCTGCGTTGAGACAGGCCTCGAAGGTCATGGTATAGTTGAAGTCGCAGTCAACATTGTTTGTTTCGACAAAGTCTTTAACGATCTGCAGTACAACTCTTTCATGCTCGAGAATCAATCTTGCCTGCTCAGGGCCGTGGATGGAAGAGAAGCGAGGGAAGCCATGGAAGGCATCTGCAAATGTAGTGTTAGGCATTTTCCACCAAAGGATCGACACTACATATGTTGAAGATGGGTGACTAACCCGGTCGAATGTGTCCTGCATTTCTACCAGTTGCACCCGAGACGGCCTCTCTTGCTTCGAGGATCAAAATATCCTCTCCAGCTATGCCGTTGTTGATCAGTTCCCAAGCGGTCAGAGCTCCGGAGATACCAGATCCGATAATGAGGTATTGGGTAGATAGGGGAACATCGGCGGAACTATTCTCATTTAGGTGCGGAAACGACCGGGTAGTTTGGTGCCAATGTGACAGGTTAGGAGAAGGGACAGGGAGTGAAGGTTGCATGGTGAAGTTTAGCAGGTTTGACGGAGACGCATATAAGATAAAGAATTTTGGAAAGACTCCAATACTGGAAAATAAATACTCTTAAGTAATGAAGTTACGACAAGTGTTTGGTGCGGGCAATGCCGCACCTCCGCATACAAGAGGAGGGGAAGTAGGAAAAGGCTCCGCATACAAAATCAATAGTGAGGGAAATGACCGCAGCCATGAGAAATACTTCCAACTATGATGAAGACAAGGCTTGCTAAGTCCAGTTTTCATGAGTCATATCCTGACCCAGTAGCGGGCTATCTCCATCTAGAGCCCAGACTTCCATATCATGGAACGCTCCAGGCTCCTGATTGTGACAGAAGTCAAATTCACCAGGGATTAGAAATTGAAGCCACGATTGTTCCCTTTGAGTCGAATTGTTAGCCGATCCAGTAAGCTGTAAGATCTGGGGCACTTACTCTGGAATAGCTGGGAGAGGCATCTCGCTCCCGGTGTGAGTTTGAGCCGACAGACTTGAGGTCAGAGCGCCTTCGTGCTGTGAGACACCAGGAATGAATGTGCCTTCATTGATCAAGATCTCAGCCTTGAGTCCCTCAAGCACTTTCGTAGCTGTAGTGTCAAAAGTATCTCGCTTGTCCTGATAAGACGGGAAGCGCTCCACCATTCCCCATAGCAATGAGGAGCAGCTGTGGACAAGTGACTCGAGCGAATCAAGCGTCATCATCTCTCGTACGCCCAGCGATCTTGAATATGCTACCATGAGAGCAGTCCCTGCGTTGAAGACGTTCTCAATAGACTGCCAGTAAATGGATAAATGCTTCTTGCGAAAGTGGTTCTGATATATGCGTATCATGTTACTTGCAACTTCAGTCATCGCCAAAGCTTGTTCTTCCGATGGGGTTGGGTTGTTGGGCGAAGGGCGGTAAAGGTTGAACAGTGCTGTGTTGCGCTTCGTTTCGAAACCGACTACAACTCGTCTTTCGAAGCTGGTCATGTTATCACCGCGTGGACTGTTATTGTACCATTGATCGATGCGCTGGTGCATGGTGGTCTGCCAGTCGCTTAAGTTGATTTGCTTATAAGGTACTGGTGCTTCCCAAAGCATTACTCGTAGTTCTGATTGGATCTGGCGGTATCGAAACATCTGCTGTGCGAGCTGCTTTGTCACACAGGGTGGTGTCGATCCAATTCCGTTCGTTGTTATCAAATCTTCAGATACTTCACTTGGGAACTAACGAACCATTAGCCTGGGTTGGTAGGTGAAATAATGGCTACCCACCAGAGATGATATCGCCCCATCTGATAGGCCAAACGGCAGTGACATGGCTATCGAGAGATTCCGATCCATCGAGTAAGCCACCCAAAACGTCCTTCTCCTTATATCGAGGGCAAGAGCATCAAAACCATTGGTCATATCCTGATGCAAGCCTAGCTCCGCGGCCAACCGAAGGGCTGCACCGACAGTTCTCCAAGCAGCCCAGAAGTTCGGGTGGAGATAAGAGTATTGCGCAACAAGGAGTAGTGCTTGGACGCCTTGAACATCACTCGAGACGGAGGTCAGGCTCAGAGCCTCTAGAGCCGTTCTATGATAACGATCTGCTAAGCATGTCGATACACTAGAAGGATCTTGCTTCTGCATGCTGAGAAGGGCTATTGCGAATACCTCTAGGACGAAGAAGACGGCTACTTTAGAATGAGTGTTGGAATGGGTTATCGTGAAGTTGATTGTGTGAGACATCTGATAGACTAGATCAAATTGCTGCCGAAATGAAGGTTGGTGTAGTAGAGGCATAGCTACGTCGTTGAACTGAAAGTATGCCTTGACAAGAGTCTCTGCGGTGTCCTTGCGTGGAAGAGTTATATTACCTGTGTCCAGGTCGCGCGACAGATCAATGTCCTGAACAGTTGATGTTGCACTCAAACTACTAGATCTCTTTTGGGTAGCTGATCTATGACGGGCGGGGCTAACGAGCTCTGCAAGAAAAACCTTTATATAGGAGTCGCAGTCCCTAGTATCAGTAGGTGTCGTGTGTGCCTCCACACTGACTAAATCCCGAGCTTCTGATACGGTTGCATCTGTCTGTGGTAGGGAACTGGGACTTTCGTGGTTCGTGACTGGGGGCATTATCTGAGATGTTGAACAAACTGTTGTAGGCAGGGTTTGCCCATCATCTCCATCGATGTGTATGCCATTCTCACGAAGCCTTCTTTCTAGATATTTGATACGACTCTCTAGCTGAGGAACGTAACTACAGCAAACCCACTTAGCATCGTCACATGTCAGGGTTTATTGGAGCGCAACCTTCGGGATACCTGCCGCCCCGCTTCACTATCGTAGTCGACACATTCCACCCCAGCAAGCTTACACAATCGGCAGGTCTGTCAGATTGAGACGGTATCGGTTAGACTTTCGTCTAGAATATCGGTGCATGAGATTGGGACTGACTGGTCGTTGCTGATCGCATCGCCGTTTCTTCTGACGACAACGAAGACAGGCCGTCATGTCGCCTGCTCTCTCGTTCGACCTGAGGACGTCGTATCTGGTTGTTCTGAGAGTCTCCGGATACTTTAGTAGAGCTATTTTGGTTTAGTGATAGCCCTGCGGTAATTGTAGAAAGAGGGTTGACCAGGGCGTACTCCCAAACCTGACTTGATTGATGGAGGGTAATGGCGTGAGTTAGTTATGCGGGGTTCTCCGCATACAAATCAGATGAGTTGTCAGGAGGCGGACAGGCACCGCTCACTACAAACGGAACGTGATGATTGGCTCTTACGGGGATCAGCCATCATCGTCAAGATTAAAGAATAGAGAGTCAAGATTCAAGATTGAATGGCCAAAATTACGGGAAGGTTCGATAGAGCAAATAAGTCTCGGCATTTTTTCATACTCTTTGCATCAAGTCAATTGTAGTAATACCAGCACATTGCATCCAAAGGGACTCAAACAAATGATCCTCCATTGGCTCCGATGACCTGTCCAGAAACCCACGAACTACCTGGCCCTGCCAAGAACGCCGCCACCTCAGCAATCTCCTCCGGCTTACCCAGTCGCCCGAGGGGACTAAACCCAGCAATCGTGTCTATAAGCTCTTGCGACTTTCCCTGGAAGAACATTTCTGTTGCGGTGGGACCGGGGGCGATGGCGTTAACAGTGATGCCTCTGGGTCCCAAGTCCTTGGCCAAGATTCGTGTCATCTGTTCGACGGAACCCTTTGTGGATGCGTAGAGGAGATATCGAGGTGCGACTTGGGATTGATGTACAACACCGCTGGAGACCAGAATGACTCGTCCACCACGCGGCATATGTGGGACGGCTTTCTAGCTGTTGTTAGTATGGCCTGATGGACATAGAGCCTGGGTACTCACTTGGACAAGGAAGTAGGGACCTTTGACGTTGAGATTGAAAGACTTGTCAAAAGCCTCTTCCGTTGTGCTTTCAAGGTCGTTCATGGGAGCACACGCAGCATTAGCCATGAGACAGTCAATCCGGCCAAATTTCTCCACAGTTGCTTGCACAAGTTTTTCAATCTCAGGTATGCTTGATACGTCAGCTTGAACAGCGAGAGCTCTGCCAGAGCCTATCTTTCTGACAAGTTCGTCTGCGGGTGCACTGTTGCTCGAGTAATTGATGACAACGCTGGCGCCGTCGGCCGCAACACGCTCGACTACGGCTTTACCGATGCCTTTGGTGCTGCCTGTTACCAGGAAGACCTTTCCTTTAAGCGACATGGTCCTGGTTAGATTTTGATTATACGTGAAGACTGGATGATGTTTAGGATATAAGTAACATATTGCGACGCAACGGGTGGCCTTTGCCTTTATACTGGGTGTGCCATGAGGTGGATGCCAGAGGCGTTAAGTCCAGCCTAACGCCGGTAGATTTTGACTAAAGAAAGCTCTGGATGTCAATATTCTCGCGACCGACGGAGGTAAGAGACTAAAACCAATCGCGAATCTGGGACCCTGAACTGCATCTCAATAAACGCGAAGGTCAATGATGTCAAAAGCGGTGTTACCAGATGCAGGTGCCGGCTAGACCCGCCCGCTAGACAGCTCCTGTCAGCACTAAAGCTTTAGTGTACATACTGAAAGAGGGATAGCGCTTTGAGTGACCAGGTTGATAATGCTGGGCTATTGGGCGATGGCACGTCCTTGGATGTTTTCGATTTCGAGCATCCAGTCGTGGTTTGGGCATCAATGAAGGATCACTCTTAGGTGTCGCATCAGAGACAATCCTCGACTAAGAAGCCAGTGCTAGGCACTATTGATAGCTTGTTGTGTCTAAGCTATCCGCATAAAGTACCTAGCATATTGGGCCAGGCAATTGTCTCCCAACTCCGAGACCTCTTTTGCATTCGCTCTTGAACCTCACCCCAAATCACTTTTGCCGCAGTATCACATGATATGGTAGACCAGAGGAAGGGCTCGAGAGACTCTTGTCTCACCATTTCCCAGTCTCTGAACTTCCGAGTGCTGGTACGCTTCTCTTCAATAGTGATCAAATGCTGGAGATACCACTCTCTCTGGCCATCGCCTACCTGCTCAGCGCAAAGAACACCCAGCATCCCGAGCCATATCAGGAAGTCAGATAAACCCAGGTCAATTGCGTGCGCCCTGTGATGCTCAATTTGGTGTCGAAGACGCTTTGCCAGTCGATGGTAGGGCGGTGCGTATGTAATGGGGAACGTCACACCAAGGGAAAAGATCAACAAGGCGGTTTGGACTAGCTTGTTAATCCACGAAATAATTTCATCCTGGCCGTCTTCTTTCTCCTCGGCCATTATAATCATTGCACCATCGTGTTCTTCAGGAAGAGTAGCAAGAAGTCGCTGCTGGATGAGGTCGCGGTGAGCAGCGAGAAGGGAATGATCAGAGGCGCGAAGGTATCCACACTGATGGGCTTCAATAATCTTGACCCAGGTCCTCATATCATACATGACTTCTCTTAACTCAACGGATAGCCCAAGCCCGCTCAGTGTGAGAATATGTCCTGGCGAATCTTCAAAATCAGCCTCGTGAGCGAAATATGCAGCATAGCCGAAGAACTTGGCTCTCTCGTGCGTTTCCTTGACCCGACTATAGATGCGAGAAACAGGCAAGTGTGGCTTGATAAGTCTTTGACTACCCCGTGTAAGATCCATATAATTGTAAGAAGCCTGGAAGCCTGCGACCTTGAGGTTGTGAATTCCGCCCTTGAGGTCGACCAGTCTCATGAGAGCCTTGGCATGAGTGTCTATATGCAACCTGCTGCCGAAAACATGGATCCACGACAGTTCTGCCAAAGGAGGGTCGAAAGCTCTCTTGGTGATGATATTCTCACTATCTGGCGTTATCTCAGAGCCAGTGAGACTTAGAATAGCATACATAGTCTGCTCCGGGATCTCTGACACAGGCTTTGAGATATCTCGTGATATGTAGCTAATTGCTTGATTATAATGCCACAGGCTGGACGTGTCGGTGATCCTGGAGTTTCGTCTGATAGCTTGGCTTACAGCAGCTTGCCAGAGAACTGCGTGAACCAGAGCCGGCCCTTGAGACACGAGAGCGTTGTAGTCGACTGCAAAAGGCGGGAAATGAAACGCCGCTGAGCCCATCTCGAATCCTGGCCAGAAGAATTGCGTGCAGTAGTGTAACAGCATGTTGGTGTGTGAGTCTACTATTACTTCGGGCATTGCACGGAGGTTGTATTGCGCTGATAGTACACGCTGGCTAATGTTTCTCACGCCGACATCCTTTACAACTGGTCGGCGCCTGGGTGGACTCTTTCCTGTTGCATCGATATCCTCAACATTTCGAGGGGGCTTGGTGCCGACTTTTCTGCGTTCGTGTAATGATCTGGCCAGATGCGACCTTGCGCTTGAATGCCGAAGTTCGATTTCTCGACGGCTCGTGATGTTTGCAGTCACCGCAGGTAGAAAGCAGAATTTCGCGTTGGTGCCAGAGGTTTTGCTGCTATTTCCGTGCATTTTTATACTCGCGGAGGTGATACCTTCTGCTGTAGAAGGCTTCCATCAAGATCGGGCTTGACTCTGACACTGGCATGAGGGGATCGTCATCGATAACTGTGAATGTGACTAGCGTGAGGCAGCTGACTCAGACCTTGACCCAAGTTCATTTCCATGCAAAAGTTCCGCCACGAGCCGGTTGGGGATATATCTCATAATATTTTTATATTTGCTTTCTCTTCATCCTTTACCTTCATCATGCCCAGGCTTTTCAGTTTCCTCTTTTATCAACAATAACATTGATCTCTTCCAGTAAGCTTAGAACTCAACAAATCAATAAAATAAAAGTCGCCCACGGCAACTAAACTATAATCATAATGTGTTTCCATATTGAGTTAATAGCTTAAATATAACAAGGTTACCCAACCACCACAACTCTATTTCCAAACGTCATGAAATACTCAACTGTTGGGGCCTCGACTCCCGTTCGAAGGTTCGGTCATTAGTAATAATATATTGGTAGAAATTTGGCAGGATCAGTCTCATATATGCACAAAGGATGGTCGGCCTTTGCCACATAGCAGTCGAGCACTTCATGGAAAAAAGAATTCGCATTCCAATTATGGAGGCTTTCCCAACTTCAAGAATCTTTTAGTTTCTATCTGCAACGCCAAACTCGGCCCCCTGACGCCTCGCGGTTTCTACCCTGAGCTTTGCAATATCGTCGAACAAAACCGCCTTGGCAAAGTCCGTGACCTCGTTGTTAAATCAACTGATTATTCCAGGTCATCTACTTGGTAGGTAAATGACACAAATAAAGCTTTGGTGGATATTTTGTCATATCCTCGACCCGGTCGAACTCAGGTTTGACAGGGGTTGGACTGTCCGCATCGGGTCTGATACGTTCTCCCTTCCTCTTTGTCTTTTCATAGAGCGGTCCGATACTCTCCAAAGGGAAGAGCCAGAATCCTATAGCCAGCTGCGGTGCTTCTCTAGACTCTTCGGCTATCTCCCATACTCTCCGACGCTTTTTAGAATAAGCCAGATCCTCCCCCATCCACTCATGCACGCCTCTCCTGTTGTTGTTGGCTATTTGCGCACGAGTGAGATGATTAAACAATCGCGTTTCGCCATAGCATAGCTTGAAGCTCGAGTTTCTGCTTAGGCTATCATTCTTGATTCCCAGTTTCATCAGTAGGTAGGACCAGGCACGAACAGCTATGCGAGGATCGCCAGGTCCAAGGTAGACTCTCTTTAGATCGTTCATAATCGGTCTCGGGTCGGCCTCCAAGCAATCAACCCCTCCAGATTTCCCGGCGATAGGGACAGATCGATTCAACTCTCCACCGGTACCTGGGAAGGCGGATACAATACCAGAAGGGTAACAGGTTATTTCTCGAACAAATATGATGCGCTCCAGTCTTTCAATACATTCTTTGAAAGCTTGGTGCCGTCCTGGTCGTGAGTGGATAATCCGTAGGGCGCTTTGCATGGTAAGATCTGCAGAGATCCCGATACTGACGAGGCCAATCTTTTTCGGGTCTTTCTTCCAGACATCAGAGGCAAACTCATCAAAGCCCTTGAGACTGCCCACGATTATGTTGATGTTTATGGTATCCAACTCAGGGCACAGATAGAGCGTTCCATTCACCATAGTCTTGTCTCTCCTGAACGAAACACTGTGTAGTCGAACGCGGTAGAACTCTTTTGCTTCCCTCCGTGACTCGGATGTAGTATGAAAGAGCGCACTCATACCCCCTCCATTGAGGACAGTGGCGGTGTATCTACCCAGCGATGGGCCAAACGGAGTTGCATTGCCCGTGCTGGTTTGTTGACGATTCTGTGGGGGACTCTGCAGGTGATAAGAGTCAAAAAGCTCAACATTGATGATCCGCTCATAAGTCATGGCATTTTGCCATATCATACATCGAATCTCGGAGGGCAAGTTGGGGAACAAGGGAAATGAAGCCAGTTCGGGAGCAGGATTCAGAACCTGCGAGTGCTGGCGGCCTGTCTCTTCGGAAGACTGAGTAAATAACATGATGAAGCTGGTGACGATTAGTAACGGATGATCAAATAGCCTTGTTGATTATCTCGGCAAGGTACATCAAAGATGTGGAGGTGATTTGAATGCCTCTGACACATAAACGTATAGATGAAATGAAGATTACTACTGAGAGGTCACGGCATTTATATACTTCACGAATATTCCCTCATAGGCTGAGTGACAGAAGTTAAATCAGGCGGAAGTCTAATTGCTATAAATTTTATCCCCTCGAGTCGAAATGGGGAGGGGACCTATTGAAGGACTCTGCTTAACGAAATCTTCAAATAAACTTCAACCTTTCTCGATTTATTACCAGTTGCAAGTGATGCACCGGTCATTGTCGAAATTTATGAAAAACCTGAAACCTTCTCAGTTTGGATATAAATTGTAAGTGATGCAGCGCCAGTGGTTGATCCGGCGACAGTGATAGTGGCACATATTACCGCAGGATAAATCAACTTACTACAGGTTAATCCGTGAAAGTCCTTATTTGCAAGGCTAATGATTTGTAGTCATCTTGTCGTGATTCTCAAAGTAAACAAGCTGCCTTGATATTGACCTTGCGTAGCACCACCCCCGCAACATGTCACGCAAATAAATGTGTGTAATTTGGACAAACTTTTTAGTCGCTCTTTTTCTATTGTCTACACAATGATGCTAGCAACGCACAGATCCATGATCATCTGATGTATCGTTCACTTGAAAGGCAACATTTGACTTTTTGATGCCATGCACGTGGTTAATCTTGACATACATTTGAACTCAAGCCCGATACTTATATGAAGTCTTAGTTAATATCACTGAGGCAACCCATGTTTTTTGGTCTGCTCTAGAAAAGAAATCGTATTATCTTAGTAATTGAACCGTTCGCCCTTGGACGGATTTCTCACGAGCCCTGCTCCCGCAAATCCAAGTCTAACAACACCATCACTCATCTCCCAAGCTCCATATCTCACCGGGCCAATATCATTAACAGCATTTACAATACCTCCCACGTTCTGATTCGGATCAACGTTTCTCATGAGATGCGACTCCTCACCAACAGTTCCAAAAGCATTTGCGATCTCCAGCGGATTCAAACTGACGTCTCGTCCCAGCTCCCACCAGCCCCAGAATGTTGGGAGGACTGAAAAGATACCGACGAGTGAGACTGCAATTGCTATCCACATCTTGTTGTAGTCCGTGACGTACACGAGTGCCGTCGTGCCACTGTCGTACTCTACATTTTGCTTATCGGTTGTGTTGTACTTCGCATATTGTAGACTTGCTCGGAAGCCCAGATCGCGAGTGAGCTCGATGATATCATTCATGGGGTTTTCCCAGGTATCTTCACATCCAGGAACTGTGCCGTTCATCGTCAAGTACTGTGTAGCAGGCAACCCATTTGAGCTGACGTCGTAGCCTGTAGCGCCGGTGAACGTCATGAAGGCTTCAGACTTGTAAAGAGCTTGGACGATCATGCTGAAGCCACCCAGGATGTTGCCTGAACCGCTGGCTACCATCATAGCGGGCATCATGTATCTATCTTCTCGTTAGCAGCCAGGTCTGGAACTAAGGTTGGTCGACAACATACTTGCGTTCAGTGAACTTGTCGTCTTTCCAAGTTCCTTCAAGCTCGACTGTCTTCCCGTTCATACGTACAGGAAACTTGGTTATTCCCGCGTGTAGATCGCAAGTCTGAATCTTAACCTTTCCGCCACACTGATGGGTATCTTTATAGAGAGTCGTGTAACGAAGAAACGAGCCGTCAGGCATAGCATAAACGCTGTAGTCACTGTACTCTGTAATATTGACCTGAAAATAATACGCGCCTTGCATAGCTTTCGTGAGACTATCACCGATAGTGAGATTAAAGTCGCGAGTGGTGTCGGTGCAGTTGACATCGAACCCAAAACCTTGAACAGATGTTGTACAGTTGGTGCAGCTCGTATCAAACACGGCCATGTCATCTCGGCGACTGTAACCTTGCGCAACGTCGCTAAAGTTCTTGGTGAGTAGAGAGGTCGAGTGAGTACGACCAGTCATGATGGAGGCGTAGTTGGTGGGTAGTTCGCGGGCGATGTGAAAGTTGATTGTTCCTTTTTGCGCCTCGTAGTGGTTTGTTGTGGCAGAAGCGCGTTGCATTAGAGGGCCGCGGAGAACGGACAGAGTCATCAAGATAGAGGCTATTGTCATGTGAGAACTAATACACTTGTCGGACTTGAAAGGTAGATTATACCTAAACCAAGAGTCTTTGACTTCCAGGTGAACAAGTTCAAGATGGCTTGTATTATGCCAGTCGACGAGCCATATACAGCTTGTAGTTGTTGTAACTATTGATGGTCAGCAATGATATTTCGTCGAGCACATGACATTCACACTTACCGTCACTGGCTTTCCAGCCGCTCGCCAATACGAGATAGCCGCCCCTTCAGTGAACGCAACAGCAAGGAACGCGCCAGACAACGCAGAAGTCAAAGCAAGCCAGACCGTCGGCTGGATGTGTTCGTCCCAATTCGACACAGGCACACCGTCACTATAGACGAGAATGAGAATAGCTGCTACAGTTCCGATGAGCGCCAACAGCCACATGCCAAGCCCGCGGTATGGAAATCGCTTCCAAAATCCGGGGAGCCACGGCTGGCTGAGTCTGGCATACTGCGCAGCGAATGACGAGGGCATGTCTTCGAGACGATGCCAAGGCCCCTTATCGCCGGAGGGGGCTGCGCCTACGAATTCATCCTTCAAAGGCCAAGGCGATGGGATAGGGTTGGGGTCCAACATTATGAGAGAGCGAAGACTTGGCGATTTCGCTTCACATCGACAGAGGGTACGGGCGTAAATGCAGAATGTGAACTAGGCAATAAAAGAGTGTGGTAGCCGCTGTTTTCCAAACAGGCGACAGAAAGACCAAAATCAGTGCTTCAAAAGAAAGAATAGGCCGCAACAATGACCAGCAAAGGCATCAGACGTTGAAGAGATCAGATGAAAGGAAAAGAGCCTTCGATTTCATAGTCCAAAAGGAGTAAACAGAGAACGAGAACCAGGTCCTGCATGAAACAACAGGGGCCCGGGGGTCAGATCTGTCAAATCAGCATAGACCTTCTGGTGGTTTTTAGGTGTAAAAACTGGAGACCGGAATCTTCAATACGAGAGCTAGCGTTTGTTATGACTTCATGGTCTCCACTAGAATGAATTTTAGAGCCGCTGTCTCCGGTACTTGTTCCCACCATGATTGCGATCTTCGCTTTATGAAGAGGCTAGCACGGAGTAGTGCATTTCCGTACATAATTAGCACAACTCTTACCGCCCTATTTTGTCGCGTGTGGCTTTGTTGCATTCCAAGCACTGATGTGCCGATACCGGTGTAGTATCAACGAGATGGGATTATACAAGACCGCGTATCCTCCTCATGGGATTCCGCGGCATGTTCCATCAATTAATTGTTTATAAATTGGCTCCATTTTCGAATGCCTGTCTGTCTATACGGAAGTAATATTGACCGCCACTCTCATACAACCTGACCTTTCCTTTCACAGATGCCAATCAGATAATTAATCACACTTCCTTTTGTTCTCAATCATGATATGCTCCTTTTACCCCAGAGCTGGTTGTAGTTGTGCAACATGATCAGAAGAAACTAGCATCTACGGACAAAGATCTATCGACATACAAACTTAGAAACGACATGGAGTTGTGGAAGACAGCTTCTTGTAACACGTGGTCGTATCGATCAGTGTCACCCAGTTGCATAGAAAAATCACACCGCGTGTGTTCAAACCGTTGAAAGTCCATGTAAAGTCATCGGTTAGTCTGGCGATAAAACATTCCGGAATGCCCCTTGTGAAAGAAATTGGATAAAATTGCCAGTGACTTCGAATTTCATACGCGTAGTGAAACAACATTATCGACAGTGCCGTTCTTCAAACATACCAGTACGACAAACGACCATAAGAAAAAGAGCAAGAAAAGAAGGGCGCGGCAAAGAAATTCTGGGAAGTTCATGTGTTTGATGGTAAAGTCCGCAACCTCGACTTTCAATTGATTTTCGCTCAGGAGGTTCAAGCTGAAATTGTACAGATTCTGTACATGATCACGTTTTAAAAATTATTTAACAAAACAAAGCAGTCCGATCTCGACAGGTAGAGAGAAATAGCTAAACAGAAACCATTTTCGTCATTCGAACTATTATTGTTTACTCCGTACACTTCTAAAGAAAGGGATGTTTGGGGATACCCTACACCCGGCAACAAACCTTATCTTATCTTATCTCCTTTCTAGCGGCGAATCGTCCACTTATGATTGGGTCAGGATCCTCTGCCTGAGGAAGATCTGCTAATCTTAGCCAGCACCGGGTGATGGTTGGATGGCTCTGCCAATTGGAGAAACACAGCTGCTGAGCTGTCTCACGACTTCACGATATATACTATTTAAAATCAGAATTAAAACCCATCAACTGCGGATACTCAGCACTGATCTCTCTCCCCGAGTAGCCCAGGTCTTTTTCGACCAGTCAGCTTCAGACGATAAGCCAAACCAAAGCCAAGGCCGCCAAGTCTCGCCCAGAAGCTTGTCCAAGAAACCAGGCGCATTTACAAAGCCTCTAATTGGCCAATTTAGTTGCCTGCAATTAAGCCTCTTTTCTAGGCACCGTCATCCACAAGCACGGGTGGCGGAATCAGGGCATTCGAGGCCTTGGCTGCTGTTCCGCTACGTAGTGCACGTAGAATGTTCCGGGGGGATTGAAGATTCTGAGAAATTAAAGTTGGGCTTGGTGTTGTGTTGTTCAACGCTTGGTGCTTGGCATCATCCAACACTGACGTACTCTGCTCTTGGTATTGCATTTGGGGGAGTTGAAACGATGTAAATGTCCCGTAATCCCCTCTCGAGGGCGTAGAGAGGTTCTCAACTGAGTATTCTTCATCATCGCCATCATCCCTAGAACGTCCTCAATTGCATCTCCGATCATATTCATCGTGCAATGGCGGCGGGACACTCTCACCGAAAATCCATTGTAGCCGACCATCCAATCCGCTCCTCCAAAAACGTGAAATACCTCACCGACAAGGAAATCAACGAGTTCATCGATGATCTCGACCACGACAATGATGGCTACATAAACTACCAGGAAGTCGAGCGAAAGCTCGACCAGGAACACGCCGAGCTAGTCCCCAAACCAAGCGCCCACCACGTCATCCAACGCGACCATAGCGACGATGACCGCGCGCGCCATGCGTTCCTGCGCAGCATGATGGGCTCAAACACTGAGAAGATCCCGCGCGATGAGTTCGCGAGAATGGTGCGCGAGTGGAAGATTCCTTCGCTGGAACAGGCGAAGAAGGAGGAAGATGAGGAAAAGAGTTACATCAAGCGACTCCCCGGCTGGAGACGTATTCGTTCTTACTGGGCTGTACATGGCCCTGAGATTGTCTTTCTCGGCTTGGTCGTGGGCATGCAATTGGCGTTTGGCATCTGGCAACTGGTCAAGTATCAAACAACGCCTGGTTATCGCGCCGCCTTTGGCTGGGGCGTTGTCATGGCCAAGACGTGCGCTGGCGCTTTGTATCCCACCTTCTTCTTCCTCATCCTCAGCATGTCGCGATACTTTTCCACGTGGCTGCGCAGGTCGTACCACATCTCGCGCTTCTTCAACTGGGATCTGTCACAAGAGTTTCACATTCGCATCTCTTGTGTTGCTCTTCTGCTGGCGACGCTCCATGCGATTGGACACTTGACGGGATCTTTCGTGCATGGGAGTGACCCCAAGAATGAAGATGCCGTTGCAGCAGCCCTTGGACCTGATAAGGTTCCTCGGCCGTACATCGACTATGTCCGTTCTTTACCTGGCTTCACCGGTATCACCGCCCTAGGTCTTTTCTGGATACTGTTTCTGCTCAGCATGCCTCAAGTGCGAAAGTGGAACTACGAGATCTTCCAGCTTGGCCATTTACTGATGTTCCCCATTATTGGCCTCATGATGGCTCATGGTACCGCAGCATTGCTCCAGTGGCCTATGTTTGGGTACTTCCTTGCCTTCCCGACACTTCTGGTCCTTGTGGAGCGTGTAGTCCGCGTCTCCCTCGGCTTCCACCGTATCAAGGCCACCATGAAAGTCCTGGACAAGGAGACCGTTGAAATTACCGCCGTCATCCCCAGTGAGCGACTCTGGAAATACAAGGCTGGGCAGTATATCTTTCTTCAGGTTCCCGCCATTAGCTTCTTCCAATGGCACCCGTTTACGGTCTCGTTCTGCCGGGGCAACAAGATGATGCTGCATATCAAAACCGATGGGAACTGGACGGCCAAGCTTCGAGAGCTCGGTGGTGAATCTGGCGAGTCTGAGATCGAAGTTGGAATCAATGGTCCGTTTGGTGCGCCCGCTCAACGATTCTACGACTTCAATCACTCCATTATCATTGGTGCGGGTATCGGAGTAACGCCCTTCTCTGGTATTCTAGCAGATTTGCAGTACAATGACGATCTTGACCACGGTGGACCAAACCATGAAGTTGACAGCCAACGTCACGACTCTGAGGTAACGGCTATCGCTCCTAACAACAGTCGATCGGACTCGAGTAGCAGTGAAGCTGAGGGCAGTGACAATGTTCCCGAGTCTCCTACTCGCCAGGGTAGCGTTGGACCTGATCTCATCAACAAAGAAAAGGCTCCACATGCCGATATGGCTCGAACATTTGCGGAGGATTACCGACGCGTCGACTTCCACTGGATGGTACGTGAGAGAAACTACCTCCTGTGGCTCTCCGATCTCCTTAACGACGTGTCAATGAGTCAAGACTGGCATCGTGACCATGAAGTGCACCCACATCTCGACATCCGCATCAACACCCACGTGACAGCCAAGCGCAAGAAGCTCACCACGCATGTATACCGCTGGCTTCTCGAGATGCATCGCACCGATGAACATCCAGCCTCTCCTCTTACTGGACTTCTCAACCCCACGAACTTTGGCCGACCCGACTTTGATCAGATCCTGGATGAGCACTATGAAGAAATGCTCAAATTCAGAACCAGCAAGAGGAGTCTGACAAGACACAAAGAGGATGAAAACTTTGAGGAAGACGATGAGCTCAAGGTTGGTGTATTCTATTGTGGTGCGCCTGTTGTGGGTGAGGTTTTGGCGGACAAGTGTCGTGAGCTTTCATTAAGGGGATGGCAGGATGGAAGTAAGTTGGAGTATCACTTCATAATTGAGGTGTTTGGTTAGATGGTATGGACTTTTAATCTACGTGTATGAGTATACGAATTGGATGAAAAATACTTGGTCTCTTTTACATTCTTAATACTAGTTGCAACGATCGAAAAACCCTCAATACTACACGTGAATCACTAGAGTAAATGGATGATGATTGAGAAGAGTCATAATAAAAAATTAGATTGTAAGAAACTATTCCGATTTGTAAAGACACGCTTCAAAGAATGAAAATAGAGAAGCAGTGTCCGAAAGAGGAAGAATTCGGGCGACGTCTGCGGATTGTCAGCACAGCTGTATCAAGTGAATCAAATAGAAACTTACATGAATCAGGTCGCATAACGACAATGGCACCTTTCTCCGCGTCAATGCCATATTTGGAAAAGGCTTGACCACAACCAAGCATGTATGGACTCTTATCGTCGACAAAGACTCTATGAACATCTTCAAGAGAACGGGTTAGTACTCGATGTATGGCTTTGGTTGAGGATCTTGTTTGGTGGAGATAGGAAGACTTACTCCTTAGAGAATACTGCCCTGACTTAGGGAAGAAGACCTCAGGTAATTGGTCAATCTGCACGGCCTTTCGCTCTGCTTTGAGAATGAGGGTGTTGTTTATCACTGTGTCCGTGTGTCCGCCAGAGGGCGTAAACATCTTGACCAACTTATTGAGTCCGGATGCAACCTGTCAAAGTTAGAAACTAGAAACAGTCGCAAACATACTTACTCACCTCATGTAATCCCTTCCTGGCATAATCACCCGAGCAGAAAGTTAATACATGCCATTGACCGTCAGCTGGAAGAACCTTGTTCAACTGCAGAGGCTTTGTATCAGAGAGTCTCACAACCGGAGCACTCGGGAATCTCATCCCTACAGTCAGTCCGGATGCAACACTGTCGTTATTCTTCGCTGGACATGTCAGGATCGAAGGCTGATAATTGGTAGCCATCCCCGCAGTATACCGCCCTGCTTCCACAAACTTATCTCGAAAATGCTGCGCCGAAAGACCATTTGTCTTACGGTGCTCAGATGAGAAAAGCTTGCTGAACGAGCGGTCAAACTCAATCAACTGCTCCGCTGTCTGCTGTCTCTCAAGAACATATGTCTCGAGGACAGAAGGCGGTGAGCGGCCAGTGAGAACATGAGCCATCTTCCATCCGATGTTGAAACCATCTTGTAGACTGACGTTCATACCCTGGCCAGCCTTGGGGGAGTGTGTATGGCAGGCATCACCAGTAAGGAAGACGCGGAAATCCTTGGTGAAATGATCTGCGACACGCTGACCGATAACATAAGCCGACCACCACACAGTTCGAGCGATATCGATGTCGTAAGGATGAAAGATCCCCTTGACTTTGTTGATGAGATCTTGCTCGGTGACATCTCGTGCGGTTGCTCCAGCGAGCTCAATGTAGAAGCGGACCATCTCGTCGCCTTCGCGGGGGATAATCATGAGGTTTCCGTTGTTTTGGCTCTGAAGCATAGCCTTTTTGCGAATATCGGGAAAGTTGGTGATGGGGTAGACATCCATGACTCCCCAGACAGAATCACTTGAGTCGCCGACCATTCTAAAGCCGAGAGACTTGCGCACAGTACTATGAGCGCCATCACAGCCCTATTTTTAAGATTTTCAGTGGTGGAATCGTACAAAAAGATCAGAAGTGACTTACGATTGCGTATTGTGCTCGATAGCGCTGAGTTTCTCCGTTCTGACTGACGACGGCCTCGACGGGGTAGTCACCAGCATCATCCAGAACCCGCACACTTTCAACCTGAGAGTTATATACAACTCCGCTGGTACCATTCCCTCTCAGGCGAATAATTTCCTGCAGCATCATATCATTGATACGAGCCTGATTGAGAATAACATGGGGGAGATGACTCAACCCTTCCTCAGTGTCGTAAGCAAGATCCTTCCGCTGGAGCTGCCCATCGTCACCAGGTGACCAAAATGCTACTTCCATGACATGGTAAGCTTCTTTCAGGAGTTTATCAGCAAGCCCTAGACTCTCAAAGATTTCAACTGTTCGGCATTGTACGCCGTCTGCTTGGCCGATCTCGAGAGGTCCTGGGCGTCTTTCGAGGATCTTGAAGTCTATGCCGAAACGGGCTAGCCAGATGGCCGCTGTGAGGCCGGCGGAGCCGCCACCACTGATGAGGACTTGAACTTTTTCGGATGTCATTGAATTAGATATTGTGAGTGGATACTGATAATGATATTCGGAATGTGAAGGGATTAACTGTATATTATACGATATATCCGTTGTCTCATTCGCTATATCGAGGGCCGGCAGATGATGAGCGCCGATCAAAGTGGGGCAGTTGAGTTCCCCGGCACCGGCAGATCTCCTCGGCATCAGCTTCCACGGAAGTAATTAAGCTCGGATCTAAAAACGGCAGCAAGATTCAGTCGTGATGAAGCGGTAGAAAAATTTGAAGATGTCGGGAGTTACACTAAAAATACTAAGAAATACGTTTGTTTACTCCTTAGAGCCAAGCCTTGTTTCGATGCTTAGTTCCTCATCAATGCCTCGTATTTCCCACCCAGGCCACCATGAATGAACCGGCATGTCATCCATATGGCCTACCGTATCTATGAGGTAACGCATTATCTCATTCGACCCTTTACCTATAAAAGGCATGCCATCGCCGGAAAGCGAGGTTTCTGCATCTGAAGATGGGTCCGCTCCCAGAATTGAAGCCATCAGCTGTGCCCCGAGCTCATCTTGCTGATCCGGCCAAATAGCATAGAAGAGAGGAGCCCCTTCACGTTGGAATACTATAGGCTGAAAACATGGCTGAACTTCCATGATAAAATCTGGTATCTGCTCAGGTACCAGTCCCTGGCCGCCACAAATTGATGAAGAAATTCTGTAGGCCGTGGCAAAGTTGACAATAACAAAGTGTTCCCAGTCACCAAGAGGGCGAGGATGGAAGATTTTAACCTCCGGCCAGGGCTCTTGCTGTCGCCAAAGGTATAGCGGTAATGGTCGATGCCAGTCTTCAATATCTGGAATCGCGGCAGTAAAAAGCTGTAAGATGTCCGAGAACGGTGGGGCCGGTTTAGCCTTGACATCGCCCACGACAGTCATGAAGAACCAGGACCATAGGCGGCAATTTGTGTCTTTGCAAAGCGCACGTGCTTCGGTGCTTGAAACAACCCCTTCTTCTTTGTTCAAGTCCAAAAGCCGCGTGAGAATGAATCTTGTCACAGATATACACACTGATATAGACACTGTATGTTCCCAATCATGTATCGTGCGTTCGGTCAATCCCCGAACTATAGCAGGTATTGAATCTAAGAACTGCTGAGCAGAGAGTTCCGAAAGGTATCCGAAAAGTGTAAGCAAAGTACATTTATTAGCTGTAATTTCCAAAAACTCAATTTCAAGCGGGTTTGTGACGTATACGGGGCGTCCAGGATAGGACCAAAAGTATTGCTGTTGGAATACCCCAGCTAGCTGCCACTTTATCCACGTTCGGATGAAGAACTCTGGCCAGGATGATCCAGCGAAGACCCCTGACTCAACGCAATCAAGTAGAGCGTCTAGGCAGGTATCAACGCGTCTAGGACGGAGATGTTGCCTTCTATTGGCAATGTGACTGAAAGAACTTGAAAAGGTATTGGTCTCGAAAAAGCGACCTCTCACCATGTAACCTCCAAACAACCTGGCGATTGGTTCTTCCTTCGACCAGCGACAAGCTCCCAGAATCGCAGCCCCGGACTCAGTATCGGTCAAGTAGTCGATGGCACATCGGTGTACAAATCTGAGGCTCTTTTTATCATAGTGCATGAGGGAGTCGGGAACCTCATTGAACTCGAGATAAATCCGTCGGTCGCTCACCTCGAGCAATCCGCAACATGTGATAGACAACTCTTGTTCTACTTTCAAACACCTGTCGAGCAAGTCTGTTGTAGTTATCCTCGGGCCTGAGCGGAGCATTGACTCGATATCTCGGTTTTCTGAAGCCATTGCAAGTACAAGAAACGATTGAGCTCGCTGAGCAATACCGTGAAGATTGTTGTACTCCTAAAATCGTGTGAGTGACAGAACAAGGTTCAGATGTCGTGAAGCAGTGACTCGATAACTGGCGACGTCACCATCATCACCAGACCTTTCCCATATGTCCTGAAATAACTTCATGATGTCTCTAGGCGCATGCTTAACTCTTTCGATTAGAGTCTGGATATCATTTGTCAATCGACATGCTCTAGCTATACTGTCAAGGACGAGTGATACCCAGAGGAAGACCCCATCTGCGCTTAATGTTAGTTGATTAAGAAGAAGATCCCGTTCCCAAGAATTCGCGAGGTTCAGAGCATTAAGGCGGCTATTAGCAAATTCCCGGATGTCGTATTTTGTTAGTTCGTGAATTCTTAGACTTTCTACCCTCTCAAAAAAACGGCAGAAGGTGTTCTCTTCCCGACTAGATGCACAAATCTTGACATTCTTGAGTTGCATGAGACGATCCAACACGTTCGAATCGTGATAAGGCATCGAAAAATACTGTTCAAATTCCGAAGATTCGTCGAGCCCGTCGATCATAATAAAAAAGGCATCGTTGGATACTTCGACTACCTTGAACAAGACGTCCTCGATTTCCTTCAGTGCCCAGTCCGCGTGTGACCATCTGTGACGGACGAACGAAAATTTTGGCTCTTCCCATAACCATCGAATAAGATCCAATCGGTCCAACAGGACCTGGTGAGTAAGGGATAAGAGCATTCCTCTAAGACTCTTTTCCATCTTACTTCCTGGCTTCCAGAAATAGTGAGTCAATATCTGGACTGACGGACGCCAGACCTCCAGGTTGTCTCTTGTCAGGCGACTGGTGGCGATAAACTTCATAAGGGTACTTTTCCCCGAGGCTGGCTTCCCACTGATCCAAAACATTCCAGAGTCAGACATGAGCCAACGAACGAACGGAGTGGGCTCTTCTGAAGCACTTTCGGCCCAGTTTACAGTAATTTCGAGGGCTGTGGTATCTATCTGGTCTTGGTTGTCACTTGTCGCATCCTCAGACCAATTATCGCTTGAGTCGCCATGATCGCCGTCAGTGGATGAAAGGCTAGAAGTCCATAAAGACCTAGCTGTTTTAAATATCCAACGGCAGGTATTTGGGAAATTCGTGGCAATTTGGTTCTTTCGGGCATTCATTTCGGGATACCTCAAGCTGGCCAATAATTGTTGGTGTCGCTTCTTGTCATCTTCGTCTTGCCTTTGAAGTGCAAACTCATGTTGAACCTTTGAACTCGACTCGGCGATATGTGACACAATATGACATTCCGCAGCGTGGATACCTTTGTTCGTATCTGCGCGAGTCTCCAAGTGCTGCTTTTGGACATGGTTCTTGATCAAAACCGACTCGCGCGATAATAAATCACACAGGTTTGTGTGCCCCTCAGCGAGCTTCGTGACTACCTCCTGCTGAGTGGCATCAAGCCTACTAAAGGTCTCCTGAGTCAATAGGGCTGAGGCATTAGATTGACTACATACTCGCTGTATGAGATGTGCCTGAAAGAGCTGCTCGTATCTCTGAAAATCTTTCTCGAGGCCTTTCAGCTCTTTGTCATTAACGAGAGTCTTAAAACCCGCTTTGACGGCCCGAAGACTGCCGACCAAGCCTTTTCTTGACTGCATATCGAGATGAAGTTCTTGGAATTTGCTCTGGAACGCTTCCAGGCTTTTGTAAGCCTTTTCACTAAGATCGAAGATTTGTTGTTGATCGTTGGTTAGGGGCCGCGGACCACGAGATCGGTCGCCCAGGCTCTTGTAGCCCTTTGCTGCAAGATCGAGATATGATTCCAATCTTGGGTCCGGGGCCCCATTGTCGCGAATGGAGCGGTAGACATGCAGAGAATCTTTGCCAAATGTGATGATCTGCATGGCATTGCAAATAATGCCAACGGCGAACAGTGCCTCGGCCCCAGACATGCCGGGAATGAGTTTTTCTCTTTCGGATAACCGTTGATTTGTGATTTAGATTGAGATGTTATTTGAGAGTTGGAAAGGAAAGATTGAAGAAGCGGGGTCGAGTGTGTGTTATAAAACAGGCTGTGTATGATATGAGCTGTTGGTAGTTAGGGCGTCAATAGCCATTTCGTGGCATTGCAGAGGCTGTGTGCATACCTATAAACAAGAAACAGTATCGGCGATTATTTCTCCACTGACGACCTGGGTACGCTTTGATTTAGGAGAAACAGCAACAAAACATCATCCTCCTCATTTAAGTTCAAAAGATTTGAAAGGATTAGGGAGGAATTACAACGAAAGAACTGTTGATCCACCGTTTTGATTGGCTGTAACCCAATATGTTTCTGATTGTTCGTCTACAATCGCTTATCCGAATAACTTGTAAAGGGTGTCTAACAACAAATCAGGTTCCGCCACATGTACATTTTCACAGTCCAGTCAAGAGCTTTTCTTTCAGCCACCTCTGATTCGTACATGCATCAAGCAGCCAACTGCCCAAATTTACAAAGAAGAGGCGATGCTGCTGAAGGATGAGTCACAGTATGATACTTGACATACTCCTAACCGACATGCTTTCCCTGGCATTGACATGCGGTACTGGACTTGCATAAAGCCGATTGACTCTGCACATCATGCCGCTATTTGTTGTTTTAGACAGTAGGCTTGGGGAAAGAAAGTAAACTCTTTTGACCACAGCGTCCAGAAAATGACCCAGATGTAGCCGGTAATTCTATGCATCGTTGCGGCAAACATGGATCGCACTTCTCCCGGGATCAAGCGATGTTCGAGTTCTGCAATAACTCTCTGAAACACCTCTTCAGAAATTATAGCACCGACCTGCAGACAGTAACGCCAAAATGTTGCCCAGCAACCGCAAAGCGAGCAAGAATCTCGGTTGAGAGTCCGTTCCACAAGAGCGTGCATGAGTCCCGAAAGAACAAAGACACAAGCATTATTTGCATATCTCGTCATTGTGGTACGCTTCCGAGTTCCAGTGACCTTGGTTACCATGTACTCGGCATGAGCACTAAACGATCTATACACGAGGAGATGCCAGAAGTGTGACCAGTATCGTCTGACACTATAGGCCTGCCATATTTGACCGAATAGAGGGGGCCATTCTTCCGGGCTATCGACGTGTAATCCAACCGCAACGACAGAGAGGATGTCGTGATATGATGATAGTATCAGATAATCTGGAATCAATTGATCACCGACGATGTGTAGTCTGATGAAAGTGCCACGGGTAAGAAAGTGGCGTGCTTGTGCATCAATGTCGGAGAAGGAGAACAAAACGCGCCAGAACAGTTGTTGATTGCCAGGTGAGAAGTCTTCCTGCTTCCACGGGATCCCATCTGGCATATACAGATGGAAGCTAGGGTCGTAGTAGAGGCATAGAAAGATGTATCGTAAGAGGAGGACTCCCAGTCGCTTCAGGATGAACTTCACTCGATGTGAAGGGTCTGGCTTCATGGTTGCTTCTCCTGATGTATTAGCATGGCGGACTTGCCATTTCGTTCCAAGACATCGTGCATTGAACAGCATCTTGTAGGCAAAATTCCAATTCCGAGGCGCACCCTTTCGGAAATGGAACTGGGAGACAGCTTGTTTTTGTACAGTCTGATGTTTCGATGAAAGGTCTGAAAATCTTTTTCTTTCAACGTCTACCTCTTCGGGGGCCAATATCCAGTGAAGAAAGGATTGATGGGCAAGGAAAATAAGAAGAAAACGTGCAAATATCTCATTGAAAAAGTCGTCCGCCGAAAACGCATTGGAGGATCGGAAAGCGAGGATGATGGGTATTGAGATAAACAAAAGGGTGAATCGTGGATGTGAAGACTTTGTTGATAAGGAATAAAAGGATATTCCAACTCCAAGAGCACAAGGTAGTGTTGCTTTCAAGGACCCCGAAGGAGTCCATTGAAGTGGCGGTTGGATAACTGATTCATGCATTATGTGAGGGGAATGGTGCAAAAGATTTAGAGCTCAGATCTCAAAGAGTACAGTAACATGAATCTAGTCGTTTTACAATGATGAAAAACAATGGCTATCTTCCGTCACAGTTGACGATTTAGGTATATCTTGGCGTTGAAATAAGGTAACTGGGGCATTTCACTTGGCACTCCCATCAGGTATAGTCGTATCACGGACAAGACCCCATAAGGAAGGTAAAGGATTATGTTCCTTTCGGACTCATCAGCACGTGCTCCATGTTACAAGCCAAATGGACGAGGCTCTTTGAGTGAGATTTTAACTATTCTTGGCTTTAAGCCAAGACTTCTCAGAAACGCTTGGCTAAAAGCTTCAATCCAATGGATGATGAATTCTTGACCACGAGTAAAGAGTGTGTGGTGTAATTGATGCTTTGATTGATCCTGCAGGATTCGAGAATTATATGATTCCTATTTCTTAAACCCAGAATCATTATCCATTCGCCACATGCTGCAGTCAAGAAGATATGGGAATGATAAGGAGTGACTAATGGTGATGGAATAACTAGATATAAGAAGGGTTGGAAGCCCGGCTTTTGACTGATGGAACATTCATCAACATCCAGCAACAAGAAATAAATATCACTACTCGTTCAAAAATAGCCTCATTGAGAATGAAAGTAAGAGGAACCATTGCCCAAAAAGATATGGCATTTCTAACAGTCATCTCACCAGATCGCCGCCCTTATCGCCGTATTCTCCGCCGTTGCTGTCACCGCCTCTTGTGGTGACAACTGTGCCGATGGACCCCAAAAGCGCAGCATCGGCTTCACTTCCATGCCACGAGCGATTATCGCCGGTTTGACTGGTGAAAAGCGAGAGGTTCAGGAGGTCACTGTCAAGTCGTCTTAAAACGTGACGACTGGGCTAGCCGACGAGATTTGCAAGCAGTCAATATTCAAGGGTATCTTGAGCGAAGACATAGAGAGAGGTCGTGATAGCATAATCATGGCTGCATCTCAGTAAACGCAGATTTGGGAACTTTCCATTTCTCATTGGGGTACATGGAAGATAGGAATATCTAATTACACAATTCAATGTTTGTTCAAATACACGTGACGCAGCCCCGCAGTTATCAGCCGTGCTCAATATCGCAACTTCTATTCACCTTCATCTCCTCATTTACATTTTGCAGTTCCCTGATATCAGGTAGAAATGGGCGACCTAGCAGAAACAGAGACGATGGACGATATTGCTGTTAACCAACTTAATGGTGGCGTTGGAGATGGTGCAGCTATGGTATTTATGTTTAATGACAAGCTGATTTCTGTGTCTATATTTCCTAGCAACGGATCGTCAACAAAAGATACCTGTCACCTGGGATTAGAAGAACGCCCTCTGCAGGACCATCTTGTTGATCTTATTTCTAAAGCTACAACGTGTCAGGACGATGACGAGTATGAGAGGCTTGAAGATGAGGTTCTCGGGGTTATTCTTGACGCCGGGAGACATCTTTTTTCTGGGCCAATATTTTCGCGAAGAGCACGCACTGAAAGCAGTAAAACTCTGCATAATCTCTTATTCCCCCCGATCCTCTACTTCCGTTTAGAGGCTCCCGCTAGCTGCGTCTCCATTGTACCTATCAAACCGAGCGAGTCAAACTCCATTCTCACGATCGACCCTGCCCTGGACCAAGGTTTTGAGGAAAAGTTGGAAATTTACCAAGATTTGCCTTGCTATATTCCTGATGAAATCGTGGTCATGGAGGTGTTTTTACGTGGTGCGAATTGTATCACTGCTGCCGTCCAGGTACACGGCCAAGACATGTTTTGCAAGTCGCGTGTTGAACCAGGCGGGCTCTTTGGTACTGGCGAGGGGCGAGAGCTCGAATGTCTTGGTGAGCTGCGCAAAGTGTTCAACCAATCAGATGCGATACGGATTCCCCAACTTCTCGGGTATGTTCATCATAAGGATACGAAGCAGATATTGGGATTTCTTCGACAGTGGGTGCCCGGACGCAGGCTCAGCAACATCGACATCACCTCCGCTACGGAAGGGAAAAGGCAAAAATGGACCTCGCAGATCCGCGAAACAATTGAGAGTCTTCACAAGCACGGATTGGTCTGGGGAGACGGAAAGTCTAGCAATATTATCATTGACGAGCAGGATGATGCCTGGCTGATTGACTTTGGAGGCGGTTCCACACAAGGTTGGGCCGACGAGGAGCTGGCGGAAACGAAAGAGGGAGATGAACAAGCCCTAACCAAGATTGCACAATTACTGAACGAAGATAATCGCGCGTCTTTGTCCTCTTAGGGCATTGAAGATTCGAATCAGAGATGCAAGGCTCGAGGCGGCAAGGACTGAAAGGTTGATGGCTTTATCTACCGGTATACTCCATGTGTAATGGCTAAACCACCCTGTTCTTCTATTCTTGTTTTTCATGGACTCCTGATAGTCCCGTATGCCGGTCCAGGTATACTCCAGATAGGCACTCCTGGGCTGGGAGCGGCAGTGTTCTTCCAGTCATCTTTCGATAGAGGAGCTCGATTCTAACATAGAACACACACATTTATACCGCGACGCCTTCTCTCACACTTTCCCATTTGCCTCCTTGGTCCTGCGCTCCTCGCGCTCACTGAATCGATCCCCAAACAAGTCAAAATGAGGCCTCATAACGATAGTATACTTGACAAGCTCTTCCATGCAATCAACGAGACGGTCGCGATTTGAGCTGGCAAGCATACGGCTTCCCTCGGCCCCAGATGTGAACTGGGTGTATGCCTGCGGCACGGAGCTCTGGTTAGGAATTGCAAACATGCGCATCCACCGTCCGAGTATTCGAAGCGAGTTGACAGAGTTGAAGGACTGTGACCCTCCGCTAACTTGGGCAACGGCTAAGGTTCTTCCTTGAGTCGGACGCACTGAGCCGGAGGATAATGGGATCCAATCAATCTGCTGCTTGAAGATCCCCGTCTATGAAGTTGGTTATGTTTATGAGTTTGTAAACATTAATCACGGTTGAGGGGACCTACCAAGTTACCGTGCTGCTCAGGGCTGATCCATACATGTCCATCGCTCCACCTGCTTAGCTCCCGAAGTTCTTGTACTTTGGGATGGCAGTGTTGGACGTCGTCCTTCTGGGGCAGACCAGCAGGGTCGTAGATTCGGACATCACAGCCGAGGCGGAAGAGAATTCGCGCGGCTTCGTAGGCTAAGAGACGAGAATATGATCTGGATTTGGTGAGTAAGACGAAATATACCCGGCTAAGAAGGATCTCATGATATCCATCTTCATTAATGATACTTACCGACTCCTAAGACTACCATAGAGAACCAGAATGCGAAGGCGATCGAGACCTTTATCTAAGATCTCCGACTGCACCATCTGGATCGCCGTGCTCAGCTCTAATTTCGAAATCCAGTCGTCGGTAGAGGGACTGTTGTCGAGGAGAAAAGGGCGACATGTCTCTCGAATGGCGACGTCATCTTCGTCAAATTTAATGGCGAGAGACTGATAGCTGTAGGTGGGATCGGCAACAAGGTTAATAGCTGTCCTCCCAGCGTGGGAGTTGTTCAAATCTCCGTGCTCGTTCATCGCTAGACTTGGGTTCCGGGTCTGCTCTACTGGAATGCTAGCAGAGAAATAGCGACGATAAAGAAGCCCGTGAAAAGGCACGACTGCGTGAAGGTTGTTTGTAGAAGTGCGAACTCGGAGGGTGTGGCGGAGAAGGTGCATTTTTAATTCCCGCTTTCTAGGCGAGAAATACAGTGGGAGCCCACAGAAAGAATAGCACTCTTTATGTACTACCACTTCTACTATGAAGACCACCTTTGGATGCAAACAGAAACCTTTAGGTCTTACAAACCAAGCTAGGGATGGCTAGACCCACCCACTACCAACCACGGCAAATAAATCCTTGCAAGGCTCAATATATTTGAAGTATCCATGAACTCAAAGGTCTTCAGTACGGAGAGTTACGCTATCTCCCAGTTGTTTAACATGCCATGATTTATTTGCCCTTGCCCTCGATTACTACTTGCTATCGCAAACAGCCGCGTCGTACTCATCCATCCACTCCACGAACTCGCCACCGGCCTTGGCCCAACCTGCAACGCCTTCAGATAGACTCACGCTCCCAATTTCTTGATCTCCTCGCTCATTGATATAGTCCTGGAACCATCCAGCTGCTCGTGGGCCTCGACCCCGAGAGGATGCTGGGGAGGTTAGTATGTCCCTATATTGCATGCTCCTGGCTTTAAAGGCAGTGAGTCAAGACCTACAGCAATACCAGATGACCTTTTGAACTCCCGCAGATTTGAATAGGCTGTATAGAGGTTTGATCGTCGGGTAGAGGCTTTGTGCCGGTAGATTGATGGATCCACGAATGGTACCGCCCTATATGTTAGAATATGTTGGTTAAAGTTCAATTAATTGCTTTCACCGAAAATGCAGTAGGTGCTACCTCATGGTCGGTCCGACGAAGATCGACGAGGACGTAAGTCTTGCCAGCGATATTCTTGCCGTCCTTGATCATGTTCAACACCTCCTGGCGTGTCATGGCTGCGGGCGTTTTGCAGAGTGGAGAAGGGTAGGCGGCATGCCACGGCGTGGCGGCGTCAGTCGAAGACATCTCGGACAAACAAATACGGTTGACTTTTAGGGTTACGAAATACAGCTGAAGATGAGCACTCAGTTCTAGAAGAGATTTTATGAGGTTCATCGCATCTTGGGCAGTCGTTCCTGAGTATGAAGCCCTCAGGACAGAGGATAACCGGGATTGTGTCATGACCAGATTGTGATTGGTGTTCAGATTCGGGCTCTTTGGGACACTGTCATACCCGATGGGTGATTGGTCAGTCACTTTGGTAGGGGCTCCAACGTGCGCTGGCTGTAATGGTGCAAACTTACCAAGCAAATTTCATCTGGGGAGTGTGTCAGGCCGAGACCGCAATTGGCGTAACAGGAAATCTGAGTAGGACATTTAGATTGAATTTTAGAATCGCTGCAAGTCTCGAGACCCAAGGATAGAAAAGTATGGGCTGTAAGCTACAACTTGCAAATACGTTGAAAACAAATGTCGCTCAAAATCGAGAAGCTTTCTCTTTGTCAGTAATTACCGTTCATCGCTATCACTGTTTAATTTCTCATCAGCATAACCAGAATGGATAACATAACCTAAGAAATGCCGTTCCAACATCAAACAACATATTTCCAGACGCCAGCCGCCAAAGCTAGAGGAAGGCCAAGAACCAACAGCCATCGTCCCGCGGCCTCTCTAAAGATCTTCAATTCCAGGCCTTTCACAGCATCGGCATCGTTTGCCTGTGGAAATGGCTTTGTAGGAACAGGTAGATCCAGTATCTTGCACAAAGGCGCCCAGCCTTGACCTAACTCTACCATATTGAACTTGCTGGCAGGGGTAACTTGTCGGACATATTCGTTATGTTCATCAAGTCGTGCTGACGGATTAGTATAGATTCTTGAGCGCAATTGCTTCACTTACCAGAAGTCATTGGACCAAACCGCTCTTCTTGTCTACGCCTTGTATTAGTGGTAAGCCACGAAGGAAGCTTTTCAGGTCATACTGCTCGGAAAACTGCGCAACAAGCGTCGGATACCATCGCTTTCCAGGGACGGGTGCCATTAGTATGTTCAGAAAGCCAGCCCCGGCCTCTTTGGTAACCGCTTCCCAACTCGCCCACCACTTCTCCCTATCACGAGTGACGCAGATGACTTGGGCGTCTGGGTAGATCTCCATGAGCTCTTCAACAAAGCAGTTTCCTGGGGCATCAGTGATAGCGACAAATCCAGCCGTGGCTTCTCTCAACCGCTTCATCAGTCGCCGTCGATCGTGACGGGCGGCGAAGATGTTTGACCAAAGCTTGACATAGGCTTATGTAGTCAGTAACAATCTGTAGGTTTGCGATGCTGACCGACCATCTTCTCTTCCAAGCAGCTGAGAGCCGCCGTGCATGACTGGCCCTTCTAAAAGCTCTTCTAGGGCCATCGCCATAGAAAGTGTCCCTGTTCTCGAATATCCAGCTCCAATCACTCTTAGAGACCTCTTGCGGTCAGTGGGCACTGAAGCGACGCCGCCCATTTTGATATTTAGCCTTCGATAATGACGCGAATAATTTTGAACAGAGAAGTTTGCCAGCGGGGTAAGATGAATAAGTATTTGAAAACCATTTCAGGCAAAATATGGACATTACGCATTTTATAAACAGTTCATATGTTAGTGCTTACCCACAGCGCTTGATAAGTACATTCCTGGAGTAACACTCCACAAGTTGCAATGAAAATGTAAGACATGGATCTTGATCCTTTGATATTCAATAAAGCTTCAAGAGGAACTCTGCCTTGATACGTGTCCTAAGCTGACTGGTAACCTTAACAATGACATCATGAACACTGCTCGACTGCGAATAAAATACTCGTTATAACTTCATATCGCATTTCACAGTGTGACTTGGTGTCATCAAGAAGGATAATAATTGAGTTGATGATATTTAAAGAGAAGCCTGTCTTAATGGAAGAAGGAAGGAGATTAGCTTCGAATTATGTATAAACGACTGGCATTTTCTCAACTTACATAGCTGTCCCAGCAATGGCTATGCAATCAATCTCCACCTTTTGACAATTTACTGTTGGCTTGAGTTCTTCGCGATATATGACAGGTGATAAATACCTTAGCACCCCGTCCAAGATCAGCCACCGTCACGCATACCCGAGCAGGCTTAGGATTTGGGATGGTGGCAATATCTGCAGAATTGTCAGCAGTGTTGCACAGACTCAGCCTCGGCAGCACTTACAGATGGTGTTCATGGCTGCGAAATCAGCAATGTTCGTCAGGTATATGTTGCACTACACGTTTGTCAATATTAGTCACGACAAAGCCCTTCGCTTGAATCACCTTGATGATCTTATGTAGCCCACTACCTGCTTCGAGGAGTACCGACTCCAACAGTCCTAATGCTGTTTTCTTTCGTCTGTTAATGTCCAAACATTTGACAGAAGTCATCCTACTCACTGTTTGCTCGGCCACATCATCGGACACCAAAGTTCCGGTTCTGGTATCGAGTCCTATCTTTCCACTGGCGTAGACCAGCCCGTTATGTATGATGGCCTCCGAGAGGATCGGGGAGGAGAAATTTGGTCGATTGATGGCTTGTCTGGCCGCCATGGTGATGAAAAGGAGTTCAAGAATGCAAACGTGAACCGAAAAATGACAATATTCCTGGATGCACGTGTGTCCAAGAGAATTTGTTTTCTTGCTTAGATACTTACTTGTGAAGGTCATCGCGGCAAGCCAGTTATATAGTGGTATATCGTACTTTGGAACTATGTGTATAGTGTGGGTAAGTTTATTATTACGAGGATCCACCGCTTCATAATGCCAATGGCAATCATTCTGACCACGGTGATCTCCATCTTGTAAGCGAGATGTTTATAGAAGACCAATGGGATGATACGTTCGTATCTTCCCGAAGACCGTCGATTGGAGTTGCTCCACACGCTTACCGCTGGTCAAAGCCAGTAAGAAAACCTTTCGGGACCGTGGGTGCTTTTCTAACGGCCGGAAGTAATATTGCAGATATCCGATTAAACTTCAATTTGATGTGAGATCGTTGCTATTTTTATGTTATACACCGAAGATCACGTCGTCGGCTCAATCACTCGTACGTTTATCACGTATTGAAAGGTATTTAGTAGTACATAAGTTGAAGATTACGAAGCATAGACTATTCTGGAGCCGTGAATTCATCTATCAACTCACTCAACAACCAGTCAACCCCTGTCGTAATTCCTGAATCGGAGATCCCTTCCATCCACTGTGATAACCCCTCAGGGTACGTTTCTGATTCCGGCCCAATTGCAATAGGGTCAACCTCCTTGCCTTGATGGGAATCACTCAGCATTGTCATGGTACGACTTGCAAGGACTTCGAAGATGTTCCGAAAAGGCGCTGCTTCAGGCCAGCGCTCAGCCAGTATCACAAGAACCATAGTACAGTCCATACAAGTATTACTGACTTGATCATGACGAGATGTCTGCCGTGCGGCGGGTGACATCCACAGACAGTAGAGGTATGTTAGTCCAGCGAGGAAGAGCTCGTGCACGGCACTCCAGGTGTATGACATCGGCTTTCCAAAATATTGGCGACGAAATATATGGCATGTATTCTTGGATGTGGTTAGACATTTTAGGAATGTCTGATCCAGGGCTGAACCTTTCATATCCGTAATTTGAGGACGGAAGAGCTGCAGAACGGCGTAGTTATAGTTGGCTTCATACCAGTCTGCACTCACGAAGAAGGCCAATGCACCCTCCTTAGGCGGCGCCATTGGCGGTGGGCGAGATGCATACCATTCCTCCAACTCGTTAGACAAATGCTGGACAAGAGCCTGCCGAATAGTCGCATCCTTGAGCGTGCTATCCGAGTACAGCGCTGTCTGAATTCTTCCTATTAGAGCACGGATACGGAAACCATGGATGGCTTGTGTCATCATTGTTGGTGGATCATCTGGCGACGAACGCGGGGTACCGTAAATGCCAGCTGAAGAGATCTGCGATTCTTCGATATCGATAGGGAACTATTGAGAGTAAGATTCGAGACGTAAGAGTGGTACTTAAGAACTTTACCTCAGCGTCGATTTCTTGATAATGAAGACTCAGTGGCCTTCCAAGCATCACAGCAGCAGAACACTCCATCACGTACGCGCTCCAAAATGCCCGCTTTTGTAGCTCTCGTTGTAATGGATCTAGCATCGACCGGAGTCGTTTCTGGTCCCGATGGTAACCTAGGTTCACGCAATGACGCAAAGCCTGTCCTCCAAGCTTCCTGAAAAAAATTCAGTAAGGATCTATACTGTGGGGTGTGATCTTACCAGTGTGAAGTGCCCTTGGAAGAGCGTAGGGAATAAGCCGCGCAGCATAATATTGCTTGTATGCACTCGAGGTTGTCGTTGCAAATGATCTCATCAACGTACAGCATGGCAGAGACATAGAGTTGTTCTGCAGAATATCCTAGATCAGGCCTCAAAAGGGCCCCGATTGCATAAACCTTGAACAATGTTAGTGTGAGAGAATCCCCTACTACACATGTCATACGTACCATGTTCAAAAAGTACAGAGGCACAGGGTCGTAGCCGAGACAACTCATAGCCTCAATCGGGTCCTCTAGCGCAGTCTCCCACATTCTAAAGGTCGGTTCATGCAAGAATGGGTATTGAGGATGGAAGTTATGGAAGTAGGCATTGCTCAGTTTGACAGCAGTCTGATAGTCCGGAAGATGGCAAGGTTCGGGAGCTATGGATACATGACCATGTACACCGGATCTTGAGATTGACGAGATTTCCGGTGGCAGTGAAGCAACGGCTTGACGAATTGAAGGCTTAAAGAAACGTGCAAATGCGAACGCAGATGAAGCACCAAGGTAGCTTGGCTCTGCCCCCGCTGCGTTCAAGCTCAGAGTTCCTATCATTGACGATAAGTCATCGAGCTCGAGAGGTCCTTCGACGGCAGTTGAGCTGGTCCGGTCCGAGAAGGTAGATTGAGTGTTGGAGGAAGGGCTTGGTCCGCTGGCTGTGCCCGACTCAGCCTGTCGTAACTGTTCTTCTAATAGAAGAACACGCTGCTCCAGTGTCTCGAGGTAATTTCGTGGTTGATGTCGTTTTGTCAATGGATCTTCAATAAAGCAGCCTATGAAGAGTCAACAGGTTTGAAAAGTCTTGAATGGTTGTTTCTTTGGCTCACTTTGGCCGCTACGGCGACAGTTACCGCATGCTGGGACTTGCTCATCGCACTACGAACCTGTCAGTTCTGGTGTTGCGAACTAATTGAGATCCTTACCCTGAGTTTCCTGTCTTTACAGGTGATGCATGCGACAAGGGTTCTGCTACCGGTACGTTTGCGCTGGGCTGCGCCTCTGGCTGGTTTTTTGGTAAGTTCTGGCATGGTCGACACGGCTGAGTCCCCGGTAGGGATTACGCCATTCGGCAGTAAATTATGCCTTGACTTGAAGTCCGCACAAGCAGGGTTCCGCTAACTGACCCGCAGAAAGTGCTCCGAACCCAGGGCTTGATTCGTAGATGTCTAGAGATGTCTCTCACCAAGCCAGTCTTCAAACCAGGATATGGACAGCGGAAAGCGATCTGGAAGAACCCGATGCGAATATGGACGGCTCAGCTGCGATACCGATGATAAGAATCCCAGCACTGATATCATGTAAGGGTCCTTGTTCCGTCACTTTCTCAACAAAGCAATGATCCACTTGTGAGCCCCGCTGGATTGTCTTCCCCTCCTCGGAAGAATACGAACAACCAATAGGAACGAAAAGAAAGCAACTGCGATGGAGACCCGGGAATAGACAAGCCTTGAGTTATCGTACTGCCGGCTGATAAATCTTACTCACCAGAAGGACGGATCAATTATTTATGTCCATGTTATAAACGCTACTCATCACTTATCAATAAGCCCGTGACCAACATTACAACCACAGGCCAGAGAAAGCTTATCTGTTTGCGCAAGATCCAGCACCATGGCGTCGAAGCTTTCCAGTAAATCTGCGCCAATCGTCGTCGTCGGCGCTGGAGTATTTGGTCTTAGCACCGCCCTTCACTTGGCGGAGCGCGGTTACACTAATGTCAAAGTTCTTGACAAACAACCATACCACGAGTCACAATACTCGTACAATAAAGGCTGTGATGCAGCTTCAGCAGGTAAACTTGATGAACCTGCTAGCTAAACTCTCCTGACGAACCTCCTACAGATATCAACAAAATCATCCGCGCGGCCTACGGTAAAGAAATCTGGTATCAGAATCTAGCACTTGACGCCATCACCAAGTGGAAAAAGTGGAATGATGACATAAAGACGGGCAAGTTGACTCCCCCAGGGATGTCGTCTTCTGATACACTATTTGTCAACAATGGTTGTGTCACGATCACTTCGGACTCGTCGCTTTCCCCGTTCGACAGGGATACCATACAAAACATGGCCAAGGTTGGTTTAGAACACACTCAGATCGACCTACATAGCGACAAAGACTTGAAACGGGCAAAGGATCAAGGATTTGAATTCGCAATCAAGGCTTTCAACCTCAGAGGCAACTCAGCTCTGTTGGATACGCAGTCTGGCTTTGTCTACGCCGATAAGGCCTGTCGCTTTGCACTACACAAGGCAGAGAGCCTGGGGGTTCAATTCGTTTTTGGGGAGTTGACTGGCAAATTTGTGAGCTTTCTAGAGAACACTGAATCTCAAGTCACTGGTATCCGCACAGCGGATGGAGCAGTTCATTCGGCTGAACTCACTATCCTGGCTTGTGGTGGCTGGACCCCTTCGCTTCTCCCACAGCTCGACAATCTATGTGAGACTACGGCGGGTAGCGTTGCTATCTTCCAGTTGCCACCTGATAAAACTCTTTGGGATCGTTTTGCACCCGAGAACTTCCCTACATGGTCGTATGTACTCTGCTCTCCTTTGGTGGAAAGTACTAACATTCGGTCTCCAGATACAATATGCGCCATGGCAAGTACGGTGGGCTTTACGGCTTTGCTAGAGACCCAAATGGCGTCGTTAAGATCGGATATCGTGGAACAAAGTTCACAAATCCACAGACTCAGCCGGATGGAGCTATCCGAAGCGTTCCGAAGACCCGTTGGACACAAGAGCCTATACGTCAAATCCCTCTTGTCGGAGCCCGAGTGATCAAAGCCTTCGTGAAGGAGTTTATCCCCGAGTTGGCGCAATGCGAGATGAGCACCCGGCTCTGTTGGTACACCGATTCGTATGATAACCAATTCGTTATCGACTTTGTTCCCAACCTCAAGGGATTGATGGTAGCCACGGGCGGCAGTGGACATGGATTCAAGTTCCTACCTAATCTGGGAGAGCATGTGGTAGACAGGATTGAAGGCAAGGACAGTGAATATCTTGATCTATGGAAGTGGAGGAGTTTGGAGGCCACACAGAAACCGTACAACAGTCTCATGGAAGGAGTTGGAAGCGAACGATCACTTCAACATCAGCCTTTGACAGCCTTCGATGGGTCTACCAAGGAGCTCAGTCGACTATAAATAGGCCATAGCGTTTCTAGGGGTACGATGTAGAATTGCAAATTGCCACGTCTCTTGTCTTAATATTCTCTGCCGGTCCCATTCCACAAACTAACCACCGTTGACCGCAGCATAGTTAATGACGGAAGATCATCTTAAAGGTCCTGCAATCAGGGACTCATATGCACTATTTGAATATATTGATGCATCCAATTCTCATTTCTATGATGTAAGAAATACATAACAATTATATACGGTCCTGATACCTAAACCAGTCGTCGTTCTCGAGGTCCACCATTTCAATATCTCTACTGCATTCTACGTAGATCAATTAACAATTGTCACAAACCTATCTGCCAATCTAAAACCCCACTCGCATGGTCAATAGTTAACCCCTTATCATGATAAACCAAGTCAAAACAAGAATTCCTATCGCGGGGAATCTCCCAACAGTGAGATACCCCGCAAATTTAAGAGGCGAACATCGGCTATTGAACTCGAACTCGGGAAAATACGAAGACCCTATCAGATTGGATGGAACTGTCATCCAACGTCTCCACCTTTCATTTTCTTAGAGATAGCTCCGAACGATGGATAAGGAGTCACAGGGTAGGTGACGTTGTAGCGGTCCCGTAGCAATTGCTGATCTAGATTGAAAAGAGCCTGGTATCTGGGGATTGAGATAAAGCCTTGGTATACTATCACAACCATGATGTTGGGATCAGTGTGGGGTATATAGTTGAGAACATCCCCACGACTGAGTGATTGACTCATCTACACGCCAGCCACATTCTACTCTTGCATCTATTGACATGAAGTTTCAAAATCCCCTACATGCCTCTTCTTTGGCTGGCTACGGTAAGGCCATTCGGGAGGCCCCCCGAGAGGTTATCTTCAACCGCCCTCTTCTTCTATCATCGCTCGTCTATGCTTTTGGTGGTTTCCCAGTCAGTAAGTTAACCCCCACCCTGGGCAGATCGTACCTCCACCAGTCAATGGATTTGCTGACTTAACTCCCACAAGTCTGGGATCAAGGTGCATCGTCGGTCATCCCATCCCTTCCCGGTTTCCAGAACCACTTCCACATCGCCTCCGGTACCAATGCCGATGAAATCCGAGTTTTTGTCTCAATCGTCTATGTCGGCTTCGGTGTTGGGTCTGCTCTGACTTTCTTCATCAACGATAGGATTGGAAGACTCTGGTCTTATCGTCTTTACACCCTCATCTACTGCATCGGTACTCTCATGGCTATCTTCTCTCCAAATCTCAAGGTTCTATACGCTGCTCGGGTGGTGCAAGGATTGGGTCTTGGTCCTCTCACTGTTACCTGTCCCATGTCTATTGTCGAGATCGCGCCAGCAGAGATTCGAGGTCTTCTCACCGCCTGGTTCACCCTACTCATGGGCATTGGGCTATTTGCAGCAGTTTTCTGTACTCTGGGTGTTTATCTTCACGTCCCAGTTGGAAATCTGCAGTTCCAGATTGTTTGGCTTACCCCAATGATACTTATGGGCCTCTGTATGGCGGCAACGTTCTTCATCCAAGAGTCGCCTCGATGGCTATTTATGGTTCAGCGGCGCGAAGAGGCTATCACTACCCTTGTAAAGATTCGCGGATTGTCAATCGACAATGAGCGCGTCCAGCACGAGATATGTGACATCGAGGACGACATCAACAGGACAGCTGAGGCGGTAGGAAATTCCAGCTTCTTAACAATCGCTAAAGAGACATTTACCATCCCATCTAACATACGAAGGGTGCAACAGAGTCTGATCTGCTACGCCCTTGCACAACTCTCCGGAGCCAACCTCATTACTTCCTACTTCGTTCCCATTCTAGCCATCGTGGGCGTCAAAGGTGACACCTCTCACAGCATGTTCCTCAGTGGCATGTACGGAGTTTCCAAGTTCATTTTCATCTTAATTGCCACGTTCCTCTTTATTGATATCCTCGGTCGGCGCAAGTCTTTGTTTATCGGTGCTGGTCTCCAGATGGTGACTCATATCTATCTCGCTGTTTATGTTAGGAGCACTCAGCAAGGCGCAGTCTCCGAGGCTGCTTCCAATGCTGCGATTGCTGCACTGTTCGTCCATGCCTTTGGTTACGGTGTTGGTAAGTTTTGCATATCTGCTGGAGTAGTGTGGCGAAGTGCTCACACCTTGCAGGTCTTTTCATTCTACCCTACGTGTTTGGCAGTGAACTATGGCCGAATCGCATTCGATCTTTTGGCGGCGCTCTCAGCCAGGCTTTTCACTGGCTTTTTATATACGCCATGCAGTACAGTATGCCCTCCATCCTCTCTAGCTTTAACCAATGGGGCGCGTTCGTCTTTTTTGGCGCTTGGTGCGCTGTTGCAATTGTGTACACCTATCTCATGATCCCGGAGATTGCGGGACTGAGCGTTGAGGAAATCGAAGATCTCTTCAGGGGTCCTTGGTTCAACGCACACAAACGCACGAAGCAAATGATTGTCCAGGGTATTGTCGAAAACGGCAATGAAAATGGCAACTATGACAGGTGAGTTCAGTGATTGTTTCTCTCAGTTCAAATGATAACCTTAAGATCAGACACATCAAGATGAAGCAATACGACACCGCCATCCGTACAACCTCGAACACCGACTAAGTAGGAAAGGCAAAGGGAAAGATCTGCGGTATACCTTGTAACGGTTCCGTGGTAGTTATCATGGGCAAATAAAGCTATTTTAAAACAATTATAAGGTTGAAAATCCATTGACTCGTACTCGACTCGGTTGATCATGTCGCATGTGACAGAGAGCTGTATCCCAACTGTTTAGTGAAATGATGTGAGCCATAGACTTTCGAGGTACCCATGAATTTGAATCACTACCATGTAGGTGGCCTAGCAACCTTGTGTAGTTTGGTTGATTTAGCTCATCAGGGTTGAAGGTTGTGCTGACGATGCTTCCATCTAGTTGATGTTCCTGATGGACCCCCGTTTTGGGTCAAATGAGATTGTTTGTTCAGCGTTTGGTCACAGTGTTGTCGAAGAAAGGTGATGTAGTAGCCGCCACAGTCAATAAGTGAGGCCAACTACGCCACGATGATTCCGGAGCCCTGCTAGTCACTGTTTGTATTTTGACCAACTTATCGATACAGAGTCAACTTCAACTGTGCTTAAGAGGAAGTGTCAAGCATAAAAACCGCATTCATTCCGTCCTCTGTTTCGTTTTGAACCACCAAATGCAATTCGAATAAAGCCCGCGACCATCTAGATAACGTTCGAAACTAATCTCTAACTATCCAAAAACTATCCATAGTAATCCACCATGTGTATCATGCACATCACAGCTGTTTATTGCAAATGTGGAGCGTATAGGGCTCCTATTAAGGTGCCTGAACCATGCGCGGCGTCAGGACGTAATTTTGGCGCCTGCGGGTGCGTTATTGATCAGTGCCGGAATGTGACCGGAGAAGATTGTGCAAAGTGCATTGAGCGTAAGACTGCACAGCCTGCACAAAACGGGGATAAAAAATGCGAGGCACGAAAGTCTAAGACCTGATTTGGCTGTGACGAGTGCTTTCAGGTCCGACTATAGGAAAATAACAACAGTTGAAGATGTTACTGTTTCCGGGGACGGCATAGACAGAGAGCTTTTGTTAATATATGTTCGCTACCGAGTAGAATCCTCAAACCAGCTCCATCGTCCTCATAGGTAACATGAATGATCATCCGGGAATCTTTGTTCCCTGACATGCCAACCCCAGCTTATGACACGTGCAGTACTGATATGCTGCGTAGCCTTATAGTATTTATATGATGTAGGAAGTGCGCCTCTATGGTAGTTAACTCTCAAATCCTTCCATACTTACTGGCACACAATATTGAAACCAATCTGACCAACACCAATTTAGCTACTAAATGCTTGTCAAAACTGCAAGTCCAATGTGTCGTTTTTTTAACACCGCGGTAAAATGTCCTACATGTGGACATAAATACCGAAACTCTTCGCGTTCGCAACCATGTATCAACATTCCTGCAACGGGCCGATTTGGGGACTGTAAGGTTGGCACTAAAACGGTCCATGGGGAGCAGTTTGGAGTGGAATGTTCTGATTGCCGAACACGGTGTGCGGCAGTAGAGAAAGAAAAGCTTGCCGCAGTCAGGGGGTAAGAAGGACATGTCGTATGCAACATAGTGGGGAGGCGGGATAGAGAAGCGACTGATGTAGCTTGACAGCTGGGGGAAGGTTCGTGATTTCAGAAGAGAATATTGGCGCGAATGATTCAAATTTTCTCTACATTGGCTCAGTTCCCTGCAAGGAATAATTCCATTGGAACCAATATGATTAGAAATCAGTTCCACAAAGTAACAGCAGCCTCGTGATTATACTTCCTCCTGGCTCATACTGAGTATTCAATTATTGCACTCGTAGGCTAAACACATTCTCTGATAGAATTATCAACAACATCAACATGGCCAAAGGCTTTTGATTCACCGCCTTCAATACCTGCCGCCGTCGTCCGTTGAGGCGAGCACGTGATACCTAAATGTATAACAGTGACTTTAGCCGCACCGAAACTCTACCGTTTGACGTGGACTACTCATAACACTATTCCATACAACATCACTATGATTTTCTGGCTACACAAAATGGTTAAGAGATTTCAAGTAACAGTGAATATTCCTGATGTTCAATACTAGTTGCGAATCATCTGCGGGCTACCCTCCGTCTCGTATCATCATGATGAGATATGTTGCGTCTGTGACACTCATCTCTATCATGATCTAGTCCTTGGTTGAAGCTAAGGGAGGCGGTCCTCTACTCTCTGAGAGCGCAACTCCAATGAGTTCTCATGACTTGGGCTGGGCCATCACCTCCGGTGTCACGACAGTGATTGGCGGTATGGCAGTAGGATTGGCCAATGCCAACGATTACACACGATTCGCTCGGAAACCTGGTGACCAAGTATTTGGGCAGTGGTTTTCCATCATGTAAGCGATTCGAGCAAAGTGTTACGCCTTGACTGATATCAGATCTTTAGATCCTTCGGTACACTGTTCCTCCTCTTTGGCTGTCTCGCGGCGTCTGCCACGCAAGCTATCTGGGGAGAACCTATCTGGAACCCTCGTACGTCTTCACCTCTCATCTTTTCTCCTAAATGTCATCACTAACTAGCCTCTGAAGCCTTGATCTGTCAACGGTGGCTTGACAGAGACTACTCGTCAGGGTCCCGGGCAGCAGCATTTTTCGCTGGTCTAGGCCTGGCGATGGCCCAAATTGCGATCAATTTGGTGGACAACGCCTATAGCGCCGGTATGGACCTTTCCGGCCTCGTCAGTTCTTACATCAACATCAGGCGCGGTGCATTTCTTGCCCTGTTTCTCAGTATTGCTATGTGTCCATGGGATCTTCTTGCCTCGGCCAGTGTCTTCATCTCTGTCTTGTCTGCTTACAGTGTCTTTCTTGGGCCCATTATCGGTATTCACGTTTGCGACTACTGGCTGATTCGGTCCCGGCGCATTAAACTCAGTGATCTCTACAATCCCGATTGTAACAGTATTTACTACTTCAACCACGGTTTCAACCCGAGAAGCTTTGTTGCTTGGATTCTCGGTTTTGCAACTCAACTGCCGGGATTTGCGGCTACTGTTACACCCGACAAAGTTCAAGTTGGCGAGGCGTGGCATGAACTGTTTTACCTCGCATTCCCACTCGGATTCACCATCTCGTTTGTGGCACACTACGCTCTGAACCGTGCGTTTCCGCCCCCTGGTCTTGGCCTTGTTGACGATATAGACTTTTTCGGGTCGTTCACTGAGGCTGAGGCAAATGAGTTAGGTATGGGCCTGGTTACCGATGAGAGCTAGAAAATGATTGTTCCAGGCGTATCTGTCAAGCAGAAGGCCGGAGTATTCTGATGAAATGGTATCATTTGACACTAGATTTGCAACAACAATATTGCTCTACCAAATATCACCGTTTAGGGTTCTTGAAGAATTTTCTGTTAGATTGGTAACGCTTTGGACGACGAGTTCCTGACATTCGCGACGTTGGTATTCGAAGTATCCTGAGAATGTAAAACTTTGTGACACTAATCAGCCTAATTTGAGGCTTCTAACCGAGGTCCACAATCACAAACCTTTTTTGGGCACGATCACTTCATATACTCTCATTGTGATTGCTGTGAATTGACTGTTTACAAATTGAAACTCGCATCGAATAGAAATAAATAAAAGGCTCAATTTCGTCGACTAAAGTTATTAATGACTTGAACCGCTTAGATAGGCATAATGTCTCACAAAAAGGATATCTGCACAAGACTACTCAACGGGCCAACTGTACTTACAAGGGTCAATCGGCACAGCACTTGTTCCGCCACTCTGTTGCCAGATCAGACCACCCGATACCTGGTGTTTCTGTTTAATCCCTCATAATGCACGAGACATTCTGCTTTTTGTCAGTTCTGCATCTTTGGAGTTGAAATCTTAGTCCGCCTTCATATATTCTACGCTTCTTACAATAGGTAACTTCTATCCTGCTAGGCCACTAATCCACAATGGCTGAAACCACTGGAACGGCCCGCCAAGCCTCTCCCGCTGCCGAATCGGAGGTAACTCCACCCGCTACAACCGCTATACTCGACCCGCAACACTGGGCGCAAATTGGGGAGGTCAGTTAACAATCAATCATGTTCCTTGGTTTGCTTACTCATAATGCAATGGCTTGAAGGATGCGGATGATGCTGATGATGCGGATTCTGACTCGACTCTGGAGCCCGACAATGCTTCTTCCACGGCGTCGATCACTTCCAGTATCCTTGAGTATAGAACGATCCAGGGCCGGACTTATCACAGCGAGCAGGGAAATGCTCAATATTGGTATGCGCCGTCAGCTGCGTCTCCAACATAGGAAGCTAACATCAATGTACAGGGGATCCAACGATGATAAACAGAATGATTTGATGGATTTAACGTGAGTGGATTGCCTTGCTTCACAAGACAGCCTTGTTTGACAAAATGGTAGTCATCATATTCTCACTCTTGGACTCGGCGACAAGCTGCATTTAGCCCCATTAGAGGAGGACAAAATACAGGTAGATTGATTGACGAATCACCCGGCTTCGTACTAATTGTTTCTTAGCAAGTTATCGATATCGGAACGGGTACAGGTACGACTCTACGAGGGCGTCTTGGTTAGCAGAGGTGACTAATATTCGATCACAGGCATTTGGGCTATGTAAATACATATTGTCTCTTTCATTACGAGCCTTGGCTAATTAAACGACAGCGACTTTGCAGACAAGTATCCTGGCGCGGAGATCATCGGAACAGATCTATCACCAATCCAACCTTCTTGGATTCCACCCAATCTGCGATTGTGAGTGCGATATAAGTTCTTTAGGCCTCTACTTACACCACGTCAGCGAAATTGAAGATTGCACTCGTGAATGGACTTTCAAATCCAGCTTTGCCGATTACATACACGCAAGATGGTTATTCGGCAGTATTAAGAGTTGGGATGACTTCTTTGCTGAAGCCTTTCGAGTGTGTAAGCCTGGAGGCTGGGTTGAAAGTCACGAAGCTGCCTCTAGTATTTCCAGCGACGACAACACCGTAGATCCTGGCTCGGCTATGGGACACTGGGGCAAGTTCTTCCTCGAGGGTAGCAAGAAGATAGGAACGAGCTTTACTGTCGTTGAGGACGGTACCCAGCGTAAGGCAATGGAAGCCGCTGGGTTCGTTAACATCCAGGAATTTGAGTTTAGAGTAAGTTTCATTTCCTAAGATAATATGTCATGGGTCTAATACTTGTCGCAGAACCCGATTGGCGCTTGGCCGAAAGACCCTATTGAGAAAAGAATGGGTTCCTACACCCAGTATGGTCTTGAGACCGACAGCGAGGGATTCATCCTATTCATGGCACATGCTCTTGGCTGGAAGAGAGAAGAGATTCTCGTCTATATCGCTCAATTCCGTCGCGAGATCCGGTCTGGAAAGCATCATGGATATTTTGCCCAGAAGGTTGTTTGGGGTCAAAAGCCCGAGACTACGACCACCTAAACGTGTGAAGACTTCTAGCTGGGGGACATGAACATGTCTGAGTGGCGAGGCTTCAAACATGAAAAAGATCGCCAGTCTCATTTTGCTTTTAAAACTTTACTTGTAGTCGACGCAACTTGTACGAAGGTGGCTCCTCGGATGGAACCTCATTGTGACATCAATCAGTCCCCATCCACAACTCAAGGTAGGATACGTGGAAGTCCTTCCCCTTCATGTGAAGCGAAATATAGTTCAGGGTGCAGGCGTCAGACCTGAAAGTTAGGTAGCATCTCCATGCCGACGTTGTGGCCAAGCTTTCGGTGTAGATGTTATGCGGACGAATTAGCGTATTGCGCCCTGGATTTATCCGTCCATAGACCGCTAGATTCCTTCTTCCAAACGAGACCTCCGAGCCGATCTTTCCCATCTTGCTTCTAACTAATTCACGTTAAGCCATTGTAGGATCATTTAGCTCTCGCTCTGAAATGCTCCGAAGATCATGACCGACCCGTTTAGTGCGTGCTACCGAGGAACCGACCACTCGTGATAGTCACCCCGCATCAACCTTGACCAAGGACTGTGGGGTCGGGGATACCGGAGCCGGAAAACACAATGTGGTCATCAGACGAAATACAGTGGCATCAGTCTGCCGAGTCGAGAATGCGGGGAAATCAGGGCTTCGTATACCGAAAAGATCGACAATTCGCTAGACTACATCAGGGAGGAGTTCAGTTTCCCCAGCTTTTCCCTGGCTATCCCCCTGGTGTTCACGATAGTCGTGCCATTGAGAATCGAAAGACATACGTCAGGTGCTATAAACATTTTCTATTAGCATGCGTAATGCCAAGAAGCTCGGTCCGTTCCGGGACGGTGTATCAGAATGGAGGCATCTATGAAAATCGTTATAAGACCATAAAGGCTCCCAATCATAAAGTGACCTAGAGTAGTAACTAACATTCACCCCTTCACTCTTATCCAGTATGAAGCAGTTTGTTGGCCCACTACTGGCACTCGGTTGCCTCATCGGCAATGCTGCTGCAGCATGGCCGAACGGACCGTTCAAGACGTCTGGTCGATGGATCGTCAACGCCAACAATGAGAAGGTCAAGCTGGCTGGAGCCAACTGGCCTGGTCACGGAGAGGTCATGGTCCCTGAAGGCCTTCAGTACCAATCCATCCAAGACGTCATTTCCGACATCAAGAGCATCGGCATGAACGCTATTCGTCTTACCTACGCCACTGAGCTTGTTGATCAGATCTATGACAACGATGGCAAGGACGTCGACCTCAAGACGTCATTTGAGCAAGGTCTTGGAAAAGAGAACGGCACTATTGTTTTGGCGAAGGTGTTGAAGAACAACCCTTCTTTCACGGCTGAGACAACACGTCTTGAGGTGAGACTGGAAAATCCCATACGCGAAGAGACGTACTGACAGAGGTGGTGTAGGTGTATGATGCCATTGCAGCTGAATGCCTTCGCCAGGAGGTCTACATCAACCTTGACAACCACATCTCAGAGGCTAAGTGGTGCTGTGGTGGTACTGATAGCAACACATGGTGGGGAGATACCCAGTTCGACGTAGACAAGTGGGTTCGAGGCGGTGCTTACATGGCAGCTCACGTACGTCCCGTCTCCATTTCCAACATGCCCAAGTCTAAGCTAATTATAAATAGAGCAAGAAATGGCCCGCCAAGGTCTCTCAGTCTCTCCGCAATGAGCCTCGTGAGCCCACAAACAACAACAAGCTCCGCGATGAGTCATACAACTGGAGCGACCTCTACAAGTACATGCGCCAAGGTGCCGATGCTGTCCACAAGGCTGACCCCGAAGCCATCATCATCATTTCCGGCATGAACTATGATACCTACGTGACCCCTCTCTTCACTGGAGCTAAGCTAGAGCCCAGTGGTGAAGTCTTTAACCGAGACGACTTTGTCGGCTACGGCAAGGACAAGCTTGTTCTTGAGATCCACACCTACGAGAACAAGGGCACCACCTGCCCCTCCCTTCGTTACAACCTTTACACCAAGGGTTTCCAGGCCATGAACGAGACTGATCCCAACACCGCGGAGATCTTCCCCGTCATGCTGACGGAGTTCGGCCAGGCTATGAACGGCGCGGATTACGAGACTGCCAAGACATACATCAGCTGCTTGTCAGAGTATCTCCCTGAGGTGCAGGCTAGTTGGTTTATCTGGGTTATTGTTGGTCGCTACTATACTCGCCAGGGAATTCAAGAGTTTGATGATTCTTGGGGTATGAAGAAGCCTGATTGGTCTGGCTGGAGGAACGATGAGTACATTGAGACATACCTCAAGCCACAAATTGAAGGTACACTGAAATAGTTGATCCGCGACATAGCGGCTTGTAAACCATTTTTCATCAATAAAATTTGCTTCAATTCTGTCCTTGCTCTCAATCGTCAGTAGACATTTCACAAAGAGGTGTATATCTTTATGATTGTAGGGCCTCTGACATGTGCCATAACAGTACCGATACACAGTTACTTAGCCTGTTTGTAGCTTTAGTAATGATCACGCATATGTATATTGCACAACTCACAGCCTGATTTTATTCTGCAGCTCAGCCGCAAACAGAACTTCCCCTCATCCTTTCGCCACGATGACAATTAGGCTCCGAAACAATACAACACAACATCAGTTTCCAAATGGCTCTCTCTCTAAGGGATAGGACCCCACTCAAGCCTGAGATCCGGCTTGCTCAAGCCGTGTCAGAATTTGAGGCTATTCTCACTTCTGAGCAGAAGGTTTCTTTCAGCGCATCGCGATCATCGGCGGCTAGTACAGCGCCTTCGATGTCAGACGTGATGCGTTTGACCGCCGAGATCGATTTCAAAGCTACCAACAAACATGGCCGCGGGCGATGTCTCGGTCCAAGAATGACCAATATTCTTCAGTCCATACAACAGTTTGCCGCTCTTGGCGATGTCGTATTTGGCGGGTCGCAAAACCTCATTGCATGTGGTGTTTGGGCTGCTGCAAGAATGACGCTTCACGTAAGATAGTGACCCTTGTTCAACTCTTCGGGTAAGGATCTGGCTGAAGAAGGTATACAGGTCATGACAGGCTATTTCACCTACCTGGAGAAGCTATCTCTGCTCTTGATGTCGGTCGGCCGAAACGCGCCACGTTACCAGGCTTTGGCGGTTATTTATCCCAAGTCAAAGAACCTACAGCGCTATTTGTACGAATACTTCATCATCATCACCAGACTCTGTCATCAGTCCGTCGCTTGGACCCAGAAATCATCCTTGAAACGAGTGTCTTCGTCGATCGGTGACCCTGACATGAAGAACTTCCAGTCAGATCTTGAAGTGTGGTCGACTTCTATCAGAGAGGAGGCCAACCTACTACTCAGCCAAAAGGTGGACGAGGAGGCAAAGCATAACAGGAGCTTTCGCAACTGGATCACGAATAGAAACGAAAGAGTACAGTGGCAAGAACGGATAAAGTCATGTGTCGCCTTCCTGGACGCATGCTCTCAGTACGACTATCGTACCCCCTGGAAACAAAGCCGCAAACATGGAACGACTTCCGTTCTGAAATCTTCTAGCCAATACCAGCAATGGAAGCATAGTCAGTCTGGTGATCGCTCACTTATCGTTCACGGTACACTGGGGGCTGGGAAGTCAGTTCTCCTAGCTAACATTGTCGACGACCTCAATCTTCAAGACAACACTGTGGTCCTTTATCTTTTCTCTCGCCATGATGACTTCTCTAGTCTCAAAGCCAGAACTATACTCGGATCACTTATTAGGCAGTTGCTTGAGATTTTCGTTAACGACGACAGCTTCAGCCATATCTTCGTGAACACTATATCTGGCGTTGACTTGGAAGATATCATGAGCACTTTTAGGAAATTCCCATCCCATCCGCGGGAGGTCTATGTGGTTGTGGATGGACTCGATGAGTGTCCTTTTGAAGAACAGCAGACAGCACGACGCTGCCTCACAGTCCTCCAGTCCATTGGTTACAAGCTATGCGTATCTGTCAGGACACCAGAAAGAACTACAATCTGGGATGAACGAGCGTTTCAATTTCAGTTATCAATTTCAGAGAACAATCCTGACATTGTAGACTATGTGCAAGCTGAAGTCGACAATCGAGTCCGAGATGGGAGACTGACCACTCGTGACCCTGAACTTGTGAAAGACATCAAAGAAGAGCTGATGAGAGGTGCAGGTGGCATGTGAGTATCCCGTATACTTCTAAATCGTATAATCCGATGCTAATCAGACGAGGTTTCTCTGGGTCACACTGCAACTGGACTCTGTTTGCATGGAGATGTCTGATCACGACATCCGCGAAGCGATTAAGGACCTGCCCCCTGATCTAACGCAAACCTACGAGCGAAACCTCATGAAGGCTAACGCAAACGATTTTAAACGTCACCATACTAGAATCTTCAAGCTACTTGTTGGTGCGAGAGAGCTTTTGACAACTGATCAACTACGTGAGGCTGTCAGTGTCACTATTGGAAATACTACGTGGGACCCAAGGCGAGAAATCGGCGACATTCACGCCGTGCTCCAGTTTTGTGGTAGCTTGGTGATGGTCGATGAAGAGGACGATACAGTTCGCTTCATTCATCATAGTGCACGAAGCTTCTGTCTTAGTTCACCTCGTAATGGCGCAGAGTGGACTTTCACCAAGAAAGAAGCGGACGAGAACTTGGCAGAAACATTGGTCACTTACTTGAGCTACAATGTGTTCGATACTAGGCTATCAAGGAATCGCGTGCCACATTTTGATGCCAACAAAATCCCGAGAGAGGTTGTGATGAGCGCTTTGAGCAAACACGACATTGGGGTGAGTTTTGCTGAAAGGTTTTTAAAGCCACGGTCTTTGGCGAGACATAATGTTGGACCAATTCTCGCTGAAGCCGGCGCCTTTAGAAATAGGGACGAACATGAGCACTTTTCCTTGCTGCCTTATGCCAGCAAACATTGGATCCAGCACACAGCACATTTAGATCAACTTTCCATAATGCCGCAATGGTGCCGCCTGCTCGATCACCCTACATTCGGTATTAAACTCGATGACGTTTCTGTCCCACAGACTATGCGCTCGGCGGATCATAATCCCAAAGGTCATCCTACTGCTTCGCGCCAAATGATCTGGGCATTACAGCATGGACATATCCTACTATTGAAACATGAACTTGTCGCACCCAGGGGCATACGAAAGGTTCAAGCCTATGTAGCGCTCTGGCGTTATTTGAGGAATATCAAGCCTCTCACTATCAAAGAAAGCATGGACTATCAGCTCGTTAAGTGGCTATGTCCTATGTTCTTACGTTTGCGCATGCATCATCCCGCCAAATACTACTTCTTAACCCGCCTCTCCATCTTTGATGATTATTACGCTGATATCGTTGAAGAGGCCGTGGCCGTCGATGATTTGGAGGCAATCGCTGCACTTCTGGCTCACGACGACCTGATAGAAGCGAACTTCTCCTTTATCAGTCCACGGATTATGAAGGTAGCTGCTTCGTATGAGCAAACAAGACCTCTCCAACATCTAATGACAAATGTTCTAAACACTACCAACAGCATCAAAGATATGACCTCGGACATGCCAGATCCTGTTCTATTGAGACTTCTTTACCGTTCCCTACGGGCTGGTGTAGACTTGAGTGTTTTACGGGATAATGGAGCATACATAACTATGAAACTGCTTTGCAGCTACACAGGCTTTTCGACAGTAGCTCAAGAGATCTTCAGATCCCTACTCCCGAAGACTACCACAGAGATAGGCCCCTACAGAAAGGATGTTCTCCTACACAAAGCTTGCCTAAGCGGAGACATAGAAGTGGCAGACACTTTACTGCGATATTCGTCAGACCCTAACACGCGTATGAATGGAGGTTCATGTCTAGACGCTACTCTATATGGATTATCCCAGGGCCGACTACGTTTAGTATGGCGTCTTTTGAACCATGGGGCGAAACCTGAGTGTGCAACAGTGGTTCGAGCAACACAGCTCAGACAGTGGGCAGTTGCTCTATGCCTCCTAGCAGTATATGCCGTTCGAGCCGAATCAGATACCTCTGGTCTTGACTTCCAAGAACCTTTCTTTTTGGTCTACACTTTTGACCATTGGGATGAAATCGAACCCCTATTTAAGCTCTCTATTCCAATTCCAGGAACGTTTTTTGAATCTCCGTGGAGAGATGTTTTTTACCCATTGCATCAACTATCAATGTTTAAATCAAACTGTTGGCTTGATTGGCAATTCTTTTTCGTGCCCTGCTACTCTTGGAAAGGCAAATGGAGGTCAATTACTAATCAGGAAGTAAAAGACTTCACTAACCAAGTACAAGAGGACATGTTATCAATACCTCATTATGCGGAAAAGGCACTGATTGAGAATCCTGCCAATACAATGAAAGAGGACTCTCCCTACATTTACCAGTATTCTTTAGAGTATGTTCTTCTCAGAGCAAATTCGACTCCATGGGTCAAAATCACCACTCCTAACTCTTTTTCTGTTATTGCTGAAATATCTAGAAGGTGGAACTGGTTATCCGTTAGAGAAGAGTGGGACGAACCGGAAAAGATGTGCCATACACAAGACTCTGATAGTACACCTTTTGCCGTCTGGAAGGACTCTAGGAACTTGGACGGTCTCGATATTTGGCAACTTTCCATCTCAACCGAGGAGACGGTGCAGATTCACGGATTGATCGATCAACGTCGTCGCAGATGGGATCTAGTTCGCTCCGGGCTTTCGGAAAGTCAATGGGCTGTTCGAGAACTCCGCAAGTCTCTTGTCTTGCTTCAAAGCCTACCCGTTCCCTCCAAATTCTCTGTACATGATACGAGGGTACCAGCCAAATACCTGCCAAGATGGTCAACTACCGAGCATGGCTCCATGGAACGCTTTGGCTTCGGCTTTGCATACATGAGTGTTCGCATTCAATGGTTAAGAACACTGGGGCTTCTGCTTACAATGGGGTCGCTGACGTACACGGACTTCCCTAATGAACTGCTCGAGGATGTTGGTGAAATATTTGACGCTCCACCCCGCCTCCTGGAGCATCTTACTATGTATCGACACGGTATTATGCCTTTAACGCTTGAAGCATCGTTTTTAGGTCCAAAGTTGGGTCGCTATCTCTTCAGACATGTTTTCCGCAATAGCAACTGGCTATCGGAGGTAACTTCTTGGTTGGAACAAGTGGACCCAACAATCTTTGCTTGGACAATGGGTGCCGACGCGCCTCTGTCTTTCATAAGAGCTTTCCAGAGCTTTCGATACGCGGGAGTGCCGGAAGATGAGATGGAAAGATTAGAGTCCGCATTGGAGGTTGCACGTTCAAAGCTTGTTGAGTTGGTGTAGGAATTGGGCCATTGATACATTTTGGGTTGTCTACCAAAGCCGACTCACGTAGTAGGGATTGATATGAAATGGTAGTTGCATGTCTGCACACTCTTTCAAGCCTTTGTCAGACTGTCCACCGCGCGAGCAACAAGTGATTTAGTCTCTTCTGGTAAATCAGCCTCCTTCAAAGGCGTAAGTCGATCCTCCCAAACCTTCCACCTCGCTTCACAGAAACCCCTCCATCCATCTTCATCTTTGAACTCTGTCAAGCTAGCACCTGGCTTCGCAATTTTACCCTCAAACTGATGTCCTTCATTACTCGCCTTTTTCAACTCGCCAGATGCATAGATGAACCAGACTGAGGCGGCCTTCAACAACTTGGGTGAGGTTTGCTTTGCGACTTGCTCGGCAGAGGGATCCTCTAGAGCTTCACGCAAGGTCCAGATGGCAAAGAGGCTGAAGTCCTGGACATCTGCTGCGGTTATTCTGGCAAAGAAGGCGTTGATGTTGACACAAGCCTCTTCAGACTTTTCTTGGGCTGTTGAAGGATACGTCAGTGGGTGTTGACTGGAGTCAAGGGTGTTGAGCATACCGATATCGAGCTGTTCGCGAGCCTTAGGGCCAAACATGGGAAGTTCATCCCAGCTCTTGGCATCATCCCAAACCGTAAGCTTCTTGGCTTTTTCGGTTGCCTCGGGGAGGTGTTTGATTGACTGAACGACTTCCACTAGCTTGTCTTGCTGATCGTGCGGGGTTTGCTCAGCAGCGGTGAGCACTTCCGACCACAGATCATTAAGCTTGTTTTCAATTTCTGTCGCGTCTTCATTTTTGTCAATTGCTTCAATGCAATCGTGTGCCACAATTTGGGCGGCCTGTTCCGCGGACACGCTGTCGTCGCTTAGTAGGTCTTTGAGTGTGCCGGCCATTTTGAGTAGGTAGTTTGAATGAATGAATGCAAGGGAAATGTCAGGAGATGCAAGGTGAAAGATGAGTGCAACACAAAGCGGAGGTCAAAAGATAAACGACGAGGCTAACGCGGCATATCACATCCGGCTCGCAAAGTGAGGTCTTTTCAAAGGTTCCAAGGGTATCGCGAATCATGAAAGATAAGACCGACACATGGTCGACCCTGAAACAGATATATGCCGATCTTGCCCCGCTTCTTCTGCGGGATATACATTTAACTGGCCAGGATGGTCTCAACTACAACTGCTCATCTGCCGGACAAACATCCCATTGGGGCAGGTCGTGATACTATCTCGAAGTCAATGCAGTAGTTGGCCAATCGGACTTGTGGAAACCACCACCTGCCTTCTTTGTTATACTCTTTGTGTTTTTGATCTCCGAGCTGTTCAAAGGGTTGATAGATAGGCAATGGCCATTGATGTATAAAATCAGCAGAAAAGACTGTGGCAAAGATGGAATTCATTCTGCACGCTGCTCTCATTCTTTCGTTAGTTGTTCAATAACCGTTTGACAAGATGCTCTTCTTCAAGGTGCGCCGATAATTTCTCCGGTTCCTAAACCACATTCAAACTTGAAGCTCACCTCTTATAGTCCCTCGCCTCGCTCGCTGCGCTTGTCAGTGTAGCCGTTGCCAGCCCCATCGAGTCCCGTCAATCCGCCACCAGATGCGGCAGCACCAGCTACACAGCAGCCCAGGTGCGAGCTGCTGCCAATGCTGCTTGCCAGTACTACCAGAATGACGATACTGCTGGTAGCTCCACCTACCCTCACACCTACAACAACCGCGAGGGCTTTGACTTTGCTGTCAACGGTCCCTACCAGGAGTTCCCCATCAGGACCAGCGGTGTCTACACTGGCGGTAAGTCGAGCAATGTGGCTAGTCAATGCTCCTACTAACATGAAGTTTTAGGTTCCCCCGGTGCTGATCGTGTTGTGATCAACACCAGCTGCCAGTATGCTGGTGCGATCACTCACACTGGAGCTTCGGGCAACAACTTCGTTGGCTGCAGTGGTACCAGCTAGGCGAAAGACTCATTGTTTCGATACTTTTGAGCGATGCGTCACACGTACATAGTTCGATTCTGATCAATTTGACATTGAGTTACATATTTAAAGACTTTCTCTGCTTAACAAAGTGAAATGACACATCACCTTGTGAAGCGTTACCCTCCACTAGCAGTACATAACCCAACTATCCAGGTTCATTTTCTTAATAACCTTGCTGAACCCTTTAGAGCCTGTCGCATCACCTTTAGTAGCGCAGATCCTCTTCTTGTCGCTAGCCTTCACCTTTGGTGCACCGTCTGGGTACTCAATATTGAACACTGGCTTCCCGGCCTTGATGTAAGGTGCATAAAGATCGCATTCTTGATACTGAATGCAGGACTCGTTGATGCAAAAGGCCACGTAGGGGAGAACTTGTTTTGTGACATCCCCGCCGTTCTTCATGCCCATGACCATGCCGTACTTCGCTGCTTCTGCAGATAGGAACTTGACGTATGAAATCGTGTCCTTCTGAGTCAGGCCTAGACCATTGTCGTTTTGCTAGAGGTGTGTCAGTCAATTATCGGAAACCTGCCCTTAAGCACTTACATAGCCATCCATGTTGTCAGGGTCGATGGCATCACATCCCTTGTCAGCGGCCAGTTTGATGCGCTTAGCCATAACGGCTCGCACTGCAGTACTTCTGATATTGACCCATTTCTCGTCTGGCCAACCACTCATCGTCTTTCCGAGATCCTTCTTCGGGAAGCTGTTCTTATCCTTTCGCCAGTTCTCCCAAGACCCGGCGCTGAAGTAGCAGATAACACGCTTGCCAGAATCTTGCATGGCAGAGATCGTCTCCTGCGTGTTTTCGAACAAGTCTATGTCCCAAATAGAAACGTCGGGGCTCATATCATCAGCACCCTCATCAGGCACCGTGATGACTTCGGAAAGAATGATCTGCCATGGTGTGCCGACCTCTGGCTTCCAGGGTTCTTCGCGTTTATTGAGGGATACTCCTCGGGTGGTGATTGCCTGGACAGTGGCCAGCTCGGATAGAGATGCCAGAAGCGTAATGATACGGAGTAAAGTTGCCTTCATTTTCGGAGTACGGCGACGGCCGGTGAATGCTATCTCAAGATGTCTACGGTACCTTCGAGCTCTAGAGAAAGCGGCGGGGTAGGTGTTTATATACAGAGACACTTACTACCTTTTACGGCATTTGGGTGTGTTATAAATTGCGTTTGGCGACAATATTCGGGTCCATTCCTGTCATCTCACTAGAATAGGCCGAGGCCCTATCGTGACATTCTATGCGTAGACTAGCTGCTAAGAACATACGTGAATGGCTGTAAAGAATTAAGGAATGTATTGGGACCGCATCTAGTTCGGATGCGGCCACTGACTGATTCCAAAACACCCCCACAAATGGCACCAGTGAACAATTCACACAAAAGCTTTGGGCCAAAATCTTTGATCCCGCGGAAAGGGAATGCGACTTGTTAATGAATTTCAAAGAAAAGTTAACATTCCGTATTGAGTTATTCAAGGCTTTTTGCCCGTCCCCATCGCATGCTTAGGGTATTTTGACCACATTGCACAAGAATCAATTTCATTTCTTCCCGTCTCGTTTACTATTAGCACCAATCCTGTAAACTTGAATAGTTCAACACTTCAGTATCCTCTATTAGGCCTCTACTGACTCGAATTAAGAGAGAAGGAGGTCTTCACGAATTGAATCAAGATTGTTATAATACGACTGCAGTATCGTTGAACAGTCCATGATTGTACCTTACTGTCATTGCTTGGCTGGTGTAGGGTATGCAGGCCTTAGTGTTAGACACGATTCACATGTCGTCATACACCTACAGACGCATCGTGATTGGCTGCACCCTCGTATGACGTTGCGCTTTTCTCAAAAAGACAAAGCTCTATCTTTCCATCCTACTCAATCCCTCAGCACCAACAAAACCAGCCCAAAATGCCACCCAATCAGCTCTTTCAATACTCCGTTGTCTCGGCTCTCATGGATGGAGTTGCCGAGACCGGTATCACCATCTCAGACTTTCTCAAGCACGGCGATCATGGTCTTGGCACCTTTCGACACATGGTGGGGGAGATGATCATCCTTGACGGTACCATTTACGAGATGAAGGTTGATGGCTCTGTCACTGCTCTTGACGACACTGCTTGTGCTGAACAAACTGCTCCTTTTGCCATGATCACACAGTTTCAACCTACAACAACGTCTAAGAAGCAAATATCGAGCAAAGAATCCTTGACGGAAATCTTGTCGCAGCTTCTTCCGGGAACAAAGAACCACTACGTCGCTTTCAGAGTGGAAGGCACATTCAAAGCAGTCACTGTCCGAACAGTCGGTGGTCAAGAAACACCAGGCGAAAGTCTCGCGGAACTTGGAAAGCGTCAAGCCTCTCACTCCTTCAACGACATCAAGGGAACTATCATTGGGTTCCGGTCACCAGCCTTTATGCAGGGTATCAGCGTCGCTGGCGACCACCTCCACTTCCTCGCAGCGAACAGAAAGTCGGGCGGTCATGTTCTGTCCATTGAAGGGGATGGTGATCTGGAGATCAGCGCAGCTCCCATTACTGCGGTCAACCTGCAATTGCCTAATGGGGATGAAGCGTATAATCAAGCCAAGCTGGCGAGAGACGACGATGGTATAGCTGCGGTGGAGGGTTAGGGATGACAAGAAGGGCCCGATGACCCAAAAAGATACGTTTGCTGAACAGTTTATGGAATATCTATATTACTTGGTAATTACTTCGCAACAGCAGCCGGAACTATTACAAGCATTTGTTAACTATAGCAAGGTCAGTTGATAAGAAGTAGCAGCTGTATGCTTGTCACTTAAGCTACTATAAAGATTTGATCAATGTGTAAATAAATGCAGACTTCTATTATATTCCTTCTCATAATTCCGACAGACAAATTGGTCACGAAAATCCCATTACCATAGCCGGTTAGCCTAACAGCTCAGTCTCGAATCAACCTTCTAACAGTGACTCCTTCAAAAGGCCAATATCTACAGAAACGATTCCTCCTTACATCTAATAAAGTTAAGCACCGCCATGGCTAAAACCTCCATTGTCACGAATCTTGTTCAAAAACCGTAGCACAGCCGGTGTAACTTCTTCAGGCTTCTCAAACATCGGCGCATGTCCAGCACCCTTGACAGCAACAATCTCAGTACCCTCGAAGTTCGAAGCCACCCAGCGCGCCTCCTCAATAGGGTCAGTCCAGTCAGGATCGGCATCTCCATAGACTGCAAGAACAGGAGCCTTGACTTTGGTGAGAAACGATGTAACGACGTTGTGGTCGGTGGAAAGCGTGGCATGGAAGGCCTGCCAGCAACCAGGTCGAGTCAGAAGCTGGATGGATCTCTCGGCTCGCGCATGTGTCTTGTCGCCGAGGCCGGGCCAGAGCTTGGGTGCGTACGACTTCCAAATCATAGGGCCGATGGGCTGGCGCATAGACAGGCGGAAGAGACTGGCTACGAGCTTGCCAGTACCGGGACGGAGAAATGCTCCAATGAGGATGAGACCGGCGACTTTGTGTGGCTGGGTGCCAGCTGCGATGGTAGCAGCAGCGCCTGACAAAGAGGCACCGACCAAGACAGCTGGACCTCCACCGTAGGTATCAATCAGCTTGAGGAGATCGTCGGCAGTAGCCTCGTCTCCATAGCGGTTGAAGGTGGTTGTGCTGTCGCCGTGACCTCGAAGGTCAACAACGGCGACGCGATAGCCGGACTTTCGAAGTTCGCTGGCAAGAGGGTCGTATACATCTCTGAAATCGCCCATGGCTGGCGAGCAGATGACAAGAGGGCCCTCGCCGGAAATATCGACGGCGAGCTTACCACCGTCGGTTTCGATGAATGTGACAGACATTGTTGATTTGATTGGTGGGATTGCTGGTAGCTTGTACAGGTGAAGTGAGATGGTGGTGAAGAGTATCTGTTCAAGATGATTGTTTGTATTAGTGTGTTGAATGGATTGTTTGTTGATGGGATGATTTCCTGATTCCAGCGACGAAGATCACCTTTATATATATATTTGTAGTTCTCATCTTACATGCATTTGATGACCTCCATGTCGATAATGGAAAGGGCGAGACTCGGCCGAAGATGTAGGGCCGTGCGATTTAATTGGCTTACACAATGCACGAGAAAATACCGAGACTAACGCGACCCGAAGGATCAGCGGGAAAGCGACCTGATTGGGTAATCTCATGCAGAAACTCCATAACTCTGACTCTCGCTCCTTCGTCGCTTTTGAACAGGGAGATTGATAGGGCTACGCCGTAGACTAGATAACTAAAGTCTGCCATTCACCAGTCTTTTGCTGACTGAAACACTTATGTCTGCATCATGCTTTCTAATATTTAAATCATGTTCATACAATGCTGCTGCTTCACAGTTTCATCTGTCCGCTCTTCCGTCTATCAACCAACTGTCTCAAAACCAACGCCGACTTCTTCGGGCTTCTTTCCAATGTCTTATAATCCGTAAAAGTCACTCCGAAACGCGGACCATATCCGTCCGACCACTCGAGGTTATCCATCAGTGACCACGCAAAGTATCCTTCAATCACAGAACCATCCTCGGCCACTGATCGACCAATCGCGTCGAGATGGTCTTCGAAATACTTGATCCGATATTCATCTTGCACTGATTCCTCGCGGCTCATCTTTTCTTCTCCAGGGCAGGGACAGCCATTCTCTGTGATGATTATGGGTTTGCCGTAGAGGCGGTAGATTCGGGTGAGGTGTTTGCGGAAGAGATCGGGGCAAGATCGGAGCCAGTGTAGGCCGCTTTCTAGACCGACAGGTTTGCCGGCTTTGTTGGTCTGCAGCTCATCCAGGTTGCCAATGTAATCAGTATCAGGAGCTGGGGTACTTCTGTGTCGCGCGAATTGAGATGTGTAGTAATTCATGCCGTAGAAATCACTCTGAGCTGACTGAAGCAGCTGCATTTCTTCCGACGTGAAAGGTGGTAGGCGGTCTTTGAGCTGGTCGCGCATGCATTGCGGATAATCTTGCCCCAGACTGCGTAAATATTAGCGACAACTACTTCACTCATTCACATAAGACTCACAATATGGGGTTGGCGAACCAGCCAATATGGAATTCCATGCGCCTCTCAGCTGCTTCGCTATCTTGAGGATCACTTTTATCCCACGGCTCGTAGTAATCGCCGTTCAATGAAATTCCTATCTGGCCGTTTTGTGACGGGCGGAAATCTCGATTATATACCGCTACAGCGCGTGCGTGACTCATGATGAGAGCCTTTCCCACGATCCATGGTTCAGTTGACGTATCGCCTTCCGTAGACTGCGGGTTGATGCTGCTTCGGCCTGGGGCGTTGCCTCCTGTAGCATATCCCTGGGGAGCTGTGAGTATTACATCATGTTTTGTTTCACCTGAGGTCAACTCACAAATATGGATATAATCCAAGGTTCATTGAGCGTAATCCAATGCTTAACGCGATCGCCAAACCTCTCATAGCAGAGTCTTGCGTAACGCTCAAAGTCCAGTTGAGATTCCTCCACATCCAGCCAACCGCCATACCGATCATGTAACGCCTGCGGCAAGTCCCAGTGGTAAAGTGTTACCCAAGGAGTTATGCCCCTAGCGAGACACCCGTCGATAACCCTGTTGTAGAACTCAATGCCGGTTTCATTTACAGGATCATCTCGGCCGCCAAGAGGAATTACACGCGACCATGAGAGTGAGAAGCGATACATATCTGAGCCATAGCGCTTCAAAAGATCAAGGTCCTCATCTAACCGATGATAGTGATCGCAGGCAATATCGCCATTTGCGCCTTTTGTCCGAGTAGGTTCGAGATGGCAGAACGTATCCCAAATTGAAGGTCCTCGACCATCTTCAGCTACTGCACCCTCGATTTGGTAGGATGCAGTAGCGAAGCCGAGGTTGAAGTCTGGAGGAAGAGAAGGCATAGTGGTGTTTGTCTCTGCAGTTGATGTAGACTGTTCGATGCCCCTCGTTCGGCATCCTTTATACCGTAGGATATACGGGCCGATAAGATAACACCAGAGATCAATCTTGTTACCTGTTCTTGGGGATGTTGCAGATCACGGCGAATTTGCCTAGATCCACAGTCATTTCGCCGATATGTTTCCCCGTTGAGCTAAGACGAGGGGTTTTCTCGTTTAGCATCACTTAGCATTTCTCCGTTTCGCCGTAGCGTGAAAGAGTCTGACCATTCCCCACGGGGAAGCCTGCACTACGACATGGGGTTTGCGCATTCCGTTCCGCTCGTTGCTTTAGTATGGCATGTTGGATCGAATTCTCCCTCTCGTTAACGTTGCGGGATGTATATATAATTACTTCGCTTCGCCGTTTTCTCCATCATCACCAGAATCAAAGCACTCGCTGGCCTTCCTTGGACAATACACCAGTGCCTTGCATTAGCCATCAGCGCAGTACGATAAAATGGCTCCAAAGGCCGCCCACGCCACAGAGGACATCCAGTCTCCCATCGACCTGACGACGGTCCCTCCATTCTGGAAGCGCAAAAATGGCACACTTCTGTACTTCCTCCTCACGTCCTCGCTATTCGCCAGTATGGCACTCGGTATTGACGGGTATGTATCCATCCCCAAGCCTCAATCGCAATCCTAACAGCAACACAGCTCCATGACCAACGCCCTTCAGACGCTCGAGAGTTGGCAAGACCGGTTCGGCCATCCCACCGGGTCCAAACTTGGCTTTTTCGGCGCATCCAACGCCATTGGAGGTGTCATACCCTTCATCTTCCTCAGCTGGATCAGCGATGTCGCCGGTCGTCGTGTGCCTACGGCTTTAGGATCAATCATCATCATCGCGGGTGTTATGGTCCAACTCTTCGCCACGTCGCTCAACATGTTCATCGGCGGAAAGATTGTTCTTGGAATTGGCTCGTCGCTTATCCAGATGGGTGCTCCTGTTCTGGTGACAGAGCTTTCGCATCCTAAGGAGCGCGTGCAGATCACGACACTCTACAACACCAACATTGTCCTTGGCTATGTTATCGGTGCATGGGCGACATACGGATGTTTCCGCATTCCAAATCAGTGGTCGTGGAAGCTTCCCACTCTCGTTCAAGTCGTTCCATCTGCATACCAACTTTGCCTTATCTTCTTCTGTCCCGAATCGCCTCGTTGGTTAATCGCCAAAGGCAAGGTTGATCAAGCTCGCGAAATCCTCATCAAGTACCACGGAGAAGGCGATGCGAATAGTGAGCTTGTCAAGTATGAGTGTGCGGAGATCCAACAGTTCATCGAAAAGGAAGCAGAGCAGAATATGACGTGGAAGGAATTCTTCTCATCCATTCCAAACATCAAGCGTCTCTCTCTCTGTTTCGCAACCGCCTTGTTTAGTCAGAGCTCCGGAAATCTGCTTGTCTCCAATTATTTGACACAGATCCTGAAAGACACCGGCATCAAAGCCGAGAAGGATATCACTCTGGTCAACGGCATGGTGACTATCTGGCAGTACATCGTCGCCATCACCGTGACCATCGTCGTAAATAAGTTCAAGCGCCGTACGTTCTTCCTTGTCGGATCTGGAGGCGTTCTTGTAACATTCATCATGTGGACCATCGCCGCAAAGCAATACCTCGACGGCTCCTTGGCTGGTGGGCGTGTTGTTTTGGCTTGCATCTTCCTCTTCCAAGGCTTCTATACCTTCGGATGGACGAACCTGGTAGTGACGTATCCGCTTGAGATTGTCACGTATCAGATGCGCGCGAAGACATGGGCATTTGTACTGCTCACTATACAGGTTGCATCCATCTTTGGTGGCTACGTCAACCCGATTGGCCTGGAGGCTATTGGATGGAAGTTCTACATTTACTATTGTGTCTGGGTCGCCATTATCTTCTTGGTCGTCTACTTCTTCTTTGTCGAGACATCAGGGCCTACTCTCGAGGAACTGACATATCTCTTTGAGGGGAAGAGTACTAAGCAGGAAATGACAAAGGAGATCGAGGTTAAGAAGGAAGAGCATGATTTTGTTCATGAGAAAGGTGTTTAGATATATACTCTTGAATTCATTTAGACAATAGCTAGTGAATGATTATTATACATATACGGATGAATTATTGCACCATTGCCGAAGTGTTGCGCAGGGCATCCGATGCCTTAGAATCTAGTCGAGTAAGCAAGTCGAGAAGAACCGCAAAGTCACTTCGAGCCCTTGCAGCGATCGGCGAAGATCCATTTCTATGTATGATCTCCAACAGACTCGCCCCTGTGAGCCGTATCTTCTCGACCTATCGCAGCACCGAATTAGTTTCATTGTGACCTACAACCGCAAATTTCACTTACATATGGTTCGCCATTTACTTGCAATGACCAAAAGGGAGCTTCTTGTATGACGCGAAGCATATCCCGTGCGATTTCAGTCTTGCGCAAATCCGAGTGTCCAATATCGGACTTATAATAGGGTAGGTTTTCTAGCTTTTGGGTAATAACCATTCTGAGACAATGGATAGACACCTGCAGATTTGCGCATTGGATCAGGAACTGCTTGGTAGTTTCTCTTGAACCATCCGCCAGTGCAGCAAATGTGTATGATTGTAGATAAGGGGGAAGATCATCGAGGCAGGTGATGAAGCGGACATAAAGAGCATCGAGGTGGTCTTTCTCGTTGGCGGTGATCAGTGGTTGGAGACTTGTTAATCCTAAATCTTGCTGCGCTCGATCTTGGATCAGTCTCAGCTCCAATAGTAGGTCAGACGCATTCTGCCACAGACGTAGATTGGCGTTGAAGCCTTCAATGCATGTGATTCGAACGACCTCAGAGTTAGTGACGAGATTTCCAGGCGAAAGAACTGGTGCTTCATCCTCGATGCCAGAAGGATAGGCCGTCGTAATCCCCGACTCAAATGAGAATTTGTGGATGGTGATTGGGCGGTTGTTGAGTATCGCCGCTGACTTGTCGCCCATGTACACAATCCAGAAAGCTCTCCGCCTGAGCTCAGCCTCTACAGGCTGCAAGCCTTCAAGAGATGTTTCTAGATTCAATTGCATAACCTGCGCAAGCCTCGTGGCTTCTCCAAAGATATGCCACGAATACTTGGGTTTTCCGGCCGCATGGAGACAATTAGAATGGAAATACCGAATAGTGATGGAGTTCGCATTTGGGTTTTCCAGCTCTGCTTCGAGATATTGATTCAAACAGGCTCGTGAAGCATTAAGAAAGATGTCGGCCACGGATTGGCCTTCTGGAAAGAGGTCCTTGGGAAGTAGAAATGCGGCCTCGGCACAAACGGCTGTTATGAGGGTGAAGGTAGTTTCTGGCCAAAGCTCCAATATTCCAGCGCCATTGAAGCTATCGGATATCGGAAACTGCGTAAAACACGACAGAGAATCGCGAAGACTTGGTTCATGGACCAGCGGCGTAAGTGGATACAGGTACTCGAAGAACAGATCGAAGCATCGCGTCACGAATTGATGCAAGTCATTCGTGATGAATGACAATGCCCTCGATAAATGCTGCCATCGCTGTTGAACCGTCGCATCACCAGACACAGACCTTACCATCAATGGCGGCGAAAGGCCAAGATCGACAGCGTTGGAATCCCACCGAGCTGACGAAGTAGCGCTAGCAGGCGCCGTTAATTCCGCTGTGGAACTCGCCTCCGCTAGCGACTGAGACTGGGACTGGGGCTTCCTTGTGCGGGATTTGGGACCTCGGCGAGCAATGGGGAGATCAAAGGTGCATTGAGTGCCTGACTCCCTGCAGCTGGTGCAACGCTCCCCGGAGTCTGCAAAATCACACTATTCCTGTCAGCTGCCACTCGCCTAAGAGATTCGCCGATACGTACCCTTGCTTTTCGCCGGCGGCATCGGTCACAGGCTCTGCTGGCCGGCCCCTTTTGAGTTGGTGTGTTTGTCCCTGTAGACTGGGGAGACGTCGGCGCGGGGCTGGTGGCCATTGTGGGATTTGTGAGAAAGACCGTGGATGAGTTGGAACGGGGAATTGGAGCGGTCAAATATGTTTTTCTCGTGGGTTGATTTTCCTATTCTCCGTGACGATCCATCCTGTTTGACGGTTAGCGTTTATGATCAGGCGGGGTTGAGTCTGGGGTAAGAAACCTTGTTTATTACGAGTTTGTGCCCGAATCAGGACTGCCGACTCAGCCGCAATATTAGTATATAAAGTCATTCATCATCTGTGAAGTCACCTACACTACTAACAGTAGAACCGGCAGTGGAATCAGAATTAGGGATATATCCCAATCACTTTCAAAATGAAGTCCTGCTCTTTAGGCCACAGCTTGATCTGTGCTGCCGCTGCGTTGGCCCTCTCTTTGCCACTTGTCGAGGGTTCACCACAGTACACCAATTCAAAGACACCTTCATGTCGCTTCGGTCTCGAGTGGTCTCAGAAAGAAGTGCTAAAGCGTCCTGATGATTTTGTCAGGGACCTCCTCTACTGGGAAGGCAAATTTCATCAGAACGACGTTGCATACAACACCAAAAATGGCATGTCTTATGATGGAACCCAGCTTGACTGGAAGACTGGCAAGCACACCAAGAAACACACGTTCAGTGCAGCCAGTAAAGAAGTCAGTAAAAGAATGCTCGCTGTTAATCTAAATTCCTAACAAAAGATTTCTAGGCACTACAGATTATGCTTTACGCACAAGCCATTTCCGGATCTAAGGAAGCGGCTCGTTTCCTGACTCCGGAGAACCTTCAGGGCGCTCCAGCATTCGCCGCATCAATCATGGAGACGAAGCTGAAGACTTACAAGCAGTTTAACCAGACTTATCCTGGCTTTGGTGGCTTCCTTCCCTGGGTCAAGACGGATACGCAAACGATTTCGCCCACGTATGATTGGGATGACAGAGTCCCGGGTCTAGACAACGGGTAAGTGACTTTGAGTTGTGCACACGTACATACTGACGGCGGTTTTGTTAGGGAGCTTATTTGGGCAGTCTACGCTTGCATCGAAGCCCTCCAGAAACAGCCGAATGCCAAGTTCCACAAGATTGCCGACGGATGGCAAAAATGGCTCGAATACGTTGCTTCCACTGCTCCAAAGATCTTCTACATCGGGAAAGGAAAGGTTTGTGCCGTCACTGCAATTGGTGACCAGACGCTCCAAGTCAACGACAAGAAACAGTCGTACAAATGCGAGACTGAGACTTACTTGGATGACCCTTATGAAGGAGAGCTTTTGACATATTTCTTCCAATTCTTTACCAACCTGTCCAAGAAAGATAAGCAAGCTCTGTGGGAGTATAAGCGGCCTAAGCTGGAGAAGGCAGTGTATAACAAAGGAGGGGTTGGTCCCATCACTGTCCGAAAAGGTGAGTGTCTCTGAATAGTAGTTCCTGCACATGCTAACAAGGTTTAAAGGTTTCTGGTTCTCGAGCCATGAGATTTGGAACCAGCTCGAGTTACCATACCATGATGTTGACATAGTTCGGTGAGTCAAGCAGGCATTCCACGGTATTGCATGATACTTATAAATCAGTCGTTTGTTCAAGAATGGCGAACGCGCTCGCACGTGTAACTCTGTGGTCACCAAGTCACCCGGTCTCTACGCATCAGTCAACAACTCAACCGATCCCAAGACCGATGAGATTATCGGCTACATCTCGCCTGCTGGTATTCCCTCGATTGCCAGTCAGAAGGATCAAGAACTCGACGTCGTCACTCCCTATGGTGTCTTCCCGGTCGTGCTGTTCGACAAAGCTGTCGGTCTTGCTTGGTGGAGGAACATGATCGTTGGCAAGAAAATGCAAAGTCAGTTAACAGTTTACCTAGATAAAGGTGTCAGTATAACTAACACAACACGGTATAGATCCATACGGCAGTACTGAGTCGACTCGTATTGACGGCGAAGGTGTTTCGGCGTTGGTTACTTGGGATAGCAAGGTCACTACTGTTTTGGCCCTCATGGGCGGCGTTGTGGATCTTGTGCGCGATCGCATGAAGTCTGACGGTATCTATTATGAGTTCTTAAAGATCACAGAGGTAAGTGTTCTCCAACGAGCATTAAAGTAGCTCTCTGACGAACTACAGCGTGAGCATGTACGGGTCTTTGGCCACAATCTCAAAGGGGAGGATATCGAATTCTGTCTTCCTAAGAACAAGGTGCCAGATGCTGGATTGAAGGATTTCACTTCCTGTCAGAAGTAAAGGTGATGGGTACGCGACTCTTCTAAGTAGCCTCCATTATATGTGCGAGAAGCAAGCACAGTAATAAAAAGAATATTGCCTTGGTTATGGTTCTGTTATTGGGAAGGAATATTTACTGATAAGCCATCATGCATTAGGTAACGTGAGATAAGGTCAGTATCTCGACTCGGCCACTTTCCAGACCTTATAGCGCTTTGGGGGTGACGTCAGTGTGTTTGGCAAGGAGTTGCAACCAGACTTTGTCCATTGGCCACTCGGAATGATTCTCCCGCGATATTTCAAGTGTCTGATCTCCCATACTATTCGCGGAAGTTTACCTTTCGCCAGCCAAGGGCGAGCACGTTGTTTATCAAGAGGGTGACGCAGTCTGACCGTCGATAGGCTCTCCCCGCAAACAAAGGCCAAAGCCAGGATCTTTTGTTGCACCGCACAACCCCTGTCATAAGCACCACCCACCATGACCTTCCGCATTCAGTATCGTCCCGAAGATAGTCTCATAGTTAAATGTTTCTTAAGTAGCTTAAGTAGACGCATTATCATATCTTGATCTGCAGGGATCGAACTTGCGATACTATGCATCTCCTGTCGATATATCAAATAGTGCCGATTACAATCGCCGCTTATGCCTCATTATTCTTCGTCCCATCATATCTATCCGAGATGGCTGACCGAAAGGTACGACGACATTGAAGTTAAGATTTAGGTGTTGATTTATGCTGACACGAAATCTCTCAGTCAATCACTTATACGTTCGATAAGCTCGAAGATTGGCAAGAGGCACTCGAGGCAACAAACGCGTACGTTATTTTATAACCTTACAATAAATGACGAAACTAAATGATGATTTTAGTATAGTTACTGAAGACACTGGTGCCAAATTCTGGAAGAGCACTCGGTCTATGCCACCCATATGTTTTCCTCCGTAAGTGCTACCACTGGAACAACCGACCAGAACTAACAGACTTGGGTTTCAGGCCTATGACTCAACAGGCGATTGAAAAGCTGAAGGAGTTTAAAGGCATAGTTGTGGAAGATCTTCCCGAAGAGAAGTAAATGTCGATATGGAAGCAACACTGATGCGGGATCGAAGAAGTTTCAGATATATCGAACGGCCAATAGTTTATCAAAGTAAGTCAAAAGTCGAAGAGACATTTTCAAGTTATGAGAGTCACGGCACGATCCACCAGGGAAGGATTCAATAATGCTTCGACCTTGAACATGTATTATTTATTCTCAGCAAGAAGGTTCTGTGGGTTTGCAATTCAAGTCATATGATCAATGAGCTTAATACTGTCAGTTCAAGTCCGTCACGTACTAGGCAAATAAAGAAATGCGAGTTTTGTAAAAAGTCATAGTTATAAGCAGGAGTAGACTTGGATGGACCATACCTGTACAGTGCTGATGCTTGGGACTCGGCCAGAAAAACAGATTATATTCTTATTATATTGCCTTTCTCTTCTTGTACCGAGATGGGCTTTGAGTTGCGAATTTGGAGGCATAAATCACACGGGGGTTGCTGCATCTTAGAGGGAACATGACATATTCTTGACTATATACTGAACTAATATTCTTGCCATATTCCAGCAACATCTTTTAATATGCTAACTACTCCATCACTCAAGTCTCTCAACAACTCAACATCCCTCTCCTTCTTCGTTCAAGGCCGTTAGCAACGCAGTTTAAGCGCTGTCGATAAAAGAGCGGAGGCTGCCAACGCGGGCGTAGACGCCAGAGTAGTTAGGCTGAGCACAGCCCTCACCCCAAGAGACAACACCAACGACAGTGTTGGAAGAGTCAGCAATGGGACCACCACTGTCGCCCTGGCAAGAGTCCTTTCCACCCTGGGTAAGGCCAGCACAGAACATGTTGTTGGTGATAGCAGAGGTGCCGTACTGGGATCGGCAGGTTGCGCGGGAGACGACGGGAATGGTAACCTTCCTCAGCTGGACGGGAGAGGAAGCAGAGCCCTGAGAGGTGGTACCCCAGCCAGCAACGGTGAGCTGAGTACCAGCAGCAGGGTCGGTGCCAGAAGCTGCCAGACGAGCGTAAGAGATGGAAGAGCTGGTCTGAATGGGAGTGGACAGCTTCAGGATGGCAACATCGCTATCGAGGGTGCTTCCACTGAAGGCAGGGTTGGCCTTGAGGCTGGAAACACGAGATGTGACACCGCCAGTAGTGCGAGACTTATGATAGGCGTTAGAGAGGCAAGACATTGGGAGAGAAGTTTAGAACTTACAAGAGTTCCAGCACGGACGGCGAAGGCGCTGGCACTGCGACCCTGAGTGCAGTGGGCAGCGGTCAGGACAGTGTTGGCGTTGAGGAGAGTACCTCCACAGTGAGGGTTGCCGTTGTAGGAGATGCTGACGATGAAGGGGAAGTCACCAGTGCTGGCCTCAGTGCCACCGACAATGTTGGGAACACTGACGTCTTGAGGCGCGGCGGCGACAAGAGGAGCAACAAGTGCAACGAGGGTAGCGATCTTGACCATTGTGATGGTGTAAGCGAAGGTGTCCTAGAGTAGCGAGTTGAAGAGTGAAGAGAGACTGATGAAGTTGGAGTTGAGAAGACTGTTATGAGGGCAATTCCTCATCCTTTTATATGTGAATATCAATTCATACTGAGACAATGTCTCGACCTAAGATAGTGTTTACAGTTTACCTGCCCTTCTCGTGCTGCCCCGCGATAAGCTTACTTGTTGACTCGCGTATAGCTGTACCTGCCTTTCTGGTGCTAAACTCCGTTTTTCCGTTAGTCTACTTCGGCATATAAAGAAGCATACTTAACCTTATCATCCTTCCGTGCAAGTGATCGGCATATGGGATGCTTGGCTACAAGGATCATCGTCCCGATGAGGCAAGTCGATAACTCAATTGGCCAGTGAGGTTGTGGAGACAGGCGGCTAAATACGATCGCCGGCAATCATGGGAGATGATGCTAAGGCAAACAGGACGAATGAGACGAGGAGAATGAGGACGTGGGAGGAAGATCAGGGCCGAGCGGCATCCTCCCCCATATCAATTCATGATCTAACGGTGTAGAGATCCTGTGAGATCTGTTCACAAGAGCAGTAATAAACTGGAACTGGAACTATACAAACCCGCGATATTGCCAAGAATGCAGGCGCTTCTGCATTGCTACTCTAAGCGGGGTATCCTCCTCTAATCTAATCATGCGCCCTCGTCACATTGGCCCAAGCGATCTGAAACTGATCAAACTAGGCAGGATCTTTTGTAGCCCTCTCCCACGCAATATCAAGGTTGCGATAACGCATGCATTGACAGTTGTATATATGCCCTTTTTGGCGGGGCCTCTATTATTGAGGCCTGGCTATTGTTTCTTGCGCACCTTTCAAATCGCGCATGCGCAACTCTAAATGGCAGACCGCTTGACACTTTTACCTTCCAAACAAAGAGGTTAGCGCCGTCTTATCTTCTGTAGCCTCGTATATAAGCTTGTTTTTTGAGGTGATTGATATACGCGCTCGGACGTTATAGTTTAAGTTTCCGAGATGTGCTGTGAGTAGGTCCTTGGGTAGATCTAACTGGGAAGGTGATTTTGGTGCTAGCAAAGGATCCATATAGGACTTTGAGGAAATAGTACGGGTTTAGTATACTCCTGTGTTTTTGGGATTCATTTCGTGGGGGAATATGATATGATGTGTTGGTAATGGAATTATTCATTGTGTTTTCATTGCTCGCACCCTATTCAGACCTGTACGTTTGAAGATTGGTGGTTTGTTATCTTTTGTCTGATTGAACTGCCTTTTCGAGGAACATGATGCCTAAACGGAAATTCAACTTTTGCAATCACTCGTGTTGTTAGACGACAGCACCCACTAGAATCGTTACCTGAACCTCTGAAGTGGAAAAGTAGTTGCAACAGGTAAAACTACCATGGTTCCATGAAGATAGAAGAATAAATCTTACAGTTATGAAATATCACGGTTACTTGTGAAACTTAATCACAGCTGGCAGTGGGATGGTTTTGTTTACAAAAATGGGAAAAGGTGTTCGTGGAAGACGTCAGACGTTTTTCATGGGGGTATTTCTTACTTTGCCAAAGTCTCATCAGATTAAAAGCTTAATAAGTCTTCGGTTAGTTTCCGGCAACAAGAAGTCCGTCATCCTACGATATAGTAGATGAAGATATGTACAGAAATGAGCATTATCTGCGTCGTTATCTGCAAGAAAATAATCTCAAAAGGGTTCGTGGTTTGATATAGGGTAACCAACCGATGACTGATCCTTTGAACCGGCTACGCCACTCAGTTCCCAACTGTCGATCCACACGAGAGCTGAAAATACGAGCCAATGACAGCGCCGCTACCCCTGACTTCCCCTGTCTGTCAGCTCCGTGGCGTCCAGGCTATTGAGCAAACTTTCCTCGAAAAAGCCCAACTAACGCGTCGCTAAACATGTTTGTACAAACTAGCAATCGATAGTTCAATTGACCGTCAGTAAGAATCACCAACGACAAGTACGCAAATAAACAAAGAGGGGCAAATTTTAAAATTAGGGCTGAGAAAATCGAGGATTAAGAACCAGACTCCCCCAAAAATTCTCGACGTTTTTGTGCAGGCTATTGTGTTTGACCATATCGCTCCAAATTCAGCATTAATCGCAGAGATGGCTCGCCATCTCGTTCACTCGTTTATTTTGACTGCCGCCCTTAGCCCCTTCGTTAACGCAGGACCATGTCGCCCATCTTCTAGCTCCGCTGCTGTCGGCACGACCACCACCGAGCACTCCACTCTGAGTGGTTCTGCTCTCTCGACAGAAACCATTGTTACGATCAGCGAGACCGCCAGCTCTAGCTCTGACGATGCTACCAGTACTGCCGAGGATGCTACTAGCACTGAGCAATCAACTGTGACTGGGCCCGCTGTTTCGACAGATAACGTTGTTACTGTCAGCGAGTCTGTCACCTCGAAGTCTGACGATGCCACCAGCACTGAGCAGTCAACTCTGACTGGGTCTACTCTTTCGAGAGATACCACTATCACTGCCAGCGAGACTGCCACTTTGAGCTCCGAAGGTACCACCAAGACAGAGGAGTCAACCGTGACGGGATCGGCGGCTAGCTCAACGGACGTCACTACCACTATTAGCGAGTCTGCTGCTACCACCACCGCCACTACCTGTACCCCTGCCGAGCCCCCGGTGTACACCGAGACTGAGGACTTCATGATGACTACAATGTTTGAGGACGCTGTCACCACCACTACTGCTGCTGAACCACCCGCGACTACCACTGAGGCGTATGAATGCGAGGATAACCTCAAAGAACCATCACCAGCAGATGTAATTTGTGGCAGTCGGGGCTATGCGACTGGGAACAGCGACGGCTTTAGGCAATTGAACTACGTTTTTGCCAACTCGCTCCTCGATTGTTACGGATCCTGTCAGCGGACCCAAAATTGCGAGACATTCTACTATTATGACGATGGCTCTTGTCAGCTCTTCAAGGGCACTGTCGACGGCACGGATGACGCAGAAACCCCCTTCAAGACATACGAAACACGCTGCTTCTGCGACACTGGTATCGAACCGGCACCCACTTGCGAAGACACCAACCCTATCATCAATGGAGGCTGGGACGATGGAAAGTTCTCTCCTTGGGAATATTATCCCAGGGCGTCTGGACGCGACATCGTCGATTTCAAGATCAAGGCTGGCGGCCAGGGCGATTCAGCCTACCGCTTCCAAACCGGAAACTTCCACTTCGACAAGTCCATGTGGATCTACCAAGATGTCAAGGCCTGCCCTGGTATTACCTTCACTTGCACCTTCAACTGGTGGTGGGACAAGTACTACGCCATTCGCCAGAATGATGGTTCTCGACTCGTTCCCTATGTCCGCATCTATCAAGATGATGATGATTACGCCCTCACCAGCAGGTACCCAACAAGCGACGACGACACCATGCGATGGATACAAGGAGGCTTCAGATTTACTGTGCCGGATAGTGGCGAGACGAGAATCTGGTATATCGCCAGTAGTCCCCAGGGTGAATGGCTCAACACCAGCGATGATCCTTGTAAGCCGGAGTGGGTTCATAGACCCAATGCTCTTGCTCTGGACTCGATGGTTTGCTCCAGGAACTAAGGTGGTGAAGATTACTGTGGTGGGCAGGCTAGTTTAAATTCTTCTATCATTGTCAATATTTGATAACCACATATTATCGTTGCGCACTTTTTTGTTGATCTAGTCTTTTGTCATTACATCATAAATCAGGCTCCTGGTGACAAGAAAGTCGCTTGGTGCTTGGCACTCGTTTTCTTGATTGAACTTGGCAGTATTGGCAGTGCATATAGTCATCATGTCAAAATTACAAAGAAAACAAGAAAGTAAGCCTTTGAACGCCTCGCAGGAAGGTAAGAACATTGCGACAGACTGTTTGCCATTTTACGCTCCAATGGACTGTTCTCAAATCCCCCCGAGCGGCCTGTTGATGTCTCCAGAAGGCGATCTGCTGGAATGACGGGCGGTAACCCCTGTCAAGGCTGAGAGGTAGCGCCCTCTTGAGCTACAAAGGTCGCCTAAAATGAGCATGTCGCTGCTTACGATAGGCTCCTCAGAAGCCGTGGTGAATCCCGAACACGTGGAATATTGATCAATGGTACCTGGCTTTCGGAGGTTGGAAAACAATTGATGCTCCGCGGAAGAAGTTTATTGGGCTTGGACTACATAATCATCGCAGTAACCTTAAGCATGACTTTTGCCTCTTGCGGGTATCAAGAGAAGTCCAACGGTTCATGCAAATGACATGTTCGACGAACCGACATCTCATCATCAACTCTCAGACCAAACGTGATGCCTTGGTCTGATATAGAGCAAACCAAGTGGGATTGCCGTCTTAGAGGTTGCATCCCGTATAGTGGAAATGTAGAGGTCAGAACTGTCGCGCAAGTCAGTTATAGTGAGTATTGCTTCGTTTCTCGCAACTAACTAACTTGAGTTTTGGCACTGTCGTATATACCATTTGTGAATGATATAAAGCGTGGGCGGCAGAGCAGCCACCAGGGTGACAATTGCGACGATGACCTCGGCCTTCATTTTTGTCAAATTCGAGACCGGCGCGTTGGGTGAAACTCCGTATTATGCGGGCGTCTGCATGGAGCCAATAGAAGACGAGACGATGATGCAGAGTGAAATTGGGTAGGTTGCTTAGCACGTTCGTACGGGGCTCTTATAGAATGAATAAGTGAAACCCCTTGCTTGTGTCGATGCGATGGAGTAGAACCTCTATGTAAAAATTGAGGGATTGTTTGGATCTTAAAAGCTAAGGTTGAGGGTTTGGAAATTCTCATGATGAGGATGTTTTCACGAGTAATAATCATTGAGCCTCATTGTTGGTTGCACATCCTTGTCGAAGGCGCAATGTTGAGTCAGGTAGTCATAACAAGCATCTGATGAGATGGTAGAGTTCAGATTCTGGCAGCAGCCAGTAATAGGCAACTGAACTTCTGCTGTGGATTCCAGATTTTGGACATCTCCAATCATGTTGTGGTGACACAAATCCTTGACTGTCGCACGGATACAGAATATGAGATCCACAAGCTGATGAGATTCTGGACAGAGCCAATGGAAACGCAGAGCGGTAAGTACAAAATCCGCCCTGAGGCATGCATACATACAAGCGACTCGGATTCTGGTACGAGCCAATCACAGCTGAGAGCCCGGAGCCTCGTTGGGTGCCTATTAAACACAAATCCCCCAGATAATTCACATTTATGTTGTTTCCTTTTCTCCACCGACCGTTTGTCGAAGCCTCGTCTGGTTACTTTCTTGAACTACCCTGCCAAAGATTACGAACACGTTGAAACTACACCAGACCAGTCGTTGGGTTTTCACTATGAGTGCTGCGAGATCACGGCCGAACGAGATGCAATGGCTTGCACACAAGTCATTCATCAGGGAGGAGTATCTTTTTAAAGACGTACCGGTGAAAACGCTTGTTGAGACTTTGGCAACTCGAGGCCTCCATATAACGTACGGGCAGTCTGTAAATGCAAAGTATGAGAGAAATGCTAATTTATCAACAGCAAGGCACAGCTAGAGTACAGACTCAGAAAGTGGCGGTTTTTGAAGTACCTCGACGAGCAGTTATGGCAGTACATCGAGCGCACGATCAGCAGTCGTGAGAGTCAAAGAAAGAAGAGTGAAGTCATCTTTTGCGGCAGACGAATCGACAGGCTTAAAGTCCTGAAGGAGACAAGGCGTCATAGAGAAACCAGCATCTTCAAACAGCTGACCATCCGTATGTTAGTCTCGTCTTCAATGGCATACTCCAAGTCTAATTCCGTGACAAAAACAGGTCCAGCATCCCCAACAAACTCACAGCTTATTGTTTGTACCCCGCCGCCTCTTGTTACAAATACAGAGTGGCCTGATTCTCTCCCATGGTTTTGTTTTCTGAATGAATACTGGAACTGTAAGACATGTATCTAGAGAAAGTCTTCTGGTAGAAGCTAATAGTAATTTTCCAGCGACACAAGACCTCTTCAGATATGGAGACCTGAACATTACTCAAACATCACAGTTTGACCCGCCGCTCCAGATACTTGGCAACCTAGGTTGGTTTCAAACTGGCGGAGTAACACGCGGCGTCTCAGAGCTGGTATCTGTCCTCACAAGGATCATGCCAGAGTTGTACGCAGAAGAACATTTTCACACGGCTCAAGGTCTCATCAGCGGTCCAAATGATCGATCAGCGCTCGAATTGTTCAAGATTCTGATCTACAAGATTTCGAATGGTATCGAGAGAGTATATTATACTGAGACGATTGGTCCATTTTTGAGAAGTTGCCTGATGGCTTTTCCATTGGACCTAAAGATACTTCGAAACAAAAGTATTGTTTTACAAGCGTTCTTCGATAATTTGTTCAAACAAGAGGTCTTCTCGAGGGCTAGCAACAACCTGTTCACTTCCCCCTTGGATACGATCCGATGGCTGCTGGATTTAGGTCAAAATCCAAATTGTTGTTTGAATGGTGTCTTTGGAGACTTTGGGACATCTGTAAAGTCAGCCGTGAAGTCTGGCGACCTCGAGCTAACCCAGTTACTTCTGGACTGCCATGTTCGTGTTCATGGAAGTCAAGCGGAGTTTGAAGTGAGGACCCTCTTCAATACTACATGGTCAGGTGTCACAACCGTTGCGTCAAAGCTACGGATGATCCAGTTTGTATTACGGTTTTACAACCGTCCTGATTGGCCAAAGGATGATCTTTGGGGAGCTATCTATCAACGTGATATAGGACTTGCGAGGGATATTCTAGCTCAGGATCCTGGTGCTACAGAGGAACAAGTACCAGTAAGAAAGGATGAAAGATACGTCTCATGGAACCCGGAGACTTATCTTGAATTCAAATCCACTTTGACTGCTGCTGCTATAGCTGGAGACGACTTCTTGACCCTCATGCTGGACATTCTAGAAGGTTCGGGCAGACTGGCCAATTCTATCACAACTGATCTTCTCATAGCATCCAGTTTTGAAAGAGATGTTGAAATTGTGCGTCGACTTCTCAAATCTTGGACCCTTTCTATTACCTGCAACTCCACGGGTGCCACTCCGCTACAAGCAGCGGTAGCAGGTGGCAACCTACCTGTATGTGGACTCTATCTCGAGATATACGGAGGAGTTTCCCCCGCTCTCATGGCTCTAGCAGCTTGTAGGGGCCACGAAGATGTGTTGTCCATGCTCATTAGCTTTGAAAACTGTGTCAATGAACCTCTCACTAAACACGACTTTGTTGGGTTTATGCATCGTTGGAAATGTCCAGCTTCCCATAGAGAAACACCGTTCTCTATCATCGAAACAATAATTTATCAAGGTATCCTGGATGGAGATAAAGCGGTAGCAAATTGCTTGACAATTCTGATTGAAGCAGGAGCAAGGTTCAAGGAGGGCGGAATCGCGTATTTAGCCCACCGCGGAGTGGAAGAACCTCTGAGGGCTGCGCTGGCTGCTGGTAGCAATCCGGATGATCAAAACGACGAGGGGTTCTCAGCGCTTGAATGCGCTTTGAAGCCACCAACAAGATCCGGAATGACGATCAAAGGTTCTCTTGAAGCGCATTCAAGCGCATTGAAATCAATAAGATTTGGACAAACGAAGGATTCTTCTCTCATTGTAGAGATTCTCCTACAAGCGAAAGCCAGACTGGTCGGCGGCGAAGTTGTCACAGCAATTAGGAATCATGACGAAGCTTCTTTGTGTCTTTTGCTGCGCCATGGCGGAACCTTGAAAGATACTGACAGATGGGGAAGGAACTGTCTCGAAGCCGAAATACTTGCGCAGAACAACGGGCTGATCCAGCAAATAGTAGAAGAAGCAAAAGACACCGTCGATCTGGCACCTATTTGCGCGGCTTTACAAATGGAGGATCGGGAACTGGTTCAACGACTTCTTCCTCGTCTTCATGTACAGGCAGACTGTGACTTCATCCAAGGGACCGCTATTGGCTTGGCCGCCAGATGCGGATATCTCGATATTTTAGAAGAGCTCCACGTCCGTTCTTCTCAACATCTGATATCAGATGAAGCCCTGCTTCCCTTCCACCGGAACGATCTGCATGGTACACTCGATTTGACCGACTATTACATGGACGGGACATCAGGTGTTAGCCTTAAAACTCATCCGTTTATATATCCGTGCAAATGTGGTCACTTTACGCCATTTCTAAAGGGCAGTCCTCTCGCATTGGCTGCCCTGGGAGAGAATTCTTCAGGGTTTCAGAGACTCCTCGAGAAAGGCTATCGCGCAGATTTCATCACACTAACCGTTCTTCTGAAGTGGGGTGTGGCTACAGGCTTTGTAGAACTACTGAGAAGACACCAGCCGCGCCTTGATGATCTTTCACCAGTGCCCCGAATGACTACACCGTTATGCGTTGCCATCCAAAAAGGGAACACCTTGTTGACAAACTATCTAGTTGAGGCGGGCATGGATGTCAATGGATATGATAAGACTTTGCAAGGAAGCTACTCCCCACTTCAAATCGCAGTCCGGAAAAAAGATTTGACCTTGATGGATTATCTACTTGCCAAAGGAGCAAGCGTGAACAGCCCACCGGGCTTTTTCGATGGTCTTACTGCGCTACAAGCAGCTGTCAAAGGTGGCAATATCGGACTCGCAAATATGCTACTGCAGCATGGTGCTCGCGTTAACGCAAGGGGCTCAAAAATTCGTGGATCAGCACTAGAATTAGCAGCGTATAGCGGCAACATCGACATGCTACAACTCTTGCTTCACCACGGCGCTATCACCACAGGGCTCGGACGTGAGCAGTTCGTCATGGCAGTTTACTCTGCAATGCAGGGGGCATATCACACTGCAGCCCAGTTTTTGAAAGACAAACGTGGATGGACCGAGGCGGATGAGAGCCTACTGCAGCATCTGAGCGAAGTCAAGGATTCCATCGTGTATTTGGGTGAGGGCTGCAAGATGTGTCGCACATACTGCTGTGGCGAGATTCATGACACAGATAGCCCGTGCATACATGACTTTTCAGCGGAGGAAGAAGATTATTTTGCTGCTAATTGTCGGAGATGTAACGAGTTTGACGACATCGCGTCAAACTCTGGCGATGTAGAAGACATGAAAGCAACATCGTGCGGTCATGTAACTGCCAACCGGTCGTTGGATTTGGATGCATAGTGGTGGGAAAAAATCCCATTTGATAAGACAGGAGTTTGAATTTCTGAGTAATTGATTTGTGGCATTGAGTCGAGTAGTACCATAATTGCTGTTCCAGTCTTATTCTACTTTGTAGTGACGATCGGCGATAAAAAATAGCTGAGTCATCAAGGCTGCTTGTGATATTCACCCATGCGATACCGAGGCTAAATACCCCTCATAATTGGCGAGATGATCGACGTCTTCGCCTATATGAACATTCGATTTAGTAAACTGCTTTTTTTTCTTCAATTTCAATCATACTCGGAGAATCACGATGCATTCCCCTTCTTTTACCCCGATTATTATTGGCGTCGGCGAAATCCGCCAAAAGAACTTCACCGTCGACAACACTCTCGAGCCCGCTGAGCTTCTCCTATCTGCCATCCGCAATGGAGTAAAAGACATCACGGTCGATATCACCACGAAAATAGACAGTATTTCTGTAGTCCCTCCTTGGTCGTGGAACTACGACGATTTGCCAAAACTGCTCGCCCAAAGGCTTGGTATTGAGCCATCCCACCTCGAGCTCTCAAGCCATGGAGGGCATACGCCTGCGAAGTTGTGCGACGCAGCAGCAGCAAGAATCGCCACAGGGGAAGCTAAAATAGCTGTTGTCACGGGAGGGGAAGCTTTGGCATCATGTATGCGACGATGGGCTTTAAACACGGTGCAGGTGCTGACGTGAGGACCAGTATTCGCTTGCCAAAAGGCAGGGCGCATGCCTCCACCAGGATGGACAGAGGCTAGTCCTGATGCGAAGAGATATAGCCCAGGAGATACTTCGCTTATGAAAGGTGCGTAACGAACTGATATATGGTATGTGATTTAGAAGTTGCTCACTGAAGCTAGATGCCGGTGCCGTACACTCAATTGGAATGCCGATTCAGATATACCCTCTGTATGAGAACGCGTACAGAAAGCACAATCAACAGTCTTTTGATGAGAACAATGCAGAGTCAGCGAAGCTTTACGCCGATTTTGACAGAATTGCTTGTGAACATCCTATCAGCTGGAGATCTGGGGAAAGTCCTCGTGATGCAAACACCGTCAAAACGGTGACCAAGCAGAATAGAATGATAAGCACGCCTTGTATGTTTACCTTGTAGATGCTGGATCTATTGCTAATATTTTAGATCCCCTGTTGATGAACGCCTTCAACGGTGTAAACCTTGCCTCTGCTTGTATAGTAACGTCCGTCGAATATGCTACGAAACTAGGAGTTCCTCAAGACAAGTGGGTTTACATCACAGGTGGTGCTGGCTCCAACGATAGCTCAAACTGTGAGACAAAGTCTTTCTATCTTTTTCATCCTGATGCTAAAACGGTTAATAGTCTGGGAAAGATCCAACTATTTCTCTAGCCCGGCGATCGAGTATTCCATTGACAAGGCGTTGGAGTCAGCTGGAATCACGAAAGACGAAATCGACGTCTTCGACTTCTACTCGTAAGCAGAACTTACTGCATGATGGAATTAGCACTAACATACATAGCTGTTTTCCCATCGTCCCCAAAATCGCCTGTAAACACGTCGGGTTGGATGTTCAGAATCCATCGAAACCTATCACGCTTCTCGGCGGCCTTACGTCGTTTGGCGGTGCAGGCAACAATTATTCTCTTCATGTCAGTCATCCTTCAAATACAGAGAATAACATTCTAACAAAATACTGTAGGCGATCGCTGAGATGACTAGAGCTATTCGAAGTCGTAAACATCGCAATGGACTTGTGCTCGCGAACGGAGGAGTCCTGTCTTGGCAACACGCTATCTGCCTTTCCGCGCAACCGCGAAAGAACCTCGCACCGTATCTCAAACGGGAGGTTCTTGATAACGGCCAAATATCGCAGGGCCCAGACTTCATTGCGCAGGCTCGAGGGGAAGCTATAATTGAGGTGTGTTCATTGCCTTGTCCCGTGGATACCTTCTAACACGACTCGTCAGACATATACTGTGGACTGGGATCGGAACGGACCCAAGTTGGGTCACGTAGTTGGGAGATTGATAGATGATGGCAAAAGATTCATCGCGAACCACGGTAATGAACTCACTTTGTCGACGCTTGCCAATACTGAGCTGGAGCCGATTGGTATGAAAGGATTTGTCGATGTTGGACCAGACGGAAGAAATCTTTTTACAATAAGCCCGGGTGCGAAATTGTAGCCACATGGTAGCTTTCCTATATAGAGCCAAAATTTCGCTTCCGCCAATTCGGCTTGTTACATTTTCTTCCTGTTATCAAGTTAAATAACTAGCAAATTGTGATAGAGCCACACAGCTTTGGAGTCGATCTGGGTGTGATATTAAGCCATATCTACGAGACCAAACACTACATTATGTGATAAACAACCTGTCACTGCTACCATATCCATCATACCCGCAGCACGGCGCATGTTCAAGTTTGTTCAACCACTTGTTGTAATTTTAAGCTAGCTGCCGTTTCTAGTGATTGAAAATTGCCAACTCTACGGGATAAAGCTCATCACTTTTTCAAAATGCTCCCGTTCTAAATAGCGCTCTGTTGCGTCTTTCTGCTCCACGTAGGCTAGTGAAATAGCAATCTGGAAAGCCTTGTCAATCTGATGTCCATTCCACCAAGGTTCCCTCCCCCAATGCCCAGAGAATCTCTCAAAGCTCTGTTGCGCGAAAGACAGAATGCCTTCTTCTCTAAAGACTTGTACTGACTGGTCCGTGTCTGATGCACGTTGCCTGGCGATTTCCTTGTAGTGCTTTATCTTCATCTTGAAGAGAGCGAGGGTCTGATCGAGGCTGAGGGTATTGAACGCGACTCTGACGTCAGCCTTCGAGGCCAAAGCCTCGATTAAATTTCTATCTTCCTCAGCTTCGACGAAAGCAATTCCCTGGTATTTGTTCACAGTTCGGAACACAGCTAGAGATGTTAGTGACTAAGTCGCTATGAAAAGTCCCTAGACTTACCTGACATCAACGCGTTCCTAGAGAGGCTATGGCCCTGCTCTTGATGAGAAAGAAGAATCTCCGTCTCATTAATTAGGAGAAGACAATTCCATTTCTTCGCCAGGCGAATATTATCAAGTAGCTTGTCTTCAATCATCTCTATATCTGTACCCAGATCGGCACAGGAGATAGTTAGCAAGCCTTTGCTATGCGCCGCTGAGAGCGCCTTAGCAGTGGTTGTCTTGCCCACTCCAGAAGGACCATGAAGAAGAATTTTCAGTGCTACTCTCGGAGTTCTGGTAGTTCCAGTGCTTTGGGACTTCTTCTGCATGTCTTGATGGTCGCAATGGTCCTGCATCATGGCACTGATGACGGAACTTTCCGTGAGAGGGATCAAAAGCTTCCCGAGATCATCGGCGTTAGCAGGCAACTCCTTGATGTTCGCGATATCAACATTAACGAAACGTCCATGTCTCAATGAGTAGACCATCAACCTCGCCGGGAGAAGCGCAATATCATCCGGCGAGAACGTCTGCTTCGATGGATCCTTCTCGGTGACCCTCACACTTTCGTCAATGGCGAAATCATCTTTGTCGGCCAGTCTGTTCCATTCCAGGGAGCCAACGTCATCGGCTGCAATGACCATCTCGTTTGTCTTCTGCACGACCTTGCTTCGATCTGGGCCGGACCATTGGATGATGGCGAACTTGTCTTCCTGGGTATCTGTATTAAGATTGGACTTGCGCCAGGTCGCATACTGAGGCTTCCACGAGGGGTGTGCTTTGTAGGCTTCCTCAAAGTCGATAATTACGTCGCTGTCGATGTACTCGGAGACTTCTCTCCATTTCATGTCCTCGTCATCTTGACTCTTCTCCTCCTCATCCTCATTTGCTTTCTTGTTTTCGTCAGTTAGCCTATCGCGGAGCAGATAGCCGCTTGGTTTGTGGGTCAAAGTCCAGCCGTCGTGTCTGACGGGGACGTACTGCTGAGACAGTAGATTGCGGAATCGCTGTCCTCGCTCGCGACAGTATTGCAGCGTGTTCTCGTAACCACGCTGGAAACGAATGGGAAATATTGGGAGACTGGTAACATCTACCTCGCCCTCGAATTGCTGTATCACAAAGTAGCGCCATACTCCGGCATATGATTTTCCATCGAAGTCAATGTAATAGGATGAGATGGTGATTTCGTCTGGTTCGGGTAAGTCCTCACGGCACAACTTGCCGTTTTCATCTTTTAGGTCGCCCGCTCGCCAGTCTGTGGCTGCTCGCTGTATCCAATATACCCTCCATAACTGTTGGCCCGTTGGCTTTTGCGAGGTCGAAAGGCGGTTGTCAATTTCAGGGTCCTCTCGTTGATGGACAACCTCTCCGTAGCGGAAGAGATACCACAAATCAGAGAAGCGCACCTTCGGTTCATGGGTATAGTCGAGTTTGTCAAACTTGTGATAGATGGGCAGGAGGCGGTCTTTGACAAACTCGATGTATGCTTTGACCTCCTCGTAGGCTCTAACTCCCTCGATTGCGGCAGATGTATGCTTGACGTTTGTCAGTCCTGTTGCTAACTCGCCAGGCTGTCCGACCCTGGCTTTCAGGCTGGCGAACCTCTCTTCCATCTTGTCCTGGAAGTGAATCAGGGACTTGAAAGGTCTCAGAAAGGTAAGCGGCTTGGTAACGCAATGGTCATCACCTGTGACTTTTGAAATAAGGGACAAGACGGCTGGGGAGTTGATGCGCACGCGCTTGATCAGACGTTCTTGGTGGTCCTTAGATTGTTGCAATGGCTTCCTCCCTTGGTCGGCAACAAATCTCTTTCTTTGTTTAGCTGAAAGCCGCCTGAGTTGTTCGTGTTCCATTTGCTCATCCAGTTCATCTCCAGCTAAGAGCACATCGATGGCATGGGTCGCGTCTTGGACAGAATAGTGATTCTTGAACTGCTCCCAGTTGCATTCGCGCACCGTCGGCTCCAGCCTTACTCGTGGCAGACGCTTCTTAGCGGGGCGGATAGCAATGCCATCCTTTTGCTGGGTGCCTTTCAGCTCACCGGCTGTTAAATCTCTGCAATGTTCTGATAGAGGTTAGAATAGCGGAAGAACGATTAACTGTAGCTTACTTACCATTCTTGTCCTTTCCAGCCTTCTTATCTCCGGCTAGAGCCTCGGATTTGTCGGTGGGTATTTCCACAGTCGTGCAGGGCTCGGAAATATTAGCCAGCAAACTCTCCGGCGGGGATGAAGTTGGAGTATAAACAATCTTCTCCCAGACTGCCAGATCGGACTCGTTCTGTTCCGACATGATCATGGGATCTGGTTTGATATCAGCTGTTGAGTTTAAAGTTTCAGATCAAAATCATGACAAGAAAGATTGCGACGACGGACAACTTATAAATGTTTTGAGCTGCAGTCTCACCACTTCAGGCTCCAGCTGCGGGGATATGCAACTAAGACCAAAGTACCAAATCAAGACCCCCGATAGGCCTGGGGCTGAAGCGGGCGCTTAGACTCAAGTCGGGACTGGCCAAGAGTCCCCCCAAAGGCCTCCGTAATCGCCCATGTCTTAGTCCTAGATATTGTATCTATCTATAGCCCTGGCCCTTACTACCAACTGCTTATTGGAGCCAGACACCTGAACCTTCCAGGATCAGGCTTTTGAATGTTGTAGCCATTCATCGTCTTGATCTTACTGGAATCAGGACAGAAGCTCAATTACAGAGATCTCTACATGATAACATTCGCCGACATACAGTTGTACCAGTTAATTGACTTTGAATATCCTTAGGGAAAAGTTGGGTCAAGTGTGGATCGTTTCTCTAACCATAGCTACATTTCTCAGCTCCCTCATCATCCAGTTCCAGACGTGCACTTCTACATCATAACAGGCTTTTGTAGGTGACCATTATCACCGTGCACCTCCACCTCAAAGCCAACTACTTGGAGGCGGCTTACAAATGGTGTGCCCAAGGTCGATGGCGTCACAATACCGGCCTGCAAATAGCCACTTGTTTCAGTTCTGAGAATATCATTAATCGCTCCGGCAGCTTCCACGGCAAGGATTGCTGCCATATCCACCAGCGCACCATCGTAATGGAACCTGGCAATTGCCACTGGGTCCTTTGTGCCTTTGACATAGCCGGCTGCCTTCCATTCTGCACTCTCGGCCTTGCGACTTTCAGTTCGGTCGGGGCCCGTACCGCGATCAAAAGACTTTGTGCGGATGAACGACCTGAACCACGGAACAGCTACGAGGACGATGCCCAGTTTTGTAAGTATGTAGGCCATTACAGCGGAGATGAAGCCTGTAGATGGTATATACTCTCTAAATACGAAGTGTTGCCCGTATGTCTTCTGGTCGAAGGCTGCTGAACGATGGACGACGGATTCATTGCCCCAGGCTACGAAAGACATTGCAAGATGCCCAAGGTGTCGATCGTAGCGATGCCCAAATAGCCCATGCCCTACTTTTACTGCGGAATTGGTACCGGGCGACAAAATTGACGAGTCAGAAGCAAGCCATCCGCCAATACCGTAGCTGTCGGCGACATCAAGGACAGTGCAACGAACCTCCTTGCATACCAAGCATGTTGAGCTTTCCTGAACAGACGACTTCATGCGGTGCTGGCAAGCCCTGGTCTCGAATCTGGCGAACAACGAGCCATGCCATGAGATCAGATGGGGCGCTGGATCCTGAGATAGCAGGGATAATAATTGCACCTGATGCTTGAGCCACTACATGGTAGTCTCGAATCATCTCGGATATCCACATGGTCTCAGTACTAAAGTCGACATAATGTGTGCCATTCCGGGCACAAGACTCTACCACCGGAGCCCCATATTTGTGATAAGGTCCGATGCCGTTGATGAGAACACTGGTCTCCTTGATGACAGGGTCGAGGCCTTGTGCATCGAGTTGCGGAATAACGTATATGGTCGGCTCCAGTCGGTCTTGGTCAATCGCCCGCAGACTTTGGCGTAAAGCTTGAAGTTTGACAGCCGAACGACCAGCGATGCACCATTTTGCGTCAGCTGGGAATGTTTTGGCTATGTGTTCTGCACATATTGTGGCTGTCCATCCTGTAGCGCCAAGGACAGTTATCTGATAAGGTTTGGTGGTCATTGGAATCGTTTCATAGGTCAATGATAGAATAAATAACTGTCTTGGATATGAATGAGATAACACTGGGGAATGCACAGTTTATATATATATACCATTTTACCGTCAATAGCTCATGTATCAACTTTCTTGGATATTTGAGTCGGTACAAATACACAGTTTTCTGGCCATCACTCTCCTCCACTTAACGCGCAACGCTATCCTTTTCTGGAAGTCAGCGAGATGGAGCATAGTCAACGGCCGAAGAACGGACGAGGCTTATTTATCCCACCTAATCCTGAACAAGTAAGCTTTGCGCATACCGAGATCGTCGTCAGGGTTTCTGCTACTCACAACTTACATGCCAACATATTTCACTGTGCTTGATTTGACAGCTGCTACGGCTGGTACCCTAATTTAATTTCTAGGAGTGAGACAAATTCAGACTCATGCTCTGCCAGAGCAGGAGAAAAGAGTCTTAGGTATTTCTAGGTATCTCTAACGTTACACGTAGAGTAATCCGAGTAAATATCTACATCCAGTGCTTGTTTCCATATCGCGACACAAACGCCCCGCTGCTGCCCTTCTCCAGAGACGCCTCATGCATAACCGATAGAACCGCCTTGGTCAATTCTTCGGGGAAACTAGGACCCTTGTGATGAGGGGCATAATTCACGAACTTGCTCGCCAATTTCTGAGCCTTGCGGATCTGCTCTTCGGTCACTGCCCACTGTTAGCCGACCAGGCCTTGCGGTGATGAAGTCTTTGGAACGATGCACGTACTCTCGCCTTCAAACCCACTATTTACACTTCCAGGGCAGACACTCATGAATAGAACTCCGTCTTTTGCATACCGAGAAGCAAACTTTGCTGTTACAACACTTGTACCGGCTTTGCTTATGGCGTACGGGGCAGCTGGTTCAATCTCAAATTCGCGGATGAAGTCAACGTCGGACATTCCAGATGAGACCGCGACCACCTCTTTGCCTCGGCCTTTGAGAACAAATGGAGTGAAAAGATTGAACAGGTGGAAATTACTAATGACATTCACCTTGAATGACTCGAGAAGGTCTTTCTCGAGAAGTTGAGGGGATTTTGCTCTTGCATTATCAGTTAGTCTTTAGTTTATAGTGAATGTGGCAACGGGTATGGCGATATTACTCACAGAATATCCAGTCCCATGTGGACCACAACGGGATCAAGCCTGCATTCGCAATAGCGTAGTCGAGCGACCCTCCGGTGATCTCGGAGACCGCATGAACAGAATTCTAAACAAAATGTCAGTCAAAGTCTATCAAGTAAATGGTTGACATTCGACCTTCAGGGCTTCGTAATTGGTAATATCCGCCTCCAAAATATGGATTTTGCTTAAAGAGCCAAGCTCTTCTGCAATCTTGGCGTCGGTGGCTGATTTATCACGTACTATCCCGAATACAGTATCATCACGGCTCTTAGAGGGTCCCTTACAAAAGCGAACTTGAGGAATTTTCCAGTCAGCAAGATTTTGTGTTAGCTATACTCAAAACTCACCCCCAAACCACGCGATGCTCCTGTGACGAGATAAGAAGGCATATTCAATTGTGTCAGAGCTAAGTGAGTAGGAAATCGGGTACTTGAAGATTGAGATGATCGTGAAAGATAAAGAAATAGTTTCCCAAGGTTACTCCGGCACTTCATCGCATTATATAACCTACCTCTCGATCTTCACATGCTGGATAATCACGTCACACCGAAACATTCGCTGCGTGCGCTCTAAATGTGTAATAGGTTTGTCAATGTTTCCCTGCGATTCTTTCTTGCGCAAAGCTAGCCGGGTAAAGTATTAAAATTGGACTATTTGTACAATCCCCACGCGAGTCGTGCATGTCTCATATCAGAGCATGTACAGAGTAACATCAACCCAATCTGAGACGTGGTGAGATGCGCGCAACGCTAACCACATTCATCCATCTTCCTCAACAAGCAGCATAATAGCAACAGCAGCATCTGCCGAGCCTGATAAATAAGGATGAAATTAAAAAGCAAGCTGAATAAATCTAATTACCAAGCAGGATGAATAATGTGAAGACGATGGGAGAGGAGTGGTTTCACACATCATCCGTAAGACTGAGCCGTTGTGTCCAAAAGAGAAGATAAATGTACCCCATTGTCCGCCCTTGATTGAATAGCATAGGATTTCCATCAGTACAGTCTCATCACTCACAATTAGACCCCTTTTAAGCCCCATTATGTGCATCACCGATCCCGCTATTCCCTTCGGCTCCATTGTTGTTGTCATTGGAGCTAATGGTTACATGGGAGTTGAAACTTGCGAAAAGCTTCTCCAGGCAGGTTTCTATGTCCGAGGAACTGTTAGAGATGTCGAGAAACATGACCCATGGATGCACAAATTGTTCGACGAAAGCTGGCCAGGTGCATTTGAACTGGTTTCTGTACCCGACTTCGAAGCTGACGGTGTTCGACGAAGCGTTTCGAGGTAAGGTCGTTGTCGAGATTGTGTTCATCATTTGCTAAAAGGATTCATAGGAGCACAAGGAGTGACCTACGTTTCGACCCCAATCATATTTGACCCTGACCCTGTCAAGGTCATAAACCCTGTGATCAAGGGGACTATTAATACCCTTGAAGAAGCAGCTCCTGCAGGAGTCAAGCGCTACGTTCTCAGCTCAAGCTCAAGGGCTGTCGAATCCACTGTTTATGATCAACCGCATCACCTTAGCTCCAACATGTTCAACTATGAAGCTGTTAGTAAGGCATGTTGTGAGCCATCGATCGACGGGTTCGATAGATGCTTGACTGTTTACAGTGCCGGTCGAACCCTTGCAGAGCTGGCCTTTTGGTCATGGGTTGGGAAAAACCAACCTTCATTTGTTGCCAACTGCGTCGTACCCGACGGTCAGTTTGGACGGGTACTGGATGTCGAGCATATTTCATCCACTTTTGGAATGTTGAAGAGCACTATCAAGGGTGACTGGGATAAGGTGGTGGGAGACCTAGGTATGCAACAATCTTTACATACAACAAATTCTTCTGACTAACATTTTGAAGCATATTTCACGGACGTTCAGGACAGCGCAAGACTTCTTGTAGCTGCAGTCGCTTTTCCTTCAGTGGAAAACGAGCGCATCTTTGCCTACCGTCACAACTCCACGTGGAACGGGCTGCGACACAAGATTCAGACGCTTTTCCCTGAGAAAGAGGGACTTGTGACGGGGCAAGATCAAGAGTCGAGTGGAAGGGACTTGTCAAATGCGGACCAGCTTATCAAGCGTGCCGAGGAGATCCTGAAAGAGATCGGTCGACCAGGTTTTGCTACTGAAGAGGATATCCTGCCTGATTTTGTAGGTTGTCTATGACTATCATGGATTTACAGGAACAACTTGTAACTGCAAAATCTATTCATTAAGCCTTGACTTGCATATACGAAATTCTTTCGGCTTTAACCGCAGTATGTGACTAAATTTACCGATGATCTTGTTTTCTCTGCTGGTGTTACAACCCCAGATCGAAAGTGTCGGGTTCCCCGCATCCATAACCCCCATTAGTCAATGATCAACATTAACCTTAACTAAACTTCCGCAGGCGCACCTATAGCGACATTGCATGCTCGTATTATCCTGGAAGCGCTGCAATTATAAAGCTTGGAATAACCGCGCCTATGGAGCCATCTTCGTTGTGTCATAGCCCGAGTGTGGAATCGCCAGGTGCTCTGGTCATATATAAGAGGGGGACAACAGGCGATTTTCTTCAAACATCGTGCAACGCTACCTGTACAGCCACCCATGATGTCTCTATTTGCTTTCGCTACGCTTCTTGCCAGCCTCTCGGGAGTATCTGGCAAGACTGTGAAGTCACCAACTCCACCTATGGGATGGAACAGCTACAATCACTATAACTGCAGACCTTCAGAGGATATCATCAAGATCAATGCTAAAGGATTGGTCGACCTCGGGTTCTTGGATCTTGGTTATAGCATCGTAACTGTTGACTGCGGTTGGCCATCGAGAGATCGAGACAGTGAGGGAAGGCTCCAGTGGAACGAAACATTGTTTCCATCTGGGCCTAAAGCTTTAGGAGAGTATATCCATGATCTGGGGCTAGAGTTTGGCCTTTATTCGGGTGCCGGATATCTTCAATGCGGTTCATCAGATATTCCTGCGTCCTTGGGTATGTTTTCCACTGTTACATCGTCCAGGCTTGATGTGACTAACAGTTTACTTTAGGATACGAAGAGATTGATGCAAAGTCATTTGCCGAATGGGGTGGGGATACTCTCAAGTAAGCTTGAGGAATCTATTTCATCGTGATATCAACTAACAGTTTTACAGATATGACAACTGCTATGCGACATCCAAAACTGAGATGGTAGATGCCGATTCAGCAGAGGCAAAGAGCCCCGAACGCTTTGTGAAGATGGCTGCGGCAATCAACGAGACTGATCGTGACATCCAATACTTCCTCTGCCAATGGGGTATTGGTGAAGATGTTCCGCAATGGTAAGTTGGTAGAGTCACATGAACGTTCCTTTCTGACAAAGTATAGGGCTGCCCCATTAGGAAACTCTTGGAGAATGAGCAACGATATCTTCAACGCATGGAGAGCCATCTGGCGCATCACCAACCAGGCGGTAGCGCATTCCAAGTATAACGGACCTGGTACATTCGCAGACCTGGATATGCTCATGTAAGATTGAACTCACATTCAGTGGCATTTCGCTAATATATGTAGTATTGGACTCGGTGCCCTATCATATGAAGAGGAACGCTTCCACTTTGGCTTCTGGTCCATGATGAAGTCGCCACTCATCATCGGCGGCGTAATGGATGCCAAGCAAATTCCCACAGAGTCCCTTGAAGTCATGTCCAACAAGGAGGCCATTGCCATAAACCAGGATCCGTTGGCAGAAGCAGCTAAGTTGGTCGTGCGATACACTGAAGAAGAGTGGGATGTATGGGCTGGCAACCTTTCTTCCGATCGCAAGGTTCTTGGCGTTGCCAACTGGAAGAATGAGACTCAGACGGTGAAGGTTGATCTGAGCCTCATTAGTGTTAAGGAAGCAACGGCGCGCGATGTGTGGGCTCATAAGGATGTTACCGTCTCTGGTAATCAGCAGTTTGAACTCAAGCCCCACGAGCTGCGACTCCTTGTCCTATCAGACATTACTCAAACTGCACCCCCAAAGTCGGCTGGTTATTACTCAGCTCAAGATGCAAATCTCGATGGCACCGCGTCAGTAGTCGATTGCAAAGAAAGCGAATGTCTTCCAGCCAACAAAAAGGTCGGATCCATTGGCAAGGACGCAAAGGTCACCTTTGAGAAGGTCAATGCACCCAAGGACGGCTCGCTCTATGTCGGCATCGACTACATCAACCACGAATACCACCACACCATCGGCGACTGGGAAACAAACTCCCGCAACATGTCAATCTCCGTCAACGGAGAGGACGCAAAGCGCTGGGCGTTCCCTAATGCTGGAGGGGATTGGTTTGAGAGCGACCGCCTAACGATCCTCCTTGATGGCTTTACCAAGGGGGATAAGAACGCTATCACTTTCACAGCTTCTGCTGATGGGAAATGGGCGCCTGATCTGGTAGGCTTTGAGGTATTGGCATGAAACTGATCTTTAAGATCCTTAATCCTATATTGAACAGTGGAAGTTTCCAAGCTGGGCCAGCTGTCTTGTATTAGAGCCAGGCTATGGATAGTACCATGTAAGCATATATTATGGAGAGATCCCAATCAAGGTCCACATAACGAAAAACAATATTTCTATAAAACTCGTCCGAATGAAAGAACGTACAGCTTTTTGTGGCAAGTCTGAAGCTACATACGAGCTTCTAGCTGCGTGGGTTCTGGGCTACCTGCTTAGAGGAATCGAAATCTGACTCTACCTTACTCCTGTCACTTTGACCTTCTTTTACGGCCCCAGGTGATCATGGAATCAACCAAATCATCACATAAACAAGGTAGACATCTTTCAACTGCCGAATGCTTACTCCTAGCCTAGCTAGGTCAATTCAGCGGCACAGGACATTGGGAGGATGCGGCAATGACAAAAAGCCCTACCCCAAGCTGTTAACAGTAAAGCCTTGGTCGGTTTAGGCTGAGTTTCGTGATGTCGTGACAGGTTAGCTTTACGAGCACCTCTTCCGTCCTCAAGCACGAGCCAATCAACATTTAAATCTAATATAAGCGTAATTGAATCAATTCATGCAAATGCTACGCTGTTTCAGCTCATATTCACAGTCGCAATAGACGGCCAAGGCTGTGTGAATCCTTCAGATCAGTACGACAATCTTAAAAGAGACTATCGCTGTTGCAGATCATCGAAGGAGCCGTATCCACCCATATTAAGCATACTAAACTTTATCTAACACGACCGTCCGATGCAAAGGGATGAACTGTATCCAAGAGCTTCATGCTGCACTTGAGGGACCATGTAAGGTATATTTGGCATGTTTATTGCGGCGTTAGCGTGATTCATGGATCACAGCCATGGCTGAAGAAAATAAATATAAAGCATTCATCTCATCCTGAATAATGACAATCATCCACTCACTCACTCGTTGATTCATTCAGTCATTCACTCATTAATTCGCTCGTTCAACTGTCATTCGTTCAAACATATCCTCATTCCCTTCATCCTACAGCATGAAATCCACCATCAGTTTCTTGGCCCTCACGGCAGCCGTGCACTCCTCTCCTCTCCAAAGGAGACAAGACCCGAACGGCCATGTTTGGGACAATGTCGATACTTTCTGTAATAACCAAACATTTCTTCTTCGGGACCCTGCAGGCGCTGCTCAAGTTTGGGAAACCACCAGCGCTGGTAATGAACTCGATGTTTTCATCGCTTCACAGTGGGGTACGTACCGACCACTCCGATGCAGCATTGACATACAGGCTGACAGTAGCAGAGCATGAGCCTAACTGGCTACTCAACCTCGAAGACCGTGTCGTTGGCGGCGTCAGTGGAGGCGCAACTGTCGGTGGCTGTGGCAGTGTCCAAGGCAGCTGCAACCCTCTGGGTGGCATAGACTGTAAGGAACAGTTCAACAAATACGGTGTAGACAAGGATGGTAATGAAAACGTCATTGGAAAGACCTCTTACCGGATTTTCCTAGCTGTCAAGGGGATGCAAGCTAAGTTTAGGATGCTGAAAGACAAACTGACTTCCGATACTATGGTCGCTGGATTCCTCATTCCCAGCATGGTCAAAGACTTTGAAGGCAACGAGGATCAGACGTCTGACATCATGAAGTGGCTTGCTGCTGCAATTGGGTTTGGCGGAGCTCTAGGGGGCAATATGCCCGTAGCTGTAAGTCGTCTCTCTCGACTTTAAGTTGTGGAGTAAATGCTAACAGTGACAGGGACCTTATCTATCGACTGGTGCTGGTATCTTGGGTGGCATCTTTAGTGCCGTGGCAGACAAGACTGCCCCAGAGGCCATCGACACGTCTACTATCTCCGGTGCCTTGGTCAGTCTATTCGTAGCCACGGCCGGGCAAATCGACTCAACTCTCGATCTCGCTGTAGGCGGCGCCGCCACGATCGAAGAATACAAAGCTCTGCCCAACCCGAAGCCTGACGACGACTGGTACAAGTCACCAGTTGCCAAGTTCTTCAGCACAGGATGGTTCCTCCTCAAAGACGACAGCCTTGCCGTGGATAACGCAATCAAGTCCATCACCGAGAACATCAAGCCCAAGATCGCAAACAACGTCATGAAGGCTGCCAATCTCCGCCTTGTAGCTGACAAGAGGATCCATAGCCAGGAGGAATGTGGCACCGCTACTGGCCGACAGTGGATGACTCTTAGAGAAGGCGAGGATTACTGCTTCTATATCATGCGCTACAAGCCCTTCGGTGGTAACTACGGCGAGTCGTGGACTGAGGCCGAAGAGGATGTCTACACGAACACGGCCAAGTACAACCTTGGAAACCGTGATCCGTACTATCATGTAGTCCTCGACTGTGCTCTCAGCGCAGAAAAAGAGCTCCAGGTGGATATCTTGGGCTTTAACAGCATCCCTGTTTGCTACTTCGACCTCGAGGCGTTTTTCATTGATCATAATGAGTGTAACAGCAACCTTATTAACAAGATCTGTCCCCCGATCAAGGCTACTCCAATTGCATGAATGTATTGCAAGTATGCTTCGCCTTGTTGTACATAATCATTCATTACCTTCTTACATCTACTTCTCTATTGAGCAATAATATTTATGTCCTGATGCACAATCTTATAAAAGCTAGTTACCATGGCTGTTAGGTAATTTCCTCGTATATATTATAGAGTGTTATGTGGCGACTCATTGACGATCTTACATAGCAAAGTGCGCCATCAAGCCATATGTGCGGTGTAGCTTTGTGTTGGAAACGTCATTAGACCACGTTCGGTTTCATTGTCCCCTTTTGACACTAAGGCTGACACCAAGCGGTGCTGTGGGATAGAACTAATACTGCAAGTTCGCTCTTTTGTATAGGCTGCATGCATGGAGAATGTCAGTGATTCTTTCCTAGCCTAAACGTACAGTCTGGACAGCACTTGGAAAGTGGTCTCTAAGATCCCTGCTATGTACCGAGTCTGTCCATGGCCATGACACATCATCGTTGTGGTATCCGTATTCGTTGCTTCCTAATCGACCATTCTCAAAGAACTCCCCTTCGAAATTCAATAGCCCAACTCGTCTGGAGATGCCATTGCTAGACTGAACAATCATGCCTCGATCGTAGCCTATGACTATGCACCGGAGTGTCATAGGATTGAGGTTAATGATGTCGGTGTCAAAAACAAGGTCGGAACTATTAGTCGCACCACCATTTGTAAGATCCAAATACCAGACCAGCCCTTTGTCAGACGCCCCGATGCTCTTTTGAACAACAAAATGGGTCCAGTTGTCTTCGTGAGGGCATTCATCCTTTTTGACCCAGTGCTGGCCTTTATATCGGATGGGAAATGAGTCTCTCCTTTTCAAGGTGGGTGTGTGTCTATAGGGCGCGCATTCTATGAAAGGCACATCGAAAACCTCGGTCGTGATTGTCAAGATGTGGGTCAAACCCAGAGCCGCATAAGATTGGCCTGAAGCAAGTGACCTGGCGAAGTCTTTGTTGAACTCTACAAGCCCGCCTGTTGCTGTTTCCACAAACAGTGGCACCGCGAAACTCTTTTCCAAGTGCTTGATGTTCTTCAGGTAGCTCCATGTGTCTTCGGCTTTCCAGCCAGACCAGGACCATGTTGGAAAGCCGCTCCTCTTGGCCAAGCCAGTCTTTTTGGATTGGACTTCGCTCCACGCTGGCTTCCATCGCCTAGAGAAGAGCACCCACGACATTATCATGTTTTGGTCTTGCAGTACGGTAATACTCGCTTGAAATTCCACAGCCAACTCATCGTACTGGGAGACCCCAGTATTGTTCCACCGGTGGTTCCAGCTGGGCGTAGAAGGCGAAAACGCCGTCCATGGCTCTCAAGACATCGGAATCATACGTAAGTTCACGTTTGGAGTATGCCTTCAAATCTTGCATGAACCTCCCACTCCTTGGTAGATATTGTTGGGAATCTGAATCCTCGTCCGCCATACGCTCAAAGATTCGAAAGTCGGGTTCGCATTTGGCAAAATCTTTTATCAATTCCTGTGCACACATCATACATCCACATTGGAAGAAGACTTGGTCGTCAGCAAAGATGACACACCTGCGAGAGAACACTGCTTCCTGGTACGTCCAACCCCTGGTCGACCATTTTGATTTGCCCACTTGATGTTTAATCAGCTCGGGGCGGAATTTCCATGTCGTTCCGTTCAGGGTGAGCTTATTGTGAATCATGCGAGGGCGCTGGCCGACACCAGGTAAACCATGCGATGAACTTTCTCCTGCGGCGGCAACTATAGTGACACTTGCTTGGTTATCTAAAAGTATGTTAGTTCGTTGCCCAGGCCTTATGTTTCTCGCCGTGTTAATAACATACAGATAGTGTTCATTTGACTTAACTGGCAGCTCATGTCTTCTGCGTCTCTTTGATCGATGCAAAGTTGATCAACCCATATATATTGAAATCCGAGTTGTAGTGTAACATGCATGGCGTCCTTAATCACGGGATTGGACAGGAGGTCCTGATGCTTGTCTTCGACATTAGATGAGGAACTCCAGACATAACTCAGTGCAACATATTCAGAAAACTCTGTACATTCTACCACAGTCTCGATTTTGCAATCCAGTACCCTGAATTTTGCTATCCTGAGCGGTTTCGCCATAAGCATTTGACAGGATTTTCCATGAGTGCCGCGACAATGGGCGATCCACTTCCTTATCATGCCATAATCAATTTGACTGGGGTTTATTTGTCGATACTGCCCGATCCTGTTTGGTTCCTTAAGAAACTCCCCATCGGTCATCTATAAGATATATTCGAATTGCTGGTCGTGCTGTATACAAACGTGATCGACCCCGTTAATGACGTGGCGGCTGAGTCCTACTGTTACCGAACCCTCAGATCCGGCATCTCTGCGATGAAACTTTGAGGCAAGGAAACGACACAAAGGGCAGTTGGAATTCTCAAAGATACATAACGAGACGTCAGTTCCGTATCGACTGCCATTCGAACATATCTGGGTGAGATTGACGGATTGACATTGCGTACAAAGATCTTCACTTTGCCACTCGGGGCCACCTGTCCGAGCTGCCAATCTTCTATTGGACTCATGAACTAGCAATCGGTCATCATTGATACTCGAAAATACTCTGTGTTTGTGACAGCAGTAAATATTTCCGACTCCCGAGGAAATACTGACCTTTACTATTAGCTCGACTCATCTCAAACAACAAAGATCGATCTTCACGGTCTCTTTGTTTTCATCTGTACAACCTCCTTTTGATGGGCGATACTATTTTACTGGTGTTACCAAAGTAAGATTGCAATAGGCTGACATGCTACTGGTTTAAGAAGTGAGGCGGGAGTCTGACCCAATTAGGCAGAAAGTGAGCGCAACAGCGAAACTGTGCCAGGACTGTAGTGAAAGGTTCGCAGTTTGCACTCAGATTGAACATGTACTCTCCGCGGGAGGAAGAAGTAGGGCTTTTGAAGAATGAATGTGCCGAGCTGTGATTGCTCCTGCGGGGTTCGGGCGGCTATCTTACCAATAGTATCACGCCAGGAGGGTTACCTGACACGTATAGATGTGTATTCGCCTGGTCCATCACTGCAAAAGATGGCAAGAAAGACTTCGTCACGAGTTAAGTGTTATAGGTTAGTAGTGAAGGTTGGTCATCGGTGTGAATTCGTTACCTAGCATTCATTCAACTAGAACTTGATCATGGAGAAGCAAATTTGAACCATAAGGATACTATTGCTTATGAATCTTTTCTTACTGTCTAAGAGTTCGGGAGTACAAAGATGGTCAAATAAGGGCAAGCTCTAGGCTACCTAATAGTATTCCAGAAAATTACAATATACCTCTCCAAGCTGACGGTGTTCCTACCAACCATTCTAAGATTAAAGCAGAATATAGATTAACATTATGGTAATATAGTACAATAGTGGCAGCACGCACCGAGGAATGAGGGGTGTAGGTTAGCTAGGAAGACCAGCTTACGGCTTGGGGCTGGGAGGATAAAAAGTGGATAAGCTTCCGGCAGGATTTTGCTCCAACACCATACCAGACATCCCTTAATTTATACTTGCATTGAACCTTTCCGACATAGTGGTTCGAGCGAATCGGGAGCCTGGTGAAAGAAAGAAAAAGAGACAAAAAGTAATCCCCGAAACCTGGATCGAACAAGTGACCTTTCGATGACATATAACAATTACAGTCGAACGCTCTTCCAGCTGAGCTATTCGGGGAGATCTCCGAAGCGGAGGAACAGCTATTGGTGCGTTGGGTGAGAGCTAAGCACATAGCACATATATTGATCTGTAGGTATGAAGTTCCACGCCAATTAATTTTTGGGAAATAATCTTGACTCTTGCAAAAATTGATCATGCAACAGATTGTTTTTCTTAGTCTCATAACGCACAGTCGCCACTCAAGCTTAGTTTGATTTCCGTATTCTACAATAACTGCCTTTTACAAATGCAGCCTCTACTGTACATATTCCTTCTCATCCACGCTGGTAGAAGAATTCGCGAAGCTATTTGCTGCGTTTACCCTAGACACACAAAATAATAAATCCCACAAAACACTATTGAGACGTCGCATGAGCCCTCTCTGTAATACCTACCCACTCTCTTTATACTGGAATGGTTTTCTCGACAGTGAGTACCAGTGCACATATGAGATTTGGGAAAAAGACTTGACCTATAATTTCAAGCAAAGTGCAAAAAGACTGATTGCTAGCAGCTATCAGTTTCGATCTGATGACCTCCGGGTTATGAGCCCGGCTATGGAAATCGTTAGTGTGTAATTAAACGTGAGGGTTTTGAATTAACATACCGCGCTTCCACTGCGCCAAGCTGCTTTCTTGCGATGTTTTGCCGAGATCTTTTTGTTCTTTATCAAGGTCGCCGGAATTTAGCGAGCTGCTTTGTTTGGGACGGAAAACACTCGTGTGATGAATTCCTGGCAATTTCCGCCCGTGGCGTCGAAGCTGTCATCTGTCAAATGTGGCTTTCTACATTCGAGTCATGGAATACCACTAGAACATGTTCTTGCATGCATTTTCCATCAATCAGAAAATTTGCATGATGACTGAGTACATGTGTTCTTCATGAAAGTTGTCCATCAGAGTGACATGTATATCTTGAACCTGACGACCGACACAGGCATGTATCATATTTCCTGTCACTAGCTTGCACGTGGGCGCCGCATCGATCGCTGATCGCGCAGTCAGTTCAAGCGATCGAACCGACGCCCTGGGCTTCACGGCAAGAGAAATCATCGTCCAGGGTTCAATTCGTGGACGTATCGATGCACTTCTCAACAGCTGCCGTGGGCAACATCCGATGCTCTCCACAGTCAGTCACATCTTGAATTAGGCTTTCATTTCCTAGCTTATCGGTGTTTAGGGGTCCCGTCCTAGCTCCTTAATCTGGCGTATGTCAATTCCGCGTCGGATACGCATTTGCCGAGTCATGGACAACCTTTTGGTGCCTGCCGGAACAGCTTTTGCGGAGGTGGGGTAGGGGACTAGGGGACGAATAGTTATTTCCATGGATCATCAATTAGTGAATCGCTGCTAGGGAACCAAGCGTCGAAATGGCCCATTCTCAAAACTCGATGCGCGTGTGTTCCGTTATCGGCGCACGGCCAGCGACACGAGTTGCCCGATCCCGCAAGGCTCAGCCTTGAAGCAATTCCGTTTAACTAAAGCCTTATACTTGTCAGGGGGTTTAGTGCTCGGGTTATGCCGACGTCACCTGCACACGGTTAGGATAACGGTCGTGATCAACATTGCGACAGGCTTTTGTGACATGTTTCGCGTTTGCACCATCTACTTAAATCCTGCAGTTATCGACTAACACATCTGTAATAATGGGTTACCTCGACAGCCGTGGATAACATGATGAACAACCCAGACGATCCCAAACAGTGATTGAGCGTTCACCACAAAAAGTCCCACCAGAAAGAGATGAGAATCTTTGTAAAAGTCTATGCACTGACTTCATATTGTGGAAACTATTAGGCATCGATTGGAAAACCGAAGTCAACGGTGACATTTACGAGCCACTCTATGTCATACCCCGGCTCTCATCTATTGACTGCTAATCCTTTCCCCCAGGGTCCATCTGCTAATCCAAGCTGAAAACCAAATAAAGCGGCACAGCCAACCGGTTCGCGCATCCGCCAAGGACCGCCATCCCAACAACGCCCGCTGTGCGTGGACAACCGAGTCATTCGTCACCATGTTCCGCAACAGGAGAACAACGCCATTGAAATCCTGTTGGCGGAGCGAAAATAGCTTTGTGGAGTTAGCTGGCCTTTAAGAGTTAGTCTAGAAAGAAACCATGCCAGGGGATGAGTCTAGCGCAAACCTAATTGACGAGCCAAAAAGATGTGACAGCCATCGCTTGCAGGATTCCGCTGGTCGGGGCAGTTCAGCGCGATTAGGTAACGATAGAGTAAAAGTCGCGAGTATTTGGGTCCGTTTCCCCTGTTTTGTATGTCATGAAGCAAATTAGTTAGCAAAGGAGCATTACTTGGAGTAGATAGTGCAATCCAGGCCATGTCAACAACAGACCATTGCTGAAGAAACTCAACAACCATAAGAAACACGGTCGAGACTGAGACACACATACCAAACGACTGATTCTACTGGGGACGAGACAATATCTTCCCCGGCAAATAGCTTGGTCCTGATCCCTGGCCCCTGTGCTTGGTGACATTAGTGGAGGAACCAGCGAGTGTCAGCCCCTAAGCCTCTGGGCTAGGCTTGGAGCAGCCTTGGCAGAAACGCCATCTATCACGCTGCCGTCTAGCCGCATCCGTTGCACTGGGTTTCCAGATTGCCGGCGCATAAGATCAGCGGTGGTAACGAGGTCGATCCCCCAGGTTTTCTCCCCTCCTTCGCCTCTCATTTGTCCTCTATCCGATTAATCTCGAGTCGACAGATCTCGCCTTGGCAGCATTGACTGTCATTCTTGTTGACTAGCCATGGATTACTTCGAGGTGTGCTGGTCCATCTTCAGCACCATCTGTCTCGTCAATGTTGTCTTCGGTGTCCTGGTCTGCGAAATCACTACATTCACTGTCCTAGCTGCTGTACCAATCTTTTCATCGGCAGCTGGCGCTATTGCGAACGGTCTTTGCTATTATGTCTACTACCTCAAGAACCCCGTCATCAACGAAGTGGTAGCGGCTGTCTTTTCAGACTTCTTTTGGCTGGTACGAAACCTCTTATCTGGTAGTCTCGCACCCTGACTGACTCGAATATTTAGTTGCAAGAAGCAAGTCTGCTGCTGTACAGTTACATCATTCTCCAACGAGTCCTTCGGCCGAACCAATGGCGCGTCTTCTCCAGTATTTTTTGGGCACTGATGGTCTGCACGGCAATCACTCGTGTTTTTATCGCAATCTACCGAGCAAAGTTTCTCATCCAGGGCGAACCTGAGTATGAAGTTATCATCAACTACTTCCACATCGGCTACTTCAGCTTCATGGCCATCTCCGAATGCCTCAGTGCATATTTCCTTGTTGTCATCTTCGCCTCCGCAACGTCATCCAGTATGAGCGCCGCCCTCAAAGTTGGTCTTCTGCGATATCTTACTCGCAGCACTGAAATGCGCGTGGCTTTCTTGGCCCTTATCGGAGTTACGAGAACCATTATTCATCCATTCCAAACACCTGGACAAAAGGCAGTGAACATTGCGAGTCAGCTCGATCGATTCCTCTACGCCCTCTTTTGTCTTTACCCGATCGTTCTATAGTAAGTTCATCGTCGATTCTATCACTTCTCAGCTAATCAATTACCCTCAAGCTTTGATACACTAGCGTCCAAGCTCCGATTCAACGAAGATCGGTCGATATATACCCACAGCGACCAGGCTGGAGCCTCTAACCGCTACGGTCTGAATACTCAAACCAGATGTTACACCACGAGAACCAACTACACGTCCAAAATGTATGGCAATGAAGATGCATTAGATCGGAATAATTCTCAAGAACAGATTGTCCCACCTGGCGGATCTACCCGCTCGGGAGTTTCGGAGGTTGAATTAGAAGATATGGATGTTGAAGGTCTTGTTATTAGAAAGACCACCGAGGTTACAGTCACATAGATACCACGATAAACCATTTTTAGGCGCTACACATGACAGATTTCTTAATACATAATTACATGTTCATGAATTAAGGATCAATGCTGAGCTTGCATGTATAACTTGGATGAGATCCTCTTGAAGTGATGTATTGGCTTTTTGTGTACGTTTTGGACAACTAATACGATCGTGACTAAGGTATTCGACGTTTGTTGCTACCCTTAAAAGACAAAAGCAACTATCACTGGCATTCATCAGTGATCAGGATTTCGCCCTGCACATGCGTCCATCACCCGCAACAGTCCAAGCCTCACTACCAACAGCCACAGTGGCGTAGAAAAAGCCCTTGGGGTCGTACTTCTTCTTGATATTCAGTAGCTTGTCATAGTTCGCACCATAGAAAGTCTCCTGCCAGTTTGGTTGCTGGAAGTCCGCCTCGTTGATGTAAGCTCCGCCACCTGGTGTCGCAGCCTCGATCACAGGCTGAATCTCATCCGTGATTCTTCTCTGCCTTGCCAACATCTCTTCCCAAGGTGCTTCGTTGTCCCATGGAAGGGTGAGAGATACTTGGACTATAGAGCTTCGCCACTGGGGTAACACCGCGTTCGCATTCTTGCTTCCAAATTTGGATACGTTGAGTCCAACGCCGATGTATATGACTCCCATCTCGGCGAGCTTGCGCGCAGTTGGCGAAAAGTCTTTGAGTTTATCCCGGGGTAGTAAACGTCCTCCGAAGAGCTGTGTGCCGACTTGAATGTTACCCGCAGGAAGAGGCCCCCAGTAGTGGTCGTAATGCTGGTAGTAGCTTGCATATTGAGTAAACGTTGGTTCGAACTTGAGACCAAGACCAGTCAAAGAATCGGCAAGAGGCTGGAGGATCTTCTTGACTTCTGCCTCAGTCTTGTTGTAGGCGGTGATGGCAGGGATTTGTAGAAACGAGTCGGAGAAGAAATAGATGATCATAATACCAGAGTCAACAATCTTTGGAAGCGCAGCGTGATAAGCGTCGATAGCGTCGTATATCAACTCTGGTTTTCCTTCAGGTGCTGTGATAAGAAACTTGGCACCACTGACTTTGGCCTCTGGATGAGCTCTGACAGTAGCTGAGACGACAACACCATAGTTGCCAGTTCCGCCACCGCTCAAGGCCCAGTACAAGTCCTTATTATGGCTTCGATTAGCCTTAACAAGTTTTCCATTGGCAGTCACAACTTCGAACTCGAGTGCGTTATCCGCTGCAAGACCAAATTTGGTGCTCAGTGCTGAGTGGCCACCTCCTTGGGTATAGCCTCCCGCGAGACCGACGGAAGGGCACTCGCCAGTGACAACGACTAGATCCTCCGCATGAGCAGCTGCAAGTGCCTCGAAACCCTGAACACCAGCTCCAACTTTTAGAGCTTTGCCTTTGTACTCGTCGTCATCCCAGTCAACTACTTCAGTGCCCTTGAGGTAGTGAGTCCACACAGCTAGCGCACCTGCGCCAATTGAACGACCCAGATAATCATGGCCAGTATTTCGAATCACGAAGCGGACGTTTTTCTTCTGGGCGAACTTGATAGCAGCCGCAACATGTTCGGTAGATGTGGCATTCACGGTGTAGCGGACATAATTGCCAAGCGTACAGGGCTTTTCTCTCGGCTGGAAGGGATCACAGCTCTGGTTGGCAAATAAAGTGGCCATTATAGAAGAAGATGATTTGGAACTAAGGTCAATTAGTAATCCATTTCATTTGGAAGACAGTATCGTTCGGGTGAAGATAATAGGGCCAGGACAGGATGGAGGACTTACTGGATCGACGAATAATGCCACTCACTTTGCAAGTGCGCGCACTCCTCAGCATTGAAGGTTGGATCGTGGCATGGCGAACCCAATGGCACAGTAGCAACCAATCGTCCATCAACGGTACTATTGAGACGGCCCCATTCAGACTCAGTAGGCCAGCAAGAGTCCCCAGGAAAACATTTGCAGTTATCCTTCTCGGGTGTTGCGGCGATGCAGCTACTGCCCAGAAGCAGCAGCGAAAAGAAGCTATGGCGCATTGTAGGTAAAGACGAAGCCGGAGAAAAGAAAAGAGAAGGATTCAAGGTTTCGGTAGCAGTGGGTATATAAGGTCATCTGCCGAACAGCGGTCTGCCGACATGCCCCTCATGATATAAGCACGGAGGACGGAGCAGTGATTCCCGTTGCAGATCTAGCAATGCGAGTAACGTAGTTGAGCCAATTAAACGACCTGGTGGAGCGCATGTTTATCTACAAGGGTCAGCATTCAAGTTGTTACTCGGCGTTGTGATGACGGGTGGAGCGTAGTATTGATGCGAACAATAAATCGGAAATTGACTCAACCGATTTCCTAAGGTAAACATAACATGGAGGAATTTGTATTTGTATGACTAGGTTTGGCTTCAAGTAATGGAAAGTCTGTATGTTGGCTGTACTGTAGGTATGGAGCATAGTCATTTGGATATCGACAGGGGGTTTAACCACCTACCTGGAAAAGCACGATCTCCGAAACCAGAATTTTTATAATTCGCTAAACCTGTTGAAGAATACCACAGCATTTTGGGCTCATAGGACTATGCATTTGAGTTTCTTGACAAGTCAAAACTGATCATGCTTTGCCTATGCTATTTTGACCAATCCTGTTTGATGTCCAATCACTGGTCTATGATACACTAACTCATCCTAGGATGCTCGGAGTAACACATCTAGGAATGAGGCTACTTGAATGAGGTTCTCGTCTTCAAAGGGACGCCCAACAATTTGTATAGTAGAAGGAATATTGGATAAAGGGCTTGGATCATCTATTCGGAAACCTTTGTTAGCAAAGTTGACTAAAGGTCCTTTGATCCACGTACAGATCTCGTGATTGGTGCTATCGTAAGGATTCGTATCTGAAGGTTGATAGTTCACATCGACCGGGTCCAGCTCAGGACTGATGATGAACCTCTTGATCGGAAGGATCACAGAAGGATAGTCAACAAGATTAAATAATGCAGTGTATCCCCAGTAAGTGTTGAAGTCGTGGGGGTAACCAACACCAGGCGCTGGAGGACAGATCAATGCATCGATGGGTCGGCCGTTGACGGCAGTCTTGTTCCAAGCCGCAAGAAACTGGTCTTTGTAGGCCCGTACCTTGCCATGCAGCTGCAATCACGTTAAACAAAATGGATTCATGCCCAGATGAGGATCATACCTCAAGTAACTCTCCAGCCGGAAGCTGTCGAACGTTGAAGACCCGCATTAAATCAGCAATTGCTGGAATGAGTGGTTCACCCGATTCTTGGAGTGCAGACAGCGTTTGATCAGCTCCGCCTTGGTAATAAATGTCAAACTGTCTCTGTAAGTACAACTCGAAACGCTCTGACATGGAAGCTTACTGTTGTTTTCAAGGACTGCCAGCAATCGAAAGGTGGTTCAAAGTCGACCACTGTAGACAAATTAGCTCTTCTCAAGGAAACCAACCGACCTTAACATACCTTCATGTCCAGCTGTCTCAAGAACATGCCTAGTATGCTCCAGCGCTCGAAGGACCGGAGGATGGGGCATCACGACACCGTCCCACTTCATTAGACCAATTCTCAGCTTCTCTTTCAGAGCTTCGGGGGCCTTCCATGGAACTGGCGTACAGGTCACATCGTACTTATTGAAAGGGTGTGCATTGATGACCCTCGCGAGTAACTCCATATCCTCGATCGAGTGACATATTGGCCCAAAAGATACCTGGATCAGACTCTGTCCGAGATCCGGCATTCCGCCTTTTGGTATCCGTGCAGCTGTTGGCTTCAGCGCATAAAGTCCGTTGAAAGCAGCTGGGACACGGATGGAGCCACCTATATCAGTAGATGGGGACAGAGGGGTGCCTCGCATAGCCACGAGTACACCATCGCCTCCAGAACTGCCTCCTGCGTTGAGGACTCGGTTCAGTGGGTTTAAAGTACGTCCCCAAAGGTTGCTGACAGTCTCGATGGCCATGGCTGACTGAGGCATCGTGGTCTTGCAGAAGAACACAGCACCTGCATCGCGTAAAGCTGCCACGACGGCGGAATCTTCTTGGGCAATGTTGTCTCTTCCCGCCACAAACGCCAGTGTGGTAGCGTGGCCTTTAATTCTGTGAATGTCCTGTCGAGTATAAGATAAGCTTGGTGATATATAGACTCTGGGGTTTCCTTACCTTCAGACCTAAAGGGATTCCATGCAAGAGACCCTGGACTCGGCCATCTCTTTGGAGGGTTTCGTCAAGTTTCTTAGCTTGTTCAAGGGCCTCATCATAAAACCATTCCGTCAGACAATTGACCTTTGCCATGTGAGTACAAGTTCGTCAGTCAAGAAGGTAAACTAACCAGTTGATGCGCAATAGCAGCACGCCCAGCGAAAGCCTCCAACACTTGCACCGCTGAAAACTTTCGAGACTGAAGCTGCTGAACGATCTGTGTAGCGGTAAACTCCGTGATCTTGAGCTGTGCTTCTGTGAGCAGACCACACGTGTACGGCACGCTGGTCACATCCTTAAGTGACTTGTAATCTTCGATATTGAGTCGCCACCGGTTGGGAATTGCTTGCAAGACTTTTGCTTGGCATTCTTTCGCAATGGCTTCCCACGACATGTTGAAGGAGTTCTGGGCGAGTATGATAGGAGATGGGATAAATATTGCCTTAGCTCCCAACGTCGGGAGACACTCAGTATTAAGTAGGTATTCAATTAACTCTCAGTCTCTCAAATGTGAGCACTTTTGGTATGGAATCGGTCAAGCTCTCAATGATTGACACGGCCAAGTGGTGATATTACAAAGGACCAACGTTATGAGTTCATTCGGATGAGTGGGCCTTGCAAGAAGTGGAACTGAGCTTGGACTAGATTTGTAAGATCGTTACATTTATCGAAGGACTCCACGTTAAACTTGTGATGACATGTGCTACAAACAAACGTCTAAATTAGTCATGCGTCTGAATCCTACCTGAAATTCGTCCTCTCGGTTTCACTCTCCACGTTATGCTGAATTTCGCCTTTCCTTTTGCTCATGACTAGGTTTTGAGAGATCTGGCAAGGAAAAATCAAGTTAGTAACATATGTTTATCCGTAGCATTGAACCTTTCCACTATATTTTAGAAGTCAAGCATTGAGTTTGACATAAACCACCACCAACATTGAATATGATCGCGACTCTCTAGCTGCGTGGCAATCTTGAGGTCAACTGAGCGAAATATTTATTCATCGACTACAACGGTCGCGTGGCCCAATGGCAAGGCGTCTGACTACGAATCAGAAGATTCTGGGTTCGATCCCCAGCGTGATCATTTCTTTTGCCTTCACTTCCGAGGAATTCTCTTTTTCCTTTGTTTTTCAATTTTTCATCTTCAATATGGCAAACAATACACAACTGCTCTTCTACAGTTGGTCGGGGATCTCAGTCTTTCACTGAGAATGTCGTTGACTCTATGACTAGGTCGTACGCTTCGCAGAAGAAAAAGGATGCCTGCCAGAACTCAACAGCACGGAATGAATTTGTAATATGACTATTTGTGTAATGATCTTTCTATCTGTGGTAGGAAGAACATCGGACCTTGTCTCTATTGAAGGCAATGGGAAAGGTGATAAGAGGGTCTGTATACTTGGCTTCGTTCACTTCACAAAGAAAACCTTGTCTTCTTATATATTCCCATACTTGTTTACATTGTTCCCTCGCAGGTAGTGCGCCATCCTTAACAAACCATACCCTAAAGCATCTAACATGCGTTGTCTGGCTGGGTGTTGGATCATATTTCTCTGGGTTGTCTGAAACACTGGTTGCAAGAGAATAGAGGTCATTCTTCTATATCTCTCTATATGAGGCCATTGATCATCAAACTCTGCTGCGGAACTTCAAGTTCAAAGCAGCTTCGGATCGCAACAGCTGACGATGGACGAGCTCTTGTGGGCAAGTGACTGAACTACAACACTGAAACATGAAGGAGGATAACACTCAAAGCCAGATCTTGGACCTCACGAATTATATCATGATCATTTCCAAAACTGATAATAAATTTCGAAGGTTGTCGACATCTAAGTCAAACAACTCGTACCAAGGCACTTACACGCCGTCCGGATATGATACAAAATATGTCTGCTGACTAATATCCAAATTCCGCTGTGGTGTATCGGTTATCATTCCGCGTTTTCACCGCGGCGAGGAGGGTTCGACTCCCTCCAGCGGAGTTTCTTTTGCTCTTTATGCTAAATGAGTTGTTTTTTGTTCTCTTGGTTAAAGAGACAGTCAGTCTGCACGGCCGAGTTTCTTTCTAGTTCCAGCGTCGCACCACAAGCACTCAACGCCGCACTTTCAATCGAAACCGCCGTTTGACAGGACCCAGCACCTGTTTGTCGTCAAAAAGAAGATACCTCATTTACGAAGAGCAAAAGGATAAACCTGGAGACATAGGGATTCGAACCCTAGACCTTTCGCAGCAAGGATGCCGGAGGCTCGATGCAAAGCGAATGTGATACCCCTACACCATATCCCCTGTTGTAAGAATGGCTCAAGATTGGATCTATATAGTTGGATCCTCTGTTGAAGAGCATTGCTTCCGCTGTATCGCTGTTACATCTGTTCAACACCTAACTTCATTGAGCCCGAGTTATTCCGTGTCTGGCAATATCATACAACCGTGCTGTTACTACCGACACAAGCCATTTTGTGGATGCTTCTCTATATGCGGAGGGTCTTTTCCAACCACGCTCATATTACTACTTCCCCTCCATAGGCCTTGCACAAACAGGGCACATGGATCATAACGGTTGGTGACCGATCCCATTTTCAGTTGCCATCTACTAGAAAGAACTACTCGGGTTCTAAGCGTCCTCGATAAGATGTTCTGTTGGAGAGCAATGGTGATACAAATCTCGCAGTGGAGACCATGGAGGTTTTCTTCTTTCGCCTGATTTACTGCCTGTCGTGGGAATTGTTCATAGCCAGAGTGAAGTATTCTGTCTAAGTGTTGAGAGAGTTTGCCCGGTGCCCATGTTCTAGCCTTGGTCATCGCATCGACGGTGTCATCTTGTTGACTCGGTGAAAGATAACCCGCGCGCCTTTCTGATTGAAGAGGAAGAGGAAGATAGTTCATGTCTTCAGTGGTCGCAGCCGTTACGCTATATGAGTCATATCCCATGGCATGCCTAGTCGAGAATCTCGTCAGTCATTAAAATGGTGAGGCCTCATTTTAGAGAGGCAAAGCCGGAAGATATACCTTCTTCACTCCGTTCATTAATTACATTCTTCAGTACGGCTTTGCCAACCAAGAAATGGTGGGTGGCGATGGCCTATCTGCTTAGGCCTACCCAGCGACCCTAGACGCAGAGCAGCAAGTCTAGAACCAAAGCAAGATGATAGTATTCGGCTAGTTCGATATAGGGTGTCTCCTGAAGATCGAAATCTATCATTTGTAAGATTTGGTAAGTTCCTGTGTGGGTGTTGTTTGTGGCTGATATTCGGTGGGCCTGTAAATAGCGTGTCATTTAGACCTTGTCGCCTCTAGCCAGTAGCTATTTAGGGGCTTAGTAGATTGCTTATAGTACTTCTAAAGCGCCTAGAAAATCTTTCTAGGATGGTACTAAATGAGAACTTGGTGCCTGATAATGTTATTACTAACCGAGTGTGGTATATAGTTCTTAACCGTGAAGATGATGAAATGGCGAAGCTGAGACTGTAATTGAGCCTACTGTCGTGAGCTCTTGCTCGATGGGTCGGGGAATTATAAGATTATTATCTCCAAGCTTACTGTTTGTCTGACTTTCTGCAAGAAGAATGCTAGCCTACTGTTGATAAAGGCTTAAATGTGTATGCTGTTGTTTCTGAGTGCGTAAAGAGCGATGCCAGAATTGATGACACTATATTATAGTTAGAAGACTTTATGTATGATCTTCGGATAAGATAAGTAATATTATCTAAAATGTTACATATTCTATTGTAATTTATATAATCTTATTTACAATCTAGACTGGGGGGAATTATGGTAACTTTTGCGCACCCACTGTACTAGTACATAGTAAACTATAAATAAAAAGTCAATGCAGGCTGACAAGAAATGGTATACCCTGGCATGGGTCAGACTGAGCTCTTAACTCCCTTATGTCCATAACACAAACTGCTCCAGATTCGGTCCTCGGCGATAATGTCATTATCACCGTGAGGAACTAACAGCCGCCGTAGTTATGATGTCAATAGAGGATACACTTCCATGCCTGCTCAGACGCATGCTTTTGTTTGTTTCCCCACGAGCAAACTACGTGGTGGTCTATCGTTGGCTAACGCTGTTACCGTCTTCTGTAGGAATGACCTGGTACCTCTCGCTGTGTTATAAAATCGGTTTAATATATATAGTAAGCCTTTGACACCTTCCCAACTCCCAATTGACCTTGGAAGGTTTCCAATTGCACTTTACACCGGGTGAATCGACAGCCACTATCCCGTCATGACTTCGCCTCACTCAATCCTGCTCCAGAATGCAACCCTCCTTGTCCCTGAAGGTCATGGAGGTGATCGCATCGTCCCTATAAGAAACCACTCGCTGTTGATCGAGGGGAACAAGATCGTTCGCATCGCTGCAAGAATTAATCCACCTTCTGCTTCCACTGAAGTGATTGACTGTACTTCGAAACTCATCTCCCCGGGCTTCATTGACACACACCACCATATGTGGCAGACTCAATTGAAAGGAAGACACTCAGACCACACGCTTTTCGAGTACATGACTTCCGGTATGTTACGAGGCTTCACTAATAGAACGAATGTTGTTGACTGGTCGCGTATTAGGCAACATGGTATCGCAGAGCTATAAACCGGAAGATGTATTCTGGGGTCAACTAGGGGGATGCCTTGAAGCTCTCCAGGCGGGGACAACCACGATTGTCGATCATGCACATATCTCCTACTCTCCTGAGCATAGTAAGCTTTATCTACTGTAATATATATCGATAATTCTCTAGCTTGCTGACATGTTATACAGATAACGCTGCTCTTTCAGGAACAATCTCATCGGGTATAAGATCGATTTATTGTTACTGCCCTACTGCAAGGACCAAGACCTGGAAACCATTCGAAATGGAGAAAACTCTCCTTCCAGACTGGCTTTTCGAGCAATTGACCACTCTATGCAAAGCTGGACCCTTTGGCAAAGGTCGTGTAATCATGGGCTTTGCATTCGACTTTTATACTCTTCCAAAAGAGGTAATTGTCGACATATTCAAACGAGTTCGCAGCCTGGGTATCAAGACCATCACTTCTCACTACGCCCCCAGTATCCAAAGTAAGACAAACGAGTCCGAATATTTTGCTAGGACACTAATTGTAGTGGAACCTAGATGAGCCTATCGTAGATTTGCTTGAAAGCTACGGAATTCTGGACAAGGATATTCTACTATCCCACGTGAATCCCCTGAACGACTCAGACGCACAGAAGATCGCAAAGGCTGGAGCAGCAATCTCCTCCACCCCTGACACCGAGCTTCAGACGGGCCTTGGCTGGCCGGTTTGCTTCCAAGAGAATGCCAAGTCGATAAGCTCGCTGGGCATTGATTGTCACAGCAACGGCTCGGGCAGTATCGTTGAGCAGATGCGTGTCGCACTCCAAGCTGAGCGTGGCCGGCGTAACGAGCGTATTCATGATATGGGAAAATTCCCTGGTAAGATACAGTTGTCGATCCAAGAAGCATTTCAGCTAGGAACTATTCGTGGCGCAGAAGCAATCAACCTGGAGGATCAGCTTGGGTCTCTGGAAGAAGGCAAGATTGCCGACCTTCTCATCTGGGATATGCTGAGCCCCAGCATGATTTGTGCCGCTGAAGAAAACCCCATCGGAGCCATCATTCTGCATTCTTCCCCGTCTGATATTGACGCGGTCATCGTTGATGGTCAGTTCAAGAAACGAGATGGCCGATTGCTAAAAACCAAGCTTGACCTTGAACTGTTGCCGGAGCTGAAACCTGAGAAGTCTGAGATTGAATGGCCTGACATCGCACTTGAGCTACTGAAGAGTCGTGACAGAATACTTGTTGCAGAGAACGCCAGTGGTGCTGATGATAGAGAAGCAGCATTTGAAAGTGGCCTCAGCCTCTATGGAGTTGATAAGGAGAACCTGGTATTCTAGAATCCTCGGCGAAGACGTGGCCATTGTGTATTTATGATAAGATCTCTAGACAAATTTGCTGCTAAACGATAGTTGTTCTTGTTCTCACAAACCAATCAAAATCCCTACGTTTCTACCACTAGGAAATGAATGACTGCCAGTGCATGTAGTTCCTTCAGGTCGAAATGTCACCTATCCACCACGGCGTCTTTGGGTAAGGTTCAGCTCTGGCCCCTCAAGCAAACCTCCAGAAGACCCATTGTGCGGGTACCATGAACTTTGACCACCTCAAGTCGGGAATCTGCTTCTTTGAGAATCTTCTCAAACTGCTTTCTAGATCGCTCCTTGGCACCAGCCACGACAAACATACACATGTCAACTTGGCGAGATAAATACTCCTCATATTTTGACATCTCATTCCTCTCCGGTAGTATAGTGTCGTTGATAAGAAGCCGAGTTCCAGGTTTGCATTTCTCAAGTGCTGGGACCAGAGCTCGAATTACCTTGATGCAATCGTCGTCGTTCCAGTTGTGCAGACACTGACGCAAGAAAAATGCATTGGCATCTGTGATGGTCTGCTCGCCGAAGAAGTCGTGGTGCATGAATTTGATTCTCGGGGCGATATCAGCGCCCACTTTCGCTCTTCCTTCAGCGAGCGCCGACCTGTTCGAATCTTGGACTACAAATTCAAGGTTGTCAAAGTGAGACGCAAGATGCATAGACACGTGTCCGCTCCCACCGCCCATATCAACAACCTTGCCCGGAGCTCCAAGCTTACCCCAGGGGAAATCATCGCAAAGCATGGCGATAGATTGGTCCATTTGCGTGATGGCGGCCATAGCCTTGGCAAAACGCGCGGCTTTGTCCGGATTCTCAGCATACCAGGCATATGTTGACTTGCCGTAGTATGTTTGGAAAGGACAAGAAGTGCCATCTGACACAAAAGGAGCATCCTTTATGCATTGAGCCGTAGCAGTGGATGCGTTGTGGAGTTCATCATACTGCATCAGAAGCATGGCCTCCATATCGGTATCCCTTGCTATTAGGGCAGACCCTGCTGTGTGTTCAAACACGTCCGTATCAACCTCATTGAAGATATTCTGGGTTGCGAGAAGCCTGATGATCCTGCCACAACGATCTTCATCCATTCCAACTTTGTGGGCTAGGTCAGAAAGACTGATCTTTCCATCCAGTGGCACATATCTGAACAATTGAAGTTCCAGCGCAGCTTGGTAAGCTGCGATGTCATAATGAACTAAATGGATTCTTCGGTATTCATTGACAGGACCGTTGACCAGACGCACAAGACTGAGTGCTGCTTCGTTCAGCTCAATTCTACTGGCCTCATAGTTGGCGTCGCCCTGGATGGAAGGGCTGTTTTGGTCAAATGATGGTTCTTCCTGGTTGGTATCATGCAGTTGTTGCACGATAGTCTTGGTGGTTTCAAGGACGCTCTGAGCGAGTTGAAGAAGGACAGACTTTTGTTCTGAACCCATCTTGATGAAATAGTTACTGAGGCACCGAAGTAGGTATGTTGCAAGGGCGATCTCGGAAATGGTGAAAGGGAAATGGTGCAATAGGTTGAATCGCTTGCTTCCACCAAGATCACCAATTCTTTCACGGCCATCTGGGAGTATTTATATTGATTTGCTCAAGCCTGAAATCAGTATGAGGTGTTTCTTCGGTTGCCGAGATGGTGTTTCCTGGTGGCTGAAAGCAGCAGCTGTCAAAGCTGCATCTGGATAGTTTCTCAAAGATTGCGCATGTAACCAAAACGGTTACGTCTGAACTGTCACATCTTCCATTGCCATGCAGACTTCGGGAGCCGAGGGGCCTGGTTGTCGCACGGCTGTCAGCCTTAAGAAATTATATAACGTCGAGCAAGCATGTAAGACTATGCTTACTGGCTAAGTTAGAGCTCATATAACTGTAGTAAATATTACAGTACCACTGTCCGTTGTTCCTGATGAAGTGTGCCTCTCGCTGATCATATTTGTCCGATTGGCAGTTGATGCTGACGTGCAGCCAGTTGGTGATACAACGGAACGCTGATCAATAACGATTGAACGTGGCTGACATGAGGGCATCGCGATGGTCAAGACGCGTGAAAATACCACCCATGGTGATAAGAACACTCCTCAAGAATGTACTAACCTTCTTGATATATGAAGTCACTAACGGTAAATAGAAATGTGAGACAGTGGATCAAGGCGGGGAGTTCGACCATTATACGCTGGGTGCGCTCCTATTGGTAGCTCGCTATCTAGGCATCATTCAGAAGAAGCAAGATTAACAGCCATGACGTACCCTTATCATGGCTGCCCGCAAGATCATGATCGCTCCTAACCTCTCCTCTTCCATCCCTTCCATCTTCCTCACCTAAGATACTACATAAGCTTGCCAATCAGCATGTCCTCTAAACAAGTACCCGTGATCCAAACGGTCCCTCTCAAGTCCGGCTCCTTGGACTATGAGGCTCTCCGAACCTCCATACTCGAAGAATTCGGCAGTGATGTCCCGGATGAACTCCGTCTCCCGCGAAGCATCATCGAGAACCCCCCGAAGGATATTACCGGCATTCCCCGATCCTGCTGCATATTGACCGAAGAAGAGTTGGACATCACAGAGAACTACGATGCCACTGCACTTGCTGCAGCTATAGCCTCCAGGAAATTTACTTCTGTGGCCGTTGTCACTGCCTTCTGCAAGAGAGCCATGATTGCCCACCAGCTTACCTGCTGTTTGACGCAATGGTGGATGGACAAGGCCGTATTGACTGCTGAATTACTTGATTCGTTCCAGAACGAGACTGGCACGACTTGCGGCCCATTGCATGGTGTGCCTATCAGCATCAAGGAGCATATGCCGGTAAAGAATTCATGGTCTAATGTTGGATTCCTTGCTACACGTAAATATGATTATGAGAATTGTCATATGACAGAAATTCTTGGCGAAGCTGGGGCGATCTTCTATTGCAAGACGAATCAGCCACAGGCCATTATGCATCTTGAGACCACCTCTCCTTGGGGGCGCACACTCAATCCTCACAACATCAATCTGTCAGCAGGAGGGTCAACTGGCGGCGAGGCTGCGCTTATCGCCCTTCGAGGATCTGTTTTGGGTGTTGGTACTGATATTGGTGGGAGTGTCCGTGGGCCAGCGGGTTTCTGCGGTATCTATGGCTTCAAGACAACTTCCTACCTGTTTCCTCAAAAGGGCTTTCTGCCAGGAGGTTTCGCGGCTGAACTCAATGTTCTGTGTTCAGCCGGACCAATGGCTACTTCGCTTCGAGATGTTGACTTACTCATGTCTGTTATCTCGGACTCTCGTCCATGGCTGAAAGATCCGCGCCTTATACCCATTCCCTGGACTGGGTTTTCAGCGGAAAAGAAGCCACTTAAGCTCGGCATCATGATGAACGATGGGATCATAACCCCACAGCCCCCAGTCACAAGAGCTCTTCAGTGGGCGATGGGCGAGTTGCGTGCCAAAGGGTTCGACATTAAACCTTTCCAGCCGTATGGGACTGAAGAAGCCATGAAGGGCATCCGATTAGCGTACTGGCCCGACGGAGGTAAAGCTCTCAAGGGCTACCTCGACGCAAAGCAAGAACCGATGCACGACCTGACAAAGTGGATCATCAAGGATGCCGAAGGCCCTGGTCTAGACGCCGAAGGGGTTCTCAAGCTTCGAACTGCACGCGATGAGTTTAGGTGTCGTTTTGCCGAGCATTGGGAATCCCAAGATGTGGACTTTGTGATTTGCCCTGTATTCGTTGGTCCGGCGTGCTCTCATGAGACGGCGTTCTACTGGAACTACACAGCTTTCTGGAACTATGTTGACTACCCCGGCATTGTGATTCCTACCCCAGTCAAAGCTGGCGCGAAGGGTACGGAAGATTTTCCAGCAGGTAGTGTCCCGTTGAGCAAAGAGGAGGACCACGTGAGACAGCTGTGGTCTGAGGGAGATTTTGAGGGAGCGCCCATCAACTTGCAAATTGTAGGCAGAAAGTACCACGACAACGATTTGTTTGCAGCAGTAACAGAAATTGATGATGTAATTAACAATATGTAGATATTATGGCTATGTACTTGCTTAAACTAGCAATGCCAGGTCACTGTAGTCTTTGAAATACATGGCCAAATCTTCGTTGCCAGAAAGATTTGTCTCAACGGTCCTGTCAATCGTGCAGGACCATTTCCAATGAAAAGATCGATCAAGGTATGGTTTCCCACCGGTATATTCACCCCATGAGTCTCAATTGCAGCCAAAGGATTCTCCAGCGCCGCTGTAATAGGCTTGGCCAATTAGGCCAACTCCGTAACTTCCAAGTTTCTAGCTAGTATGTCACGTTGTTTCCAGGCGTCAAGCCGAGCAATCTCTCCACTTGGTAAATCTCCTCAATCCCACGAGCCTATAACAGCCTCAAAATTGATAGGAGGTGCCATCGATTCCAGTAAGAAGACCCCGGTGGACAGTTGTAAAGTTTTGGTTCTTCGTGCAAAACCATGCTCGCAATGAGATCTTCCAGTATGGGTAGCGTACAAGAGAAGCTGAATGGTCTCTCCAACTTGCTCCAGCATGGTTCTCCACGAGTCTTGGCCGGTTGTTACTTGTACGATGGAGAAAGACTATAAGCTTTGTCAGAGAGTCGCTTTCCGTATTACCGGGCTGCTAATTATTATGTCCCAGATCTATGTTTCTTCTTCCCCCAGAACTGCAGGGCTACAGGAGGGGAAAAGGGAAGGAAGGACTTAATCGAGTAAAAAGATAACGAAAAAGGTGTCGGATCATTTGAAGGTTATGTCATCTCGTTCAGTTTGGCCCGAAGCGTGAAGGCTGCGCGAGGTTGTTATGGTGAAGGAGACGTCCTGGAAAAGGGCTTGCTATCGGTCGCGTATGTTTCATTCATGGAAAAATAGGGCGGCCTCGTGATTATAGATGTAACGTAGTCTACAAGGAGCTTAGAGGTCGTGTTTGTAGACCCCGGTATTAAATCTATTTAATATAATAATACTAAAATAAGAAATGTAAAAGTAGAAAAGGTAGACATGTTCACGATAATATCACTCTATAGATCTAAGTAATAAATGGTCAGTACTGCCGAGTATAAAAGAGCAAGTTAAGTATCTTATAACTAATTTTTAGTCGCCTGCTCTTACTAGGACTTTTCTCTCTTATGATTCAATTTAAAAACCGTCGGTATCTCGTCCCTAAACCTAGTGTTATAATACTCCTTAGTTATAGGCAAAAATTTATTAACTTAAGAGCAGATTGGCAAGTTAGGAAATCTTCCATCAATTATATCAAGGGTCTCCTTTTGCAAGGTGGGGTCAAGTTACTTAATTTCACTGGTAGGGCATAGAATGTAACAGTGAAACAACCATTACCAGGATGCTTAGATGGAAAATAACTCTCCACGGTCCGTCGGCTCGTTTAATCGAGATATAAGTGTATTTCTACCTATTAATAGTATGTATAGTCTGGCCATAAGTAACATCCAGCCTACTTCACAATATAAAACCAGGCTTTTCCGCCGAGTTGGTGTTTAAATATCAGAAACCTTTTTCCAAAACTTTCAAGTCTAAATTATCTCTATTTACCATCGACTACTTAGGCTCTCAACACTCTACCTACCTGAAGCACGAAAATGCATTCTCTATCTACCCTCATCACTGTGGCTGCTTGCCTTTTCAGTACTTCTACTGCCAACCCTCTTATGCCCCGGGCTGACACTTGGGGTGGCTCTGTGTCTCTCGGCCCTACCAAATCGACCATCGTCAAAGCTGTCACTACCATCATCCCTGGCGTCGCGCCCTCAACCCAAAAGGGCATGCTTACTGTCTGGCCCGGAATGTCTAACGGTACTGGCCACCTTGTCCAGACGACCCTTGAGTCCTGGCCTGACAATTCCTGGTGCGGTGCCAAGAAGGGCGAGTGGTGCGTCCGCGCCTCACTTTTCGGATCTTTTGGTCAGCTTGACGGGACTGCCAGCCCAGTCCGTGGCGATCAGAAAGTCAAGATTGCCTACACTCTCCTCTCGGACAATGATACATGGCGTCAGGAAGTCACCGATGCCGACACTGGGAAGCAACTCAGCACCTTCGAATACAAGTCTGGTCCCTATATGCGTGGATATGGTACTGGTACTGAATGCAACAATAACTGCAGTCCTACTGTAGCCGAGCAGAGGTATATCAATACTGAGATTACGCTTGCCGGTGCTGATACCAGCTTTGGGAAGACTATTGCTACTGCTCAGGGTGCTACCTACTCCGGTCTCACTAGCACCAACGGTGGTAAGGTTTGGAAGATTAGTGAAATCCGGGTTCCTAAGATGGCTTAACTATATGTATCATACTGAGTGGTTCTCGAAGGTATACAATTTTGTATTTATATTTGTGCTTATATTTTTTAGTTGGATGGCTTTACCTTTTGTGTCTATAGTGTGTATGGTCCTTATAGGCTTAAATGGTATAATCCACATCACTACCAGCAATGAAGTCGGTCGTTAGGAGACTGTTATCAGTAGAACAAATAACGGCAGATCCCATCGAGTAAATCGTGGTGGTAGGCTTCCGTATAGAGGGCTTGGTTACGTATGCTCCAGAGCGACAAAGCGCAACACCAGCTGTTCTTGCAGGCTGGCGTCTTAGGTACGCTTGATTGAGACTGCAGTTGTAGTGGATACCATGGCACTGTCCTCTTGAAGAAACAATACTAAAGCATTATTGGGCCAGGTCTCTTTACGTGCAGAGGGAAAACTTACATCATGGAACTCATTCCTGTAAATGCGCCCAAACAGGACGTTTTGTTGCCTTACTCTAGTTAGTGTCTTCACCCATAGTGGGATGAGACAATGCCGCTTTCTCCCAATAGGGGATCAGACTAATGCCCTTAGCTCAGTTGTTAATGTAAATGGTAGTTTCATATTTAAGACTAATCTAGACCCAATCGGATCATAACGACCACTATTAAATGCCAATAACTTCCGACACGTGTAGGTAAAACGCAGGATGCTTAAAAACATACTCACAGTAGATGTCTACTAGAAAGAGCAATGTTAGCATTGATTATTAGAAAAAAAGGAAAGCAGGGTGTCCTTACCAATCCGAATGCCTCGTATGTTACCTATGTTTTCCCCTGTAAATGTGGCCTCACTCGAGTCCGAGCTAAGGTCCTGCCAATACGCGGCAGCATTACCGGGCCCACCGTTGCGGTAGCATCAATGACTTAATTAGTAGATAAATAAAAGATTGTAGAACGAGTCATGCGGATAGACTGATTAAAGCACCTGACTGTTTTGCGATACCGAGACGAGTTAAGACACGTCATTTTACGAGGCTGAGAACCCCTGGATAAAGTTAATAAATAACAAACTCAGATCGGACATCCCATCACCGTAGTTCCTTTTTGAGCACCGACAGACAAAGTTTAACCTGATTGGCATAGAAAGGTTACAATAGCAACAAGTCCCGTTCCAAAACGTGCTAGACGGGTATTCCGGCTCATAGTTAGGAGTTCAATCAGGGGTCATCTCTGTCGCTATTGGTGGAAACTAACCCTGGTTATGGCCATGAATTGCCGACTCGCTGGCCGTGCACACTGACGCTAAGGCTCTGATCCGGCCGATACGATACGAACGTGCCCCAAGAAAGCAGACAAATGGTGTTTCAGCAGCCAAAGTACCATTTTGGCTTGTACCGATCTTGGCTGATGTATCCGTACGGATTAGTCAATTTACGCTTGTGCATCCCGGATAATACACAAGCGGCAGGCCATTTCCTCATATAAAAGGGCATAAGTTAGAGTAGGATTCTTAGCAACTTTACCATTTTGAGTTTACAGCCAAGAAGGTACGGAGTAGTCAATTAGACAATCTTTTACCCGTACGATTCGCACTAAAATCAGGTAATTTAGGCATAGCCTCTGGCTTTTACTCCATATCCGCTTGTTAAAGTGTACGTTATTGGCCAGCTCAGGCCCTAAACTAGTTCATAGTATAAACTCAAACCGCCTTCGGTCGTTCCGAATCATACGAAGTCGGCATATTCAGGAACTCTTTCTGAACTGGCAAATATTAGCGTCAACACCAGGCTCAGGGACAAACTGTCTAGTATCGGTGCTTCAACATTGCTTTAAACTTTACTGAATCGCGTTATGGTCCAAGCTACATACAGGTGTTTTGCCATATATAAGGGACGGGATGCCACAGATTAAATTCACAATCATCCTCAGATCAGTGCATCAATAGCAAGACCAAACTCATACTTCCTCCTCTCCTCATATCTTCACAATGACAAAGCTATCCGCTGTCCTCCTCTCCGCACTGGCAGGCTGTGCTGTTGCCGTCCCAGCAGCACCAGCCGTCACTCAAGCCCCCAAGCTCGAGGCCCTCGAGAAGCGAGCTGCTTGCACGTTCAGTGGCGCAGCCGGTGCTACTCAGGCAATTGCCAGCAAGAAGCAGTGCGCGACCATTGTCCTGAACAATGTTGTCGTTCCTTCTAGCACCCCTCTTGACCTTTCTGGTTTGAACGACAACACCCACGTATGATACGACATAGTTTAACATTATACACCATCACTAACAGTACCTCCAGGTCATCTTCCAGGGCACTACCACCTGGGGCTACTCCGAGTGGGCCGGTCCTCTTCTCCAGATCGGTGGGAAGGGCATTACAGTCGACGGAGCTGGTGCTACTCTCGATGCTCATGGAGAAAGATGGTGGGATGGTCTGGGTGCCGATCCCAAGGGAAAGAAGAAGCCCAAGTTCTTCTATGCCCATGATTTGATCTCGTCCAACATCAACAACCTGAACATTAAAAACACACCACTTATGGCCGTTAGCATTGTTGACGCGAATGACCTCAAAATTAACTCTATGACTATCGACAACAGTGCCGGTGATAAGCTTGGCCACAACACTGATGGATTCGATATCGGTAATAGTGTTGGTGTCACCATCACTAATGCCAAGGTCTACAACCAGGATGACTGCGTTGCCGTTAACTCGGGAACTGTAAGTATATCTGTTTACCCTAACTGGTTCAAAGCTTAACATTCAAACCAGGATATTACCTTTACCGGTGGTCTTTGCTCAGGTGGCCATGGTTTATCCATTGGCAGTGTTGGTGGCCGCGACAACAACAAGGTTATCAGGGCCAAGTTCCTCAACAGCAAGGTTGAGAAGTCCGTTCAAGGTAAATTATCTTTTCCAGTTACACAGTAATCAATCACTAACTTGTCATCAGGTATCCGAATTAAGACCTTTGTGGGCAAGACGGGTGAGGTCACTGACTGCACCTATGACGGTATTACGCTGTCGCAGATCTCAAAGTAAGTGACACGTGCTACAGGATTAATAGGTCTGTGCTAATCTCATAAACAGGTATGGTGTCCTCATTGAACAGAACTACGATGGCGGTGATCTTAAAGGAACACCTTCAAGCGGCGTCCCCATTACTGGCCTGACCATGAATAACATCATCGGCGGCGGCTCTGTTGCCTCCAATGGCTACAACATTGTTATTACCTGTGGCTCTACTGGCTGTTCTAAGTGGACTTGGAACAAGGTTGTTGTTAGTGGTGGCTTGAAGTACCCTAGCTGCTCAGCTGCTCCCAGCCCAGCCTCTTGTTGAGTATAACAGATGACGAGAAAGAATTCGCAGGTCATTATGTGGGTGAAGTAGAAGAGGTAGCATTTTAGAGGAAACAAACTATTGAATTCAAACTTGTACTGCTACCTTCACGATATGAGCCACCCCAGTAACCAATAATTGTCGGGAAGCAAATTCGGAGACTTGTTATAAACTGCTGATGGAATAATCTTTCCGCTCAACCTCATCCTGGAGATTGATTAGTGATGGCTCTTTAACAACAGAGCCCTATTTGTAACTTTTCAGGTACTGTAAAGGCCACTGCGCCTTCACACCCAAGCTTCTTGCAGCGTTCAGCACGAACTCCGTATCTCGCAGAAATCCTTTCCCCACCAGGACCAGGTCTGCCTGTGGCTCAAGGTGCTTATTGTTCGCACCGTTGCCATTGGCACCGTTAGATTCAATGTCAGACACTCGATCGCCACCAACAATTCTCTCTGCCATTTCAGCATTATCGATAAACCCAACGGCGGCAATTAGTAACTCAATGCCATCCGCATTGATAGCTTCTCGAATTTGGTGAGCAAGATCGACCTGATAATATGGATGGATGTCGATTTTCTGATCATGATGATTGCCACCGGAAGAGACATCGAGAATATCGACGCCCGCTTTGGGAAGAAGCTTTGCAAGCTTGATTGAATCTGCGATAGTCCAGCACTCTTGGCCACTCCACTCCATCCACTCAATGGCTGAGATGCGCAGAGATAAGGGCATGGTGTCGGGGATTGACTTCCGAACAGCATCAATAACACAGAAGAGAAATCGTGTTCTGTTCTCAAACGAGCCTCCGTATTCGTCACTTCGATGGTTTGTCAGAGGAGATAGGAAAGCATGGATGAGGTATCCATGAGCCCCATGAAGTTCAATGAGATCTGTTCGTGTCAGTTGAGATGGCGCAAACATCAAATGGAAGACTCACCAACTCCAGCCTCAACCGCCCGTTTGGCTGCAGAGGCAAACTGATTCACAGCAAGATCGATCTGTTGTTGGCCCATCTCCTTAGGCATAGGATAACCAGGTCCAGCGGAAATAGCGCTTGGGGCCCACACATCCTCAGGCCATCCGCCTTCTTCCTCAGTAGCAAGTGGGAACCACTCCATAGGGTTACCCTTTGCCAACCAAGGCGGAACCATAGAGCCCTTTCTCCCAGAGTGACACAGCTGAACTCCCACCTTCTGACCCTGTGAATGGATGAAGTCAACAACTCTCTTTAAGGGTGGAATCTGACTATCATTCCAGAGGCCAGAGTCCCCGGTTGAGACACGTCCATTAGGTGCGACGGCTGTGGCTTCGACAATAACAAGTGCGGCACCTTTCATGGCGAAAGAGCCATAATGAACGAGATGAAAGTCTGTCAGGTGGCCTTCTATTGCGCTGAATGTTCCCATAGGTGACACAACGATGCGATGTTGCAGGTAGAGGCCTCTGATTTGAAGAGGAGTGAAGAGGGTTGGTTTGGGCTCATCTTCCGATATAAGAGTGCCAGGCGATAGCTTGATGTAAGGATACAAGAGAGCTGGTTCCTTGGAGAGCATTTTGTAGACTTAGTTGGTGCAGACTCGGCTGCTTAGGTGATTGCAGTAGGTGATTGCAGTGTGGTATTAAATGGTGTCCTTCACAGGGGACAACCCGACTAATTTATAGATCATTAATTTCCTCATCTCTCTGCCTCAAACTACCAGACCCGCATTGATGAATAATTCTGTATCATCATCCGATCGTCGCTATCATGTTTGCTCACCCTCAACATTCGTTCACCAGAGCAAGGAGGACTATTCCGGAATAGCTCAATCGATTGAACGAGCGAGCGAATCAGCCGACACAGAGCCACCCCACACCAGCATGATGACTGAGTGCAAATTAGTAATTCATCACTCACTCGCTCTGTCACAAACGAACCCCAGACTTTTGAAAGAAGTCTACGTATCGACTATGGCGGAGATGAAAATGATTCGCAAGAAGAAATACAGTCATAAGGTTAAGACTGGTTGCCTTACCTGTAGGTAAGTGAGATGTTTGCCCGGAATTACCGGTCAGGACCTGACTAAGGATGACAGGGTCCGAAGGGTGAAATGTGACGAAGAAAAGCCAAGCTGCCATCGCTGCATATCCACTGGCCGTAAATGTGATGGCTATGCACTCACTGCTGCAACTTCTAGTGGTGTTTCGCTTTTGCCAGTTCTAACCGGTGGAAGCAATGCCGAAAGCCAGGCCATCTACCAGTTCCGAACCAGGATCGCTCCACTGCTTGCATCCCCCTTCGACGTCAAGTTCTGGACGCACGATGTGGTACAGAGCGCAGAATCATTCATACCGGTCCGGCATGCACTGGCAGGTCTAGCATCTGCATATCAAAAGTCAATCTTACTCGATACTTACTCTTCAACTTGTGACCGGTTCATCTTTCGGCAATACGACAAGGCAATAAGAACTCTCTACTCGTGTTTCCAAGACGGCAAGGTTCTTTCCACGTCTCAAAGGTCGGCTGCTCTAGTGGCAAATTTTCTCTTTATGTTTCTCTGCTCGCTGCAGGGTCTTCGGCAAGAGGCGATTATCCATCTACGGAATGGGCTGGCGCTTATTCAACAATGGGAGATGGACCTCGGGACCTCCGAGAATGATCCGTCGGCTGGTCTCATGATAGATATATCGAGGCTTTATATACGTCTTGATACTCAATCGCGTGTCATATGCCACGACGATGTCGCCCCACCATTTTCACAGGTCCGACTGATGCCATCACCACGAGAAGAACAGCATACCTTTTCGGTGTGCCAGGCGTTGAAACAGCTTGAAAGTATCCAAAATCGAATACTTCAGCTCTCACATGCCCAAAAAACACAACAACTGAAGATGTCTTATTACAAACAGTTGTGGTTGTGGGATTTGCGTTTCGGACACCTAGCTTCCACTACCGAGTACCACAGCCACATCACCGCTCTCAGGATGCGAAGAGAGGTAGTCAGAGTGACGCTGTTGATCAAGTTTGACAACGGCGGTACCGAATTGTGTATAGATACCCGCTGCAAAGCTATCCTTGATCTTGCACATCAGCTCATCGAAGTTCTCGGCCTCAAGCATGACCAAGTGGGTCACCATCTTGCAAGTGGCCTTGTGGAAGCTCTGTACTTCGTTGCTGTAACTAGCAAGGACTGGGACTTGAGACAACAGGCGATCGATACCCTGCGACGGTATCGGTTCATCGATGGCATTTGGGGGAGTGGCGCCGCTGCAGACTTGGCTTCGTGTCGCTTGCAGAGCGACATACGTCAGTACCGACTTCGACTTGGATGAGACTTTTTTCATTCTTCAGGTATCATATTAGCCAAATTAAAATGAAAAATGTGCCTGGAGCTTTACTGCACTCCCTGAGTAGGTGGCTATTGTCGGGAGCAGTCTTTAGGCATCTCGGCATGCTTAACACCGAGCTGTATGACGGATCTACAAATTGGGGAGTGGGGTACCAGAAATCCTGCATCAACATCATCACATTCCTGGCATATTGACGGTTAGAAACATGACATCAGCTATGGGCGGCACAGGATTGGTTCGAGTATGGTGTGTATCCTGGTCCTCGGGGGGGATATATGTACGAGCCAGCCCTTGGAAAGCTTTCAGTGGTCCACGACATGAGCATTCATCATCGACCCTCGCCGTTTACTCTTCAATATGAGACACTTGCTTATCTTGACCGCGTGGATCACATTATTCCTTACCTTTGCCCAATGCTGCAGAACAGACGAAGACTGTAGCCTGAATGGCATCTGCATAAAACGCCACCAAACCTGTCGATGCGATGCCGGATGGATTGGTAACGATTGTGGCCGTCTCGACCTTGCCCCTGTCACCCGATACACAGGCTATAATCACACATACGAGGCGCCGGGGCCGAATGACTTCGGCATCTGGCCCAATGCATCTTGGGGAGGCCGCATCGTCCAGGACCCCAACGATAAGCGAGTGTTCCATCTCTTCACCGTTCAATTCTCCCATGGATGTGGTTTGAAGGGCTGGCGTCCTCACTCCTATATCATCCGAGCTGAATCACATACTGGACCTCAAGGGCCGTACCACTATGCCGATGCTGTGTCCAAGAACTTTGCCCACAATCCTGATATCGTGTACAGTCCTGCCGATAAGAAATATCTTTTGTATAGTATCGGTGTTGAGTATGATAAGCTATTCACTAAATGCGAGAGCATTAGCTACACGCGATGGCCCAACAACATTTCTGTTTCGACCGCCGATGATATTCGTGGCCCTTGGTCGCCTTTCAAAATGGTCGTCGATAGTGATCGCCCTGCTGGTATACACGCAACGAACCCATCGGCATTTCCTCTCTGGACTCGCAGAAATTCCACTCGCGAGATCGTGCTTGGGATAAAAGACTACTCAATCTTCACTGCTAAGTCCTGGAAGAGCAAGTATGAGCTCAAGTACCAGGCAACCTGGAACGTCACAGAGCAACAAAACCCCGAATGGACGGAAGACCCATTCATTTGGCGCGACAAACGCGGCCATTGGCATTCAATCAACCACTGGATGATAGACTACGTTGAGAATGACAAACAGCAATGGCCTCGCGTTGGCTCACACCTCTTCTCAAGGAAGCTCACTGGGCCATGGCACTTTAAGCTTCAGGAGGCGTTCAGCTCCAATGTTACCTTCACAGATGGATCGTGGCAGGTTTTCAAGCGAAGAGAGAGGCCCAAGTTGTTCTTCAGTGATGATGGGCAAATGACACCGCTTTATATGACTAATGGGGTCCAAGAGATGAACCAGACTGGTGCTTCGTTTACACTTGTGCAGCCAATTGGTACAAAATGGAAGGAGTTTGAGAAGAGCCTAGGTTTCGAAGCTCCCTAGAGAGGAGAGGTGTGACTCAGCTAAGTACCGTTCGTGTCACCTTTTTACAAACCAAGCCATATCCTTTGAGATTGAAACGTGGCAACGACAAGACTTAGCAGGCTCAACAGGAGATGAGCATTCTTTTATCTCATTACTTTAAATTACTCAGTCATTCATTACCGTCTTGTTTCCGCATCGCGATACTGTGTGCTTCCCTTGCATAGCCTGACAACAGTTTCTCTCAACGCAAATGATATCTACAGGATCGAGACCCGTTCTCTACAGTCATCCGATCCACAAGCAATACTGGAAAGATCCTCCGAAACTCATGGCAACCCGGAGGATAGCGGTGACCTTACTTCTCACTGTCAAGCAGCGAAGCCCAGTTCTCTTCCTCGGCACCTTGGAACGATTCGATACACGCCTCTCCATCGTCTGCAATCTCTTCCCGGTCTCATCCACGAGGTCACGCAACTTCTTTCGATAATCTCTCATTTCGTTACAGCTGTGATGCATGAATCTAGCTTTTTCTATATGATCCAGAGTGTGTAATCGTTGCTTCGCATCGCTATACCTTTGGGTGATTTCTGCATTTGTGCGTAGCTGGTCGCTGGAAGACTGGTCTACGTTACCCGGATATGCTTCGAGCAAGGAGTCTCTGAGTTGAATGAAAGTGTCGAAAACCGTTCTGTCTCCCCTGACGTGCGAGTTGAGAAGGCTGTCTTCAGGAACCCGGCCGCTTATCTCGTTTTGTATGTATGTTTCGCTGTGCTGTCGAATTTCTCGAATCTGGTCTTCTCTTCCTTTTAAGTTGCCCAGTGCAAAGTCGGCAGCTGCCTTTTCGGCTTCCGCTTCTTCAAGGTGCTTGGCAGCCTGGGCGCGAAGGCTTTGGAGTTCTCCTGGTGCAAGGGACGCCACGAGGCTTTGATATCGGTTGTATTATGATTTAGCGGCCTCATACATCTGCTCTTTGCGACTCGCTGCCTCCCTACATGAGTCTGTAAGTTCTTGAGATGTCTGTTTGACCATACTTCCTTTACGTATGTCAGAGATAGTCGAGTGGCGTCTAATCGGTTTCAAAACTTGTTTGTTGATCGCACCAGCCCCCGGCACAAGTGACACTTCGTCGATACCGTGAGTGCAGACACTCTTACCATGGTTCGCCACACCAGAAGATTGTTGGTGGTAGCCGGGAGCAGGTGCAGATGGGAGAAACCTGATACAATCAGCGACCATCTTGTTTATCTTGCGTGAAACACCAGATACCAGCCGATTGTAATCAGAGACAATCGCCTTCTGCCCTATTCCAGCCAAATGAGAAGTAGCCGCATATCTCAGATCTCCATCGTTTGCCCAAAGTATATCCAGGCTGATGCCGTTTACTTGCGCCAGCCTCGTAATCTTCTTCATGTGGATGAGAAACTCAGCAGAAGGCTCAAACGGCACCCCAGGCTGTGAGCATGCAAGTCGGACGTCCTGTGGGAGCCAGTCTGGTCCGCCCCACTGTTTATCTAGCCAGGCGATATCGATTGCCTGGAGCTCCTCGGGCTTCCTTCGATGCTGGTCTCTTCGTAGTGCTTGTCGGTAAAACTCAGTGTTTTGTGGTGTTTCCAACGTTGTGCCGCACAAGAACGTAGGGATACAGTTGGGCTCGGCTTTGCTGAGTTCGCGGTCGAAAGAATCTATGGCTTGGGCTGGCGTTTGAGCTTTCGAGGGGAGGGAAGACAGTTTCCCTATACCCTGTTGAAGAAGGTTAGTGATAGTGCAGCAAAAAGATGATATACCTCTACCGGACTGCGAGCCGATGTCACTTCCTCATAGTTTTTCGCCGGGGTTTTAGCAGGCGTTGGGTGGGCAGGACATGCTCAGATATGGTTCTTGTTCGCAGCGCGAAGAGAAGTGGGGCGAAGCAAGCGATGCAGAGCATGCGTTGTAAGGCCATTGCAGGTGGTGAGCAGTTTCACCCTTATTAGTCTTGGAAACACAAATTACTATACTTAAGAGGGTGGCAGGTGTGGTGAATGTAGTCCATAAATTCAATTTCACATGTGGAGTTTTACACCGCCTATATGAGCTTTGAAATTCAACTGGCGAACATCCTGATGGGTTGTCCACGAGACTTGCACATATCAAAACACATTTTCTACAATCAATCAGCGATGCCCTGGTGACCACCAATTTTTAACGGCTTCAAGGACCTGAATTCAGTACAGGGGCAAAAAGATACGCATCGAATTGGCAAAAACATACAACAGCGGGGATTCGCTGGTCGTCACCGACCCAACTACTAATCCGCCGGTTAGTGGCTTGACTATGGGAGAGCGGACGGGATCCCGTATTTTCCACTACCTTTGGTCGTATGTACTAGTTTTGCAGCTACTCTGGCATATATTGAACAAGAATTGCACTGGTTGTCATCGTCTTGTAGGTACCATAGTTGTTACGGGCCCGAATGCCTACCCGGCAGCTTATCGACTCAATAGTTACCCCGACGGATGTAGTAAGCCGTCTGTGGAAAGAATGCGTACACCGTCTAAAAATATGATTTTAGATGGGTTGATTATGTTCCGGATCGCAATGGCATAACCCCGATTTTAGGGTTTCAGCAATCACTATACAGTTTCGCCTAATAATTCGGGATATTCGCCGTCACAAGCCTCCGCCCCAATTTGATCTCAGGTCCCCATATCAATCGCAATAAGAACAGCGGATCATCCTCCCTATCAATTAGCTTCCCATGAGCAAAAGAACTATTGGAGAAGTTAAAAAAGCCAAATAAAAAAGCAGTGGTGGTTATTACTGGTAAAAGTCACACAGCAAATCTTGCTGTTTCGCAAGGTCTCACAGCGAAAAGCAACAAGCGAATCGGAATAGCAATAAACTAGTTTGTGAAAGTCAACTACTACAGAAGAGCCGGGATCGCTCCCCCTAATTCAAAAAGAGAAACAGCATGGAAAAATAAGAACGTAAAACGCCAGGGGCTGACAAGTGAATTATGAGCAGATGAACTAAAAAGGCATATCGTCATTATTCAACAATCCCATCATCTGCTGGCTCATGTGAAACCAAGCTGGCAGCTGTGACGCCGGATCCGCCTCGATTGTTCCCCTACAATTATCAGCAGAGACATCCGCCGAGACCTTTTGGGAATTGTCGTTGATCATTGCGTCCGCGCCGTTGGCCATGTCGTTCGTATCCACGGAAGCTTGAAAACCCAGGGCGTTGAGGTAGTTGGAAAATTCCGTGCTAACCTCTTCGTAGCCATTCTGTTGTACTTTCGACGTAGATTTCAACTCATTGTAGCGCAAAGCTACTTCGTAAAATAATTGGAAGAGGCGGTGGTGCTTCAGGACGATGCTGGAGACGGGGTGGGCGGGTTTGATTGAGTTGACAAAGTTTTGCATCCTGTCCAAATCTTCCCAATTTCCAGTCTCAAGGACATGGCAGAACAGAACAATGAACGGGGCGAATGGTGTGAAAAGGATGATCCTGGTGAAATTAATACAATGTTAGGTTGAAAGAGGGGAACTGAATAGTTATGTAGATCTGCAACTCACCAACTCATGTATGATGATAAAAGGCTGGCCTGTGTCCCCAAAAGAAATATTGAAGATGATTGATGGCACATGAGAGCGTTCCTGGCAGAATCAATGCATTCTTTCGTAAACGATACGTGCGACCCTACCGGGGCGGGCAAAGTCCGGTGTATCAGCGTCTGCATCGAATACCTTAGGATTTCGTCCGATGCAGACATGTATTCGATTAATGCGCGTTGTTTCTCGTCTACGGAAGATTGGTGCCATTCTCTCTAAGAGTGAGGTCAGCCTTTGTCTGGGCATCTAAATGGGATAGGTTGAAGGAGCTGCTACTGGCAACTTACAATGGCATTTTGCGACTGCTCGTGAATTGCATCAAGTTCCTGAGATAAGGTCATTACTCGAAAGGCACCATCTTCGTTCAGTGAAACGAGTGCTTGTGCACTGTACAGCTTATCATAAACCTTTCCAGCTAAGGTCGCGAGCTTGACCATGTTCCTGCAGTAGTCCATAGGAGGGCTACCGCCTGGGAATGGAACAGTGATCTCAAAGTCGGGGATTGTAGAGCAGCGCCCCAAACGAAGACATAAAGTCTTTTCTAGATAATAGATAGCCCAGAAGAGGAGGCCGGAGTTACTTGAAGTATCGCACCACGCAGAAGACCCTGGCCTTCTGGTGTGGTAACCAAGAAAGTACGCATTCTGATACGCCGCGAGGACAAGGATCCAAGCCATGGATGGTTTTGGCAGTTCAATGGCATAGATGGCCTACATGGAGTGAGCTTGCATCCTAAACAGGTGGCCTTACGGATGCACATACACCGGAAAGTAGAGCCAGGGTCATATCGTGGCTAGGAATGATATGCAAGGATAGCCTCGAAAGAGCAGTCTCCAAGTTCTGCTGACAAGAGAGCTTGTATTCCTCCATGTGATTATCTGATCCTTCAGCTTCCTCAAGAGCATCGTCGCGGAAGAAGCCTGCGCAAAGTAAGTCCTGGCGACAAGAAATGTGGCATGTAAGTCATCACTCACAATAGAGGGCGATATTCAAAATGATGTACTCTGCGACAGAAAAGTCCTCCGAAAAGTATACTTTTAGGCATAAATCCGATAAAGACTTTGAACCCAGGAGTACACTGAAGAACAGCCATGTCATTAGACGTCGATCTGGGACAGATGATTAGCATAGTTGTTGTAGAGTATCAGTGTGATATCGATGTCAGTCAAGTAAGCAAAGGGGCGATGAATATCGCATGTGGCTGAACGTACCTTCAGCACTACGGATCGCGGCTGCAGCAACCTTGATTGGCGGCATAGTGGCGGGCTCAGGTTGCAGAGGTGCAGAAGGCCTTGCAAAAGAAAAGAGTCCTTCTGCATGTGGAGGCTGCGCCTTGGTTACATGAACAATCTGGCGAAGCGAATCCAACAGCTCTTGTGTTTCAAAGCCATGTCCCTTGCGTCGATCTTCACCAGCCACTCTATCCAGAAAGTCGATTGCCAGCGTCGAGTGGGCAGATAGCGAGGATCCGCCTTCCAAGACCAATCCTTCGCCGTCTTTCTGTCCTGTGGGAAAGCTTGTCTCAGTCGCGGGAGATGTCGTGGCATGCTGACTTGCTATGCGAACGGGTAGGCTGTTCTGGGTTGCCGAATTGGTCGGCAATTGGCTATCGATCGACGGCGATGAGTAAACGGAGTGGTTCGAAGCATTTGGGCTCGCCGACGCGAGTTCATCGATGATTTGAGGAGATCGATTGTTTCCATCCGTAGCGAGTTGACTGATACAACGATCCATCTGCTCTAACCTCCTATCAATGAGGTCGATCTTCTCTCCGCTATAGCAACCGGTCTCAGATTCTAGAAGGGGAAGGCAGTGGAATTCTTAACGTACTACTCTGCGCCTATAATCCTTTGCACTCCATTCCGTTTCGGCCTAGAGACACGTGGTGAACGGGTGCACTGCCGCTTCAGCTTTTGGCAGTTGGAGCAGGGCACGTTCCTGTCGCAGCGTATCTTCAATGTTCAGTTAGCCTCGTCAGCTTGATGCGTCCAGACGCAGACAGGGGTTCTGCAGCTCAACCTTTTTTAGTCGGCAAAATTCACACTGCAGTAGTAATGATTAGCGGAGTGCACTGCCCGGAAATATGTCTCTTCGACGATTGGGGCGGATTCTTACAGCCTTCCTGCTCTGTGAAGGAGGAATACGGCCGGGGCCAGGCGACCCGGGACTCTCGATAGCACTCATTTCCATAAATAATAGCGTCAAAAGATCAGATGGCAGGGTGCTCTATTTTCCGAGATGGAGAGATAAGGGGAGGAAGATGGAGATCTGTGGTGAGCGCGGAATGGAAATGTGGTCTCAGCCGAAGGTGCGGCACTCCAAGATTATACGGAATCTAAATTCGCTTGCCGAAAGTCCTGAGAGTCCCGAAAGTCCGGACCCCTGAATCATGCACCCGTATGACGGTATCTGCCGGAGGCCGCGGGTCCCGCCCGCCGCCACAATACCCTCTCCAACTACTGACTGACTAATTCTTTTCGTCTAAGCCAAGATTGTGGGAGCACAGCAATGAAAAGCTAAACGAGACATCGATAGCTACAGCCATAGCCAGACTCTCACTTTTTAGTTCGGAATCTAAAACTACAACAGGCCAAGATGCGGCCGAGGCTTCTTCAAAAGAGTTCATTCTACTTAGATCGTATACGGTCTACTGTTACAAACTGGTCTCGATTGTCGTTTGAAATAGCTTCTCCAGTATTTATTGGGTAGTTTATTAAACGCAATTGCCTTTAGCAGGTCTCTCTAAACGATAATCTATTATTCATAAATAAAATACAACAACACAAGAACGGAATACAAAGGAAAACAAAATCTTTAACTGGCGCAGTTAATGCCCGAGGTTCTGTGCCTCACACATCTTCTTGTACATGTCGCTCCTAGACAGCAGCTCATCGTGTGTTCCAGTCACTAGGATCTTGCCATTGTGAAAGACGCAAATCATGTCGGCGTGGCGGACAGTCGACAATCGATGGGCGACAGCAATCGTAATTCTGTCGCCCGTCTTTGCAGCTTCATTGAGAGCATCCTGGACTACTCGCTCCGACTGCGTGTCTAGAGCGCTAGTAGCTTCGTCGAGGAGAAGTAGGCGCGGGTTTCGGATAAGTGCCCTGGCAATCGCGATGCGCTGGCGTTGGCCGCCCGAAAGCTGAAGACCGTTGGCTCCGCAGGGAGTGGCAAGGCCTTCCGGTAGCGAGCAGATGAAATCCCACGCGTTGGCGGATCGACAGGCCTGGATAATGTCGTCGTCAGATACAGATGAAGTGTCTTCGTTGGGGACACCCATGGCGATGTTCTCGCGAATAGTACCAGGATAGAGTTTGGGCTCTTGTTGGACGAGGGCTACTTCCCTACGGAATGCCCAAGGGTTCATCCCATCCAGGTTCTTGCCATCCAGAACAAGGTGGCCGCGGACCGGGTCGTAGAAACGCTCCAGCATGGCGATCATGGTACTTTTTCCACAGCCCGAGGCACCGACAAAAGCAACAAACTGGCCTTTCTTAATCTTGAGATTGATGCCACGCAAAACCTGGGCGTCAGGCCTCAAGGGGTAAGAGAATTGTACCTTGTCGACATCGAGGGACTGGAATCCTTCAGGTCCATTGGCGCGATTCTCGTCCGTCTCCCCGATTGAAGGGTTCAGCTGTTCGAGCCAGAAGAGGTAGTTGGCAGCGTTGGTTGCTTTCGTCATGCTGCTGGCAAATCCGAAGAGAATGGACGCCTGCTGACCGGAGAAAAACACTCCGAGGAATGCGACAAAGAAGTTGACCATGGTGAGGTCCCCGGTGGAGACAAGGCGGCATCCATACCAGAAGCCCAACGCCTGGAATGCGTACTCTACGCTCTGAGTGAATGCAAAGGGCAGCATGATTAGGCAAATTGGCTTCACTGAGTCGGTGATGGCGTGCTGCAGTTCCTTGCCATAGCTGTCAAGAACTGAGTTCTCAATGGCTAGGGAAGAAACTGTCCGAATAGCGCTTATAGCTTCTGATGCGATGGATGCACTCTGTGAGAATCGCTTGGAGATTTTGATGTCCATCTGGGCCTCCATTTTAAGACGAGCGTAGCCCGAGAGCAACATGGGCGGAAGGCCGGCGAAGATAATAACGACACCCAATCTCCATCCGTAAGCCAAGGCTACAATTGCACATGACAACAAACTGAGGACTGAAACCAGGATGAGGGCAACGTTGAAACCCATGAGTTCGAAAATAGCTTGAGGGTAAGAATCTACACGGCTAGACAAGGCACCTGTCGTGTTCTCAGGGCGGTCAAAGAAACGAAGGTCTTGTCGAAGCATATCGTTGATGATTGCCTTTCGGTACTTGTGATTCAATGTCTGGCAGGAAATTAGAAATGTTCCTCAATCCAACGTATTCGAGGCTATTTCTTACCTGAGCAACGACATTTGATGTCCATCCAAGAACAAAATAAACAACGAGACAGCCACAAGCCATTGCAAGGAACATTAGAGCAAAAAAGCTTCCCTTCTTCTGCATCGCATTACCAGTAAGCTTGAAAACGTCAATAAACCGAGACATCAAAATAGCTTGACCAGGGTAAGCAGCGGCTTTCAATAGGTTAGCGTAAACTCAGGTCTTCAAGTGTGTGATTTGTCTTACCTGCAGCCATACACGACAACACCAGCAGCAGATATGTGTACTTGAGTTCGGGGGTCGATCTTAAGATCTTCCACACGGTGCGGATAAGTCCAACACGCTTGAACTTATCATAGTCGTCGCGGTCCAGGTCAGACTCTAGACGCCCTTTGGTCGTTGTTGAGTACCGTGTCAGCGACCTAGTGAGCGCAGCTGGTTCGTCGTTGGTCTCGACCTCGTCGCCTTCGGTCGAGGAGTCAGTATCGAAATCTGGCTTTGCAGCTGCTGACAGATCTTGAGCTTTAACCAAGCGAGAATAGGCACCACCGGCCTCAACAAGAGAGTAGTGTGTACCCTGCTCAACAATACGGCCCTTGTCCATCACCACAATATTATCAGCGTTGCGGATCGTAGCCAGCTTGTGCGCAATAGTGACGGTAGTGCGACCCTTGGAAACATTGTCGAGAGCCTTCTGAACAATCTCCTCAGCCTGGGGATCTAAAGCGCTAGTGGCCTCATCGAGAAGTAGAATACGCGGTTGCGAAACAACACTTCGAGCAATAGCCACTCGCTGCTTCTGACCTCCAGAGATCAAACCGCCTCTTTCACCGATAATCGTGTCGTAGCCGGCCGGAAGGGAATTAATGAAGTCATGAGCGTAAGCAATCTTGGCAGCTTCTTGAATCCTTGCCAGCTTCTCCTCCCGTGAGTCATTCTCCCATGCTGTGCCGATGAGACCATTTGCAATATTGTCGTAGACCGTACCCGAAAACAAGACTGGTTCTTGTTGAACAAGGCGAACGTGCTTCCTCAGCCATTGGACATTTATTTTATCGATTGGTCGACCGTCTAGCTTCACAGAGCCCGAGTCTGGATTATACCATCGTTCAATGAGGCCGATAATTGTGCTCTTGCCGGACCCACTGGCTCCAACAAGAGCTGTAACCTGGCCAGCGGGAATATGGAGGGAGAAGTTTTCCAGTACTGTAACTCCGGGGCGCATGGGGTAGCTGAAGCTAAGGTTGTCGCAGTCAATGTTGCCCTCGATCTCGGTAGGTTGCTCTCCAGCGTCAGAAAATGGGTCGATGGCCGAGGTGCGATCAATCAATCGGAAGATCTCGACAGCAGCGGAAGCAGCTCGACTAAAGTCAATCAAGTAGGGGGCGATGGACGTCAAACTTGAAGACGCGACGATGACCGACATGAGAACGATAAACACATCGCCAGGCTTGTCTACCTCGCCGGTGGCAATCATCTTGATAGATTGCCAGAAACACAAGCCAATACCGGCAAAGATGATGAAGTACTCAACAGAAAACATGCAACCGAGGAGCGCGTTCTTCTTGTTGCCAAGCCTGTGGGCCTCATCCAAATACTTGTCGAATTCTCGGACAAGTCGTGATCGAAGAGCAAAAGCCTGGACATTTCGAGCGCTCGAGAGAATACTCTCTGCGAAGGAACCGCCCTGTGCGTGAACCTTGAGGACTTTGGTTTCGATGGAGGCTTCCAAGGCAGAGCTGACGCCCATGGCAATAAGGGTTGCTGGAGCAATACAACAGCAAATCAGAGTCAGCTTCCATTGAGTGACAAAGGCTAAGATGAAGGCGGCAACAAAGCAAGACAATCCTTGGACCATGAGGCCTAGCTTTTCTGAAATGCCAGCCTGGATGAGTTTGCCGTTCGAAGTTGCCTGCATGGCAATCGATCCACCGATTCCAGAGTCGAAGTAAGCAATTTCCTGGCTAAGTCCGGCTTTGACATAGACGCAGCGGATGTTTCGAGTGATACGATAGGCGGCGAGTGTAAAGAGAACGCTATAGCCGTAGCTGGCGACAAATCGAGCGATTCCGATGATGAAGAAGTACAACCTGTCTTAATATCAGCTTACTATTGAAGCCTTGTCGATGTTACTTGTGGCACAACGTACGCAAGTCTGGCTGCGTCACTACGGAATCCAGCAGGGGAGGATGTGCCCGTGGCATAGTCGGTGATGACAGTGATGAACTGGCCAAACACCAAGTTCACCATGGCCATGGCAACTCCAGAGCCCACAGCGCAGAATGTAGCCACAGCCTGCATAGAGTATTCAGTTGGAGTGGCGTATCGGAAGATTCTCTGGAGAATGAAAATACCTTAGCAGTCAGGTCTCGGTTACCAAAGCAGAGGTGTTGGTTGAGCCCTCCTGCTCCACCTACAGCATATCCTTCGCCAGCGCCCATGTCTTTGTCACCATCTTGGTCGGGTCCTGGGACCTGTTGCTTCTCCGAAGTACCCATGGTGCCTATAGATCAGGCTTTGGATCAAAGCAGAGGCTGAAATCGTAAGTCTTGGAGAATTAGAGGAAAGGAAACGCTGATGAAGACTGGTTAGCTTCAACTTATAAGGAGCGACGAGGGTGTGATGTGTGTAAGATAAAGGAGATGAGAAGGAAGAAACAAAACCACCAGGGGAGCGAAACATCATCCCTTTCTTGTAGAAGTGTTACCGAATCCTTGATGAATAACATGTCAGTACAATTTGTTGTTCATCTTCGTCCCTGGAGGCTTTTGCTCTGTTATGGAAGTTCGCGTTTGCCGATCTCCGATCTTCCGTCGAGGGACGCAACCACTAAAAGCGACGACCCACAGCCTTATTTCCCGGAGCGAAAAGAGACCTGAAAAGTTCCGTACTGCCTTATACGTTGTGAAGCAAAATGATTTTCCATCTCCTGCTAGCTCGGAGTCCTCGCCTACCATAGTTTAATTCTTAAAAAAGAGCCTAAAGCTTCAGCTTCACACAAAATTGATCGCTAGCCAATCATACTTCCCGTAGCATGATGTCGTAGATTTTATGTGAAGTCTGGTAGCACCATTGAAAAACAGATCCAGCTGTCTCAATAAAATCCACAGAAATATCAACAACAGAGGTCTCTATACAAGCCGAAGAGCAACAGTATCTCAAATTCAATAAGGTTACCCACCATATCAGCCACAGCAACTCTATTTCTCAAAGGCATAAAAACCCCTGCTATAGCCATATCGTAGACTGACTTCGTCAAAGACCAACAGGGATGTCATTCTCCGAAACATGCGCATGAATAACACACAAGGCTACCGGAGTTACGGCCTCCGCATTTTCCGGCTCTCACTATCTCACCCCTCATGAGGTGCTCTAGAAACTAGTACAGTAGCAGAGTAAATTAAACTGATCATGTGATTGGCCAGGGCGTAATCATGAAGGGAGAGAAAGATGGGGAGGCTCAGGGCTTCGACATTCCAGGCATTCTTTTACGCTAATAGCGATTGTGTGAAAAACAAATCCGGGGGAGTCCGCGGAACCCGACATTCGCCTCTCAAAAATAGCCTTCCCTCCCTTTTCCAAGCTTTTTCCAAGCCTTTTCCAAGAACTTGACCCTCAGTGGCTGCTGCAACGACTAATCGAACTCCTCGTCGTAATGCGGGCATGGCTCAGCAGTTGTTTTGCGTTTAATCACCCAGTAATTACACATATCTATACACTACCTCGGCTTTCCATGGAAGCGGATGTTTGGCTGGAAAGGCGAGCGAAGGCCCCCGGAAGAGGAAGAGCAACAAAAGGTCTGGTGTCTCACAAATGGCGAACTAACAGGCACTTGCAATTTTGATCTCGCCCCTTGCCACATCCAGACATCCGGGGAATCCGAGGATGCAGACTCCATAATCTATGTATTAAGTAGTAGATTTAACATGGCGGTGCATACGTGCGTGAAGATCAATACCACTCCCTAGAATCTTTTACTGGCGACTTGCTGTGGACGTCTCGGTCATTCAATTCGCCACTTTCCCCTGTCAGAGTATGGAGGGTGGAAGTGCCAAACCATTAACCTCAGCCTCAGGAAAAGGAATTAGTGATCATCTCCTGTCGGGCAGCCTTTTTGTTCAGATCTATCGATTTCAATTGCAGAATTCCACTTCATCACGCTAAATTTTGACCCATGAACGTATTTGATCCTGAAAGCTTGCAGTTATCTGTCACAATCGTACTCTTCTGTTAACCTAAAAACGGAAAGTCTACTAAAGCCTGGCCCTCAAGTACATTCATCATCTGTTGATTCCCTTCGAACCATTCTCCCAGCTCCGTCGTATGGCCTATCCACGCAGTGGGAAGCATTCCTACTCCACCGTCTATTCCTGGCATGTTGTTAAAACCACCATCCAGGGCCTGTCTGACATTGATGTCCTGGTTTATGACTGACGCAAAGTCGCTGTTTTGGTGCTGGCAATTCTTCTGGTTCATCGGGGGGAACCCCAATGCAGTGAGATAGGTATTCAAAATGGCCTGTTCATCTGCTGGGGCCTGTTCTCGGCTCATTGCTGAGGACTGGTAAACGGTGTATCGCTGCGCGATCTTAGAAAGGACCCCAAAGAGTTTGTGCATCTTGGACGCGGCATCTGAGACTGTCGGAGCAACAGCCTCTATTGATGCTATGAATCCGTCAAGACGGTTCAGATCTTCTTCTGCATCTTGGGGCGATTCTATAATATGGCAAAACAACACGATGAAGGGAGTGAAAGGTGCAAACAAGAGGGTCCTGGTCAAGTTTCGTGTGAGCTGAGTACAACTTGATATACAGCGTGGCGATATGTAAGGAGTTAGCTCTACTCACCAATGAATATATGTTGTGAAATAGGTGGAGGTGATATCCTTGAAGGTCGTTACGAAATCCTGGTGTCGTTGGAGCGTAGCTCTCGCCGCCTCAAGGCAGTCTGGGATAAAGGCGTACGGGGATCCTGGAGAGGTTGGGGTTGCGCGATACACTAGGGTGAGAAGTGATAGACGTAATACATCATCTGAAAGAGTCATGTACTCAATCAGGCGATGAGAAAGTTTGTCTCCAACTTTCTGGAAATAGTTATTCTACAACATTTTAGCATTTGTACCTAGAGGGCCAAACTCCCAACTCCGCTGGCCACAATCGATATCAGGCTCACCTTTATGTCGCAGGCTTCCCGCGCTAGTTTGTACAAGTCACTTGAGATCGCCTGGACTCGAGATTTCCGTACATGATCGGGTTGCGTGATAGAGTCTGGGCTATACAGACTCTCGTAGATCTTGCCCTGACATCGCGCCGTGTTGATCCACATAGTTATGCTAACATCAATCAGGGAGCAAGTGCCAGGTTCTAAAATCATCGGGGTGGTGATGTCCCAGTCTTGAATCGTCGAGGCCCGCCCCAAGCGCAGCGACAGGCTCTTGTCGATGAAATACGTGAACCAGAAGAGGAGTTGCCCATGCTTCTTCTCTTCAGCGACAACACCTTCCTTTGTAGAAGGAATCCGATGGTAGCCGAGAGTCTGGCATAACTCAAATGCTTTTGACGATAAGGTCCAGCAAAGTGACGGCTTTGAGATTTCGATGGTATAGAAAGCCTATGCGTTCGTTGTGAGATGAAGTGGATTATGTCGGAGTGATAAGGAAAATTACTCACGCCTAGTAGGAGGGCTGAAATCATGAGTGGAGTTGCAGGCAGATGCAGAGGCAAGTTAAACAGTGCTGTCTCAAGGTTAGTGCGGCATATATGGGCGTAGTTGAGGCTTTCAGTCTTGTCTGATATCTCTTCAGACTGCTCAACAAATAGCCGTAAAAGGCCGGAGTTGGCAATGATAAAGTCGGCCTCGGAGATCTCTTCAGAAAAATAGACCCGAAGGCAAATACTGGAAAGATTTCCCACAGGGAAAAGTTCATGAAGCCATCCCAATGATTCGAGCGAGTTCGCTAAGATTATAATTCCAAGTCAGCCAAGGTTGAAAGCCTGAGGTAGGAGTGATATGTAAGACATTGACTTCATTACTTACCTTTAGCACCATGCAGTAGCGCTACTGCTTTCTCGATCGGTGGCATTTGGCATCCACGAAAAGAAGGACGCAGTGATGGCTCTGCGAGAGCATAAGACATCTCGGTTTTTGAGGTCTGCTGCTTGAACGCGCCAAGAATGGAGTGCATCGAGTCTACTGTCTCGCTTACATCGAGATCCAGACCCTGCAAACGCCCGTTGTGAACCGCTCGTTGAGGAAAGCTGCTGGAAAAAGCAGAATGGGAGACAGAAGACGACCTTGTATCAAAGAGTGGAGTCTTTACAGTCGTCGGTTTGGATGTTCCGTCGATTGGAGTTGTCGACGATGCCATGGTTGCCGGGTTTGCAGGATCAACCGTAAGGGGGGCAGGGGGCACTGACGTATTTGAGCAAGCTGCAGGAGAGGGCGAGAGAGTCTGGAGGTCATGTAGTAGTTGGGTTATGGTTCCGAGGCGGCGATCTATGAGGTCAATCTTCTGCTCGCTGGGAGACGCGTAGTTCAATATTAGCGAAGTCAATGAGACTACGGTTTCTTTAATGCCATGCTGAACGAGGCGACGCAAGCTAAGAGAGTTTGGAGGGACGAACTATTTGCTGGACGCTGAGGCCCGGTCTCGTTTCTCTCTTCTGCTTTTCACACCCTTGATACAGGGTATCTTTGCTTGTAAGCAGTGAGAGCAGGGACAATTTCTATCGCAGCGGATCTGCACTTCATATTAGATATTGCCCAAACGCTATATAGCGGCTTGATGGAGTCCATGGCCGACACCGCGATACCTGGGGAGCATTTTGGGCAATGGTACATCTTGATTCAGCTTACCTTGCGAGAACGACAGGCGTCACACTGGGGAGTTGTCAATGGAGTTGGCCAAATTTGAGATGAAATATAACCTACCGCCCTGCGATAAGGAAGAACAGTGAAAGATGCATCTTGCGTAGGCTCTGCGGACAGCTTTCGCTGGACCACATCATCTGACTGAGGATTATCGGCCATGCTGCTAATCCGTGGAGTCGGGGTGCGGTGAAAGTAAGCCGTACTCCGTATGTTGGGGCTGAGTGCGGAAGGCCGGTTACGACGAAAGTTGCGAGGCTACATGACATCAAATACCCCTTGATCCATTAAGAGACAAACAATCGCGAAGTTTGACGAAAATGATAGGAAGTCGAATTGGCGAAGTTTCCGATGGAGAACCGGAAAACTGATGACTCCGAGCTTGGGAGCGAACCCGCGTACGTCGGACCCCGGCCCATACCCACGCCCACGCCCACGCCCACGCCCACGCCCACGCCCACACTTTGTCACACTACGGAGACACTGTGGCGGAGAGGCGAGTCTGCTAATTTGATCTTCAAATTGGATGGCTAGTCAATAAAACTTTACTGACACCAAGCCGTGTCGAAAAAGGCTTCTGTTCGCCACACGGAAAGACAGGGTGGGTGGAGTAGTTTGTGAGTTTGGTCTGAGTTGTTGGGTGAAAGAATTAAGAAGAGATGGCCAGATGGACTCAAGTTACCCTTGAGTTACGTTTTCATCAACACCTGAATAATGTATGTCTACCAGGAAGGTGCTGTCTCGGTCTTTTGCTTTTGTTTGCCTTGACAGTCTATTTTATTACGTGCAGAACAAGAAACATAATCTGTTGTGTGTATTATTCTCATTGTACATTTGGTTTTCACTCTAAGCATTCTTCTATCTCTGTGAATTTTCTTCTGATATGCATTTTGTCGCCTGGCGAGTAGTTATATCATCATAAATCAACAGGGCGTTTAGAAAGGCATGCAGAAGAGCGGGATTGCGAGTATGGACCATGCTGCAGCCATATCAGTATAGAAAGAGGTGCTTGAAAAACATTAAATACTTACCGACAGCCACAGAATTAGCAAAGTATCCAAATTTGCCAAGCGGGAATTTAGCCCCCTTGACTTGCTCCCTCTTGGTGAGAAGATTGATCGCGATCGGTGTTGCGTAAGATGCGTTAAGAGTTAGCACACCAACACTAGAAAAGGCATTGAATGCCGCCGACGACCCAAAGTAGATCAAGCCAAGTAGCAAATGCAAGACCATACTAAGAATCATGGCGTTAAGAGGGACGTCTAGCCGCTCGTTAACCCTCGCCCAAATCTTGGCCCCTGGCATAGCTCCATCACGGCTAAACGCCCAGATACAGCGAGATGAAGCAGTGATACAGCCGATGCCGCAGATGATACCCAGAACAACTAGCGGTAATAACAGCCCGAACGCACCACCGGAGGATCCAACGGCCGCCTTGATGGTTGGAGGGATGGGCTGGGCCGAGGGAAGACTGGCGAGGTATTTGAGGTCGGGGAGGACAAAACAGATCGGGATGCAAAAGAGCAGGCCGGCGAGTGTGTTGATAAAGACGGTGGCGACCATTGCTTTCGGGACTTGGATGTCGGGCTTTTTGACTTCTTCGCACATGCTATAAATCATTAGTTTTCAGAGCTCTAGAGAAGAAGTCAAGGTTATTGGGACACGGACGAAATGATCATGCCAGTTGAAGAGGTAGCGTATGCAGCGTGGAGTAGTCCAACACAGAATGCCCATCCATCGGGCCAACCAGAATTATTCTCAAAATGGGTAAAGACCCATTTGGCGTCGCGACGGCCTTCCTTTGCGAGAACAAGAATAGAGATCATAAGCGCAATGACACCAGCAAAGGTCCAGAAGATGGCGGCCGTCTAAAGAGTCAGTCGAAGGCACGCGATAAAGGAGTGAGGCGACTCTTACATCTAACCATGGCAGCCACTTATTGCCCAGAGCTGAGACAGCATTACTAAACACGGTGACACCAACGAATATTAAATATACCTGGTATGGTTCGCCAGCGAGGACTCCCACGCCGGGCGCGGTTTCAAAAAGATTGACAACCGAGACGATGAATAACGTAGTGCCGAAAGTCACAGATAAAGTGATACTGATGTTACCAACAACAAAAAGCCAGCCACAGATCCAACTAGCCTCGCGGCGCCAACGGGCGGGCGCTAGCGTAAAGGTTTGATAATATACACCTGGAGAAGAAGCAACAGTTAGTCTTGGGTCGAATATGGACAGTACTTTCTTCTGCATGATATGCGGTCGCGAGGCAATGAAGCAGTAGTACGAGTGTTGTGAGCAAGGTAGTGGGAGTCAGTACCTCCCGCGATAGGGTATACACTCGTGATTTCACCAAGAGACGCAGCGACGCAGATGATCATGGCTGAGACGGCTACCCAGCCCCAGATAATATTCACCGGGCCTCCAGTAGTGACAGGTGGGTTGAAGGTTGTTGCAAGTCCGTAAGGGATCGAGGCAAGGACAAAGGCCATGAAGGCTACCTGGAGGGTTGATCGGTTACGCTGTAGCTGGGGTGTATAGCCTAGGCTCTCGAGAATCTCGTCGCCATCGTTGTGGGCTTTTGATAAATGCGGTGCCGCCTCGGTGGCCTCGTCTGCGAATGCTCGCTGATTGTGTTCTGAAGCGCCCATCATCAAAGGCGTGAATTGAAAGATCCAAAGAAGTAGTAGATATAGCTAGGGATTGCAGGCGGAAAGCCTTGAAGCAGAGACAGTGAAGTTAACAGGCAAATCGAATGTTTTACCTGTTGCTAACTGCGTGGAGAAAAGGGAGCACAGTACCACGATGTAAAGAAGAAAAGCAAGGGAGAGGAGAGAAATTGTGTCTGATGGCGAGAAGCAACCGGGAGGGAAGTACCCGCGAGAGCACTAGACGCTGGTCGCAGTTGTGTAAGAAAAAAAGGGGCGCAGCGCCACCAGACTAAGTTTTATAGCAATAGCACTTGTATTTCATTCATTACTTCGCTAGAAGACGATACTATCCGTTGTTTTGCTACGTGAAGTTGGCAGGGACAGATGGGTAGCTTGCTTTGTTAGTGCTCGGTTTCGCTGAACGAGGGCACCCAGCACACAAACTAGTGGTTTTCTCAACATTCATTTTGTGAGGTATTTACTGTGGGAGAACCTACCGGAAGACATAAATCGTCTTTGCTACCATGATTGGAATCAAGGTATTGTGGGATTGCTACCGAAGCTTGGTGCTAATGTGATTCTCGCTCCCTCGCGTTCCGTAAACACCGTTTTCCGGTATCAGGCATCCGCACGCCCCATCTTTACGTCCTAGTGGCAAAAGACCTTTTTATTTATTTTTACTTCAAAAGCCATGTCTTGAATGAACTCCTCATTACGGCACAAGGACCCACCAGCTTGCATTAACCTGTGCTATAAGCTCGTTTTAATCTAACAGGCAGGGTGTACACAAGGCATTCCTTGATCAATGGTTAGGGAGGAACTTGGGGAGTTCTGGATTGGCCGCCTAGCACAGCTTGGGAAATTGGAGAGATACACAGGAGGTCGGTCCCCTAGCGTTGTGGCCACACCTCTGTCAGTTATGTCCACTTGTGCTAATAGGCCACCTACAGTAACATTTGTTTCTTATGCCCCCTTCCACCGGGGCTCCTGTTCAAGTTATCCATGAGAATACTCAAATGTTCCATACTGATCTGTACGCGACAAAGACGCTGCACTTAACTTGCTCAAAGGAGATGCACGGGCTCATCGGTGGAGCGGAGCGGGCCGCAAATTGTCGTCCAGACGCCGGAGTTTCGGGTATCACGGCGTTCCAGCATTGCCCGGGCATACAACACTGCGACTTTCCGACAGGTGATCAACAGCTAAAGCAGTCGTGTGCAGCTGTCCATGTTACATTTTGGCGGAGGTTTCTCATACCTCAATTTTGTCGCATATCTCAGCGCGCCTCAAATGTGATCGGCGTCGAGTCTTACCATAGCAACTGGTGTCTTCATATTAGAGACTGCAGTTTATAAATAGTCATCAGACGGTTCGTCTCCTTTGTTTGCTTGACACGCCTCGAAGCAACAAGTATCCATACTAGAATATACATTCATACCGGCCGATTCACGCCTTTCGAGTCATGGACAACACCAAAAATTACACTGCCACTTCATCGTGGATGCAGCAACCCCCCCTCACCTGGCTGGGAGGCCACGAGGTCGTCTATCTCGTCCTTTGCCTCGGCGTCTCCGCATATACCATCTTGCGCGTGGTAACTAAAGCTGGCGACAAGTGGCCCGTCCTTAATCCAGCTGGATTTGAGGTCATTGGGTTGAAGCGAAGGATGGAGTTTGCGAAGACTGCTGGCAATTTGATCGAGAAGGGTCGCCAGATGTTTCCTCAACAACCCTACCACATGATCACGGATACGTGTGATCTTGTCATTTTACCACCCAAGTTTGCCGATGGGATCCGCAACAACCCCGACTTAAACTTTATTGAGAGCATCGTGGAAGAATTCCACGCAGCAATTCCCGGCTTCGAGCCGTTCCGAGACGGCCGCGAGGACGAGCTCACGAAGACTGTCGTGAAGAAACAGTTGACAAAGATGCTGAGTAAGAACCAATCTGCATCTTCCTCGCCAAAATGAACGTCAGAGCTAGAGTTAACAAATCATCAGATCAGGTTACGAAGCCCTTGTCGGACGAAACCGATTTCGCCCTTAGACACCATTTTGGTACTTCTTCAGGTGAGGAGCGGCAGAGATGGTGAGGTGGTCGCGACGCTAACAAGTTGCAGAGTGGAAGGAATACGAAATTTTTGAAGCAATCCTTGATGTTGTCGCCAGGGTTTCAACCAAGGTGTTTCTCGGATCAGACCTTTGCCGCAATGAAGAATGGCTCAAGATTACCAAGAACTACACTGTCGATTCTTTCATTGCCGCCTATGTACTTCGCCTAGTCCCAAAGCCGCTCCGCCGTGTAGCCCACTGGTTTCTGCCGCAATGCCAGAGGATCCGCCAGCAGTTTGCAGATGCTAGGAAGCTTATCATGCCCGTCATCCAGGCCCGAAGAGTACTCCGCCAACGCATGCAGGTAGAAGGGAAGCCTGCTCCGGATTTCAATGATGCCATTGACTGGTTCGATGAGGAAGCGAAAGGTGAACCCTATGAGGAAGCCCAATGCCAACTCGGTCTGTCCATGGCAGCCATTCATACCACCACCGACCTTCTGACCGAAACGATGCAGAACATAATGTTGCATCTCGAACTGGTCGAGGATCTTCGTAAGGAAATCATTGAAGTCCTGAGCGCCGAAGGTTGGAAAAAGACATCGCTGTACAATCTCAAACTTGTCGATAGTGTTATCAAGGAGTCTCAGAGGCTAAGGCCCGCGGCAATGAGTAAGCTTCCCGCAATCTCCGGCCAGCTATCATGACATTGCAACAAGCAGCTGACCCATTCACAGTCTCGATGCAGCGCAAAGCCCTACGGGATACTAAGCTGCCTGACGGTAGTATTCTGCCCAAGGGCCAGCGATGCGCTGTTGATTTGTACGGTCCGTCAGGTATGGTTGATAGCGAGCATTACGAGAACCCCAGCGAGTTCGATCCTTACCGTTTTGCACGCATGCGAGGCCAGCCCGGACTAGATGCCAAGTCACACCTCGTGAGTACAGGCCCAGCACACCTCGGGTTCGGCCACGGCAAGCACTCTTGTCCTGGGCGTTTCTTTTCGTCAAACGAGATCAAAGTAGTGCTGGTTCATCTACTCATCAACTATGACTGGAAGTTCGCACCTCGTTTCACACCAAAGCGTACCGAGAACGGTTTCATTCTGGGAGTTGATCCGGAGAACAAAGTGCTTCTTCGGCGGCGCAGCAACCCTGAGATTGAGCTGCTTAATTTATAGACCTCGGCAGCATAACTGATGATATGGAACGAACTGCGGATTCCCATCACAGCTTCTCCCCTTTTAAGGATGGTGCAACTAGCTCCTGTACGGTGCTGCTAGTTGTATTGGTCAGTGTCAAGACAGTTTGATTGATGACTCAAAGTTCACCATGTGCAGGCTTTGTCACATCATCACACCGAATTATAGAAATAAATATCAAAGGGAATGTAATTTATCAACATACAGAGTGGTTTGATGAGGTCAGCAGTCTTTACACTAGATAGCAAGATGTTGATCAATTCTTGACCAAATTCACAATCTGGCCCATTAGAACTCAATGTCGATCAAATTTACAGTACGCAGCTTCTCATGATGTGGATTGGACAAATTCAAGCCTTTTGTTACAAGAGTATGAGTTCACCATGGTCCCTTATTAGTAGAACATGTCGTTTCAATCTGGCTCTTTCTACACAGCTTCTCATCACAGAAAAATGTAACTGCGTACAACCAGTTGGACGCTTGCATGAGTTGCAAGCCTGATAATTAGCTTTATAGGATTGTCTCAGTCTGCAGCGGCCACCCCGGGCGTGTACAGAATAGTGAAGCTCCAGTGCCCGGAGCCAAAGAGAAACCAAACCCCTGAACTAATTTCCGGCTTTTCGGGTACACGTGTACAATTAAAACCAAGTCATTCCACCATAACAGGCTGAACACCACTTCTCTATATACACACAACTTTGTTATATTGCTCCGTACCTTGCCAATCGACCCATAACCAGCTGGAACATGTTAGAAGAAAAGTATACTGAATCATGGCTTGAATAGGCTCCACCCTTGCCCGTCAGCGCTGACAGTGATATGCTTTATAGATATTTTGGGATGGCACTCGCTATCGCATCAAACTCAATCATTGGTTTGTGGACATTTCACCTATCACTACGGGGCTAGTCATTCGCTGACACTAGCATTTACCGAATAGGTGCAAGTTTTATTATAACCAAGAAGGTAATGCAATCACCTATGCTGAGCACGCTTAGGTTGCAATACCAGACAAGAAAATTGCGAAGATAAATGCCGTTGCTGATATTTGGGTTTTGATAGGGCCTCAAGGATACAAGTCGATACCATGCCTTGGGAGGACAAGTTTCTAGTTATTTAAAAACCCCCACCTGGTGGATTGGATTCGCGGCGCGTAAGTGAAGAACCTGATGTCGTTGTTTAGTTGCCTCCGTTGTTAACAAAAAGAGCAAAGTGGCCATCGGGGAGCTTGGCAACTTCGCAGCGTATGCCTTTGCGCCGGCTATTCTCGTGACTCCCTTTGGGGCTGTCTCAGTCCTCACTGGGGCTATCCTAGGACGATACTTTCTCAATGAGACCCTCGGAATCTTGGGCAAGATCGGAGTCTTTATCTGCCTTCTCGGCACCACTCAGATTGTGCTTCATGCACCACCGAACGAGGACATCCGAACTATTGAACAGATCTCGCAGCACGCCGTTCAGCTAGGTAATACACCGGCAGATTAAATTGGCCTTGAGGCTAAAACAGAATTCTTCAGGTTACCTTATTTACATGGGCATTGTAATCACGTTCTCAACAGTCATGATCCGCAGTGTTGCGCCAACGTACGGGAAGAGCCACCCGCTAGTGTACCTTTCTGTCTGCTCAGCTGTTGGATCAATAGCCATCGTTGCTATCAAGGCATTTGGTATTGCTGTGAAGCTTACACTGGCTGGCGATGATCAGTTTTCCCATCTCTCCACCTACGGGTTTATGGTGTTCATGGTAACCTGTATCATCATCCAGCTGTACTACTTCAACAAGGCTCTTGCCTTGTTCCCTTTGAGCATGTAAGTAAATCCTATCATCCTGTATGTGGACTTTTCTGACCATCGGCCAGCGTCAATCCCTTGTACTACATAAGTTTTACGACTGCTACTCTTTTGTCATCGTCTATTCTATTTGGGGGCCTCACTACAGTCGGCATCGTCAATACTTTGTCGTCAATCTGTGGACTTCTTTTAATATTTGCAGGAGTTTTCCTCCTTCAGACAGACAACGCCCGATCAAGCCTGGGGCAGCATCTATCCTCCGCTGTGTCGATGGACACTGTCAATCTTTATGACTCTGACCGTGGCCTGTGAGCGGATATATCGCTATCGTACTTGCAACAGAGCCAAGCGTAGGATATACCCCATAATCTCCAATGACTTGGAAAGTCATTCTTTTGTGTCTGGCCCGGATTGTCAGCCTTTCTACGGTTAACTCGGCGACTGACATGAAATATGCCTGTCTTTCCTCAAGGACGTTTACTAGACAAGTTGGTGGACGGCCCAGTACTCCAGACTCGAGCCCTGATAATGGGAAGCACAACAGCCCAGTTTCAATCCTAATCAAACTTGAGATATGAAAGGGATTCATGCAAAGTGCATGACTTGCCTTCTACGGAAACACTGCGTTGCAGGTGGGAAACTGCACGAGGCTGAAATTCAAGATAAGAAGGGACTCAATGGAGTGGATAGGCGCTGGTCAGATTTGTTGGTGTTGTGTTCTGATCTTTGCTCATGATCCAGCTATAACGTCTTGACAACTACTCACAGGACTTTTGTGTCTTACTCGCCACGCATATGTTATATATCTGTCAAAATACTAGAATAACTCTAGACCTTTGTCATCATTCATCTACCGTCCCTTCTTTCGCTACCTCTAACGCCAAGAGTGTCCCGGAAGACAGAAGAAATCGACATGACGCAACAACTTTCCCAACGCGTTTCCAGAACACCACCTCGACTCAACCGCCCTTGCCCTTTATACCGACCGAAACTACGACCTCTAGCCCGTTCAGAATGGCGGAAGCAATCCCTATCACAGACAAAAACTATCCGTAGAAACGTGCAAGACGCGACCTGAACTGATGAAATGTTAGACTTAGCCTTCCTCTAAAAAACAACCAATCATCATGTCGAAGAGCCAACAATTGAAAATGGCCCAGCTTGACTTTCGGGTCCAGTGGAGCTTTCTGTGTAACATCGTATCGCCGCTTGACTTTACCGAGGTAGGTAGTTTAGTACGTGTTGCTTATGATCGCGACCGAGATGATTCATACTGTTTTTGACTGACTTACCTCAGTCACTTGACTGTTGCAGAAAAGCATCGAACCTGCTGTTTCTGTTGCCGAGTGTCACGCCATTGTATATGGAACACACTGGCACCTGCCCTGCACTCACAAACCGTGATGGACAGTACACAATCTGCTACCAGCACCTCGGCAGCCTGACTTCGCTCTTTCATCTCCAGATCATCTCACATTTCTGCATAATTGACATCATCACTCAAGCAACAACATCAACACCATCTTACCCTTTCTTATTTCGCTACCATGGCCCCCCGCGAGTTTGTCCGGCGCTCTGTTTGGGGAAATTTGCCGCAAATTCCTTTGCCGGAAATCCTCTTACCGGAAACTCCTCTGTCCAAGGCTTTGAAGGCTGGCAACCAGACGCTCTTCAAGGAGCTGCTTGAGGACCCTGAGAATCGTCGAGACATCAACACCGTTGGGCACGACTACCTGGAGGCCGCCATTCTCCTAAATAGAACGGAGATCGTCAGAGCTCTTGTTTCGCTGCCTCTCTCAGAGTTTGATTTCCCCAGTAAGTTGACTCCTAAGCGCTAAGCTTCTCTCGTTAACGATTTGGTCTCTTATAGATCGCCCGGGGGCACCGACGGAAGCTAACAGCCCTTTGGACCTGTCTATTTCGTTTGAGCGCTTCGATATCTTCAAGATCATCGTCGACACCGGAAAAGTCGATATCTCCGAACCTGATGTAGATGGCAGGACTCCGCTACACCTCGCAAGCGCAATAGGGTCTACCCATATTGTCGAGTCAATGCTACAGCACGACAATGTCAAAGCGGATGCGAAGGACAATGAAGGCCGGACACCCCTCTACCTCGCTGCTTATGGGGGTATGAGCAATGTGGTCGAGATCCTTCTTCGTTTAGATACAGTGGACCCCGACTCTAAAGACTCGAATGGTCGCAGCCCTTTCTGGTGGGCTGTCCGTTATGGCTATGATTCTGTCGCCAAAATGTTGGCCGATACTGGACGTGTTGACCGTAGCGTTGAAGAGGAGGCGACCAGGATACGCAATCGCATACTTGTTCTAGATGAGCATGGACCACCAACTTTTAGGACTTCTTACAGAAGACATGGCTAAGGGTCGGAACCGAATCTGGCCTCAAAGGCCACGATTTCTGGCAGCCAGAGAGTCTTGGCAGATATTGCTACGAGAAACATGACGCCCGCTAGTCGTGTATATCCAATAAATTCGGTAACTCATCATCAAAAGCACCCCTCACTCCTCCATGTGAAATTGGTCGTGCGTCTTCTGTGAACGGTCTTTGAAGTGAACATCTCTATCGAGCAGCTGCACATGCACGTCACTAACACTCGTCCGTTACCGAAGAAAACATTGAAATAACTCTCGCTTACCCCGCCGCAACCTTTAGAAGTCGTAGAAAAGAACATCTGTCTATCAAAAAGCGGAAAGATGAGGAACATGGTCAACTGAGAAGGCAAAAATGAAATCAGTTGCGGTTTATGTGGATCGAACACATGACCTTCAGATATCGGATGATATTGATTGAAGTGAACTTCAGTCTGACGCTCTCCCAACTGAGCTAAACCCGCTGACTAATTGATGAACAGAGCTGTCAGCATTTGCCACCATGTTTCTGCAAATCTCGCGGCCTTGGAATGCGACTATTCTTGACTGGCCTGTGTCCCATTATACATGCTTAATGACGCTCTCAAATCTCGATGAAAGACTAGAAGCAGATGACTAGCATAATAATTGTAAAACATTTCCTAGTAGAGGCCCCATCGGTAACAATTTTGCTTACAAAGATGTCCAACAAAACCAGCCCTCTCAGCTATGGCACATCTCACTTAGACATCTGCTTCAATCGTCGTGCCATCCATTCACCAGCAGTATAAACCTTCTCTTCGCAAACCTTCCCACCCACAGCCACGACTTGCTCATGTTTATACTCCTCCACAGGCTCCATCAGGACTTCATCTGTCGGTCGAAGAAAGTACACCAAGCTATACCGATCCAAGTGGCCTTGTGCTCCAGGCAGTGGCACAACACGATGCTTCCCAGATTTGAGACGGCCATTGCTGAACTTGACCATAGCATCGCCAAGATTGATGATAGCATGACCCGGTAGTGGTTTGACGTATGCCCATTCCTCTTATTTCTCTGGGTCGTGGCTCTGGATTTACAATCCGCCGACCCAGTTGAACAGAACAGTGACGCTGCCGAAGTCAGTGTGAGATGGTAGACCGATTATGTTGCTCTGCTGAGAAGAGGGAGCGGTCATTTTGGTCATTCGTATATGATCCCCCGAAAGTGATAAGATTTTGTTCCTTTCTACAAACTCATCCGGTCCGAGGTCAAGTTGTTCGCCCAAGATGCGGAGGATGAGAAGACCCAGGGAATGGCAATCTGTAGCGAAACTCAAGAGCTCTTTCTGATGCTCCATGATTTCCTTTGGATACTCTCGTGTCTTGGAGTTTCCCAGTAGATGGTCTTTAGCGACGTTGAAGAACTCCGTGGCATCGGGTCGCGAGTCCTTGTCTATTTTCTTCACCGCTCCAGCAGGCTTGTAACCAAACATTTCTTTTCCCCTTTCTGCAAGAAACTTCATCTTGTAGTCCAAGGGCTGATTGAGAGCTCCCTTTGAGACATGAAGAATATCGTCGGCTTCGTCAAGAAGCGCTTGCCCAAAAAGGCCGTCCGTCAGGTCGAGGTAAAAGAACCCATCTGTCTCACAGGCTCTAAGCACCTTTTTCATCTCATTCTCACAAGAACTCGTGAGTTTTCTGGACGAAAGTCGCGCGATGGGCACGATTGGGACATCCTCGGGGAATGGAGGGGGAGTGTTTCCCAGGCTGCCCATCGTTGGAAGTTGTGGACTCAAATTGAATGTTTTTAAAGAAGAGTCTTGCTGTATTGAAAGAAGATCAACCGGTTCAGAATGAGTGGCTTGGTTTGAGGATTAAATGTTAATCAGTTCATTTTACGGCACGGCAAATTCCATCACCAAGTTGACGCCACTCAGCTTACAGTCAGGACAAGCCTCCAGCGACGGGTACTTCCAGACGACTAGATGAAGTATCATTAGTAGATAGTAAGTTTGGGTTCTTAATCTATTCTTCATCTTCATAATGTGTCGTTAAAAAAGGTACCTACTTTACGGCGCAGGCACAATGGAATCGATTAGTTCTCATTTTCCATATTTCCTATTCCTCAAGATCTTCCGGTGCTTCGTTCGTTATCCCTGTGTCTCATTCTTCTTCGATCTCTGTTTTCGAATGTTCCTGCAAACATCGCACTCGCCAAACCTGTCAATCTGATTTCTCTTGATACTCGTTGCGCAATCCATGCCGGCTTTTCGTAAATCACATGGCGTTATTTCTCGTTTACTGGAATCATATATGCGTTTGCAGTTTATGCAAGTCAGGTTGAGTTGGTCTAACCAGCACATAGTTTTCGGTATGAATTGATGAGTCACTATAATTGACAAATTGCGATCCTTCGTTCTATGGCTGATGGCTGTGGTAGTTATTGGATTAATGGGCACAGGGTTGCGGGAAGTCTACTACTTATATACATCGCAGCAGCGGGTGATTCATTTCACTTGGCAATTCATGTAGCAAATGCTTCTTGACGCTTCTCAAATTAGTGATTAGGGTCATTTTAATTCCAGTGATAAACGGCAACAGCAGGTATATTCGTGAGTAGCCAAAATGTATTATTCTATTCTTTATAATTGTTACCTAACCAACTCTGATCTTTCCAATCTATCTCCCCTGTCTTAATCCCTGTCTTCTTCGCCCCCAATCATACTCAAATGCAACTGCGGCTGTGATCTACAAGCCTCCAAGACCTGCTTAGGAATCTCTGTCTCTTCCACAAGAACAATCAACTCTTTCATCTTCTTGGCCGTGAAATCCAAAGTCTCGATCGCACTGGCCAGCAGTTCCGTCACTTCTTCGTCGGTTCCGAGTGGATTGAAGAACTCTAATGTCTCTAATTCTGGCGGCAAGCCTACGGAGTTTAGGCGCGGTTTCTTTGTCGTCTTTCCAAAAAGCTGGTAGTCCCAGTTCAGCCGCAGGGTCTTGAGTGAGACGAACTCGCGAAGGGCCAGGGGCCTAGCGCTGGCTAACATCGGGAAGTCGATCGTGATAGTCTCCAGGGAGTGGCACTGTTCCTTGAGGGCCATTATGTAGTCTCGTATGCTACTCGAACTTTCTTCCAGGTCGGGCTCTGGCTCTTCTCTTTGTGTAAAAACAAACTCCTTCAAGGCTTCGGGGAACATCAGAACATCCGACAGGGTGTCATCGTTAATATCGCATTCTATCAAATGCAGTTTGCTCAAGGCTGTGTTGTGTGGACGCTCAATCAACTCAAAGCCGCGATCGTCAAGCTTCGCCCTCTTAATAACAAGCGTCTCGAGAGTTGGGTGAGTAAAGATGTGGATATTCTCTTGCAGATCCCAGTACTGATCATCCTCATCCTGGTAGAACAGGGTACAGGACTGCAAACAAGCCAGATCGAACGGGCCGTTGAACAGATTACCTATACTGTGCAGCAGACTGACAGGTACTGCGATATCGAGTGTTTTTAAATTCGACATTGTGGAAATTGTATGGGAGACGCTATTCATGGGCTCTAGCGTGTCGGAGATGAGACGTGTTAGCTCTGAGGCTGGATAGGCCAGCTTGACGCCTTCAATAGCTGAGCCACGCCGTGGCCGACGGGTGAGTGATTGACTGAAAATAAGGTGAAGCTCCGGTTTGAGCCACTGGACTGTATTGTACAGCACAGCATCTGCGAGGGCGTGGTAGTGCTTGTTGAGCCGCGACACGTTGCAGAGGTCGTGCTTAGGCAGGGTTTCCAAGATGGAGACGAGCAAACTGTCTGGCATGCGAGCAAGAAAGTCGGCATGGGCTCCATGGTCGACTCTATGTATCGCTACCATTTTTAAGTCGTGATAGTTCAAGAAAGAAGGTGTTTATCGATACTGGCGACTGAGGGTCTGAGGGTGGTGTGTGCTTGTGGTGTGTTGATGTTTGAAGTGACTAGCGCTGCGAGTGACGTAACGAATTGAGTGATTTATGTGGACCGTATGGGGTAAGCGCATTATGTAAGCCAGCTGGAAGCTTATTTCGTTCCTGTAGCAATTGAGCCTCTCTTTGCGATGGCAGGGGATTGGGCTGATTTATACCATGGCATTAGTGATTTCAAACTCTGATTCACTCACAAGGACTTTGAGTTCTCGCCTATTACAAGGTTTTGAATTATCAAAAAACAACTGGTTGGTGGGCAAGTAACGGGGTTCCGAAGGTTTCGCGTATAATTTCTATCCATCGACTCAAAAGTATGCAGTGCTCTCGTAATTTTCGTACAAAGATTGAACACGCATAACTGAACCGAACACTAAGGCTTGTGAAGAAAGTGATGGGGCTCTGCAACGCGATCAACGCTGCACAGATAAATTTCGTATTACCCCGCGTTCTGCATACCGTGACTGGAATGAGATTGGAAATCATCACCTTCATTCTGGTATTACCTTACAGCGATTTCCATGCCCACCCAACCAGTTGCAAATGTGGCTTAAATCTTGCAGTTATGAAACCTAGTCTAAATGAAGCAATCTGTCACGTTCTGGTAGACTGGCTAATTATTTTCTTTCTCCTGAGAATTTGTAGCAAAAGACAGGTAAGGTATTATGATCTCGCCAATCATCTCACTCAGATCAACACGTGGATACCTCAAGTCCACTTCTGAAGCTTGGCAGCGGCTTTAATTATCTACTTGTAATGACACTACGCCCTCAATGAGAATTTCTCCTTCCACCCAAATTTTCCTCCTCAACTTCTCTCAATCCGTTCATTTACCATGGCGGAATTCTTTAAAGCAATAGCAGAATACCTCCAGGCGTCGATGAAACAGTCGCCCTACGTCTGGTGTGCTGCTGGACTCACATTTCTCATCGGCGCTCAACTTGCGTTGGCCGTGTCCATTGCTCATGGTGACGAGGAAACTGTCCGCAGGCAACTTCACAACCTGCAAAAGTTCGGCGCCAGCAGAAAAAATGATTCTCTTGAACAGACTTCCGAAAAGGCCATTGCTCGAGAGGCCGAGTCCAAAGATGAGAAGGCCCCACAGCTGAGCAAAATCTCGCCAGTTGCCTCATGCGCACCCATCGAACTCAACTTAGCTGAGCACCCAGACGCTCAAGACAAGTACGACAACTGTTACTCCCTTGCCGTCGAATCTGGCAAAGCCGATAGCCAAGGTTTCCCCATCTGGGCATCCTTAAATGAGCAAAACAAGCCAGCCTTATCCAAGATCACGACTGAGCTGTGGCTTCCGAAGCCCAACGCGGACAAGAATGACCCCTTAGTCCAGAGTGAAGGCTGCATCATCATGTCGTTTCCGGACCCCGTTACTCCAACTTGGCTAGCGTATTTCGCAGGGTACACGGGAGATAGGTTCAGGATGCCCCAGGTCGCTTGTATCTTGCCTCTTCGACCGACAGCAGATGAGATCAAGGAGCACAAGATCAAGATGAGACCTTTTCACATTGAGGGAGAGGACGTCAAGGGACTCGATATGGAAAAACTGCCTGCAGTTTCTGATATTTTGTCCAGGCTTAAGGTGTTCCTCAATCACCCGGAGCGTCAAGGCATTACCATCTTCAAGAGAGACTGAGGGCAGGAAGTTACATCTAAAATGGCATCTCAACGATTGGGAGCCGAACATATAGAACCGAGCATTCAATGTTTAACAAGCATGACAAGATCGAAGATACACTAGAGAGGGCCCTGTGCAATTTGGGATGAATAAAAATGGAACGATAGCTTGGATATTATTGATACTAAAACTCTTTGTAATCTTTGAACACAAGCAGAAACGCTATCATAAACCTTTAACTCTTTCACATACATGCTTCTCATTTACAAAGCCCTTCAACCTTTTTTAACCACTAATTAGCAGTCTGAACCTTCTCAGACTCTCGATCTGAAGCAGGGAACTGATCAACCTGGGTCTTGGCAAACTTGCGCGCAGGAACCTTGTGCTCGAAGAGAAGATCCAGTTCACCGTAAGTGCGACCCTTGGGCTCAGGAAGACGGAAGAAAGCCCAGATGAAGATCAACAGACACCATCCAGCCCAGAAGAGACCTGTCTTGGCACCCCAGTTCCACGAGTTCCGGCCAAGCATGCGAGGCATGAGCGTGTTGGTGACGAGACCAGCAATGTTGCTGAAGTTGCGTGCAAGAACGATGGTCTTGGCCTTGAGACGGGTGGAAGAGATCTCTGCGACGATTGTGTAGGCAATGGGGCCGATGGTCATGTCGTAGACAAAGGTATACACGACGAGCAAGCTGCCGATGGCCCAGCCAGTGCTTTCGGTGTGCTTGACGAAACCAAGGGATCCGACTGCAATGAGGATACAGAAGAGGGCTGCCATACCGCAGATGTAGATGTCACGGCGACCGAAGCGGGACATCAAGACCCAAGAGAGGACAACACCAATGGCACCGATGGAGTATTGGATGACGTTGAAGTCGAGAGATCGCTCGGGTGAAAGACCGGCCTCGAGATAGAACTGAACCGAGTAACCCATGAGAGAGCTACCACAGAGGGCTTGGGCAGTGTAAGCAACTGAGGCAACTTCTGTTCGTCGCAGATCGCTGCGCATGAAGCAATGCCAGTAGTTGGTTCCAGCAGAGTTCTCAATCTCCATCTGGTTGGTAGCCTTGAGAAGCTCAACCTGGGAGTCGGCGTCGAAGGGAACATCACACTGTGTGACCAGTGCAAGGATGGATCGCTTGGCGTCTTCGTATCGCTCCTTGCGAACAAGCCACCAGGGAGACTCGGGGGCAAAGAGAGTACCGAGCATGATGAAAGGAGGCCACGCCCACTGGAGAGCAAAGGGGATTCTGTAGGACCAGTCACCTCCCATGGTGCTGAATCCTCGGAGAACACCAGCACCGATGAGTTGACCGATGACCCAGCACAAGTTGACGTAGGCTGTCAGGTAGGGACGGAGGACAACGGGAGCGACGTCAGAGGCATAGGCGAGGGTGAGGGTCTGGAAGATACCCCATGGGAGACCAAGGAGGATGTTTCCGGCCAAGAGGACGTGGAGGTTGGGTGCAAAGAAGGGGAAGAAGATAAGACCGATCATGAGCATTTGCGAAGCCATCATGGTCTTCTTGTAACCGAAGGCATCTGAGACCCAACCGTTGATGTAAAGACCAATGATCTGACCGCACATGCCACCGACTTGGATATATGTTTGCCAGTCGGCAGAGATGATTAAGTTTCCGCTCGCGTCGAGTTCGTTACCAAACTTCTGCTTGAATCTGTACAACAGAATGGTTAGCCTCGAGGGGATTGGGTACTGGTGGCAGAGGAAGTGCTACTTACGCATCATAACCGTAGAAGCTTCCCAGAAGACTCAGATCGTAACCCTCCATAATGATAGCCGTGGAGAACAGCAGGGAGAAGGCAATGGCCTTGGGATACAGCCTCAAACTATCGCGAAGAGTGAGGGTATGCTCGCGATCGTTGGCCGCGCGAGCAGCGGGCTTCTCAGCCTCGTCATAGCCCATCTTGGAGTCAGGATCTATGTGCTCAACCTGAGCGAAGTTGTCCTTGGGCGAAGACATGGTGTGATGTCGCTCAAGGCAAGGGAGGATGATGTAGAATAGGACTGTAGAGAGGGAAGGAGATGCTGGATGAGGTGCTCTGGGGATGAGAATAAGAATTCAAAGCTGGGGAATCTGGGGATTCTTATGCTAAACTCCACAAACAGGACGTCTCCCCACGGTTGTTAAGGTTTGTCCCTGGGGTTAGGGGGCAAATGCCAAGAGTGGTCTAGAGGGAGAGGTTGTCGGACCGACAGGGCACAGAAACGAATCGACGCAGAACTGAGCTGTTCTCGCCAAGCTCTGGGCCTCGTGATAGCTTCAAAATCTGGCACAACAAGCTATCGGGCCGATAGAATGCTCGATGTTCCCTCAGACCACGATGCGTTCTGAGAAGCTCTCGGTGCGGGAACTGGAGAAGAGGGAGTTTAGTTGCTCGACATTGTCGGACCGACAGGATCGAACGCTCCCCCGGATTTTCTCCAGGGCGCATTGACCACTGTGTCGGGTCGAGGCTAGACCAGAAATGAATCATCACGCGTTGGAATTGTTGGTAGGTGATGATCACTGCGGTATTGGGGCTAGGTCGTGCAGACAGGCGAGTCGGACAAAGCCGAGGAGATGCATGGCATTCATTCATCCCTGGTGATCAGCTCTAGTAAGGGATTGGGTCAACAAGGCCACCAGTTGATCAGAACAAAGTCTCTCTGTTCAACTGATTCAATGTTGTCACAGTATTGTCACAACAGAACCTTCAGTCTTCAACCATATGGCAATAACTTCAACACAAATTGATGAAACGGTTGTTGGAATACGTTGGGACAGAAAGACTAATATCTAAGTGTAGATTCTTATTATCTCAGCCTGCTTGTTATCATTTTGATCTCGTATCATATTCGTACTCAGGCGGGTCGCAATATAATCCGCACACCAAAGCACTTGGAGCACCCTATGGGATGAATATTAACAAAATTTATACATCGCTCTTATGTTAAATTTAGACTAAGTCTTTCTGTCAGCCTCGCTTGGTATGCGGATTTAATTGCAACCCACCTGGTACTCTAGGGTACTTTCGCGAACAGGCCTTGAGAGATAATTCGACCTGCGATGGATACTATTGACATTGCTTTCCGACATTTATTTCAGTGATCACAGCCAAATTCTTGCAAGACCTTGGCTCAGTCTGATTAACTTTCACAGTGACATTTCACACTTGAAGACTAACAGCTTCCGTCAAGGTTGGACCGTGCTCAGAGAACCAATTCAAAAGACTCCTCGTACCATCAAGGTTTAGGAAACAAGCAGTCACTAGTGCTAGTCTATGGAGTGGAGAGGCAAACCCAGTTGACCTCATGGGTCATGGATAATACCGCTAAACAATCTTAAAGTCCCAACCGGTGTACCTGTCAAGCAGGTAGGTTTAAATGTATAGAATTATCGTCCCACTGTTCATAGTCCTTGGTGGAGTTTACTAGATCAATTCTTTTGGGTTGATTCTTCACCGGTATCGGAACAGAGTTTGTACATGGGGTTTCAGCTGAGCCGTCAATTTCCTTTCCGTCCTGGCTTCAAAGACTTGATTACTCTCATACATGGTCCTCTTAGGTGCAAGCTCGAGCATGGCAACTTTCTCCGGCATATCTTCAAATAGCGTAACACCTGTCTTGCTGAGCTTTCTTTCACTTCGTCAACATGCTTGAGTACGAGGGTGTTCTTTCTATTGTCTAGTATATGTCCCTCACCCCGGATGAACTTCTATGTCATAGCAATCTCCATTGCCTCTCTTTCTTCCTACTCGCTAATCTCGATGACCAGTTTCCTACAACTCACACCTTGGGCTACCTGATCCAACCCAGCGTTGATATACTCCAATCCCTTTCCCACGACACTCGGCTCCGGACTAGGCTTGACAGTGCCTCTGGTCAAATTCTCCCTCAACCAAGTACCTATCCAGTACCTGAACTGCTCCAGCCTTTCCTCTTCATTCGCCATGGAGGGCTTGACGAATATCACTTCCACACCATCTAGATCCTCTGCATCTTGTGGGATCGGCACTGCTGACCCTATCTTTGTTGACTTGGTTCCTTGTCCGCCAAAGGCCTTCAGCACAGCCTGGCATAGCGCGAGTTGACCTGTCGCGAGGAAGCAGTGTCGTATGGCTAGTCCATCAGCCTTGGCTGCAGAGATGATAAACTCCACGACAGATGGGTCTTTGTAGTCAAAGACACGATCGGCGCCTAGTGAGCGGATATACTCTTGGTTTGCTAATCCAGCGGTAGCATATACAGCCGCGAAAGGATAGCTGGGGTCTTGACGCATCAGACGGGCTGTCTGAACACCCATAGTGCCGATACTGGACGAAGCACCCCAAATGAGAAGAACTTCTTCTTTCTTGACGTGGCTTTTTGCCTCTTCTTTCTCGGAAGTGCTATTGCTCTGGTCTGCGTCAACGGAAGCAAAATTTCCTTCCATCCTTGGAATACCCATTTCATCCCAGGCACTAAGAGGTACCTGAACAGACACAGGTAGTGTTGCAGCGTGATTCCACGACATGTGGTCAGGGAGAGGTGCAACATGTTGCCACGGAACAAGACACTTTTCCTGGAAGGGCCCATAATCCGGATCACAGCCTCTCCAAGCCGAAGCAGAATAGGCAGCAACTCGGGTGACACCTGGTTGAAAGCATATTGTTTTGCCATCTGCATCACTAGGGACGTTCTCGCCAACCTCCAGAACGAGGCCTGACATGTCGAAGCCGATGACGGCGGGAAACTCCGATATGAAGAGGCCGTACTCGCGCATGAGGGCATCTGCTGGGTTTATGGCGACGGACTTGACGGCGATGAGGAGTTGATTTGGGCCTGGCTTTGGGGTGGGACGGGTTTGTATCTCAAAGGGTTGGCCTTTGCCTGGTAGGACAGCGGCGAGATGTGTAGGCATGGTGATTGTCGCGGAGATGTGAGTGAATATTGGGTTTGATAGAATACGATGAGCAGAATCTCTGGTAGGGAAAACATCTTCTCTTTATAGCTCATTCCATCATTTAAAACAGGGTATCTTGCATCTTCAAGATCGCTTGGCATTAATTCTTGAGTATCAACGAGCCAATCAGAGCTCTCTGCACCCGTGGAATGGTTAGCGTGAGATACAGTTCCGAAGCGAGGTTAGTGCATCGAGACAAAATACGTGTGGAGTTTTTAGAAGGATCCAACGTCTCTCCACTTGTTGCGGATCTTCTCGGTCAGTATTCACTCTTCATCAAGGAGAGCTTCTCAAAATTCATTCAGTGCAGGATTCTATCCAGTCATGACTTCGAACCCAATGAAGCAAGAGAGGCGGCCTATGCGGAGGTCAAGATACGGCTGCAGAAATTGCAAGCTTAGAAAGCTCAAGGTTGGTGGACCACAATACTTCGCTGAGCAACCTGACCCCGTTGGCAGTGTGATGAAAGTAAACCAAGCTGCAATAAGTGTGCTTCTTTCGGGGTACTGTGTAATTTCGGACTAAATATCCCGGACCTGCAGCCGATCACTTCTGACACTGGAAGATCGCTTGCTTGTCGGAAACCAGCACTTCAACCACCTATAGCGAGTGTTGTATGGACCTCCGATCGATACACAACTTATCAGTTAAACGCCAAGTGCCAGGACTTTGTAACCAGATACTACGGACGCAGTCTTCTCACGCCAGATGACACAAACATGTTAAAAGTCAACCGCAAGCTCCTCGACCTTGCCTTTTCCGTAAGTACCATTAATCGAGTCACCGGCAATAAAAGCTCATACGCTTACTTATAGTACCCCTGTTTGATGCACGCCTCATTAGCCGTGGCATTCACATACGATCGCTATCTGAGCTCCTCATCGAACCCCCGTCCAAGTCTGGAAGAGTGTTATCACTGGTCTCAAAGCACAGCTCTGTTCAGCAAGAGACTAAAAGAGCCTGTCAAAACAAAAGACAAAGACCCGATATGGGGCACTGCAGCTGCATTGGCTGTTTTGACCTTCTCGTGTCCAGATGCACACAGACCTGAAGACTCCTGGCCTTTGAAGTCGTCGGGCGAGGATGACCTGGACTGGGTGTATATGATAAACGGAAAGATGTCACTATGGGATATGGTGGATCCTCTACGGCCAGACAGCCTCTTCCAAGTCATGGCTGTGACGCTGGCGCAGATGCATTCACCCTTGCCAGAAGTTGGCATACACGGAATACCCGAGGCGTTAGCTATGGTCTGTCTTCTCGATGACTCTTCTACGCCAGATAACAACCCATATTTCCACGCCGCGCACGCTGTTTCTCGCATCCTCAGCCTTGCGGACAGCGATGTGACCACAGGCCACACTCAACTCTTTACACATAGACTTGATGGGGCTTTCAAGAAGTTACTCGTCGGAAGGGACCCAGTTGCTCTTGTGTTGCTGTACCTGTGGTATTGCAAGGCAGGGCGGAGTATATGGTGGGTTGAGTTAAGGGCCAGAGTGGAATGTCCTGCTATTCGCATGTACCTGGAACTTTATCACCCAGATGACTCTGCGGTACGTGCACTGCTTCAGACGGACGATATTACGATGGGTCAAGAAGTAATTAGGCGTTCCTTGCTCAATTGCTAGCTCGATTGCAAAGTAGGGACAATATGGCAGGCTCCTGGATGAATGAGTGGATAGAGTGACGGTGATAAACTCTTTGCGCAGTGGCATACGAAGCAAGTGATTGCTTTCTGGAGGCGCGACAAACAACGGCTTATGCTACTGGGCATTCAGACAGCACGGTAGGCGACGCTAATCGTAACGGAAGTACGGAAGGAGAAAAGGCACGGAAACGAGTATATCCCTCATGCAGCACGTATTACAAGAACAGTCAGTTGGGGTCAATCCATGGCCACTGAATCGTAGCAGTGTAGGCCTTGCCGCGTCGTTCCGGTCGAGAAAAACGGCCAGGACGCAGCTTGCCCATACAAAAGCCTGGGCTCCCGGAGGCAAGTCTGCATCACTCCAACATCGTAGGTGGAGTGATAAAGGAGTGGTTGTTGAGCGGCAGAGCCCAAGCGTAGGCAACCGTACAATCCACGAGCATGTTGAACCTGACCAGACGACTCAGAGTTCAGGATGCATACAGCCTCTTCCCCAGCGGACGCGGCGAGGCTTTGATAGCCTACAACCAACGCTATACCAGGGTTCCAAAGACGATCAAGCGGCAGATGAATCGCAGCAATAGCCCAGGCAATATGCTATTAGAGACCATGTTTCGAGAGCCGTCGCAGAACGCGTCGTCCCCCGTCTGCTTTGCCTACTTGTCCTCGACCGATGTCGCGCCCGTGGCATTGATAGTTTTAGGGTTTGGTATCGATCGTTGTATCTTGTCCAATTGTCAACTCGGCCGGTCCCATGCCGTGGGGCTTGGTTGAACGTGATGAAACCGCATCGGACGAGAGGACGTTGGCACTACTGCTCGTTCTTTCGCAATATGACGTGTTGCTGTCGTTGAACGTCGCGTGTGGATCTAGGGGAAATGCGACGCGCTGCGCCACGCCTCGATCTTGTTTCTTCCTGTGTTCGCGGATTGCAACGCGTAGGAGTGGCTGGTTCGAGCGCGAAGTGGTCTTCGTCAAGTGTCCGACGTGGCTGCAGTGTTTATGATTCGCAGGAGCCTGTTGGATCTGTCGATTCTTTTCTGTGGCTGGGCATATGTACTCGGGGTTAGTTCGTACGCGAGGGGATCTCTTTTTGCTTTACTGAAAACATGACGTAGGCACAAATTGTCGTTTTGGAAACTGGGCTTAACGCGCCGGTTCCGCTGGGGCTCGCGCAAGATCGGGAACGGGTCTGGGAAAATGCCAATTGCTGGAGCGGAGCAGAGCATTGGAGATTGGGACAGCAGTCACGTGTCTAGCATTGCGCGAGATTACCCTATATCAACCTATCACGAAAACATCACAACCGGACATTTACAATGTAGATTAAAGAGAAAAGTGAATGATGATTACGTTGACTATGCTTGCCTATGAGTACAGAGATAGTCTTCTAATTGATGACTGCAAAGAGTTGGATAGGCTTTTAGGAGATACCCCCTACATGTTGGCTTACAGATACGCTCGACTCTTGACGTTCTTGTCACAATTCGAGCAGCTTATCCAGTTGATTTCCCAAATCACACATTGTTTTGCCGTTGTGCCTCTGAAGCATTCCCTCCAGGCAGGACCAAGATCAACAGCACAGTACCACATAACTTCTTGGCTGCATGTGGCACAAGGGTGCTCACTTGAAGCTGCGCCGTACAGCACGTTGCATTATTGGGCCGCCTAGGATATCTCCACCTCGTTCTGCATGCAACTTGCAAATCCTGTAATTTACGCAACCTTGACTTGATAGTAATTTGCCGTTAAGGATCTCGTTTGCATCTGAGGGGAGACCTTGGCAGAGTAGATCACACATGCGTTACTGCATGGCTGACTTCGTTGGCCTCTCAGTAATCACTGTTTGTTCTACCCTACATTTTAATAGGTTAATAACAGCTGTTGCAAACTTTTGAAGAATTCATCCAAATATTCTAGAGAAGATCCAATAATGACAATGATTAGGCTATGTCAAACAAAAACTCGAAGAAGTGCTCAGAATAAGGAGCTGCTTGGCTATTTTCAGCAGAATCTCAACTTGACATGACGTTCTGTTATATGACAGGTGCAATATGTGTTTACTATTAAACTGGTCCGTGAGCTTGTGCATTACCCCAAGCTGTCAAAACCCTACAATGGTCAGGGGTTTTGATTCCACTGGTGCTGAGGCATGCCAAGGTGACAATCCGCCTTTATTCTTCGTGCCGGGCAATGATCAGCCCGAGCTGCCTGCCAGAGGAAGGAAAGAGACTAAACTCGTGAGTCGCTTATTACAAGAGGCGTGTGCTGTCGATTCATGGGTGTTGAGTCCCAGAGTTACTCAGTGGCGGCACTTCTTGTAATGGAGCTACGGAGCCGTACTAAGATAATGCTCAAGCCAGAAACAGCCTATTTGCTTACAGTTCTGAGATATAGTAATTCTGTATGATCAACAACTCGCACGTGGCATATCATTGCAATCCAGATCCCCGGATTCGCGAATGTTGCATCGCTCGAATGCTACCACCACCTGAGCAACAGAAATCAGTCCCCAATGCGGGGTGTCAGAAACACCGAGCCCCTGCGTACGATGCAAACCCATGCGAAGAACAGGTTGAACGCGTACCGATCCCGCGGAAAGTTTGAATCAACAGATGGGCATGGTCCGAAACTTTGAACCTGGGTACCGCATGTCTGGGTAATTAATTCCTTGGCGGCAAGGTGCTGATGGCGGCTTTGCACCCATCAGTGTTAGCTCGAGTGGTTGACCTGAAGATTGGGGGTTGTGACCCCAATGTTATGCAGGGCGCCCATGACTCAGAGCTTGTGATTCGGCAAACAAGCGATGGGAATGCCTGCCATGTTTGTAGAGCGCGTGGATTTCGACCGAGACACCGAGTTTAGGGATGAATGAAGACGAACGTTGAGAAAAGAGATGACATTTACAGACTGAAATTCATCGTTGTAGCCACAGACGGGGAGAGAAATTTGATGCAGTTTGCTCGGACACATAGCCAGATGCCAGATGTGACATAGACCGGCCCGTAGATTGCCGCATCTCCGCACTTGGCCGTAGTCATCGGCGAATTGACCAAGTCACCACGCGGAAACAAACAATGAGGAGAAAGTCGAGTGTCATAGTTTGGCCGTAGCTTGCATAAGCCAAGGACCCCGTCGCCACTTGAGGTGCTTGGACCTTTCCTTTAAAATAAGCTTGTCGCTGAAGAATCGGGGGAGACTAGACTTTGGGGTTAGGAGACTTTCAGCCGTTGTGGGGAAATGGGACGTTGACACGAGCGACGAGCGCGGAGACAGACGAGACGATGAGGAGGGTGGGATGGGGGTTGGTGTCTTGGTGACTCGACCCTTGTAGTTATAGTCTTGGGTTAACGTCTTGGCTTTACGACCAGGCTTGTTCGTCGGCCGAGGAATACCGATTCATTTGGTGAATTGCAGAATCTTGGCCTCGTTAAATCATGCTAAGACAATGCCCATCAGGTAATTACTAGGAAGCCGGGAATTTACAGCTGTCACTCTTGACTAGGCTCTTGGATCAAGATGGCGGTCCCATGACTCGACCAGAGAGAAGCGCGTCCCAATCCTGTCTAGAATCTCGGGCCAAGAGAGTCAGGAGCAGGCAGTGCTGGCCAATGGGATAGAGGAAGACTTCTCCCGCTCTGTCGTGGATTGGAAGTTTAACCGAGGTCCTTTTGCAGTAGAGGGCTGCGGCAAAGCAATCTACCGGTTCAAAATGCACAATCAAGAGCTGCGAATCAAGGAATACAGGTAGTAAACAGAGTCATTGCCAATGACATCTATCCGCACCATAAGCACGAAAAAAGGCTATCTCAAGAAGACGTTCGCATCTTATCTATTGTCTCCATCTCCATCCTCGTACCCCAGAAATGCATCCGAGTCCAGGTGGAACCGCCCTCAAATCCGGGGGCGTTAGTACCGGCGCTCCAACCTTAATTGGGGTCCCCATAAATCTTTCTTCAGCGCCTAACCACCGCTATTCTCGACACCTAACCGTAATTTTACAGCACGGGCAGGCATGCAGTGAATGACTTTCGGATTTTGATCCACCGAGTCGTCTCCCTGTGTCCTCCAAAAGGCATGGCTCGTCAAGCTCGGGTCAATGCCAGCGAAGCCACAAATCAACCTAATTCGTCGCAGTATGCGGGGAAAACGTCAGCCGTGGGTGTTTAACCTGCGTGGGAGTGGAAAGTGATTCGCGGACCCCGTGGGGAAATTCCGCCGAGATATCCCTGCCCAACTTGGCACAGTCGCGTTGGATAAGGATTCCCTGGGGGGTTTAGCATGGCAGACCCATCGACAAACTGGGGAATCCATAGATAGTGCGGAGGTTGCTTATATCTATGCCCTCCCCGTTTTCTGTTTCCCCAGATCTGCATCGAGCACTCTCGACAACCTTTTTCTCCTTCTCCTCCTCTACTCCACATCCTGCGACAGATACCATACTATGGCGCCTCCCGTAGACACCGCCCAGGAGGAATCCGGGCGAAAGGCCCCGGTTCACCACACCGAGTACTCAGGCTACAACTCACAAGTCGAGCTCATCGAGGCCGCCGTCGCTGCCAGTGATGCCGAGGCTCTCATCCCCAAGAAGGAGTTGTTCTCACGATACTGGCCTGCCGTCACATTCAGTATGCTTCTGAGTGTGGCCCTGGTCATGGAGGGTATGGATGTTGGTCTCATCAACAACTTCTTCGCTCATCCTGCGTATCTGAAAAAGTTTGGATGGCCTGATGCGGATGGCACACAGCATATCTCTACAAAGTGGCAGGGTGCCATTGGTGCTGGAAACAACTGTGGTTCTATCCTTGGTCTGCTCCTCAACGGTTGGCTGCAGGCTCGATTTGGTTCCCGACGAGTCTATATGGTATGTCACTCCCCCTCCTCACTGACTCGGAGAACACAAAACTAACGCTCAACTCTAGTTCGCTATGTCACTCATGGCATGCACCATCTTCGTCCTCTTTTTCGCCGTCAACGTCGAGATGCTCCTCGTGGGTAACCTCCTCTGTGGTATCCCCTGGGGTATCTTCCAGACCCTCACCACCGCCTACGCCGCCGAGATCTGCCCCGCCGCCCTCCGTGGGTACCTCACTGCCTGGGTTTCCATGTGCTGGGGAGCCGGAAGTTTCCTGGCCACTGGTGTCCTCCGTGGATCTCTGGACCTCAAGGGCGATGCCGGATGGCGAGTTCCCTACGGTCTGCAGTGGATGTGGATTCCTCCTCTGATCACCGTTGCCTACTTCTCCCCCGAGAGTCCCTGGTACCTCATCCGCCGCGGCAGAGTGGAGGATTGCGAGAATTCCCTTCGCCGCCTTGCTCGCAAGGGTCACTACACTGAGGAGACCATGGCTCAGACTCTGGCTCTCATGAAGCACACCAACGAGATGGAGAAGGTTGAGGCTGAGGCTGCTAGCTTCAGGGATTGTTTCCGCGGCACTAACCTTCGCCGAACTGGAATTGTCTGCATGGCCTGGGTCATCCAGATTCTCAACGGTCAATCCATCACCAGCTTTGCCGCCATCATGCTCAAGTCTGTTGGCATGAGCAACACCATGGCCTTCAACTACAACATGATCATCCAGTCGGTTAACATCCTCGCCACTTCCGTTGCCATCGTTCTCATGGGCCGAATCGGTCGCCGTACCTTCTACCTGTGGGGTTCCTCAGGTATCGGCGCATGCATGTTGATCATCGGTATCCTCGGCTTCGTCCCCAAGGTCGACAGCGTTGCCATTATTACCGCCGCCTTCCTGGTTGTCGTCCAATGTATCTTCAAGGTCTCTCTCGGTCCTACCACTTACGTCATCGTCGCCGAGACATCCTCCAGCCGTGTCCGAGCCCAGACAATCGTGCTTGGTCGCGCCGTCTACGTATGCGGTCAAATTGTCGTGCAACAGCTCAACCCCCGTATGCTCAACTCCAGCAGCGACGCCTGGAACTGGGGAGCCAAGACAGGAATGTTCTACTTCGGCCTTTGCTTTATCTGGGCTGTCTGGATCTTCTTCTTCCTTCCTGAGACCAAGAACCGCAGCTTTGCTGATATCGACTACCTCTTCCAGAAGAAGACCAACGCTCGCAAGTTCGAAACCACTCCGATTGATTGTAAGTTATATCCTCCACTCATCTTGATACGACATCGCTGACCACAAAATAGTGTTTGAGATTGTCGGACCCGACAGGACCGCAGATAAGCTCCAGGGTGTTGATGTTGTCACTCCCGTCAACACCAACACTCAGACAGCTGAGATCCAAGGCGACAAGAAGATCTAAATGGTTTAATGGAATCTATAAATTAGCATAATAGTTGGCACATTTGCCATTGGCCTTACGTGGAGCATAATATCAGAGCATATTTACTGCTTCTATCCTAAGAGTACACCTGTCCCTTCCGAGTTAAGTATATGTATCATATCTGTTGACGTAAAGATATCTCGGATTCAAGTTGAGGGCATTGCCATCGTCCCGAGGCATAGATCTCCCCTAATTACTCCGCAGGCTTTTGACCGTAAACAGCTGTTCTATAACAAATAGTCAGCACGAGCATGTCAAAGAGATGATGAAGGTAAAAGCGTACACTAAAACATATGAATGAAGCTTCCGGTTCAGCAGCTCTTTGCGCATATCGATAAGAAAGACTTGCGCCTTCTCATATTCCCACTATCGAACATTAGCTTCGTATACAAAGCACGCGATACAATGTGACACAGCATACTCCCAATATCTCAGTCAAGCCACGAATAGAGAAGCCCTCCAAGCCCTGCAACAAGAATTGGCGGTTCCAAGCACCCCACTGCTGCAGATCCTTGTTCTTTGCCCAAGTACCAATGGGCACTTTGACTTTTCGCTCCGATATGTTCTGCAGACCAGCTTCTTTGAATGCGTCGGCGGGGTTCCAGAAGAAGGGGTTGCCTATCTTTTTTCCGATCTCCTCGAAGATCTTAACCCAAGTCTTCAGTGGAGAATTAGGGCTCATGCTATCATCGTCTACCCTTGCGTCTCCCCAAAGTTCTACATGCTCGATCCAGCCGCCAGGCTTAAGGTGTCTGTACACTAGTTAGGTTTGTTCGCGAGGATATGGTAAGGGTTGATGTACGTTTGGGCTTTCTTGAGAAGCTCTGGCCAACTTGGGACAGTGCCTGTCATGTAACGGATGTGAATAAAGTCAAATTTGTTCTCTGGATATGTCCACTCCTTGTTAATATCATCGACCTCGAATCTACAATTGGGCGGAATGAAGTTTGGTTGGATCGGTGAGAGGTCAACACCAAGGACTTCAGCAGAAGGGTGCATGTCTGCCATATCACTGGTCACATTAGCAACCATGAGCTTTGTGGAGGATATGATGACTCACATAGCCCAGATACCCGTTCCGCAGCCGACATCCAGAACATTCTGTCGCTAGAGTGTTAGTGAGCTGTGATTAGCTGAAAGAGGAAGAGACTAACTTGTGGACTGTCGCCGATTGGCGCCTCGTAGAGCTTACCATCTAGAACTATACGGAACAACTCATGGCTAAGAAGCGGTCAGATAGGTATTGGAATTGGCATAGGCAAGGACTCACATTAAATCTTCAGCTTCCTGCTGGCGGTCATCATTTGGTGCCCTAGGAAATGGAATATGCGTCAACTGCCTGAAGTTATCGTCTTTGAATACAGATTCACTTACCAATAGGGACCATCTCCGTATGCGTGATAACGTCTACCATTCTCCCACTTGTAGTTCAGGATAGACTCTCTCAGAGATTCAGTATCGTTAACGCTGGTTCTCGACTGTATTAGTAAATGCCTCGCCAAATGGGGCAGTATATCTTACGCTACTGAATACGAAGAGTCTGAGTCGGAAGCCTGTATACAACAAGCATTAGTGTGTTGGAAGGGGCAACTCGAGAGAATTTGGTTTAGCCCACAGGTTCAATAGGAACATTCTCATGCTCAGCAGCCTCAGGCGTAGGCGACTTAGAAGTCTTGGCGAGTGACTTTGGCGAAGACATCCTCAGCCGTGATTGGTGAGAAGCGCTGGTGTTGGTTAACGCTCAGTGTACCGAGCAGACGGAAACGAGAAGTAAAAAAAGAACCCTTCGCTTCCGAGAAAAAAGAGGGAAAAATTAGATGGCGGTCAATCAATTTATCTCGCATTGCGTCTCCACGGTTCCCCCACTCGTATGTGACCTGTTGCGGTGGGGAAGCAATTGCCACGTAGTACTCGGCTGTTCTGATTGCATCCTTGTATCTTTTGTAGATCTTTGCCAGACTTAATTAATTCCAACTTACGATTACCGAAGGACGTGAAAGCTAAAATATTGAGTGTTTGGTCGGGGTGTTCTACTTTTGCTGCATAGGTTAGTGATATGAGATTGCATGATTCAAATTGTGACTACCTAGTATAGTTTCGTGCTAAAGTCCCAACAATGAGCCAACGAGAGATATACAATAACATAAATTCATAAAATTCAATTTTCTTTTACAAAAGTTAGTATCTAGTCCTAAGATAAGATTATATAAGTTAAAAAGAGCTAATTATAATTTAGATAATGTTATGTAAAATCTGGAATAGAAAAAGTTATCGGAACCTTTGCAAGCCCGCTGTAGTACCAGGCCCACTGAGATATTAAAGGAGGCAAAGCCGTAGTGAGGGTTCATTAGTATCTCGATATTCAATTGAAACAAGCTAATGCAAGTGATGTATCCGCTTTTTATTCGACTGTGACATCCCTGACCCTTATCTTCAGATCCTGTCCCGGCACAGGTGAGATGATACCCAACGTAGGCACCTTGTCATCCATCTCTGGGAAAGTCTGGCTCTTGCAACCACCAACAACCTCGATGTCATACCTCGTCAGAAGAATCGCTAGGTAAGTCAAAGCAGTTTGCTGCGCCAAAAGCCTCCCAGGGCACAGCGTAGCACCACCGCCGAAAGGCTTGTAGGTCCTTGCGTTCGAGAGCTTGGGGTTCTCAAGGAACTTGTTCATGCCGAACTTCGTCGGCTCTTCACCCCAGTATTCTTCATTGAGATGTAGCTGACGATACGGCATCATAACATCGCTGCCGGCTTTGAACTCAAAGCCGGCGATAGTCGTGTCCTGGACGACGCGGCGGAAAGTTGAGGCTCCGCCATGGATGCGCATAGTTTCGTAGAACGTTGCGTTTATCTTGGGGCATTATTTGAGGTACTCGACATCGGGTTGATTGTGGATGCCGTTTTTGAAAGCTAGCGCTACTTCGGCCTTCAGTTCGTCCTTAAGTCCAGGAGTATATAGAGTTTGCGCAAGAAGCCAAAAGGCAAGGATGGAAGGGTTTCCATTGATACTTGATCTGGTTAGCTGATCATAGGATTATAAGGAAGGGTATTACTCACGCCCAATAGAGTTTGAACAAGACAGCGGCGATATCCCGAGAGCTAATGCCGTGCTTACGCATCTCTTCCTCTGACCTCAACACGAATGGTGCAGCATCTAGTCTCTTTTCCGTCGGTAATTCGAAGTATTTGGTCAATGCATGGATACAGGAATCCTTGGCGTCGTGGGCCGTCTTGGATAGTATCTTCGGATATCGAAAAAGCAACTTCCAAGCGTGATGGTTGAACGTGTGGAAGGCGTCCAGCAACTCAGGTGCATGCTCAAAGACAGCAGTGCCAAAGAAGCTATTGGTCGATACGATAACAATGATGTCGCCCGTCCATTTGAGCATACCATGTATTTCGACCTTTCCTGTTGTGAACTCACTCTTTTGTTGCAGTACTCTGTCCAACTCCGATAGAAAGCCTTCATAGAACGATCGCGACGAAGGGCCCGGGGCCATATCCTTTCGCACCCAAGAGCGAACAGAGTTGGGGACAGATACAGAGGTGTCAGTGACTATAGTGTTCCACATGATATCCCTTGACTGCTGCGAAACGGTCACGTATCCCATGACTTGATCGACGTATGCATCAAAGAGCATCTCTTTAGTCTTCTTGTAAGTCTCGGCGATATGACGAGGATCAAGGATGATGTACGTGCGACGGCCACCGACCAACACGCTGAATGGCTGCGAGGGGGTTTTGAAGTAATTTCTCGTCCAATTAGTAGTGTATAGTGGAGATGAGACTCTTTGAGCTTACCTGGCTGCAACCAAGGTTTTGTGAGTATCCCTCAAGAACGAAACATTATGACCAAGGCCTGAAATATTAACGAACATTCTACTAACTTCTCCAGCTGGGTTACTTACCTGGTATCCAGTAAGGCAGCATGGGAGGTTCAGACTTCGAGTTCCATAGGGCACCCGACCGCAAGAGGTATTGCCATGTGACATATGAAGCTACACAGATTCCGAGAACTCGATAGATAGCACCATGAAAAAGTGCAAGTGTGGACCACCCAAGTTCCAATGACTGGAAAGTGGCATCATTACCAGGTGAAATAACAGTTGAGTTCATTGTTCGGTATCGAGCCGAGGGAGCATTTACTTACATCTTGCATGGAGGATTTAGGTCAACTTTTATAGATGAAATATAAGCGCTTGAACATAACCCTGGCTCCGAGCCTAGATAATTGTCGTCACTCATACGCCAACACGGCTATGTGTTCCGCCTCTTTGCTTCTCTTTACTGGCCATTGTTAACGATGCGGATAAGTGGCGTTGGCGACTATGCTCAATGCGAGTAGGCGAAGGAATGCCGAAAGTCACAATTGGATGATAGATGGATCGGAAAGCGGGACCAATGACAGCCACAACTACAGGGCTGTGATACGATAACAATAATCGTTGAAGATCGAGAGAGAATGGCTTCGACAGATACCACCTCAACCGGAACTATTGACGTAGACTCGTAGAATTCAAACTTTATGTTGCATGAGGGCTTGTGCGGAATGCATTCGTAGGTTCTCTTCTGGTCTGACCATGATGTCTGGTGAAACTATTTTCACATGCTTCCCTGTTTGTCCAAGACACTAAGGTGGTCCAGTGGAACAAATCCTTATCTCACTGCAGCCATCATTGGTGAGCTGTGCGAGACGGCCAAAATCTTTCAGCCCCGAGGGCAGGAACCCTTGCACCGCATTAATCCTTTCCTTAATAAGCAGGTGTAGTATTTGATAGAGGTTTTGATGAGAAAGAGGCGCAGAAAATCTAATCAGGTTTAGCGTTCACGAAAGAGCATTCTCAACGAGTGCGACAATTGACTAATCATCGAGGCTTCAACGCCACTCAAAGGAAATAAATAAAACCTGGTTCCTCCAGCTCTTCCCGGTTGCCTCAGTAAAGTTTGAGACATAATATGCCAGTTCGATCGTTCTCGGCCAGATCTTGTAGATCTGTCTTACTTGTGCCGTATCTGCCAATCATAGAACCTGATAAACAAAGTTACACCTCAGCTCGATAAGCGGCTGGGCGTAATGTGCAGAATGTCTCGGTTCTTTCCTCCTCACAGGCTCCTCGAAGGGTTGCGAGTATCCAATTGGACCTTCCTTGTGCGACTTCAGTGAGACATTGTCTTGTGATCGACTTGTCTGTGAGTGAGGGGTTGGTCAAACATTCTTTCCGTTCACAAATCTTTCCGTTGGGACTACATTTTACTTTCGCAGATCTTTACTGATCGAATAACCTTATTCGATCTCTCGGCGCCATATCGTAGATCTCTATTACCGTCATTCAGTTTCAGCTTGTACAGCTTACATCTATCCACGCAACTGGGTTATTCGCCTGTTTGGAGTACCCGACTTTGTGCTTGTACCACCGTCACCAGCCGCCATGTCGCCGGATTCTTCAGATAGCTCCGTCAATAGCGATGCACTTGAACTCGAAGCCGCGGGGTACTCCCAGGCGATGCCGCGCCGCTTCTCACTCTGGTCTCTAGGCGCGCTATCCTTCACTCTTACCTGTACATGGCTCGGAACCGGGTCTTCTATCGGCATCAGTCTCACAGAGGCGTCTTCAGCTGGAACGTTGTGGTCTCTTCCTATAGCTGGAGTGATGACTACCATCGTTTCGTTGGGAATGGCAGAACTTGCATCTGCTTATCCAGTTGCGGGTGCACAGTACTATTGGTCATTCATGGTGGCTCGTGATGACTATAAGGCTTTCGCATCTTACTTGTTCGTACCTGATAGCCTCGCGCTTAGCATGATACTGACCTGTTGACAGGAATGGCTGGATGAGCGTCATCGGTTGGTGGCTCGCGTCAAGCTCAGTCTCCAACTTTGTGGCATCCATGATTCTTGATATCGTTGGTGCGTGGCACCCGGATTGGGATCAAAAGCGATGGCACCAATACGTGATATATGTTGCTCTGATCTGGATCGCAACCGCAAGCAACATCTTTGCGTCACGATGGATTCCGCTGTTCAATAAGATGGTATTTGTCTTATCAGTTCTAACCCTTGGCGCCACAACGATTACGCTCTTCGTTGTAACGAAAGATCACGCATCGGCCAAGTTCATCTTCACCGATGCAACTAACAGGACTGGCTGGTCAAGCGACGGCTTCGCCTTCATGCTGGCGGTAGGCAATGCCGTATATGCCTTTTTGGGCAGTGACTGTGGCGCTCACTTGTGCGAAGAAATTCCCAACCCAGCCAAGAACGTGCCCAAGGTTATGATTTACCCGTTACTGATGGGATTACTCACAGCATTCCCATTCGCAGCTTCTCTCATGTATGCAACAAAGGATATCTCGGCTGTCCTCAACACAGCTACTGGGTTGCCCTTGTTTGAGATTTACTATCAGGGAACTGGATCTAGGCCTGTCGCGTCGGTGTTAATGGCTTTGTTTGCATTCTGCTTCTTTGCAAATCTGGTTGCTAATGGTAAGAATCCTTCGCTCACAAGATACATCCCGCTGACTCCCCTAGCGACGACTTCATCACGCACGTTGTGGGCTGTTTCCCGAGACGGTGCCTTACCATATTCTCACTTTTGGGAGCGCGTTCACCCCATCTTTGAGGTCCCAGTTAATGCTCTAGTTCTTTCTGCGACATTCATTACGGTCAGTCAGTTTACCTATTGACATTGACGTGTTCTTACCGGTATTATTCCTAGATATATGGTCTTATTTTTCTCGGATCATCGACCGCCTTCTCCGCCATGGTCAGCGCGGCCATCATCTTCTTACAAACATCATGCGTCATCCCCCAAGCCGTGCTACTCTACAGAGGACGAGAGCGCGTTCTACCGGTTCGATATTTCAACCTTGGCAAATACGGCGCCCTCATCAACGGCATATCCGTTGCTTGGGTAGTCTTTCTCGACATATTGTACTGCTTTCCCACAACCGTGCCAATCACCGCACAAAACATGAGCTATGTTTCAGTAGTATTTACTGGGCTAGTCGGTTTTGTGATTGTCCTTTGGTTCACAACCAAGAAAGGGACTTTTACAGGACCAAGAATTGATCTCGATTCATTGAATACTAGACGTCTAGCAGCAGTTGAGACTTTGGAAGGAGCTCGACTGACGGCAGAGTATCATCCGTTGCGAAACTCGGAGACGAGAAAGGAGGATTAGGGACTAGGCCAGTACTGTGATATTTTGGCTTGATATCTGAGCGATAAGTGTTCTTATCCTCAATTGCGGGACTGAGATCGGGAAATTGAACGCGCTAGTGGTCGATCAAAGGGAGATCGGGCTGGTGCCTGAAACACATCCATACGAATTTCCATTTGTAGTTATCAGACTAGGGTTTTCGCATCAGACTTATCACGACCAGCCATTATCAAATTTGCAAGGATTCTGGCAACACAGTTATGATGGGGCATTTTCTATGTGCTACTGACCTGACGTCTACCTTGCTTCAGATACTCTCGTTTCTGATAGGGATTGCACAATATCTTGTATGGATATGGATTCTCCCCAAAGATGGAGCGTCTGTGGTGATGCTACCGAAAGGGGGATTGGAGCTCACAGTATCTACGACATGAATCAACCGTAGTACAATAATTTCTGAATACCCAAGGCTATGGTAACGATCGCAGAGGGCTTCTCTGGACTTCTGGCTTACTTGCTTGTGGCCTCGAAATTGGATGTTTTGCAGGAAAACAATGGACTAGATACCAACCCCGGAGAGCCCAGGATGTACCTAGATCGCGTGTTGATGAAGAGACATATTCTCAAAGGATATTGCAACACATCGACACAACACCTGGGTGTTTAAACCCATTCAAGAATGTTATCCTGCTGTCATATAAACTCGCATCACTGACGATAGACCCATACATATAGTGGTTCTCAGGCAATGGTCGTTGTTGGCCGGAATAAGCCGTCGTAATTTCCGATAAAAGTAGAGCCTGCAAGGATGTTGAAGAAATTGTTCTCGCTTTGGCCCGGGGAGTGAATCATACAGCCGCTCTTAGCGGGACGAAGAATCCACTTGTCCAGGATTCACTTCCCAAGGTGTTTTGTAAATGTGTAAGATATTGGGAATATCTGTTGTCCGTCGACTCAAAAGAACATTTGTCTATTACTAAATTGGGCTCTTTAACAAGAATTGGCCTTGTGTATCAAATTCCTGCTGTTGTTAGCATATGTTTCATTCAACCGTGCATGGACAACCCCAGTCATATCCGACGCTAAGTACCAACAACATCGTGAACTTCAACGTCTGGGCGTAGGCAGCAGTGCCTTGGACTTGCAGAAAATTTCCTCAAGATAGATAAATAATGCTACTATTGTCCCAGTGGCTTTTCCCGATCATCCATCGACAACACCGGGCAGACAAAAAATTCTCAAGCCAAGCTCTACATCCCATCATCTTCATACTACATACAATGTTCGGCTCAATCAGAACTCTTTTCTTTCTTTGGTCAATACTAGGCTTCATCACAAATATCTCCGCCCATCAACAATGGCCACACTCATATCAACAACCCGCCGTTCCTGCGTTGCGGTACACACTCGCACCACAAGACTATCATACACCACCCCCTTCAATCACACCACAGCCAATGACACGCTTTGATCGACATGGCATGGACGAAGCTTTGCATGCATGTGCAGAGCATTGCGAGCTTGAAGGCCGGCTGGTCGCCCATATGCGCCACGATGCTTGTTATTGCGCCCTCACTAGTCTGCCTAAAACGTTGATTCAGGATAGAATACAACAGACTATGCCGCAGGCCTTGATCTCGTTATATGGCATCTGGTGGTTCCGCGGCGAAAGAATTTGACAATACCCATACTACCTTTTACACCACAAATGGCAACTCAACATACCTTTGCTTATCAACTGTTGATGAAAGGCGAAACTATTCTCTTTTCCCTTTGTAACATAATGTTTTACTAGATCAGCGAGGATTTATACCAATGCACTTTTGATCAATCATCCACAATTCTCGGCGTGTTGATGTGACAACACCGTGACCACTCACCACGCCTCAGAAACGCCAATTGACTTGCTGGACATGTCGAAATGTTTGGTAATGTTTTAGCTTCTCCCAAATCACAATTGGTTTGGCAAGTAGAAGTATTGTTGCGCGAAGATCGTCAGTCCAAGCCGGTACTCTTAATCGAGAAGTCTAAGCCGTACATATCACTGTCGTCATGTACTGACAGCTGCTAAATCTCAGCTGTAGTTGTAATAAATAACCTACCACCTTCCAAGCAAAAAGAAATACTGTAGGCAGTATCAAAACGTTCTGAAAAGCAAAAACAAGGTTACGCCCGGGCTCGAACCGGGGACCTTCTCGGTGTGAGCGAGATGCCATAACCAACTAGACCACGAAACCAAGAGTTATGATTGGATGAAAAATAATGCTTCAATCTGAACCTAACATTGGCTGTGCTTTTGCCTCTTGGATTCGCGGCCTTTGCTCACGTGTTCAAGGAAATGGGAGGTCTTGATGCAGTGTTACCAAAAAGCGTGCCAGCCAGGGCATCACAGAACGCCAACGAAATCAACTAACCGCCCGCATGCACGCCACCAACCTTGGGGGAAGTTGGCTTCTACTCAGTGATTCGGAAGATGGAATATTTACTCAGGGAGACAAAGAAACATTGGATACATATTCTACTTAGTCATTAAGGACATACCCGGTTTGATCCCGGATCAAATTACAATGTCGTTCATGATAATCTCCATGCATGCAAATTCCATCATATTTCAAGACCGAGTAATCTCTTTGGTATATATACAATCATAATGCCGTTGGCAATCTACAATTCCCAGGTCAAAGTTACAAGTCCTCCTCCTTTCCAGGCTCAGACTTCTTAAAATCAGGCTTGGTGATCACATTGTTATCCGCATCCTTGATCTTATCCCAGAACAACTCGGCGTTCTTGGGATCGTTGGCAAACAGGGTATCAACCACCTGCTTCTTTGGGGTCTCTCCCATCCACTGGAACAGAGAGAAGTCTCTAAACTCATCAGCACGGAAGATTTCAAGCATCTCAATAGGCTCGTCGCCGATGTTCTCAACAAAATGACCCATGTTGCGCGGGACAATGCCGACATCTCCGGGGACGTAGTCAAAGGTCCTTGCAGTTCCCTCGGAGGCAAAGATGGTCACCCTGGCGCGACCCTTGATAAAGAAGGACCACTCGTCTGCAGTTGGGTGCCAATGCATCTCCCGGATAGCACCGGGCTCGATGATAGCGTGGGCTGCAGCAATGGTCTTGGAGATAGGGAAGTTCTTGGAGTCTGTGATGCGGACTTGGCCGCCGTTTGTCTTGAGGGGCTCCTGGTCGAGCATGCGGTGAGTGAAGTTGTACTTTGACTTCTTGACCTTCTTTCCGCTGGGCTGCTCATCTTTGATGGAGCCGGGTGTTCGGCCCTGGAAGATGTACTTTTCTCCTGCGGGAAGGTGGGCAAAGACTTCAGGGGCCAGGTCAAAGTTCTTAGAGATAACGGACTTTGGGGTGTGGGCTGTAACTGTTAGCAGGGCTATTTTCTGCAGGCGAACATAACTTACCCAGCCAGTCAGTGAGAACGAATGTGGACTCTTCGGAGAAATGTCCGTCGTCAAAGATTAGAAGGAATTCAGTGCCATTGGGGCTCAGCCCTTGAAGGGAGTGAGGGACTCCGCTGGGGAAGTACTGCAAATTCGTTAGATGGTTCTTGATCTGCACAGAATGTAACTCACCCATAAATCGCCCTTCTTCAAATCATCAATGAAGTTACCACCCTCATAGTCAAGCGCAGTTACTCGCACTTCTCCATCGAGCACATAGGCCCACTCGGCCTCCTTGTGCCAGTGAAGCTCACGATACACGCCTTCGTCAAGACGCATGTTTACACCAGCCAGCTCAACACTTGTTGGAAGCTCGCGAATGGTGGTTTGACGGGTCCAGCCGCCCTCCTGTTCAGTGTAAGCCAGTGTCCTCATTAAGAAATAAGCGCACATACCTCAATTCGAATGTGGGAGTCAGCGAAACTCCAGCGCATGTTAGCCAGGTTACCACGGTCGGTGCCTGGCGGTCTAACAAGATCTGGGTTCTGACGAGATCGCGCCTCATTCCAGGGGCCGAGAACAGAAGCTCCGAGACCATTGCGCCAGGGGAGAGGGTCAAGATCGTCCCCGACAGAGTCAACTGGCTTGTCAACTGGGTCTCTATGACCTGGCGTGAACGGGACATTCTTGCCGCCCGTCACACCACGGTAGTTGGAGGGTATCTTGAGACCATTGAGCAGACGTTGACGAGGACTGTCCTGCACTGGAACACCTGCGCAGACGTCCAGAAGGACGGGGAGATAGGCAATGTGACGCAGATGCATGCTTGCAGAACTAGGGCTGATGTGTGTTAGTGATTTTGACAACGACGGGGAGATAGAATGGCAATTGTAGAGTTCGTGTCAACACTAATGATTGAATGATCAAGAGCTTCAATTGCTAAATTGCCTTTGAGGTTAAGTAGCTTGATTTTCGCGTACACGGAGCATTGCCAAGATCCCCTCAGACGAAATTCATGACGCCGAGAATGCGATCACCGGCGCATCACCGAAGCATGTCTTTTCGGGGATACAAACCCGTCTGGTGTAACAGTGCATGACGATGATGACTGCCGTTGTAAACGCGGGACCCGGATAACCGGCACTTAGCGTACTGAGGAGAACCTTGTCATGATAGGAACATGTTAGACTGTGGCACAGGGGGATGAGTTTGATAGGTACTGGATGAATCCCTCTAGAAAGCAAACTGTGAATTCCAGCGCTTCCTTGATGTTCATAGGTTGTTTTACTATACGATTGGTAGGGTATGATTGGGCGGATGCGGGTTACCGAGAGTGGTAAGAAAGAGGGGGTTAATGCTGTTGAAAACGATGGTGTGAGACGATGACGCGGTATGACCGTCTAAACTTCATTTTAACAATAAGCTCTTTGTAACATTTCAAGCTTATTACCAAGAACTTAAGACCAAGACGGCCCGGACGGCCTCTTGATGTGTGAGAGCGGGGAACAGTTCTAGCTCCGGGACTCACCAGGACATCCCCGCTTGGCCAAGGAGAAATAATCATGGCAGCCGATCTTAGTGTGTTTCTAGTGCAACTCTTAAAAGCCGGGGTAATGTGAGAGATGGCGCAAAGGTCTTGGGCTTACTGACCTGCCTCGGTCACTCGGTGAATACGCGGAGTTGAGTGCGATTGAGGTTAGATACGACAGGCAGTTTCACCAATTATCGAGTTGTGGAAATAGCAGAATTACAGCGATCGTCTTGGCGCCTTGTTTATTTATCCCCTCACTAGTGAACCGATATTTTAATTAAGAATAAACCATCCAGAGATCTTACCAAACAGTAACAACACCCAACTCACTGTAACTTAAATTACTCCAACCAACGAAATGTCTCATCAAAACACTCAGCCCTACGGCACAATCTCCAATGGCGAAAGCAGAGCAGAAAACGGCATCTCCTCTCACAGCGATGAGACGCAGGCTCTGCTTGGGCCAAAGCCGGGATCTAGATCGTGGCTGCGCAAGAGATTAGGTGCTGATGTCCGACGGGACTGGGCCGATGTGATGCTTCTGGCGTGTTATATCATAACAGGCATTCTCGACAGCGCGTCCATATCTACATGGGGCGCTTTTGTCTCCATGCAAACTGGTACGACTCTCGCCAAGATAAACTCTTGTCATACTGACGCTCTGGATAGGAAATACTGTTTATCTTGGTCTTGGTCCAACAGCGGGAACAAACCGGTGGAAAAAGTCTGGATCATCAATCCTGGCCTTTTGCATCGGTTCTTTCTTCTTCAGCCGTCTTCACAGGGTCTTCACGCCAACCCCAAGACGCAAATGGGTTTTCTGCGTATCTTTTGGCATCCAGACAGCTTTCATCATCGCAGCGGCATCAATCGTGACCTGGGGCCCCAAGGGTGCTGGCCCGGACGACGTACCCTGGTACGTAATTGTACCAATCGCCCTCGTCGCGTTTCAAAGCTGCGGGCAGGCCGTCGCCAGCAGAGCCCTCAAGTTCAACGCCCTCACGAGCGTCGTGCTGACCAGCATCTACTGCGACCTGTTCTCCGACGCAGCACTATTCGAGAGCGTGTTCGCCAACGCTGAGCGAAACCGTCGAGTTGCAGCACCGGCTCTGCTCCTCATAGGCGCCGTGATTGGAGGAATTATTGCCAAGAGCGAACTGGGAACTTCTGGGGCGCTTTGGTTAGCTGCTGTGCTGAAAGTGCTCGTTATGTTTGGTTGGGCCGTGTGGCCTGCAGATGAAGAGGGGTCCTGAGAAAGGAACTATCGGTCCTAATAATAGCGATTTAAGCGATCGTTGTAACCGGGAGTTATATCCAAGTCTAGACCTATGAGATCGACGGCACTTGGTCTATTTAGGAAGCTGTTTTAGCTCTACATGAAACTACTAAGCGTATTCTATTATGACTCGTATCAAACACTCGAGACGGTTCACCAAAGCCAACCATTAGTCATGTTGCAGTATGCCGTATAAACCTAGCCATGTATTACTTCCCTCAACCGAAGCTGGGAGTGTAATTCGCATTGACCCCTCATCTGGAAGGCCGATCTTGATGTCTATTATGCAGTAAGCGGCCTCGAGCCTTAAGGTTCCTCCTACAACGTAGCAACGCAACCCCCCTTTGCCGATTATGCGGTTTCTTCAGACACCTTGTACGCCAAAAGTCAGCTTACTGGCTGTCTCTACCACACGCAAATCCTCTGTGCGCACGATCTGATACCACGAACTGAACTCAATCGCCCTCGAACGGCTCGGAGTAAGAGGATATTTGTCGGTGTTCGGTATCGAGGCACATCTGTTGTCGATGATTCCTTGATGGGGATATGCGCCCGCGCGTGCGAGTGTTACATTTATAGTCGTGCCCAATCCGCGATGCAGTGTCTTGCCGGAGGGTGTACGGCGGCTGGTTGCAGCTTGCAGCAGATAGCTCGGTGTGATACCCTTTCACGATGTGAACTTTTGCGACATGCCCAATCAGTGGATGAAGCATATGGCACATGATAGCTTGGTGATGTTGTGAATAGTGTAGGATAGACTCGGTATAGTGATGTGATGACTTGTTACAGACTGTGCTGTTTCTAACAATAGCGCGTTTCTATATCAATAGACAGGTAACCAGTCCTCGATCCAAGTTGTCCTTACTCAACATCTTCATCGAATACTGTCTACAGTCCTTTGAAAGTCAACATGAAGCTGCTCGAAAAAGCCAAATCAGACGTTGTGAACGATGTCACTTGGAACAGAGCAGCTCGACTAGGAGTCAAAGGAGCCAGAGCTCTGCCATCGGGAACGGTGCAGTATCTTAGCGACAAAGTCCCCATTGTTGGCTGGCTGCCAAGATACAACTACCGATGGCTCGTGAATGATCTAATCGCTGGGCTGACTCTGGGTCTCATGTTGATTCCTCAGGGTTTGTCATATGCTAAGATTGCAGACATTCCTGTTGAGTATGGGTTGATGTCCAGTTGGCTGCCAGCTGTGATCTATGCCTTCATGGGAACCACCAAAGGTAAGTTATCATGAGCAAGATTGTTACATAGCCCAGTCTAACAATAGATAGATGTCTCGACAGGTCCAACATCACTCATCGGCCTCCTCACGTCCGAAAACGTCCACGCCCTTCAAGATCGATGGACTCCTTCAGAGATCGCCTCTGCAACGGCTTTCATGATGGGAATCTATGGCATGATTCTCGGCTTTTTGAAACTCGGATTCCTCCTCGAATTTATATCTCTCCCAGTTCTCAGCGGATTCATCACTGCCATTGCTATCACCATCATACTCAACCAGATGGACTCTCTCCTCGGCGAGGAGAACGTCCGCGATGGTGCAGCAAAGCAAATCCACGATATTTTCAATGAGCTTCCCAATGCCAACGGCTGGGCTTGTCTGATTGGCTTCACTGGTATTCTATTCCTGACTATTCTTGAGAAATCTGGAAAGAGGTGGAGCAAAGATAACAAGATCATATGGTTACTCTCCACCACAAGAGCCTTCCTGGCGCTGGTGCTTTTCACTGGTGTCAGCTACGCAGTGAACAAGAACCGAGAGGATTATCTCTTCGAGGTTGTCAAGGTCAAGTCCACAGGTCAGCAAGCACCGACAATGCCAAGATCCGACCTCATTCCTGAGGTTGCTGGGCGCAGTATTGCCGTGTTCATTGGCTCTGCAGTTGAACACTTGGCCATTGCACGTGCTTTCGCTGTCAAGAATCACTATACCTCTGATCAGAGTCAAGAGCTTTGCTATCTTGGCATCACCAACTTCTTCAACAGTTTCTTCCATGCTATGGGTGTTGGTGGTGCCATGTCTCGTACAGCTGTCAACTCGTCGTGTAACGTCAAATCGCCTTTATCTGGTGTCGTTACCATGGCTGTTGTACTAGTATGTGTCTACGAACTCGTCGGAGCGCTGTTCTGGATTCCAAAGGCCACTCTTGCTGCTATTATTATTACTGCCGTCTGGGGACTCATCTCGCCTCCTTCAACATTCTATCGGTACTGGAAGACGTCTTTGGCCGACTTCATCGCTTCCATGCTAGCTCTATGGGTCACGCTCTTTCACTCAAGTGAAGTCGGCATCGGCTGCGCTGTCGGGTTCAACATTGTCTACATCCTGCTTCGCCAGGTCTTCACACGGATATCATCAACTGGAGCCGATGTTGAGTCAAACATCAGATCATCCTGGTCACCTCGAAGTAACGGTCCGTCAATGATTATCTCTGAGGACACCAGAATCTTCACCTTCAATGAGTCTCTCATCTTCCCTAACGCTTTCCATAACACCTCAAAGGTACTTGATGAGATCCAAACCTTCCATGCACCTTTCTACAGTGGCAGTCATGGCCCCGAGACAGAGCGAAACTGGTCTGTCGTAGGAGAAAAGAAGGTTGCACGTCTACGCAAGCAGGCCAACATCACCGACCCTTCATCATTGCCAGGAATTGGACTCGTTATTCTGGACTTCTCTCGCGTCAACATGCTAGACACAACTGCTGTCACATACCTCAAGAACCTGGTAACTAACTTGAAGAACTATGGAGGAGACGGTATAGAGGTTCGATTTGCCAACATGAACGCCGTGTGTCGTGAGCGAGTAACTCGGGCAGGTTGGCGCCTCGTCGAGGTCGGCTCGGAAGAAGAGTTCGATGGCGACTCAGATGATGCCATGTACCTCTACTGGGACACGGGGGCGGCGCTAGCGGCTCCGAGGAGGAGAGGCTCAATATTGAGTGATGATGGAAAAGGCCACACGATGCACGAGGAGAAGGTTGAGTAACAAGCAGGGCAAGGAATGGAGGGCGGCGGAATAAGATACCATTGGGAGTTTTTCACTTTTGTCTTCGTAAAGCTATCATGACGTTCTCTGATGAATATACTTTCTTGATTGCATCTTTTACCGGTCTCGCGTACATAAAATGCCACATTGTTTAGCTACCTACACTCTTTCCATGGTGACCTGACAAGTCTACACATGTGATCATGTCTTGACAAGCTGCGTATGATCGGCCAATGACTGTATGATTCTAGATCTACAGTGTGGATATTCATTATTCTCATCACAAGTTCTGAACTTCGCCTTGTAAGCAGCCACGCATACCTTTGTTCTGAATGCCATTATTTCGCAAGTACCTGTCTATTTGTTTAGAGGTCTTTGAGAAATCCAAGTCAAATGATGGACTCCTTTTATACTCATTTAGCCTCGTATCAGAGGCAAGATATGATACCTCGTCTAGCTTTCCCTAACAAAAGTCCTGTGCTCTCTCACCGCAATTTCCTCCCCCATTGCGGGTCCAGACTTATTTACTTGTTCTTCCAATATGCTATTTGGCATTCACCGCGTTCTCATCAGATATCTGTCTCAGAAGCCTGGCAATAAAGACTTTGTGATAGCATGCATGATACTCTGCTTGACAAGTTCATAGGCTTTCTGTAAATAACCTTGACAAGCTTCAACTCTTATACATACTCATTGTTACGACAGAGCTGGAATATATCCTTTAGCTTTCCAGTGGCAGGACTAAGTAGGAACGCCTTACAATACCCCCAGACGATATTTACCAAGAAACACGGGAATGTAAAGTACTTTCCTAGATTACAAATATCCCAGATGATGGAGGTCGATATTAAGATAACTTGGGAGATCGTCTGTGGTTAGAAACATAAGGCTAAGATCGTGAATGAATTCCAGCCATCAGCTATGTCAATGGAATGAAAAAAGTCCGAATTCGATATGATCCGGAAAGCCCGTTCGTCACGACTTCCAACTTGCGAGTTCAGTCCAAAAGCAAATAGATACGGACCAACATTCCCGTCATTATAAGATTCCGTCTTGAAATGATCAATAGAAACTGCATGTTATGAAAGTGAACGAAGTGCTCAAATACAATAGATCATCGCTCGCACGTGAAAGATCAACAATAGTCCGCAGATCATTCGAGCTCCCCGCAGCGGTATAGACTGGGTTATCAATACGATAACTCGTATCTCGGCAGATACGAGTCCAGGCCCAGAATGTTCCCTTTAGCCGACTGGACCGCTTCTTCAACAATTGTTCTCGGATCATATGCTAAGGTCTAGACTTTTAGTGATCCGCAAAATATGAATACGTATGATGCGCACGGAACATCGCCGCACGCTAGAAGAGGTCTGGAATCGGTCTGGAAGGATATCTCGGGCAGAACTCCTGGCAGCTGTGAAGAGCCAATTCATCGAATGATGTCCATTGAGCACTGTATTTGAGCCTCAAATCTTTTATCATGTCCTTTTAACCAGTTCTGACCTCATCTTAAGTTCAATTGACCTCTGACATCAGTCCGAGCCCTATCATTTGACGTTCCGTATCCCCCATCATCAATCACGCTTGCACAATACGAGGTCAGCCAAATACGAGCTGCAAGAACCTAAAGAGCTCCCAGCCAATTGAAACAGGCGCATCCCCACCATTGACTTTGGGATACGATCATTTCCGGCATTCCTTAGTCTTGTTCGGGGCTAGCAAGTCTCAGCTGATCTGATAGCTCAAACTCTCGGTACTCAAAGAAGAGCATCGTTGCGGACCGGTCCGTAAGATCCAACGTAGACCGCTCTCAACGTGCGGTGAATGAGGGCCAGGATGGGTGTTTGCGCTTGGCTGCGGGGGAATGATGACGGGCTTATTGTAACACGAACTTTGACGGATGTATCGGCTATTTGTGGTAACAGTGGCAGAGCGACAAGTATAAAGAGTGAATGTGGTGCATCACCAAGTCTCACCAACTCATCACAAACTTCCTCTTAGATCATCAACCACCCAAATCTTCAACATGCAGCTGACCAACCTCCTCTGCCTTGCTGGCGTTCTGACCTCCGCGTCAGCCATCACTGGTACTTCACTCCGAAATCTCCCACCCACGATGAAAACATTTAACAGATAGTAGTCTCCTACGACCCCGGCTACGGCGATGCCAGCCGCGCCATGACAGCCGTTTCATGCTCCGACGGCAAGAACGGTCTCATCACCAAGTACGGCTGGAAGACCCAGGGCAACATCCCCAAGTTCCCCTACGTCGGCGGCGCGCAGGCTATCGCTGGCTGGAACTCTGCCAGCTGCGGTACCTGCTGGAAGCTCACCTACAAGGGAAAGAGCATCAACATCCTGGCCATCGACCATACTGCTGCCGGTTTCAACATTTCGCCCGCTGCGATGAACGCTCTAACCAACAATCAGGCTGTCAAGCTCGGCCGGGTTGATGCTACCGCTACCCAGGTGCCTGTCAAGAACTGTGGTCTCAAATAAGCTCAAATTCGATTGTTGGATGATGGATGATGGATTTAATGATTTGGATGACGTATAGCGATGATATTCTCTTCTTGATAAAGTTTTGCGCCAAGTCCGGTTTGAGCATTCTGTATCTGCTAAGCCTGGACAAGTTGGTACAACCTAGCATACCACGACAACAAGTGGAAACTACTTAATCAACTCAATCATATTCTTTGATCAATTGCATAACAATCTTCGAATCCTCCTTCGCACCTGTTTTATGACGTGTTGTGCGACGTCGAAAAAGATGTTCAACTTTGCACCTAGATCGATGAAAACAATCGTCTTCATGGTTTTCAAACAAATCATGTTGTCACACGTAAGTTTGCGCATTGACAATGACGTGACGGGATATATGTCGTAGAAGTTTAAGCTCATCGCATGTTTCATGTTTACGGCCTTATGTCATGCATATAAACACGTCAGCAGAATAAACATAAAATGACAAGATACTAAATGACCACGTCACTTTATTAGCTCTGCGATCCCGTTGCATGAAAGAGCCTTTGGTTTCTGAGACTTCCAAGTTCATTGGCTAGGAAGCATGATCCAAGTGGTGTACAGATGTAGACTTCTTTCATCATATGGAGGATACGGAAGTAAAATCCATGCTGCTGCGGTCATCTCGTGCTAGTTTGTGTGGGTCAGTGATATTAGTGGTAGGATTGATGTCTTGGAGGAACGACAGCAAATGATAACCTCTGTGTAGTATTATAGTGCAACACCGAGTCAGCCGTTTGAGCTTAGTCCACAGATTGAATCGTGCTATTTCTGAAGATAGCAGGGCACGCGGAGGGTTTCTTCATTCTTCTATAATTGCAGTATGAAAAGACTGTGGCCTCATAATATTAATCTCTGACATAATGCTAATGTTGTAGTCGAGTAAGTGGACCATACAAATGCCGGCGTGATGATTACAATGCATTCCTTCTGTACCATCTCACACCGAAGCAGCCAGTTGCTTACATCCATATTTATGAGGCCGAGCCACTTCCTATGCTAACAATTAAACTCTCCATTGATCCTTTCGGAAACGTCGGACGAATTAGTGCAACGCTGGCATACAGCCATCAAAGACGGCAGGACAAATCACCAGCTTCCAATGACGCTCCGCAACCTTGGAAGTAATTAAGTATGCATCAAGTCAGTTGGTCCAAGGATAGCGACCTTTATGCAGGGGCACCACGCCACATGCGAGAGTCACACGGCCACTCCATACTGAAACACCACTGGCCCACGACCATTCAAGGATCACGTCCGGAAATAACCCCTCGGCTGTGCGCATCCTTGCAGCGCAAATCATAGAGAATCTTGCTTGCCGCGACCTCTCAACCTGTAAAAGGCCAGTATTTCCAATGTAACACTCTACCGCCAGGGCGGCAAACTGAGACGTGAAATGACCAGTTAAGGGTCCTGCTCTAGTCGCATAATGCATTTCTGGGCGCGAAAGCTGACTCTTAGCGGTTGCTTGGGGTCATTTTTTGAGCTGTCATGCGCTGGCATATCGAGCATGCTTCGGGGAGTGTCGGTTCGATGCCGGTAGGAGATTAAATGGTTAACAGGTGTTGTATAGGAGATGGGTTTTGACATATATAAATCATAACAAAATCTGGCTAGAAATATCGACATATTTTGCTCATCTATTTCAAACACAAGGATTCAAGGTGTATAGAGTTTCAACAATGCGCGCTACTACTATATTCCATCTACTAGGCACAGGCCTTTTGACTCCTCTTACAACAGCCCAAACACCCAGTAACTGGCCAAAGTTCTGGTATAAGGGAGATGTAACCAACAAAGAGACTTTCAAATACAACCCAACCAACGAGTTCATCTTTCCCAGTATATTCCATGCATCAGAATACCTAAATGACCCCCTCGGGGAGTGGTACCTTTACTATGCACCACATGAAAACCCAGGCGGCATCTCACTCGTGTACTCTGATAGTCTTGAGGGACCCTGGCAAGAATACAGCAACAACCCAATCATTGCCAACAAGTGGGACTCGCATTATTCTGTCCCTCACGTTTCCAGCCCCGACGCAAGCTGGAACTCCGAAGCTGGTCGCATGTTCCTTTACTTCCATGGCGATAACACACAAACTCGATACGCAGAGTCTAGCAATGGTGTAGACTTTGAGTACGGAGGCGTCGCGGTTAACAACCAAATGGCTGGTTCCAACACCACTGAGTCAAGCTATGCACGCGTCTTTCCGCATCCCAACTCGGCTTCCAAGTACAACTATGCTATGTTCTACATGGTCAACGAGAAGGACAACCATCGCAAAATTAGACTTGCCGAGTCCGCCGATGGCCGCAAATGGGTTGTTGACCCCGATTATGTCGTTGAGCCAGGTGGTGAGGAGGGTGCTGATGTTTCAGGTGCAAACTATTGGACGTGGGATGGCCAAGGCTACATCATCTATCATGGCGGTACCGGGAAGATCTATGCTCGGACCATTGATACAACGCTACGAGATGTTGGGTCCAGCCCTCTTGTTCTTTATCAATCTCGTGGAACTGGTGAGGATGTCGGCCGCGCTGCGGCACCTGATATTGCTACCTCTGCGGGTAACACTTATCTATTCTATGAGAAGGGCCAGCGTCTGGGGGCGACAATCGCATGGGCGAAGATGCAGAAACAGTAAGACTTGGGCTAGGATGAGGGTATGTCTGGATGAACTTTTTGTATTATAGTTGATATCCTCTTGTTGATGTTTGTTTAATTGGAAATGATTTCACTTACCCTGTGTACCCAGCGCACGGAAGCTCGAGGAGCTTTGACACATGAAGAGCTTTTCTTGGCTTCATCCACTTCAGATCTGGCGACCCACCCTTGGAATTCCCCGATTTCCAAGCAAATGTCACGCAGTAATCCAAAATGGACACTTCAGCTGAAGGCCTCCAAGAGCTGGAATTACTCACGTCATGTCTTCCTTGTATTTCAATAGAAATGACTCTCTTTGGCCCTTGATACGCGTCCGAGCCATGACACGTTGGGCCGCAACACCAGCTGTCCACCGCTAATTGGCTCCAGCCCCTTCGCTTAACCTCGCTAAGACTCGCCAATCCAATCAGACTCATCGCCCCCGGACAAGCCTGTATCCATCTTCAGTTACCGCCTTTTTGGAGGGGGCTACCGTGGTATCCACGACGCTTCTTTGAACCCATCGTCCTCCCAATTCTGCCAGAACCGACACTGAAACCACCTTCCTCTCCATCATGGGCCTCGAAGAGATCTTCACCAAAGCAGTTCGCGACAGAAAGTTTCAACAAGCCGCCCTCGAGGTGGCCAGCAGCTGTGCTTCGGCCACGCCCGTTATAAAAATCGTCCAGGCTGCGAACAAGATCTCCAAGATTGGAGATGTCGTTCAGCATGCCAACGACTTTCTCTCTAGCGCGTCACAGACGGTAAAGGGAGCCCAGGCTATCCTACCGCAGATGCACATCATGGGCCAGTCCCTGGTGGACAGTGCAAGACTATTCAATCAATTTTCTATGGTGGCGACGACGCTGGGCGTGGGCGCGAATATTATCCAGACATACCAGGGCGTTCAGGCTTTGAACCTCATCGCCGCCAAGCTCGGTGACATATCAAATAGCCTCGAGGCACAGGCGGCCCTCACAGCTCAACGAGATTTCCCACAATACGTCTTCGATATGATCCGAGAACGACTAAGTCAGTCAAGTGTCGACACAGAACGCGAGCACTGGTTCTTCCTCTATCATCCCGACACCGACTGGTATCCCAAGTTCTTCCACCTCGTCGAGGAAAAGCCTTTAAGTCCAAGATTCTGCGGCTACACCAACCAACTCGACACTGTCTTCATGTTCATGCTCGCAGCCCGAGAGCGCATCAACAAGCGAGAAGCCTACAAAGCACGAAAAAAGCAGTACTGCCGCCCTGTTCAGCTCCATCTTATAGTACCAGCATACCAAACGATCTTAATACCCGAGCCCATCGTGATTCCCGAAGAGATTGGAGATTTCGTCATCGAAGGTCGCATCAACAGCAACAGACCCTTTGTGTGGCTCAACCTCCCCGAAAGCCAACAGCATTTCACATTCGATGTCGGCAAGTGGAGCCAACCGCCACCTGGACTATGGGAGAAAACCTTGGAGTGGATGGGCATGTCGGACAAGCCAAAGATTTCGGACATTCCACGCGTTCTGGGAGTCGGAGAGAAGATCGAGATGATCGAGGACGAGAAGGCAGAAATTACGATCCAGGCGATACAAGACGACGGTTCGATGGAGATTGTAAAGAGGGCAGGCACCGAATCAACACTCGAACTGGCGATGGTGGATAAGCAACAATCGATGCCGCTACATCAAGGCCGTCGAAGTCGTCGCTGGCGCCGTCGCGACAGCAGCCGTTAGCTTCGCGACGCGGAGCCACACCATTTGAATTTTTTGAATATAGACACCAAGGCGTTCTGGGAATGAGTTAGTAACGACACAGCATGGAATGGAAATGAACATGAATGGGACTTTGTGCACTAGATTGCCAACAGACAGAGCAAAGAACAGAATAAAAAAGGGAACGACATACCAGAAGAGCGTCCTTGCATTTGACTTTGGTTGGAGAGGCCATGCTATCCGATAGTGCAAACTCTTTCAACTCCGCATACGCGGTCTCGAGGTTGTCGTTGATGATGATCAAGTTGTAGGCTCCTTTCTTTTCAGCATACTTCTGGTCTAGCTTAGCCTTTGTCATGCGTCTCTGGATATTGGCCTCCGATTCTGTCCCGCGACTCCTTAGACGCGACTCCAAGGCGGTAAAGCTAAGAGGCTTGATGAAAACATATTTTGCATCCAGCCGCTTGATCTTCTTCATCGCTTTGACGCCTTTTATGTCGAGATCGAGCAACGGAATGGCATCTCGACAGAGTACTTGCGAGACAGCCTGCATTGAAGTGCCGTAGTAATGATTGCCAAATACAGTAGCCTCAATGAAGACACCTTCTCGGTAGAGTTTCTGAAACTCCCTCTTTGACACGAAAGTATAGGAGGAGTCGTCTTCGCCTTGGCGCGGGTCGCGTGTTGTGTGCGATATAACGGTCGAGAACATATCGGGGTGTGCATCGAGGAGCCTCTTAATTAAAGTCCCTTTGCCAACCCCAGAGGGGCCAGAGATGACGAGTGGACGATATTTGTGATAGGGGACTTCGTAGGGCATTTTTGTGATGGATGGTGTGCGTGAGTGAGGAGGTGACGACTGAGTGCAAGAGGAGCAAGCATTGTGTTTCTGCAGCGATGACAAAGTAAAATGGTCGTACCGATAGGCGTTCGCAAACTTGGGTTTGCCGAGTAAGAGCTGGAAGAATAAGCCACATGCTGAAAAATAGACATCTGTGGTTGACTTTGCCAGCATATCAGATCCATTAGAGACGCAGCATTGCAGCGAATGAAAAGGCTTAGGGTTATTCAAAACTCCATATGGCTCGCAATTGGCAGGAATAGAGTTACGTGTTGATGTTAATCCCAATATAGTTTGCCGTAAGGTCATGTTGTTGAAGTTTTGGTGGTGGAGTTCTGGTACGTCCGACCAGAGGAGCCTGTGATGTCTTCCCACCAGAACTCAAGATATCAAGACCAATATCTCACGAGCTGGTACATACGACCATAGGTACTAGAGAACACGGGATCCCGTCCGCTCTCCCATAGTTAAGCTAGTAACCGGCGGATTAGTAGTTGGGTCGGTGACGACCAGCGAATCCCCGCTGTTGTATGTTCAAGTTTTGCCTCTCGTCTTGTTTTTCTTTTTGCCCATCCAGATTATACCGGTGGAGTGAATGGAGCGCATACCACCGCCGTTACGTTCATATCATTGATATTTAGTTGAACGTCTTATATGCATAGCGCTGACATTATCAAACTGTTCCTTACTGAGAACAATCATTCCCTTTCATTGGCCTTGGTTCGTTACAGCGAGCGATGACCTTCGCATCTACTCAGTGGCCCCAAAAGTAAACTGGGAGAATGTAGTTACGTGCAAAAGTTCCAACAATAAGCTAAAAGGAGATACAAATATTAAAATAGACTCTATCAAATATATTATAGTCAGAAGACTTTGTGTATAATGTTCAAATAACTTTATATAATTGTTTATAAAGCTTAGAACAGAGGAAATTGTCGGAACATTTGCACGCCCACTGTAAGGTTGAATGGAACTAAAAACCATGAAACACTTCAACGACGCTCGCCCACTAATAAGATTCAATCAGAGTCCGAGCTACTATCCGCCCTGGAGCCGCCCTTCCTAAACTTGACGTCCGGAATATAGAGACTTGTCAACTCATGCCGCTGACCCTTCTTTCCACCATTACAAGTATACCCCTTATCAAAGCACCCCCTACAAGTATCCCAATCCCCATGGTTACAAACACCACAATGGAAGAACTCGCCCTTGATCAGGTGATCGCAGACGTCACAATAACGCTTGGGGTATACCTTGGCAAGGTTATGCTTCCCTTTCCCATCGCAGGTCAGGCCTTGGGCGAGACAATCACGGCAGATGTCGAAATCTCCGTCGTCACACTTGCTGCAATGCGCGTAGGGGCCACTGACGGTTTGGTCGCAGACATTGCAGATGATGTTGACTTCCCATGCAGGATACTCGGCAAAATCGGCGAAGTCAGCGGCATCGCGGCCATGGCGCTTCTTTGCCTTGCGTTTATCTGCATATGTGAGTTAGTACACCTGGTGCGTCACGTACTGGATTACTCACCAATGCGATCTTTTATAAAATATCCAGCTACACCGCCCGCTGTGAAACCACCGGCTGCGGCGAACATTGTCTGTGAAGAAGACTTCTTCCCTTCATTCTGAAGACTCGGTCGTGAGTCTTCCGGGTTGGCATATTGCGGCTGCGGAGGATGAGTCAAATTCTGGCCTTCGTGACCTCTGTCCGCAGCATGAAGACTGCCTGGATAAGCTGGCATACTATCTAGCGGCGGGAGATCAGACGGGGATTGCCACATGGTACGTCCAGTAGTCTCGGCATAGTACCATTGATTATCCTTTGCCGACCAGTGGGCTACCCAACGAGGGGGCGTGGGACAGGGAGGGCCGCTTTGCCCCGGAGCAGCGGCCACCACAGGAGGCGGATCAACTGGGTAACTGCCTGGGGGGCCTGGAGTTGGAGCTGGTGACGGTGACCATGGCTGGTGTTGTGGTGGATGTGAAGCCGGAGATGGGGAATTGTAACTTAGTGGTTGTGGGGAATAGAGCTGGTGTCCCGAAAACTGCTGTGACTGCTGCGCGTTATGAGTTTGGTATCTGGAATCATGCTGATCCTGTATAGGGTAAGACTGCCGTGGCCCCGAATATGGCGGCTGTCCTTCATAGCTTTGGGGGCCCTGATATTGATGCTGATGAGGTGTGTTTCCATATGGCTGGTAATTTGGCTGATAATTCTGCGCGCTTGCTGGAGGTGGTGGAGGAGGAGCGCCTATTATGTCAACAAAGAAATAAAAGGAATGTACAACAACTTACCAGCTTGCTGTTGGCCGAGATTGAGCCCCTCAAACTCCTTTTTGAACTTGTTTAAGAAAGACATGTTGTAAATATCTGAATCTTGGCGTTGTTGAATCTTTGAGTCATCTGAGATATGGCTGCGGGGACGGGTTTTAAGCTAATGAAGCCCAGTCGAAAGGAACGCTTTGACCACTCGCTATCATCATTGAGCTTGTCGAAAGGCCGCTGTAAGATTGGCACAATTGCATTGAAGGTGGATTTTGGTATTGAAGGATTCGAGGTGTCTAGCCGCTTACAGGCGGTAAGCTTTGGGCCTTTTGGTAAAATGGCGGCTTCGCTGATTTAGTGGATGATAGTTGGCAATTTATGCTTGAGTACAGTCCCGTGCAAAAGTTCCGACAACGGGCTAACTTAGTACCTGGAAATGGACATAAAACAATAGAGATAATTAAAACGTGTAATAATTAAAATACTGTGAATAAAATATTATCATAAGATTATTTAAGACATCATCTATGAACAGTCAATTTCTTTTTTAAAATCATGAGGCCTCCGGAGTATTTCTAATGCGGATAGTCGGAGACTTCCAGCCCTGTGAGGCTGTGCCTGAACCTTCTGGTGACAGAATCTTTGCTATGGACGGACTCTCCAGGCTTAGTGTCGCTACCGAAACTACGATGGATCTCACCTCTGGTGACATCACTGCTTCGCAATGGAGAACTACATGGCCTTGAGCATGGCTGTATGGCGTTGTGACCTGGTGCGCATTAAATCTCTAATGGAACGCCGAAAGGCGGCATTGGAACCGCAATTGGAAATTCCATCAATCGGATGATATTGCCATGCTAGGTAGCATTTTGAAACCCTTTGTTCCGTTGAAGGCACTAATGATACCATGAGAAATGGCAATGCAAAGTGCTAAGGATTGGTGTTGTGATAGACAATGTGGCTGGCTTGTAAGTATTGCCGTGTCAAAAAGAGAGCCGGTTTCCAGAATTCATAGTTCCGCCAAAACCTATTTTCGTACGAACGACTGTGTGAGGCATACCGCCAACCTTCCAGAATCGAGAAGTAATTTTGAACATGGATCCAAAGGAGCGCCATGCCCTCCTTCACAGCGAGCCTAACCCACTCGATCCGGGCACGATGATCACCTTATAGAGCATTGTATCTCATATATGCGTTTCGTCCTCTGGTCTCTTTCGGCGAGATATCGAAGAAGGTTACTCAATTACAGGCAGCTTCAAGTTCGCGGTAACTTTGAATGCATTTCACCCGACGACCTTTGCATTTCTATGACGCATACATCATCATAGGGAACTATGAACCTTGTCCACTCCATGTTGGCTGCAGCTTTCATGGACAGAAGGGATTTTGCCTTGGGCCTATTTCTGATGTGAAAATATGTGGCTTTCGAAACAAGACACTTTTTGCTCGGAACTCTAACCAGGGCCCTGTACAACCTGACTACTTGCTTGAGGTCAAAATTGCTACAGGTCCGGATCAAAGGAAAGTTGTTGTTTGCACAGAATGGACATTACGTTTCACAACGTGTCTACAAGCTTTTGCCAGACCAATGAAGACGGTGTCGAAAGGTTTGTTGAGGAGTCTGGTGACGTATCCAACTGTTGTTTACCTCGCTTATATGTTCGTTTGAATTTATGTCAAGCTTGAAATTCACACTATGCATTTCCCTACGGAATGGACATGGTATTCCAATGCTTTCATAGGTCTGTTATTTCTCTCCTATTAATATTTTGCGTTTGTAAAGAACCTTGGCACGTACGCGTTAAAACCCTTTCTCTTTTCCCACAAACTCAGTTCCCGTTGACAATAAAGCCTCAGTATCATTATTTTATCTTCTTACGCTTCGTGAACCCTAAGTCTTATTCAACAATAAACGTCGGCCGAGATCCTCGCAGCGCGGTCATGGACGACGCCGCGGACTCCTGCGAACATGCCCTTCTCAACCTCTCATGACTCAGACAGACAGACAGTCAATTCCATGCATTTCCCTATTTTGCCTCAGATATCCAGAGTAATATCTGGAAACAACTTCCTATACACAAGCCAATTTTCCACAGAGATCGAGATGGAATCTGTTGGCATCCTGAAGATTCAAGAAAAAAGACCCACATATCCTCCTGGAGTGACGTCTCTCTATCTTATCTGTCTTCTACACCAACAAGGGGCCCAGGCGTATAGCCCAGCGCTTTTACCGTGTTCAACTTCCATGTCACTACGTTTGGAACTCCAGGACCGGTCAAGGACACACATCCAATACCGAGTTAGATACACTACACGTCGACATCAACGTGAACTTCATCAGACTTAGACAAAATGCCTATCTCCAGGATCCGAAATTTATGGGTGTTCGGAACTTGATCGCGCCCTCCAGTTTCTTCCGCCTTGAGGCGATTCACCTGGACTTCGCTGGTGTGCTTGGCAGATGGAAAGATGTCATGTTTCCATTTCGCTAGTCACGCCCTGTAGCCATATCAAGAAGCCTGACTCACCTGGACCCATTCATGCGAGTGTTACCGAATTCGGGAGTAGGGCAAACTGGCATGGAAACTTCTTACTACGTATGTGCTATTGAGTTAAGTTGATCAAGCAAAGTTACTCAAAACCATACGAGTCCGAATCGTTCGGTACTACTCCGTAACTGTTACCACCGACTGAACTACAGACTGTGTTGCAGCCTGATTTGCCCATCAAACTTGGTGATCATCGATGGATTCTACGAATACGCGCATCCCCGTAGACCGACTCCATGCGGGTAATGTTCGTCGCAGTCAAAATACAGGTCGCATCGAACGTCCAAAAAGGCTAAGATGTTTATTTCCCCGCGTTCTGTTCCCCGGATGATCCACTCTGAATGTCACTATGCCACACTAGATCATGAATCGGACTAGATGTATGATCGATCTCGGGGTAAATACCAGCGAGAGACCTCAAGGTGGTAAAGATCAGTATCGGCATTGAAAGACGGCATTCGCAAAGGACCGATTCACTATGGCCTTACTAACACTCAGGGATGGGATATTTGCCATGGCTTCTATATAAGAGAGTGAATGACACCATGTTAATTATTTTGCAACTTCTCGTTATCGCTTCTCCCTTCCAAGATGGCTTTGACAATCTCCAGAGTCTCCTTCGAACACCATCGGACAGCTCTCGGAATTGCCGAGACCAAACCCCGGATCTCTTGGCGCTTCGAGGGTGACGTCCCCGATTGGGAACAAAGCTCTTATGAGATCGAAGTCACTCGGATTGCGAATAAAAAGTCTAATTCTTTCTCTTTCAACTCATCACAATCCCTCTACGTGCCTTGGCCGGACACTCCGCTTGATGAAGCCGAGGCTGTATCAGTGAGAGTCCGAGCGCATGGCCTTTCTGACCAAAACCAACCTTCAACACCATGGTCCGACTGGGTGTCTGCCGAGACAGGCCTTTTGAGCAAGAGTTGGGAGGGTGTTAGCCCCATCGCTTCAACTATTAAGATCAATGCTAGTGAACCCAAGAGGCCCGTGTACTTTAGGAAAGGATTCGAAGTTCCTGATGATATCGAGTCGGCAAGACTTTACATCACTGCCCTGGGAATCTACGAGGCTGAGATCAATGGCAAACAAGTTGGAGACCATGTCTTAGCACCGGGATGGCAATCGTATCATCACCGTCATGTGTACGATACGTATGATGTGACTGACCTCCTCAAACCTGGTCCCAACGCCATTGGTGCTCTGGTCGGTGAAGGCTGGTATGCTGGCCGTCTAGGATTTGGGGGTGGCGTGCGTAATATTTATGGCAACTCGACTGGACTTTTGGCACAGCTCAGGGTCAAGTTGAACAACGGTACATCAATCAGAATCGACACAGATACCACTTGGAAGTCGAGCTTTGGGCCAGTAGTTTCTGGAGAGATCTACGACGGAGAGAAATATGATGCCACTCTAGAGTCCGATATGGAAGGCTGGTCGGCCTCAGACTTTGACAGCTCTTCCTGGCACGACACTCGTCTTTTGCCAGCTATTGAAGGAAAGCTTGTACCTCCAGATCAACCACCAGTGCGAGGCATTGAAGAGGTCAAACCACAAAAGTTCTTCAAGTCACCAAAGGGCAAGCAACTTGTTGATTTTGGCCAGAACTTAGTCGGCTGGCTCCGGTTGAAAGTCGACGGTCCTTCAAACACGACCATCACATTGCATCACGCCGAAGTTTTGGAAAACGGCGAGTTGGCAATCCGCCCCCTGCGAAAAGCCAAGGCTGAGGATACCATCAAACTGAGCGGGAACGGTCCTCTCCAATGGGAACCAAAGTTTACCTTCCATGGCTTCCGCTATGCACAGATTGACGGATGGCCCGAGGATACGCCTTTGGATGAACAGAGCGTGACTGCAATTGTCATTCACACGGACATGGAAGAAACCGGCTACTTTAACTGTTCTCATGACCTTTTGAATAAGTTCCATTCGAATGTTCGGTGGTCTATGAAGGGCAATTTCTTGACTATTCCTACCGACTGCCCTCAGCGAGACGAGCGTCTTGGCTGGACTGGTGATGCACATGCCTTTGGTCCAACCTCGAACTATTTGTACGACACAGCTTCGTTCTGGAAGAGCTGGCACAAAGATGTCTGGTCTGAGATGTCATTGGACGACTCCATGATTCCTCCTTTCTTCGTCCCTACTCTTCCAACAGCTTTTGGGGAGAAGGCGATGCCTGCTGCTGTTTGGGGTGACGTGGTCGTCGCCAGCCCCTGGAATGTATACGAGGCATTCGGTGACAAGGGATTATTGGAGGAACATCTACCCCAAGCTCAAGGCTGGATCGACACCGGCATCCCGCGAAGCGAAAACGGTCTCTGGAATCGGAGTTCGTTCCAGTTCGGCGATTGGCTCGACCCTCTCTCTCCTTCCGACGATCCTGGAGGTGCAACAACTCACAAGGTCCTGGTCGCGGATGCATACCTGATCAAGATGACGGAAACTCTATCACAGATAGTTGAAGCCCTTGGGAAAGCGGATATAGCTGAGAAGTACAAGCTTCAACGTGCAGACCTTAAGCGCGAGTTCCAAAATGCTTGGGCTCCTGGTGGAAAACTTGTGAATAAGACACAAACTGCTTATGCTCTCTCTCTCGGCTTCGATCTGCTCGAGGAAGAGCAGCGAGATGAAGCTGCTGCGACATTGCGCGAGATCGTGAAGGACAACGACTACCTCGTGGGGACAGGATTTGCTGGGACATCTCCACTCGGTTTCGCTCTCAAGGGCGTCAACGCGACAGATGACTTTTACCGTATGCTTCTGCAGGAAAAGGTGCCTTCTTGGTTGTACCAAGTCGTCATGGGGGGAACCACGACATGGGAAAGATGGGACAGTCTTTTGCCAAACGGCACTATCAACCCAGGTGAAATGACCAGTTTCAATCATTACTCCTTTGGTTCAGTGGCGAACTGGATGCATCAAGTCATTGGAGGTATTGCACCTTTGGAGCCAGGGTACAAGAAGATTGCTATCGCGCCCATTCCCGGGGATAACATCACTCACGCAAGTGCAAAGCTTGTAAGTGGATATGGAACTATCGCGACGGACTGGACTGTGACGGACGCTGGGTTTCATCTGAGGGTTAGGATTCCACCCAACACTAAGGCCGAGATCACGATGCCAGGCACGGGGAAGAGTGAGACTGTTGGGTCTGGATATCATGAGTTTCTTCATCCAGCTCCAATTTGAGTTGTGTCTTGATACAATAGTCACCAGATAACACAGGCAATACTGTTTTTTCTGTAATAGTTTGAGGAAGCCATAGTCTACAAACAGTAGCGATTAAATACACTATAGGCAGTCAGTGCAAGATCAGTATGGGATCTTGGTGCCGTCCCACTTCATAAAACCACCACTATCCTGCGATGTCACCGATTCAATGACTTTCATCAAACCCGCAATAGATGTTTCCATGTCATCTTCAACATCCCAATTCGTTAACCGTGTCGATAGAAAACCCGGTTCAAAACAGACGATAGTTGTCTTGCGACCTTCCTTCTTCCACTCGCGAGCTAAGGTCACAGACTCTTGGTTGAAAGCAGCTCTGGTGGTGCGATAAGCCATTCAGGTACCGAAGGAGTTTGCTTCAAGTCACCAAACTGATTAGTATTCGTTCAAGTATGGGGATAACATCGTGGGGATGGGACGGGGGACAGTTCAGTATAGTATCGGCATCTTACTTATTTGAAATGGAACCAAAGGATGACGAGATACTTATGACTTTCGGCTTTGTGGCTTTCTCCAAACTTGGTAAGAAGTGTTTGATAGCCAGAAATGGTCCCTATAAGCGCAGACTCGGTCAATCTACGACACAAAAGGTATCATTAGATGATCGGATGAGCCTCTCATTTGCAGAGGCTCAATGCATAGGACTTTCTAGAAAGCCACCTACCACAGCCATCACACGGCATCTTTCCACCATTAGGTCGCTGGACTGCTCGCTCCATGGCTTTGGGTGAGGAGGAAGAACTTGAAAAATACGTCAGACTCTGCAGGTTCGAACATCATGACAGGATTGTAAATTACCCCCTACGTTGGAGAATTTCAAGTGGCTTATCACCGTAGGCTTTAGCGGCATTCTCGATAGTCTCTTCAACGAGATAATCTATGTCGAGAATCTTTGCACCGGTCTCTTTCAGCTAAGGAGCGTTGTTTCAGGTGCTGGGAACGGTCGATATGAGGAGGGGTGAGCTTACATCAGCAATGCTTGGGTCATCGCGGCTTTGTGGCCTAATCGAAGCGGTGGCATTCCACGATCGAGCCAGAAAGGCTTTCAGAAGGTTGAGGCCAATGCCTCGGTTTCACCAAGGATTAGTCTGTTGCTAGACCGTGGGAACAGTCTGGCTTTACCGATAATTAGAACGTTCTTGGAGATCATTTGTCCCGGTTGGTTGTGTTCTGTGATGGCGAAGAGCAATTTGCCGTTCTCTTTGGCCTGAGTGCCGGCTCGGCAAGGTTATACGGAAGAGGTTGGAAGGTGCGGGAGGCTTGATAGTAGGCTTCGGTTTGGTAGTCTACTTGCGTGCGCGATTCTCAGTCGAGACAAACGTTGCGGATTCAGGTTGCAGATATATGCAGATCACGTCGTGGAGGCTGACCGGTGTGTCAAGTACGCTACATATCCCATGATTCGGTGCAGCCTGATTTCTCAAACGAAGCCTCATTTTCGGGGTCTAGAAAATGCCCCACAATCCGGAGAGGGTATCATAAATCGATATCCTTCTCTTCTGGCCAGACTCATACCAGTTCCTTCACAACGCCGTCTGCTGAACATGTTCCGTACTGTTCCCTGTAGAACTGTGATACATATTCTGATACCTTCTCTAGTTTTCGCATTTGTCGCAACACAACGCAAGCCATCGTTCATCTCCTCTCCTTCCTGTCAACCCGCCGACAATCAATAGCCTTCACTTGCTCCTCCTTCAAAACGAGACTAACATCACTTTCCAGTTCTCATTGGCAAAACACAGATTCCAATGGAAGGCACTTCAAGTGCATTCCAAAGCGATGGCGGCAAAGTGCCGGACGTGGAGGCACTTCGTTCGATCGTTGAAGCTCATCGGCCTGATCGCAACGTCTACGCAGAATTTTACCGAAATGCCCATCAAGATCCCGAGATCTCAGGAATGGAGACAGCTACCACCCGCATCGTAGCTCAGCATCTTTCTAGGATCGGGTATCAGGTTCACACTGGTATTGGTGGTCATGGGGTGGTGGGAGTGCTCCGTAATGGAGGAGGCAAATCAATCCTCACGAGAGCTGAATTGGACGCTCTGCCCATTCACGAACAAACAGATTTACCCTATCGAAGCAAGAAGCGTATGATTGATCGATACGACAACTAACGACCGGTTATGCACTCATGTGGCCATGACATGAACATGGCGACGCCCTTGGCGGCTGCTGAGCTTCTTTCATCCTCGGTGATGCTGTAGAACGGAACTCTATTCATTCTCTTCTAGCCCGATGGAGAGGAGACCAGCGGGGCAAGAGCAATGATGGGAGATGGTATTTATAAGCGCTTCCCTGTTCCGGACCTCATGCTAGGCCAACACATCGTGCCCTCTATTGCTGGTACAGTTTCGATACGCTCAGGGCCAGTTTTGGTTGCTGCAGATTCCGTTCGCATCCGCGTCATTGATGGACCCTGCAAGGACAGCACCAATCCACAGTTATGCGTCGATCCTATTCCACTTAGCATGCGCATAATCCAGGGCCTTCAGGATAAAGTCAAAGATGAGGTCGGCAAACACGAAGACGTCACCGTGGCATGTTGGGGATTTCATGCTGGAGAGCCTGGAAACGACTATGTTGCCTATGCTGACATCCTGCTTGACGTAAAGACCGTTAACCCTAGCATTCGTCGACGAGCCCTTGACATAATTGAGAGGCATTTTCGTGATGAATGTAATTCCGAAGCCGTGCCTACAGACCCCGTCTTCAACTACACTGTTCGGTCCCCTCTGACCTCCAATGACGAAGCCATTGTCGGCCCTATCTCTAAGGTCTTCGAAACCTACTTTGGGTCAAATGCTGGAGAAATGGCATTCACCCGTGCTTGCGAGGACCTTTCAACCCTCGGGGCTACGCAAACCGTCCCATACGCATACTGGAATCATGGAGACACTCCCATTGGAACCAAGAAGCCTTTTGCGACCAACCATTCACCTTTCTTCGCCCCTGCGATACAGCCTACACTCAAGACTGGAACTGATGTAATGGCACTTGCTGCGTTGGCGTTTCTGGTATGCTAGTATTCTGATCCATCTATCGGCATTTCGGCGAAATGGCAGGTTATCGGCCTGTGATGTACCTTGTATCCCTTTTAGGAAGGATGGAAAGGGCTAAGAAAGGCGAATACACCAGCGACTTATCCTGAGACCTTCACGGAAGGTAGTACAAGTTCAGACATCTACAATGCGAATGTTCAAGGAGTCAGATACAACGAGTGATGGTTTAGAGAAAGGACAAAGACACTCATAAAAAGAATGACGGCGTAGATACTTTCTTACCACGAATGGATCAGTTGCAAAGTCTTTATTGAGAATTGACCGGTGACTCTCCCAAGTTAGTCTGTACTTTTTCTATTTGTAGGCTGTAAACCAATTTCCACATTGCTTCGAGGAAATCAATAGCAATAACGGAGTCTCTAAACGAGACTAAAAATCTGACGCACCAAGCCCGCGATGTTCAGTGTTAGTGCGCGTAGTAGAGCAAAGCACCCTGATGCATTGTATTGTTCATCGCCTCATGCCATAACCGCTAGGTGGCTATCCCATCAGTAAACCTAGACAGTCATGGAATTAGCATATGCACATGAATAAGATAGCTGGTTATCATTGTCATCTTCCGAAGATGATGTAAGAGGGAAGCTTCAATACTGAGATATATCACAGTGGTGAGCCAGTTGAAACATTCAAGGTCTGCTTTTATTTATTTTCAGCAAGTGGACTTTGGTAAATACCATATTCATTGAATGCTAGTTGAGCTTGTGACAGTATTTTAGACTTCGTTGGTAGCATCTTAATTTGGTCGTATGGGTAGTCCTACAGAGAAAGAAGAGTTGTGCATGCTTCGCCGTGGGTGCGAGCGGTCAGGACATGTGGCACGTATTGCACTATATCAAGAGAGACTGGAACTCGCCAAGTACATACGACCATAGCCCTTTGAGAATACGGGATCCCGTCCGCTCTCCCATAGTCAAGCTGAGGAGCGCTTGAGTAGTAGTTGGGTCGGTGACGACCAGCGAATGCCAGGTGTTGTATGTTTCGTTTTTCATCTTCTTTTTTATGGGGGAGTCACTCTTAGTCCTTGCCCTATGTCTGAGTTTCTATTTTTATACAATGAGTAGCGTTGCAATTTGTATGTCCTTTCCGCTGAATATCGCTTTCGAAGTTCTGAGAATGTCACGCGCGTTTTGATTTTCGTCACTTTTCCATGCTATCGGGCATACGTCGGAGGCTCTCTATTCCAGGGTATCTTATCGCGTTGTAATCGCACTGGTGGGGATAAGAAAGTAATGCAGAAGTTGTCGGATCATGTTGCTGTGACAAAGCGGCTCTTCGTGATGTCGAAAGTATCCACGTAATCACTTCCTTCTAGAAGTGTCTATCAACGACCCATCATTAAGCCAAGACCTAAAATTGGACATGTCAGAATCAAGACTCGACCACAAACACTACTCTAGTCTGGCCGAACTTTCCGGAGAGTTTTACTCCGTTTACAGCCACGTACCTTGCCATGAGGAGATGGTCCCCTCCCCATCTAGTAGGTTTCGAGGATTACGGGAGATAATTTTGCGTAGCACGTCGTCCTCAATGCGATATCTCGACCTTTCAAGAACGGTTTGGATGCTTTCGAAATACTCAAGCTCATGTAGGGCGGCCTGCTCTGGCCGACGCCCGAGCCACTGACGGTTCATTCACCATTGCATTTTGCTTCTCAAGAGGCACGATAAAGGCTAGGATAAGGATGATAAAGATGAGGGGTTAAGAGCACATAACTGTGTTTAGGCTTTTGGGCTGGCGCACGCTCCTAGTAACTTCGGAACCTAAGATCCGTTGAGCGAGATTCGACGTGACGTGAGGGCTCAGTAGCCGGATGATCTGTCCGCGCCGCACCAGACCCATCTTGAGTTTTGGCAATCCGCTCTTCGGCGAAACTACTATGGAAGGTTTTTACTACTAAGTTTAGCCCGAGGCAGAATTGGCCGAACACTGTCTGCCACTGCGTCAAACGAACATGGCAAATTAACGTGGTGAAATTGAAGAGCTACCATTGGCTCCTACGCTCGAAACCAACGAATTGAACTTGTTTACCCCTCATGCACCGACGCTGTAGATGATTTATAGGCTTGTAGTTGCAAATCAGAGTTCACTCAATGTTGTGGTACGGCAGCCTAGCCGGGCAACGATGCGGAGATTCTAGCCAGTGGAACCACTATACTCCCTGTAATCGGGAGTGCTGAAGCCACTGCCGTAGCCTACCGCGTTACGCTAAGGTAGTTATGCAATGGGATCCACCGAGCGAGATAAGCGAGCGGGCTCCGAATGTGACTTCACTAGGCACAAGCACAACCGATACCAAGACTACATGTCTCTTCAAGCGGAATTTGTCCCAATATTTGGCAAGATGCCTGGCGGCCCGTGACTTCCCGTGTAAGTGTTAATCACTGTGGGCAGGTGTCGCATCCCAAATGGCCTGTGCGCTCTACACTCTGTTTGTTCTCATGACCAGACTGGCCATCGGTGTTGCTTCGAGCCGCAGGAAGTTTGTCAACAAACATTTGAACTTACTCTGCCCACAAAGCTTCTTCTTTTAAGAATAAATACATGGGTTTCATCGCCTCCCCTTGTCTCGACTCTTCTCTTTCCCACCTTGTCGTCCCTCAGCTTTCCCACCTTCTAATCCCAACGTCTGTTCTCGACCCCCCAACACCACGTTGGAAAAATGTCAGCCCTTAGCCTCCCCGGGTCCTCAGTCCCCGACGAAGGCTCTCGGGAAGTCGAAGAAGGCTGGGCCGTCGATCCAACTACCGAGGATATCAAAAACACGCTCCAGCCAAGCTTTCCAAACTCCGACATCAACGTTGAGTTCTTCTCCTCGGGCGCCTACAACAAACTCTACCAGGTCACAATCAACGTACACAAGACCTATCTCATACGCGTTTCACTGCCGGTCGATCCCGTCCACAAGACCTCGAGTGAAATCGCCACGCTCAGATTTGTGGAGGCTATCAGCGACATTCCCATCCCTCGGCCTGTCATGTCTTGCACACACCGAAATACGCCCACCGGGTTGGAGTGGATTATGATGACCAAGCTTGATGGTGTGACACTACACAACATATGGCCGCGTCTCGACGCCTTTCGGAAATCATATGCCGTTCGTCAGATCGCGTCTTTCCAGCTCTCTCTCTTTTCAAGGACATTCTGTCGCATTGGCAACCTCTACCCAGAAACATCTCTTGAACCGCAACGTATCGTCTCAATACCATTTTTTCAGGGGGGGAGGGCGTGGAAGGTCAACAATCGCGGGCCATTTCCGAACAGTAGCCAGTGGATCTACGCTCGCCTGAATCTCCAGCGACGAGATGCCTGGCATACCATGACCAAGTACAATCGACAGAAAGGGGATGGATCTTTGACGCAACAAGACTACGATAGGGCGTTATATACATGTCAACTCTGCCGTCGGATTTTCCCTTTTATCGCCAGGTTCTTCCCCGAGGATGGAAATGCCCTTGAGCCAACAGTCCTGCACCATGACGATCTCCACGCCAACAATATTCTCGCCAACGACTTAGGAACCATCACCGGCATTGTCGACTGGGAATGTGTGTCCACCGTGCCGCTCTGGAAAGCCTGCTTCTATCCGAAATTCCTCTTCGACCCTCCGCGACACACTCCCGAGGAAAGTTCCTTCCAAGATCCAGAATTCTTGACATCGCAGGACAATCTTTTGAGGTCCGTGTTCCTTAAGGAGATGGAGCGTCTGAGCCCAGATTGGATGCAAATCTACAGAACGAGTGCATGCAAGCGTGATCTTAGCTTTGCTGTCGATAAAATCGGCCGTGAGGACAAGCACTCATACATCGCATCTTGGTTATCGAATCTGGAGAGCAACCAACCAGGGCCCAGTTTGCTTGATACTCTCTTCGAGCTTTGACTGGAAGACATTTTGGCAGATCGATGCGCTGATTCTTGTTTTGCTTGGGCGCAGTCTGAAGGGCAAGACGCATGTCACATAGTCAAAGCATCAATCATTTATATAACAGCTACCGAGCGTGCAAGTGACCTGAAGGTTGGGTATTTAGCCTGTCGGACTCCATGTTTATGACGGAAAAGTAGTCTATTCTTCGCGAGGCGTACAGGAGAATGGCGTTTGTTCGGCTGCTTTTTGTGCGTTGGTGTGGCTTAAATATTGGTGTCATTCAGATCTGAAATTAATTATATTCGTTTCTCTTTAATGCCTATCGCGACGTTATTGGAGGAACAACACTTTCGAATGTATTGCGGTGCTGAGGCACAGACGCGGGTTGGGGATTTTGGTTTTGGTTGTGACATTGGAGTGGAGACGAGTGGGATGGCAAAGCATGAAGAGCGGAGGAAAGCAAAGTTCCTAGTAAATATTTATCAAATTTCAAGTTTTGTATAAAGATGCCCTTTTTTCTTATTATCTAGGAAGTGGGTTGAGTCGCTGAGGAAGTAAATAAGGTCCCGTCATGACGACAAGAAAGGTCACCCACGCATGCCACTAAAACGACCGACCATAGGGAGCTTTTGAAAACCTGCAAGCAACCTATGTAGTGGGTGGGTAAAAGTTCTTAAAACTCTCTTCTAAAATTCATATAAACTAATATCAATTATAATAAACTCTCTCTTTTCATATAATATTATATAATCTTATTTTAAGATTATTTATAAAATACTCCTATTATTATATAAACCTTTAGGGTTATATACACTACTAGTTGCGTCGTTATTGGAATCTTTGCACGGGACTTTAGCCTTACGCTTCAGAACGTTGGCATTATTAGACTGCTTTTACATACAACAGCATGAAATGCGCGACATAGTTGTTTCAATATGATGTAAGAGCATGGCTAAGAAACGCCCGTTGTGGTGGAGTGCTACGAAGATCTCTGCGCTGATGTAAGATTGTTTCGTTTCAAGTCCACGTTGTGAATATTGCCAATGGAGAAGTATCCTCATGACATACGAAGACTACATAAGTCTGGGATGCAAATGGCGAATATTGCTACCAAATTCAGTAGTCCACCTCGCTGACCCATGCACATCCGGTTTCTATCGGCGAGGCAGAGCCATTCTACTCCACTCATCCTCTGTGAAACCTCGTATAAGTCCTAGTAAGCCACAACTACAAAGCTGTAAGCATATGCGTGATTGGGCAAGGTTGAAGGGAAGATACAATTGGATCTCTTCTCATGACTGTGTCTTAGAGCGCCGGAAACATCCGATTGGAGTATAGTGAGTCTTACTCAAGTCAGCCTCAGGTCGTGTGACTGTGGATGCTGTATTGTACTTGGCGTAATCATAAAATAACGACGATGTCCGTAATCTGCAGTTTGGCGCGATTAAATATCACACGGAGTGACGACGCGTCTGCGTTTGTGTTACACGAGGAGGCTGAGACCGACTCCATATCTACAGTTCAGCTGACAACGCCAGGCTCCAAAGGGACTTTTGAGACTAAGGACTCGGACGACATTCCACCCACAAACTTTGTGTTTTCAGCTGCGTATAAACTTGCGAACATGATTTGATAGAGATAGACAGTGTCAGCCTTAAAAATGGGGATGCGTATGTGACTGGCGTCATGGCTTGCATCCGAGATATGTCGTGCACGGTGATGACTGTGCTCGTGACAGTTCGGAAGTTTTCATTTACCGTACCTCCTCATATTTAACTCCTGCCAGCAGACAAAATGTTCCAGCTATACGCCAGCCTTTACAGATATTTTCAAAATGGCTCTCATTGATCGTGTCTGGCATGCCTGCGTCACTATTGTCGCATGGCTGACCATGTCGCCAACATCCGAGTACTCAAACACGCACCAGCATCCTCTCGGTCGTCCCGTAAACAACATCAAACAAGCTGATCCTGACTTTCCCATCTTCAAACCCCCTCCTGGTGAGAGGGGTGATCATGAGTTTGTGTGCGAGTACCCAGAGATGACTGGCTTTGTCCAGTGTTCCATCCCAGAAAACAGAGAGTGCTGGCTTCGTCACCCTGACGGGCGAGAGTTCAACATACACACCAACTATGAAGACTTTGCGCCTGTTGGAATTACCCGGAATTATACCCTTAACATCACCAATGATTCGTTCAATGCCGATGGCCAGAATTTTCCTCAGGCTAAGCTGTTCAATGGAATATACCCTGGTCCTTGGCTAGAGGCTTGCTGGGGAGATGTAAGTTCTTATAGATCTAGACTGTTGAAAGATTCGCTGACGATGAAAAGACTTTGAACATCACTGTGATCAATAGCATGACTAATAATGGTACCAGTATCCACTGGCATGGAATCAGACAGAATCAGACCATGGATATGGATGGCGTCAATGGTATTACACAGTGTCCTATTGCACCTGGCGATAGCTTCAACTATGTCTTCAAGACTACTCAGTATGGAACGTCTTGGTATCACAGCCACTACTCCGTGCAGTACGCAGATGGTCTGCAAGGCCCCCTGGTATGGCCTTACTCTTCTTAGTTGTTCCATAAGCTAACACCTGTCAGACCATCCATGGCCCTCAATCGGCGCCTTACGATGCTACCAAGCGACCGTTGCTGATGACGGATTGGTGTGAGTATCAAAGCTGAAATCTACTTACTCGGATATGCTAACACTTTCTTTAGCTCACGAAAGTGCCTTCAGATTATTATTCCCCGGTTCCACATTCGCAAACAAGACCATTCTTATGAACGGCGCCGGTAACGTCTCAAACTTCAGGTTCAATGATGCATCTCCAAACTACGTCCCTAGCTTGGACATACCAGAGACCTACGAGCTCCACTTCAACAAAACTCCAACAGATAGGCCCAGGAGACCAAAGAGATACCTGCTCCGTCTAATTAATACTTCATTTGAATCGACATTTGTCTTTTCAATCGATAACCATTGGCTGCAGATCGTCACTTCTGACTTTGTACCCATTGAGCCGTACTTCAATACTTCTGTCTTGATCGGGATTGGTCAGCGATACAACGTCATCGTGGAGGCTAACCCTCTTGCTGGTGATGTGAATCCCGTTCCAGAGGATGGGAACTTCTGGATCAGGACCTGGGTCACATGTGTCAGAGCGCCCGGGGGTGTCGGCTACGAGAGAACTGGTATTTTAAGATACAACCACTCCGACACCGCACTGCCGATTACCCAGCCATGGGTGAACATCAGTCTGAACTGCTCCGACGAGACCTACACGTCGCTAAGGCCAAAGCTACCGTGGTACGTAGGTCCTGCTGCGAACGGTATAACTACAGAGGCTGGTGAACAGTTCAATGTCACTTTTGACCGAGACGCCAAGAACAGACCAGAGTTCAAGACAGAGTATCCACTGGCGACATTTGGTCTTCAAAGGCCTGGAGAGCCTGGCTTCAGGCCGCTCCAGATTAATTACTCTGATCCAGTGATGATGCACTTGGATGAGTCGCATGATTCGTATCCGCCGAAGTGGGTGGTGATTCCTGAGGATTTCACTGAGGACGAATGGGTATGTATCAATTATTGTTCACACTTCTTGCCCGATGTTAATCGTTTTAGGTCTATCTTGTTCTCACTATGGATGTCGCTAGCAGTATAACCAATGCCCACCCTGTAAGTATCTTTCCCAACCTTCCCCGTGGCCTGTGATTTAACAATCATCAGATTCATCTCCACGGCCACGACTTTGCAATTCTGCAACAGGAAGAGGGCCAGCTCTACGACCCTAGTGATCTCAACCTCAAACTTGATAACCCACCAAGAAGAGATGTCGTGCTACTTCCCACGGGTGGCTTCGTTGTGATCGCTTTCAAGGCCGATAACCCAGGTGTTTGGCTAATGCATTGCCATATTGCTCGGCATGCATCCGAGGGCTTGGCATTGCAGATCCTTGAGCGACAGCCTGATGCAAATAGACTCTTTCCCGTGGGTTCGCCCAATATGGTCGAGGCGGAGAGAGTTTGTCGAGAGTGGAAGACTTGGGAGCACAGTCAGGCGAATTTCTTTGATGGCGATTCCGGCATCTGAACCTGCCTCTCCGTTGGATGAGAGGATACACGAGTAATTGCTTGTCAGATAGCTTTCGCTTGGGACAAAGTTAGCCAGTCAATCGGAGGCCGTAGATCCAGACTAGTCAGAAATAAGGTGTGACTTCATGATTTTGACACAAGGATAGGGCTGATGTTCGCAAGGCACAATCTCACCCAGATGTAACTCTGCACCCCAGCTTCTCTTATCGAAACGCTTATCGTACCTCCAGCGCAACGCTGATTTGGTAGATCCCAAGCACAGCCTCTGTGTTCCCCACCAAGAATCCGGGTTGACGTCGATTGCCCAGATCCTCCGCCTCTATTTCCAGGTTGCAATGAAACAGAGAGGCGGCTGTGAAGTCAAAATCGTCTATTCATTTGCTGATCTCTCGAATGAAAGGCCTGATGGGATCAACTGCTGCGTGTTACGTCAGCGGTGAAAGATTATTGATTGAAAGAAGGATTGGTATATTTATGCCAGCGACAAGCCACCTTTCCCATGTATAAAAACACCATTGATCCCTCGTTTGTTATACTTCATCTCATCCTCATTCACTTACTCTATCAGAATCTCTTTTCAATGAAGGCCACACTCTTTGGGCTCATTTCATCACTAGCTGCCCTTTCTTTGGCGGCTCCATGCCCCGATGATGGAAGCCAGGAGGCACTTTCTTTTGCCTATATGGTACGATCTTGACCTTCTTACCAAACAGGAAAATGCTAACTCCCCAAGTACGGCTTCCCTCTCTATGCGTTTGGCGATGTCACCAAACCCTTGCTTGCAAAAGGGATCGACCTGAAGCCAAACATCATCATTGCCTCTCCGGAGCCAAACGAGCCCGGCGCAGTTGGAGTTGTGCGACCCAATGCCGATACTATTTACTCTATCCTGTTTATAGACCTGTCTTCGAAAGACCTTCGTATCACTATCCCTGAGATACCAAGTGACCGATACTGGGTTTTCCCTTTCTGCACACCGTAAGTCTGTCGTCATGTCTATGGGTACCATTCTTACAGTCTTTAGATATGGTGACAACCTGGTCAACCTTGGCAATCTCGGCGCGAGTGAGCCTGGAGACTATCTCCTCAAATACAGCCCTAACAAATACGGTCTTGAGACAACTAATGTGCCGGAGGGGTATATTGGTGTCATCAATTTCCCGATGGCATACGGTCTAGTAAACTCAAGAATCGTCACCGATCGATCGGAGGAAGATGTTGCTATCATCGCAGAACTACAGAAGGGCTTCCGCATCCAAGAAGTATCGAGTAAAGAAAAGCCTATCGCTCCGGCCTTGGATCTCACCATGTTTATTCAGCCAGAGTACTCAGATAAGACCCAACCTTATTACGAAGCGGTTATGAAAACTGCCGCTGCTCTTGTCCCGTACAATCCACCTTATGTCGTGTCAGATCGAAAGAAGGTGGCATCAGAATTGCAGAAAGCCGGCTTGAACAAGGGGAAGTTTATCCAGCCTCCTCAAACAAACCTCACTGCCGCTGTTGAATCTGCAAACACGACCTCGGCACTATTCGCGGCGAAGCCTGGCGTTCGAAAGGACGTCGGAAGCGATTGGTATCTGGTCTCCGACGAGTACATCGGTCGCTTCAACTCTTTCTACGCTATACGATACCAAATCGGTCTCACAGCATATCTTGCTCTCGTCCAGTCTGAGAGCGCATACCCTTTCTACGGCAAGTATATCTCCATTGAAGTGGGACAGTCTGTTTTGTGCACCTTTACAAAGCCACCCAAGATTCGGGACGGTGGTTTTTGGAGCCTCACTGCCTATGGGCCTAACCAAGATCTCATCGTGAATGACCTGGAGAAGTACATGGTGGGCGATAGAAGTAACTTGACATTCCCTGATGGTACACCCGTAGAGGAGAGTGATGAGCGGCCGTTCCAGGTTTTGCTTCAGGCTGACGATGTTGCGCCTCCTTCTAACTGGACCAACAAGTAAGTACATCCTCTTTCTACTCCTAACAACTGTCTAACCTATTCTTAGCTGGCTGCCTATCAACTCGGGAGGAGGCAACATCTCGGTCACTTGTAAATTTCCACTCTTTAAGTAGTCTCTCATGTTCTAACATTACTGGAAGTGCGCTGGTATGGTGCAGAGGAGGAGATGGTTGACGGGACATATGTTCATCCTAAGATTGAGTTTATTGATGCCATGAAGACTTGAACTCGGGTACTCTCAGGTTGCAGTCATCTGGGTATAAGCATACAGTACAGATCACTGTTGCAGATTATGTATGGGCAGCGGAGTTATGTGCCTTGGCGAATGGGAATACTAGAATATATAGCTTATTGTCTTATGACTTCGCATGAGAACATTCAGTCTCTTCAGAACATTTTGGTTCTTAATAACCGACGTCGCGGTTCATCTACTCATGACTAAATAGAACCCTGTGCCCAGAAAACACCACGACCGTTCGTTCCAACATAGACCAACCCAGCTTCATTGCCACTACCAGCCAACTTGCAAGAGTCAATCGCACTAAATCCCTGCGACCCCTGGATATCCACCCAAGTCTTGCCAACATCAGAGCTACCGTACAGCTTGCGTCCAGCAGAGCCTGCACCAAAAGCATACACGTTCCAGTTGCTTCCAGAGCCACGACCAAGAGCAATTTGCTCAGCAGTAGTCAGGCTGCCGACTTTGGTGAAAGTGCTGCCGTAATCGGTGCTGCGGAAAACTCCAACGTCGGTGGATGCCCAGACTTCGCCGGTTTTTGCTGGGTGCGCTGCAATGTCGCGGATCTTGCTGGCGGAACCTAGAGAGCCGGCCTTGGTAAAGCTGGAAGCTGTGTCGTTGGACACGAAGAATGTTGATCCAGAGGCAGCGTAGAAGTAGTTATTGTCGCGCTTGTCGCTAGCAATCACGGCACCTGAAGATAGACCCTTCACTGTAGAAAAAGCCGCTTCCTTCGCCGATCTCAAAACACCCTTGCTGTCGGATGACCAGAGAACAACATCTCCATCAGCAGAGTATGCCAAGGAACCACCCTTCTGGCCAGCTTCGGCAGCACCATGGAGTTTCCATGACTTACCCCCATCGGTAGACAGAGCAAGCTGTGCTGGAGTATCAGAGTTACCCGCTCGAACAACATTGCCGACCTTGTTACCAGCATAGTCAACGCTGACTGAACTCGTGAACATGGGGTTGTCCCACGCAGACTGGGGTGACTTGCCGAGATCGTTCTTGCTAGCAAACGTGAATCCACTGTCGTCGGCGACGCCGGCCAAGAGCTCGCTTCCTCCAGGTGCGGACTTAAGATCGAGGACTGCAAACTCTTCAATGCCGTCGGCTAGCGATTCGATGGTGATGTTGTGGGTGCTGTCCCACTTGGTAAGGTCATGGCCTCCGTAGAGGGTCAGGCCTGTACCGTAAAGCCAGTGGTTGCTGTCCAGCGGGTCGATGGAAAGGGCTTCGATCATCCAACCCAAACGCTTGGTATCGACAGAAATGAAGTTCTTGTAGATCCAGGGCGCTTTGGGTGTGGAGATACCATAGTGGTAGTCCAGGTTACCCGCCGCGTTGTAGTTCCACAGCGTAGACCATGTCTTGCCAGAGTCTGTAGATCTGAAGATCTGTGCATCGGGGTACCAAGAGTTGAGAGAAGCGACTATCAGAGTTCCAGATTTCTGCTTATCAAGTGACAAGCCGCCAAAACCAAAGTAGATATCTCCAGGTGGTGTGATATTTGCCCAAGTGCCTTTAGCAACATCATAACGGTAGACAGCACCCTTGGTGCCATCGTACGGGCCAGAGCCATTACTGTAAGATAGGTACAGCGCCTTTTCTTTGGCTGAAAACTGAGCCTTGTGGGGTAGGTAGTCCTTTGGCTGATCAGCAACAGGGTTCCAAGTCTTGCCGGCATCAGTTGACACGTAGACCGAAGCGGTCTTGGTATCAGCGACACCAACGAATATTCTTGAAGTAGCGCCGTTGACAAGTGACGAAGTAGAATCAAAGGTGACAAAGGCTAGGCCCTGGATATCATTGTTGTATCCGGAGGTGTCGCTAGCATCGGGGATGAAAGTGCCGACATTGGTGAAAGAGGTGACCTTGGAAAAGCTCTTTCCGCCATCAGTGCTCTTCCAAAGGCCGTTTCCGCTTCGTGCTCCGAAGTAGATGATATTGGAGTTCTTGGGGTCAACGGCGAGACGCTCGCCCATTCCTCTACCGGGCATGTTACCGCCTACTTTGAAGGGGAGTTCGGTGAAACTCCAGGTAGCACCTTTATCATTGCTGATACCGATAGCACCTTTGTTAGGGTCCCTGTTACAGACGTTATCAAGTTGAACTTTCACGGTATCAAGAGCTTACTCGCCAATCATTGGTGTACAGGCCAACAGCTGTGAGAACCTTGTTAGGGTTGGCAGGGTCAAGAGCCAATGCGTCAATGCCCCAGCGGTTCCTGCATACAGATCAGCATTGTCACATCATTTGGGGTCTATGTATGCATACCATGTTGAGTCGGAGGCGGTGTTGTCAGTCACTGGTGTCCAAGAGTCATCCGAATTGAGGCGGTAAAGCCCTCCAATATCGGTTCGGGCGTATGCAACGCCCTTGGCAGTTGGGTGGAATTCAATACCGGCAACAAAGCCACCGCCACCGCCTAGGCGGACATTTTGCCACTTCAAAGCGGCTTGAACGACATTTGCCGAAGCAACGAGAAGTGAAAGCAACTTCATCTCAATTGACAGATGAGTGAAAGATCTCCCTTAGCACAAGCTCGATATAGGTTCTATCTAGATATGCAATCACCCCTTTTTATACAAATTTCAGTGGCGGAAGCCGAAGGTTTGTCGTCATTTCCAGTGTTTCGGATATATAGGCTCCGTGACAGAACAGGCACAATGCAGGGGTAGAAAGCTTAATAGCTCATGTGATACACCAATGGGGCTTTCGGCAAACGTCCCGAAATTACTATTACCATAATTGAGACGGATGAGCGCGAGTTTAGATTCTCCACCTACCAAAGGGCAGTATATTGGAAGATGGTGTTGAGGTGTGGGCATTGTGAGGGGGGCCAGTTTGGAAACCCTGACAAACTTCTGGACTGGCGTGCCTTGGATCATGCTGTTTCAGGCTTGGCCTGTCGGATGCCCGGAAAGGTGACATCTGATTCATTGAGGTATGATTTACTGCCCCATATGGTCGTCTGAAGTTTAGAATGGTTGGAAAAGATGGTATGAGGAATACAAGGAAAGCCGGCACGTCATGGTCAGAGTCTTGCACAAAGACTCAACTTGTTCTGTTGCAGTCCCGGGCAAAACTGCCAATAACGACCCCACTAGGGTTACTCATCATACATAAAATGTAAATAATTAGGATATTACAAATGAATTCGGGAAAGGATTTAATAGGATTATATAAAATAAGGAGGTTTATTATAATATGTATTATCTTCTACAAAGTTTAGAAGTGGAAGTCATCGGAACCTTCGCCCTCCTACTGTCGCCAGTAGTTTTTCCTATGGACTTTGATGTTTGTTCTTTGACAAAGGCTATTTCCAGAGCCGATGCAGCCGATATTAGTGGCAAACCAACAGCTCACGCCTCTTGAAAATCACTGCCGTTGCCTACATTCAGAAATGTGTTCCCAGAATAATGCGATCTAACAGTAAACTAAATGTAAGATAGTACAATGGACTACGGCGAATGGAGAACTGACGAACAACTGTTTTGTTCGCCCACGACTCCACTGGCCAACATTTGTGGTTTTCAAGAGCGGTAGCGTCTTCCTTTGTTACACATTCGTCTCCCGTCTTTTGTTCCGTTCCGACTGCAAATACTGAACTGGTGACTTTGTAGGATGTGTTGAACAACCAGCGAGTTTCTCTTGTGCGATATGAATGGCTCTATTGAGAATGTGAATACGGATCTACAAAGGAGGAGCTTGGTATAAGTAACGCATATCCCTCCCCTTTGATCTCAACTCTACCAGCTCATTCCTCTCACTCTCAGATAGTCCAAAAGGTAACTAACATCCCCTCAACGTCTAGCTAACCTTTTGTTCTTTAGGTCCTCTACTTCAAGTCTCTTATCACGAATCCCATCCAAGCATTCACTATGTCATCTCGATCTGAAGACGTTGAGACTTTGGAGAGGCTGAATGTAAAGATCATCCGTCTCCAAAATAAACTGGCCAAGCGGAATGATGAGTTCAATGCGCTGGTCGAACAAGTACGACAAGCTCGCGAAAAGGGGATGTCTCGGGAGGAAGAGCGTCGGTGCATCCAAAAGATGCGTATGGTAAGCTACCAAATTCGAACTATTGAGCGTCGCTTTGATCATCTCTGGGACAAGAAGCTCTACTTTCTACAGCTTTGCAGCAGGGATGGTGGCATTTAGACCCGGTAACTTAGACTTGGGGTCTTAGAAATGGGAGTAAGGTGGATACATCATTTGGACCGGTAAGTACGCGGCTGGCGACTAAGCATCTATGTTTACATGGGATGCTTATGACTTCAAATTGCACTGGCATGGGTAGATAGATTTCACTTAAGGAGAAGAATAGAAAACTTGTCGGAAGTTGTTTGACCATAGTTGATGATTATAAATATGTACGAGATAAAGCTTAAGTGTATGGCGCATAATTCGTCCAACTGCCCAACATAAGCACCATCTCAGTCTATTCCACAACTCTGTATACAGGGTACTCATCACCCACATTAACAGGGAAGATATTGAAAGTAGCATAGGAATCAATATTCTCAGGCTCAAGCACCGTAAAAGCATAAGCCGCAGCCTGCTGCCGGGTAGACACCCAGAAGCTTCCCGCCGGCATCTTGATCTCCTTGCGCTTTGTCTCGGTAGTAACAGTGTTCAGGACAGTTCCTTGGTAAACAGTGCTGGCCAACGAAATGCCGGTGACGTTGTAAGCTTCAACCTCGCCCTTGAAGTCGGATCGGATGTTCTCGACCTTGACACCGTTGAGTCTCAGGCGCTCGGCGGCTTCTTTCCACGCTTGGGGGAAGATGTAGGCCTCGGGACGAGTTCGTGTGAGGTTGGCCTTGACGGGCGCAGAGCTGAGGAACTTGACCGGGACTTTGATCAGTTTGCCTGTTTTGAGCTCGATCATGTCCCAGGTTCTGTTGGTGGGCTGGAAGCTGTCATTGACGACAATCTCGTCGACTCCATCGATAGCTTTCTGGCGAGCTCCCTCGATCACTTCGTACACGTCCTCGGCCTTGTCGGCAGCTGTCTGGACAATAGCCTCCACCATTGTCAATCCTGAAGCGACACGGCGCTGGAAGTGCTGGCTTCCAAGCATAATACCCCTCGTTTCAGTGAGAAATACCATGGTCTGGGTTAAGGCCAGTGAGACATCACCAGCTCGCGCCTGGGTGTCAAGCTGAGTGAGAACCACAGGCTCCTCCCTGAGGTTGCCAGTGACGTAGGGACTCCATCGCAGCTTGCGCTTCTCCATTGCACCAGCGATTTGGGGCGCGAAGAACTTCTCCGAGTAGTCGCGGATATCCTTGTGGATGTTTAAGTTCTTCATAGCGTCAAACTGGCCATCCACGGCTTGTACCCACTGCTCTTTAGCGCCGTAACCTCTATTGGCGCTGTACTCGTGACAGTCGACAGCAATGTGAGGAGAGAAGTCAATGATCATCGCTTTCACATCGCGTGTTTGCTGGCTCGCAAATCTAATGTGGTCTCTATTGGGATCATATCCCGTAGCGAGGAAGCGTTGGAAGTTTGCGACACCGTCAGGGTTGTAGCGAGGAAGGATGAGAATATCCATCTTCTCCATGATTGACGCTGCCCAGGTGGAGTTGGCATCGAATTTTCCTAGCAGAGCAAGCAGAGCTTCATCACCGCCAGGTTCATTACCATGTACGCCACCTTGGATGTAGACTCGCAATTTCTCTGAAGATGAATTGGCTGCGATGGCGGGCTGGCTCGATGTGGATAGGAAGACGTGGGGAAGAGAACGTCCTTCATCGGATTTGTATGACGGGTTGGTGTATGTCATCCAGTCGTTGCGCAATGCAAGACTCTGGAGGAAATACTCTACTCGAATTAGCGATCTGTATCATTAGATAGGCTTTTATACATACCCATTGTTGCATCGTCAGTCGGTCCGCTAGTGCCATTGTCGAAGCCTGCGGGAACACCCTTGGGGTTGGTGAAGGCGGGAGACTTGAGCTCAATTCCCTTCACGCTGGGAAAATTCTTAGCAGCCTCATCGCTATCCTTGATGAGGGCTACTTGGTTGTCATTATAACGAACAGCCGTGGCCAAGCCAGCACACAGAAGCCCAGTGAGGGCAGTACGAAGCGACATTGTTGAACGATGCAGAGCAGCTCATGCCAACAAGCAACGAAAGCACCTCATTGAGGGCTTTTGCTCATTTTAAAGCTACCCAGCCAAGCCCAACCCATGACGACCATCGCAGCTGCACATCTATCGGGCATAGAATGACCGAATTTCTGGACGTTTTTACCCCGCCGATCAGCAGGTAAGCTTATCAGTTGAGTTTGCCGATGATAAGCTTAAACCGTTTAAAGCAGGTCCTTTTGTGGTTTTAGTTCATTATGCTCCGCTAGGTTGCAATCTTCGGGGCGGGGAACGAGAAGAATGGGTTCGCCAAGGCTTGGAGGATTGGACATGGTATACCGCCGGTTCGCTATCGGACTTTTGCTGGGGCTGGGAAGTCGGTTCTTGTTTTGACCCCGGACAGAAGATGGTAGGAAAAGTGATAAGATGCGCAAACTTGTTAGCGGGTGTTTGGTGTTAGGTAACAGGAAAGATAGTGAGTGCTTATGACGTTGATTAATACTCTTCTTCTTCCGTTTCATAAGCTACATGGGTAACCATCCATGTCCAGTGTTTTGCTGACGACCGTACCCTATAGTTTGCACTCAGCTTGCGCGTAGACCTTATTCGAGATGATGACGGAACAAGACAATGGAGTACAAAAATAGGCACCTAGTCCACAAGCCTAAAATCCATTCTAGATGCATCTTCGATTGACTCTGTAAACCTGGCCAGTAAATGTGTGCTTTTTGGCTAACCCACCTACCTCGCTGACCCTCAAGGACCATCTTTCTCAAGGAGAATATTTACGACCACTACAAAATCTGTTCCAAGCATCTCTGTCTTGGACCCTCTATCAAGGGTGACTACTTCCCCAATGCAGCTCACACAAGAGAGGCCATTGGTCAGATGCTACATGTGTTTTGGGCATCTCTGCAAGGGCTATAACGAAAAGCGGTTACTGAGTTGGCCTACCAAGACCCGTAGGCCTGTGATTGAATCCACCTCGAGATCGTCCTTGTTACATGAACAATGGATCGGAGATTCAGACCTGATCCTAAAATACAACTTACAGTCTTCCGCTCGACTCCATCCTTGTGGGCGTTGGGGATTTAATTCAAGACAGGTGGAACAGATTCTTACTCTGGTTTCAAGTTGCATTTCTTGTAACACCACTTCAAGCAGTATCAATCCCATGAACTTGCCCATGAAAGTAATCCCGGTTCTTCCACTGCCGTGGGGTAAGATTCAAAAGAAAATAGATGGGGATAAAAATGGTCAGCTGTTGCCTTTTGGCTACGTACCCTACGAAAACTGCTTCAACCACACTTTGTTGTTTACTAGGTATATATCCGTTGTTTTAAGCAATTATGACATAATCAACACCAGACAACGTGGCCGAGTGGTTAAGGCGATGCCCTGCTATCTCTTACGAGACATCATAGGCATTGTGTTCGCACGCGTAGGTTCGAATCCTGCCGTTGTCGATTCACTTTTTGCCCTATTGCCTATTGCCAAGCCTTTATGTATCGTTGACAATCTTGTGCTTCAACAAAGCCACAGTTTGACTTCTTTTTACCCACTGGTGAGTTACTTGCTCCATTATGTGGGTCGTTTCTTCACACGCTCAGCATTTCCTGTGCGACATGAACATTGACAGGCAACAGCAGTGGGGTTAGGTAAGTAGTCAATGTTTACTTGCGTAGCGATTCGTAAATGCGAAACCCAACCACGACATATACAAAATGAGTCTCGGTCCTTTGCCCGTTGAGTTACTCATGACTCTTGGTGGCTTCTGCGACTATGCTCAACTCGTCTCTTTAGCCCGCGCCAATCACACCTTCCATGCCATCTTCAACCCGATTCTCTACAAGCTCAACGCCGCAGACGTCCCCCAGAAATCATGCCTCCACTGGGCTGTAGAACATGATCTTCTATCAACGCTAAAAATGGCCATCGCTTATGGTGCAGACATCAATAATACCGGTGCCGCGAAAGAGTCAAACTTCCCAGATGAGCCACCTGACGACAACGGCTGGGGCGACGACGAAAGCAAATGGTTCGACGAGAGCTACCGGGACGACGATACTGTCTATGCCTCTCCTTTACATCTTGCAGTCCTCCAAAATCGCCCTGAGATGGTGCGATGGCTTCTTGATAATAACGCGCGCCTGGATGTTCCTTCGTGGAAGCTCTGCTCCTGCCGCTATGATCATGATCTAAGCATGTGGTATCCGCTACACTTTGCTATGTGCCATAGCAACGATGAGATTCTATGCTTGTTGCTTGAGCGCGGTGCTTTGTACTCAAGAGAAGACGCCACAGGGCTCTATTGTGCCATTAAATCGGGTGCATTATCTGCTGTCGAAACTATAACTCAAGTGAATACCTTCGACCCGAACTACCGAGATTCGTCACATATGACGCCCCTACACTGGGTGCACGAATGTACAAACCTGGAGACTGCTGCCGCTATTACTGAAAGGCTAGTCCAGCGCAACGTCCCAGTCAACAGGAAGGATCGAGATGGCAAAACAGCTCTATTCTACCTAATCATTTTGTTCATGTTGGAACCGGCCGTCATTCTACTGCGGCACGGCGCTGATCCTACTATTGATGACGACGAGGCACGGGAATTGGGGCTACTGGACGAGTGCTTTCACGTGTGGCTCGATAAGAAAATCCAAAGAGCCCGGGAGGTCGACCCCAGCAAGGCGGAAGCTATGACTGAGAGGCGTCTTGAACTCGCAAAACTCGTCATCAAAGGCGGTGTCGATGTCAACGGGCCTCTCACCTACGCAACGCAGGCGCCTTTCATACGGCCTCTATTCTAGGCACTTGCTTCGACTCGAGATGTACGCTGCGTACAGCTACTTCTCGACGCAGGGCGGATATCAGCAGCGCAGTTGATGAAAATTACCACACCGAGTCTGAAAGCCTTCTGCGGTGTTTTTTCAGTCTTTTCGACGAGATGAAAAGGAAAGATTTACGGTTTTGGGGGCTAGTTAGCACAGACCTAAGGGTGTACAAGGAGTCGGTGTGCTTGTTGTTGGAAAACGGCGCCCGGATTGATGCTATTGGAGATGAGTATTCTGCTTTGAGCCAGGCCTGTGAGCTCGAACGGAAGAAGGGTGCCTTGACATTGTTAGTCAACAATGCTACTTCCCGCAACACTGAGTTGGGTCACGTTGGGAGATTGAGGGAGCGCTATAAGGCGGACAAGCTTATCTACAGGTTGCTGGACGGATTCTATTGTCAGTTGGAGGTGGAAATGAGAACGGAGGAACAGGAAACAGTTTCACGTGTAGCATAGAATGCAAATTAGGGCTTAAATGCCATATTCGTGGCTTTACTCAAGGCTAATATGCGATATGATGTTCTCGTTGTTCAGTCTAAGATCACAGAGCGCGATGCAGTGTAGCCAGGGAGTGGTCCGACATAGACCATAATTTTGACCACAATTTTCAACAAATCCCATTCCGGGCGAATGGTTTAGTGGTATAATACTCCCTTAGCACAATTCATCTGAAGAATGATTTGGGAGTGGTCCAGGGTTCGATTCCCTGTTCGTCCATCATTGGTGGTTTAATCCCACTGTTGTCCCCTCTTTTTTCTTGGTGTCGTGATCTTTTTACCGTTAGACGTTATCCCACATCGCGATATCTTCAGTCAACTCACTTCATATTCTGCTCCTGTTACCTTGCTACAATTTATCCCGACTCTCCTCTTGTCTCCTCAATTCGAATACAGTCAGCTTCGTGTTCATATCAGAAGACCTAGATACGAAGCCAACAGTGAGTCAGGGAAGCTGGTCATCAGATCTCCATACGCTCCATGCATAGACCCTTGATTTCTCGTACGTCGCAGTTCGCACTCGCAATAAGTCTTTGCTAATCAATACAAACGTCATGCTAGAAATATCCAAAAGCTTACATCCACCACCGGTATAGCCGAAGCCAAAACGGTCTATCGTGCGGCTCAGATGCGACTAGCGCTGATTTTGTCGTGTAAACTATCGTCAAGAGTCACGGCTTTCCAGCCGCAACCATAGAGGCTTAATTGAGTAGTCCCCGAATTTTTGATTCCTCTCCAAGCTACGAAACAACGTTGCAAATTTCTATGCACCAAGGTATTGTGTTGGTAGGGGAGCAGTAAGTGTGTCCAAGCTTTCAGATGGTGCTGTGATGACCCATATGTATATCATGAGCGGCAAAGCACAGGGTAGTTTTGAGAAAGACTGTCTACAGCCAATGATGGTTCTGGATATGGGCATGTTATACATGAACAGGAGATGGATGAACGACACTTGTCATACGGACAAATTATCGAGTTGATCTCCACCAAATGAAGTTGATATTGGATTCTTATCCGGACTTCGCAAGGTATTCGATAGCGTTGTAGATCCCTACTGCATTACGTCTGGCAACATTGGACTTTCGTACAACCTTCCCAGCCACTCCAACCACCTTGATGACGATTGATTTTAAAAATGCTGTGTGCAAGAAGATTAGGCGCATTGCATCCCGTCCCGGTCACATTACGCCAATGCACCAACAAAAAATGCCCCTGTTTGTTCCTCAAGTCTTCCGTGCGCCCCGTTTCCAAGGTTTCATGAATCAAGTCAAGATCGTCTCACCATCGCCAATGTGCGACCGTCTGTTGCACGCAATCAAGGGGCAGGCATGCAATCTACCAACGGTAAAATCGGCAAACCTTCTCCAAGGGGACGCATAGAACGGCAGTGGTGGAGGATTAATTGCAATTACTTTTAAGGTAACGCGTGGACCTGTTCCCCTCAATCTGCACGGATCAACGTGCCGAGGGCATTGTTTCAACGGTGCTGCTTGCGCGGCTTTTTGACTGGTGCCCAGTGAATTTGCTCAGCCCTCTTGAAGTGGACCTGGAAAGATCGATGCGACGCTCAGCTCGCCATTTCCTGGTTTGTCTCTGTTAAGCTTTTTGTGGCGTGTCGTCATGGAGATACCGGGGAAATAGCGCAATACGTCAAGGTTACATATGGCTGTTCTTTACTGATCGAAGGCCCTGTAGCGCTGCAGCGGGGCTCTATTTTCAGCTTCCAGGGCTGGGACATTCCACGAGGCGCTGCTTATGTGTGTCAAAGATTCAAAACAATTGAAGCCTCAGCGCCAACAAATCCATCATTCACAACCACCAGCCAGTGATCAGCACCAGGATGCCGCTCAGCCGAGGGTAATAGAAGCAGGACCTATTGAATCGGTGATAAACATGTTTCAAATAAATCACGTCCATCTGCAGATGGATACACACTGTCTCATCCTGGCCCTCAGGAGTCAGGGCCCTTTACGGTTTCACACTTTACGGCATACCCAGTGGGCAGTGGCATAAAAACCGGGGGCCTCGTCAACAGACGGTTAGATCGGATGGTACTTATCTGGCGCTATTGTGGGAACCACCGAAACGGTCACAGACTCGCAGGCTTGGCAAAAGCTTGTAAATACGGCGCCTATGACGATAAATGCGGCAACATGTGGACCATCGTCTCGTATAGCATTTTCATTGCTATATCATTCCACTGTCGCCCACAATAACTTAGGGGTCAGACATTTTCCAGTCTTGACTCTCGCTTCTTCACAGATCGGATGCCAGAATGCGGTCTCACAACACATTACTGCGCGGCGTGCTAATGCTCGTTGCTGTCGCATCCTTCTCCATCATCCTCTTAACCGTCTTCCATATAAAGCTAGCAGATGGCCTTTCCCTTATACCAGTCCAAGAACGACCCTTCTTCTACGATCAACAACCCCAGCAACAATCTCCCGCACAAATCGACGACTCCGAAGAGTTCCTCGAACAAGAAGACACAGTCCTTGAGAATGACCGCGACTTCCGCCTCTTGACAAGCCTACGAAACAACATGGGCTTCCACAACAAGATCGATGCGCGACAGTCAGGCCACCGCCTCATGAACCCCACGATACTCGAGCTCCCCCGCGGCGGCAACAGCAGCCATGAATTCCTCATCATCGCCCGCGCACCCCATGTCTGGAAGGAGATCAAGGGTAAACGCTACAAGCTTGCCCGACAAGTCGCCACCTTCGCAAACATGACGTACAACAACCTCGGCCGACCGATCCTCACGACTGGCAAGTGGTCGAAACTCCTCGTCGAGGACTTTGGCGGGCCTGAGCATCACTGCCAGCGACAGCCTGATATGGATCGATACATTGGCCCGGAGGACATGAAGTTGTTCTGGACTCGCACTGGTGAACCACTTCTTATCTTTACACATCAAGTCGACGACGAGGTTCTATGCCAAGGACAGTTCCTCATCGACGTCCGCGCTGCATTACCCGAGCTCGAAGAAGCCCTTGGCCACGAAGCATCATCTCAACTACCCCCAATCCGCTTCAACACACCCACTGGTCTATACCGCCAACCAGCAGAAGGTCAAGAATCGCATCCTCGATACCAGCGCGAAAAGAACTGGGCGCTCGCACAATCGCCTTTCAGCTCCGATTCGGAGCTCCTTCTAATGGTGGAGCCTGGCCAACTTTACCGCTATAGTTCCAGCGACGCTCCTGTGGAATCGGTAGTCGATGTCCACGATCAGCGCTCAGCTGTCGAGGAGCCGTATCCATCGACTGCCAAACGAGATGGTACTTGGCATAGCAAAAGCATGACCTGTATGCACGACGTTATGCTCGACGATAAACATGTTCACCAGAGCACGCCTATGATCAGCGTCACGCTCTGCAATAGAGGGACCTGCGAACCCAACGAGCAGAACACTGTCATAGTGGGCATGGTGCAGCGGCGCCTTGACCCTCCCCTGTCCCCTTTTACATGGTATGATCGCAGAATAGCCGTATACGAGGCTACAGCGCCGTATCGGATGATTAGCGTGAGCAAAAAGCTCACGTACCACGGTGAATCCGACGGCAGATACGTCTGGACGGGTTCCATGTCGTACTACAACAATCATACGAACTTTCCACCGTCAAATCACGGTTTCCTCAATGACGAGGTCTGGCTGAGTTTTGGCATCAAAGATTCAGCTGCCGGGTGGCTGGATATTCGGGCTAGGGATCTAGTCGCAGATCACTATATGTGCCAGGGCGCTTCGGCAGGTTACAGGCATTATAGACAGGGCATTTCTACATAAGCTGTGCGGGCAAGGCATGGTCAGGAGCGTGCATTGAACGGCGTTGGGGCATACGGGATAGAATATCCGTACACTAGCATTTGTTATCATGTTTGCTTTCACTTCTCGAATATTACTTTTATCCTCCTTCTCATCATTATTTTATTTACGAGAATCATGAGATGTGTGCGGTTGGTTGTGTGATCTGCAGTGCTTTCCACCGTGTTGCCGTGTGCGAGTGTCGTTTAGCTGCCGTAATTAGCTTAGCTAGGGCCTTCAACGGGGCGGCAGTTGGCTGACACTGACAGATGGAGGCTGTGAGCACGCGATCAAATGATATGACGGGTCTCACCATGTGTTAGCGCCGGCTTTTGTTCCATGGAGAGTTCTGCGCTGTTTGCGCCCAATTTTCAGAATACGAATATTGTTCGTGTTTAGTTCACTCATTCAACACGAGCTTCATTTCAAGACCTCAAGTTGGCACCTTTAATAAAGGGGACAAAATAGCAACATCACCTGTTGTCCCAACTTTCGTGGCAACTATTGTTTGGCGAGCTCACCATTGACATCAAACCTCGAAGCTTGGTGTAATGGAACTGCATGAATCTCGCTTTGGTGCCGAGTCCCGACGCAATTAGCAGCTTTCGCTGATCCGGCATTTATTTCCGAAAATGGAGAAATTACTGATTGACACACGGATCGCACGGCGACCACTTGTCGCTTGCTCAATTTCCTGTGATAAATATAGGCGGAGACTTGGTCCAACCCTAGTCACCACGATATCCTGACAGTTGTTACGGAAATGGGGCACTTTCTTTAGTGTTTCAGGACGTACTAATTTGGAGGCGAGGGGGGTCCAGACCTTGGAGAATGGATGGGCCAAGACGACAATTAGTTTTGAGTTTTTATAAAATGAATTCGTTTTTAAGGAGACAAATCCTCAGTAGTATCAACTTCTTCATTCATGGGGTCGATTGAGATACGGAGTAACCTGATTATTAATCGATTTATTTTCAGGACTTTGTCTTGTGACCCTCCCCGGCCGGGCATACTAGATATTCAAGACTTGCTGTTGTTGATCTGTACATCTTCCACATCCTCATCATCAATTCTCTTTGCCCGCCGAGCGGCAATACCCACGTCCTCAACATTGGAAAAGTCTGCAGTACCAAACACTTCGTCCATGCGTTCCAGAGAAATCTGCAGGTCGAACAGGTTAGAAACTGTGTGAAGCTGTTTCGGAAAACAACACTTACCCCCTTGGTCTCGGGAATCCACCATGCAGCGATTGCCATAAAAAAGTTGAATGATCCAAAGATGAAGTAGGCTCGGTAGGGATCATGGAGTAGCATCACAGGAGTCGACTTTGATACGGCGAGGTTGTGTACCCAATGGGTGAACGACGCGAGAGCAACATTGTATGCACGTAGTCGATTCGTTGGGATCTCAGAGACATAAATCCACGCTATTTTCATTAGAACCTGTTCACGGGTCTGGAGAGGAACTCAACTCACAAACAGGACCCCAGCTCATGTTGAAAGCAGCAGCAAAAATGTAAACCATAGCCAGAGCTGCAATACCCGCTGGCGGGGGATGGTTGTCCTTTACAGGCGGAGGACCGAATCGAAGGTACTGCCCAAATCAGTAAGGGTTCGATAACCAGCGAAAGTGCCTTACAAAGCCGATGAAAAACATGCAGAATGCTTGGATTGCACCGCCGAACATGAACGACTTGCGACGACCCAGAGAGTCAGCCAGGAAGAAGATGAAGATTAGACAAGTAACAACTTTCACGACGCCGTAGATCTAAATCTGGTCAGTGGCTTCTCGAATATGAGAGAAAATGGCGATACTTACACCCTGGGCGAACAAGGCGGTAGTAGTGCTGCTAAGACCTAAACCTTGGAAGATCTATCACACAATTAGCTATAGCTCCTTCACTTGCGTTTGGGAACCTTACGGTTGGGGCATAATAGTTGATAGCACCAGTCTGGACTATGTCAGTAGTTGATTCTTGTGAGTGGCAAGCATAAAAATGACTTACTCCTGTCCATTGCCCGAGTGTGACTATACCAATGGTAAGAAGGGCACGCTTCCGATTCTGCGGCACCGCCCAGCATTCCTTCTGAAGAGCCCAAAATCCCGTGTCTTTCATGATGGCACGCTCCTGATCAATCTGCGTTCGCAGCTCAAGCAACTCCTGCTGAATATACGCATGCTCTACAGGAAGTTTCCGCACATCCGACAATACTGCTCCCGCCTTCTCCCACTGGTCTCGAGAGGCTAGCCACCGCGGTGATTCGGGACAGAAAAGCATGCTGAAGAACAAGAGAGCTGGACAGATCGACTGACATCCTAGTGGGACCATCCAGGTCGCTTTCCCAGGGAGGTGAAGTAGGGAGCCGTAGTTGATGAAGTACGCTGTCATGCCGCCGAGTACGAGAAGAAGTTGGAAGAAGCCGACCAGAAATCCACGGATAGCGCGGGGAGAATTTTCAGACACGTAAGTTGGCGCAAGCATTGTTCCTGCGCCCAGGCCAAGACCTTCTATGAATCTAGTTCCTGGTCAGTGAAGAATCACATACTCTGCATAGAGAGGCGACTTACCGTCCGATGTAAAAGGCAGATAGATGACCATACGAAAATGCCTGCATGATTCCTCCGACAAACCCAGTAATAGCGACGAGGAGAAGTGCAGGTTTTCTTCCCTTGCGATCAGCGAAAGGACTTGATAGAAGTGCACCTGCTATGGCGCCTGCTTGCATCGTTGTGACAAGATTGCCTGACAAGTCAGCAGCTGCTTTTGGTGGGCGAGTGTCAAGACCGAATTCTCTTTCAAAAAGGCGTCAGTTCAGGATCTGGAGTTGCTTGATAATTGACGAACCGCTTAAAGTCTGGCATTGCGAGGACGCCTCCAATGATGCCAGCATCTACCCCAAACAGCGCTCCAGCAAAACATGCCTTTCGGAGTAAGTAAGATACAAAAGCCCAAGCTTGAAAAACTTACCGAGGCAGTCAAGGCGATTACTCGCCAGTTGTAAATCTCCGGCGGGTCAACGTGAATGGCTTCATTGCGCACAATGCGCCGAAACATACCATGTATCGTCATTTTGTCACAGCCAATTCGATCTTGAAATAAAGTAGGATCTAGATTTACTGAAGGAACAGAACGAGCTTACGAGATATAAGTAGTGGAGCACAAACAACATGGGGATCTTGCTTCGGTTTGATAATGTTTGCTTTATTCCCCGGGGATGCGGGGGGTGTCGATCAAAACCTGGGGTAGATGCCCCGGGGAGTATCGGTTGCGCCTCTGAGGGCTGTGATTGTTTGGTACCAGGGCGCATGATTTGGTTATGGCCTTGGCAAATGACATCGGGGACTGTCGGGCTTGTTCCGAAGTGTATTGATTTGGGGTATACCCTGGGTCGTATTGGGGCTGGGCGTGTGATGATTGGCATTAGTGGCTGTTCTATGTGCGAGTCGGAATGTATGACATAATGGTCACATAAAGCCGAAAACTCGCATATTGATGCTACCAACAGACAGCCACAATGCAGCCAACTTTATGCAACTGTCTCTGATTGTTAGAAATAAATGGGTTATCCGATAAGGCACAACTGAAGCTTACGGGTTTGTAGAAGGACTCTTATTTGTCCTCGATTTAACAGCCATCTAACTATTCTGACTATCCCACAGAGCATCTGGATTTTCCCAAATCTGTTCCAACTCCGATCCAAGTGAAGGCGTTGGCCACCCACATCTCTTCTGGCATGAATCTAGCATTTCTAATACAAACTGCTTTTCACTTGGGTTTTGCATGAAGATTCCAGCTAAATTATTGTCAGAAAGGGTCCAGATATTTTGGGGGTGGGCTTTACCAATAAAGAGACACTGCGAGGATAGCATACTGGACGCGTCCTCTGTAAGGGTCATACCAATCCCACAAACCATCTCTATATCTTTTTGGATATCTTTCTGACGCCTCAAAAGGCCCTGTATACCATCGAGATGTGGCTCATGAGCGGTGAGTAGAATTCGAGAGCAATGATGGAGCTGCACTGCTAATCCTGTTACTCAGATTAGCTGAGAACTTGTTAGCCGATGCAGATGATGATTACCAAAGCATTGGGGATGTATAAGACGCGGTTTGAACACGTTGTTTCCCTGACTTCCCATAGTAGGCAGTGCCGAAAATTCAACAGTCAGATGGGACAGCCATTCATCAAGCATCTTTCTCAATGCCTTTGCCCAGCCCATTCTACCGGCCAAGCCGCCCTCACTCTCCGTAGAAGAGTCAACAGCACAGAAATTAATCACCTGTGCCATAATCCATACAGCTCGTGAAGCTAATTCGTGGTTGTCTAATTCCGCGTACCCTTTCTTAGGCATCCAAGTACTATACGTCCTCCGCTTCTCCCGAAACGCCACCCAGATATCCTGCCGTAGCCAGGCCCACCACGTCGTGCTCTCGAGACTGGAAGTTTCAACTTCAATCTGACGGGATCTCAGAATCCAAAAGACCCCTTGTAAATGCTGTTGCCAGTCCTTTCGTGAACCGCGGAGCATTTCGTAGGTTGATACCATGAGCGTTGTTGCCATTAGCTCTTGGCTGTTCTGGTATGTGGAGTAGCGCATGGCTTTCTGGACATAGTGGAGTGTTTGGTAGTAGTATTGCAAAGCGGTGTTCTGGTCCGGACGTTGATCGGAGGGGATTGTTTCATCAAGGGATTGGTGGTAGCATGAGAGTGCTAGGATGGAGTTAAGCAGACCTGCATTGCGGACTGCCAGATGTGGAACGCGTGTAGAAAATGTTCGAGCAGGGTCAAATAGGTCAAGCTTTTGCTCGTTAGTGAGGTTTTAGTCAACATGGAGTATGCCTGCAGACTTACCCATGAGCATATTCTGTGAAGGAAGTTCTGGAACAAAGCTTGCTCTTGATCTAGAAGTGATATACTCTCCGATGCTTTCCACAGTCTTTCTTCAGATGGGTCGCGAATATGAACCTTGTCAGATAGATCCTGTTCTGAAGGCTGAGTATCGATAATCTTGGTTGCCTTCTGCAAAGGTGTCGTGTCACTCTCAGCTTGCCCTTCTGGCGAGGTGTCAAGCAGCTCACCATCGAGACCCGATGTCGCGTCTACTTCAGGAAATGCTTCGTTAGATGCGTCATTAGCAAGGATGCCGAACCATCTCACTGCTGCAACACTTGCAGATGCAGCTGGTGTCGTCGAGGCTGAATCTGATTGCCCCCCAAACCAGTCCGTCACGTATGGGAGTTGCTGCGCCTCTATTGTTGGATCCCAGTGAAGACTATTATCTATACTCAGATGGTTATGGTCTTGTCCCAGGCTTGAAGTTGGATGCGAATGAGATGCAGCAATCGAGCGCACAGTCTGGGCAAGGTCATCCTGCGAGCTGATGATCTGCCCCAACTGCCGAAGGATCTCCAGACTAGCTGGATCAAACCTGCAGAAGCGACATCAGTATTGCCAATTAAACCAGGGATGAAACTCACGAAGAACGATCCTTCTCAGAATTATCGTACGAGCAGGGGATATTCAGCGACGCGCAGAAACCACACGTAGGCTGCGCATTATCGCACTTAGTCTTGCGCGCTCTACATACATGACACGCCTTGAGACTTCTCTTCCTCGGGTATCGCGTATCCGAAGTGGGTTGACGCGCCCGCTTGCGTCCGTTGTTGGACTCTGTCGTATCTGTCATTGTTTGTCGCTTGAGGTGAGTATCAGGGATCGGGGAGAATTTGGACAAGTACCCGAAAGTGAGGAGAAGAGGGCGGGCAGATGCAGGGAAGTTGTCAGACAATCTCTTGGCGGTTGTTGGTCCAATGGTCACAAGATGCATGATGTCGACATGCATTAATTGCTGTGATATGGTGTAACCCCTCACGGGGAATCTCGGGGCAGGGACATGAAATGCAGATCAATAGAGATGGCTATGGGGAGTCAATTACATTCTTTGTTTAGGAAATCTTAGAGAAATGAATTAAAATACAGCGATTTCCCTCCAAAATATTGCTCGTAACTTCTGCTACTTTTGTGGCTGAACTTACGCTGTCGATCATTTTCATCACCAACATCATGGGCGATCTCGACCACCCTCAGCCCTCAGCGGCGTCAACCAATGGCCATGTCAGCAAAAACAGTCAAACATTATCATGGCAAACAGCCCACCTCAAAACCCGCCCAAACTCCTTTTCAACAGACATCCTCGTCACAGGCGGTGGCCTAGGCGGTGTCGCTGCAGCTCTGGGGGCTCTCCGCCGAGGCAGCCGTGTCTTGCTTACAGAGGAATACGACTGGTTAGGCGGCCAATTGACCAGCCAGGCTGTGCCGCCGGACGAACACACTTGGGTCGAGCAGTTTGGTGTGACGCGATCTTATCGCGCGCTGCGTGATGGTATCAGGCAGTACTATCGCGATAATTATCCGCTTACGGAGGAGGCGAGGAGACGACCGCAGTTGAACCCTGGTGCGGGACATGTCAGCAAGCTTTGTCATGAGCCAAGAGTCGCTGTGGCTGTTATTGAGGCAATGTTGATGCCTTATATCGGCAGTGGACTTCTGGTTGTCAAGAAACGCGTCAAAGCTGTTTCCTGCGAGATGGTGGGACAGGTCGTTCGATCTGTGAAGTTCAGAAAGCTGGATTCTGGTGATAGCTTCACTGTTGATGCGAAGTGTGTCATCGATGCGACGGAGCTAGGCGATCTGCTACCGTTGACAAACACTCCCTACGTCACAGGCTTCGAGTCTCGCAAGGATACTGGAGAGCCAAGTGCGCCGGAGGAAGCTCAGCCTCAAAACTCCCAAGCAGTCTCAATTTGCTTTGCAGTGGATCACATCGAAGGTGAGGACAACACTATTCCCAAGCCAGGGAAATACGACTACTGGCGGAAATGTCACCCAGACTTCTGGGGCGCGCCGTTACTCGGGCTCAAAGCACCACATCCAAGGACTCTCGAGATTGTTGAGAGAGAATTTACTCCCAATCCTAATGATGACCCAGCATCAGTGATTTCTGATCAGCGCAAGTCCGGGGGAGATATGAATCTCTGGACGTTCCGACGCATAGCGGCCAAAGATAATTTTACAGCCGGAGCATACCGATCGGACATCTGTTTGGTTAACTGGCCGATGATCGATTACTTCGAGAAACCCATTATTGATGTTTCAGAGGATGAGCTACAAGAGTGTCTTGCAGAGGCTGCGTCTCTATCATATAGCATGTTGTATTATCTGCAGACTGACTGCCCCCGGGCCGATGGAAATGGCACAGGCTATCCTGGACTGCGTTTAAGAGGGGATATCACTGGCACAGAACACGGTCTCGCAATGGCGCCATATGTCCGAGAGTCACGTCGTATCAAAGCCATCACTACTATTGTCGAACAAGATCTCAGCCTCGAAGTGCGTGGTTCGAAGGGCGCAGTGCATTACCCCGACAGTGTGGGCGTGGGCATGTACCGCATCGATCTACATCCCTCGACGGGTGGCGACAACTACATTGATGTTGCATGCTGCCCTTTTGAGATTCCATTGGGAGCCTTGATTCCGCTTGAGAGGCCCAACCTACTGGCGGCATCGAAGAATATCGGAACGACACACATTACCAACGGATGTTATCGGCTGCATCCTATTGAATGGAATATTGGAGAAGCGGCTGGTTTGTTAGCGGCGCATTGTTTGGATAAGGGTTTGTCGCCGCATGAGGTCCAGGGACAGAAGGAGGTGTTCAAGGAGTTTCAGGATATGATTGTCAAAGAGGGCATTGAAACAGAATGGCCTGATGTGTCAGGATACTGATTCGGCCGCTAGATACGATCACTCAGAGCTACAGTTTGTCTGGGTTCCATTTAACATACAAAGCATAAGGTAGTAATCTTGACGTATCTATTATCTACAGCCAATAACCTCCAACCTCCCATCTTTATCATGATTTTCCAGTAGCGCTGATTTGGGTAGATCTGTTTGCGACGTAGACCGTGCAACATGGTCTTGATGTCTCATTCATATGGCTTTTGAAGCTGATTGCCCTCAACCTGTTCGGCAAACCTAGGGATATGTGTAGTATGACACCACGGCTTAAGACTCTCCTCCTTGCGAATAAACGCGGCAAAGCATCCCAACCAACCCTCACGAGGAAAAGCAGCATTAACTTCTTCACGGGTCTTGTCATCGATGATCCCGTCAAAGTTCTTGACAGACGGGTGTCCACCGACGTTGTCATAGATGGTAGCCAACTGGATCAATTGCCCGAGAAAAGTAATGTTTCCTTCGGTTCCGAGGTCCTGGTGGCGGATGATTGTCTCGCACACTGCTTCGGCTTGGTCCTTGCTGGAACCATAGTCGCGGAGGAGGGCGAGTGCTTGGATGCCGCCTTTAAACTCAAAGGAAAGGCGGGTGGAGGCCATGTTCTCGTCGGTGGTGCCGATGTCGTGGAGAAGACATGTGAGTGCGAGGGTTGAGGGGGATAGGGTGTTGACGTGCTCGGGGAACTGCTGTCGTAAGATAATAGTGGCTTGCAAACAATACTGTTAGTATGATATCACATAACGGTTCTCGTAGTCAAAGGCTACTTACACCAATAGTAGACTCGCATGGAATGGTTGTAAGCCTGCTTCAGCAGATTATTTTTGGCATGTTGCTGAGTCTTGGCAACAAGATCTTCAGTTGGAAATTGAATGCTCTTGACATCCACATACTCGGGCTTGTTGATATACGGCCCGCTCTTGAAGATTTTGCCAGCATCGACAGGAACAGCTGTCCATCCATTCTGTGCTACTTCGTTGTTGCTCATGTTAAACTGAGAAGTGGTATTTGAAAGATGAGAGTTGAGTGAGGATGAGATCGATGAAAGTTATGAAGCCAATTGATTTCTGCACAAGAAAAGAATAAAGAAGATAAGCCAAGAGAGTAGAGTTTTCAACGATTAAATACGTGAAATGAATTTCTAATCATCACTACTAACCTGAGGACGTCGTTTGAGGGGTAACGTGTGACTATCAACCTAAGGCTGGCGTTTTTGGAGTTTTGATTCCAAACTTGCATGTTCGGCATCTCGGAATTGTAATCTTATGTCATCCGTTAAGTACATCTGCGTCATAGCCACGGCGTCCTCAATTGAATGTGTTTTTGATTCGTCAATTCTATCTGCTTACTTGATCGGACTACGACTTTCCAGCTGCGAGTTCGTATGAAGGTGGTGGCACTTCAGATGCGGGCACCTCGGATGCGAACCTTTCGGATCCAGGCACCTCAGACGGAAAAGTTTCAGATGCGGGCATCTCAGCGGTGTAGTCAGGGACATCTGGGACATTTCTCTCCGGCCTCACCGTCTCGCTTGCCGCACTTCCCGCAGTCCGAAATAGCTCAAGGAAGTCATTACGTTTGATGGCTTTGATGAACTTGACAGCTTCCCCATTCGCCTTGGCTGTCGGGTCAGCCCCATGGTCCACAAACATCTTGGCTAGGTTGTAGTCGAGCCGTAAGAGAGACAACATGAGCGGAGTCCTGTTCAATCCATCTACCTCGTTCACATCGACGCCATAGTCAAGGAGCGCTTTGATGTGCTTGCGTCGGTTGACGTCGATCGAGTATGTAAGAAGTGTCTGGCCAGCGAGCATGCGCACTTTTGTCTTCGCACCGCGACGTAGCATCTCCTCAACTACGGGCGCTTTTGACAACTCCACGGCGTGGCAGATGGCTGGAAGACCCCATATGGCATCAGCCGTATCAGGATCTACACCGTTATCGAGAAGAAGTCTGATCACTTCCACCTTTTCCCCGGTCTTCAGAACTACATCTCTGAGAATCTTGATAATAATGGGCTGAGAATGGATAGTTGTTCCAGGGTTGGCGCCGCCGACGAGAAGTCTCTTAGCAACGTCGAATTTCCTCTTTTCTATCGCGTATCCGAGAACAGTCGTGCCCAGGTTCGTGCGAGCTTCAGTATTGGCACCCTTGTCGAGGAGCAGTTCGAGCATGTTCATATCGCCCTTTTCGACAGCTGTAGCAAGAACAGGGTTACCAATGATATCAGTGGCGTTTATATCGGCACCATTGTCAATCAAGACGCGCATCAGCTCGACGCTACCTTTCTTGGCAGCCATCACAATGATTTGTTGACCTGTTATGTCCTTGGTATCTGCAGCGGCGCCACTGGCTAGTAGAAACCCAACTCCAGCCGCGCTCCCTTTATTAACAACATCCACGAGATGCGACTGTCCAGACACAGCTTTACTGTGAACATCTGCCCCAAACTCGAGTAATACTTGGGCGACATTTAGACTCCCCGCAGAAGCAGCCTGGAATAGAGGTGGCAGTTCTGACCAGCCCTTGCTGGAGGTATCAACTCCCGCGGATAACAGAAGACGAGCTGCAGCGGCTTGGTCGGACTTGATGGCGCACCGAAGAGGAGTACGTCCATCCTCATTACTACCTTTGATATTGGCACCTTGTGAAATGAGACCCGAGATTTGCTGCTCGTTACCCTGAACAACTGCTTGGCATAAAGCTGAGACCAGGGGATCTGGTTTAGAGCGAAGCGCCGAGGTTAGTGCCCTAAAGAATGAGGATCCTTTGGGGCGCTCGGGGCTGTGAACGACGGTTGGCGAGGTTGGAGAGGTAGGTGAGGTAGCCGAAGACATGTACGGTGGTGGTGCATCGTTGTTGCTTGTGACAGGCGGTTGACGTTTCTCTGAAAGAGGAGCGTTCTTCATGCTATCAGGATTGGGTTGGAGAATTTTCAAGTTGTCTACCAAGTGCGAGGAGGTCTCTGCCTGCTTAATGAGGTCCCTCACCGCTGTTGAATCGAGACTCTGTTCTTGCTTCGCCTGCTCATGTCTACACCATAATCAGTAAAGGACCGTTCACAAAGACGAGACAACATACTGGCTAAGGACATTCGTGAGAAAGGCAAAAGTCTGTGCATGGATCATTGTAAACCCGGAATACGCTGTTAAGAAAGACCCGTTCAACGAAGAGAGGTCAGAAGGATGTAAGTACATGACATCTGTATGCACATCATTCATCCGTCCTGCACAAGCAGCAAGCAAGTTCAATAATTGGTCGTGCAATTGTCTTGAGATCAGTGGTGCAGCCTTAAGAGCCTGCTCGAGTTGTTCCATACTGCGATGAAGCTGGCCGAGTGATGCAGCCATCAAATTGAGTTGCAGGGCATTCTGGTCGTCTTTTTCCAGAGCGCTGGCTAGCTTATTAGCTACGGCTGTGATGGAGGTTGCATTTGATGAGATTGAGGTGCAGAACGCAGTGAGATTTATGAGGTCCATGATGAGTCTACCGTGCTGCTGAAATTTGGTATGTTCTTGGGATGAGGCAGATAGAAGAGATGAGGTGTCGGCCAGAAGATAAAGAGTTATACGATTCTGGAGGGAGGGAGCCAAGACTTTCAGCTGCTTTACCTTGTGACACTTTTGTGCCGTAAGACGTACGTTGGTGACGCAGCCTTACAGGGGACAGACCACACATTAGGGAACAGCCTACCCGATTCCGGCCTACACTAACAGCCCTACGACAGGCCTTACAGACCTCAGTAGGCTTCCCTCTTTCTCGGAGTAAATATTCCCCACTCGATTTGGATTTGGAAATCATAGAGTTACAGATATTTTCTACCGCGAGTTTTCTGGCTCGTCCATGATGAAAGGGAGCGATTGAAGCATTAAAACGTCTCGAAATGCCGTGTTGAATGCCTCGCGCACACCCGCAGAGTAAGCTCCTTCATCCGGTCTAGCTTTGATCCTTCGCCCATGGACGTTTCGGGAAGTCCTTTCGAGCTTCCGGTTTGGCCTGCATATCACTGCACCATCACTTGTATACCATAGGCTAGAGTCAGCACAGCTTCGTCAGCTTCGCTTTTAGGTAGGACTTTTCGAAGCGCCTGCAGAAACCTGGAACCAAATGAATCTGAAGGCTGATTCCTCGGCATTGTGTCGCGTCATGTGCAATCCAAGTATGCTTTGCAACACTTTGAATAACTACCAGATGCTCTGATGTGTAGTAAAATCAATCAGGCTAATAGAAATCTCAGAGTTTATCTGTAACTGGCTACCCGTAGCCACTCATCTATCGTCAAAAGCCCTCGCCGCGGTAATCCTTTCCATCTCTTCACATCATATGTCTCATTGAGAGCTTGACGAAGCATCTTCGCCCTCCTCACCACGATTCCACTCGCCCCGACTGGATTGTTGCCCTTAGCAAAGTCATTCACCTTAGCTTCCGCCTGGACTCTCCTCCTCCGTATATCCTCGCTCTCTGTTTTTTCTACCACACAAAGCTGACAATGGCATTCAAAGTTCCACGATCGTTGAATGGCTGCCTTTCGTGCTTCATAGGAACTCGACTCATCATAGCTATGCGTAATCTCTTCTCCAGCTGCAATTCTACGAGTCGCGCGGAAAATGACCAAGTCGCCAATGAAATCCTTCTTTGAGTTAGGAATACAAGAGTGGTTGATATAAGATGCACGGATCCATAGACCAGTGCTTGCGTTGCTGATATCTTCGTCTTCGGTTTGTTGCCCAAGCCCAAAAGCGTTCCGCTGAACAATGTCGTGTATCTGAAAGGTGTCGAATACGGGTGCGCCATTCACTTGCTGCAGCTTTTTGCCATCCCCTTTGTAGTCTCCGCAAAGCTTCAGTACTTCCTCAATATGAGAAGGGTTATCGAGTAGCTGTCGGACCACTGCTTTGTGTAGTCCAGCAGGGAAGACTTTCAGGGCAGCGTCTTCTCGCGTATCACACACCAACGAACTGAACGTTTCGGGCTCATGGCTCCATGCCACACAAAAGGCCTTTTCGCACATGATGATCGCGTTTGATTGGATATCCCGAGTCGCAAAAAGACCACGACCGGCCCCAGGGCTATCTTTGATCTCGGTAGGGCCGTTGAAGGTGGCAGCATCAGGTCTGCCTCCAGTTTTGGACAACGAGCTGACAACACTCTTCATATTATAAGCACCATCTGTCTGCTCCTGAAGCCTGGCATTTATCTTCGGAAGGTATGCCCGGGGATACCGCTCTCCAGGTTGAAGAGCTGCTTGTCGTTCGAAGAATTGCCTTGCTTCCAGAAACATGCCTTGGACATAAGCAGCCAAACCAGCTCGGTTATAGGCCTTGGCATCGAGACCTCGATGTTCGTCACTTTGGCCATCCGTGACAGAAGATAGGGCATCAGACTTTGCTTCGTCGAACCGGTGAAGCTGGAGGTTGACATGCGCTCGATTTCTGTAGAGATCTTTACGCAGAGTGTTGTTCCCGTCTTGATGCGCAAGGAGCTTTAGCCCTTTTGTATAGTGGAAATGGGCTTGTGCCAGGTTCTTCTTCTTGAGAAGGGCGTTGTTTCCCTTTTTCTTGCATGTTTCGGCCGAGGTGGTCTCTCCACTTGACCGGCATTCCTTTTTTCGCCAACTTTCAGGGTCCTGGCTGATTTCCGTCACGATAAGATCCGAAGGGTGATCGATCCTAATGGTGTGTTCTCCCTGGTTGTTCAAGGTAAAGTAGGGCTCTTTGACAACAAGTTCGGATGCCATGTCTAGAATATCGCCCCCATGCCGAGACCTATGAAGAAAAACTTCTAGTCGCTCAACATCATTAGATAAGTCTCCTTGAACAACTGTCCATGATGATGCTTCGAGGATGACAACCGGCGATACACGTCGCAAGTGAATAAAACAACCTCGGTGATGTGTTTCCATACGCAACTTTGTCAGTTCCATTGGCTGCAGTTCCGAGATTCCGACCACACAAGGTGTATATGGTTGACCAATACCATACGCCACCATTGTTTCCTTGGTCTTCTTTGCAACGCTTAGACCAAACGCTGCGAATGAAAGATCTTGCATTAAAGAAGCTGATACAGCATTCTCGATCAAATGTTTGGAATCTCTCTGCTTCCTTGGTTGGCCTTTTTGTTCTTCTCGTTGTTGTATCTGATCCTGAACCGTCTTGCAGATACGTTGCGACTCTGCAGGCAACATGAAGAGGGTAGAATTGGCCATCGTGAATAGGTGACTTGGTTGTAAGTCTGGATTAGACTGAAATTCAGGGCTACATGTGTGGTGTTCAAGTTACATAATTAGGTGCGAAAAGCACGAGGGTGTTGGACAGCCCCAGGCTTTATATACCTTGCTTCGCAATACACACAGCTCCATACCATCCATTCATGATGGATCAACCCCTTGCCAGGATGATTCATACCGAAAGTATTGTTCCAATTAAGATATATTGTAATCAGGAAAAACGTTACAGTCCTTGCATCGAGCAGTGGGAGGTCATAATCTGATAGGACAGTTTTGGGAGCCGCAAACCAAGGCTCAATTTCCCTCATTCAGCCTAATCCCATCAATCACATTACTTAGAGTCCGAGCGTTGAGTTACATTCTTCCCCCGACTCACGAATATTTTGTGTTGGATCCGATCCTAATCCTATCTTCGGCACGCTCCACGAAGTAAGCCAACAGCTGTGACTCCGCCGGCGCATCTCTATCCAATAGCGAAGCTCCCTTTCCGAATGGACCAATCCCGATACAGATGCCGGTTGTTGTAGAAAATACAATTACAACAAGAACCCTACTAGCGTTTTACAGTATCACTGATGTGTGGCAGTCCGTGATGCCAGGACGAGAAAGGAAGTTACATAACTGATAACACTATACGCGTTGTAGGTAATAATGGTAGACATGTTCATATGTGGATACAGAATCAGTAAGGCTGTCAAGCCCATGAAGATGATGCATGCGTCTCGAACCATCCCAACAGCTGGCTATCACATATGAATCCCTCAACAATCCAGTGGGTAGACACACAATGCATCGTGAAGAAACTTATTGGTGGGCATCACATGTTGTCAAGTGCCGTTACTTCCGGCGACGAGATGTTAACTTAAGATAAAGCTCATTGTATCCCATATACCCCAATGCTGAATCGCAAACAAATACTGGCTTCCCGCCCCATGACAACTTTTCATGGTGATTCGTAACAGCTTCTCAGGTAGCCTCAGCCTTGCGACCGTAAACGTATCGAACAGTCATGTAGGGATGAGCCTTGCGGTTGCGGAGGAACTTGCGCATCTCCATGAGGAAAACCTGGTACTCATCGTCGGGCCATTGAAGGATGGTCTTCCAGAGAAGCAGAGTGTATCCTGGAATATGTCAGTACTCAAGACAGATGATGTGTTGAAGGGCTACTCTCTTACCTTCCAGATCGTTTTCGAGAGTGGCGCGGACGAAGTTACCGACCTCACGAAGCTCGGAGTCCCTGGCCCAACCACCAATGGGGAACTATGTCAAAGTCAGTCACCCGTCGACTTTCAATCGCAAGATGAACTCACCTTGTACTCAATGCTCTTGATATCAGTGAAGCCAGCCTCGTGAATACCCTTCTCCTGCAAATCGTCCTCCTGCACGAAGAAAGGGTTTCCAAGCTTGGCACCACCCTCGGAGAAGAGCTTGGCCCAGATCTTCAAACAGTCGATGTCATCGGTAGTTCCGTCATCGCTGCGAATGTGGACGTCGGCCTCGCCGGACTGGATCCAGCCGTCTTGCGCGCAGCAGCGGTAGGCTTCCTTGAAGATAGCGGTCCAATCCTTGATGGCGCCGAAGAGGTAGCGGATGTGAATGAAGTCGAAGGTGTTGTCGTCCCATGTCCAGCGGAGGGTGGCGTCGTCAATCTCGAACTTAACGTTGGGAGGGACCCAGCTGTAGATGGTGAGCGTGGTGGTTTGTAAGGGCTGGTAGGGGACCGCTTACGTTGGTTGAATAGGAGAGAGGTCGGAGCCGATAACTTCGGCCTCGGGGTACTCGTCCGCGAAGTCACTGACGATATGAGTATTGATCGCAGGAAATATCACAAGAGGGAATCTTCTTACATAGCCCAGATACCTTCAAGATATTAGCTATGTTGGGGTGCAAGACATGTGTTCAAAACTTACCGGTTCCAGTTCCGACATCAAGTACTTTCTAATAGGTGTGAGCAAGTCATATGATCAAAACCGCATGCACTTACCTGCACGTTGGGCTTCACAGGTGCAAGGAACAGCTTTCCACCGAGAAGCAGAGTCAAAGCCTGATGGCTGAGTGTCGTGTAAGTAATGTACCAGAATCTGGCCATGTAAGCCTGCACTTACTTGATGTCAATCGAGGCAGACTGCTGCTCGTCGTTGGGAGTAAAGTACTCAGTAGGATGTCTATCACTGTGGAATGTCCTGCCCTGGATGGTACGGTACTCAAGAATGCTGGATGTGATGGAAGCAGTGGAGCTTGCCCTGTATGATCTCATCAGCAACGGTAGCCGGGGTGCGTCAGCAGGGAGTGAGGGTCTTACGCATCATCACCAACAGCAGAGTCGGTCTCGCTCTCGTCGTCCTAAGCCTCGTTAGATACGTACTTGATTATATACGAGAAACAAGATACTCTTTTCTTACCTGTGGATCAGCAGCGGGAACTAACTCTGGCTGCGGCGCCGGAGCCGACTCAACGGCCGCCGCTAGATCGGACCGGGCCGTATCCGCAGCGGCGGTGGGAGACGGAGGCTGCTCAGACATGGTCTACAGGGGGGAAGGGAACAAGGTAAGCAAGTTTCTATGTCAAAGGTCCAAACGCGGGAAACGCTGGGTCCCTTTTGCTTGTGTTGGTGACGGGAAAAACGGGGTGTGTGTTGGTTTGCGCTGTGGAAATTAGCTCAAACCAACACCGGAAGGGGTTCTTGGTGAGGGGAAATCCTTTCGGGAAAGCTGTAAGCGAGAGCGATAGTGATACGATAAAGAGACAAAGAGTTTGTGGGGCTCGACGTTGGACTTGGACGCATTTGGTTGGTCGTGTTTTACTTCTCGGCGGCAAAAGTTCAGGTCGCAGTGGGGAGGGGATTGGAGATTAGCGTCATCTATGGGCCTGGTTTGTCAATGGAGTTTAGAAAAGGTAATTCTAGTCCTGTATTCCAGATAAATACTGGACCTAGCAAACCAATAATCATCCTTTTACCAAATTCTGAGTGAGCATTTGAATTATTTTTGAGAGTATATGTTGGCTACCATTCTCGAACCCTTCGCCCTGTAACAATTGACGACTACCCTGCATGATGCTCGGCAAAACATAGCCACTTTTCAAAGCATCATTCAGTATGCAATGCAAGAACCCAGTCACAGTGTCACACAAAGTCAAAGATAAGTATCGGTTGCGAACCCAACCCAATCGGATCGTGCGCAGATGACTCTTTAACGGCAAAGTCCAATGCAAAACCGTTGTACCCCGCCAAGCCCGTTACACCTACCTACGCAAAGCGATCTGTATGTGCCACCATTGAATCTCACAACCTTTCCACACAGATACGATGATTGAGTGCATTAGATACAATAGATTCATAACAAGCTCTTCGTAATATCTTCCAAACGAAAAGATCAAAGATCCCATCGAAAAAGAATACCATATGTCCACCACTTTTCTTCATCTTCATCCTCAGCTGCGCAGACTGCATGATGCTAGTTTCAACCAGACCACTACTTCTCGGACTTCTGTCCCATCCAAAAGTAATACTTTTCATAAGAATGAATCTTGACATTTTCCAGATCCTTTCTCGCATGAGCCAAGAAAACCTCAATCTCTTCCGGCCCAAGGATTTTGCGTAGAGGCTTGGCGGCCATGGCCCCAAACATGTCACTAACAGCAGTCTTTAAGTAGAGACCAACGAGACGGAGTTTTTTGTCCTGTAAAAGGTTAGCACGTTGAAATTGCACTTATGAATAATGAATCTTACCTTCGCCCACGTTCCAATGGGGACTTTGAGAACTTTGCAGCTCACGTTGGTGAAGCCGGCTTTCTCAAGAGGTTCGCGAAGATTTTCACCAGCGCGGAATTTCATGCCAAAGCTGGCGACGGCCTTCTCTGCAGTGTCGAAGAATTTGGCGAGCGGTGCATCCGGCGCAAGAGATCCATCGTCGCAGTTTGCGCGTGCGTCAAGCTCTTGAACTCGATCCAAGCGCCAGGTTTCATGTGCCTATATCTCGATGAGTCTCACCTCTTTTACAGAGCGGGTAGGGCTAATTACTCATGAGCCTGACGAAGTAGTTTGACTTCATCCTTTAACCAAGGACTAATGCAGCGCATGTGCACAAAGTCAAAGTCGTTCCCGTGCATCCACTCATCCTCGATGTCGTCGACCATGAACTTGAGGTTCGGTGGGACCCAAGAGGGCTGGATAGGACTGAGGTCAACTCCAATGACGGAAGCACTGGGGAATTTATCGGCGACTTGAACTGTCAGTCAAAGACGTAGATGATGCGAAAGATATGTTTACTGTCAATTGCCCAAATGCCAGTTCCGGTGGCCAGATCGATAATCTTTTGAGGGTTATCTCCGATGGGCGAGAAGAACAAATTGCCACTAGTCACGTCAGATCAATTATCTTGTAACAATATATTGTGTTTACCTAGTTAGCTCCAGCATCATTGCATGCTTCATGTCGTCTCGGTTCTGCTCAGCATCGTCATTTGGAATGGGATATCTACATTGATCAGTCAAACATCCGACGTGTATCGAATCATTTCTCACGTTCCATGACGGTACTGGTGATACTACATCGTTATTAGCCTTGCATGTAGAATACTCTAAGTATTGCGCATACCCGTCTTCCATTCTCAAACGCATGCTGATAAATACTCGTATTTAAACTCGTCGCGCTGGACGATAAGGTCTCCGAGTCAAAATCTGACGTCTCAAACTCATCCTCCTCTGAGCCATGTTGATCATGAGCGATCGGCTCGATAGAACCCTGCGCAAAAGTTGTTGGTGATGCCATGGTGATCGGTATTGAATTTCGCTCAACCAACCGAGTAAGCCGAGAAGAGTAGCGGTGTTGAAAATGGAATGGAATAAGGCATGGCTAGCCCCGCATGTCGGGGGAAAATGACTCAAGACCCTGGCCTGAAGAAAGTTTGCCAGGGTTCAAGAGCACTACAACATAGAGGCATCTGCTTGCCGCTAAACAAAGTCAAGAAAGTTATTCTATGAAGTTGGAAATCATTGAGCTGGACCTTCATGTCCCTTAGGAAATTTCTCCTGCTGTGATTGATTGCTGACCACTAAATTAGAGAATTGCTTCGCTTTCCGACGTTTTGAGTGGTCGTACTGCTATTGTACATACTCCAGGGTCTGATGAACATAACGGGAATATACAAGAAACCAGGAACAGTGCACCTCGGGCCGGGAGACATGTGATACAGTTATTCGGGGTAATTAACGAAAGTGATATTAAACCCAGCGTCAACGCATGGCCAGCATTTCTGCCCTAACTATCTATCCTCTACTCTAGGTGTTCTAGGTATCTCAAAACATAGGAAAAAACAAGGAATGTCGTAATAATCAGGTCAAATCATCATGCATACTCAATAGTAAACTCCATACTCTGGCCTGGAACACATCTTGTTCCTGGCGCTACTGCCATCGCGACGGACCATGTTCCGGAGGCACATCGCTGGAATGCCGTACCGGTTTTGATGCAGTTCCAGTATCCTTCTGGCTTGCAGGGTGTGCCAGGAGTGATGACGCCAGCAGCGGGCTTGGTCGGGGCAGGCTTGATGGGTGTAGTCGTCGTCTTGAGAGTGGTTCTCTTTGACGTAGTTGTCGTCTTTTTAGTGGTGGTAGGGACAGTAACAAACACACCACCAGGCCTTTGAGAATAAGTTAGAAATGTCAAATCTGGGGCTGGGGTATCAACGTACACTGAGGTTACTTTAACCGGTGCTTTGGTAGTGGTCGCCTTCTTCGTAGTCGTAGGGATCTGGACTCCAGGACCAGCTGGGCACTGACCGACCGGCGGTCCAGTGTTGGAAGACGTCAAGGAAACGTTGGGACCAGGGTTAGGAAACATGAGGTCCTTGGTCTCAGTCGTTCCGCATCCGTTTCCGACATTGGCGACAAACATAGCAGGTCGGTTTCGCAGAGCTACCTTGGGCGTGCCCGTTGCAGCTTTGACGGTAATGGCAGCGCAGTTCATGTACATCTCGCGGTTACCGATCTTGTTGAACCAAGTCCAAGCGAAAATAGCGTTGCCGCCTGGTGTGTCGACTGGAAGGGCGAATTTGAAGTTGCCTGAGGGTGAAGTAGGACAGTTGCCGATCCAGGACTGAATGACGATCCACGTCTTACCCCGGTCAAAAGAGAGGGAAGCCTGGCAACTGCCTCCACCATGGTCCGCGCCGCCCTCGATGGTAATGCTGTATGAACCGCCCGCGGTCCAAGTCGCAGTGGGAGCACCAGCGGCGGTGCCAAAAAGAGTGTGATATCCCTTGCAGGGAAAGTTGCTGCCGCTTCCTGAAAGAGGCGAAGTCATGCTGTAGTCGATATCCCCGTTGGCATAGGGGTTCTTCTTGCTCTTGAATGGAGCAGGATAAGTCATCTCCATGTGAGCCTGGGCTAGACCGGCTAAGCCCAGAGCTGTAGCGAAAGCGTTGAGAAGCTTCATGTTGCTAAAGAAAGTTGAAATTTGGGTGAAGGGGGGGAACAAAAGGAAAGCCTTGAAGCTGTGGGAGATAAGTATGGAAGAGAAGTGTGATAAAAACGAAAGGGATTGAGGTCGAGGCTTCCAATAAGTTTTATACATTTTTTTGTTTGTTCAATTATCGATTTCCGCGTGCCAAGTGTGTAGTTGCGTCTCGACTTACACAGGATTGCGGGTTCGATCTAGCGGCGGACTAGACCACGACCCTGGAAGTCCCTGGGAGAGAAGGGGTCAGGGCCATCGAGTCAGCCTCAACGACTCCCGGGAAAATGTCACAAAGTCACCTAAGCAATTGCTTGATGCCTGAGAAGACAAGCCAGGGGGTGGCTGGAAACAGTCATGGGATGTGCGGTTGAGACATCTCGTCGATTTTAAATGCTCGTGACTAAGGAACTATGATCTCACAATGCAGCAGACATAATGTACGTGGCAGGAAAGGGAGCTGTCAGACTTGAGATCAGAGAACAAGGCGCTCACAAGGCCTTTGTGTATGGTATGTATATTTTCCCTCACTTGTTATCGGAGGCAGAACCGAAACCACGTTCACCCAGCAGGCTGGGTCTGAGACATTTGCTTGCGACAATGTCTGCCAAGGTTGGGAATACCACGGGATGACTGTAAGACCCTTCTTCCGTTTCTGAAAACAGACAGGCATATTTCAAAGCAGCTGACAGTTGGATGTAGGGTAGAGTATGTGCTGTAGAGAGACTTGGGTACGACGTGCGATGGTGATCACAGCCAATAGCGATTAAATACGATGGTCACAATGCACAATGTTAAATCCTGCAGATACTCAGGTTGGCTTGGTGTTTAGTTTGCTCAACAGGCGCTAAAGTCCAAGTAATTAATATGGCTAACTTTACTCAGGTGCGAGGCAATAAAGTGAAGCATCGTCGACCGGTAACGTTGACCGTTAAGCCGTGGCGCGACTCGCCCAGGTCCCTGCACAATAGTACACACCACATGTTACGAAAAGACTCAAACTGCAAGGGGTCAGCGTCAAAGTGTATAAAACATTCGCTATTGCGGCATTCCTCAATTCCCGGTTTTGGGAAAAGATCGGAGCTTTAATGTGGCTGGACGGGTGGTAGTGCACTACCTAGGAATGCGCCAGGGGTCAAAACGTCTGAAGCGGGCGGGATCAGAGATGGTTTCGGCTTTCGCCACGGTCAGGACTGGTCTAGATGGAATTGGCATCGATATTTCTGGAGGGATTGTGAATCTGGATTTTCACTGTTGAATTGGTAAAATTGTGCCTTGAGATTGTGTTTCTTTTAATAGAAATCATGATTTGGCCTGTCCTTAGTAATGATCTTCAGGCTATCTGTCACCAAGCCGCGAGTTGGTTCCAATCAAAGCCCCTTCAGGAACAGAGATAACGCAAAGGTTTAAATCTCCTTGCCAAATACTATGCAGCCAAAATGCAGACGGATATCGTGCGTAAATGATGTTTGATGTCGGTGTCAATCATGGGGTAGCATTCACCGGGCCAAAACCAGTTTCAAATTCAAGAAAATCGTTAATGCCGAAATATCAACGACGTCAATGACTCTGCAACTGGGTCGCACCCCATTTGTCAGCCGAAATATCTTGAAAAGACCCATCAACCGTTACATCGTTGCAAAATGTGATGGCTATATCCGTATTCCCACCAGTAGAGTCCACTTCAATGTGGGTTTGGTAATGCTCAATTTAGTGATGACTTTTTCTTGGCGTCACTATGATCTACCGTCGCTGGCTTGCGATAAGCATTGCATATAGTCGTCATGGCTTTTTTTTATAAGTGCTGTATGGTGAAATTGGGGCCCAAATTTGTGGCCTGAACTTTTGAACTTCTTTTTGAAATTGTTTTGTATTTGCGCCAGCGTGACTTACGTGAGTTTAGCAATATGCAGCACGATCTTCCACGTCGGGGCTCCCAAGCCCGCGTACAAGTCAGTAAGATGTATCAAAAATTCTTGGAAAAGTAATAACATCGTCCAGGGCCCAGATGAATGGAAGCTGGAGCAAGGTCTTGAAGCAGCTCGCCTCGGCATCCGCAATCAGAGCAGCATCCAAGTCAACACCGATGCACACAAACTGAATCCCTCCGACTCTGAAGTGCTTGCTGGACCGGATATCCCGGATGACCCGGACCTTGACGTGCAAGATGAGAGACCAGGTTGGACAGGCTACGTTGAGTGGGAAGACTACCCCGAGAAGAAAGCAAAAGCACACCAGCGCTTTTCCCGCTTCACGTTTCCTCCCCCGCCAGAGTTCCAGCTAGAGCCTCTGCCTGCCACTAACCCCGTTCTTGAGGGCAAGCGATGGAAATTATGGCACAAGGCAATCGGAGGCGTGTTGACAAAAGTCCCTGAAATCAGCTGGGAAACAGTCCTCAAGGTAGGTTGTCACTCTCGATGTCGGTGGTTCAGGCTTACTGACACCTGCAGGAAAAACATCCTGATATGCTCCATCTGCTAGAGTTTCCCTATAACGGAGAAGCGCCCAAGAGTCTCCTCACAAAAGAGTACATCATGCCAAACGAGCTTCATTTTGTTCGTAACCATGGTGGTATTCCAGACATCAATCCAAGTGCATACGATATCCGGCTGGATGGGCTAGTCAACGACCCAAAGACACTCACACTCGCTGATCTCCAAGACGAAACTCGCTTCCCGCGTGTCTCCAAACTTGTCACTCTTCAATGCAGTGGTACGAGGCGACTCGAACAAATCGTCGAGCATCCTGGTGAGGGCGACGAGATGATCAATGCCCCTTGGGCTGAAGGTGCTATTGGCACTGCCAAGTGGACAGGTGTGAGTCTGAAGAAGGTCATCAAGTATTGCGGTGGCCTCAAAGATGGCGCCAAGCATCTTGAGCTATATGGTGCAGACACATATTTCAAGGGAGGGCAGTGTATGAACTACGTTGTTTCCATACCATGGTCAAAGGTCAAGGCCAATGAAGTCCTTCTGGCTTGGGAGATGAACGATAAGCCATTGCCGAAGATTCATGGCTTCCCCTTACGTACAGTAGTGATGGGTTATATCGGAGCGAGAAGTGTCAAGTGGTTGTATCGAATCAAGGCGATTGAGACACCTAGTATGGCACCGGTGCAGAGTAGGGAGTATTTGTACTTCCAGCAGCAGACTGGAAAGCATAATCAATCACCTACAAGTAAGTCACTTGCTGCTCCGCCGTTGAACTTGTTGCTGATACTTCTGCAGTGGGTATTCAGATCCAGGAGATGCCTGTCAGCAGCGCGATCATGTCCCCCTGGAACAAGGAGGTCGTGATCCACGATGGTGAAATTGAAGTCAAAGGTAAGTCTTATCAAAATTTTAACGAAGACTACCACTAATCCTTCTAGGTTGGGCATACTCGGGTGGTGGTCGCTGGCCAGAACGCGTAGAGATCTCATCAGACGGTGGATATGTATGGTATGCCGTACCTATCGAGAACCTCTCCCCGAAGCATAAATTCGCCTGGCGTACTTTCTCGGGCAAGGTGCCTTGTGACCACGAGGGCTGGATCGAGCTCGTTGTTCGCTGCTGGGACAACAGTCTCAACACGCAACCGATGGAAGTCCGACACAGCTGGAACTGGGGTCTCCATGTGACGAGCAGTTGTCACCACGTCAAGATTTACAGCGTGAATGCGAGTCGAGAGGCGACGAGGAAGAGACTGCAGCTGTTTAATGAGCATGGGGAGGGCTTTACGCCGATTACGAGACCGACTGGCTTTGTCCCGATGAGTATGGAGGAGTATAAGAAGGCAACGGCGGGGGCAGAGCCTCGGGATGTTGATGATTAGTTGCGCCAGACATATCCTGTCAATGGAGATTTATTAGATGGCCCGCAAGTTTTTCATGCATTGAACTAGAGAAATGATGAAAACCATTCTACTCATACAAGTATGATCAACTGACGGACGGACCTGATTCTGAAAATGACAACTTCACTTTAGCCATCTCGTGGAACCCCCCATCAATTCATACGGAAGTCAACCTCGGTTAAGACTTGTGGTATCGGCCGCAATGCAACCAAGCAGAATGGGATAATACGACCCAGCGGGCAGATTTGTCCGCAAGGCCGGGAACTGGCATCTGGATGCTCCACAGGAGTTCGTTCAACGGCTATCTATGACGACTGCCATATGGTCGTAGAAAAAAGATAATAGTCACGTCATAAATCGGGCATTGAGTTGAATCACAGTTATAAGAACAACATCCGGTATATTGGGAGGTAATCGACACCCAAGCATTTATCATCTCAGCAAAATGTCTACTGTAAGCATTAAGAATTCGAGTACTGCTAGACAGGATTCATGGCTAACAAATATGAGTCAACTGAGCCCCCCGTGTATACCCTAGCTGAGGGTATGCCCGTTCAAGACCCAACATCTTCTGTTGTCCTTCGCGGGCCCAAGGTTCGAGGCGGTGGCCTCGCATTGTTGGCAGATACACAACTTATCGAGACGCTGGCGCATTTCCCTCGAGAGCGAATTCCTGAACGGTACAGCCACCCTCCCCATCAACTTAAACACAACTGACAACACCAGTGTCGTTCATGCTAAAGCTGCGGGTGCTTGGGGCACCTTCGAATGTACCCATGATATCACCGACTGGTGTTCAGCCGCACCCTTCCGCAGAATCGGAAAACAGACGCCGGTCCTCGCTCGCCTGTCTACTGTTGCAGGAGAGAGGGGATCCTCAGATACACTCCGCGACATCAGAGGCTTCGCTCTCAAGATGAAGACGGAGGAGGGAAACTGGGATTTTGTTGGGAACGACTTACCTGTTTTCTTCATCCGTGATCCCGCCAAGTTTCCTTCTTTGAACAGGTCGCATAAGCGCCACCCACAAACTGCAGTGCCTGATGCGAGCATGTTTTGGGATTTTCATAACCACAACCAAGAGGGTGCCCACAGTCTCATGCAGCTCTTCGGTCCTCGAGGTATCCCAGCTTCTCTTCGTAATGTCAATGGCTTTGGAAACCATACTTTCAAATTTGGAAAGCCTGAGGATGGATCTTTCAAATACGTCAAGATTCATTTCAAGCCCGACGATGGTATCAAGACTCTCTCGCAAGATGATGCTGTGCGTCTCGCCGGGGAAGAGCCAGACTACCATATCAAGGATATGTACAACTCCATTGAACGAGGAGATTACCCATCTTGGACTATGATGCTTCAGGTCATGGATCCTAAGGAAGCAGAGACATACAAGTGGAATATCTTTGACATCACCAAGATCTGGCCTCATAAGGACTACCCCTTGATCCCTGTTGGGAAGCTCACCCTTAACAAGAACCCGGACAACCACTTTCAGGACATCGAGCAGGCAGCCTTCTCGCCGTCAACATTGATTCCTGGTATTGCTCCTTCGGCAGACATAATGCTACACGCGAGGATGTTCAGCTATCCGGATGCTGCAAGATACAGAGTCGGACCAAATTACCAGCAACTGCCATGTAACAGACCTCTCGAGGCATATTCGCCCTACCAGCGGGACGGACCAATGCGAGTAGATGGCAACTATGGCTCTGACCCTGATTACGGTACGTTACTCAACTTCGCTCAGGCAGGACAATGCTAACATTAATAGTCCGTTCGTCCTTCCGCCAAATCAAGAGTGGCCCCGCCGACGTCGCTCACAGCGAATGGGTCGGTAAGGTCCAGGCATACTCTTCCAACGTCGAGGAGGAAGACTGGGAGCAACCACGTGATCTGTGGAAGATGTTCAAGGACAACAAGGAAGACGAGGTCTTTCTTGATAACCTGGCTGGTCACATTAACAAGGCTGTGCCAGGGATCCAGAAAGACACAATTCGTAAGTCACTGCTCCGTCAAGTGCTTGAAAGAGAAGTTGGCTAACATGCGATAGGCATGTGGGCAAATGTCGACCAAGCGATTGCTGATCGCTTGGAGAAAAAGCTTGAGAAGTTAGATGAGAACGTTGATCACTCAAAGGCACCGCCTAGTTAGAAAGTATTGGAGGAACGACGGAAATGATGCATGAGGCAGGTTGATTATTCGTCGAGGGGAATAAAATACTGGATGTAAGATTTCTTGCATGTTAGACTTTCTGGTCGGGATATCTATCATGATAGAACAATAAGAATAAAAAGATTAATATATTTAGGGGAATGTCTACTAATACTTATGATATATTTTAATGAAGTAAAATATGTTTAATCTAAAATTCCCTCACTCAGGTCAAGATATCTTGGTGGCAGACTTATAGACCGTGTTTTATTTCATCCCCTAGCCATCATTGTTACTAGATAGTGAGACCAGTTCCTCGAAATGATTCATAAATTGACTACCAAGGTCACCGCCGCAAAGGTTATGTAGAAGCTTGGGATATTTACCTTGCATGTTGGTCCAATCGCACTGTTCCTATGGCGAGCTTTCTTGTTTAGACCGGAGCATTACAGTTAGTGGTGACATTTATGGTGACGTCTTGTGGATTGATCATTATGGGCCGCATTAGAGTGGGATGGTACGGAGACTTCAGGTCAAAGCTCATGGGGCCTCTAAGATGCTTCACACTGTTTTACTGGCAAAATGGTACGTATTTACTTGACGTTCAGAAACTAATCTATCACTTATCTGGGCGATCAATTGAGTAGCTTCTTCGCCCGCTTCTTTATCTCCTTATTGAACCGGAAGTTGATCGGGCTCTCGCTTCCAACAAACACAAATCCATCATATAACGTACAGCCTAACACAGATCCTAACAACGTCGCAGCCCATGGGCCGTAGAACCACCATCCGCTTTGGAACACGTTCGACTCTCGATATCCAACTGCATACGCTATGACGCGCGGCCCAAAGTCCGAGGCAGGGTTCAGCGCAGATCCGATGTTGTAGCCAAGTGTGAACTTGAGAGTGGTAACCAGGAATCCCAGTACCAAGGCATGCATTCCAGCGCCTGGTGGGTTGTTCTGGTCGTCACCGAGCGCGAACACGGCGATCATCATGATGGCGCTGCCGACTACTTGGTTGAAGAAGGCAGACGACAATGACACCCACTCACGCGGCGTGGAGAAGAACGTCATGGACATTCCCGTCATGTCAGGGTCGACAAAGTTAATGGAATCAGCATAAATTCCGTATGCTAACGCTCCAGCGACTATGCCTGCGAGGAACTGCGCAATGATGTAGACGAGACATTGTTTCCAGGGAAATCCACGGAAGAGTGACAACGAGATGGAGATAGCAGGATTCATATGCGCGCCTGAGACACCGCCTCCGAGGTAGATGCCAAACATCCACGCAAAACCCCATGCCCAGCACGAAGTTTCGTAAGTGCCGTAGCCCTGTGATTGCTTGGCGGAGAGATTCACAGATAGAGTAGCTGTAAGACCCAGAAAGATTGCAACGCAAGTTGCGAGGAACTCGGCCAGTGGCTCCGGGTGTTTCGCGCGTAGTCTGGCCCACCAATTCCTCATCTCATTCGGGTCCTTCTCGCCGGCTTCTACAGAAGACCTCTCTTGCTGTCCCAGGGGTTCACCGTCGACTTTGAAATCAGGTTGCGAATGCTCATTCTGCTGGCGAGATTGGACTCTTGATGCGGGTTGATCACGGTGCGTAGGTGTTGCGGGCGTTGCTGGGCCGGGGACGTAGTCATATACTGGTTGGCCCGCATCGTTGCGCTTTTCGTTGTGCGCGACTCCTGCTGCTGTAGTCCGACTTTGCTGGTTTTGGGTATCCCGTGTTGTAAGACTGCTCTGGGTTTCCGCCCGGTATGGCTGTCCTGCTGTAGTGTACGAGTTGTAACGTGATGGGAATTCATTGGCAGTGTCTTCTTTGACAACGGCCATCTCCTCGTCGACTGTTCCATCCGGCCTGATGGGTTTCATTACCTTGCGGCGAACTTTGTGAGGGAGGGGCTTTCCAAGACTGAAAATGGGTTTCTTTTCCGACTCGCCAAACCATGGGTTCTCTTCATAGTATCCTTCTTCCGCAGGGGCATATTCACGGAACTGAGAAGGGTGCTGCGGCGCTACAGGTCGAGCTGCGCTCCCTGAACTAGACATTCTTGTGAAGCGTCTAGAGCTGGCCGGTCGCTTGCTCATGCGCGACACGAAGCTGGGTAGACCATGGATAGCACGATGACGCCTGGAGTGCGTTGACTTGGTACGGTCGATATGTCCTGTTTCTCGGTCCGAAATGGTGCTCGGGATGCGACTTGCAACGTTGCCGAGATGGGCTGGGCCTGGGGTTGAGGGTGTAGTCGGTTTTGAGAAGTAATCATGGTTTTGCTCGTGAGGGCCAGGCATGATGAGCTGATGATAAAACAGTAGTTTGCTTGACCTCTCTACTATAAAAGCTGGGCCCAAAATGTTTTATATCTTTCCCAACTCAAAATAAAAGACCCTTATAACAATGACGTTGTGGTGACCGTTAACCTCCACTTTAACGTCAACCGGAGGTTTCTCTCCCGGTGTGGACTCCAGAGCCGCAATTCTTAGACATGGTTATGGACACTAAAATCTCTTACAGTGGAACCTGTCAGCCAGCGCAATAGATCGCGATCTTGAGATCTAACAGATTCGCCCTTTCAGGCGGCGATTTACAGATCAGTTACTGTTTCGGCCACGGCTGACTCAATTTGGTGCCCGATGCTAGCTTCTCGATGACTTTTCCCAAGGGGCGAGGTGAAAGATCTAGTTTATTCCCGGCACGGAAGCTCCCTGACCGTTGCGATAGGCCAACGCACTGATAAACTACGTGGAACCCGTGGACCATTTGCTCCCTGAACTTTTCCATATTGCCAAGAAGGGTTTTTCAATGGTTCCTTGTTTCAATTACCATTTTCCTGTCCTTCTCAATAGTTCTGGGTTTCAACGTTGCAGTGCTATATTATTCGACCAGAGAACAAGATCAGTGCCAAGATCTCGGGCCATGTGCGGGAAAGATCTCAAGGGTTGACGTGACAGCCGAATGGCGGTGCAGATTGATTGCGTCAGCTTGTCTTCGGTAACGAGAAACAATCTGGAAAAAGCACACAAAATTACTTGTAATGGAACACAGTCTAACAATGCAAGAATAGACCTTGTAAGGTACCCACCTACATACCGTCGGTGACGAGATGTGCTTCTTTCAACGAACTGTGCTCAAATAACATTATCGAATCCTCTAGCTAGTAATAATTCCATAACAAATCCCGGATCCCCACTTAGTTGATGCTGTCATGAATGAGATACCAGGAGGTAGAATCACAATCTTTTATCAGGTGTCATCAAGTTGGATCATTGCTTTCGTGAAGGGAATCTTCCACGTGGTCTTACAAACTATTTAACCATCGTGCTGCGCTATTCGGCGCTCGTGGGTAGATTGTTCCATGAACCACTACAACTATTGCCAGATATTTGCTTCTCAAAATTGTGTCAATGACGTCTCTGCTGAAACTAAGGAGGAACGACACATGAATAAGGACATGCCAGAAAGTGCGAAAAATATATCAGAACTGGAGGATTCGTGGAAGATAATAGTCCAGTCTCCACGTTGACACTCGACGAGCTGAGTTATACCAGCCTCGTATACTTCACCCGTTGAATAGGTATGCAGTTCGCATAGAGTTTTTATTTTCTTACCACCATCTCGATCCGACGGCTAACATGTTCTAATCACCTATATAGCCACCTCCTAAACAACCACATTCCAAATACAGGTTACTTCATTTGAAGCTTTCGGCTTCTATAGGTAGTTTACCAAGTCCCGATATGGCAGTATCAAGTAGACGAGATGTTTGTACCCCCTCCTTGGAGTACACCGTTGTTTTAACGTTCCCGGCCTCGAGGGTGAGTAGTAACCTCATTTCAGAACATGTACGAGAGCCTAGTGCTAACAGCAAGCTATCATCCTAGGCCAGACTAAATCCTTCGCCCAGCTCTTGGTTTTTTTTTTCCATCCTTTTCCTCATAGGTCCCTCTGGTTTAGCGATTATCCAATGGCTGATTAGTTGAACAGCCATTAAACCTTAAGGTCCTCGTCTTAAATAGGTAATGCCCGATGATATACCTTCTTTACTACGTTCGTAGATGTTACCCTTCAGGGGCAGTTTGCTTTACCTGACTAGAATGGTCACAGGATTTAACTTGTACATGTTTTTCGTGCTTCTGAACCATGCTGCCTATTTTCTTAAAGTTCTGGCTGGATAGTTTGAGATATGTAACTCGCCCAAGTCTTTGTAAAGCATTGAGAAATTCACCATTTTGGCAATAGCAGGAGCTGCGTGCTACGTATGAGCTGGTGGTAACCAATTCTGCGCATTATATGAAGTGCAGTAATTAAGAATTTCTCTCCACTGGGTCTCATGCTTTTTGGTACTGCAAAAGGCTTCGATTGTCAGGTGAAACATGATGGTGAGCATGCAATGAAATGGCTGAGTTGTGGATATGAGAGGTTGCAAATCGTCATGCTGGAACAACACCTTGACTTCTGCGTCGCAAGCCTTACAGAAGAGAAACATTAGTAATTAATACAAACTAATCGTACCAGCCATCCACTTATAGTGTCGGTCAATTTATCGATGAGTATCCTCGTCCAACCTGAAGGTCAGCATGAAGAATTGCCTGAGACGTGCGTGACTTTATCTCTTCCAGCTGAAAATATCATACATAGTCCACAGTTTGGGGTACATCTAGTACATACGACCAAAGGTAGTGGAAAATACGGGATCCCGTCCGCTCTCCCATAGTCAAGCCACTAACCGGCGGATTAGTAGTTGGGTCGGTGACGACCAGCGAATCCCCGCTGTTGTATGTTTTTGCCCATACTCAGCTATGTGTTAGCTAGTATATCTCACTATCTTTTTCTCCGTGAAGAATACTTCTATTATGGATGTTGTTCCAGATTGCATTCGTCTTTTTATCCCACGGAATGGGTGATATTTTTTTTAGAGCAGGTGGAAGTGGGAACGGGATTTCAGGCGCGCTTTGGCTGGCACCATGATGCGTTCAGGTTAACGGCTGAATGAACCTAGGCCACTAATAGGGGTTTACAATTCATTTACTTTTAATCATTTTCACCTTGTTTTCAACTAGCACTTAATCATCTTAGTGTAGCATAGTTGGAGGACTAAAAGGTAGACCGCCGATGCGTTGCCAGTACGTCTTATTCTACATGAGACGATCCATATTCAACAAACATACATCATTCGACGGCAGTTACTATACTCATCTCACTTTGTCTCGCATTTAATCTCTATACCATCGTTTCATCACTTTTACTGTCCCCCACAAGGGTCATCCTCCAACAACTCCCTCACCCTCCTCAACGCCTCCTTCTGCACATCCTCGACGTTCTGGTCAACACTAACCGTCAAAACATCCCTCTCATCCTCCTGCGGCCTCTCCAGCACCTCAAACTGACTATGCACCAGCGCAGCACCCGCAAAATGACCCTTTCTCGCCGCGGCTCGCTCCTTCAGGACATCCTCCGGCGCATCGAGGTGCAGGAAGTGCACGCGCAGATCCCCCGCATTCTCGGTGCCCTCGCGGAGAATGTCGCGGTACTCTCGCTTTAGTGCTGAACATGTCACAACGAGGTGCTCGGTGCCGGGGCCGATGGGGTGGTGTGTCGCGTGTTCGTGGAGGGCTTGCAGCCAGCCGTAGCGGTCTTCGTCGGTGAGAGGTTGGCCGTGGCTCATTTTCTCGATGTTTATTTTTGGGTGGAACTGACTCTATGAGTTAGTATGCTGTACTTGAGGAATCGTTAAAAGAACGCACATCATCACCTTCGACAAACTTAAGGTTGAGCTCATTTGCTATGAATTTGGCGACTGACGTCTTGCCTGATGCCGTAGGGCCCGAGACGAAGAGAATCCATCGGTGGCCCTCAGGCGCGGGTTTGGCAGCCGGATCTTTCAAGTTGCCCATTTTGTAATTCCGTTGGTTACAAATTTGCTGAAGATACTTGACTTTTAATATGAGAGTGTTGTGATTCTGCGCGATGGTCGGACTCAAGCAAGTTTAACAGCGTGACGTCATAGTGACCCTCAACTTTGTAAGAATCCCATTGACTCATCATGTATTTGCATCAGTTTTTCTATGGCATTCTGATCGATTCCCATGGCCCAAATCCATCATACTTTCACTGGTTTGGATCGACAGATGAGTTCAAACGTGAGGCATAGGGTAGGGTTGTCACTAAAGATACGCACCAGTTGCTCCGGATTTCTGACCATATTTAATCATCGTTTTTGTTACAGGGCAGTACTGAAATTGCATTTCTTATTTATTTCCATGTATGCTTCAATTAATTCCATGCGGTTGAGTTGATTTCCGAAGTAGCCAAAATTGGCAGAGAGAAACCTTTGTGTCACGGTAAGGCTTCAATGGAAGCACAGCAATCAATCCACAGTCAAATCACTTGGGATTCTGAAATACTATACGTGCACTTTCAACTCTCACTCAGATTATTCTTACTAGCTCTTAGTGACTCCCAATGGAATTGAAAGATTCCGGGTCATCCGATCAAAGTCCAAGACGTAAGGCGTTGAGAAACCCGATACTTCTTACGAAATGTATATCACCATCTTATGACACCTTGTCCTGACCGAGGCTTATCTCCGAAATGTTTATTATCTAAAACTCCCGTTCCCCTCGTCTATGTATGGAGAAAAGGGGAGACTGTTGGATTGACCCTCATGGCCCAGGCTCACGGGCGCAATGTGGAGAAGTCAAATCGGCCCATTTGTTAGCGATATCTATACTGCGGAGTGCGGACGTAAAAACTGCCAACAGCGGTCTAGATCTTAGCATCTGTCCATCTGATTACAAAACGTTGGCCAATGGTCCCTGAGCGTCTCTGTCTCCCCACAGTCTGCATATTGGTCTTTGCGGATTCAATCAGTGATAAGCACTGGTGATGGCCAGACAGCTAACGTTAGACGAGTGGACAGAAAGGGCAATTGCCCTTTTGAGCCTTTATCGGGTTTGGCCAAGCAATTAGCTTACGGATAGTTGCTTCAGCCTTATAGTGGGTGAGTTCTATTGGTGCATGGAAAGTGATCATCACAAGCCATGACACTGGGTTCCTTTGGCCCGTAGCTCTCCGTAGAATGGGAATATTTCTGTATTGATAGTGGTGAGCACAAGGGCATTCCCTTTCTCAGAAATAAGAAACCGTTTCCCGAACCACATGCAAAGCCGGCACGCCACTGCAACAGTCACAATTAAGAATGCAACCGGCAGCCACATGACAACTGTAAAGCAGAAAATGCTAATGCCGATCCTTTCCACGCGTCTGTAGGGTAGCGCCCGTAAAGCCGAAGACCGCTAGGCAACATGATGGCTGATTCTGATTCTGATTCTGATTCCGCGCCCTTGCATTGATGACGTGAAGCGCCCTTGTTCCTCCCACCATCATTCCCGTTAGCAGCACGGGGGCAATTCCCGGTATCACCAATAGAGCCAATCACGGCCTTTTCCACGCCTTCTAGAAGGTAGCCGCCGTGCAGCGCTAGTGCACATGAAAAATTTGTTGGAGAAAAAAGGTCGCTGTTGCGTGAGTGTGGCTGCGGACCCGAGGTTGCAGGCAGAAATGGGATGGTTCGTGCCTTTCGGTAAGACCGACGACAATCAGGCGATGAGGCACTTGTTTTCCCTCACAATTACTGGCGCATGGCTCCCGGGCCTGGGACTTTGCTGTGTTGGGCAGGTCGATGGGCGGAAATGCAATCGAAGCCTGGATTTAAGGGGTGATTTAACACGGGTGAGTAGATCCTTTTAGTTTCACGCGAGGTTATTCTTGTTTATTTCCAAGCTTAAGCTACACGCGGTTAGAGTCAGTAGCATCAGCCCCATCGTCACCGAGAAAAACTTATAATGCTCGAGATCAATATGCTGTCGTCATGGGCATCACGACAGGTCACCCGGGCAGCCCATGCATAACGAACGCATCGCGAGACAATCTGGACAAGATGGAGTCTCTCCATTGTTTTCCCCATGGGGGCTCTTTATCGCGATACTCTGCCAAGAAAACATGTGGTCAAAGTTATTATGTTTCTGAGGGTTTCTTTTACGTACAAACCCCAATGTTTGCTGCCATGATCCCGGGCCGCCGTTGGTCTAGAAGTGCCTGCGTTGACCTGTGCAATGATGATTCCACTCGAGGGGCTCCACCGGTCAAGGGAGATTGAGCATGTGGTTGAGACAAAGCTTTTATGGGTTTTGGGTAGGGATATGTCGTAGTAGACGGATGATGGAATATGATGTGAGGATTGTTTGGTGGATATTCTGATACGACCAGCGATAACGGAGTGATACTTTGTTGGTGATGATGATAGTGATAGTGACAGAGGATGATCACCCGTCTGTGGCCGTGGTATTTTCACTATCGCTATCAAAATCCTCCATCACCTCACTCGGGCCGACCGCCGCCTGGTGGTGGAGACTGCAACAAGTGCCGTACCTCCCATGTCGAGCCGAACCCAGCCAGGCTCAGCGAAGCGGATATGGCGTCAAATTGGAGACAGTGGCACAGCAGCTGAGGTTTCTCCGCACGAGGCGATTGTTGGGGAAAACAAGCAAAAAAACAAAATGTCACCAGATTATTGCTAATGTTGCCATCTTCTCCAGACTCTTGACCACGATCCCATGCTGCTTCTTACGTACTGGAAACCCCGTCGCCACCCGGGGCCCCGAGATTTCCATTTCCAAACCCCAGGAACAAAATGTGTCCTGGCTCCATTTGCATCGCAAGCTTAAACCACTATCTGAAGAACTTTGGGGTTCACGACAATTGTTGGAGCGTGAATAGCCGCAAGCTGAGTTGGAGAAGAGGAGCCGGTGGATGGCCACTAGACCGCAAGCATGTGCTGCGCGTTGCCACAAGGGGAAAAGTGCGATCAAACTCTGCAGGAAAATTTTGATTGCTTCCGGCATTCGACGGCTCAGCCTTCAATCGGGGACTTGACTTGACGGTCCAACACGATAAGACACTCGTAACACTAGCAGACCCCGTTACGAGATAAGCTACTTCGCTTCAGCGAACAAGCATTGCATTGAGAGTCTCTGTGCGTATGCTCGCTTTTCCTTCTTTCGCTGGCCTACTCCCCCCCATGGGGGCGTCAACATACGGACTTTGTCTCAACACACCTCTTCCTCACTAACTTATCTTTTTTTCCTGTGATCCACATTCTAGTGCTGGGCCCCATAAACGGAGATGCGAGTCAGTTTGGGGTATGGACTGGGGAGCGCGACGCCGAAAGATCGTCCACAGACCCAAAGGGAACCAGACTCGACTCTTTTTCTGAGTGGGACATACCCCAGACCCAGACCGGGAGCTAGAAAGCCATTATATAACGAGTGTCCCCAGGAATGAACCAGTCTCCAGCTTCTTGTCTCTCCATCTCTGACTTCACATCAACCCAAACTCGGACATCATGAGCCACTACGACTCTGAGAACCAGGCCCCCGAGCCTAAGAAGCAGCACAACGAGGAGGGTGCTGTCACCAACGATGCTGTCTTTGGAACCATCACAGAGGATGGCCCCAACTACCGTAACGTATGCTCTCCATATCATTCCTTGAACGAGAGCCTCAACTAACATACTCAGGTTGGCTGGCTCGGAACATCAGTCCTCATGATGAAGTCCCAGATCGGTCTGGGTGTCCTGTCCATCCCCGCCTCCTTCGACGCCCTCGGTCTCATCCCCGGTATCATCTGCATGTTGGTCATCGCCGTTATCACCACCTGGTCCGACTACATCGTCGGCAACTTCAAACGACGCCACCCTGAGGTCTACGGCATCGACGACGCAGCTGGTCTTGTCTTCGGCCGAGTTGGCAAGGAGATCTACGGTATCTCCTACTCGCTCCTCACCATCTGCATCGCCGGTTCCGCCATGCTCGGTATCTCCATCGCCTTGAACAGTCTGTCCCTGCACGGAACCTGCACTGCTGTCTTCGTCGCTGTTGCTTGCCTCATTGCTTTCGTCACTGCCAGTATCCGAACCCTCGACAAGGTCTCTTGGCTTGCCTGGGTCGGTCTCGTGGCCCTTGTTACATCCAGTAAGTCCTCAACAGTCAAACACCAAGACAAGCCATTCCTAACAGCGTTTTAGTCTTCGTCGTCACTGTCGCTGTTGGTGTTCAGGAGCGCCCCGATCTTGCCCCCAAGGATGGTGTTTGGAAGTCCGACTACAAGCTCTTCAACACTCCCACCTTCGCCGAGGCCATGTCTGCCATCGCCGCCTTCATCTTTGCCTACTGCGGAACTCCCGTCTTCTTCCCCATTGCTGCCGAGATGCGTGAGCCCAAGCACTACAAGAAGGCTCTGATCCTTTGCCAGAGTGTCGTCACCATCGTCTACATTGTCGTCGGTATTGTTGTCTACTACTACTGCGGTACCTACGTTGCTTCTCCCGCTCTGGGATCTGCTGGTAAGACCATCAAGAGAGTCGCCTACGGACTGGCTCTTCCCGGTCTTATTGTCTCTGCCACTCTCTACACTCACGTAAGTAGATTCATATCTGTTGTATTCAAAAACAGCTGTCTAACAATTATCAATAGGTCCCTGCCAAGTACGTCTTTGTCCGTATGCTCCGAGGCTCCAAGCACCTGAGTGCCAACACCTTCACCCACTGGGCCGTCTGGCTTAGCTGCACACTCGGCATGGCCATTATCGCCTATGTCATCGCCAGTGGTATCCCTGTCTTCGGTGGTCTCGTTTCCCTCGTCGGTGCCCTTCTCGGAACCCTGCAGTGCATGCAGCTGTTCGGCTGCCTCTGGCTCTACGACCACTGGGCTGAGGGCAAGGACAAGTCTCAGCGCACCACTCGCTGGACCGCCATGGTCAGCTGGTCCATCTTCGTTATCGTTCTCGGCACTTTCCTCATGATTGGTGGTACTTACGGAGCCATCAAGGGTATCATCGACTCCTACGCCATCAGCGGTGGCTCTGCTGCCTGGTCTTGTGCTGACAACTCCAACTCTACTTAAATATGAGTTGGCCGGATATAAAGATGTATAGATGCATGAATGTATTCATAGATGATAGATGATTTAGAAATGTTATTTGCAAGCGTTGTTACAATTCACACCCATGGCCAAGCGCATCTAGTGAAGTGAACGTGAGATGTCTTGGATCATTGCCCCTTTCATTGTTCAGTCAACCGCCCAAAAAGGCTTGGATCACAGCTTCTCTTTCGACAGACGGACACTCCACTTGCCCTGCAGGTCAGCCTCAATCCTCTCAAACACACCTGGTCCTTGTTTGCCCAGGCCTGTCCCCACTGCAACAGCATAAGCTCCAACCGTTCTCATCCTACGGTATCCTTCCCCATCTCGAACTCCGCCGACCCCGATGATCTGTATGTGACCTAGCTCAGGCACTTGATCCAGCATCTTTCGCAACGTGGCCACATTTCCTAGTGCAAGAGGATGCAGAGGTGGACCAGCCATCCCGCCGATGCTGGTACCTGGTAATTGAGGGACTAGCGGATTGCTATCATCGCCTTGCAGAATCAGACACGAGCCTAGGGTGTTGGTCGCAGTGATAAAACTGAGGGACGATGGCGCCATTTGCAACGATTGAATCAACGTCGCAAACTGCCCGTGGTGGGTGTAAGGAGGTGTCTTGATACCCACAGGAAAGGAAGGATATTTCGGTAGCAGAACAAGATACTTCTCCAATGCAGCGCCATCATACGCAGGCGGTGGAGCACCCGGAATATTGGGACAACTGAGATTGACCTCCATGGCAAGTGGGAAAGGGAGACTCTTTGACGCAGCCTCGATACGCGCATAGCTCTCTTGAATATCCTGTGGTGAACCTGTCACACTGACTATGAAGGTCTTCCGCAGGTGTGGTAGCATACGCGCGATCTCTGATAAGAAGCCAAGGTATCCATCGAGCGGGATGGGGCTGTAGCCTAGATTGTTCAGACTAGCCGTAGCATCTGCTGTGTGGGCTTTTGGTGGTTCTTGTACAGAGGAAGTGCCTTCGTTTGGAGTCGTGGAGGCAGGGTTGAAGAACAAGTATTGATGTTGCTCATGCTGGTGATCGAAGCCGTTGATAAGCGATGTGCGGGTTGTGATAGCGCCTGTGGAGGGAGATGAAGCGATCGCCAAGAGATCTTGCAGATCGGTCGCCCAGGGAGTTGCTGAGTTGAGAAGCGGAGGATCTATAGTCAGAGTTGGAGGCGCCATTACTGTGTGCTCTTGTTCATGAACTGTTGTTGAATGTAGAAGAAAATGAGGGGCTGGATTGGAGTTCTGGATGATAAGAATCGTATTATGTAAGCACAAAATTGATCAACCTCAAAATACCACTTGGGAAGAAGGCCATTCACAAATCTTATATCTCGGGCTGCTGTTGGCACCCTTTTCTTGGCAAAGAGACCGGTGAGAAGAGCCTGTGCCCAGATTGGGAGCAAGGCAATTCGGGGTATTCGAACGTGCTACCCAAGAAGCTATGGTGGGTGTGCAAAAGTTCCGATGATTTCCTCTATTTCAAATCTTATGTAAGATTATATAAATTATTACAAGCTTTTTCTTATTTACGTAATTTAATGTAATATTATTCTAAGATTATGTATAAAGTCTTCTTACTATTATATATTTCATAATCTATTCTATATTGCTTTTGCTAGTCGTTAGAACTTACCTTTGCATGGCTCTTTTGTCAGCGTGTCAACGTTTTCCGACATTTCATGAAGTGTTTGGCGTAGCTTTTCTGATGCAGGACTCAACTCTCCGTACCTTCTCAATTCGCAGACGACGTTGGTGTTTGCCAGCCAGTGCGACAGTGGGGCAAGATAACGTGCCTGCCATACATAACTGTTGATTGCCCCAATTCTGGGTTGGTACACGGATCTTCCATCAACATCAACGTCAACATCGGGCATCGAAAGATTACAAACAAACACAACAAGACAACACTTATAGAATCTTACGATACAGTTGATCTTCACACGGCGTAAGTTTTCACTTGGACTACCTTGATGCCTCCATATGCTGATATTGACTTGTTTACCTAGTCCACGCGTCGCAACTCCCAACAGTACTTTCTCGGCTCATACACGTTTTGCGAAAACTCTTCGAATTTCCACCATGACTCGCGTGAGTTACTATTCTTCCCCTCCCCAATTTGCTTCCGATGCTAACTCATCTTTAGAACAACTACAACAACCGTCAACCAAACCCACTGTCTGACAACGTCAATATGTAAACGTTCTGGTCAGTATGCCCTCACCAGCAGGATTTGCGACCGGGAAATCACATACTACATAATCAAGGAAGCGGGTTATATGCACGAGGCTAATTTGTGATACAGAACTACAGCAACCCCCGTCCTGCTGGACGTGGCGGCTTCGGCCGCGGAGCCCCTCAGGGGCCAGGACAGGTAGCGCACTGGCGCGAGCAGGCCGAAGTAAGCCCTGCATCACTAACCTTGCCGTAATCATGCTATGATAGTGGCTGACTAAGTTACAACGAATAGATCCATTTGAAGAAACGAGAAGAGCAAGACCAGCTCTTCAAGGTAAGCCTCAACACATATGCCCTATCACGCCAAGCTAACAGTTGATTTAGGAGACTTGCACCCAGATGGTAGTGAGTTCTGTCGATTCTTCTGAGTGTGAAACTATGTCCTGATTTATTGTGACATAAAGCACTGGGAGGAACAAGAGGCCGTAAGTAATGCTCTATCCATTGGAAGATCTACTGACTGACCGTTACAGCTGTGCCCTGAAGCCGCTGTAAGCACACATCTGCTTTCAACAGGATCGGAAGACCCAGATCGACGTGAGTTAACGTGATATAACACCAAATTCATGGTACTGACACAGATCATTAGGCTGAGATGGAGAAAGTCCGAGCGGTGAAGGCATAACCAATATTTTCATCATGAGGGTCTCAGATGCGAAGCACGCAGTGAGACCACTTGCCCGTCAGGACAACTGAAGTACCAATACCTATGTATTGTGAGAGAGGATGTAGCAGCGCAATTGAAGAGTCCCCAGGACAATGTTTCTAACTCTCCTTATCATCACATGTCATTATCGACATTTCACCTGCCTCCGAGACTCCCACTCGAGGTGCGACTGCCTAATTGTACAGCCCACATCAGACTGCTCACAACTACAATATTCCTTCAAGCAAATACCTCATCGTGGTGGAAATTACCCAGGAAGTTTCCAGTCCTTCAGCAGTCTTATTTGCGTGCGGTGCTCCCGAACCAGTCAATATGTTCTGTCAAGACTCCGAAGCCGAAGTTATTTCCCCGACATCTGTAAATCTGAGCCAGGAATCAACAATGGCCACCCAATTGTTTGGTTCTCTCTAGTATTTTGCGAAGTCCACTAAGTCGATCTCATTGTAAACACGGACATGATACAATCACCATCCGCGAAGAAACCTGCTACAGAAAATAAAGATATATAAAACTATAGTAATTAAAGTATTTTATAGGTCATCTTAGGATAGGATTGTATAAAGTTATATAAAATAAGAGAGTTTATTATAGTTTATTTTATTTTACCTAAAGTTTAGAAGAGAGAAAGCTACTACAACCTTTACCCACCCGTTGTGACCAGCTTTGTATTTCGCAAAGTCTTCTGAGCTACCATCTGTCCCATCCCTATTCCCCCGTCCCATAATCACTGTCGTTGTGTACGTCGCCGTAAACTACTTCAACTCATTATCCCGACGGACCAGAAGCTTAACGGCGTCCTCTGCGACAAACTCTGTGGCATTTGAATAGTACACGCAGTTCTCCCAAGGGCTCAACTCTCCACGGAAGCGATAGGAATTATAGTCGTCTTGGCCCAGGTAGCTCAAATCTTCTATAAACTCCCTGGCAAGTCCCTGACTTGCTTGTTTCATGGTGTCGCTACACGTATCTTCCCAAGCAATCTCAACATAGGCGTCCTCACAGTCGTAATAAACCGTATGGATATCTTGGTCGGGTCTTCTCAACCACGGGGTGTTGTTATCAATAATCCATACTTGAGGTGTCCTATTGCCGTCGGCTGTATGATAAAGCGCCTTTGCTAACATCCCACGTGGCGAATTCTCCTCAATCATCTCACTTAGTCGATGAGGCAAATTGGTGTTCCAGCTTGGGTCAAACTCGAATGCCACATTTGACACGTCAAGAAAACACCAATCTTTGGTAACCAGTGGAATCCACATATCGAGAAATTCATATGACAACTCGGGGGATTCCCAGTTGTTCCCACGAATGCAAAATATATCTTGAGACGGACGTACGGCCAGCTTGTGTTCCTGGCTACTATCGTGACTGTACAGATATCCAAGCTGAACATCGTTTCCATCATTTTCGCGCGAGATCGGCTGAGGACTGTCCTCTTGGAAATTTATCCGGACCTTGATCGGATCATCAATTTTCAGATGACAGTGAACAACCTCTCTGGACTCTTTGCAGGCCGTCCATAGACCCACATCCCAGGTATACGCAGATGGGTTGGCGCTGTTACTGGAGTGGTCTGAATCTAGATCTCGGTTTTTGTGCTTAATTTGGCGCATTTTCGTGTCATAGTCGTCTACATCAAATAGCTCGACATAGTGGAGAGCTTTGCAATGTTGCTGAAATGGAAAGCATGCTGCCTCCCAGATCTTGAGGCGAAGTTCGGTTGGTAGTCTTGAGAAAGGGTGGAAAGTAGAAGATGCCATGATGAAACTTGGGGGTAGATGGCGTCGAGGTTGTAGGAGACAAATAGGGTGTGGTTGTGGAAAAGGCAGTATTCTTTGGTACTTGAGGACGAAAGGAAGAAAATTACAAATGAGACGAATTTGGTTTCTCTTTAAAGTACTGGAAATTTAAATTATGCTTTCGTGCATTTTCGCAGACTAAGTTTATGGATGACAGGGTGGGTATGTATAACTGAAAGAGACTTTTTGAAGCAGCCAGTTTTCTGCTAATACGATAACAAAGAACAGATTGCATTGTCCATATTTTAAGCACAGCATGGCTTGACTCGCACGAATCCTAACATGAAATGTGAAGTTAAAGTATGGCAAAAAACTTTATCTCGACCATGGGGTGCGAGGTATCTCATTTGTCATGTATCTTGGCTTGGGTTCCCTGTTGCGAATTTCTTATCGAAGGGAGAGGTTTTTCAATTTAAATCATCTTGAATAGATTTTAGAAGAGCGGAAAATGTTGGAATCTTTATACACCCATTGGCCACATCGTATTCGAGATCTTGTTCAACTTCCTCTTTTCTTCGTCGACCCATCTTCATATTTCAATGACAAACTCTCATCAATTCATAACGCTACGTAACAATTTCTGTTCTCAATTCTGAAGCCGTCTAGTAAAACACCAAGCATCGCACCTCGATGCTCTGCCGACCAGGCGCATCCGCCGGTGTCGCAGGGTCCACGAACGCAGTGTGTGGAGTATAACCTGCGATTCCATGCTGTCCACCTTCATGAACCTCGCTCTTCGAGTCAAAACACTTGATCAGCATAACCTCCTCGGGCGTCATGTCCTTTGCGTAGTAAAACTTGTGGCTGTCGTTTGGCGCAACAGAGTACGTTTCGCCCTTGACTGAGTAACCCTCTGTGGAAGCAAGAGTTGCCTCATCGGGGAGAACTTCCTTGCCACGGTCATCGTCATCGTTATCGTTACGGTTGGGGTAAAGAAGATCGACTTTGATCATGTCTTCTGGCTTGGTCGTTCGCCAGTCGATCACGGCTAAAGGGAAGTCTGATGCGGGGTGGCCGATGGGGCGCCAGACATTGATGATCTGATATCGTCCCTTGAGAAGCTCCTCTGTCTCTGAGGGATCTGTGTGTCGCCTCACTCGGGCTTCAGCCGCGCCAGGGGTTTGATCAACGTGGACTTGCTGCACTGGCTGTCGAGGGCTGGACTTCTCGCGCCTGCGGATGGTGTGATCAAAGATGACAACTTTCTTGATGGCAGGAATCCTTTCTTTGAGCAATGCCTCGACTTCAGCATAATAGCCATTCCTTACAGCCGCGTCGTCGGTAAACTCGGTCTCTTTGGCGGGAGTTTTGAAGACGTCGAAACCAGAGAGGTCCACGTCGAAGGCAGTGATGGCGGCGGCGTTGCGAATGTCGATAACATCGCGCTTCTTGTGGCTGCGTTCAAAGGAAGTTCGGTCCACATCGACTTTAGCCCAGGGCTTGATTCCGTTGCCGTTTGAGTCGACGCTCGATGTCGGGTCAATGTAGTTGAAGACTCCGGTAGTCATTTTGGTGGTTGTGAAGTGAAAAGATCTCAGCTGGGTTGGGTTGAGAAGTGGATTGAGGATAGATCGTGTTTTGATAAGTCGTGACATGCAGTGTTGAAGTTGATGAGAAGGGAGTGAAGCTGAGGTTAGCTTCTAGTTATATCCAGATACTGAGGAAATACTTCGGTCTGTTGCGTAAGAATTCCGTCTTCATTTATCCCACCGTCGTTCATTTGTCATCGATTGAGGTCCCCACAATTTGTCAGCTGTGGCGATGACGTCTGCGGGGAAGTCGAGGCGCGCTAGTACACTAACCGATCACGCCATCTTAAAGTGGCAGAGCTGCGATTCTAGTTACTGTCTTAACCGAGCAAGATTATCAACAGGTTATCAGTCATATCCCGTTGATAATCAATTTCACTTTTGGTGTTTTAACGTTGAAAGTTTTTCTCTGGCTTACGATACTTCTTTAACTCGTCAGCTTTGTCGGATATGAAGCCGGAAAATATTCTATAGAATTGTACAACGTTATATGCTGGTCGCAATCCCACGAAATGTAGGCAAGTTCAGTTTGCACATGGATTTTCCAAGTATCAAAAGCACGCAGTTGACTCAGGGAGACAAACAATTTGCCGAATCAGGTAGTCACATTGATCTTATGGTAAAGGTGCAATTTGAAGTTTAGTATCAGCAAGGATCCCTTAAAAGATATGAGATTGGTCACATCAAGCCTACCGACCACCACGCTTCGCTATGCGATAAGAATCAAACTATTATTACATATTGAAAGGAAATTACGTTCGCATAATGGTCCTTCAAAACGCCTTTACCTCTTCAGTTCCCACCCAAGGAACTGTGCCAACAAATCTCTCTGGGCCCTCGACGCATGTCAACCTCGGTGACTTGGCCATCTTGGGTGCTCCCAACCCAATCAACATATTCTGAATAACTGAGATACCAATGACATACTTGTCGACGAACTTGAAAACTCCAGTCTGCCAAGTCGCGCTTGATGTTGCGCGGCCTGCGCCGTCGCAGGCTTCCACTACAGTAGCCATTCGTGAAGCCTGATAGGATTGGAAGGCTGAGGCGAGTTGGGTCGCAGTGGGTGATGGTGTGCTCTGACGGAGGCTGTAGAGTTGGTTGACCAGTGCCACGACATCGATCAAGCCGTTGTTGCAACCAGCCCCTGTGCTGGGCGTGAATTTATGCGCCGAGTCGCCAGCGAGAACAACCCGACCGCCCCAGCTCCAGTGGTTGACGACACCTTCTTCGAGACTAACCAGGCCAGATTGCGTGCGTGCGCTAAATGCCTCTTTGAGTGTGAGCTTTCCGCCAGGCGTAAGAGGTATGTGTCCCCATCGCTCGACAAGGGCCTCTTGGTCCGCCTCAGTGTATCTTACTCGGTCGCGTGTAGGTGTGTCCAACTTCTCATAAAGTCCCATAACTGCAGAGTCCTCGCCAGAAAAGAGCTGTGTTGCCGCACCAGGGCCGTGAGTCTCGCATGTTGTCCCAGGTCCAATACCCGCAAGCTTTGTCGGCATACGCAACCAGAGAGCACGGAAAGTGGTGAGGAAAGGCTTCTCGTCGTTGACCTGCTCTGAGCCCTCAGCCAATGCAAGAGCGCGCATCTTCTCACGAACAAAGCTATGGGCACCGTCGGTTCCGATGACGATGGAGCCTTCGTAGGATGTTCCGTCGTGACATGATACTTTGACGCCGTCTGCGCTGGGGATGATGTCGGAGACCTTTTTGTTGGTGAGGATCTTGCTCTTTTGAACGGGAGAGAAAGATTCGTAAAGGACATGAGTAAGGTCTTGACGGCTAACCACACTGGGGGCCTTTCCGAGTCTGTACTTGTCAGAAGTGTAGGTGTAAAAGGGCTGAAGAAACTCACAGCTTTTTGATCAGAAGGAACCAATTCACATCGCCGAGATCGCTGCCCTTGTGATCTTGACGGTGAATGACGCCTAGAGGAGAGCTAACTTTCTCAAGAGACTCGCCGAGGTCGAGTTGGCTGAGAGCGCGAATGCCCGTGGGGCTGAGGACGAGGTTGGAGCCTGCATCGATAACAGCACTAGGGCGACGCTCGAGGAGGATAAAGTCGATGTTGGCGCGGGAGAGGGCGTGAGCGGCTGTGAGACCAACAGGACCGCCTCCAACGACGATAGCTTTGAAGCCTTGAGAGGGCATGTTTTGGTGTAGAGATAAGCGGTATTGATGTTGGGTTATAAGAATGATGATAAGAGATGATAGTTTGAAGATGGAAGAGTAGGGAAGACTGCAAATAAATACTGTGATTAGGTAGGAGAGGGATGATTAAGTTGTTGTGTGTCGGGGTTTATGTTTTGACAGTGACATGGCGCTGATATATATCATATTCTCCGGGCGGACTTTATCGCAGGTCGCATTGACATTGAGTCGCTGTCCTGTCTTGGTGGAATGGCGCTAACGGCAGTGGCTTCGCACTCGCATACGATTGAAATGCCCGATTGAGGAAGGGATCGTCAATTCAAAGATCCACGTCAATAAATTCATATCTTTTCAAGATTTCTCCGACGAATAGTGAAGCCTGATATCAGAATTTTTCTCTATTGATACGTGGTCCAATGTGGTCGCTTGTCTTGACCGGAGCTACAACTCGCAGAGTATTATGAGGATAAGCAATAGACGTCTGTCACTTACTGCCCCTTGGTCGCGTAAACAGTAAACGATAGCTATTGGCACCTAAAATGACTCAATACACAATTACTCGCATGTCTATCCCCAACAGTAACGAATGGAACAAATTACGCACTCGACTTTCGCACTCGCAATTTCTCCATCTTCCCAGGATCGCCCTTAGCGCCGATGCCGTTAACAACCATTAACGGCTCGCGATCGAAAGGCTTTTGATTGGTTCGCATTTCAAGGTATGTAAGCTTCGCACTCGGCAGACCATCAGCCCTATGACGACACCATTTTGCACCAGCACATGCTAGCTGGTTGGGTGCAATTGAGAACTTTTGCCGTTGAGTCATTTGGGATTCACATTCAAATGTCAAACGGAGAGTCTCATATCTCCTTTGCCCGAATGACCTGTCAAAACTTCTGCCATTTACTACAGGGGAACATAAAAAAAGGATATGATCTGTCTGCTGTGATGTTGTGATAGTGCGCTGCAACTGAAAACCATGAGCTCTTGCGACGCGCATCCGAAGTGGGAATATCGTAGTCATATGCACTTCTTCATTGCACCAAGTCCTTAATACTCTTTGCCTCACTACTTCACTTCTTGAAATCCTATGGCGCCCCGGGTTGAAGAAAATATGCTTGTAAATAGTCATTCTCTATATTGGGGTATTGTATGCAATATGGCTATTCTATCGAATGAAACTCCTCATTCCTGTCCTTATTGTGGTGTCTTCTTCTTAAACCACATACTCTTAACGAAGTAAACGACGCTGATAGCCAGTCCCAGCCCGGCAAAGCCAACACCCATGTAGAACGCTGAGCGGTACCCAACCAGTAGATCGTGCTTTGACTCTCCGCCTGGGCTGGTGTTAACCTCCACCGTAGCAGCAAATCCGAGGCCTAGACTGATACTGTAGTTGACGATTGTGCTGACTAGACTTGCTGCAATGCCCTGATGCTCCCGCTTGACCGAGTTGGAGAGAATCAGCGTCGCGGCAGGGAAGGACATATCCATGCCAAAGGTCATGATCACTAAGCCGAAGAAAGACTGGTACCAGTAAGATTGCTCAGCGGGAGCAGTCATCATCAGAATAGTGCCAGTTGTGAAGGCTCCGAGAGCGAGCAGCATGACAAGGGCAGGATGCGCCACATGCAACAGCCATGCAGTTGTCAGAGCAGCGCAGGCACCAGAAATCGCCACAGGGCTCATCCACGCGGTGGTGAGCAGGGGGGACGCTCCTCGCACAAGCTGGAAGAACTGCCAGGTGTAATACACCCAGATACCAAAAGTTGCCCAACCGCACACAATGCAACCTAGGATATACGCCACGTCGCTCGTCAAGGCGTCGAAGGGAATGAGAGGATACGATGCGACACGGAGTTCGATGTAAAAGAAGACAGGGACCAGGAGAACTCCGATGATGAGGAGTACATAAACCCAGGGCTTGTCCCAGCCGTCAATCGGGGCTTGGTTCCAGGCGAAGTTGAAGAGAACGAGAGCAGTGATGCCAGTAAAGGCGCCAAGGAGATCAAGCTGGCTAAGAAGCTCTCTCCATGTTCGATCGGCAGATGATAACTTGGCGGGTGGGTCCGGAATGATGAAATATGCAAGGACGGCGATAAAAAGAAGACCAAGGGCGAATGAGTAGTAAGTCCAGGGCCACCAACTTGGGTCGCCGTGGACAAAGAGTCCAGCAAACAGAGCGCCGAAAACACAACCACCCGGTGCACAGGCTCCAAAAAGGGCAAAAGCAACAGCTTTTCTCAAGCCAGGCTTGTAGGAGGCACCCAGAATAGCGAGTCCGTTAGGCATGACGAGAGCTGGTCCAATTCCTTGGAACACTCTGGCGAAGATGAAAAGGACATGATTGGAGTAGCTTGCTAGACCACAGATCATAGACCAAACGGCAAACCAGACAAAACCAATGAGAAAAAGGCGCTTGTAGCCAAAGAGATCACCAAGACGTCCAGAAAATAGAATAAAAGTTCCGACGGTGAGACTGAATCCGGCGATCAACCAGCTTAGCTCGGCGGGATTGGTGAGGTTAAATGAATCGCCAATGATGTGAATAATGTTGAGGCAATTTCCTAGCGCAGCTTGTGTCATGAACTGGGCCATACATATAATCGACACGAAGAGGATTTCACGCGGCAGTGAAAATGTCTCTGCGACCGAGACGGTTGACTTTGTGCGTGTGAGCTCCTCCTCATCGCGGCCCATCAGCGTGTTATCATCTGAAGGTGCGTCTCTTTCGGAACCAGGCTGTAAGCCTTGTTCTAGTCTAGTTAGCCATGTCTCTTTGACAGTTTGGGAGATGGACTCACCCTTTTCAGCTTCTGTCATCATCGTAAAATGTTGTATGAGGGGTACGATGAGGTGCTGAGCTTATGATAAGGGAGGATACTAAGATTGTATATAAAACCTGGGGAGAAATCCGGCAGATTCTGTATATCCGGTTATCCGTAGTTCCGGGCCAATAAGCATGACATCAGAGTTACTTTACCATTCTACCGGATGTAGCGAGATGGTTTCAACATTATTAATCCATGGATCTGTCAGATTATCTAAGATTGATGTCGGATATGGGCATAACTGCCGTAGTCTTGTATATCCGATCTGACATTAACGGTTCCTCGGATGGAATCAATTTTTAAGTTTAGCACGCAGTGGAGTCGTTCATCCTGGGATATGGAGTGTCATAATTTGCAGCGACCTATACTCATCGAATCTACAGTAACCGTGGAATGCTAGCAGGGGGGGCATTACGTTGCGGACGGACAGACATTCCTTCGTATTACAAAGAAATCCTACTGATCTTATGAAGCCAGTGCGTAGCTAAGTCAGCCTGGACGGTCAGCCAATGGAGCATCTTAGACTGTTCATGATTGCCCAAGTCAGAATACATGGCATCAATGTTTTGGAGGTCGGATTAATATCACGGGAATCATATGTTGACATGGTGCTCATGCCGGGTAGCAGCTTGGAACCTTGTCTTTGGTTCCATATGTTTCTACATGATCAGCTGAAAGCTACTTCGCTTTCCATTTCTCACGGTTCCAAGATGAATTTTCTCAGTGTAACTCCACTCCTTTCCCAGCTAATATTTCCAAATCGCGCTATTTAAAGTGACTGGTCTTTTTCGTGTCTTGAACTTCAGCCTGGTAACTTGTCAGAGTGCGTGAGGAAGCACTATCTCTCTCAAAGTACAGAGTCTTGGTGTTGCGGATTTCTATCAAAGTGCTAAATTACGAAAAATACCATTCATAGTAAGTAACACATAAAAGAAGTGAGACTTGCCTACTCTACTATATCGAACAAGTATTTTAGACAACAGTCGTGGTGTAGATCCAAATGCTTAGTACCTTACCCTGTAGTGGCGAGGGATGGGGCTCCACCTGAGGTTCTGCCACTCCAGACCGTTTTGCCACTGCTAGCCAAGCTCAATGGCCTGTTCTTGTGAATGTCACCCCACGCAAATTTACCATCCCCCACCAACTTCTCTTATCAGATCAGTTCATCATGGCTAAGACAAAGTCCAAGAAGCGCAAGCAAAACGCTCAAGCTCAAGCGCAAGCTGAGAAACCTTCCAAAATTGCAAAGACGACACCCGCCTCGATCCCGACGCCGCCTCCCGATGGCCACTTCGAGCCCAAGAACCTCCATACAGTCGTTTCCGAAGAAGAACTCGAGATCACCATCGACACGCTCAACTCGCTAGCTCAATACCCTGGCTTGATCAAGTCAAAGCTCTGCAAGGATCTGAGGGTTGCGGTTTACGACTTTCGACAAGCATGCACGACAGGTGTTAACAATGCTGCCGGTGCGAATCTCACGGCGCAGGTTACTGCTGCTCTTGCCGATCGCAAATACACCGAAGCTCGAATTCTTCTTGCTGAAATGAAGATTCGTGGCGAGCAGCCCAAGCTTGGTGCTCTTTGCCGATGGGTTCGGGACCTCGATGTCATCAGTGGTTTGTCAACTGTGCCAGATCAGCAAGGACTCGTCAAGCGCTCCGAAAGGGAAGAAACACTCATTCGGGTCATTGATGCCGTCCTTCGGGTTTGTGGCCACGAAGATCGAAACCCCAATGCCGTCGTGCAGCCATCATCAATTGCTCTCCAAGAGATTTGGGACCTTCGCGCGGACACACCCACAGAGCAAGTCTACGCTTCGGTGCTCGATGGAAGCCTCGTCGCAGCAGCGCCTGAATCTCTAAAGAAGAACCTCCGAATCATCGAAGTCACACCAGGCCCTAGCCGCAAGCCTCCGAACCACCACGACGCCATCCTATACGCCTCTACTCTAGACGCCGTTCCACTGTCGACCACCCCACCCCCGACTACACATCAGCCACATCCTATTGTGCAAGGCCTCAGTGCTGCTACCAACCTGCTCTATCCCGAAGAGTGCAAGGCCATCATCGCTGCGGGCGAATGCGTCAACTTTGTCCCTGATGCGCCGCTTCGTGAGGATGGAGATATTAGCATCTTGGCCCACAACTTCTACTGGGTTGTCGACACGAAGTTCCACGATACCTTGTGGTCGCGCATCCGACCTTTTGTACCGCTTTCAATGAGCGGCCGCTTAGCCAGGGGTATCAACCGTCGCTTCCGAGTGTACCGCTAGTAAGTTCTGAGAACTCGGCTGTCATTCCGTCAACTAACAAGAGCAGTGTCCCAGGAGCCGAGTATCGAGCACATATTGACGGCGCGTGGCCCCCGAGCGGCATCACGAAGGACGATAAATACGTATACGATGACTCGCCCGCCGAGAAGAAGCAAAGCTCTCTTTTCACCCTCCTGATCTATCTTAACCAGGATTTCGAGGGCGGCGAAACCACATACTTCCTGCCAGCTGCACGAGAGGGTATCCTCAACGCATACCCCGTTCGTCCAGTCATGGGTGGCGCGGCCATCTTCCCGCACGGCGAGATCAACGCGACATTGCACGAGGGTACCGGTGTGAGGAAGGGAGCGAAATACGTGATTCGCACCGAGATTGAATATGATATAGAACCAACGGAAGAGCTCCAGGTTTGAGGAACCAACAAAATTGTATACATGAACGGAACGGCTGGACCGGGGAAAAGTTGATACGTTTATTTATGTCTAATGAACAAAACATTTATCGCTATTTAAGCAGATATTGCAGTCTCACCCTCGGCTGGCTTGCGTCCCCAAACAATGCGCTGAAGATAGTAAGCATGTGCCGCCGCCTTCCTGGCCTTCAACTCTTTCCGCAGCTGCGCGCAGTACAGCACAACCTGCTCGCGCGACCAGCCCTCAAGCAGAGTAGCCATGAAGGAAATATGACCCTCAACGTCGGACAAAATGCTCATTGTGGTGAACCTGCCAATCTCCTTCAATCGCTCTTCCCGAGGCCAGTCTCCAACAGGGACCTTGATCGTCTTGGACTGGATATCCACGAAACCAGCGGCCTTGAGGCCCTTCTCCTGCAAATTGTCCGGCAGAGGTGAAAAGACACGGCCGAGCTTGCGACCGCCTTCGTGGAAGAACTTGCCCCACTCAGCAATTGCGCTGCCATCCTTGAGACTTCCGTCGTCACTGCAGCCCATGGGGTCTCCTTCGTGGCTCTCGATCCAGCCGCCGGGCCTGGTCACTTGGAACGCGCGCTCGTACAGAGCGTACCAGTCGGGGACGCTGCCGTAGAGGAAGCGCATGTGTACAAAGTCGGCCGAGTTTGGAGGGAACGTCCAGTCGAGGGTGAAATCTTCGATCTCGAACTTGACGTTTGGGGGAACCCAGCTAGAGAGCGTTAGTCGCTGGGAGAGTCATAGAGGAGCCGGGTACTTACGAAGGCTGGATGGGCGAGATGTCAGTGCCAATGACCTCGGCCTCTGGGAACTCATCACCAAGATCCATAGCCCAGATTCCAGTTCCAGTGCCAATGTCCAGCACTTTACCAGGCGCCTCAATCGGCGCGAAGTGAAGCTTGCCGTCCATGACCAACGTAGCAGTATGGTGAATGATATCTAGCGCCTCGGAGGCCTGGTTGTCGTTGGAGGCCCAGTACTGAGCCTCGCCTCTATCGGCGTGGTACGTTCGGCCATTGATGGTGCGGTACTGGAGAATGCTGGAGTTGATGGAGGCAGTCGAACTAGCGGCATCGTCGCCTAGCGTTGAATCGGTATCTGAGTTATCTGTATCCTCAGTATTCTACATTGAGTTAATTAAATGAAGCTACTCCATACTCATTCGGTAACTGGGTTAAAGTACCTCCCAGTGTGTAGGCGCGAGCATTTCCTGCGCTGGCGCATTGTCGGCCGGCGCATTCACATTGGCCTCTTGGACAGCTTCAGTAGGTGCAGCACTCATGGCGAAATAACTTTAAACAAAGAATAATCCGGGAGAAAAGCAAAGACGAGCCCGCAAGAAAAGGACAAACCCCCCTCTTTCAGTTGTGTTGGCCCCTGCTTCAATGCATTGTCCATTGCTACTGTTTCGCTGTGGGCTTCCCATTTCAAGGGTCTGGAGCGCTAGCGAAGACGGGGAAGGGCGGAACGATCCACTCTGATGGATTGTTCTTGATCGTGAAGGGGAATTGGTCCGGAGAAGGGCAAGCATGATCTGATCTTGTTTCGCAGTGGGCGGTTTGTTCGGTTTTGGGTGGGTTTGTGGGACGGACATGTGGCCTGTGGAGATGCGGACCGAAGAATTGTTTGTGGACATGGTTTGCCTATCGTTATCAATCACATGTTTTGCATGCATGAAAGTTCCAACACTCTAATAACACTACAGTAAACCAAACACATGTAACAATGGACTTGTAAGCTTGAGAGCTTATTAATTTACAACTATTTAACCGATAAGGCTCGGTCTTGAGAACTCACGCAATCACTTATATCTCAGGACATAACTACAATTTTCAGGGACAGTGAGATTATACATGTCATTTTTGAACCACCCGAAATATTAAAATCTTCCCACCATCAAAAGCAGAAACATGCAATACAACACTCGCCTCGTCCTTCTACTCTCCGTTCTGATACTTACGACATTCTCTATCAATACGCATCCTCTTACTTATTAAAATTTGCTCGATTGTCGTTTCCGGTGGACTCTGGTTTAAGCTGGACATCTCATACCGTAGTATACTCTCTTGACCCGTCCAAGTTGTCACGTTTGTTGCTTTCAGTAGTCGACAAGTCTTATACCATGCTACATCGTGGAGGTCAAAGAGAATGTAAAACAAGGAAAAGACTCATGGAACATAAAAAGAAGGACATGAGGACCGAGCGTGGATCGAACACGCGACCTAGGGATCTGCAATCCCTCGCTCGTACCACTGAGCTATCGATCCTTTTGAGTGTCGTTGGATGAGAATGGAGGTTCGGAATGAAGACATATATAGATTTGTATTTTTAATAGCGACTATACAATCATTGGGCATTATAGTTTCCATCACCGATAGGTTGAGAACCATTGATCATTGCCCCTTGTTTTACAGCGTAGTACCCAATTGCAGCTCTCCGGGCTCGGAGGATTTCTTCTACCGTATTACTAGACTACGCCATAGACCACGCAAGCTAGAAATGGCACAACTCTTTGATAAGCTATCTTGGTGGCTATTTCCGCATCTTTTCTCGGTTATTCGAGAACTTTTGACGAAGCCGTTTCATGAGCTTCCCTATCAAGACTAGAGCTTATTGCGTACGAAATGAGAAGCGGGGTAATCGATAAGTGCGTCGCAGCACGCAACAGCTTTCTGTTTGCTTTCGCAAATGCTCGTCGTCATCATTCCGGGGCTTACATAAGTGCCTTGGCGTTTATATCTAGTGTTGTTGAAGATCTCACAACCTCCATCAACTTACACCTGCAATTGCTCGCCAAGAACCATTGCGGCGATGGGTTTCTTCAAAACAGCACTCCTCCTTGCTGGAGTCTCGATCCAGGCTCTGGCGTCTCAAATTCCCCTCAACGACGCAGACTCACCGCAAGTATCGGCCTTCCAGATCCATCAAAGCTCTTTATTCCCGGATCATGCTATCCGCATCAAGGAGCAGGTGGATGATTCGATATGCGACGCCCGCGTTAAGCAATACACCGGCTGGCTCGATGTCGGAAACCAACATCTCTTCTTCTGGTACTTTGAGAGCAAGAAGGCGCCAGCTACGGACCCTCTTGTGCTTTGGTTGACTGGAGGGCCTGGAGGCTCGTCAATGCTGGGACTGCTTCAGGAGCTTGGCCCTTGTTTGATCAATGAGCATGGCAATGGAACAGTTCACAATCCTTATGGCTGGAATGAGAATGCGAACTACATCTTTGTTGACCAACCTGCTGGCGTTGGATTCTCTTACTTGGATGAAGGGGAGCCGGTCCCTGGAAACTCATTTGTCGCTGCTGATAGTATGCACAAGTTCTTGCAGCTCTTCACGAGCAAGGTATTCCCCGATCTCAAGGATCGGCCGTTCCACATATCTGGAGAAAGTTATGGAGTAAGTAATGACATTTGACACGATCGCGATCCGCGACAATAGCTGACCGTTGCAGGGTCACTACATCCCCATCTTGGGAGCCACGATTGTCGCACAGAACAATCTTTACCCTAAGCGTCCTCAGGTAAACCTCGAGTCTGTCCTCATCGGCAATGGCTACGTCTCACCTCTGGATACCGCATTTGGATATTGGGAAACCCTCTGCACTACCAACCCAGGCCTTGACAAGCCCATCTTCAACAGCACCCGCTGCGACATCATGGCCACCAACCTTCCAAGATGTCTCGACTTGTCCCGCGTGTGCTACGAGCATCCTGACCACGCCATCTGCTCTGCCGCGGCTGAAGTGTGCTGGGACGGTGTCATTAAATTCTATGACAGTGAATCTGGATCCGGCGGCAACAGAAACAGGTTCGACATCACCTTCCCTTGCGAATCTGGGGATGATTTGTGCTACAAGGAGTCAGCTCTTATTGACAAGTACCTTAACCTCCCACATGTTTTCAAAGCCTTGGGAGTACCGAAGGCCTTGACGAAATACTCCATCTATTCGATGAACGTGTCCGACGCTTTTGATGCGGGATTTGATGTTGGTATCAGCACTCAGACACAAGTCCTGTACCTGCTGAACAACGACGTTGATGTACTGATGTACCAAGGCAATCTCGATCTCGCGTGCAACACAGCTGGAAACTTGAAATGGAGCAACAACATGCCGTGGAAGGGACAGCCTGCTTATGTTGCACAGCGGCCAAGGACGTGGGGTGCCTGGGGTGAGGAGATCGGCTGGTATAAGGAAGTCAAGATTCAGATGGGTAGCACTGACAAGAAGACGACTTTCTCTTTCGCTACAGTTGATGGTGCTGGACATATGGTAAGTCTCAGCATTCTTCAGCATTTGGAGCTACTAACGGTCATAATAGGTTCCTCAGAGCAAGCCAAAACAGGGATTAGAGCTGATTAATAGGTGGTTGAAGAAGCGTAGCTTTGACGGTTGAGTGCTTTCTTTGGAGCGTAGGCCAAAAATGTATAGTCCCAGCAGAAGGAAAAGGAGTAAGATAGTCAAGAAAGCCAATTGAATGATGAAGCTTTCTTCTGGCAGCTTCTTTATAGTTCAATCATGGCACTCTCGGAATTTGGTGACTCTTCGTAGAGAGATATACTCTTGTCGTGTAATCTCAATGAAGAATTTATTTGACATCTCGTGGCAACCCAGTGAGCCTGGAAATAGCGATTGCAGCCTGTCAGCAATCCCATGGCAGGGATCGACACACCGCATGTTAGCAAAGCACGCAACAGCCCCTCATCTATCTTCAATCTCTTCTTCTTCCAGTCAACGTCTCAAACATGACAGAACACATAACTCTTGATCAGATTCCATCGCTCCATAGCCCCAGTCTGACCGAAAACACTGCGCCCATCCCAATTGAACAAGATGCTGCCGCCGAGCCAGATAATCATGCGGCGGAAGCCCAATATCCAACAGGCCTCAAGCTATGGCTAATCATGCTTTCCGTCGCTGCCGTTCTTGTCCTCAGCAGCATAGACATGAACATAGTCGCGACCGCAGTCCCAAGCATCACAGACCACTTTCACACGGTAGCCCACGTCGGGTGGTACTCATCTGCCTTCAGACTCTGCGTATGCGCCTTTCAATTTGTCTTTGGAAAGGCATACAAGCTCTTCTCTACAAAGCGCGTCTTTCTCCTTGCCAACGCCATTTCGATTGCTGGCTCTTTGCTCTCCGGCGCTGCTACCACGTCCACTATGCTAGTCGCTGGAAGAGCTGTTGCTGGACTCGGATCCGCTGGTTTATTCGCTGGGTGCTTTATCATTGTCGTGCAAACAACACCACTTCGTCGACGGCCGATGTTTCTTGGGGTCATGGGTGCTGTTGAAGGACTGGCTACTATTGCAGCGCCTCTACTCGGCGGCGCCCTTCAAACTCTGAGCTGGCGTTGGTGCTTTTATATCAGTGCCCCAACTGGACTTCTCACATTTCTTCTCATTATGTTGTGCCTCACGGATAGTGCAGAATCTTATGAAACTGCGCGCATGACGCTTAAAGAAAAGGTGATCCAGCTTGACCTCTTGAGCAATATGCTTCTTCTCCCTGCACTGACCAGCCTCTTCCTCGCCTTTTCGTGGGCTGGTACAAAGTACTCCTGGCACAGCGGCCAAGTGATTGGTCCTCTGGCCACATTCGCCGTCCTTCTTGTGGCATTCATACTACAACAGATCCGTCGAGGCGATGCATCTGCTCTTCCTCCCCGTCTGATGAAACATCGCAGCGTGATCGCTGGCTTCATCTTCATATTCTGCGTCAACAGCACAGGTGTGGTACTTGAATATTACCTACCTACATACTACCAGCTAGTTCGTGGATACACACCTGTTAAAAGTGGCTACATGATGCTTCCCATAATCATCGCTGCAACCATCGGCTCGCTCATTCATGGTGCTGCCACAAGTGCGTTTGGATACTATACTCCCTTTATGCTGTTCGCCTCCATAATCATGCCAGTTGCTGCAGGCCTAATCACCACATTCAAGATTGATACCAGCTTCGAGCGTCTCATCTTGTACACTGGATTGTCTGGCTTAGCTTACGGGATAGGATTTATTGGGCCCCAAACAGCTGTCCAGACAGTGCTACCCGAAGAAGACGTCCCCCTTGGCTTGTCGGTCATGCTCTTTGCGCAATCGTTTGGTCCAGCTGTGGCTGTCCCTATAGCGCAAGTACTATTTACAAACCGATTGTCGGTTAACCTTGAATCCCTCATACCGGGCATGAACCAAACGAATATCAGCAATAGTGGACTCACGGAAATGGTGGCGAGTGTTCCGCCGTCTAAGTCAAGAGATGTACTTGTGGCGATTGATAAGAGTCTTGGACAGACATGGTATTTGGTCGTTGGACTTGCTTCAACGGCTATAGTTGGAAGTTTGATGACCGAGTGGCGATCGGTAAAACAAAAGCGTGAATGAATGTCAGACCGATCAAAGATTGCGGAATTTTCGCTTGTGACAGTAAGAAGATTGTTGAATCCCAAAGTGTATATCATAATTAGAAAGGAGTGTTCTATATAAGTAGTAAGATAAACTCTGGCTATATCATGCCAGTCAGAAGAAGAGAACAAGGAATGTGTCTAAACCAAAAAATGCATATACTATGCCCCAAAAAGTTCCAATGCCAAACTCCAAGTGTATCAGCTCAATAGTCAAAAACCCTCTTACTCCTTGCCAGGGTACTTTCCGGGGTACCATTTTCCGTCATCGTACTTGGTCTGAGGCTTACCCTCATACTTTCCAGGATACCATTTGCCGTCATCCTCACGCTTCTCCTTCTTGCTGTCCTTCTCGGGGTGGTATTGACCATCGTCGAAGCCAGTCTCTCCGCCTTCATATTTGCCTGAGATGTGTTAGTACTGTGACTTGGAGAGCTTCTGATGGAAACTTACCAGCTTCCCACTTGCCATCATCACGGCCGGTGTCACCACCCTCGTATTTGCCAGGAGACCAGCTGCCATCGTCCTCACGCTTCTCCTTGGCATGGTATTGGCCGTCGTCGAAGCTGGTTCCAGGACCCTCATACTTTCCTGTAACCTGTTAGTAAATTGTCTGAAGCCTGGGTTATATATGCTTACCAGGAGACCACTTTCCGTCATCCTTGCCGGTATCACCGCCCTCGTATTTGCCTTATTTGGTTAGCATTTGAAAGTGTTGGTGCAAGTCAAACATACCAGGTTGCCAAGAGCCATCATCTGCAGGCTTGGCAGTGGGAAGAGCCAGAGCCGTAGCGGCAAAGGCAATGAGAGTGTAAGAGTAACGCATATTGAAGGGTGGTAGAGGGTGATGTATGAGATAAGATGTTTATGAGATGTAAAGAAAAGATAAGAAACTTGAAGCTTAAGCGATTGAAGTTGTAGCTGAGATATTCAAGCGATAGTGGGAGTGTTTGCAGCGAAGGTGACTGGAACTGTTGGAGAGATGAAGATGTTGAGAGTGATGATTTGGATCGATGAAGGGAAGCACCTGTATCTTATATACTCAATCAATTGCTACCGAAATCAAGATGAGTGGCATTGTTCTTGACTTTGGACTCGGCCTCTAGCTTAGTGGTGGCCGGCGCAGCAAACACCACCGACGACATGGCTGAACAGCACCATGCCAAAGTACGCAAAGGTCAAAAGTGGCAGTCAGTAAGGCTGAGCCATAGCTTAGGGAGCCGCATGGCCCTGTCACACCCGACATCAGTTCAGGGAGGTTACTATTTTCGGGTGCCCCGAGCTCTGGCATCCTCGCACAGTTCCACAGGACATCCCATCCCAAGCTGCTGCGCCTGGTCACAAATAGTGTCCATTAGCACTACAGTAGCTGCGGACACCCACTCTGGACTTGGCGGACTGGGCTACCATGGGACCTTCGATCGCGAGACCCTCCTCTCCGAAGTGGTGGAAACTAATGCTGGAAGAGGGTTGCGCCCAACGGAGCTTCGAAGAAGCACTTTACCCCGCAAGATGATGGCTCTGAAAAGTCGGCTCTTGGGCTGAGGGACTAAAGGTGTCGTCCATGTCAGCTGTGCCACCGCCGTGGTTTGTGTGCTGACAGTCAAAAGTCTTGGCTTGAGTAAGCTGTCAGAGAGGAATGGATCCTTCTCGTATGTGCTGACAATAGAGAGGAAAACGTGTTAAAACTTGGATCGAGGATTGTGTGATATGTTGGTGCAAACTGTAAATTTCAAGCCCCAAAGTTCAGCTTCAAGGCAGGCTCGCATTTCCATCTACGCGGGGCCGTTCAATGGCAGAGACTTAGACCAAGCCAAAAATAAGCTCAGCTGACCCCATGATCTAATTATCCAGTCCATTTTGTTACTAAACCTGAACCATCCAATTGCATCACCAAATTCTAGTCTCACAAACAAAGTCAAAAGACAAGCTGGTGTTTCTTAGCTCATTTTGGGGAGGTACAAGAGGCCTCGAGGTGAGAAAACGCCTTGCTGATTGAAACGGTGTAGACAGAAGTCGCGAAAATGAAAGCCCCGAAAGAAATGAGGGTGTTGATGATCAAGACATACAGAAATGGTGCCAGCAATACGAGATATCGCGCACTACACATTAAGAAGTGCAAGAGCAAACAGGATCTGGGATGTCCATACAGTCTGGAAGATAGTTCACTTTTACTACGTAGTAACAGCCAACCAGGCTTGATGATGTTTTAGTTTATCCTTTCATAAGAACCCATATCATCAGTGAATAGACATTTTGTTCCTTCAAGCTGTGTCTGCATCATGATTTTGAGAGGGATTGATAATGTTCATCATGATACCTTCAATTGTCCCCCCCAGGTTGGTCTGGTCGACATGACACCATCTGCAGGGTTGACAGCTCATCGATCGGGCTCAGCCTCAGCGCCATCAGCCCCCAAATCTGGCCAGAATACAACGTGCCATGTTCCTCATTCCACTGTTAGACATGGAAACCTGTGTTTTGTACACTCAACTGCCAGTACCTAATATATCCTCATACCTGCCTTGATGATGCGCTCTCAAGAATAACACAGTTTTCAGGATGTATCAAATGATCGTAGACTAGTCTCGGGGTTTCTGTAGATTCGCAGGTAGTTAGTCCCTCATTTTATCACTGGAAACAGCCTAGCAGTGGCTACTCGGTAAGCCGGAATGTTTAACCTTATTGGTGCTTCTGACTGGTAGGGCTGCTCAACGGTTCTAAAATAAGCACGAGTTGAGATGTGACGTTGTAGCAGGATGAACACAATCACGTTTCGGGATTACTGGAAATGACATAGATTAATATGGTATACCTTTGCGGTTCTATCTCTTATTAGTATCGAAGGGCCCATCCTGAATCTACTATCGATAGCACAAGACTGTCCTTTATCTTTCGTCATACGAGCTGTGGTCTGGACTTGAGACTTGACATTCATAATCATCTCAAAATTCTGGGTGGCTGTGTACTTTGCCACGTGCGGGTATATTTCTCTGTGCATGATTACTATGACAGCTTTAGCAAACTGTTCGATCACCACAGAGAGGAATTGTTGCTCGAGGAAGTTAATTACTGCCTTTGCTTGGACCATTGACATACACATTCAACGTTCATGTTGAGCTAGTCTGTCATATTACTCCATCGACGATAAGACTTGAAGCTTACAACATTCGTCGCAATCGTATTGATTCACTTCAAGCATCGAGGGCGGTTCTTAGCGTATGTTGAGCCCGGCTACAATTTTTGTGCCCTAATCTCGAGCACCTTTCATCTCGTACAAGATTTGAATCACGTCGTCCAAAACCCTTGACGACATCGAATCCACGCAACACCGTGTCGTGCATTGTTTGCAAGTTGTTGATTCAAGGTAACATGAATATTATAAATAAAGAGACAACACGACGCGTTATGAAACTCAGCCACAAACACACTCATAAACTCTTTGGTATAGATTGACGAGACTCACTCCCACGGACTCACGATGTGTATAATTCTCCAAATTATTTACGTATGCTCCTTTTGCAACTTTGCCATTACGAACCGAACCCATTACAGATACTGCGATCAACCGGGAAGAGAGAATGTGTGCGTCATAAGCAGGCGCCAGCTTGTAAGAACGTTGAGCTGGCAGTATTGCCGACGGTGCAATCGCGCCTACTCGGATGATCCGATGCTGCTGGATTTACCACTTTGAGAATACCTTTTATGGAATATACTAGGAGAATACGACAATCGGTTGGGGTGCTAGGGTGGTGAATATAGTGTTAATTGCATCGTATTTGTTTGGCTTGGCTGCGGTAACTTTATGGGATGAGCTCAGTAGTTGTTGAGACCTATATCTTAGCAAAGTCGGTGGAAGAAACCATAAACTCAGCCAATGTAGCTACTGAGTCTGTTATTGTTTAGAATTGGTCCAGGTACCAAAGTAGCGATATAATAATGCAAAACCCATTCGCCTTAGGCTACAAACTGCGTACATGAAACAGACTCAACCTTTTCGCCAACCCACTACATAACTCTCAAAGGGTCATTTTTGAAATATATGTTTCAATATCTCAAGTAATGATCGAACTTATGATATCTGTCAACTTCTCAGTCTGGGTCAGTTGAACCATATGACCACCATCAAGTCTGACAATCTCACTACCCGCTAGCTTGGCGCCGGATTCCTGGAAAGAAACAGGAAGTAACTTGTCCCCTTCACAAATGATATAGACACTTGGTACGTCTCTCCAGCCACAGTACTGCAACTTTGTTGAGTATCCCGTGAAAGGCTGATGCTGAAGTCCGGGAAGCCACTTATCAACTTGCTCGTCTGGAAGGTCGCTAAAAAGTAGACTTCTGGGGTCTTTGCATGACTGTGTACCATTCGCTTCCTGAGTCAAAGGTCAGCAAGTGAGTTCTGTCGGGGTTTGGAGATTTGTACATTAATGTCGAAGAAAGGTAGTTGACTCAGTTCAAATCCCTCCGGCTGAACGCCAGCGGTGAAGAAGATGATCTTTCGCACTCCACCAGGTTTTTCATTGGCATCTCGGGCTTTCCGAGTAAGGTCCTTGAGAGCAGCGCTCCCGATAAATCCAGCCGCAGAGTGCATAACAGCAATGACGCCATCGTCGCCCGCCTGTTCTACTACAGGAACAAGGTCTTGTCTGACACCAGCGATATCATCGTCCATAGTCGGATTATTCGGAGGCGTGGTACCTGTGCTTCTGATGCTTGACGTCACAGTTCTGAAGCCGCGAGTGGCGAGAGCATCGGCCAGAGGTTTGAAGACGGCAGGGCCTTCGTAGAACCCGGGGATGATGAAGATCACAGGTGACATATTGATTTCGGTGTAGAGGAGAAATTACTCGAGTCCCTGAGACTTGGCTAGGCAGTGGTGTAGGTTGCTTCTTATACATTTATCTTATTGGACTTAACCCTATCATAAGCACTGTCTTGTCTTTGAGTAAGCCCTAGGCTTCTTCCAGTATACTGTATGTTTGGAGCAGTGGCCTACCCGATCTACCAATTAATCATTGACTGCTGCCTATCCTCGAACCAGTCAAGTTGGCGGCATTCTGTTGTACAAGACAACAAGATGATAATCGACCCCCAGTGCATGAGTTGGAGAACTTTTAGTGGTCCGTGTGCGATCGCCCCACCATTTCCCGGCCTCAACCACTGAGTGTTAGGCTGTTTTTAGGTTAAATTAGCGGACCTGCAGGCATCTTAAGCTTGAGGCCAGCCCCTCATATTTCATTATCGCTTTACCGCGACGCGACGCGACGCCATAACCACTTAACCTCCTAAAATTTTGACTCGAATAAGGCAGACATGGCTTTTCACGACAGCTCTCCCACCGGGATAGTAGAGACCGACTCTACCTACCTCGCTCTTCAAACCCCAGCACAACGTTCCTTGGCTCTCAAAATCAAACGATACGCGGGTCAATTTCCCTGGGAGATTGTACCGCTCTGTGATGAAACGACGTGGACTCAGGGGCTCCTCGACAAGTTCATCGAGCTCATCGCCAAAAACTTCTCGGGCCAGCTTAGCAACTTAGACACGAGAAAGTTGCGATCTATCTTGATGAACAGCGTTGAAAGAAAGGATCCTGATAAACGACGTACTCTCGTGCAAAGCGATGTCGCCTTTGCTCTTACCGAAATGAAGAAATCAGAGTCACAGCATGAGAACAAAACACCCAAGTCGACTAGGAAGACGCGCGTTTCCTCCATAAGCCAGACAGCGCGCGGGTCTGCAAAGCGTGCTCGAGTCGAAGAAGAAAGCCCTCGCGCTACTGTGACGCGTTCATCCAAACGATTGAGAGGAGAGGTTTCAACTGACGTGCCTCGACTCTCCCCCGAAACTCCAGTCACCAGACGGAATACACGCCGTAGCCAAGCTGTTGCGGTGGTCGATGACACGGCTGTGAATGGCAATGCCGCAGAGGACGCTCAGCAGGACGACGATCAGACGGATGAAGAACCACAGGCTGATCCAGTTGATGAAGAGCTTCAGAAATCCGCAAGGCAGTATGATTCACCAACTGAGTATCACGACGTCGAGGAGAGCATTCTTGACACCGCCCCAACACCAACGCCAGGCCCCGATGAGCTTGACCAACCCTTGGCGAGAAAGATTCAGGTAGCAGAACTCGAAATGACCGATGAAGAGATCGGCAACCGGTTCCGCCACAACCTATCTCTCATCGCCACCAGACTACAGAATGCCAGAGACCGAAAGTTAGCTGAACTCGACGCCATCTGTGACAGCGCAAGCCGTGTCTATGAAGAAGCCTGCAAGATAGTCGACGACCAACTAGCAAGACTCGAGGATCTTCGTGCGGTTCACAGCAGGGCTACAGAAACCTTTGAAAAAGCGCGCATGAAATTCGATAACACCGCTACGGCGATCAAACTGCTCGAGGAAGCCGAGACCGATGGCGACAGCATGGCTGAAGTCACAGGGCCGCTAGAGCAGGTCCTCGAAAAGACTCTCATAAGCTACCAGGAGGCCGAGGCCGAGCAAGATTCTGCTGTTGAAGAGATGGCAAAAAGTCTCAAGACTATTGAAGAGGGCAAGGAATCAATCGACGATGCAAACGCCAAACTTGAGGAGGCGGATAAGCTGAGAACCATGTTCAAGCAAGACCAGCTCCAACAGCGCAAAATCAAGTGTACTATTACCATGGAGACGGATGTACGGGACGATGACGGGAACCTATTTGGAGACTTGACTTTTGGATTTAATGCTGCCGTGCGTCAGCGAAGGGATGATGAAGAGTCGGAATAATGGGGTGAAGGGTAAAGTTTGGACATGCTATCAGCGAGTTATTTCGAATGTGGGGTTTTGGAATTTGTATTAACTCTGGTGGCTATCTCGTTGCTCAAAAAGCTCAAAAATCTGATTTGATATTTATATTCGATATAGTCTTGGTAATATTATACCCTGTTTAAAACACTACTGTGCAGCGATCAGCACGTGGCTTGCCTACCGTGGTAACGTTGTCAGCACTAAACCCCTCCTTCACCGACCCTCCAGTCTTCAATATTCAACACAGTTCAATACCAAGCAAAATGATCAAACTCGTCGCATTCGATCTCGATGGCACCCTCGCGGAGAGCAAGCAGCCGCTCCTCGACTCCATGGGCGAGGCTCTGGCCGATCTCTTGAGCGTCGCACACGTCGCGGTCATCTCAGGCGGCGATTGGCCACAGTTCCAGAAACAAGTCGCGAGTCGTCTGCCGCCGCGGGCAGATCTTTCCAAGCTATGGCTCATGCCAACTACGGGCACCAAGCTTTACACCCACAAGGGCGACGACTGGAAGGTTGAATACGCCGAGTTGTTTAGTGAGGAGCAGAGGAAGAACATCATCGAAGCTTTCAACGCTTCGCTCGACGCCACAGGGTTTCAACCTGAACAGACTTGGGGTGAGCGAATTGAAGATCGAGGTAGTCAAATCACCTTCTCTGCTCTTGGTCAGCAAGCACCCGTGTCGGCCAAGGAGATCTGGGATCCAGACTTTGCCAAGCGAAAGATCATCCAAGCCGACCTGTACAAGCGTCTTCCAGACCTATCTATCAACATGGGCGGAGCAACCTCTATCGACATTACACAAAAGGGCGTTGATAAGGGGTATGGGTTGAAGAAACTCTCTGCGGCGAGCGGTATTCCTCTGGAGCAGATCATGTTTATCGGAGATGCTATCTTCCCTGGTGGAAACGACTATCCTGCCAAGGAGTTAGGATTGCATACTGTGCGTGTGAAGAATCCGGATGGGACATTGGCTGCCATTGCTGGTATTGTTGCATGCCTCAGCGAGACGGGTCCTCTTAGTTGAATCGATTTGGGACTCGTGGATCCCCCACAAAAGACGCAATGGGAGATAGACATGCAGAGAGTCAAAAGTGCAAAAGGGTCGTGAAGGCCGCTATCCTACGTAGACCTGGCCAAGGATAGGATAGCATCCAATAATCAATACAACATCTCGGAAAGAGAGACAGTCACCCGCCGAGATCTACTCGCTGAACAAGTATATTTTATCGCCGCCCATTATCATGATGTATGACATTGAATCAGCCTCTGGGCTACTCCAAGATATGCCTTTGCGTTGAGTAAATGTTAAGAAGAAATAGGTAACGTTATAGAAAAAAAAGTAAAATTAAAAGTCGCTAAAAGAGTATCAGAATCGTAAACGCTGCCACCAAATAATCCTACCACCGCGCCCGCAAAAAAATCGTTCCAAATTCAAAATGTTTAGTTCTCCCTATGCGACTAGTTAGTATGGCTGTTGCCCATTTCCTCGTACCCAGTGGACCTACAAGATAGCTAATTCGAGGTCTCCTTTGATCTTCGCTTTGAGCTCTAGCTCAACGTCGAGGTCCATATCCAATCTCACACGCGGTGCACTGCTCTTGCCAGTCTCTTGACTAACTGGCTGGACAGGTTGCTGAGTCTGTGGTTGAATCGGGGTCTGCTGAGATTCTGCACCAGATCGGTCGAGCTCCTTGTCGTTCGAAGTCTTAGTCATTTGCTTTGACTCATTTGCGTTGGACGAATCGGTTTGCTGATCGGCAGTGGGCGGTTGCTCGTTTTGTGTTGTCTTTGATGTAGCCATTGTGGATTAAAGTTGTCCAAAATAGTGTTGTATATACGCTGGCTATTCAGACTTCTTCGGCAAGTAAGATATAGGTAAGATATATAATTGCAAGGTAAGGAAATTGATCGAGAGATGATGAAACTGCCTGCTCAGTCTGAGTGGCGATGGTCAAAAGTGGACACTATGACGACAATGCTCCATAATCCCAGCAAGGAACCTGGCTGCATGATTGCACCGTACGTCAATGTCGTTGTATAATTCCGTTCATAACTAGGTACCTAGGTCACGATTGTGCATGGTGTTGCACTGCTGTGGTAGGCAATCAAACTTCTAGAATCCCTCAGAAGCAGCTCCAGCCTTGACGCGTTTGTCGCGTGGACAGTGTGAGTGACTATATACACACACGGTAGAGCAGTTACACGAAGTGTAATCATTCTGTGCAAAATGATTTTACTGAGTGAGAAATCGTTGATCCATCTCACCCTCAAGTCTCAAACATGACGCCCCCAGCCCTGAATGAGCTACCTCCGGAGATAATATTGGATGTCAGCGACTGCCTTACATCGGTCGACATAAAGTCACTAAGCCTCGTCGACAAGACTATCCGCCAGTACGTGGTACCACAACTGTTCAAGCATGTCAAGGTTGATTGCCCACTTCCACGAGATCACGTCCTTCAATCCGTGATTGCGAAGTATGGTACATACGTTTCGAGGTTGCGTCTACAAGTGACCTTCTACCCTAATCCTCCCAACTCGAGCTACGATGGTACCAAAGTCGATACCACACATGCGAAAGAAAGATGGTACTGGAATGACTATCCGCAGTCTGTCTGGGCTCGAAATGCGGACGATGTTCCTGTCATGCACCATCTCATCGGACTACCCAATTGCGCCAGTCTCACTGTCTTCACCGATGGAGAAGATGGCTTTGGGATCCGTGGTGGGTGGAGTGAGAATAGAGCTCTAGACATGAGATTTCATGTTTTTGACGAGCCTGAAACCTACAATCAGGTTAGGAGAGCCGAGGGAAATTATGCTTGGCGACAAGCTCATGCCGAAATGTGGCGCGACATCGCCAGATACTCTCAGGTAGAACGGGTCGAGCTCATCAACTTCTTGCCGTGCAAGGCGTCAAGTTGGGTGCAACCAGAATGGGCGGAGTTTCTAGGCAGGTTGGAAGCACTATCCTTACACGCTTATGGCGAGAGACTACCAGTTATAGTTTGTATTCACTAGCTGACAGGCAACAGGCTATGATTTGGGATGTATTGGGCAAGCAAACTCGACTGCAGGGTTCAACACATTCTATAGAGAAATGCCGGTTTTTCTCTTCGCACATACTAAACGGTTGGAACATCTTGAAATCGCATCGCATTATGGTGGATATCTGGGCAGCGATGCCTTGCGATTTGCACCCTACACGCTGCCTCGTCTACGAATCTTGCGTCTGAAAGATGTATGCATCACAGCAAGTTTGAAAGAATTCTTGGGTGAGCACTCTCCGAATCTGGAGAGCCTACGTCTTGACGACTGTGCGTCGGCGGCCTACCCAGCCTCCAGCCCCGAAACTCCGAATGACCCAAATTGGGGAGACTTTTGGGAAGCTGTTCGAGAGGGCAGTCCTGTGCTGCGAGAGGTCATCTGCGAGTACACCGAGATCCGTCCACTGTCTGATGGCTACATCGAAGTCGAGGATGACAGTTTGATTGTCTGGTCTTACGTCGAAATAGAGGCTCCAGACGGCTCCGTATACGATTGCCTCGAGGTAATCGAAGAGAAACTGGCGGCAGGCGACGACAATCGGGAGTATAGGCTATTGATGGAGGAGCTAGCTAGGCGACAACAATCCACCCGGCTCCAATATTTGCCCTAGTCTCAAGGTCTATCGAAGCCTCCAGCTCCCGGACCTTGTTTGTCAAGCGGGTGGAACTCAAAGCTTCCTACAAATATTCCCGAATCAAGATGTTTCTTCGCCCATTCTCTCACATGGTCTGAGTGAACATGTGCTGCATATGCGTCTCTGCTGGTGAACCTGGGGCAGTTAGCAATCGTACTAAGCCCATCTCCCTGGGTATACTTACTTCTCCATGCAGACGAACTCATCTTTACCCTCAGTCTTGTAGAACCTGTATATCTTTGCGCCTTCCTCCTTAGCAGTGGCTTTGGCTACTTCGGCGAGGCATGCGTGAGCCTGCCTATGATTAGCGGTGGTTTGTCGACTTGGAAATAGGTTGTCGGTGACGATACCTCCTGGATCCTGTCTGTATTGACGGCAATGGTAGAGACAGAGAGATATTCTCCAGATTTGTCGGAAGCCATACTGTATAGTTGAGGCAGTCTGTTAGTAATCCGGTAAGAGGGGATGATATTCTTTCTAAATGTGCGTTTGAGCATTTATTGTCCAGAGGCGATGTCTCCAAATCCCGTTGTGTCAATGGGCTCCGCATGGTTATAGCTGAGTTGAAGGAGATGGGGGCGTAAGCACTAGGCGAAAGCTGACTCCTCCAAATTCCATCAGACTCCAACTCACAAATGGCGAGGGATCGCTTTGCTGACTGTGGTTTCTGCGTGAATTGCAGCCTACACATGCGTCCAAGGCACTGAAGAGCCAGTCTGATGGGCGACGGTTATGAACGAACCTAACAATCGCTGGTCATAACTTCGTGTACTCTATTAACCATTATGTAGTAATTACGCTAAGTGTATTCCTCCTCTTCCGTCGCTTCCGTCAACGTAAGACTCAAGTCACGGGGATCTCCCTTCCAGACATGCTGCTCACTTGGAACCGCCGCCTCTTTGCCTCGCGGCTCATTTTGTGCGTTCAGCCGCTGAAACTCCCCTGCCAACGCCTCCATGCCAATGTCGTCGATGTTCTCGCTTACTGAATCAAGGCTGATCGGATAAAGACTACTGTAGCTGCCGTCTTGCAACAAAGCTCGGGTCGTTGATCGAACGTCCTCTACCAAGCTGTTCTCGACCCAACCCTCGCGCTTGAAAGTACCGTTGCGCCATCCCATCGTCATCAAGCCTTCTGTGATTCCGCGAAGTCCTTTGCACCAGGATGCTATGGAAAGGCACCCTCGAGCAGTGAGGATGAACCAGAACTGGGCGTCGGGTGCGTCAGGTTTTCGAAAGATCTCGTTGATCAATGTAATTAGTCCAGGTGTGATGAACATGGTCTGGTGTGTCGATTCGAATCTCAATCGATATAGGTATACAAGTCGTTTTAACTGTTTCGCAGAGGCCTCGTGTGCGGCATATTCTTCAGAGTCCGGTGCTGCGTATCCGTCGCTGCGAGCTTCCAGGTACGGCCGCCAGATGTCAATGATCGCAGTATGATACCAAATGCTACTCCACGGTCAGATTTTTATCTCAAAAAAGGAGTCTGCCTTGCTCACTGCAGTATCAAAACATGATGCGGACAATTATCACTCCTCTTGGCATCTTCTGGTAGATTGTCGGCCCAGTCAAGTAGCAACTGATACATCCGATGTGCGTTAGACATGGGCTGCTGGCTGAAGTTGTTGTAACCATCTTTGAAGGTTTCGTGTATGATCAGCCAGAATTTAGAGATCCATGTGAAGGTGCTTCCCATAGAGTCGTTCAGTGGTGGCCCAGTCGCATCTCCCGGTATTGGTAAAGATGAAGGATGACGGATTTGGTGTTCTGCTCGAAAGTTGATTGAGTGCAAGCTGCTTTCATTTAGTATAGATGTAATGCTACCGTTCATTTGCCACTTACCTATGCCACCCAAAAACACCCCAAGCTGCAAATGACGCTGCAGACCGTGATTCTGCGTCATCGAGATCAGACATCGGAGTATCTTTGTCGCCGAATAGTCCAAGACGAAGACCTATTTCAGCGCTGGCATTAAGATAGTTAAGACCCACTCGATCTTGGCCATTTTGGTTACATGTCAAAACGAGAAGCATTGCAGATGAGAGTGTGGTGACGCTGTTGTGGCCTGGCAATTCCTTCCAACGTACCTCCGCCTCTTTGAGAAACTCAAGAGACAGCGATCGTGCCCTTGGCTCGAACTGTGAGTATGAGGCCTTGTACTGTTAGCAAAGATCCTGATGGAGGTTAAGGCAGGTCGTCTTACGCAAGACCAAGCAAGTAGTGAACTAACGAAGAGTGGCGAGCAGAACCGCCCTCCACCCGATACGAGATCTCTTATCATCAAATCTGCATCGAAAAATGCGAGAACAGGGTGCTCGTTAACAAGATAAAAGGATATTGCCTGCGCTGCAAGTAAGTCGGGAACAGGCACAGAAGTCCATTGCCATATTTTGAGAAACTCCAGTCTTGGGTCCACACGCTGTCCAGCGTCTCCGGTGGAATCACTTGGTGTCGACCATGATTCGGAAGTGGTTGGCGTTCCGGATCTTCGGCTAGGTTGATCTGACGGGGAGTAAGGCGACAACGGCATGGTTGTTTGCTGGTTTGTTAGCCCGGGCCGTCTGTGAGCAGCCAAGAGGCCTAAGTCTACATCCGTAATCTGAAGTGTCTCTAAAGAAGGGAAAGCTCCGGGATAACGCATGTTGAGGTCCAGTTCTATTCGTGAGTCGGCTAGAGCTTCTGCAAGACTTGCGGCTAGAGGGTTGACCGGTGAAGATGTTGCCACCGTGCCAGAACTGACAGATTGCAGAAACTCAGACACGGAGGCTTTACTGCGCAAGTCCTGCAGCATAGCATCGACGCTATCCTCGGGTGCAGTCCTCAATAGCTCGAGGGCCTGCAAAAGATCTCTGAAGCCCTGTCGAAGCTCCAGCATCTTCTCCTGCGACACCTCGGCGCGATAGGTGCATTGTTGCCGGCGGCTGGCGCATGCAGAACATGTTGGTTTGCAGCCATCACACTATAGGGACAAAACTGTTACTCATACATGAAACCGATGAGACAGTTGAGGCAGGCAGGCAAACCTTTGATTTTCTACTGCGGCAGTTGTTGCACGCCACCGAGGTTAAGGCTGTCCGGGGTGCGTCGGGGACGTCGAGTGGGGTATATTGCTGGTCATGCTTGCTCTTGGGCGATTTTCTAGGAAGCAGTTGTCGTTTAGATTTCTGATGTTCCTGTGCTCGCGTGAGCTTGTTTGGATTGTTCATGAAATTCGATGCAAAATGAGTGAATGCCGATCATCGACGGTGAAGATGGAGTTTGAGGTGAGGGTGGCAAATCCCGAGATCGAACGAGATTTCCGCCTGGGGGGGGTCACCTGCAAGATCTGAGATGCAATAGGAAATGATAGGCAGCGATTCGCGCTGCAACAAGGGTCTTGGCTGCTGGGCGGCTGTCGGGCGGCTGCTGGGATGCTGAGTCGGGGAGACAGGAGAAAGGAGAAGATGGCGTCTGTTTGGTAGGTACTGTACTGTGTACTGTAGATGTGTCGACAAATGTAACTGAAAGGGGCTGTGCTTGTTGACTCGTCTTTTTCTCTTGTTCCATTTCTTTGGAAACAGCACAACCCCGCTTTACAATCGCTCCACTCTCGCCTGATTGGGTTGTTCTAATGCACACTGTTTATGGCCACAACAGTCCTAGCGTACTATCTTCTCACAGCATATCTCAACGCATTTAAATAACTCCAGATACATACAGTTTTACCATGATTCCACAAAATTGCTATTATGAAGGTAGTGTCCCAGACGCAAAATTGAAACTGTATCTAATGCTAGAGAGTGCTGATCAGACTAATAATAGGTCATAGGGCTGGTTGGTTTTATCCACCACATCCGCCCCCATAAATGTCCCCATTGGCTGGCTATTGGGTTCCATCCTTACACTTGCCAAGATTTTGAAGATGCAGGGGACCCAAACTGGGATCCAGTATCCTTAAATACCTATGTAAAGAACATTCACCGAGGTCATCACATGACATACCTTATTTGTTTTCTCTGGGTGCCAACTCTCGGAGATCCAGCTCTTTTTCGTATCAAATCTGACCAAAACTAAAATTGACAATCAACAAGACAAATTAACATTCCATCATGATTCCAAAACTCCCAACTCCCACAGTAAGTGCTTGTCATGATTCTACGCTCAGAATCCATTCTGTCGCATGAATACCTTATTGATGTTGCGACCTTTCTCCTCTTCACTCAAGGGCTTTCGGTGCTTTCTGCGCTTACTGGAATCCCTACTCGCCTTTGAAGGTTCATCTGGCTCACCAAAGTGTAAGTCCACGAGTGAATTTATGGTTAGCTGAGAGTCCTTGTGTCGTGGGTCTTGAATAGCATCAATCAAACCACAACCAGGGCTACTCTGGCCTGTTGAAGAGCTGCTGTGTGATTGCGACGAGGTAAGGTGAGCAGCAGACTCATCATGAAGACGTTCATAATAGACTTTCACGATCTCGTTCTCAACAGCTTCTATGTCATTCTGCAGCGCTTGGTACCTGCGCAACAAACCATCGAACTCACTGTCTTTCGGTGGAGCCTTATCTGTGGACTCATGCGTTTTCGTCTGCTTGGGCGATGAACTTTCTATGCTGCGCATTGCCGAGTCGATATCCCTCATCCAATTCTTGATCGAGTTAGGCTGACAGACAGAGCCATGCGTAGTGACTATGTCGGAATAAGCTGTCATGATTAATGAAGACACTGGATTCACTCGATTGTAATGACGTGGTAGGGTGGGTATTGATTGATACTATTGACGAAAACACTGCAGGCGATGAAGAACATTGGCGTTGGCTTTATATACTTTTCGCCTATTGCTCATTTGAGAATTGCCCCAGTCGGATTCAAGTCCATGTTCAGGAACAGTCACCCGATATCAAAAAGACACCAACTCAAGAGAACATAGGTTCGAACGGATACTTGGTTCAGGCTGCTTTGAGGTGGACCTATGAGGAAGAATTTGGTTACTTCACAGAACAGACATTGCTGTTACAGACGCTCTCAGTGCTTTCATGCTGAGAATAAAGCCAGCTTTTTTTTCTTTTTTTTTTTTTTGAAACAAACTGAGGTTCACCGATATGCCCTTTGTCCCTATCTGCAATAATGGTTATCACTTTTGAACGGAAAGGACGTTAATCTGACAATTTGTAAAATTGGGAAGTGACGCTAAATACAGCAAATCGTTGGAGCAGTGTTCTTCAATTAGGTACTATCCTGATCCTGTTTACGAACAAAATTGACCATCAGCACTAGCTTGGGTGAGATGGCCGAGTTGGTTATGGCGCCAGGTTAAGGTTAACCTTAACACCAATTTCCTGGTGGAGCAATCCTCCTGGGTTCAAGTCCCAGTCTCATCAAATGTTTATTTTTGCCCTAATGCACTATTATGCTCTTTTTGTCGCTGCGGTTTTTATATGAATATTTTCTCACTTTCAAATAGCTTGCTGTGGTTGGACGTGTCGATTGACATTCCAAACCAACCTTGATTAAATTTACCAATGTATTCAAAAACTTATGTAAAAACCGCAAGGAAACAGGCGATAGAATGTGTGTGAAATTCGCATCTCTGGGTATATCTTGAAATATCTATGAGCGCTAATCTATGGATGGATATCTAACGTGAATCTAAATCATAACCCAAGCAATAACGCCTGCAAAAACGACAAGTGGTGAAGTGAATGCTGTTTGCAGTCCAAAATGAGCAGCCAAGGAAACCGGTCTCGTGGAAGGCGTCGGCGAAGAGTAGCTCGCGTCGCTGAGAAACGTCTTTTGGTTTGGTGTTGCTTCGTAGCTGTCTTCATTATAAGTCGAGTTCAGAGAGATCCTTCCAACAACTTCATCAGACTCAAGCCGAATGTGTGAGTCAATTTCATAGTTCTTGAGACCTTCCTGCGTCACGACAATTTGACGACCACCTCGAATCCAGTCACCGTATCCACCATATCCAGTATGTTGCCCGTAGCAAAGGTTGATGCCGCTTCCAGTGATGTCCATGTCGCCGGCCTTGGAGTCCCACTTGAAACACCATGAATTGGCATGATCGTGGCCGGAAAAGAGGCCGATAACGCCCGGTGTTGCGACCAGTGCTTGCATCAACGGTAAGTCCTGGTCGCTGTAAGAACAGCCACCCTTCTTGTCCGCGCACCATCCAGCACCTTGTTGGATAACAGTTTCCTCATTAATTCCGGGCTGGTTGTTCTCATCAATGCCGCTATCCTTTTGAAGTTGAAGAGAAGCGTAAACCGGGATGTGAACAAAAGCCAAAGAAGGAATGTTCTTGCCATGTTCCTCGACCAGATCGGCATTGGTCTCGTTGAACCACTCCACGACGCTGCTGTCAACCCAGTTCGGTTGAGCACTGCCTTGATAGTAGAAGCCACCACGGCTATCAAAAAACCAGAGGATGAGCTCCGGTGTGCAGTTGCTGCTGCAATCGGACGCGTATACGGGAAGGTAATAATTCGTTGTTCCGGCGTCCCGCCCGGGAACCATCGAGTCTGTTCGAGATCCCGGCCATGTGTGTTCGCGCTCCAGCATTGCGGAACCGTTGAGGTTACGATTATGATCGTGGTTCCCGTAAGTCGAAGCCCATGTAAGATTTCGGTCGACCATCGGAGCGACGATTTGATCGATGTAAACCGTGCTGTTCGAAACAAATGTGGATTCGCCATTGATAAGGTCGCCATTGAGAACAACTAGGTCCGGTGATTCTGCGTCGATAACGTCGCCCATGACCTTTGCGGTCCTGGCATCCTTTTCGGGGCCTATTGAGGATGCATCTGCTGGTCTTTAGTTTCATGTCGTTGACACAGGTAAAACTGTTCTCATACCTTCGGCAAAATGAAGGTCTGAAAACACGGATATTTGGAATGTGCCGTCTTGCTTGAATTTTAGAGGGTCGAGGTTGTTGTTATCGACTTCGTCGCGTTGGGCTATCGCTCGTAACGATTGTCCTGTAAGGAGGCTTGTGATTGCCAATGTGCGCAACATGGCTAGAAGGAACTGAATATGATGATTATGAAATAAAAAGATATTATTGTGTAATGGGAAATCTTGCACACGTGCGCGGGTGTTGTGCTCAGTGGATGTTCCTGGTTCCTGAATCGAAGGCTTGACCACGAGCAGCCACCGAGACGGGCGACATGATGGGTTTTGATAGCTCGAGGACTACCAGCATCAATTCTGCTACTAGGTAGTATGACGCGTTGAGGCTCGTCGCCAAGCAAACTAGGTGGGGAGTGCATCACATTGGTTTGTACTACGTAGACGATATATTTCGGCGTCCGAAAGAATGAATTACGCGGTCACTAGCTGTTGATTCGCCGTCTCTACTTGCCGTGAGGCTTGGGAACCTAAACTCTAACCTTAGATCTCTTGGCGCTTGGCAAAGGGGGGAAAACTCAGCTTGGAGAACTTCATTCGGCCAATCAACGGCCTGGATAATTGTCAGAGCGGCCTTGGCAAGTCGGAAAACCTGTCTGGCGATTTGCCGAGATAGCAGTGTGCTAGGCGGTGCTAGGCGGTAACGGAATTAGAGAGCTGCTCACTCCATAAGTCCGATCCCCACGTTGGGGATCATCCACGGATCTGATTACTTTATATCCGAGCCTGCACTCAGCCAGGTCCACCGAATCGGCTTCCCCAAACTTGGAGGCGTCTCATGTACGTCGGGGAATTTTAACTAAAAAACCTTCTGAAAGAAGTTCCATACACTTTGTGGACTGTGCGACAATGGGCGATGCCTTCAGACTTGCGCATAACTCGTCGCGTACGCAAAAGCTCAGTAGAAGAAGGCTGAGAAACAGACATACAAACTAGCAAACAAGCAAATATTACCGCCTTCATTGATGCCAATCCATGAGGCCTCTCCCGAAAGATCCGAGTCGACAGGATAATTGGGGCTATAAGCATGACGACATCATCAGCCAAGGCCAAGCCTCATATCACCACGCTCATCCCACTCACGATAACTGCTCTAGCAGTTTGCAATCTAATGTGAAATAAGCCGAAAAAGTCGGACCACTATGTTGGTTAGCTTATCGTAGCACAAAGATTACCAATCAGTGGCTCAGAAATACGAAAGCGATTGCAAGGGGAAGCCCTGCGCACCGCAAACCTTCATTACGCGGTTTCGTTTACCCCATGATGACCCCATCTCATGTGCGGAGAAGCGCCGAGAAATTCGCCAAGCTCGGCCAGGAAGTGGGAGGAAATCATGACGCCGATATCGCCTTTGAGCCATCCCACAATTTGCCCATGAGATTTATCAGCCATGATTCGCTCATTCGCTCAAAGCTATATGGTTTATTCCTTCAGAACCAATGGAGGTGATTTCGCGAGATGTCACATCGATGCTCTTAAATAGACTTGCTTTCCCATGCATAGCCGAGACACATACGGAGTATTAAGTTGCTATCATCGTCCTACATGCAGCGTTCTGTCGCATTTCCATACCAAAAAGCCGACATATCGTCATCCAGTTATGATAGACATGGTTGAAGGTTGTTTTTGGCGGTGCTTGGCGCAAGAAGCTACACATTAGACGTTGAAGTTTGACAGGAAACGGTCATTGCACGACCCCAATTGGCTTTCGCGTATTCCGTGCATAACGGCCTCCAAACGACAGCCTTAATCGCTCAAGTCACCGATGGTTGCGAAAGGTCATATGTGCTGAGAGATGCGACAACTGAAATTAGGCCCAGTGGAAAGGAGCCATCAAATTGCAGCTCAATAAAACCGTACTAGTTCAAAGTCCTCAATCCTTCGATTCAACATTAAACAATATGTCGTTTGAAATATTTACAAGAAACAGCTCTCACTCGCATCACTCCTCTGACTCCTCCTCGCCTTGAACATCGTAGGGGAACAACCAGCCGTTGTCCTCATCATACTCGTCCGCGAACGTTGTTCCGTGGAGCTCCTCGTATCGCTCCATATCATACTCATCATCGCCAGCCTTTCCGTTGAGGATTCTTCCAACCCTGTGGCCGATATCTCGTCCCTCGGTGAAGGCGCCGTGCAAGAAGCCGAAGAATTCAGCTGAGTTGGCTTCACCGGCGAACCACAGACGCTGAAGGTTGGCGCGCATGTTCTGGTGCTTCTCTAGAGTCATGCCTACGGGCCAGTTGCTGTAGGATCCGTATGCCCAGCTAAATATTGTTAGTCTTTGGTTAAAGCATGGGTATGCTGTTGCTGGAAAACTTACGGCTCAGTGCTCCAACGAGGATAAGTAAAGGCGGTTGGCTTGTGGACCTTCTTGTCGGGGAACATAGATTGCAGGACCTCAACCATCTGCTCTTCCGTCTCCTCGTCAGTCTGACGCTCCACGCGCCAGGCTTGCTCTCCAGTGACGGTGCCAAAGAGGATGTTAGAGCCCTCAGCAAAGCCCTTGGCGTTGAGTGATTGGAAAAGAGGGAATCGACCACGCTCGATAGGATCAGCGTAAAGCAAGAATTGGGTCTCGTCGTCCCAGAACGACTCGTTGAACTGCATGAAGATCTTGGTATATGTGCCCATGGCAAACTGGTCGATAGCGGTCTGCTTCCAGTCGGGTAGCTTAGGCTCGAAGTCAATAGTACCGCTTTGCAGTACTCCCAGGGAAAAGGTGCAGATGGCATACTCGGCCTCGATGCACTCACCATCCTTCGTCGTGATCTTCACACCGTCCTTGCTGTACTTAATGCCCTTAACAGTGGTGTTGAGCATAAGTCGCTCATCCTCATCCTTGAGGAACGTCTTTGCCTCCTGCTGAATGATGGTGTTGAAGCCACGCTGGTCGAAGACAAGGTTGCTGATATCACTGAAGTAGCCAAATGTAGCATTGCCACCGGCTACACCGAAGATGAGACCACTCTCATCGGGGGTCCAGGCAGATTCAAAATCCCATCCCCACCAGTCTGCTGCTTGGGCGTACATATCGTCCTTCGCAGGACGCCATCCTGCTGTGCGGAGGGCAGCACGAGCAGATGTGTCCTGTAGGTTATCGAGCAGCAGGCGGCCAGATTCGACCTCAGCCTTTCCAATGGCAGCATCCAGTTCCTCGATCTTGTCAGTCCAGTCGGCCTCTCCCTTGTGGTCAAACGTCTTGATAGAGGAGTAATTGGAGAAAGTAGATACGAGGTCGTACTTTTCTGCTAGCTTCCAGATAGGGTTCTCGTGTGTCTCTAGAGATCCAATTCCTTCCACCCAGTTGGCGCCGAGCTCGATGGTGTAAGGCTTGCCCTCGGCATTCTTGCCGAATGATTGTTTTCTTAGACGGCCACCGATATAGTCGTTGTGTTCGACGATGACGAAATCTTTGATTCCTGCATCTGTCAAATTTTGAGCTGCTGAAATGCCTGCGACACCGGCTCCGAGGATAACGACTTTGGCTTTTGTGCAGGATCCTTCTTTGGCGCGGGGCAGGACGGCCGATTGAGCTGTTGTGGAGAGTGCCGTGAGCACAGCGGAAAGCTGTGTAATTGAATGCCTCATTTTGAAGTTTCTTGGTTATGAGTGATACAAGAAGATCTCTCAAAAAGGCCAAGATTTATCAATTATTAGTCAAGCGATTGGAGAAGTGAAGAACGGTTATCATCAAGAATGGTGGCGTATGGCCCTTTATGCTACGGAGTACGGAGTAATTTGCTGTTGAAAGTACATGCCCCTGACTCGTAGACCAAATTATTGAGCGACTTTACCATACCAGGCACATTTATTGCCCCAGCAATACCAGGTAACCTAAGCTATCGCATGTCTTGCTTAGCCTAGCGTCTCCTAACCTACCTCACTCAGCAGAACAACCGGGGGAGAAAAGTCACGATGAATTGACGGCGATCGGCGAACAGCTTCCTGAATAGGCAGCTAGTAACTGTTCTAGTTCCCAGATTGATTGGCGACCCCACCGAGAGAAAGTTCCGGGGAGCAGATTAGCATCAACGTAGTATAGCGCATGGTCAATTCTTTGGGCGAGACTCGGTCCCCTGTGCGCATTGAAGAAGCGCGGTGGGCTAAGGCCAAGGGGCAACGGAGCATGATCTGCTCGGAAAGCTTAAGCAACGGAGTTGTCCCTGATTTCGTACAGGGTTCATCAGCGCGATTGACATGTCTGTCAATTGACTTTTGGAGACTTTATTTAATGAACGTTGCATTGCCTGTGGACGAGGAATGGCGATCTCAGTTTTTGTTTTGTTGAACAGGCCATCTAGCTTTACTACGGCCTGTACGGAGTTGGGGGTAACACATTAATTTTAATTGTTTTACCTTCGACCAACACACATTTCTCGTGTTGGTTATGCTTACATATATATGGTCCATGTGCAATCTTTAATTTCCTTCTTTTTTGACATCCATGCTAGACACCCAGCCGCGGTTTCAATGGTGCATCGGAAGACAAGGCCCGGGGTAAGTTAGGCCAACTCACGCGCAATGTACCTTGCCTGAGAATGCCCAGACATGGTTAGCCCCAGGTTCTACAAAGCCAATCGGGTGGCGATGGAGGTGGACGCATCTTCAAACCCACGAGCAGTTGGCTGCAAAACACATGAAAGTAATCTCGAATTTCAGGCATGGAAACGCCACGCAGAGATCTTGCATTACTAGGCTAGGCTGTTTACTGCTAAAAGATAGCAACTTTCTGAAACACTGACAAGTGACATTCTGTCGGCACGGCAAAAGCACTTTGCAGATGCCAATGGCGCATTGGAAGCACAGATGGAATTTGTATATTTAGAAATGGCCTCATTTTTCTCCTTGCATCATCTTCATGAAAACCTAGCAATGTGGTTAGTACAATGGTTGCGGGCGAGGGTGGTGAACCAACATCAGGGTTTATCTCAACACCAGCATTCTGCATTTCGGTTGTCAACTGTACTCATCATCAGCTTATACCTAAACATCGAACATTGAGCATACCGTAGTCGCTGCGTCGCGGAACTCCGAATCCATCATCAGCTTCATAATGTCCATCTTACTGGGGGGCTGAGTAGTGTCGAGGCCTGTGCCTGACAGTCAGCCGCGGTCTCAGGTCAGATGGAGTCAAGCTACGGTACCCTTGCTCTTGATAACCTCTCCCATCTTTTGCATGGCGGCAATGGCGGGTGGGTGGCGGCTCAGCTTCTCGAACGTGTCGCGAATCTGAGGATCATTCATCATCGATTCGATCTGGTTCATGTTGGGGGGCTGGTCTGCAGAAGCGAAGCGACGGGGCGTCACGTGGATCTGGCGCGTAGCGACGCGCAGAAGCGGTCGCGCAATGATTCTCCGTACAGCAAACATGGTGGCAATGGGAGATGCTGGTGTTGATGTTGATTGAACCAGCTGAGGGCGAGATTGAGGGCTAAAATTTGCTCGTTCGGGATATCGCGCCAAATGACATCACGAGAACAGCAGAAATTAGTGGGGATTAGACTATATTAGCGTCTTATCTTATCTCTGCGTTCTCTGGCAACTGATTACCCTGTACAGGGAATTATTGATCCTCTTCCATTCATACATTGATGATATTCTAATGGAAGAAGATAAAGCTTAATAACTAACGATAGAATCCCATATGTTTTAAATCAAAACAATGCATTTAATTATAGTACATAAATCTAATAGCGACGTGAAAGTATTCGCTGGACAAACTTTTTCCCCCCCGGGGTATGCGACAGATTTAGTCAAAACATTTTTTCCCCACAGGCTTAAACAGTTACATCTTCAAACTCTTTACCCATTATCCCATCAAGCACGATATTCAGGGTACGGCTGTAGATGAACATGATCTTCTTCCTGCTCTTGAACTTGTCCCCTCCATTTCATGCCTGTACCGTTTTTAACAAGTCGTCCCGGATGGACGATCAAAAACAAGAGCATAACCAAGAACATAAGAGATGCGTCAAACAGATAGATGAAAACCTCGTGGCCAAGGACAAAACCGTCCGGCCCCTGAAGATACTCCACGGCACGGACGACGCTTCTTATGATCATGATGGTAGTGACAGCCTCGACAGTTCTGAAGTATCGTCTCCAACGAACCAAAGACGAGTCCAAGAAAGGTCCCGTTTCTTGCCTGACTCGCATGTAGAGATACAGCGATGTCAGGATGAAAATACTCAGTGCGCAAAGTTGCACTACCAAGCCGGCGATGAGAATGGTCCGGCCTTTCGTAATGGCATCGGCATCTCCCGAAGCAGGTATGATAGCACCGATGAATTGACTGACAATACATCCGATGTCTATCAGCACGTATAGCTTCGTCAACCAGCGAAGGCTAATGAACGAGAGGTGTTGAGAGTCTAGCGCCGTTGCTATTCGTCTAAGGCTCATGTATATCGTCGCAGCCAGAAAGGGTGTTCCGGCAAGGAGGAGGACATTTTGTAGAATGAAGGGGCCTGCTTTGTCCGGATTGTCGTGGGCTTGGGCGCGACCAAAGTAGCCAAATATTTCGCCTGGAGTATGATGTTAGCGTCAAGCAGCAAAAGATCAAGGTCGAGGGTTTACTTACAGATTCCGCCGAGAATAAAGGGGATGAAGAACCAGGCCCGATAGATGAAGAGAAACACCAGATGAGCTAATGTGACGATACCGAAGAGAGCCACGAACGATATCGCTGCGGGTTTGTTGGGCAGGTATTCGAAAAAGACTATTTGTGTCCCATTGACAACAGGTCCGAAAGGCCCATCGTGGCTCATATTTGATATGTGTACGGGTTATCAGGAGGGTCGACCTGAGTAGCGAGCTGGGTAATTTCCGCTGGAGAATAAGGGAGGGGAAAATAAGAGGCTTGCTCGCTCGAGAACAGACAAAGAGAGAGAACTAAAGAGAAGGTTGTTTAACTGGAAAAAGAATGAAGGATGGGGGGCAGACATTCTATAAATGTTGTTCGAAGCCCGAAGGGGATATTTTCGTATTCTGAATGCGAATATTCGCGAGCTAGCGTTGATGGCCCCATGGCAAACCCACCCAGGTGACGCGGTCGGTGGAACTGGCTCGGGTTAGATACCATTTAGAGATTTAGAACGACTCCAATCCGAGAATTCTCGGATTTGAACATGGAAAGCCTATGAATAGCTTTTGGTAGATTGTATAGTGGAGGCTGTGCTGTGGGAAGTTAGTAGCCGTCGTGGCAAGGGGTTGACCAGCAGTTGGATTGACTGGAACATTCAGAGCATTTCACCACGCAACCATCACTCTTCTTCATGGGATTTAGTTCAGCCTATGAAACAGTCCCACGCCAGAATATAATGAAGTTCAAAAGCAAACGAATCAGCACATCTCATCTCCTGATGGCATGAATTAAAAAGACAGCTCTGAGATAGGACGGCAGATTAGACCAGTATCATGGTCCAAGAGAGATAGATCCCTTAGCTTAGTACCTATATAATAAAACGGCAAAAAAAGAGATGCCTCGCTATCGCTCGCAATCGTTTTATAGGAACAGCCCGATGCGGGGGTCGAACCCGCAACCTTGAGATCGCGTACTCGTAAGAGTCTCACGCTCTACCGATTGAGCTAACCGGGCGTGGCTCTGATTGGTTGAAATCTGAGTGCCCATTCAAACATCATGTTCCTCTTGAAAGAGAGTGTTGTCTACTCCTGCAAGGCAGCCCAAGCATTTGTCATTGATCGGTTCAAAATCTTGTTATAACCATAAATTTGCATTGGTTGCCCTCGATTCCCTGTATGGGTCGACAGTTGTATTTTGGCAGAGTTCCCTTTTCGAGACCTATTTGCTGCGCTAAGAGCGTTGTGGCCAAGGAGACATTTCGGCCTCCCTTGCCATCAGTCCCAGCAATCGCTCATCGACTGCATATTTTAATCTGATCTCGAACGCTTCAGAATCGAGCACATATTGAGCTTGTGAGAATGCTGCTATTTAATACATAGGGTGGATTGGAGCGGATCTATGGCTCCCGATGTTTAGAAATATTCTCTCAATTTTGTTCCCAAGAAACAAAAATGTAACCTCCTACAGTCCCGTGCCAAAGTCAAGAAAATTACCAAATTAGTTAGGAATATAAATAATTATAAAGATATATAAAATAAATAATAATTAGAATAAACCATAACTAATCTTAAGATATGATCATATAAGATTTCGTAAACTAGGAAGGTTTATTATAATCTTTACTGTCTTGTATAAAGTTTAGAAGAGTGGAAGTTGTTAAAACCTTTAGTCACCCACTGTAACTATTGGTAAGCAAGATCTCAAGCCCTATGTGTTCCAATCCTCGATTCCATTGCCTTCCAGACCTCTGGTGGATAGCATCCGTCGATCCAGTAATCACCATTGGGTGTTCTCGAAATGACGGATATGTTTCTTCCCAGGGCATTGTTCGGACTAATACCAAGGGAATGGTAGTAGACTGGATGGCCTCGAGTGAGGTCAGAATTTTGCCAGGAAGATGAAGCCTTTTGGGCAGTGACAAAGTTCGGGTTTTCAGTAATCGCTGCTGAGAAGTCGACGGCTTCGAAGAAATTGCACTTCGACCAATTGGTGAACTGAATGTAGAACAGGTTGGCATCTCCGAATATGGGCGGTATACCAGCGAAGTCCAGCGACTCTCGAGTAAGCCGTGCTTGAGCATGAATCGAGTCTTCTGTTGTTTGTTGCTGAATAGTGGTTCGAAGTGCCAGAGCAATGTTGCCAAGGCTGTTAGGTTTGCGGTGGTGCATAGAATCTGCAGGTATAATTGTCCAGCAGGGGAATATCGCATTTTGTACATATGCGCCCTGATCACTCCCGGCAGGAAAAATAGAGGGTGCGCGTCCTCGCAGATCATATGCATTGCCAATGGTGAATGGTCGTTTTGAACCTCGCGGGAAGAGAGCTGATGCCACGAATATCGAAAGCCAAGAGCTTATGGTGTCACCCTCGCTGATAAATGGAGATGAGCCGTTCTCCTTGACAGATTCCATAGCCTCGTTGCGAAGCTGTTTAACATTCTTTCGCGGCAAAAAGATAGTTTTACTCTCCATTTTCCGCCGCCATATCAAATCGAAAACATAAAAAAGCACAAATACATACACCCGCCAGCCATTAACCTGGTGTTGTACGAGAGAATAAGGCTTCGTAAAAGCAGGGTCGTTTCCTGCCTGGCCCATTGAATCGTCACCTGAAGATAACATAGGTAAGATCTCCGGAGCCCTACCGGACAGTGCAAGACTCCAAGCAATGCCGAGCTCGCGGAGGCTCATGGCATCGACAGCAATATGAGGCCAGCAGATCGAGACCAGAGTCGCATCTGTGAACGACACGACATGGAGGGTCAACTGAGGGTGATCAGACTTGAGGTAGTCATTGAGGCAGAGTGGAGTTCCTTGAGGGACACCCAAGGATGTAAAGTCCGACCTGTCTTGGATAGATGGCCGGTCTGGCGTGGGCTTTGGTAGCTTCGAAGCCAGAGGATGCTCGTCTATGCCGACTTTGTACTCTTCATGGTGAAATTTGAGTGCGGGACGTGCTGAAGTAAACTCCTGAGGAATGTGAATTTCCAACTTTCCTTTTCCCTGGTAAACGTCAGTGATGACTCCGAACAGAGAACTATATCAGTCCTGACATTCATGCGAATACGCCCTCCTAGCTTCCGCCATCCTGGTCGATCAAGAACATCAGAGAGAGCGCAGCGCAGCATTTCCGCATCGAGTGGCTCGTTGAATCTCAGTGTCCAGCATTGCACACAATTGCGCAAGAGTGGCGTGTCATCGAAATAGTAGACAGGCAGTATGGTGTCAGTCGGGTTCGATGGATAGTTGGGCGGCTGACGAGTCTGCCCCAGAACCGCTCGCCGAATAGTTTGCAATGCCATGTCTAGTTTTATGGCAACTCCGTGTGGAATTATGTGTGATAATTTTGAGAAAGAAGCCTTTGAAACTTATTAGAAGATGACGGTGGGAATACACACGATGGCTTATCTTACCTGCCTTTGAAATTACTGTCAGCCCCCGCTCTTGTGATCGCACATGCAGAGCCAATCGTGATATGTCCTAGGCTCAATCTTGACTAAGTTAGTCAGTCAGATTGGTGTTGTGCTTCCATGTTTAGCGGACAACCGCAGTCAGCACGGCTAAATTGAAGAACCTTGCCACACTTGACACACACAGATCGGTGGGATGAAAGGCATTACACAAATTCGGTATCCCACCCCTAGACCTTATGGCTACATCTAACTACGATGCTGAGCAGCATTAACGACTAATCACCATGCCAGACCTATTTATTTTGTATGGACTACTGATCTAGAAGATTTGATGTAACTTTGAGTTCACTACTTGGTATATATGATTGAGCTTTAGTATTTGTCGTTTGGATCGCTAGTCAACACTCTTACCAGTCACATTGTGGTTGCTGTCTGAGTTGATGATAGTCAGATGCAAATCGCAAGCGGTTGGCACCCAAGGTTGTTCTAGATAATTTATTACGTTGCACAGTCTATTGAACGCTTGATTGATCTGCCATGCGCATTGCTATCTGCGTAATGGCCCTTTGTTCATGTCTTGTTCACCTATCCAACCAACTTGAAGCGAGAATATTTCCAACATCAATAGAGAACATTAAGAGCACAGTCCATACATTATCGAACATACATATTAAAATCTTAGATGCAAATTGATGAGTTCTGAAGCTTATATACTGCCATCATCATCCATCTTGGACTCTCGTCGAACTCTACCAACCATCCGGAACTTCAGCTTACTCACACCCCAAACACCATTTCCACAAACCATCGTCATCTCATGAACGCTTTCAAAATGAATGCTCTCATTGAAAAGTATGAACACAATGCCACTCTTGTCATCCGAGCGTTTGCCATCACAAAACGCACCAACAGACAATTGCAAGCGAGGGAGTTGACGATCTTGAAACAAGCTGTTGATGTCGTTGTCCCTCATCTTGCAGATACATGCGGTATGACTTCTATTGAGTTCGAAATTCTGTTGCTCCACGCTGCGGTAATTAATCCGGAAATGACGCTCGATTTTCTCGATACTGCTGTTGAGTTTATCACGGTTATACGCCCTGAAAGTTGGTTAACAGAGTACGACATGTGGTTTTTGAAGTTTGTTTCCCAGCTGCGTAATGCACTCGATGTTGCCCAAAAAGGCCGTCAAGGAGAGAGTAGTGCATCGGTATCTTTCACCGCTGATTCTACGCTGCAGGCCAGTGTACCAGTATTGGCTTCATTCAACAATGCATTCCAGGCTTGGTCCGGCAACACCTCTCAGATGGCAAATCCTGCCGCATCAATCCTCAGCGAGTCAAGTGTAGCGTCTTGCTGGGACACATCTTCTTCGCCTCTGTTTCTCACTAACACTTCAGCAGCGGCCTATATGGTAAGTTCCAGGGGAGCCCAAACGCCTTGCAACATGCTGACCTCTTCCAGTACACCTAGCACCATTGATAACTTCACAGGAATGAGCTTCCAAAACTGGCTCATGGCACCTCCAGAGGCAAACCTGGCGATGGGCTTTGAGGTACAGCCTACTCTCACTGAAAATTCCTACCTGGATTCGTCCATGGGACTCCTTGAGACACAGGTTCCTAGTAGCCTTGACGAATCTCAAAATGATAATACTCCTGATTGGTTGGCAAATTCTCTGGACTATGACTTTGCGGCATTGATTGCTTCGATCAACGAAACCAATGCGGGTTAGGAAGCTAGTAGTTAGGGCTCTGGTGATGAAACGCGGAGGTAGAATGTGGTCTGGACCCGAGGGTACCTCGAGTGGGCAAGTATAGTGACCTGGAGTTAAATTGATTTTGCATTTGTTTAACCTGAACCGTCTTTCTAGAATTTTAGTTCCATGTGAAGTATAATCCATGATCAAGCTGCATAATATAAACAAACTGAGCTTTTGGGCGACAAAGAGCGTCTGTTGCCGGAGTAACTCGTGAGGAAGCTAGGTGACATTTCAACATATCACTGCAAGCAATATCTTGGCTGGTATTGTTAAGCTACGCATTTATATTTGTTACTGGTTTAGCGTCCTCATCGTACCTAGTCTTCATTCATTGTCTGCTTGCATCACTGGCCAAGACATTCCAACACGCGTGGTTACGATTGGTCTAGAATACCAACGACGCAAACGTACGACAAGAAAATAAACCCCTTTGTCCCCACCCACACAATGACACATGAACAGACCATATGTTCCGGGTTGGCGAGGCTACTCAAGATGTAGCGGAGTGTTTTTGAAGTAGGATATAAGTATTCCATTGTTCTCCCTACAGTACACAGACAGGCATTTTGCGACACTAAAGCGTTTCTCATATTCCATATTTGCCTCACTTACTACGATTTCATTTGGTGTCAATATGAAGGTCACCTTTCTTGCAACCACTGCCGTTCTGATCGGCCCAGCCTTTTCATATCTGCACAGGCGCGATGAATGCGCAACTCGCTGTACTGACGCATACAATGCATGCACAGTCAAGCCCGATGCGAGCCAGGCCTTTTGTGCGACCGAGTACTCGAACTGTGTGGGATTTAATGTCTTCTTGGGCAAGAACTCTGTCCCAGCTCTTACTGCATGCTCCGCAGGTGCTACAGGTCTCTCGTCAATAGGAGCATCAGTGGCTAGTACTGGACTCAGCACAACCTCTACTGCCGCGGTTCCAACAAGTACCGTAGCTAGAGAGGTATCTACAACTACAGCTGCTTTAACTGCCGACACTGTTGAAACTACCGCGATAGCTGCAAGTTCATCTTTAACGGACGCAGCGGCCTCAATCCCCGAAACATATGATTGCGTTACAGAATGCAACGATAACTACAACATCTGCCGTACGGCACCGAGTGCCAACATGGCAAGCTGCGCTGCTCAGTACGCTCAGTGTCTTGGGTACAACCCTTTCGGCGGAAATGGCTCGCTGGCTACACCAACTGCTTGCTCAGACGCCGACCTCAGCACAACTCAACTCACCCAACCAGTCACAACCTCCGCACCAGCAACAATGGTCTCAAGCACTGTATCTGTGTCCAGCCAACAAGTCATATCGATTTTACCAGTCACAAGTCTTGAGCAGCCGATAGCCACTTGTGCGGACCTGTGTATGGGAGGTACTACTACTACTACCGAGGGTGAAGCACCACCAGTGGCCACAGGGACACCCGTCGTGATTGTCGATGGTGCAGGAAACGTTCGACCTTTTATGGCTTTTGCTGCATTAGTTGCCCTTGCTGCAGTCTAAGCTCATGGTCGAAACTCAACGGCAAGTTGGATGCGGAACTTGGGATCCAAAGTCGGCACAATTATCTTGGTGCCGTAGAGACCTTCAGAGGTGGTTGTTACTTGGGATATGACTCAGTAACCATTATTCATCATGTGTAACGATGTAGCTTATTCTGTTTATTTATATGTACTTTGCATAAATAGAGCATTAAATAGTCTCAAACTCTATTCACAGGATATGATACTCCCAGATCTTGGCTCTGGCAAGATGACAAGCTGGGATCACAGCACGGACATTAAGAATATTGGTAGTATGGATGATAAATTCTAACATCTCATACCTTCCTGTATGGTTCGAGCGTATGATGCAATATGACAAATCCATCGACCTGCCTCGCGGAAATTGCTTTGCGGGAAACGAGGGTAGCGGGTTGCTTTGAAATGATGTTCCGCACACACCCGCAACTTTCCGCAGACTGGGCGAAACCCGCAGCATTGAATGAATCAGCGAAAACTTATAAATTATCTTTGTATTGCATGCATTCTGCACAAATATTCCAACATTCCAGATCTCACGAGCATCTGCTAACCTGAATTGAACACTCCCTCCAGTTCAAACTGCAACCATGGCCAGGCGATGGATCCTCGACGACCAGCAAGGTTATGACGTATCTCTTCGATATGAGGACAATATTCCGCTACCGTCCAAAGAATCACTAGGATCAAATGAAGTTCTAGTCAAACTGCACGCAGCTAGTCTCAATTATCGGGATGTCGTTATTGCTGGATCATCTGTAGGTCAAGGAAACCCGAACTGAGTGGCATTCGCTGACTCGGAACAGAACATTGGTTCAATTAAGCCGCCTATGACCCCCCTCTGTGATGGAGCTGGCTCAGTTGAAGCTGTTGGATCTCATGTGAAGACTTTCAAGCCTGGCGATCGAGTCATCACTTTCCCGGCACCAGATGTTGTGGACCAGAGAGGAAGCGAAGGCCAATCAGGTATGGCTGACGTCCCGACCATGCTTGGCTTGGGCACTCAGGGAACTCTTCGAAGCCATGGCGTGTTCTCTGAGAGTGCTCTTGTTCATGCACCCAAGTCACTCAACTGGTTTCAAGCCGCTACCCTTCCAGTCACCTGGCTGACAGCTTGGAACGCGCTCTCGGATCTGAAGAGCGGCCAGGTTGGATCGAAAACCTGGATTCTCGTCCAAGGTACCGGAGGTGTTAGCGTTGCAATGCTTCAACTCGCTTCGGCCCTTGGCCTGACTGTTGTGGCCACGACTTCGTCCGAGGAGAAAGCGGCGAAGCTGAAGGACCTTGGCGCAGCCCATGTCATCAACTACCGCGAAAACCCCGCCGATTGGGGCAAGCAGGCAAGGGCATTGACACCAAATGGCAGAGGATTTGACATGATTGTCGATATCGGAGGTAATGAGACCCTCCGTCACTCCCTTGCAGCCGTACGCCCTTACGGGTCCATTCAGATCGTTGGAGCTGTTGGCCAAGACACCGAACCAGTTTCTATGATGGAGGCCTTGATGTGTACTTGTACTATACGGGGTTTCTTGATGGGCAGCCAAGACCAGTTCAACGAACTCGTTGAGTTCATCGATCAGAAGAAGCTTCAACCTTGTTTTGACGACATGGTATTTGAGTTGGCGGAAGCTAAAAGCGCTTACAAGAGGCTGGGTGAACGCAAGCACTTTGCCAAGGTTATCGTTCGCGTTGATCACCCAGAGAAATAGAGCTGCTGCAAACAAAGCTGGCTCAAGGGACCCTTTTCGTCGAAGAGCCTGATTCTTATCACATGTCGAAATCTATAAGCTTTTGAAATGTTGGTATTGAATTGGTGCAAAATTAGCTACAAATATTTACTCAAATCTGACAGGCGTTTCATTAAAGTATATAGTGAGATTGTGATGAGATGGAGGACCGTTTAATCTTCGAATCGTTGAGTTCCACGACCTTGACTTTTGAGATCAATCTCTCGAAGGAAAAATGAAGTCAGTAGTCCAAGACCACTAAGACCCGTCATAGTGTAGAATATGACCCGGAAACTGGTGAGGTATGCGACTAGAACTTTAACGAGGGTATTTCTAGAAACCTCCTTCGCCAGCGGCCTAAGCTCCTTGATGAAAGCGATCGCATTCGAAGTGTCCTTCAAAGGGGCCAGTGGTCCTTCTAGCTGTACTGAGGTAGACACGATACTACTCGAAAAGGCGGTGTTAAAGATTGCAGATGCAATGGTCAATCCAAATAGGCCCCCAAACATACGAATGGTGAAATATTGACCGATAGCAACGCCGGTGTCGTCAACGTCCTTGACACTGGCCTGCATAGGTAGCAGATTGAGGCGTAGAAGAGCAACACCTACTCCCCATATCACCGGAAGTCCAAATAGCGCTGAAGATGACGAGTCCACGCTAAAAAGAGCCATGATGCCGGTTCCCAACGTTAACAACACCCATGACAGCCTCAGTAGCCAAGTATAGCCGCCAAATAATGGCACCATCATCATAGAAAACACTGCGATTACTACACTGACAATGGAAGTAGGTAAAAGTAGGACAGCCGATTTGATTGCAGTTTCCAGGTAAACCGCTTGGTAAATCAACGGAAGGTACTGCAGCAGGGAAACAAGAACGGCCCCGTGAATGAAACCACCCAGTAACGTCATGTTGGCGGTTATCGAATGAAAAAGCCGATGAGGCATGATTGGTGCCGCTGGCTTGGCCTCATAAAAGACAAAGGTCACAATCACCGCGACTCCTAGCAGCATAGATACCAGGGTTTGCCAAGACGCCCAGGGGAACAGCGACCCAGCCCAACTGAGCGGCAGCACAAATACCGTGATGCCGGAGACAACCAAGCCCATACCGATCCAGTCGAGGCGTTCGATATTGCGAGCCAGCGAAGCGTCGTGAGTGACTGATCGGAGTTTGAGGAAGAAGACCAACAAAGGCGTACCCACTCCAAGAATCGGGAGATTCACCCATCCAATCCACCGCCAGCTGGCATAGGATGCAAACAGTGCACCAACCGACGGCCCTAGAATGTTACCAACTGCGTTCGGGATGCCCATCAAGCCCAGGTAAGTTGAGCGCTCTTCCAGCGTTGTCATATCGGCCAGAATCACTTGGACGAGTACATCAATGCCCCCACCGCCAAAGCCCTGGAGCACCCGGCCCACGATGACTGTTTTCATATTCTGCGCCACTGCGAAGACGATTGAGCCAATGAAGAAAAGAGCAATGCATACGTAGAGTGGCGGCTTGCGACCGAATGCGTCCGATATGCTCGCCCAGACAGGTTGCATCACCAGGCCACATAGAGTGTAGGATAAATTGGCCCAGAAAGACTCCAGACTCGAGCCTCCAAGGTCGTTCGCTATGGACTAGGGAATCAGATTAGTAAGAGGACCTTGCTGATGTTGAACCTCATAAACAACTTACTGGAAGAGCAATGCCAAGTGCTGTCGCATCCATCTGAAACACAAAGAGTGTGGCAGCGAGCCCCATAAATGCGAGCTTAAAGGCTAGCGATTTCTTCTGTTTGGGCTCATCAATCTGAAGTTCTAGTGCCTCTATACCTCCCACTGGTGGTCTGGGCTTAATTTTCCTTTCTGACTGGAGTTTTGTACCAGCGCTTTGTTGCGCAATCGATGGAGATACTTCCGCATTGCTGCTTTGCAAAGTTGGGCCGTCCATTTTGGAAAGATCCTACACTTCAGGCTTTAGGAAGGGTAAGAAAAATTGGCACTAATTTGTGTGGCTGCTTGAGGAACATCAATAGTAAGGCCCAAGAGAAAACTTGGTTGATTGGCTTCAGAGGCCTCCCTGATTTAATCTTGAACAGTCCACAGAAGGATTCCAGCGGCTGTTTCGGCATTGATAAGATAACGTCCACTGTCCATGCGGATAATAGAAAAGACCGTGAGCATTAGAAGTTACGTGGTGAAAAGACTTATGCAAGACCCACAGATATTAGTTATGTACAGAGGAAGACACGATTTCGCTTATTTTCCTTCACAAGCCAGCTTCTTGTGCTGATTAACTTCTGTTTCTGTTCATAATTTGAGCACAACCTGTGGGTAAGATTATGCATAGCCTAACCTCTTGTCATTGGCTGTTCAGATAGCCTGATCTTTTAGCGCTTACTAGCCATTCCCCAGCGCCTTCATCAACCCCAGACAGAAAATGCTCATCATGCCACCAACAAATATGGCTTCAGGTCCCAAGGGTACTAGATCCAGTGCTCCTAGGACACAAACTGGTTGTAAAAATTGTCGGTACGTTAAACATGTTTCTCTTATAATCGCCACTTTGCTGGCTCAAGGCAGGCGACTAACGAAGCATCAGCAAAAGGCGGATCAAGTGCGATGAGACAAAGCCAGCATGCGAGAGATGTGTGCGATCAGGTTGGAAGTGCGATGGATACCCAGCAGATATAGTCTTAAAAGCGTCTGCCAACAACAGAAACACTTCAAACCTGTCATTGCTGTCACGATTGCCATCCATCGCCAGCTATTCCATTCCTTTTAAGGTCCCAGGAAGTCAAACAGACCGCCAACTACTCCACTATTTCTGCGTGCAAGGCTCAAACGACATTGCAGGGTTTCTGACCTCAGACTTTTGGTCTCAGACTGTTCTCCAAGAAAGCCATCAAGACCCAACCGTCCGCCAGGCCCTTGTGGCATTGAGCTGGCTTCACCTGGACTATTCAACATCGGAGTGCGTCGGAAACTCTGTAACGAGAGCCGATGCACTCACACAATATGGAAAGGCTTTGCGATCCATGAGAAAGCGGCTTTCTCGGCCGTCAGAAAGTGCTACCAAGATCGCGCTCATCTGTTGCATCTTATTCTATTGCTGTGAAGGCGCCTTGGGTGACCGAAATGCAGCTCTGCAGCATTTGAGCAACGGCCTCAATCTGCTGATCTCTACTCAGCACGAGCACAATGGGGTCGTGTCTCAAGATATACAAAATCTTTCAGACGTCTTTGAACGACTAGATATGCAAGCTAGCTTCTTTGAAGATGATCGTACGCCAATTCTCGTTCTTCCAAGTTGGCAACCGAGTGGAGAAAAAGATTACACACTTCTCTTGGAAGATACATTTACAGGTCTTCAAAAAGCCCAGCAAAGCCTGGTCAGACTCCAGGCTTGGTTATACCACTTCGTTAACAAAAACGCCGATCACCATAACGAACCAAAGGAGTCACTCCCAGTGGACATATTACAAGAAAAAGACGCTCTGATGAAAGGTTACACTTCTTGGATCATTGCGATCAACAACTACGAAAAGGAGACCGAATGTGACAACGAAACATTACATGGAATCCGAACACTTCTTGTTCACTTCCACGTCTGTCGGATGATCGTGGAGTCTAAATTTCCCAACGATCCTGAAGTGTTTGGCGCCTCGCCGAATCCAGCTGCCCATAAAATTCTCGACTTGGCTGAGACGCTTCTCCAGTACACTACACTTCTAAACGGATCACCAAATGCGACCAAATCTCCTCGTCGTAACTTCTCGTTAGAGACTGGGGTTGTGGCACCTTTATTTGCATTAGCCATCAAGTGCTCGGACGAGTCCGTGGCCACAAGGGCTGCCCAGATGCTTGCCTCGTCGCAAAGACGAGAGGGCTTGTACGATTCGCAGACGATGGCACAAATCGTCACCTTACTGAAGGACACAAGAGACGTTGGGATGGGCATTAAGCAAGAGGAGAGTAGTGAAAGCGCGCCCTTGAGCGCATTGGAATATCATCTACCAGACAGCTATTCGGGTGGTGGGATAGACAAACTGCTCTCATCGATGGACCTATCGCGACTTATGATCTAGGTATGTAATTGTTTAGTTTGCGAAAAGGAAGATTGTTGTTGAACAAGGCCGTTATGGCGTTGAAAGTTGCTGCGAAGTTGGTTTCTCATGTGTGCCCGGAACCTGTATGAAGTGTTTCTATTCTTCATCGTAAAGTATCACACCTAAATAGAGACAGCAGCCTTTTCTTCAAGGACTAATTGTTAAACTGTTACATACAAACCACGAGGCTAGTGCCGCTGCCGAACAAGTATCTCTGTGCTTTCGTGGGCGGACCATCAACTTCCCCGCTTCAGCACGTGTTACGGCCCACGATTCGTAGGACTATAAGTAGCGTAATCGAGAAGTGGCATTGTTGTCAGCATTGCCGCCTAAATTCACACCGTCCCATTTCCCTTCGTCTTTGGGGTTCTAGCCTTACAAAACCTCCACGTTCCATCTTCCTCACAGGCATTAACAATGGAGGCCAGCACAATTTCTGTCCAGGATTCGGAAGCGATTATTCGCGCTTGTACATATCACAGGCATGAATTTGACAGGCTTCTAATTCAAACACCTAAAACCAAACTCCAAGCGCCCTTTCTGCAAACCTCTTTCAGACCGTCTTCTCCTTCGGGGCTTGGCATTCTAAGACATTTACCCGACGAGTTGGTGCTGATGATACTTCGCGAACTCGATATCGTCTCTTATCTTCGATTTAGGGGAGTCAACAACCGTGCCCGAAGCATCGCAACCAATTCTATCGACTATAAAACTGTCGTGAGACATGGGATGGGAGGACTGAAAGCGCTGCTCAAGGTTCGACTGGGGTATCTCTTCACCATCACTAGGCTTCACCAAGTCCTCGTGAGCCGCGAATGCGAATTCTGTGGAAAGTTTGCAACCTTCCTATATCTCATCACATGCCAGCGCTGTTGCTTCACATGCCTGCAAATCTCGTCTGAGCTCCACACTCTACCAATACCGATTCCGAAAGAGTTTGCCAAAGCTGTGAAGAAAACAGCAGAAGAAATCGAAAGAGTCTGTGAGCCGAGATCATGCGTTGTTTATGGCAAATACTCTCTCGAACCCTGGCCCAGAGTCACCAGACCAAAGTGGCTGGCTCAGGCAAAGCCGGCTATCGAGAAGCTGGAGTCGCTCGATGGTTCCCGCAAAATTCCCAAGCTGGTTTTGGATCATCTACCGGAACATCAGGTCCGTAACGAGGCAACTCACCATTACTGCTACCGATACATGGCGGCAACTGCTTTTCCATCCTATGATTCAAATCGGGACCAGCTCGAGCATGGCATCAGCTGTAAAGGCTGTCAGTTTCGTCTTGAGGAATATGTCCGTGAGACCGACAGCTCAATAGAACCGCCATGGGGGCTCAATGACCGAGATCGAGTATATTCGACAGAAGAGTTTATGTGTCACTTCAGATCTTGCGAACATGCCCAGAAGGTATGGGCCGATACCTTGGAGACTGGTGAGGCCCCATTGACCAAATTCATACGAGATGGTGGTACCGTTATCTCACACGAGAGGCATCTGAGGTACGAGCTCTATTAGTTTCCTTGCAATCCCATGATGAGTCAAACATGCTACTGTTTGGAGGATGTGCTAGCTATTCATGGAGTTGTAAATAGAAATGTGTTCGAAATTCGGCCCATAACCCCTATCGATTAATATTTCAATCTATTTCCATCTCTTGATTTTGCACCTTGGTAAAGAGAAAACCCGAAACTCGCTTTTACAAAGGCTGTGATGTCAAACTCAGCATGTTCCTAGCAATAAAACAGAACACACTTGGAGATCCTCAGAAACTATCATCTCACAAACAGATGTGGCATATAAGCGATATTAGACGTCTGTGTGTAACCTCACTGAGGAATAGACAGGTCCAGTTGATCAGCATTCTCAACATTTTTAATAACAGCACTGCGTATGGTTGAAAGTCCTTGAGCAGAATAACCATGAAAACATACACACGTAGTAAACATTATACGCCCTAACGCGGCGAGAGTCTGCCACTTCATTAACTTCCTACACATACAAACGGAAACCTACTGCCTCTTTCAGGCATTCTTGAGAGCTTCCTGTATTTCTTTCTTGTATCTGGCATTGATAGCACGACGGTTGAGTTTCTGGGTAGCAGTAACAAGACCCTATTCGTTGAAGACTTGTTAGCGAGATTCTGATATGTAGAAGAGGGTGATATATACGCTTGGGGGTGTCCATTCTTCTGGAGTGATTACTACACCAGCGACAATTTCCATGCTTGATAATCCTGCCCGTTTACCAGCGGCTTGCAAGTCTTTGAGCATGACTTGACGTACTTTATCTTCGGTGTACATCTTGTCCTCATCAACGCCCAAATCCTGAGCAATACCTCTGAGGGAGGCTTCGTTTGGCATGACAACAGCAATAGGCCGCGAATGTTCAGAATCAGCGTAGACCATGGCATTCATGACACCTTGCACACCACGGTAGATCGACTCCAACTTCTCGAGAGCGACGTATTCACCGCTGAGTAATTTCACAAGGTTTTTGATACGATCAATGACCCGGAGGTGACCATCAGCATCAAACTCTCCCACGTCTCCAGTTTTAAACCACCCATCGTCGGTAAAGGACTTCTTTGTTTCTTCGTCGTTGTTGAAATACCCAATCATGACCGCAGCGCCCTTGATCAGAATTTCGCCTTGGGGGATCTTGGCATCAGCAGAGTATCCGAATTCTGGAACGGAGACTAGCTTGACTTCGACCGAGCCGGGAACTGTGCCGATAGAGTGCAAGGTGAATTCGAGAGGTGATCCTAATGCACCAACTGCTGAAGTTTCGGTAAGGCCGTAGCCTGTAAACATGGGTGCAAGAACCAGTGAGAGGAAGAGTTTTGTTGATAGAGAGATGGGACTGCCACCGTTGAACAGGAATCTGATCTTGCCACCAGTCATCTCGCGGACTTTACCGAAAACAGCATTGTCTAACAAGCAAGCGCCAGGTAGATTGTGCTTCACCATAAACTTCTTGTAGCCAAAAGCGCCCCAGAAGAGATTCCTCAAGACTACATTGGATTCAAGACGTGTCATGATGCCTTTCCTGATAGTCTCATAGACTTGCGGCACACCGGGCATGACAGTGGGCCCCAAATCACGCATGTCACCTGCACAGTTTCTTACCGATGTATCAGATAGTGTCCTGGGATTGCCGTATCCCACAGTGCCGCCGAAATACATTCCGAGATTCTCGAGAGCCATCTCTAGGACATGAGCCAACGGGAGGTATGCAAGAAGAACATCATTGTCCGTGACGCAGTCAGATACACAGGTATATAGACCAGCGACTATGAATATCAGCTTATTGAAAATTGTTATGTGTGGAGGGCCATCTTACCTGCCGCAACAAGATTCTTGTGGGCAATTTGTACGCCTTTATGAACACCGCCGGATCCCGAGGTATACATCACGCAGTACAGATCATCCGGCTTGGCATGTACTGGATCGACCATTGCATTACGACCTGATGTATAGAGTTCTTCGAAGCTGATTATTTTGAACCTGGGATTGGATGATCTGAACTCTTCGACAAGTTCGCTCCCGCCGAAGATGGATGCCTCATTCACAATTATTGTATGGACCTTTGACTTCTTCAAAGGCTCGGTTGCTGTCTTGAGTAGGTAAGGGTCAATATACATAATCTCCGCCTCGGTCTGGAGGAGACTGTGCTCTAATCCGCTTGCTCCAAGAGAGTCGTAAGCTGTTATGATTGAGATGGACTGGGTAGCGCAGCCATGAGAAGTAGCAATCCACTGGGCACTGTAAAAGTCAGCTCCTCTGTAAAGCCATCTCTTAATCAAGGGTAGCATTACCTTGTAGATCCAAAGAGAAACAGTTTGCCCCCGGGCGCGAGCCCGAGCTGGCGCAAGCCTGATCCCACCTCCAGGCAGTGTGCCTCGTATTTCTTGTAGGTGAAGAAGGAAAATTTAGATAGTTCGAAATATGACCACTCCTTGTCAACCTTCTGCACCTTGCCGTCGATTTTCTTTTCGACCTGAGTTATCTCCTTGTGTAGGCGGATAAGCCTTCGCGAACCCACGGCATTATTGTTGGGCCATAGCCGTGCGCTTCGGCGGATGATATCGAAGACAGTATGAACATCTTCGGAAGGTCGGACAATGAGGCCGTCGCGAGCACGAGGATGACGCCGAGGAATGGTCTCATTGGGTTTCTTCTCGTGACCCGGAGAGTCGACTGTGAAAGGTGGTTTCAAGACCTGATACAAGGGAGTTATGCCTGAGGTGTGAGACATGTTGATAGCACAAGCCGTCGCAGACTATGAATTCTACTGTCAAATTGGAGGAAAAAGAAAATCGCAGAGATAGGAAAGTTGTAGAAGCTAGATTACACGTTGGATGTTTTACAAGGTCAGCTTACATGATATTCAGGACGCAGACGTGATGCCCAACAAAATACAAACACAGCAGAGATTGTTGGCACGGCTCCAGCTTATCCTATTTGTCCGACCCAGTTTTCTCACTTTAAACAGTGGATCACCTGTAGTTTGCAACGCGCGGCCAAGATGCCTCATGTACCGACCCGCGACGTGTTAGCAGAGAATGAACATATTTCACGAAGTATGGCTTTAGCTAATCCTAAGTGGGTCATCTTTATGCAGGTATCTCACAATCTGACATCAACTAGAGCGTCCTTCTGACCAGTAAAGCCGGAATATATGGTGCAGACGTAAGCTGACGGGCAGTCATTTTGTAGCATCAGAGTCTCGAGCTTTAATTCGAACATTACAGGGATTACCCGACTCAACAAAAAGAAAGGCCGAAACAACAGACACAGATCAGCTCACCAGTGAGAACGGTCTACAGTCCGTCGCAAAGGGTGTAACAACTTCCTCTCTTCGAAACTTATTAAAGGTTGAATGAAATGCAAGAATTTATTATAATTTAAATCATGTTATATAATCTTAGGATAATATCATACATAAAATATTCCAATTATTACATATTTTCATTTTTCCATGTATCCTTTGTTCGTCATCTTATTATCGGAACTTGCACGGGACTGTAACACATGCACAAGTACTGTATAAGCCTCGCATTTATTCAACTACAGGTAGCCTCAGATACATGCTGCCATTCAATACGTAAAAGAGACTGAGGACGTCCATAACAGGTCGAATTCAAGTATTAATACCACCACATATAATGGGGTTATTATAGCTGGTGTGACATCCATCGCTGACGGCTTAGGTGAGATATACCTATTCACGGGTGGCTCATCATCAAGAAACAAACCCAAGTCTGCTAGGGAAGTAATAAAGATACCCAAGATTTCTATATTCACGAACTGTTCTACTCTCTGCCTAATTCGCTGGAATTCGATAAACCTGGTACTCATCGCCCGTACTTACAGGAAGGAGATTGAACGTCACAAAGCCATCAGGATGCTCCGGCTCTAGACGCACAAAGGCTTGCGCCGCATATTGTTGTCTGGTGCTGACCCAGTAAGCACCCTTGGGAAATTTCACCTTCTTGGTAAACATTTCCGTATTGACTGTCGTCAATGCAATGCCCTCGTACTTCTGTGGCGCTAAAGTGGCTTCGGTGATGTTGTATGCTTCTACTTCACCCTCAAAGTCCACGGCGAGTTCATTGACCTCAAGACCGACTGCTCGGAGACGCTCCGCCACGCCTGACCACGCCCGACTAAAGATATACGCTTCCGGTCGAGCGCGAGTGAGATTGCTGGCAGGAGGAGTGTTGTTGCCAAAGAGGACAGGTACATCCGTCACCTCGCCCGTCTCGGCATTGATGAAGGGCCATGTGGTGTTCTCCCAACGCGGTTGATCGCGAACGATTATCTCTTGGTCATTTGTTATGAAGTCAGCTCTCGCAGCTTCTACTGTCTCGTACACAAGATCGGCGTTATCCGCTGCGATCTGGAGGACGTTGATGGCGGCGGTCATTCCAGCTGTCGTACGGCGTTTGAAGTTTTCATCTCCAATGCCAATTCCACGTGTCTCCGACAGCAATGCGATACCTTGACCCATGAACACAGTCACTTCACCACGTGTGTCAGTGACAAAATCCTGGAGACGGATACCATTGCCATCCTCAGTCTGCGAAGCAACAACGTAGCCGTTTGTGGTCAAGTTCTTCTCCTCCAGCGCTTTAACAACCTTAGGAACGAAAAGGGTCTCCGCTATGGATCGGATATCGGCATGGACGTTTGGGTTCTTGAACGCTGAGAACTGGTTGTCTTGTGAGGGAACGTATGTGGTGTTCTCGTGGACCAGCGCCCGGTTGGCGCCGTACTCGTGACAGTCGAGATGAACATGAGCGTTGAATTTGAGGTTCAGAGCTTTAACATCAATGGTTTGCTGCGAGGCCATCTTTGTATGGTCCCGATTAGGGTCGAAGCTAGTGGCCAATAGCCGTTGGAAATAAGCGGACCCGTCCGGGTTGTACCGCGGCAACACCATGATGTCAAGTTTCTCCAAGATAGAAAGCGTCCACTCTGGCTCATTATCCATTTTCCCAAGAAGAGCCAACACTCCCTCTTCTCCTGCAGGTTCATTTCCATGTACGCCGCCATTAATCCACACGCGGACCTTGTTTGTGCCATTGCCGCTCATGGGAGTTGTCTGAAGAAGTGATTTTGAGGAAGACAGAACAACATATGGAATCGAACGGCCTTCCTCAGACTTGAAGACTGGGTTGTGGTACGTCATCCACTCATTGCGTGAGGCCAATGTCCAAAGAAACTGCTCTAGTGACTGCTGGGATACTGGTGAAGAAGTGCCGTTGGCAAAACCCTTGGCGACATCCTCGGGTCTCAGGAACGAGGGCGAGTAGAGCTCTCCGTCAACATCGGGGAAGTTCGCAGCTACGACCTTAGAGTTCGGGTTGAATGGCACTGCATTGCTGGCATAGGATAACTGCGCGGCTGCGCTTCCAAAAAGGATTGGGATGGCCAAAAGATGCATTTTGCGCGATGCTTGCTTCCACAACAGATGTGCCCTTTTGAGTGTTTTATAGACGGATGTAGCTGTCGATCAACGCACGTTCGCCGACGCCAAGCACCATCGCCTAACTGCCAGCTTCCTATCCAGACCTTAGCACCTCGTTGATGCGTGGCATTAGATAACCTTGTTTTCGTGCCAGATGGAAATTGTCGAATGAGACATGGCGATGTCCCAACCCCGCGATTAATCCTCGTCATGCCAAGAGATGTTGACCCACAATTGCTATCTGGTCTCATATTGCTTGACTCTCCGATGACGGATGTGGTGATTGCCGCGGGAGGAGGAAGGAGACGGGTATCGGATATGGTTTGCGGATGTGAAGTAATCAAGGGACTTGATTGTTATCATCGGAACTACGGATAGCTGTCGAGGTTATCAGCGGAACGTCTGTCCAACAACACGTAGATAGTAGGTCAGTTTCTTTTTCCACACAACTATCGAGATCAAGTATTTTGAGTAAAAATAGAGGCTACGACCTGTAAGGGTCATAAAAAAGGCCGACAAGGAGAGTTGTGTCGCATCTGCTGGAGCAGGTCATCATCAATAATAAGCTTAAATTTAAGCACCGTGCCCAACGAAGTGCGCCACCGCAAAGCTTCCACAGACAGGGGTTCTTTTTAGCGCATCGATCTGATATTAGTGCCACTCGAGGCTTGATAACACATCAATATGAAAGATATGGTAAATATGGCGTGAGTTTAACGCTATTGAAGTAATTGTTGCATAGGCACTGAGCTATCATCTTCTAGCGACAACTTCATGATGGCCAACCTTAACATGAGGTATCTGGAGACATCCTGCCACACAGGTACCTAGGCTACAGTGGGTATGTACAAGTGCTATTAATTTCCTTTCTTCTGTAGTTTATGTAAAATAATACGAATTCTAGTAGACTCTCTACTTTATACGAGTTTATATAATCTGTTAATAATATTATTAATCTCACATAATCTTAGGTCAAGATTCTGTAAAAGATGTTCTAATTATTGTGTATTTACATATCTATATTATTATGTACTTCCATTACGTATCTTGACGAATGAACTGCGTGTGGCCTCTCTGTTAAGGAACAATGCTTCAACAGAGCGGAACAGCTACCAATGTCAATCAAGTTTCTTGCCGGTACTCTGGACGTGTGCAAGTGGAAACAATATTCGATCTGCTGTATCATGATGCTTATGTGTGCGGGATGTAAGAGAGTATCTTCGTGATTGGCTGTTGATATACAATTACAAATTTCATTGACAGCGAATTAAGCCTCTAATTGGGTATGAAATCCAATCGATGAGTTACAAAGCTTCCGTGGTGCCCTTTAAAGGCTTTTCGGAATAGTCCAGTGGCGCGGAAGTCATTAGACTTATTGATGAGCTATTGAAACTGGTGAAGCCAACAGTAACAGCAAGGCCCATTGATTAATAAGACCAGGAATTTACCTTCTAACTTCAACATCTAGCATGTTCATTAAGGCCAAGTACTGGCAATTGTCCCGGGAGAAAAGTCAGGACATTTGGAAGCTGAGACAATGTGAAATACAAGTCGATTTCTCCTGGGGCTATAAAACTCTTCCCGATCTATTTAGTATGGGACTCAAGAGCTGCGATATCTACAAAGAACTCAAGAGTCAAAAATGGCTCCGTAAGCTACTACCCCCCGACTTCGCATCCCGAACACGACTTTTTCAGTGACCTTAGGGTTCGAAATGATGTAAACTGCCTCTGCATCTGACTCTACCACTAGCTTGTAAGTCTCGAGAACAATATCTGGATATCCTCGAGTCGTCGTGTTCCAGATGACTGCATTTGGGTCTGCCCGCTGCACCGCGCTTACTACAGTTGGCCCGTATGTCTTTTCAGGGTCGCGAGTAGACCAGAGGACACGACGCGGTGTCACGTCGGCGTATAGCAGAGATAGACAGGGTCCGATACCAGATCCGGTAGCGACGATGACAATTCTTCGGAATAGTCTTGTGGTGTAAAGCAGCCCATGAAGAGGTGCTCCACGAACCCAGAGCTTTCGCTCATCCGCGTTCATAATCTGCTTCTTGGTGAAGTCTCCAGCATTGGAAACGACAACACTGAAGCCGTTGACTTTACCAGACTCAGGCTCGATGTCGGGGATGGTAGCAAAGGCGTGCCACTCAGTCAAAGGCTTATCACTGATCTTGAGACCGTAGAATGGCTTCATGCCTCGGTATTTGAAGTGAAGGCGTGTGGCGTGGTCACTCAGCTTCTCGGGATATACCACGCGGCGGCGCAATCGGGACCAAGAGGCCACTGTACATGAAGTTGTGACGCAGAGGCACCAGAAGTTGGGAGACCGGACCAAAGCGTAAGAGATAGACTTGTCCCACTCGTGTGCGGAAACTCGAGCAGAGACAATGTTGTGCACCCAGAATGAGAGTAAAGAGATCCAACCAGCGAAACGGTGAAAGGCCTCGAAATGGTCATGGAACTTCCTTCGGATGCTTGGGTAAGCTGCGACAAGAATGATGAAGAACATGGTGACCACGACCCAACCAGTGATCATGTTGACGAGTCTGTACTCTTTCCTATCCTCAGCCCACTCTTGCGTTGCCAGGATGGTGTAAGTTAGATACCAGGCGGTAGCAGCGACTCCGGCACCACTGTGAAAGCCTCCATAGTGGAACACCTTGGCCAGGCGTTTCCGGATGCTCAACGGCCAAGAATGCGGAGCGAGTATGGCGATTTCGTAGCAAAGATTGACAAATTCTTCCTGGCGAAATAGGATGCAGACCATGAGGTTTGCCGAGGCCGCACTCGCAGCGTCCCTAGACAGAGGCATTGCTCGAGATGTCACCATGAGCGCGATGAACACGGATGCGTTGGCGATGAAGATAAACGCAAAGATCTTGCGGTATGTCGACGCGTGTTTGTCTTGTACCTGTCAGTATTGGAGTCTAGGAACGTATTACGGCAGGAGCATCCTTACACTGGAATTCGCGTGTCATCTCTGTGCCGCGCTGTTCCGGCAGTTTGATTTCCTTTGGGGACATCACCATGGCCTCGTCTTTCTCCTCCACCATTTTGATCAAGGATGGGCTTTGATTAGGAGTCATTGCGTTCGACACCTGTGTTTCTCTAATAGTTGTTACGTCGGAACTTGATGCAATTCCAAGTTCTGGCTCCGAAACTGCCGTTGGGTATAGAGGCATGGCTGGGAATCGTTTCGAGGAAGAGGAGATAGAAAGATGACAATGATGGACTGGTTGGTGGTTCTTTCAACTACTGATGTGCCCAGGCGCGACACAGTTTATATATCAATCATCGATGCCAAACCGCCAACCTCGTTTCTACGTTGTCAAGAAGGGTTTGGCTTAATGATTGTTACGTTTGGCCCAGGATCCTGGGCTGTCCGCCACTAACTTGAAGCTGAACGTCACAACTCTCATGATGGTTGAACCTGGTGCCATGAGAGCTTCTAGCACGAACAAACGGTCGGCTGTTTACCCAGCGGAGCCACGCGGGCTAGCGAGTTAACGACTACTGCGATTTATTTTTCCCTAGACTAACGAAAGGCAGCTAAGATGCAACAATGATTGGTGTCAGTGTCGCTGGCTGTGCTTGCGAAGTGGCTGGCGCAAGTCGCTTTCGTGGCGCCTTCTAAGCTCGCATTCGTTTCAACTATCGTATCGTTTTCCGAATTTGGCTACGCCAGATTGTTCAACAAGTGCTCGTGTTTGAATCGAAGCTTTCTTTAGTGCGAGTGGCTTGCCCTACACATGCCGTCCAGCCTTCATTGAAATCCAGCTAACCAGAGTCCTCAAATTTGGAGAAGTCGTGTCCACAAGGCGTAGGGCTTTGCATTAGTCAATACGTAATTGGCCTCAGCTATCGCAAATTAGTGTAGACTCATGTAACCTTTGAAGTCCCGCTTGACTGATTCCATGTCAGCTTGGTTACAATGCAGAATAAGCGGTTTATCAGTCGCCGGGAACTATATTAAGCCACGCTAAGAAGACCTCTGGGTACGTTGCTCTAACACGCAAGACACCGGATTACCTTTCCTGTCACCAGTGGTGAGGGAGCGCCTTTCCATGGTAGAATCCAATGGGAACATCCGTGGCTGTGTAAGGTCAAAGTACAATCCAGCGTAATGTCATGCAATACGGGATCTCCGAACAGCGTTTCATTCTCGCACTTCGAATCTTCTGCAAAATCGTAAAATTTCACGCTGTAATCTGCGTTGTTGTCTGGTTACCACCAACCAGGGCGAGACAGCGGCGTGAAGCGAACAAGGCTTAGTGAAATTGACAAGCGAAGACTCCCTAGAATGAGGACTTACTGCCATGATGCTCTATTCTAGTGAGGTCAATCGACACATGCATTCTGCAAGTATTTGCGGCTTACTTTCCAGCCGCACTTATTGACGAGGCAAAATCTAGCGGAGGTGTAAAAATGCAAAAGTTAAGTTACATGCAACAGCGGGGATTCGCTGGTCGTCACCGACCCAACTACTAATCCGCCGGTTAGCGGCTTGACTATGGGAGAGCGGACGGGATCCCGTATTTTCCGCTACCTTTGGTCGCATGTAACAAGAATGGTAGATTTCTAGCCTATATCCTCTAGACCCCAAGTCTCTCCGCCCTCTTTCCCAATTGTTACCGACTGAGCTGCAGGGTAGCGACGGAGCAGCACATAGGTATGACTTTACATTGTGGTTAGCTTTTAAATACTTAGTTGTACCCAGTTATAAACGTCTTGGTTTTGAACCCAATATTGGCAGTATTGCAGCGTACAAGAAAATTGAATGAAATTTGAGGTGCCTCAACGTCGGCATTTTTGTCGGAGTCCAAAGCTCAACAGACTTCCGGTGAAAGAGTTCTGGAAAGTATTTGGCCTGTGTAGACATATTTATTATTAAGTTATGAACTGTAGTGAATTTGCTATGTTACTATAAGCCATTAATGAACGTAGGCAGTGGTTGTAGCACTTCGCCTCATATACTTGGGTGTAATATTTACAAGCTCCGCCCTGATCCAGAAAGCCGGCGCCTCCTCCTGATGGTCACTATATCCCTTGCCCAACCTGGCAACACATCGTCCAGACACTTCAGAGCATCAATAAATGATCCTATTCCCCTTGCTTGTTCCTCCGCCGATTGGGGTTAAGCCTTTTCTTCAGTGTGGCAATCGGACCAGAGGCGGAAAAAGATCCACCCGAAGGGATATAATCTGGTGGAGGCTTCTCGAAGGACGACCGAGGGGTGAGAGATGGAGAGATTGACCGTGGGGGAGCACTGGGAGTGGAAATTGGCAGTGGCTGAGGATAGTAAACAAGAACTGCTGCATTGACTGAATCATGGTGTTCTTTTGCGTGGCGGACAATGAAGGCCCAAACCTCTCTGCCCTTGCTTTTGGTGGTCTCCATTATTTCAAGAACCTTAACAACAACCTCAGTATGATGTGTTGGGAACTGAACGGGTCCTTTGTTTTATTCGGAGTTCAAACCCTTCAGTGGATGGTCCTTTTTGCTCGAGGGAGTAGTGCTGGGACTCGAACGCGTGGTGAGGTAAAAGTAAAGTGATGGTGTTGGGTGTTTTTCTCAACTTGAGCAAGTGAAGGGTGTGCAACGTGGTATGTTTGAAGATCGTGAGTCTTTATTGAAATGGTTTAAGATATCTGGTGTGGAATATTTTTGTAATGGAGGACTCTCTACCCTCTTATATCAACAGTGTACAGCCTTATGATACTGAAGTAGTGTCGATTGACCATCAACCTTTTCTTCATCTCAATTAGTGAGCATGTCGTTCAATCTTTCCTGTTACGGTTTATTTAGCCGACACTTGATCAGCCACAATCTAACTTCACGCTGGGTATCGGCCTTCAAGGGCGGTGGTGCCTTTGACGGAGGTGTAAGCTGATTTCACTTGCAACAGTTCAGAATATTTCCCATTAATCATCATGTATAACACACTGGTACATCGTGGCCCTTGTACGATACTAAAAATGGTAACACAAAGCGAGGAGGACAACACTAGCTTCGAAGGCTGACATGTTCTGTTCTTCTGGCTTATAGAATCTCAGAGATCTTTCTTTTTGAATCTAGTCAATCTCTACAAAATCAATACTCCACCCCCGCTTCCCTTTGGAGTATATCTCAACACAAAAGCTTTGAGGTATACCATCTTCACCATCTGGGGCTGAATCATCCTGGTCCTCTTCATCGTCCAAATCTACCATACGGGTTTTGATGACTGTCCAACCTGCCTTCGAACCTCGCCCAGAATACTCTCTGTCTAGATATGCTATCAACCTCTGCACGCGTTCTATATCCCAGATTCCCTCCCGCATATTAGGCCGTGACGCTATCCAGTTTTTGATCCAATTCGCCATGGTCTCATCTGCCAAGTGATATGCATTCAACACTGCTGGAAGCATGCCATGTCCGTAATTATTGACGCTAACACAGAGGGTGTACGGCAGTCCAATTGCAAGACGGCAAATCTTACGTACTATGGTACTAGACTCGGCTGCAGTCAGCCTTTGACTCTTGAATGGAGAATACATCATGTCGAGTCGCAAGATTGACATTAGATAATGTGCGAAATTCGTAGCCGCCCTCACAGGCTCATGAGATGATAGGATTGTTAGTGGCTCGATATTGATGCCTGAAATCTGCGGGGGCTGCGTGTCGTCGGCTTCTAGTTGGTCGTCGAAGGAAGGGACCTCTCCGGGCGGTAACTTATCTCGCCATTGGTCCAGCTCAGTCCTTAATCTGTCAACTCGCTCGTCCCATTGCGCATCAGGCCGAAGGTTCGCCCTCCATTCGTCCTCTAATATGTTTACCCTCGGCATGATATACAGTAGCTGATCATAATGCACTGTTGACGTAGCAAGAAATTCGACAAGAGTACTCGAAACCTCTGGTGATATAGCCTGCTTTTGAATCGAATGGGTGCGGTCATAGATCTCCAACAGAGCCGCAATCCTGGAAAAGGCACGAACCAAAGACTCGCCATTTTTCGTTGATAGCACAAGACTCAAATGTGATGATAGGAAGTTGACTGCAGCATGCCCATGGACACACCACAGTCTCAACTGCCCACGCTTGAGTTCAAAATGTGCCAACAACAAGACTGTACCCAACCAACATACGGCCTTTTCCCGTTTTTCCAGGTCTTGTGAGCCATGGAATGTAGGGGTGTCTGCATCGGTATCCCGTATCTGCATCTTGCCGATATCACCCAGCGCCACCACAAAGTGCTCAAGGGCATGTATTGCTGCAACATTCCGTACCCGGAGTTGGGCATCAGACTTCCATATCTTGAGGGCGGACAGGCCCAATGCAGCATGGTAGAACGACCCATTGAGGTATTCTGCATCGAGAATATCGTTGAGATATAACACGGACAGTACTCCGTAGGGAGACGTGTCACGTAAATGGTGATAGTATAGCATATCTTCCGGAAACTTCATGCTCTCAAGGAGACCTTGTGGTATAGTCGGCGCTGTCTTGATCCCAAAGAAATTTTCGCTTCTAATAGAGCCAGATCTACTCTGCGATGAGGTTGCTTGGCTAGGCAATGGGTTTGGTCCAACTGAAGGGCTGTAAAGTGGGATACCAACGGGAGATATCACTGAAGAACGAGGCTCATGGCCTACGGTGACTGGCGCAGGGGTATCCACCGCACCTTGTGGTAGCGATCCGAAATCCCAGTCTGCCGGGGTGTTTGAACCTGACAATAAAGTCGCAGCCTGATTTGCAACGTTTGAATGACCCTGGTGACAGAAAGTGATCTGCGACTCCACTGTATCGCTGTCGAAGTTCGCCACTGGGGTGGAATACGGTGACAGATAGTTCCGGGCCGGGCTATGGTCCTCCGGGTTGGCCGAAACATTATCAAGGGTATCTTGTGGTGCAGGATGGGTTGAGTCGTCGTCCAGCTTTTGGCCTGATCTTGTACGTCGAGGAGAGTCTTGGTTGAACAGCTTTGTCTGATCCTTAAACACAATCTGCCTCGCGTAGCCACCACAGGGAATGCTGAGTCTTGTGCACTAAACATCTAGCGCGTTAGTAATCGGGATTATGTCTGCATGGTAGGAGGCAAGCTACATTACTGCACTCGGGCTTGGTTTCATCACATTTCAATCGCCGAGCTCGACACGTCACGCAGCCATTGCGATTGCGAGTTTTGACATTGCGCCGACGGATAACACGGTCTGACATGGCTTTGTCTGGCAATAAGGGCGTTTTCTCCGCAGAAGCTGTCAAAGGGAGGCGAGGCGCATGTATGTTGTCAAGACTCTTGATTGAATTAGTCAGGCAAAGAAGAAGTCCGTATAGAAATACCGTATTGGGAAGAACTAACCACGGAGCGAGCGGGGAAAATCGTAGCCGATGATCGGTGTGGGTCCAAATTCTCACCTTCTTTTGCCGTGATGATTTCCCCTTGCATCAAGTGAGTGTTGGTGTTCAGAAACCCTGTCAGCACCTTAAAGTAATTCTTGGAAAATAATCGCGAGACATTGAAGTATTAGGATTGTGAAAGAGCCGGACATTCTATTAGCCAACCATCATCATACCACTCCTACATCCGCGAGGTATTTGTGGCGCCGGTTCAACAGCAGAATTGATCCTGGTTCTTTGACAAAACAAATGAGACAAGCCCACGGGTCATCATACTGCATAAAAGCAGAAGTCTTCGTGTCATACCGTGAAATGGAGAGGTATGTCATGCAGTTGTGGAGACTATCCCCGCAAAGGCTTGTCGTTTGAAACCTCTCCAAAGGGAAATACTAAACGAGCACGGTGCGTGTGCCAAGTCGAAAGATTGATCAAGTCCTCGACTTTTCTTTATCCTACACGATTGACAGACTGTTATAAGCATGACATAATGTATTTTTGAACTTGAAGAGAGTTACATTCGTTTTATTGAGATACCAGAGCCGCTCTTCTGAATTCATGACCAGACTGCGCAAACATGGAAGTCACAAAGCCAGTATTGCCTTTTACACCAGATTCAACGATGGAAGAAAAACAATCACCAGTAGAGTCGCAGCAACCGACTCAAGTTGTCGTCACATTCAATAGCAATGACCCCGAGAACCCTTACAACTGGTCAACGGTAGGTTTGAGAGCATCGGAACCCTAGATATCAGAACCAGGAGAGTCACTAACAGGTCAAAATTAGAGGAAGAAAGTTTTCGTGGTGTTTACCACGACATTGACGTTGTTCAACAGTACACTTGCATCCTCGCTTCCAGGAAACGCAATGCACCCGATGAGCGCCGAGTTCGGCATCGATAATACACAAGGCAATCCAGAACTGGCTCTTCCTATATCTCTTTTCTTAGTGGGATACGTATTTGGGCCATTACTTTTCGGGCCCCTCTCAGAACTTCACGGCCGGAAATACGTCATCCAAGGCGCCTTTGTTAGCTATACCATATTTACTCTGGCATGTGCTTTGGCGCCGAATTGGGCCGCTATGCTGGCCTTCCGTTTTCTCAGTGGCATCTTTGCTAGCGCACCCGGCACGATAGGAGGCGGGATTATAGCCGACGTCTACAGTGATCTTCATTCGCGAGGAAGAGCTATCGCTTACTTCTATGCGGCCAGCGTATGCGCGCCACTCATCGCTCCTACGATAGCAGGCTATGTCTCGCAGACCTCATGGCGATGGGCTTATTGGGTTGGTGTTATCTTTGCCGGCGCGACTATGCTTCCGTTAGCATTTCTACCAGAAACATATGGATCTGCCATCCTTGCACGACGGGCAAAGGGAATACGTCAAGCAGTGCATAAAACTGGACATGGCAATCCAGAGACTTATGCCGCCATCGAACTCGAAACGAAAGGCTGGCGAAACCTACTTGGGGTTGTGCTCGTACGTCCCTTACACATGCTCTTCACAGAGCTTATCGTAGCTGCTTCGAGCACCTACATAGCACTGGCATATAGCATCTACTACATGTTCTTCCAAACGTATCCCATCGTCTTCAAAGGCATATACAACATGTCAACTACGACAAGCGGCTTCATGTATTTTCCAGTAGCAGCAGGAATTTGTCTCGGACTAGTGGTTTCCCTTTTGTGGGATGGATACTACAACCGGTCGAAGACCTCAGGTCGGTCATGGGCACAGAAGAACGAGTACAGTAGGCTGCCTCTCGCATGCATGGGTGGTCCTCTCTTGGTTCTGTCACTCTTTTGGCTCGGCTGGACCGCACGTTCTGATATCACTTGGGTTTCCCCAATGCTAGCCGGAATCCCTTTCGGGGCGGCCCAGTTTCTACTGAGCATCGCCTTGACTAACTACCTTGCCGACTCTTATGGTGTATTCTCGGCCTCTGCAATGGCCGCGGGTGCATGTCTACGCAATCTTGCAGGCGCGGGTCTTTCACTGGCTGCTGCGCCCATGTATACCTCACTTGGCGTTGGTTGGGCCACAACTGTGCTTGGGTCTACGAGCGTTGTTATGTGCGTAATTCCATTTATTTTCATTCGATATGGGAATACGATTAGGGAGCGAAGTGCGTTTTACCAGAAGCTGAAAGCAGACCTTGATATGTCTCGGGGTGCGGTGGAAAGCGATTGAGATGCTTGAGAAAAGCGGAACACTATATAGACCTAGTAAGAAATGAGTGATGGAATGTGAATTCTGCTCTTTCATGAGAATTGATAGTCGCGAACCGATGTAGAATTTGATGGATACAATGGTCGATGAGCTTCTATTGAGGAAAATGATGTCCCAACGAAGGCCTATGTTATAACGTCAGTTGAGTCGAAGGAGAGGTGGAATTTTAAATCCGACACAACTAATCAAGATCTCTATGCTGTAGAGAAATTTGTGTTCATGTCTTGGCAGATTCCCTGAAACAAAAGATCACTGGCAGCTATTAGATTGCGAATGGTGCAAGCCCAATTGTTACTGTGCCTTGAGTAATATGCTAATATTTGAGTGTGGAGAGTGTAGAGGTGTCCACCGCCTCGGTGGGACCCATGAGGTACAAAAAGTACAGATGCGGTTTATGTGGATCGAACACATGACCTTCAGATATCGGATGATAATGATTGAAGTTTGACTTCAGTCTGACGCTCTCCCAACTGAGCTAAACCCGCTCAGTGATTGTTGCAGTGTGATATTGGCCGGTGTTACTGTCGCTGCCGGTCACCGTTTGTAGTTGGGGTTTCATTAGCTCTCATGTTGAGAATTGGATTTCATCATTGCCACATGATGCGGTAACCACATACTTGCAATGTGATGAAGTAACATGAGGGTAGGCGAGTGACTGCGATGAATTGCGAGCTCTTTAGTTGTTGGTGTTTCGACACAGACAGCCTTTGGTTGTGAAGGTACCCTGTAGAAACAAACTTCAGGGACTACAGTAGTTGGGGTTTTATGATACCTTCAACACTATTAATTGCGTACTACAATAGCACGAATTCTCTTTTCACTTTGAGAAGGTCCCATTTCTTCATCTCATACTCTAACATTTCTAACCCACCGGCTGCAATCTATCAATCCCGTACCTTTTGTTGATCGTGCTGACACCCCTAAGGTAAAGTAGTGTTACGCGAAGAAGACCATGAGTAGTATTGACACATGTTATTAAGAAAACTACTAATCTCACTGGAGCAGAAAAGGCGGTCAGATTCTAGTCCCTACTGAAGAAATATGAACAGGCGAGAGGTTTGAATCACAAGATTTTCCCTACGTTCAGGAAGGAACTAAGCTGTAACACGCATAGTATATAGCTCAATTATCGGCTATCAATAATCACATACGACCAAAGATAGTGGAAAATACGGGATCCCGTCCGCTCTCCCATAGTCAAGCCACTAATCGGCGGATTAGTAGTTGGGTCGGTGACGACCAGCGAATCCCCGCTGTTGTATGTTTTGCTCAGATCACCATCTTTTTGCTACTTTGAAGAGAATAGGTTCGGTCTTATGACTTCGCCTAGGACACTGATCAGTCAAGCATATTCCTGTTGTCCTTGTGAGATTCTTTTTTTGAAATACGTGGCAGCATCGAGGCCAGTGTACGGAGTAGCAAGGCTACTATTTGCATAGGTAGTCATGATGCGCCGCCGTACACTTTGCTTTATCCCAGCCATCTTCTACAAACGGTTAGCCAGCCCCAGCCCTTCCACCCACTTCTAAGCGGAAATAACAAATCCACGTCACAGAAGATCGCTTTATGAATCAGTTTGCAGCACGCAGATAATTCATACAACCCAGGCTGTTTAATAGCGTGGAAAAGCTGTGTTGAAAGCGTTGTCATCAAGGGCTCTCCTGCGCAGAAGGCCAAGACCATCAGCAGTCCGCGACTTCACCATCGCCAGATCTCGGAAAATCAACCCGTTCATAGCCTCTAATGTAGGTATCGCGCTATTGCTTTATCCTTCAGCTTGCAGTATTTGGCAAATGTGGCGGTCTAGCTATGCAGATGAGAAGTCCATGGCGTAAAGCTAATAGTAACATGAAATTTTTAACCAACTAATCGATCATGTTGGCGCTCTGGCTGAGACACTGAGTTACCTCATAGTCTCCTGCTGCTATCTCAATGGACGTTCGGAGCTATATTGCCCGCAACTAACAGCTGAGCAAGCAGGGTCACTGCCGATTACACGGCCCGCTGCTGCACCGATCAGCTTCAGCTGCTTACCTGCTGCCGATCCAAGCCCGAATTGTCATCTGTGCAGTGGGACAGCAGGCGCACAGACTGATCATAATCATTACGCCAAGGCGGTTAAAAGTGTTTCTTGTCCAACCATTGCGTCGCAAGCACTCAGGTACCGTCAAGATCGCTCTGACATTGTAAATATCTGAAGCTGAAAACAGGGAGCGGTCAGCTTTCCCGCCTCGCGATAGGCTTTCTGGCCTTACATCGCATATTTATTACACAACAGGGCGTCTGTTGCATGCTACCCAATGCCGCGCTACATTTGAAGTATGACATAGAACTCGGTAGTTGCATTGCGCTGTCGTCAGGCTGCACTGGTCGACCACGTCCGTTCTCAACGTCTGTGTGATAACTTGGATGGATAAATATGCAGATCATATTCAGCCAACATATCAATTAGATAGCCATGGCCCGATATGATACGTTGCCTTTGCCGTGTCTCACAATGTCTGCAGGAGAAACCGCAAGTGGATATCGCCTGAGTCTGTATAATCACCATTTCTTGGTTCTCGTCAGGAACACGGAGATGATCCAACGGCCGATTGGTGAAGACGGCTGGAAGGAAAACCTTTGTGGACTATTGCAGGACTCATTCTTAGTACAAAAAGGCCCGCGATTCTCCCCAAGGCTTTATTGTTCTTCTCCTCTTTATCCAACAATACAGTAAACTTCCAACACTTAATCATTTTCAACTCCCAAACTTCAACCAACCAAACACAATGCCTGGCGACAGACTCAACAACGGCGAGTGGCTTCTCATTGACAACAGCCTCTTCAGTGAGGATGGTTCTGTAGAGCTTCGCATGCAGAAAGATGGAAAACTCGCTGTCTACCACGATGAAAAGTGCGTCTGGCAGAATACCGCTGAGCAGGACTGGAACATCCACGGCGTCAAGATGCAAGAGGATGGCAACCTCGTCATCTAGTAAGTCGTGATCTGATTTCCCCCCTGGCTGAACATTGACCGACTAACTCGTGACAGCGATGACTCTGGTAACGGAAAGGCCACATGGCACACCGATACTGCTGCAGGCAAGGGCAACGACTCAACGACCCTCGTCGTGCAGAATGATGGCAACGTTGTTTTATACAACACTGGTGGAGTTCCTATCTGGGCCACAGCCAGCAACAAATAGAGGGGTATGATCTTGTAACAATTTGAAATCGGTAGTTGGTAGAAATTTCCCAGTCTTGGAGGGTTGGCTATGAACTACACATATATCAATACACTCGTGCAACAAAAACTTGTGATACGACTACATTGTGAATTACGGCAGTTAGCCAAGTGGCCAGATTGTATGGATGTGGCGGTACAGCTCCGACGGTGAGACCTGTGGACCATTCCATGTGACAGCCCTTTTCAAATGAGCCTGTGTACGTAGCTCATACGTAACCTCGATTAAACGGTTGGAGAAAAACAGCGGTGAAAATGGTATTGGGCTATTTTGCTGAGACGCGATGGACCACTGGCCCATTTTGATCACAGTTTCGAAAACCAGAGATATGTAGAGAGGTTTCTTATAAGATATGTATTGAGACCTAGGAAAATATACTAATAACATGATCGTCTTCTCATTGGTTCATTAAGCTGGGGATAGTAGTGCATCAACGTCTGGAGCCCAGCCATCACCATTGGAAACAGTGATTGTGTTGTCTGAACCCTCATCGAGATGGAAGAACCCTCGGCTAAGTCCAGTCTCGGAGAGATGCCTGGTCGACAAGAAGGCAAGCTTCTGAGACTCTCCGTTGACGGAAACAGTAGCGAATCGAGATCCGACGTCGCCGTTGCGGTACTTGATGTTGATTGTGCTGAGACCACCAGAGCTCTTAATACCCTTGAAGGTTACAGTTCCCTTCTGATCTCCACCGATATACCCAACGGCTTTATCGCCACTGCACTCGTTGCAAGAGATGACTCGAGCTCCATTAGCTAACACGGCACCTTCACCCTCCTGGCTTGTGGACTTGGTATCAGACCAGGTTCCCTTTGCGACATTGGGTGTCCAGGAATCGTGCCACTCGAGTGTGACTTTGGTACCGTCAACCTTGAGAGGAAGCCAGACGTAGGTACTGGCAGCAAGGTTTGTGGAAACCCAGCGATCGCCGATATAAATAGCGTTATTGGTACCCAATGGCTGGATGTAGCTGACCTGGCTGCTGAAGGTCTTTGATCCGATGGGTGCAAACTCAGTCCACTCCGACCATGGCCCAGACAGAGATTTGGCGTAGCTGTAAACCTGCTCAAGAGTCAGTAAAAGATAACTCGCTGCGGGAAACTAGAGTCTCTTACGTTGTCGTTGGCATTCCACCCTGTCAAATGAGAACCAAAGATGAAGTAGTAACCATTCTGCTTGAGCATAGCTGGAGATTCGGCAAAGTATTTCCATTCGTAAGTGATGTCGGTAACATTGAGATAGTCATCTGACAAGGACATAATCCGTGTTCCATATTCGCGCTGTAGATTGCTTTAGCTCCTACACCTAGAATGTGATGTGTCTTGATCAACTTACGTCCTCGGTCATAAGATATGCAGATCCATCATCATCCTTGAAAAGACCCATATCCCGACTCTGCTTGCCAAGAGGCCTGAAGCTTCGGTGGTAGGTATACTTTCCGCAGACAGTATCACCAGTAGCGACACCAACCTTGGCCTCCTTATAGTCCGAGCTATCGATGTGAAGGTACAAGACATACTTGCGTGTGTCGTCATTGTAGATCACCTTTGGCCTTTCAACAATGCGGTTGGGTCCAAGATCACCTGCCTCAGTAGTGCGGGACAGCAGAGCACCTCGGTATGTCCATTCCACTAGGTCGGTAGAGGAATAACAATTGACGTTTTGGAAGTACGTTCCGTCTGTCTTGTCCTCGCCGATCATGTAGTAAGTACCGTCGACTTCGCTGTATCTGTGTCAGTTGGCTAACAACCTAGAGGCAGAGGCCACTTACATCAAGCCATGACCATGAGCTTGTACATGTTCACCAGTGTTAGTCTACTAAGGTCAGTCTTGATCCGAAATATGCGCTGTGCATCCGAAATGACCTACGGCAGTCCATGTTGCTCCAGATACAACATCTACAGAAGCGTAGACTTTGCTGGTAGCGAGCACGGCAAGAAAAGCCGAGAAGAATCGAGACATTGCGAAACGGGGAATCGAAAGATATTTCACAGTGTCTGCCGTTGTCTACACATTATCAACATGGACCTAGTTGACTTCTTATACTTGTAGACCGAGAAGCGATTCTCAATTGGGCATCATCACACGCATCCGAGCAGTGTCCTAAAGGGCATCCGAAGCGACACGGGAAAGGAAAGTGGTTTGAACTAAGTCTTGAATACCTCTTGTCTCATTGCCATTTCAAATTATGGGAAGTATCTAATACTATGCAAGAACAGCAATAAGGTTATGATCGACAGCGGCCTTACACAGACGTCGCCCGATACGCGCACCAATTTCACGACCATGTTTTTTGCCGAGGAAGCTAACCTTGTAGGTTTCCCACATGATCTACTGAGCTAGGAGCGGGCAGCGGGGTAAGATGGAAGTCCAATTATAGTGAGTGTCTGGGGTATACAAGAGTTGAACACGAGCAGTGGTTCGGGGATGCAGGAGCCGAAGACGAACCCTGCTCAACCCCTGCAGAAGCCAAGATTATAACGGCCGGGTCTCTTCTATGAGATGCGTCACATCACCATAGCGTTAAGGTCGGATTGGCCAGTTTTCCATGCGAGTCCTCCGTTGAAACATCAACACTACATGCTAGATCTTACGATTATGACCCCATGATGAATCACATCTCACGAACAAACAGCAGGCCCAGGTGAACTAAGTATTCATAATTGTCTCTACACACCAAGACATGTTTATACATTGATACCATGTTTAACTACTTATGCGGCCAGCTTGTGATCTCCTAAGCATCAAAGATCTTCTCATCCTTCTGATTCATGGTTGCCCGAACTGTCTCGGCCGTCCTCGGTTCCAAAGACTTTTTTACAGGATTGGGTGCGTCAAACACCTCGCTCAGCTCCTCAAGGGTACGATCCTTGGTTTCAGGGAAAAAGAAGAAAATGAAGGCTGCTTCAAGCAAATCCCAGAAAACAAAGACAAGATAGAAGTAATATCCGATCTTCTCAAATGCAGGGCCTGATGAGTATGCAAGGACAAGGGAGATGCAGCTGGAGGCAAAGTTTCCGAGGGCGGTTCCCTTGGCTCGGGTAGAGGTTGAAAGAGTCTCGGCAATGTACATGCTCTGCTGAGCGGTCCACCCGAGCGAGAATACGATACCAAAAAGGAAGACGAAGGCGATCGTCGTGTTGGCGGCGTTGGTGTTGGACGGGTCGTCCACAGCCATCTTCGACGTTCCGGTAATGACCGCGAAGATAACCGAGCAGCAGAGAATGCTGTAAATGAGAAGTGGACGTCGACCAACGCGGTCAGTCAAACGTGCGCCAATGAGGGAGCCAATAAGCCCAAGAACACTGTTGGTGGCATTGAGGGCAAGAACCAGCCTCTGCTCCGTGATTCCGGCAGTGTTCATCATGGTCACAAGGTAGTAACTAGAGAGTGAGTTGCCAGATGCCTGTCCCATAATGGCCATTCCAAGAACGCAGATGAGACGTCTTCGGTCGCTGTGAGTATTCCAGAGCTCACGATAATCCCACCACCTCTGGTCCGAGACTTCACTGGAGATCTGTGCCATCATCTCTTTCATCTGCAGTTGAACAATAGGATGGTCAACGTAGCCTTCGCCGTGAAGCCGAGCTAGAACAGCAGCGGCTTCATCATGCTTGTCATGGGCAATTAGCCATCGAGGCTGATATGATGGTTAGTAAAAACCATCAAGACTTGATATCACTCTCTTACCGATTCTGGGAGGAAGTACACAAGGCTAGCCACAACACCAGAGGTAACTAACTGGCTCCACACGGGGATCCTCCAACTATCGTTTCCTTCGACAAAAGAGCTGCCATATGTGACCCAGCCAGCAATGATGGCTCCAACAGGCCTGTGCATGGTTAGAAAAGTCATAGATGAAGCATTCACGAGTACATACCACATGCAATTGTAGAAGCCCGTAAGAGTACCCCTCCACTAAACAGCCATTAGTGACCTTACATGATCATGATCTCGTTACTCACCTTTGGATGGGCGAGCTCGCTGACGTAAGTCGGAGCAGCAATACAACAGTATGAAACTCCAAAACCGAGTAAGAATCGACCTCCCATGAACTGGGGCATCGCATTTGCTGTGGCCCTTTTCACTCTGTTAGCGGTGGTCTTACGTGGGGGGATCGTACTCACTGAACACAAGTGCCGATGATGATTATGACGGCGCCGACAATCATACCCACTCGTCTTCCAAAGCGATCGGTGGCGTAAGGAACAGTAGGGGCTGCGGCAACACTGCCGACGTTGTAGATCATGAAAACAATGCCCGTGGATGAGCCTGCAGTTGTCCTAGAGGATACAGTTAGGGGGATGATGCACTGGCTTGTGAAAGCGAATCTTACATGTTGAACGTATTCTGGTAGGAGGTCATGCCGTTCAAACCGCCCATCAAGCTGCCTATCAAAGCCGTGGTCAGTATGTCACAGCGAAATATCAGAAAGGTTGGCGTACCGTCATATCCATTGAGACATCCACAACAATACGCAACAAAGAGCACACCATAAAGCTTAAACATAGATGCCGTCCATGGAGAATACTCGTTAGTATCTACCTCATGAGCAATCTCAGTAGCAAGGTCTTCTGGCGCCAGTTCATTGCTGAGATCTTGATGAAGTGCACTGGGCTTCTCAGCTGAGAGAGCATCATTCGGTTCTGCCGACATTGTGCTAATCACTCGAAGTTGTCTTTGATCGAATTTGAGTGTCTTCAAGGTCGAATGGGAATATCAAAGAGGGGAAAGACGTTCTGGGGGCCAACGTCTCTTTCGACAAGATTCTGTACCGCTGTTTTATATTTGACCAAGCTTGGCAGAGACATGCATGATCATTAGGGAAGTTTTAGCATTGGCTAGTAGCACGTAACGTTTCCAACGTTGTGGCTCCATTAGTCGGTGCTGGAGCCGAGGGGCGGCATTTTTTGATGGAGATGAGCTGTGAGTCGCGGGGTTCAAGAATAAACTCATCCAAGTGAATCCGGGGAAGAACAAGGAACAGCGTTAGTGCGAGCAGGGAACTTGCGGGGAAATGCTCGAAAAGTGAAGGGATCGACAAGTCTCTCCCATGTTGTCGTCCCCGGCTCCGACATCCCCGATTATGAAGCGCACCAATGAAAATACGAGTGTGGAGGGTTTTCTCCCGAACGATCCCACGGAAAGTCGCCCCAACCTCCTTGTGGGAAGAATCAGATACTAAACTGATATTTAGTGAAGTACCTCACAGCGCTCAATGAAGACTATTGCAAAGCGACTGGAAATTAGCCCAGGCCTTGTCGACGTTACCGTTGACACTCACGCCACACACATTCCACGTTTGACGGATGTTGTCTAAACTGAGGAAACCCCGTTCAGTTCCATAGTGTGCATTCGGTATAATAAACAAAACGGTGTGGTTTCTGACGGGAACGTTTCACGGCCAGCAAAATATCTAGCTAGCTACTCACAACCGCAAAAAGAATGCTGACAAGACTGGGATTCGAACCCAGGCCCCTTTCGAGACTGCGAATCGTCACTAGTTCTAATCGAACCTGAACACAGCGCCTTAGACCGCTCGGCCATCTTGCCTTGTGATTGGATGAAGGGTTGGCCTCTGTATGATCAATATGTTCGATGTGCGATCTTGGAGACACTGTGACTCAGTCCTCTCAAGAGATATTATCCTTAAAGCCCACCTAGCTAAGCCACCGGTATTCGACAACAAGATGGTGAGTTATTCAGAGAATTTCATGCACATGGAATGTGTTAGTGAGAATATTGCTCATAGTTGTCCATACTGCCTGGATTCCTTTTTTTCTTGTGGATCTACTTCATATATGTAAAGTGAACGCTGCCCTTTGTCCTATTTTATCATACAGTCCGCTGCTAAACTCCGCAGCTATCCGTACGCCTGTTGCAAGAACCCCGCCATTTCCAGGTCGGAGATGTACGCTATTTAGAATTATGGGTTTGGCTACTCGACGCAATACCCCGAAGTGACTCCCATTCGTACTCTGTCATTCCAAACATCACCAAATCATGCCATCCACGATTTTGCCAAATAGTGTCCCTTCTTTTGCCCTCCAATTTGAAACCCATACTCTGATAGAGATGTTCAGCTCGTGGGTTGTATGAAGCTGTAGTGATGCCGATGGAATGCAAACCAGCATGTCGAAACCCCCAATCCAGCATCCAGTTGATGGCCTCTTTTCCATAACCCTTGCCCTGATATGGCTTTGCAAGGGATATACCTATTTCAGCATTTCGGTGGTGAGCGGTCGACGGCGAGACGCCACCCCACCCGATGCACATTATGCCAATGATAGTTGGTGTCTTTTTCTTATCTGCATCATTTCCCTCCTCGGACATCGTAGGTTCATCTTTGAGGCATATCGCAACGCCCAATAAAGAATCGGCGACAGACTGGATGTAAGAGTCGAAATCTTTCTGGCCCGCAGGTAGTAGCAACCCGGGCGAGTTCATGGCCATGATAACAGGATCCTGTAGGATCAGAGGGACGAATCTTTGCAGGTTTGTGTCTTGCTTGTCGGCTTTTATATACTCTAGCCGATCTGACTTGAACGCGTTGACAATCTCTGGTGTGTTGTAGTCCATTGTGGGAGAGGTGTTTAAAGGTTTGGAGAAATATTGGCTCGAAATGTGGGAAATCGTGCTATTGAGCTGGACTTGGGAATCTCTACAATGATTGTCCGAGACTTGGGGAAGTTTTAATAGTGGCGGCTGGTCGGGTGATGCAGCTTCATAGTCTGAGAACTTTCAGACTATTCCAAACTGGGTTGGCCGCTCAGTGAGTCATGCCGGGAGACAGACTCTGCAAATTTCGCATTCCCTAGTACGCACAACGTCGGTAATAGTTAATTCCTAGAAAAGAAGGGTGAGCAAACAAATATCACCAGTTTCCACTTTCGTATCAGTAGCTGTAACTCAAGGACGTTTCATTAAGCTTCTGCTGCCTGATTGATCCCTTCATCCACCGGTGTAATATTCTGCTATTTTATAGCGCTAGAACTGATCATGGTAGTACAATTAGAATTGAGTAGAGTACAAAATTAAGCAAAATCCATCTTCTTTCGGTTTGAAACTTTTCTTCAGGATGCTGGCAAACGGTGCTCTAGACCCTGCCCCAGATCCCTTCTTTTGTCATCACTTTAGCAGTAGCCGCAAGACATCCCCCAAACAAACACACCACGCCACTAAAAACAGAAACCTGGAAGAAGCCACCATAACGATCAACAAGGGCCCCATTGACCGGCGGGCCGACCAAAGCTGCAAAGGAGCTGATAGCCAAGCCCATTCCCATGTATGTTCCATTATTCCGAGGGTCCTTGGAAACAAGCGCAAAGGCAGCCGAAACCCCTGAAATGATTGTGCCAGATGTGAATCCAAACACAAGAGCATACACAACCAAGGCTGTCGTGGTCTTGGCTCCGTTCATGCACAATATGACAATACCAGTGCTGAGTCCACCTAGAGAGTACATGTTGAGCCGGCCGTATTTGTCTGCGAGTATCCCTGGGATAATGCGACCGAAAGTTGATGCAGCATTGGTGATGGCCAAGAAGTAGGACGCCAGAGTTGGGTCGATGCCCCGCGAGACGGCATAGGAGGGAAGGAAGAACAAGGGAGCAAACATTCCGATGAAGAGAAAGAATAGTGAACCGATGATAAGTAAGTACAGCGGATCTTTGAAAGCAGCCCCAAGAAAGAGTGAAGTGTTTCTGCTTGGCAATCGTGGTTTAACTGTGATACTGGAGAACGTCATCAGTGGTATCATGACAAAGCCCATGACTCGAATAGACCATCCAAACCCGAGAGATGAGTCGTTCAACATCTTGGATAGTGCAATAGGAAATATGACGCCGCCAATCGAAGATCCGGACACTGCGATTCCAAAGGCTGCTGCTCTCTTCTTGTCGAAATATTGGGATAGAGCGGCAAAAGCTGGAATCTGGAGAAACGCCATAGAGGTGCCCATGAGAACACCCTGAGCAAGCATAAAATGCCAGTACTCAGTACACAAACTGGTCATCATAGTTGCGAAAACGTATACAACAGCTGCTGGCTGGATAATCTTCATAGATGTATTAGTACGTACCACTAGGTTTTGCTTTAAGAACATACCCAAGAACCATAGCGATCGAACATGGGCCCAGCTAAAGCCCCACCAGCGAATTGAATGAATGTCGACATCGAGCCTATCCAAGCTATCTTGTCTGCCGAATGTCCTTGGAGTTGATGGCTCATGTAATACTCTTGCATTACGCCAAATGAGTTGGCAAAGCCGAGGCATGAGAAGAAGATGCAGGCTGCTCCAGCTGCAACGAGCCAAGCCTGTGTTCCACCATCGGGTACCTGTGTGTCATCAAGTTGATCTTCAATAGCATCCTTTTCGTGCAAGTCAAGTGACTGGTTCAAGTCCAATGACGGTTTAGCATCATGGTTGATGGTGTTAGGTTTCGGGTTTAGTGATGACATCTTGGAGGAGTTTGATGGTCGGTAATGAGGCGCGATGAGTAGACTCAAATCTTGAGCTTGATTGTCTTACATGGCCAAAATTTCACTCAATTCAGAAGGGTTCTTAGGCCATATTATATGATCATTCATGTACCGTTAGCTGGTAGTCTCGATACCTCGTGTTAACGGAAATATGATGACTGACCAATCACAATTGAGCGGAGTCGGGATCGGAATCGGATTTAAGAAGCGGAAGCGGCAAATGGATAACCGTAAACATCACTAACGCATTTATTCACCCATCCCCTTCAACACCAATCTCCCACACCTTCATTCTTCATTCACCATTCTATCCCAATCACAAAATTCCAAAGCTATGGAACCGTTACGTAGGCGTCGCAGACCAGCAATGTATGTCAATCTCTTTGGGCTCAATAAACCGGGTCAACTAATCCTTGTAGTGCGTGCACTCTGTGCAGGAAGCGTAAAACACGGTGCAATCGGGGAACGCCGTGTAGCAATTGCATCCGATCAAGAATGGGCGAATGCATCTACGATAACCCACCTACAGCGACTTCGGGTAGGAGAAGTGAGACAACATATGCAGTTCGTATCGCTATGAGTGGTGATCAACATGGTATGTCACTACCAACACCTGAGGATCAAGTATCCAATGTAGGGACGCACCACGGTCAACTGTCAACCATCGGTGGTTCAACGCCAATCGCCACACCGCTGAGCCAAGCATCAACACATGAGATGGAAGCTCTAAGAAATAGAATCAGACTGCTTGAAGGCCAGGTCTCACATAACACCTCATGCCCAGCACAATCACTCATCTCGACGCCCGCTTCAAACACAGAGACATCTTCGTCGCAGTTGGGCGGAACATTTCATATACATAGCCAACTCCAGCCGGATGGGGCGATTCGGCTTCCTCGCGTCATCTCTCACAAGACTCGCATGTTTGGGCAAAGCCACTTTGTCACCGGATTGCCGCTGGTATGGATTACCAAAGTGCCCATCATGCTTACAAGCAGAACTAATGTTGATCTAGCTAAGCGATGTTATGGAGATGATTGATCAGGGAGTTATTAAGAACACCGATCTTATCACCTGCATGCAAAAGTGCAAGGTCGTTGCGAGGCGTATTAAAGCGCAACGTGCACCAGAATGGCCAACGCCATTTGCTACTCAACTACTAGACAAGGCTCTCTCAGACGACCTTGTCGAGTGTTATCTTGGCACCGTCGAGAAGATTTACCGTATACTGCATATTCCTACTTTCAAGAAGAAGTATGACGCGCTCTGGACTTCCGAGAGCGAGCCCGATCGGGATTTTCTGGCCCAGCTTAAATTAGTACACGCCTTGGGCGCGACAATATACGGAGACAAATTCCCTCTACGATCCTCCGCTATTCGATGGATCTACGAAGTGCAGACTTGGATCTCTGAGCCAGAATTTAAGTCGAGACTTGGCATTCAATTCCTGCAAACCAATATCTTGCTTGTCCTCGCTCGAGAGATTGTCGCCGTGGGTGGAGAATCTCCCTGGATTGCCTTCGGTTCCCTACTCCGAACTGCCGTATCGATGGGTCTGCATCGGGATCCGACGCTTCTGTCAACAACTACCACTTTCCCTACTGAGATGCGCCGGCGACTGTGGAGTACCATACTTGAGCTTTGTCTCCAATCGAGTTTGTCCACTGGAGGACCACCGATGATCTCAATAGGAGACTTTGATACTGAACCCCCGGGGAACTTTGACGATGACCAAATCATGGCTGAAAAGGGTACTCCAAGACCTGAGAACATTTTCACACAGATGTCGACGTCGCGAGCACTACGGAAGACATTCTCCACTCGACTCAAAGTCGCCCAGTTACTGAACGACCTCCGAACGGGCGACTCCTACAAAGATACTCTGAGCCTTGACGCTGAATTGAAGGCTTCCTATAAAGAGGCTATCCGGATATTACAAGCAACCAAAAAGACTGAAACATCATCCACCAGGTTTGAGCTGAGCGCAGTGGATTTTATCATGCGTCGCTATCTCTGCGCGCTACACTTTCCCTTTTTCGCATTGTCGCTACAGGATCCTCGCTACGCATTTTCCCGAAAGATGACATTCGAGACCGCCTTCAAGATGTGGTCTGCAGTTTCTCCAACACCAACTGTCAACTCAAGTGATCCAACAGACGCTACCGAATTCTCGCGATTTGTCACATACAGTGCTGGAATGTTCCGAACAGCTGCTTGGCAGGCGAATTTAATCTTAGTATGCGAGCTAAGAAACCAGATCCAAGAAGATGACAGCTTATCCCCGCCGACAATACGTTCTGACTTGATGGGTGTGATGGAGGATGCCAGGGCCTGGAATCTCCAGTGCATTGAGGCCGGGGAGACTAGTGTCAAGGGAGTTCTTACACTCAGCATTGTCCTAGGGCATATCAAGAGTATCATGCAAAATGCTTCGAAAGAAGAAACAGCTCAAGGGGTGATCAAGGCCGGTGAAGAGGCCGAGAATGAGGCTTTGGTGATTTTGGAGTCGATTCTGGCCCAGTTGGAGCCCCAAAGCGCTGAACAGGACTCTTTGGATCAGGCATTCGACTTTACAGGCGATTGGGATATGACGGTAAGTGACAGTTCAAACTATTCCTAGTCTCGAAGTATACACTGACTATTCACAGATAGCTGATGATATTTTTAATGACGGGGCTTTCGATCTTCTGGAATGGATCTTTTAACAAGACTCAGGAGAGAGAAAATGGTTTACAAGAGCCCAATGAATTGAGCATACCAGGAATGGACTCTTATCACCATTATATTAGTGATTGCCTTACCTTTAATATTATATCACCCACCCTGCACAACCTTGAAGTAATTAGAGCTTCTGTCATAGAAAATGAGTTAGTATCCGAGCATGATCAAACGTAGCTAGGCCCAGTTAATAAACTGGGATTTAAAGGAGGGCTCTATAATTCTATTTAAATAAACCTATATCAATGCTAATTTTAACGGTATATCTATCCTAAGTAAAATTTACATTTCAAATATGTAATCCTCCTATTAATTAAATAAACATATAAAGTGTTATAATTTAGCTATAAGGCCATTTGTATATGAAGAAGACTTTTTTATTTTAATATATTTAGTTTCTTTTATAAACTATTGAGAAATATAATTTCTCTATTTAGTCTTAAGCTTAGTATATACTCTTGATCAAATAACTCTAGAATGGTAAAGCTTATTCTTTAAAACACCTAACTGTTATAACAAGACTGTAAGTTAAATAGAAGTAACTAATTAGCTGTATCTCTTAAACTCTACTAAATAAACTATGAAGATTAAATAGAATGCGTAGAAAAATGATTCTCAATAAACTAAATTTCTTTTTCTAAGGAATTCTCTCTCCTCATTACAGTTCCCGCTGAGTAGGTAATAATTTGCGGCTAACTTTGTCTGCGGGGGAATAGGCGCGGCTCCGACCTTGTTGTCAAGTTCCGATATCGTCAAACCTAAGGTACTTATCTATCACACATGGAATGCTTCATCGAAAATTTTCTTGGAGATAGAGTAGTTAACTGGTCCAAGTTAAATGTTTGATCTGACGTCTATTGTTTTTAGCGATGTAGCTGTGCTAGAAGACAGATTGATGTCACCCCTCACACACATCCGTCACCCAAAACCCAATCCCAATTACTTGTGCTTATTTGACCCCAGGCCTGAAACCAGACGCGATGTTTATGCGACATTTCTTGACTACTCTCTGGTCATGGATGGCGAAACCTACAACATGTTAGCTGAGAGCCCGTGATGCTCAAAGTGCCAGGGATTTAGATATCATCTGTCAGAACTTACATTCCAAGTCACGATCTACAACTTTAATCTCCATGGTAAAGTCGATTCTATAATGCTTCTTTCCAACCTTTTGTTGCTTTTTATTAAGAAGCGGCTCAATTGGGACTAACTGATCTCGAAGAGAAGAGAAGTCTACCTCAATTTCGCCAACATACTCGGCACCTTTTAAGGTAAAGTTAGACATATCTCACATCGAGAACCTCAAGCTGACCTTGGTTATTAGGATGAGTCTTCCTATAGTGTGATTTTGTCGAAATATCCGATACGTAAAGAATCTCCTTACAGATAAAGGGACGGACAGGCCAGAAGTCGAATGTATGACAACAGGTGAAGGGCTTACACTGCCATACTGATGCAACCTTTTCTCCCTATATCTAAGTTAGTTATCTGGCGAAATAAAAGTCTCTAAAGAAAATAATTACTAGCGGTAAAACCCAATCAATTGTTTGCTTGATGTATGGCATCCCGTCATGGCGATCATAAGACGGCGTTAGACCCGTATGCTCGGGGTATAGTCCGAAAGGCTCGGTTCGTAATATACCATAACTTGAACGAGCTATTCTCTCCGGTCCATTCGCTTTATTAAGAGCTCTAAGGACAGCTCCTGATGCTACGGCATTGATGATGGAAGTTCTATATAGTGGAGATTAGCAAACGGCGTAAGAGCCTCTGCACGTAGAAAACAAACCCTTGCTGAGGTTCCATCAATGTGACGCGGCAATGATATTCTCGGCCGTATTCCTCTAAGAACTCTTGTAATCTTTGGCTGAGTGAGATCGAAGTTCCAAATCCTCCAATGAGAACAACTTTCTGCAAAATGTTATGTGAGAGTGAACAGCCAGTCTGACAAAAGACAACCTACCCGAACAGTGTATCCTTTCCCCCTTGCTTCGTCGAGTTGGCTCTTCACAATCTCAACAATAGCATCTAGATGTGTGAAAAAGATCTCTCGGATCTTAAGTCTAGGGCCATCAGGTTAAGTAATCAGTTCTTTGTTGGGGTTTTGAAATTAAACGTACCTCGGAATGTAAAGGCATTCATTTCTGAAACCCTTAGCAGGATTATCACGAAGTCCTTTGATATAAATCTCCTTTCTCGACGTCTGCTGCTTATAGTCAAAGCCCCGCTTAATCCGCTTTTCGAACTCTTCGAATGTTATCTTCTCCACTATTCCATGAATGGTTTCGATGCCGTCGTTGAGGTATGTTTCTTCGGAAAGGAGATCTTCGAGATACTTCCGGAAACCTTCGTTCAGGTAACTAGATCCATGCAGACCGCCTATTCAATCAAGAATTAGCTATAAATAGTACTAATTCCTATCGTACGACATACCTCCAGGAGCCACTATCTCGGTCTCTAGCCTCAATGGCTCCTCTCTGCTGACTCGATATGTGTTCACGTCGACAGTTCCGCCCCCTTGTTCATTTCATTAGTTGGAAAAGCGCAATCGGGGTCAAATCATACCTGCGTCAAGTATAACAAAGCAATCTCCGGCCTAATTAATCATATGAGCAGTTTACCTGGATAAGACTCAAGGGGGAAGTTTATACCTTAATTTCAGCCGAAGTGGAAAGCATGTATGCAGCTGCTGCCTCAGGTTCCGACACGATGAAGAGGTTATCAACGCTCTTATTCTGTAAACCAACTTTCGTGAAGCTGGCACGTTTCATGGCTACTGCTAGGCATGCCTGCATGTCTCGGCATGCTTTCTGCGTCCATATAGCAGGAACACAAAGTATCATTTCTTTCTCGTAACTATCATCAAAGCCTTGACGACGCAACTGGGACCGAGTATGCTCCAGAAGGTAGGTGAGAAAATCAGCGATGACGTGGAGGTGCCCTTGAATTACGTTCCGTCTCTTAAGCGTGTTGATTGTCTGTCTCAATTCTTGCCTTACAGACTCAGTTCTTTCACTAGTGTCAAGTAAGAGCTTGAATCGAGACAAAGGCTGGTTGGTGGTGTTGGAGTGTGTAGACGGACGATTCCAGACTTCATGTACTCGGTAACCCCATCGAAACTCCTCTGACACGTCTGATAGCATGGAGATGTCGCCGTCTTCATCAGGTACAAGTACAGGCACCTCAACGCCATCTCCGTTTTCCAAATGTTCCTCAGGATTATCGAGATTAAAATGGTCGCGAAAGTGGCGGTCCAAGGGATACATCACCTCGGTAGGAACCTCCATACCCATTGGATCATTATAGCCGTAGTTGTAATTCTCCGGGTAGTTTCCAATCGAACGAATGGACCTCGAGTCGACGGAATCGGATGGACATCCTTGGGGTACGTCGACGTAAGAAACCGCTGAGTAAGTGGTACCGAAGTCTACCGCAATGATGAGGCGTTTCGGGAAGGGATCTCCACGGTCCTCATCTAGCAGGTCAAGGTCGGTTGGTTCCGGTCGGACATGGTCGGCTTCAAGTTGACTTTGGTGATTGGGTGCATTTTCTCGACCTAAAGTCACAGTCGATGACCTTGAGAACGACATGATCGAGACGGAGATAGCTAAGAGGAGAATTTCGCGCATAGTACTCCGTAGGCCAGGAAGCCTTGTATTTAACTTAACCTCCTTTTTGCTGCAGCTGAGCTCCACAATTCGACAGTTAACCATCTCTGTAGGCAGCAAGGCAGAAACGTGGTTGTTGTAGGAGCGCGTAGATCTCGCGTTGGCCAATGATGTTGTGCTGTTGGTTCTATGAATATGCAGAGTGGCACAGTTGAGTCAATATAATTGGACAATCAAGGTATCACATGTGCACAGCCTGCATATAAAGAGACAAGGGTCGAACCAACATCAACACTCCGCGTTTCAATTTATTGTTCGCTCGAGCTCCAAAGGCCTCCAGCGTCCCCCTAAGCAACAACTGCATCATGGCAAGAAAGAATAATCGAAAATCGAGGCGGTCTGCCAAGTCCAAGCCGTCAGAGCGTATCTTCTGGAGCAACGCCGATCGACTTCAACTTCTAGCGTACCTGAACTGGTGCGTACAATATTGTGTAAAATTCGAAGTCACAGCTCCGGGTCACCTCGAAAAGGCGACGGGGAAACAGTTCTCGAAAGAGCGCATCCGAAGGAAGCTTTACGATGAATGGCGAGACTACGGGACATGTGCCAAATTCAATAATCTATTTGAGCTAGGTACAGCTGGTCTCGAGCCTCTTGTAGGCAAGGAGCAGGAAGACTTCCACAAAATGATCACCAGCATGAGCCCTGCCCAAGAAACGCGTTGCACAAGAAGTAAATCTTTGGGTCTTACTACGCGGTCAGGTACTCTATCAGCGCCTCGTTCGATTTATTCATTCAGCAGCTCCAAAGAACCTGATGAATTACCTGCTCCGCAGGCTGGCAACTTAAGCGCTGTCCCAGAACGTCTGAGACAAAAGGTTCGAGACGTGACTTAAAGAAGGGTGGATCTGAGTTAACAAATGTATAGACCAAGGCAAATATCTCTTTGGGGCTAACGAAACTGGCCCTCAACGACGATCTTAGCGAAGATGAGCTCACAGAGGACCATAACATGGATAGGGTGAAAGGCGAAGACGAATCCGAGCTAAGCACAATTGCTTCGCTGGAAGTCTCAGATATAGAGCCTGAGCTCAGCCCTGCTCTTCCTGACTCCCAGGAGGATACCATGACCTTTTCCTTCCAAGAACGGCTTGACTCGTCCCTGGAGAAAAGACTAAGGCAGACAGAAGCAGATCTCCTCAAGCAGACGAGCTATTCCCTCACTTTGGAAAATCGAATATCCGAGCTTAAACGAAGAAATTCCGATTTGGAACATTCCATTAGCCTTTCTGGCTCAGCCCAGGGTAGTTATGGGGAGGAAACACGGCTTCGAGATGTCATATCTAGTTTGAAAGATAAGCTTGACCGAGAAAGACTTCTTACGATGAACCTCCAGCAACTGGAAGCAGACAGGCTCGGATTTCTCAACACCTCTCTCGGGCTTGAGTACGAGAAACTCCACTCAAACAGCTGCGATACATCTTCAACGATTTGTCATATGAGTTTAGACGATACCCTCCCTGAACAGAGAACAGGATTTTCCCACTTAGCAAACAATTGGGCTAGACGCATAGGCGGGCGCGATCTCGGCTCTCTTCTCGGCCACTGTGAGTCAGCACAGATCCCGAAGAAAGTCATTTTGGCCTCTCTGCTGGCGGCGGGTATCTTCGAACTGGTTCTCGAAGAGGTGTTTCCAGCCTTCCTGGCTGCTGACTCACCACTGTTGGATCAGTACAGAAAGCATATTGAAACTCAAAGTAAGCAGGCTCGTCCTCCCTATACTCAACATTGCTTGTTTCCTAGAGCTAAGATAACACGACCAGGTGGATGGAACGCACTCCAACGACTTGATTTTATCTCCATAAAGTCCCTTGTATCAGACAAGCACGTTAAGGAGGGGATTATTTCAGAAAAGTCCAAATGGCTTTCTAACTTGATGCTGCAAAATCTAAGCTACTTTTTGCCCCTGGAAAGTCGGGATATAACCCAACGTTTACCTCGTAACGAACTAGAAGCGGAGATTATTAGCGACATGAGAAGTACTTTGCATCATGCGTTGAAAGTCAAGATTGAGCTCACGCTGTCTGTAAAGCGGCTCAAATACCTCTTCTTTAAGCCCGGCACACTATTCGACTCGGAGAAAATGGAACTTGTCAAATCTCAAGCTGGAGACTCTGCACTTTTGAGTGGAAAGGTGAGGATCTGTTTATTACCCGCTCTTTTCACCATATCAGACGCAGACAACAAGGGTGGAGTTGGAGAGGAGCCAAGTCTCATGGCGAACCACAGTAAAGCTTTAACAGAAGTAATGGACAAGGACGATACGTTTCTGGTTCTCGTGGAAAAAGCAGTTGTATTCCTTTAGACATATAATTAAAAGCACAAATTACAGCACAATTAACATTATTCCGAAAACATACACGCAAATCGACGACGACAACTTTCTAGCCGTTATAACACCCATACTAATTACCTAATATATTTTATTATTTTCCTAATGTAATCAATATCAGCAGAGCTAACAAATTTTAATATTAATATTATACTATAGTAGCATTGCTGTTATATCATGATAGGCCCTTTGTAAATAGCTATAAGCACTACTATCATTACCTATATAGTGGTTACAGCGTAACCCTTTAACCTGTGGCCTAATGGCTTATACTACGATTATTATTTGGATAGGTTTAGCCGGGGTGTATATGTAAAAGAGGAATGAAGATATGTTATTGAGCATTGTCGGACCTGATTAAATAAATATCCGGATCTTTAACAGCCTTTACTCGCTTGGGCCACGTGATACAACGACCAAACCTGTGCCTATTGCTATCAAACCTCTATCTCGGCCACCTCCCCTCAAGTTTTTCTGAGACGACCTATCGCAATGACACCTCACTAGAGCCTGGTGAACTTGATTGTCGCCAATGAAGTAGATCAGCGCGTATAGTTGGGCCAATCACCGGTTCCAACCACGCGTTCCTACGACGGCAAATTATGTGATTGATTGGCTTACTGCATGCAAGAGAAAGGTCTAGCCAATATTTCTGCAAGTATAAATAGTCCAACAGCGCCATATCAAGCTGAACCGACTTTTCTTCGTCAGCATCCAACAAAAAGAGCATTGTCTGCCCAACTCGAATATTCATTATGCCCTCCAAGACAGATAAGACCAGAAAGTCACCAATCCCTGACGAGACCCCCGACATTATTCCTCCCCATCAGCTTAGCAGCAGGGAAGCTGAAGAAGACTATCAGAAGCAGCTTGCCATGCTCGATCAGCAGAATAAGGAATACCGCCAGGGTCAGAAAGGCCGAGTCTCAGACGATAAGAAGGCCGGTGAACGTGGCGACTAGGTAGAGTGGTGATAAAATATTCAGGGAACTACTCGCGATATTATTTAGAGCAGTTGGCCGAATACTGTTTGAAGTCATCATCAGAGAGTCAACTAGCAGAATGAAGGCTGGCCGTGACCGACTATCGACATTGGTTTAGCTTGTCTTTAGCTATCGAGAGGATTTATAAGGGAATACAAGGTTGAATGATTGATAAATACCTTCCGAAGCCTGCTTTGTCAAATCCTAGCTTGAAATCTGGCTTGTTGGTGAAGGCGTCTGGAAATGTTTGCTTGTTGGTCGTCACTGCTGTAACTTATGATATTAAGAGAAATTGAGCAGACCACAGGTATATCTCGCAAATTGCCCCTGGGTTGGGTCGACTTCCATCAAGCCAGTGTGGCGTAACGCATGTCTTGGGTATTCGGAAACGAAGCAAAAGGAAGATATGAAGTATTGCCTCTTGCGTGTCTTTGATGATATCATGCCCATGGATATATGGCAAAGGTCGTAAATCTCTTGAACGACTGTAGCAAAAGATTATGGAGTAGATGATTGACGTCTCCATACTGGCATGGGGGCCCCGTCTCACCCGCTGAGATTGAATAGCCTAGGCGTAGTGGGAGGAATACCGCGTCAGTTGACATTCTTGCGCCTTCACCTACAGACTTCTTTAACTGTGGACGGATCGTACCACGATCGGATTTGATGCCAACCAACACTCTTTTCATCTCAGGAATGTATCTTCGCACATTCCTAGCGTTAACGCGGTGGCAACACGCACCAGCATACGGACTACTCATCTGTCAATTTAAATACCATGAAGAAAGTGTAGTGGCCATTCCTATCTCTTAAACAATAAAAGTCTCTTCTACCAACAAGTATTTGAGGCCATAAGGCCACCGTCCGTATGTTTCGTGCCGACAGGGCCAAATGCCGATAGGCAAGAAGTTTGAATTCGGATGAACCAACAACCTCAACCTTTCCGGGCGGGAAACAAGCATTTTTGGCCGATCATGCGGCTAGTGACCAGCGTGTCTGGGCGGCAGTATGGTCAAGAAGACATTATTGCAAAGCTGGACGGCGTTTGGGGGCATGACAAAAGACTAGACTAGATAGAAATGACATCCTTCAGATGCTATATTTCTACGTCATTTGAATCCAAGCTCGCTTTCTATCGCTTCCTTAAATTTAACGTCACTGCAAAGGTTTTCAATAATGAAGCCGGGAATTCTCTTTATCCAACATTTTCCCAACACTCTTCTACATAATAACCTAATTTCAGTCTCAGCTAATTATTTCCTGCCCAATTGATCCATTCGTGACAGTTAAGTAATGACTATCTAAGATTATACTTCTTTTCATTCGATTGTTAAATGTCGCTCGGCCTTGGCTCTAGCTATAGCGGCTAACTCGCGCCCAGATGTAGATCTTCAGGGTAATGGAGACTGGGCAACAGCTTTCAAGATCGGAATCCAGGCGGAGAGATCGTATTGCGCTTTTCTGTTGGTCGCTGTCTTGTTTATCTGTCTCTGAAACCCTTAACCTAGATCTCCAATATGGGAGACTAAGGCTATGAAAATCAGATATCCTTGAACACAAGATAAAAACCGTACGGAAGATGATACTTATTGGGCAACTACTATAGCGGAGTTCGATGTCCGGTGAGATCATGCCTGAGTAGTGCTGGCATGAAACTACCAATGATGATTGCAAGAATGTCTGTCATGTGCGACCCTCCTCTTTTGAAGCTACCTAGACGGAGCAGTTGTCTTAATCGAGAAAAACGACCGGTGAAGAGTCCGCTGTGGCTGAGGGCGCGTTTTCATTTTCCACACTGTGCTTACGCAGGACTGAACTGAAACATTACACGAAATGTGACTGGATCTTGTTTGCCACGAACGCCACGGCATCTGCACTTTGTTCAGCTTTCAACCTCCTGGGAACGTAAGCGCTCAGTACACGAATAAATAGTAATCCTGTCTCCATTAAAAGTCAGGCTGCGATGAAAAGGTGCAGGTTATTGGTGGGAAAATGCAAAACAATGGCTGGTGCAACACAAACGTGATTATATATAGAAGTGAAAATCATCCTCGGGTCCCATGACCAAGCCTTCTTAACTTTTAATCAAAAGTATCCAGAGGAAACTCGATATATGTGCTCCATAAGTAGGGGGTTCCCGTCCGGCTCGAACCTGATGCAAGGCGCTCCTTGCAAAGTGTCTACACGACCTAGCACCTGCTTGCCAAAGCCCATCGACCTAAAATCAACATAGGTTACCGACCATGGACTGCTCGTTATCAAGGCTATCAAGCCTTGTGGAGAACGAAGAAGTGGAGTTCGACGCAGACATAGCAGGGATAGGAGTAGGTCATCACCCGTGGACCCGATCTGCTCAAGTCTAACGTTACTAAGGTTCTGATCGCTTTTCTTGCGACGTCTTTGGTTGCATTTATCACTTTGCTCGCAGCCTATATCACGCTCTCAGTTCCACCTCGGCTTTGTAACGCAGGGGACACCGTCCTGTCCACTCATTTGCGGGACTACCTCCGTAAACTACGGAGGAAACTGCCCAAGCTAAAGCGTGTGAAAGTAGTCGACAGCCAGAGTGAGCGCATTCATGCTTTCATGGCCTTTATGCTTTCCATCAGCGATCAGATTCTTGTTTCTCAAGTCGCCATTCTTATTGCCGCCTTCATCATCCACGTGGAGATCACCATATACTCAGTCAACATCGTCATAGCCCTTGGGTGCCTGGCTTCCACCGTGCACTTGGGTAGCTTCCCCTTCTACATAGACCGCCTGAGAGACCACGGGACCGCTAAGATGGTCCGAGTCATTGCTATGGCGGCTGGATCGGGGATGCTGGCGTTCGTGTTGATTATTCAGTTGTCCTATACTTGGGACATGGAGACGCGCGTTTATTTCACTTGTGTTCTACACGACTTTCAAATCAGAGGCGATAATATTGCCAGTAGTGTTATCGGACTTTTCGTGCCGATTTCCGTGCTTTATGGCACGTACGAAATTGTTCAGCTGTTGTATACGAAGCAACCACCTGGAAGTGAGTTGATAAAGCGGGGGAATATTTTCTAAGATCACGTTTGTTAATTAGTACCAGGTAAAGCTGATCCGTCATTGGTGGCGCAGATGTCCGAACAGCCGAACAATGCAGCTTTGCAACGGTTAGAAGAACTACCCATTGAAGGAGTCGGAGAAGACCTCAGTAGAATCAAATGCGAAGCAGAGTTGCTGGACAGGTTGCTACGGCTAATTGATCAGAAGGAATCCAACACTATTACAAACTCGACAGACACCTCGGATATACCCCTACAGGGGATCGCACAAGTATCCGACAGCCGCGAGGTACAGCCTGATATTGGCCAGTACACTTACGCTGAGCTAAATTCCAGCTTCTTAAAGCCTCGTCTTTCGAAAATGTCTTATAAAGATATCTGGCGACAAACCCGGGAGAGCGATAGAAATGCTCTTCTCAGCAAGTGGCTACAATTACAATCCCTAAACCTTTTGGTCTCAGACTCAAAGTCTAACTTTCGCCTGAAAGCTCGAGTGTACTGGGTTGCCGAACAGTGGGCGTTCCACCAGTGTCGCGGATCTTTCATGTGGAGACTTCTGTGGCTTTGGTCTGGTAACGCTTATGGTATTGTAACCGTTTTCTTGTCCCGATCAAACAGAACGGGGTTGTCAGGAGACCCTGATCATTGGGGCTTCGGGCAAGTTGTCCCTCTAGCTCTGCTCGCGTTGCCACTTTTTGCAGCTATGGAGAGTCACGCAGGTAAGAGATTCTTTTTAAGGGTCTGAGAAACTGACACTTGCTGATGTAAGATCCAGACTATAAGAGGAACCTCAAGTCAATCACTGTTAAAAGCCATGCATCGCCCTCGGACTTGCTAGTGTCTGGAGTGTTCCTTCATATGAACCATCCGGATGGCCTATCTAAAGACGATCGTGAAGCTACCGACTATGTAAGAAAGATCGATGAAGCATTGCAAAAGCGTGCCAAGGATATGGGTCACCCAGAACTTTACAAGTGGGTTAAAGGACAAGAGCTGAAGCATTCATCAAGCATCTGGAGTGCTGTTGTTTATCATACTTTATTCATGGCCTCCTTCACTACTGCGATGGGTGGGTTCATGGCCCTTGGGACTTTATGGGTCGAGGTTACACTGGTATCGATAATGCTCATTCTCACTATTCGCAGGGCTGCTGACCTCGTATGGATGGCCAAGCGTACTAGAACGGGACCCGCAGTTTTGAAATATCTCGGTACCATAACTTCGAGCGAATTCCAACAGGACGGCAGTCATGGCGAGCGAATGATGGCGGCTCAAGCAGCTGGAGAAGTGGAGGAGGACGTACAGGATGAGGAACCAAGAGAGTGAGAGATATAAGCAGTGTGTTGTAATGGGTATTCTTGATAGATGGATTCATTAAGAAAGAGGGGGGTTTGAACTCACGCAAGATATACAGTAGTTAGTCGTTGCGTTGGTCACGGTTGATTGTGAGTATAAGTTAGGAGAATGCAGCAATCAGTGGAAGTCGAAACACAATGCGTAATGATAATGGATCGTGATGATCGACTCTGAACGATGGTAGAATACAGTTTCAACCAGCATAAAATCTTGTGGCTTTACAGCAAAGCCCATAGGCATGATTGAAATTCGGTCCTAATACTATGCTTCCAATCCTGAAGGATGAACGGAGTAGGCACGCACAGACGTGATCAGACTTCTACGTCATCCCGACCCTAAGCCCACAAGAGATCGTCGTTCTTGGATACTCAGCCTCAACATTTAGATCCTACAGTGGAGCATCTGACAAAGAAATTCAAGGAAACACTCTGGAATAACTTTCCGAAATTGTGATGATGAGGTTAAAACATTCCTACGTGATCCTTTTGTGGACTGCCGGGCCCATATATCTTCCTTCCGGTCCGCTGTTTGCGCGAAACACCAACGATGTTGAGTCAAAGCTTTTGATGCGACATACTAGAGTCTGACTTGGTCGTAGTTTGATTCAGATTGGCAAGTCATGACGAAACACACAGAATCATCTAAGTTTATTTTTACACCGCCAGAGCATCAATGTATATATATCTAGACATTGACGACGGATAAAAGTGTCATCTCAGTTCAACACATCATTTTCCATAACCTCAACCTCAACCAAATATTATTCCCATATATATCAAGCACAAGCCAATCGCATTCAATATGAAGTCAACTCTTGCCTCAGCGGTCCTCTTCTTCGGCCTCGCCCTCGCCCAATACGGCGGCCAAATCAAAGTCAAAGACGACGGATGCCCCCAGTTCACAGCCGGCGAGAAGTCACAGACCCTAAGCTGGACCAAGGGCAACAACATCTGCGCCGACCTCTCCAATATCTGCCCCGACGGCAAATGCTTCATGGCTTTCCAGGCACTTGTCACCGGCACTGACAGCCGCACACCCGCCAAGATGGGAGCTTGTCCGTCGGATGACTGCTCCAGAGACTGCCAGACTTGGGATGTTGAATCACAGAGCAACAGCATCTCTGTTGACTGTGCTGAGTTTACTGGCCAGCACTACTTTTATTTGGGTGATTAAGGGACACACCGAATGCCAAAGAGCGCGCAGGCATATGCTTGTCCATGAGGTCAAAAGCAAGAAGGACTGTTGCACCACCACGATAGACAACTATAAAATACATAAACGTTCCCTATATTTTGAGTAAACGTCTCCATTCATATCATACCATAACCAATGCTATTGGGACCATTCAATGTGTAAGAATCGATCTCGTTGTTGACTTAATATTTCCCAAGCCAAAAGCAAAAGTCGATACATTCCTTACCCGACGCTACTTTCTCCTGCAAAGGACGGCATGAAAACCTGTCCATGAACTATGCATAAGAGACTTTGGTAAAAATACCCGAGATCGACGACGTATCGAGAGGCTCGGCTACATATACCATCTAAATGATAACGCACTTGTCATCAAAAAAGTTATGATTTAGATATTTTATTGAAATAATAAAAGTCCACTGATTTCTAAGTCTAGATGACCTAACTAACAGACTGATATCTCAAGCAGGAAAAGAGGGAACACCAGGCAGTGCTTTTTCAAGGCGTATCGCAGGCCACTTATCTTTTCGAGCAAGCGGGCAAGTCACTCTTGAATCACGATCATGAAAATGATTGGAAAATCCTACTGGAGCTCTGATTTCATTGTTGATTGCAGTGTGGTGATTGCATACACTCAATCCATCTTTATTGAAGCTCTCCTTTGTCCCTACCACTCGGTCTTTTTCGTACTATCAGACAACTGTATTCAAACCTAGAGGAGCGAAAATGGCCAAGCTCCATCCATTTATCCGTACGAAGGGAGTAAATATTTTCAGATGTAATTTCGGAAAATTAATCCAAATGGGTTTAATTTTTCCACTCAACCTGGCACGTCCCGGACTCCGCTATTTTCGCCAAATGTTCTGCTACATCCGTGCCCCGCTGATGCTCACAGGCATAATCACCTGAGATATTCCATGGACATGGAGTAGTGCGAGCCTCATTTTTCATCAATCGGAAGAGACTTACCAAATGGGCTGGATCTAAACTCTTGAGGTCGTGGGGCGGCAATTGTACCGATATTGCCAGCGCTCAATCCGTAGTACACGCCTTGATCTATCTTGATCAGATGTCATGAGACTAGTAACGATGGTTACTCGATGACTTTGATAAACTTGTTCTTCCAAGCGATTCTGTAAATAGGCTAAATCTTATGACTTCTCCCTGGAATAGTGCGCTAGTGGCAAATGAGAAGGTTCGTAGGAATTCCTAACAGAGCCAATGAGGACAGGCTTCAATGATCCTTCACATCCCGTGTTAGCTTGAAACGAGTACCAAGTCCGTGGCAATGCATGAACAAGGGAACCGCACCATAGAGGTCGGCCCATGCCGTCGGGAGAAAAATAATGGACAAGGTCCAGTATAGGAGGATGATACGATGGTGGCTACAGGGACTTGACGCGCATATTGGATATTATATCATCAAGTTCGGCATTTTCTTCCTTCTTTCTTAGCTTCGTTCGACTACTAATCCACACTCATTGACTTACGAAATGGTCAACTCAGCATTTGTTGGCGAACCGCCTGCCACGGAAGATGATCTCAACATTGTCCGGGGCATACTTCGCATGTACGGCCTCGGCAATGTCGACCCCAGTCTTGGATTGACCTTTTCCATACAAAGACCAAAAGGTCCACCTGACGAGTCGAAGCAACCTGGAATTTTGGCAGGCATGATCATTGTTATTCTTGCCATTGTTGTACCCACGGTCGCGAGAATTATCATCCGTCTCAGAGGATCGAGAACGCAGTTTGGTCCTGATGATTGGGCCATCATCTGTGCTGCTGTGAGTTGATACGTGAAAACCAAGATCGACAGCTGACAATTTACTAGTGTTTGGCAGTTTCTTACCCATGCATCTGCATAGCGATGCTCGCTGAGACGGGCGCCGGTCGACATACGTACGAAAGCACATACGAAGAATACAACCTCTATATGTACTACCTAACGGTTTGCAAAATAATATTTTACGTTGCTGTCGGACTCATCAAGGTGTCGATCACACTTTTCGTTCGACGACTGGCAGACAGAGCATCGAAAGCTTGGAAGCTCTTTGCCGACATATTCCTTGGGACAGTGGTGATTTACATACTTCTCGCGATATTCTGTAAGTTGAGGAGCTGACAGACCATACGTCTCCATGATACTGATATGAATAAGGGTTCATCTTTTCGTGTAGACCTATTGGATCGATGTGGAATAAGAAATACGCTGGATCTTTGAAGGACCCTCCAGTATGTGTCGATTCAATATTTCAGAACAAGTTCTTGAGTAGTATGCACGTTGCACAGGTAATTACAGACATCACTTCGGTGCGACGACAATACTGACAGCCTACCGATAGAGCATTGTGCTTCTCTTGGCGCCTATTATCATTTTGTGGTACGTCAAGATTAACAAAGGCAAGAAGGCGCGCCTGTTCTTCATCTGGCTTGTTGGAGGCACCACGGTACTGGGCGGCCTGCTACAGCAAACCATGATCACCATAAGCAACGACTCTTGCTGGCAATACACATCAGCATTACGGTGGACAGTGATGGATCTCACATTCGGGACATTAGCCGCATCGCTTCCCGTCCTCGACGCAGCGATCATGGGTACATGGAGCTCCATCAAGACCAAGATCGGCGCATCAGGCTCACACTCGCGATCTCGGACCCAAGGGTGGACAGATCTGGAGAACGATACAAGACATATAACGACGATCCGTCGCGGTAGCGAGGCCGACTCCGACTCGATTGAGAATATTATGAGCAAAGATAAGAGTGGCGGGATGGAGATGGGCATTTTACGGACTCATGAAGTTCAGTTGAGTTACGATTCGGATCAGGAGCCGAAGAACCCTCATGTAATGGGCGTGGGAAAGTAGCGACAAGCCCCAGATGAACTTTTTCTTCTTGTTCATATTGATTGGTAGTAACATGGACAGGAAACGATAACGTGAACCCACAGCGGGCATATTACACCTAAATTCCAACGGGCGCAGGGTAGACCATGCTCCAAACTCGAAGGATCGAACTAGTGTCGTGTCAGATATAATCTTCCTTCCAGTGATAACGGCCATTCATTGCACATTTTACGTTGTGTGTCCGAAAATGGGCTGATCAAATGCACGGTATCATCCACTCTCAGCCAGGATCATCGTCCTTGGACCTTCACGGGCTCCAGTTGCCTGGTTCGCATCGGATCCGAGTGTTCGGATACCCCGGAAGAGGCAATAAAGCCTGACGTGCCAAGAGATGCGTTCCCGCACACCGATGGCACAGTAATTATTCCGCCGTCCAAGGTGATGTTGTCCTGGTTGTTAGCACACAGCCTTGTAGTTCGCCGAGTCCAGGTTGTCCAGCCATTAATGGTCGTGGCTGTACCACCACGTCAAGATCCGAGTTTGGTAGATAGGTCTGATTCAACTAAGAATACAATTGCTACACTCTATTGAGTATCCTGTCCCCCAGATATCCTACCTCACCATCGATCCTTCAGGTGCAAGGTTATTTACCTTCCTTCAAATCGGGCAACCTGTTTATGCTCATCTATTTCCGTTACACGAGCCATGGTAATTACTCCTTTCAGGGATCCCCTGTTCTTCTCCACACCCTAACCTGACTGGCGCAAGAGACAATCCACGCACTCAATTCAGCGAGGGGAGGGACTACAACAGTGGAATAAGCCCTTGACATTGTATAAACACCTTCTGTACTCCATAAGGTTTGTCGGTGTATCGAGAAGTCATTCTTTCCCTAACCACAAGTCGCTCTTTTACACAAGCCCAGTATTATTTGCTGGCAGCCACTCATTCGCATATACGTATAATTAATTAATCAATCAACATGGCTCGCTTTTTCCTCAACTCATTGTTATTCCTCGGCGCTCTTGCGCAGCCTGTAGAGGAGAAGCATGTCAAGGACTGCACCGGAACTAATGCTGTCAGCATGTTCTGTAACTCGGCCCAGGCAGCATACAAGCGAGATTTTTTCTACGTCGGCGGCCGTCCTGCCAAGGGCTCGTCTGGAACCATCACGGTCGACCAGATCTACGTCGAGAAGCTGACGCCGACCACGCGGTATCTTCAGGAAAACCCTCTTGTTTTCTTCCACGGCGGTGGTCTTTCGGGTAGCACATGGCTCAACACACCTGACGGCCGCGAAGGCTGGGCAAGCTACTTCACCAAGAGAGGCTACGTTGTCTATCTAGTAGATAACAATGCCATTGGCCGCAGCGCTGAGAACGCTATCGCCAGCTTCCCTATGGCCGCTGGCTCAGCTAGCGAGACTGTCATGAAGTTCTTCACTTCTCCCGAGAACTACGAAACTTATCCTCAGGCGAAGCTGCACACACAGTGGCCTGGTACCGGAGCTGACGGTGACCCCGTCTACGACCAATTCAAGAAGTCTCTCATTCCTCTCACCACCAACTTTGTCGGTCAGGAGAATGCCCTACGCGCTGGAGGTTGTGAGCTTCTCTCCCTGCTCGGCGAGAAGGCTTTCCTCATCTCCCACTCGCTTGGTAGCAGAAACCCTCTTCTGCTTTCTAATGATTGCCCTGAGTACATCGCTGGTAGCATCAACCTTGAAGCCGCCACTTCGCCTTTCTGGTCCTATGCTGAGGGTCTTGGTGGATATGCTGGTTCCCCTTGGGGTCTTACCAACACACCCGTGACCTACGACCCTCCTGTCAGCGACCCCTCCGGTAAGTTACCCATCGGCCATTTACTCAGACCTCTTCCACTAACATTCTCTCACAGAACTTGAGAGCGTATCAGTTGGTAACGAGACTCTGGCTCACCGTAACTGCTACCTTCAAGTCGAACCCGCCCGCAAGCTTCCCCAGATCAACAAGGTCCCCTACCTTCTTCTGACTGGCGAGGCCTCCGTTCACGTCACATACGATCACTGCGTTATCGACTTCCTCAAGCAAGCAGGTGGCAAACCTGAGTGGATCAAGCTCGCTAATTGGGGCATTAAGGGCAACGGTCATTTCTTGCACGTGGAGAAGAACAACTTAAAGATCGCTGGCCTTGTGGAAGCCTGGATTCAAGGCAAGGCATACAATGGTCGCCAGTTCTCCTCTAAGTAATGGTAAAGCATTTTACCTCCTTGAGCCTGAATGTAGGACTTGACAATGGACATGTTATTGTGGACCAAGCCGTGGTGCAGCTGCTTACAGAATTCTCGAGTGACATGAACTGGTGTAACGATATAAAAATAACTTAAGGCTTGCTCGAAACTGAAAACTTCTTAAGAAATTCACGCTTCATGAAGCTCGTAACAGAGTGGACAAAGAACGACGATCCTGATTTATTAAAAAGAGTGCCTATTCTACCGCACCAGAAGACAGTGCTGCGAATTCCAACACGTCTAGACCAGTAAGACTCATCAAGATCGCTTGATCGTCGTCGGTATCAGTTGTTTGATGGCTGAAGTTCGGCAAATCCAATTGAAGAGCAAGTAAAGGCTGTTGCACTGATGGCCTCGTCATGAGAGAATCCAGCATCCCCAAAGCTCTTAGGCTCAATCCACCGTCATTTGCAAGACTTGTAGCAGGCTCTGACTCCATCAGGGAACTCGATGGCATCATCGACGATACAAAAGGCTGTAATGCAGCTGCGCTTTGCATGAACACATCGTCATCCGCTTGTGGCTGCCCCTGATTAGCGAGCCACTCGGTCCAGTCATTGTATCTGGACGCCGATAATGGCTCCTCATTGTGAGGTTGCCCAAATGGTTGTCTTGAGAGACTCAGCTTCCGCGAAGCCTCGTCTGAAATGGATTGGAGAGATTCGACAAGTTTAACGCCCATCTCAGCTGTCGGATTTCCTGCTGCCATGCCTCGCAGAAGGCCTAGCCCCAGATCAACTCGCTGTTGGTATCCAAATCCGCGTTCCAAGATGCCTGCGATAAGTGTAACAATAGTCGCAATACTGCAAGCCTGGAAATAAGTGAAGGCTGATCGTGTCGTACCACTGGTTTCGTCTAGGCCTTCGAACAGATAAAGGAGCTTTTTGGATGCTCTTTTGCACGATCTCGCCAACTTTTCAGTCGCGTCATCTATGATCCATGGCTGTGCATCCTGCCCCAGGTGGTATCGCAAGGTCATTCTCACGATTCTGATGAGAGATGCCTTGCCCATTATGATACGAGTATAGTAGTAGTTCAGGTAGAGGTGAAAGACAGCACGGTATCGTGAGTCTGAAGGAGGGATGGCGTCGAGACTGAACCCTTCAGGCAAGGAGTTCTTCCATTCTTTCAAATTGTCCTCCAGACTGGTAACCCTCTCGTTGATGCCATCATCCGCTGTCGTTGACCTTGTAATGTTAGTATAAATCCCAGTGGATTGTCCTGTCTGACGTACTCTAGATCTACGGCCATATCCATAATGGTTATCAATCGAGCGTATGCTATTTGTAGTAGAATATTGTTGAACTTTTGACCTCTATCAAGATCTTGTAATGGAGCTGGTAATGGAACTTCGATAGAGGTTGATAGTACAGAGCGAGGCCTGTTCAGTTTGATAGCCGTACATCTAGGTATTGTTAGTATGAGAATATGACTGGTTTTCAATCAACTGACCTTTCCGATGAATAAATAGACCACCAGAGACGACGTCGACTTTCGCGCTCTCGTTCCTCTAACCTTTCGTCTGGATTCTGGTGTAGACCAAGAGACAGGGCTTTTCTCAAAGCCATGCCCATATAGAGATAAGAAGTGCCTACCACGTTCATGGGCATGAGATACGCGCTCAAGATGAAACATGCTTGAATGGATCTTATGCTATCGTCTTCAAGAATATCCGGTATGAGAGAGCTAGCTTGCTGAAAGAACATCTGCCCGGGATCCCCTTCCGGCATAGTTGGGGGGTTCCCTCGCCGCTCAAGGGATGTCCACTGGCTACCAAGCGCAAATATTGTCAATACGAGACAAACAAAACTAGGATCAGACCTCAGCTGGCAAGAAGGATCGTTGTAAAATCTGTCTAGCTCATCACTGATCTGCGTCTGATCAAAATAAAAAAAGACGTCTGTGCCATATTTGATGCAAATATTGACAAGAAACTCGGCCACAGACTGCGGAGGAAATGAATCCACAACATTCGTCAACCTTACGCGTTCTGAAGACGACGGTCGCGTTGGAGGATTGACAGGCTTGCAGATTCTATTAGAAAACAGTATTGGTAACACTAGGCCGAGAACTTACGACTTGGGGGGCGGCGATGTCCTGTCCTTGGACGCCAGGTATGGAGTCCAGAGAAAAGGCTTCTCTAAGCTTGTTTAAGAAACGTGGCCACACTATGTTTTCTGTTTGGCATACAATGATTAGCTCATGAACTCCCACGGGTAAAAGAAGGCATACCGCTATCAATGGAAGTTTTTGTTTGCAGAGTTGCTAGACTTTGACTAGTCGATCCAGTGGCACCCCTAGCAAGCATCGATCGAGAAGATGATCTATTCCTGCGCAACGTAAGCTTTGGATGAGAGACAGATCTATATTCATCTGTGACATACCTTCCGTAGCAACAGTGTGAATTGTTTACTTGACATCTTTGGCATAACCCGGGTCTCGACTCAACGCATACAAGCTTTCGGGCCCTACATCTATCGCAACTGAAAACCCAAATTCATGTTACTTTAATTCTCGTGAAAGTCGCTGAAAGATACTTACGCTCCAGATGCACGATTGCGATTATTTTCGGCGACGCGTCTGCGGCGGCGGCGAATTGCAGCGATTGCATTCATGGTCTCAACACAATATAGGGGTTTAGGGATTGATTGATTAGACATTTACGCGTCGGTATTTCTTCGCGTGGCGTGCGATATCACATGATTCGTTACATGGTTAGCGTGTCATAGCTCATTAACGGTAAGGGGCGCTCGATATACTATGTCCTGTTAGTGCACCATCGCTGGGCAACCGACATCAACTCTTGTGGAGCTACCAACCCTACAGGCCAGTTAATCGGTAGAACAAGCAACAAACTGCAGACGAAACATTTTATTCTTTCTTATCCTATATTTTTAACGTGATTGAATATTAGCTCCGTATTAATGCCAGTATTGTTTAAAATCCGTCCTAGCAGAAACTAGACGGAACCTTCACAAGCTTTTTGCGCCAGGATGATCTATTTGGTTGGTGATATTAACTTCATTGAAAGTGTGCAAAAATTCAAAAATAAATGTCGTTCTCGTCACAGAATTTCAGGGAGTTGAACTCTGCGCAATTCCTATAAATTAATTTGTTACAAGGATGGAGAGCAAACCATGCTCTTTGCCTCATTCGAAAACAGTACTCAAGCATACTACATGGTTCAATAAGAGATCCATCGCCCTTTGCCCTGGTCAACCAGCTTTTGACGACGAACAAATATGAGTCCAGCCGACCAACCTGCCCTGCCGCCACAGTTACTCTTGGTCATAGACATGTTGAAACTGAAGGCGTCTACAACTCGTGTCATCCTCAGTGACTGAAACGATAGCACAATTCAGCCCATGTAAATCATTATCCTCCTGCAGTAATCCCAGTGAAGTCAACTCGCGAAGCGGCTTTGAGCTGACTTCGTTCAAGCGGTACCACATGCCTAGCTCCGCTTCTCTGACGAAGTTATACATGCGCTGAGCAGATTCGGGTTGATCAAGTGCCGTGACAAGGAATGCGACGGTGATGCTGTCGAAGTTCTCATCTTCGACGCACTGGAGTCGAGCGCTAACATCGGCGACTCGATCGAGGTAAAGGGCGATGGCGCTGCGAGCCTCTGGGATCTGGGTATCGTGATTCGCAGGTTCCTCATGGTGGACAAGAGTGTCTGGGGTCGATAAAGACTCGGTAGGGATCTCGGTAGAAAGTGATTCGGCGGTGCTCGGTTGGTGTGTGAGCGCCAAAAGAAGTGACGTTTGGGAATTCAACTCGCCGAGGAGGAAGCGCCGAAGACTCTGGTGTCTCAAAAGATGGTCGCTAAAGAACTGGTATCGAGGTCCGCTATAGTCCCATGGATATTGGGGAGTGGGAGAAGTATCCTTGACTAGCACGAGAGATTAGTCGAGACATATCATCGCCATAATACGTAGAAAACATACGCCAGACATGCCAGAGCCTCAGGTTACGTATATACACAACATGAGCTCGATGGGGTCGTTCACCAGGGTGGTTACGCGGGAAGTGGTACGCAAACTAAGCCGATACCTCATCCTCACACTCGACCTCGACCTCCTGGACCTCACCGATTGTAGTGCCGGGTCGCATCCAGAGGAGGAAAGCGTACATATACTCGCGCCTCTGCAGCGCAGGTGCATCCTCGCCGACCCAGAGCATCGGAAAGTCATTTGTGACAAGGCCACTATGGTGGACGAAAAAGCGCTGAGGCATGGCTTGATGCGGATAGAAGACAAGTATGACTTGAAGTGCACTGGTGAAAGAGAGATTTCTTTTGTGAAAGCAGAGAGTGAATGAACACAGAAAAACGAGACGATTTCAGAGTGACGCGGCAGGATGCGGTTGTGGAGCGTTAATCATTCACTGCCGTGTGACAACTGCGTGCCACTGCCGCAGCCAGTGTAACCACCAGACCTAGAGATGAGTGCCGCTGTGTTACAACACTTCGGTTACTAAGCTTTTCTCAAAGATCAGCATTATGGCCCGCTACAAACATATTTCGACAAAGAACTTGGGTATGTAAATTGCCAACAGCCTTCTAGTGCCTGGTCCTCGAGATCTTCCGAGCAGGCTCTTCAGGTAAGCAACGGAACGACAACTCGCCATGTCAGAGTCTTTTTTCTTTCGTCTTTCGCAGCTTTGAGTGGGTTCACTCCATGAAGTGACCGGAGACTATAACTTCACCTCCCGGATTATGAGGCGTTAGAAAGTGTACCATCAGCCATCTGTCACATAGAACTATTTCAAGGCCAAATTATGCATCCTAACAGCGTCCAGCTTTCCAGGAAGTGGGAGCCTTCGCATTGTTCTTGACATTTCTCTCTATTCATTCCTAGGAAGCCTCCAGTCAATCATCAAACTGAGGTACAATTGTTTTCAAAGTAAGATGGCTTTCTTCTGGACTGTTGACATGACATACCTCTCTGTATATCCAAGTTGTTGGTCGGTTCTTTTGCAAACCAACAATCAGGGATCTTGGCATTAGTAATGTGTGGGCTGACCCGATAACCAACAGCGCAAAGCGGAGATTAACTCCACTAATGGAAAATCTGACCGAATATTTAGGCAGAAGGATTGCACTAACAAATCAGCCGCGATTAGGTGCTTGTGGGTTGACAACAACAGTTTACTTCAAATATCACAATGAGACTCGGAGTATCTCCATTGAATTGCCAAATCATTCGACAACAGAGAGTCTGGTTGGCAATATGGGTTTGCCAGTCATCGTCTCCTATTACCTACGCTATGGCTGGGAAATCATCAAGCTCATCTTACGTGCTGTCAAAAGTGTTTTCTATCTCACCCTACCATTGACAATACTCACTATCATTCTCTCGATAATCCAAGGCCTCGTTCTTGGCGCATGGTACCATGGAAAATCAGTCAACCATCCTGCCTTGTTCATGAACAACATGATGACAGTGAAGACATATGAATGGTTCAAAGAGCCTGGAGGCCAAAACCCTCTTCGAATCCCACGAGCACCTTACCACATCCAGCAACTGCATAACCCTCTAGAATGGACAAAAGAACTGGATCTTGTCAGACCTCGCGATTGGAATACCGACAATGTTGGAGTCTTGGCAAGTTTTGGAAACTTGCGTCGCAGACGACCCCGTTCTGAGAGATACATGAATTGGCATCATTGGATCTACCTCTCAGCCAATGAACAGCCTCTGAATGAAACTTGGAACGCCGATCCCTGGGATAAAGCTTTTCTCGACTTACTCGAGCATAGAGATAAGCATGAGTTTTGGGGTCGTTCGAATTTCCACTACATCACATGCCCGGGAAACTTCCTTTGCGACATCTGGAGTGTCTCAGCCCCAGCATTGATCCATCTCACCAACGAACCGATAAGACGAAATGCAACCCAGAAGAGATCTATGAAGCCAATTCTCGATCCTGTTTCTGTGCGAATTTTTGAACTTCCTCTCAAGAAAGCAGTTATCCCTGGCATCTTTCCTAGTCAATTCGAACAGATGCGGTCTATCACGGCTAGTAACTCAACTTATTGGGAGACCAGAGACAAGTATTCCAACTTCGATCAGGTCCGCGGCCAAGCACTCAAAGTACTGAAGAAGATGGAAGACAAGTACCCATCGACATATGGCAGGCTTGTTTGGCTGGAGGACAAGTGGGTCAACCTCTGGGGTTCAGACGACGTAACTCTCGTCGCCATGTCTCGTCATGGTTCATTCATTGCAGCAGCTAGTTCGACCTACTTCGGTGGGCGAATATGGAAAAATGTGCAGAACTGGTGGAAAAGCAGAGAAAAAAGCCAGACAAAAGAAGACGGCAGCGCTCCCCAGCTCACGACTGACAAGGCGGCGGATGATCCGGTGGCCCGTCAACTTCAGAAAGTTCTGGACAGCTTAAGTGAGGAAGACAAGGAGAAGTTTGGAAAAACACGACGAGGAGAGATACTCTTGAACAGGATACAGAACGGTCTCGAGAATGATGATTGGAATTCTAGGGAGGATTTGATGTCGGACATTGAGGATGCCCTAAGGGTGAAGGGGGATGGCAAGGTGGTCCGTGGCTGAGCGCGGTTCTTCCATCTATCACGTATACAAGCCGGCAGAAATACACATGAAAACCCCAGAGCATCCAAACTACCTCTGTAATAGTTGTCCGGCAGCAGTTATGGGCGTCATCTTCTGCAATCTTAGATTATGATGATATCTCAAGTTACTCGTGATAGGTCTATCATGTTGATTGAAAGGGCGTATTTGATGCTTCGGCGAGATAAGTCAGGGTGACATAGATCTCATCAGTTGGCATCGCCATAGAGTTCAATGCTCTCACATTCTTCCCATACATCGAGAGATATTGTCAACCCCACGCATCTAATACAAGGTGCATCTTGACTCCCAAACAGTTCATCCTACTATCTTGGGGCCAATGTCCACCAGAGAAATATCATCGAGTCCTACAGCCAACGTTACTCTAGAGCCTATGGTGCATTTAAGTTTGAACACGACAGAGACGCCAGTACTCAATGGCGAAAAGTCGACTTTGTACTGCGTGTACTGTTCGAGATTATCGAAGTTAAAAACCCACTGCGCGAGCCTCATTTCGAACGACGGGGTGCCCTGGGCGACTTCAATGACACAAATGTCAGATGCGCCCTTGACAATTACTGGGTCATTGAAGAGAATGGCGTGTGCACTAAGTCGGTATGTTCGTTCAGTGCTGAGCCCGGAAACGGCTTGGGAAAGCCGCTTTGATCCATCGGCAACCTCATTATTGAGTCTGAATTCCCTGTGTTCCGTTAGTAAAGTGGCTTAGAAAGATCGAGCTTTTTTATTACTTACACGTATCTCCTGCCGACACGAGCCTTTGTGCTGTGCTCTTGAATAGTGGCAGCGTTCAAGGCCCAGTCGGTGTTGACGATATCCTCGAAATTACCGTTCATGATGAATTCGGTGATCACAGGTGCCTCGGAGATAGTAGTTGAGGCCTCGGTAGTGGAAGCTGCCTGTGTAGTGGAAGGCGCCTCGGTAGCGCTGCTCTTCATGACTGTCGTAATGTCTGTCGTGGCAGTAGCTGTTTGAGTCTCGGCGATGGTGGTCTCCGAAGCGTCAGTGATCTCCACGGTAGCCGATGTTTCGATTGTTGCAGCATCGGTGCTCAATGTCTCCAAGGTAGTCGCTGTCTCAGCAGAAGCAGAAGCGGCAATCGTAGTCGATCGATCAGGACGACAGAGGGCACGGGCACTGGCCGCAGGGAGCAGTGCTGCACCGAAAACAGTGACAAAGGAGGACCAACGCATTGTGAATATAAACGAGAGTAATCGCAGCGTTGATTTAAAGTGAGTGACGAACGGCAAACGTTGGGGAAGAGAGTCGATAGCAGAAGGAAAGGAACAACTCTTATTGTTATAGCCTGATGGACCCCTCATAGTCGGACGGGAGAAACAGTAGCGTTAAACGCTAAGCCCAACGCACCTCAATCTAACATCTCAGCGCCCATGATTTTTTAGTTGTGTCCACGGAGCAGCTGGAAATAGCGGAGATGGTACGGAGCACAGCTCAATTCAATAATTCCAGGCGCCTTCCATGAGAAAGCGGCTAGCTATTTGAGTGCCGGGAGTAAGACCTCCACTGACTATTGACAAACTATCGGCTACTAATTTCCACACAAAGTGGAGATACTTGATCGCTGAACCTGCGATTACTCAAGACAACGATCTACAAAGGGTCTTTTCTACCAACAAGAGACTAAAACATTGAATCACAATATACCTTACTATGACATCATCTCTTCAACATACAGAATTGCATTCTTATTTCTGCTTTCTTCTGTTTAACCCAGTGAATTGAATTGAACATTGATGGCTGGTGGTGTAGTGGGCCCTTTCAAGGTGGATTTGCCAGTGGTCAAAGAGCTGCAATGATCAATATTTCAGGGACATGGATATTTATTGCGTATTGAAACGGAGCTAACCTCCGTCAAGTGATATCCACATCACCTGTTTAGTTATAGCCTTGAATTTACTGGTAATACAAATAGATTTGGTTGTTTCCTCTGCTACACAGCACCAACTTGCTCTCTCGATACAACTAAATCATAGAAGATGCCCTTCTTATTCCCAATTTTGTAAACAACATCGTGATTATTTTCGTGTTCCTTTGTCACATTGGAGGCCTTCTTCCATAAACAGAGCAGCTATGGTTGGATTAGTTCACGTTCCTGATCGACCAATCGGTGCACTCACATAGGCCAATAACCATGAATCCTTGGATTATTGAGATCCTTCCTAACCTCTGTGAGGAAAACTTGGACGTCTTCGATCGACCAACCATGGGCTCTCGTAAACGGAGCTATGGTCAATGACTCCAGAGCAATCGCGATATTCTCGTTGTTCCACACACCAAGCTCCTTATACTTCTTATCCTTGGGCCAGTGATTCGACGGCCACTTGAAGCGGGTGTCGACGATCTCAGTAAACCCTGCTTTCGACATTATATCTTTAAATTCATCAATCTTTTGGTAAGCTTGTTGTAGCTTGATAGAGGATTCATTTAACAGCTTGCTCCATGTCATGATTGGTCTGTCCTCAGAAAGAGTGCCGTCGTCGGATTTCATCATGACGTCGATTTCCTGGATCTCGATGTAACCGCCCGGAGCGAGATTCCTTTATGGTTAACTAAAAATGGAGACAGTATCGAGGTACAATCTAACTTACTCGTAGATTTTGCGAAAGTATTCCGGCCAGTCGGGGATGCTGAAATTCATCATCCTACTATGAATGTAGTCAAAAGGCTCAGAGAAGCCCCAGTCCTCATGAATATCGTCAATGATAAACCTAACATTAGGCGGAACACTTGCACATTGTCAGTGCCTATGGAAAGAATATATCACATCCCCAGACTTACAAGCTAGGCTGGATGGGAGATAAATCGACGCCAATGACCTATGCTTATCAACTTCTGTTCATCACTTTCAATACTGTGACATTTTTGGAAAGGTCTTACCTCGGCTTCAGGATGATCATCACCAAAGTCAATTGCCCATATCCCTGTGCCTGTGCCCAAGTCTAACACTCGCTTGACTTTGGAACCAGGGAGGTTTGGGGGTGAAAGACCGAGCTTGTTGTCGAAAGTGAGAAGAAACAAGTTGTGCTGTAGGTCTAGGCGTCGTTAGCATTAATATGACCATACGGCTGTGGGGTTATTACCTAGCCTGTCATTCTCGCGGTCGTCGTTGGGAAGATGGTATTCTTCACGTGTTCGAGGTTAGCACTAAACATGCTGGGGTGTTCTTTCGGTAACTGACTTCCATCCTTGTAGCCGTGGTATGTTCTCCCATTCTCTTGGCGGAAGTCGAGAATAGAGCTGCTCAAACTCGCGGTTGATGATGTTGCATCCTTTAATTGCCACTTAGCTCATCCTCCTAACTGTATCACGACTGCCAAGCGGGTCATACCTCTCCAATCGACGAATCTAGATCGCCTTGAACCTGCGTCATGAAATCAGTGGACCAAGTTGCGATATGAACGGAGTAGGGACTCACATCTTCATCAGCTACAATAGGCTCTACTACGTGTGCGGCCATGTTTTCAACCGAATCTGTTCTTTTTCAATGATGTAGCATTTGTGTAATTTTCGCAGAACAGACCAGCCTTTAATACCTCATCGGTATTTTTGGAACTGAGAAGAAGGCCAATTGAATTTGTCAGAGACCGCATTGTTCTCTCTCTTCTCACCTGATATTTTACAAGCATGGCAACCAACAACCAACAACGCAAGTTAATCCCTGACCTCAGTTGGCACTTCCAATTGATGTATCAATTCATGACAAGGTTCAATTCAAGCAGGAAGATTTCAGACCAATACATTACTCCTTGGCGTGATGCAACCCCGAACTCAGCATCCACTTTGGCCCATAACAGGTGGCATGCTGGTTGCTCCATATGATATGACTTGAAGTTCGGAATTTTTATGGTTTTCCTCCCTGGTCTTGAACAAAGAGAGCACCAACCTTATCCATCTGACAATATACCACTAATCATTAGAAGCATCACAGCTGGTTAGTTGAGTAGCGATTTAGGTTATACACCATAATGAACATATGGAATCCAATGCGGCCAAGCCACCTCTTCTTCACATGCCAAGACATCTCTCATGTCCTCGGTAGCCCTCTCCCCTGTGCTAATTCCCTCATTCACTCTCCTAGCAGTAGCACTATGATCTGTTTCCCTTGCATCTAACCAATCGTCCCGAAGCTTCCTCGTAGCTGTGTGCAAACCTTCGGCGACCGCTCTGTCTGTTCTCACCTTGTCCCTGAGCTCCTCATAAAAAAGCCTTGCCATCTGTACGCATAACTCATCCATGACAGCCCAGAGGGTCCCAATGACATGTCGAAATCCCAGCAACTGGAATCCACTTATGAGATGGATGCCTTCGTCCACTAGGTGATTGTTTTGCATCTCGCCGGTCCCACAAGCGGAAAGATAAGCGAGGAATGGAGACTGCCTCTGCAAATTGATGTCCAAAAGGTTTGAAACAGTGATACAGTCAGCCTTGTCGGCCTCTAGGCATAAATAGCTCTCTGCTGGGTCGTTGCTGTCGGTGTATGCGTGACCAGCGTAGTGGAAAATTTCAGACTCAAGCAGCTGCGACATGATGTCCTTCTTTCGAGGTTTCAGCTCGATGGGATCGATCGACATCGTTTCGCAGACCTTCCTGACAGCATCAATTTCTTTTGATGCATTAGGGAGACTAGAGCTGCCAGGAGTTGTTTCCATACCCACCAATAGTGCTTGGTGTAATGGTCTTGTCGGGGCAGGACGCTTGCGACCACGAACAATCGACTGGACTGAAGTATGATACGATGAGACAACTCTGTCCAGGACGCTATCAGCGCAGCCTTTGGTATGTAAACCTGCCGCATGAATGGGGAACTTCGTCAAAAAGCCAGTCATGATCCACCACACATGAGGCCAATCTCCAGCTGGGGTCTTTGTAAAACCTAAAGCATCGAGAACAGGCCGGGCGACGCAATTCCATAACCACTCAAGAGCAAGCGAGCTCTTTAGGGTACCCTCGCTACTGAACTTGATCATACTGTGACGGTCGAAGTCTGGCAAAGATATAGATCGGATCTGATGCCGCTCGATTATGATTGCGTCACATCGTAGAAGACAAGTGTTGACCACAACTATTGGACCAGGTGTCGCTGCCCACATAATCTGTGACTCTGTTGGAGGGAGTAGGAAATCTTCAAAACCAGGTTGAGTCCGAATTTGGTTCACAAGTTTGTCAAATTCTTCGCCAGCTTCATATCGTTGATTCGAGCCTTGATTCCACGCCAGATCGCTGCTTGCATAGGGTTTCTCATCTTGGCCAAGCTTATTGCGCAGCGCAACAAACTTGGTTGCCAGATCCGGGTGCTTATCCTTCAAGGCGTCAATATCGGTATGCAGATCATCTAAAGCTGCGGCGAGCATTCCGCGGCCTCTCTCAAGCATACTAAGCGCAATGACCGGACCCTTCCCAATTTCAAGAGCTAGCCCAGCGGCGTCTGAGGACAAACCACTAAGACCAGGTAAGAGCTCTTCCTTGTCAGCATTCTGAAGGGATCTTAGTATTAATTTCGGCATTAGATGAATGGCTATCTCTGCAATCTCGTATGCTTGTTTCCAATCCTCGTGTAGCATGTATAGAATGATAGCACGACGTGCAGCATCTATACGAGTCTTGATAGCTGACTGAGTCTGGAGAATTGCGTCTCGGTAGAACTCAATAGCTTCCAATTGATCCTCTTTACTTCCAGTGAACTCAGATCGTTTCTGAAGATAGCATCCGACACCGTGCAGAGACTCGGCTCGATAGCGATACGTTCCATCTTCAGCATTGACTGCCCTCTTGGAAAATCCGATAGCCTCGTCGAGGTCTGCGATGTCCTTCGTATGCATGTACTTTCTTACCAAGCTTGTTCCAAGCTGATGAAGACGCCCTGCAAAGTCCACATGATACTCTGTAGTTGCTTCCAATGCCTCGTATTCTAACTTGATAGCGTCTTCAAGATCCCAAATCGAGCGTTCTCGATCATAGCGAGTTTTCAAACAAGTCGCAAGTCTAGAAAGGTAGAGGTGTCTACTGGCATTGCCAACGTTACACTTGCCGACTGTTTCTTGAGCCAAATCGATAGCCCTTTCCAAGTCGGAAGCGTGCCCTAATCTTGTATACCGAGTTCGATATATGCCGCCAAGATTGTAAACAAACCCGAGCCATGTCAAGTTCGTTTCGGGCGTTTCGTTCACCACCCTTTCCATGATCCTGATAGCTTCGTCTAGATCGGCTATCGCGCTTGTTCTGTCGTATCTATCTGCGAAACAAGCCGCGAGACTCTGCAAAAAGTTGAAATATTCCACGTCTGTCGTAGGAGTTGCCTCAACTGCCTTCTGTGCAAGCTTGATAGCCTCATCCAGATCAGGAATTGACCCTGATATGGAAAATCTATCGCCTATGGAATTTCCGAGGATGTGAAAGGCGTGCCCGCGGTTCGGATCGTCCCCGGGAGCGGCTTCGAGGTTGCTGTTGATCACCTGAATAGCCTCCTCAAGATCAGAAGATAAACGACTCCGTATATAACGCTCCTTCAGTCGGCTTGCGAGACGAAGAGCTCGACGCAGACGGTAGTTCGTATCCTCTAGCGATGCCTCGAGAGCCCCACGTGCTATTTCAATAGCTTCATCTAGGTCCGAGGCTGATCCTGTAGCGGTAGAGCGAGCTTCAAGGGCATGTCCTAAGTCGATTGACCTGGAAATCCAAGATGTATCGTCCTCGTAATACTCCTTGGTAGCTTCTTTGAGCAAATGGATAGCCTCATCAATGTCACACATATCCTTGCCAAAATGGAACTTGTCGGCCAATAGATGACCAAGTTTGCTTTGATATGTCGCTCTCTCCAGGGTGTCCTCAGGGGTCGAATCGACCGCTTCTTTTGCAAGCTGCACAGCTTCAGCAGGATCTGTTCTGCCTGCCTGGAGACCGTACTCCTCCTGAAGCATTTCGGCAAGTGTGGAGAGGCACTGTGCTCTGTGTTGGTAGTCTTTTGGCAGCCTCCTCACTGACTGTCTCACTTGATCGATGCCTTTCTCCAACTCGCCGACAGATTTAGTGAAAGATGCAAAGTCAATCAAAAGGCGGCCGAGATGATCAACATATTCTGCTCGATACGAGTGGCTTTCGGGACAACCTTCAACGACTTCCTGTTGAACTTTGACACATTCCTCCAAACTGCTCTGATCATTTGACATGTCAAATTGATCGCAAAGCATATAAGCTAGATTATCCATGTACCGCAACCGCTTAAGGCAGCTCCTGGGTGATAGATCTATTGCTTGGCGACCTGTGTCGATGGCTTGGTCAAGTGCTTCAGAGCACCATGTATGTCCATACCTATCCCATAGTAACAGAGCAAGGTTGTTGTAATATGCTGGGAGGTTAGGATCAGTCGTTGAAGTGACAAGTGTAGCCTTTTCAGCCATCTCAATCGCCTCGTCAAGTATCTGTTCTTCTCCCGTGTCATAGTAGTAGTCTCTTAGCTCACGGGCAAGACTGTTCATGTACCTCGCAAGACCAACTTGTTGAACGTCGTTTTGGTCGTCGTCTTTTGGCTCAGGGCTTGCCCCAGCGTCAGTGGGTTCAAATGAAGTTCCGTTCATATTTAGGAGTCGTATGCGAGGAGAGTTTGTGAATATGGCAAAACCTCATGAATTGTTGGAGACCTGTACATAACTAACCTGTTTATGGAGGAGAACCTGAACGCGGGGTTCAGTCAGCATACAGCTGGTTGCCTAATGACTTCCTATATACGTCACGTGCATTTGCACTTTCGCAATGTGTATTGTGAGATCAGGCTCCTTGAAACAAAAGAATGCAGGTTTCATTGGTGCATTGCAGATAAGTGGTGGGTTAAGCAATGTAGCCGGAAATTGAAGACTACTCATCACTATGAACTGTTTCTGTACAGTGTTCAGCCTCTTACAATTTGGCCTGTATCATTCCACAGAAGACGCCTCGTGTAAACCCAAATCAGCTCCCAGCGACGTACACCCCTTAGAATCCTTGTTCGTCAAAGCTTCTAGTGAACTCCTGGGCCACAGCCTTGAGCTACAAAGAGACATATTGTTAGCACACATGATCTCAATAAGCTGAAGAGTATGCAGCAGAAATATGAAAGGAAAACAGAATAAAATGATTTTGCGCAGACTTCTTTCACTTACTTCTCGGAGCTTGTTGGCGCAAGTTTCTACATGGTACTGGACGAACATTTTGCGGGACTTCAGGGCCACCAGGTCTTGGCTGGGTTGTATCCGTTGCACAAACTGAGAAATCTTCTCGTAGCATTCAGATTGATTGCGAAAGAGGGAGCTGAGCTCCATCATGGCAGAGATGGTGTCCGCTAGCTTCTTGTCGATTCCGCTGCGTTGAGCTAGCACTTCACTCACAAAGATGATAAGGTCGGTTTCTTCTTGTGCTTCCTGTCGGTACCTTGAGACTTGGCTTTGCAGGTTTTCGTGCGCACCACGCAACGCCCCGGAATTGGCCGATTCGAGGCTGATGGCGACCCTTCCAAGACCAACGTACCGGTAGGTACCAATTGCAGTAGCAGTGTTCTTCTCCTACAATGATGTCACTTGGTTAGTTTCTCGAAATGTGACGGAGAGGCCGTAGGCTAAGTGAGTGGAATACTACTTGCCAAATCGACGTGTTCAACCTCGTTTTTCACCACGTTACTGAAAGTGGCAAGGCTTGCGGCGAGGTCCTTGTTGAGATATTCGAGGTAAGGAGTTCTCTTATCTGCGGCCTGGTTCACAACCGGTCCAGTCTTAAACTGCCTGTTGAGATACTCAAACTGAGATTGACTGTGGCGAGTATCGTTCGAGAACTAAATAAATGGAAAGGAAAATCTGTCAGTCGTGTACCGCATTGAGCATCCAGGAATAGGCAAATCTCACCATAATAAGACTCTGCGTGATGTTTTCAGTACGCCTATGTTTGTCTCTGGCTTCTTCATTAAGTATGCTTAGAACCATCTGGGCTGCCTCTTTGGCTTCGCGGTATTCCTCATCAACTCTATTAAATGCAGTGTACTTCTCATCTGTAAGGATGCTAAGATGGTGAAGCAGATTGATTTCTTCCTGATTCACCAGCAAGTCGAAGGTGGTATCGCTGAATTGCACGGCAGCTTGACCAGCCATCACTACACATTGATAAACAGTCAGCCCCAATAGCAACAGATATGTGGTTCCAGATCGTTGGAGTGGCGCGCGGATATGTCTCACGTACCAAGCTCGGCAAGGTGGTTTTGATGAAAAGTCGAACAAGCAACGCCTGTGCTAACCATGACCTCCTGGGTAAGCTTTTATAGCAAAGCAAGATTAGTAAAAGTCAATACTCGGTAAATACCGCCCTTTCTACTTAAAACATACATGCTGGACCTCGGGATCGAAATCAGAGAGCTTTCGGAAAGCGGTTCTAGACAGTCTGGCTTCGAACATCTGGTGGTTCGCAGGGATGTCTCTTCCGCTCAAGACATAGGCCTGAAAGTCTATCCAGCCGGATGATTAGTTCGATGTAAATTCAGCTCCCAGTACACCGCTCCTGAGATAATTTACCATATAGGCTCTTGGATCGCAAGATGAAGCGATTAGATTGGCCTGGCGCGGCGGATGGAAGAACGACCTTGTCTGTCACACGGCTCAATGCCGCGAAAGCTTCCTTAATCTGCTGCTCATCGGGGTTGGTCGTGTTCCAGGTGGGTGCCATGATGAAGGGTTCGATAACAAAGAGTCTTTTGAAATTTGCAGTGTTTTTCTTGCTCGTTGCCCGAAAGTAGAAATGACTTGCTAAATCCTTCTGAACAGATGGTGTACTGCGAGTGATCCGCGAGTTGGATGTGTTTGCTTGACAGCACGCGAAGTGATTTGGCTAGAAACATTGTGCTGGATCAAATTGTGCCATATATACCTCTTCTTGAAACCAGTAGATACAATGCCGAAATCACTTGTATCAATAGTGGCTCTTTCAGATCGCCTTTATCAGGCCTCGGCCTGGTCTCGACTTTGAAGCCCTGCCCAAATACGTTAGATCAAATGCATGTCTCAAAGTAGAAGCCAATAGACACTTTCGATATCGACATGCTGCAGGTATTCCAGCTAATAAATGCCCAACTATACAGATACTTTCTCAGACTATTTGTTACCTATCAGCAGTCTTTGTAAAAGGTCAGGATCGAGACTGGCGTTGTCTAATAGAAGTGGGGTGACCACGCTCTCGTTTGTTCTGCTGTAACGTTATGTGTGCCTCCGGAAATGGTACCTACTCAACCATACACGCTACTGATTACACTAAGCTTATCTGCCTGTACTACGTAGGCGCCGTAACCCGCGAGTGGCGCTTCTGGGCAGGCACGAGATACTTATCAAGGCTTGGAAACTATCTAAATTAGCTGCTAAACGTGCTGTGCCGACGCCCGCATTCCACACATGTAATCCTATGCTTTAAGTTTGAGACTGCCGAGTGGCGTTGGAAGCCCCCATATTGCAAGGTAATTGGTCAACATAGTTCTTCATGCCGCTTTGAAAGCTTCCCATGGTTAGTTCCTTGAATTTAAAGTTCTAATCAATTTGACATTACCATAACCAATCTTACTTACCCTCCAATACGTCGCAGCTAAATTTGTTGAAAGGGCCATTCTAACCGATGCTTTGTATGGAACACTTCAGGCATCTCTGTTTTTCTCATACGAAATATTCTCCGATTCAATGTAAACCTAAGGACATCGAGGTGCGGGAAGGCAACAGGATCAAGGACGACGCTCGATATTTAATGGGATTTTCAATATAGTGTATTCTTTTTCCTTAGGCCAAATCAAAAAGGAAGAGAAGGCTAAAGATAGTAACATATTTCCAAAAGCAAAGCTTCAGTTGACAGTTCTAAGCCAAACTCTATGTTGACCGTTTTCCATTTACCTTTAGATCAAAACTTTGAATCTTTTTAAAAGTCAAAGAGCACTATGTTAGCATGTTAATCATAATCCATGGTGGCCGGCGGTTTTTCAAAGTCAATCAACCGAGCAGGCACCCACAAGTGAGTAGACAGACCAGCCAGTACCTATCACGCTATTTCGCCCGAGTTACTAGATTAAGGCTCGAAGTCCATCAGTGGGCACTTCTAACATATAAACAGCTTTATGTGAAAATGCCTCATATGACGAACAGCAAGCTTTGACAATAGAGAGGGTGGATAATCATGAGGCACCATAGCAGACTTGTAATACATTTGCAAAACGACCAATGTCTCTCACTTTTCAGTTCCATACCTGAGGTGAATCAGATCATAGTATCATTTTTGCAAGGTCTCGAGGAACGGCTAGGATTTGCCATAATGCGTGTAAAGACGACGACGTATGTCTAATACTTAAACAAGTTTAGAGCTGTCTTCCATGCAGGTAAAATTCATGGAAGAACTGGAAGTATTTCATTGTCATGTTCAAATAACGTTTGAGATTAAAGATTAACATAATTCATATTATTGGCTCTATACTAAACTTCTAGTGTCATGTCTAGACGTTAGAGTTGATAGCTCTACCAAGGCCGCCGTACTTGACGAAGGCTCATCCTCTCCATGTCTTTGGATTGGCTTAGATTTATATACATTCTCATTCGTGTGAAACGATGAGTTGTTGCCAGATCTTCCCTGCTGTGGTGACATCGGGTCGGACCCTAGGGGAGGGTTGCTAGAGCCGGTGGAGCTCCTTAGTTTGGGGAAGAGTTTTCGTATAACCATTCGGAGGTCGGGCATACAGACACACCAAATCGCAACGTTGATCTCGATGTCGGACCAATATACGGTATTAAAACTGTCCCCTGCGAGAATATTAGAAAATAGAAAGAAAAGCACCAAAAAGCTTACAGAGGGGGTTCGAGGATCTGCCGAAAGCTACCAAGTACCGAAGTCTTAAGATACTGACGATGGTAACACTGTTCTCTGTTAGCTGATCAAGCATACAATAAGCAAACCAAGATCACTCACAATGTACCAACAGTGAACATCAAGCCAACTGCGACCTTTCTTTTCCACTTCATCTGCAGTTGCACCAGCTGAGAGAGTGGTATGGCGAGCATCCAAACATCCAGGATGATTGAAGCCGCAGCAATAGCCCAGCCAAGAGCATTGACTCCAATACATATTCCTTCGTCCTCATGGAGCTGATCCCAGCTTATCCAGAAAAAGCTAATCGGTCTGCATTGCGCAATTGCCAAAATATCGAAAACAATCATGCACAGGGTGCATAAACCGATGGTCGCCCAGATCACTCGTTGAACCGAGACAACGGGGAAGATTCGAAGGTAAAATAGCAACACGCAAATCTTGGTGACGAAAATATCCGAAGCGTAGATCGTTTGGCCTATATATAGGAACTGGATATTTGTATCGTTAGGGCGTTGTTCCAGAAAGGCGCACGAGGTTTTGCGGCCTCCAATCGCTCGAATGTTAACTAACCATGAGAAAGTCCGTGACTGTGTCGGGGCTGACTTTCCAAGTATCTCTTCCTAAGCCGTTTCCAGAAACTGCCATTGCTTGTCAGTATTCAAGTTTCGGACAGAGTCGTGGTATACTTACGCCCATAGATACAGAGAACGGTATTGGCCACGTTGAGTACCTTTCTTGCGATTAGTTGATGTTTGGTCGTCCATGTCTGAATACTTACAAAGCAAACCACAACAAGGTAATCATCCAGCCGGAATCTGCGCTCATAATGGAGTTTTGCGAAGAATCTTAGGGCTACCACAATTACCGTTATCGATCCCATAACAATAGCCAAGATTTCAAAGTCCATGTGCTTGTCCCTGATGGGAAAGTCACAGGCGATAGAAGTGACATTCAAGGTTGCTGTTTCACCCAGTCAGTCATTATATTCTATGCCTCCAAAACCTGCAACCAATTTCTTCATGGTGGGTCGTTCACGGGGGATATTGTTACTTACATAAAGCTTCACGAGGCAGACAGTTGCTTTGAACACAGCTTGCAACATCCGTCTTGAGCTTGGGGTCTGCGCAAAGGCATTCCACGTCTATGCCACACGTGGAATTTGACACCAGGTCCAAGAGACAGCTCCCCTTACAATCAGTCAGCTTGATGCTCTGTTGACCTCGGGCAGGTATAGGGACACCGAATAACGTACCGCGCATTCGGGAAGCTGGGTGAGGAGCTGAGTCGCATCGAAACAGGACACCTGCGATGCGAAAAAGCCCCAGGTCAGCACCAACAACCACAGCACATGCATATCTTGGCTAGTATATTTGCATGATATAAACTGCAGACGGGAGAGTAGTTGCAGTGTTTGCTTGGTTTCCCGTTCTGGTGCTTCTCCAACCTCAAACGGGCAGTATGCAAGCCTCAGAATCTCACGTGGAATCGCTGGGATGTTTTGGAGAAAACGGGAACCCGGATCTACCCAGCGGTCGGTACGAACTCGCGTTTATGCGAGCCCAATGGATCAGGAAATTGGGCATTGCGGTGCAGACAGTACCGTACTTGATTCATGCGAGTACCCACCTGTTGCAGACTTTGTGGGGAGATCAACGTGATCTACGCTGCCGCCCCGATCCTGAACCTGGCTTCCATTGGTTAGCTATTTACACCAGGATAAACTGACTTTCCATAGTCGATGGACAGAAACATCCTTGGGAGCATCAGACCTAGCAAGACGAATTAGCTGCAAGGTTGGAGTCGCTAATCTCTTTGCTTGTGGGGCGATTGATCACTCTTTTTGTCCATCGTCTTTGACGCTTAGCAGACTACTTAGTCACACGTCAAAGCGCGACTGTGATTCAAGCCAAGTCATGAGCGAACTTCGGCCAACTACGGAGTCGCTCTCTTACCGCCACTAGACTCGAACAAGTCAAAAATTGAGCAGCTTGGGATAGGGTTTCGGATATTTATCAGCCCCTTTCCCTTGATTTCGGCATTTGCATTTTGCTTCTCTTGGACTGTCGGCAGAAGCGCGGGAAGGTGACACAGCTCATCAACATCCATGTTTTAAGACTGTAAACTCTCCTGCAGCCACTAAATACACTTCCGTACCTGTATCATCACTTGCAACAGAGCATTTTATTTTTCGACTCATATTTCTGCTCCACTGTTCCTGGCGGCTTGGACTTTTACGCTCTGTCGCATATAAAGTGTCCTAAGTGGTAGTATGAAACAAAGCTTGGGTGCCGGGTCGGTACACTGACGGTTCAGCACTAACAACTTCCATGACGCGTCGTCACTTTCAAAGGACAGACCTCGTCATACATTGTCTCAAACCAATTCCGGATAAGAGGTTTACCACACTCCCGCGACGGGCCTAAAAATGCTACTATGCTTCGCCCTCCCAGTGATTCTTTTCTGTCCAATCAATTCTCATCACTGACTGATTTGTATGGTAACATTCCAACTGACACCAGCCTCTTGCTATATCAATTCCATACCCTACACCATTTTCCGAAGCTTTCCGGTGGAATGTGCTTCGGCTCATGATCTTTATTTGGCAGCAGATTTTTTTCGTGTATTTGTATTTTAAAATGCCCTTTCTGCCTCGTCCGACAAGGCTCGGATCGGATCACATCGCTGATGTTACGGAACTGCTAGCGACTTTCTGTATCGATATTGACATGTTGCCAATTGCAAGCATTAATAATCCGGAAGGTTACAGTTCATGTATTCTGTACTTTCTAATTTTTCATCTTTACCAATGGTAAAATGCTACGCTCGGGCCAATCCATCGCCGTCTCTTTGTTGCTGTTGTTCGTTCCTGAGATTAACTTAAGTAAACGTGTGCAGGCACAGAACAATAGGATGAAACGAGCACCGAGAGTGCGTTGAAGTAATGCTAATATGTAGATAATTATACTGCGATAAGAAAGAGGGTTGAACTTAATCATCTGACACAGACTTCCTCGGTTTCATTGCTCTTGAGTATTATGCAAATGTGGAATACAGAGCAGCCCAGGGTAGCGGGAATGAGAGATAATGCAAGGGGGTTTCAGTTGAGACACATTGCAGTATATATATCAAAAAAATGACAATATCAGCACATACGACCAAAGGTAGTGGAAAATACGGGATCCCGTCCGCTCTCCCATAGTCAAGCCACTAACCGGCGGATCAGTAGTTGGGTCGGTGACGACCAGCGAATCCCCGCTGTTGTATGTTTTTGCATTTTTGACCAAATCTAGGTGGCCTAGCCCCCTGGAACTACAGCGCAACGATGAACCACTGCACTTTGTTCTGTTTCCGCCATTGTCCGGCTTATAGACGGGTCGTCATCCTGATTAAAGTTATTAAAGGGCTGCCACAGTGCTTGAAACCTCATGTTGTTTTATTATATCTAACAAGAACCGTATTCGAATCTCATTATCAACCCGTCCCATGATTCTCAAGGACATAATCCACATCTTTATCTCCGCGACCCGACAGATTGACCAGAATCCTTTCAGATGCAGGTCGCTGCGCCGCCAGGCGTATCGCAAACGCCACGGCATGTGCACTTTCCAGGGCGATAATGATCCCCTCCTTTTTCGCCATGCGGAAAAACGTCTCGATGACTTCGTCGTCCCGTATAGTGGTCACAGATATGCGTCCGGCTTGGTGGAGCATCGCCATCTCGGGTCCGATGCCTGGATAGACTAGACCAGATGCTATAGATGAGACCGGAGCAGGTGTGCTTTCATCCTTTTGCAGTACGAGTGTCTTTGCACCGTGCAATGTTCCTGGCTTGCCATATGATAATGTAGCCGCATGGTCGCCAAGTTTGTCAGATGTTCCCAGCGGTTCGACCGCGTGCAATACGACGTTCGTATCGTCGATGAAGGCCGAGTACATGCCCATGGCGTTAGATCCCCCCGCGACGCATGCAACGATATGATCTGGCAAGGTGCCGTTAGTCATAGTAAGAAACTGCTCTCGCGCTTCTTGACCAATGACAGACTGGAAGTCTCGCACAATTAACGGGAAGGGATGAGGTCCAATAGCTGATCCAATGGCGTACAGAGCATGCTCTCTTTGCTCGACGTAAGCGTTAAAGGCAGAGTCACTGGCTTCCTTCAGAGCTGATTGACCTGCAGTGGCCGCCACGACTTTCGCCCCGAGGATTTGCATGCGACCAACATTAGACTTTTGCTTCTCAGTATCAACGGCCCCCATATGAATCTCGCATTCAAGGCCAAAGTAGGCTGCTGCGGTCGCAAGAGCAACGCCATGCTGACCAGCTCCTGTCTCGGCGATGAGCTTTTTCTTGCCCATCGCCTTCGCGAGCAGTGCAAAGCCGACGCAATGGTTGATCTTGTGGGCACCTGTGTGATTCAGATCTTCTCGTTTGACATAGATCTGAGCACCTCCGATCTCCCGAGAGACATTCTCAAGGTGATGAATGGGTGTTGGACGGCCTTGGAGACCGATCCGCACTTTGTTGAGGGTGTATTTAAAGTCTGGCAAGTCACGGATCTCTTTGTACTTGTCGGCCAGTTCTTTTAATGCTTCGTGGGTCTCGGGTGGGTAGTAATTACCCCCGAACTGGCCGTAGTAGCCGTTAGAGTCAGGGTACGTATTAGAGTGAGGTTGATGAGTGCTTCCCATGGCTGATACAGTGAGGATAGATCAGGTAGCAATTTAATGCAAAAGACTGCGTTTGTTGATTTTATAAGTCGAGGTTCAAATAATGCTGATGCTCACAACATCTCTGCAAACTGGTGCTGTAAACATGGTATATATAAAGAGGGACTGGTCGTAGGATTCATGAAATCACTGGTAGGGCGCAGTTTGACAAGCAGGGGGCAATCTGACATTTGAGGCTAGCGACTGTCAGCGCCCTTGTAGTGCTCATTTACAGGATATTCAACAGATTATCAACATGGGCCTTTATGCCTCGATTAAACATTAACGGCCAAAGCTATGAGTGAGAAATGTCGTCTCAGCATTCAGGTAAAGTTGATTTGTGACGTAGTCCAGTGTCCATCTTCCGGAAGTTTGATCGGAGTGTAACCCAAAGTTCCGGCTCTCAGTGGGGTCTTTTCCGAACCCCAACTCCACATCCGGATCGCCCAGTCCCGGTCCAGGTAAAGTCAGCTTCTCCGCATTACCTACCGCGGAGGCACCGCGGGGTCTTGAAGCCTATAAATCTCCTGCTCGAAGCATATTTAAGCTGCCAAAACCAATCAACAAAATCTTTTGATAAAGAAAGATACATCATATCATGGCCGCGCCCGTCAGCTTGAAGGATCTCACGATCGATAACATCACAGAGAATGTGCACGCTATCAACTCTCAATGCAGCAATCTGCGATTGAAGTACATATTGGAACGGGTGGTTACACACATGCACGACCTGGCCAGGGAAACCAGACTTACCACTGATGAATGGATGATCGCCATTCAATTCCTGACTCAAGTCGGTCAGATCTCATCAGACGTTCGACAAGTATGTATGAAGTTTACCCGGGCATTATACGTGGCTGACCTTGGCAGGAATTCATCCTACTCTCCGACATTCTCGGCCTTTCTCTGTTGGTGGACTCGATCGATCATCCAAAACCTCAAGGCAGCACTGAAGGCACCGTTCTGGGACCCTTCCACACTCTGGAAGCTGAGCACATGACGGAGGGCGACCTGATCTCCCACGACCCAGATGGTGAACCTCTTCTCGTCCTGTGCACTGTTAAGGATATCCACGGATCCCCAATCTCAGGATCCAAAATCGATGTTTGGGAGACTGACTCGAAAGGATTTTATGACGTTCAACACGCTGACAGAGACGGTCCCGATGGCAGAGCAGTGTTGACAAGCGATGAGAACGGCAACTTCTGGTTCAAAGCCATCGTCCCAGTGCCATATCCTATTCCCCATGATGGGCCAGTAGGAAAGCTTCTCAAAGTCCTTGGCCGTCATCCATACAGGCCTAGTCACATGCACTTTATGTTCAAAAAAGACGGATACGATCCTCTGATCACGTCAGTCATTTCCCAACTTCCACAACGAACCACTACTGACATATCACAGCGCGCTTTACCTCAAAGACGATCCTTATGAGTCTACCGATGCCGTATTTGGCGTTAAGGATTCTCTTGTCGTCAAGCTCCAGAAGGTTACTGACGAGGAGATGGCTAAGAAATATGGCGTTGAATTGGGCTCCGCATTGCTTACGTATGACTTTGTTCTCGTCACAGATACAGCAGCGGCAAAGCTCCGTAGAGAAAAGGCCGAGGAAGCCATGGCTGGTTTGGGTCGCAAGTTCAGGTTTATCGATGACTTGCCGGTTCCAGATGTGGATTGAAGCAAATACATAGATCTATTTTAACGTGTATCAAACACATCAGTGTACCGGGCGGGGCAATTAGGATGTGCTCACGTCTCGATTATACATTACTGCATATCTATTTATTGAAGTATTGACAAAGAATCCCCATCTAGCCCCTCACCATAGAGACTATCCAGTGAAGGGAAAGAAAATTGCATGTCAAGATCATCCTGATCAGCTGCCATGAAGTCCTGCAGCAGATTGGGATCAATGATCGACGCCAGCAATCCAGGTTCTTGTTCTGGCACAGCGTGTGATACCTGGTTCGCAATCTCGTCTGAATGTGATTGAACTTGAGATCCAGCATCGTTTTGCCGCTGACTAGTCCTCTCGGCATCATTCTGCCGTCTTTGAACACAAGCTTGACCCACTTGTAAACCTTCTTGAATCAAGTTCGCACTTCTTCGAGCAACAACAGCCTCTTCCATCGAATGAAGTATCTCGTGTGCCCTTGCAGCATCTGCTAGCAACTCTTCATGTGACACAGCAGTAGGGCCAAGCATGATGATATATAGCACAATCATTCCAGCATACAAGGTGTATGTTGCATTGTACCACCAACTGCGAAAGTAATGTCGGTTGGTGTAAGCATCATACATAACGCGGATAGTTTCTCGGGCTGCGTCCAGGCAGATATCGGCGTGGGTCAGCATGTCTCCTTCAACACTTCGTATGGGCTCCCCAATGAATGGTCGATGAACCAGTATCCTGGCGTTGAGATACCTCAGTTGCAGCACGAGCTTCTGTTTGGCAGCCCATTCTGGTTCTCGGAAGGATACTGTATTGAAGTCGAGGTAGCTCGGTAGTCTGGATTTCCAGTCGTGAAGTTGCGAGTCGAGCCCTTTTGCAACAATCGATTTTTGGAGAAGGGTCAATCCCTTGGAATCGTAGTACAGCCCTTTTGAAATTCGCCGTAAGATAGCAGCGAAATGAACCATTTCGTTGATCATCATCACACTGCGTTTTTCGAGGTTCTTATCGGGTAATGTGTTGTCACCTTGATCGGTAATATGCGGGAGGTCAATTTGATAGTTCCGGGGCTTCCCAAGACTATCACGACGGCCTGCACTGCAGCTCATGTCTATCTCATGGGAGTAGATACACCACCATGTTCGTCGTGCTGCCCTTCGCTCTTCGGCTGAACTTGAAGAGACTTCTCGAGCAATACCGATGGCAAGAGCAGTACGGACCGCGTGGCCGCAATACATGTAGCAGGCATGTGGCTTAAGGGCGTTTTGGCAGTATAATGACTGTGTGATGTTAATGCACAGTACTCGGAAGTTGCGTGGGAGAGTGTGGCCTACCATTAGAAAAAGTGTTTGAGCGCTTTCCAACGAGCAAACTTCAAACACGTCTCCAAGTAAGACCCTGGACCTTCGGAAATATTTCTTGGACAGTTCCTGACTTGTCGGAGGTTGACTACATGATTCACCGCCTGCTGCTCCATCTATATCAAGGTCGGTGGATTGTATGACATTGGATCCAGAGGTAAGCGCGCCTACTGCCACTACGATATGATATAGAGCAAGGAAATGCCGATGGTTCTTACTGTTCTCGGATATACCAGGCGAAGCCCACACAAGCCTTTCGCATCGTGCAGTGAATGCTGAGGGATCGAGCATGGGGTGAAGGTGATGCAGATTGTTAATGAATTGGCGGACGTACTCCCGCTCAAGTCTATATTTGGAAACGTCTAGGGGACTGCTCGTTGCAACATTTCCGTTCAAGTTAATATGAGTTGAAGGACAGTGCTGGGTGGACTCTCTCCGACTGTCGCTTCTCGTCAGATGGCCGTCATTATCCTCTTGGGTCGGCTCAGGTGTTTTCGCCCGTGAATTGGGTTCCAGAACTTGTTTATCGGACAAGATGTTGACGATGGAAAGAGGTAGCCGTGTTGTAACACCTGACTCCGGACGCGTCCCCTGTGCATCATGACCAACAGGGAATAAATATGGTGTCGACGGGTTATTGACAGGATCAGTCGAGTTCGGCTGCAGATTCTTCTGGGCATATACGAAGAATTGATTGAGTAGTACAAAGTTAGATGAGGTTCCATAGTACTCTGTTCCTTGGGTGTGCTGATTGATATCACCCACAGCATCATCTTCTTCTAATTGGAAAGGGGATCAGCGACTTGTCCATTGAACGAGCAGACCACTGTAGGACACAATACCTATGCGACCGGACTGTTGAGCTTGCGCTAGGGGCTCACTCCCATGCCATACCTCATCTCGGCCAGTCAGACAAGATACAGACGAAGCTTCATGAGACTGTCCATCAGTTGGAGTAGAAAGATTCCTATCCCGCCCATTTCGCCTTCGAAGCCCATATGCGCATTGATGCGAATGCTTGACACAATTTCCACAAGGCTGTTGCTGGTCACACTTGGCCTTCTTGGCCCGACATCGTTGACAGGCGTGAGACGCACGCGGTAGGTTTCGCCGGCTGGGCAAAGCCTTAGATCGGTCTGCCATATTTCGTGTGCCGATAAAGTCAGGATTTCCGGTCTTCCGGCGTTGAGAAAACAAAATGGCGGATTGCCCCGCATGAAAAGGTAGCGGCAGTTGACGACAGAACTGCCGGAGCCGGAAGTTCGGAGATATCGCCGGAAAAGACCTTCACCGACAAGATTATCCACATTGACCTGTCTCACTAAGTATTACCAATCTGTGTGAAATCCACTATCATTTCGTGATCGTCATAGGATAAAACCGTTCGTTTTCCGGTCAGCGAATGTTGTCAAGCGACTAATAGAGTTTATCACACACTCACAACATGCCTGTCTTTCAAGAAACCTCAAACGCGGCGAGGGATCTTAGAATTCTGCCTTCACGCGCGCTGCCGCTACCCAGACTATCACCTCTTCCGGATCTCACATCAACCGCTGAGGAACATCGCGAAATTGTGGTTATCGGCGTAAGCTATAAAACTCTCTAACACGATTGTATCCATGACTCACAGGCTCTCTAGGCAGGACCCAGTGGTCTTTTTCTTACCTTACTTCTAGCCAGGTATGGCCTGCGAGACTCCTCACTTCTATGTCTCGATTCCAAGTCAGGGACTCTGAAGGCGGGTCAAGCAGATGGACTCCAACCACGAACTCTGGAGGTTTTCCAAAGCTTGGGGATAGCGAGCGAGATTATCAGCGAGGGCTGTCATATGGAAGAGGTCGCATTTTGGAACCCCTCCCCTACTAAGGGCATAGAGCGAAGTAGCTTCGCGCCTGATGTCAACGTACCTGCTCGCTTTCCCTTCGAGGTCACGATTCACCAAGGACGCATTGAGCGTATTCTGGAAGAAAATCTCCATCTTTACGCCGGGAAGGACACAATTCGAAGGTCGAGTCGTTTCCTGGAATACACAGTCGACGAGACCAATCCTGAGTTTCCTATCCTTGTTAAATATGAACACGGTCTTGCCGACGGGACGACTCAGCAAAGCACCGTACGGACAAAGTATTTGGTGGGGGCAGACGGCGCACGCTCAAAAGTTCGAAAGTGCATGGGTCTCGAACTCCAAGGCGAAACGAGTGATCACATATGGGGCGTCTGTGATTTCGTTGCCGACACCGACTTCCCAGATATTCGAAAACGCTCTGCCGTTCATTCTGACGCAGGGTCGGTCATGATCATTCCCAGAGAGCAGATCGCTACTGGCGAGTATCTCACACGACTTTATGTACAAGTCCCTGGTGAGGTTGACACGAGCCAGGATACCGGTACGGACAAGAAATCGGCGGGTAAGAAGAGGCGTGGTGCTGTCACCTTGGATTACATCTTTGAACAAGCAAAGGCTGTGTTTGCGCCATATGAGATCAAGATCAAAGAGGGCACCGAGCCTGATTGGTGGGCTGCGTATCAAATTGGTCAACGCATGGCTCCTAAGTTTTCTGGAAAGACTTTTGATGGTTTGGAAAGAATATTCATTGTTGGAGATGGTAAGACATCCCCCGCCTTTCTGTTCATGGAAACTGCTAACGCTTTATGTAAAGCCTGCCATACTCACAGCCCCAAAGCCGGACAGGGCATGAACGTGTCAATGATGGACTCATACAATCTTTCATGGAAGCTCGTCCACAGCCTCCACGGTCTTACTCGCCCAAAGTCTCCTGGCTCCATCGATTCTGTTCTCGAAACATTTGACCAGGAACGTGTTGACGTAGCTCGTCAGCTCATCGAGTTCGATGCCAAGTTCTCACACATGTTCTCTGGTAAAATCGGTACAGGCGATGCAGAGACGTCAGGTTTGACTCACGAGGAGTTTCTTAGCGTGTTTAGCGAAGGCAGTGGGTTTACAAGTGGTTGCGGACTCCAGTACAAGCCGAGCCAACTTGTGAAAACAGCTGAAGAGGACTTGCATAGTGATATGCCTCATCGGGATCCACTGGCTGGTGCTTTAACCCCCGGCAGGAGACTTCTTGACGTGGAGATTAAGCGTTATGCTGATGCTACCAGACGTCACCTCCAAGACGGTATGTTTTTCTTTGGAAATTGTGAACACAAGTCTCTGTGTGTTGACTGACGTAAATTGTAGAATTGCCACCAACCGGTCGATACTACGTCCTCGTGTTCGCTAGCAACGATTTACTCGAGCCCTCTGGCGCTTCGCAATCAGCGCTTAGATCATCCGTCGAGATCGTCAAAGGCTTCCCCAAAGGTACTGTAAGTCTTGCGGTTGTTCATCCACTTGACAAGCGCTTTGGGTGGCCCGACTTACCTCAAGGAGTCAAAGAGCTTGCCGAAATGCGGGTTTATGGACTGGCAAAGAAGGAAGATATATATGAGGTCCTCGGGGTGTCGAAGGATAATGGGTCGGTGGCTGTTGTCAGGCCTGACGGTTACGTTGGTATGCTTGCAATACTTGCCGGGATAGATCATGTTAGGGAGTACCTTGACGGTTGCTTGGTCCGGGCTTGAACCATGACGGGATATCTCTAAACCAAATTTATTTCTCAATAAAATCCGAATTAACTTGGTCAAGTAAGCTCCAGCGAACATTGAAAGGCATCCTCGTTTACCCATCCGCAACGGAGTCCGATATAGGCTTTCCCATCACTTCCATTTTTGGGTTACTTAGAAAGTGAATATGCTAATACATATTAGACACAAATTTAAGATTCATGCAGCCTCTGCCATCATCCCTATGTTGACTACTTGCTAGAACACCGAATGTGCTCGTTGCGGTAATGTCATACATCCAGGGTGCAAAGAGAATACCCAGCTAAGATACATGTGGCCGGCCCTTCAACTTTGGAGGGTCAAGGTTTGTAAATGTGTCCCAAGAAACGACGAATCATAGACCGCTGCTATTTGACCTCATGGTATGCATTGACGGCTAGTGGAAGGATTCATCAGCTTACCATCCTTACCATAATCTTTGACATCATGATATAAGTGTCCGAGAGGCACTCTCCGTCTCATAAGTGTCCGAAAGAGAGCCGATTTAACCGGTTCTCTAATATCTTTCCTTTAAAATGAGAATTCCCTCTCGTCGCATGCCCTATCACCTACAGTGCAAGCAAAAATGGCTTTTCCTCAGAGTACCGTTCAATGCGCAGAACTTTCTACAGGCCGCAAAATCTCATACAGCATCGACAAAAACACACCGGAAAGCCCATGGATTATTTTATCTAACACCTTTGGTGCTGACCTCACGCTTTACCAGCCCGTCGCACAACGATTCGCCACTTCAGGGTTCAACGTTCTCAGTTATGATCACCCAGGCCACGGGCAAAGCAGTCCGCTCAAGGATGTCGATAATGTGGAGTTTGAAGAAATGATAGACGACGTGGACGAGCTGCTCAAGGTCTTGGAGATTGATAGCATTCGTGCCTGGGTCGGCGTATCACTCGGGGCTGCCAGCGGTGTTTACATGGCATGTCGTCGTCCAAAGTTGATTCAACATTTAATCTACTGTGGCTGTCCGCCTGCGTCGATGGGTGCTCTTGGCGTCATGCCTCCCGAGAAATTTGACCAGATGCGTGCCAAAGCCGAACAGGACGGAACTACAGCAAATGTTATACGGCAGATGCACTATGGCTGGGCAAGCAAAGAATGGCTCGATTCGCACCCGGATCAAGACGAAAGACTCAAAGTTGCTAGCTCAACCTTGAGCTTGGACGCTTTTCGTGCGATGATGACACTGCAAAAGAGCTCTCGGTTTGACATGCGACCACTGGTCCCTGAACTAGTAAAAAGCTGTGGGAAGATGCTGTTCGTGAAAGGAGACCACGATGTTATGATGAACTCATTCGTTGATATGATGAGAGATTTGGTGATCAAGGCGGCAGAGGAAAAGAGCATTGAAGGCGATTTCAAGCTCATTACTGTGCCAGATTCAGGACACGTCATGTTCCTGCAGAACGAGACTTTCTTCTGCAACGCCATCACTGACTTTATTTCTTGAACATTCCAAGGTTCCGATGAGGAGACTGAAGAAGATCAAGCATCTGAGCTCAATACACATCATTCCGCTGTTACAGAGAGACCACAGACGTATACTACTTAATCTTTCTTCCAGTTATGGTTTATCCTGAAATGAATGGCGGGGTCATTTATGTGCTAAATGCTTCCAAGACTGATCATTCCTGATAAATTCAACACTTTTCTTCGCACCCTGTACCTTACAAGGCTTGCTTATTTTACTGTCTTATCTACTTAGTAGGTAGTTCAAAACATTTCTTCTCTCACAGCCTTGCATAAGCTTCATAACGAATGGGAAAGGGTACATCAGCACCTTCGTAGTGCTTGCCTTATCTGTGTCTAGTAACTTCATACTAAAGAAAGTAACGGTGAATGTAATCTTAGTGCTGATTGCTGCAAGGGCAGTAGAGGAAGAAGGGCGGCACGGTCCAGTGCTGAACACCTGGGGAGGCGGCAAAGGCCAAAGCGGTCAGGTTCAGGAAAGCCAATGTAACGAGCGGCTGAAGTTGGTTGACAAGGGGCAAGGAATTGGAAAATCCATTCCACTATGAATCATACCATGTATGTTTTCTGTAATCATCGGCGCCTGGCTGGTCGTAAGATCATCCACTTGACTATTGCCGCGCTATTGAAAAAGGCGTTGTTATATCCATTTGGCGGTAATTAAAGAGCTGTCAGCCGCAGTTAGTAGGCACCTAGCGCCCAGGTCTAGAGCGCCCACCGAGCCTTACAGGGCCCCTGAGTGTTACTTCGATTTGTACTGAATCGAGAGCATTAGGGAAGAGTCTCATCTTATCTGTCGTTAGATCGCTAAATGTGTCACAAGGGGAGGTGTATAAACAACGGCGGGTGGACATTGTAATACTTCTAAATTTTATTGAGAAGCGAAACGATCAAAACTGGATCAGAACAGAGAAACCCATGGGAATCAACGTGACGGCACTAACAGCTACTAACGTTAGGGCGCCACGAACTGTTAAATCTGCCCATTACCACAAGACCTCCGACGGACCATTTGACAGTAACGGCCCGCGCATTTAGCGTTTTCGTATTGTTAGCTTAACCGTCGTTCTCCCTAGCATTCTACACCAACACATAACCGTGTATCGTGGTGTTTCCGGTGATTTCCACTTACCCACCGTCGATCCCACCCAAAAATTGGCTATTCAACAATGGAGGGGCGTAGCTCCAAGTGGCCTTACCCTGTACCACGCATAATTGTCAATCTACCGTATGATGCATTCGAAACGTCCGAAGCCCTTCATGTAAATACATATTCTATCTCTCACTAAATATTTTCATAGTCGTTTTTAAACTTGTTTTTGAAAGAAAGCAAAAATAGGAGCTCGATAATTCAAACTGCGTTCATTCCAAACGCATCCATTACCAAAGTCCACTTCAAGTCACCAACTCAGCAACGCAAACAAATCACTCAAGTAACGTTTGGTTGCGACACATTGGCTGAGGCGTTGTCATGGAAATGTATTAGTATTAATAAGGAATGCTACATAAAAAACATTAAGCAAAGCTATCAAGCCTGGCCTGAGATGCCCTCGCTTGGCTCTCGGCACTATGTTGTAGAATGGTGGTGTTCACCGTGATACCGGGGCTCTTGTCACCGGCGGCGCTTCTTCCACCTACACCCTGAATAGACTCCTTGAACAGCTCATCCTGCGAGTCGTTGTTCTCCGTACCACCCATGACATTGGTGGTGATTCGGCTATGGTTTGTTCGTCGAGTTCGGTTCTGGCCCGCCGAGGAGAGTTCGTAATGCTGGTAGTTGGAGTTGGATCGTGCAGAGGACATTTGGCCGAGGAAGAGTGTTCGTAGAGCTGCAGGAGAAGATGTTAGCATCTTGGAAGTCTGGGAACTGAGAGTGAGGGGTCGTACGAGGTAGACAAGTGGCAATGATAGCGACAGCTGTCTCGATCATGGAGACGGTGCATGTCAACATGGTTTCGTTTCGCTTGGAGTAGTAGGCTCGGATGACTGGCACGGTCAGTAACGCTCGAAGTCCGGAAGAAAGAATACCTACTGCTTGTAACAACGACCAAGAAACCGAGCGCGAAGATGGCTGCAACACCGATCTTCTGCTTCAGCTTCATCTGTAGCTGGAGGACCATGTAGATTGGCAAGCAAATGGCTTCGGGATGTTAGTATAAGAGCAGAAAACGCATAATATGTGTACTCACTGAAGACATCGGTGCCAATATTCACTATTTAAAACGTCAGTCAGCATTGATCGTTTGAACCTGGTACGGGTCATAATCGCTTACAGAGGATTGTCAACCAGTAGTTGATCTCTGCTTGTTTCGGATCACATTGATCTGTGCGGCGTTAGCTATAGATCCATTGTCGAGAATCGTGTAACCAACAGGCCGGGTCTTGCGACCATCTCTTATCGTGAGGGAAGCACTGGAAAATGATGTGGAAGAAGATGGCAGTCCAGAAAGCCACCAGTAAACACAGCGTAACATTGTAGATGATCTGCAGTTTGGTTCCGGGCGCGGCAAGTCGTTTGTAAAATATGACCAAAGCGATTTTGATGGCCCAAAGCGATGTGACGTAGAGAATCGATCCAGGAACAATCATCTTGGTGGTAGTGTCAGTAAAATCGCCATCTCGTTTGGAGGCAAAATGCGCCCTACCTGCATCAACTTCTTGAACTGCTCAGGCGTAGCACCCGGGATGTTGGCCATTCCCAAATTCCACATATATTGCTGAATGATCAAGTCACCCCAAAGACAAGCCGTCGCCAGAATAATGAGGCCATCGTCGAGAGCAAGAGAACCGAATTTGCGGACGCGGATCCATAGGCGAAGAGCGAGGAAGATGGTAGCGACGGCGGAACAGATGTACCACGACACCTAAAACAGTGTTAGCAGGTACATGGTCATATCTCCTTTGGTGCTGGTCCAAACTTTACCACTTGACCAAGACCCTCTGACATTGCGACGTAGATCTGCAAGGCAAGGGAATATCCAAACAACCCGGCAAAGTCAAACCATAAAATCGGGAGGGCGATGCACGTCAACTTATTGCTACCGAAAACCAGGTACGAGGTACGGAGTCCCCCCCTGAGGTCATGGGCGTTACCTGTTCGGAGAAATGCAGGCGAAACGCACGGCTTCGGGGGCTTCATGATGTACATCAGCCCATTGCAGTCACGGAATGGGTTTGAGCTTCGAGAAAATGGCGATAGCGTCGTGGAATGCGACAAATCTGCATCTAGCTCCGAAGTCTATTCAACGCTACGCGGGACTTGATCGGGAATACACCAATTGGATCACCAAGGCATTGCGTCCGCACCTGAGCTAGTTAGTCAGTGACAGACAAGAGACCTCGGCTGCGAGTTTTAGCTCCGTGTGCGTAAATAGTGCGAGTCGAAGCCGTTGCTGCTAATTCAAACGGTGATATTAGCTACCAAGTCTGGCCTTTGAGATTACGGTCCAGATTTCGACATCAATATCCCAAACATTACATGTAAGGATATATGTTCTAGATCGAGCAGCTCGCAGCTTGATGTAACGCAACAGGAGACAGTTCAAGTTACGCTGCAGGTCTAAAAGTCTGAGGTTCCCACATAATTGATATGAATTTTCTCGGCGGGACTGACCCTTGCTCCTTAAATCCTTGACACCTCCCTCTTCCGTACAATGGCATGCACCTTGCACGTGGAGATCAACCGTAAAGGTTCCAATCCTCTCCTGTCGCGGAACCGGTTTATGCCAAGGGTCTCAGTACGCCGAACCTAATGATCCTAGAAAAAGCAAAGAAAACCCTCCCCCAGTCCACAATTTCCTTCGTCTCGATTCTGCAAGCGAGATATTGAATCGCTTCCAACCTGTTGGGAGCCGATCTGTGACCTGTCGTTCGCATTGACAAGAGTAAATGCCCTCGCCGGATTTAAAGGCACATGCTTTGAAGCCATTCCATGCCAAGTCCGCCCCCAGTTCAACCACCGCATCTTCGCCTACGACGCTGGCCCACGGGATGTCCACCTTGACAGATCAATAGTTCAGAGGGGCCGTGGCACGCACAGATATCTCCCGTTTCCGCCCTTCCCGTTCCGTTTTCAATAGTTTCCCACGTATTTTTCTTTCCGCAGCCACCGTCTCCTGAGGTTCTCACAGATATTTTCCCACGCATGACTCGTCCTCACGCCAAAATCCATCGGGTCCCTGGATCCGCCAAACTCCGTCGTCTCCGCCACAGGGCCAGCTATTCCTGGCTAGCAGCCACCCGTGTAATGGCGCGCTCAGGGCGTGTTAGTGCGGGCATCAAACCCCCTGTTTCACTCCACTGCTACTCCGTAGACCCGCTATAGCACGCCCCAAGGCCCTGCTTCGAGCCAGAGGCCGCCGCTTCGGAGATTCCATTTGCTTGGTCAATGCTGACGATGGGTCCTGACTCGGCCTCTGCTCATCCATTGATAAGGCCACCTCAGAAGAACGGATTTGCTTCTGAATATTTCCCGGCCAGAGACGATCATCACCTTTTTCTCGTGTTTTACTGTTTCACTATCTCGCCATGGGTCTTAACGATATGCTCACCACAGGATTAATCCTGGCCGCCACATGTCTCGCTCCTGTCACGGCACGACCTGCTCCTGGATGTGCGGATCCTCTCCCGCGTGCCGCAGTTCCACAGGGAACTGTTGAAGGCTTCCGCGATGAGTACTGCAACGCTGTCTATCTTGGTGTTCCCTTCGCCGCCTCCACTGGTGGTCAGAACAGGTATGGCGACGTCAAGTTTGCACATGAAACAATGCAGGAGTGACGAACTAACGCCTGAATAGATGGAAAGCGCCTCAGGACCTTCCTAAATCTCGCAATGTCTTCCGGGCCAAGGCTTACGGCCCAACCTGTCCCCAGGCTATCGGTAGAGATCCCTTTACTCGCCAGGATGAGGACTGCTTGAACCTCAACATCTGGGCTCCTACACGTGGCAAGAACCTGCCTGTAAGTGCTTTAACCCTGCATATGCATGCCATATGACGATTGACTAACATGAACTAGGTATTCGTTTACATGTATGGTGGTGCTATGGTCACTGGCTCAAACAGCAACTCCCAGATTCAAGGCACAAACTTTGCCCGCAATGGAGTCGTCTACGTCAACTTCAACACCCGTGAGAGCATCTTTGCCTCACCTCATTCTTCCGAGTTGAAGAGTGCTCACCCCGAGGAGTCCCAGAACTTCAGCATCCTCGATGTTGAGAAGGCTCTGGACTGGGTTCACAAGAACATTGGAGGTTAGTATCATACTGCATCACTTCGCTCTTGTGCACCGCTAACGTTGCATAGCTTTCGGTGGCAACCCCAACCATATCGTCTTCGGTGGTCACTCTTCAGGTGGAGTGCAGGTTGACCACTATCTGTGGAACAACCCTGATACCTTCCTCAAGGGTGCCGTCGAGATGAGTGCCAATGCAATCTCTGGCCCCGCCTACGCCCCTGTTGATGAAGCCCTCAATGCTGTTGCTGCCGAGGTTGGCTGCCCTAAGGGTGGCAACAGCCAGCTCGAGTGTCTCCGCAAGGTCGATATCCTCGACATCGAGACCAAGAACTTCAACTCCACCTTCAACACCTGGTTCACTCCTGTCGTTGACGACATCACTCGCTTCTCTGACTACTCCGCCCGTCTTGCCTCCGGTGGCTATGCTTCTCATGTGCCCTTGTTGACCGGAACATCAAACGGAGAGGGAACCATCTTCAGCCTTGTTTATGGCGCCGAGAACAGCGACTTCAGCTCATGGATCAACACCTTCGATGCTGATAGCGCTCACATTCCTGACGATGCTCTAATCAGCGCTTACAACCCTGCTGACTACGCCAGTGAGGCCCTCCGCAGCGGTACTCAGTACGGCGATGCCCGCTTCAACTGCCCCGTTGACTACCTCATTGACCTCCGCAGCGAGGAGCAGAAGACTTGGGTGTACCGCTTCTTCGGTGCCTACGACAACGTTGTCGGAGTCCCTGGTACTGCTCCCACTCACGGCACCGAGGTCCCCTTCTTCCACGGTGGTAACGAGTGCTTCAAGTCCCTCGAAGGCGTCACCAAGGCACAGCAAGCCCTTGCCGACTCCATCCACAAGTGGTTTGTCGCCTGGATCAAAAACCCCGCCGCTGGACCTGGCTGGAACAGTGTTGAGAAGGCTGGCGAGTTGGTCAAGCTTGGAGTTCCTGGTAAAGAGCTTGCTCGTGGCGTTGCCTCGCGAAGCGAGTTTAACGCTGTGTGCCAGTCGGTAAGTGATATTTACTCTACATATTCGAAAATGCAACATGCTAACAGTACCCAGGTCTACAAGCCCAACCTTCCCAAGTACCCCGTTGTCCAGTCTGTTGCAGACTTGGTCAAGGAGCTCTCGGGCTAAAACCTAGACGAAATTGACGTAGTATTATGACGAGCTGCCGCCGAGAAATGATTACGGATAGGCTTAACGACAAAACCATACAGTACCATTCTTGTTGATGATTACAAAATCATGATGATATTCTAGATACTTAATTCTTAATCAAACAACTAAAGTTATCGCCACTGCTTTGTTTCTGGATCAAGTGACTCTTCTTCAGCCTTCTTCCAACCATCAATAACCATGGCCTCCCTCTCCTTAGACCTCGGGGTGATTTTAGCTGGGAACTCCTCTGGCATACACACAAATCCCTGTGTCAACTTATCTGGGTCCGGCAAAATTGGCCTTCCCTCTTCGTCAAGTGCAGGCTCTATGTTAAATGCCCACAACATCCTAGACATGCCCAGGAAGAGACTTCGCTCAGCGACGTGGATTCCAGGGCAGATACGACGTCCTGCTCCGAAGGTAAACTGATCTCTTTTGGAAGCATCTGGATTTGCTGCAGCGTCCCCGAGACTCTGTAAGTCATCTCGGTACCTCTCTGGGTCGAACTGGCGAGGGTTGGGAAAGCGCTCGGGATCCATGTGAATTCCCCAGACGTTATTCAGGACGCCAGCTCCCTTTGGGATAAGGTAGCCGTTGTAATTATCATCCCGAGTAACTGCATGCGATACGGCTCCGAGGATAGTGGTTGGCATCCATCGAAGTGTTTCTTTCATGCATGCACGGATGTACTGGAGGCTTTGCCCATCGTCCATGGTTGGCATCCGTTTACTACCAACCACTTTATCGAGTTCATCTTTTGCTTTTCGCTAGATCTCGGGATATAGGAGCATTGCCTGGACAAATGCATAGAGCGTGCTGGACGTCGTATCCGATCCAGCCTCAAGAAGCGTCCTAGAGATATAAGCGGCCTGAGCATCGTCAAAGTTGCCTTTCTCCTGCGCCTCCGCTAAACCCACGCAGAAACATGGTTTGATGGTGCCGTTCGCTATATCTTTCTTTGCCTTCAGCCAGTGGCTGACATACAAGTCCTTTTCTTTTTGGTGAAGCTCTTTGGCTTTTCGTTGGACTGGCACCAAAAAGTCGGGTAGCTTTCTCAGAAGTGGGAACGACTCAAGAAGAGCAGCAATACCCGTCTGGTTAAGATCGGCAAACTCAGAGAAGCCATCGAACAACTGCATGAGCTTTGGGTCGTGGTAGATGGGTGATCGCCAGCCAAAGACCATTGTAGTTGTGAGTGCATTTGAGTATCGTCGAATGCTTTGGAGGAATTGGTCAGGCTGGATAACCATCTCGTACAGCATCTGCTTGTTCTCGAGGTCTTGATATGGAACATAGCTTTTGGCTGCGGTCACATTGAGAAGTGAGTGCACCAATTTACGGAACTAAATGATCGCGTTAGCAGTCTGGATAAGGGTGCTAATGCATTAGCGAACTTACTGATCTCCAAGTTGGGCCATAACCCTGCATGGGAAGTAAATGTTAGTCGCGGCACCTCATAAAACAGGAATGACATACCATCATCAGAAGTCGCAGGCCTCCGCTACCGATTGTTTGGCCGACATACATCTCCTGCCGATCAGAGTATAGTGCACTCTTTTTATCTAGCAGATCCTTGACGGCCTGAGCACTCGAAAGAACAATAAACGGCTTGGTGCCTAGGATCAAGCTATAAATAGGACCGTACTCATCTGCCCATTTGCGGAATTGCAAGTGAGCATCTCGCTTGGGCATCTGATGTTTTTAGCCTGAGTATGTTGCTTTTAGATTCATGATACTTACCATGTGGATGTTACCGAGAATAGGTAGCGTGGGTGGTCCTGGAGGATAGTTCTTGGGTCTTCTGCCAGTTAATAGAAGACGTACAAAGATGGCAGCGAGTGCTACCCAAAGTAGTTGGAAGGTGAACATGGTTACTGATTTCGCTGTGGTGGATGAATTCCAAAGGACAATCTGAAGACACCTAAAGTTCTTTATATGACTCGCATTTCTGTTCGTTACCATCAAGGAGCGGAGAGATGTGGGATGAAGCTTGGAAGCTAAACTCTATATCCCACATTGATGATCCGGGGAGGATGTTCATAAGGCCGTGATGCGGTTCTTAGGTACCTGGCTTAGCAGTCTGTCTATGGCTGATACTGGAAGTACTTCTCCAACTTGTCCGGTTTGTGACTAGTGACCATCTCCAAAGCTCCGATTCGTCTCCCACAAGAGCTCCGTGAAAGCCAGTCTCTGCTCGGATGTTGGCCCCACTTCCCCGCGATCTGAAGATCCGGGACGGAATGCGGGATTGCGGAGGCATTCTCAAACTGCACTGTCTTTGATACCGTAGCTACTCTACTCTCACTTTAACCATACATCACCCTTGCCAACACCCACATGATCCCCCGACATCATGTCTGACGCTTCGTCCACGTCAGGGTCCACTTATCCATGCTCACTATGTCCGAGGACCTACAAGCGACGCGAACACCTACATCGCCACGTCGCATCCCACAGTAGCGTCCGCCCCTACCGATGCACGTTGTGCAACCAGTCATACCAGAGAGCAGATATTCTGAGACGGCATGTTCAGACTTGCCAGACCAAGCCTCGGGTTGGGGGGATGCTTATATCGTCCAACCGACGGGCATGTAACCTCTGCGTTCGGCAGAACAAGGCTTGTAGCATGGGGCAACCATGCAATCACTGTCGCCAACGATCAGTCGAGTGTAGCTATTCTTTTGGTCTCGGGGCTGTTGAGCCCTCCGGGCGTGATGCCATTCAAGATGTAGAGCTCGAGTCTTTCATTGAGATTCAGCCTTTGACTGTGGCCGGAAGCAATGCCAACCCCCCACCTGTGGTATTCGGAGATGACTCACTATTCGGATACCTTGGAAGCTACACGTCAGTTTCTGATATGCTAGAAGGTTCGGATAATAACCAGGATTGGTTGGACTTCGTTGGTCTAGCTACTGGCACCTTCCAACCGAGTTCAACAAATGCTAAAACGAGGCTCGATAACTATACATTCCATTTCCTTGATAACTTTACCAAAAGAAGCGGACTGGTGGAATCTTTCGACTGCGGAACATTTGAACAACGAGTTCAAGTCGTGTCAAACTTCCTAGAGACAGAAGGGTATGACTCAACGCTGGCACATATTGATTCAGCCATGCATCAGACACTGCTGCCCATAGCCGATCTTCCAGACCCTCTCATAATACAAACACATCAAATTCTCCTGGACGTGAAAGAGGTCGTCACTGTGAAACCTCGCAACAGTGTCGTTTCATTAGAATGGTCCGCTATCTTGGAGCAGACTTGTATGCAATTCTTCTCACCACCGAATTTGCGCAGATTCCTTGAGCTATTCTGGCAGATATGGCATCCGAATGTCAACTTTGTACATCGACCTACCTTTGAGCCGGCAAGTTCCAAGTCTATACTCGTTGCTGCAATGGCATTGATCGGTTCGTACTATTCTCCTTTTACCATTCTCATCCGTTTTGCCAAAACCCCACCATCAGCTTACAAACAAAGTATGGTCTGACAAAGTCTAGGGGCCAGCGTGTCACCCAATAAGGCAGAGAATGAGCAAGCTAAGATGTGGTTCAACTGTGTGGAGGAAATGGTCTTTACAGATGATGATTTCTGTCACGATCCTCTGACCGATCAAAACACCATGGCCTTGAACCAGAATACAAATACTTCCAAAATTCAGGCACTCCAGGCAGCATACATAGTATGCCTATACCAAGGCTGGGAGGGTACTGAGGCAAGTAAGCAAAGAATCCGCCGATACCGGTTTAGTACTGTTATATCTGTACGTCACTCCTCTCTTTCAAAGAGTACAGACAATGACTTAACTCTCTTAGATGGCTAGAGATTTTGGGATAATGTCTGCGCGACGTCCGGACTACTCTACCATAATTTATCATGGATTTCACTGGAAAGACTTTGCTGCAAGAGAGCAACTTATCCGGTATGAAGCAATCCTCAAATGGTGAATATAAAGCCTACTAACGTCATTGCAAGCATTTTCCTATGGATATATCTTCTCGACCATGCGTTTGTAATATTCAACAATCTCCCACCAAGAATGGTTATCAAAGAGATGAGTATGCACATGGCGTTTCCAGAGGCAGTATTTCAAGCTACCACTGCCGCGGAGTGTGCTCAAGAGATTCATAACTGGCATCTCCGCTCCGCACCAGTACAAAACATCACTTTTCGTGAGGTTGTTGAGAGTTTTTGTGGGAACTCGATTCCGGAAAAGAAGCGACGGTGTTTCTCAGATCTCGGCCCACTCAATCTATTCGCAGTTGTGTCAGGTAACATTGACCCAGTATTCCTATTAAGTATTGATTAGTATTGACTCAGTGCTTAGCCTTCCATGCTTTAATATTTCAGCATCAAAACTCTTTTGGAGGGCATGATCAGCTTAGGGCAGTGCGCAATGGACTTGATAACTGGAAGTCGGTATGGGAAACCTACTCTGACGAATTTTCCTTTTCTCCCCCCCATGTTATGGTAAACAGAGATAATCTGTCTCCGAACGAGTTGTGGAAGAGAGTTGGGTTTATGCGGCATTCTCCCGAGTACTGGCTTCTTGCAAAACTACTGGTTGATCATCTGGCCAGTTCAAACGGTTTGATGTCGAGTTCTGACCCTGCTACCATTGATGGGAGTGCGACGCATGAGCCCATTTTGACAAGATACGATCAAACAAGTATGCTTCAAGTGAATGATCTGATCACAGAGTTTCAAAATGTACATATTGACTAGCTACTTACTGACGGTGACTATTAAATCTACTCATTCAACAAGGCTCTTGAAATATTGTCTTTCGATGATTCTTCTTTTATTATGATGCAATTACTCTGTTTCTTATCAGTAGTAAAGTCTGATACATCAAATCTTTGCTTCTATCTACGAATCATGAATATGCAGGAGGTCCAAAGCATCCACGGACCACCCCCACATCGCCTCCGAGCGGCATTTTAAGCGGCAATTGTACCAGCGATGCTGCGGACAACCAACCATTAGCTTAAACTATTAAAAAGTGCAGACAACGCGCCTCAGTAGTAAGGTTGTCTAATATAACCCACCAGAATTATCCACAAGATGATGCAGACAACTACAGCCCTTGTGGCACACAAGCTTGATGGTCGGTTTGCGCTTCAGGAAGTACACCTGGACTCGCTTCAACCAAATGAGGCTCTTGTCGAGATACATGCATCAGGTATCTGCCATACAGATCTTGGGTGTGCTAGTGGCAAGTTCACATGTGTACCAGGCGCGGTTCTTGGTCATGAAGGTTAGTCTCTCCATCAACTAAAAGCCAACTTACTAACAACCTTCGTCGCTGCAGGAGGAGGTGTAGTGCTCGAGACCGGTTCAAATGTCACTTCCGTTACTAAAGGGGACAAAGTTCTTCTTTCATTCTCCTCTTGCGGCTCTTGCCCGGGCTGTGCATCAGATCACCCGGCATACTGCTATAGCTTCAATGACTACAATTTCGGCGGAAAGCGCCCGGATGGCTCTACCGCCATGTTCACCATGAAAGAGGGAGAGAAGCAGCCAGTCTACAGCACCTTCTTCGGCCAGAGCTCCTTCGCACGGCACACGATAGTCCATCGCTCGAGTATCGTCAAGGTACCACAGGAGACGCCGCTCAGCCTCTTTGCACCACTGGGTTGTGGTATACAAACGGGTGTTGGTGCTATCTTCAACACTCTCGATGTGAAGCCTGGGAGCTCGGTGGCAGTTTTTGGCGTTGGATCGGTCGGTTTGGCTGCTGTCATGGCTGCAAAGGCGCGAAAGGCTGGTACCATCATCGCCATAGATCTACAGCCAGGTCGACTTGACCTCGCCAAGGAATTAGGTTCTACCCATGGCGTGCTCGGTCCAGATCAAGAGGCTATCATCAAGTCGATTCGGGACATTTGTCCCCGTCTTGGTGTTGACTTTGCTGTGGACTGTACTGGTGTGCCCTCTATAATCGAGACTATGGTCTCGGCACTAGGAATGAGAGGAAGGGCTGCAACAGTTGGTGCGCCTGGTGGAAATTCCAAAGCCAAGATAGATATCATGAGTCACCTCACTTATGGCAAGGAATATGTGGGCTGTTCCGAGGGTGACAGTAACCCAACAGTTGTGAGTACCCTCTTGCAGCAAAGCATGGATGTGAACAAGATACGAAAAACTTGCCCATCACACATATCGACTTCAAACGTCTATTTATCAACGTGTTCGCTGACTATTACGAATACTAGCTCATCCCGCAACTAATAGAGATGCATTCGCAGGGGCTTCTACCCCTTGAAAAGCTAATCTCTTATTATGAAATAAAGAACTACGAAACAGCTGTCGAGGATATGGAGAGTGGAAAGGTGGTCAAAGCTGTCTTAACATGGACATGATTCAGAGAAACGAGACGAGTTCCCGCGGGGTGTTTTCAAAATTCTGACAAGAGTTCTGTCAATCTTCCGGCAAGCATTACTCGCCAGTCTACCTCCATGAGCAGGCCATAGACTGTACAAGATTTGGTGATGTATACATCTATATCTACGATTTACAACTTTCCGTCAGACTACTTTACTCTTTCTATTGTTGCTCACGTAATGGAAGATGGTGGTTTCTATTGATCAAGGTTGCGAATTGAGATGTTTTCATCTTCGTCAACGGGTATCACTGTGTACTTATTTTTACTTTCCATCAAAGTCAAGCGGGAGGGATCATATTGTCCAGCTTTCGTCGCTCTTGACTCCCCAGAGGGGTCTTCTCAAGATACCGATACACAGCGGGAGAGTGAGCAAAACTACCAATTGTCGTCTCGCCATCAACAGCAAAGTCAATGTTTGCGTTAATCGGTCTGGTGGTCTAGTGGTATGATTCTCGCTTAGGGTAAACCCTATAGCATAGCTTGCGAGAGGTCCCGGGTTCAATCCCCGGCCAGACCCTTCCCTTTTGCTGAACTGATCTGTGGTCATTCACAATTGTCTTCTTTTTAATGGTGGCTTCAAGAAATAAGATAGCGAGCGGCAGTTCGTGGAGAAACAGGTCCGTGTAAGCGTTGCCCCTCGCTGCTACGATCGGCTACCGAAGTTTGTTTAGCATATTTCAGCAATCAAGTAATGACAAACGTAAATAACTTTAGACGAGCGATGATGTAACAGTGTTTTGGACGATCTGCAGAAGTAACCCACGCATCGCTGGTTGTGTTCAGAAGGCCAACCTCCACGGGGCTTTCCCGCGGACGCTTGGCGAAGGTAACCTGGCTACCTTGAGAATATCGCTGAGACATGGATCTGCCCGTCCGGGAGCCAAGGACGATGCGGGGTTGGACAATCTGGGGTAGTCACTCGCATAAGGATTTAATAACTCTAAGTCGTACTATAATTTGCTGTACAAGTCACACTACGGAGGCGCCCTCCTTCTCTGGGCTGAGTTTGAGGTCACTCTACTTGCAAGCGCTACATGACTAGGTTGTCTTTGCAAGTACCGCTCTATCATCCAGTTTAGGTTCTAAATGAAGTATAGCACTGCAAGGACTTTTGACAAGGAATTAACCCCAGCTGCAAAAGGACTGAGGACGTTACACTGCATCGTACTCTGGTTGCGGATGCCGCTCTAACCGTGGAAGCGTGCAAGATGATACTATTGCAGATCTTTCTGTGAGGTCGTGAGTTGTTACCACATTAGGGGCAAGAAAACGTGTATAAATATTCCATCATGCTGCTCTTGCTGTATAAATAATACAGACCACAATCTCACCCCTCGAGACACAACCAAGCAACAAACAATGGCGACAAAGACTCTAGCCACATGGGCTCTAGCCCTCCAATTCGGTAACCTCACCGAGCCAGTTGTCGACATGGCCGTTAAGAGTGTCTACAACTGGGCCGGCTGCGCTATCGGCGGGTATGCTTTACCACCTGCCGATATTGCCCTAAAGGCCATGATACCCTTCGGATCTGAGGGCAACTCTACCATCTTCGGAAGTGGCAAATACGTCGACGTTAGGACAGCAGCACTCGTCAATGGCATCGCTTCTCACGCCGATGATTATGACGATACTCACGTGGATACCCCAGTTCACCCCTCTGGGCCTGTTGCGTCTGCTCTGTTCGCCATAGCCGAGTGGTTGGGTCCCGTCACAGGCGAGGATTTCCTCGCTGCATTTGTCGCAGGCGTTGAAACTGAGTGTAAACTTGGCGTTGCTGTTTATCCTGAGCACTACGATATCGGATGGCGTAGGTCATCCCATAACAAATTCCCAAATGATACAGGCAGCTAACTCTTCACAGATATTACCAGTACCACGGGATCCATTGGCGCTGCCGTCGCCGTCGGAAAGCTCCTGGGTCTTGATACGAAGCAGATGCAGAGGGCTATTAGCATCGCCTCTGTACAAGTCATCGGTATGCACGAATCATTCGGCACAGACACCAAGCCTTTCCATGTTGGTGCTGCCGCACAAGCTGGTCTGACCTCAGCAATGCTTGCTAAGCACGACTTCGGAGGTTCTCTGGAGGGACTTGAAGCTAAAAGAGGATGGTCCCATGTCGTCTCCACCTTTGAGAATGTGACAGAAGAGTTTGAAACTTTCGGCAAGGTCTGGGAGGTTACCAAGAACACCTTTAAGCCCTTCCCCTGCGACCGAATTATCCACGCCCCCATCGATGGCTGGATCCAGATCCATGAGCAGGCAAAAAGGAAGAACCTCGAACCCTCCAAAATTGTTAATGTTACTGCTCGATGCCATCCCAAGGTGCTGTTCCTCACAGACGACCCCAAGCCCGAAACAGGTCTCGCAAGCAAGTTCAGCGTCTACCATGCCGCAGCAGTGGCACTCTTGTACGGAGAGGCAACTCCCAAACAGTTCACCGATGAAGCTGCAAAGGATAAAAAGGCCATCGAGCTACGACAAAAGGTCCACGTCACCACTGACAAGAAGGTCGCCGACCACGAAGCATACGTCGATGTTGAATGGGAGGATGGAACCAAGCTTGAGGTTCACGTTAAGCATGCTATTGGTAGCTATGAGAACCCTCTCGATGAGAAGTTCCTTCACACCAAGTTCTTGGAGCACGTTGGGGCTCAAATCGGAGAGGATAGGGCGAAGAAGGCGCTTAAGGCATTCGCTGGAATCGCAAACTCGACTGACGTCAGCAAGATCTCAAAAGCGTTTGAGGAGGAAGATTAGGTGGGGGCAAACTTGGTGATCGGACGAGATAAAGCTTCCATAGTTTGTTAGATACGTTGAGATAGAGATATATCACGAGACATAACTTCAGCATTCTCAAACACACCGATTACCAGCTGTGAAATACGATGAGGATTTAGTGACATGATATTACACCACCATCTATCCCAAAAAGTCCATGTCACTTCATGTGTTGACAGAACGAGCATTAAGGACGAGAAGCACTTTGCACAATAATAAGTGTTCACACTACAAATAGTTCCGGAACGGCATGATTTATTAACTAGAGTGGCAAGATTCTAAATAATTACTATTGAACGTTTAAAAAGCTTATTTCTTTTGTGTACCGTGATGCTCAGGCAGCTAGATTTTGACGGTATTTCATTTTCACGGTCTTGGTGCAATTTTTCTTTTTTGGTAAAAGAGGTTCAATGATCTCGATCCACGGGTAATTTGTTTCTTCATTCGTCCTATTGAGAGTTTTGAGTATCCCCAATCTTGGTTACTGCACCAATAGCTGTCCTCAGCGTGGGCGAACCCTGAAGTCTTACCATGCTGCCTTCTATGTAGATATTGGCAGTTCTTCCGGAGTGGTGTTGTTTCTTTCGCCGACTGATTGAAGATGTTAGACAATTCTTTTTTAATGCATAGCTAAGTATCAGTGAGGGGTGTAGCAATAGGTATTGTAAAAATGAAAACCCTTACCATCGAGGGCGACAAGAAACCTGCTCACGCAATTATAGCACGCGACCTGGATAACGATTAGCATAAATGGTTCAAATGTAGTTCAGCTCAGGATACCATACAGTTGCAACAATTTCCACCACCTCCTGATGACCGAAAAGAGACTTCAGCCAATCGAACGTATCATCAGCAACCTGCACATTCCTCGTCATTTCATCAGTGGCCACACAAACAGACCATTGCTTATCCGTGAAGCCTTCAGGGCATTGACTCCGCGCCAGAGGACCATCTTTCCGGATCTCCTCCATTGAAGCAGCCGAGACACCGCCCTTGATGGCTAGTGGCGCGTGGTGCATCCATTCATACCAGGCTCTATTGACGACCGCGATGCGGCAGATGGCAAGCTCGCGCAGATCGTCAGAGAGCGATGTCTTTGTGCGGACGGCTCCGACGAATGAGTTCCAGCCAGCGGCTACGTGTGGGGAGTGGAGGAGTGCAAGGTCGAGAGGCTGTATAGGGCGGGGATGACGGCGGGCCGCAATTGCGGCGACTATGGACTCCTCCTCTGGGGAAGAAGTTGGAGGGGGATTGTGCACGTAGGGGATTCTCATGGTGACTGTTGATGATTGGTAATTGAGTTGAATGTCAAGTTCAACGTGCTGAGTCCGTTGTGCCACAGCCTTCCATTTTAAGAGTGATTCTTCATTGTCACTACGAGCTATCTCCTCTTATTCCCAATACCTCTCTCCCCCGCGGAGACTTACCGCGGAGATCGGCCGAACCAATCACACCAATGCGCGTCACACGCGACAGACCCTGACGACATTCCACCACCATTTAGTTACCGACGCCGTGGGTGAGAGCTGTGACACTTCCCCCAGTGATCCAAGCTTATCTGCATATCTCCCCCTATCCTCTCCTTCATTACCCCAGAAAACATGGAGACCAATGATGGGCAAACATCCGAGGCGCAGGGATCTGCCGCGGCAGACCGCTCGAAGAGGCGTCTATCTCGCAAGTATCGCGGCTTGACCTGCGCCAACTGCCGTGCCAAGAAGGTAAACGATCTACTCCATCTCAGATCTTTTGGGTGCCGTTCTTCATGAGGTTTATTCTTTACTTACTCGTTTTGATCTCGTAAAGGTTCGATGTGAAGGCAGTCAGCCAACATGCAAAACATGCGACATCTACCATGTCGAGTGTCGTTACGACAAACCACCACCCCTGTCCCAGGTCGTCGCCATGGCCAAAAAGTTGCAAGAGGCCGAGGAGACAATCCAACGTCTTCAGGGAGTTGGATCATCTACTGAAAGACCAGAAGCTAATGTAGCTGGTGCCGATACTACGGTTCAACCTCCGACCTCTTTTACAAATGAAGACCTATCTACGCGAATGCATTTACCTCCAGGACCTTCCATGGAACGAAACGTATTTGAAGTATCGCCTACCAACCACCAGACTCACTCGAACGACTCACGAGACCCCCATCGCCGAGAACCTGTCAACACCGACGCAGCACAGGATGCGCTGGCCATTGATCTGAGCGTAGATGAGCACGGCAAGATATGTTATTACGGCCCAACCTCTGCTGTCCACGAGCCTCTGGGCTTAGCCTCGCCTTCTACAAACTCGCTAGGTCGCGGCGAGGGCTCAAAAAGGACTAATCTACGGTCTTATCTCGTGTCACGGGCTAAAGAATCTGCTATCTGGGAGGAATTTGCGCTAGGTAACGCGTCTCTTCAGCTTGGACTGCCTCGTCAAGTTATGGCGAAGCTTCTTCATCTACATTGGACCTGGGTCGCTCCCATGTTCATGTGGGTGTATCGCCCAGCCTTTATGCGTATGTACCATCAGAATATCTTTATCAGCCCCATGTTCAAGACTAATGGCTACATGCTTAGGTGATATGACGACGGGCGGTCGATATTACTCCGAGCTTCTTCTACTGGTTCTATGTGCTCACGCATCTAAATACTACGACAGTAACCACGCGCAATTATTATCCTCCCGTGTTCGACTTCTCCTTGGCGACGAGATACAAAAACCCAGCTCCATTCCTACGATCCAGGCTCTTCTACAACTCAGCGCTCGAGAGCTAGCCCAGGGAGCCATCTCTCAAGCGTGGTTATATAGTGGAATGGCATTCAGGATGTCCGCCGATCTTGGTCTTCAGCACAATGGGCCCGATATTGCTGATCTCAAGGGATTGGATCCTGTGGACTTGGAAATCAGAAAGAGGCTGTTTTGGAGCTGCTACTTCTGGGACAAGTGAGTCGGACCTATTGCACTCATCTGGGATGTCAACTTACTCATACGGATGGTTTCATAGGGCCATTAGCCTATATACCGGAAGACTGCCAGCAGTGACCGAGTTACCGCGGAGTCCCATCGACTTTAGTAAGCGCACCTAATTCTCAACAATTGTCGCGAGTCTCACTAACTCTGTACAGTGGATGACTCTGCAGAGTCCGAAACCTGGTCACCTCATTTCGAGGATACATCACCACTTACTCGACTGGCGCCCGGACAATATCCCATAATGCAGAGTCACGCTGTGTCTTGCTTCGCGAACTCATGTAAACTCTCGGTGATTATAAACGATATAATAGTCCAGCTCTACTCAAAGCGCAGCAGAGCAATCACCGAGTCGTCTCTCAATGACATCACGACCCGGTTGGATAATTGGCGCGCAGCATCGCCGATTCATCTGCGATGTAACCCAGAATTTTTACCTACAATTTGTCCCCCGCCTCATATCATTTCTCAAAAGTGAGCTGCTCTCCTCCCTCCTTTTTTACAACATGGCTAACAATTTCGACTTGTTTAGTCTGCTTTATTTCACCACCGTCATTCTCGCGCACCGCCCGTTCTGGTCTGCTCCAGCCTATTACCAGGTGTGCATGACCGCAGCCTTGAGTATGGAGAAACTCCTACTGCTACTCGAGTCATCCTTTGGCTTCGAAAACATTACCTATCTCATGGGATACTGCATCTACACTGGTGCTTCAGCGGTTCTGGAAGATGCCAAGAACAACGACGGCTCGACACACCCAACCATGCAGACCTTCTTGAGGGCTCTCAATCGAGGCATGGCGAAATGTCCACTACTCGAAAGAAGCCTGCACATCATCATCAAGGGACTTAAGCGGGCCCCTGTATATCGAGCACCGCCTGACCAGTCCCTGTCTGACAACGCTGCCTCAGCCACCATAAACAGCTACATCCCGGCTTTTCCATATTTAAACCCAGTGAGCCCCAACGATTTCGACATGGATTCGTACCTCAATAGCATGAGTATGGATGCTATGGCTTCTTTGGACTGTTATCCGGAACTTCAAATTGACTTGGATGAGATGATGAGGCACGCACCGGCGTAGATACGACTTGCTTCAATGAAATTGTTCTTATGGGTTTGCTAACGATTGTTTCTACATGTTATATCGAGAGCACGAAGGAGGATGAACAGGAACAAAAAGCGGAGGCGTGGCGAAGAGAACAATTTCGTGAAAGTGCAATGTCACAATGGAACAAGCTTCGCTGAAATTTCGAAGTTTATAGCTGGTGACGCTATCTGTAATTATTGTACACATACTCGCTATGGTCTATTGTCCTATCAATTTTGGATACCGGTATTCACCTCTGCTAACGTGTCAGCCTTCAGTGCTGGTCTGTCGGCCTTGCCAGCAGTAGTCTGTAAAGTTATGTTAGCCACTTGTTCCAGTGTGCAAAAGGTCAAAAGACTTACTCCTCCATCAACAGGCATGATGAGACCAGTGATCCAGCCAGCTTCCTTGCTAGCCAGGAACAGAATGGCTACAGACGACGTGATTAGCCTTGTCATTGATAATTGGGAGCAACGAATCGACTTACCGTATCCGACATCCCAACCAGTACCCTCCTTCTTCATCAAGTTCTGGTTGATCCTCGCCTGTCTCATCTCATCTGTCATTCCGCGTCCCCTTGTCATGGGGGTGTAGACCATTCCAGGGGCGACACAGTTGACACGGATGTTTTCTTTGCCATGGTGTGCGGCCATAGCACGAGTCATCTGAATAATGGCTCCCTTGGTCGTAGGGTACAGCAGACTAGGGTTTCCACCGAGCACTGCAATCCTTGGTCAGTTCTTTGGCGGTCTTTTTACCACGTGCAGGTGGATTGTGGATTTCACTCACAGCCGCTCACGGATGACATGTTAATGATGGATCCACGACCCTGCTTTCTCATCTCGGGGATAGCGAAGCGGCTCATCATAACCATGCTAGTGACGTTAATGCGGAAGTCTCGCTCCCACGCATCCAGGTTGATAGTTGTAGCGTCTCCAATTGCGCCACCCACACCAACTATTTCCCACAGGTCAGTAGGCGAACCGGGCGAGCAAAGCAGGGTAGGTGAGTAGACGTACCAATATTGACAAGGATATGCACAGCTCCCCACAGCTCAACCGTTTTGTCGATGGCATTCTTGCATGAATACTCTTTTGTGACATCGGCCTGGATGACCTCAGAAACACCTCCCTCCTCGTCAATCATCCTCTTGGTCTCCTTAGCCCAGTCCACGTTGAAGTCGACAAGGGCGACTTTAGCACCGTGGCGTGCAAGTAGAATGGCAGCTGCTCTACCATTGCCGATTTCGCCTTGGCAAACGTGTTAGTCTGGTTATGCGTGCCATACAACCGATAAGTCCTCACCGTCCATTCGGGAGCCTGCGCCAGTGACAATTGCGACATCTCCAGTGAAGTCGAATCCTCGTGCAGGGGTCATGGTGAATGGTGTGTATGGGGTGTGATGGTAGCAAGGTCTGTGTAGATAGTTCAGTAATGGGAATGTTTTTTACCGAGAACTTAGGGTCAAATTAATGCCATATATATCTGCGACTGAGCTTCTTGAAGTTTAGACCCCATTCCCATTTTACTCCATTGTACATATCCCACCGCGGTCAACCGCCACCTTCTCGTGCTCCAAAATGCGGGGAGTCGGCGCGGACAATGGCCGGGACGGCGAAGAGTCGCCTTGTGCGGGGAAATACTGGGGGGTCGGTGGCAAATCAGCTCTATCCCGTTGATGCTTTTAGTTCATCTGTGGTTTACTAGATTTGTGGGCTTACTGAGCGTTGAAAATACATGACTGAATTCCCCTGTGGTTGCTTGGCCATACGCAGAACTCAAGATCTGCTCCAGTTTGACGTCCTGGGGGTCCACTTGGAGAATCCCCACGCGATGATTGAGACGCTATCAAGGCTACACCATAATAGAGCTCTCCCACACACACTGCTGCCTCTATTTGATCTAATCTTAGGTCACCCCACAAGAGCCTCCAAGTGGTTCGGCGGTTCCTCGTGTCAAAACAAATACTGCATCTTGATAACATGGCTCTTCTCCATTAAATCTCAGATCATCTCAGTACGTAAAAGCTTCCGTTGTGTAGTACTCAACAAACCTCATGGTGTGACTTTGTTGTCTTGTGTAGTAGACAGTCTTATTAATGTTGAAGTCTTTATACTTTGTTTTCGCTAGAATACTCATAATCTAATTCTATCAATGTTATTTTGACAACCAGTAGTCAAACCATGACACAATACCCTTGAGACTTTCCTCCTTGACCCATCCTGTTCCGTGTTAGTCTACTCTTGCTTCCGCAACGGGCTTGAACACTCACGTTGGTAGGGGTCATTTGGGTCCCCTCTCAGAGCAAACCCATGCTCAACCCCAGAAAAGACTTGGTAATGATAAATCTTCTTTTGTGACTGTAAGATGTCTAGCGCCCGGCGCCGTGAAGGCACATCAAAGGTGTGGTCGATCTCCGAGCAAGACAGAAAGAGAGGTTCTAGACAAGCAATAGCGTGTAAGCTTTATGACCGTACGTGCGGATTTGGGCCGTAGAGACTTACTCTTCAGCTGCTCAAAATGGTGTTCCTTTAGAAAGGCGGGGTGAGCGAAGGCCCCGACAGTGACTGTGTCGCCCTTCAGCTCGTTGCATACGTATGGAGCCCCGAAGCAGTAGCCAACACAAGCGAACTTGGTAGTGCTAGTACCATAGCTCTTCTTAACGGCATCGACCCATTTAGGAACTGCGACGTCGGCAAAGGCTGTGTGCTTCTGCTTCCAGGCCTCATAGTCAAAATTGGGGTCCTGTGTGTCGTGGCGGTTCTTGCGGTGCTTCCACACGGGGTCCTAAGACAGGCTGTTAGTTCCCAGAAGTGTCCAGGCCGGGGCTAGGAGTTGAGTCATGTGTTATTTACCCCGCGGAAGTAGTCCAGGCCCAGAACCAGGTAGCCTGCATCGGCAAAGGCATCCATGACCAGCAAACCATTGGGGAACATGCCCCATACGTCGGGGAAGTAGAGCAGGATATTTCCATTCGCTTTCCCCTCCGGTGGCCTTGAGATGTAGGTCTCAACCTCTGCGATTGTTTTCCATGTGCCTCTGGACTCGCCCTCGTGAATTGTTCCCTTGAGACAACAGGCACCGCTTGGCTTTGCGAGATACTTCTCGCTGGTGGCTGGTTGTCTTGAAGTTGATTGTCCCATGATGTGGAATATAGAAAAAATGGCAAATATGATGGGGAAAAAATCAAGACAAGATCAAAAAAGAACAATTGCAGTATCTCTTTGCGAATTTCGAACGTTGTTTGAACTTTGAGGGCGCAACACTGAGATGGCCGTTAATAACTAAAGAGGTTCTTCAGGCTGAGCATAAGCGGATAGCTAGAGGCCTAGCTAGAGGCCTTACTCGACGCCACTACAACGTAGGTAGCGTTCATTTCTTCGCTCGGTTTAAATCCGCGGGTTTCGTCCGTGGTAACGCTCCAGAAATTGACTAGTCGAGTGACCATCATCTTCATTGGCGCATCTCGTGCGGAGGACAGCCCCACGGGGTAAAGGCGGAGGAACGATTATCAAGCAGATTCACTAAATTACCCCAGACAATGTGACTTCAGAAAATAAAAAGTCCAAGCCATTGCATGGTAGTGAAGGCGCGTTTTGTTAAATACAACTCCAGCTTCCACTCTCTCTTTACTGCCGATCTTGTTTCCAGAGACATCCCAAACCTGTCTTTCCATCTCAGCACTCAAACATCATCTCAGCAACAATGACGGACAACAATAAGCCCATCACCGAGTCACCTCCCAGCGTCGAGGCAGTTGAGGACTCGGAGCTCAAGGGCGGCCGGGCAGATCTGGACATGACCAACAGGGACAACGCAGTCGGCTACGAGGAGTATCTCGAGGCTCGCGACATTGAATTCTCAGACGCAGAGGTATGTTATGCTTATCGCGTCTCAATTGCTCCCTTTGACACTTTTGCAGGCAAAGAGGCTCCGCTGGAAGCTCGATCTCGTCATTCTCCCCATGTTCCTGATTACCCAGGCCCTGCAGTTTATGGACAAGACGTCTCTGAACTATGCCAATCTCTTTGGATACCAGGAGGCATTGGGTCTCAAGGGCAAGCAGTTCAACTACCTTTCTGCGAGTAAGTTCCCTTGCGACTTTGCGACCGTTTGATCCGTCGCCAGCTGCTAACTTCGCGACTTTAGTGGTTTATGCTGGTTACTTCTTCGGTCAATACCCCTGCGGTTGGCTCATTGGCCGCTTTCCCGCGCAAAAGGTCATGGCCATCAGTGTTTTCCTCTGGGGCCTTATGGTCATCATCATGACCCAGAGCCGAGACTACTCCAGTGCCTTGGCTGTGCGCTTCATCATGGGCGTCTTTGAGGCTGCTGTCACTCCCGGTCTGACCCTCATGACTGGTTTCTGGTACACCCGCCGCGAAATTCCCCTCCGCCAGTGTATTTGGTACTCATCTCTTGGTTGGGGTGGCATCGTAAGTTGTATCAACCACGTCTCTGACATCCAAGCTAACCAGTGGTCAATTAGGTTGGCTCCTACATCTCCATGGGTGTCTCCAAGCTTCCCGTCGATATGAAGCCCGAACGTTGGGAGCTCATCTTCTACATTGTACGTCTACCCTTCCTCGAGACCCCTCCAAATTATACCCACCAGACTAACAAACATACTTTCCAGCTCGGTGGTGCCACCTGTCTCTGGGCCTTTGTCATCTGGTTCCTTCTCCCCGATTCGCCCTCGAACGCTAGATTCCTCAACCATCGCGAACGCCTCATCGCTGTCAAGCGAGTTGCCTCCAACGACTCCGGTATCAAGAACAAGGCCTTCGACAAGAGCCAAGTTGCCCTCGGTTTCACCGATCCCAAGACATTGTTGATCTTCACCTCCGTCTTCGCAGCCGCCATTCCCAACGGTGTCGTCAACTCCTTCTCTACCATCATTATCCGCGACATGGGCTTCAGCACCACCATGACTACCCAGCTCAAGTCAGTTGGCGATGCCATCCAGATCATCGGTCTCATCATCGGTGGAGCTATCATTCTCAACGTTCCCAACTCTCGTCTTGTGACTGCTACTGTCGCCAACATGATCTGCACCATCTCCGCGGCATGCATGGCTTATCTTCCTCGAGACAACACCTGGGGACGACTGGTATGCTTCTGGCTCGTCAACACACAGTCGGTCGGCTTCACTGTATCTTTGACTACCATCTCTTCCAACATGGCTGGTTACACCCATCGATCTTTGGCTAGTGCCCTGGTCTTGTAAGTTCACCTCAACCGGCCATTGCTAGCTTTTCTAACCATGTTACAGTACCGCTTACTGCTGGGGTAACTTTGCAGGCCCCTTCGTTGTGAAGCAATCCGAGGCCCCTCACTTCACAGGCGCCACCATCGGACTGTTGGTCGGATATGCCATAAAGTTCTGCTGCCATCTCGGCCTTCTCCGTATGTCAATTGTTCTCAGCACATCTATTCATGGCTAATAATTAAATTTGCAGTGTACATGTTCCTTATCAACAAGCACCGCAACAAGACCTACGGATCTCCCAATGAGGAGCGAAGTCACGAGGCAGGAATGCGGGATCAGACCGAATTTGAGAACAAGGACTTCCGATATGTGCTATAATTTGTTTCTCAGTATCGCGCTAAGAATGGGAGCTTGGGATGTGCCAGGCTTTATGTATGGAGGGTTTACCAAAGGATACGTTCAACATGCCAGAATATACCTCAGCATCACTATAGCCTTGGTCCTTTTCTCCAAATTTGATGAAGTATTTACCACGAAAACAAATATTAATTCAAGCGACTGTGCCCCCCTAGAGTGCCTCTTGATCAGGAAGAGAACATGCTTTCTGACTTGCCAGCTTCAGGTTCAAGTCTTTGAGGTATAACAATAGTGTAAAGCTTAACTTCCATACAAATAACTAATATATCCCACGATTGCAAACAGTCGTATTCCTCTTACAAGTCAAATCTGCCAACGCAGACTATTTGTGGGTAAAATGACTTTTCGTATCATAATGTGTCACCAAGAGCTTAGTTGCCTAGTAGAATTTTATTAACACGTCGAGTGTCGTACTGTCGTATTGGTAAGAATACGATCTCGAAAACCTTCCACAAGTAGGCTAGTAAGATTCGTAGGTATGGACGAGATCTATTGCTTGCGAACTTTACGTCTTGTGATAAATAGCATGAGTAAGTTAACGCGTTCTGTTTCTGTGGCAACATGCTACAGAGACCATCGTTCCATAGCAAGTATTCTGCATATTTCCAATTCTAACACAATCGTCATCTCAAAATTCACGAATCCTCAGTCGCCTGTTGAGCACCTTAGTCGAGCCAGGTGGCTTCATAAGGTGTGGTGTTGTCAGGGTAGTGCAGCGAAGCCACAACATCGAGAGTGTGGTTCGAAGGAATCCAACCCAAGATAAAGATCCAGCCTTCGGAAGTATCAGTGAGGTACATATAATCAGTGATAACATTAGGGTCCTTGTTTGACTCATCCTCCCAGGGAGCAACTCGCAGGCCACCAGCTGAGCCAAGAGTCACGGGTGCCTCGTAGAAAGTCACGGCCTTCTCAGATTTGAGCAATCCTTCGTCGTTCAAAGCGAACGCTGCTACGTATCCGTTTGCTTCGGTGTTGTTCCAGCTGCGGGTACTGGTGAAAAGATATTTGCCGTCACGAGACATCTGGACGGTGTTGCTGCGAAATGTGTAGGCTCCTCGCATTTCTGGTAGGTGTTGTTAGTCATGGGCACTTGTGATTGTAGGTTTGATCTAGTTACTTACCATCGGGGATGGCACTTCCTCGCTGGACATGCTCAAGACGGGTATCCAGAATTCTATAAACATCAAGCCATTGGTCTTGATGGGTTAGTAAAAGGGAAGCTGAGAGTTAGATCAAATATTACTCACTATGCTCGGTCATCTATGGCCTCTTGTTAGCTTGTCTTCATTCAAAGGAGATTCGGGCTCACTTACCACGTAGAGAAGCTTTCCATCCTTACTGGGATAAGAGTTTCGAGGGCCATCGCCCTCAGTAGGGCTGAGATTGATTGACAGAGGTGTAGCAGTACCGTTTTCCGCGATGTCGTACATAAAGATGGAGTTTGTGCCCCTGGAATTCGACTATTAGTTTCGGTCTAGGTAGTCAATATTTGTAACTTACAAGTAAGGGACAAATCCCTTTCGGTTCACATTGATGTCGAAAGCATGAGCGCCGTAAAGCACAGCCGCTCTTGTCTTGTTGACATTCTTGATCTCTTCTTCAGGAACCATGTAGACCTCATCAACCTGTTCGCCAATACCACCATCCTCTGTAAGGGCGTGGATCGCGGCAGTGGAACCACCAGATGAAAAGGCCAAGTTGCCGTCATCGGAGAAGTAACAAGATGAAGAAGCTTGAATAATGTAAGAATAGTGCTTGGAGATCCTTTGCAGGAGACTGACTGATATTGACGGTATCAAGGTGGGTGAACTTGTACTGCTCATCGACTGACCACGCAAACAGCTGAGGGGGCTCGCTCATGGCAGTAGGGTAGACACGGTTCTTGGCAGCATTGCTGGTGACGAACTGATGAAGCCCAAAGCCAGGGACTGTAGAGTTGAGGGTGAGAGTCTTTGCCAGCGTATCAAAGGCGAGGAGGAAGAGGGTTGTGTTGGTGTAAGAGCCCGACACAAGATGGTGCAGTGAGCTCCCCACGGAACTGGCAAACTCGATAGCAGGCATGATGAAGACGATTTCTTGACTATGGATTGCGCCAAATTTAATGAACTTGCCCTACTGATTAAATTCCATCCCTGAAAAGCCTTGTTTTCACTGGCCTATATATACCCCAAAGGTTCATGACTCTTTACCCCGGATCTTGGGGCTCCCAGGCCATTGACCAGTGAATAGCTCGTCGAGTTTTCCCCGCGTAAGCCTTGTAGGGAATACAGCTCAGGATTCTACTAGCCTGTAGTTAGCCCGACTTGGGCTGCACGTACAGGGCTCAAGGTATGAGGTTCCTGATTAGTGCCGGACATTGAGCGCGGGACTTGGCCGCGGAGGCTTTGGGATCATCTGGCCAGCGCTCGTTAAGGTTCGAGTACATGACAGCCATACCTTGTATCCTATTATTTTCCTTCCTGCAGGTGGTCATGTAGGCAAGGGTAAAAAGCCTGAATGATTATTGAGATAGGCGTTGCGGTCTGGGGTCGTTGCGGGGGAAACAGTGTGAGGAAACAAAGTCGGGGAAAATGCAAATGGGAATTTCTGAATTGGCGCCGCTCCGACATGTGGGAAAGTTCATCGACTCTATAACATGAAGCTATCTTACTGATTTCTAGCGTCACTTCTTAGGATGTCCTCATCTGGCTTACATGGCAACTTTCTGTAAAAGGGCTTTATCATACATTGACCAATCTCACTAATAAAGTAAGGGTATTGTAACTTTAAAGCTATATCAATTCATTCGCATCACTTCATTCAGATCAAATCAAGGTCCAACTGTCTTCCTCTTATTAACGCCCCATAATTCCAAGGCATTCTCTCTGAACAATCTCTCTCGCAGCCACTGGTTTCCTTCTGTCAAATCAAGCAGATGAGACACCCAGGGCTTGACATCCAACCCTTCAAATCGAGTGTGAGGCCAATCTGAACCAAAGACGACTCTTTCCGGCGCTTGCTCAAAGAGCTCTAGTGTCACAGGGTCAAGATCCTCCCACTTATTGGACTCAAGATGACTGAGACGGTAGGCGCCCGAGATCTTGACATAGGTTGTTCCATTCTTGAGGAGGCGTACAAGGGACTCGAAACCTTTGATCTTGTAGGGATCAACGGGTTCCTTGGACTTTGGTAGTGTGGGATCGCCGTAGTGGTCAAAGACAACACGAACGCCGAGCGTGGGCAGAAAGTCCTCCATCTCAATGATGCGCTCCATCTTTGTGTACAGCTGTAGAACCCAGTCAAATGGCTTGATGAGCTCGACATATTTGCTGATGGTCTCCTTCAGCTCATCAATTGGCGTGTTGTCGCCATAAGTAACCAGGTTAACTCTCACAGCTCGAATGCCCTCGCCGTCCCACCTACGAATATGCTCGTGGTTCGTGGTGTTAGGGTCAAACAGTGCGAGTCCCAGAGCGCGGTTGTTCCCCACAGCACGCATGGAATCCAGCATCAAGGTCAAGTCGTAGCCACGAGTAGCAGTTTGTACGTAAAAGGCGTGTTGGCAGCCAATGCTATGCTCAAAGATGGCATTGTCCCAGGCGTTATGGACAGCAGGTGTATAGGGAATATCCTCCAATGGGGGATAGCGCACAGGATCCATGATGTGAAGATGCGAGTCCCAAGCTCCGTCGGGCATACGTGGATCAGCACCAGATGAGACATTGGCTGTTCTTTTGGTGATGGAGAGTGGAGGCGAAGGTGGTCTTGATGGGGTCATGGCTGCGGCGTTGGCGATGGTCTGGTAGTGTAATAATGTTAGAAGGACCGTGATAGGGAACTTCATGATAAGACTAAATAGGCAGCTTAGCGTAATACGTTACGGATAACAGTTGGAAATAATCCGGGGCGTAAAGAGGCGTTATAGATGTCACTCAAACGAGAGGCCTACAGTAGCATCTGTCATCGCACCATACGAGGGTAATCCGAGTCTCGACGGCTCTCGTTAACGTTACTTCAATTCGTGGGGTAACTCGACGTCTTCCCAGCTCGAATAAACTCCGCGGGGAATGCCCGGCAGGTTGTGGGGGAATGAGATCATCGCACAAATTGTTTGCGGGGAAGGATAGCAGTGGGAATTTGATGTTGACAAAAAGTCCGTAGTTGACCCTTGAACGTTTTACCAGGACGCAGCTTGCTCTTCATTTCCGGTAGTCATCCGCTGAGCTCTTGGGCTGATGAAATCGATTCCAGTGCAAGACAATCTTGACTGCCACCGTGCTTGAAGGAAAGTATTCTCTTTAAGCGTCGATCCATGTATCATTGGGAATTCACTGGTAGTGTCAGGCAAAATACTGTTCAGTCATAAGGGAATGATGATGTAAATAGGATGAATCAATCTCAAACTACCAAACTATGACAAACAAAAGAACAATTTAACTCCCAATTTCACAATCTTCCATCGCTAGCACATTACAACCTCCATCAATTGCTATCAACTAATCCAATTAGCTCTGAGCAGCTGGCTCCTCTGACGTGGTAGTCGCGCTATCAGACTTGACCACCGTCGACATCGTGGTAGGCTGAGGGTCCGCCGCAGATGATGTCGCAGGGCCAGAAGTGGACGCCTCTGCAGCAGCGGATGTGGTTGATGGCTTGCTATCTGAGGTAGAAGGTGTCTCAGAAGATGTCCCCTCTGCAGCTGAGCTTGTGGTTGGCACACTGGACTTGACTACGGTTGAGAGAGTAGTGGCTGTAGTCTCCTCTGCAGCAGATGAAGTGGTGGAGGCAGCAGCAGCAGATGAGGTAGTTGAAGCAGCGGCAGCGGCAGATGTAGAAGACTCAGCCTCAGCGGCAGATGATGTAGTCTTATTAGCAGTAGATGACGTGGTGGAAGCAGCGGCAGCAGCTGATGTGGTGGAAGCAGCGGCAGCAGCTGATGTGGTGGAAGCAGCGGCAGCAGCTGATGTGGTGGAAGCAGCGGCAGCAGCTGATGTGGTGGAAGCAGCGGCAGCAGCTGATGTGGTGGAAGCAGCGGCAGCAGCTGATGTAGTGGAAGCAGCGGCAGCAGATGAAGTTGTGGAAGCAGCGGCAGCAGCTGAAGATGAAGAAGCCTTCTCTTCAGCGACAGATGAGGTAGTTGATACTGCAGCAGCAGATGATGTGGTGGAGGCAGCAGCCGAGGTAGTAGAAGACTCTTCCTCGGCAGCAGCAGCTGATGTGGTGGAAGCAGCGGCAGCGGCAGATGTAGAAGACTCAGCCTCAGCGGCAGATGATGTAGTCTTATCAGCAGTAGATGACGTGGTGGAAGCAGCGGCAGCAGCTGATGTGGTGGAAGCACCAGCTGCAGTAGTGGAAGATTCTTTATCAGCAGCTGATGATGTAGTCTTGTCAGCAGCGGAGCTAGTAGCAGCCTTGCTCTCAGAGGCGGAAGAGGTTTCCTCGTCAGCGACAGATGAAGTAGTCTTATCAGTAGCAGCCGAAGTCGTGGAAGACTCCTCCTCAGCAGAGGTGGAAGAGGCCTTGACCTCAGAGGCCGTAGATGTCTCTTTAGCAGCAGCGGATGTGGAGGCACTACCAGCAGCCGAGGGGGTAGAAGAAGGCTCATCGACAGCAGAGCTAGAAGCAGTCTTGCTCTCTGATGCAGTAGAAGTCTCCTCATCAGCAGCAGAAGAAGTAGTCTTACCAGCAGCAGCTGAAGTCGTGGAAGACTCCTCATCGGCAGAGGTAGAAGAGACCTTGGCCACAGAAGCGGTAGATGTCTCCTCGTCAGCAACAGAAGAAGTAGTTTTATCAGCAGCAGCCGAAGGGGTTGAAGAGGGCTCATCGGCAGCGGAGGTGGAAGCAGCCTTGCTCTCCGAGGTGGTGGAAGTCTCCTCATCAACGGCTTCAGAAGATGTTGGCTTCTCCTCGGTAGCCTTGGAAGTAGTAGTCTCCTCATCCGCGGCAGCAGAGGTCGAAGTAGACTTGGTATCGACATCAGCCGAGGTGGTCTTCTCATCGGCAGAAGAAGTTGTCTCCTCATCCGCGACCTGAGATGTTGTCTTGGTTAGTGTCACGAGAGTCGTGGGGGCGCTTGCTTCACTGGAGGTCTCCTCATCTGCAGATGTAGTAGACTCGGCGGCGGATTTGGCAGTAGTGGTAGGCTCATCGACCACATCAGCAGAAGTTGTAGTCTTCTCCTCGGGTGTCTCAGACGAAGTAGTAGACTCTTCAACAGTATCCTTGGAGGTAGTCTTCTCATCTGCTGCCTTGGAAGTAGTGGACGGCTCATCCGCATCAGAAGAAGTAGAGACAACCTTGGTAACGGGCTCATCAATGGTAATATCAGATGTGGTCTTCTCATCAGCCTTGGAGGTGGTGGTTGGCTCGTCAACATCCTCAGAGGTCGTTGTCTTTTCATCGGCCTTGGAAGTTGTAGTAGGCTCGTCGACAGGATCCTCAGAAGTAGTCTTTTCGTCAGCCTTGGAGGTAGTAGTGGGCTCGTCAACGGGATCCTCAGAGGTGGACTTCTCGTCCGCTTTGGAAGTTGTAGTAGGCTCATCGACATCCTCAGAAGTAGTTGTCTTCTCGCCGGCTTTGGAGCTGGTGGTGGGCTCGTCAACATCCTCAGAAGTTGTAGTAGGCTCATCAACAGTATCCTCAGTGGTGGTCTTCTCGTCAGCCTTGGAGCTGGTGGTTGGCTCTTCGTCAACGTCAGAGGTAGTGGTGGGCTCATCGACGGATTCAGATGTAGTCTTGTCATTACCAGCCTTGGAGGTGGTAGTGGGCTCGTCAACAGGGTCCTCGGAGGTGCTCTTCTCTTCAGCTGCCTTTGAGGTTGTGGTAGGCTCGTCGTCAACATCAGTTGTTGTGGGCTCATCGTCAGTCTCAGTGGTGGTAGGCTCATCGTCAACTGCGGATGTAGTGGTCTCGTCATCAACGTCAGCAGTTGTTGTAGGCTCATCAACAGGGTCCTCAGTTGTAGAAGCCTTTTTGGTCACGGGGTCGATGAAGGTGGTAGTCTCATCATCGGGCTCATCGGCGGTGGTGGTGGGCTCATTTACATCGGCGGATGTAGTCTCATCATCAACGGTCTCAGAAGCAGTAGTGGGCTCATCAATGTCTTCAGAGGTGGTAGTGGGCTCATCGTCGACAGCGTCAGAGGTAGTTGACTTCTCGGCAGCCTTGGAAGTTGTGGTAGGCTCATCTACATCGGCTGAAGTGGTCTCCTCATCAACGGTCTCAGAGGTAGTAGTGGACTCATCAACATCATCAGAGGTGGTTGTCATCTCGACAGCCTTGGAGGTTGTGGTAGGCTCGCCAACATCTGCTGAAGTGGTTTCCTCATCAACAGCCTCAGAGGTAGTTGACTTGTCAGCAGCCTTTGAGGTTGTGGTTGGCTCTTCAGCATCGGCTGAGGTAGTCTCGTCGTCAACGTCTTCTGAAGTGGTTGTCTTCTCGGCAACCTTAGATGTTGTGGTAGACTCTTCATCATCAACAGCAGTCGTTGTCTTGCCATCTGCCTTCGATGTTGTGGTTGGCTCATCATCCACACCCTCGGATGTTGAAGTGGGCTTGGTGGAAGACTCAGATACCTCCTCATCAGAAGCAGTGGTGGTAGCATCATCAGTTGGCTCACTGTCTTCAGCACTGGTGGAAACCTCAGTGGGCTTACTGGTAGACTCCTCGTCGTCATCAGTTGGCTCAGCATCGGAAGTGGCCTGGGAAGTAGTGGAAACACCAGCGGGGTCAACCGCGACCTTTGTTGACGAGGCGTCATCAGCCTTGGAAGTGGACTTCTCAGAGGAGTCAGACTTTCCGGATGAGGTAGAGGCAGAGGACGAGGCGCTGGAAGATTTCTGGGATGAGGTGGAGCTGGTCGAAGTAGTGTCCTTCTGAACTGAAGCTACGCTTGAGGTAGTCGACGCCTTGGAGGATGAAGCGGAGCTGGTGGAAGTGGAGGTCTTGGACGAGGTGGAGGAGGTGGAGGATGTGGAGGATGTGGAAGATGCCTTGGATGTGGTGGTGCTGGTAGTGCTAGCTTTAGAGGTAGTGGTGGTACCAGCCTTGGAAGTAGTTGTTCCGGCCTTGGAGGTAGTGGTATCAGCCTTGGAGGTAGTGGTACCAGCCTTGGAGGTAGTAGTACCAGCCTTGGAGGTAGTGGTACCAGCCTTGGATGTGGTAGTGCTGGTAGTGCTAGCTTTAGAGGTAGTGGTGGTGCCAGCCTTGGAAGTAGTTGTTCCGGCCTTAGAGGTAGTAGTACCAGCCTTCGAAGTGGTGGCAGCCTTGGATGTGGTGGCAGCCTTGGATGTGGTGCCGGCCTTTGAGGTGGTGCCGGCCTTCGAAGTGGTGGTGCCAGCCTTCGAAGTGGTACCAGCCTTAGATGTAGTGCCAGCCTTTGAAGTGGTGGCAGCCTTGGATGTGGTGCCGGCCTTTGAGGTGGTACCAGCCTTTGATGTCGTAGCAGCCTTTGAGGTGCCAGCCTTGGAAGTAGTTGTTCCGGCCTTAGAGGTAGTAGTACCAGCCTTAGAGGTAGTAGTACCAGCCTTGGAGGTTGTGGCAGCCTTGGAGGTTGCAGCAGCAGCCTTGCTGGTAGTGGTCTTACCTTTCTGTCTCTTCAGGAGTCTCTTGAGCGAGTCCGACAGAGAAGAACCCGAACACTTGCACTCACTATTGAAGATTAGCCACAAACCTATGGGGATCGTCAAAGACTGAGACTCACGGGGCACAAGACTGAAACTTTTGGCCCTTTTCAGCGCACTGATTCTATTGTTAGTTCTGACTAGAGCGGTATTTGTTTGAGATGTTGTTGTCCTTACATGAGCTGCACAGGCTGAGTCACCGGCGCGGAACTCGCAGGTCAAGCCCGATGTCTCAGTATCATCTGCGGGCAAAGCCGCCGCGGTGACGGTGGCAATGGAAATGCCCCAGACAAGAGCCTTGGAGAAATGCATGGCAAAAAAGAAGAACAAAGTACTAATCTGTGCTTGTTGTTTGAGATGGAGAGTGAGTTGTTTGAATGGATCCTTGACATGATTCTTCTCGTTCTTTATAATAGAGGATTATCAGACTTGAGCCGTATATCAAAATCATCGATTACCTATTTCGTCGACGTCGGAAGCTTATTTGGTCGAGGTATTCTGAATGAACTCAATCCTCCAATTCTCGGGGACTAGTCACACCAGACTTTCCTAGGGCCCAGAGCTTGTTCGTGCCGTTTCCGAGCCTAGTTTACCGATCTGCTTCCTTCGGCCAAGTACTCTTAGTATTACAGATGGCAGCCCTGGCTTAATGGGAATATCAGCCTCATCGCGTAGTTCAACTGAGTGTTGGGCGATATGGCCGAAAGCAGAAACATGGCGTCTGTCGTGCATAGACACTCAACACCATGAATATAACCTTAATCATTAGTCAGACCAACGCAGGAACACGCAATTCATGGCGCTCCATCGCAAAAACACTCATATTTTATCAGTTTGCCTCGTCAAGTTCAACATTTAGTCTAGAACAACACTAAGTCGGGCTCATACCACATTGGATTCGAAAAGCGGGCCTTTCCGCCACGCCACATGCGAGCACATTCCTCACTTACAAGACAGATCCCTTCCATTCTTGACGCAGAGTCGACCCTTTCCCCTTGCAGAGCCACGCGAGAAGGCTTATCCGTGCTTACCAGCTGCCCGGCTCCCAAGCTTCAAGTCAGTCTGGGCCTAGTCTCACGTCTCACTCGCATAGCGTCACGTCTAGAGTCTAGTCGAGTTAGCTGCCAACACTACGGCAATGTCCCGTGCGTCCATACACTTTCAGATTTACGACCTGTCATGATAATGAAAAGCTTGAACAGGGAAGCTAGTACCTCAATCCCCTGTCGTTCCGGCAGGCTAGAGCCTAGGCCACTCGAGGCTCGCCGCTTATGTCTCCAAGCTGACATTTCTCTGCATCGCCAAGATTTCTCGATATCGAAATGCATCCGGCCGGTCTGCCGGGCCGTTCTATCCTACTCTACTACGGCATAAAAGAGATTTTGGATCGTAAGATGCGATTGAGAAAGAGTGCCATGGCTGGATCGCTTGGAGATCGGGACCGAAGATATCATCCACAAACAGAAAATACAGTCCAACAAGGTTTAATCTTTTTGAGGCTCTTTTCTCCAAGATTCTGTCCATTTGCAATATGTGGTAGCCATAATGGCTTCCTGGAGATATATCGTAGCAGATTTCTTCTAAGGTGAACACTGGCTTGTGCATGACTTATGCTTGGGAATCGGGCCATACAAGTGAATTCACGGCCTGGAAAACAGTATCATCAATGACGTAATTCTCTTAATTCTGCCATATTCATGTTACTCATGAGATATATCTCTGCACTGGTAAATTTTGCTTGTCCGCACTGGTATGCTATACAATGGGGAGTTGGCACTATCCAAACCCTGTCCGACTTCACTACCCTCTTTCACTATAGCGTCGCGCCACTCGCCGTCTAGTCTTGTTCCCGTCCATCCCAACCACTGAGACTGGAATCTCACTCTCGTATTGCCCGTCCAGGAACAAAACCGCCAGACTAACCCAATGCCTCTGTTCCGCCAGCCTGGTACCTGCTAGCATCGCCCGTTCTTATCGATAGCATCAACGAACGAGTCAGCCAGCACAGTGGCGCCCTAAATTCCCTTCCCCTGCGGCTGAAAATTCCATGGCTTGCAGGGCTTTTCGCCTTGCTTACTCCGAATCATAAGCAAGCCCTGTCTCCATCCAGCTAAAATTTTGTGATGGAATCTACCCGCACGGGTATATCCTGACCTGAGCTGAAAACCTGGTGGCTTAGTCCAGCCTCACAGAGGACAGCGCTCTAACGCTTCGCGGTTGAGGGCTTAACACACAATGCCAGAGTGTCTGCACGGGTGTTATGACTTGAATCGACTGGACTCGATTGAAGTTAACTAAACTTTGCTAAATCTTACTAAACTCAACTCAGCTCACCTAAAGTCTACTCAACATATTGAAATCGACTTGCGGCATCGAGACCTGTTATTCCCAGTGGTTAGACTCGGGGGTTACTCAAGGCGACCACTGAGAATCCATACTTAGCGAGCCCATTCATAAAGAGAGTATGCCACCCTTCCGTCTTCGTCAAGCTATCGCCCAATTCAACGTGAATTACACGTGGTGCAACAGTTGGCCGATGTTCAAAACCACTGCCGTTTGCAGAAGTTACGAGCTATTTACTCAGGGCCAGGCTTCAAGCAAAGATATTTCTGTTATAGTGCAGCCCTAGCTGAGACATTGTTGTGTCTCGACCCCTCCAAAACGATGAGATGCCGTTGAATTCGCGACATGTTTCTGCTAACCAATCACCAACAATTGCTACGGACATGGTGGCGCATACAAACAAATTCCAAGCAAAGTCTTAATCATACGGCATGATTGTCGCAGGTACTCCTTGTCACACTTTGAATAAACTACCCGGTAGGGCTGTAACTTCCAATATCAGATCAACATTGGTGGGAAACAAGACTTAGCACAATTGCATGAGCAACGAAATCGTGAATGGCTTTCCCATTAGCAAACAAATTTTATTGTCTTTGCAAGCTGAGCATGAGGGATGCTCATCGTACGTCTTGTCGCTGTGCCTATATTTACATAAAGAGGAAGTGCAGCGACCTTACCTCAGACTGGTTAGCTCCAGAGCCTTCGCAGGTGAATAATTCGTCATTCTCACATCACTCTCATTATTCAGTACCTGCTCAGTCTTATCAATACTATCATATCTTATCTAAGGCCTCCACAAGAAACCAGGGTGCTTCCAGTCCAGACCACGAATCTCTTCTGTCGTGTGTCCAGCCAGAGCTTGATCAACATCGATCCTGGCTCGTCTCTTATTGTCCCAATTCATGAAGAGATGAAGCACAATAGTGAGCAGGAAGATAGACAAGCAAGCTCCCAAGTTGAGACCATTTCCAATTGGGTAATTGGGCCCATCGGAAGCTAAAAAGCACCATGTTGATATCAGCCCTCCAACATTGCCAAGCATAACGTTCAACCCAATGCCGGAAGCACGGGCTGTGTCTGTCACCAAATTGGCGGACAATTGCGCGTTGGAGAGAGCACCATTGGCGAATGTCCCCGCGCAGATGAGGAATGTTCCAGCATAGCGGACATACGCTAAAAATAAATTAGTGAGACATCACAGACGATCAACTAGAGGGGGAGGCTCACGGTCTGCGGTACTAAGAAACATGATATAACCGGCAATGACAGGAAGCTGTGAAACGTTGATGAAGATGTTACGTCGATCGAGACGCGTCGATAGCCAACTGATTGCCAGAGTACAGAAAGTACCCACGATGTAAGGCGGCACAGTTCGTAGTTGCTTTTGCACGACAGATGCATCTGGATAGATTGTCCCCACAATCGTTGGTGCAAAGAAAGCGAGGCCCTGGACGGTGATGTTGGTAAAAAGAAAAATGGTCGACGTTCCAATGGTCACTGGCGAACTGATACCTCGCCGCGCCAGTTTCCATGAGAATTTCTCAAGCACCTCAGTAACTCCAACTCTCTCAGACTTGATACGTGCGATAGCAAGATCCTTTTCTTCTTGCGTAAGCCACTTTGCAGTGCTCGGACGGTCGGTCATGGTAAAGAAAGCAATGATTGCCAGCCCGATGGTGCAGATACCTTCGATCGCAAAGATCATACGCCACTTGGTGAGTGAACCAAAGTTATCGAGGGTCAGTATCCCAGAGGCAAGCAGACCACCGAAGGCGCCGCCGAACGAGCCCATGGCGACGTATATAGCGAGTCGGAAGGCAAGCTCGCTGCGTCGGTACCAGCGGCTCAGATAATAGGCGATGCCAGGTAACATGCCTGCTTCAAATATTCCCAGGATAAATCGCACAGCACATGCTTGGCCCATTGTGTTGACAAAGGCTGTGCCGAGGGAGGCCACGCCGAAGCATACTGATGTAGCGGGGATAAACCAGCCGGGTCCGATCCACTTGCAGGTCATGTTCAATGGAAGTTCAAAAATGATGTACGACTGTTTAAGATCAATTGAGTCAGTTCGATCAGGTTTATGAGGTCAAAAGGATGATTCTTACAATGTAGAAGCATGTCAATAGTATGTTGTAGTCGTAGCCCATCAGACCGAGATCAGCCTCAAGGCCAGCCAGTCGGGCATTACCAATATTTGCACGGTCGACAAAGCACATCAGGTACAATATCGTGACTGTTGGCATGACGCACCAGTCTATCTTCCTTCGCAGCCGCTTTTCAGCCGCCTCGTCGAAGGTGGCAATTGGGTTGCCATGCCTAAAGAACGGTCAGCATAGCTTGTTAGAGAGCGAGGTATACTGACGCGTCAGTTGCTAAATGCCCTCTGACAGCGGCATCATGAGCTGCGGCGTGTTCGACTTCTTCTCTATCTCCATCTGATAAGGGTTTGCCATTATGACTAGCTCCTTTCTCTGCGTCAGAGTTTCTGGCAGCCATTTCGAAGATAATATAGTGTTGCGTATGCCGAAGGTTGGCATTTCGAGGTTTCGAAAGAACCTGTAGGCTGGAGGTCGACTTTAATATTGAGTTAAGCTTAACGGGTAATGTGACGAATCATGTTCAGTTCGAGAGTGCCAAGAGTGAGGGGGCTGATGGTGTGTCGAATAACGGGCCGACACATTGTCGGGTACCGGGTTCATATGCTTACACTGTCCAGAACAGGCAAATAGGGAAGATTACAACCCTCCATTAGTAGCAAGTGGTACCAATCGTACACAAGCCGCAAGATTTGATGTAACTTGCCACATGTACATTTACAGTTATCTGTGAGTAAGGGCCTACGGAGCATACATGGGCCGCTGCGGAAAGTGACATTTGTAACCGCTGAGGGCCGAAAGTGATATAGTTTCAGTAAATAAAGTTATCTATGGCAGGGGTTTGAGTTACAGTCAGAGATAAGCTATCTTGGCTGTGCAAGCCGGGGAAGAGTCTGGGGAAGGGGGGCAGCGGGTCCTTAACCGCCAGGCGGCTACGGGATCATCACTTTAGTCGTAGCTACTTACCGCAATAGATGTACATAGTACAATTGACGTGAATCGGTACTCTGCTGAAACTTATTTCGGAGTAAAATCAACAAGTATTTGGGCGCATCAAGTTCTAGAGTGGTTCGTTTCAGGCACGAAGTATAATCACCTGCTAGTTAGAGATCCCTGAACCATGATGACCTGGATGTCTATATTTTTATCAACTTCGCTCTTGAGCCCGGTGGTTAAGCTGCTTTTGGTTCTACTTGATAACGCCGAAACTGTTCGATTGAATTATAGTACCCAGATTCGAACTTCATGAGCTGCTGCAAACTTATTTGAACCTAAATTGCCCTTACCTGGCGGAATGCGACAAATGTGACATGCTTGATAAGATAAGATGTGGCTAACGGATAAAGGATGGACACGATCGGTCAAACATTCATCCATCACCGTCGCGTGGCGGATCCTGCCAGCCGTTGAATCTAAATTCTTCCACTGACATCATCATCATCATTATCGTCATTTGTGAGTTATCGTTTGATAATTCCACCGACGTCGCAACCTGCAATACTGACCTAGGAACATAAACTGATTCTAGGTGTCACCTAACGCATAGAATCAATACTGGAGTAAATTGATCCTGGACCTCAATAAATAGTTGTAGTAGTTATGACGTCATCCGGACTTCAATCGAGGAGGCACAAGAAAAACCGTAAGTGATCTTCGATTATATCTAGAGGCATACTACGTAGTATGTACATATGTAGTTGTGTGAAGTTAAAGTTCGGATTACGAAGTGTGTTGTTTCAAAACAGCTTCCACACCGTTGGGTTAAGTATCCCAGATATCAAGATCCACGTTCAATCATGAAGCAAGTCTGTCTTCCGAGAGTACAAGAATCTCAGGCCCGCGACTTTTAAACACAAGCCTTACATACAAGTAACATTATTAAATGTGTCTTAATGAAACCAAATCTTTGCGCAAGATGACTGAACTTGAGACATTCTTTGGATGTTAATTGTCTATGTATAGGGTAATCAACATAACCACACAAATACACCAAGACTCCAGGGTCCACAAAAGCCCAACACGCGTCAAACACGAGCGCAAAACTTAGCCTCACCAACAAATAGAACGCTCCTAGACTCTTCTCCAACAGATCTATAGTTCTCCGCACGAACCTCTTTAGCTGTATATGAAATCTAGACCTCAGACTCCAACACCGATCAAATAATCAGATGCCGCTGGCGCAAGTGTACCGCTACTTAGGGAGCCACTAGAGCTAATAGCGTGATGGAAGTACCCATACTCCCCAGGCTACATGGTTTCCCGGTTTTCGCGACCCACTGGTTTGGGGAACACGCGACAGCCAGAATTTTACGCGGGGCCCCAGGTTCGTGAGGGACAGCTCAAGAGAAGGCGGGAGCGCATAACTCCCCCCTTTTGGGTAAAAGCATGACAAGCCAGTGCTTCTAGAATCCACTTGCTTTCTCTGTGAGTGCGCCATCATGCAATTGAAGCTATCTCGTGTTTTTAACAGCTAACAAGCTTGGCTTACTTGTGATTGTGATCCAGTGTCGTGTTGTTGGATGTTTGTCTACCTGACGGTTTATCGCAGTAGCTTCCACCTGCTAGGCAATTGGGCATTTATAGTAAATGGTATTTTAACTTGACAAACCTGAGGAAATGTACACCAATACAACAAACAAGTTCTTCATCATCTAATAACTTGCGCATTTGTAACTGTCATCAAACCCGTCTAGTCAGTCTCTAGCGACTCGTGAGGCTCTACGGCAATGAACGGGTGGTCAGACGGAGGAGCCACGCTATCCCCGAACAAGGGGTCATAGCCTACAGCTCATGGCGCGTGCACGCTCTTCCAAAACCCCAGGAACTTAAGTCGGCGAATCGAAAAAATAAAAGTGACCGGGGGGCAGAGGACCCATGGGGGGGGGGGGGAAATGTTTAAAAGACTCGACAGCTCCATACCCCAGATTTTGCGAACATCCCTCTCCACAGCTTGATGAGTTTGAACTTGTTGTAGAATATCTTCACAACTTTTCTTTTTCAGCCATGTCGACCTCGTCCACTCAGGACCGACCTTACACCATGGAGCCTGGCGTTACAGCACCCAAGAAGACCATCTGGCAGTCGATTCGCGAGAATCCCAAGGTTATCTTTATTGCTTTCTTTGCCTCGTAAGTACCACGTCTCACATTAATCAAGACGTCGTTTAACAGTCGATGTGTGATAGATTGGGAGGATTCGAGTATGGATACCAACAGGGTGTCCTCGGACAATCCCTCGTCATGACCCGATTCACACAGAACTTCCCCTCTGTCGTCGAATCTTCATCAGCCACAGGATGGCTCACATCCATCCTCCAGCTAGGAGGTATCCTGGGCTCCTTATCCGCCGGAGTTTCCAGCGAGATCATCTCCCGAAAATACACCATGTTCATCGCCTGCCTCTGGGTTGTCCTCGGCAGCTACCTCTACGTCGGCGCCACAGCCGGAAACCCTTCTCTTCTGTACGCCGGCAGATTCTTCACTGGTGTCGGTGTCGGTCTTTTCAGCGGCGTAGGACCTTTGTACAACGCTGAGCTCTCTGCACCTGAGATGCGAGGTCTGCTTGTTTCCTTCTATCAGCTCGCTACCATTCTGGGCATTATGCTTTCTTTCTGGGTTGGTTACGGCTGCAACTACATCGGCGGAACCGGCGATGGACAGTCCGATCTCGCCTGGCGTCTACCTTCCATCATCCAGGGAATCCCCGCTGCGATCCTCGCGGTCGGCATCTGGTGGATGCCCTTCTCCCCCCGATGGCTCGTCAAGGTTGACAGAGATGAGGAAGCCAAGTCCACATTGGCATGGATGCGAAAGCTCCCCGTCGACCACGACCTAATCCAGATTGAGTACCTCGAGATCAAGGCCGAGGCTGTTTTCGAGCAAAAGGTTTTCGCCCGCGATTTCCCTCATCTTGCCGAGAAGAACAAGAACCGATTCAGACAGCAGGTTGCTCAATACGTCATGTGCTTCAAGTCGATGGACAACCTCAAGCGAGTCTGCACTGCTTGGCTTATTATGTTCTTCCAGCAATGGTCTGGCATTGACGCTATCATCTACTACGCTTCCAACGTCTTTATCAGCCTAGGTCTCACTGGTGGAACCATCGCCCTACTCGCTACAGGTGTCACAGGTGTCGTTTTCCTGATCAGCACCATTCCTGCTATGGTAAGTGACTACAATGTCGAATTTATAACTGTTTCCAACTAACATTTTCTGTAGCTGATCATTGATCGCGTTGGTCGCAAGCCCCTCCTTCAGATTGGATCCATCGTCATGGGCGCCAGTATGGTCACAGTCGGAATTATCGTCGCTAAGTACCGCCACGATTGGCCTAACCACGTCGCTGCCGGCTGGTCTGCAGTTGGTAAGTCAACCTAACTCAACCTACAATTCAACTCATACTAACACCCACATCAGCTCTCATTTGGGTATACATCGCTGGCTTTGGTGCTACATGGGGCCCCGTCTCCTGGACTCTCGTCTCCGAAATCTTCCCCCTATCGATCCGCGCCAAGGGAGCTTCCATCGGAGCATCCAGCAACTGGGTCAACAACTTCGCCATCGCCTTTTTCGTTCCTCCCATGCTTGAGGCTTGGGCGTGGGGAACCTACATCTTCTTTGCCGGTTTTCTCTTTGTTGGTATCCTCTGGGTGTGGTTCTTCCTGCCCGAGACCAAGAATGCTTCTCTCGAGGAGATGGACCGTGTTTTCAAGAGCCGTGCTGGAGAGCAAGATGCTGAGCTTCTTCGAGAGGCTCAGGCCGAGGTTGGCCTGCTTGGTGCCCCTGGACGACGACCTTCTTACGAGAAGGAGGGAAAGAAGCACGTTGAGGAGTTGTGATGGGTATAATGAGTATATGTCTGTGAAGATCCAGTAGTAGTTTGATAGTACGCAATAGCAATTCTGTTCTGACTAAATTTTAATTGCCGATTATAACAGTTAATCCACTCGAAAGTGATGCACCAATAACTTGAACTACAATCTTTCGTCAGCTTGCAACCGATCAACAGAGTTATCCTGATAGGACTAGACCTTATTGGCTAGTCACTTCAAGCTACGCATAGGGATAGTGTTCCGATCGGCTGGTTCGATCACTTGTGCTACGGGATGTAAAGTAATTGCATCGCATTATTTCGGGATAGACCCATATTTTAAGGATGCATCAAGGTAATACCTAGAACATATCGGGCACAAGGAGGGATAATTCACCATCTATAAGAGGTCGGCGCGGTTTTATCATCATTAGCTATCAGACTGCCAGACTGTCTTACATAAAACTGCGTACCTAAACCTGGTAGTCTTATATAAGTTCCACATGGATTTGCTACCTTGAAGTTAACAGTAAATTGTGATGAGGACTATCAGAATATTGAAATGCTTCAATTGAAGGTTTTGGCAAGCAATCATGAAGAAGACTCATTCACACGACCATGGTCATGAAACAGTTTATTCCTCCTAACGTTAGTCCACCAATCTGACAAAGCACATCGATCGGTCTATGGCAGCAACACGTTGAATGTTACGGATATCCAACTCAATTTCCCTGCAATGCGGGGAAATTTAGCATTGCCATTGCATGCCTGAGCTTTTCCGGGGCAATATCCACGAAGGAAAACTCGCCTCCCGTGCCGGTTGCCGAGTCATGATATGAGAATGTCGCCTAAAGCCCCTCAAAATGGTCTAGTCAGTGTTGCAGCCAAATCCACACGTTTTCTCGAGCAAACCAATTACAATTCTCAGTACCCCCACTAACAGGGTCATCCGGGGATCCTCGGGTTCTCCAAATTTACCTTGTTTCATCAACAGGAAAAGAAGTTGGAGAAGACGAGGCTACGCTTCCTTTTTGGGATGCTTCTGTCATCGATACAACACTCTTACTTGACATTCTCTCACAACGTGCCATTAATCAAGCACGTAACCTTGCTCCATACCCCACTCCCCCAGGTTTCCCTCGGCTCACAATGGCCTTTTTCCCATCCGAAGACTTCTCGCTAGACCCGCGCTTCATAGAGCTCCAAGAGGAACTTCGATCCGTGCTCTTCGCAGGCCTTTCCGGCCTATCGCCCAGCGCGTCGTGTACTACAGAAGCAGACGCGACACCGACGCAATCACCGCAGACTCTCAATTTCTCTAGTGTCACTGTCAATGTCCCCAAGGACAGGTTAATATGCTACCTCCAAAACTGGGTCACCGAGTGTGCACCCTACCTGGACAAATTTGACCAGCAGAAGCATTTTCAGATCCATGTGCCGCTTATGGCGCGGAAGTCTCCTGCTTTGTTGTACGCCATGCTTGCTTTCTCGTCCAGACAGATGGAGAGAAGGGGGCTCACGCAAGAAGGTGGCTGTGATAGTCTTGAGCTTTACCAGGAGAGCATCAGGCTGCTAAGCCCTGGCTTGCAGGCTAAAGATCCCAATATGTTGGTGACAGCTTGTATCTTGGCGGTATTCGAATTGATGTCGGGCGGATCCAAGAACTGGAAGCGCCACGTTGAGGGATGCGCCTCACTTTTCGAGTTCTTTGGAGTCGATGGCTTCTCTGGTGGTCTGCCACAGGCAGTTTTCTGGTGCTACGCCAGGATGGAATTGTGCGGAGCGATAATCTCAGATGGGACAGAAACTGCAGTCCTTCCTCTAGAAAGATGGGCACCGCCTGCGCCGGATTCACTGGTTTCTTGTGAGCAGGTTGAAAGATACGTGCGGGACATGTTCCACCGACGAAGTCGCGAATCGCCCGATATGCAGGCAAATTGGGCCATATATCTGTGCACCAAAGTATGCGACCTCAGGTTCCGCAGGACTCAGAGCTTGGAGCTCGGACGAGCAGATACCCAAGATGACAGGCCGTTCTCGGAGCAGTGGCAGCAGCTTTGGAACGAGCTGCAGTATTGGCTAGATGAACGACCTCCAACAATGAAGCCCATCAGCATGGTCGAAACTGGCGACAAGCAGATCTTCCCGGCCATGTTGTTTCCCCATTGGGCAGCCATATCAAGTAACCAGATTTACCACACTGCCTGCATTCTGATGTTAGAGATGCGCCATCTTGGCCATGATCTGGACTCGCAATGCTTGGCTTTGTGGCACGCGCGCCAGGTCTGTGGCATCTCGTGTGCCAATCTTCACCCCGGTAGTCTGGTCAACTCTATTCAACCGCTTTATATAGCTGGGAAGTTGTTTTCGCATGTGAATGAGAGAAAACAGATAGCTCGACTGCTCAAATCGATTGACCGCACAACAGGCTGGGGAGCATTGTGGAGGTTGACTGATCTTGAGGCTGAATGGGGGTACGATGTGGGAGCACTGCTGAAGTCTTTATAGTAGGGAATTGGAAGTTGTAATATTATTGAATTTGGAAAGCAATCACATGCATACCAATATGGCAGTTCGAATGGGTAGTAGTAGTATGATGTAGCACAACGACACTTATGCACCCACCAGAATCTTGGCATTTCTTCCTCTGCATTAGGCGCCATCGCATAAGACACCCATTTACAGCATAGCGTCTTGAGATCGGAGTGGAGTCAGCTTGTCTCAGTCCTTTAGAGACCTTATAAACCCTTCACCGGCTTACACAGAGGAGACTTGCACAAAACATCTGAAATTCACAGCCCACTTGACCTCCCACCACAACAACAACAATGTCGTCACCGAGACCCGTAATCAGCGTACTAGGTTCGTTGAACATTGATCTCGTTTCATACGTGCCCCATCACCCTCTTCCCGGCGAGACAATAACATCGAATCGGTTCGATGTCTTTCCTGGTGGAAAAGGCGCCAACCAAGCTGTTGCGTGCGCGAAACTCTCCAGAACCTCTGATCTAAAGGACCCGTCCGTTGATGTTGCCATGATTGGCGCTATTGGAGCAGATGCCTACGGCTCTGTTCTTCTTGACAGCCTTAAGTCATATGACGTTGGAACAGACTCCATCATTGTGAATCGAGATGGCGATATCGGGTCGAAGAGTGGTATTGCAATGATCATTGTGGATGAACCGACTGGTCAGAACCGTATCATCTTGTCACCAGGCGCAAACAACTCTCTTCAACCAGACCAATTCAGCAAGATTCCTGGAGCGACACCCTCGCTGCTCATCATGCAGTTGGAAATCCCCTTGGACACTGTCATCCAGGCATTCAAAGCTGCCAAGGACCTGGGAACACCCGTTCTCCTCAATCCTGCACCTGCCCGGATCCTACCAACAGAGATCTACCAGGGACTAGCGCATCTCATTTTGAATGAGACCGAAGCAGCCTTGCTATCAGGAAAGGACGAATCTGAGTTTGAAGACATGTCGGTTGTGGAACAGGCTGCCTCTGACTTCCTTTCAAAGGGTGTTAGAAATGTCGTAATCACCCTGGGCGGAAAAGGTGCCTACTATGCCAACGAGACCGGCTTTAAGGGTCTTGTCCCAGCCCAAAAGGTCAACGTTGTGGATACTACTGCTGCTGGTGATACCTTCATCGGCGCTTATGCAGTGGAACTTGCAGGGGCTGATCAACGAGGTGAAGAATTCGATATTAGTAAAGCTGTACAGTCAGGAATTTCGGCAGCGTCACGGACGGTTTCCAGAAGAGGAGCACAGGTCTCTATACCGTGGAAGGATGAGTTGGAGTGAGCACGATGACATCAGAGTAAGATATTATTAGAATATTATTAATCACACAAATCTAGAGCTGTCCCAACAAGTGCTACGTGTGGTTATGTGTGGGCGCATTAGTATGTCGAGATGACGACCAAAACTGTTGCAGATCCGCAATCTCACTCTGCAGAGGAATCCGAGTCGCATCTCCAATTCGCTGGAAGCACGAGAGCAGAGCCTCCTGCTGGGACGGATAAGTCATATCCCTAGCAACGCGAACAACCGTTGCCACCACGACAGGATCCCACTGATCCGAAAAGTTATTCCACAAAGCCAGCTTGGCGAGCTTCTGAGCATGCCAGCTTTTCGACACCAGCCGATGAGGGTTTGAAGATAACTTGACCAGTCGCGGCTTATATGATAGGAGCAGAAGTGAGGAGAAGTGAATGGCCAGGTTTGCCTGCACTGCTATGGCGCTGGAGTAGACGTCAGCTGCGAAGGGAGAGTTGGTGGCCGCTGTGTGAGCGTCGACTTCGGGGCTCTCCAGGAGAGGAATCATATCTGGGGGGCGATCTCGGAACCATTGCACGCACCTGGCCCATAGCTTGGACCATGTTGCCCAGACAAGAGAGGGGGAGTCGTGATTTGGGGATTGTGTGGTGAAGATACCGTTGAATAACGGGATGAGCTCGCAATGGATTAGACGACAACATGCGCTGAGATGTGTTAAACATGCGTCGTAAATTTGAAGTGGCGACATGTTTGGGCTTATGAACGACTCATTTATCGCTGGCAATGGCTGTAGTGTTGGTGCCTTGAAGGTTATAATGCCAGCAGCAAGCTCTTTGATCTCCAGTTAGCAAAGGTCAGGCGTATATCAAGGTATGTCATACCTGTCTTGTAGTGGAAGCGCTCAAGGGTTTTGAGGGGCTCTTCTTGATTTTCAAAGAAATGATATTGGCCGCCTCCATTACTGTAATCAGTGTAGAGAGTGGTCCACTCAGAGGGGCTTGTGTAGAAGAAATTGCCCAGAGCAAGCAAGGATCTCCCAATATCACCAGTCAGAGCATCCTCTAGAGATAATCGATGATGAAATTGTTGAACAATATGAGGATCGCTTTCGTGACCGTCCGAGCTTGTGATCTTTCTACTCCGGCGCATAGCGACCCAGACGATGACATCCATAATGATGGACTTCTCGGCGGCCAACGTCATGATCTTTGGTCCGAATGACGATCCCGGGGCATTTGAATCTAACCAGGGTACTATCTGATACCGGAAGCGAAGCATTGCTGTTTGCCTCTCTGACGAATTCTGCTCTGATAGAACAGTTTCGTTCCACCGCGACGGTGTGGGAATTTGGTTTCCATCGTTCTGTTGATGATGGTTGCTGGCTGATACAACTGGCCGTGGAACATCTGGTGAAGGGTTTTGAGTAGGCTCTACTATGTCTGCCCCTACTATAGTGGTTACTGGGCTCTCAAAAACTTGATCAGGAGCAGGGGGGCTAGACTCGACAAAAGATAGTAAGCTGTCCTGCATTTGCTAGTATACCAGTTAGATGCAGGTCCTATAGGTGGCGAAGAATACTTACCATTGACTCAGGCTCATTCATTGTATCATCCTGTGCACAATCATCCTTCCGTAGCGAAGAACGCATCCCTGACACAAAAGTCCACTCTTTGAACTCGCACGTTACATTCCTCCCCTGGCAGCTCCCGCACTGGGGTCTTCGTTCATCACCTTCAAGTTACGGTTAGCTCAGGGATCAAAGTGGCAATCGATAAACTGCAAGGTATTAACCACAGCGAGATGCAGTGAGACGTCATGACTAACATTTTCTTCGACGTCTTCGACAAGGTATACAGCCTGTGCGGGACCGTCTTTTGTTATCGGGTATTCGTCTGATGACTGGCATTGCGATAAGCTACATGTTTTGCTGTGGAAACTGAAGTGGCAGAAAAAGAGGAGTCTAGAAGGCGGTGAATGACAGCAGATCTTAGAGATATCTATAGACCGGTCTAGACTTTCCATGACAGTAACGACTCCACTGTGCACTGTGCATGCATGTCCGTACTTCGTGGGGACTGAGTCTGTTGGTTTTTACAACGTACTACGTAAAACTATCACCGTAGATTCTTTGGCTCAATTGGTTGATAGTAGCTATTAAGGTAATCCTGCCGAATATTATTCAGAATCTGCCTCTTTAGTGGTTAGAATGGCGTATAAATCCAGGCACACGACATCATTACATATCCTGATAGGCTTCACAAATACTTGGATTGCAGAGTCAGTGACGGGAAGTTCTCTTGCAACTCCCTCAACTGCTTTACGCTTCTACGACGATGCCTTGGGCGACGATATCTCTGCGCCAGCGTCGAAAAGCGGGGCAAACAATTAATTCTTTTGTTAAGAAAGAGGAGACGGTGATTGCTGGTTTATTTCGAGAGGTTGTCCTGATGGTTACACCACAATGGACGTGCTTATTTCGGCGGTGTAATCATAACATGGTGTCGAGTGTTTCCTTTGTATGTCTGATCCGTCACCAGGGTTAACAGGAGATAGTTGCATGCACTCCTCTGCTTATCCTTTTCTTTCCTTCTTCACAGCAAGTGAGCCTGGTGTCCGTCCTCGTTCACTCCAATATATCTGGTACGTATCAATATACACACTAATCAGATGGCTGATCACGCTAGAAGCCCTTTTCCGGCCTTTGGCTGTGATGAGGGGTCGCAGTTGGCGACGTAGGGTGACATAGAGGCCTTGTCCACGTCTCCGTAATAGGCGCATACGTAGTTGTGGACGACTCGGTATCGGACGACAGGGCAGTAGTGTCTATGGCCACCAAAGTGGTCGTGGTTGCGTCAGAGCTTGTGGTTGTTTCGGACAAGGCAAGGTGGTTGATTCCAAGACAGTGGTGGTTGCTGTATCTCTGGCTCAATTCTACTGGGGCAGCTACGGATACACTAATCGGACTTAAGAATGCTTGACTTGAATGATTCTTGGCGAAAACTCTCTTCAGAGGTTTCTATACATCAGCCCAATACCCAAAGCCAACGTGTTCAACATCCCACGGGCTAAGTGACAGGGCAAAGTTGGCTCTCTTTAGCCGACTGTCTTTCACCCATCGGTTAGGATTAAAAATATGATTTGTCATAAGTATACATATATGCAAAAATGAAATCTTTGATGAGACTGGGACTCGAACCCAGGAGGATTGCTCCACCAGGAAATTGGTGTTAAGGTTAACCTTAACCTGGCGCCATAACCAACTCGGCCATCTCACCAAGCTAGTGCTTATGTACCACAAATCCAAACTGCGGGACATACAGTACGATTCAAATTGAGCAGGACATTAAGTGCAAGCTTTCTCCACTGACGACTCTATTATAACAACCATGCTATATCTCCTTGCATAAATGTTTAATATCCTCTGGAAAGTCTTTCACTAACACGAAAGATCGGGTACTGCTAATTCCTGATTTAGCCCGCGAGGCAAAAATGTTGAGTTTAAAACAGCTATAACCTTATCTCCTTGATCCCGATATGTTTCTAAACACTCCAACCTCAATAGTTATAAGAAAATCTGATGTATTGCTGTATGTTGGCTCAAGAATGATCAAAGCATTCGCAATAGCCCATCAGCGACTTATTCGTCCCAAATAGTTGCCACCACAGGCCCTGTGAGTATAACCTCTGCCAACTTCCCGCCCTTCTCCTCAGAAATAATCTTTCCAGTCTGGACATCTCGCTTCCAGATTACCACAGTTTGGTTGACCTGATGGCCAACGGCAATTTTATCGCCGGACTTGTTAAAAGAGAACTGGCGGGGGAGCCATCCACCAGATGGAGCTGCCTGTACAGGCTTCAGACTACCGTCCTCATTGATAAAGAAAGTCGTAAGCGTATCTGAAGGCCCAGACCCGGCCTGAAGGGACGTAGCGAAAGATTTCTCCCGGTTCGAAACAACCAAGAACCGATTGTCGGGCTAGAAGAAAAGTTAATAATTGTAGCATCGTGTTGCTCACGGCACTTACACTCATTGCGATCTCGCTAATAGGAGCGGTATTAGAAGGGAACGTGGCGTTCAGCGACGTGATCTCAAAAGCCTTTTTGAACGAGAGGCTAGCACGTTCGTATTTGACACGGTAGGAGTAAATCTTCTGATCTAACTCGCCATTGAAGAAGAAGAAAGTGTCCCCATTCTTCATTTTCCTAAAGAATCCGTGGCGAGGTCCAGCGCCAGCAGGCGCTTTCAACGTGCCCGCCTCGGCGATGGGAGCAATGCTCTTTTTATCGAAGGACCATACCCTGCAGACATCACCACCGAGGTCTGGAGTGACAACGTACTTTCCAGTGGGGTCGATAATCACATGGTGAAGATGGCTGGCCTCCTGTCGTGATGGAATTGGGCCAATCTGGGTGATGTTTGTAAAGATCTGTTGCAGTGGCTCAGTCCCTGGTAGAGCACCCTTGGCACCGAGGGCGTATGCAGCTGCTACGCCAGGAGTGCTGCCTTATGTCAGAATGAAATGGGTTGAAATTCGGGTTGTTACTCACTACGAGGCACTGAAATAACCACGTCGTCCATTTGCGCCCTTGACTATATCGCCGGCCACACCACTCGCAGGCGCCTTTACCCGCGCGATGTGTTTCAGAGCACCGCGTTCGCCAATCGAGAACGAATTCAGTGAACCAGACAATGCGCCGTTACCACCTCGGTCGAGGCAGTAAAGCACCCTGCTCGATTTGTCAAGTGTCAGCCAAGACGGATTGTCCTTGCATTCTGACGATTTCGAGGTGACTGAAAGATCGAAGCCTTTCTGCGACTCGGTAAGGGCCAGCGTGGTCAAGTTACCACCTGAATCTGCCACAAATAAACTGATAGCATTGCCAGTTGCTGCGAACACGGCAGCGGTTAGGAACGATCCAAGTGTTGTGGGATGCATGGCCGGATTACTCTGTCGAACAAAGAATAGGACGATCAAAAGAGGATGGAAACAAGGGCGTCAAGCTTGTTGAAGGGGGAGCTTATAGATGTAGACATTCTGAGTGCTACTAATTACAAGGACCATCAATGCGTGGCATGTCGGATGCTGGGTTCTACCCCAGGTTCCCCAGGTAGGATAATCTATATCCTCCAATGAAAGCATGTCATTTTAAGTTCATGGTAAAGCATGTTCCGCGTTTTTGTCAAATTGAGCTTAATGAAACGTTTTCCTCATTAACCCTCATGGATTTGAGACCAATGGAACACCGCTAATCGCTAAATAGCATGTTTTCCGTGCTCATCTTTTCCGTTACTGGGTTTTCCGTTGCTGGGTTTAGCCTAAAACATCCTCTGCAAAAGCTTGGCAAGGGTTGTGGGTAGCTGGTCCAGGGGACGTGTGATGCATAATTCATGTTAAGAGTAACTCTTAGAGCGACGAGTATATAAGAGGTGTACTCCGTAGAAGAAGGCAAGTTTTCTATTTCAACCCTAGTCAGTAACAGTCGCTTTACTCGAGCCCATACCTATTGCCATGAGGATCTAAACTGTGTACCTGATTCAAAGGGTACCACAGTCTGATACTCAACGCGACTTGACATTTCGGCTCATGAGAAAGACTAAAAAAGCCCCGGGTATCGTGGTTAAGGGCACTGACTGGAAATCTGCAAAAAGATATGATCACGCTGGGGATCGAACCCAGAATCTTCTGATTCGTAGTCAGACGCCTTGCCATTGGGCCACGCGACCAAGCTGATATTGCTGACTAATGATCTTTTCTCATCTTGGAATGACTATATAGTGAGGTTATCAAGAGTTGTTTCTTGTCGCACAAAGGATACTCGATACTGGCTATGTCATGGCGTTTGCAAAGTGGATTTCTACTATGAGTCTAGTATTAGTATTTTGAATGCTACTAGAAAAACCTTCTGCAGGATCTACAAGGATTAGTTCTTGCTTGAAGAGGACTTGTTAGAAGCCCGGAAGGCCATAGTGGTAAACTTTCTGTATCTACCCATTCTATACCGGCTGACTACCACCTTGCTGAAACCGAAGTGCATTGTTATTTTAAAGTTGAATTTTAAGTTTCACCGTGCGGGAGGGTTGCTTATTCAGGGCGTCCCTGACCTAACGTTAGGAGAAAGGACGACGATTCAGTGTCGACCTGCCTGGTGCTCGATCCTTTCTTATTTGGCAAAGCTGCACGCAAGATGGCGACATTAAACCAAGTGATTTGAGGTAGCTTCCCATACTGTTCTTCCCAAAATCGTAATATGCGTATTTTAATAGACAAGAGGTACTTATCGAAGTACCTTTACGGGACAAAGCCAGTCTAGTCTTGCCGGAGCCGTAGGCGACGTGCTTGTGTTGCCCTCCGCTTGAGGAGGTCCCCCCGGAGGGTTAACTTGGCGTACTTAGTCGGTGACGAGAACACCTTCCACGACCTACAATTACCATCAGAGGGTTACAAGATGGTCAGTTGTTATAGTAACAACGCATACGACCCTACAGTTAAACCACCGTACTAGAACTACATACATGAAGAGAGTCGTGTTATTATTTGTGCCTGGAACTACCGGAGCCAGGATACGCTACCTCAACTTACTGAAAGGAAGTGGTATGACATCCTGGCAGCTAGCTGTGTTGCAGCGCTGGCCTCGAGCCACCGGTCCGAAGCCATTATGGCTACTATCTGTGATTTGGAGATTTTATATCAGATTTGGTGACGTATCACATATTCCATTTTCGTGATACGTGTATACCATGAACATCTAAACTGGGATCCTGAAGAACGCACTCTACACCCAGCAGTCCCAGGAAATTCTGGTCAAGAACGTATCCACCCGTGTTGACGAAACTGAGTCAGTTTGGGGAGAATGGAGATTCATGGGAAGGCCATGGGAGAGAGGAAATTGAGGTAAACCGAGTTAATATCACTACAACAACGATAAGAAAAACATGAATTAATCATAACTTGGGACACACATGGCAGTATAGGGGGTGATTAGTTTATTTTGTTTATCTAATTGATAAGAGCCTATCGATATCTTCCCCAGCCTCTACACAAGCTCAACCTTTATTCACTTCAGTAAAACTCTCTACGTGTTACGAGAGGGTATTATCCATTAACCAGAAACATCTAGGTGTTTTCATTCCTTATGTTTTACTCAAGTATTATCGCTTTAAATAATAAATAAATTAAAACCAACAGTAAAGCTATCTCCATTTTAAAAGACTAGTCTAATATTGGCTTTAAACTCTTCCTAAGTATAATATATATACTCACCAGCAAAAACTCTAAATAAAGTTGGTGTAACATTACTTAGTTTCATATTCTAAAGTGGCCCGACGAGGATCGTCAACAATGCCTTAAAATCATACATTAAAACTATTCTATTCCCGCCTAATAATCAAAAGTCGGCATAATCTTGTCTCAGGGTACAGTCACTCTATAGAATACACCATAATTCAGTCCTTATAAAAAGTCGAAGGTCAACTTTTTACAAGAGACATTAATATGAACGGGGTCATTTCGACAGTGATGATCATGTTTAACTGTGAGTGAGCGGATTGAAAGAAGAGATTGCCAGTAGTTTACTCATTCATCAGTAGAAAGAGTTAAAAACTAATATCGGGAACTTTCAGACAGTGTAGAAGGTTTGTGTTTCTCAAGTTGCACGGAAGCGATCGCACTTCCTGCGTGTATGGGCTTTGGGGATGCGCCCGGAAGCTTTGTGACATGATACACATGGTAGAAAGGTTAGACTATGGCAAAGCCGCGACCGCTGTTGAGTTATTGTTGGTAGATGATTGATGAACTTATAACTGGGACTTGGGCCAGATCACATGCTCGGCAGCCAGGACGAGATGGATTATAACAGACCCAAACGCTTGAACGTGATCGTGCTTTTTACACATAAGGCTGGTCTATCTCAAGATTTCATTAGCCAGTAAGAGGCATTGCCACTGCGGAGACTCATCGGTCCGATGAATCGTCTTATAGCGAGGATGATTAGCTCACTGTCTGAGAGGGAATCCGAGTTACTGGTAAATCTGGGGCGAGTTGTATCAGAATCAACAGGGGCATGTGAGTTTAACACCCTTCGCATGATAACCTTGCAATTCTTGCCTCATGCTGCTCACAATTCTATTGTGCAATAGCTCTAAGAGCCCTGAAGTGATATACAACGCAGCAACCTAAGGAAGGTATCCCTATAGTTTTATTCTAGATGTCTCTTCCATAGTTTTTCTCACAGGATGGCCAGGAAAGAGTTCGGAGTAACCAACAGGCATCATGTAACAACCAAATATATAATCTTGAAAACTTTTAATACTCGAATTTCGTGTTACTCTAATGAGGATCTCCAAATCACATCATTTGACAAGGGAACAAACATCAAACCTGCGCCGCTGGAACGTGTTGCCCCGCACTAATTGCGGAACCGGCTAAATATGCAAACCCACGTACCGCATCTACTCACAAGCCCAATATCTAGCTCATCCGATAATTGTTATCTTGGACGTCGTGTGTCGCGTGAAAGCGTTGATTCCCCTTCAATAGATTAGCCAGTCGCAATAAGTCAATCTGCGGCTGCGGCACAGGATCAAAATGCTTTGCCGAATCTAATTAGAAGATCGTGTGCAACAGCCTCCCCCTTTCGACTCAACACAGCCCGATTGGGTGGATAAATACGTCAGCTCTTGAACAATGCAGCTCGCACAACATGGCCTGTTCTGGGTAACTTCACAATGCATTGGTCCACATATTCCCGAAGATAAGTATCACTTCAGCTGCCGTAGCTAATTGCCAGCAAGCCAGGAAAGGTCAAGCTTGCACCAAACCAACCCTTCTCCAACAAAGACCACGTTCCACGCCAGAGCCACTGCAGCCACCATGTCCTCCCAGCCCTCCAACCCCATTATCCCTGGCTTCTCGCCCGATCCGTCAATCGTCAAGGTTGGCGAGTGGTACTTTCTCGTCAACTCCACCTTTCACATGTTTCCTGGTATCCCTGTATATGCATCAAAGGACTTGATATCGTGGAAGCATATCGGTAAGCTGCCTTTGACCCTTCGTGGGGATGTTTAGCTAACAAAAGGCAGGAAATGTTATTCACCGGCGGGAGCAGATTAGTCTGAAAAAGTCAGACACTGAAGTCAACCGTCTGCCAGGCGTTGGGGAAGTGATGCTCGCTACGGGCGGTCTCTATGCTCCAACTATTCGCTACCACAATGGTACTTTCTACGTCGTCTGTACCAACGTTGTTAGAGTCATCCCAAAGGCTGAAGGAGAGAGCGATATAAATGAGAATTTCATTGCCTCGACAAAAGACATCTGGTTAGGCCAGTGGAGTGACCTGGTCAAGTTCGACTTCGATGGCATCGACCCCAGCATGTTATTCGACGACGATGGCAAGACATATATCCAGGGATCCAAGTCGCCGGGTCCATACACCAAGATCGCCCAGTTCGAGGTGGACATCGAGACAGGCCGCAAGCTCTCTGAGGAAAAGATCCTGTGGGAGGGCACAGGCGGGGTCTACCCTGAGGGGCCGCACATCTACAAGCGCAACGGCTGGTACTATCTCATGATATCTGAGGGCGGAACCCATGATGAGCATATGATCACCATGGCCCGGTCCCGCAACGTTTGGGGTCCTTATGAGCCGTGCCCCGACAACCCCATCTTGGTCCCCGCCAGCACCGACTTCTACGTGCGCCACACTGGCCACTGCGATGCATTTGAGGACGAAAAGGGTCAGTGGTGGGGAGTATGTCTTGGAGTACGCAGGGACAAGGGTGATAGATACAATATGGGCAGGGAGTCTTTCCTCACAACTGCAAAGTGGACTGATGATTGGCTCCGTCTCGACTCGGTTCAAGCTGTCATTGATACATCCCGGCTAGCGAGCGCAGACGTAGTTCAGGGGTTAACAGCTGTTGACAACGTGGACTACCTCTACATCCGAGACCCAGCTCTGGAGAACTACAAGTTCGCCAACGGGAATAAGAGTCTGACTTTAATTTCATCCACCGTCGATCTATCACACCCTCGCGAATCTCCCACGTTCGTGGGTAAAAGACAGCGCATGCACAAAGGACAAAGCAGCGCCACTCTGCAAATCAGTCCTTCCTGGGCCAACACCCAGCTCAAGACTGGTCTCGCCTATTACAAAGACGAGCACCGCTACTTGCGGGTATACTACGACGCCGACGAAAAGGCCGTGGTGTACGAAGCCATCAACGCCGCCAAGGATATCAGCAAGACTGAGCGACGCGCCCTGGACAAGGATGTTGACAGCCTGCGGTTCCGCATGGAGTACACCGAGGCGGAATATCGTATCGAGTATGCAGTTGGGCAACAGGCGTGGGAGCGCATTGCTACGCTCGACACGATTGACATGACAGGGCCTGACTTTGTTGGGCCTGTGATCGGCGTGTTTGCCTTGGATGCACACGGAGGTTTGACGGTTGAAGTGGCCGATCTCGAAGTGGAGTAGGTTGGTAGATTGGTAGATTCCGGCTGGACATGCCAAGTCGAATTAGTAGATCAACCTTGATATTTAGCCATATGGCTGTCTTCGTTAGGTCCTCATATCTAGCCAAGCCGTTCGCTCGCTGGCGCACAAATCAACGTACAAGCTATTGCATTCCGCCCAACTGCGTGCATCACAAACCAGTCAATAAATACCGGTGTACTAAACTACTTCCGATGCACGCACATGACAGGCCGTTGTTGTTGGTTCTCGATTAAGCTTCCAGCCTAGAATTTAACCGGTCACGAAAATCCACAGGCTAATATGCAACCTGAGACTTTGCGCCCGTGTCTGAGTCGCCATATTAACCGGTCGCTACCCAAGTGGTCACCAGCCCAACCCCACGGGGATGGTTTTCGTTCTTCGTAGCTCGGTAGCTCGGATAAAGAAGATTGCGGGGAAATAAACCTTTAATTTGGGGTTGGAGGTTGCATAGCGGAACCTGTTTCGATCCGTGGGGCCTCAGTGATGATACTAGGTATTTGCAAGGAGAGTCATGTTGGCTTGTGCGCTTGGAATCTTAGGCTGAGTAAACTATATCATATCATCCTAGTCCTTCCTTGGGCTGATATAAAGACAGCAGCTGTTCCCCAGAGTGTTAATTCTTTCCCGCCAGTATCCTCAGAGTTGTCTGGTGAAACACAGCTTACACTCGGCACTTGTTCACTATCGTCTTTGCCAATATGGGTGTCCTCACACCGCCCAAGCGGACCCAAAAGGTCGTCCCTGTCAAGCCCGCCCATGGTCACTTCTTCTTTGCGAATAAGGAGTTCGTTCGTGTTCCCTGGTGGAAGAGGCGGAACATGCGCACTCTGTATCTCTACATTGTTATCCTTATTCTCACAAACACTGCCAATGGATTCGATGGTGCGTCTTAACCCTCCCGCAAATTCTCAGGCGCCCAAGGACTATGCTAAATATGTTTCAGGATCCATGATGAACAGTCTCCAGACTCTCTCCTACTGGCAAGAGTACTTCAACCACCCCAAAGGATCCATTCTCGGTCTTTTCAACGCCTCTATGAGTCTTGGTTCTCTCATCGGTCTCTTCGTTGTGCCCTACCTCATCGATTGGGCCGGCCGAAGGGCTGGTGTTGCGCTTGGTTGTGCTGTGATGCTTCTCGCAGTCGGCTTACAAACTGGAGCCCAGAACTTTGGCATGTTTGTCGCGGCGCGTATCCTTCTCGGTTTCGGCGACTGCATTGTTCTTGGCTCTGCGCCTCTTCTCATCGCTGAGATTGCTCACCCTCAAGATCGTGCTATTCTCGTGACCCTTAGCGGCGCGTCTTATCACTCTGGTGCATTCATCTCCAGTTGGGTCACTTACGGTACCCTCCAGATCGAGGTTTGTCCCCGCCAAAACTATCGCAATTGTGGCTATGCTAACTCTCAAACCAGAGCAACTGGTCCTGGAGACTTCCTAGTCTTCTTCAGTCCATCTGCAGTGTCATCATCCTCGTCGCTCTCTACTGGATGCCAGAGAGTCCCCGTTGGCTCCTAAGCAAGGACCGACATGAAGAAGCCCAGAAGGTCCTGACTCACTACCACGCTGAGGACGACGCCGAGGATGAATTCGTCCAGCTCGAGTTCAGCGAAATCAAGGCAGCCATTGCCCTCGATAAGCAGATCGGACAGACCGGCTGGGCAGACTTCCTCAGGACCAAGGGCAACCGCAAGAGGATCGGTCTCATCACTGCCCTCGGTTTCTTCAGTCAGTGGAGTGGCAATGGTCTTATCTCTTACTACCTCAAGCAGATCATGGACAACGTCGGTATTACCAAGGCGGAAACTCAACTTGGCATCAATGCAGGCATGAAGACACAGGGGCTGATTGTCAACACTGCTTTTGCCTTTTTCATTGATAAGCTTGGACGTCGTCCCATGTACCTGGCTTCTACTATCGGAACATGCGTTATTTTTAACTTCTGGACTATTGTTTCAGCTCGCTACGACATCGAGCCCAACAAGGCGCTGGGTTATGCCTTTGTTGCACTAACATTTATCTACGGCTTGTTCTACGATCTCAAGTAAGTACCCCTGAGTCAACGCAGCGAATTCTTAGAGACTAATCAATGCGCAGGTCCGGTCTCATGGCCAACTACACCACCGAGACTCTTCCCTACGGTCTCCGAGCCAAGGGTTTCACCTGGCTCAACTTCTGTGTTACTGCCGCGCTCTTCTTCAACCAGTACATCAACGGTATCGCCCTCGAGGCCATGGGCTGGAAGTACTACATCATCTACTGTGTATTCCTTGGTTTCGAGGTGTACATCATCTACTTCTTCCTCATCGAGACCCGCTACACCCCCATGGAAGAAATCGCCAAGTACTTCGACGGCGACGACGTGGTCGATGTTGGAGAGGTCGCTCGTGCTGATATGAAGGAGAGAGGTGTTGCTGTCAATGAGGTGGAGACGAAGGGAGCTCGTGCTGTTGAGGTTGAGACGACAAATTAGTGATGCACAAGTATAAGTACTAGTGCGTAGGACAGACAGGAAGAGACAGTCATATAGCAAGTATGCCAAACATGACATGGACTAGTCTATTCTTATAATGAAATACATTCTTCATATTCGCCTGCCTTTTTGCCCTCCTTAATAATCTCTGTCCATTAAAGCTGTTTCATGACGAAAGCAAAGTGATGTCTGCAGTATGATTTACACGATGTCGCCTATTCAGTACAGTTCTGCAGCAGATCTAACAACAAGCCAACAAAGGATATTTATTATAAAGACATAGAGTATACAATATAGAGCACTAAGAGACTTTATACAGTCTTAGGATAAGATTATATAATGTTGTCTATATTAAGAAGAGTTTATTATCCTTCATATCATTTGGAATAAAATCTAGCGGAGTTATGAATGACTTGTAGAGTCTCTTATAAATTATGAGGAATTTGTCAAGACTTCTACACGCTCACTATGCATTGGTAGGAACATTTTAGATATAGCTGGCAAGTCATCCAGAACCTTGCCGCAGAATAATATTTACACTAGAATTTGCTATCAACCATAAAGGCCAGCTTGGGAGACTATCAACACACAGAAAAGCAAAATACCCAAGAGCATCAAGATCTAACTCCACCGCGAACTAGCATGACCGCCCCAGCGTTCACTGCTTAGAAGTTGGAGGTACCCTTGGTGACCTGGCCGGATTTGAGGGCAACGTTCTTGACGATGACCTGCTTGTTGTTGACGCTGGTAACACGGACCCAGGCGGTGTTGGTGGGGAGAGTTCCCTTGAGGACATACATGTTGGGGCCCTTGAGGGTGGTGCTGCGCCATGTCTTGCCGCTGTCGCTGCTCACGTCGACGACCTTGGTGCGGTGGGTGGCGTTCTCGATGGTAGCGGCGAACCAGTACTGGGAAGCTCCACCGTGCATGTGGACTTGGAGAGGCGTGGAAACAGGAAGAGGGCATGCAATCCACTTCCACTTGATGCCATCGACACCGCCGCCGGTCATACCGTTGGTCAGTTTGGACCAGGTAGCAGGGGTCATGTCAAGATGAAACTTATTGCCGCCAGTCTTGTTTGTCACCTGGTTTGATTTAATTAGATACAATAACATCCTCTCGTCGTTTTTCAACCTACCATTATCTTAAGAGCTTTGGTCTTATATTTCACCTCGATACAGCCACCGCAGTTGGCACCATTGTCCCAGATCTCCTCAGAGACGCAAGTGGATCCATCAATACCAGCAGGCAGCTTGTAGTCGACAAAACTGCAGGCACCCTTCTGCCAGCAGTCCTCCTCGGTGCAGCCGTCAGCGTCGCCGTAGCGGGTTCCGAGGCCGGTGAAGGTCGGGTTGGGGGTGACGGCCGCGGCGGAGACAACCGTCGAGACTGCGGCCAGAAGGGTCACGAGAGAGGCGGAAAGGCTACCGAAGATCATGGTTGCGGTTGGTGGAATGAATGTAAAAAGTAGGGACTGTTTGAACGAATGGAAGACGAAAATACGACTCTGAAAAGAATGTGATGCTGTGTGAATGAAAGTGCTGATATTGGAGTTTGGTGGATGGTGAGCACCCACAGCCCTATATATCTGCCAAGCAATTTCCCAGCTGACGAAGTTGCGGCACTGTCATTTGTCCCCTCCAATTTCCAGATGCAGAACCACAATCACCCGAGGACATGCCATCCTGTGATCCCTATCCCGTATCCTTTGTCAATCTGGAACATCAAGCCTGATTTACCAGTCTAGGATTGGTCGTCTGGGTTCCCCAGCTACGGCTTCCAAAACGGAAAAACAATCTCCTAATGTTTCTCGTCTAGTGGTTTCATTCTAGAACTCCCTCCCTTAATAACTGCTAATGCCGATGTCCCGTGAAAGTTTGTGCTACTCGTTTCAGAAGCGACAGGATCCTCCCGGTCGTCTTGAGTGGGGCTTCCCGATTTGGCGGGAATCAAACAAAAACGAGCTCAACCTTGTCGTCCAGAACATTCGGCGGTCGATTTTTGTATTTTATAACGAGATGAGCAAGTTCAACAACACGAAATTATGTTACATCGCTGTAAACCGTTGTAATCTCCATATTTAATCAAGATTTAATCTGGTTCTGGACTTGGCTTTATTGTTTCAACCCTGACTAATCAGATTCGATAAGAGTGTATAGCTGGGAACAAGTCTTGCACAATTGTTGGACTATTTTCCTTGATTTTTAGAGACAGTACGGATAATCATTCTCAACCGAAACTTCATACTACATGATCCCTATCGTTCCCCAGATGAACATTTGACGTCTTCATTGCTCTGGCTTTCTGCCAGTAACAACCAGCAGGTCAAACAAAGGATGAACTGATCTCTGCCGCGATGCCTCCCGAACTCGAACATTGAAAAGCTCAACCTCCTCACGCGACCATCCTAGGACCTCCGTAAACAACACCGCGGTGAAAGCAGCAACGCCCTCTTTCATGTTGACACCCATCAGCGTACCAATCTCCTTCAGTCGTTCGTCTTTTGGCCAAGGACCGACAGGAAGCTTGAATTTCTCCTCTTTGACATCATCGAATCCTGATTCCTCTAACCATTGTCGAAATGATGGTGCCGGGTCCATAGTTCTGCCAATCTTTTCACAGGCCAACTTGAGGTGGTCCATCATTTCTACCAAGGCGTTGTCAGGCTTGAGCGAGTCATCTTCTGAGTAAAGTGTGTTTGCTGTTTCTTGGAGCTCGATGTAACCTCCAGGCTTGAGGTTGGCGTACGCTTGTTTCAACAGGCGGGGCCAGTCTTTGATAGAGCCAGCCATGTAGCGACAGTGGATGTAATCATAAGGTTCTGGCTCCACCCAGTCTGCCTCCACGTCGTCGATGATGAATTTGACATTCGGAGGGACCCAGTCTGGTTGGATCGGGCTAAGGTCGTTTCCAACAACTGTGGAAGAAGGGTGATCGTCTCCAAATTGAATAGCCCAGATACCAGTACCTGTGCCAATATCAAGGACATTCAGGCCTTCTGGCTCAACAGGGGCAATGAACAAACGGTCGTCAATCGTGCGAGTGAAAACATGGTGAATCATATCAAGGCGATCCTGCTCCTGATCATCGTTAGGGAAACTGTATTGGCCTGCCCGGTCGCTGTGATAGCGTCTTCCGTGTTTCCACTTGTACTTGAGCACGCTACTTGCAATAGAGGTGCTCCCGGCGTCAGAGTCGGAGGTATAGGTGGAGTCTGCAGAGGATGCGACATCCTCATCCACCTGGACTTCAGGCGTGATTGGGGTTTCTGACATTGTGGTGGCTTGCGACAATAAATCTCAATAATGTTGAAGTGTTGCGATAAAGTGCGTGCCATCATATCACCAGAGCGGGGCTAGCCGAGGTGGTGGAAAAACTCTCACTCGGTTGGAGTTGTGGATTACAGGGATCACTGATGATCAATGCTGATGGATCTGCGATAACAAGGTGCAAGTCACGATAGCTAAACTGCACGTCATAAATAGTATGTTTGGGTCCGCCCGTCCAGGTTCAAGAATTTCAGCAATAACAAACGTAAAAAATGGTTCCAATGGAGAGGTTCCAACAATCTCCGTTGTCGTTTCGTTCGTTCTTGTTGACTCATGCTTTCCGTGATCTGTATATGGGAGACTATGCGCACTGATTATATCAACCAATCAAACCAGACAACGTGGCCGAGTGGTTAAGGCGATGCCCTGCTATCTCTTTGAGACATCATAGGCATTGTGTTCGCACGCGTAGGTTCGAATCCTGCCGTTGTCGATTAATTTTTACATCGTGGCTCTAATTTGAGTTTGACTGAGTGATGTGTGTTTTTACTATTGATGGCCATGAGCCCTCTTTTTAGCAACTGCCATTCACTGTCCGTGTCTACATGAACTTTCTATCTTCGTCTCTAGAACTTAAGATCGTAACATGCGAAGACAGAGGTCACTATAAAGAGACAAACCCGGAAGGACGGCTTTAACATCGGTGAGAACTTTCAGCTGAGTTTCAGTTTGGAGGAAATAACTTGTATTGTGGTCCTAGTTAAGAAGCGCTTGGCTAACAGCGGCATGAACATATTAACGAAGCGGGCATTGTGAATTGCCGAAGCGAATTAGGTAACAGAAGTATAGTTAGAGGACTTCAAGTCTTAGATGCCTGTAGATTGCGTTGACAAGTGACGTTGAATGATGTATACATATCCCTACAATGAATAAACATACGGAGTACCCTCGTGTTTAATAAACTGCTCGAACATACTACTTTAAAGCAGGTTACAAAGGAACTCTAAAAGCAAGCTAATCTAGCCAGAAGTTATGACTGGTTAGTTACTAGCAGTATATCAATTTCTACTTGCTTATCGGCAGCACTTGATTGCAATTAATAATCCGGCTCTTTGGCTGTTTCGGACCCACGTGACCCAGAACCTTGCTAGGTCAGCTCTCTCCGCCACTAAGCTAGATTGGGAAGCTCCGCGACACAGAGCACTGACTGGAAGTACGGAGTGGTCCTAACAACCAGTACTGGCCCCGAAGAACAGAGCACAACCCGTTGCGGCCTTCGAAGTACCACAGGCCCCAATTTTCTGCGGAATGGAGCCGAACTTGGCCGGTTCCAAGTATCTCCCACATACTGTACAGTCGTGGCTGGGGGAAAATGACTGTGCTCCACTGTCGAGTCGCGTCACCACACGAGCAGAACGCGAAGCGCGTAAGACGTGATGTACCTACCATCAATGACAGCCCTGAGCTTGAAAATGAGGATCTTTTCCAAGCGCAGTGTACGGAGTAGGCTGGCGAAATTGTTTCGTACAGCCTTGGCATGTGAACATGATATGCTTGTGGGAAACATGATACACGCAACCATGCATTGAACGAGAACAACTGTTTAGACAAAGGAGTTGGTGTTCATTGAACGTATTCTTCCAAGTGCGAATGGTATTAATCGGTCTGCATTCTATAGTCTCAAAGTTTGACGGTATGGCACAGGTGGTGGGGATGTTAGTGATTTGGCCGTACTATAGTGCGCTTCTCTAACAGAAGCTGCTAAGAAATTCTGGATCGGGGGGCAGTACAGGGTAATTATGTCGCGTTCTAATTTATTTTAACCTGCCACCTCATGAGCACTCAAAAACATGATGATTCATGATCCAAATGTATTAATGACACAGAGTAAAATCTAGGTGACTGCACTTTCATTTCAATGTCGTATAATGTTCTTCTAGTTATCTAAGGGCTGTAGTCCAGCTTGGCTGAAATGGACCAGAATGGAGCATCACACCACGCCAGGTGCATGTTATCACCATGTTCCACAAACCTTGAAAATAGAAACAGTAAAGAAGGCAGACAGCAGCAACACGCTGTTCTCACTATCAGCGTCCCAAAAAGCATCAGGCTTCAGTACTAAATACAGCAAAAAAATAATTGACCGGCGTATCGCAGGTGGCTGGATCTCTCCCGCCGGGAATTGAACCCGGGTCTCAAGCGTGACAAGCTTGCATACTGACCACTATACTACGGAAGACGAAACAGGTTTTAAACCTGCTGTAGTGGGGGGTTGCGTTTGGGTGTCGCAGCACGCAACATAATGACAGTCAATCCTACAGAGCGAAGAAAATTGCAGTCGAACAGGGCAGATAACGGACAAGGGTTTTGTGGTCAACACGGACTTGATAATCCCAGCGAGAGGACCGTGCCAAAAAAGGGCTGGGGTAGCGGATGTCTGGAAGGGTAGGAGCTAGGACAAAAAGAGACATGGTGGCTTGACTATGGGAGAGCGCACGAGATTCTATATATTCTACTACCTTGAGTTATATATTATGCTGGACGACTCGAGCTTTGTAATATATAAAGATGAAATGACTGGAGTGGACTAGTATAACTCTCTTGTTTTAGGTCGACGTGATGATATATAATATTACAGCTCTATAGGATCCTTCTACCATCAGTGGACAGAGTGGGCTTAACATTGCCAGCCTGTTCTAATGTTCTTTTTGCTCACGATGCTTCAATGGCAAGCCCGTCGTGTTATTTGGCATAGACAGCTCAGTTGGACCAGTGCCTGGGTGGGGGAAGTTCGGTAACAAGATCAAATATGCTAAGATGACGATGGTGATGAGAGATAACTGTAATTACAATTGCAAGTGATTTGTCGTTGGCCCCAGATATGCCTCATGTTTGCCTGTTTGGTTGGCGGCCTTTACGATTAACCGGGTCCGTCAACCTTGTTGGGACAATATGAACTCAGCGGTGCAGGCTGTGGCTAGCTGATGTCCTACCTAGAACGTAGTGAGAGTAGGTTCTTATGATAATCGATAGATATGAAAGTGGCAAACGATGGCACGCAAAGGATTTGTTAACTTCAAGCCCCGCTGTTGCAATCGGGATAATATGTAGACGATCTAATGTCCCCTGAACTCTCTGTATGAAGACGTGTAGTTGGCTTGTTGTGCAGGTTTAAAGTTCGTGGTGGTGTAAGCATATTCAGAACATGCTCTGCGTCTCACCACTGAAATTATAGTGATCGCCATCGACTGAGGTGTGTACTTCGAGTCATTCTCTTGCTTAGAAAATGTGATATTTGTAGACCATGCCTTCATGGCATGGACAAGTGTGACGCAGTGACCCTTTCTTGCTCAGTCCGTTACATGTTTACCGCTACCTTGTTGTCCAAGCTTAGCCTGACGTATCGTCTCATTTGGTCCCTCCACCCGGTATGAATAGAGCCTCAGAGTCCTGATGGATATTGATCCAACAGACGTCACCACAGTGTGTGTGTAAGAGTTCCGATAGTTTCCTCTACTCTAGATTTTATATAAAGTTAAATAAAAATTATAATAAACTCTTTATTTTTGTAAATAATGTTACATAATCTTTTCTTAGGATTACGTATGAAGTCTTCAAACTATAGTCTAGTTATTTATTTATATATTCTATTACATATCTCTAGTTGGCTCGTTGTCGAAACTTTAACACGGAACTGTACCTAAAAGTCAGTTGAGGAACGTCACGGACATCATGAATCCCAATCAATCTATCCTCTCTGATCCAAAGTTAACAGTTTAAACAACTAGATGCGAGAGTTAATTCAAATTGAAGTTATTAGTCTTGGAGTTTTAGTGCCATCCTGGAGTATTATCAGTCTTAATTACAACAACACATTTACGCCACTTCTATTAAGTTTGGCAACGAAGGTGTTTCATTAGCTTCCAGTAGATGCTGAGAATCTTGCCCATCTTTCTTAAGAATTTCCAATCCCTGGCGTCATGTTTGACTCGGCTTGAATACAGTTCGGCATGATCTCAAGCATGAGAAAGACAATACTCAAAATAAAATTCATGACAGGTTTAGGAAAGCTGGTAAGAACCTATACTGCCATCCACTTCTTGAAATTAAGGCCGATTTGATTGATTAGGAAATGATCGTTGAAACACGTTGTTCTCGTAGCCTTCACTCCTTCTTCAGAACTTCCTTTACATCTGGCCTGATTCCAACACCCAATTCCCAAAGTCTGTAGCGTCCTCTCATGACATGCATCTGGATGTATCCAGCTGCGTGAAGCCGCCATGCTCTCTCATACTCGCCCTTCCCTGCGAGAACGCTTTCAATCCGACGGGCACAGCTAATAGCGTCATGTGCAGTCTGTTGGAGCGCAGTAATCGAATCGGTCCCTTCATATGCAGCCGTGGTGTTGATATAGTTGCTTGTCTCACCTCCTAGTGTCTCTTTGTAAAAGCTGAAGGATGTTAGATGAAAAGCTTTCGAGGTAGGTTCGGCCAACTTACGATAAAACATCATTGGCAAAGGCAATGAATCGTGTCATATCTTCAATAGCCTCGATGGGGATGTCCAGGTTGGGGAATTGCCTCTTGGAGAAGGTAAACCACGCATAGGCTTCACCAACCCCATCACGTTCCCGGATGTACCAGGGAAAGTAGTTACCGCCCTTCGAAGGGTAGAACCTCTTTTCTTTAATACCCTCGCGAGCCACAAGGGCTGTGGAGGTAAGCAGGTTAAAAGAGGAGTTAACTATGAGATTGGCGACAAGTGGTTGATACAGCTTGTAAGCCAATCGGAGTTGGCGGGCAAAAGCTCTCAAGAGAGTCTAAAGAGGCAGAAAAAGAAACCTTGGTCAGCGTTCCATTAACAGTATAGGGATATATGTTTGTGAAGGACGGGTGAGCAGCATTGTAAGCAATTGGGAATGCAAGCAATGCACGCATCGTAAGTTTGCCTGCAATACGTTCACAAAGGCAAAAAACGCATGAGAGAAAGCCCAAGATCGACGTACCGTGGGTTGCTCTTCTCCGCTAAGATAGCGTTGCTGGAACATCTCGACCTCGGGAACCATGTTCAGTTGCTCCGCATTATCACATAGCGTTGCCAACCAGGTATAGACGGCAACAAAAACTTTGACTTCCAAGTCATGATGGGGGAGGCAAGCCTGCGACTGATGTAAGCATCTGTGGGAATATCGCAGAAATCGAGGAGCATACATCGGCATATGTATATCCAACCATGAGACTTTGATAGGAATAGGAATTAGTGTCGTGAGGAACTCCAGTCTCTTTGGCATGCTCCAGCACCGCGTCCATAAGCTTTTCACTTTCGAAACGCTCGAACGCTGGCTTTAGATCAAGGTCCTTGAAGAACTTGGTGTACAGCGGTCGCAAGCGAGCTGCCAGGGCGATTGGGTCAACTCCATTTGACAATGGAGGATTATGGGGCTGAACAACTCCGTTTGCCAACTTGTGTGGCATGGGGCTTGATGTGACAAGCATGGCGCTGAAGGTTTTAAGACTTGCTATGTAGACCTTGGTAAGAATGATTTAGCTGCCACACGAACGGTCGCGGGGTAGGCAGGTCTTGACGGCTTCAGAAAGCAACAGCGTTAGTACCGTGGCCGTATGCTTTAAGCAACTCACCAGAAGGGAATGTTCGGGACGAGGAACAGTCCAAAGAAAACAACTAATCAACTTACTATTGCTGTTCACTATTGATGGCACGGCTGATAGATGATCAAATGATGTGTGACAGAAAGATATCATGAAATCCTGAAGGATTTGCGCGTATTAATACAACACCATGTGAATATGGAGTAGATAAGGCCCAGATCCCGTACCTACGATGGCGTGTTCAACGGGACCCGGCCTTACTACCTTACTACACCTGAATCCCTGTTATTTTCGCAGTGGAATTCTGTTCCCTGTCTTCCCCGTTTTGACCAATATCGTGATCCGTCACTGGCTGTTTCGCACATGCAGGGAGCGAGAAGCCTACTAAAGCCATGCCTGCGTTGCTCAAAACGCCATTCAGAATAGCCAAAGCAGGGTCCTTAGTCCGGGTCTAGTGTGTAGCGTCATTTCCTAGTCTTGCAACCAACACTCAGTTACACTCGGTTTCTGTCCCTCTAGACGAGGGACAAGGTTCGTGAACCATGTTATCAAGTCGGAAGCGCTAGACTAGTGCATCCGCGTTAGAATTCATGACTTCAAGCCGGGCGGCTCGCATCACTTCGCGGCCGCAAGTCATATCATGGTGGATCAAAATCGTCTGGTTGTCCTTCTACCGTTACAAGATTGTCTAAAATCACTCTTAGATGGGTTAGACACATTCTTTCATCCATATGTTGGCGCTAGCAACATCTGTTGGTTGTAAGTGTCCATGGTATCCCATCCATGGTGCAACACGCCAGCGTCCTAAAGTTTTTAATCCCTGAGTACGTTACAGTGAAGGGCAGGCCCACCGCCAAGACGACAAGAGCCGGAATTAACACTGCCATCTGCAGGGACACTTCTACTCCGCAGTGTCAACAGTTCATGTACTGAGCAGCGTCGTGTTTAGTCTATTTTGAGGCAATAAGATCAGAATAGGCAGTAGTAAACTACTGACGGGAGACCCGCTCCGGTAGTGGCCGTTGAGACTGCGGACGGACGCAGGTGAGCGAACAGGGGGCGAATTGTTTCTGGGGTCCCTGGTCCAGTAAGCGTTCCTGGGGGCACTGACCCCTGAGCGTGGAGATGTGAGAAAAAGCAACCATGGAACCGCGAAATTGGTCGACACGGCTCGCTTGAACGGCTGAGGAATTCAATACCACGTGCTCGGTTGTCGTCACGAGCAGCAACGGAGGAGGGGGACTCACCGCCACTTCTCGCCAATTTTACCTCTTTCATTTTGACACACGCAAGCAACCCTGGAAAGGATTGGGGAAGAAACTCTCATTTTCAGCTATTAATTCCATCTTGATTGGCTTCCAAACTTCAATTATTACGGAGTATTCTTTCTTTTTATAGCCTGATTGAGTTCTTACCCTATTTTCCCCCCAAATTCCAAGCACGCCGCAACCATGGGGACAGTATCACAGCTCGGACAATCGTTGGCTACTCTCAAACTCCAGCTAGCTGTCGAGGATTTCCAGAATTTAGGCGTGACCCCATGGTTTAGCTACACTGTCACTCTACCTGAGCGCCCGATTCCTTCCCTCTCCGACCGACCGCATATCAAGACACCACGCCTTATTGTCCGACCGATAATATCCGACGACCTAGAAGGGTTTTTCCAGTTGCGCAGTGTGGCCGAAGTGCAGCGACATTCAAAAATTCGGGGTCGGCCAGATAAGAGCAAGGACGAAACGAGCCAACACATTACCGCATTCGAACAAGATGACCAGGGCCACTGGTACTTCGGCGCGTTTCTCCAATCCACAGGCGAGTTGATAGGAGAGGGTGGCCTGCCGGATTGCCAGCATATGTTTACATCTGCCTCTGGATGGCCAGAAGCCGAATTTTTTATCAAACCCGAATATTGGCGACAAGGTTACGGTACAGAGTTTTTCAACGCCGTGATGGATTCTTGGTGGGATCTACCGCGCGAAAAAAGAAGACATCAACTTATTCCCGCCGTTGCACCTACATTGGAGCCAGGCGACCCAGTCCCAGAGGGCGCTGTCTTCCAATGGGAGGATGGCAATGATGCAGCGCGCTCCTTTTTCGCCAAGGTTCTTGCGCAAGCCCCAGTCGGCGCCGAGGGTGGCTTCGAGAGCATCGACACACGGGAAGGCCGAGAAGGGAATCTTGTGCGTTGGACTGGCACGTTAGTGACTAACCCAAGGCCCGTGAACCTTGAGGAAGAGTGAGGTTTTGTTCCGTGGCGTCGCCGTGTGAAGTAGTCGTCTTGGTTATATGTCTCTCGAGGGATGGGGATGGAAGCAGTTCTAAAAGTGATTTGATATCATAGACCGCCTAATTAATCTAGAACAGTCTGAGAAGCTTGACATAGCCTTGTACTAGTAATAAAGCTATAAAATCTACTGATAGGGTTCTTTTTTGTCAAAAAAACAATCGTGGAGTTTATCGTAATGTATGCCTAAGTTATTTTTTAGAGAAAATGCACTTGTGTTGATGGATTTACAGACAAAGCTCGGAGTTTCATTTTTTGCAATAACAAGCCATAGCATTTTTTGCAACTCAGTGGTTTCTCACACAACTGGTTTATTCAGAGCCTTCTCTCTAATATGCTAATGCTTACTACAATAGTGGTCAGGTTACTCGTTACACGTTAACCCAGCTGAGACCCGATTGCACAAAGAAAATGCCACCTTTAGGTTAGCCGAACCAACTAGACGACATTTGATTCCCAACCAGCGACCAAATAGCGAGTTTCACGACAGAATCTGGCATTCGGTTTACTATTTAGGACTACTCGATTGCTCGTATTGGAGCCAGTACATCCTCCCAACTTAACACCGCTGTTCAAACCAAAACTTCTTTGATAAGCAGCATGCTTCAACAGATATCTGAGACAGGAACTCTTAATCCCGAGGAGACCAGTAGGATATCCCCTTAACGCCCGGGGACCTGGTATTTCAACTGGATGACGTTGATCCAACGATATCTCTTGATACCAGCTAGTTAGAGTTGAAATCTAGAAAAGTAGTTCCTCGTGAACCTCGGGCTGAAACGATTCCCCTTGGGTGGTAACTGCACCTTGCAAATTCCGGTAGTCTCAAGGGAGAACAAATCATCGTTATTCTTCTATCATCTATATCATTTGTAAGAATTTCAATGTTGATGGAGAGATCCATTAGCTTCCATCGGATATGCAAAGGAATTAAAATAAGGTGTGTTTTATTTCTTCTGTCTTGATTGGTCGGTCTACTACCAAAATTGGTCAAAAAGTGCAAAAACATACAACAGCGGGGATTCGCTGGTCGTCACCGACCCAACTACTAATCCGCCGGTTAGTGGCTTGACTATGGGAGAGCGGACGGGATCCCGTATTTTCCACTACCTTTGGTCGTATGTACCTATTGTGCCGAAAAGATGGTTTATATAGCACGCTTGGGCTCTGATTCGGCGAGCCTTCACACCAGAAGCCCCATTGGAAACTGGTTCAGCCAACAGGAGTCCATGTTTCGCAAGCAGTGATTCTTAGACCGGCATCACCAAGCAACCCAGCACCACAGTAAGAAATGATAATTCTGTTATGTAATGATTTATGAATACTTTTTATTTATTGCATTTATCTGGTGAGCTTCGCGTGACGGTTAACGTCCTTGTAAAGCAGGTATCGGAATTTCCCAGGTCCACCAGCGTAGCAAGCTTGAGGACAGAAAGCACGCAACCACATAAAATCTCCCGCTTCCACCTCGACCCAATCCTGGTTCAGACGGTACACAGCCTTGCCCTCGAGGACATAGAGACCGTGCTCCATAACATGAGTCTCAGCAAATGGGATGACACCGCCCGGCTGGAAAGTAACAATGTTGACATGCATATCGTGTCGCACATCGCTGGGATCGACGAAGCGTGTGGTGGCCCAGGCGCCGTTGGTATCGGGCATTTGTCTTGGCTCGACATCCTTCTCATTGTGGAAGAATGCCTCGGGAGCATCAAGGCCAGGGACATATTCGTAGGCTTTGCGGACCCAGTGGAAACGGGCAGCTTCGGCAGAGTTGTTGCGTAGAGTCCAGCCGCTCTTGGGAGGCAAGAAAGCGTAGCCACCTTCGGTGAGAGTATGTGCCTCGCCGGCCAATGTGACGGTTATCTCTCCCTCGACAACAAACAAGACACCCTCGGCACCGTCGTCCATCTCAGCACGGTCGCTACCTCCACCAGGTTGAACCTCCATGATGTACTGAGAAAATGTCTCAGCAAAGCCCGACAGCGGGCGGGCAATAACCCATAGTCTTGTCTGCTCCCAGAAGGGGAGGAAGCTGGTGACGATGTCGCTGAAACAGCCCTTGGGGATGACGGCGTATGATTCGGTGAACATGGCGCGGTCCGTGAGGACCTGAGTTTGAGGGGGCAAGCCACCCTTCGGTGCGTAGTAAGCACCCATGGTTTTATTGTTACTCATGGGGGCCGTAGTGACTGAGTGTGTCTGATGTTTGGTGATATTGGGAGTTATAAATTGACCATTTCTGGACACCAGAAACAGCTCAACACCATTAAATACCCCGCATAGCGCTTCGGAGGGAAAGCCCCTCGCCGTCTTCATGTTCTATGTAACCAATCGGAGCTTGGGATAATCATGCACATTCCACTATGCTACCCCAGATGTGGTTAGAAGAATGCCCGCCACTCCGATATCGTGGGTTGTACAGTCTCGTGCAAAAATACCGATAACAACCCAACTAGGACCGTATAGTCACAAAAGTAAATGATAACTAGAAGACTCTATAAATAGTCTTAGGGTAAGATTATCTAATTTTATATAAAATAAGAGAGATTATTATAATTTGTATCATCTTAGATAAAGTATAGAATAAGGAAGTTATCAGAATTTTTACCCACCTACAGTATGACGGGATCAAGTGGTTCTTTGAATTCCATATCGTCAATCAAACTGAATTATGTAACGGTATCTGTTTACACTAGAGTATGTTCATGGAAGAATAATGTAAGAATTTCAATAGGCATCCTGTTTGTGTCTACACGAGGCTTTATTTAGCTACCAGAGAACTTCAGAAAGATTGAAAACGCATCTCAAAACGAACCAGTTTGACAGTGAATACACCATACGCTGCAATTTTGAGACTTGACATATCCCGCCGAGTTTGGTACTACTATAAATATCGGGCTTCACAAGCTTATCACAAATCTGCATAGATCCTCTGTCGAATCTGCGGGTGTGTTCTATAAAAACACAATATTGCTTCGTACACTCGCAAGTGTGTAGTTCTGGACTCATATATTCAACAAACGTGCAGAAAAGATCGACTGCTAGTAGGTAGTACGGTGGTAGAATTCGACGAAGTAACACGCGCATAAGTAATTATTGACTTCGAATAACAGGTCCAAGCAAGCAATAAGTTATATTACCAATATCTTATAGTACGTTTCAAATGAAGGACATAACAAGTATCGCCGAACCCTTTCCCTAAATTCCCTCTATTGACTGCTGCAACCTAGCATACTTTGAGGATGCATTATTTATGCCAGAATATGAGTCAAGCGGGGCTGTGTACGCCACAGCCTCGTTGGGCATCTACAGCTGAAAGACCAGGCTGACTTGCTGACGGCAACATCTTCTTACTGTGACATATTCTGACCCATCGAACACTCCCTATAACATCAAAAAATCATCTCTCGTCATGGCCGAGATAGTAGGGCTAACCGCAAGCATCATCGCCATTGTGGAACTATCAGCCAAACTTGCGACATACTCCAATGAAGTGGGAAGTGCCAGAGGTGATATCAGCCGCCTCCAGAGCCAGCTGGGGAGCCTGGATATTAGCCTGAAAGCTGCTCAGCGCCTCATCAATGAACCAAAGAATCACGCTCTTGCGACATCGAGATCGCTTATTGACTCTCTTAACAAGTGCCAAGCAGAATTGGCACGAGTTCAGGATAAGCTAGACCCTAGCAGTGCTCGAAAGGCTATACGTCGATTTGGATTCCGAGCCCTCAAATGGCCATTTGACAGCAAGGAAGTGAGTGAGCTCATCAACAGCCTTGAGCAATACAAGCAGACCATCACACTATGTTTGCAAGTCGACCAAACGCATGTCAAGATCTCAAGGAAGAGCTGATAACAGTTGCTGACTCTATGTACTATAGTACAATCTTGCTTAACATGTCGCAGAAAGTCGAAGGCATGTCGCTCAACCACAGCGATCAGCGATCCACTAGTCGGACACCATGTTTCAACGTGCCATTTGATCGAGACACTGATTTTGTCCACCGGCCCAATATCACTGACTGGCTCGATGAAAAATACAATGGCCCCTCAAACCGTATGGCGCTTGTGGGCTTGGGCGGGCTTGGGTAAGCACTTTGTATGGTTCGAATTCAAGAGCACTCAGCTGATGGAATGTAGCAAATCACAGGTTGCCATACATTTTGCGCATCAGATCCAAGAGCAGACACCAGAGAGTAGCGTTTACTGGGTGCATGCAAGTTCGAACCCGAGGTTTGAAGAAGGCTATCGCTATATTGCTGAAAGAAATGAGTTACCGAGGCGAAATGATCCTCAAGTTGACGTACTTGCACTAGTCCGTGACTGGCTGCAGACAGAGGAAGCCGGTTCATGGCTGATGATACTGGACAACGCTGATGACATTAACCTCTTTTATCTAAACGAGGATAATGGGAAATCCGCAGCCGCCAGTGTGGTGGGTGGAATTACCACTGCAACAACAGACCAGCGACTATTGGCTGCATACCTACCAAAACACCGAAACGGCAGCATTCTTGTCACATCCCGAAGCCTGGATGTTGCTGAGAAGCTGACAGGGAGTCATAAAAATATCTTCCAGGTCTCTGTCATGGATGACGACCAGGGTCTTCAACTTCTTTACAGCAAGCTCATAGGGGAATGCGATGGGAGCATTGCTATTGAACTTCTTCGGAACCTGGACTTTATACCATTGGCAATCACACAAGCCGCAGCGTATATCAACCGACGTTCTCCCCGAGAGTCGGTAAAGACATATTTGACTACTTTCCGGGAGAGTGATCAAAATAAGAGGAACCTTTTGAATAGAGACGCAGGGGATCTTCGGCGCGACGAAACCGTTTCCAATTCTGTCATCACAACATGGCAAGTTACCTTCGAACACATTCGTCGGGAGAAGCCATCCGCAGCAAAGCTCCTCTCATTCATGAGCTTTTTCAATCCTCATGGTATCCCGATATTCGTGCTCCGTGACTACAGCACAACATCAGGACCAGAAGCCAACGTCGAAACTGCCAGCTTTGAGGATGATCTCGACGTGCTTCGTGGCTACTCTCTCGTCACGGTGATAGCATCTACGGACTTGTGCGAAATGCACGCCATGGTACAGGCTTGTACCAGAATCTGGGTCTCGGCGTCGGATGGCGTCGAATACTGGAAGCGGTTGTTTCTGCAATCAATGTGCAACAATTTTCCGAACGGAGATCTTGAGACTTGGCCCAATTGCCAGCTGCTATTACCACATATTGAGGTAGTGACTGAAGTCGAGCCACCACAGGAAGATTTACAGGATTGGGCCTTTCTACTGACAAAATGCGGATATTTTATGAGGGAAACAAGTAGTTTCAGAGAAGCAGTGAGGTTTTATAAACGCTCGGTGGCCGTGTACAGCACAACTCTTGGTGAGGAACACAAATGCACGCTTGCGTCGAGACATAATTTGGCAGTAACGTATTACATCCAGGGCCAATATAAAAAGGCAGAGGGGATCCTCGAAACGTTATTAGATAAGGGGATGATATTGCAAGAGGGAGATTGGTTACTTTGGCCAAGTATGCATTGTTTAGCATTGGTATATGGGGCCCAAAGTCGAATGGAGGAAGCTGAAGCAATCTATACACGACTGCTTGAAAAACTGACTAGGGTGTTGGGTAAGGAACATCGTGATACACTGCGGTGTCTGGCTGGCATAGCATCAACATTGATAGGGCAGGGCCGAGCAAATGACGCAGAAGGAATCCTGGTAACAGTGCTGGCAACGCAGAAGAAGTTGTTGGGCGAGGAGGATCTCGATACCTTGACAAGCATGGCACAACTTGCAGCGTCATACGAGAAACAAGGTCGGTATGGCGAGGCAGAAGATATCGGTGTTCGAGTGCTGGAAGCGTACACGCGAATTTATGGCAAAGAGCATTATGCGACCTTACTATTAACGATGGACCTCGCAAAGGTGTATGAGCGCCAGGGCCGTTTGAGCGTGGCAGAGTATATACTAGCACCATCAGTGGTATTGCAGAAGAAGGTATTGGGCAAGGGGCACCCTGTCACCCGGAGCAGCATGAAATTGCTGGAGAAGATTTCGACACGCCAAGGCCGGCTCGAAGAGGCTTCAGCCCTGTTCCAATAAGTTGAATTCCTGCAATGACGAGTACTTTTCAGATAGCACTCGGATTAGTTATCACACAGACCAATTCTCAGGCAGGATATCGGGCGGACGAGATATCTAACGCAGCAGCGAGTGATTACATTAGAAGATTGAATGAACAAATGGACAAGCTTAATCACGTAATTCAACGAGTTATCAAACAAAAGATGCTTGAAATTCCAGCAGATTGACAGCTATGACATTTGAATATGATGGTAAAGTTTTCATGCTGGTCCAGTGTCAGAAGCATTTGGCCGAGCCACAGAATATGCCATGGACGAAATTTCGACGAGGTCGATATCTGGGTCAAATTTACTTCTTCGGCCTTTTGTGATGGCATAGGAATACAATGTCAGTTCTGTGGAAAGACGGCATTTTTCGAATTTGCAGCTCGAGATCAATTAAAAGTTGCGGGATCTTTGGTATACAATCGCTGCCATCTCGCTATGGCCACTGATGCCTACGTGTTGCTCTAAAATACGTGTCCCTTGCACTTTGGTCAGGGCACTTTATATTATCACACTGCGTAGTTGCTTTATAGCTTTCGGTGTTTCACAGCTGGCAAGCAAAATCCAGGCTGACCCCCTTCTTGGTTTGTGGTTGGTTGGAATAAAGGCATACCAGTAACAAGTTTAAAAGCTACTACCTAAAAACAAACAAAAAGATGCTGGTGATATTAGCTCCATAGTAAAGATACAGGGTATCCGTGTTCCACAAACGCCATGCTTACACAAACGAGCTACTCCCTCAGGGCTGCGACGCGCCACGTTCGTCTCCCATCATACTTTCAAGCATCTCCAACCTGGTTTGCCAGCCAGGTTCCATGAACCGAGACATTAAATTCAACCGTTTTGCTGCAGTATCAGCGCCTTCCTTCTCTTTCGCCACCGCTACCCTCTCCTCATTGAGCTGCTTGAGTCGCTTAAAAACAACGTTCAGCTCTCGCTCAACCTTGGCAAGACCACTCGCACTCCTGTCAAGCTGATCTTTGACAATGGTCCGTACTTCATCGTGCTCGACGATTGATTTCTTGCGCTTGTCAATGAATGCACGAAACTCGCCATCACCGGGGTGTTTCTTGGAAAGATCTTCCAGATCTTGCAACATCTTTTTCTCAGAGGACGTTTCTGTGTCAACGTCCTTCAGGGCGTCTGTAGCCGAGGCCTTGTTTTGCGCGAGTTCGTCCCTCCTGAGTTGGAGAGTGCGTTGAATGCTCGTGAGAGCACGAATTTCTGCATCAATGGCATATAAAAGCTCTTCGAACCGCTCGATTGTTGGTGATAGAATGATGGTGGCGATCTTTAAGCTTTCTTTGAACTCGTCTCCAGAAGGCTATCATGAAGTCAGTAGGGAATAACGGCAACGACGGCTGGTGGGCTTGCTTACCAGCATTGATCTCCAATCCAACGTGGCACCTGCTAAGGGACGTGGTGCACCCAGATCACTGGTTTTCTGCCTCTTCGCTGGAGGGTTCATTCCATTTGTATGACTTCCCGTCATCAGATTGCGGGACTGGTTGTTCTGACTGGGGGCTGTCTGTGATGAGGTCGCAACAGTGGGCACAACGCGTGCCCGGGAAGTAGACACATTGGTGGCAGTTATGGCCGTGGTTGTAGTAGGTTGAGGTAAGGGTGGGTTGGGGGTCCTCGGAGAAACTTGTGTTGGAGATTCCGCTGGCCTCTTGCGTGACTGCCCAGTCTCGCTCAAACGTACGGAACTTTGAGGGGTATCGTAGATCCGTCGAACGGGTGGCTGGATATTACGCCGAGGGCGGGAAATGGTGGGCGTCGATGAGGAGCTACTAGGATTGATCTCAGGTTGGCTGTTAGATCTAGTAATTGTCAATGCAGGATCTGATATCGGTTGGGCAATGTTGCTCGGGCCCCGATCAGAGTGGCTTGGACTGGCTGCGGATTGGCTATTGGATCTGACGAGAGATGGAGCAGTGGCTGCCTTTGGCTGGGCGGTGCTATTCGGTGCTATGTTAGAGCTCGTAGAACTTGTTCGGCTGATAGAGTTGCTCGGGGCAACCCCGGCGCTCATAGTATTGGTCTGATTGATGACATTGCTTGTGGTTGAATCAGAGGCGCTTGGTCCGATGGTAGGTTGGGTACCAGACTTGGCGATGGTCGGAGTAGCAATAGGTTTGATCGTTGGACTAGGCTGAACAATGCTGTTTGAAGCTGGTTTCGTGTTCGCAACACGGGTCTCGTTGGCGACCTGGGTAGGGCCAAGAACGCCACCCCATTTTGGTGAGGGTTGAGCAGAGAGATTTGGTGTTGTGCTAAGGATAGATCTAGCTGGGCTGCTAGGTCTGACAATGGGTGCGGGCGTAGTTGGTACAGGCTGGGCAGTAGTGCTTGGGGTAAGGTTACGGCTGGCAAAGTTTGTCTTTGGTGGCCCGTTAGGCCTAGTCAGAGACGATGGATCATTGGGACTGGGTTGAACTGCGCTGTTTGGCGCTGTGTTGGGGCTGGAGGGCCTAGTCCGAGGTGTTTCGCCACGCCCAGTGAGTAATGCTGGAGATTTTGTAGAAGCTTCTACAGCATTGGTAGAGGTTGGTTGGGACCCAGCACGGTCATTGTTCACTTGACTGCTGGGTCTGATGGCTGATGCCACAGTGCTTTGCGACGGCTCAACCGGTGTTTTAGGGCTGGCTGGGCTGGTGCCGGGCCGTCTGTCGAGTCTGCCGACAGGCACGGAAATGACACCACGAGGTTTAACTGAGCTTTGTGGAGACGGCGCAGCAGGACTGTCAGGCGTTGCGGTAGAGCCGACAGAATTGTTTCGAGGGATGCCGATAGTCTCACGATCAGTTCTCGAAGAGATGGCAGCGGCCTTTGGCGGTAGGGGACTGAGGTTGCCCAAACTTGAGGAGGCACTCTTAGAACTGGCTTGGGTAGCACCATGCGATTTACCGAGGACAACATTGCGATTTGGTCTGGGGTGAAGAGCCGTGTTTGAAGCCGCGTTAGAGCCGGAACTGCTGGGCTTCGCGAACGTTGCGGTGGTATATGGCTCACGTATAGCAGGTCTTGGTGTAGCGTTGACGTTGTTGGAACTAACTCTGGAGTGACCCACGGACTTGGAGAGAGATGCTGTTGTATGTGGTGCGACTTCCACGATGTCATCATCATCATCTGAGCTTATCTCGTGAGTCTCCCTGCCTTTGCTTGGCGTGTTGTGCTCCTCTGCACCCTGCTCGCTCTCTTCCTCGGTCAAGTCATCATCCTCATCGTATTCGCCTCCATCAACTTCGATTCCTTTTGCAACGATCTCGAGTTCTTCCTCAGTCTCATTGGCATCATCCTCATCGTCTTCGTCATCATCAATAAGGTCGCTTTTGACGAGATTGCCAGTTGATGGTCGCGGTCGTTTGGTATCTACTCCTTTGCTGTCTCTGAGCCAGTCCCGCACCTTGGCGATGTCGGACCGAAGAAGTCGCTGATGGTCAGCGCGTATATGCTTGGCAGTCAGCGCCTTCAATCTCTGCCGCACATCATCAAGCTGGACATTTTTCGCAGCGATAGTGAGCTGAATCAAAACCGAGAGTTCGGTCGTCAGTTGAACACTCCAAGAGTCTGGTCCAAAACCTCTTGCGAAGTCAGCCGGCCATAAGCCGCAGTCTTTGTAAATGCGCTGTGCCGCTCGTTGGGCACGCTCAGTCGGGTAGTCTATCGGTGACGGGGCAGGCACCTTGCCGCTTCTCTGGGCGGGTGATTTATGAGGCATGAGTAATTGATGAGTAAGGAGACTATTCGAGCATCTGATTTTGAGAGCACTAGGCCCTGGATAAAGCTTGGTTGTGGTGAAGACGTTTGATGCGCTGTACTAGGGGTCATGTGTTTGATTGGTAAATAGTGAAAATCTATGGCACGTGTTTTCGCGCCGTACGTCACGGTGAGCTGAGGCGAGTCGGAAAAATGAAAACCAGCTCCGCCGCCACATACTGGCCTGGAATGTCGCCCTCGATTTCATCAGGAAGGGATTGATGATTAAATAGGATAAATATGGATGTATGAGATAATGTAAATGTAGAAACTGTCTATCTAATCGATGATCAAAGTTTTTTTGCCTCCTCCACTTTGACAACCATTCTGCCAGAACCATTGTACCTGGAGCATGACCAACCTCAACACCTGCGCTTGCTTGTTTGAAGAGGACAGAAAATAAACCAATCGCAATCCTTCCAAACGCAAGTCTATTGGTATTCAAAGCTCTCAAATAATCGCTCATATGGACTGAGTGATGTACACTAGGACAGAAACTGCAAAACCACTTCGCACTATGGCTAGTCATGGCCATCTAGTCAACGGTTTTCATCAATCGTTTCACATTCTGGTATTTCATACAATACAGTGCTATCGCCAGTCTGGTGCATTCTAAGCACTCATAGGACCTGTTTACCAAGGTAAGCACTACGACCCCGCAGGCTGGTGTGACCTCCTCCATGTTACACAAATGAAAAGGCGGAACAACAATGCGCAACTCATAGGGGCAAAATGAAACCCTTTCGTTTCTAATCTCACTAATGGTGCTTCGGCTTTCGAGTTTTGATCACGTTGTTATTTTATACGCTAACCGACCACAAACATGAACGGTGTTTTCTACCGAATTACCACTGATACGGACGTCCCAGAGTTGGGTCAAGACCACGGAGTACCTGCAGACCGGCCACAGTATTTGAATTAAAGAGTATGGTAATATATGAGAGAATTTTTGAAAGCGTGCTGATATTTGTAGGTCATCCATCCATTTGTTCTCCTTCGAAATGTCAAAGGTAACTAACTAAGGCTTGCCTTAGCTAGGTAATTAGTGGTATCCATAGAAAGGCGATTAGGTAATTACCCAGAGAATGAAAAGAAAGCAAGCGCCGAGAAGTCATATCGTAGGTAAAAAGAGTGTTGAGTAAGTCATGCGTCCAAGGAGCTTTCTAAACTCGGAAAGATGACAAATCGCGCATTTCACGAAACGGATGTCTTACCTCTAGAACTCGGCAACCGGATGAGATTTAGTTAGCTATGGGTTAATGAAGCTATTGTTTCTCACCTACAGTGATCCTGGCATATGGCCCAATTTTACCAAACTAGAAAATGCATGCGGCATTACTGTCGACTAGAAGCGATAACTTATGTTAGTAGATCATCTTAAAAGTACAAGCTGAAACACAGTAGCCAAAGATCTGCTACTATTTAAACTACCTGAATTTCTTTAGCAATATATTCCATCTTAGAAAACACCACTTTGCTAAAGCCAAGTGAACATGGAGTATTATACCAGTCCAATACTATAAGACCTGGATACATGTAAGCTACATTGGATCTAAACCTCTGCTGGTAGCCATGTGGTAATAAACTGTAGGTTATCTTTATCGATTCTCCCTATTACTTAAGACTAGTTCCTAATGAATCTCAGCCATTACACTACCCAGACGCCTACAACCTCCAATTGAAAGCCGCCACCACAACAATTAAGAGCCACGCCCGGTTAGCTCAATCGGTAGAGCGTGAGACTCTTACGAGTACGCGATCTCAAGGTTGCGGGTTTGACCCCCGCATCGGGCTGTTCCTATAAATTCGATTGCGAGCGTTTGCGAGGCTTTCTTTTTGTCGTTTCTCATACCAAGTCAATCATTAATTACCTACGTAGCGTCTGAGCTTACAGTGAAAACAACATCGTACACGCGTACTGGAAGGATCAATTATCGTTAGACAAATATAGAAACCTTGTGCTTTTCAGTAAATCTACTTGAGGAGAGAACTGTACATGCCTGCCTTCCATCTCGTGATTAAATATCCACCAAAGGCCAATATCAAGATGGCTGATGTCTAAGAATCATAGAATAGTGAGGTATCCCCAGAATCGACACAGTACGAAGAGGTTCAAATCCCGCATCTTCGTACAATGGCCGTCCTGCCTGGGTGGCAACCAAGTAGCAATCCTTGTCCTCTTTCGCAGCACGTTCGAGACCCCATTCTAGCAGCATCTTGCCTATGCCCCGTCTCTGGTTGCCGGGACTGACTCCAATGTAATCAAGATCTATCCGAGTCAGCATATATGGCATGGGAGAGCAGTGGGAGTCGCACGCCAGACACCAGCAATTCCCTTTTCCCCGAAAGTGTCGATCGCATCCTGATTCACAACCTTCTTCATCTCATTGAATGCTTCCTTATCGAGAGCTGCGCATTTTATCTCCTGGCTAGGGCTAGGCTCACCCTCTGTAGCGGGCGGTGCATCCCAGAGTGAGAATCCGACAATTCGCTCATCGCCCTCTTTCTCGTCGTCTACTGCGACAACAAGATGTGACTCTGACGATGCAAGACTGGAGGATTTGCGCGCGGAGCGCCAGTCGTAAGCTGCCTCACCGTCGGGTAGGTCCCTCGGCTGTAGATGAGGGGGAAACAGTCGTCGCGACAAGGCGTCGGTGTTTGGGTGGAAAGCAGCAGTGGCAATACGAGCAATGGCGGGGAGGTCCTCCTCAACTGCCTTGACTAATCGGATTGTCATGTTGGATGAACTAAAAAAGGTAAAGGGTGCTATGTTGCGGTAAATTTCTGGAATACAAGGTTCGCAACACTGAAGTTGAGCGGAGTCGCGGACTAACTAAGCATTGTGGAGCAGAATGTCATTGGCGCCCTAGTCGCTAGATCATGACTCAATTACATAGACAGCTACATAGGCTATAAAATACAGAACCCTATGATGTGCTCCGCGTCTTAATCCACTGCGGATGAAGTATCTGACTATTTCCTAGTCGTGTTGTTGTCGTAGGTGGAATGCACTGTCAGGAGAGGAGATATTTCCGCCGATGACGTGTCCCAGATACCCTAAAGCCTGTTAGCAGTGATAATACAGTGTAGAAAGGAGTGACTTACCTGCTTAGCATATACCGAAGATTCCATCATGCTCTTTACGTCTTGAACACTACTACTAAGACAGGCGAAGCCGTTCCCAATAACTGCCGACGGCTTCCCTGAGGCCGCCTCGCTCAAGCATTCTCCTGCGTATGTGTACAAAGGCGGCGAAAGATCGCATTTAAAAGTCTTACTCCGATCAGCTCCTGGCCGATCCCAAACAACAACAAAGCTACAGTGTAAGGCATTAACATCGTCAATTTGAACATAGATATGGCTTATAATGTGCGGCGTCTTACTATTCTTGGAGGGCCTGCGTAGACTGGAGCCGTCTACTAAATTGTGAGGTCCTTTTCAGGGCGGACAAACGACCTATGCGGGAGATATTGAACATGGTTGCGTTGAAAGATTACTGAAATTGTGAAGGTTTCTTATAAGATTGTGGAGATTTTTGTACCGCTCAGAATTGTAGTCAGCTCTGCCTTTGTATTTATGCTGCCGGCGAGATGTTCGTCGGTTCTAATGCACCTTCCAAAATGGGAAAGATGGATTGGCAAGGGCTTTTAACTAAGCTTAATTTGACTGATAGGACGTTTTCACAGAGTGTCATCATCTAACTCAAAATTCCGAAGGACAAGGCTTACGGCGGTCAATACCAAGCATTATCTTAACTACCAACATAATCTTGCAAGGTTGCACGCAAGGAGGCTCTAGGTTCTACATGCAGTTGATTGATAAGGTGGCAGAAGCATTACAGAGAACTTTTCACAATTAGAAGGTTAATCGGCCACATCAGTCAGTGGGCTTGGAAGCTCCTCCAACTACAGAACCGGCTTTGGTACAAAGCGTGACACAACTTGCTCTCACACTGACTTTGCTTTTTGTTTGATGTATCTGGTCAAATTTTGACCTAACGGAATAGCGCAAGAGTGCGAAATGGAATGAACTTGGTCTTTTCCAAATCCCAGATACGCTCCTTGATATACATATCTGTTTGCACCTTTTCCATAAACCCATCCCAACTTTGCTCGTTCACAACCATGACGGAACCTTTGAAAGGTCGCTTAGTGATATCCGCATCGATATGTTTCTCGAAGATTGGTCCTAGCACGATTGTCAACAAATATGCTTCGATCAGTGTGCGCTTCCATACCAGCCCACGAGACATAACCCTCGTTATGTAACCTCAGGAAGTTTGGAGAATGGCGAGGCCTTATTTCGACGCGGCGGGCAAGCTGTCAGATAGTGAGCATTTTATTTTAGATTTATTCCGGAGTAGAAGGATACTCACAACATTAGGCATGTCAGGAAGGATAACGAGTCTCTCTACTGGCGCAGCAGATGCTTGACTTGAGGTTGATACGCATCTACACTGTCGAGTAATAGGCCTGAGGCCCCTTGACGTGCGAGACAGCATTTTGGATGTATACGGAAGAAAAAGTGGGAAAGGGTGCCAGAGGTCTAAGTTCAGTAAATCTCGATACGTGATGAATTGTCGTGGTCGATTGCTTAGAAAAGAGCACACCGAATAAGCTTAGTCTGGGTAGAGTGGTCACATCTGTACCTAAGATCAGACTACCGAGTATTAGGAAGGTGAGATCATAGCTCAGCTAAGCATGTACTGTGCCTTATCTGAAGGATTCCTGGCTATAAGGATATCCATGAACACCCTCTCTGTGAGAAGAATCACCTCCATAGGACTTCCTAGCGCCCGTTGAAGGCAGTGGCGTCTAGTACAAGCCGCATCCTACGTTTACCACCTACCTAATCAGGTATGATTAGACGAAGACGTAATACTGTTAGCAATCTGTAGCCCTAGGTAGTTTGTCAGGGGTATGATTCCTAGCGGAAAACAGCAGCCGTAAGAGTTCATGTACAAACTCTTCTAAAGCGAAGGATTTAGGCGCGGATTACTAGTGTCGGAGCGTTATACTGATCGAACAAGAAGATGGGTTCTAGAATGCCAAACCATGGTAATATCACTACTCTTAAGCTCTTTCTGTAACTGAGGTGCGTAATCGTATGCGACTCGTTATGTTCGACAAATTCATGGCGTGGATATTTTGTCTGTTAGAGCAAAGTAAATGGTCACCACTAACTAGTCTAGTCTATCCGTATCTTTTTTTCCACCGTTGCCAGACTCCATCGTTTCCATGAGGGCCCTGAAAGCCCCGTTTTGCTGGTGTCTCAAGACCCCTGGATGGCCGCTTTCCATCACCCTGCCCGCCTCCATTACAACCACCCGATCACATTTCATAGCCAGATCGAGGCGGTGTACAACCATGATAATGCTATATCCCACAAACTCGTTCTCAATTATCTTCCACATCACCTCATTGGTTTCAGAATCAACACTGGACGATGCTTCGTCAAGAAGAAGAACGCCCCCATTGGCACCAGCATGTCTTCTTACCCGCTTTCTGACGACTGCCCGTGCCAGACTGAATAGTTGTTTCTGGCCGTGACTGAGGGAAGTGGTTGAGAATAAGCCATCAAGTCTAGTTTCATCCTCCTCACAGCCTTCCTGCACCTTTGTTAAGAAGGCTAGACCGTGTAGATCTAAGGTGCTGAGAATGTCATCATCCGATGCCTCGTGAAATGGGTCCAAGTTAGTCCTCAATGTTGACCCTGCGCATTGAGGTAGAAAGACAGGATCCTGGGAGACAGCGATGATACGCCGACGCACAAGATCTCGATCAATACTTTCAAGGCGGAGACTGTCAACTGTAATACCGCTCGAAGGCCCATCTGCAGGCGAAGGATCTAGAAGTCGTAGTAAAAGAAGAAGGAGAGAAGATTTCCCGCTGCATAAATAATTAGCCAAGATCAAGGCTAAGAGTGTGAATTGTATCTCACCTTCCTGTTCGCCCTACAATTGCGACGCTTTCACCGGCGTTGAATGTGATACTGACATTCCGAAGGGCCATTGCGTCCTGATCGGATGTTTCGTTCGCGCTGTCTTCGCATTAGACCGCAGCCCAACTAGTGATTTTGAAAAGAACTGACCTGTATGACGCTGATACACTATTCACCTCGATATGACCTTTTGAGGGCCAATTTAGATCTGGAAGAAGCTCTGCATCTGGCTTTGACTCTTGCTCTGTTGATGAACTGAAAGCTTTCAGACGAGCCACAGCTCCAATGCTTGTCTCCAGTGTAGTGTAAGATTGCACTATCGTTGCAAGCATATCTCCAAAGCTCATTAGCGTGACTAAAGTGGCTCCTGTGAAGCCCGAGTCGGTGCGTAGTTGTGTAGCAAGGGTGACAATGATGGCCGCAATCAACATGACGATGATCCGCAAGACAAATTGGAGCCATCGCTGAATCATAGCCAGTAGGAAAGCAGGTTTCTGGCTGGTATCCAAAAGATTGTTGCTCGTAGCCATGAAAGCGTCAACATGCCCTAAGGCTCGTAATGTGATCAGCCCTGACAGGGTGTCGATGAAATGAGCGCTTCAAATAGTTAGCAAGATCGGTTGAAATACGCGCGAGAAAGTAATTACTCACTAAAGAGGGGCTTTGCTATCCAGGTCCAAGAGTCGAAGCTGTCTAGATGTTCGAAGGTAGAACAATTGTATGTAGTAGACGACACCGATCAAAAAGGGATAAGAAACAGCCAACCACGGCGACGCTGTGGCGATAACAGCAGCCATGCCCAGTAAAGAGAATAGTGACAATGCAAAGTTTACAAGTGACAGTGGCAGCTCACTATCGATCAGAGTCAAGTCTTGCGCGAAGTGGTTTGTCACAGTTCCGGCATCAACGACACTGAAAAAGCGTAGTGGCGCGCCGACAACAGTCTGTAGCGCTCTATGATGTAGTATTGAACCCGACTGGGATATCATGGACTGTGTGCAAAGAAGAACCACACCCGACAGAGATAACAAACAGGACGTTTGGAGAAGCGCGTAAATGCCAACATAGAAAGAACCTGATTGGGAGGGATTCGGGCGGACGATATCGGCAGACCAATACTTGAGCCATATCGTGGGGAAGCTGGAGGTAAAACCATAACAGCAGCATGATAGTACAAGCATGAAGATGACCCAGTTTGCCATGGCGGAGAAATAGTGTCGGTAGACTGAGAAGTCTCCTAGTTGACGTGCTTGATCTTGTTGGGTCGTAGCGGGGATATCTTCAGAGCTGGTTGGCACACCGGCCTTGGATTCGGGTTCAACAGCCGCCTCAGCATCTCCGTTTAGCAATGATTCGTACTTTGTGGCTTTCATACCACTCTTCAGGTGACCCTCAACGATGACTTCTTCAACGGTGCCATCGTTGATAGTGAACACGCTATCAGCAGACTTAAGGCACTGCTCATCATGGGTACATAGAACTACTGTCGCATTTCTGCGAGTAAGAAGTCCGTTATGCCCCATCGTTCTCTGAAAGACTAGAGCTGATGTGGAAGCATCGAGGCCGCTCATGATATCGTCAAGAAGATAGAGGTCTGCATCGAGGTATAGAGCTCGTGCTAGTGCCAGACGCTGTTTCTGTCCACCGCTGAGTGAGACACCATTGCCTCCGATGGCAGTACGGTCACCCATTGGCAGTTGTCTTAGATCAGCTTCCAGAGCGGTGGAGTGCAGAACTTGCTGGTATCTGGCTGCGTCGAAGGGAGCATGGCCGATGATATTACCTCGTATGCTGTCATTGAACAAGAAAGGTGTCTGGTCGCAGTAGCCTATCTTCCGGAAAGTGGAACTAAGAGTAATGACTCCGGACGAAAATGTCGTTTCGCCGAGTAGCGCTTTGAGAAGAGTAGATTTTCCCGAGGCAACTGGGCCTGAAATGATTGTGAGAGAAGATGCAAACACTTTCATGTTGATGTCCCTCAATACAGGCTTGTCTGCAGTCCACCCAAACTCCCCTCCCTTTACTTCCACGGCGGGTAAAGCCTTAGGGGTATCCCCCTTCTCTGCTATGGATGAATCCTGTTGGAACATCAATCGGGGATCCTCGCGACTGTCTTGGTTCACATACGCGTCGATCCGGCCCAAGCAGGCTATCGCCGACATCAGGGCAGGGATGTTTTGGAACAGGCTTGAAAGAGGCCCAGCCACCAAAGTCATAAACGCCAGAGATGGAAAGATGCGGGTGACTTCCAGGGACCTTGATGTCACAGCGAAAGCCATCAGGGGACCAATTGTGGTAGGCGTAAACGAGAGAGTGACGGCTACAACAAGCATCAAACGCCACTTGCCTCCAATCATAAGCTCGTGCTCACGCAGCCCCTGGATAAGCTTCTCGACGGCGTTAAGCATGCCTGAGATTCGGAGTGACTTCATGTTTGAGATGACGGTAGCAGTTGCAGCTACGCGCACTTCAATAGTCTTCATCCAAGCAACCTGGCGACGACCTGTGATTGAAGCCACTCCACCAGAAACCACGATGCAGAGAACGACAACAACGATAGGGGCAGCGAAAGCAGCGCTAAGTTGACGCTCAAGAAGCCAAGAAGCGAGGATCACTTCAATGGCGTTGGCCCAATATTCGTGAATAGGCATCAAACCCATTTTAATGCGCTCAATATCGCTGTTCATCAGCGTCAGTGCTGCCGAGTCGTTGGCCACGGCGGTGTGCAACGAGATAGTCTTCTCATAAACAGCAGTGAAGAGTAGGCCTCGCACCATGCAGGTAAACCTCTCTTGCCAGTAGAAGTAGAGTGCGTTAGAGATTGCTATGCCGGTATAGACAATAATAGTAGCGCCAATCAACCCATAGCCGTGTTTTGGTTCACTGGGAGACTCCAGATATGTGAGAATCGTTTTGATCAGAAACGGCTGGCAGAATGTGAAACCGATGATGGCTATCCTGGGGAGTACTGGTAACAATAGGGGGCCCATCAAAGTTTTCAACATTTGCCGGCTGAGAGGTTTGGCAGGTGAACTAGCAAGCGTCTTGGAGCCGATATGGTGAATCTTTGTCTGTAAAGTCGATGCAGACATAGTTTGGTCGAGCGCATACAGGTCACCTATGGAGAGAATAGACCGGAAGCCTGAGAGAAGCAACTGATCTACCCATGTATAGGTAGACAAGCTAAAAATACCACTTGTCTCCTCGGGACTGTGGCTCTCTTTCCATTTTTGAGGGTAGGCCTTATGTTGTGCTTCAAAGATAAGGACCATGCCTTTGAAAACTGTTGTCGTAATAACCACTCCAGCGAGAGTGGAAGTAGAACTGACATTGTTTCTACTCAGAAGCCAGATAGTACGAGTTCTTACGATATCGAGCAGGAGAGTTAAACTGAGAAAGCATCCTAGTAGCACAGACGGTCTTAGACTTTTCTTATGCTCAATGAATGATAGTAGGAAGATTGAAATTATCGCGGCAAATCGCAGAATTTCAGCAGGTACCGACAGTGTCACCAGACTGGATCCTTGTTGAGCGGTAAGTATAAGCTGCGCCAACTGAAGGGCAGCGAATACAATAATGGCAAACTTTGATTTTGCATTAGTTCATCGTGATTCCCACCTAGGTTCATCCTAGCCAAATTCGAAAAGTTGAACTTACCAATTTTGCACATAGGAAAATAGTCGCCGAGGCGATACTCGGCTTTCTGAATAGCCAAAGGAGGCGCCCCAAAGTTGAGACGAGAAACACACATGAAGGCAGGATGGAGAAGAAGATTTCTTCGAAGTGTAGAGTAAAGTCAAAATTACCCCGACACCCTTGGACTATGGGACCAAATGAATCGTCGTTGCGACACGCCATGAGTCTCGAGCTGTGGTGTTTCTCAAGCCTAGGAGTCACAAAGACTGACATCCGCTGATGCCACCAAACTCAGTGAACTACACACCGCTCGGTAGCCGAAGAAAATGGGTATACTCCGGTAATCCGAACAATAGTTACTGTACGGACTATGTCAGATCTCCGTTACCAGTTGTCCTACAGCCCCCACTCAATTAACTACCTGATAAGGTATGTGGCAATATGCACGATCCTACCAGTGCAACCTTCTATGTACAGCTAGAGCGAGATGCAAGGCATGCCTTTGCCAGCTTAGGAGAGATTGGGCTGATGGTACACCCACGGGAGGGATGTTGATCCTTCGGCTAAGCTTGATGGGGTATGTGGTACTGAGGGATCTGATCTAATACATGGCGCTTGAGTTCTCTCTTCCTTCCAATCTTGGACTTTGATGGTGTGAACGTCTTCTAGAAATCCTGCAGGAAATACATCGAATACCACCATGTCAGGTCATTGTGACGGCTGACGGCAAAACATGGCGACCTTTTCACTCATTGACAGGTTACTAAGACTTGGCGTAGGTCATCGTAAACAACATGATTCAACAGAATAATATGCTTGAATTTATACTGATCGATGACGTGAGTTAAGAGTGTCAGAAAATGATTTGTCGTGCAGATCAATAAATTCTATTCGCTCTAAATAGTCTGGCATCTAATCAAACAAGTCCCGTTTATACCCTACACCAGCCTTTTTGCCACTGGGCGTCCCTGCCAAGATAATCCGTGATGCACCGCCGGAAGAAATGGAACTGATCCCATGAACACCACCAGGCCCAAAGTCTAGAACTGTCTGCTTTTTACCTTCTAGGGTAGTTTCGGGGTACATGTGTGATGTGGCACTAACCCAGTCAAGACCTTGGCTGACTACCAGGCTCACCAAGTCCGGCTCATGATTGCTTTGGCTGCGGAGGTCTTGTCCGTTCTCAGTACTGAAAACTGGAATCGCCATGGAACTTGAGGACACGGATATGTGTTTGAGATCGTTATGGATCAGGGGCACTGCGTCGTTGAGCCAGTGAGTATGGAATGGTACGCTCACGTTGAGAAAGTTGCTGCCCACGGCATCTGCCAAACCACTTTGAGAAGAGAACTGCTTTCTCTTACGGATCTGTAGATTAAGCCCGTAAAGATATTTGGGTGGCCCAGAAACAACAAAATGTTTTGGTCCATTCGCCATTGAGATCGATAGGCAGTGTGGTCCGCCCTTGAGATATCGTTTTGCTGCCTTGGTGCAAACTTCTAGCTGCTCCCTAGTAAATCCCCGAATGCTCAGCATAGGAGACGGTTTGCGTTCGCCGTGATCAATCGAGTCTTGCGCCATGGCATTCGAGATGGTGTTGTACCGATGCTGAGCATCCCAGACTTGCTGAGTTCGGACGCCGATCCAGAAGAGTGTTGTGATTGCAGTACGAGTAGCCTCTCGCCAGGAAACCCAATCATCTGCCAATGCTACAGCCGCAGCCGTGATGATACCCTGGGAGTGTCCTGTTGTTCCAGCAATTCGGCTACGAAACTGGCCTGGTGTAAGACCCAACGTCTTGCAAGTAACTTCGTAGTGCGCGAGTTGGACAAGTCCTATCAAGGGGGCACTAACAGGTGCAGGAGTCAAGTACGTTGAGTCTGGAGCCTGGGAAGGGCTTTCTAGCCACTTAACAACGTCGAGGCCCTTGGGAAGCAGTTTAAGGGTTGTGTCGTCTGTGTTTGAGAGCTCGAGAAGAAGCGAGGACAAATCGTGAACCAAGTCTCTGGTTAGAGAAGGATATGTGTTTACGAGATCACGAAGCTCGTCGATGGTGTTTCCCCTCAAGCCTTGACCACCAAAAACGGTGTATATCTGAGTTGGGCCACGCTGAGCCTGGCTGCCGAAAAGGCCACTCTTCTGCAGAGGAGGGCTGATATCTGCGCCGTGTAGAGCCTCATAATAAGAGCGCAATAGCTTTGACTTTTGCGCATCTGGGACAGGAAGGGGACCCAGAACGGAGTGAATGTTTCTCCCAGACAAGAGAGTTTGATCCAAGTAATTGATTAGAAGTCGAAGTGACTCCCGGTGGTCATTCGCATCTTTTTCGCTGGCCTGCTGAACCGTTTCAGAGAGTTGGTCTGCATATCCAAGTGTGAGCTCCAGCTGCGACTGGACATCTTCCAGCTCAGGCTTGCCCTCAGAAGTGGGAGATTCTGGGGGAGTTGGTTCCAAGCACGCTTCTGGAGATTTGATGTCATGAATTTTGTTGGAAAGCGAAATTGGTAGAATTTGTGACAGCCGCGAAGGCTTCAGCTTTGCTTTCGCCATGGTCGGCACAGGCTGGACTGGGGTGTGGTTACAAGCTGTCATTTTGATCTTGCATTGAGATGTGCGCACGTTGGTTCCAATCTGTCGGTCCCGAGGTAGCAGTGCGTTGATTCTAATGTGTCGGCTCCAGAAGTTTAATTCTACCGCATTGTCGTGTTGATCTGCACGATATTATAAATCCAGCTGTCTGCGTAACGATGAGGTCCTGCATTAGGGGTGACATTGGATTGCAACCTATTTCAACCCCAGTCCTCCTGTCGACGAACAATCTGGTACAGGGTGGCGAGTTACACGCCCAAGGCAGAGTACACGAGTACACGAGTACATGAGACTGAAGAAATTCAGCCATGAGATCCACCTCAACAGTCTCGATCTGCCTGGGACCTCGATATTTCACCTCGCCAAGAAGGGAAGGTCGATGTTCATCTGCATGTCCAACCCCTGCTGAGCGGACCGCACGGTAAAGTCCAACCATCGCCGAACCTGACAGGCATCTCACAACGGCCAACCGGTATTGCCCCGCTCGCTTCAATCCTGCAGTGATTGGTCTGTCTTGCGCGATAGGTAAAACTGTAAATGCCTCGGCGGCTAAGGTGACACTAACACCAGCATTTCAGGGTACAGAATCCCTCGATTCTGCCAAGAATTAGTTTTCAAGCCTCAAGAATGAGGACCTGCCTTATCAGGGCTTTTTTTCCATCGGACCATAGATGTGATTTCCGCTAGTCTCCCCTGACAAGCCCTGGCGGTAAAACTGTGATGGAGTATTGTTGTACTGCAGGGGTTCCTGTCAGCATTATTATTCAGGAGGATTATGCACGTAAACAGTACAGTAAGAGATAGGCCAAGGACGGGAGGACTCTAGATATCGTGCGTGAGGCGCTAGGACTAGAGACAAGGGCCCTTGTAGCTTAGACTAGGAAATGGTAGTTAGGCGTTCACCACCAGATATGCTTAATTGACGACGTGACTATTTTGACAGAAATTCTTAGCTAATACTGGAGAACCTCTCGCGGCGTAGCACGTACTTGGCTGTTGGTCAATACACAGAGACACGTATTCACCAAGGCAAACGCTGAGACGAATAACCCTTCATCTTGCTTCGAGTAAAGTTTTGAACTACTACGGTACAATGCCACATATTGAAGCAAACGACACAGGCGAAATCCTGGAGATACCAACACGAGGAATCACTATGGAAGCATTGCCGAATACTATGCCGTCTGATCTCGGCTCATTACCAATAGACGGAAATGTGCTGAGAAATGCGGCAGCAAACAGATCGGTTGGAGATTGTGTCAGTCTCACTGAGCTCTGGGCGCAAGTTCTTCAAATTCATCAAAACACCATCGACCAGAATGACAACTTTTTCCAACTTGGAGGCGATTCGCTGGCTGCCATACGGCTTAGCGATGCGGCATTGGAGGCCGGATTTATGCTTCCCGTTGAGCAAATCTTTCTCTATCCCGTCTTGAATCAAATGGCACAGTTGCCATACAATCTCTCTCAACCGGCTTGGGAGAAGGACATTGCACCATTTTCGCTGATCGCCAGCGAGGTCGACCTTGAGCAGTGCATATCAGATGTGGCAAAGATATGCGGTGTTGAGACTGGATGCATTGAGGAAATCTATCCTACTACACCTCTGCAGGAAGGATTGCTTGCTTTGACGGCCAAAAGTCCAGGCGACTACGTTCTCCAGAGTGTTATGGATCTGACTGCAGAGGTCGATGTGGACCGTTTCCAAAACGCATGGGAGCAAACTTGCCAAGCTATCCCAATCCTCCGCACCCGTATCGTTGAGCATGATACTCTGGGCTCTCTGCAAGTAGTCTTGGATGAAAATATCTCGTGGCATAGCAGCGAAGATCTCGACAAATATGTCCAGGACGACAAGGCCAACGGGATGAATCCTGGATGTCCCTTGGCCAGATATGCCTTGATACGCAATAGCGAAGGAGACGTTGCATCACTTGTATGGACACTTCATCACGCTCTATACGATCGAGTTGCTCTTCAGCAGATGCAAAACGCCTTTCGCCAATTTTACTTCAGCAACGCCATTAAGGAACTTCCTGCGTTCAAGACATATGTAAGGCACCTCCTACACAGAAGCCAAGTCTCCTCACTGGCTTTCTGGGAATGGGCTACTCTTGACTTCGAATCTGAGACCTTTCCACCATTACCGGCTGGAGTATCGGAAGGAAGCCCGGATAGCTCGCTATCCCGAAAGATCGCGATGCCGGAGGATATGGCAACGAGCAATGTTACCGCAGCAATGCTCATACGCGCAGCATGGGCACTTGTTGTAAACCGCAATACAGGCGACGACGATGTCGTGTTTGGGGCCACCTTGTCAGGCCGAAATGCTCCTGTCCCGGGTTTGAACAACATGATAGGACCTACAATCGCTACAGTGCCCGTACGCATACGAGTGTCCTCTGGGACAACTATTGCGGAGTACCTAGAGGGCGTACAAGAACAGGCGGCTGACATGATGCCCTTTGAGCACACTGGACTGCAACACATCGCGCGTATCAGTAAGGAAGCACAACAGGCGTGCAGCTTCCAAACTGCATTGACTGTACAGCACCCAAGTCATGGCCTGCCGGACGACTCTAAGACTATTGGTACTTGGCGAAAGACGCCACAGGTCTTGGAAACTGCCACTTACCCGCTTGTTATTGTCTGTACACTTGAGCAGAGCCATGTTGATGTTGTCGCCAATGTGGATTCGAGGGTGCTTGAGATATGGAAGGTCGAAAAGATGCTTGCTCAGCTGGAGTATACTATCATCCAACTGACTACATCGTCTCCAGACACGAAAATCGATCAGCTGGATCGACTCACACCATCTGACTTGGAGACCATCTGGAAGTGGAACAAGACTGTTCCGTCTGCAGTCGAGGAAACACTGCATGAAATGGTCGCGCGAAAGGGCAGAGAACAGCCAGATGCTGTGGCCATCGATGCTTGGGATGGAAAGGTCACATACGCCGAGCTTGAAGAAATAACCACACATCTTGCAAAGTACCTCGTCGCCCAGGGCCTCAGCAAGGGCCATCTAGTACCGCTATTATTCGAGAAGAGCAAATGGTACATCATTGCTACTCTGGCTGTTCTGAAAGCTGGAGGTGCTTTTGTTCCATTGGATCCTGACCATGGAGCAGATCGCCGAGACGACATCCTTCGCCAGATTGATGCCCGAATTGCCCTCACATCTGTGAGACATAGTGGCATTCCTTTCAACTCAAACATCAAGGTTATACCTCTCAGCCAAAACGTTCTTGAAGAACTGGAAAACTCGAATTTCAAGACCACAGAGCTACCTTCGGCTAGCCCGCGGGATAGCGCTTATGCCATCTTTACTTCTGGAAGCACTGGAACTCCTAAAGGAGTCATTGTAGAGCACCAGGCAATCACCACAAGCTCCACTTATCATGGCAAACTTATGGGACTTGACTCAAACACACGAGTGATGCAATTCTCGAACTTCGCCTTTGACGCTTCTGTCGGGGATATTTTCACCACCATGATTGCTGGTGGCACAGTCTGTGTGGCGGCAAATGCAAACCTTCGAGATGACTTGGCAGGGTGTATTCGCACGATTCAAGCCAACACTATTTTGATTACACCGTCTATTGCACGGCTGATTCATCCGGATGAGGTGCCATCTCTGAAAAATCTAACATTTGGCGGTGAGACACCGCTTCAAGAGGATATTGAGCAATGGCAACATATCACACTTTCACAGGTCTATGGTCCGACAGAGTGCGCCGTGCTCAGTACATTCGGATACATGGATTCCACCCAAAGCTCACATGATCAGACTCGAGACATCGGAAGAGCTACAGGATCAGTAGCTTGGATCGTGGACCCGAACGATCATTCCCAGCTTGTACCAGTTGGGGCTGCTGGAGAACTTCTGATTGAAGGCCCAATCGTATCCCGTGGATACCTGAACGACCTTGTCAAAACCGCCAGTGTGTTTATCGAAGATCCCGAGTGGTTAACAAAGGGCGGTCCGGGCTTGCCAGGTCGTAAAGGAAGATTATACAAGACCGGAGACCTGGTTCGATACGGAGCTGACGGCAGACTGCTGTACGTGGGCCGCAAAGACACGCAGGTGAAGGTCCGGGGACAGCGCCTAGAACTTGAGGGCGTCGAACACCATATCCTGCAGTGTCTTGCACCCAAGGCACATCATGTTGTAGCTGAGGTCCTGCATGAGCAGGGAGCTGGAGCGAGCGCTGTGCTCGCAGCCTTTGTGGTGCTTGACGAAGAGTTTGCGGACAATGGTACCAGCCAGACATTTGAGGGTGTGGGTATCACAGCTTTCGCCCCTGCTGCAACAGTGGAGGACCAATTGACCAGAAACCTCCCAAGCTACTCTATCCCGACGGTATGGTATAACATCAACCAACTGCCTCTTAGTATATCCGGAAAAACGGACCGCAAGAAGCTTAGAGCTGCTGGGTCTGCATACTCCAAATTTCAATTCGACAATGGAGATATTCGACAGAAGGAAAGACTTGCACCACGAACGGAGGCAGAGAAGATATTAGTCAGCTTATGTGCGCAAGTTCTCGGCCTCCGAGAATCACAAGTTGGTGTCGACGATAACTTCTTCAGATTGGGCGGTGACTCCATCATGGCCATGAAGCTGGTTGGTGTCACAAGGAAAGCAGGACACGTCACCACTGTTGCACTTGTCTTTCAACATCCACGACTAGCTGATCTCGCATCGGTTATGAGAAGCATCAATCATGGCGCTGACAATGATGCGGAGGACATAACGCCATTCTCGCTTCTGCCGGAAGCTGATTCGTCTGTGCTGACGGAGCAGGTCGCTCAAATTTGCCATGTTGATCCAGAGGCCGTCATCGACGCCTATCCATGCACACCGCTACAAGAGGGTCTACTTGCTCTGAGCTCTGTTCAGACAGGAGATTATGTCTTGCAGAGTGTACTCGAAATGGCACCCTGGACGGATGAGCTTCGAATTCGCGCCGTATGGGAGATGGCTGTACGAAATCTAGCAATTCTTCGATCAAGGATCGTGCAGCACTTGAGCCTTGGGCTCATTCAAGTGGTTATTGAACAAAGCGTTCAATGGCAAACTGGCGATAACTTGGAGATGTACCTCAAGCGTGATAAGGCACTACCAATGAGTCCCGGAGAACCACTAGCAAGATATGGCATGATCGATGATAAGTCTACTGGGAACAGATATCTGGTGGTCACAATGCATCATGCTTTATACGACGGAGAGTCTTGGAATATGGTCCAAGAGCACTTTTCAAGCCTCTTTGCAGACGCTGAGGCCACATTTGATCATCATGCTAGTTTCAGTCATGTTGTTAAGAGTATCATGGACACAGACACCTCTGCAGCACAGAAGTTCTGGGAGGAGTCTTTCCATGGCCTCCAAGGAACAACATTCCCATCTCTCCCTTCTGGCAACAAGACCATTGTTGCCGACAGAACCATTCGCAGTGACCCGTTCAGCTTATCTGGCAAACCTGACGTGACGATCGCATCTATCGTGCGTGCAGCATGGGCATTAGCTGTTCATCAGTACACTGGAAGCAATGATGTTGTCTTTGGCGCCTTGCTTTCGGGCAGGAACATGGCTGTCTCAAACATAGATAGAGTCGTTGGTCCCACTATCGCCACGGTTCCTGTACGTGTGTGCGTTCCTCCGAACCACAGCTCTCCAGTTGCCTTTCTTCAGGAGGTTCAGGATGGAGCGACGGCCATGATCCCATTCGAGCAGACTGGTCTCCAACACATTGCGAAGATCAGCACGGAGGCACAACAGGCGTGCAACTTCCAGACTTTGCTTGTGGTGAATGGCGCTAGGGCTGTTGAGGAAAAAAAGAACCACAGTTTCGGTCAATGGCTGCAGATGTTCCAGACCAAAGAATTCACTTCTTACGCAGTGACAATCAACTGCAATATTTCTTCGTCGGGAATCATCGCGTTGGAATGTTCATTTGATACTAGCTTTATTGAGCAGTGGAAGATGCAGAACATGCTAGACCAGACCACACTTTTGATTCAGAAGCTTGCCAAAGCTGCCATTGAGCCGATCAACCAGTCTAGAACAGAGACCAAGCTGGCTGATCTGAAGTCTCTTACATCTTCTGACCACGAGAAGATTTGGCAATGGAACAGTATAGTGCCAGCTCGAGTGGACCATTGCGTGCATGATCTCATCGAAAAGCAAATGGAGCTTAACCTTGATGCCCCTGCTGTTCACTCTTGGGACGGCGATCTGACATATCAAGACCTCGACAAGGCCTCAAAGAAACTCGCTTGCCATTTGAAACATCAAGGCATTGGTGAGGGTAGCTTTGTTATTCTTTGCTTCGAGAAGTCAATGTGGACGGTAGTTGCCCAGCTAGCAGTACTACGAGCTGGAGGGGCGTTTGTCATGGTCGAACCATCACTACCCAAGCATCGTGTGCTTAGCATCATACGACAAACAGGCTCAATATTGGCGTTAACTTCAGTCAACGCCAAGCATGCCATATCTCCACTGGTTGCCACTACTATCGCTGTGGATGATGCCCTACTTGCCATGGAACGACCAATAGACCTGCTACCATCGGTTTCACCTTCTTCCATTGCCTACGTACCATTTACATCAGGTACTACAGGAGAGCCAAAGGGTAGCTTGATCCCACACAGCGCATTTGCATCAGCAATTCACTATCAAGCCCGTCGATTGGCCTGCGAGAGTGCTCGCGTGTTCGACTTTGCTTCTTACTCTTTTGACGGGTGCGTTCAGAACAGCTTGATGACACTGGCCGTTGGAGGCTGTGTCTGTATACCTTCTGAATCTGACAGAAAGGATAACTTGACTGCAGTTATTTCTGCTATGGAAGTCAATTGCATGCTTCTTACTCCTTCAGTTGCTCGTCTTGTGGACTTCGAGAGGTTGCCACTGTTGAAGCAGCTGAACCTTGGAGGAGAAGCCATCCGCGCCACGGATATCGATAGAGTGCCAGAGCGCATTCGTATTGTCAACAACTATGGACCTTCAGAGTGCACAGTCAACAGCGTCATCAACGACTGCCAGAGCCCAAGAGATCAGATTCACCTTCTCGGAACTGGTGCAGGAGCTGTTACATGGGTAGTCGACCCAGAGAACCATGACTGCTTATTGCCCATCGGTGCCGTAGGTGAGCTTCTACTCGAAGGGCCTATCGTGGGTAAAGGTTATGTCGGAAACCACGAAAAGACTTCCATATCCTTTATCGATGCACCTGCGTGGCTCGGTCGAGGTGGAAAGCTTTACAAAACTGGAGATCTCGTCCAGTACAATGAACATGGAGTGTTGTGTTACATCGGCCGAAAAGACTCACAGGTCAAGATCCGAGGTCAAAGAATTGAGCTAGGTGAAGTTGAGCACCACGTCCTTGCTTGTTTACCCGACGCCAGAGAAGTGGTGGTAGATGTTCTTCAAGCAAAAGATGAAGACTCGTCGGCTACACTTGCAGCATTTGTTCTCTTGCATGAGGCTCAAAAGATTGATACACCTCATCTCTTTGCAGTCCCCAAAACCTTGGAGGATGACCTGGCTGAACGTGTGCCTAGCTACATGATACCCACGATGTGGATCGCCGTAGCAGAGTGGCCCCTCACTGTCAACAGCAAGATTGATAGAAAAGCCCTGAGAGAACTTGGATCCTCTTTCTCAAAGTCACAACTGGCGCAGCTTAACCAGAGTGTCAGTGAAGACAAACAATATCCTACCACTGAAGCTGAAGTTTTGCTATCTCAGCTGTTTACCCGAGTCCTTGGTCTCGAATCAGATGTCGTTGTTGGAATAGAGGACAGCTTTCTCCGTCTAGGTGGAGATTCGATCACCGCTATGCAGATCTCTGCCGAGGCCAGAGCTCGAGGCTTGAATGTCTCTACTGCTGATATTCTCCGACACAAGACTATCGCTGCTATTCTGGACACTTCTTACGGAAGGGCGAGTCTCATGACTCGTAGTGGAGATAAAGAAGAAGATCAGCAGTCCCATTCTGCAAGACTAGGCTTCATGGGAGCTTTTGTGTCCGAGAAGGACCTTGATCTATTCAAGAGTGAAATACTTCCTCGAATTAGTCCCGGTTTACAGTTCAGTGAAGTCGAGGACATATTCCCTTGTTCATCCATGCAAGAGGGTATACTCATCGGTCAGGCCAAAGAGTCTTCTAGATATCGGTCCCGAATTGACGTTCAACTTCGCCTACCAGGCGGTACTAAAAGTCTTGACACCACGAAGTTACAATGGGCTTGGCAACAAGTCATGAGCCGCCACGCTCTCCTACGTGCAGTCTTGGTGAAGGACTTCCCAGGAAGTAGCAGAGTGATGCACGTCATTCTGACAGCCCCAGCGTCTTCCATCAGTATCGAAAAACAGCTCGACCATTCTTCTCTTTCTGATTATCTCAACAGCAGCAGAAATGGCTACGGGGAACTCGACCTCCAGCACCACCTATCCCTACATCAGCTATCCAGCGGTGAGGCGCATCTGGTTCTTGAGCTGAACCACGCCATTGTCGATGGTCACTCGACTTTCATGTTGATGGAAGAGCTTGTCGCCTTTTACAACGGCAGCACTAATATTTCTGAACCTCAAAGCTACCGTGAGCTCGTCTCATTCATCGACAGCAAGTCGCCACAAGAAGGCATTGACTACTGGGCTGGTCGACTCAGAGACGTGGTATCATGTAATTTTCCTGGGCTCGAAGACGAGACAGTGGCATCCAAAGAACTAGTCGAGTTCATCACAGTTCCGGATATTGATACCAAGCAACTCCGCACTTTCTGTGCTGAGCAGGAACTGACGCCTGCAATCCTAATCCAAGTAGCATGGGCCATGGTTCTGAAGTCATACACAGGGATCCAACAACCGTCCTTTGGCGTCATATGTTCTGGTCGCGATCATTCCATCGACCGAATCGACAACATTTTCGGACCCATGATGGGCATGATCACTGCCTGTATCTCCCTCGGATCTGATACATCAGTCATCGGTGCCTTGGAGGCTACGCAGCTGGACTATCTTGTGTCATTGGAGCATCAGACGGTGTCTCTTGCGGCTGTACACAGTGCCCTGGGCCTTGGAACATCTGCCTTGTTTAACACCGTCCTCTCCTTCCAGAAGGTAGCAAGCGATACCGTGGGTGATGTGGAGAAAGGACTGTCGCTGCAGCTCGTAAACGAAGTCGATCCTAGTGATGTAAGTGCAAGATGTCCTTCCTTGAGCCTTCATGGACACTTCTTCCATACTGAGAAGGCTTGATATTGCAAAGCTTTGCCTTCTCATTGGATATTTAAGTTCGAACAACAGATCTCTAACTCCTATTCCTAGTACCCCATTTCCGTCAGGGTCATTGACACGCGCACGGAGATCAAGATCCTGATTGACCATTCCGGCAAGCTTGGAGAGTTTCAGAAGTCTCAACTTGGCAAGTGCTTCAGCACCGCTATAAGTTCCATCATGAGCAATGTCCAAAGTACTGCTACGGACCTGAACCTTCTTGACGGCCCCAGTCTTGGAAAGCTTTGGACATGGAATGCGCAAGTTCCCCCAGCAGTCGATGATTGTGTAGATCATTTGGTTGAACTACAGGCTTCCGCGACTCCAGATGCCTGTTCGGTTGAAGCCTGGGATGGTAAGATATCATATTCAGAGCTCGAACGCCATGCCAATAATCTCGCTTGTTACCTCGTGTCTTTAGAAGTCGGGCCAGGAGTAGTCGTGCCAATTTGCTTTGACAAATCCGTTTGGGTTGTCGTGGCCATGCTTGGAATCATGAAGGCAGGCGCCGCATTCGTGCCCATCGACTTTTCACAGGCTCCAGAACGAAGAGAGTTGATATTCAAGCAAGTTGATGCTCACATCGTCTTGACATCTGCGGATCATATGATTATCTCGGCAACTGGCCAAGGACGACGCGCCGTCCCAGTCACTCCTAATCTCATGCATGATCTCGATTTAAAATACCATGGTAAGAAACCAACCACAACAGCATCCGATCCTTCAAGCATCATCTACTGCCTTTTCACGTCCGGATCAACCGGTATTCCCAAGGGTGTCACCTTACAGCATAGCGCAGTTAGCACAAGCTGTGTTACGCATGGTAAACGAATCGGCTTCAACGGAAGTACCAGAACGTTACAATTCTCTTCGTATACTTTCGATGCCTGCATATTCGACATATTTACTACTTTATTGTTTGGCGGTTGTGTTTGTATCCCTTCGCCTGGTCAACGAATGGATGATGTTGCAGGGTCAATCCATGCCTTAAATGTCAATACTTTATTCCTGACGCCGACCGTTGCGCGTCTGGTAGATCCAAAACAAGTACCTTCACTTCGAGCAATCGCCATTGGCGGTGAAGCCCCTTCCCCTGCCGACTTTAAGAGATGGCAGCACTTGGAGGTTGTTATGCAAGGATATGGACCTACTGAATGTGCCATTTTCTGCTCCATGAACAATGAAGGTCGTGATGCTACACATGTCAACTGCATCGGATATGCATCAGGCACGGTGTCATGGGTTGTCGATCTTCAAGATGAAAACAAACTCGCACCAATTGGAAGTATCGGTGAACTGGTCGTCGAAGGCCCTCAACTCTTTGAGGGGTATCTGAACGATGAAGAGCGTACTGCCGAAGTTCTCATGAGAAACCCGCCCTGGCTACTACACGGTTCTCACTCTACCCCTGGTCGCCAAGGAAGGTTGTATAAGACGGGTGATCTGGTTAGATACGTCAGTGATGACGGTACAATGGCATTTGTGGGACGAAAGGATGCCCAAGTAAAGCTCCGCGGTCAGCGCATGGAGTTGGCCGAGACTGAGCATCATACCATGGCTTGTGTTCCGGGAGCGCTTCAGGTGGCAGCCCTGGTTGGGAAGCTTGCAGGTGAAGAAGCACTGCCAGCATTGATTGGGTTCCTCGTTTTGAAGGAAACAAACAAATTCCTAGATGTACCAGAGTCGCGACCTGATGACTCCGCCTCATGCACAGGAACCGCCCGCTTCCACTCCCTCCCAGTGTCGGTTGAAGATGAGCTAGCAAAGAGGCTACCAGGCTACATGATTCCGACCATCTGGTTCACTATCGACGAAATGCCAGTTGCAAGCTCCGGAAAGGTCGACCGCAAAAAGCTTCAACAAATCGCCTCCTCTTTTACTGTCGCTGATCTCGCCGCATCCAAGGACATGGGCTCAGGCAGAAAGGTTTCAACAAAGGCCGAGAGACATATGCAGCAACTTTGGTCTCGAGTGTTGAGATTGGATGACTCAGCTATTGGTCTTGACGATAGCTTCTTCCGTTTAGGAGGAGATTCGATCGCTGCAATGGAGCTCGTCAGTCAGGCGAGAAAAGACGGTTTGGCTCTCTCCGTTGCTCAAGTATTCCAGCAGCCGAAGCTGGGACAGCTGGTACTGCAGCTTAATCTCAGTCCCAAAGACTCCATGCAAGCTTTACCCATTGAACCATTTTCTATACTCAATACTGGCATTGCCATTGAGAGTTACAAGAAGGAGATTGCTCAGGCTTGTGGCGTTACAACTTTGGACATCCAGGATATTTATCCTACTACCGCACTGCAAGCTGGTTTAATAGCGCTCACCTCCAAGCAAAGCGGTAGCTATGTTCTGCAGACTGTCATGAAACTTTCTGCCGATATCGATCTCTCGCGATTCAAGGACGCCTGGCAGGAGACTGTACGATCTCTACCCATTCTGCGGACTAGGATTGTTCAATGCGACGGCGTTGGCTTGGTTCAGGTCGTTCTTGAACATGCACCCATTAGGTGGCAATATTCAAACAACCTTGAACATTATCTCGGACAAGATAAGCTTGCAGCCATGGACCTCGGGAAGCCACTAGTTCGCTTTGCGATTATCGAGGACAATGGCTCAATCATGTTTGGCTGGTCTATTCACCATGCTTTGTACGATGGAAGCTCAATGCCACTTATTCAGGAGCTCGTCAAGGAAGCCTATCAGGGTTCTAGTCCAGGACAGCATCCTCACTTCAATGCCTTTGTCGCATACACCATGGCCCAGAACACAGCGGGAATTGAGACCTTCTGGAAGACCACTTTCGAGGGAGTTGAAGCACAGTCATTTCCTCCGCTACCCACTCCTACTCACTCTGTTACGGCAGATTCTACAATCGAAAGGCCTTGCTCATTCGCAGCGGCATCAAAGAATCTGGATGCTACCATGTCTATGATCATCAGAGCGGCCTGGGCAATGACTATCCACCGCTTAACAGGAGCGGAAGACGTTGTTTTCGGAGCTACACTATCAGGTCGCAACGCGCCCGTGACCGATATCGAGAAAATGGTTGGCCCGACTATCGCCACAGTTCCTATCTGTGCTAGGGTCAGCTCCAAGTCCACAGTTTCAGAGCTCTTGACCAAACTGCAGGACCACGCTACTGCCATGATTCCCTACGAACAAAGCGGTCTACAGAACATCGCCAAGATCAGTGACAACGCCAGCGCTGCTTGTCAGTTCCAGACGTTACTAGTTGTGCAGCCACCCACCGTGGGTTCACTTAAGACTGAACTTGGAACCTGGCAGGAAATGCCGCAGACAAGAGAGTTCACGACATACGCCGTTACACTCGTCTGTCAACTGAAGACAGATGGTGGTGTCGATATTCACTGCGGCTTTGACTCCAATGTCGTTTCCGAATCCCAAATGGAGCGCATGATCGATTACCTTATACATACTATCCAGCTTTTGACTAATGGGGCACCCGACCAGCGAATTTCCAGCCTCCTAGGCCCTGATCCTTTTGATATGCAGCGGCTATGGTCTTGGAATATCTCTGTTCCGGATCCGGTTATTGCCTGTGTGAACACTACAATCTCGATCCGGGCAACTCGAAACCCGGATGCGCAAGCTATCTCAGCTCACGACGGCGATTTTACCTTTGCCCAGCTCGATAGCCTGTCGACTCAATTGGCCTATCGACTTATATCTCTTGGCATAGTGCCTGAAGCGATGGTTCCATTGTATTTCGAGAAGTCTGCCTGGACGATTGTGGCCCTGCTTGGTGTTCTCAAAGCTGGAGGCGCATTTGTGCCTCTTGACCCAAGCCAACCTCGTGATAGGATAGCTTCTGTTCTGAACCAGGTAGATGCAAAGGTCATACTAACTTCAGAAGGTCTTTCGAAGACAGACTTCGGCTCCGGGATCACAACTGTATCGCTTGGGCACGGTTTGCTCCAGCACGACGGTGACTCTATGAGTGGACTGCCTACCGCTAATCCCTCATCTGCTGCATATGTGATATTCACTTCTGGCTCAACCGGTGTCCCCAAAGGAGTTGTTATCGAGCACCAGGCAATCAGCAGCGGATGTTATTATCATGGTTCCAAGATCAACCTTGACAGCACATCAAGTGTTCTACAATTCGCTTCTTACACTTTCGACGCCTCAATTTTCGAAATACTCACAACACTCTCGTTTGGTGGGTGCGTTTGCGTTCCCTCAGAGACCCAGAGGTCCAATGACCTGGCGCAGGCCATGGAGTCAATGGGTGTAAATACCGCACTTCTTACGCCATCAGTCGCGAGACATCTTGAACCTACCCAAGTGCCCTCACTGCGAACTCTTCTCTTGGGCGGCGAAGCATCCACCGCAGATGATTATTTAAGATGGTTGCCAGCGACGAGGCTTTTCAATCTTTACGGCCCTACAGAAGCGTCAGTAATATGCAATGCAGCAGAAGTCACCCCCGGCGCTGTCGAGCCTCGGAACATTGGTCTCGCTACTGGGTCGGTTAGTTGGATCGTTGACCCGCAGGATCCGGAACGGCTTTTGCCTATCGGAGAAACTGGAGAGCTTATGGTCGAGGGCCCTATTCTCGCCCGGGGCTATGTCGGAGACTCTGCGAAGACTTCAGCCGCTTTTATCAAAACCCCTACGTGGCTGGCAAAGGGATACGGCGATTTGCCTGGTCGCGAGGGGCGACTTTACCGGACTGGAGATCTTGCCCACTATGCTGAAGACGGCAGTATAGTTTATGTTGGCCGTCGAGATGCCCAAGTCAAGATTCGTGGTATGCGTGTTGAACTGGCTGAGATCGAGCACCACGCTTTGGCTTGTGTCCCTGCTCAGAGCATTGTTGTTGAGGTCATGAAGCCTTCCGGTGAGGGTTCGGCCAACATCATCGCCCTCTTTGTGGTTCCTGATCAAGACAAGTCTTCTTTGATATCTGGAGGCACACTGATGGAGAGCAATGGCTCAACATGTCTTGTGCAGTCACTCCCTCCCGCGCTTGAAACTCTATTGAGCGAAAGATTACCCAGTCATATGGTGCCAACTCTGCTATTTGTCCTGGACCATTTCAATCTGAACATGGCGGGCAAGGTTGACAGGAAAAGGCTTGTTCAACTTGGATCATCCTTCACTACCACCCAACTTGCTTCCCTACAAACCTCGGGTGTAACAGAGAAGCGTGGCGCATCTACGGAAGCCGAGGGCACTCTCCAACAGATCTGGGCGCACACTCTAAACATTGAGGCCACCGCGATCGGGATGGACGATAGCTTCCTTCGACTTGGCGGTGATTCTATCACAGCAATGCAAGTATCTTCGTCAGCTAGAGCCAAGGGACTAGAGGTTACGACGATGGATATTATGCAGCGAAAGACTATTAGTGCCATCATCGAAAGCTTGAGTTCATCACCTACAAAGATTCAATCATCGCATATACGCGATTTGATCAAGCACGCTCAACAGACTGTAGGTAGAGGCGAACCTTTTTCTCTCAGTCCTATACAGCAGCTCTTCTTCTTGCACCAGCAAGACCCCAGTGTGCTCTTCGACCAGTGTATTCTTCTTCAGCCTCGTAATAGGGTGCAGATATCCACTTTTAGAAAAGCACTGGACGTTCTTGTCTCAACTCATACAGTTCTTCGTACGACGTTTAGCATGTCCTCGTCTGGGGTTTGGCAACAATCTATACCACCTACCTCATCCAAACCAATTGACACTGGTATCAAATGCCGCCATGTGGAACTCGACAGTTTTGAAGAGATTGCGGCTGTCATATCGAAGGACCGAAAAGAGCTTGATATCGCCAATGGCTCGCTGATGGTCGCTACGCTGATTGATGTCGCCGAATCACAGTATCTCTTCCTTAGCGTTCATCATTTGGTGGTTGATCTGGTCTCTTGGAGAGTGATACTAGAGGATATTGAGAACATTCTATCCGGCAGTAAAACACCCTCGCCTAGTCCTATGCCTTTCGAGACATGGACCTTTTTACAAGCTGACTATGCCAAGAATCACCTCCAGGTGGACCAGGCACTGCCTTTCGACTTGGCATCGCCAATGCACTCTTATTGGTCATATGAAGAGACAAAGTCACCGAATAAGACAAGAATGAAAACATTCACTCTTGATGAGGAAACAAGTGCCGCCATACTTGGTGACTCTAACGACTCTTTTGCTACGAAACCCTCAGATCTGATGATGGCAGCTCTTCTCTTTGCCTTCAGCCAAGTATTCTCCGACCGACCCCTGCCGGCTATTTTTAATGAGAGTCATGGTCGAGAAGTATGGGATAGCAGTATTGACCTCTCACGGACAGTTGGCTGGTTCACGACTCTATATCCTATGCAAGTCCGGCCCTCGGAACCAGATATCCTTGACTTTGTGCGCCATGTTAAAGACTGTGTCAGGTCAATTCCTCAAGCTGGTTTCCCATTCTTCACTTCCAAATTTCGTGATGGAGATATTGCTAAGGATTTTGCATCTTCTTTCCCTGTGGAAATCATGTTCAACTACGGCGGAAGATATCAGCAGCTGGAGCGTAAAGATGCGTTCTTCCGTAACGTACCACTTCCAGAGGAAATGGCCACTCAGGCTTCGAAATACACGAGATATGCTCTATTTGACGTGCTTGTCAACATCACAGACTCATCTCTCGGCGTCACTTTTATCTACGATGATGTCATTGCCGCGAGCCATGAGCCAAAGATTCAGGCCTGGATGGATGAATACAAAACGGCACTAGAGAGTGTTGCTTCAAGCCTGCCCGAGGAACCTCATCAGTGGACACTCACGGATATTCCAGACGCGTTTGACTCGTACGATAGCATCGTCGAGTTCCAGGAAGAGATCATGCCCGAGCTTGAGATAGATGATGTGGATGAGATTGAAGATATCTTCCCGTGCGCTCCCACACAGGAGGGTATCCTCATCAGTCAAGCTAAGGATCCTCGAAACTATCGTTCTCGGGTCCAAATCAAGGTCTCCGCCGCAGAGAGCCACCAAGTCGATGTCACCAGACTGCGTCAAGCATGGGCGTCTGTCGTGCAGCGCCACTCTCTTTTGCGCGCCAAGCTGATTGACAGTTTCCCAGGTAGCGGAAAGGCGATGCAGATCATACTCAAAAAGCCATCAATTGATGTTGACATGCATAAGGTCTCCACAACGGATGCAGCGAAATTAGATCTGCTGGAGGGCACTGACCCTGAAGATTGGAATCTGCAGCACTACCTCACCATACATCGAGTCACGGACCAGGAGGTCCATCTAATTCTTGAGATGAATCACGCCATTGTTGATGGGTACTCCATCGGCATCCTGCTTGGAGATCTCAGACAAGGATACCAAGGAACTTTGCCCCAAAACCCAGCACCATCTTATCGTGAGTTTGTTGATCATGTCCAGCAGCAACCCTATGATGATAGCTATGCTTTCTGGAAAGACTTCCTCGCCGAGGCCGAGCCTTGTCAGTTCCCTCTCCTTGGCGACCAGATGGAACTTAGCGATAAGGAACTTCGCCGCGAGTCAACTCAGATCCAGGTCCCGAACATCGATATAGCACAAATACGGTCTTACTGCCAACTACACGAAGTCACGCCTGCGACAATTATACAGACGGCTTGGGCCATGGTCCTAAAGCATTACACGGGTTGCCGTGCTCCCAGCTTTGGTGTTTTGTCATCTGGACGTGACCTACCTATCGATGGCGTCGAGAGCATCTTCGGACCACTCATCGGCATGCTTGTTTGCCATGTGGATCTTTCTGACGAGAGGCAGACTGTGGTGGATTTGACTAAATCCGTGCAAGACCGATATTTGATGAGTTTGTCACATCAGAACGTTTCTCTTGCCAACATTCAAAATGCACTAGGTTTGGATGGGGACGTTGCGCTATTTGATACTGGAATTTCCTTCCAGAAACCCAATGGAAACGCCGGTGTGGGTGACTGTGACGAAGTTCAGTTCGTAGTGGAGGGCGGTATAGATCCATCCGAGGTAACATTTGCGCCGTTCTGTAACAAGCCTCGAAACTATTGCTAACCTCTCTTCGCCAGTATGCTATTGGAATTCGAGCCGTCGATGACGGTACAGATCTGCTTGTCCTGATGGATTACCGTCTCCAACTCACACCTGTACAAGCAGATCAACTGTCTAACTGCTTCAGCTCTGCCATTTCGTCGATAGTTCAGCCCAATACAGGCGTAACTACTGCCCCGAGACTGGTCAAAGATGTGGATCTTTTGGACGACTCTACTTGGAGTCAACTGTGGAAATGGAATCAGAATCTACCATCGCCTGTTGAGAGATGTGTTCACGAAATGATCGCCGAGCAAGTCTTGAAACAGCCCACGCGACCAGCTGTTTTCGCGTGGGATGGCGAAATGACTTATGCCGAGCTTGATGCCGTCAGTACGCGTCTTGCATGGCATCTGGTGCACCTCGGAGTGCAGCCAAGCAAAACCATGGTTCCGATTTGCTTCGACAAGTCAATCTGGGCTACGGTATCAATCTTGGCTGTACTAAAAGCTGGAGCAGCCTTTGTGCCTATCGATCTTACACAAGCCATCGAGCGACGTGCAAAGCTACTTGGTGAAATTGATGGCCGAGTTATCCTTACGTCCACGCGCTACAGTGGAACCTCATTTAGCGAGGGGACTACTGTGGTTGCGGTCAACCAGGAGCTTATCGACAGTCTTGTCAACATTGTTCCCGACGGCCAAGAGCTCGAGAACTTCGATAGACAGGCACCCTGCTATGTTCTCTTCACCTCGGGATCGACTGGTCTACCCAAGGGTGTGCTCACTCATCATGAGGCCGCGAGCACAAGTTGTTATTACTCAGGCATAAGATTGGGTTTCTCAAACACCTCAAGAGTCTTCCAATTCGGTGCTTATACCTTTGACTCGTCTATCACGGAGAACTTCACAACTATGGTTTGGGGTGGCTGCATCTGTATTCCCTCCAACGACGACCGTATGGATGACATCCCCAAGGCAATCAACACGCTACAAGCAAACCTCACATTTCTCACTCCTACTGTGGCGAACCTGATCGACCCTAAAGATATTCCAACATTACAAACCATTATCCTTGGAGGAGAAGCCACAACCATCGAAGATTTCTCTCGCTGGAGACATCTGAAGAGGGTGATTAACGGTTATGGACCAACTGAGTGTACGGTTTATTGTGTTCTCAACCACACTGACGAGATCTACAAACTTCCAGCCCGCATCGGTACCTCCGTAAGCTCCGTTGGTTGGGTCGCAGATCGTGAGGACCCTGACCGTCTTTTGCCTATTGGCGCTGTTGGAGAACTGTTGGTTGAGGGACACATCCTCGCCTTAGGTTACCTTAACGACCCTGAGCGAACCGCAAGAACTTTCATCAATAGTCCGAAATGGATGACCCGTACCAGTCGATCTGGGCGCCTCTATAGAACAGGCGATCTGGTCAGATATGACAAGAATGGTGGCCTTGTATATGTTGAACGCGCAGATACACAAGTCAAAGTGCGCGGACAGAGAGTCGAGCTAAAGGAAGTTGAGGTGCAAGTCGCGGCTACACTTCCACAAATGCAACAAATCATCGCCGAGGTGATTATTCCTGGCGGGAACAAGTCGAAGGCCTTGGTTGCTGCTTTTTTGGTTCCCGCTGAACCAGCAAGTGAAAGCGATATTACAGCATCCGATGAGGCAATCAGAGTATACACCATTCCACCTGAGATCGAGAAGCAACTCTCCAGACGCCTGCCCTCATACGCCATCCCCACGGTCTGGTTTGAGGTACTGAAGCTTCCTTTAACCGCATCGGGAAAAACCAACAGACGTATACTGCGAGACTTGGGATCCGGCTACTCAAAGTCACAGCTCATCCGTCTTCAGAACCAAAACAAGGCCAGCAAACGAACACCGGCGACCGAAGTTGGCTGGAAGCTTCTTGAGCTCTTTGCAGATGTTCTCGGACTGACCCATTCAGACATTGGCCTTGATGATAGTTTCTTCCGCCTCGGTGGTGACTCGGTTGCTGCGATGAAGCTGGCAAGTAGCTCTCGCAAGGTTGGATTGAGAATATCTGTTGCACAGGTTTTCCAGAACCCTAAAATGGAAGATCTTGCAAACCTCCTTGACCCGTCCGGTTCATCTCATTTGGGCCATGCTATTGACGAAACCGAAGAGTTGGCGCCTTTCGCACTACTTAATGAATCATTTGATGTCGAGAAATGCCGTCAGGAGGCAGCTGACTTCTGTGGCGTTTCAATCGACGTCGTAGAAGATATTTATCCCTGCACACCCATACAAGAAGGGCTTGTGGCACAGACCGTCAAGAACTCTGGGGATTATGTTCTCCAGAGGGTGATGCAACTTGCCGATGGCATTGACCTACCCCGTTTCAAACAGAGCTGGGAGCAGGTCATCCGCTTAAATCCTATTCTGCGCACTAGAATCATCCAAAGCGAGACTAGCGGTCTGCAACAGGTTGTACTAGATGAGGGAATAGTCTGGAGAGAGTCAAGTAACCTCGAAGACTACCTCAGGGACGACAGATTGGAGGCCATGGACCTTGGCCGTCCTTTGGCTCGATACGCAATTGTTACTCATGACGCGAGCCAAAATTCTATGTTTGTATGGACCATCCAGCACTCCATTTACGATGGCGGCTGCATGCCTCTTATGCTGAACCAGGTTGAGGTGGCCTACCATGGCGGGACTTTATCTACACAGTCTGCGCCAAAGTTCAACCTCTTTGTCAAACACATGGCGGAAAACATGGATAGCGATGCATCACTCAGCTTCTGGAAAGAGGAGTTCTCTGGGTACGACTCACCAGCATTCCCTGTCTTACCCAAGGTGGGCCATAACGTGGTGGCTGATGCTATTGTCGAACGAGCCTGTACGCCAATCCGGCCCAAGGGCGACATTACCCTGGCCACGGCCCTCCGAGCATCTCTAGCTCTCACAATCCATCGACAGACTGGTGTCGATGACGTTGTCTTTGGCGTGACGCTTTCCGGCCGTAACGTCCCCATCCCTCAGATAGAGGAGGTTGTCGGACCAACGATCACCACCATACCTGTTCGTGTGCGAGTCCCTCTGGAGACAACAGCGTCTGTATCGGACTATGTCAACACAGTCAGCGATGCATCGGTCACTACGATACCCTATGAACAAACAGGCATTCACCGTATCTCCTCCGTCAGCCCTGAAGCTCGCCAAGCCTGTGACTTCCAGACCTTACTCGTCATTCAGCCAGCACCGAACGAGGACGATCTAAATGAGACTTCTCGGCTCGGCACTTGGCAGAATACTACACAGACGCGGGAGTTTACAACATATGCCATCACTATCATCTGTCAGTTGCAAAAGGATGGTGGTTTCAAAGTTGGATGTGCCTTTGATCCGAATATCGTCAAGATGTGGAGAATGGAGCGAATTCTTGATCAGTTTGTGGCTACAACACAGGAGATCCTCAATTCGGAGCCACATGCACCACTAACAAATATTGCAGGTATTCTACCATCAGACGTGGAGGATATCTGGCGCTGGCATGACAAGGTCCCTACAACCATCGACGAGTGCATCCACGATACCATCTGGAATCAAGCTGCCAGACAACCCGATGCCATTGCTGTTGACGGTTGGGATGGCAAGTTGACTTACGCGGAGTTGATGACGGCTTCTAAACTGATTGCAAGCCACCTACAAAGTTTGGGTGTAGCCAGCGGCGATATTTTACCTTTGTCATTCGACAAATCCACATGGGCCATGGTTGCCATGCTAGCCGTGCTTCAAGCCTCTGCTGCCTTCTGTCATCTGGATCCGACTCAAGCGTCAGACCGTCGGGAACGATTGCTTGACCAAACGGGCGCAAAGGTAGTACTCACCTCGGAACGATACGAGGACCTGGACTTTGGCCGAGATCGTAAAGTCGTGGCTCTAGGACCTAAGCTGTTGCACACACTCCAACAGAGTCATCCTACACTCAGCAAGGCCATTACTCCTAGCATCAATCCAGACTCTCTAGCTTACACCATTTTCACCTCCGGCACAACCGGCCAGCCAAAGGGAGTTCTTGTTCACCACAGCGCACTCAGTTCGAGCTGCAAGTACAACGGCACATTCCTCCGTCTCGACAAAAACACACGATTCCTTCAGTTTTCCTCGTACACGTTCGATGCGTGCATGTTCGAGACTCTGACGGCTTTGAGCTTTGGTGGCTGCGTCTGCATACCTCCGCAAGAAGAGATACTAGGCAACCTCGCTGGCGCGATACAGCAATACTCTACCAACACTGCAGTGATGACCCCGTCGGTCATCCGTTTACTTCGACCTGCAGATGTTCCTTCGATCAAGACACTCATTTTCGGCGGCGAGCCAGCATTCCCGGCCGACTTTGAGCCTTGGCTAGGATCTGTAGAAAGTGTCGTAAATGTCTACGGTCCTACGGAATGCACTGTCGTCTGCTGTGCCAATCGAATCGAGCCTGTCGGCGAGGGACAGACAGCAATTTCGGGAGACCTGGGTTATCCTGTTGGAACGAATGCTTGGATCGTCGACCCGAATGATTCACAGAGGCTTATGCCTGTGGGTGCTGTGGGAGAACTCATCATAGAGGGCCCGTTAGTGTCAGGCGGCTATCTACATGACCCAGACCGCACTGCAGCATCATTCCTTCAGGACCCTTCCTGGCTTACTCCGAAAAGACATGGGACGGTGTACAAGTCTGGTGACCTGGTTCGCTACACACCTGAAGGTCGGATAGTGATCCTTGGACGAAAGGACAAGCAAGTTAAGATCCGTGGTCAGCGACTTGAATTGGCCGAGGTTGAGTACCATCTACAAGCATGCATGCCTCATGTTGAGCAACTTGTCGTCGAAATCATTCCAGCCACTGATGCCTCGGGAGCTAGCCTCGCTACCTTCATCATCAATGCAGATGGCGATAGTGTGACGGAGGCAAATGACTATAGTATTCGCATGGTGTCCGCGATCCCAGAAGTCGAGGATGAACTATCTACAAGAGTTCTCAGCTACATGGTCCCTACGTTGTGGTTCAACATGGCCAGACTTCCACTCAGCACGGCTGGAAAGTCTGACCGAAGAAAGCTTCGAGAGCTTGGTGCAGCTTGTTATGCAACTTCTCTCAAGGAGTCCACAAGCATGGGCCTGGCGAATAAGGTTATGCCATCAACTAAGGAGGAGCAGTTGATGCAGAGCGTCTGGGCGCGTATCCTCAACATTAAACCTGAGATGATTGGTATACACGACAGCTTCTTGCGTCTCGGAGGCGACTCCATCATCGCGATGCAAGTTTCGTCTTCGCTACGGTCATCTCTGCAAGTTCCAGTTGCAACTATCCTGAAACACAAGACCATCAGTAGGATCATCAGTGCGTTGCAGAGTACTTTGTCTGCTGAGACTTCCCAAAAGGAAAGTCAGGTAGTCCATGAAGTAGTCCCTGGAGAATTCTTTGACCTCAGTCCCATTCAACAAGTTTTCTTTGGTCATCAGCCGGATCCGAATATTGAGTTTGACCAGGGCTTCTTCTTGAAACTTGCCAGCAGGATCAGCTATGGAGGCCTCACAGAAGCACTTGATACCATCGTCCAAACACATCCTATGATGCGGGCCAGATTCCAGAAAGGGCCGAACGATAGGTGGCAGCAGTGCATCTCTCCGGACATCCGTCAATCATATGCCCTACACTCTGAAGAATGCTTCGACGACGCTGCAGTATCATCAACCATTGCCCGCTGTCGCAACACCCTTAATATCATGAACGGCCCTGTTCTAGCAGGTGCCCTTATTGACAATCTAGATGATCATTGCTTGTTCTTGGTTGTTCATCATCTGGTGGTCGACTTAGTATCATGGAGAATTATTCTTCAAGACTTGGAGACTCTCTTGACCGCTACAAAGGATGAGACGGTGTCTTTGTTGCCACCACCTCTTTCATTCCCTACTTGGTGTCACTTGCAGAAGTCGTACGCAGTATCAAGTCTTTCTGTTGATAATCCTATCAATGACATTCCCGCACCAAATCTTTCGTACTGGGGGATTGACCATTCCAGCGAAGACCTTCAAGATACAACAGGTCAGAGCTTCACGATCAGCCCGGAGGCGACATCAGCTATCTTTGGCCAATGTAACGATATCTTCCGAACAAAGCCAATCGAACTCCTAATATCGACTCTTGTGTACTCTTTCGGGAAGGCATTCACCGATAGAAATCTACCAACTATCTGGAACGAAGGCCACGGCCGTGAGGTCTGGGATGATTCTCTAGATCTTTCCAGGACATGTGGTTGGTTTACTACCATGGCACCAGTGAATATCTCTGGCAATGAGAAGGATTCACTGGAGAATTATGTTCGCCAGATCAAGGATTGTATGCGTAGCATGCCGTTGAATGGTTGGGCCTACTTTATGTCCCAGTTTGTCAACCAGAGTACGCCTGAGAAGTTCATCGCGAACTTGCCCGCCGAGATCATGTTCAACTACAGCGGTGGGTATAGGCAACTTGAACGTGATGATTCTTTCTTCCAGAACGTTGCTCCGCCGCAGCCTGCTGATAATGGCACCAAGTCACCTTCTTTCAGGCGTCACGCTGTTTTCGATGTCCTTCCTGTCGTGAATCGTGGTCAACTTTCCGTCACTTTCATCTATCCCCGAAGTATGGACTCTCGACTTCCTATCCAGACTTGGGTTGCGCAGTATCAGGCTAGCTTGGAAGGCCTAGCAGTGGAACTTGTGAACAACGACCATTACCAGACAGCTCCCCTTCTCACCTTGTCCGATTTCCCGGGGGTCTTTGACTCTTACGATGCAATTGAGGAGTTCCATGGGAGCGTGGCTCCGAACCTTGACATCTCCACGCTGGATGAGATTGAGCAGATTTATCCCACTGCACCGATGCAGGAGGGCATCCTAATCTCCCAAGCTAAAGATCCAAAGAGTTATCACAGCCGTCTGGTGATCAAAGTTTTATCCAATAGCCCGTCACACAAGCCTGGAGCCTCGCCATGCCCGATCGATCTAACAAGGTTACAGCAGGCGTGGAAGACTGTTGTCCAACGGCATGATCTCCTCCGCGCTGTTGTAGTTCACGCCTTCCCAGGCACTGGCCGCATCATGCAAGTCATACTTTCAAGCCCACAACCAAGCATCCAAATTCACCATGACTCCTCAGAGTCATCTGTGGTGCAAGCAGTCAACTCACAAGACCCGCCACATTACTCACCGACAGGGCTACAGCACCACCTCGCTATACACGTCCTGACCCCAGGGGAATGTCATCTCGTCCTTGAGATCAACCATGCTATTGTTGATGGATATTCCACTGCTGTCCTCGCAAAAGACTTACAAGCAGCTTACAGGGGTTCAAATATGGCTCTACCGGCACCATCATATGGAGATTTTATTGCCTTCACGGATGTACAACCACAAGAAGAGGGTGTTGAATACTGGTCAGATCGACTGGTGGGGGCTGAACCATGCCACTTCCCAAACTTATCATCATCTACGGCTCACCATACCAACTCGGAAGACAACATTGAGAGTAACCACACTGAAGGGACTACCATTCCAGTTCTCGGACTGAACACTACCGAGATCCGCGAGTTCTGCAAAACTCAAGAAGTCACATCTGCTATCGTCGTTCAGTTAGCATGGGCCATTGTCCTAAGATGGTACACTGGCTCACTAGACCCATCTTTTGGTATCCTATGCTCTGGGCGGGATCTTCCGATTGACGGCGTAGATAGGATATTCGGACCCTTGATCGGCATGTTGACTTGTCGAGTGAACCTTGATGATGCGACTAGTATCTCCGAGGTGTTACAGGGGTTACAAGCGAGCTACGTCGAGAGCCTCCCGTATCAAACTGTCTCACTGGCAGCGGTACACAACGCATTGAAGCTGGGATCCGAGGCTTTGTTTAATAGTGTAATCTCTTACCAGAAGGCTGATGGAGCGGATCAAAAGGAGGATGGATCTGGAGACTACAGGGGTGATGATGTTGATGTTTCATTCGTCGGAGGACATGATCCTGCTGAGGTAAATGACAGTTTCCTTTCCCTAGCTTTGATTTGACTGACACAAATAAACTACACAGCACAGTATCGGAGTCAGGGTCATAGATACCCAGGACGAGCTCTTAGTCATGATTGACTCTAAATGGGTCCTCGACAACAATCAAGCAGCTCGAATTGGCCAATGCTTCAGTGCAGCAGTCCATTCAATCATATCCAACAGTGAAGTGGCTGTCAAAGATCTCGATGCCTTGAGCACTGAAGCACTCGATCAGATCTGGGAATGGAACAGCATCGTCCCAGAAGCCTACGACGTTTGCGTTCATGACATTATTGAGGATAGGGCGCTCATATGTCCTGACAAAATTGGTATTGACAGCTGGGATGGAAAGTTGACTTACCGACAAGTCACTGATCACGCGGGACGACTTGCGAGTTCTCTCATCCAAAATGATCTTGTTCCAGATAGTATCGTCCCGCTATGTTTTGAGAAGTCAAAGTTCACTGTTATCGCAATGCTTGCTGTGTTGCGAGCCGGGTGTGCCTTTGTCCTTCTTGATCCCGCACAACCCAAGGACCGTCTTCGCAGTATTGTCAAGCAGATCGATGCAAAGGTCGGATTATCGTCACCTTCAACTCATCATCTTCTGTCCACTATAGTTGAAGATGTCGTTGTTGTCAGTGAGACCTCACCACACCTGCAGTGCCCTGTCTTGCCCAGAGATCAAAGCAGGGGAAGCCCCTCATCTCTGATGTACATCGTCTTCACATCAGGAACTACAGGAGAGCCAAAGGGGACGATGATCAACCACCACTCCTTTGCTTCTGCTATCAAGCACCAAGCACAACGGGTTGGCTTCAACTCCGACATCAGGATATTGGACTTTTCCTCTTACAGCTTTGATGTCTCCCTCAACACGTTGATGATGGCATTGGCCGAGGGTGGCTGCGTTTGTGTACCCTCTGAAGAGGATCGCAAGAATCACTTAACAGAAACCATTGTCCGATTTGGCGTCAACACTATTGATGTGACGCCTTCAGTGTGTCGTCTACTAAATCCCGATGAGATGCCATTGGTACACAGTGTGTTTCTGGGAGGTGAGGCACTGAAGGTCACGGACGTTACGCATTGGCCAGAGCATGTGAGAGTTGTAAACTGCTATGGTCCATCTGAATGCACACCTACCACAACGATCAATGACATTCAAGGTCCAGCCATCACTAGTATCGGAAAGAGTTTCGGTGCGGTGACTTGGGTTGTCGACCCAACAAACTATCACACGTTGGCTCCTCCAGGCACAGTTGGCGAGCTTCTCGTCGAAGGCCCCATCATTGGTAGAGGATACCTAAATGATCCTGTCCGTACAGCGGCGTCCTTCATCCATGAACCAGAGTTTATACGCAAGGGCTCGGCCTCGTGCGCAGGCCGATCTGGGCGTCTTTACAAGACAGGAGATCTGGTCAGATACCAATCTGATGGAAGTCTCATGTATCTCGGAAGAAAGGACACGCAGATAAAACTCCGCGGGCAGCGTGTGGAGCTTAGCGACATTGAGCATCATATACTAGACTGCATGTCTAGCACAGCCAAAGAAGTTGTCGTCGAGGTGATTCGCCCATTAGGCAAAGACGGGGACCAACAGACTCTTGCTGCTTTTGTTCTTTCGGGTGACGAGAAGACAGTTGATGTCGATGAGCCAATCCGCTATCATGGTATCGGAGTTGCTTCACTCCCAGGGACTATGGCCATCGAAGAAGCGCTTTCTAAGCGAGTACCGGGTTATATGGTGCCGACGGCCTGGTTCAGAGTCGATGCAATGCCATTGACAATCTCTGGTAAGAGAGACCGAAGAAAGCTGCGAGATATTGGATCTTCGTACTCCATCTTGCAACTCGATCAGCAAGGAGCCCAGTACAAGCGCAAGCCGACAAACGAGATCGAGAGAACTCTGCAATCACTATGTGGCCAGCTTCTAGGTATCGACACCAACTGTATAGGACTCGATGACACTTTCTTCCGCCTCGGTGGAGATTCTTTGAGAGCTATGAGCCTAGTCTCTGCCGCTAGAAAGGCCGGCTTGGGTCTCTCCGTTGCACTGATCTTCCAATATCCGAAGCTGGAAAATCTTGCAAAGGAGCTCAAGACCAAAGATGTTTCGCAGAACTCGATCATTGAGGTGAAAGAGATCAAGCCGTTCTCACTTGTCTCCTCTCCACAGAAAGATCTGGATGAGCTTACCAACGGGGTAGCTAGACTCTGTTCCGTCGATATTGAGGATGTTGAGGACATATATCCGGCCACACCTCTGCAACAAGGCCTCATGGCTCTGACTACAAAGAGGCCAGGAGACTACGTCCTCCAGAATGTCATGCAAATTGACACTAACATAGACTGCGACCGACTGCAGCGTTCGTGGGAGGAAGCAGTCCGACGTACGTCGACACTGCGCACCCGAATCATACAACACCCCTCTAGTGATGCTGTATTGCAAGTTGCGGTCAAGGGTAGCACTATCCAGTGGAGCTATGGTGATGACCTCGAGGCTTACCTGAAGATTGACAAAACCGCGTCCATGGATCTCGGGGAGCCACTTGTGCGCTTCGCCATCATTCGAGAGGGTGCTCTCGGCCATTTCTATCTCGTATGGACAATCCACCACGCAGTATACGATGGACAATCACTCCCTGCAATCCAAAACATGGTTCACCACATCTATCATGATCAGTCAGACATGATTCCAAACCATCCGGGATGGAACACATTTGTCAACTACCTTTTGACAAAGAACTACGACGACAGTAGAGCATTCTGGGATAAAAGCCTATCTGGATACAACTCATCCGCATTCCCACCGCTTCCACCAACACTGACAGATGAAGTTATTGCAGACACTTCAATTGGTCTGTCTTTTGAAATGCCTACCATGAAAGATTCAAGCGTAACGCTTGCCACAACCATCAGGGCTGCATGGGCTCTGGCTGTGTACTACAACACTGGTTCACCAGACGTGGTATTCGGCGCTACACTCTCAGGACGTGGTGCCCCTGTCCCAGGGATTGAGGATATTATCGGTCCCACCATCGCTACTGTACCAGTTCGGGTAACTAGTCCTCAGCGAGACTCGCGTTCCACGATGTCGGATTTCCTCCTCGACGTCCAAGCTCAGTCAACATCCATGATCCCCCATGAACAATTCGGTCTACAGAATATCTCTAAGCTTAGCTCGGATGCCCAGAAAGCATGTGACTTCAAAACACTACTAGTCATTCAGCCTTACGAAGACGATGAACTTGACGCTCAAACACCATCCGGTGCACAGCTTGGGATCTGGCGTGAAGCAATCGCTCAAAGTGGGGAGTTCAGTACGTATCCTCTAACCATTGTATGTCGCGTCTCAGCCTCAGGAGGCATGCATCTGGGCTGTTACTTCGATTCCCGTATCTATCCGCAATGGCGAGCAGAAAGAATGCTCGACCAATTCGGATTCTTGATTCGACAACTCTCAAGCATGGATCTCAACAAGCAGATAGCTGAAGTCGACAATTTGGCCCCCTCTGACAGGGAGTTACTGTGGGCATGGAACAAGAAGGTCCCGGATCCTGCGGACCGTTCTGTCCATGACTTAATCCTTCAACGCACCAAGACGCAGCCTGGTGCCACCGCGATTAGCGCCTGGGACGGTGAGATGAGCTACACCGAGCTAGACATCGCATCTTCCAAGCTTGCAGTCCACCTCGTCAACGAGTGTGGCATTAAGGCTGGAGAAATGGTTCCCTTGTATTTCGACAAGTCCGTCTTTGCGATTGTGTCTATGCTAGCGGTTCTAAAGGCCTGTGCCGTGTTTGTCCCGCTTGATCCTACGCGCACAAGGAACAACCGGGAAACAATCTTGACACAGCTGTGTGTGAGCACGATACTGACGTCAGAGCATCTCACAGGTGATTTGCAATCAGAGAGGATCTCAGCAAGCGTTGTCCCTGTGGGTTCTCGACTTCTCACAAGCCTTACAAGCGAACACGATAGGGATGACGAAGTGGCAAGTCCCAGCTCTCTCAGTTCCGCAGCATACATCATCTTCACAAGTGGCTCAACCGGCCAGCCGAAGGGCGTTGTTCTCGAACATCAAGCCGTGGCAACAAGTTGCTCTCACCATGGTCTGGCGCTTGGACTACAGACGACTTCGAGGGTGCTACAGTTTGCCTCTTATGCCTTTGACGCATCTATCCAGGAAATCATCACGACTTTGGTTTACGGAGGTACCGTTTGTATTCCCTCCACGCATGACCTGCAAAACAACCTACAGGAGAGCATCCAAGCCATGTCAATCAACACTGCCTACCTCACACCATCTGTCGCTAATCTCATCAACCCTGCTGCCGTCCCCGAACTAACGACGCTTATGTTGGCGGGCGAGGCATCAACTACCCAGGATCTCAGACGATGGTTCCGACCAGAGCAGACACTACTTCACGGATATGGTCCAACCGAGTGTGCGGTGCTCTGCTCCGTTGCGAATGTCAATCTAGGCTCAGCTGAGATACAACCCGCCTGCATCGGTACTGCTACAGGTGGAACTAGCTGGGTTGTTGACCAGGATGATCACAACAAACTCCTTCCGATCGGAGCCATCGGTGAGCTTCTCATTGAGGGGCATATCCTCGCAAAAGGTTACTTCCACGACCAGGCCAAGACCGAAGAGGCATTCATCGACACGCCCATTTGGCTTTCTCAAGGACTCGGTGGGGACAACGGCAACACTGGACGTCACGGTCGCCTTTACAAGACCGGCGATTTGGTGTCCTATAATCCTGACGGCAGTCTCAATTTCATCGGTAGAAAGGATACACAGGTCAAGATCAGAGGACAGCGGGTCGAACTCGCAGGAGTCGAGGCCGCTGTTCTGCAATCCTTTTCCGGTGCAGTTCAGGTCGTTGCTGAGATCATCAACCCGATAGGTCAGGGTGCGAACCCAGTACTAGCGGCGTTTGTGGTTCTCAACAATGGTGATGCGCCTGCTTCATTCAACAAAACTCACAATGGGGTGCAAGTTGGTGTTCTCCCTCTAAGTGCTACTTTCGAGGCCAGAATCTCTGAGGTGATGCCAAGTTACATGATACCATCTGTATGCTTCGTCGTCGATGACTTACCACGGAACATAGCAGGCAAGACCGATCGAAAGAAGTTGAGAGATGTCGGGTTATCCTTCTCAACAGAAGAACTCGCTTCGCTTCAAAGGACAGAGGGCGCTAAGAAACAACGGCCATCAACAGATTCTGAGAAGCTATTGTGTGGGATTGTGGCGAAGGTCCTAAACCTCGACCTGGCCAGTGTTGGACTTGATGATAGCTTTTTCCGTCTTGGTGGTGACTCCATCACCGCTATGCAGCTATCGTCTGCTGCACGTCTCCAAGGACTGGATATCTCAGTTGCAAGGATAACAAGACTCAAGACACTCGGTCGGATATTGGAAGCCAGCATCGCCGGCGACTGCAGTGCAGTGCCACATATCAACGACATTCATGCCGAAACACACAATAACAGCGCGGTCGCTCTGACACCGATCCAGCAGATGTTCTTTCTCCAACAAACAGACCCTAAAGTCTCCTATGATCAGTTCTTCTACCTTCGACCCAAGACACCCATCGCGCAGCCCCAACTCCTATCCGCCCTTCACAGAATCGTCGATGCCCATCCCATCCTCCGTGCGCATTACAAACAGAACACTTCTGGGAGCTGGGAGCAGTTCATCACGAAGTCTGCAGAAGAATCAGTCCGATGCATATCACACACCTGCTCCGACTATCAGCAGGTCGCCTCAGTCATCCAAGACCAGCGAAGTAGCCTAGATCCCACAGCTGGCCCTCTAGTTGTGGCCGCTCTGTTTGAGGTGAACGGTGAACAGACGCTCTTCATAGTGATTCACCATCTCGTCGTTGACCTTGTCTCTTGGCGTATCATTCTTGGCGATCTCGAAACTCTGCTGGTATCAAGGTTTATCGATGAGGTCTCTCTGGCACCACCAACAACATCTTTCCAAGCCTGGTCTACGCTCCAAGCTCAACATGCTAGAGATCTAGTCAAACCTCCTCGGCAACAAATAACTATTCCAACACCACAGATCTCATACTGGGGCAGCGAGGCCACAGCAACGAGTCTAGGTGCTGATACAACCACTTTATCGTTCTCCGTGGACGAATGTACAACAGCCGCCATTCTGGGGGCATGCAACGAAGCCATGGGGACAAGACCAATTGAACTGATGATATCAGCACTGCTTTTCTCCTTCGGACAGACTTTCAATGGCAGAGCACTGCCTACAGTTCTGAACGAAGGCCATGGTCGTGAGGCCTGGGATGAGTCACTGGATCTAGACCTGTCAAGGACAGTGGGTTGGTTCACCACGCTGTATCCTGTTCAACTTGATCCAACCAAGACCCCTATCACCACCACATCGTCCCACACCACAAAGCAAGGAGGTGAGTTACTCGACATCATAGCTCAAACGCACAGCGCCATGTCAATCGACTCCTCTTCAGATAAGGGTACTGCTTGGTTCACATCCCAATTTGCGACCCCAGAGTCTGCGCAATCCTTCGTGCAAAAGCAACTTCCTGCTGAGATCGTCTTCAACTACGGTGGTGTTTACCAGCAGCTTGAGCGCGATGACTCGTTCTTCAAGATCACATCTTTGGAGGAAATGGCCAACGGTGTCACTGATGATCTGGAAGCACAGGAAGTCGAAACCCCCAGAAAGGCCGGCGTGTTTAGTATTGATCCTCCTTCATCTGCCGAGCCGCAGCTTTCCTCACTTTTTGAGTTTGTGGCTGGTGTGACAAGGGGGAGACTGCATGTATCAGTCCTGTATAGTAAGAAGTTGTCGCGTCAGGAGGAAATTGAAGAGTGGCTTGTTGGGTTTGAGGATGTTTTGAAGAGGATTGTTCAGGAATTAGGCACGGAATAGATTGAGTAGTGTACGTAGATAGAAACAGAGTTCTTACGCATCTAACTTTGGTTATCATCTTGTTCGTAGCAAGTGAATGAAACAGTCCCGTTTAAAGATTCCAATAACAAACCAACTAGGAATATCATAAAGATATATAAATTATATAATAATTGGAATAATTTATAAACGGTTTTAGGATAGGATTGTATAAAACTATGAACAGTAAGAGACTTTATTATAATTTGTATTATCTTGTATAAAGTTTAGAAGAGAGTGTATCATAATTTCTATTTTCTGATATGAGGTTTAGAAGAGAATTCCCAGAACTTTTGACCTCTCACTGTAGGAAGTGTTGGTGAACAACACGCCTCATTTCTGAGAGTGTGCAGATACTGATGCATTCGGAATTTGCTCAGAGACTATAACGCGTAGACATTGTGAAGGCCGCGAGATATTGTGCGGTAACTTATGACGTAGAGGCTCTCAGGCGCGTCTTCCATCTTTTCGCGTCGCGTGTGTTTCCACCAATGAGCAGGGATAATGCAAGTTTCGCTGATGTCTAGCGGCATCTCGAGAGTAACATCACCACCACCACAGGGGACATTCTCCAAGCTAAGGAGGACGCCATACACGCCCATTGGCCCAATTTACTCGCTGAGTACAAGAAGATGAGAGCTCCTGTTGGGGGATTTACACCTCGCTCGTGCCGCGCCTGTGGAACAATGTTCCAAAGCTCAAATGGGACCACGGTCCATGTTGGGTAAACCAGCACTATCAATCAGGGAATTCTTGATCGAGCGGGGGTGACCTGGGATCGGAACGGCGTTGAGCCTGGGCCTATGCCTGAGCCTGAGGGGTATGAGGAGTTGCCAAAGCCTCCAAGAAAGAAGAGAAAGTATACCAAGTGAGTAGAAACCAGTGATGATGTGAGAGTCTGAGAACAAGACTTCAGGGTTTTCTAGAAACAAATGATATCGTATGTATCTCTCATAAAGCAATCCTCGAGCGGCAAAATGTATAAAATACGTAATAATCAGGGTACTTTATGTGTAATAATACCCTAAGATTAGTTAAGATTATATAAAATAGAAGAGTTTATTATATTTATATAATTTTACATAAACTTTCAAAGAGACAAAGCTATTGAAACTTTCACGCATACCTACTCCAGATCTCTCAGTCTGTCTTATTATCAGTTCATCAATCTTGATTTCAGCATAGGTTTTGTGAAACATTATAAGCTGTAGATGATGAGTTACATACCGAGAGAAGTGGCTGGCGCAGGAGCTAATTGAGGCTCATTGAGCTGGTCAGAGAAGAATTCGAGGAGTGAGACAGTGTCATCGTCAGGCCCAGGGAAAGGAAAAAGCAACACTGATGTTTGATCACCAGTGGCGGCGATGATGGTGATTCGAGGCAGGGCGTGAGACATGTTGAAAAATTAAAGGATTAAAAATTAAAAGAAAGAATCAACGAAACAGGACACGAATTGGACATGAATTGGGCACGAAACGGACGGCGCTGTATTCATGGATGTTCTTGAAGCTATCTAGACTAAATCTTGAGTGTCTAAACACCCATTGCGGCTTATGTAGTCTAACACTTCTGCCTACTCCATTCGAAAGGAATGAACGACTACTTGGCAAATGTCTCAGGTAACAGGTAACCATTGCCAGATGCGTGTGGATGCCAACCAATGGATCTTATCTTGAGAATATTCTAATTAGTATGTATTATCCATTTTTATGATGAAAGCCATATGTTCCTAGGTGCGCAGGGGCTCGAGTAATCACAGCGCATGATTACTCGAGCCCCCGGATAGCTTGTTTCTCTTTTGGATTTTCTGTATCCGCACGGGACCATATAACGCCACCACTCATGTACGCCCACGCGAAAGTGACGCGTGTGTGACACAGTCTCAGGAACGTTCCTAAAATTCTTGAAATAGTTCTGCATTGGAAAAAGAAGAGGCACTTGATTTATTTTGTAAGCCTGGGTTTATTACTAAAAGTGGCTTTAAGAGCAATTCGGCTGATAGGCCCAGTTCTTGACAACTGATTAGACTTGATGATTTGACATACCATTAACACTCTGTCAGGATACACGGATTAGAGCTGTGTTATTGTCAGCTCCAGGGTAGGCAAACACCTACGAACATCCTGGCATTAAAAGTCTTGGCTACTATTCATCGACAGTCTAACTCCATTGGTATCAATCCGTCTGTTTAGCGCGGCCTCTAGGACCAGCATTTTCGGATCAACTTCATAGGGTAACTCTCGGTCGGTTAGTGCTTAGCTAACGTTAGTGCTTACAGCAGTCATGTGGATAGCACGACTTAAAAAGTCTTCATGTTTCTTCACAGTGCAACATGTTTTGCCTACGTGAACTTCGACCTTATCGGTGACGAAGGATTCTCCCCTATTCTTATCGGCGGGGTATATGTATATGCGCCTTAATAATCTAATTTTCTATTATCAACTTCAATCCGAGGTATATAAACCCTAAAGGGCCTTAATAGTCTTGAATTCGCGCCATTGGACCAGCATAAAGCAACAGAGGCATGGCTCAAACAGGCTTCGCCCTGAAATGGGGCGGAATCTTTCTTCTTACCGCAATTGGATGCTTCATCATCAAGCTATACCAACAAAGGTCATTCTTTCGCCGAACTGTCGAGAGGTATAACCTTGTAAGTAGTGGCCGATCTACTGGTCTGGATGCTGCCAGTATGACTGATCCTCGCAGCCCACTTTGCCCAACCACTCATGGCTCCTCGGCAACTTAATCGCTGTAGGAAAGATTATGGCAAAGTACCCAGAAGATGTACACGGTCAATTGATGCCAGATTTTCTTGCGCGAGACTATCCTGAGATTGCCGAATTCGGTGCATGCTACATTGATCTATGGCCCATCTCCTGGCCTATGCTGGCGACATTTGATCCCAACATTGCATCACAGTATACACAAGAAAAATCGATGCCAAAACACGAGATTATCAGAAATCAGTTTAGACCTCTGACAGGCCTCAAAGATCTCGTCCTAGCCGAAGGATCATTTTGGAAAAAGTGGCGAGCAACTTTCAACCCAGGCTTCTCAACACAGAATATATCCGCCCTTGTTCCCGAGTTCATTGAGGAGGCTTCGATTTGGAAGAAACAACTGGAACAAATTGCAAAGGACAATCGGATTGTGCCACTCGAGGACTGCGTTATGAGAGCTACATGCGATATCATTTGTCGATCGGTCCTGGGGATAAGTCTCGGCATCCAGAGTGGTGTTGACGATAAGATCTTTCCCACGCTCAAAGGCGCCATTGGACTTCTCGTCACAGACTGGTCACCAGCTCAGTGGGGTCGTCTTTTGAATCCCTTTCGACATGTTCGGCTTAGACGGTTGAATCAAGCCTTGCGAGATCAATTGCAGCCGTTGATAGAACGCCAGCTTGAAAATCACGAGCGCATTGAAGGACCAAGGACGGTCAACGGCCTTGCTATCCGAAACTACATGAAGACATATGGGTCACAAAACACTTCGAGTTCCAAGATTGATCCTGAATTTTTGGATGTCACTGTCGAGAACCTCAAGATCTTCCTCTTCGCCGGCCACGATACAACCGCATCTACGCTCTGCTTTGCTTACCATTATCTATACCAGCATCCAGACGTGTTGGAGAAACTACGACAGGAACACGATAAAATTCTTGGTCCCGATACCACTGATGCTACCAGGAAGATCTCAGAGACTCCGACATTGCTAAACCAACTGACGTATACTACGGCAATCATCAAAGAGACTCTGCGACTAGAACCACCAATCGGTAGTTGTCGCGAGGGTTCGCCCACATTCTTCCTGAAACATCCCGAAACGGGTCAGCAGCTTCCCACCGACGGTTTCATTCTTTTCGCAGCTAGTAAAGCAATTCACCGTAACCCCAAGTTCTGGTCCGACCCCGATAAATTTCTGCCCGAGCGCTGGCTCGAACAGGATGTTCACAGAAACGCTTACCGTCCGTTTGAATTGGGCCCCCGAGGCTGTATCGGACAGGAGCTTGCCTTGACGGAGCTACGGTTGCTCCTTGCAATGACGGTCAGGGATCTCGAGATTGTTCCAGCATACAAGAAGGGAGATGAGAGCTTGTACGGGTACCAAGCTTACCAGGCGCATATGCCTGGTGAGCTTACCGCGCATCCCAGTAAGGGTATGCCAGTAAAAGTCAAGATTAGAGCGGCCCAATAAATAGTCGCAGGATGGAGTGGCTTGATTAGCGAATGAAGTAACCGAGACTGCGAATTATTGAAAACTTTGACCCTGCTCTAATTTCGAGACAAAACATCAAAAAGCTGATCACGCTGGGGATCGAACCCAGAATCTTCTGATTCGTAGTCAGACGCCTTGCCATTGGGCCACGCGACCTTGCTGTTTAGGACGTCCGTACCAGGGCCATCATTGTTTTAGCATTGACGCGTACCCTACAGCTTGGCAACACGTGTGACTGATCATTGGAGAAACGAGCCGCGTCCTTTTGAATGGCTTCACGATCACTGAGTAATATAGAGAGGATTATCGTTCTGGATATCTGGTCATCTTATCAAGTCCAATAGGAATCTTGCTATTATCAAGCTGCAATGTTGGATTCCATCTCTGTGAGCGAATGGAACAATGGACCGACGTGATTCAGGTCTTAACCCAACACCCCATACCAACACCAGCCACTGCTATGACGCTGTTTGTGCACGGCTACAACTGTGACACAATAAGCTGTCTGATAAGGACACACTGACTTAAGAAGCGGCGACTGGATCGTATGGTGGGTGAAAAATTGTTTACCTCTTTCATATTGTTCAATTTGAGCTCGAAACAGCATCCAACAGCGACCGTGGTGTAGTGGTTAGCATTAACGCCTTCCAAGCGTTAGAGAGGGGTTCGATTCCCCTCGGTCGCAGTCAAGGTCTTCGGACAAGAAGTTCTCTTTTTGTCATTTGGTGACAAATGAGAGAGCGGTCTCTCCTGACAATTGGCTTCTTTCCAGTTGACTGGGTGGAGGTTCATCAAAGCGATTTGCATGTCTGGCACTGTAGATATCTCAGTATCGGCATCACGTTCCTGGCTTGAGGTAGGTGGGTGAATCATTATAACCGAAGATGATACCGTATTTGGCCATTTTCCAATTGAAGTGGTGCATGTTGATGGTCGTGAATTGAAATATTTTTGGAATAATCGAAACAATTCGAATATGACTTCCGAGGATCCGGTACCCTTGTTGCTTTCTCGTCGAGGCAGATCAAAGAATAGGACCTGGCAAACTTGCCTTGCCGGCAATATATGAACGGTAGCCATTTACGTTAGAACGTACAAAAATGTTGGCTTTGCCACCCCCCATAGATTTCCTTCGCCTTCTATCATCTGTCACTCACGACATTCTCTATGAGCCGCCGTGAATCTAGAGCTTTGTTTGTCGCCGTCAGAATCATCCAATAAGCGGTGAGATGGCCGAGTTGGTTATGGCGCCAGGTTAAGGTTAACCTTAACACCAATTCCTGGTGGAGCAATCCTCCTGGGTTCGAGTCCCAGTCTCATCAAGTTCATTTCTTTTTGCTCCTTCCGCTTGGTTCTTACTGCCCCACCCTTACCATGTGTAAGAAGTCTCGGCTACAGTATGCCAAGGATAGGTAATGTCACCGCTAGTTCTAGAACGTATATAGAGCAAGTAGAGTTATCTATAGCCTTAGTAGTTTGTAAAACCTAGAAATTAAGTATGCAAATATACCCTTAATAACTCGTTACCTATCGCCCTTCTCGGCAATGAAAAACAACTTCCGCAAGATAGCCTTTAATACTGGGTTGATAAAGCGGGTCTTCCAATAAGCAATTTCAAAACCGAACTGACCCATGATATGATGCTTGCAGTGCTCCCCGCCCTCCAGTGCCGAGGCGGATACAATATAAACTTTCCGTTTGTCATGCGACTCGCCTGTTTCCGCACCAAGAGCGTTCGTCAGAATACGACCTTGGGCCATCGGCATCCAACAACCATACCCGTCAGCGAATCGTATAGAGCAAAGATCATCAATTCTCCACTTGTGGTGGCTCTCACGTTGACGTGTCTGCAAAGATGGCAGGGCATCCTGGCGTTTATAACAATTTAAATCTCATATATCATATTAATCACGCACGTTGGGTTTTCTTGCGTTCCCATTTTTTCCTTTCTTCTGCAAAGTTGTCGTCATCTTTCTCAAATATTCTTCTTATTATTGACAATGATGTCGACCATAGATAATCAGCCACTTGTCGCTGATGAGCACGTGGGTCCTTGAATATATGTATATATGAATGATCTGACTTCTCTTTTCTAGGTTCTTGATGACCAAGATTCCGGAAATGAGGTATGCAAAGCTACTCGACCCTACTGAAGTGATCGATACCTTCAATCCAAATGGCAAGCTGACACTTCATTCCTTCCGTTTGTTAGGATAGTGAATCATCCACGCAAAGCATAAGCAGCACTATTCTCCAATACAGACAAGAGAACGGGAGGACTTATCACGGCTACAAAGACGGAAGTGAGTACAGCATCTCTTACAATCGCCTTCAGCTGACAGTCTAGAATACAACGTCCCCAACGATGATCAAGAAAATGAAAGGCTAGGTGTGTAAAGTTCATCGACATGGCCAAATGTTCTAAGCTAAAGAGCCCAGATCTACAACATGCCCTCTTTCTTCGAACTTTCGACGACAATCTGGGCTTCGCACCCCCGAATGACCCTCGAGCTGATGTCAAGCACGTCCTCGATGTAGGCACTGGCACGGGGATCTGGGCCATGGACTACGCCGACGAACACCCAGGTGCCGAGGTCTGCTTAATCTACTGATTCACGGTGTTGTGCCAATCTTTCTGACGTTTTGCTGTAGGTCACTGGAGTCGATCTGTCTCCCATCCAGCCAAGTTTGTAAGTCAAAGCGCTGCTACGCATTTTCGCAACGGACATGGTCTGATAGCCATAGTGTTCCACCAAACGTTCGATTTATCATTGATGATATGGAGGAGGAGTGGCAATACTCATCTTTGTTTGATTATGTTCATAGCCGGATGATGAACTCTTCTGTCGCTAACTGGGAAAGCTATGCCACTAGAATTTTCGAGTAAGCTATTGAGAAATTAAGCAGTGATACTAATAGGCTGACGCATATAGCAACCTGGAACCTGGAGGTTACGTTGAGTTCCAAGAAATAGACATTTTTGTAAGATCCGATGACGGAACACTCAAAGAGCAGCATAATCTAGCTTGCTGGGCCCAACTACTACACGATGCATCTGTCAAGCTAGGTCGGCCATATTTCGACCCAGGGAATATCAAGGACGTGTTAATGAAAGTTGGGTTCGAAGATGTGACAGAGGCCAAGTTCAAGTGGCCTACAAACAAATGGCCCAAAGACAACAAGTACAAAGAACTTGGAATTTGGAACAACGAAAACGCAAACTTCTTCCTCGAGGCAGTGGCTATCGCACCACTTACGAGGGCCTTGGGTTGGTCGAGGGAGGAAGTTGCTGTGTTTATTGCCCAAGCTCGGAAAGAGTTGAACGACACTAAGATTCATGCATACTGGCCAATGTAAGTTCACGATAGTCAGCTACATGTTTTACGTTGAGCTGACAGTCTGGTAGTATCTCGGTATATGGTAGGAAACCCTTGAAGTAGCTAGTGAGCTGGTATGGTTGAGCAGACTGATACTCTGGGCTGGAGTTATACACTGATTACAATTAACGTGGCAAATTTATGGTATTAATTCATGTGAGATAAGTAGCTACTGTGACCGTGGATACAATGTTTCTTTCATGTTATCGTAATATTTCTTTCATGTTATCGTAATTTTCCCTTTTCTCCGCCTACTGCATTGGTGGCATCCGAGATTGCCTCTAATGATCGTTGTATGAGGATACTAGTCGATGCTTCGTAATTCTCTTTGTCGACTTTGGCCTGAACCAGCACGACCTTCGAAGTCTTACGTGTAAGTTGGCGTGTACTAGGCATGCAACCGACCATGACTCCCACGCAGAGCTCAATGAAGGCCCACATCATAGCTCTGACAGCATCGGATTATGTGATAGTCAGAAAAACACCCAGTAAGTGATTTGTAGAATGGTTTACCTGCACCCTTCTTCCCAGATTGGAATGATGTCAAGAAGTAGAATCTCATAACATAGGCAACCGTGAGACTACATGCTTGTTAGGCATTCAACTTCACAGGCCTACCATTCAAGAAGACCTACAATATACCCACACTGAACATGGCTACCACGCCAGCCTTCTTCCGTAGTTTCAGGCCTAGATGGTATAGCTACGTGAAAGGAAGTATCACCATCCACACATCCAGTGCGATGTTATGATAGCATGACATGTGTATAATATCTTTTGGCTTCGGATTTTGCCTTGAGGGTATATATCTGCCCACCTGTTCCAGTTCACTGATATTGGCCTTCTTATTGTGAGCATGAGAATGAGGCAGACTGCGGTAGAGACAAGGTTGAAAGACTGCGTGACCTACATGGCAATTCGGAAGCTGTGGTCAGGGAAGATGCGGAAAAAAGTAGGAGAGGACAGATGATTCAACTAGTCCGAGGTTAAGAAAATAATCGAGATGCTGGGAAGTAAAACAACTAGAGTTGGGTTAGGTAAGATAATCGGATGAGATTTAGTACCGAAAGGTGAAATAATGCTTACTTTGAATAGCGATACGGTCTCCTTTTCGGTCAAGGTCCATACATCTCGGCCCACGCCATCATCAATCACTAATAGTGATTCTATGTCAACAAAACGTTTCCAGGATTCTTAGAGAGTAACTAACTGCACTGTATGAGAGTACATTGTGTCACCAGGAAGATCTCCTTGAAAGTTAGTGGTCTTTGCATATGCTGTGGCGGTTTAACAACTCACAACAGCTAGCAACATGAAAGAATCATCAAACCCCCAATACAATCTCTCAAAGCACTTTGAGATGAACCTCATAACAAACTTGCGGTGGCTAAGCTGAATACCGTTGAGCTCGAAATGCGTAATGTCGGACCATCGTTTCGAATGGGTAGGTCGCACTGAGTCGCTGAAATGTTGGCGACCTCTACCGCAAAGGTGGTATCAGTACTTTGTCACCAGACAATACGGTGTTGTATTCTAGGTAGAAATTTATACTTAGTGTCTCCCTGGTGGAACAATTCTCCTGCAAGCACCCGCCCATCATATCAGTAAAGTTTGAATCATGGCATAGCTGTTCCTGTGTTGCGTTCGAAAATGCTGGCTGGGCAACGGTTGCGAGAAGAGATTTCATCTTAACACACATCGACCTATTTCGATCCGGCTTCTCATAAAAGAGGATGACCTACTCCGCACTCTGGTAGACCTGCCGGCAACTGCGCTACGGTGATATTGAACAAGAGGGCCAATACGCTGAGGGTCCTGGCTAATCTCGAAATTGTCATGTTGTCGGTGTAACATGCATACTGGAGGTGTGTTTGGAAGCCGGGGTCTTGGGGACCAAACGGATTTTATTTGTCGGGTCGCAAATTGCAGCTGGAATGCAACATCTGGCAGGGTGCCGTTGACAATAGAGGTTTGTCTAGCGCTAAGATCTTTGCCTCAGGTCCTGGAATGAGTTTGGGGTCATAGCTTTTGAACCGTCAAGCGTACCATCCGCGTTCCAATGTTTCGCACCTTTTAAAGCCTCTTGTGGGCTTGATTCGTACCCTCCTCCTCTTTTTCCTTTCATTCTTATATATTTACCAGGCGATCTTTAAGATTGCACTTCATTTAAGACATAATTCCGTATCATTCTCAGGGGTATCTCTAATTTCTTGTTCATACCCACATTTGGCTAGGAGTATCTCTCCATGGACCGAATGGTACATGATTTTGCGTCTTGATAGATGTTTTGTTTGATTAATAAGGTCTCCGGTCTCCGGTGCTACAAGTATCAGAATACTGTTGCAATTGGGCAATTTCATGATATCTGAATACTTAGATCGGCTATCTAATTTGACTCCCTGCCCTTGACCTAGGAATGAGATCTAGATCATTGTCTTGTCGATGGGACCGGAGTGGAGGTAAACCGCGACTCGAATGGGTGGCTAGTGATACCGAAGTGGCCAGGTAGCTGCGCCATGTGATGGATGATTGGGATTTGCTGTCCAAACAGAAGCCGTTGGGAGTCCTGGGCTGTAGGGGAGTACATAATGGCGGCCATCTGTGCATCCACGGCGCCTTTGATATCCGAGTAGGCGGAATCACCTACCATGTATGTCGTGTGGAGAGAGGCGCCAAGCTGTTTGATGGCGTATTGGAAGATACGCGGGTCGGGCTTGCGATAGCCAGCTTCCTCAGAAGTAATGATTCGCTCTATTAGATGCTGTATGCCAATAACCTCAGCCTTGGCTGTCTGGTCTTTGATCTGCCCGTTGGTGATAATGGCAATGCGGTATCCATGTTCACGAAGCCGAGCCAGAGTCTTGATGCTTCCTGGGGTTGCTCTCCGATTCGCTCTGTATACTGCCTTATATACATCACGGAACTCCCGAACCTCGTCAAGGCTGGGTTCGGGCAGATAAAGTGCTGCGAAGAACAGGTGAATCTTCCGAACGTCTGCCTCTTCGTACGTAATCACCTTGTTCAGGTATTCATCATAGGCTTGTTGAAGGGCGATGTTGTACTTGTCGATCAATTCCTCAACACTTTTCCCCGCAAGCCCGGTATATTTACTCTGTACGGCGGATATAGCAAGGCGTAGTGAGTGGCAGTGGTCGAAAAGTGTGCCGTCCAGATCAAAGAAGACAACCCCGTTTCGTGTTGGTTCCATGATGGTGTTCATATTACGCCGCGAATGGAATACTGCGCGTGGAAGGAGAAAGAAACAGTGGAATTGGTGTTGGGGTAGGCAAAATAAATCAAAGGCAAGAATTTCTGCGGGTGGAAAACAAGGCAATTGGCTGGGAATTTATTGGTGAAGGACCCTTCTCTGTGTAAAGTATATATTATCTTAGCCCTATCAAAGTCAAAGCCAAGTGGCTACTGTGAACTTTGGTTGAGAAGCATCACTGGCACCAACTGGCTTCTTAAAGTTAGAATATGACGGGGAACTCATACATAGAAATCCAGGGTACGCCGTCCTCATACCCTTCCTCCCACGAAAAGGTCTTACTCTAAGTATCGTAAGGATAATGTGGTAGCAAGTTTTCTAATGGCCCCACGCTTTTAATCGAATCGGGTATGCTGATGTCTTGTAGACTGTGCATAAGAAGGAGCGCTACGAGCCACCACTTTGACAGATTTCAATAAGGGCGGTATATTTGCCTGTGTTCTAAGCTAATAACTGTGTAAGGTATCATCTGGTCGTTATGCTAATGGGGAGTCGAGTTCACTTCGCTAGGGCCACTTCATCGACCTGGCCATTGCGATTTGGACCTTGAATCGACTGCTGACGAGCCCACCGCATACAGTATACCCAGGGAACAGGCCACTCTGATTAGTTCCCTAACTATTGTAACATTTATCTCGAATCTACCGGGCCGTTGCCGAGTCACCAAAAACGTATAAAACTGGAGCGAAATGTTAACTTCAGGTGGCTGCACGTCAAAAAGCACCTTCATTCGTCTGGCATACGAAAAGTCGACGAGTCAGAGCCGCTTGTCCAATACGAGTTAGGGACTGCGGGTCTTTCCCGAAGCTCGTGTGCCATCCATGCCAAATTCTCACTGCTAAAACCCAGCCCTGCTGTGCTTTGACTTCCTTGTCACGTCAGGGTCCAGTTACGACAATAGTGACCAACAATCACTGCCTGTTCAATCTTAATGTTGCACAAACTGGAGAAGGGCCGAAGGATTAGAAGTCTTTTCCACGACTGGCGTGGCGAGTTCTTTCACTTGCTTACTTGTCGTTAGAGCTGTGTTGAACAACGAACAGTTGAATCCACCCTACACTGATTTGGGGGCTGAGTTCATCCCTTGCTTGCAGCTGATTTGGAAACCTTTGCGAGCAACCAGCAAACTCGCCAAGGAGCAAAGAACGCAGCCGATGCAGATGTAAGCAGTAATTTGCCTTGCACCCTTGCAAGACTATCGCTAAGGGGCTCAGATGTGTGGAAAAAGCTTCTTTGGTGGAGAACGACTGGGATATGAGCATGGATGCGAGCATTTCTGCGTTGGTTCTCCATGCAGCCTTCAAGGCGGAACTTGACGAGTCTGGAGGGGAATTATTGATCATGGGAAGCAAATGTGCAAAGTTTTTGCCACTATGTATTTAGTCTCGTGAGTGATATATTGACACATAACCCCAAGTTATTGGCCGTATCTGTGATGGAGGGCAATCGTCGTCAAACTGCGGATACGTATCTAATCAGGCTGAGCTGGCCACTAGATGAGGCTCTTGGCATGGAAATCCATTTTACCAGGCCAGAACTATCGCCCGATCAGTCTTTTCCATGACACACGTTTCAGTTGTCAAGAACCAACCTGGTGCTTCAACTTACTTTTTCGACTCAGGTGATGCACACCCTGTCTCGTCCCAAATTTTGCCACGATATCCCGGGGATTCCTTTCTGTCAACAGCCTTATTGACCCTGGCAGCTCCACCTAAGAAGATCTCGATCAGACGATGCCCAAATCACTGCCAAACGGGCGCGGTACCCAGATGGCACATTGCACGGGAAGGATTTACTCTGGTCAGCTTTATTCCAGTTCTGTACTCGGCTGGGCTTCCAAAAATGGTAGGTTGCAGCGTGAATGGACGCTGGGCGTTGGGGGCCGTTGACTGTAGATATGCAGCTTATTGTTTAGCTGCAGAAGCTGAGAGCCCGGTGGTCCTGCAATAATACCAGGCTAAGGTTAATTTCGCCACGTTTTTATCTCTTATAATAGGTATGACGGCAGGCTTGGGTGTCGAAGACTTTCCGTCGAGGGTTTTTTATCCACCTGGAGACACCTGGATCACATATGCGACCACCTGGCCACCTGCAGCCAACCCAGCATCCATACAGTAGCTACTCACGATGGACGGCAAGATCTTGAGCGACCAGCAAGACCACGAACGGCAGGCGTACGCCTATTCTTCCGTCGTTCCAGAACAGGCCTTTCAGCCTCAGCACCTCTCGCCTCAGCCATCGTTTGGCCAGTTCCGTCCACCGCAGGCCGTATCGCCCGAGACCGTCTCACCAGGTGTCTTCACGCAACAACACTCACCATGGCTTGACCCGTCGAGCCCTCATCTTCGAGAAGGCCCTGGATACGATCGCATTCATGACAGCAGCAGAGGCCTCATGGGTTCTGATACATACGCCTAGGGTCCTGAGACCCATATCGTCAGTCGCCCCACCGCTTCGCCTCCCGTGGACTCGACACCTTTTCTTCTGAGAGTAATGAAGAGTAAATGGTCGATGATCGCTTGCTTGACTATTGGTGTCGCTGCAGCCATCAGTCATCACTTCCTCTACACTCATCTCAATGGTCGCGAAGCGAAGAACCAGCAATGGTGGCTCCGTCTGGGTCAGTTGATTTCCTTCATCGCCAATGCAAACTTTATCCTAGCGGCGGTCATGGCCCATCAGCAGGTTGCATGGCGAGCCGTCGGGCAGAAGGGATTCTCCATCCATGCTGTCGACTCGCTCTTCGGAGCTACACATAACCTTATTGAGCTTTTCAACAGGGAAGCATGGGCCAAGTCTTGGTTCGTCATGTTTCTTGCCCTCTACATGTGGTTCAGCCCTCTTGTTGTCATCTTGACCTCGGCTCAATTGTTTGTTGTGCCCGGTGAGATGGTCGAAGACACGTTTTGTCCTTCTGTCCGCACGTTGAATTTCAGCAACGAGGCGAAGGAGAGCTTCCAAACCCCAAAGAGAGCTGAGGGTGAGGTTATGAACGGGCGATCACTTTCCGGATACAACTGGACGGCACCCGATGGCAACCTCGCCGAGGACGCCAAGGATAACGACAACATCTTCGAATACTACAATGGCCCCTCATCCTCACTTGATCGCATCGCCGCTGGTGTCTTCTCAAGTGGACAGACAACTCAAAAACCCAACATGTCGAACGAGATCTGTGGAGAAGGTTGGGACTGCTCAACAACGATTCATTTCGTCGGACCTGCATACAAATGTGAGGAGCTTGCTAATGGTGTTGGATCTGAGATGAAGAGCTTCGGAGACGCCGAGGCTCCCTTCAACCTTAGTTACCTCGTGCCAGCTGCGAACTACACCTACCTCGCCAACACTGACCTCGGAGAGTACATGCGACCACAGATGGAGAACGTGTCCATTGGTGGTATACCCTCTGAAGAGGACGGCCCGAATTTTCCAAAGAATCTCGGCGTCTTCCGAACCGAGCCCGCTATCTGGATCGGTTACGCTGCAGTTGACGATCATACCAAGGAACATGCGAAGGACAAGGAGATGGACGGATGGAACGACGACTACACCCCGATCATCTTTGCATGCGATCACTGGGAGGTTAACTACACAGTGACCTTCAACTTTACAGCCGGAAACCAGAAATACGACATTACGGAACGCGACTATAAACAAAAGATTATTGACACTACCTGGACAAGCTGGACCAATGAGTCCACTGATGGTACAGCTGACGGGAACTACGCCGAACCAGAGGTTAACTACATCAGCCCACGCAATGACTACGCAAGATACCGCCGCATCGCCGCATACCACAGTCTCGGGTTGCGACTCCGAGAAAAACTATTTGGCAACGTCAAGGTCCAAGGCACGGTTCTAGCAGATGGTGCCATCACAACAACAAACCTGCTTGACCGACACGAGAGTTTGCCTGTGCACAACTTCCAGCAAGAAGTGCGACGAGTCTATGAAGACCTTCTCATCTCGCTGCTTTCCGACCCCCAGTTGCTTGCGGTTGCATGGGCATCAGACCCATCTAAGTTGTCCGGCACCGGTATTGGCGGTGAAGACACCAATTACAAGTGTGAACGCCGCCGCAAAGCCAACTTCTTTGACTACGGTTGGCCCGTTCTTGCGGCTGTATACCTTGTTTCCTTTGTGATTGCATCGATCGGTGTGTACTTTGGCATCGACGCTATGACGAGCGATGGTACTTATGCTCAGCGTGTGATGACGTTCTCTGCTATTGCGGGAGCGACGAAGAAGGTCAGCGTGGACGAAGTTGACAGAAGAGAGACGAAGATCAGGTGTTTCCCATCTGAGGAACGTCCTGGAGAGCGCACTTATGAGTTTAGGGCTGAGTTAGAATGATGATAAGGTCATGGGAGACTAAGGTAGGAAATGCGTGGGTGGACTACTACAAAAGTCTAATTATAATTTCTAAATTCTTCTTATGTACAAACCTTTATATCTCACAAGTAGTCCCTCATATCGTCCTTTAACGAGATTTGTAGTGCAAATAGACTTGATGTTTTGTTGTCTCCGTTGCTGAACTCAATCTAGGACAGCCTAAATGATATCTGAGAAGAGTAACATCAAGTAAAACTCTACCGTCTCTATATGGAAGTACAAGCTTGTTCTGACATCCAAGTCCGATAACATCACAACAATCCCCACCTTTCAGTATTCCGCCACTGGCACTCTACCACTCATCAGTAGGTTGAGTATATCTATAAACAGGTTCGCGCGCACGTATAGACAGTCCCATAAATACCTGTACTTGGCTCAAGCAAGCTTGTGGTAGCCTATGCAAAGGTCCCAGTAATAGACTTGCTTATAAAAGCTCCGAGGAGCATTGCCCTTGAATCAGTGCCCCCAATGACGGCTTTCAGTTTCAGCATGTCATATGTCTGACTTGAAAAAGGAAGATGATTTATGTGAAGGCCCAATTACTTTCCGTAACATAGACAACAAGAAAGACAATCATGGCGCTAGGCTAATGAAATTCAGTGCTTTTGTGTTTGACATTGAACTAATGGAACTAGAGGGCCCAACCGAGTGACCGAAACACAGGTCATCAAAATATAAATTGAACTCGTGTTCGCAAAAGAAAGATTGCAATTTGATGTATTGTTACCCTGGATATCTATCACCGGCCAGAAGACAATGGAAGATATGTGAGGTCTTCGTAGTAAGTCGTGCCACAATATGAACAAAAATATGATCAGCTGTCAAACACAAATTGATCTTGTCCCCGAATAGCTCAGCTGGAAGAGCGTTCGACTGTAATTGTTATATGTCATCGAAAGGTCACTTGTTCGATCCAGGTTTCGGGGATCTTCTTTTGCCCATTGCGCAATATCTTTTTTTGGCACTTTGTACTATCCGCAGAACATATGGTTGAGTCCTCGCTACTTCTTCTTAAGTCGTATTTGCCATATAGAAGTGTAAAAAAAAACAGAATGGTAGAGAGCAAGTCAACCTAAATAGTTTATGTTTTCCAATCTTCTAGAGGTTGCCGTCAATTGAATGGGACTGACGACCAGTATAGTGGAGCTCGATGATGTAAAAGTTGGATTCTTTCGCACTTCGAACAGAAGTGGACGCGAATGATAATTTCAAGGCTGGAGCAATAACGGTGGGATTCATTGAACGGAAATGGTCCTTTTACTTATATTACCAAGTGTCTTAGTCGTTTCTAGAGCCCCCCTATGTCTCGATAGCACCACAAGTATCCAAGATGGTATGCAATGTACGGAGCAACTCTTGAACCACCTGGTCAACGGTTTCATGAGAGATTCTTCCATCCCAGTAGTTGAGGTCAATTTCAAGCTTGTCTTTTCCTTCACCGACAGCTAGAATAATGTCGAACTGGGTAACGGAAAGGAGTCAGTTAAGTCTCATGTCTGAAGAAGGGAAAGATATGACTATTGGAAAGAGCTTTTATGGAAGTGGAAAAGGTTGAAAAGTACTTTGAGAAAAAAAAAAGAACAAATATGAAACTTACATCCATTGGATCCTCATACCAAAGCACCTCGAAGTCCTCGATTTTGCTGAACACTGACTCAGTCCCCATCGACGTGTGATCTCCTGACATCGTCCTCTCTGCTTTGGAGATTCTTGAGAGACCGCTGTTTCGAAAATTGACGAGAGTGTTGAACATGGATGTTTCAGGGGAAGTGGAATTGTCAGCAAATGTTGAAGAACTTAGCTGATGTGGCAGACTTTCAAAAAGATCGGCCTGTATCTGGTCGAGAAGCAGCTCAAATTCTTTCGCTTCCTTCTTTCCTGCAGGCTCTTGACACGAATCACCATCCATTGCGCTGGAGACGTTGGCTCTGCATGGCAAGATGTTGAGAACGGGTCCCACGATCTCTTCGATCCCTGGAACTGATGCGTCTCGACCAGACACGACGTAGCCGAAGCATACGTCTGTCCTGCCTAACCACTTGGCTAATACCATGGCCCACGCAGTACGGAAGAAAGTGGATGCCGTTATTCCTGTCATCATGGTGTAGTCTCTCAATTCAGAAGATCGTTCAAAATGGACGGAAACCTTCCCGAGTCTGCCCAAGGGAGTGGCTGAGGTATTCGCCCCACTAGGGAAATAACATGGCTGTAGGGTGTTCAAGTAGCCTTTCCAGTACTCCTCTCCTTCTCTGTGAGAGGAGTCGCTACTCTGGTCGTGAGAGCGCTGGATGTCACTATATGGAGTGCTGCTGGGGAGTGGCATGAACGTTTTGCTGTCACTAGCGACACTACCGCATATCACCGCCAACTGGCGAAGAATGACAGCGGAGGATACTGCATCCGATAGAGCGTGACTGATGCTGAGATCGAAGATGAATTGGTGATCAGCTGTGACATCTTCTCCAGAGCCTGTAATGTGGCACAACGTCAAGACGTGTGCAGGCCTCAGGCTGTTCCCAGAACCAAAAGCTAAAGCAGCAGGTGTGTGGTCAGCCAGGAGCTTTAGAGCATCATGCTCGCTCTTCGCCTCAAGCTGTTGAATACAAGCATCGACACTCTTCAAGACAAGTTGGCTGTAACCACGGTCTCCACCTGTGAAGGTTCTCACAAACACCGTTCTTAAGCAAGCATGCGTATCAACTACGCGCTGCCATGCTTGGATAAGCGCCTGACTCCCGGCCGCCTTCGTCAACCCGTTCACTCTCCAAATTGCCTGCGGCACATAGAGGTTGGGTACTGATAGACGCTGCTGGCTCTCCAGCATAGCTACCTGTACAGATGTCGCGGGCATGAGGCCTTCGATCGTTTCCCAACCCAACTCAAACGAGTCACGAGGATTATTAGCAGCTTTTCCTAGCTCATTGGCCGCTTCTGCTACTGCGGAGTGAACTGGCTCGACGAGAACTGTGGCGAGTGGAAGTTTATCAGCTGTTAGCTCGATCAAGACGCCAGATGGAATCCTTTCGGCAGGGACTTGTGCGGAACCCGATTGCTTGGCAATGACGCTACTCCGACTGTCACTTAAAGTATCTTCTTCAGAATAGGAGCTGTTGTTGGCACTTGACAGGTTGTTATCAGAACCATCGGTCGAGGCAGAGGAGCTGTTGGAAACCCCGACAGTTGGTAGTAGCGCAGTGGCTGCAAAAGATGATTGTGTCGCATCACCTCGAGGGATGATAGTAGGCGTGAGCCGAGCGGCCATACTCGCGAGGGTCATTCCGGATAGAGCATCCGCAAACTTCAGCTTGAATCCAAAATCCTGCACTCGTCGCAGTATCTGGATGGCAAGGTACGAGTCGATGCCCAGTGACCGAAGACTGGTTGAATGAGTAACGGCACTAGGATTGACCTCGAGGACATCTATCCAGGCTTGACGAAGCGTCTTTTCCTTTTCTGACAGCTGTCCCATGTCGAAGTCTGTAACCTCTGCTAAGTTGGTTTGTTGTATGATGTCTTTGGTGGTATTGCCAGTGGCGTGAAACTTCACCGGGGGCGTGTAGTTTTCAGAAGACACCCCGGAGGTGGCAGAGTTGGGTTTGATCGAAACGCTGTCCAATAACCCAACCGGCCTCTCCATATCCTCCATGATACTGATCAACATGGAGTTGAGAAGGTCAGCTAGGTGTTTTGCTTCGGAGTGGGAGAGTGCAGAATCCCAGTATCCCAAGTGAAATTTGACACCGTCGTCATGAACCATGGCGTGTACAGTAACATCGTACTATTGGCATGTTAGACTACCGTGCATATAGAGGAACTCATAAGAAACACGTGCCTCAGAAGTATCGTTACCATGCTTGTACTCAAACTGAATCATGGGAGGGTCATGTTTCCCCTGACTTGGAGTCCTCATGTAGTGCACGTTCGTGTTGAAAAGCTGACCAGAGACACCTGGAAGGGAGTGATACAGATCGACCATGGACATGTGTTGGTGGGAAAGACCATTGAAGTAGTCATCTTGCAGTTTCTGCGCAACTTCCAAGACCGAATCTTTATCCTGTATAGAAATGCGACAGGGAAGTTGGCCGATGTATGTACCAATAGCCTGCTCAACATTCACCAGTGGCACATCGCGGCCTGAGACGACATAACCAAAGCAAACTTCATCACATCCTACAAAGGACCGCAGAATGATACTCCAGACTGTCTGGATCATGTTGGAGACGGTAATGCCATGTTTAGCACAAAGACTTTGCAGCTCTGCCCCGCGATGAAAATAGACAAAGGCAGTATGTGTTGTCGGTATTGAGGATCCATTGACTTCCTTGATACTTTTATCAACTTCTTGAATAGTCGGGAACATGCAAGGCCGAACACCCGCAAGATATTTTTGCCAGTACTCCAAGGCGACTTCGACGGGCTGGGACGCTAAGTACGAGACGTAATCTGAGTAAAGTGGCGCGGGAGATTCTTTTGTGAATCGCTTGTTTCCATAGGTTTGACTCATCTGTTGGAAGATAAGATTCCATGTTGTTCCATCAGATAGCGCATGCAAGATATCTATCTTCGCCAAAACGCGACCAGAAGAAGTCACGCCTATAGTGAGACGATTGGCTGGCGTGGGTGTCTGGTAGTCAATAGTCTGGCGTGTGAAGAAATCATGGATAAGGCTATCCTCGTCACCATTCTCACTCAACTCAACACGTTGAACCCGAGTATTGTTGCGGCCTTTGATGACAGCTTGGTGGAAGATGTTATCCGAAGCAGTCTCAAAGAAGACGGTTCTTAGCGCTGGCTGTCGATCCACAAGATCCCTCCATGCCTGCTCGAGGAGGTCTGCATCGACAGGGGTATTGGAGGTTGTACTCTTCACTTCCATAAGGTTTTTGATTTCGTAATACCGATGGTCGCACGCATGAGCCATGAGCATGCCAGTTTGGACTGGGGTGCACGGATACACAGCCTCGATTTCGGATAGGTCAACATGGCCGAGATATTCCTGAGCAGCGCGCCAGACCCTTGAGTCGTGGCTATCCTGAGAGGCGGCAACAAGGAGTGTGGTGTCATGGTTGAGATCTTTCAGTTGCAAGTCAGGTGCCACTACAGGTACGTCTGCCGGTTTGAGAAGTAACGCCAACTTACGTAGCGTTTTGGACCTCAAGATATCTTTGACACTGACAGCCATGCCTTCAGACCTGCAACGAGACACCACCAGCATGGCTGTGATGGAGTCACCTCCGAGCGACAAGAACGATTGGCTCAACCGGATATTTGTAGGGTCTACTTTGAGAACGTTGCTACAGACCTGTAGCAGAAGCTCCTCAGATGGTTGCAAGGGCGCATCCGGAGACTCAATCTCGGTAGCCTTGGTGATGAGTTGGTATGTAGCATCGTTCATGTTGTCTACCCACGCCTGTACTTGCTTCCGGTTAAGCTTGCCGGAAGTATTGAAGGGAATCCCGGTCACAAAGATAAAGACTGCCGGGATCATGTACCGTGGTAGGCGATCTGCAAGATAATCGCTAATGTTTGAAGCAAACGACACCGTCTCTTGATTTGATAGACCGGATGAGACGGCGATACTCCCACTGTCGTTAACATCGCTTTGAGGGATGACATTGTCCGTCATGACGAGCAACGATACAAGACGGCTCTTGAGCGGGCCTGTAGAAGGGACCGTCGCCACAACATGCTGGACTTCTGTTCGTGCATAGATGTGATGTTCAATCTCGCCAAGCTCGACTCTTTGGCCACGAACCTTGACCTGGGTATCCTTCCTACCCGTGAAGCCTATAGAGCCATCAAACTCCGGTCTGTAGTAGCCAAGGTCTCCTGTCTTGTAGAACCGGCGTGGTTGGGAATCACCGCTGAAGGGCTTGATGAAAGTAGGATCCTCGATAAAGGCGGCAGTCGTCTTCGCGGCATCTTTGAGATACCCACGAGCAAGGATAGCGCCTTCAACCAGAATCTCACCAACACAGCCGACAGGGGCCAAGCGGTTGTGATCTGTTGGATCGACAATCCACATGCGACAACCCAATGCATTGCCAACATTGGAAGGATCGGAAGATAGGGTTGCCGGCTCGGTACCAGAGCAGGTGATAGAACACTCAGCTGGGCCGTAGCAGATGATAAGATTGAGGCATGGGGCCCAGGTGCGGACGTTTTCCCGAGTGGGAGCCTCTCCACCAAGTACCAGTGTTCTGAGTTCTGGAACATCAGCCGGACGTAACAGTGAAGCTACACTCGGCGTTAAAGATGCATAATTGGCCCGCAGACGGCGGATGGCACCAGCCATGATGTTGAGACGTTCGTGCTCTGAGGGGATGCACACGCAGGCGCCTCGAGTCAGCGACATTAGCATATCACTAACACTGACGTCGAAGATAAGCGCAGCAAACTGGAACACTCGCGTGCCGGGACCAACTCCCCAGGCAGACCCAAACGCATGTGTACTCGTGCAAACGCCATTGTGCTCTACTACAATACCCTTGGGTCGCCCTGTTGTACCGGAACTGAAGAGAATAAAAGCTGGGCTTGCTGGAGATGGGGAAGAAAGGTTTAGATGAGGGAGGTTGCTATCGATGTCTGTGTCTACTCCGATAAGACTGGCGATGAAAGCTTCGGTGTATGACACAACACGGATATTGGGCAGCGTTGAGAACCGGGCAGTATGCTGAGGTGCAGCAATGATTACAGTTGCTTCAACATCCGCAATGATTCCCTCCAGCCGCTTCTGAGGATGTGATGGATCGAGCGCAACGTAGGCACCTCCAGCACGTAAAATACCAAGGACAGCCACGACAACCCATGCCGATTTGTCAAAGCAAATGGGTACGATATTGTTAGAGCCAATACCCATTTCTGTCAGTACACGAGCCATTCGGTCCGCTGCCTTGTCTAATTCTCCGTAGTTGAGCTCTGCATCCCATGCACACACTGCTGGCGCCGTCGCATCGTGCGCTACCCACCGAGCCATCTCAGCGGTGACAGTTGTATCACGAGCAGGGGGCATGACCTTGTTCCAAATAGCCAGTTGAGAAACGTCCTGTTCAGTCACAAGGTCGATATGTCCCACTCTGCGCTCTCCTGTACTTCCGGCCGCTCCGGCGGAGAGCTGTTCGATCACATGCACCAATTGATCTGCCATTCGAGAGATCTGGGGTCCAGGGATCAGCTGACTGTCGTATGTAACTTTTATGTTGATCGAGGAGTCGCCAAGCTCAGCATCGACGCTAAGAGCATAAGACGGGACGTCCGAACGTGTTGTTTCAGTCGCAGCCTCATCGCTGATATCCAACCTTGGCATACCCAACAATTCTACGACTGCGTTTGTTCCAGGCGATTGGATGACCAGCAAACTGTTGAAATCGCAGACGGCACGATACTCAGGACCAATTGCCGCAATCTTTGGAATACCAACATGCTCAAAGGCTATCATTGTCGTTGACTCTGCTTGTACTCTCTCGAGATACCCACGTACTGTCTCCTCGGGATTTATTTGCACTCGTACAGGTAGTGTTGTGGCAGTAGGCCCAACTATCCTGTCGATATCTGCAATGTCGGCTGTTCGGCCACCAAGCGTCACACCAAAGACAATATCTTTGGTGTCCGAGTAACGACCTAGGACCAAGGCCCATGCTGCTCTAACGATTGTTGCAGATACGATACCGCTCTTGCTGTCGTTGTCTGATGGCCTTAATAGAGGGGCTTGAGTTCGAATCCTTGCATCAGCCCGAGGCTCGTGGGCAGCGAGAATCTGAGGGAACTTCGCTGGTGTGGCGCCCTGAAGGTATGATTGCCACCATGCTTGTGAAGCCTGTGGATCGGTGCTGTGGATGTGACGAATCAGGTTCGCCATTGAAGGGCCAACTTCGTGTGTCTTCGAAGCACGTGAGCTTCCTTCACGATATTTCTTCTCGACAGCTTGTAGGATGAGCACCATTGAAACTGCGTCATAGGCAGAATGATGACATGTCCAGACAAAATACCTATCGTCTTGGACGAAGGCAAAGCGGTTAAGCAAGCTGCCATAACTAATAGCATCACTCAAGTCGCGTTGGAGATAACTATTCAAGCTGTGGCCCTTGCCTTTTCGCTGCCACAGATTTGACCTTCGACTACTATCAGGCTTCAAGACGACCTGACAGGGTCCGAATTCTGCTGACGGGATGATCATAGTACGTAAAATGTCAATGTCACGACAACATGCCTTCCATGTAGCTTTGAACCTGCTGATGTCGATATCCTGCGATATCTCCCATACATTGTGTAGAGTATACGAGCCCGGGTACTTCGCTGATAATGCGATGAGACCAGCTTGTAGGGGTGTGCATGGATACATGTCGTGAACATCAGCCCACGATAGATCATGCTGAAGTAGATGAGACTCAGTTGTGAACATATCGCGGGCAGTTAATTCCCCGCCTACCAACTCAAAGGGTTGCGTTGTTTGCTCTGCATCGTCCTCTGCATGGCCAAGTGCGCGTTTATTCTTCGCACGTGTCTTGACAGAGTCAACGTGTGAAGCCATAGTAGCCAGGCTTGGATCCTTGAAGATGTTAGCCAAAGTGATACGCATCTTGTTCCGTCGAGCGAGAGCAACCAGGCGCATGGCTTTGAGGGAGTTTCCACCGAGCTCCAAGAAATTACTACCTGCGGCGATAGACTCTGTCGGAAGGTCTAAGACATCTGACCATAAAATTTGTAATGCCTTCTCGGTCTCCGTTAAGGTATTTGCAGAATCCCCATGCTGGTCCTGACTAACATTGTAGTTGACAAATACATCTTGTTCAATCAGAAACTGCTTCACTTGAAGTTTGTCTAGCTTGCCGTTTGTAGTCAGGGGAATTGAACCTACAGCAATCCAAGTCTGTGGAACCATATATGATGCCAGGGTATTTGAAAGATTGTCGCGGATTTCCTGGATTTTGGCCGTTGCGGTCTCCTTGGTTGGACCAGTAATAAGATTCAGGGATCCGTTGCCGCCTGTGACTTTACCTAGGCCTTCAAGAGTGATTACAGCAACAAGTTGTTTTTTGTAAACTCCCTCAGATGGGAAGTGTACAACAGCCTTGTCTACAGAATCACAAGCAGTCAAGTGATGCTCAACCTCACTCAACTCCAGTCTTTGGCCATGTACCTTGACCTGGGAGTCTTTCCTACTAACGTAAAGTAGGTCACCGTCGGAGTTGTACTTGACTAGATCTCCGGTCTTGTAGAATCTTGTATACTGCCCTATTTCGCGAAATCCTGCAGCCCAGAGTGGACTCTCAATGAAGGATGCATTCGTTAAGTGAGAGTCAGTGTAGCCGATTGCGAGGCCAGGCCCGCCAACAAGTAGTTCTCCCTCGCAACTAATGGGGCATAGAGCATCGTGATCTTCGGGGTCCACGACCCAAAGTACAGAGCTCAGAGGTCTGCCGATGTTATTCTGGCCATCATGAGGTCGAAGTGGCTTCTTGTAACTACATGCAACAATGCACTCGGCGGGTCCATATACGTTGGTAAAGACAACGTGGTTTGCCCAGCTTTCCAGTAGGTCCTTTGGGACGGTTTCGCCACCAACCGAAAGGACCTTTACGCAAGGGACATCTTGAGGACTTAACAATCGGGCGACACTAGGTGTCAGGTTAAGCGTATTGACGCCCATCCTGACAATAGCGCCTGCAAGATCGTTGACTCTTTCATCTTCGCTGGGTACACAGACGCACCCGCCATAGGCTAGCGTGGTAAAAGTCTCATGGATGTATCCATCGAATGAGTAGGCAGAGAACTGCAATATGCGACAATCAGATGTGATGCTGCCCTGATCAGCAAGGCCGGGAATGGAACTGGCCACACCACTGTGTTGAATGACGATGCTTTTGGGATAGCCGGTACTGCCAGATGTGTTCACGATTAACATGGGGTCTGCCGGATTTACCAACGGCAAAGACGTAGTACATTCTGCACCTGCGAGAGCCTGGAGATGGTCCGTGTCGATTTGAATGACTTCGATATCCATATCGACGAAGTGGTGAGCATATCTTGGATCGGTTAGAACGATTGAGGCACCGGCGTCCTCAAGAATTCTTTTCTTTCGATTGACAGGGTGCTTTGAATCAATCGGAACAAAAGCACCACCGGCCTTGAGAATAGCCAGCATGGATACAGAAGGCCATACAGACTTATCAAGACACAAAGCGACAAAGGCTTTGGGATGAACATAGAGTCTAACGAGCTCATGCGCAAGGCTTGTGGATAAGGTGTCAAGTTGCCCATAGGTGAGGCTGCCGTCCCAGGAGCAGATCGCTAGAGCATCGGGCTGCAGCGCAGTCCTGGCCTTTATAAGATCATGGACAGTCTTATTGACAGAGACCGGAATTTCTGCATTCCAGCGGAGAAGAGTCTCCATATGACTTGGAGGTAGAAACTTCAACTGCGCAACAGATATCTGGCTGTCGTCCACACACACTTGTTCGAATACGTGCTGCCAAACATCTAAGAAAGTCTCGAGGGTTCCGTTGAGGAAGCTCGTGGCGGAACAACGCAGCAGAATCTGCATCTCGGAGTCCTCCAGCATGACGTGCACGTCCAAGGCAGAGGATAGTGTGGAATTTTCGTCGGAACTACCACAGTTTGCGAACTCAACCGCGTTACTGTGCTCGATAAGCACTGCGGTGAGGTTACGACCAGTCGTAGCCATCTGAGTGGAATCATTGTTCTGAGGTGACGAACGACCAACCGAGGATTTTAGTTGCTCAAGCTGGTTATGTACTCTGCGCAACGTTTCAGGGACAGTTTCAAGATCATTGATCAGGATAGTGAAAGGCAATATGTCGATTTGCGCAGTGACTTTGGCTTCCTCATGGTCGTTGGAATGGCCGCCTGGGATCTCCGTGATACCAAGCTGTATTTCGTTTGAGCTGGTATATTTTCCGAGAACAATCGCCAACGATGTTTGTATCTTGGTGGGCAAGATATCACACTGGCGAGAAAATGATATTGTCTGAGATGCCATGGTCACGATCTTGCCGGGGCGCGGCATCGTTGTTACGGCGATTTCTTTCCCTTGTGCGGGCATAGCTATTTCTGCTGTCATGACAAAGGACTCAAACCCAAGTGTTGAATTCTCAAGAGCTAGAATTGAAAATGGGAATGTAGCCTTTCGATTGTATCAAGAAAGCAGTGGCCATATGACTAGTGACTTTCTGACACTTCCAAAGTACAAATTACAATATCCCCAAATGCCTCTCTTATCCTCCTTCCTAGTTCGTATGAAATCCATTTACAACATAAGGAAGTTAACCGCCATATGATCCTAACACTAGGAAGTGACGAGGATCAACCATTACTAGCATTGGGGATTCTAGAAGATCGACCTTCCACAACAACAGATAAACGCTTTGCCACCTGATCCTTCTACAAAACCCCTGTAAAAGCCTCACATTCAGATATTATAGCCAGACTAGAAGAAATAAGCTTAGTTCAGTTGAGGTTTGACCCCGTCATGCGCTGAAAGGGTTGTCACGTTAGTTATTAGGCAACATATTAATTACCGATGCAGTCATTGAAACCATGTAGTACCATCCTTGACGCCGTGTGGGGAGGTGGATGAACAACGGCCTGAAGGATCCCTAGTGGTTCCCAAGACCTAATCAATGGTATAATAGAACAGTATGCATTTTGTAAAGGTGGTGGGCTATGATGGAGTATGCAGGGGGTTGAAAGAAGGGAGCGGCCGCCAGAACATGATAATCATGTGCCTCACTCTTGCTTAGACTTAGCCCAAGATATAATATGCTTCTAAACGACATACGAAGACCTGCGGCTCTAGCCGCGTAATTCCGTTCCTGGTACACTTCAAGCTCCTTCCTATTTCCGTTAAGTCTTGAGTTCGTCTTTTATCGATCTACACCAAGGTAGGCTTAAGAAGCGCTTAAGCTTAATGCTACGCTTATCCCGACTGGCATGAAGATCCCACACTGCCGCCAAGCAAACCACCACCTAGTATTTTCAGCAATGGAGACAGTTCAGTATGTAAGCGCTAACAGAAGGCAGGGGTATAGTGCGCCCAAGGTGTAGATACGAGATAAAGACCTACCTATTTGGGTTTTGACTGCGCCGCACAGTAATCAGGCGACAACGGGTCCTTCCAAGTTTTAGATAGGTGAAGGAATAAGATGGGATCCGTGCTAATATGGATACGAGTTTGAATTGGAGGAACAGGCGATGCTTGTTTGCAGTCTTGGCATGAGACAACTGACATCTAACAGGTAGTGCATAGCCCCGCATTTCGTTTGCTGGAGTAATGGTACGCATTATGTAATGCTGGCAGTTGCTAAAATTCAAAGTACTACAACGGCCTTCATGAAATCCGATGGACGTGAGGTGCGTATGGACAGCCTTTCACTAGTTGCTTCTAGCACTCAATCCAGGTTTCCAGGACAGCCTCCAGCAGAGACAATGACAACCATGCCTTTCTTTAACTTGCTGCGTGCTAAGCCCATAGAGCATGACGAAACTTACTTCGGAACTGCAGCATCGCAAACCATAGCCACCAATTGGAGGACTTTCCAAGACCAACCATTAACCTCCTCAACTATCTTGGATCTGTTCGCGAACAGGATACCCGTGATACGTCATGAAGGGTTCCTCAAACCCGCTGAACTTGAGAAGATGCTAGAGATTGTCAAACTGCACCAGCTAGTAATGATTCTCCATTTTCATCAATCGCTGACCAAGTTCAAATCACTGACCCAATTGCCAGGAAGAATATGACACCGAATTCACGTGGCCTCGTGTTGGCATTGCCGGGATAACCCAATATGATCATATCAGAGGTATTGTTCTTTTACTGTTACCTAAATAGTCACTTACTGATCTTAAGCAAGATCCCTCAAGCTATTTTTGTAAAGTCCCAGAAGCAGTGTCACTTCAGGAGCGGTGGAAATGCGGAGCTGACATTGACATTATTGAACGAGTCATAGCAACACTACGCACTGTCTCAGGAATTTCAGTACGAAGAGCTTCGGATGATGAAAAGGTCTATTTCGCCGGAATCCTACGGGCAATGGATCGCGGCATCGGTGTTCACGCCGACTTTGCGCCCTACGAGGCAGCCGGATGGTCGATTGACCAAATCGTTGGCCAACTGACATGGAATATTCTACTCAACAAGGTCTCAGGCGGCGACACCATCATTTATGACAGGCAGTGGCGCGCACCTGACGATGATGTCTCCTGGCGCAAGCCATTCCCACGGGATAGCTACCAACCCCAAATGCTTGAGGGCCATCCCTTCAAAGCAATGCGGGCTGTCCCTGGTGACCTCACCCTATTCAATCCGCGCAATTTCCACGAGGTTAAACCTTGTGACGTTGATCGTGACCATCCAGTTGCGGATGTGAGATTCACGGTCAGTTCCTTTGTCGGTTATATGCCCTCTCATGGCGGTGGCCCTGCAACACTTGTCCTTTGGTCTTGAACCGTGATCGCATTGCATTTAGTTCATCAGGCTGTATCTTATACAAGTTCCTTTGATTATGATATAAAGCTATTCATTTCGCTAGATTCAGTGGATAGTTAAGCGACAGGATGTCACAGGTGGAAAAAGCCAATGATTTACGTATTTGTAAAGTCGGGCCAGAAGGGTCACCAAAGGAGGTCATATGTTCCAGCACTTGCTTTTTGATTAGACTTGATGGATGATTTGGTGTTGGTTGCATGTCAAATGGGAGGCAGTTAACGAAGCCATAGTAGAGGCGGAATGTTGAGAGAATGTCTGAGCCCCAAAACTACCTACCTACATTTCACAACCTTGTCCTAAGTTTGGAAGCAACTTCCATTCTCAACTTTCTTTACTAAACGAACCAAAGTAGTCAGCTCTTGTTCCGGTCTTGCCGTCTTTACCAAATCTGGGGCATGACACCTGCCTCGGGTACTGCGATCAAGCTCTAGTCTACAAAAGCCCCTTCTACTCTTCTACTCTCCTACTCTTCAGCTCTTATACTCTTCTACTCTATAATTTGTATTTCTTCTCCATTGCATCACATCTCTTAAGCCTGAGCCATGTCTTGGAATCCAGACCAGACCCAGGAGGTCCACGATAATTCCCTTCCAGCACTTAGTACTGTCCAGGAGGAACCAGAAGACGTGCCACTTCACTACGAACAGACTAATGCCTTCATAGATTCTGGAGGCGACCACAGGCTCACTACAAGTCCCTCGCGTGGGGGTGAGAGCGGATCACTTCCTTTAACAATTGAAGATTCAGGTAAGCCCACCCTCACCCGCCATGTTTGAACTTTATCCCTACACCATTACGCACGTATTACACACATTTACCACTGCGACTTTACTAACTCCGACCTATCAGCAAACAGCAGTGACGAAGCCAAAACGACTTCGAGAAAACGCAAGCGGAGCCACAGCATGCTCTCCACCTCAAATGACGAAATCTCAGAATACAATGTAATCCCCAGAGGCTATGTCTGACGCACCACTCGACAACCCGTTACCACCTATAACCCCGCTTTCGAAACAGGCTGAGCAACGCTTAACGCGTGATATGAAAGCCCTAAAGCAGCATTACTTGAGGAAAAACAAACTCTTGGACGCCATGAACTTCAACACCTCTGTATTTATTCCGGCATGTCTCCAGCAGATTCAAGAGAGGCGCAATGCTGCTTCTGAGAGAAACAATGAGCCGACTGTCGAAGTTTCACCTGCCAAACAGCAAGCCCTGGGGCAGAGTACAAATTCTGAGCAGGAAGAATTCGACGGCCTGGTTTTATCAGAAGAGGATATCCAAAGAGCCGATGAACGGCTTCGTACTCTACAAACACAGGCTAATAAATATGACACGTGGATCAGAGATTGTCAGGAGAGGATCGACAATGAGGGATACCCTACACAAGTTGTGATCCTTCGACGCAACCTAAACCGTCTTCGCAAAACCAATCTTGTGTTGCTGTCTCCCAAGGAGATAGAAGAATTGAACGTTTTGGTTGGAAGATTTCTGGTTGAGGAGCAGGAAGAAGGTTGGGCATAATCAGAGGAGACGAGTTGACGTTATGATACTCAAAATACCAGCGTCGCAGCTGCAGTGGAGGGATGTGATTGCAGCCATCGATGATTGTGTATGATTAAATATATGATTCCTGTACAATCATCGTCATACTCTGTCTTGTACTGGGTAATAATCGGTAACACCTTTCGAAATCGTGTCGATGTATTGTAGTTCACCTCACCACGAAGGTCTTATAGCTGCCAGCTTCGAATCTACCTTTTTCGGTCTCTTGTTTCTAACTACGAAAGCCTGTGTGTCCAGAACAATCTTTAGTGCTTTGTCCCTACTTAGAAAAGCAAGGAGAGCACGTTGGTATAGTTCCGTTGACCACCGTGGGGTCTTGTTCCTCTGGTGGCTCGAGCCTTGATCCCCAGGAAGTACGGTGGCTCTAGAGTTTGAGCACTATCGCTCATGGTGTCACCGAACCATCCGGAAATAGCCAGTCTTTTGACTACTGCTAAGCCATCTTTTGCTGCCAGGCATCATGGCTGCGACTAACCTGCTGTGTGTTCGGAAGACAGGTAGCGCGCCGTGACAAACTCGCGTAATACGGAACAAATGACGCTTCAAATCCCTGAACAGTGCTGGAACAAACTGTGTGTGTCTTGGGCGACTACGAAAATCTCGCTAGCTGTTTGTGGGTGCCAGTAAGGGATGGTAAGATGCGGTGCGGGTTTAGATTGCCTCATGAATGTAGTTTCATACTTGAGCCTCTTCAAATAATGGTCAGGGTAGCGGCTCTACAAGGTAAAGGTTCTTTTGATCATGGTTTATTAAACAAAATAGGCAGGCCAAGACCACTTCTTTTTCGGAAGACGAGGCGCTTAGACGGTTGATGATCAATGCGACGGAAAGCTCGGGCTTTATACCCGCCGAATGGTGGCGGGGATAGACTAGAAAGGCTTTGTTCTACCGAACAGTACTGGAAATTCAGATTTTAGCTGGAAGGGAGGTATAGTTACGTGACTCTTTACTAGGCGCGGCTAAGCTATACAATATTTGGGTATGAAGAGAAACGTGGTCATAATTGGTCTGAACAGACCGCCCGTCATATGTTCGAGGGAACAAAGAAAAAATGGGTAGTGAACCGACGGCCGTTCTTAGAATATTCGCTGTGTTCCGTTGTTCGACGTGCTGGAACATCAGCAAAGGATAAAAACCCGGGACATGTCAACATAGCGCATGTTCCTGCTTACCAACCGCGTCGCGTTCGCATGTTCCTTGAATTGTTCTCGGATGTCACTTTGTATATGGATGTATGGTAAAAAAGCAAGGCAGCTTGTACCATTAGTATATAAGAAGGCAACTGCCGCAGTTTTGTACTGGAACCCACTACAGAACTCTCTTCCACAAACTATCCCCAGTTTCTTGAACTTGTTCCTTTCCACCACACCCTCTCGTTCAGCTGTACCTCTGCCAGGAACATTTGCTACCCACGATAACACAGCCTCAACCAACATACTCGATAAAAATAAGAACAAAAACTGTCGATCATCGAATAAAGAGTCGTCATGGTGTTCCCACGACTCAAGTATGCGTTCTGGAAGCTTACCACTTCTAAGGCAGAGCGAGAGGCTAGTTTAGAGTGGATTATTGGTGTATTGCCATTGATCGCCTTCAAGAACCTCGTGTTCACCAAAGGCAGCCTCGCCGTCGAGTTTCTCAAGGATAAAAAGACTGAGTTGGCTAAGTACATTGAACCAAACCAGCTGGACGCGTGTTTCATGATGACACAGCTGATGAAGCATTTTAAGAAACATGACCCTGATGGGAAGAGCAAGGCATACAAGCTGTTGGAGAAGCACGACGCTGGGTTCAAAATGATTGAGACGATCTCTGCAATTTGCTACAAAGCAAGCTGGCTCAAATACTGCAACACTACCAAGCCTACCGAATGGAAGGACCCGGATTACCTCTATAACTGGATTCTAGCCAACGTGGTCCCGCGCCTCGCGCAAGTCCCGGAATCTATCGTCGAAGAGGCCAACCAAGTGATCCTGTTCACTGACTACTGGGAGTACTATGTCATGTTCTTCTGGCATCACCAGAGCCTCCGAAAGATCTTCAAGAAGAGAAAGACCAGCGATCTGTACCTGTAAATCTAGCGGTAATTCTACCGCTCTGCTCTTCCACATGCGGCCACTTGCTGGCGAGTGTGTCGCCGGGGATGGGGAGGATGCTGTGGGGACAGGGCTTGGAGATGCTATGAGCAATAGATGAATGATTGAACGATGAACATGGACAACAGGTTACGGGGTTAGATTGGCGTTGACATGGATAAATGATTCAGATTGGAACATCCGAACGGTAAGAGTAGAACATTGGGATTACGGAACACAAATTGACAACCATTCCGAAGCCCTAAATATAAAGTGACTCCTTCCCCTCCACCATGAATCATAGAAGATGGTCGAATCAATGTCATATCAGACTTTCTCAGAACTACCTCTGGGATGTGTACACCAAACATCGGCACATCCGTTCTGTCAACATCCGTTGTATCTCCACAAATTCCAAATTATCCTCATGTTACCCATTCGCCTTCGTTTGTCTTTGTTCAAGTACCTCATCGTCGTTGAGTGATGTAACGGGCTTGGGCTCATGTGATCATGGCCTTGTAATACTCAACGTCTCTCTGGGCAATGGTAGTTCTAGTCCCACAGCCTCAGAAGAAGTATTAAAGTTATATAATTTGAAATTAGGAAAGTGTTATATCCATGAATAAGCTTATTGGGGCATAGCTATTGCTCAAGGGTTACAACCAAAGCCCCGGTTCACAGACATAGCAATGACGATTTGACAAAATCTGTGCCTCTGTTCTGCTCATAGACACTAAGATCGCGTTCGCCAACATCCAATCAGCTATCCCCTGTGGCTTAGTTGGCTAAAGCGTCCGACTGTTATTCATAGACAATCGGGAGATCGGAAGTTCGAGCCTTCCCGGGGGAGGTACGTTACCAAGTATCTTTTTGCAAATTCGCCTTCGTTATTATCTTACATTCCACATCTTCCGATTATGAACGATTATTTACAGCTTGTTTTAAGACGCAAATAGAAGTTTTGAGTTCATCATGACCATTTTACCCAAGTACCTGATTCCCTCGTTTCTTTCGAGCTCTCAGTGCAAACCCCAATTGAAGGGTCAACACCACTCCCACCACGACTAGCAGAACAAAGATGATAGCAACCAGCAAGACAATGATAGCCACCGAGAACCCAGCACTAACCAATGGAAACCCTGGCCAAGGGTCGTCGGGCCGTGCCGCTAGGATGACCTGCATCGCTGACAGAATTAAAGACAACCCTGCGAAGATGAAGAGAAGCGGAGCTCCGAATTCCCTAACGAACTGCCCCGTCTGCTGGTAGGGCTCCTCATAGAACAGTCTTCTCAGCATGGGCCCTTCTATCCCCGGGACTTTCGGTTGGAATATTCTGACAGCCCAGTCCAACCAGCTCAGACGGAGCTGGCCAAACTCCCACCGAGGTGACACCTGATCATCCGGGATACTGCGGAAATATCGAATAAAGGCCTCGAATTCCCCGTGTAGGAGTTTCCCTGACGGCGGGATCAGATCCTCCCTCTGGGCGATTTGGAAGTCGGATCGGTGGCGGATGAGGTAAGCGTAGGTCCGCATGAAGCCGAGTGCCCGGGGCCGGGTGTGGCTACCAGGCGGCAGATGGAGCTCCCAGAAGTCGGAGCTAAGGAGACAAACCGGGAGTGGCTTCAGGTAGACTGCGTCAAAATGCCAGACGAGGTGGAGGCGGGCTTGTTCAGCAATTGTGACGGCGCGTCGCTTACGAAGGTGAACGTGGAGAGCATCGATATTTGAACTGGATTTTCGGGAGATGAGATCGAGGTGCGGATGTAGCGTGTCCAGCATAGCGCAGGAAAGCTCGTCAGCCAGCAGGAGAGCATCATCAGCCGGCATGGCCTGATCTGTGAGCTTATCCAGGATGCTATCCTCATTAGGGAAGGGCGCCGTAGCTTGCTGGATCATGCTCTCGCGCACTCACTGAGCTGGCGCTGAATATCATACCCGACAAAACGATATCCAGCCCAGCTCATCTTATAGAAGTCAGGATTGAAATGGACTCGACATGGAGAGAAATCAGCCACAGTGGAGTTACTGCATTGTGATTAGTCCTTGCCGCACTCCCCTGTTCTCAGCTGAAGTTGACGACTGTCAAATCAACCACATAGGCTGATCCCTAGGCCTTGCTCATTGGCCACGACTGCGTGACTGCTTGCTGCAGCTTTCGGAGAAGCCGGTCTGTGCGGTCTGAGGCATAACCCTTCTCCGCATCTTGCGACGTACATGAGCTCGACACTTCAACACTTCAGCCATCATGAATCGAAGAACCGAAAGTCCCATGGATTGGGAATACCAGGACTCAGGCCCTGTCGATCCGAATAGCCCGTTTACCTGGCAGCCTCAAAAGAACGAGAAGAATGCATTGCGCCCAAATTCCTTTGCCTTTGGGACTTCCTTTCGTAACCCAAGCTTTGCCTTCTCTCGGCGGCGTCCGTTTGACGAGGGGCCCTTATCTAAGATAGCTTCCGATGATAGAAGCCTAGAGTTAACTACTCCCACTCCCAACCCAAGCTTTACCCTCCCGCGGCGGCGTCCGCTTGACGAGGATGCCTTATCCGAGGTAGCTTCTGATGATGAAACGCCAGAGCTAACTAAGAGAGAGCCAACCTGGAGCAATCACGCCGCCGGGGTTAAGAAGAAGCCTAGGTCTCGAGCTAGGTCTCCCTCTCACTATTCGCGCAACCCAACTTCCTCTGCCAGGCGACGCAAACGAGCCTCCAAACCTTTTCGAGGATCCTCGGATTTCGACAAGAATCCTTACTTTTCTGAGTCCTCTTCTTCCGGGTCTATAGACATATCCGACTCTCAACGGCCTGGCAATCGCACCCCCCGAGAAGCCAAGTCCCTCATTTTCACCCAAGATGCCCTGCGTGGTAGTAGGGAGAGCGGATGGACCCCACTCGCTCTATCTACCCTCGTCATCCTCACGGCAATATGTGTCGGGGGAACCTTCTACTACAGAGTGCTTTCGATTAGCATCCTAGTCGTCTGGATCTATCAGACGCTCATATTCTCGGCAAATTATGTATTTTCATCCAGTAAACGGCCATCCCGTCGTCCAGGGAAGTCCTTTTACACATGGATATTGGACTTTGCAAGACTTGTTGGATTACTCGTGTTGATCTTATGGTGTCTCATTATCAGCCCTATCCATATATTCATTCCCACTCCTATGGACGCCTGGACGCGATACGCTGAGCATCCTACATTTCGCTCGTTCGAGGTTCTGAACGACCCCGGCAGATCTACCATTGTGGAGTAAGTTGATTGCCTTTGAGATCCCTATTCTTGTGTCGTGTTTTTGATATAATTCGTGTAGAGTCTTTGCTATACACGGGCTTGGGTCCAATCCCTCAAGTGCCTGGAGATATGGCGGCAACGGCTCGCAAGTGTACTGGCTCACGGATTTACTGCCCAAGCAGAAGGGTCTCGAGAACATCAAAATCATCATGCTTAACCACCAGACGAGATGGGACTCTCACTCGCCCGAGGTCGACTTTGATGTCTTTGCCAAGATGATGTTGGACGATATTGAGCGTCTTCACCAAGTTTGAACACTTTCTTCGATGCTTTGCTCCATATCTAACACTTATGTAGAAGAATCGACCCATCATTTTCATTGCCCACAGCTTCGGAGGTCTGCTACTCAAAAAGGTAAACTGGTTCTTCCCTATATCTGTTCTAACGCTCAATAGTGAGTTTGAGGCTCACATTCTTCCACCCCCAAGAGTCTAGTTCTTGCGACGACGCGTTCCAAACACATCCCGCAAATGACAAAGGGCATCTACTTCCTGGGCGTCCCTCATCATGGCACCAAAGCCAGCTTTCCCGCGTCTTTGCTCGCTTGCACAGCATATTGGCGAGGCTCGTCAACAACTATGTTGGAGTACATGTCGGAGAGCAATCCAGCCATAGCAGCCTTGGACAAGGAGTTCTACGAGGCTTACGCACGATCGAGCCAGATCCGTGAATATAATGCACCATATGTGTGCAACTTTTTGGAAATGAGGCCCGAGAGATTGGGCAGGCTCTCACTGAATCCTGTAGGTTTTGCACAATGGCTTGGGCATTTCTTGAGATCACTGACCATACACTAGACGGTAAATAAAGAATCCGGAACCCTACATTACGCTGAAGACGTGCTTCTCAACACTGACCATAGAGGACTGAACAAGTTTCAGTCGCCCAACGACCCCAATTTTGAGAAGTTTTTGCGGCATTTCTATCATGCATTGCGTTAATATAGTAGCCAGCGAGGACCATAAAGATTCAAAGGACATAGACTCTACTGCGAAGACACATTACTAAACTTTGCCTTTCGTAAATTTGCAGTTTTTACGCTACTTCTCAAATCTTTCTCGTCACAGCGCTGATCGCAGGCTTGCCCGCTGTTCAGTTTGATCATTATGACGAAGCAAGGGCGGGGTTTGTGTAGCGGCTCTAAGCACGTTATTCACAATTCTTCGCTCCCCGCCCATTTCTCGCTATCATTTACGTTCTCACTCAATCATCATCAACATAGTTGCCACGATGGATAGTCCTGCCTGTCCTCATGTCATCGTCATCGGGGGCGGTATCGTCGGCGCATCCATCGCCTGGCATCTATCTCGCGAAGCTACCGTAACTGTCGTCGCTGAAGACGTTGGAGGACCTGCTACTGCAGCCTCGTTCGCTTGGCTCAACGCGAGCTCTACCAGTCAAAAATTCTACTACGACTTTCGCTGTCGTTCCCTGCAAAGATGGAAGCAGATTCATCAAGAGCTTCCAGATATTCCGATCTCATGGAGTGGTTCGTTAAATTGGCATAAGCCGATTGAGGCGAGAGTGAAGAATGAGGATAACCTCAATTCCTGGGGCTACGACGTTATCCGTATGGACAATGGTCAAATTTCCCGCAGTGAGCCTTCCATAAACACCGGTATCCTCCCAGAATGGGCTCTTTGTTATCCTGATGAGGGTGCTATTGAGGCTCACATCGCTGCGAGACAATTCATAGCCGCCGCTGAAGCCAAAGGCAACACGAAAGTAGTCAACGCTACAGCAAAGAGCTTCTCCAAGAATCACGGCCGGATTACCGGAGTCCTTTTGTCAACTGGACAAGAAATACATGGTGATCACGTTGTTGTGGCTGCGGGCTTGGGTACCGTGCCTCTCCTGGCAACCGAGGGCATCAAAGTCCCTGTCACAGCTGTTCCCGCCTTGATTGTGAATTCGAAACCGACGCAAAAGAGACTTCTAAGCCAACTTATTAACTCCAAATACATATATATGCGCCAAACACGCGACGGAGTCATTCGAGCAGGTTGCGAGAACCCCGGGGACGCACCGGGCGATGATCCGGATAAAACAGCTCACGATGTCTTTTCTTTGGTGCAAGACTCACTGGTTGGTGGGAACATGCTTGAGTTCGATTACCACACCATTGGCTACAAACCAACTCCAGAAGGCGGCTTGCCCATCATCGGTCCTACAGGCCTTGAAGCTATGAGTGTGGCTGTTATGCACTCTGGTGTAACAAATGCTGCCATCGTTGGAGAGTTGCTCAGCAAACAGATCTTGATGGGGGAGACGGATCCGGCATTGAACCACTTTCGCCTAGATCGCTTCACCAATTCATAGTGTTTTGGATTCTGTACAGTGCTGGGAATTGCTGTCTGGGAGTTATTGTCAAATTAACATGAAAGTTCTGAGCAGTTGTCAGGTTAAATATCAGTCTTCTTCTGGTTTGCGCCCATAGACTGCCCTGTAGCGAAAGAAAGGATGGTTGGCACTCGACCGGAGTTCCCGTCTTAGTTGTGCGCAGTACACAGTGACCTCTTGCATAGACCACCCCAGAAGCTGGCTCGCCATGTATAAGATGTACCCTTCAAAGTCTTGCTCCAGAGCCGCCTGGACATACTGACCAATTTCCTTCAACTTCGGGTCCTGAGGCCATCCAGTGACAGGAATCTGTAGGTTAATCAGCTTCGTTCTCGTACGATATCACTTGCAACCGACCTTGTGGTCAACAACCTGAATGTCAATAAAACCCGCGGCTTCCATACCCTTTCGCTGCAGGTCTTCATCGATAACAGTAAATGTTTGGCCTATTTTCTTTCCTCCTTCGATGAAGAACCTTCCCCATTCGTGCATTGCGCTGGTATTAGTGACCGTACCGTCATCGCTCTCAATCATGGGTGAGGCTTCGTGGCTTTCAACCCAGCAGCCTGGTCTACATGCTCGGAACGACTCTTTGAACAATGATGACCAGTCTTTGATGCTTCCGTATAGATAGCGAATATGGACAAAATCGATAGAGTTGGGTTCGAAGGTCCATGGTAAGGTACAATCGTCGATTTGACTGAATAAATGATGAGATGATGTAATGGCAGAATCAAGGTAAGGCTACTAACAACTCAAGGTTGGAGGGGACCCAAGAAGGTTGAATGGGCGAAATGTCGGTGCCAATAACCTTTGTGCCGGGGAACTTATCCGCGAAGTCACTAGAGCGTTCAACGACCACTAATCAGCTTAGGAGGCAGAGCATGGAGTGAACGTACATAGCCCAAATTCCTATGAATGGTAAGCAAGAATCTTTCAAGTTTTGCCTCTGGCTATGATCTTACCTGTTCCTGTTCCAATGTCCAACGCTTTCTTTTTTGAGTCAGTTGTGAGCATTTCCAGAACAGGTCATCGGATCTCAAACCTGGATGTCATCTTTCAGCGGCGAGAGATAGAGCTTATCGTCTAGCAAGAGGCATAGGAAATGATGGCTGGCTTTTGTGAGCTCAAATAGGATCAAGTATGAGAAGAAACACTGACACAATGTCCATCGATTCATTTTGCTGCTCGTCATTAGATGCCCTAAAAGATTGGAGGTCATTGGTGGGGTCATGATGTAGACGACATTTGTAATTACCAGTAGTGGGCATTCCCTCTCTCTGAATGAAATGTTCTTCCTTGAATTGTCCGATAAGATAAGATGCTCGATGTCATTGAGGCTGTGGATTCAACCGTATTCGAGCTGATAACAGAGTCGCGATCAGTACTGTCGACATCAGCTGTCTTCAGAGTGTAAGCAAGGGAGACCCTTGGTCTAGAGGATAGACTGGCTTACTGCGGCGAGATTCTCCCAGTGCGTCACTGGATGCAACGGCTGAGGGGTCGAGGGGGCTTCATTCGCCTGCGTGGTCGGCGTGGGTTCTTCAGTTGCCATAGTTGTGATGTTAGGGAGTAATTTTGACTTCAAGACTATGATAAAATCTTGGGTAAATGCCGAAGCGTAGTGTCCTCTTGAAATGTATTTATGATTGCCGTTTCGTACCCCTGGGGTAACCGGATGGCACCTCATGGTAAGGCCTATAAGATCGATAATTGATACATCCCGTCGATCGATTCCCAAAGCAGATACGAAATGGTACCCTGTTGGGTTGACTGATGTACATCCACAAATAGGCAGTGCGCACGTAGAATAATCTGCAGCAGATGCATTTGACCTGCCATTTGAGGACGCAGGCAGATAGGACACAGGCAGACTCACTTCATAATCAGATCATTCTCAGCTTAACTCTGAAAGGTTTGGGATAATCTGCTGTATCTGACACGTTATAAAGTCTCACTGCATAACCATGCCATTAGCTCCACTGTCGGACTGTTAGAGTGGACAAGTTCGATGAACTTACATGCAGTTGCTTTCCTTATCTCACAGAATAGTGTTGCCATATACACATGGTTCTCACATATCAGCCAAAATCTCCTACGCAGCACTGTCCGGTTCCATGAATTTCTTAGTTGGATTATTGAGCCATGCATTCCGTGCGGTCGTAAGGGTTTATCAAGACTGTATGGTAAACGTCGCATCTCGTGCAAACTTTTTAATTCGCGGACTAGGACTAGACTGGTGCTCTCTACTACAATTCACCCCATGTTCGTCTATCTGTGGCAGGCGACAAGCGTTATACTTGAGGCTTCTGCCCATACACAATCCTCTGTCTGAAGTAAGGATGGTGTTGTCCGGATCTGATCTCCTGGCGAAGCTGCGTACAAAGCACTCTCACCTCATCCTCAGTCCAACCCAGAAGTTCGCAAGCTAGGAAAAGCATGTAGCCCTCATAGTCTCTTTCTAGGGCTGCTTGCATATACTGACCGACTTGTCCAAGTCGAGGCTCTGGGTGCCAACCTCCAACAGGCGCCTGTTATTATCAGTACTTCGCATTTTCGCGTAAAGTTTGATGAGCTGACGTACCTTGAGGTCTTCAACGTGAATGTTCACAAATCCTGCTGCCTCCAGGGAGCTCTTCTGTACATCTTCCTTGATGATTGCAAAGCTTCTGCCAGCACGCTGACCACCTTCTTCAAAGACTTGACCCCATCGTTGCATCGCACTTCCATCTGGGATAGAATCATCATCACTTTCCATGGTGGAAGAAACCTCGTAGCTCTCGACCCATCCACCAGGAGCGCACGCAGTGAAGGCTCTCTTGAAAACAGCCTGCCAATCAGTGATACTACCCAACATGAAGCGCATATGGATAAAGTCAAAGCTGTCAGGGCGAAAAGTCCAGGCGTCGTTGCAGTCTTCGATTTCTCTGTAAGGTGTCAATTTTGTCTAATATTTTCCATGAGACAACATACAGTTGCAGGTTCGAAGGAATCCAGCTGGGCTGGATGGGACTAATCTCGGTACCCACAACCTCGACATTTGGATGTTCGTCGGCAAAGTCGCTAGGTACATAACCGTCAGCCTTGGCTTCCCATTGTCCAGTTGGGACTCACATAGCCCAAATTGCTAATTACTATTAGTACATAATTCTGAACGCCCAACTCGAGTAGTCTTACCAGTCCCTGTTCCGATATCCAAAACGCGCTGTGGAGCTGTCAGTCTACTAAGAATACACTATAGCACAACAAGTTATAGCGAACCTGGATATTTGGACTGAGAGGCGTCAGGTGAAGCTTATCGTCCAGTAGTAAAAGTGTAAAATGATGACTAAAGACGCGTAAGAACAGCTTCGTCATGTCTCGAAGTGCAGACTCACGCAATGTCTAATGACTCACTTGCTTGGTCATCATTGGAAGCCCTAAAGTGATCGTGTTAGACAGACTTTGGATAGAGTAACGGAGACCTGTACCAGTACTGGGCAGTCCCCATGTCAGAGTGATAAGTTCGGCCATGAAGCGTCCTATACTCAAAGATGCTGGAGTTCAGTGAGTGGGTAGAATCTGCCAGGTTGGAACCTAAAGCAGAGTCAAGATCAGAATCGCTGTGATCATCAAATCCGGGATCGTCAGCGTCATCGTCGGTTTGCCCATCCTGCGTCTCGTTTTGGTCCTGGGAAAGAAGTCAGCAAATCTTCACATGCTTCAGGATGTGGGTAGCGGACCGCTTGAGCTTGTTGAAGGCTTTCCATGACTTCCCATGCTGGCGTGGGAGCCGGCGGCAGAGTCAGCCCAGGGGCTTCAGGCACTTGGCTAGTCATGGTGAGGAGTTTGATATCGTGTAAAGTTACTCCTACTATCGAGAAATGAGTGAAGGAAAAGTGAGGGGCTTTAATAATTCCGTTTTGTTGAAATTGCGACACTCGTTGCTTATTCCCCCCGTAGCGCGGAATGTCCGGCTGTGACGCCAATATTGAAAAGCTAAGCGCAAATGGTCAAGCCTTACGCTATGGCACCGTCAGACTAGCCTATTGGCAACATTTTCGCCAACATTCCAAGCGCTCGGACTCTGATCGTCTTCTTTGGTGGCTTAATATTGCTTGCTTCAATACGAGATATCATCTCTCACAACCGGATATATTCCGCAGTCGTTATTTCCTGGATTTGGCAGCCCAAAGATCATAAGCAGGTCTAAGCGTGGTGAAGCGATCCAATTGTAGTTTGTATATATGCGTGCCACACATCTCGGTGTCGGAGAAGGCGAGAAGGCGAGGAGACAAGATAGAAAATGACTGAAGGCGGCAGGGCATCGATACGATTTCAATAGTCAATAATTGTCTGCGGCTTCATATACCTAGGCCTACAACATTAGTCTGTGCGAGCAGGAAGGTGAAACATTTGCCGTCAAAGCCGTTAATCTGCATCACAAGATGGTCTGGGGCTACCATCTACGAATACCGAAGTAAGATTGATGTTAATTGAGGTGGAAAAAGGTCACTGAATTTGCAAATGCCGTGCTTAGCCCAAGTTCAAGAAACACGCAGGTAAAAAACAACATTAAAAAAGGTAAAACAGAAACCGTCCGATAAAAAATACAGTTTACTTAAATAAGCGATATCTTCACTGCACATAGTTTCCATTGTTGGCAATCAGATTAGGAGCACCACGCAGATTTCCTGTGATCTTCTTGGGAGTAGCCAACTCCTTCAACCATGCAGTGATATCGGCTACACCCTCAACTTCCTCCACGCTCATCGCATACAGTACCAGACCAGCGACATGGGGGCAGGCCATAGAAGTTCCATCAAGACTTGCAGTGGCCGTGTTGCTCTTGTGACCGGTCGAAATGATGTCGACACCCGGAGCCAAGATGTCGACGGTCTTGCCCCAGTTGGAGAAGTCGGCAACAGCCCAGCTCGAGTCAACAGCGCCAACAGTGATGGCACTAGAGGCAGAGCCAGGTGATTCCTTGGCTGAGTCGATGCCATCGTTACCGGATGCGACCACACTGACCACGCCCTTCTTGGAAGCAGCATCAACGGCCTTGTTGAAGGCAGTGGATTTCTCTCCTCCAAGAGACATATTGATGACAGCCCGCCAGGTGCGATCCTTCTTGATAATGTCATTGACAGCCCAGTTGAAGGCATCAAGAACAATAGATGTATCAGACTCGTCGCCCTGGAAGACCTTAAGAGCCAAGATGGTGGCCTCCTTTACGACACCGTAGGTCTTGCCACCAATCGTTCCAGCGACGTGGGTTCCGTGACCATCGGTATCTGAATTATCGCCCTTCCAGTTTGTCCATGCAGCCTTGGCACGTCCACCAAACTCTTTGTGTGAAATCCTGACACCAGTGTCAATCACGTAAGCGTACATGTCGGTGCCGGCATAGTCATCGTAGATGTATTCTTTCGAACCTTTCTTTCGGTGCGAAATCGTACCGAGACCCCATGTGGCCTTTTTCTGTGTGATTTCGTCTCTCTTCTCGATATTGCGCTTGGACTGGACGCGCTTGATCTTCCATACGCGGTTGGGTTCAACGGCTACAACCTGTGCGTTTTAATTTAGTATATTGATCATCATGGGGGTTCCATTTGCTTACGTCTGAACTCTTCTTGATTTCCTTGATGGTGGTAGTGTCAAAGGTTCCAGCATACCCTTGAAAGCCTGTCTTGCTGTCGTAGATCTTCTCCACGCCCACTTCAGTCTCACGCTTGGTTAGGCTCCGTTTGTGGACATCTTTGACCCAACGGATGTGGCTCTTGACCTTGATGGCATCGATATCGGGCTTCAGAGTGATGATGTAGCTACCAGGGATAATTGCACCGGCCTCAGCTTGAGGAGCAGCAGGTGCAGGGATAGCAAAACCGCATCCAAAGAAAATGGTTGCTGTGAGAAAGATGTTCTTAAGGTTGACCATTGTGTCAAGGTTGTTGGCCGAGAAGTGCTGCTTGATGAGGTTCCATGTGATAGATTAAAGCGGCACGACCCTTGATACTTATAGCTGAGCTTATGAAAAGCAGAACCGGAATGAAGATTGTCAATATTTGGGTTATTTCCTCGAACAAATCTCGTCAATCACGCTGACAGGGGCCGCGAACGCCATGAGGGATTGTGATCTGCATCTGGAGTTAGATTGTTCTCCACCCGTTTGGGCGTACCTGAAAGCGCGTAGTTCTTGACTCTGGTTGGCGAGACCTCAAACTAAAAGTAAAACTTGTCTCTTTGAGTGGTCTAGGGTTGGTCTAGATCTGGCTGAACTGGGCATGGAGGGTCTTGAATTCCAGTGCCATGGGACACTATTGTTGTTTCGGAGGGAGGGCCCGCATCTAAGACACCATGCTGACCATGCTTGGTCTAGTTGGAAAGTCACTCTAAACCTTGAAAACAATAGAGTAGAAGACCGATCGCGCCATGTTTCATATACTGAGGGCCAGTAATCCTGCAGGGGGACACTGCCTGGCCTTCAAGGCAGATATTGCTAGCGAGCTACAACTGCGAGGGTTGATTGTATGATTTACACATTTAAGCTCCTCTTGACTCGAAGTCGAGGGTTTGATGGTGATATCTATTGAGCGATCTTACAACTTCCGTCCAACTGTCCTTATGATTTACAAAAGATATCCTTTCACTTGGTGCAGCCTATCATTCTCTACCGCCAACATGAAGAATTGAGGAGCTGAATGTTAGTGTACCTTTCGCTGGTCAGCAGCTGAAAACACCAACCGAGCTAACATCCGGTCTGTACCCGTTTTTGGAATTGCGGCTTTGGCTTAAGGAAGGCAAAGAAAGGTTATCGATCCATCTGCAGGGCAGCTCCCCCTGCGTTAGTCCTCCGACCCTCCCTCGTGGTCCTGAACCAGGCGAAAGGCTACCGATTAGGCTTTGACATTTAGCTTCTCCAGCTAGAATAGCCAGCAGCTGCATGCTTCATTGGCTCCCGTTGGTCCCTCGATACCGGTTCTGGACTCCATAGACCCGATCGGGGCTGTAGAGTTTCGATAGCGCTGGTCCCTGAAAGCCTTGTGACTACCGCATTCCAAACCCGCATGTGAACGAGGCTGGCTGAGACCACCAGAACGGATTGTCGAGTTAAGTCTAAAAGTATGGTTGAAATGCTCACAAACCTAATGGAACTAGAACTGGGGTCTAAATCATGCGAGAACCTTGGTGGCTTGTGGTTATTGGGCAGTCGAGACTCAGTAGGGTCTTAATGCGTCCCCAAAAGGAAACGGTTACGAGCAATCATCATGGCTGAGAAATATTTCATACGGTTTTGGTTACGAAAAGAGACGCTCTGAATCATTTCAGGCTAGTAATAGTGTGTCGGGATTTTGGGTTTAGCTGGCGAATGAGGTCCTCAAACAGTCAACCTTCCTCAACAGCGTGGACACTGAACTCGTAAGGAGTGGGGAGGCCCTCAAGATCATCGGCTCAGAGGATCACAATTACTGGTCAGCTACAAGACTCAGTAAGTTTCTAACACCCTCAGCTCAACCATTGCCCGCCGCCGACTAACGGACATCCAGTCCCTATCGTTCTCTAAGCTTTCGCAGCTCAAGGCCTAGCTTTCACAAACGTACAACGCGAAGGATTCTCTACCATACACTGATCTTTAGCACCCCTAATGGTTCCCTAGTCTCAATGTTAGTCTGTGTACTATTTAGTGATGGACAAAGAACGATGGATGCTAGCATACTTTACTTGGCGATGGGAGCAAAGGTCACTTGCAGGGCAGGATTACCCAGTTCAAATATTTATGGAGTTCGATGTCCAATTTACGGTTATTGTTACGCGTGGTGGGTACTCTAATGATAATACTATCTAGCCTGAAGTCATTGCCCGCTCACAATGAGTGTTCCAAGTTCTAACTACGTCAATAATGGATGTGTACAACGATGAGAAAGGAAGGTCATCAGTAGGGGTAGCTGCACTGACAGCAAATTTGCGGCGCTGATAGCGTACGTCACTCATTTATTGATACTGAAGGCCTGGATAGTTTGTCGGGTACGAAACCCAGGCTTGTGACCTTGGACAGAGATCTAAAGGCAGCCTTGCATTAAGCGGTTCAATGATTGCCTAATCCTTGAAGTAATCTATGCTACTCCATCTCCATCGTGGAATGATCCGGTAGAGGAAAACACAATGTGAAGACCAAAGTCTGATTCAAGATATATTGCTGTAATCAGATCCTGTACTCGGACATGTAGTGAGAACTATATTCTGCTCTGGTATGAACACCGTCATCGCATTTGAAGCTGACCGCAGCGCGGCAATCCCGGCATAGACCGAACGACGAATTCTTACAAAGTGAACATTCATCGAGCTCATATGTACAAAGCAAGCACGCATCGCAGTAATCTATCACCGCCTCAATCTGACCAATCGGTAGTCTGCCTGTTGGCTTGTAGGTTGCGCCAGAACCCCTCTTGCCCAAGTGTTGCGTCAGAAGCTTCAACATCTTTGCGTTTCCAGTACCTCGTGCCCACCAGAAGAGATCATGGCCGAAGCCGTCTTCACCGCCTACATTTCCTCCCTCCGCTTCCAGGAGTATTCTTGCCACTTCTATGCGGGCGTTCCTGACAGCGGCAAACAAGGCTGTTGACCCGCACCAATCTTGAACATCTTGTCTGGTTCGGCCGTCAGCAAACAGCATTCGAACAACCTCTTCATTTCCAGGTACGGCAGCGAGCAACAGTGATGTACGTCCAAGCGTGTCTACACTATCGGGCTGGACTTCAGGGTTTTGCAGCAACATCCTGACCACGTCCACATTTCCTGCGATGGACGCCTCGTGTAGCAGAGTAAATCCTGTTTTAGAATCATAGGCACTGATCCTTCCCTCCGGAAGTAGTTGCAAGATTAATCCCAGGAACTCGGCTGTTCCCACTGCTGCTGCTTCTTGCAACGGTATCATCCTAGACACATGGCCTTGGTCGAGCTTAACTCCCTTTTCAAGCAACAATTTCACAACTTGTATCGATCCACCACGGGCAGCACAATGCATGGTGCTTTCGTGAGAAGATGTGACAGCCAAGGCATCGGCTCCTCTCTCTAGAAGGAATGATGCTGCTTTGGCGTTACCCTTCATTGCGGCCCAGTGTAGCGGTGTATAGCCATTGCTGTCCTTGCCCATGATATCAGCACCTCGGTCAATAAGCAACTACCACAACTCAGGGGCATCAGCTTCCATACTATGGTGGAGTGGCGTCGAACAGTCACTTGCTATGATCATGACTTCTGCCCCTGCATCTAGAAGCATTTCTGAGATTTCAACATCCCCACAGCTAGCGGCCGCATGTAGTGGAGTGAGCGCCTGATTATCGGGCGCGTCCAGATTTGCGCCGCGTTCAATGAGAAGTTTGACGATCCCGACATACCCCTTGCGAGCTGCTACATTTAGAGCTGTTCTGTGACCAGGCCCTGCTGTATCGACATCACAGCCTGACTCAAGAAGTACCTTGGCAATATCTTCAAAACCATCATAGCATGCTCTGTTCAGAGGTGCACGGCCATAACTGTCCTTTTTCTCAGTATCGGCTGCCGCTTCAATGAGAAAACGGACTATTTCCGCGTTCCCCGTATAACATGCAATATGCAGCGGAGTTTCCCCATCTTCATCATAGACTTCAACTAGCCGAGTTTCCCTTTCTTCATCTTCGTCATCTTCATCATCGACCTCAACCTCCGCTTCCTTCTGGAGACACGAAAGAACCATATCGTCATATTCTCCCAAGCATGCCGAATGCAGAGCAGTTCTTTGGTGGTGATCTTGGGGAGTTAAGTTTGTCCATCTATTCACTAACTCCTGGACAACATATACCAAACCGTTGTTGCAGGCGGAAATTAGTGGCGTCTCATCCTTGCAGTTGAGGGCATCAATGTCGGCTCCTCGTCCGACCAAAACCCCCACCGCTTCTGCACTCTGAGCAAGATGCAACACCGTATTTCCCATTCTGGTCTTTGCTTTCACGTCAGCGCCCCTTTGTATGAGAATTTCGATTGACTCGATAGAATCAAGCCATACTGCATGATGTAGCAATGTCCAATCGTTATGGTCACTTTTTCGTACGTCAACTGCCCGGTCAATAAGCGTCCTCAGCAGGTCATGTCGATCTGGCTGCAAAGCTTCTGAGGGCTTGTTCTCCAGAACATATTCGTCATCGGGGTCGACATCACCGTCTTCGAGCAAGTTATAAGCCGCTTCGTGCAATCCTAATTCGCGACCAACCCAAGAGATTCTTTTGCCATTGTAATGTTGGTATTGTTAGATCACTCAGAATGCTGGAGGACTTTTGGATTTCTACCTCGAGCTTCACTGTCGATTTCGACGATAGCAGTGTTCGCAGAACCTTTCCTGCGTATGTGGGTGGTGGAGGTCTTTACCGGAACCAACTCGTGTAGACGTTGAACGATCATTTCAAAGAGCTCAACATGATCTGATTGATTTTCCTTGTCTTGGAACATCCATTTCAGATTCCTCTTCCTTTCATTTTTGGGCGCCCATTTCCCAGTAGCGTCTTGAAGAACAATGTCAAAAGTAGAGTAAATTGGACAGTAAGGGTTATCGCCATCGCAGATACTTCTGACAATAGCGAGCACCGCTTTCACGTCGGCTGCTGTCTTAGGGTCCAAGCGGTCGCCCACGGCGGCTTTTGACACAGTTTCGGCGGCCAGGCCAAGGTGGTTGCCCCAATGTTTGAAGAGGTCCTTAGCAGCCTGGAATCGCGTGGCCAAGAGGCGAAAGTGAGGACCGATGTGGTAATAAGGCCGTGTCGCTTCAACCGCGTCGACGCATTCCTGGAAATGGCCGGCGAGGGCTTTTTTGTACCCAAGATGTTCCATTGTGATGAGGATGATGAGGATGATGCTGAATTGAATCTGTGGGCTGAGCTGAGAAAAGGGTGTTGGAACGATCAACGTGCTGACACATATGTGACATGTCACATCACAGACCCCAGTCATACATCAAATCTCCTCCCATTACATTCCATTCGTCTCTTAGAACGCTCTGAATGGTGGGTTTGCGCCGAGTTGTGAGACATACCCCTTTCTCAATCTCTTGACCACCTCATTGACTGGCTGTCACGACAGAAGGAGTTCCACTGGACTTCCAATACTCAGAGAGATTCTTGGGCCGTGAATTAATTATTGTCAACCCAGGTGAGTCCGCCAAACTGTGAACAGCCATAGCGAAAATAAATGTTTCCGCCACTAGCCACGGACTCCGCTTCAGCTTGCTATTGAATTATGTCAGGGAGTGAGCAACAAACAAAGGGAACAATGATATCAATGCAGCTCAGATGAAGTTCGCAGTGTGACCATACCGGACAAACAGACTTGAAATGTATGGGTCTCTTAACTCCATTTTCCTCATAAAATGCGCAGTACTTGGTACGAGCATTTCTCCATGTAGAGTTCAACGGTGGTGATTCCGTTGTCCAAGGTTTTTACGAGGTAACCAGTAGCGATAGTCTTGCTGGGGTGTAAATCTGGTGGCTGAAAAAGCCACATGAACTGGGTTTCTTCCGACATCGGTCGCACATTCATTTGCGACGACTTGCACAACAGAACCATTCCACTGTGAAAGGTACTATTGTTTTGTTCAGCGCTTCTGGTAAATCAAATCCTTTCAAATGAGATGCTTTCCTATTTAAGTTAAATTGATTTTCTATTCTTTTTTATCTAATTTGACTTTGTAGTAGGGTTTCATGAAGGGACATCCCTATTTCTTTAGGGTAGGTGAACTCCCTATAAAAGAAAAGTGGTAGATGTCCTTTTCTTTCTTGTCCTATTTTGTCTCATTCCTAGTTAATATTTTTATTTCTGATTCTACTGAAGTCCATTATAATTAGGCTGATTCTGACCTTCCAGAGGCTTTTGAACTCGTTCCGAAACAAAGAGATTTAAGATCTGACTTATTAGGAGCCCATTCTCAAGTCCACATGCATGGTTGGCAAGCCAGCTCTAACGATGGCATGCAACTAACATTAGGTGAGTTGATGATGAACTTTATTTGCGACGTCGAGTCCAGTTTGTGCCAGTCAGGGAGGTTTGCATGGTGCAAAGATGATCAAAACACCATTGCAAAACACCGAAATTATATTCGGCTTTTTCGTAATATTCCGGTCGGCCTCGGACTTCGGCGCCTCGGGTCCAAAGACAAGTCCGCGGATACGCCCTGCGGCTAGGCCCCGTGGACCACCAAATCCATGGTGATTCCCTCATATAAAACAAATCTTATCTGATCATCTTGCATCTCCTCTTTGCCGGGTAACCTTTTCACCCACCACCACTTTCTAGGCACAGAAAATTCCCCGCACAATCATGAGTATGCAGCAACTTGGTATTTACCTCGACTTTGTCAAAATCATCGCTTCATTTCTGGCTAGATTGATAGTCGAGAAAGCGCAGTCAGTTGCCCACAGATTCACCTACCGTCCATCGCCCGACCCGCTCAATGTGATCGTCGTCGGAGGCTCATTTGCGGGCTGCTTGGCCGCTCAACGACTTGCGCACACACTTCCCACTGGCTATCGGGTCATTCTAGTTGAGAAGCACTCTCATTTTCATTACACCTTTAGCTTTCCGCGTAACGCCGTGTTCTCTGGGCGGGAGCATAACGCTTTTGTTGCATATGATGGTCTTGCTTCTGGGGCTCCCGATGGTATCTTCCGTCAAATCTGCGACGAAGTCACCGAGGTGGGGGAGAAGACCATCACCACCAGAGGTGGTATATCTCTAGACTATGACCACCTTGTGGTTGCCACTGGTGCAAGCCAGCCTCCTCCAGCCCGATTGCGCGCCAGTGAAAAAGACGATTCAATTGTCGAGTTGCAGGAACTCCAGCAGCGCATCGAAAAGGCCCCCAGAGTTGCAGTTGTCGGGGGTGGAGCGGTTGGCGTTGAGCTGGCTACAGACATGAAAGATAGATACCCCGATAAACATGTTACCCTCATCCACTCCAGAAAGCAACTGCTGCCTCGCTTCGGACCAAAGCTTCACGACCATGTCTTAGCTAAGCTAGGAGAACAAGGCATCGAAGTCTTGCTTGGCGAAAAGCCCACGTTGCCTGACGACGCTGGCCAGATTGTCCGAGAAACTAATCTTAAGTTTACAAATGGAGAGATGAAGACCTTTGATCTGGTGGTAAGTAAAATATTATCTGAAACTGTTCGTTGGCCTACCTGGTAACTGATGTAATTGCCTTAGATACCCTGCACCGGCTTTCGTCCACATTCGAATCTGCTCGCCACTTACTCCCCGAAGAGCATTGCTTCGAGCGGCGAGATCAAGGTCAAGCAGAGTCTGCAGGTCGACAATTTGCCGTCGACTCGGCAGAATGTTTTCGCTGTAGGCGACGTTGCGCAATCAGGTGGCCCCAAGCAGGCTCGCGCTGCAATGATACAGGTTGAGGTTGCCGTCCAGAATATCCTTAGCCTTATCAAAGACAATTCGGCCAAAGGGGTGTACGTGCCTCAATATTTTGAGAACACCCTGCAGCTTACTTTGGGAACCGTAAGTAGCTATCTGGACTGGGCATGAACTTAGGCTAACACAGAATAGAAGTTGGGTGTCATGTATTTGCAAAAGGGGGATTACGAATGGTTGAAGGAGATGAATAAGACAGATGCCGATTTGAACGTTGGCAAAATCAGATGGCAGCTCAACGCAAAATCGACTTAAAGATTTAGACTTACTTCTACACATCAAAGTCTCACATAACACGCCCACAAACAAGTTGTCTCTTCCAGTAAGATTGACCGGAATTTTCTTTATTTACGTATTCTTTGATGAATTAATACTGCCGAAATAATACTCTTTCTCGGCTGAATCAATCACAATTCTGGCTGTTGGTAATTTAGAGCTTAGGTGAAGCAACACTCTCGCCAATGACTACCGTAGGCTTAGCGGTGGTGAAGTTCTTCACATCCTCATGGACGGCCTTTGTCTCCTCCATAGCAGCGGCCTTCTGGAAGGCGGCCAAGCTCTCCCACTTCATGATGGTGTAGATCTGGTGAGGGCTGTCTCCTCCCAGCTTGACGATATCTGCGCTGATGAGGCCGTGAGATCCCCATGTCCTATCGAAGAGTTGAGTTAGATACGTGATAAGAGTGGGTGGCTCAAGAGGTTACTCACTTCTCAGCTAGGGGCATGTGTGTCTTGACATAGTAGTCAACGTTGAAATCGTGACCGGTGGGGTACTGGATGATGACGGTAGCCATTGTGTCGATAAAGTTGAAAGTATATCTTATGAAAGGATTTTCTGATTGATTTTGTAAATGTTGGTTGAATGGAAAAGCACTGGATACTAGTTTGTTAAACAGGGTGCAGTCGATCATTAATAAATGGACTTTTGAGTTTCTTTACCGGATGACAAAGAATGAGTTACATCAGCCGAGGCATGAAGAATCTGAGGTATCCACCATGCACGGGACGCCTGCCAGGCTGTTGACTTCAGTTCGACTCCACAGCGGAGGAACCGGCGATTGACTCGCGGAGACTTCAGTATTTAGATCAAGTTCGCTTTGTAAAGCTTCTTTCATATTTTCTTCTTCAATAGTAAGAAATTCTGGCCTTTGAGCTACTTTTGCAACTATGATGGTAGAATATATCACCCTCACCGACGTGTTCTAGGTCTGCACTACCGAGGGCTGAGATGGGGAGGTTGCATGATCGTCAATATCACTTGTACACCGCTTTCTGTTAGTAGCAGTAAGTTCCATAAAACTCAATTTGTCATCACGTCACGGACCAGTAAGAAGTGGTAGCTCCGGCGTGTGTTACTCAAAACGGAAACGTCCGTTAGACTTGACGAGATGTGGCAAGGCGCAGTTCTTTGCAGTTCTCCAGCAAAAGAGTTTCGAAATGACCTCAATATCAAATAGTAATAAATTCGCGTGTCAAACAAACATACTAGTAACAAGATGGCACAGATTCAACCAAATGGTAGCAATCCACATCGATTAACACCAAATGTTCACTTGCCATAGCCCTTCTTTATAATCGCTTGAAAACTCCATACGCAAGCTATGCTTTTGGTATTCTGTTTGCATTTCTCCAGCGCCGATAAGAAACTGGTAGTAAAGCTGGCCAATTGAACAAGGAAATCAGGATAAAATGTATATTGGTAGTTCTAGAACTCTCAAAAAGCCTAGACTCAAACCTTATTTCTTCCTCAGAGTCAGCAGCTACCAAGATAGGAACCACAGATACGCCCGCAATCTAGCCCACATCTGATACACTGTCAAGTCCAGCTCTCTTCTTGGATATCGTCCCCTAGCATCAGACTATTCTCCAAACCATTCACCCAGTCAAGGCTCGAGGGTGCCACAGAGCAGTCTGTAACCGCTACCGGCTGATCCACCTCAGCCCTCTCAATCGCCATCAAAACCTTGGCGTGCGCCGCGTTCTGACGCTTCAGCAATCCTTTGTCGAAAGCTACTCTCGTACTTTCCTCTAGGGCATCGACCTTGGCACGAGCAGCTGCGATAACCTCGAGTTTCGCATCTAGCTTTTTCTGGAGTTGATCTGTTTCCTCGCCAAGCCAGTTGTTAGTGTTGACAACTTCCTCTTGAAGTTTCTCGAACAGGGATCTATCTTCCCCGAGATACATAGCCAACTTGGCAGCAGAGTCCAGTACCTTTTCCAGCTCGGCCGAGTCGATCCGAGTGCGACTAACAGCATAGTTGCGAATATTGGAAACTTGATTGAGTAACGCGATTCGGCGCTTCTTCGGTACATGTTCTCTGAAAGGGCGTGAGAAACGAAACTCATTTGTCCATGCATTCAGCTCCACTGCTTCAGGACAGTCCCAACCTGCTTCTTGAAGCTTCTCCGGCATGTGTTTCTGGCCGAAAGAGAAGCAGATTGCCTCCAGCTTGTGCTGAAGATGGACCATGAGTCTATGCTGGGCACTGAAAGGAAGATAAAGCGGCGATGGTGTTACTTCTTGTTCGACGGTGACTGTACTTTCCGCTACTTCTAGCGGAATCATCGGATCAGCTCCACGTCTTGAACGATTCGAGGCTGTCTTACCATTGTTCTGCCTCATTGTATAGTCATATCCATATCCAAAGTGCTGTTGTTCTTGAGATACAACGTCTTCCTCTGGTACAGCCTCTACCTCTGGTACATCATCTGCCTCTGGTGGAGCCTTTTCCTCTGGTGGAGCCTCTTCCTCTGGTGGAGCCTTTTCCTCTGGTGGAGCCTTTTCCTCTGGTGGAGCCTCTTCCTCTGGGAAGCTCTCTTCCGCCGGCACAGTTTCAGCCTCAGGCTCAGGTATAATGTCCACTTTAGGCACATGTGTTTCAACACCATTGAGATCACCAATTTCGCTGATATTCGTACTGGTATACCCTCCTCCCTGAAGTATACCTTTAACCTTATTCTTTTTCTTCATTTTCTTGCTGAACTCCTTCCGTGCAGTTTCGGGGATGTATTGTGTAAGAGTGTCAGGCTGAGGCACTGTAAAATATTGCCGGAATGCTTGATCACTCAAGCTAGCCATAGCCGAGTCTGTTCAGCAATGTTCACTGTTGTGAAAGACTTGTAGAAGAACCTCACGAGAGGGGATAAGGGCTCAAGTTTTATAAGCGACGGCGACAACCTTTTACGTGCTCCCGCATGGAGCAGAGTATGCTGGTTCCAAGCATGGGAACATTCAGAACACCCTCTTGCAGCGCCTAGATCAATACATGTTGGTTGGAGTGTCTGGCCTCAAACACCCAGCCAATTGGAACTGCACCTTCTGTCCCCGAGCCTATCAGGCTGTGCCAAGTTACCTACCGAAAATGTATATGTTCCTCGCCATGCTTTTGCATATTCTTATATTGCTCTACTAGTTTAACATGCAAGTCTAGTAGCCAAGTGAAGGTTGTAGAATAGGATCTAAAAATCAGTACAACAACGTCACACGTGAGGGCCTCCCCAGTCAGGGTTTTACCTCACATATCAATCCGCTTTCAAACACCTGGTAGCCGATACCAGGCTTCCGCATTATGCCATCACAAATCATTTCATTTCTCACCATAAACATGAAACTAAGTATGTATACGTCCAATGCTAATGCAAACCTCACTCGTTTGTCTACCTGGGCAGTATTGATGCAGGAGGCCGACCATCTAGCTCGGTGACTTTATTGGCTCTTAACAATGCGACCAACGACAGCCAATATGCGCCGCTAACGCAAAGGCCACATGCTTATACGCCAAGTCATATCACACTGGCCCAACCCGCAGGCTGATGTAAACATGATAAGGAAGAAACAGTAAACGGTCGAGTAGATGGATGTCGTGATCTTTTCCCCCGTCTTTCGGCTCCTGGGCCTCTAATTCCAGCTACCTAATACAGAGCCTTTGTAATCTCTACGTATGTGCAACCCTTCCGTCGATTTGAGTTTACCATGCGTCATCCTCTGTGTAATCATATTTAACAACATTGACCTTTGCGGTTCCTGAGGAGTGATCAGTGATATGAAGCCAAATAACTCCTCCACTTTCCTTGAAAACCTTTGCCCAGTACCTCCGATTCTACTGGGACCCCTCTGCAATTGAAAGTCCATAGAAAAGTCGCATCATTTTGTTGGCCAATGAGTCAATATTACTGGTTCGGTCGACCCAGCCTTCATCGAGTTTCTTCTCAGTGACAACCTCTAGACGATGGCCAGCCCAGGCGCCAGTCCACATGGGCCAGAATTTGTCGTCGAGGGGACCGTAGGTTGGATCCATCAAGGTGTCTTCCAGCTTTTCATCTGGAAATCCCACAAAGGTCTCAAGCTCCTTCCAAGACCAAACATCTTGTGTACCCTCCTCGCCTTTCCAAATGATCAACCACAACAGCAGTATATCTAGAGTAAGCCAATGTGTTCCCTTCAGACATACTGTGGCTTCCCCTTTGCGTGCGACCACTCCTTCCATGCATATGTACTCTTTCTGGCTTAAATTGCACAAATACCACTTGCTACCAATTTCGACGTTCAAAGTCGGCAGGGATGCTTCCATCGAACTATGCAGGGTTTCTGGGATACCGGCTGATCGAATCTGCTCTGAAAAGGCTTTTGAATAGAGACCAACATATGGACAAGGGATTTCCTGGTATGGTGCAATAGCCTTATGATACCAGTAATATATACCCTCGTGTTGCTCCGCGACAGGGATACCCCAAAACGGCACTTCGCCTGTGACTTCTGCAGCGCCAATGTTGTATACGGATCTCGGAAGGGCATTGAGTTTCGATCCCGCACAGATGAGTGGAGTATTGACCCAGGAGTAGGCATCTTTCCACCGGGAGTAGCCTCCCTGCGCATAAGTGACTGCGAGGCTCCAAAGAGTCCGGGAGCAAAGTCCAAGGGCTATGAGTTCTTCAGGTTGCAATAACGTGACAACAGTTAGCCAAAGCTCTGCAGGCAGCCTCTCCAGTGGAGTGAGCATGTCTACATGCAGCGACAGCATCCGACGTGAGCCCAAGCCAAAGTCTCTGTCCGCTTTGAGTTTGACCTTTTCCGGGGAGTTACACAGTAGCTTGAACGCGTTGAAACTAAGTCGATCGGTGCAAAACCAGCCCGGACCGGAAACATCGCCATTATCGACTGGACATAACAATTCCATCTTTTGTCTCTTCTCGGGCGTGAGAAATGTCCACCATTCCTCCTCTCGATTATTGAACACGGGCGGTGACGTGGGGTGCTCAACAGAATCTTGTCCCTGGCTCATGTTTTCTTTTGTAGTTTTAACAGGTGGTAAATGGGGTGAGGAAGAAGTCAGGCAAACAGCGTTTTGCTGCCTACAGATTCCTAAGCTCACGTCAGACAGATCCGACGAATCACATACCCTTGGTGCATAGTCAAGTCTTATTAGTCATCATCAAAACCAATAGAAAACCAATCATTCCTGAGTTCCTTCACCTACCCTATGTTCGCGAGGAAAGCCGCTCTGTTTCCAGGACGTAGCTCGTAATGCTTTCTAGGCCTATGATCAAAGCACCACTGCCCCCTTATCCAACGCCTTCAGCTCGAGACCAGGGCCTCAGTCTATCAACTGGCTGATTAGAGCACATGCCATGCATACAAGCCCAGATTCCCTATCCAAGGTTGCTCCTCAACACCCAACAAATCGTTTCATCTGATCGTATGCCATAGCATAGTGGGGCTACATGAACGTGGATGGATAGTAATTGTTTCCTGAGCTTGCATAAAGTAGAAGTGATGATGAAGTATCTACTTCCGTGTAGTCCATAATCCTGTGTTGTTAATGAGAGAAAGAGTTTGTATGAAAGCAATGTACAATAGGCACGTAATGTCATGATATGTAGAACAAAATTCTTACTTTGATATATCCCACCCAGAACTTAAGTAAAGTAACCCCATCATCCTCATCGTGATCCTTAGCTCGCTCGCCTCTAGTATTCTACCAGTTGTTCAATTCAACTATAATATTTGATGCTTGATAGCAGTACTTCGTACCTATACGAGGTAAACGAAACATAAATCCGAGTATTACGTCAATGCCAATTCGGAGAAATCGGAAAGGGTCCAAAAACCTACATGTTTCCACCAATCGGGTGGGTACTAACTAGATTGTGAAACGCACCCAGCTACCGTAGACGCCGGATCTCCTTTAAATGGAGGACGCCTTTACCATTTGCCATTTGTTATCAATTATCACATTCTCTACTAGATATTCATTCTTCTTTTCTTCCGTCTATATTCATTATGAAGTTCTTCTTCCACCTTTTGAGTCTGACAGCTGGTCTGTCTCAGGCTTTGGCTACCCCAGTTCAGCCAAGAGCTGCCAGCTCTGCCAAGAACCTGGTTGTCTTGTGAGTTTCCTTCCAAATTTAACTGCGTATAATTCCGCGCTGACAGTTTATGCCAGTGGTGATTCTTACTCTACTGTTGGATTTTGGCCCGGTGGCGATTTGCCCACCCCTGGAAGCCCCCTGGGAAACCCTGCCTTGCCAGGACAGACAACCGCTAACGGACTGAACTGGGTCGGCCATTTGACCAGCACTTTGAACACTTCCCAGGTCCTCACATACGACTTTGCTGTGACCGGCGCGACTGTTTCCAAAAAGATTGTCGATACGTACGCACAATTTTGCGTCGATGATCAAGTTACTCAGTATAAGGAGTACGCCTCGAAGAAAATAAGCACTGACGACACGCTTGTGGCCGTTTGGATCGGCATCAATGACCTTGGTGAGCCTTTCTGGAAGAAGACCAGCCCACCGATTGAGAAGACTCTCGATCGCTATTTTGAACTGCTGAAGACTTTGTCCGAAACCGGACTCAAGAAGTTTGCCCTGCTCACTGTTCCCCGTAAGTTTCCAAGATACAGCTCTGGAGCTCGTACTAATCATTCATCCAGCGTTCTCCGACCAAATCCCAGCAATGATTAGCCAGCCTGAAGCAGACCTCAAGAACCTCCGCTCGAGCATTACTGCGTACAACAAGGCATTGGCCGAACGCGCAACGGCATTTGCTTCTAGTAACGCTGGTACAAAGGTTGTAGTGTTTGATACTAAGCCTACTTTCGATGATGCCGTCAAGAACTTCAAATCGTATGGGGCTAAGGATGCGACCTGTTTGGGAGGCAACGATTGTCTGTGGACGGACACCTATCACGCTGGTACTGCCATTCACAAGGCGCTTGCTAAGAACTTTGTTAAGGGTATTAGCAATGTTTTCACTTTTTGATCGAAATGAGTTAGATAGGGAATTATAAACAGAAGCGGTAAAATTACCCTGCTAAATTCTTGTTTCATTCTACGTGATGTGGGCGGGATATTCTCAATTCGCTTCTCTCCCCTTATACCCGTTCTCATGTGGCAGCAAACGTTGGCGGATTTAACCGAGCGGCGCAGAGCTAACGACCAACACCTTTTATGCTAAGTGCGCTATGCTGCATGCTGGTCGTTGTAGCCCCTGTTCAACGTTTCCGAGAAATTTATCGACCATGCTCCATTGCACAAAACATGTGACTCTGCCCCCTCATTTTAGTTAATCCCTCTCATCCATCACCTGTGGTACTGGCTGGCTCAACATCAACACAATGGCCGATCCTGCTCCCCCTGTACTGTTCACATCGCTAGAAATTGACGAATCTGCCGCAAATGAGACCGACACCGACTCCGCTTTCGGCTCAGAAGACGGCAGCTCCACTTCGTCAATCACCTCGAGTATTCTCAGATATCGACAAGAGAATGGCCGAACATACCATGCCTACAAAGACGGCCAATATGTGATGCCGAATGATGAGCGAGAGCAAGAAAGGTTGGACTTGCAGCATCACCTTTTCCTAATTACATTTGAAGACAAGATGTATCTCTGCCCTGCGGGTCGAGACGGCCACAAAATCCACAACGTCCTTGACGTTGGAACTGGCACTGGCCTCTGGGCTATGGACTTTGCAGACGAAAACCCGAATGCGTCTGTCATTGGGATTGACCTAAGCCCCATTCAGAGTCCTTTCGTCCCACCAAACTTGACTTTCCAGATCGACGATATCGAAGAGCCCTGGACGTTCAATGTTCAGTTTGATTTCATCTATAGCCGTATGATGACAGCCTCACTCGCTGATTGGCCTGGCTTCTTTAAGAGAGCCTACGACAGCTTGGCACCAGGTGGCTGGATGGAATTAGCCGATATCTTCCCCATTACCAGTGACGATGGTACCCTTAGGGAAGGTTCAGCTACTCACGAATGGGTAACGAAACTGCTGGAGGGCACGAAGCTCATTGGAAGACCTTTCGATGGAGCCGATAAGTATAAAGAGCAGCTTGAAGCCCAGGGTTTCCAAAACGTTCAGCAAGTTGTGTTCAAATGGCCTCAGAACACTTGGCCCAAGGATGCTAAGCACAAAGAGCTTGGTAAGCTATGAAGCAAAACACCAGATTGGGGATAATTAGTGCTAATTGAGTATAGGTGCATGGAACCTTGAGAACATTTCTTCTGGGCTTGATGGACTTAGCTCAGCTGTCTATACTCGCGTGCTCGGGTGGTCTAAGGAAGAGCTTGACGTTCTACTGGCCAAGGTTCGACGCGAATTGAAAGACAAGAGCATCCACGCGTACTGGCCTATGTGAGTAAATGCACATTTCTATGCTAGACTAGCTAATAACCCTTTGATAGATACGTTGTCTATGGACAAAAGCCTGAGAAATGAGCGGCCAGTGGGCCATGTGGGCGTCTGAAAGCCCCTGTGCCTACTGTATGGCCATTGTGACGTAATGCGATCAAGAAGTCTTGCACGATACTTTCGTTAGTTATTTAGTATATCTAGAAGAAAACAGAACCATAAATCGCCTTCTTGAGAACTATAGCCCCGTTGCTATAGAGGTGTTCTTGTCTTCTAAGGCAGAAATTCTTCCAGTGTCCGTGTGATAAGGTTATGAGTGGAGTTCCATTCCAAGCTCAAGTACAAATCCGAGTCCTCGTTGAAACTTCCCCATGCAGTCCAGCCGTACCAAACATCGCTATTACGATCGAGAAATGCCAGCATAGATCGAATAGTATCGACACACTGGGGAAAAGGCCCACCACCAAATTCTGTGATCATTCCTCGGAGGTTATTGCTCCGCAGAATTTTGGTGACAGCTTCGAAGCTCCTCACGAACCCGCTCCAAGGCTCACAGAGGCCGTAGGCTCCACCTAGATCATCGAAATACTGATGGAAGTCGTATAGAGTATTATTCGCCGGGTCCTGGACAAGCCCGGGACCAATTCCTGGAGAGGAAAAGGCTTCCCAGTCGACAAGCCGTGCAAATTGGGTTCCTGATATGAGAATTTTATGTTTACTGGTGATATTTCGAATCGCAAGTATCACCGCCTGATTTGTGGCCCCCCATTTGGCAATGTCGAGATCGTGAGCTAGCGTTATGATGTTAGATGTATAGTTATTAGGGGCGATTTGGGCATAGACTTACGCTCATTCATTAGCTGGAATATCACTTTGGGATTCGACTTGTATCTCTGAGCAAGTCTGGTCCAAAGGTCGGCGAAGTCGTCGTTGGTGACAGTGATATTGGGATTGAGAAAAGACAATTCCGGCTGACCGATGACAGCGCAATACCAGCGCGCATAGTTATGCTACTCGTGCGAGTCAGCTATGTTATACTCAACCATCCCTCAATGTCGCACTTACAATGTCCAAGATGGCTTGTCCACCATCATCTGTGATCCTCTTGACCATCCTATCCACAGCTTCCATATTTGTTTCGTTCAAATTACCGCCAAGAGACGCCTGAATATGCTGCCATGCTACGGCAATTCGGAAGAGATTGAAGCCTTTATCATGCCATGATTCATAGTTTTCGATGCTGTCGATATAAGGGTAGCTGTTGTATGACGGCCCACAGGACAGGCTGAGGAATGTGTTGTATGCCGAACCAAGGATGTTGATATCGTTGGCGAGGCCAAACAGATTGACGCTTTACAAGTCAGATAATTGTACTTCAACCATTAATGAACTTCTGGACGTACCCCGCCCACTTGACGTGGTTAGCAACAGCCTCTTGGGCTGCAAAGAGGAAGATGATGTTTTGTAGACGCATGGTGATAGTTGATGAAGAGGTAGAGATTCGAATAAAATGAAGCTCAAAGTCATGGTATTTATATGATACCGGGTTACACTTGAAGCTGCCATTTTCTCGTTTGCTGACCGTATGAGCTTATAAGTCGATGTTTAACTAACATTGCACCTCGCGCTCCATCTCCTAAACGGGTAAGTTGACGCCTATCATCAAGCCCACGCTAGAGCGCACCTCGCGATCCAGGACCCGCAGGGGATGCCGAATCGGAAATACTTGTGATGATCCGGATTGACCGCCATGCACCCAGCAACAATCCGTCATAAGGCAATGGTCAGATTCCAGCCGATAAACCAGAAATGAGGCAGTGAAGTAAGTTCTGCAAGTCAGGCGTGTTTGCCTCCTGCGGCCTAGTAACCAGGAATTCATCACTGGAGACAACGACATGATAATGAATAGTTTTGCAGAGAGGGGAAGCTTGATCAATAGTGACTAAGTATTTGGGTACCTATGAACAACCCTTTCGTGGATGAAATTCTTTCCATGATATCCGCGATCCATTTCTGAGTGTTTGGGAATTGGGCCAAGTGGTTATAAGCCACCTTAAGAGGAAATAATAAGTTGAATGCTCCCGATGCTCCGCGGTTGCTGTTGATCATGTAGCCAACGCATCTGCATATCGCCAAAGCATTCTCATGGCGATCATCGTGACTCCTGAATGTGAGGGTGTATTTGCCACAGCCTATGTCGTCTGGAAATGAGACCAGGTCCAGGCTCAACGCATCTGGATCCTTTGCGGATCGCAGTTGGCGCAACATCGAATGAAGCAGTAGATATGATGTGTTAAAGTACACAAACTCGATGGCCCGTTCGAGGCTAGAGAACACTAGCATCGTTTCAAAATGAGGGTCGCGATCTTCGAATACCTCGGTGCATGATATCGAGATACTCGTAACTTCCCAGCATGAATCCGCATGGATGTAGTTCCATGAGATGCGCAGCACGTCTAGCTCTTCGAAACAAGATTGCAATTTGGAGGCAATCTGATGCACTGGCATTCCACATTGTTGTAAGTTCAAAAGCACATCGACATCTTCCATCAATCCTGGAACATCGCATAGGATGTCCTGCAAGCTTTCAGCGATGGTCTTGGACATGGGCTCCAAGGACCAAGGTATTTGTTTCCAGGCATTTTGCTCCAGGAACGTGCGTTTGCGATCAGCAATAGCTCCAATCGACTGCGAGGGAGATTAGCGATGGCGAGAGAGGTAATCAGAAAGGCATACAATGAAGGATCTATTGATCTGAAAGATAGGCTTCGCCTCATTTATCTCGAAGCCGTGAGGGCCTATCATATGTGTCTTCCGATTGTCAGTATTTCTATAACTCTAAAGTATAACAAATTCGGATAATCTTACAATCGCAGCAACGCCATGGCAATGCTTGAGCCAGTTCGACATTGAGTCCGAAGAAATCATCTCGTATACGCCAAGAAATAATGCGCTCCATATCGTCACACGGGGAGGCGATATTTGCGCATTGGCTTTAGCCACCAGCTCAACCTTCAGCCTCTGCACTGCTTGACCGTAGAGTACTGAGGCGTGGCTCTTCAGTTCGGACAGGCGATGAATACTGGAGAAGAAAGCTTCTGCTAAACACAACCCTGATAAGTACGCCGTTGAGTCCCGGTTCCATAAAAGCAGTGTCGAGATAGAGTGTTTGTCGTCTGGCGGTGACTGAACCTCGACAAATAGTTGCTTGACTAAGAACGATATCACGATCTCGTTTTGGAAGCCATGCAAGTCGAGACTTGGCGGAACATGGTCGGAGTTGATGTTAACCGTTACTGTCTTGGAGATAGCGAGGGTACTGGATTTCCCGGGAGGTTGAGCCTCGTGTGTAAAAGTTTTCGGCTCGTTGACAAAAATAAAGCTTTCGCCATACTCGCAAGGATGAAACCCTTTGTGGCATCGCTCACATATCGGCCGTTGCTCGTCTGCATATGACGTCAGTTAGATGAATACGCGATTTAGACACGAACTAACCCACCACACTTCACCTTGCGTCTCCTGCAGGTCAAGCAGCCTTTGGAGCGTCTGGGCCGTTGCTTATCTCTCTTGCCATTTGGCAATGGAAAAGCAAAGACTGCAGACATAGTGCTATCGTCTTACATGGGGCAGATCGAAAGCGATTTCCCTGTCTGGCGGAAGAGGCGGGGGCACGAAGACGTTATGGCGAATGATTTATCATCGTCTAGCCATTGGTTGAATTCTATTTCGCATTGCTAGCGGTGTATTCGGGCTTCGGCACTCACAATTCGGACCAATCGCTTTTAACTGTGGGGCGATAAAAGTTCTAGGAATGACTTCATACTTGTCCTCGTATATAAACATGAACAGTCTCATGAGCTAGTAATACCATCTACTCCGGCTTAGTAGCCAAATGATCATCATGTGAAGAGACTATCGTGAGTATTAATGTGATCCAAGAATGAACTACCAAGCAGTAAATAGAGAGCGAATAACTGATTTATCCAGATGCCCTCACCACCGGTAGCAGTACTAAGATGTACAGTGACTACTTCTTCTCTCCGTTTCCATGAACGCTAATAGCCTGGCCCTCGGTATCTTTGAAGTGCTTCCCCATCGCCTGTTGTTCGGCAATCTCGTCGGCAGGGATCTTATCCGGTGTAGTGTTGACGAGCATGATCATAGGAAGAAGAGAAGCCCCGAGCAAAGCGAATGTCACGCAACTGATTAAACATTAGCACGTTTTGCAGCAAAAGGAGTGATTACGCGGAGCTTACAAGCCAACGAGTGGATCGCTCTTTGTTTGAGAGTTCATTCCGTAAGCAATGGCTTGACCAACTGCTTCGATACATCGGAAAGCAGCTCCGTTCCGGACATTTTCTTAAATCAAATGTTAGCATTGTTGAGACTCGTCCTCATCTCTTTGGTACGCACCTTGAGCATCGGTTGCAAATGACGATAAAAGCCAGTACATGTAAGACTGGGACAGTGGTCCAGTAGTCTGTACGAAAAAGTATGGCAAGAACGAGGTAGCAAACAGGCCATCATCCCAGTCGATAGCGCCCGGGTCATTACGATTAAACCGGGCTTGCATAATGATGGACCAGATATACACCCCTACATTGAGTACGGCAACGGTGTAAAGACCGATCTGAGCCCTGCGCCGTTGGGTAATCTTCTCTGCGTCGAGAATGAAACCCAAACCGAAACAGCCAATACTAGACCAATGTCAATTATCGGTCGAAGACCTTCGGGGTTTTGAGGTACTTACATGCAGAAGAATGGGGAAATCAAAGATGAAAGAGCGCGAGTGCGGATCGTGAAGTGGATACCGAGATAGGTCGACCAAGAACCACTGTCCTCTATGTTAGTCGTTGGTTATTTTGTAGTACCGCAGTATCTTATTTCACCTGTAAAAGAATGACCAAAGTGCCCAGATGGCCGACAGTACGATGAGTCGCGAGGTCATGGTCTTTGCAATGCGTTTGATCTCCTGTTTAGTGCCAAGGGTCTCAGCGACAACAATCTTTGTTCCGTCTGATCTGATGACGCGTTCAAAAGGTGTGATCATGAAAGCGAAAGGTAAACTTTTGCAAACGTTAGCTATGGGTGTAAGTCCTTGATGCTGTGATACTTACGCAAGGCACTCAATAATCAAGAAGGCGATATATGTGTCGGGCGTGACACCACCGCTCACACCTTTTTCATTGTTCTTGGATAGACTAGCAAAAAGGTAGACGTTAGCAAGTTCCAGCTTCCGTCAGCTGACTATCGATACAACTTACTTGATTGCGCCACCAACCAGCTGTCCGAGATTTCTCGACACGATCCAAAGAGCCAAGTATTTGCCACGTGCACCAGAAGGTGCAAGAGTCATGATGGCACCAGCTTCTGCGACGTACCAACAGCCAGTACCGATACCGCCGATTGCGCCACTGAGAATCAGATACTGCGTCGAGTGGCTATGGTCAGCCAGCTGCACTAGTGGATCAAGGGAAGCCAAGCATGAATACTCACCCACTGATTACCATACTTGCTGTTACAATAATAGGCCGAACCCTGGATGGGAAACGACATGGATCCAATGACAAGCGCCCATTTGACTCCAATCTTGTTCACGATAGGACCTCCCATGAAGCAGGCTAGAGGTGCTTTGTTAGTCCAGTCTTATTATCTGTGGGGCACAAATACCTACTGAAAGCGAGAGCAGCATATCTGAGCGCTGTCGAGATGTTGGAAACCTGAGGAGTTGCAAGACCCCCGCCACCCAGACCTAGAATATGTTAGCCTCCAATAATGTGTATCGTGTGATGGTGGGAACTAACCCGCAATTGCGTCTGACATGGCAGGACCACAGAAGGCCTGAATGCTCAGGAGTATCATCTGTGTTAAGCTGTGCTGCCATATGTATTTCCACCTGGGAATGTCCCTTGTAGTCGTTATATCGACTGCCCGTACTGATGGCTGAGGCGATGGAGCCCTGTTGGAGGGAGAAACATCAGTCTTGGCGTCTGCCATCGTTTCCATTCAATATCTGCTTGAAGGTACTAGGTGATGCAGAAATTGCTTCATGACCAACTGACAACGCCTTTATATACAAACACCATCGGTCGTAACTCTTCCCACTGAGCCGGTATCTCGATTTCCCCACGGGGTTGACTCATCTAGTTCCACACAAAATATGGGAGAACTAAGAAGGTCCAAGCGAGACCTCAGTGGGGCACTTTATCTTTAGCCAATCGTTGCTTAGTAGCCATAGTCGGAGTGATCGATCCGCGTTTATCTTGCCTACAATCCAGACTCTTAGCCGAAGCTTTGAGACCAGAGTCTTGAAGAAGGTCCAGCCGATGGCCTGACCCTGTGACCTTCCAACTGCCGTATCAACACGACAAGCTTAACAACCCCGCGTTTGATCGATGTCAATCGGTTGGTCTCTGAGTAATCCCGATAGGGTATCAATATCCAGTTCTACTCCGCCGACTTATCCTCGTCAGGAAGGTAGTGTGATATCGATGTTATCTTGTTATCACGGCAGATCGGTTTGCCCACTACACACTCGCTCCATAAAGTGATGAACAGTTCATCGTGACGTTACTTTTATCAAGCGGAGAAACTTGGAATTTCCACTAGACCTTGTAGAAGATTAGAAAACTATCGGAGTCCTCATATTCAGTCCGCTCAATCGGAGGTCGCCTCTGGTTTTTCTGTTCTTTGGCCTGCTCGGAGCAATTATAAACACCCTTAGTGACCAAAGGTCTAATTTGCTACTTGTTTAAGCGTTGAAGTTCAGTAATCATAATTTTGCTATGTTTGCCAGTTTAAGTGGCATTTATGGAAGAAGCGTCAGCGATTGATATTTGTACAAGTGTAAGTGATAAATTTGTCCACGTCATTGTGACGCAGATATTGCGTTACCAAGAACATCTTGGAACTTCTGAGGATCAAAAGTCAGGTGAGCACGACGTCTTCGACCGTTCGTTTACGAAACATGCAGAAGTAATGGCAGTTATTAATTTTCCGTAAACTCAGGAAGTGAAAAGAAAACACAATAAAGATTTTACTACCTGATAAAGAGGGTTTCCTTGGATTCTAACCAGTGAACTCCCTATTATGCTCGTTGACCTTACGGTATAGGGTATCAAAGCCTCGGTTTCAGTCAGAGGCAGGGCGGTGAGTCATGGAAGAAGACACGGTAGGGATCGGCGAGAAAGTCAGGGAACATAATCAATGATGAATCTAAGATAACTAATGGGAAGGAATCCTCTATTTATAGGCAATTTCCTTCAATTAACCATTTGCTTCCTTTTCTGCCTGTTCAGGCAGGTTTGGATTGTCCTGCAGGTTGTCTGGCTGCCTGACAAACCTACGCTGTTTTCACAGGCACCAGCCAACACTCGGAATACCCTGGGTTCACCTAGGCCAAGAGAATTGTACTCATTTAAGATAGTAATGTTCATGTCTAAAATTAGGATAGGAGAAGAGGAATATCTGACCTGGGTTTGGCTGTCTCAGGTTGACGAAAACGCTAATTAAACTCATATACTTCCTTTCGCTACCTCTAATGTCTCTTGTATCGTGAGATTTCACCATTATCGAACAATGCCGCTGACTACCGCTGCGGAGTAAATGAGCATTGAGACTTTGTTTCACAAGTTCTAAAATACGCAGTCTAGGCTATCATACTTCAATACTGTTCGAATCGGTAATTTCATGGAACTCCGGCACGGTAAAGCTCGCATCCCTACATCATATCACTTCGGGCTTGGACAAGTATATAACGCGAGGTTAAGAAACAGATTTAACAGAAATGGTACGGACCGAGCTGGTGACTCAAGGACCAGACCCAGCGCAGTAAACTCCTGATTTCACCAATATATGCATATCTTCATAACAACTCATTCTGTTTAAGGTGCACTCTACTTCCGTACCCAGATTGAACACTTACACAGAGTGATAATCTTTCACCCCATTAGCTGTATATGTACCCGCATTGGGAAGGTAAGCTTTTCAAGATAGTTTTGATTGGCATCCCTCGATCAGTAGGGTTACACTCAAGAGCACTAGTCATGTGAGTTACTCAGAATATGAAACACTAGATAGTCTGGCACAGGTCCTAAGGTAGTTAGTCTCATGGAGGAAATTAGAGATACCTTTGAGAATGTCTAGCCTGGTAATCACGCCAGTGTTATGTGCTTCGCTGGCGATGGAAACTTGCTCCTATAGCCCGGATGTCCTACAGCCGGCAGTGCAGTTGGATAGCGGGCGACTTTCCCATACTTGAACTCAATGTAAGCCCGACTGACTGTTCAAGGTAGGAGAGCTAACAGGCATCTCGCCGAGGAAGACCGAGTCCCTTTGCCGATGCCATAGCTGGTTGAATCCCCTCTCAGCGTTGATTGTAGAGACAGCCCTGAATAATAGTTCATATTCTATCCGTACTTTTCTGATATACATCCTCCAAATCTAGCCCAATACTGACAATGCTATCGCTGTCTTGAGAGGTGGGGCTATAAGCTCATGCGTCTGTACGGCGCTGTTCTTCGCGGCACATGGCTTGTCGGGCTTGTTTACTTGGTCGATCCCGCCGCTTCCCGCCTTTTCTAATGCCGCTATCCAGTTTCCTCCACCGGCAGTGGCACAAGCTACGGCCTTGCCCTTGCTTGCCACACTCACGTTGATTGCGACATGGACTAGCCGAGGGATGTTTGCCCAATGACGACCTTAAGCCACAGCAGGTTTCTGTCCCCCGCAGCTCTAAGGGAATGGTTCCCAAGGCAGGGGACTCATTAGTCGTCGGTATGCACCTTGCCGCAGACGTACCTAAGCAGTTTCCTGAACAGGCCCCATTTAACGATCTTGGTTTGAAACATCCTAATGTAGAGGGAGGTTCTCGTTTTGTTGAGAATTGGTTATAGAGTTTGAGAATTGAAGGTGGGGTTGGTGATGTCTTGACAGCATCAACCTGACTGTTGGCCTTCCTTTCGACGGATCCGGTAGGTTTGGTCTTATCTTCTCCACTGAGAACAGTCTTGATACATAACCTTTACTATATCAATTATCTGGTCAGTGGATCGGGGGCTGACCAAACTGAGAAAGGAGTTCGGGCGGAGGGGAATGAACGAGTGTTGGAGGTTCGTGATGGAACGAACGGAGCTGCTACTGACAACAGAGCTTAGTCCTGACAGGGTGCGGAAATATTATGTAGTGTGGGGTTGCAGTCAATCGGATGTATGATCTGAGAAGGAATGTGACAAGGGATCTTTTCGATGTGGATGGAATGATGGATGTGGAAAACATATTCCGCATACGGTTGGTCGCCAACCAGTCATCGCTGCTCCTATATGAAACTCTCTTATAACAACTTGGTGGAGCGCACATGTCAATTGACGTGACTTATCTTTCACTAAATCGATTGATCGCTACCTTGAACTGACTGAGAAACACCGATTGTCTTGACAGGTTACATTCCCCTCCCGAGAATCTTGAACACAAATGGGTCCGTCGCATATACGCAACTAAGAGTGGTAATTTCTCTCCGTTTGCCTGTCAACTTGTCATCTGATGGGCCTCCCCAGGGGCACGCAATCGCACCGAGGGTCCATCCCTGTGGCAGGTCGAGCGGTAGAAGGTAAGTTTAGAAACAACTCAGGTTGCGCTCTGGTGCAATGCTTGAAAGGGGTGCATTATAGACCAGACTTCCGTCTTAAACTCAGGGGGTCCAGCCTATCAGCGCGATGGCTGATGGAGACTTACGGGGATGGTTTATGCAGGTATTTATCATCCTTGCCTTTTGACCAGGGTCCAGACCCGGAGAAAATCCTCAGTCTGACTAGTTAAAACACAAAGCCACGCGATGGTACGCCGGCTGTGACCCGTATGGGGCAAGTCTTCAGACGCCAATACTCAAGCGAAGATCTGTTCCTATATCGTCAGTCGAAAGAAACGTCGCCAAGTCGAGGTCAGGCAGTTGACAAGCATCTCATCTGGGCGTCGTTTTACTGCACCGTTAGAGTAGCAGTAACGATACCTTGACACCGCAGAGTAGCGCATAATTCCGTCGGTATCGCCACTAAGATCAATCATAATAACGTTCAGGCAATATGGAATAGAGTTTCATATAAAGTGAGCTCCCTGCAACCGACCCATTTGACAGGATTTCGATCCTGCTCTCCAGTTACTAACTCATTCCTACCATGGCGTCCCAGGTTCCGACCAGAGGGCCAGAGCTGCTTGCGGTCAATATCACATTTTGGACACTGGCTGTTATCACTTGTTTGCTGCGCACTTATGTTCGATGCTTTCTTGTGAAGGCATTCAGAAAAGATGACTGGCTTATGGTTATTGCGACAGTATGTTTGCAGAATACCTGCCAAGACTGTCCCGAGTCTCGGTCACTGTTGGCAAAGCTAATCGGCATCTGCAGGTCTTTTTTACGACATATGCCACATTCTCCACTATCGGTGTCGGCTTCGGAACTGGTCGACATCATGCCGACCTCGAAACATATCAAATCCGTACGGCTATGATGGTAAGATTTTAAATCCTAACCGTGGATTAATGCTAACATGCATGCAAACAGTCCTGGTGGTTTTGCTACTTATTCTACAGTCTCACTATGATTTGTTGCAAATTGTCTATCGGCTACTTCTTGCTTCGTGTCAGCAACAACAAATTACAAAGATGGACCATCTACATCGCGATGTTCTCTACCGCCCTATCTGGAGCAATTTTCTTTTTCGTCACTCTCTTTCAATGCCATCCCATATCATTCTTCTGGGACAAGGAACAAGACGGTACATGCGTCAAACCCGATATTATCATCGCTCTTGCGACCCTATACAGTGTTTTTGCTGTCATTTCCGATTTCATTTTCGCGCTACTCCCAGGAGTTATTGTGTGGAACCTACAGCTTCATAAGAAGACAAAGTACTCTTTGATCCCACTTCTTGCAATGGGTTGCGTGTAAGTTTAACCCTATTTATGTTCTCGAGAGTCAGCTCTGTGTTGGAAGATGATGCTAATCCTGAGAATAGTGCCAGTGCAGCTGTCATTGCTCGCTTCCCATATCTTGCCTACTTCAGAAAACCCGACTTTCTCTGTATGTTTAAGCTACAACCGCACCATACATATCCTTACTAACTATTTGTAGGGAATACCCTGGACATTGCCATCTGGTCAACGATCGAACAAGGACTAGCTATCGCTGCCAGTAGCTTAGCCACTTTACGACCCCTCTTGAAATTGGCCGGTTTCCGTATGGGCTTCACTAGCAAGCCGGTATCCGTTGGCCCGTCTGGCTATCTTTCGTCGCCGCGTACGCCCGGACCTGGAACAGGAAGCGGTTTCCCCGGTCGCGATGCATACACTCTCTCCTCTGTTAGCCGCCCAGAAGCTACTGAGAGCCGAGGGGGCAAGTTTGGCTCAAGTTTCGCGAACGATCTTGAGAACGGGATCACAAAGGAGACGAAATGGGAGGTGAAAATATCGCACACAGCGAGAAGTGAAAGCCAGGAGGAGCTCCGTTCGCCCAACACTTGGAGGTCTAAGCCTGTCAGTCAATGGGATGCTTAAAAGGAAAAATAACATAACATACCCCACCATAATTACATAATAATGGAGTCCTCGCACTCTCCAAATTCACTATCTACTTGTCAAAGGATAATCTAGTTATCAGTATCTACAAGAACGTAATGTGTGTTGATTCTCTATCGAAGTAAAGACTTGTTGAGTTCTACCAGGCAATTACGTAATTGTTTCGGCCAGTTCAGTAATGGTATTCTTAGGAAGGGGTGATGCTATCGCATTGTATTTGCCACCTTGTGTTGATTACCCTGTTCTACAGTCTTTTTCTCGTTCCGGATCAGCTCTCCCCAGGAAACAGAACGCTTATGATATTCACGCAAGTAAATATTTTCATAGAGCTAAATAGCAGGCTGTGGATCGGACACGTCCATATGGACTTTGCGTTGTTACGGGGGCGTCATGGCATCTAGGTACTTCAACAAAGCAAACCTCTGAGGCCGAGGCAACCCCCAATAACTATCAAGATAACACGGGTCAAATTTCGTCGTAGTATCCGCTCACGAGCACTGATTGGAAAACCCGTTGCGTGAATGCAGGAACCGCAGCCTGCATAATACTGTTAGCTGACTTCACCATCGCAGTGAGAGCTCCAATAGCTCTCGGGCTAGGTGGGGCATCTTGTACTCCTATCTGTACAGCGGTGGTAAGGGTGAAGATCGCAGGTCCGATTAATGCCGTGAGGATAAGGACAATGCGGAGGATTAAGGCTTCGGGACTTCCGATGTGCGAGAGGGCATTCGTTACAATGTGACCGGTAACGAAGGGGGGAAATGCAACCGCGCCAGCGTTTACCATGTCGTCGGTGCCGGCTTGATGACGCTGCACTAAAAGGAAGACAATCAACACCCACGTAGCTTCGTAAATATCTTGTACCGTCATTTATCCCAGTGGATAGTGTGAGAGTGCCCACCGCCATGGAGGTAGATGCAAGACTCATAACATGAATAAGTGTAGAGAGCATGTACAGCAGTAAGATCTGAAGCTTGGGCCCGGCAAAATCTTTCTTAGTTCCTAAATGAGGAGTTATCGATGCAGATTCGAGGTAAAGCATCAGCTCTCGATCAGCGGGGGGGAACTGAGAGCTGAGTAGTTAAATCTATCTTGACTTTCAAAACAACGGCGTGTCAGAGAATGTCAGTTATTAACCTTGATGATTGCAGTATACCATTTCTAATAAAAGTTAAATTTTGCTCACTCTGTTGTTGAGCGATTCCGCCAGGGTCATATGACGCTAAAAAGAAATGAGCTGGGAAAGAAATAGAAACTGCCTGAACATTTTACTCGGAAGAGGAACAGTACTGCTAGAAGCACACAGGAGCCGAGATGATTTCGCCTAACAAAATCTTCTATTACGACACGATCAAGTTGATGTAGCCTCCAGTGTTGAATCAACTGCCTCACTCTGAGCTTCACGCCCTCCCCATCAACAGGTCCATGATCGCGCCTTTGTCACTGAAGATCAAGAATCAATACACTGAACTTGAAACTTGCTACTCTAGTTTCGACAATATCTGCTCATATTGTACATGAATCTCTCAGACGCTAAAACGGTTTGATGAGCCAACTCCCGGCATCGGGTTTGGGCCCGTGTATCACAATCAACTAAGTTCGAATTCTCCTCACTCTGCGGCAATGATATCGTGGCGATGATAATTTTTGGGTCCAGTCCAATTCACTTCGCCATTCACTCAACAGTGACAGATAATGTCGCGTCGGAGCCAAGTATGCCTCGTAGTGGACACTGTATTAACCACAACATGCATCTTGTCCTACGTAGATCTGTTTATCTCAACCGATGGCGGTAATTTGCCCACACCCGTCACGTCAATACAATGTTATCACTCTCAGATTTACTCCTATGAGGGTAATGGGGCAAGAATGATGATACTGGCTCTGGGGCACTCAATATTCTCAGCCAGCCCATGATGTTGATACATTCTGTGTGTTGTGGAACTTGGCATAGTAGGGATTGAGCCGCGGCTTTTTTTGAACAGATATATGGAAAACACATGCGAAGGTCACATAACCTCGCATTCATGGTCTTCGATTCGGTGTAACAGAGTTGACGCCGTATCGAAATCGGCTTAGCAGAAGGGGTTGGGCCGACACGACACGACGTGGAGGTGACACAGCAATCTTTATAAAGACTCGTGCATACAGGATTGCGCAACATTAAGTTTTACTGATGACAATTCACTAGCTTGGTGTAACCCTTTGCCTATTGCCAAACGTGGAACCTAATGCTTTCAACGTTCTGATGCTGTCGGCAACCTCCTCATTGCCACATTCTCAATGAACATACATCGGTAACTCAGGCTCTATTCTTTCTTCCCTCCTGCTGTTTGCCCATATGCCAAGGTCATAATGGCCATCAAACATGTATGTTGAATGTTGTGTTCAGCACGTATTTGCAGAGGCGAGGAGCCTATTGTGTCGTAAAACTCAGTTGACTAGGATCGTGGCTATCATCAACGGTATAAATACTATGACAAAGGTTGTATGCGCTGAAAAGAATTTCCTCCAGAGTGCCCATTCTCTTAGAAGTAGAGCACTTTTTGGCGTGTCGTCGGCTGAGAGGCAGTCGAAGGGCGAGCTCAGTCGCCTGAGGATGAAAGAGATTTGATTACACACTCGATGGCCCTGATGACTAGATGACCTTACGAGCTGTTGATGCTCCCATCCCTCCAGAATGCCTCATTTAGGGCACACGTGGCTGACAGTTCGAGCAGAATAATGGGGTCCGAAAGCCGGAAAAGCCTTGATATTAAATGCTATGGATTGCATAGACATCGATCTCATGATCAGGCAGAGCGATGTCAAAGAAGGCCTACGAGCACCCCCTGACTTGTCGTTCGATCTCTTTTAGTTTGTAAATTTCCAAAGGTCGATCAAATCCCGATATGTGTTTCCGCTTTCCACGACGGCTGTCGTAAGGCTTCGATGCAAACACTAATCTGATACCATAGGCCAGAAGATTTCTTGTGTGAGAAAAGAAAATGGATGTTGGCTGCGATTGTGGCGGCCATCGTAGGATAGTTTTGAGATGAGGTTATGCGTGTCGGAGGAACCCATCATAGGTGAAATATCCATAGATACGTCTGTAGCCTTTGTGTTTACTCAATACTACGTATATCAAGGCCAAAAGTCGATAACACCATGCCGGCCGTGTCAACGAATGATACTGCAGTGCTCATCAGGGTACGGTTGTAGACGGAACATGAGTTTTACTATTGATGTATACCTATTTTAATACCATGACATTGTAAGCGATACAATAAGCTGCTCAATGTACGAGTTTCTCGTCGGTCAACATCGTTGCAAACAAGTTTACTCATTACACCTGTGACATCATTCCTTCACATTACACTGTCCCCAGGCATAGTCCAAGGTCAGTAGATACCCATTGTGTCTTATTGATAACGTGATATTAACGGTGCGTGCTAGTTATACGCAGTGAGGTGTCATAAGATCTTAATTCTATGCGATTCATGTTTGGTTGACCGATGCTGAAGTCGAGGCCCGCTACATGAGCAAGAAAATGAATCATACTTCCGAGTGGCAGTGGTGAGCTTAACAACAAGGCAAATTAGTCTAAAAGGTTTTCTGGGAAAGCAGTTTTCGCATAATTGCACGGAAAGCACCCAAAGTCTAAGAGCATCTGTAGGCATGCAGTTAACTAACTGTGGACAATCCTGCAACCTCCAGTCACACACATCCAAGGAGTCGATACACTCTGTTCATGGATGAACATCTTTAAAAAAAAATTGCAATCATAAATGACACCGGCAGCAGGAGGTTGCCTTCGGTTTCCCATTTGTTTTGCGACTTGGATTGGGAAAAGTCGAAAGCCGAAACACCTCAGCCCGGGATTCGACCTACATCTCATAGGTCCTGGGATTCGACACCTACATGTCACGACAAACAGGACTCATGGATCTACCTACTCCGTGCAACCACAAGTTTTGTCAAAAGATGCGTTGGCTAACCTTATGTCAATGGCAAAATCTAGACCGTACTTTCACGTCCACAGCTACAGCGGCCAATAGTTGCATACGAGCATAAGCATAAGACAGACTTCACAAGCTAATAAAATCATTCGGATAGGTCCAAGCAAAAAGGTGGGATATTGGCATAAATCGTATCAAAACTATTAAATAACTCAAATCAGGAATCACAGACCCTTCCTTGTTAATCCCAACTTGAGAAGACTCCACATCCATGACCTGGGCTTTACGTTCTTGCCTCTAGCTAACAATCCCCGGGTTGTCTTGTTGCTTGAGGATCCCCCATCTTCACCATCCCAGTGACCCAAGACATGTTCAATTAAGGTAGAGTTGCCAACGGCTCCGCCAAAGATGTTCAAGAGAGAGCCCTGGTCTGCGTCCAACAAACCACCGAGGACATCACCGACCAGCGAAATGACAGGGAAGGTGAACCTAATGTGCTTGTAGTTCAAGACACCTTCCATGTACTTGATATGCTCCCCATTGACCATGGTAGAGTTACCTGTTGCGTTGAACTCCATATAGCCATTATTCAAAGCTCCTTGCTGGCTATTGAGGATTTCTGAAAGGTTGGGAACCAGCTGATCGAAGAAGAAGTTGCCTTCAAAAGGTACTGAGTTGTTACCAGGCCAGAGCTGGAGGTCTGGCAAGTTGATCAAGCCTACCCTTATATCGCCGGTCATGACGTTGAACTGCATGTCTCCAAGGCCAAGTCTTAACACTCCAGAGTTTGGGATGTTAAGATTTCCCTTCATGTTGTACTTTGATGTCCTGTTGGTAGCCAGATCGAATGTCAAATCTTTCAGAGCGAAGCCATCCAGGTAATTGAGAGACAGAATCTCGACTGTCTTTTCAAGCTTGCGATGGTATTTCAAAGCGCCGAGGTGAACTTCGGGTTTACCCTTTAGGGACAGCTCTACATCCGGCTTATCGAAGAATAGGTTGAACCATTTGGTCAGCTCCGTCTCGTTGGTCACCTTCAATGTCTGGTTTGTGACGGTGACTTCTCTTTTGTGGTTGAGGTGTTGCTCCGGTAGGTGAAGTTTCAAGAATGAAGAATACGCCTTTGTCTCTTTGTTGTATAGATAGAGGTCGACGGGCTTGAGAGTTGCCGCGATCGGTGTATCTAGCGATGTGATGATGCTCATGTTGACCTCTGTGGGCGACATGACTTGCAGAGCGCCTCCATCGATCGGTAGTTTCTGGCCATTAAGGATATTTTGAACGATTGCCGGAATGATATAAACGAACCTGATGGGTGTTAGACGGGGGTTATTGGAACGAGTTTCTCAATCAAGGAGATGAACTTACATTATTGGTAGTAAAATGGCGAGAAAAATGACCAGACCCAGCAAATACCACCATTTGAACCGCGCAAAATGACTCTTGACTTTTTGCCATTTGGTTGGCCCTGGAGCGACCTTCTCATCGCGAACATGGTCGTTGGAAGACACATTGTCGCTCTGGTCGTCGTTAGCCGGCGCGTTCTGAGTGTCGGCTGCGTTGTGTGTTTCCTCAGGCGAGGCTACAGCACCTGCGGCGGTATGATCTCTTTCTGAAGCCATTATCGAGACTCGCAATGTTGATGACAGTGTAACTAACACCAGTGTCTTGCAAACAGCGGATCAATGGCTGGGTTGGAGGCAGAGTACAGAGTACAGAGTACGATAGAAGGTCCCAGGCCAAGGATGGGTGCTCATGGCCGCGATAAGGCGCCCTGTGAAGAAAGTTATACCAGGGTCAGCGAACTAACGATTTCGCCAGCCAGGCCCATCCCAGCTCGCAACGGCAGAGAAATTTGGATCGACAAGCGGGGTTCAGTGCGCTAGAGGTCAAGGTGTTGAACGCTAACAGGGTGCTTTGCTTTGCTTGGGGGTGCTAATACGAGGTATGTGCGCTGGTGATCACTGGCCACTTGTAGCACAATCTGATAAGTGATGAGCGGAAATTGGGCGCATGACCGAGCATCTTCCCCCGTTCTTGGAGTGTTGGATTAAGTGTGTGTGTGTGCGACCGGTTCTAACCACGTCGCAAAGAGCTTAGTTTGCGATTCCCCGCAAAGTGAGGGCATCGCCGCTGAATAGAAGCCGAACAAGATCGATCGTGATTAGCATGTGGTGATGCGCATCTTTCTGGGGAAGTTGGTGCTGAGCTTGTCCACAGTCTAGACAGTTCAACGGCTGCGGACAGAACAGTTAGTCGTGAGAGGAGAGCCAGGCCTAGACTTTAGAGGTGGGGATAATACCGCGTTTCCCCAAGGTCGCGTTAATTTCCACAGGAATCCGTCAAGACCTTTGGTAGCAAATCGCGTGGCAGGCTTACTTGCTTTGGTGACGCTACTCCAAAGATACTCCGGGAGGCCCCTGTACGGTTCCAGTGGCTTTACTACGTGCACCTGGATTTTTACAGAGCAGAGAGACACCAGTGTTTGCGACATTTTGCACACCACAAACCCAATTGACATGTTCAAACAAGCTCAACAGAGGCATTCCATAAAGCATAATACTAATTTCGACATAAGCCCTCCTGCTGGGTATCGTGTACATAGACGTCCAAGCTCATTAGATACATCAAAATGGTAATTACAAGCATCCCCAAACTCCGACCATCAATCAATCCCACATTATGTGCGGCCCATAAGCTCCTTCAGAATTGCGTGTACTAGATCTGCCACTGTCGCAACAAGCTAGAAGTATTTAGTCAGTTAAAATGTATTTTGTAAATTCGTAAGGCGTCACTTACCGGTGTCGCATCTCCAATGAGCTCGTTTACTTGATTCACAAATGTCTTGCTGAGAAGGTTCTCGGCGTTGCCCACCAGTGATAGAAGGCCCTTAATGGACTTGGGCGTAAGGAATGGCAGAACCTGATCCACAATACCCTTGACATCAATCTTCTTCAGTGCGTAGAGGAGAGGCTTCACAGCGTCAATGAGTCCGGAAAGGTCGATGCCATCGAGTTCCTCCAACAGAGGCTCGATGATCTCGAACAGACCCTCAATGTCAACCTTGTTCAGGACCGCGATCAAAGGTACTGCGCCTGATATAAGCGTTTGCGTTTGGTTGACGAACTTGTCACTGAGAAGATCCTCAGCATTGTCGACAAGACCTATTATTCCCTTGATGGACTTGGGTGTCAACAAAGGCTTGATAGCATTGATCAAGCCCTCAAGATCGATATCGTCCAAGGTATCAAGCAATGGGACGATCTTGCCAATAAGCTTGACGAGGTCAATCTTCATGAGTGCATTGAGGAGTGGCTTGACCTTCTTGATGAGATCTTGGAAATCGATCTCGCCCAAGGCTTCAAGGAGAGGTTGTAGCTGCTTGATGAGCTTCTTGAGATCAAGGTCACCAAGAGCCGATACCAATGGTACAGCTTCATCAATGAGTGTCTGTGTTTGATTGACGAACTTGGGTGTGAGAAGGTCCTCAGCATTGCCAAGTAGGTCAATGATGCCCTTGACACCCTTTGGTGAGAGTAGCGGTGCAATGGCGTCAAACAGACCCTTGATGTCCAAGTCGCTGATCTCATCAAGCAGTGGTAGAACCTTCTTAACGAGCTTCGCAAGATCGATCTTTCCAATCTCCTTCAGCAGAGGCGAAAGTTGATCGATCAAATCAGGAAGATCGAGCTCACCCAGTGAGGATATCAGTGGAACAGCACCAGTGATCAGCGTCTGAGTCTCGTTGACAAACTTGGAGGTCAACAGGTCTTCAGCGTTATCCAGTAGTCGCACGATACCCTTAACTGAGTCTTTGGTGAGCAGTGGTGCCACAGCGCCGAGTAGTCCCTCAAGGTCAAGCTTGCCGAGCATCTTCAAGAGTGGGCCAACCTGATCAAGCAAGTCTTCGAGGTTGGCCTTGGCCAAGCTATTGAGAAGAGGTGCTGCCTTGGAAATGAGCCCCTTCGTTTGTGACACAAAGTCCTTGGTCAAGAGGTCCTCGGCATTATCGAGCAGCCCGATTATGCCCTTGATCGAGTCCTTGGTGAGGAGTGGCTGCACAGCACTGAGAATTTCCTCCAGCTTGAGCTTACTGACCTGCTTCAGCAAGGGACCGACTTGATCAAGCAAGCCACTAAGATCTGCTTTGTCGAGACTGTCGAGCAGAGGGGAAGCCTTGGAGATCAAAGACTTGGTCTGGGAAACGAAGTCTTTGGTGAGCAGATTCTCGGCATTGCCCAAAAGACCAACGATACCCTTGATAGAATCCTTGGTGAGGAGTGGTTGCACTGCACTCAGGATATCCTCAAGCTTCAGCTTACCGACCGCCTTCAGAAGAGGTCCGACCTGATCCAACAATCCCTTCAGATCAGCGTCGTCCAAGCTATCCAGAAGAGGCGAGGCCTTGGAGATCAAAGATTTGGTCTGAGACACAAAGTCCTTGGTAAGAAGGTTCTCGGCGTTGCCAAGAAGACCGACAATTCCCTTGATTGAATCCTTGGTAAGCAGAGGTGAAAGCGCATCCAGAAGACCCTTGAGATCAATCTTGCCCAAGGCCACCAACAGCGGACTAGCATTGGAGATGAGTTTCTTGGTGTCTACCACAAAGTCCTTGGTGAGAAGGTCCTCGGCATTGCCCAAAAGACCAACGATACCCTTCATAGATTCCTTGGTCAACAGAGGGGCGAGCGAGTCAAGCACGCCTGCAAGATCGATCTTACCTAAGCTGGTGATGAGTGGACCAGCGCTGGAAAGCAGCGACTTGATGTTCTTGACGGTCTCCTTCGAAAGCAAGTCTTCTGCGTTGTTCAGAAGACCCACGAGACCTTGAATGGCATCCTTCTTCAGGATCGGGCTCAAGGCGTCGAGAATACCCTTCAAGTCGAGATCAGACAGCTTGTCAATCAAGGGCGAAGCGCTCGACAACAAAGTCTTGATGCTCTTGACGGTTTCCTTAGATAGCAGATCCTCGGCGTTGCCCAAGAGACCCACAAGACCTTGAATAGCCTCCTTCTTCAGAATAGGGCTCAAAGCATCTAAGACGCCCTTGAGGTCAATGTCGGAGATCTTCTCGATGAGTGGAGATGCCTCATTGAGGAGCGTCTTGATACTCTTCACGGTCTCCTTCGACAGAAGGTCCTCGGCATTGCCCAGGAGACCAACAAGACCTTGGATGGCCTCCTTCTTGAGAATTGGGCTTAACGCATCCAGTACACCCTTGAGGTCAATATCCGATAGTTTCTCGATGAGTGGGGATGCCTCGTTGAGGAGTGTCTTTATGCTCTTGACGGTCTCCTTAGACAGGAGATCCTCGGCGTTGTTCAGAAGTCCCACGAGACCCTGAATAGCCTCCTTCTTGAGGATAGGACTCAATGCATCTAGTACACCCTTAAGATCGATGTCTGATAGCTTCTCAATAAGAGGAGATGCCTCAGTGAGAAGCGTCTTTATGCTCTTGACGGTGTCCTTGGTCAACAAATCTTCTGCATTGTTCAATAGTCCAACGAGTCCCTGGATAGCCTCCTTCTTGAGAATGGGGCTCAAAGCGTCGAGGACGCCCTTCAGGTCCACGTCGTTCAGCTTGTCGATCAATGGTGAAGCTGCGCCGATCAGATCTTGCGTCTGGTCCACAAACTTGGGCGTGAGTAGAGTCTCTGCATTCTTCAATAGGCCCAAAATGCCCTTGATGGAGTCGTCCTTGAGCAGCGGCTGCAGCGATTTCAGGACCTCTTCAAGGTTGAGCTTCGTCAACTCTTCCAACAAAGGAGCGATGTCTTTGATGATGGGTGCGACTTCGCCAAGAAGACCTTGGATCTCATCCACGGTCTTGGCTGTCAGAAGGTCGCCGGCATTCTTAAGTAGCGTGACAATGCCCTGGATGGATTCCTTCTTGAGAAGAGGGTCAAGGGCTGAAAGGATGCCCTCGAGGTCGAGACCGGTGAGTTTCTTGAGGAGAGGAGAGAGTTCATCAAGAAGAGGCGAGACGTCGCCGATGAGTCCCTTGGTTTGCTTGACGAAATCGGGTGTCAACAAGGATGCGCCGTTTGTGAGTAGGCCGTTGATGTTCTTGAGGTTGTCGTCTGTAAGGAGCTTGAGCACCTTGCCGACAATACCAGCGATGTCGACATCCTTGATCTGGTCGACCAGGTCTTTGAGGTTGAGCTCTGCAACCAGGTCCAAGAGAGGTCCGGCCTTGGCGAGAAGGTTTCTGACCTGGTTGGGAGCTGGAGGCTTCAGAGTAGCCGCGAGATAGACCATAGCATCATGGAAGGCCTGGAGGAACTCGGGGGTTAAGAGACCCCCGAGAGCCTTGACAAGGTCGCCGAGGTCGCCGAGAGCATCGGTCAAGCCCTTGAGGCCATCGCCGAGGTCTCCAAGTCCATCTAGTCCAGGAATTGAAACGATTCGACTGCTGCCACCAGAGTCTGAGTCAGAATCAGAATCATCTGATTCCGAGTCTGAGCCGGAGCCCTTTGAGCCTGCTTTGGCGGTGTTGTTTTGTCGTTTGATAAGAACAGGTGCGCGAGGAAATGTGTTGCTCTTGAGAAGTGTGTTGAGCTCCTTTAGCGCATCTGTGAGTTCAGACCGAGGAACAAGAGCGAGGTTGTGCTTCTCCAAAAGCTCAACCAATTGTCCAGATAGTTCAGGTGCAGAAACAGTCTTGGGTCCCTCGGGAGCCGCAAGACTGAAGGGCGCGAGGACAGTGAGTAACACCGTTGAGAACCTCATGATGGCAACTGAGACAATCTCGGAGTTGCAAAGTTGAGTTTTTGGCCTGTCTCAATTGTGAACACAGCAGAGAGACAACAGCTGTGGAAGAAGCAAAGCCTTATCTGCCAAGGGTGTTTTAAAGGAGGTTATCTACCTCGACCAGTCAACACACACGAATTTGCTTTTCGTCGACCACGACAGGGGTTAGCAGCCAAGTCCACAATTACCCCAGAAGTGATGGCATGTCTAGCACGGGATTGAAGGCCGAGCGCTGAGGGAAATTGACCTCGGACGGACCCAGTCGTCGATCTTTTCCGTTTGTCGCCGAGAGCTGGCCTACACCCCTGCATCTCGCAAACTATCGCGCTTTGGGCACGTCTCTCGCGCACCACTTTACTTTGCCTTGCATCACCCACCAACTCTATCTGCCAAGGAAAAAGGTCCCGTGGACTATTATCCGTAGAGTCTCCGGCCGATCTAGGCCACGGCTGTCAATTTCTGGCAAGGGTTTTTTGTTTAGGTGAGGCAACGGCGTGTGATGGTCAGTGTGACTTGGGCGGCGCACGTCAAAGCGTAGCGGAGTTGGAATTGCGCTATTGCGAAGGTTTGCAAGGTCAGGGGATTCAAACGATAGCGTTGCTCCCGGTAGTCGTCGCCACACGTTACTAGGCTACCCAGTTACGGATAAGCAGCTGGTGGGTACAGTAAAATAGGGATCCCATCTAACATCTAAGGTCTCAGCGGTGACTGACACAATAGTCTGATCGCGTGACGCCCAGACTTTCGCTGTAGCGGTCTCTCTATTTGTGTCAAGCCGTAAGGAACCACCTGAGCAGCTCATGTTTGATCAAGTTTAATCCGATTGAATTGAGTTACCCTAAGTAAATGACAGGAATTTGTTTGTAAACGAAAAACACTCAAATGAAAAACACCAACTAAATCCTACACTACAATACAGCCTACCAACTACCTAGCAGCTTTGAAGTCTACGCCACCTTGCCTGTTAACTACTCCAGCGCGATGGTAGTAAGTGCTAGATCTAATGTACGGGTCCAGCTTCCAGTAGTTCAGCTCAAGCAGTACAGCCAACTCGTCCCTCCTTTCCTTCGCCTCCAGGCTGGCCTCAGAGTCGTCACCAGTAGCCCATTCAACTGTCAATTGTTCAAACTGATCAATCAACTCCTGTCGCTCAATCTGTATCTTGGTCTTTTTCTCCTCCGACCCCATTCTCTCATTTTCTGAGGGGACAGCCTCTACATATTTATATTCCCAAGGGTCTTCACCACCGTATGACTTTTGCAAGTTGGCCTTTGGGATGAACTTGAGAAGTCCCTTTGTGCCACTTGTGAAGTGAATCTTGGAAGCAACCACTGGGTCTAGCCAGTGCTTAATGACGGTCCATACACCTGTTCGAAATGTTAGTCCACAGTATTTGCTGAGACGGAGAAAAAAGCTTACCCCAGAATACAAATGGAGCATTGTGAACAAGGACTACTCCCAGAGTCTCTGGATATCTCGTCTCCAGAATGTCGACGAGGAACTTCACAACATGAAAGTCCATATTGCGCAGTCCAAAGCCAGTGAGATCAAAGATGAGGCATACTTTGTCCTTAGGCTCTCTGGACATCATCCTAAGCGTCTCAATGTTATGTAAAACAAATGTCTCCATAGCTTCTGCGGTCTGCTTGTGAGGATCATGAAGCCGGACCTTGATGGCAAGGATTGGATGGTTATCATTATCAGTTCCCCGGACATAGCACTTCCCGGAGCGATACTGTGCCATGAAAGCTTCTTCATCAGGGGTGAGCGACTTCTTCAGACCAACAGCTTCACCTCCGCCGATGATGGTCTTCTGTACTTGTCGCTCATCACGCCAGTTGAGTGAAGACACAAACATGTCCATAGCTTTGGGAACATCCCAATCACGAGCTCGAAGGAAGCGGAGAATGGAGGTATCAGGGTGATCAGCAAGAAAATTCTCCCAGAGGTTTCGTTTGAAGTGCTCAGGAGACTTGTTCTTGAAGTGTTGCAAGAAGTCATTGGTTTTGTCGGGGGCATCATGGGAGATGTTCTGGTCTCCACTGAGTCTGAGAAGATGCACCCAAGCCTCTTGAAGACTCTTCTTTTGCTCAACCGTGAGGTTTCCCCGAGTGCCTGGCTCAGTGGATGCAGACATTGTGAGTTCGAGAGTGCTGACTGATGAGAATGATTTGTTTGCAAAGTAGGTAAAGATTTTGTTCATAGAATATCTGATGATTTACTACGATGCCTCTTTTCGCTTTGCCACAGGAATTCGACTAGGTATTTGTGTCCCTATAGGCCAAGCAACCTGCAAGACATTCACAGCTGGAAACCATCGTTATCATCTATCACGATCTTCCTCGGCATCCCTCGTGCACCAATCCGAGCGCACTAGTTTCATGTCGATCATTTTGACGTCCTGTAGGCTGTCCCCACGTCGGAAGGTGGCCCTGAATTAGGAAAAACGCGCCAAAGCACGACGCGACGTCGACCCAAAGCGATGTTAGCCATCAACGGCCAAGCCATCTCGGCAATGCGATGCTCGCAAGCCCTTTCCGTCAAAGCTAATGCACCCCGCATGAAACAGAACGTCACAAACAAGATTTGCGGGATTGGAATTGCGGGGGAAATGGATTCTCCTTTTTGGGGTAGCCGAGCTTGGCGAGTCAAGATCGCTGCGGTGTCGATCGAGTCTAGGCCTAACGTTTTGCGGGTGGCACGGTCAGTTTAGTTCGTTAGATGATGATTGGATCACGGACTATCATGGCGAACTTCAAGGACCGTTGTAGACGTATCGTTGCAATCTCCACAGTTCGTACAAAATAGTATGGCGGATTATGACCGAGTCAGAGTCACATGCTCGGTACCAATCTGCCTAGTGAATCAGTCTGTAGATCCGCTCAGGTAAGTAACAGATACGTGTTTGAGAGTGAGAGAGAAAGCTGTAGGTAGTTGACAATTTGCTGTGTAGGGTAATGGGGTAATTCCAAACACCCGAACAAGAAGGTATCGTACCCATGTTGAAGTAAATGATGTTTGAGGGATTCTTTTGAGATTAATGCCCAAGATCTGGTTTCAAGACAATTTCGCCGGGGTTTTTAACCAATTGGAATTTAGTAATCAATTGTCATATAGTTGGAGGATGTGATTACATGGGAAGGTTAGGGAATTCTGGAAAGACTTCAACATTCCATTTACTGTTTAAGAGATGATATATGCCCTCACGTTTACATCGACTATGAGTGATACCTCAACACCACTATACGTCAGAAGTATGAAAAACGATTGTGGTAAGAAATAACAGTCCAAAAAAAACAAAAAATGTAGTTGAGACGCGTATAATCCACAGCTACCGGGTAAGCAGTGTGGTAAATCAAATTACATGCTCACTGGAGACCGAGTCCTGTCTTGGGTTGTGTATCAATAAAACATGAATTGTGCTCTTATCTATATCGAATTAGCAACACTATAATATACATGTTTCAGTAAAAGATTTGACGAACTTGAAGAGAATCATACATGCAATTTGGAGAGGAAGAAAGAGGAGCAGAGCAAACAGCTAAAAAGAAACCTTTGAGATCAAGGTTCCTTCACGAGACTGAAGACCATTATCTACCAATAGAGATTGGTACAGACAAATTAAGCTTCAGTTGTTGATCCGAAAGACAACAAGAGCTGTGCGCACTGGTATCATAGATGCGAAGCCGGATCCAACAAGCTCAAGATGATAGATTTCTCACAGGATGGTCGTCAGGTACTGTTGCTGGAGGCCTAAATGGTATCAAATGGTGTCATGTGAGTTTATCCCGTTGCAACCTTGGGTATTTTGAAGTTGAGTGGTCGCAGACTTCTAGAGCAATATGAACTATGCCAATCGCAGATATTATGGATGCAGGGGCCTGTATTACAAAGATCTTATCACTGCAAAGCAAGAGGTGGGAAAAAGCATGTATATCCAAGTTGCTGGTGTTTGAAAAGAAATATATACGTTCGATTGAATAACTTGTACCCAATTCCTGTTCAATCTTAAACCTCTGACTTGATCAAATACAACTTCAAGAGACTTAATTCCACGTAACTCGTCGGAAGAAACGTTTGGAGTCTTTTGAGCCGGCCATGGTAGTGCTATCTACAAGAGAATCACTTACAGAGCACTGATGAGAGCGTTGTAAGCAGCCTTGGCCTGGTAGTTGCCGTCGTAGAGAAGAGGGTTGTCAGAAGCTCTCCACGAGTCCTTGTCAGAAACACCCCAGACAGTAATGCCGACACACTTGGAGACCTGGAGACAAGCGTTCATGACAGTGACGTAATCGCTGGCAGCGGCGCCAGCAATGTCAAGCTCGGTGATGGCAACCTCCTTGACGTTGGCAGCAGCGAGGGCCTTGAGGGCAGCGGGGAAAGCAGAGGCAGGGTTCCAGCCACCGGGAGCAGCAAGATGGGCCTGAGAACCGATACCGTCGATGGGGATTCCCTGAGACACCCACTTGTTGACCTTCTCGACCATTCCGCGGGTAACCTTGGCGTAGTTGGCGTTATCGAGGTTGTAGTCGTTGATGTACAGCTTGGCGGCGGGATCAGCGGCGCGAGCAGCGCGGAAGGCAATACCAACGAAGTCCTCGCCGAGGACTCGGCTGAAAACACTATCGCGGAGAGAACCGTCCTCAGCGAAGATCTCATTAACGACGTCCCAGTGGAGGATCTTGCCCTTGTAGCGGGTGACTATGGTCTTGATGTGGTTCTCGATGACGGCGGTTAGGGTAGATCGGTCGCCGATGTTCTGAACCCATTGGGGCAGCTGAGAGTGCCAGAGCAGGGTGTGTCCTCGGACCAACTTGCCGTTGGTCTGGGCGAAGTTGACAACCTGGTCAGCGTTGGAGAAGCTGAACTGGTTTCGGCTGGCTGCTGTGGGTTAGACACCTAGTTCTTGAATCGTGACTCTGAAGGACTTACGCTCAAGAGCATCCCACTTCATGCTGTTCTCTGGGGTAACTTGACCGAACTCCCTCTTCACGATGGTGATGAGAGGATTGTTGCTGAGATGGTAGTGGTCGATTTCAGTACCGAAGTAGAGCTTGCCCTTGGCCTTGAATTTTCCGTCGAGGCCGGTTCCGGTATTGCTGCCTCCAGTAGGAGAGGGAGTGGTAGGCTGAGTTGGCTCAGGGTCAGGGTCCGAGCCACCTGTTCCAGGGATACACTGGAAGTAGTAATCGTTGATCTTCTCACACTTCAGGCCGGAAGCGCAAGTTGTGGCACCATTCCATCCAATGCCACCACCTTGAATAAGAGTTAGCGTTTGTAAACGGCGACATAGCTTGTTCATCTAAGTTACGTACATTGGCCCCAGACAGGGGACTGGGCTACAGCAGCCACAGGGGCGAGAGCGAGAAGGAGGGAAAGGGTCTGCATTGTAACTGATCGTGAAGTTGATTGATGCTTGGGATTTGTAGATCCTGATCAGCAATACAATCGATACTAAGGGCACATTTCAAGTCCTTATATACTCGTTTCATATCGAATATTTATCCTACGGCAAGAACGTATTCAATTTACAATAGTATGGAGTAACGTCATGCTACGCGAACCAATTACTGCCAAGTCATTTTGCCGGAAAACGGTCCATCTGGAGATGGAGAGCCCTATAGGCGGAGTAGTAAGCTCCGAGTAGGACCGTTTCAGGAAACACCGGAGCATCGCCAAGCTTCAAATTGGCACTCAAACAGTAAGTGACGTCTAAGTCCCCCGCAACTGTGGCTCGATAGTCAGAACCTGCAGCGGATAATTTACGTTTCGGTCCATATCAGCTATGGGGCAAGGCGAAAAGAATCATTTCTTGGGGTTTTGCCAATATTTAATTCCCCATTCAGTACGATGGCCTAGCTTTCCGCTGACACTTTGGTGATAGTATATCAGGGAATGTGGGGATTGAACAAATACATTTATCCAATTGGCTTGGAGGTGCGATATAACCCCTGATCTTAATTGATCTATTAATCTTACTAGATTGAACCGATCGGGGTTACATCTTGGGTAAATCAACGTTATTTCTCCCAGCAGGTGGCACTTAATTTATTCTCAAACACATTCATTCCGGGTATTCTCAGCTCTCTTTCCAGCTTAAATCAGGACATAATCCCCATCGGTCACTTATTCAGGTACTAATCATGTCATGAGGCCCGACACTTACTACCGATCCACCATGTGCTATTGTCGTTTTGGTCCGGATGGTAAGTGGGAGTAAGCCCTCGAGCACCGAGACTAGGTGTAGTCGGTCTTCTACTGCGTCCCGTTCGTCTAAAACGATTGTATACAAAATTGGTGTCTACTTCATTTTACCACTTCTATCATATTGTTGTCTCTACTATGCCAGAAACCATTAGGAGGTGCAAAGAAAAATTGGGAGTAGTATTGATAAGTCCAACGAGCGAATCAAAAATATTGAGATAGCACTCTTTTAGAATGCCTATTTTCAGAATAGGCTTTTCAAATCAGCTTGCCTTGGAGAAGTGACTGCGATTGCTTGACGTAGGAGGTTGAAACTAACTTTAACCTGCAAGCTACTCCAAGATACAACGGATCGCTGAGAGGTCGGTTTAGGCGGAGAGCGTACCCGATGGGCCTGTAATTACTAAGAATCTTACTAGTCCAATTACTTTACTCACTTCAATCGCATACTCCAACAATATTATGATGTAGTTAACCGATGAGCCGCTTATCTGAGAACTAAGGCTAGACAACGTCACACAAGCAAGCTGGAGAGTGGCAAATATTTCAAGTACATAGTTATTTTGATACAATCACAAAGATGCTAAATAAATGCAACAAATACGAGCTATAATGAAATCCTTCCCTAGTACACTTCAACTAGGAATAATTCAACCCGTTAGTGATATCTCCCCACTTCGCCCCTGCCATATCAGCAAAATAATTCGACTTGGGACTCCATAGACCTGTACCACCCTTGGGGAACACAGAGCCGGCATTCTTCAAGTACGTCGACGACAGACTCATCATGGGCTTTACCGGCATATTCTTCTCCGTAGTCATACGTGGTACTACAGTAGTAGCCTTCCTTTCCCCCATCTTGTGAAGAACACGGATGAAAAGTCGGGCACTCACGTCCGCCCCTAGTGTCCAAGATGCGTTTTCGTACCCTGTCATGAACAGCAGATTGGGCACGTCTTCAAGCATGGCAGCCTTCCATGCAAACCTGTCTGACACATTAAACGTGTTGCTGTCGATGCTGAACTTGATACCACCGCCGAATTTCAGCTTGAGACCAGTGGCGGTGACGATCAGATCTGGATTCAGCGTTGCTCCAGACTCGAGCTCAATGCTATTCTCAGTGACGGTCTTGATTCTGTCGGTGACGACATCTGCTTTGCTTGAGCGGATCGCAGCGAAGAAATCACCATTCATGCAGGCGCAGAATCGCTGCTCCCAGGGGTTGTATCTTGGCTTGAAGTGGGGGTCCCAGCTAACATCGGGTGGCAGTTGCTGGATGGTGACATATTTGATGAGTTTCTTGGCCAGCCCCGGACAGGATTTGCAGAAGAAAGTCGTGAGATAGCTTCTAACAAGCCACATAAGTCTGTTGATAAACAGCGCGATGCTGGCGGGGAGAACGGTGAAGAGAAGACGCGAGAATAAACTGCTTGACGGGAGAGGGAAGATGTATCCTGGGCTCCTTTGCAGCATGGTGACGCGCTTCGCTTTGTCGGACATTGACGGGAGAATGGTGACGGCTGTGGCACCGCTGCCGATGATGACTACGTTCTTGTTGGTGTAGTCATAGTCTTCGGGCCAAAACTGAGGGTGGATGATCTTGCCCTGGAAGCGCTCAATGCCAGGAATAACTGCTTTGAGCGGGGTTTGGTAGTCGTAGTATCCGGTGCCAAGAAGTATAAATCCAGCTTTAAAGGTGATAGGTTTATCCTCACCGCGTCGAGTAACTTTGAGTTTCCATTTCTTCTCCTTGCTAGACCAGTTCGCTTCCGAAACGGAATGGTTGTAGCAGATATGGTGATCGATGCCAGCAGACCTAGCCGAGTCGATCATGTAGTCCTTGATTTTCGCTCCTGGCGCCAGGGATTCATCATGTTTCCATGGACTCCAGGGGAAGCCAAAGGTAAAGATATCAGAGTCGGAACGAATGCCAGGATATTTGAACAAGTCCCACGTGCCGCCGATGGTGTCTCGTCCTTCGAGGATGGCGTAGGTCAGGTTGGCTGGACCTTCGGTTTGTAGGCGGTAGGCGGCGTTGATGCCGGAGATTCCAGCGCCGATGATGATAACATCTAGAGATTTGGTTTCGTCTGAATGGTGCTCCATGGTATCGGTTGATCAGTCTATGTTGTTGCCTGTCCTTTCTCGAATGATGGACGTTGGGCTGACTTTGTACTATAAAACAAAAGATGTATGTGGTAGATGGATCTCAACTTTTTGCTTGTGAAATTAAAGTGATCGGATGGATTTTCAGTGACTAATGAAGATTTTCGTCAAGGCCTCGGTAACCCGTCACTGCAATCAGAGCCTCACGCCATTCTATCTCGAATGGATAGCTTAGATATGGCATGGTTTCCGAGATTTGGGCCACCAATACTGCTCCATTCCCGAGCAATTAGCGCACTCAACAATGACGTTGCGAGCTCCAGATCGCCATCAACACATTTAATTAAATCGGGGGTCCGCGGACGCGAAATGTAGATCGCAAGCTAAACTGTAACAGGAAACCAGGCGAGGATGAAGCCAGTGAAGACACCAGAGTCAAAGAGTGTGGGGTAGCCTCGGCAAAGATAAATGATCTTCTTTTAAGGACATGCATACAACAGCTCGCAAGACTAGCAGGGGATTGACACTTTGGCCCGTTCTTGTTGAGACTGGGGAGACACATGGCATCACGCGACGGACTTGTCAAAGCTGCATGGCGTCTTGGTGTTGGAGGGGTTGATGTCAACTTGCAGATCACTTTGAAACGAGACGCGGCACAGTTGAACTCGAATTACATGTGATAGACTACTTGTTGAGCTATGACGGTCTTTACAGATGACGAAACGAAGCACCTCGCACGACTCTCCCCACGCTTTGACACATCTCCGAGGCAGACATCGATTTCAAGCCCAGGCCTTGAGAGCTAACCCCGCATTCTGGTTCAAGAACGTTCTGGCATTCTCAGCTGCCAGTTCCGCCTCGGCAGTGAAGTCGATTCTGTCACCCAGCAGGAGGATGTCATGAGGACAAGCTTCTGAGACGTCCAAATCAATCTGCCAACCATGCTTGCCATAGAGTTGACAGAAGCTCTTGATATCATCGCATAGCACTTCCCCTCCACCGGCATTGACGTAGACTGGAAGGGCTTGTTCCAATTCGAAAGGGTGGCGTAGAGGCGACAGGTATGGACCGGCTGGATCGGTTGCACCAAAGGAAGAGATTGTTGAGGCGCCCCAGCGCGCAAAGTGCATGTTGAGATAGTCTGTCTTGTAGTTGGGTGACTTTGTGGCATCCTGCTCCAGAGCACCGGCAACGTCTACCCAGGGAGACCACAGAGTCATTGCTCTCGGGAACGGTATGTCGTCAGATTGGCCATGCTCGTGAATGTATCGCACCAAAGCAAGCGCCAAGTTGGCTCCGGCCGAATCGCCCGACAGAATGATCTGGTTTGCTGGAATGCCCTTTGATTTGATCAGATAGAGATAAGCCGTAAGAGCATCTTGAAGTGGTGCTGGGAAATGGCCCTTATCGCTGCTGGAAAGACGATACTGAGGCGTGCAAACATGAGTGCAGCCCATACGCCTGATAAGCGTCTTCGCCAGATACCCAGTATCTTCATCACGGCCATTTCCAATCACATATCCACCGCCGTGAAAGTGCAAAACCACGGTCATACCAGTATGAACCAGCCCCGCGGGTGGTGGTCGTGCTGGCGTCCAGGTCATGCCCACCTCCGCAGGCTGCACCACGTAGTCCGACAAGATCCCTCTGTATAATTTGGGCGATCTGGGAGCAGCGACTTCAAACCGATTCTTCTCTCGTCTCGGGTCAAGTCTCAATCGATCTCCGGACTTGGTGAGCGACCAGTATAGAAGCAGTAGTCTGACTACTCGTACGCGGACTGCCTGGTTGAGAGACCATTTTCTTGAGGGTCGCAGGAGCGGGATGAGGCAGAGGGTGATGTCGAAGAAGAAGCGGAATAAAAACCATGGCGTAAATATTAAAGCGTGAACGTATCCAAAGAGCGATTGTAGCGAGTTAATTAGAGCCATTTTGCTGTGTCGGCGTTAAGCCTTGGTTGTTTCCTTCTGGCGTGCAAAAGCAAAGGATAAATAGCTTGCGCTCATTTTACAACAACAGGGCGGACGTGCGAGTCTTAAATATTCCACGCACCCACAGAGCTTCACTTTAGAAACTCAAAAACGTTAGCTTGATTTCATTAGAGCTCTCACGATCAGGGATCGAGTATCATTATGATCGATTTAGCCTCTACAGAATATTATTTGGCGTCAATTGAGCGGTCCAGCTTCGTTTGATGTCAACCGTTATGCGATTCCACAGATAAAACGGTATAAGTCAATTGTTCGCTCTCTCATTTCTAATTTTAGATATTTAACAACTACAAACTAGAATTTATCCGAGCCGCTATGAACCTTTCTCCTACCCAGCTGTCTTGCCAATTGTATCCCGAATGAGCTCCTGGATCCAAGTAGGCCAGCCTCGGATACCAGAAATCGCAGCTGCTGACCTTGGAACAATGAGTTGACCACCCCGTCTACTTTTGATCTGAGCAACAACTTCCCTGGCAATATCATCAGGAGTCAACAGCCGAACACCGCCGCGCTCCAGACGATCCATGAACCCTTCTACCAATGGTGTCTTGACAAAGTTGGGATGGACGACGGTCGTGAGGACGTTGGGAGCCTTGTAAAAGTGCTTGATCTCACTGGCTAGAGACTCGTGGAAAGCCAGGGCTCCAGCTTTTGTCGCAGAGTAGTCCGCTGCAGTGGCCAGGGCGACGAAAGACGCGATGCTTGCAACCGTGATGACATGACCCTTGTTGAGCTGAATCATGCGAGGGAGGAATTGTTGGGTGGTGTACCACAAAGCCATGAGATTTACGCCCATGATCTTTCGGAGGAAGGATTCAGGCATCTTGAGGATTGACATAGGAGAAGTAATGCCGGCATTATTGATGAGAATAGTTGGGTGACCAAGCTCGCGACGAACAGCATCCGCTGCTTCAGCAACAGATTCTGTCGTGGTAACATCGCAGTGATAATATTTAACACGCGGGTTGGCCTGGAGTTCTTTTGGCAGATCTTGGACATCCAAAACAGCCACAGAAATACCCATTGCCGTAAGCTTTTGTGTAATGCTGAGACCAATTCCACTTGAACCGCCAGTGACAACGGCTATTTCATTCTTCCAATCCCAATCCCCAGCGGGCCTTATGCGCCAAGAATTATGGGCCATGGTATTGAGAAACCTGTTGATGGTTCGGATAATACCCAAGGCAAACCAAGCGATGGCAATCTTTTTGACAACAACAAGGTCTAGGGTAACTGGGATCTGCTCAGGGAGCCGCTCGGCAATTGAGGCCAAGGCATTGTTCACGGCATCTGGAGCGTAGATCGTTGCGAGAAGAACTGGGCCAGAAAGAAATGGGGAAAAAGTGATGTCATTCAGTTTGGTGATATAATCCAAGACTGGAGAATAGAGTATGGATGACATTGTAAATGGTAGTGTGAGCTTGAATTGAGGTTGTGTGGATGGTATTAAACAGCACTCAAGATGGCTTCAACAACATCCACGCAGAGGTCAATCCATCTTATACAACTAGCAATAGCATTATGATCTTGAGGACCCTCTGTGGATATCACGAGTTCCTCGACGTGAAGCTATTGCAAATGCTGAAGCCGAGGTCTTTCCCCAACATTCAGAAGTTGGAACACACAGTCTTGTCGCAAGCTTGACCTGAATGAGTCAAAGAGGATGATCATGCCCATCTTTTCTCTTTTCCTCCTTTCTCCACCAACACGGCACTTGTACCCCATCCTCGGCCCCTGTCTAACGAATAAAGCCCCCCTACCAGAGGCTGGCAGAGACCATTCTAGCCCCCGCCAATCCACCCTGTTTGAGCGTTTTCCAGGCGTTTTAGTTCAGGTGCCTGCGGGGTTTCGCCCGGGCACCCATGAAGTCTGTGCGTCTGCTAAACAGGTCTCTCCCCGGCCCCATTTTGGGTCAGTCCGCGTGCGCCTGTTCGTAATCTGGCAATTGGCAATCTTCCCTAGACTCTAACCACGTCAATTCAAGATAACGAAATTGAGTAAAAACGGATGAATTATGGTCTTCCCAGGTCGATTTAGCTCAGGCTGCTTGCGCTGTCGTCAGCGAAAAGTCAAGGTGAGCATTTACATGTCAAACAAAACCGATGGGAGCTGTCTTCTAATGACTACAGTGTGATGAGGGAAAACCGACGTGTCGACGATGTTACAACTACGGGAAGCCCTGCCTTGGATATACCGATGAGTTTCAATTCCGACATGCCTCGCAGAAGAATCGCTCGCAGAGCGTATCGTCAACATCATCGAAAGCGTCACCCACAGCAACCACCGTCACCACAACGAGCCCGCCGCCGGTACAGAACAAGAAGAAGCCCGACACGTCACCGAAGCCCAACACACGACTCGTAGAGGCCGCGAACCGACGGAGATCCGCGGCCATGGCCATGGTTCGACACCCAACAGAATCATACGAGGACATGTCGCTCTGCTACTTCGTTCGTCGTTTTGTCTCACCTGATGACAATGATGGGTTTCCCGGCCACTTCACATTTCTGCCGGGTCTGTACGATCACCACAAGAATGGACTCATCGAGACTGCGACGCTCAGCGTGGCTCAACTGGCGGCTTATAATCACTTGGGCAAGGAGGAGCTTCGGACGGAATCAATGAAGAATTACGGGCGTGTTATTAGGGGTCTACAGCAGAGTTTTCGGTCGGACGACCAGGCGATGGATGACAAGACGATTGCGACGATTTTGCTTCTCTGTACATACAAGGTAAGTGGATTGATGCTTGTTCCAATGGATATTGCTAACAGATGAGCAGGATTTTAGTGGCGAAGGGTTAGGTGATCCGAATGAACATGCTTCAGGTCTTTTCTATCTGTTGGAGAAAAGAGGGCCGAGTCAGATTGGGACAAGACGAGGATCAGAGCTCTTTATGCTGGCTCATTTGCGACTGGTGAGTTACATCGAACTTTAGATCTATGGACCATAGCACTAACTCTACTCTGCAGCAAATCTATTCTTTCCTCCACGGCGACGACACCTACACCGATCCCGGCGCCATAGCCACTGTTATCGGTATCTTCGACCCTCTGCTCCGGGCCTTAGGAATGATGTCACGAACACTGTCACTCCGTCATCGGTTAGGCTGGCTCATGCATTCCGAGCTGTTCCAGCAAGACGGCCAAAGCCCTTCGACAGCATCACAAAGTAGCGCAGGATCTGAACAAGAGAGACAATTAATACAGGAATGCTTCGATATGCTTGACAGCTTCAACACCTGGGACTATGAGGCGGCATCGTACTGGCAGAGCACCTTTGAAGGTCGCGGTGTCCCCACGGCTCTCGGCGAAATGGGCTCGGGAGCGGTACATTACGATTCCGAGACAGCGTGTATCATCATCTTGATCCGCTCAGCGCGCCTCATCCTCCTTCAAAGCTTGCTCATGTACCAGACTACTTTACAAACCCTGGACGAGGATGGCGAACCTGGTTATGGGGCCATGTGGGCGGAAACAGTCCCACTTCTGGAGTCTGACGTGCGTAAAACTATTGATGATATGCTGGCCGGCGTGCCATATGCCCTAGGAGACATTGACCCGAAGGGTATGCCTGCTACAATGACATACGACGGGGCTGCCGCTCTCGTTATCGTGCATTCCATTAGGCTTGTTACACATTGCATCTACACGACACCTTCACAGAATGAGAGAGCTGAGATAATCTTGACCAGATTGAACTCAGCTATAGGATTGAGATCCGCCGTTGGAATGCTGGCCGGGGACATCTCTAATTTACACCTTGGTCCGTCGTCGATTGCAGGTTCACCACCAGGTTTGATAGAATCAGGCTTGGCCAGCGAAAGTCCTGAGAGCAAGATTTCTGGTGTATTGAGTGAGGTGGAATTGCTATTTTCTTGATATCAATGTACGTGTAGTTTTACTTACTTGGGTTTTAATACGATTTAGTCAGTCCTTCCCTTCAAATTTGAGCATGAATCACCTCGATAATCCAGCCCTGCGCCTGTCAAGTTCACTCACACTTCCGGAACGAGTCAAAGATCTCGTTTTCACCCATAACCAGCTCATCGCGCTCCCAGAGTAACATCAACGCTGGGAAGATCGGTCCACCCAATAATGCCCAACAAACTGATTCAATTCCAATCGCCAGAACGGTGGCGATTCTCTGTGCTGAGGCGAGTTGATAGGCGGACCATATTGCCATAGCGAGGCACGTGCAGTAGACATCCCAGCGTAGGAACGCCACCACGATTTCCCGTGACTCCATCGCGGAGACGGGTGGACTTAGCAGAGCCAGGGTCGGAGGGTCTGTGAGCGAGGTGAGGGCGAGGATGTGATGCCCAGATACTGTCTGTACAAGGTTCATCCAGGACGCAAGGATAGTTGCCATGACGGACAGGTGGACACCCGCAGTGAGTACCGTGATGAAGATATAGGCGCGTCTCATGGCCTCTCTACATTTTCGGAGATCAACATGTGCTTTGATATTAGCCTTGCTTTGTCCTGAGCCGGTCAAAAAGCGATAGGCGTTCTGCAAAGCTGTTTGGTATAGAGGAAAGGGTTGCCAGAGGGCAACGGCGATAAACTTATTCTCTTGTGAGATATCGAAGATTAGTGGCAAACAGAGGCCAATGCTTGGTAGGACATATGATATGATAGTTGCTACCGGCAAGAAGTTCAAGTCGCTTGGATCGATGAGTAAGGATGCCTGTCGCGGTATTGAAGGGGAGAAGAGGAGTTGGAGAGTGAGATAAATCGGAGCGATGATGGTGATGGTGACAGATTGGAACACGATGCCAAAAGTCCCAGTCCTAGAATGGTGAGTTTCGCGCATGCATGAAGTGAAGATTCTGGAACCTTACCAGCTTAGGATTGTGCCTCGATTTCCAAATCTCAGCCCCTCAAGAGCAATCAGATACCACGCACCGCCAAACTGAGCAGCCAAATACACAAATGCTAGAAGCGCCTCAAGGTCCATTCCCTTAGAATCAGGATGTTTCTTGAGTCCATGCGAGAAGAATTCGAGAAGCAGGTTGATCAAAGAGTCAACTGTTTCATGGCCTGTGATGCTTCGAGCGATTGAATCTGACATGTCGAGCGGACATAAGTTTGTGGAAGATGATCGATCGGTGATGCAAACTCTAAGAGCGTCGAAGAATCCGTGCATATGGGACGTGCCCATGCTGGCATAACCTCCAAGAAGGGCACAGCTCAGGACGAGAGCGATGATGAATGTCGAAGCCATTGTAAATATGACGATGATACTCTGAGAAATGTCCTATCCTGTGTGGCGTGAGATAGTATAATAAACCTGCATCTTTTCAACTTGGTCGATGATTTCTTATCTCGCGTCTTTTCATTCAAATCTCCCGCCTTTTCTCGCTGTCTCCGCCTGAAGGATGAAGCTCGTGCGGCGATGGAGACGGCATGCCAGCGGTTCGTTGGGACGAAAGTGAAGGCATCTAGTTTCGGCCTAGGTTGCGAAATCGTCAACTTGCCGACGGACGAAGATGTTGAGATGAACAGAACAGAACGGGACACATGTGAGGTTGATCGTCAGAATGACGAGGGAATTCGCTTCTGGACCGACAGAGAAGTTTTCACGTGCTTCGCTTCGTCAGCCGTTCTACGGTGAAGCAACTGGAGACAAATGTCAGTGAGCTCGCATGCTAAACCCGATTGGGTCCCCCTTGCGATATCGCGGAGGGTTCAGCCTGAACGCTGATCACCCCATAGACCTAAAGGTCGGTTGCGAGCAGTCATTTACGCTAAACTTTAGGGTGCATAGCACCATAAATTGCTTGCTCCATTCAGTTAGATACACTGCACCACCCTCATTTACAGCTGAGCCATCAGGTCGGGCAGCTCAACGGCGGCTTCACACCCACACCTTGCGAGCCTAACCCTGATGGAATAGATGTATCGACTTAGATCCTGCAGAACTGACTGTGACACTGATCTGACACTATAAACTAGATTTGGTCTTAGTGCGTATCTTAAATACCAGCTCCGTTTCTTCCGATCGGGGTTAACATCAGGGCCCATTATTATACTTGGATTATCGTGCTCCTTCTCGAATTCAACATCGGCCCTGCACGATTTGACCACTGCAAGTCACTCAATATGGCTGTCGTCTCAAAGATACTGGGCTTTCCCAGCCTTGCACTCGCCGCTGTTGTCGAATCTTTTCTTGCCATCAAATTATTTCCAGATTACTACAGCAATCAAAGTCACTTAGCTGCCGTGGCTACTATCTTAGCCATCAATTATGCCTTCGGAGCTTTGTTCTGGGTAGTACTGTATCCAATCGTTTTCAGTCCACTTAGAAGGATACCAGGCCCAAAGGTAAGCCAAAGCTTCTATCCTATCGCTTTAAGCCACTGCATCATTGGTATCAGAGCACTGACTCGAATGATCACACCAGGACTATGTGAGCATTGCCCATCGGGCACTGGCGGTAAAAGACAAGCCTGCCGGTGAGCTCTTCCTCGAACTGGCCGAGCGATATCCCGGAGAAGATTTGGTCATGCTCAACTCACTCCGAGACCAAGTTTCCCTCATGAACCCACAGCTGCTAGCTGACCTCCTCGTTCACAACTGCTACGACTTCACAAAGCCCAAGAGAATCAGCTCTTTCTTACGGCATATCCTTGGCGATGGCCTTATCATTGTTGAAGGCGACACACACAAGTTTCTGCGCAAGAACACAACGCCAGCATTTCACTTCCGACATATCAAGGAGCTATATCCTATGATGTGGACGAAAGGAGAGATACTTGCCAAGGCGTTGAAAAACGATATGTCTGCCTCTGGAACGTCTGTGATTGAACTTAACGGCTGGGCAAGTAAGGTGACACTGGACATTATTGGCATTGCTGGCTTGGGACGCAAGCTCGACACTGTTGAGAAGAAGCAAGACCCCCTTGCCGACATATTCGAACAGCTTCTGGAACCTAGCCGAGAGAAACTCATCTTCTCCATGTTAGCTCTCGCTGTTGGCTTGAAGTACGTTCGTCTGCTCCCATGGAAGATGAACAACGTGTTCAATTATTTGACTGGCTCTTTGAACGATCTGTGTTATCCGATGATCAAGGAGAAAAAGGCTGCCATCATCGAGAAGGGCGATGACCATTTCGATGTATTGTCGCTCCTGATTAAGACAAATAACTTCTCAGACGAGGCATTGAAGGACCAGCTTCTGACGTTCCTGGCAGCGGGGTGAGTAGGGCTATCAGTGTTGCTATGGACCTATCTAACGTATCACAGACATGAGACCACAGCATCCGCGCTTACTTGGGCATGCTATCTACTTACAAAGAACCCGGAGATCCAAGCCAAGGTCAGAGAGGAGGTCAAGAATGCGATACCGGAAGACTTGGAGAGTAACATGGCAGATCTTGCTGGGATCCTGGAGCAGCTCCCCTACCTCAACGGAGTCATGCACGAGACATTTCGACTCTACCCAACCGTGCCAATGACCATGCGTCAGGCCATCCGCGACACTAGAATCGGCGACCAGTTCATTCCCGAGGGCACAGATATCATCGTGTCGATCTGGTATATCAACCGCTCGCCTGTCATTTGGGGGCCCGACGCAGCAGAGTTCCGTCCTGAGCGATGGATCACGAGTGATGGGAAGCCAAACCAGAATGGCGGGGCCAACAGTAACTACAACTTCCTGACCTTCCTTCACGGGCCAAGGAGTTGCATCGGTCAAGGGTTTGCTAAGGCTGAGATGCGATGTTTGATGGCGACCATGGTACGGTCTTTTGAGTGGACGCTGGCGATGGATGACGGGCTTGTTATGCCCAGGGGAGTGATTACGATTAAGCCTGAAAATGGCATGTATTTAAATCTCAAACCTCTATAATGTTGAGGGAGCCAAAGGAAGCCAGGCCAGACAGAGTAGGATGTATATTAGACCCAACAATGATACTTGTACGCTCTTCAACATGTTTGTCAATACCACAGTAGCTGAGACCCAACCTGATCGAGTGAAGCTGATCGGATTTTCGTGAGGCTCTCTGGGTACTGCCTGATGATAGTAAACAACCCGATTTGCAACGTGAATATCGACTCTTAGTCTCGCCCTCTCACCTTAGTAGTCGGTACCATAATCCAAGCCTACCCTTAATCCTCCGCATGCCCATTTGACCTGAAACAGTCCCCAGTCCCAACTTGGAGTTAGGCAACGAGATTTACGGCGTTCTGTGTCATATTGACAGCTGCGGTGGGATAGGGGTCAGGGTACATGTTCAGCTCTGTAGATCACGGCTTATCTTATCTCGTGACGCAGCACGTCACCTGAAGCTGACATGCAGCTGAGCCACACTGTCCAACAGCACCTGAAGGCATCTCCAATTAGCAGTCGCCAGCGCAGAGCACATGAAGAGGCAGGTTGGTAGCAGGACAATATTGATATTCGGAATAATCTTGCAAGAAGCCTTCAGACATCATTCAGTCCCGTTCGGCCTGTTTCTAATCGCATATTTCCCTCATATAACATTGATGTGTAGGGTGATCTGCAGCCTCGTTGTGTGAAGAGACAACAAAATGTTGGTCTGACCAGCTTTTTGCATGCATGGCGTCTGCACTTATCCTCGTATTGGGAAGTCAGCAAAAATCAGGCTGTGACAAGGCAATCCAACTCCACCGTTCCTTCCTTAAAGACAGCGTCCATGGGTTGGGTAGGCTGATCTTCACCCTCTCGCCATAATAGAAGCGGCCAGACAGCATTGCCTTCCATTCAGATCATTCTCTCATCAAAGACCATCGCCTCTTCTTGTTCATCACGACATCAATGCCTGAACCAGCTTCGCCAAACCCAACTGCCAGCCAGTCTGAAAGACATGGTCCGGGCAAGGCTCGAAGGGTGCAGAACAATCCAAAACTAACAGAAGACAATCACGATGCCATAATTGGAGACCAGTCCCCTTTGACCACTAGCCAACAAGTAAATCTTTGGCAGGCGAATATTGAGGGTCCAGATGACCATAAGGACACAGCTGAAGACGACGCCGCGAAGGACGATAGCTTATGCGGGGGCTCGAAATTGACTCCATTACACAAGCTACTACAGAATACCGAGAATGACGATGATGCCATACATGAGCTTAGAAATAGGCTGGACGAATGGAAGGACATTATTGATTGTTCTCCAGAAGACGAGGAAACAGCACTCCACATGGCAGCTCGGGAAGGTCTCTTGAAGACAGCAAGTCAACTTCTCAAAGCTGGAGCCGGAGCCAATACCCGCAATGGTAAGAAAGAATCACCATTGCATTTGGCCTGCCTTTACGGGCACCAGCAACTGGTGAAGAAATTGCTGAAGGAAGGCGCCGACCCTGAGCTTGAGGACGAGGACGGACTCTGTCCACTTCACTCAGCTGTTGCACAAGACTTTGAAGCCGAAGTGATCAAGGAACTTCTTGGCCCAAAAGGCCGTATCATTAACAAAGCTGTCGGTAGCGCACAGTGGACTGCACTCAACAAGGCTATATATTACGAGCGCGAGGGTGTGGTTGATGTACTGTTACAGGGCGGAGCACGCCTTGACATCAAGGATGCAGACGGATGGACACCCTTGATGACAGCGGTCAAAGAACGTCAATTCAACGCCTTTGAAAAGTTACTGAAGCATTTGGACGAAAACCAGATCAGCCTGGAAGTTGTTAATGCGCCAGACAATGGTGGCATGACACCTCTGATGCAATTGATATCTTGGGAACCTGAACAGGACGTCACGGACGCCATCGAACATCTTCTTGAGTTTAAACCGGATGTAGATGTCACTGATCGACATGCAAGGACTGCTTTACACTATGCTATGGACTACCCTGGGTACTGGGAAGGGATATTGTCCTCCACATCTCTGGTCCGTCGACTGGCTCGTTCGTTGACCGCCGACAAACTTCTGCAAATCGATAAGTATGGAGAGACTGCATTTGACGTTGCCTTTGACGAGGAAGGGAAGTGCCCCAGGCCTGCGTTCGAGCTCTTGTTAAAAGATTTGGTCGATCGTGTAGCTCAAAGCGATAAGATCGAGGAACCTCTTTGCTGGGCCACATATCGATTGGAACGACATACAATTGCTCAGCAGATTTTCCAGAAGAGATATACTACAAAGGAGACGTCTCCGAATCACCTGCGGGAAAAGCATTGGGGAATAATCGAGTGGGCGATCCATGCACGCTTGCCACGAGTACTCCAGACCTACCTCCGAGCATTAGGTATGGAAAGGAGGACCATAGGGGAGGACGAGATCCATAAGAGCATCGAAAATGGGCGAGAACTGATTCGAGAAATGAAAAAAGAAGTTCAACAACCCTTTACACCCGCGGTAGAAGGCAAAAGAAAAAAAGAAGAGCGTGGGCCGCCGAACGGAAGCGACGGTCAGGCGCTGAGAGACTTGGAGGACATTTTGGACTACCTATACCCAGAGAAGGGTGAAAAACTCACTAACTCCCTGGAAATATCGAGGCCTGATAAAAAGATGCAGGAGACTTTGAAAGATTTCAGTGCAGCTATCATACAGAGCAACTTTGTCAAATTTCGTACGATACAGGAAGTCCTGTATGATGTCAACTCGATGGAACATATTCAGGACAATGTCCAAAGGCTAAAACGTTTTGACTTTCACCCCAAGGACTCATCTGAACAAGCATCGGAAACGGTCGAAGCAGATTCCGAGACCGAAGCCCAGTTCACCTGGATACACTTGCCGTCTAACAACATAGGTTCATGCTCAAGGTACTACACATTGGAATTTATGCTGACCTCGAACAGATTACTTGGATGGAGGTGAGAGCTATCCCTTTAAGTGGGCATTGCGAGAATTTGAAGACGATTCAAGTGCTGATAGCATCTGCATTTAGGACGCAGTTAAGAAGATACTGAAACAAGAACATTTCAGTAAGAGGGAAGCTGACAAGGTTGCTTCATTCTTGCGCCGTAGTTGGATTGAGATTCCGGACAGGAAATCCACTTCACGGTTTATGAGGCCCAGGTATGTTTCCAACAAGGCAGATCTTGCGACTAAAGGCCATGAAGATGCTGGCGATGTGTTGAAAGACACTGGTGAGCGGGGATCCAGCCAAACAGGGCTCCACTCGCGGTACAATGAGCACCGAGCGAGTGATGGTAGCAGCGAAAAAGACCCAGAGGGAGAGCAATGCAATCCGTCTGGGGACAATTCTGTTAGATCAAGGCAAGAAGAAGAAGGCGGACAGACAAACGATTCCGGGAACATAGAAAACGTACGAACACCCGTCGCGAATCATGGGGAACCAAAGAAAAGAAGACGTTTTGGGCTTTCGGCCATCTATGTCAGTATATGATCCCCCACCTACCATTCTTACACAGTCTAAAGCCAGTCGAGATGCCCTATCTTTATTTTTCGACCTATCATCAAAGCGAGAGCCACGAGCAAGTAGAACCTGCCGCACTGCCCTCAGAGCCTGAGAGAAGGGTTTTAGCCGAAATAAATATGCGCCAAAAGCTCTTCGAAGCGTACAAGAACCGGGTGATTCACCGGCCTACAACTCTCGACGAGTTTTACTATCAATTTTCATCGGATAAAGACTCCATCGAAGACAGGAACTTGAGAAATAGGGACCAGGTTGTTACAAAGTATTTGCGATGCGGAGACAGCGAGGAGCAACGACACTGGCCCTTGCTGCGAGTCAGCCAGCTCTGGGTCTGGACTATCGACGAAAGTCTGTCTTACATAGGATTGTTCCAAGCCCCACACAACCTCGATCGGAATGCTGATATGCATAACAGAGTGGTTGATTACTTCGACATCGTGTGCAACAAACGATATTCGGGACAATCTTGTGACAGATATTCTGGAACATCTGCGGAGACAAGTCGAAAATGGAAGCCGTAGAATCGGACCGACTTCAGCCTCTGAAATGAGCAGGGTAATTGTTGACTATTGCATCGGTACTTACGATAGGAAGCGGAGGAGTCAAATTGTAAATCTTGATAGGGACCAACCTCTACGAGCAGGCGGCACAACCACTGGGAATCAATATCGAGCAAACACAATTGGAGTGAATCCAAATACCGCCGCGGACGAGAAACGGATAGAAGAGCGATCGATCCATCAAATATTCTCAGACTCCATCAATGAGATCGTCAGTGTCGCTGGATTCTCCTAATAACTTGAGTTTGGCTAACATTTCTCATAGGGTAGAAAGGAGTCGAGCCTGTTCGGTCTGTCTTACGGTCGGCATGATCGCTCAAGAGAGCCAGAAACTGGTCCTGGTGCTGGTGATACTTCCAAGATGATGGAAGATCTCAAGAATGCGCTCAAAACAGTGTCAGAGCAGCTGCGGCACATCAAAGATATACGCGACGAGCTCAATATTCTAATGTCAATTGCGAAATTCCAACGCAAAGTGCAATCAACCATGACTAAAAGTCAGCCAGTCGAAGATCTCTCAAGCGACTATCTCTTGAGAGACATCAAGGAATTGGACAGATTCGCTGATCAGACTCAGGAAGCTGTTTGCCAGCCCTTGACCCCTTCACACTATAGCCTATACTAACTATTGATTGATAGGTCAAGACTACACTCTCGCTTCAGGAGAGTGAGATCGCCAATTTGCAGGCAAGTGAGTCTGTGAAACAAGGGAAGGTAGTACTGATATTCACTCTTATCACTGTCTGGTTTGTAAGTCGATCTTGCTTGGTGGGAGAGGGAGAAGACTCGTCATGTACTAACCATATCTGCAGCTCCCTCTATCGTTTCTTACCTCTCTGTTTGCGTTAGATGTAGAATCGTTTATGAAGGCTCCTGCGTGGGCTCTCTATATTATTTGTATGTTGTCTTGCCTCTTTCTCATGTCTCAGCACAAGGAACGATCATATACTAACCTGCGTCCTAGTTCTGGTTCCTTTCATATTTCTTGGATCAGCGGTAGCCTACGTCTGGAAGACAAAGATCAGAGGAATTTTAGGAGGGGTCGGTGCACCAGCAGATGTTCCGAGCAACGTGGATGATCAGGGAACATCCACTGCTCGGCCCATACCCAGCAAGATATCTTACAGGAAACATAAGAATAGAGACGAGGAATCTGGAGTCAGTCCAAGTGAATGAAGCTAGCAGGGTGTAGTTCAAGGATATATCTGCGAGATGGTTTTTGATTTCATAGCAACCTTTTCTGGGATATATGTGGTTCTTAAGTGAAAGTATATAAACGTTCAATGGGTATGTCTCGATACTAACTCAGTATAGCCTTTGTGTTTGAAACAGAACTGGTATTCCTAAAATGCATAGTTCAGTCAGAATCACCAAGATCGTGTGGATCTGAGGGTGGATATTACTCGAACCCTACGCGGGAAAAGCCTGAGATACTATCCATAGACTAGCGGTATTTTGTTGTCATAGTTTTCTCTAAACGAATTACTTTCAAATATAAAAGTTCCCACTTGAGATGCAGTTTTGTTCTGACCCACCAGACTAAAGGCCAACAGTTTGAAGAAATGATACATTCAAGAGAGCAGCCCAGGTATCCTGCTATAAGCTTCTACAATCCCGACCGAACTTCAAATGTAAGCCGCCATTCCAGTCCAAGACGCACGCTCCCCAAGACCGCTCAAATCTGTCATTTCAGGGCCGCAAGAAGAGTCCTCCAAATCGAACGTAGCAATTGCAGGAGCAGATTGCAGAACATACAACTTAGACCCTGCGATGACACCATCGAAATTACCCTTACCCATCTCGAAGCCAGGGAGACTATTTTCAATAGCCATGGTTTCAGTGTTGAGAGATGTGATGTTTGCGACGCCAGCATCGAGCAAATAAACTGAGCTGGTGTCTTCAGAAGCAACAGACCAGCAGGTTGCGACTTGACCGGGGATAGTGATGTTGTACTCAGTTACAACGTTCAGATTATCGGTGACGGACACAAACGCAGCGCCATAGGCAGGCGTGACGATGACGGCAGCGTCGTCAGAGTAAAAGCTCATACCGAAAGCCACAGGCAAATTGATCGGTCGCGACACAACAGCTTCTTCGCTTACAGTGCCATGATTGACCTTGTAAGCATACACATATCCATCACTCATACCATCTCCCTTAATAGTAACGAAGAGTGCCGTTTCTGAAGGGTTGAAGAGGATGTCTGACACAGTGTTTGGCGGTCCCGTGATGGGATTAGTCTGACCCTGAACTGGAAGTGGTTTGAGGCTGCCCACGGGTTTGAGACCATTTTTTCTAGACACAGTGAAGCACTGCACACCAGGATTGGTTCCAGTGTTGGCGACACAGGCGATTTTGTTCTTTGGGGAATAGGCAACCGTGCTAGGCGTGGTACCGACCGTGTCGGCGGGCTTTCCGAGAAGTATGGGATGGACTGGGTCGTGCTTGGGGATGTGGAAAGCGGCCAGGGTGTTTGAGCCGGCGTTGACAGTGAACAAAAGGTTGCCGTTAACGATGATGGAGCTTTGGGAGAACAGCGGATCTTGTAGTATTCGTTAGTGCTTGTCGCTTTTCTCAATCTGTATGGAACTGACCCATCTTGACTGTGCCGTTCACGTTCATGCCGATGAGACCACTTCCACCAGTTGAGGTTCTCTGCGGATCGCGTGGTATTCCATTCTCATCGATACTGAATGAAACTACTGAGGCTCCTTGAGGATCACTGTCGAGGAAGTACAATGCTCCATTGGACACACTGGGCTTGGGATATGCGTGGGCTAACGAGGCCGCAAAAGCGAGAATGCTGATGAACTTCATGGTGCGATGTGTAGAGATTAATCGAAAATCAGAGGTGTTTAGTGCGTAGGTGAGAAGATAGATTGCTTGATGATGTAGATGTTCTGTTGTTCGATGGTTTGGCACTGGTCTTATATATGCTCATTTCGCCATCATGGCTATGCTCTGCTTAATCCTTTACATCTTCCGTGGAAGCTTACATCGACTAGAAACGGCATTTATGGAGCGTTGACATGAGAGTTGCCGAAACGATCCGTACAAGTGCTGACTAGATCTGTAGATCAAAAAGTAAACTCAGCATTCAATGTGTTCTTTAGCGAATTGCTTCGTCGCGCTCGGCGCAGGTGTGGGGATGTGCTTGAGGCTATACCCGATTGAGCAGTGCCTTGTTGAGTCAACATGGTGAATTCAAGTGCTGGTAAGTTGCGGATGTCGGCATACAGATATCTGCCTGTAAGCTGATGGCGTGGCTTTGACTGACGTGCGGGAGATTGGCCTGCTTAATCGGTATGGGCGCAGTGACGATGCTCAGCCCTGTCCATAAGCGGCAATATTGATTATACAACGCTAAGCACACACAGAGTACACTGATTTAGAGCCTCGTCCGCCCTGTTCTTCGGCATAAATAATCGGGTAACTATGTGAGATAAATGTCTAAACCGTTGACAGCTATGATGCCCTCTTGTTACCTACAGAAAAGGTGCCATTTTTTTGGGGGCTGTCCATTGAGTAGCCGAGTATCCTGTAAACCTTCAAAAGGCTTCCCAAACAAAATGGAGGCCATTTGGTGCTATGTGTAAGCAAAGAGGGGTGGACATAGACTAGGGCACTTTGAGACACCACGTGCATGACGATGATTTTGAACCTCATCTCCACAAATAAGATAGATCTGTATTGAAGCACCATTTACGATGTCATCGCAATTGGTTCTGATCATTCCTCTTTTCAAAGAATAACTGAATTCTTTGGTCCATTTGCTAAGAATAGAGAGACCAAGTGTTCGAATACCAGAAACCATGCGCCTCATCAACGTTGAAACCCTTGAGCTGGGATCTTTCATAGGCGAGAAGGGTCGGCCAACACCGCCCTATGCCATCCTCTCTCACGTATGGACGACTGAAGAAGTTTCTTTCCAGCAAATGACCGGCATGCAACCGCTACCAGAGGAGTCCTTAGGTTACAAAAAGATCGTGGATTTCTGCGCTAGGGCCAAAAACGAGGGATTTGAGTACGCCTGGATAGATACTTGCTGTATTGACAAGACGTCCAGTGCAGAGCTATCCGAAGCTATCAACTCCATGTTTCAGTGGTACAGAAGGTCAGAGGCTTGTTATGTGTATCTCAACGATGTGACCTCCGAGGAAAATCCAGTCTCTCAAGGCTCAAGTTTTCGCCGCAGTCGATGGTTCACACGTGGATGGACTCTTCAGGAACTACTTGCACCGCATGAAGTCATATTTCTGGCTGATGACTGGTGTGAGATTGGTACAAAAACAAGTCTGAGCACCGCCATCTCTCGCATTACGAATATCGATGTGGTCACCCTCACGAAACATACCTGGTCACACGTCAGTATTGCCATGATCATGTCGTGGGCATCAATGAGACAAACAACCAGATTGGAGGATCAAGCATATTCCCTCTTGGGGCTTTTCGATGTCAATATGCCTCTTATCTATGGAGAGGGCCAGAAAGCATTCTACCGATTGCAAGTGGAGATTATGAAGTTTACGAATGACGATTCGTTGTTCGCCTGGTCGACCGAACCGTTGGATGATCATGGCTATTCGACCAGCGAAGGAACATCCAGTCGCGGCTTCAGATTTCTCGGTCTATTGGCACCGTCGGTTGCTTGCTTCAGGGACTCGCACGATATTGTGGCACCAAAGGATGTCTCTATAAGCCACGCGCCATACGACATGGTGAAGCAGAACATTAGTCTCTCCGCAGTCCTAGTGCGACTATGTTCGCTACCCACGGACCATACACAGTTAAGAGTGAGCCTAGATCAGGTAGACGTTGTTGGCACACTGAGGTTCTCCAAGAACGTTGAACCTGTGAAAGCCGTGGATCATGGCCTTGTCATAACGCCTGCAAGACACGATGCCAAAGGGATGAAAGTCATGTGTTTACTTGCGATTCTACGATGCTGGAACAAGGATGGGTATATCGCTATACCTATCAAAAGCTTGGCCACTGGTGCTTTCCAAAGGGTCGAGAATGGACGTCGATGTCGTTGGTTCAGAGTACGATTAATGCCCTTGCGTTTATGTCTCAAAGATGAGGACGAAATGGCAGAGGGCGAATCCAACTATAGACTGAGGCAGTTTGATTCCGACAACCGAGTAAAAGGCCCGCCTGCAGATCCTCCCGAAACTATCCTTATCCGAGCATATGTCCCAATGGAGGTGGTATCTACAGACACACCCCCACGGCCTATCAAGGGCAGTAGTCCATCGATATGGTTTCGATCACTGCCGATCGACAAATACAATTACTACATACACAGCGACTATCCAGCAGGCTGTGTACTGCCGCTTTCTGAGACTCGTCCCCATGCTGAGGCCGTTAGAAGAATCAACAAAACAATCAGCGATGCGTCAATGCTGTTCATTGTCTTCCGACAAAATCTACCCGACACGGATCTGCCACCGTTTCTAATACGTGTAGATAGGATGAAAGTAAAGTCACACAATGAAGAAACCAGAGTTGGTTGTTCGATAGGGCTGTCAGCTGAGAGTTGGACTGAAACAATCGCGATTCCCGATACCGACTTTATTTACGTCAATACGAAGTCGTTGACCACCTTTCCGCTTGCAGGTGATCTATGCTTAGTGTTTCGTGCAAGGCAAGGTACCCTACAGCATTCTGAGTATTATCTGAACGTGAGTATCGAAAAGTGCTTACCATGGGCACTAAATATGGAAGATGATGGCGGCACAAGAGGACAGGAGACCTCAGAAAATTCGGTCACTTATCTTACTCGTCAATTCACTGACGTTTCGTTGTGAGATGGAGGGCAAAGATTTCAAAAGGCGGAACTTCATTTAGATTTAATTTGGTGGAGAGAGCGGTCGAGAATTCTTATTCAAAAATTGACCCAAAACATACCAAATCAACAGAAAATTAGTCGACGTCAATAGGAATACAAATAATTCTCCTCATATTTTGTTGAAAGTCAGATTTCGTTTTTGGAAGACTCAGAGTCTTGAACGCACTCTCGAGGGGCAAGTCATTCAACCCAGATGAGACATACTCATGAGAAATCATATAAGCGAATTCCGCATCGTCGACAAACGACATTTAAGATTTTCACGTAAATTGCCAATTGCTTAATGTTGTTCAGCCCATAGATTGAATGCAAGCAACGAAAGAACAATTCAGATATGCCAGCACTGGGTGCAAACCCGCTAAATTCAGGGCTTACGACAAACTGCTGCATGTTTATTTTACATATTAAAGTTCGTCTAGGTGGACTCAATCTGTCGGATGATGAAATTTCCAGCGACACCAGATCGCCGAGCAGGGGGCGGCCCGCATGGGTTTTTAAAACTACCTGCAAGTCAGTCCAAGCTAAAACGTGACGAGATTTGTGCCTGTCAATAAAAGGGAAATCTAGATTTTGAAGCAATCATGGGATCTCCTGTGATAGAGTAACGACCAATCTTTAAATGTTTTCCAAAATTCCGGCATCGCACACGTATTCACAAAGTCCGTCGGCGAACGGATCCGCAGTGGATCAACGTCGACACAGAATAACTATCCCACCAGTGAAAAACAACATCTGCAAGGTCATCATGTAGGCCCAGGCCATTCGCTTTTGCACCAATGTTTGTTCTTGGCCGTCGCTTAATGAGGCGAAAGAATCACAGTTTGCAACTGCCGTCGTCCATCATTCCCAGAGATACCTGCCACCTGCCGTAACTTGTAAATTGCAAGTGTGGAAGAAACTCCTCCGTATTGCGCAAAATGTGAGGCAAAATTCGGCCGAGATAAGGGCAAGGGGGTTTCGGACGAGTGGACTGCAGGTTGTCGTCGAGATCGGCGAACCAATCAATACGCCCGGGGATGACCGTTGGGCCTGGATGGACCGTTACAGACGCCGCCCCTAACGTTGCACTACAGATTGAGTTGCCGGGTTGGTAGGCAGGGCAGGGTCGGCCTCAGTGCCCAAAGAGGTTGGTAGATGGAACGCCAAGCATTGTTCCTGGTTTTTGAACAACGTCGATCAATAGCCTAAAATAAACCCCATCCGTGGGCAGACTTTGTGAAGCAGTACGGAGTACGGAGTATGTTGAATCAAGGTTTTGGGATACGAGATGGATACAGAGGACGCATGAGATAAACTCTTAAAGAATCTCAAATCGGAGATTAACAACGCCACGGAGCTCAATAACTAGTATTTTATATCCGATTGTCTAAGGATAATACCCCATCCCAACATATCTCGTATTGCTAAGTCAAGAATGCTTGAACGTAGGCGCCCTCTTCTGCAGGAACGAACTAATCCCCTCCTGGAAGTCATCCAGGCCAAACGTCGAATAGTAAAGGGCCTTCTCGTGTGTCATCCCAGCCCCGAGGGTGGAGTTTTCAACTATAACAGGAGTCAGTATTGAATGAAACAGGGATCCCACATCCTCCCACTCGGTAGTTAATAAGCATACCTGTCAAAACAGCCTGTTTCGCCGTCTTGATTACGGGAGCCGAGAGCTTTGCGATCTTCTCCGCCAGGGCCGTCGCAGATTTAACGACGTCCGACTTGGGGAACACCTTAGTGACAACGCCTAGGCGTTCAAATTCAGCCCCGCTAGCTGAGTCGCCTGTCAAAACAAACTCCATCGCCTGTACGGTAGTCAGCGAATTGTGGCGAAAGTGGGATATACGAAAAGAGAAGCGCGTACCTTATGCTTTCCGAGAGCACGTGCCAGGCGCTGCGTACCACCAGCTCCGGGGATAGTTCCAATCTTGACCTCGGGAAGACCGAACATGGCATCTTCAGCAGCGTAGATGATGTCGCACTAGATGAATTAGAGTGTGTTCTAATAATACCTGCCGATTTTGGACTTACAGCGAGAGCGATTTCAAAACCACCGCCCAGCTATTGTGGCACAGGTTAGCACCAGCAGATAAGAAATACTAAGTAGCGAGGCCACTCACAGCAAAGCCCACAACGGCTGCAATGATGGGCTTGGTAAAGTGATCCAGTACGTCTGTCAAATCCTTGAGAAAGGCGATTTGATGCGCTTTGGACGTTGACAGCTCAACAAGCTCGTTTAGATCCATCCCAGCTATAATTAAGAATATTATTAGCAACCGCTAATTGGGCCCTAAATAATTGCTTATTCTCCGGGAGCCTGGAAATTAGTCCGCGGGGAGAAACCTACCGCAAAAGTGCCCCTCTGGTCCACCAGTCAAAACCACAGCGCGCACCGTCTCCACAGAGTCGAGATAGGCCAATGTGGCCACGAATTCACCTATTGTCTTTTGAGAAAAGGCATTACGCTTTGCTGGCCTGTTGAACTGGATCAAGGCAACGCCCTTGTCGGCGTCGATATTGAGTTTGAGGTCCTGGAGGTTGTCCATTGTGATGTAATGTGTGATGACGAAAATGCGTTGCAGGATGAAGCAGTGGGAACTTGGAACGTTGATTGTATGGGAAAAAGAAACAAAACGTCACACCGAAATTGACGACATTGTTCACTTTAAATCATCTGCTTCACATGCCATACGTTCAATGGCAGACGTTCCGATACATCAATTAACCCCTTAGTTCATCGTATGAAAACCAACTGACGCTGTTTCAAGCTTGTGGAGTGGGATGTCACAGATCACGCAGTGGTGGTTTCGGCAATTGAGGAAGGCCAAGCGTCGATCCAAGCTCGTCTCAACGGTTTTCAGACTCTTTTAGTAAAGGACTTGATTACAACTCCCTGAGTCAGTCCAAGCTTTTCACTGTAAATGCAGGTTCTTTGGTCAAAACCTGTCAAATCCATGCCCTGTAACCTATACCACAGGGCACGTTTCAGCGTGCCTGCAGATCGACCCGCTCCGAACGGTAAACCTCTTTCGTAACATATAGCCGCCAACAAAAGAACAAACCGAACACTCCGTTTCGTTTTGGGCTTGAGTTACAACGAAGCAGAGTTTTGAGAAACTGAACTTTTGCAATGAACAAGGACTAGGCTGTGCAAAGTATGTTTACGACAGCTGTGCCTTGGTTTATACGGCGGCGTCTTTACCATTTGGAGCAGGTTCCAACGGGCGATGCATGCATCTGCACCAATACAACAAACTACTGCAACCTTATCATGCACGACCCACGAGGTAAAAGAAAGGGTTGCCCTGTCAAGGGTCCCCCCCATCACCGATTTCGACTTGATGTGACAAACCTTTGATTCATCCTCCGAAACTAGTTCGGAAGGTAACCGGGCGGAAATTTGTTCCATTTTGGTAAATGTTTTCTGTTGTATCAAGTTTCTCCGTGATATCCTAACTACAAATACTTAAGCATGTGAGCCTGGCACAGAAAAGGGCTTTTCCCAGCGTGGCAGCTGGAACTCGTTCATCCCAATTGTCATCATGACGGCTTCTTCTTTCTCTTTCAGCTCCCTTGAGAATCTCTCCCTGGCGGATCGAGTGTTATTCAACAAGTTTAGCAAGGGGCCCGAGTGTCCTATTCCCTACAATGTAGCCCATCACGCATTCGAGGCGGTTGCGCTGGCGCACCCCGATATCACTGCGGTTCGGAACTACGATGGGACCACCATCACATATCGCGAGCTCGACCGACGGGCCAATATGTTGGCTAATGAGCTGATACAAACCTACGGCCTGCAGATCGGCGAGCGTGTGGTGTTGGTGTACTCGCGCTGCATTGAGATGGTTGTCTTCATCCTGGCCGTCCTGAAAGCTGGTGGTCAATACGTGCCATTAGATGGTGGTATCGTCACCGACGACACTCTCGGTTTCGACATCGCCGACTCCAACGCTCCTGTCGTGCTCTGCCTTCCCAAGTTTTTCGACAAGGTGATCCGAAGTATCCCTAGCGATAGACGGGACATGGTCAATGTCCTTGACCTTGATAGCACCTCGGCATTCTGGCGCCTGGGAAACCCTGCCGATCCTACGGTGGATGTCCGTACAGAGGATGGCGCATATGTTATCTACACATCTGGTACTACCGGACGACCAAAGGGTGTTGATGTGCGGCACAGAGGCGTGACCAACACCCTCTTGGCAGAACCTTCTAAACTCGGCATCACTATCGGCAAGAACGTGGCACAGCAACTCAATGTTGCTTTCGACATGTGTAAGTGGATGCACCATACCAGATAGTGTGAAAGCGACTAATCAGACGATCGAATAGGTGCATGGGAGATTCTGGGCACCATGATGAACGGTGGCACCCTCCACATCAGAGGCAGCGGTCTCGAGCCCTGGACGGACTGTCTCCAGCGAGTCGATGTTGTCATCGCCACCCCTTCTGTGGTCCTCAAGTACATGCCGAATGTTGCAGACTTCCCCAACGTTGAAACCATCGCCGTTGGTGGCGAGCCTTGTCCTCTGGCTCTGGCCGAGAAGTGGGCTCTGCATGTCAACTTCTGGAATGTCTGTGGCCCAACTGAGATCAGCATGCTCAACACTGGACATCTCCACAGGCCAGGAATCCCATTGTCTATCGGCAAGCCTAATCCTAACACCAACGTCTACATCCTGGATGACGATGAGAACCCCGTTCCTGTTGGCAAATCAGGTGTGATGTGGGCTGGCGGTCCAGGTGTCTCCGCGGGGTACATCAACCTTCCTGAGCTAACTGCCACACGTTATAAGCTCGACAAGTTCACCAACGTCGGGTAAGCAGTTTCATCCAGTGCAATTGTAACAGCCGATACTAACTTAATCCAGAAACATGATGTTCAACACCGGCGATCTTGCACAATGGCTTGAGGATGGTAGCCTTCTACCCCTCGGCCGAAAAGACGACCAGGTCAAGATCCAGGGTTTCCGAGTCGAGCTCGACGGTGTCTCACGCTCCATCGAAACAGCACCAGGCGTCATCAAAGGCTGCGCATTGAAGATCGACGATACTCTGTGGGGCTTCTACTCATCCCACGTAAAGATCGACGAAGCAGAGCTGAAGCAAGCCGTCAGCAAGGGTCAGCCCTTCTACGCCGTCCCCAAGATATGGCGTCACCTACCAGTCCTTGAACTTACCCCCAACGGCAAGGTCGACAAGAGGGCTCTTTACCAGATCGCCAAGACACCCGAGATCTTAGAGCCTGAGGCTCTGGGTCTGAGCATCAAGCCCCGTCCTCAGACATTGTGGCCCTCTGCTGATCGCCTCATGTCGATGAATAGCTCAAGTGGTGGAAGCCTGGCTGAGAAGTATGGTACCTTGGGAGACTTGGAGAAGCATTCCAAGTCTTTGTCTATAGATGAAGAGGAGCTTCTCGAGGACGAGTACCCACTACCCGAGAAGAACGGCTTTCACGGTTGGCGCTGGGTTCGACACACTGCATTCTCTGCATATCGAAAGCTCTTTGGCTTTATCTTTATTGTCAATCTTGCTGTTCTTATCATTCTTCTATGGGCCAGTCGCGACAACAACTTCTTCCCATCGCCCTCCCATCTGGCCACGGCTGTAGCATCGAACCTCCTCTGTGCAGTCCTCATCCGCCAAGAGTACGTCGTTAACGCGATATTCTTCGTCTGCTCCAGAGTTCCCACATCTTACCCTCTGTCTATCCGAAGACACTTTGCGCGTGTCTACCATAACGGCGGTGTTCACTCCGGTTGTGCTATCTCTGCTACTACATGGTGGGCTATGTACAGCGTGTCTGTCAGCCGGGACTTTCTTTTGGCAGAGGATCAACCGGCTATCAAGTGTGTTGTCCTCGCGCTGACTTATGTCATCCTGGTTCTCCTCATCTTCATTCTGGTCATGGCGTATCCTGCGATTCGAATGAAGATGCACGATCAGTTTGAGTGGGCGCATCGTTTCATCGGATGGTTCTCTGTCGCTCTCGTGTGGGCACACGTTGTCGTATCAACAGCGGCCTCAACCACCGGTCCTTTGGGCCCTGCACTTGGCAAGTCTCCAACCATCTACCTACTCTCCCTCATCACACTCAGCATTGCTTTGCCGTGGGCGAGACTACGCCGCGTCAATGTCGTGCCAGAACCTCTGTCAGGCCATGCCGTCCGTCTTCACTTCGACTTCTGCACACCTGGCCCGTGTACTTCAAGAGGTGTTCGTATCACCGATCGTCCCATGATTGAGTGGCATGCATTCGCTGCTATTCCCGAGGCCAACGGCAAGGGCTTTTCCATCATCGTGTCAAAAGCCGGCGACTGGACCAAGCGAATCATTGAGAAGCCACCAACATCCATCTGGACCAGAGGAACGCCAGCGTCTGGTGTGTTGGCCATCGCACCACTTTTCAAGAAGGTCGTTCTCGTTGCAACCGGTTCTGGAATCGGGCCTTGCATGCCAGTCATTATGGAAAGGCGCGTGCCTTGCCATGTGGTGTGGTCAACGAAGAACCCGCTATCGACATATGGACAAGGAATCCTCGACACCATCACCGCCTGTGACTCTGAAGCCATAATTTGGGACACGGACAAGAAAGGACGGCCCGACATGGTGAAGCTCGCCTACCAGGCCTACAAAGAGAGTGGTGCTGAGTGTGTTTGCATCATTTCCAACCGATCCACAACAGCCAAGGTTGTCTATCAGCTCGAGGCTCGTGGCATTCCAGCGTATGGTCCCATTTTGGATTCTTAAAAGTTGGTACACAGGACCATCTTGGCGTTTTCTTTTGTTACTTTAGCCAGCTTTGTTTTAGTCTTAACTTTTGAATGTTAACGACCAGGCGTCTTCTTTGGGTAAATAGTTACGAACAACATGTTAATACAAAATTAAACTCAATCTAAATTTTATTAACCTTGCCAGTGTCAAATTCAACTGTATCAGTATGCTCAGGATACGGTTTCCTTATCACTACGTAGTTGAAGCTGTCTGAGCCGGTGTCATCCGCCGCGCCAGAGTAACCCACAGCCAATACTCAAAACGGACCGAAGCAAATTTCACTTTGTACCACAAAGTTTGAATGATCTTTTCTAGGCAAAAGGAGCCATCTAAAAATATGACCCTACTCTTTTTCAGAACGTTTAGCATACTGCTTTGACAACGCACCAAAAAGCTTGGCGATTGAAGATCATCAAGACACCGAACTGGTTTTTCCCACCGTCCAACTCGAATGACTTACAGGGGAACAGATCAAGATCACCGCAAAGTAGATATCAGTTACATCCGCCTGATTCTAAGCGGCCGAGGGTCTCGGGGCCACCGCTGCCGGAGCCGGGGACCAGAGCGGCCTGGGCTGATCGGCGACTAGTTACACGCAGCGACCCGCCGAGGATACCGTCCAAAACGACGGCTGTCGGCCTCACCCTTGATACTTATAAGACAAAGCTAATAGCCCACAAAACAAGCACTTTCTCATTCTGGGGCATTTATACTCAGCATTCATTCATAGCTTCGCCATGAAGGAATCGTCACAACATCCATTTTATGAGGCCGAGCCAACGGTGCGAGAAGCACTTGGCGAGTGTATCCCAACAGCAGATGGCACCATTCGATTCATCAAATCTCTGTTTCCTTGTCTCAATTGGCTGCCACGATACAACTGGCGATGGCTCGTTGGTGATAGTATCGCTGGCTTTACTGTTGGACTAGTTGTTATTCCGCAAGCAATGGCCTATGCACTATTAGCGACACTGCCGCCTGACTTTGGACTATACACGTCTTTCGCTGGAGCAGCGACATATTGGCTATTTGGAACGTCAAAAGATATTGTTATTGGTGTATGTCTAATCCAAACCGAAATGGTGTCACTACTAACCTGTAATCTCTCAGACTACCGCGGTCGGATCTCTCCTTGTTGGTGAAGTCATCTCCCACGTCCACGAAGCACACCCGAACACATACTCAAGTGTCGAAATCGCCAAAACACTATCCTTCATCACGGGGTTGATACTATTTGCAATCGGTCTACTTCGACTAGGATGGATCGTGGAGGTTATCCCCTACATCCCCGTCTCAGCCTTCATCACAGCCGCAAGCATCATCATCATGTGCACCCAACTACCCGTATTACTAGGAATTCCAGGTGTCAACACACGAGATGAGCCTTACAGGGTGTTAATATCCACATTCCGCAAGCTTGGCGATACAAAACTTGATGCTGCCATCGGCATCACCTGCTTAGTCCTACTGGAGTTGGCCAAGTTTGTGTTTGCCAAACTGGAGGCTCGTCAGCCTGCAAAGAAGCGTCTGTGGTCGATCATGTCATCCCTACGATTGACATTTGCCATGCTACTTTATACACTGGTGAGCTTCTTAGTCAACCGCAATCTACCTGCGGACGAAAGCAAGTTCAGAATCGTGGGTCACATAGAACAAGGTACGTCGATCTCCCAATAGCATTGCAGCTATGTGATGTGCAAATGTTCCATACTGACCATCTCAGGATTTGTTCACGTTGGCCCCCCGTCTTTTAACGGCAGCCTTATCGGAGCCATTCTGCCTCAGAGCCCCATCATCCTCATCATTCTTATTGTCGAGCATATTGCCATTGCCAAGAGCTTTGGCAAGAAGGTGGGATACGAGGTAGCCCCGTCACAAGAGATTATGGCTCAAGGCACAGCAAACATTTTGGGACCCTTCCTTGGTGGCTACTCTTGTACTGGATCGTTCGGCGCATCAGCCGTGCTATCGAAAGCGGGTGTCAGAACACCGTTGGCTGGTCTCTTCAGCGCGTTCATGTTGCTTCTGGCACTCTATGCTCTAACAGGAGTGTTCTACTTCATCCCCAGGGCAGCACTAGCAGGATTGATTATTCATGCCGTGTTTGGTCTCATTGCACCACCTTCTACAGTCCTCAAATATTGGCGTCTATCACCATTCGAATGCATGATATGGCTGGCTGGTGTCGTGATAGCTATCTTTACAGGACTTGAGACGGCGATATACGTTACTACTGGACTCTCTTTCTTACTCTTACTCGTTCGCATTGCGCGAACCAAGGGTCAATTTCTGGGCAAAGTGGCTGTTCAAGAAATGGATCCGGGTCAGAATCATGAATGTTCTGCACAACCTAAAGGCCAAGCAGCCGTGCGCGAGCTTTATTTGGACCTGGCCAGGAACAATGCTTCCAACAGGGACATTGTACTGGAGACTCCTCATGGCGGTGTTCTGATATACCATTTCCCAGAGGGTCTCAACTATCTCAACCAGGCACAGCATCTCAAAACGTTGACGGATTATGTCTACACTCACACCAAACGCCCAGCAGAAGAGTCATCCGCGGACAGATCAGAAACACTCTGGTGCGACAAACCGACTGTGTACAAGCAGGACGACGAAGTGCCCTTGTTAAGAGCAATTGTCATCGATTGCTCGACAATCCATAATATCGACATCACCAGTGTTCAAGGCTTGGTCGATGTCAGAAATGCCTTGGACAGATGGGCAAGTCCGTCTACTATCGAATGGCACTTCGGCGGATTACACAATAGATGGGCTCGAAGAGCTCTAGCAGCTGCAGGCTTTGGTCGCAGTGCGGCAGAAGACTACCATACGATTGGAAGCTGGGCGCCAGTCCTTCCTTTGGCAAGCGAAGAAGCAAACGATGGAAGCAGGAAACAGAAGACCTTTGCAGATGACGAGTGTTCGATCGGCGCGCAAAATGGTGATGTCAGAAGGTCAGGGCCAGGGGAGACCCCGAAGACAGGCGATAAGGTTGCACACCGGGAATCGGGCGCTGGAAAGCAAACACATCAGCCAGTTTTTGCGATAGACAGGCCCTTCTTCCACGCCGACCTTGGTGAGGCGGTGAGCGCGGCTTTGGCTCACGCGAGTAGAAGCGACTGCCGTCTACACACTGACACCGAGACCGAAACTGACTGATCCATGATCCACCATCGGGCGGAAAAGCGGGTGAGAGTCCGGCTACCGGCCGAACTCCCGTCGTCTCCACTCCGTCTGCCCCGAGGCCGCGGGCACAAGACAAGCCGGGGAGGGTCTGTGTTGGTACGTACCGGGGACTTGAATTAAAAGCGAGCGCGTTTGTCGGGCACTAGATTAAAGGTTCATTACCGATAGTATAGAGGATAGAGAAATAGGGCGAACTCTAAATCTAATTAATAAATAATGATTTCTCATCATTTATTTTTCTGTATCTGTATAGATATCTATATTTTTGTTGTTTCAGCCTCTTGATAATATGCAGTCAGCAATCACCATGACAAACTTGCTGACAGGCGCCGTATTCGGCACAGGCCTGACACTTTCAGGGGTAGCAAGCCCCCAAGTCATCAAGAACCAATTCAGACTCTCCGACTTTCACATGCTCGCCACCTTTCTCACTGCATCCGCCACCAGCGCCGCCATCTTTGCAGCCTACAACACCAGGAACATCAATAAAAAGATCCCAGCCAAATCTGCCAGCAGCCATGGTTGGATAGGAGCTTACGACGGTAACGTCATTGGCGGTGCCTTGATCGGGCTGGGGATAAGCTTAACAGGGGCTTGTCCCGGCACGGTCCTCGTCCAGGCGACGGCGAATATTGGGAACAGCAGGGTGCTCGCATGCAGCTGTCTCCTGGCGGGCGCTGTCTGGGTCAAGTTGAAGCCGCTCGTCACACGCCAGCAGCCGCCGAGCCGAGCCGGGAATGAATCTGTAATGGCTGTTACCGGATGGTCTACCTGCAGGGTAGTCATTGTTTACGAAGTGGCCATGCTTTCCATCCTCACCGCAATACTGGTTTATGCACCCCGGAGCGTCACACTGCTCCATCCGGTTGTCGGCGGTCTTGTTATCGGCCTTGGACAATTTGCTTCTGTCAGCTTGGCAAAGAAGCCTGTCGGTGTTAGCGCCGTATATCAAGATTTTGGGAACGTCTTTTGGAGCATCCTCAATGGCACACTGCCCAAGGCAATCCCTGATAGCATTCTGTTCGCGGGTGGGCTAATGATGGGGTCTTGGCTGACTATGTTCAATGTCCCGGCGATTCGGGAGGCTATGATCCGCAGTGAAACGCCATCATTGCCGATCACTCTCTTGGGCGGCCTGTTTCTGACTTTCGGGGCTCGTATCGCTGGTGGATGTACGAGTGGTCACGGAATTAGTGGTATGGCCAGTATGGGATTAAGCTCCTTCATAACTATCATTTCGATGTTTGGTACTGGAATAGTGGCAGGAATGCTGTTGTCTTAGCGCAAGGAGTCAAGAAGCAATTTGTATTTTATAGATTTAGAGTTAGAACTGAGGGTCCAAGAAAAGGTCCTAGGCCAGTACATAATATCTTGTCTTTATTGTTCACCATCGCGTCTTCAATGTCTTCTGTGTTCTGCTAAGTGGTTAGAGATCCCACTGTTGAACTCAGCTACTAAGATCAAACCCCGAGATTCTCAGTCACACAGTGCTGGACTAGCGTCACCGATAAATGTATAACATTCTTCGTCAAAGCCTAGTCCATGATATAGGATGCGATGCATATGTCATGAATCTCTTGTCGAATCCTTCGCCCGGGCCTAGACACATCATACCTATCATTAAGACATCACATATACATCGCGGTAGGCTTAACGTAAGTGTCACGGTGAACGTCTATGCAAATAAAATGGAAGTGAGATGAATATTTCTGCCCTGCTAAACCTCGCTATTTTGTAAAATACATAAGCATCATATAAAAAATAACTACGCGAAGTAACCTCCCAGACGTTCGCCGGATATCTGGAACAGTCTACCAGGATGGTCCTGTGAGCGGCAAATGGACCATTCTATGGCCAGAGGCTAAAGGAGCTGGCTGTCTTCCTCCCCTAATATTTACCTGCAGCGAAGGATGAATCAACCGCGGCGCCGCCAGAGTTTCATCACGCTTGTGCCGCATGTCAACAAACTCTTCCTCCAGGGTGCCGTCCTTGAGATGCTTGTTGTTCATCCTATGCTCCTGAACAGTTGCGAATGGTACAGGAGCATCCCTGCCTGGTGGGGGGTAATCGTGCCCTACCCATATCTTTGTCTCACCTGGCAGAGCGAGGAGCTTGCGACCTGAGTTGAAAATTGCTTCGGCGCTGCCACCAGGGAAGTCCGCACGGGCGGATCCAATGTCGACGTGAAAGATCGAGTCGCCCACAAAGACGTTGTCTGAACTTCCAGTAAGTATGAGATCGATTGAAGAGCTCTATGAGATAGAAACTTACTTCCGACGTGATAGCCCATGTGATCTGGTGTATGTCCGGGTAAATGAACAGCACGAGCCGTCAGAGTACCAATCTTGAACTCATCGTTGTCTTCCCATAGTCTATCAAAGACTGTCTGATACTCTTCAGGTGATATACCATATCGTTCTCCGAACAAGCTCTGCACCTGTCGAATGCGGCTACCTATACCAATGAGAGGCTTTGAACCTTGGCTATTAGCTAGTATAGACTGAAGATACGACGCTGCAGTCAAGTGGTCTGCGTGCGCATGAGTTTCTAAGATCATATCGACCTTGTACCTCATGTCGCGAATGGTCTTGACCATTGCGTCAGCAGAGTCTGTCGACACTATAGCCTTGACAGGATCGTAGTCCAACACGGGATCAATAATAACCGCGCTTTTACTGGTGGGGTCGGCAACGATGTATTGCCAGGTTCCTGTGACTGGCTCAAATAGTGGGTGAATAGCTGGCTCTGTCTTCTCTAGTGTGCTGCCAGTAGAATCGTTACCGGCCATGATGTAATCTTGTCTTGAGAAGTCTCTGTGCTGGGAAGTGTGGGTCTGTCTTGTTATGATGCCGTCTTTATGTTGTGGTCGAGAGCTTTTCAAAGTCCTGTAAGTTTGGCTGTGATATCGATATCGAGTCGCTGCAGAAGGTGTCAGGCGTCCCGTTTTTATGCTGGAGGTGGATAAGGCTGATGCCACTGTTCTGCGGCACTTGAACATGGTGCCTTATATCCTGAGGGCGATAGAGGTTGCTGGAATGATTAACTGCTATGAGTCCAAGTCTAGTGCCCGACTCCTTTCCTTGCCAAAAGACATGTCTTAAAGAATCCGTTAAGGTTCGGGGACTTGTTTAGTTGGCGCCTTCGGACCCCGAAAAGTGTGGACCTGAGTCGCCGATTGAATGACTTAATGTGAGAGATGCGACAAGGAATATTTGGTACCCGAATTTGTGTTTTGACAAATGATCTGATTATCAACGACCTGTAATTCTTTGGGCCTCAATTAGAGATGGCAAACTCAGTGTATTTCTTACAAACTCGTGATGAATGGAGAGGCTTGCCCTGTGGGCTAGCGTCGACTGTGCTATAGTCTCGGATCCAATCGCTAAACAACAGACCAGAATTTTCACCTAAATGATTCACAAGATTATACATGTCAACAATATCTGCTAGGTATTCAAAATAATTTGGGGTATCATTAAAACGGCAAAGTCTACTGCAAAAGAAAAACTAGCTGGTACTCAGACGTTGTACGCAGTGGACTCCGGTGGATGTTTGGAAGCGATATCAATCGGTACAGAGTCCCTGTTCACGCCAATCTTGTTGTATCTATGCTGGCGACAACTGACTACGCCGTGGAAGATGAGTGCAGCACACGAGAATAAACTACCATTGGTCAGTACCAGGGTTCTTCACATGTGATAAGAGGACTTACAAGCCAATGGCAGCAAGGCCGAAACAAGTCGCAAAGACGTATCCATAAAAGGTGCTGATAGATGTCAAATTATCAGGACACTTGTTCTCCTTACAATAGTCTTGGCCATGGATCCATAGAACCGCAGTCTGGGATCCAAGGACAGCCATCGAGATGATCCAAAACACAGTAAGGGATGTGTCAAGGATGAAAGCCGCCCAGAAGTTGTACAGACGGCTGAAAGAGAGATGGGCGAAGGCCATCCATAACGAGAACAAAACGGCCACTGAGCTCTAGATTTGAGAGGATGGTCAGCATTGACTAACAATCTCCACACTTCACCAAGGACTTGAGATAACGTACTGTAGCAATCAGCAAGCAATTGCCTGGCATAACGATAGCATTGATCGTGAAGGAGGTCACCACGATAGTGATGATACTGTGGACGGCTTGAAAAATTCGTAGAATCGTGATCCCAGTTGGGTATTGGGATAGATCAGGAAGACCAGGAGCCATGATGGAGAAGTTTCTGGTTACAATTTCTAGAAGACTATAATTCGTAGAAGGAGGTTTCAGTGCACCAAGGAGTGTTCGTAATAAATGATCAGAAAATAAAGTTGTTAGCGGTATTGGCGAAGATGATTTTAACATAAGAATTGGAAAGGCTTTAACGCCGGGATCATCACAATATCGTCCCGCTTCTCTGGCCGCAGCTCTTACTCTATCCCAGCACATTGAATCCTGTCAGACGAGCCAAAGAATTCTGAGCGGCTCTGTGAGCCCAATGAATCCACTTACGGGGCACTGGAGAATCGGCAGTAAATCTTCATTCACACTTCATAGCATAACATAAAGATCTCTATACGAATACGTGATACTTCCAGGAGTTTGCAATTGCATAGATTTATTCCTGGCACATCTAATATTCCCCTTCACCTGCTTTCTGTTTCTTGAGATGCGAATTTCCATCCAGATGTAAATCCCCACCGACACAGTTACAGGGGGTCCCCAGGGAATGATCCCTGCCCAAGTAAGCACAGCGCAGCATTCATCCACCACGCGATTGGTCTATAGCAGCTAAGCCGTCTAAGATGTCAGCAATTTAATTGCAACAGTGGCAGTGACATGTTATCCTCCAGGGACCTCTGCCCTAAAATTGAGAGCATGGCTTAGACACAATTCTGGTTCATGCTAAAATTAAACATTTAAGGCTGATTGTATCTAGCGGTCAGAAGGGTCCAATTATAGGCGTCCTGGAGTCTCTAGAAGCCTTCTAAGGATCGGGCATTGTCTGTAGCAGCGATAGGCGTGAAGAATTGGCGAGGCTAGTCATCCAAGCACACACACACAATGACTTGCCTTCCAATTTCGCTACAATTTATACGACTGATCACAATCACTTAAGTCATAACTAGGTGGAGGTTTTTAATGAGAAAGAACTCTTTTTTTTTTTTTTTACTAAACAAGCCTATCAGCACCATGTTACCTAATCCCAAGAAATAACAACCCGGGCAATCAAAAAGACAAAACAAGCCCTGTCAACGTCTTACCTGCAGAATAGTCCAAGTTAACTATCTTGTGGATTTAGACGGACCCTTTCCCAAACAAAACCTCTATGCCCAACCAATTCCATCGCCATAGCTGCCCACACCGTTAGAGAGGATCACTTAGACGAGGCAGTTGCTATAGCATTCGTAGCACTGCTGAGAAGAGATACAGTAGATTTTGCCAGTGCAGCCGGTGCAGCCAGTGCAAGCACAGCGAGGCTTGGTGCCGCGGCACTCAAGAGGGTCATGGGCCTCGCCAGCAGAAGTGGTGATAGGGAAGTATTCCTGCTTTTCCTCAACGGGAGACGCAGGAACAGCAACGGAAACTGGGGCGGGAACAGTAGGAGACTCCATCTTGACGGTTCTGCGCTGTAGGTGATGTGAAGTTGTGGGAATATAGTAGTAGGTGTGATGTTGCAGATGGTCTGAGTGGGTAGAACCTTGTCAAGATAGTGTCAAAAACGTGAGTACTTGTTGAGCTTGCTGGATTTTCTGGATTACGGGCGGGAAAGCCGTAATTTATACAAATTCTCGGGGGCTTTGTTCAAAGCTGTGATTATGTCCTGTGTTCATGTGTGTTACCATCCTTCCATGATAATCGTGTTGTTCACTTTCTTCAAAATCAAAAGCAGGGCTGCATATGCAAGGAGAACATTATGTATCTATCTTTTACTCACGACAGCTATAATATTCTATTTACTTCACTTTCGTACTTTGCGCATCACAACATTCTTTTGTTACAGTTTCACCCCATTGGTGGCCTGAACAAGTGAACATTTCGGCTGTTCTCGTCCTGTGCTCAGTTGTTACAGACCATAGGGTTTTGATTCAGTTATGTACTGGCCACTGTCACTGTCACCGTATTTTCAACTTTCATGATATATTCATCCAGATACCTTCTATGGTGGCTAACGTGTAGTATTTTGTTCCCTTGAAAAGCACTTCTTGTACATTCACTATATTCACACGTCTGAGTAAACTGCGCTGCCGAACAGGCGTCCGACTGGACAACTCTCGTTTATCAGTCAACAGTTCGTGTCTAAGAAGAACCAGTCTCATTGTGCTATGGTCATGTGCGTCAAATGTAGTCTCTAGGGTCTTTGAACTCACCACTCCATCCAATGTAGCCATTCTCTTACGCATCATCGTTCAGAGTAGCAATAGCACCCGAATTCACTAAACGCCCAGCATCCCACATGACATATCCCCAGTCACGAAAGTTGTCTGGTATGTACGATCCACAGATATTGCTATACCTCCCTTCCCAAAGCGTCACCCAGGCTAATGGAGGCAGGTTCTCTTTGTCACCTTTGAAGGGTATTGCATCGCGGCGTTGCTGAGCCCTGTCGCGATCCGAGAACAAGCGATCGCGTCTTTGTCTTTGAGCGATTTCGTCAACTACCATATCGATCCATTGACCATCTCCCGAGATGATGTGTTTCGCGACTGTTTCCACCAGTTCATCATGATCCTGAGCTTCAAACATTGACGACAACACTGTCAGGCCTAAAGAGTTGAGACCGTTCCTGTAGGAATCACCTGTGACAAAACACAGTCAGAATACTCCCACTAGTCAGGGTAGGGGAGTTAAGACATACCAAAGATCTCAAGGTGATAGGCGCCTTCTGGCATGTAGGGATCCCTCTTTTTACCGTCAAACCTCGGGTTTTCCTCATCGAAATCCCACGCAACGTCTTCCAATACACTGAGGTATTTGCCATTAATAAACCAATAGATACATATGATTTCCTCTCGCTCCCAAGGTTCGAACATGTCCAGAAAGTTCCCAAGCCTTTGCTCATGTCCATAAGAAAATCTTCCGATCAGAACATCGGAGCCGAAAAGGTTGCAGATAAGCTGGAAGCGAAAGAAACCGCGAACAATTCTTCTTCTCTCGGTTTTGCTAAGCTGACCTGCAGCAGATAGATAGCGGTGATTACCCTGGGTCCATTCCACGTAATGGGAAACCAGTGGCTTGATAATAGAAGAGTAGAATGCAACAACGGGAACGATATCTTCGTTTTCTTGTAAGTCCAATCGTGTCCATATGCTAGTCGATCGTCGCACGTGGTAAGCTTTGGTGAACTCTTTGGTTTGTTCTTCTGTGCGCTCACTTCGAAACTTGGAATTTGTGCTCAAGTGAACAGTATGTGCATCTATGACCAAGGAACCCAGTTCAAGTTGCAGGCAATACGAAAGCCAAAATGCCCTGTTGAGTCGATACTGCTGGAAGAAGACAGGTGAGGCACGTATCAAAGTAGATAGGTCCGCGATAGTATCTATAGCAAGCAAGATGTGGTGTCGGGCATCGAAATGGAGATCCTCAAAGCTCAGAGGATGAGACTTCTTGAATTTGCATTCTTCGCTTGTTTGAGAGTTGGCCATAGTGATGCAGTTTCTTGAGGATAACACTCTGTTTGGAGAATTGATGACAAAGGCAATCTCTTTGACATAGTCCACATAGCTAAGCAGAGTCACAAAGAGAAATACGTCAAGTAAAGTCCTTTGCGGATAAGCAGTATAATATATTTAGGCATTGGCTCAACCTGACCCGTGCATCACAGCCTCTTTGTTCAGTGACAGTAGCTTCCTGATAAGCCCATGGTAATGCACTGTTCCATTTGAACTGAATCTACTTCTGAAGGCCAGGAGATGACATAGTTGACAAGGTCCATGCTAGAATATAACTACCGCGTACTTAATTGGTTGGATGACCTCGTTTAGAAGTGATTAGATCATGATTACATGGTCCTAGCTATGGCTTCAATAGTTAAAATGCGAAAGTTTCCGAACAAAGCCAACCCCAATCAGTGTCCCGGCAAATACAGAGCTGCAGGTGTCACGACTAAGTACGCTGTGGTGTAGTCATCATTTCTGCACCCTCCCGATAGTTGATCAAGTGATTCGCTGCGATATAGGCTGCCGCGCGTTTATCTTTTGTGCTATTATTCACTGTTAGATCCAAACTGTCGTACTGGGAGGTATTGACATACGCCGTCGAGCAAGAATGCACTGTACTAGCATTGGGCGCAGGATATCTGGACTCCAACTACCAAACGGTTTTTGAAGTGAAATAATTGTATAGCCAAACTCATAAGCTTTAAACCTAATATGCGTTGGCCGCAAACACTATAATGAACCTATATTGAATAATTCGTCTTATAAGACTTTCTTGCAAACGGCATAGGCATGTCTTATTGTGACGGGACAGCCATTTAAGGAGAGACGAAGTCGATGGCGGACTTAACATCATGGAATTATTATGTCCGGGCCACAATAACCAAGTTTGGCAATACATGCCAGGCATATCACACTTCACTACGTGGCTGACAAGCGATACGTCAGATGTCGGCATTAGTGACAAAGTCCGAAAATAACATATATATATTGGACCTAGCACTGCTGAAAATAGCTAATGATTCAGAAAATAACACTTTCGAAATCTTATTCTGCGGAACATCTGAAAACTGGCTTTTGTCAAATCCTATTGCTTGAGAATATCACCAACCATGTTAACACCAAGTCTCACCAACGCTCAACAAGTTAGAGATTTCGTCTCAAAGACTCACAACAAGCCGTACGCAGCCATCGATCCGAAAACCACTGAACTTCCAAGAGACTATGTCGTGTGTATCATTGGCGCTGGAGGAGCCGCAGGAGCAGGGTTAGCACGATCGTTCGCTAAAGCAGGCGCATCAGGTATCATACTTGCAGCCCGCACGCAAAGGTCCTTGGAGACAACAGCCAATGAAGTCAGTGCTATCAACCAGTCCGCCAAGATAGTCTCAATTTCGTGCGACATCAGTTCCAATGACGACGTGGCCAAGATTGCTACCGCCGTCAAGGAGCAGTTCAATGGGAAGCTCGATGCTGTATTTGTCAACTGCGGGTTTTCGGGGCCACTCTCTAAGGCCACAGTTCTTGAAGAGGAGTTTGAAGACGTAGAGAAGGCTTTTGCTACTCATTGTTTGGGCACATGGCTGGCAGCTCATCATCTCTTACCTTTTCTCCTCACTAGCAAAGGTAGTTTTATTGTGATCAGTTCAATCTCGGCACAAGGCATCGCTGGCTTCGGAACCACGTCTCACTATTGCGCAAGTAAGCTTGCTCAAGCTCGCTTGATTGAGATACTTCATGCGCAATATGCCGACAAAGGTGTCTTCGTTGCCAGTGTCCACCCAGGCGGGATGAAGAGTGAGTTTGCGCGAGCGGCATCAGAGGATATCCAGCATTGTGAGTAGCCTATAATGTCCCCTACAATCTCATGAAAGCTGATTATACGTAGTGTTGAACGACAGTCCCGACCTTGTGGGCGCATTTTCTGTGTGGTTGTTGAAGTCACCTGGTTTCGAGGCACGGAAAGATGCATTGAATGGACGATGGCTATCTTGCAAATGGGATGTGGATGAGTTGCAAGACAAATTTGAGAGCATTCAGCAGCGAGATTTACTAAAGTTCAGAATGGCCATAGAGTAAGGGCAGGACAAAGTACGGAGCGAAACCCTCGGCTTATTTTCACCACTAGACATATCATCAGAGACAAGTACGAAACTAGATTAAGGCCAAGACTATTGGTAGCTAAGTCCAAACCCTACTAAAAGAAGTTAAGCATATGAAGTCTTCTCTGCTTGGACTCCATCTCAGACACAGTCTTCATCTCCGCCCTTTTCAAAGCGAGAAACCAGTCAACATATTCCTGACCGAGAGCACTTACAGCCCAAGCTTTGTCCTTCTCAAGTTCTTCCAGCGCGGTGTCGAGCGATTTGGGCAAAAGCTTCGTCATTCCTAGCTTTTCCTTCTCCTCTTCGGTGTAGAATAGAGTGAATTCTAGGCAAACGTTAGTAAATGCATACATAACATAGGTTGAGTGATACCTACTGCTAGCCTTCTGGATTTCAAGGGGTTTTGGATCAAGCGCAGCGGCAATGACACCAGCTACCATAGCATATGAATTCGAGGTGCCATCATTCACACGGATCTCCCAGTGGTTCTTAGTGACTCTCCTAACGGGCATATCACGATTGTTATCGCCCCAACCAACTAGACCACCAGCACACATTCTCCCAACGTTGACCCTTTCATAAGAATCGACCTGAGCCAAACCGAGTGCCATTAAGGCCGGGATATGGCTCAGGATTCCGGCCATGGTGGTATCTGGGTCCCAGCTCTCGTCTTTGCTGGTAGCAGAGATATGGATATGTTCTCCGTTCTTTTGGCCTTGGTCTCCCTCATAAGGTGTGGGATAGAATGTGGCAAGTAGACCATGCTTGTATGCGACATTCCTGATCAACTCGCTGGCGTACACATATGCGTCGACAGCCTCAATTGGGGGTAGTGGGGCGAGTGCAACCTCATAAGCAGATATGCCATACTCCTTAATGGTCTGTTCAACGCGAACCCCAACTTCCTCAAGTGCAACGATGATCTCATTCAGGACCGGCCAAACCTTGGACCGTAGCATGCGAACCGTGACCGAAACGCCAGGCGGCGCAGGCTCAGCAGGTTCGAGTGTTCCTGGAACAAGCAAACAGAACTCCAACTCCATGCCGACTAGGAACTCCATCCCATGATTCTTCTTAGCCCTATCGACTGAGGATATCAGGATTGATCGAGCATCAGTGTTTCGGAAATCCAAAGTAGCGAAGCAAACTGCTGCATTGCCGAGCCCAGAACTGTCATGCGCAACTCTCAAAGTGGAAATATCAGGCCAAATCTTTCCTTTCTCTGTAAAGGTTGGCATGAGCATGGGGATAAACTCGGCCGTTGTTGGCACACACGTGTCGAGAGGCGCACAGTCCAAATGACTGCCCGAGCTGATGAGCTTCTTAAAAGCAGCAATAGGCAAAAGTCTCGATTTTATTACGCCGCAGATATCAACCCATTGTAGAATGATAATTTGAACTGCAGGATTCTTGTCCAGAAAGTCATTCAGAGCTTTTGCCGGGTCTGAGCTGACCTTTTGTGCAAGTATTTCCATGGCCATAGAGAAGAGCAGTAAGAAGAAAAAAGTTAGAGAGTTGTGTTCCGCTCAATAGCACACAGGCAAAGTCGGGTCTTATAAGCTCGACGCGGAGTTCCGCTCGTCAGCGGCAAAGTATGCACAAGATACAAGATGGTGTTATCACGCTCTACTACCTTCCTGTCTTGGCAGCCTCTTCTATAAATCACTACATTGTAACCAGTGCCGTAATATACTCCGTCTTATCAGGTAAGCACTAAAATCCTCTGATCTGACTGAGAAACAATCAGTCAGCTACCATCAGTGCCATGTCAGCTTGAGATCCGAATCCGACTATGGATGCCGCGGATGTAGCTGTGTATGATTAGGATCTAACTGCTTCTGGGAAATGAACTATTGTATCACCGACTAAAATGTCAAATTGATGTCTTTAGACTAAGCTGGCAAAAATCGTATTATAAACGTAAAGACGATATATCTAATTAGCCTAAACCTGCACTCGCCAAGTTAAGGGCAGTACCTAAACTCGTGAAAACTCATCTCTCTACGGCACTAAGGAGCCTGAAATGTGTTCTCTTTCACTTTATCGAATGCCTTAAGTTTCTGTCGAAGTTCAAGTCCTCGGCGCAGAAACTTGTACTTCTGCTATCGGCTTGCCATAGTCTGCCAGGCACTGGTAGTAGGCATATAAACGAGACACCGTTTTCGCGATTTAGGCACTCGTAGTTTTGTGGCGTAAAGCATTAGCCGAGTTATTGATGACTATACACTCAATGTGAAGATATCATATCAGAGATTTTATACAAACCAGGACGCCTCTCATTCCTGTCGGACATTTTTCGTCCGTTGGAAAAGCCGAGATGTCTTCAGCAGGGTTCATGGCCTGGCCGAGCCAAGCCGGGCTTTGAAGCAACCGGTCCTAAATCCGGCGAAATCGCATAATCAGAACTATCTCGCCTTGGCAAAATATCTTGCTATATAATTCCTATAAATTATTGGAATTATATAGCAACATTTCCCTTCTACTTTGGCTCAAGTCGTAACAGATCAGACACCACCATGTCCCCAATCTCACCCACCGATGTGGCACCAGCTGTCTCGACCCTGGTTGCGACAGCATCCGCGTTTCTACAAGTTTACACTACATTAGACACAGAAGCTCTTTCCAGAATCCTGAGTGACAACTATGTACTCGAATTCGCACCCACCTCAATGAATCTACCCGGTCCCCTTGACCGAGATGCACAGCTTGCTCGCATCAACTCCATCAAGGACGTCATGTCCAGCTTCCCCGTCAAGACTAAGCATATTTGGCCTAACCCATCCTTGCGACAAGTCCTCGTGTGGGCACATTCTGAAACGAGGTTCTTTGATCACTTGAAACTCAGCGACAAAGAAGCAGAGTGGGATCTGAAAGGAGAATACATGTTCCTGATGACTATGGATGAGAGCGGGGAGAAGATCGAGCATGTGCTCGAGTTCTTGGATAGTAAGGCCACGGGAAATATCGTACTCGCAGTTGGTAAGGCTATGGAGAAGAAGAAGTCGCTTGATGTCAATTGAATTGAGTTAGAGAACAGTTCAACTCATGGCAACAGGCTTCCAATTCGAGGATCAATAAAGAAGTCGAACGTGTGCAGACAGGTGGGTATCTTATTCCTGTTAAATGGATATCATTCTATTGCTACTCTATTTATCTAAAACAAAAAAAAGAAATGGAAATATAGCCATCATGTCGTAGCGCCTTGCTTATAGGTTACGCTGAGAACGGCCGTTCTGTTTTGAAGTGCAGCTTTCGCCGCTCAGCACGACCCATCGCATACAATCGAGACGCCCCATAGAACTGTGTAGTTATCCATAACGAGAACACCAAAGGAGTAATGATGCGCCATTCGATGCCCCAGCGATGCCAGGACATGTGTAGAAGATATATAGTGACGACGCTTTCGGTTATGGCGGCTACAATTGCCCAAATGCAGCATCCGTAGGCTAGTCGAGATAGCAAGGCCGAGTTGTCGCGTTTGACTCGCCAGATTATCATTGAAAGGAAGATGGGCAACTCGACTACGACATCGAAGGTTCCTGAAACATTATCTGTCAGTAAAGGTTCTAACAATTGGTCCAGTAAGTTAGGAGCTTAGACTAACCCCAAACCATGCACATGTAAAATTCCAAGGTCGCTTCGCGATGCTTGTCTGGGTCGGCAAAGAGACTCAAGGCCGTTTGAGTGATGATAAGGAGCCCAGTGTGGTGTGCAATGCTGATGGGGCTTGCAAACTTTGTTCGGAAACACATCTCGAAGATATAATATCCGCAGTAGATCTCGGAAAGAACAAGCAAAATATCTCCGATTGTAACAGCACTCCCTTTGCTGAGGAGTGTTGAGAACTTGGCACTGCCGATGAGGAAGCATATTATGGGATAAATTCCTGCGCAAAGAATGCCAATAAGGAGAATGGCGCCAACGTGGAAGTAGACGAAGGAACGTCGTCGTCTTTCATCTTTAGTGCTCTCGAGGGTGTGATAGACGTTCTTGTAGATTCGAGGTAGGATCCATCGTTCAAGACAGTTGGTAAGAAGAACTATGCAGATGATGCTGCACGCAAGTATTAAAGAGCCATATGGAAGTAAATGTGAAAGAGGGTTGTTCTCTAGGGTCTGGATCTTGGGTCGAAACTCTTTGTGATGTGTGGACTCAGCCATCCTGATATGCTAAAGTGAACGGAATGTAGAGACAGGCTGGAATGAAATTGCTCAAACAACACTTACGAGCCCATTATACATTATTTATGATTGTGGGTATTTACAGCTCTTGTGAGGCTTGGCCTAACTACGCGTTCATTATCCTTCGGCTATAACCGCTTTGGGGAGGTTACCAATAACGTATAGCAATACGAGAAAACCAACTACAGCGAGTGCGAAAGAAGCACTCATTTGGTCAGTCAAGTGCCAGGCAGCCAGGGACTAAAGGATTGGTTCCATCGTAGGCTGCTTCTGTACCTGAGTCCTGGTTCCGGACTAGCTCCCACTCTAATGCACGGCATTCGTTGCGCTTGCTGTTGTCAGTGGTCCATTCGTACAGGAACGGGGCCAGTGGTAACGAAGTAATATAGAGCGAAATGAGACGTGCCGTGCCGTGATGCGATGCGGTAGATTCAAGTGAGGCGAAGCATCGACTTTTCTCCACCCACGATGCCGTATTCCGCAGTCATTTCTCCAGGTTACGTAGATTACGTGGCTGCCAACGTTACAACGGTTCTTCGGCAACATGCGAGAATTTTAAACGGGCCTAGCCGTCTCTCGCGGTAACCTAACCTGATGGAGTACCGGGGCTAAGCACAGCCGCTACTGTTCAGTTTTATGACAATCTTCAGGGTCCAGACTTGAGAACAGATTCTGGTCATCCTCTGACATCGTGGCTCCAAATTTATCGGAGCATAAACACTCTGTATGGTTTCTCTGAAAGCCTTCCAGCCCTGGCCACATGCTGCTACGTGTGAGCCGGGAAAACGGCAATTGCTGACAACTCCAGGTCCTGGACACGGAACTATAAATAAATTCTACAGTTTGAACATTCTGGACGTTACATAGTATGTCTTATTTCCGAAAATATAGATCCAGCTTAACAATCACGACTTTCTTTGGTAATCACAAACTCGACATATCTCATAGAGTTAAACTCTGGAGATGGGGTTGTAGCTCTAACGCTATGGTATCTGGGTCTACCAGAAGCGAGTTTACTTGTTTCGCAATCTCCTATCTTTAGATAGAAACTCGGGGTCAAGAAAAACAGAATATACGGCATCGAAAGATCTCAATCAAATCTCAAGTAAACCGAATCTGCTATGAAACACTATCTACAACATACTCCAAGTAACCTGTGGACTCCGAGCTGCCCGCGGGATGCGAGTATGGACACTCCACCAACAGGCCTGAAGAAGCTATTGCGCGAAAGACAATTGTCGCGCAATCGCAAGGCTTGTTTACCTTGTAGAGAGAGAAAATTTCGCTGCAATCACCAACAGCCCTGCCAAACTTGTGTCAAGCGTGGCTATTCCAATATATATTCCTATAAACAAACTCCGAACCCACAAGGCCCGAAGCGTCAAGTCAGCCAGCCGGAAACTATCCCTAGAAGTCCTCACCATGATATTGGCAATCGAACAATGTCAGGAGTCCAAACCAGCCGATACACCAAAGTTTCGCTGCCAACACCCTCCCTACCTGGTGGCAACTCCATTAATTCAGTAGCACAACATGACAGCACCTGGGCCCAGTACTAGCATCCTACGGCCTGTAAACTAGGATTTTGCCTTACTATAAAATAGATAATCCCTCTAATAATAAAGAAGGTCCCTAGTATGAACTTTCTATTTCTACACTTCCTGCTAAGCAGGATATAATTTCATTCTTTCATTTTTATTACAATTAAGCCTATCCCTTTTAATATACTATTAACGATCTTAATAAGCTCAAGGAGCTTATATCTAAGCTCATTAGTAAGAAGTAAGAAGTAAAATAATTAGACAATTATACCCTCTGTTTACTTTATACTATTTTCGCCGCCGGTACGTAATTCTCCAATTTAATACCTGCAAGCCAAATACTCAAGTCTTAAAGAGAGAGTAAGTTACTATCTCTAATATTCTAATATAATTAACTTATACATTTCAGTAAAGGTTATATCAAATTATCTCGGCTTATCTATGCTGCTATAAGATCCATCTAAGCAAATACTATAAGTATTAATTGTTCTCGGCCATATATTACAGAATGGCATAAACCTTTACGTAGCTTAGGTCTTAGGCAGTACTACTATTCAACTGGCACTAGGTCTTAGTCTCGGCAATAATGATTATTCTAAGACAGCCAATCTCTCTAAATTAGAACAGTATAGGCTTAGGTAAGTTTTCATTTATTCTTACAAGCACAGTACTTACGTTCTATATTAACTGCAGGCTTGCCATTATCCGACAAGATGCCCTTCTCTCTCTGGCCCTTGATCAATCGCCCGCCTCTCAGGAAATGGGCCTGGGCCTGCAGTCGAATCTACCGTCATTGGTTCCTCCCAAAGATTTCGTGGGATATCTGGGGTATCAGCAAGCCATGAACTCACTATCCCATTTGGCGCTTCGACATGCAAAATTCGGGGCATGGTCCTCGGACGCAACCAACCTTCCTGCTGTGTTCCATGATCTAGATAAAATCACCGTTGTCGACCAGTTGCAAAATATAAAAGCCTGCACCTCAATCCAACAGCTTCAACAGTACTATAACTTCAAACTTCATCAGAACTTTGTCGTCTCTACTTTCTCCCGGTCGATCCTACGGGAAGACGCAGCTCAGATATTCCCTGGTAGCGACTATGTAGGGACGATGAGGCGCTTCATAATCGCTCTAAAACGAAGTGTACGTGCCTTTATCAAGCTACAATCGATGTCGAGCATGGCAATTCGCACTTGGGCGCTCGTCCACTATGGGCTTTCGTCGGCATTACTACTAGGTCTTATAAAGGAAGAATCTGCTGCCGATGATACACGCCGAATGCAGTCCGAACTTATCGAGATCTTGACTGAGCATAGCGAACAAGGGGGAAGATTCTCTATTGTGCACAATAAAGCTTTCAAGGCGGTAAAAAGGCTCCGAAAGCTTGCAGATCAACGCGCAGGCCTCAGCCCTCCTGACGTTGGACAGTCTCCAGAAACTGTGGGAAAACTGCCTGATGATCTCAGCGAAGAGAAATTCCAAAGGTTTGAAATTGAGTCACATTTCGTATTCGTGGATTTTGCTAGCCCATATTCGTAGCATTTTCTTTGACGACTGGCTTCGTCACTTTGACTACAATGACTTTTCTCCGCTGGAATCGTACGGCATTATAATGGCGGAGCAAATGCCTGTTCAGTTTTGTTTCTATCCGTGACAGGAAATCAGTCTTGTGTTTGGTAGAGGAAGAATGTTTGTTACGCTTAACTTTGTTGGAAATAAAATACGTCAAGGGTGTTGGTACTATTCTCCTTACTTGGTGACGCGGTCTTTGGTTCCCTCTAGCTTGAGCACAAGTTAGTATAGAGTCTGATGTCTGTCCCATACATAGTATATTGTACAATGTAAGTGGTAGCCCGAGCCTCCAAGGACACCAGATCCACATCTGCCGAACATTCCAAGGACGGCCGAGTATCGGCCATACGTGTCACGTCGGTTCCGATGTCGCAGAAGTCCCCGTTGATCTTATGATCCTTCGTCAGGAAAGGTCAATTCGGGCTGTATTTTAGATTTTTATATTCAATAAGCTGGAGCCTATTGCTCACTCCCTTGAATACATACGATGTCATCTACATATCCATTGTAATATGGGAGAAATGAGAAGGCATTTTTGGCCTTGGCTGGTGTAACAGGTGTGGCACCGACTCAACGTTGGAATCTATCTCCTTATCGGTCAAAAGCATGTAAATGCCTTGACGCGTGAGGGTAACAATCCCTACGCGCTCAGAAAGTCGCGTCAAATCGCGTCCAGATGTCGGAGTAAGGTTAATCCGATATCAGATGTAAATTCTAAATTAATGGACGAAAATTGGTAAACATAAATGGTATGTGTATTTACTAACTGTTGAGACTTGTCTGTATGTTTTGGAATCATTTGCGTGAATTTTGGTTGTTATATATCGTTTCCGGCTTGTTGAGTTGTTTTTTGTTTTTGCTTTCATGTTGGTTTCAAAACATGTTGAATTGTGAATGACCTATGAGAATTAGCAAAGAGAAGAAGGAATTTAGCAGATATGTTTTAATCATCTAGCTATCTCAGGATATATCTAAGCAAATGAACTTAACATTGTCGTAACGAATACCAAACGCTAAGATTGATGAAAGAATCTCGAATCATACTATGTAGGTAGGTATTGGTTTGTGTAGGGTATCCTGGTAGAAATCGGGAGACACAGTGCCAATATTTTCATGTATACATGCGCACTGTCAGCAGAACGCGGAGCGGATTAGTGTGTCCCCGAAGTCTGGGAATGACGGGATAATCCTCTTCACGATGTGTTATTCTTTGCCCAACTGATTCTGTTTCTAATAAATTTTAATACTAAGATGCTACCTGAGAAGCCACTTGTAACCTCAGCCCTCTTTAGTACTTGTGTCTCTTCTTTGCACTAACCTTGCGTCTCTACGCCAAGCAGGCAAGGTCACGTGATCTTAGCTCCAGAAATCATTCCATGCTCACGCTCTCCGCTCTGATTCAGGTTCAGCATCATCACCATCACTACCAACCCCTTCCTCTAGATCTTCGACACCACGACTTCGGATCACGAGAAGCGACCTGACTGTTCTTGCAGAGTTCTGGAGATCAGACAAGCCACTACTCACGATTCTCTCATCGTACGTCACTCCTTATTTCGACATTCGACTCCCGACCGTATCCACGCGTTCAAAGAATCCGGTACCTCGCGCTACAGCCGTTATAAAATTCCGAATTGTACCCATCGAACGAGTGCGCTGCCTCCCTCGTTGGAACAACCGGGGCTTGTAGAAGGGATCATCTTGGGCTTGCCGAGTTTCGGGAGACTGAGTTGGTTGCCTGTCAGCGAAACTGGTTTTCTTTGCTCGTGTCATCGGTTCTCGCCCTTTTCGCAATATCTACCCCATCACGACGTTTTCGCCTCGCTTCGCACGCGCTCAAAGACCCGGTATACCGCGCTGCACATCATTAATTGCCGACTCCTACCCCTCGAACGAGTGCTCAGCCTCCTTCGTTGGAAGGACCGGGATCTGCAGAAGGGACCTTCTTGGACTTGCCGAGTTTCGGGAGACTAAGTTGGTTGCCTGTTAGCGGAACTGGCTCTCTTTGTTCGTGTTGTATTGCTCGGCTTCAGAAGGTATGTTCCATGGTTATTGACTGATAAATCGCAGGAATGTCTGCTTCTACCTCATCATGTCTTGACATTGACGAGACTGCGCCCGCTGTCGTTGAGTGGGAGTACGACAAGGCGACGCACTGGCTAGCCAGGCCCGACCCCAAGATCGACAACATCACACTCAAACTCCGTATGAACGAGTCTCGCGCTCTTGTCGAACTGTCTTTCCCTATCAACCTCAAAAGCGTCAACAGTCTTTCAACCATCATTATTTCCATAACGCCCTCCTCGATCACGTCCTTTGACTCTACCTCTGTCACCATAGTTCCCGATGCAGTCCAAGAAAAGTTCCATAGTCCGGTTACTCGCTTGAGTTTCCAAGTGAATAAAAGTCTTCAGCTTCTCGCTCCTGTCGCTGTCAAAGAACCGCTGGCACCAACTCGATCACAGTCGGGCACAGTTCTCGACGCTCTCCGTATACTCTCTGATGTAACATCTTTCGGTGTCTACATTGAGGCGTCCAAGCTGTCCAAATCCCAGCTCCAATCCATCCGCGACGCCGTGAGTCAGTCTCGTCTGACGCCATCTCATGACCACCATGATCTTGCAAGCATGTATCGCGGCTCCGGAGCCAAGATCGTCAACCTATCACCACATGTCCAAGACGCACCGCCATCCTACGACGAGACCGAACCTCCACCGCCCGCCCCACCGATCAATGAGAAAAAACGCCGACGAGTCGACAGTCAAGACGGAGACAACGAGATCGCTCGGATTTGGGCTGAGCTCAAAGCAAGAAATGAGCAGGATCGGCTTGTTCAGCAGGAACTCTCAACACTGAGACAGGAGAACCGAAGCCTCAAAGAAGACCTTGACCAGCTCCGCCAACAAGTCACAACCTTTCGCAGCGACTTCAGCATCCTGCAACGAGATGTTGAACAACTCCAGGGCCAAGACACACAGAACTCTGTTGTCTTGGAGGGATACGACACCAGGCTAGTCGAGCTGCGCGACGATCTTGAGGATCTGGACGCAAAGGTCGATTCCATTCAAGAGCACAGAGATGAGAATGGTGTGGCCCAGTCGTTTCTCGATAAAGTCAGGAGTGATGTGTACGACGATATCGTCACGCGCCTAACGGGTTGAGTCTCGACTGATCACAAGAGTTGATCAAAGAAACGTGTCAGCGCAAAGGTGCCTCCCGAAACCGGGATCGCATCCCGCTCTAGATACCGACAACATTACCAGCATCATAAGCGTGCGAGACGGTCTCCACTGAGCCGCGTAGCTAAGGCCGATGTGGCTTTAAGCACCCGCGCTCTGCATCAAACTGTTGCAGACTCGGCAGACAGAGCAGCAGGGTGTCCAGTGCTGAGGCGAATCACGATGTTGGATCTGGTAGTGTCCTGTCGAAGGACTCTTCTACTAGACTCCATCTTACCTATATGGTCAATACCACCACCCGATCTTTCGAGGCTACCTAATAGACGCTCGCCCCGGATCGGCGGCAGTCTACTGGATATGCATGTAGCCCAGTTCGAAACATCTCAATCGTCGACTAGGTGACCTGTATCATTCGGGTTCCTGTCGCCTTGGTCCGCAGCAAGCCTTGCTACAACCTTGCATTATCTTTCACGTGACGCGGGTCATGAAGGATCGCCCGACGCTCTGCGCTCTTCAATCTGACCCTGTGTCGACACTCGCTTCTTTCGGCGCTACACTTTCAGCGAACACCATCATACCGACCGCGCGTGATTCGTGGATCACCCCATCCCCCATACCATCCAGCGCGACAGAATGGCAAATCTCTGTCAAATATTTGGTCGATGTGTATTTAGCTCATGCTTCGTATATACCCTCAACTACCTAATGTAGTCCTTCGGCTCACAAACAAACATACACATACCCATTAGCGTATGATCCTCCCAATGATACCCTCTTGCCTTCAGAGATTTGAACACGTTTGCTTCACTACCGCACGTGTTGGGATTGCCGTTGCTTCATGCGAACACAACTTGACAAAGCGAAGACACTGTTGGTTTGTTTTGTGCCCAAGAATTCCCTCGTCCTTGCTGCGTTCCCTCGCCGAAAGGTGAATAATAAATATAATAGTTCGCTGCTTGCCGGCTGCCAGGGACCAATATGTCAAGGGTGTTATTGCGATTGACAGCGCAATATTGATCTGTCAAACTCGACGATGTCTTCTGTTAAACAATGTTGCTTTGTGGAAAGCGACTTTCCTCGATATCTACCAAGCCAGCTTCCGATCAAGCGTTGGGGGCCAGTGTATGGACTTCAATCGGAGGGAAGTCGGCCATGATATTGCTAGATCCGACTCGATTCTCTGTTGCAAAGAATATAGTTATCGACAGCCCAGCCTCGATTCTCTGATCCACATAGCGCATCTTGCCATCTGTGCAACACTTTTTACATAGTATAGTAGGCGTGCAAGAGTTCTAATAATTTCCTATAAATCTTTTACAATATTATGAAGTCTTGCTCTAATATTTATCTATACGCTGATTATTAAAGTTCCTACACTGATCATGTGAATGCTACTGATCCTCCACGTCTCATGGATTGGATAAGACTTATATTAAAGCGTCCTATTCAGGGGAACTCTGGCAGATGGTTCAAACTGAAGACAAGTATGTTCTTTCCCATTACCCTTGAGCCGTTGGGCATGTAGGATGATCCTGCAAACAGTATTCCCAAATTGCAAGGAGGACTGGATAGTCCGTCGATATATAATCGGACTAAAGGTTCCATCGGAAGTCTTTCTAAAGCGGTAGAAACTACTCGAATTCTTCTTGTAAAACGGCTGGGAGGTCTTCATGGACTTGCACATTGCACGGAGTGCATGTTAGCTCAGGCGAACAGTAGCGGTATACAATCATAGCTTACAGAGAGTCCTGATCTCGTTTAAACCAGAGTATGGGGAGGGCCTTTGATCCTCTTGGACGCCATGATCGAAGCCAAAATGATCTGTGAAGAAGAAGCATTCACGGTGGGTTCCTACAGCAGGGACGTTCTAGAATGGACACCACTTGTCTTGCAACGGATCAAAGTCGCGTTTCCGAAGCTGTTGGTAAATGATGTTTCTATAAACGTCATCATTTCCCACCAGACTTTATTTGCCAGGTACCTAAATAAAATTCTAGCAAAACGTCTGGAATTTGGATACCTAGCTTATGGACCAACTGCTAACTAAGTACAGGGAACCATCACATCTCTTCCATTCTCACTATCACATCATCAGTGGCCACCTAAAGACAAAGTTGTTCATAGTGTAATCACTGAATGTTTCTAGTGCTTATACTGTAGGAGGTATGTGCTTTCAAGCTTTCACGCTGCTAGATCCTCATTTCGATGTCTTCCAGCAGGCATCACGCAAGACTTGTAAAACTATTGCTTAAAACTCTTTTATTAGAGTATCTATGGAAAAGTCTTCACTTCTCCTATTCCAGGGACACATGTGATTTTGGAATATGATGTAGTCCAGAAGCCAACCTTACTGCCGCTCTCCATTTTTAACCACCCATACCGTCGGCATTTAGAGTTCCTCAATTTAGTTCTCATTCTTCTCTGTCGGGCATATCGACATCGCTGTCCTCAAAAGCCTTAGCTCTCTGACGTTTCAAAAGGGCCAGACCAGCCTTGCTTGCGTTGAGCTCGATCTCCAGCTCTCGCAGAGAAAGCTCGCGAGCCGTGACTTCTTCCTCAAGACTCTCCACTTCGGTATGTGTAGCATACAGAGATTTGTGCAGCTCGTCCAGTTGGGAGATGCGTTCGGTGTCCTCCGCGAACGCATTGGCACGCCTGGCGTCAGCAACTGCCACAATCCCCTCCATCACAGCTCGCCAAGATTCATTCGCCAATGGAGGGTGAGCGTTAATCCACTGGCGAACTTGGAGGTCAGACTCCTCAAGTGAGTCAAGATCCATAGTGGCATTCTCCATGTCTTCTACCTGTTGCCTTTTCAACTCTAGCTCACCTCGTCGAAGCTCGAGGTCTGTCTTTGCATGTGTCAATTCCTCATCTTTTGCTGCCTTCGTTGCCTCCATTCGTCTAACTTCTCCTTTGAAATCTTGATACTTGGTGAGATGATTGTTCAAATCCCGCATGGCTTCCTGGAAGGTGATACTGGTGTCAAGGTCAAGACCAGGCGAAGACCGTGCAGTTGTGCTTGGGGGTGATGGAGAAGGCGACGGAGAAACAAATTGGGGCCTGGGAATTGGCCAAGGCCGGGAGGTTGACGGATGAGGGGGCCCTTCGGGCTCGGGAGAGTCCAGAGTCATCGCTGGACCGGGTTCTTCATCAGGAGAAAGTTCGTGCTCGACCCGTCCAGATGTTGAAGAATCGAGTGCGTTAGGAGCAGGTGCCTGAATTGGTGAGCTCTCAGTTTGCGTAGAGTCCCTTTTCGACCGATGCGCGTCAACCATTTCAGAAAAGTAGGACCGCTCTAGGCCAAGGTCGACTTCCAGTGGCATTTCCTTTTCTTCGAGTAGAGTCCTGAGAAAAACGAGTGCATAAAGACCACAGCTTTGACTGTCCTTTTGCTGGGGGCATTTCTATAGTATGTTAAATCATCGAATCAACAAGCCAATGTTCATCTTAACTTACCTTCTCGGTGATCTTCATGTCAAACCCAATCTTGTTTGCGTTTAGCCAAGTCTGAAGACTATCGAGAGGCATCGAAATGCTCTGGGATGAGTTGTAGTGGCATATCTCGTCGCCTTGAGTGTCAACATAGCAAAGCGACCAATGACCTTCCGCGTGGCAGAAGAAGACCAGATGTCGTGGACTCGTCATGATACGGTCCCTGTTACCAATGTGGTTTTCGTTGGAGAAGGGGAAGCCCGGATCAAAAACCTTCCAACCTGGAGGAAGAGTGAGGCTTTGAACACAATCCCAGATATGGTTGCTCCAGAGCATTCCTCCCTGACGGAGGACGTCGACCGTCGAAGTTCCAAGACCGCGGGGTTGAGAAGGAGTGCCGCAGATAGGTGAGCTACTGTGCTCATGACTGGTTCCCTTGGGCGAATTGGCAGGTGGTGATTTGTTTGTTGCGGGATCGCGAGGTGGCAAGATGCCCCCAATACTTCCGTTAGCCCACAAAGTGATGTCAAACCCGAAAGAGGATTCTGATGCGTCGTCGATATCATGCTCGGGCGTATTGGAGGGTGCATCAAGAGCAGGAATGTTGGAGGAGTCCACCTGAGATTGAGATCTGGTTGTGGCACGTTTTTTCTCGAGAGGGGGTAGAAAGTCCCTGCCCTCTTCTTTTTGCGCCATGTCGCGTTCAATCACCCCCAAGAGTTCTCTCGCTCTTGAGATCGATATTTGGCCGAAAATCTTCTTACCAGTCAGGTTGATAGATTGTTCCATGAGACCGTTTTCTGCCCAAAGGTCATCGACATTGCGGCCTAGCATAACCCATCTTCGCACGACATTGTACATGCCGGATAGTATGTGATGGCAATCAGGGTTCTTGGGCTTATGCTTGCTAGGATACCAATCTCCATTGGGCCAGAACTCTCTGAGCTTGCGTTTGTGACGAACTATTTGGACGGCTCTCGACCGGGCACTTCTAGATTTAAGGGTCTTCATCTTCGGATCTCGTGAGGGACCGCCGCTGGGGTGGTCGACGTTGTTTGATTCAGTGGGAAGGACTGTGGATGACATTGTTTGATCGGTGCTGGAAGGTGTTTGGAAGGCTGAGGTTCGTGTGGAACGTCGCGGCCCGGGCGGTGATGCCATGGTTAGATACAAAGAACTAGATCTATTGTCAACTTGATTGCAATAGGATGAAAACGAGATGAAAAGAAAAAAGAAAACATAAGGACTTACGAGAAGAGAGATTGCATGTTGTGTGAGATCTCTCTTTCTGATGTTAACGTTTGGGCTAGGGTGGTGGGTTGTTGTTGAAGGCGGGCTGCTGCACCTGGGGAATTTCACTTGTGGCCACTAACAGCCGATGTGTTTTCCAGCGGTGACGGTGTCGTTTCACAGGCTGTGGCTGCCTGAAAACAATTCGGCTAGCGACAGAGTGATTCACAGGTGATGGGTGGACAGTAACGGGAGCGGTCAGTGCCTACGCTGTTGCTAAGTTTGGAGGAGCGAACGAGCGTGCACTGCAATATTTCACCATCTACCATGTTAAGTTTTGGCAGCCGGAATCTAAATGCGAAGGACTCTCACAATGGAGATAGCTTCTCTGTGATATTGCAGCTGGTTGCTGTGAGTAGCAGAAGAACCAAGACCAAAGGATTTTCGTTGAAAACATTTCTCTTTACCTAGGTAGAGTAAACAGGCCCTGTGAAACTAGAATTACTTTTGTCCAACCACTACTGCATCCTCTATCTGGCAGCGTTACTCCCGCTTCTACCCCCTACCTTCCTCCAATCAAAGCTACCATTTAAATGTTCTCACTTCACAAGCTTCCACTTAGGATACAAGTCAGCCTTTACATGTCCCCCAGATCTCTTGTGGACAGACAGATTCACAACATCATACCTAGCGACTCGCCGGTGATTTCTTGAGTATCATCGTCTCAGTTTACAATTCGTCTTGACAAAGCTACTCACATCGTTTTGGACACAGTACCATGATCTCAAAAGTTGCTATAGCTAATCGTTTCCAGAATGTTACACCAAGCATGGCATACTTGAGCGATGATGAAGCAGAAGTTGGAACAGATATTCCACACTCCCCTGGAAAGCTAGGAAGAGATGCTAGCAAATATTCAGAGATGCTCCACCTAAGGACCGATACCGCTGGCTCTGCTCATTATATCCTTAATAAGCTGCAAAGGCCCATGTGTGGGAGGCGACATTGCATAAGGCAAATCAGGATTCTCTAAACCAACGCAACTCTTAAATCAACGACGTAATCCGAATACACATGTTTGCCATCAAAAGGTTATGGAAGACGGTGAGTGTGCCTGATAATGTTCACAACAAGCACCTGCCAAGTGTTTAGAGGAAAGTAAGTAAAGGGAATTACTATGTCCTTCGTAATGTCAAAGCTCAATTCGCGTACACTACAAATGATTCATAAGCTTCCTAACATACCTAGCCTGGCGTCTGGTGTGATAATCTTTTTGTACGGTACTGTGACGTATTCACAGTCACCAAGTCCTTCTCGCTTCCATTATCGTCACTAGTGATTGTCGCTCTCATCTCGAAAGACTGTTGCACTGTGATCTTTGTATCAACACCTCGATGCGAACGACTTCGGTCATGAGGATAGCTCGAGATGTTATTGTAGGAATGCGAACCCCCGTGTGCGTATTGGTTGTTTGTGGGATGGGTTTTGGACGAGTGAAGAGAAGCGATGAAGCTGGGGAAGACTCTTGAGAATAAAGGCTTGAGTGAGGGGACGCAGGCGCATATTATGGCGATATTACACTCGAGACCGGACCATATAGCGATGTCGATGCCTTTGACTATGATGATCTTAGAGATTTTATCACTCACCACCGGATGTGGTACTTACCTGGCCGTTCTGAAATGGGCACCGAGCTGTACGCCCAGAGCGAGTACAGTCTAATGATTGCGACGATACAAGCACTGCCGTCCGTCAACATCAATCCTGCCAGAATAAAGAAGATGATAACCTACACTCCACCAGCTGCAAAGACTCCCATCAAGATGAACTTGATCCTCCTTGCAATCTGCAAGTTTCTCAAGAATGGCATAGGAGCCACCAAAAGGGTAATGTCGTTGATAATGTTGATCCCCGCAAAAGCATATCGCATCGCTCGGTTGTCAAGGCACTTTCCAGGTATCGAGTCGTCCCAGTACTTTGCCACGGGGTAACAAGTGAAGATGGTCAACATCAGACACAACGTTCCATAGACTGAAAAGAACACGATCAGGCCGATGAAGAGATTGCGCGCGGTAGGCGTTATGAAAATGCGCAGACATTGAAACGAGATCGATAGCTTGACGGCGAGATGGCATATCGTATAGGATATGACGCTGGCTGTTGTCGCTTGGATGAATGGCGAGAGTCGTTTCGGATCGGGGGGTAGTCCAAGGCCATATCGAACCTCTAAAACAAGTCAACAATTGGGCAGGTATTGTGTTGGATTCCAGTACATACGCTCCATTACAGCAACCAGAAATCCCAAAGTACCAAGCTGAGTGTGTTAGCAGGAGAAAACAAAGGGCATGGGGCAAACACACATTTGACAGAACAATAAAGCCATCGTCAATACCAACACTCCTCACAAACCAAACTCGGGTGATGACTCTTAGGAGCACAAAAACAGTAGCAAGGCATGTAAAGAGAAAGCCAACCACAACCAACTTATGGCATTGCTCAGGCACGAGAATATCAGCAACGTACATGGTCGATAAAAGACATCTGAACTATCACAATCGATCCACAACAATTCCTCTGGCGAAAGCTTGACTTTGTACCTTACATGCAAACCCCTTCCTTCTTTTTTCTCTCCGAACATCCAACACATTTTACGCCGCATGACAACCTACCACCTTCCTATTTATTATGGCTGTCAGGTTGCATATGATGTGGCGGACAAGGAGCAATCCCGGTTGGTGTTCGGTCATATTCAATGTAAGGGATGCGTGCCGTAGGATGAACGCTTTCCACAGGGTGAAACCACACCATTTCAAAACTTCAAGTAGGGATGAAGTGGAAGACGGCTCGTCAGACCATCCAAGGTCATCCCTACCTTTATCTGGTGTTATAGTGAGGTTGGGGCTTGCTTGGTGTCTCAAGTTTCGCCGAAGGGCCATCAATTGAGCAGAATGCACATGCGGGGTATGGATGGGAATCCTTCAAATTTAAAATCTTGATCCTACAGGAATTTGGTGCCGTGCAGACGGAACCGAGGGTTCCGGGGTTGCAGCAATTATGATCTTACAACAACAGAAGAGCTGATGAGATTTGCTGGACGGATAAATATTGATGCAATTGGACGAGATGTAACAGAATGGATCATGTTTGGATATTTGTCTTCAAACTCATTATGGATACTGATGATCTTCTCACAACGCGACGCAAAAAGACCAACTGGCCCGTGCTACTGAGGTTTCTACACTCAGAAGACGGTCGAATTGCCGAAACAAAGGTGCATCGCCTGTACCCGAACGTTAAACAAGTATGGGCAACGCATGGGTAGGGTTTGATGGAACATGGAGGTAGCCGAGTACCCGGCGCGCGAATAAAAGGACCTTTCATTCTTATCTCCAGACTCTCCGTTGGGTCATCAACGGCTGGCTTTTACTGGGATCGATGATAACCCTGGACACCGATGACAAGGATAGGAACAAGGGCCATTGAAGCCGGGAATAAGTCTCAACAGTTGACAGTTGAATAGCCACCTCCGTAATGTCTGAAACCATGATCAAATGTCCTGTGGATTTGCATCACACATCTTGACGCGCTATTGTAGACTATAAGGCTGTACGGAGTACTGTAATCTGCCTTGACAGCTGCGACGCTACCCCATTGATCGCCAACGCCATTGAACCGCTTAGATAAGGAAAATCGTTTAGATAGGCATCAAAGCCCCTCTCTTAGTCCAAAAACCCTTAAGTCTGTAGTGACGATCAAGCACAGCCCAACAACCGCCCTGTTAATCTGTCGATGAACATCATAATCGCATTAATCCGGCATTTTAGTGCTTAGGCACTTCCCATATCTGAGTTGGCAGACCATGGAGGCATCGAAAAACCCCTGCTTGGCATGCAGATTGCAAATCTCCCAGGTTACCTCGTAAGATTCCACCTTGGTACTGAGCCACTGACGGACATGCATAAATGCAATCATCCCACGGGCGGCGACAGATGGTGGTCTTATAATCCTTCTCACCACGCTCCTCAAGCTCCTTGCGCTCATTAAGCTCCTTCGTTCTACTTAATTTAATCCTGAAAACTCAATATGAGGCTTTTATCGCTACTTAGCTTCTCTTTCTTGGTGAATGCTTGCAAAAGTACCCCATCTCCCTCAAAGTCAGCCAAGATTGATGTCCATGCGCACTTTGTTCCTGATTTCTATGCTGATGCGTTGAGAGAGGCGGGCCACACACCAGGACCTGATGGTATGCCAGGTATTCCTGTAAGTACACAGACATTGATTGCAATAGTCTTGAAACTAACTAGAATATCTAGAGCTGGGACGCCAAGTCTCATCTTCAATTCATGAAGGAAAACAACATCGAGAAATCGATTTTGTCAATTTCAAGCCCTGGAGTCTACCTCAATGTTCCGTCCAAGGATGCTACCAAGAAAGCCATCAAGTTAGCCCGCAAGGTTAACAAATATGGATCTGAAGTCAAGGCCAAATACCCCAAACAGTTCGGCTTTTTCGCCTCTCTTCCTCTCCCGGACGTCAAGGCCTCTCTGAAAGAGATCGACTTTCTTTTCACCAAGCTCAACCCGAAGCCCGATGGAATTGTCATGATGTCCAACTACTACGGTCTGTACCTCGGCGACCGTGACCTCGAGCCCGTTTACGAGGCCCTCAATGAGCTCAATGTGACGATCTTCGAACACCCCACAACTCCATGCACCCAGTTCAACGAGTTGAGATTCTACATCGACAAGACGGCACCTGCTATTTCGCAGCAGCAGTGGCAAGCTCTTAACCGACCTGTCGCTGTCAGGCAATTTGCCGCGCCTACACTTGACTTCCCTTTCGACACAGCCCGAGCGTTCGCCGACTTGTTCTACACTCGAATGCCCACCAAGTTCCCCAACCTCAAGTGGATCATGTCGCATGCTGGCGGCGGCCTCATTCCCACCCTCGACCGAATTGTCACATACAGCTCTCTCTACCCCGGCCTGAATTTGACCGAGGCATCTATGAAGGAGACGCTCGCCAAGAATTTCTACTTCGACCTGGCCGGTCCTTGGCCTGTCAACTTCGCCATCCCGGCTCTTCTCCGATGGGTTGATTACACCAAAATTGTTTGGGGGTCCGATACCGTCTTTACACCCATGGCTTCAGCTGCGAAGCTCGCAACGGCTTTCGACAAGGATGTCAGTGAGGTGCTCAAGGATCCTAGCCAGGCCAATGCTGTCAGGGCTACTAATGCGCGAAACCTTTTTGGCTAAGTACGTGGTGATGCGAACGGCTTTGAGGCGATCTTTGTATTTTACTTGTACATATAGGAATAGCCGAGTGTGGCCGGTTTAGACTTAATACAGAAATGTCGCATCAAAGTCTCCATCCATATTGAACAGCCTCATACCGCCACTGATTATACGGTTGTGGTTGAGTTTAGGCAGTTTACTCATCTAATTATCCAATGCAATAAACCTTATAACCGTTCTACCTTTTGGACTACTTAGTCAAGAAATGTCGCCCCCATTGGTGGAAATGTATTTATCTCGGCATCGCTGCCAAGAGAAGGATGTTACCCGGCGGAATTGCGATTTCTTCCCGGTTAAATGCGATCGAATTGGATTGTGTGGGGTGATCGACCGACGTTCAGGTTTCCCCGCCTCCATATTATCCACAGCATCTTGACATATCATGATGGACTCTGCTGATTTGGATTCTATGTATGTATTATTTCTGTTACTATCACCCAGTTGATATTATCTGTGCCATAAAACTGTCATCATGAAGTCAGTTGCCACCCCTTAGGGGGGTTCATACATATACTTGAACATGAACTTACCGTCCATAGGCTCAATCCAGGACAGCTAACGGCATTTTTGGCCGCCAATTCTACCGGCGTTGGCGTTCTAGTATGCCCAGGTGGTGGATACAGTATGGTAGCCAAGGACCACGAAGGAATCCAGCCTGCAGAATACCTCAACGCGCTCGGCATCGATGCGTGGGTTCTCGACTACACAACAGCTACTAACAAAACACCACCACTGTATCCCACACCTATGAAGGAAGCTCTTGCTGCAGTAGACCTCATCCGAAAGGAAAGTCCTGATACGAAGAAGCTCGGCATCTGGGGCTTCTCAGCCGGCGGACATCTCGCCGCCACAACACTTACCACACCTTCGGCCAAGCTCGATTTCGGTATTTTGGGGTATCCAGTTATTACCCTCGAGGACGATTACACCCACGAGAACTCGCGGTACAACCTTCTCGGAGACAAGCCAAGCGCCAAGAAGATCAAAGAGCTCTCTGCCCAGAACCGAGTGACTGATAAGACACCGCCGACGTTCCTTTTCCATACTTCCAACGACGGTCTCGTCCCCGTTCAAAACACTTATCTCTTTACTGAGGCTATGGCAGCACACGGCAGATTAGCTCAGGTTTTGGTACTGCCTGATGGGAACCATGGTATAGGCTTGGCTCTGAATGATCCTATGCGGAACTGGACTCCTGAGTTGGCTCGGTTCCTAAAGTATTCGATCTAGATACATCTGAAAGAGACGGATGTAGCCATGATGTCTGTATCTATCTCATATCACAAGCTCTTGTATATATATACAGTATATACTATGGAAAGAACATTTTGAACAAAGCATGACAGCTTGCTATTTATTCACTTCTGAAAAAGCTATTTCCAGACTTGGTTATTGTTCATTCTGATCTTTAAGTTGTGGTAAACGTCGAAGCTCATCTACACCAGCAGAATGTCTTGCTTCTGTAACCACCCCTCATCCACACCGGTATCTGCCTCTCCGTCCATAAAACCATGCACATACGCAGAACAAACGACCTTGAAAGTATCCTCCAAACCTTCGTGTTCAACCTTGCGCAAAACCATAGGGAGTCTGCCACCATCGAGAACTGCGACAACATCACCCTGCCGAACATGCGGACGTGCCAACAAGTACAACCCATTATCTGTTGTGGCAAAAATAAGGTCATGTATCTCATGCATCATCCGTGCATTCACAATGAATGTTTCAGAGTCAACATTGCTAAAGTCAAAGTCATGGCCTGGATCGTAGCTATAGGCAGATCGCGAGTAGAGACCGTTGAGATAAATCTGGCATGTTTTGACCTGTTCGCCCCCATCGGCCAAAATCTCCTGGTTCTGGATATCAAGAGACTCTATCTCTGCCGGGCGCAACCGTCGCATTCTTGGGGGCAAAGTGCAGTCTTTGACAAGTGTTCGCCAGAAGGCACGAATAGACGTCTCGCCTGTCGATATACTCTTATTCCCAAACTTTGTCCTGTAAAGATGGTCTTGTGGATGCGAAAGAGCCTTGTCGTCCAGATATAGTCTCATAGTCTCCTGTGGTTTTGTCTCATCGGGTGATGTCTTTTTATGAATTGGCCCCACGGTGCCCAGGATGGTGCCTTTCAAAGCCAGGATATCCTCTCCAGACCCCAGAAGGCAACAAGGCCTTTCGCATCGTTTGGTGCTGGCGTTAAAGATATTTCGCTGGGCGAAGATAAGTGGTACACAGTCCTGACGTTTGGCGTCGAACTCGGCAACCCAAGAAGGCATGGTAGGTGTTCCAGGGTTTTGCTGAAGCGCACTGGGTTCTTCCTTACGATCAAATGGGTTTTGGCAGAGAATGTCAAGATTCCCAGACACGTTGATCAGTGAGACTGTAGTTTGCTTGTATAGATCGCTTATCGACTTTGAGTAGTCGACTTGGATGCCATGGTCTTCCGTGACAAGTCCAAGTAGTCCATATATTTTGTCCTTTGGGTTAGTGGACTCAGTTGCGCGAAATCGCACCAACACGTCCATCAACTTTGACTCTTGGCTTAACAGTCGACGTTGGTCCTCAATGAGTTTGATGGGGACGAAAACGTCGCTGAATTCCTCGTAGTAGGACAGCATATGGGACCTCGTTTGCATGTGAAACGCGTCGAAGTATGGCTCATCTATAAGCAGAGCTGTCAGTGGGTCCCATTGTAGCTCTGCTCCTTTGCACATCAAAGTCACACGAGGGGCCAGAGACAGCTCTTGCATGACCCAGAGTCGCTCCCAGAGTGTCGGCTCTTCGAATAGGGATTTTAGAGACAGTTGTGCTTGGGTATCGAGAGAGAATTGGCCATCTCTGTAGTAATCCTGGATGGTCTTGAGAGTTTGTGGATTCTTCTGGGTGATATTGTACATCAAATCCATTCCACTCTTTATCATATCTTCTCTTTGATGGAGCTCTGGGCTGCCATATATCTCGCTCGACTTGTAGTCTTTGCCAATCATCGGGTCTAACCAGGCTATGTCCCTTGCACAGTTCGAGTAAATTTCACGCATCGCGGCAACCTGAGTGTTCCGCTCTTTAATGTCTAGCTGGTTAATGCAGATGGCATCAGCCCAGAGAAGTCGAGTTTGAGCTTCCAATCGGAGTGAGGCCAGGATATATCGTAGACTTGGTGTTATGAAGAAAGGATGATCGTTGAGAGTGATGCATTCCGTGAAGTCGGGCTCTCCCCATACGTAAGAGAGCGCTTCATAAGCCGGTATGCCCGATGGACTCGAGGGGTTGATTGCTAGGTGAGAGAGAGTGCAACGGATTCCCTCATCGCCGTCTGAAGACGGAAGCAGAGTCAACAGGCGAATCTCTTGGCGTTGAGTGTCCAAAGGTTTGTAGATCTTCTCTGAAGCTTCGATATTGGGCAAGCAACGGCCTGGCTCACCGTCGACTGGGACCGACATGCTGAATTCTCCAAAGCTGGATGAAGGTTGATAAGAATAGCAACAGGATTCGCCTGTTTGTGGGTGCCAGAAACTGACAAGGAACAGACCGTGAATGCAATTGGAAGTAAGAAGAGGGGGCGAAGTTTGACACTATTTCCTACAATATGAGTGTCAGATTCACCGCCATGAGTAAGCCATGACCAGGATCAGGAAGTGCCAGCCAAGATACTACGTAAGAAACAGATTGATTCAAATGAGGTTTCAGAGTAACCGTGTCCTGTAGGACGAAAAACATGTCTTCATCATTAAAAAACGTACTTGTATTGTGTATCACTTGGCTGATTGTGGTTGTGTGGACATTCATATGCTACACGATGGTACCTGAAAATGCGCGAAATAATGCAATGCAAAAAGAAGAGATGCGGTTTATGTGGATCGAACACATGACCTTCAGATATCACGCTGTGTTGTGAGGATTGAAGTTTGACTTCAGTCTGACGCTCTCCCAACTGAGCTAAACCCGCTGACTAATGAAGTGACGATGAAGATCCAAATCATGCACTATATTTACTGTAATACATCGAGGACAACAGTTATAGGACAACTCGATCAAGTATAAAGTACTCTATACGGCTCGCTGAACTACATGCAACTACTTAAGCATTTGAAGACCAACTCGTCATACTAATCCATGCCCAGGTCTTCTAGGATTGACTATCACTACCTCTGGGTATACCCACCATCAACCACCAAAGCCGACCCAGTGACAAATGAGCTTCTTCCACCAGCGAGATACAGTACACCGTCAGCAATCTCTTCGGGCTGTCCCATTCGCTGCATTGGAACAGCTGTCCCGATGCGCTCCTGCATTGCCTTCAAAACCTCCGGGTTCTTGGTCGTCATTGGCGTCTCTGTATATCCCGGGCATATGGCGTTTATGCGAAGGCCGTCCTTTGCGTAGTCCTCTGAGGCCGAGCGGGTGAGACCGATGATGGCGTGTTTAGCAGCGGTGTAGGATGTGGACAGCGTGATACCCACGACACCCTGGATGGAGGAGAAGTTGATGATGGATCCGCGCTGCAATTCTCGGCCGTTAATGGACGAGCGAATTGGTTCTTGCTTCAACATGACTTTTGCAGCAGCCCTGAGAACAAAGAATGTCCCATTCAGGTTGATGTTGACAACACGATTCCAATCAGCGGTTTGAGCAAATGCTACTCCGCCTTGATGCTTCATCGCGATACCAGCTGCGTTGACAACATAGTCGATTCGGCCAAATTTCTGTGCAGCTTCCCCGACAACCTGATTGATTCGTTCCTCGTCGGTAACGTCCGATGGATAGAGCTCAATTTGGAAGGCTTTGTTTGGTGATAGTTGCTCTTTTTCTATCTCAGACTTGACAGCTTGTAAGGCTTCAAGGTTGAGGTCTATGAGTGCGATTCCAGCGGCACCTTCGCGTGCGAATGCTCTGGCACAGGCGCGACCAATTCCAGAGGCACCGCCTGTAATTAGAGCAAAGCCTGGGACGTCCATATTGGCGTATAAGATCAATAATGTTGAGAGGTGATGAAGAAGAAGTGATAGTTTGAGGAATTTGCTAAGGGCTATTTGATGATGTTTATCAACAACAATCTTATATCGTTTAAGAACTAATGTCTTCCAGAAACACCACGAGTCGTATGCCGAGCCAGAGGCCGATACCCGAAGATAACCTGGAGAGACTTGCCTTTGCTGACTGGGACCGTTGGAATCCCCACCTTGATCAGCCACCAGATATAACTTGCCTATTTAGAAAGCGGGGGATGCATGATAACACACATGTCACACGGACCGAGAGATAATATGGATAATGACGTGTACGGTGTGGCAGGACGTTACCTACGATGAGATTGCAGAGCAAACTGCAGAGCAAGCAGCAAGTTGAGCTTGGGGTTCATGTAATTCTGACTTGAAGTTATCTTAAGTTCACCACTTATATGTCAAAGGGTTAAGGTTAACACCCTTCCAGGACCAATATGAGCTTATAAGTCAAGGCTTTAGTTATAGAAATATGAAGTTTAATGTTTATGAACGGTTCATTTCTGTGATATCAGTTTATTGTCGGCCTGAATAAATCGCTTGAATTGTGAGACAACAATGAGATGAATAAACTAAATACGTTATTTATAGCGATGGACTCTAACAAAATGTCGTTCACATTACTATGATATCAATGGGAGCATTATCCCTATCAAACCTCTCCCTGAAATATGAGAAGAGTAAAGCCGCATCCCTACGAGAACACCAATCCCTTGTAGCCCATCTTCTTCACTTCCTCGCATCGTCTTCGATACTCAGTGATATTTCCGCTATACCGCGCTACACTCCGCACAGTTTTCCCCTTGACGTTCTTGTTAACGCCAGTCATCCAACTGTCAATCTCGTTCATCAGTGTCTGACTCTCACTACATTGTACCACATGCTTGGTCCACTCCTCAACAGCCTCTTCTGTCGGTTCAGCAGAAGTGAAGCCATTATCCCTGCAGTACTGTAGCAGATCGGAGACTGCCTGCACGGCGTATTCAATGTTGCGAGTGGCGTTACCAAAAGGCTGATGAGGGCCAAGAACCATAAACATGTTTGGCATTGAGGGCACAGTGAGTCCCAGGAATGTCCTGGGTCTATGGTCCACCCAGATTGCTTGATCACTATCGGGCATATCGCTGGTAGTGGTTAACGGACGGCCGTTCATACCATGCCACTCGATCGCACTGAAGGCACCAGTGATTGCGTTGAAACCAGTGGCGCAGATCAGAACGTCAAGTGCATGTTCTTCGCCGTCAGTAGTCAATATACCCCGTGGCGTGACGCGATCAATTGGTGTCTTTTGCAAATCAACAAGATGAACATTTGGCTTGTTGTAGGCTTCAAAGTAGCCACTTTCCAATGGAACCCTGCGAGTTCCAAATCCATGGTTCTTGGGAATCAAGCTCTCCGCCACCGCAGGATCGTTCACTCGTTGTCGGATCTTCCCAGCCATGAAGTCGGAGTACAAGCTGTTGGCGTAGCGATCCGTGTATGTGTCGGAGAAAACACCCAGCCACTTCCCAAATCCAGGTGCATTGTAGAGCTTTTCCCAAAGTTCAAGGCGTTCTTCAGCAGACACTTTGAGCGATTTTCGAGGATCGCCTTTGTGCATGAAGCCCGAGGAACTTTCGGCACAAGTTTGGAAAAGTTTATCGTAGTTTTTCTTGTGCTTCGCCATGTCTTCAACCGAGATCTCAGAGTTGCGGAGAGGGGCGGACCAATTGGCGGTGCGTTGGAAGACGCTGATTGACTCGATGTTTGGCTCTTTGGATAACGAGGTGATGGTTTGGATGCCAGTAGCCCCAGTACCGATCACACCAATCTTTTTGCCGGCAAAGTCGCGAGCTAGGTCGAGATCTTTTGGCCACCGAGAAGTGTGAAACAGATTCCCACCAAAATCTTGAATGCCCTCAATGGCAGGTAGGGTTGGCGCCGACAAGAAACCCATACAACTGACGAAGAAGGTAGTGACATACTCATTGCCAGCCTCATCCACGAAAGTCCAAGTATGGTTGGTGTCGTTCCAAGATGCCTTCTTAACGATGGTATTGAACTGAATACTGTTGTAGAGATTGTGCTTCTTGGCAAAGTAGGCGATGTATTTGTGAGTCTCTGGCTGTGGTGAAAAGGCCTCTTTCCAGTGCCATTCATCAAGAAGCTCCTTGTCGAAAGAGAAGCAGTAAGACAAGGACTCGGAGTCAAAGCGACAGCCTGGGTACGAGTTCCAATACCAGGTACCCCCGACGTCAGGGGCGGCATCGAGGACTTTAATGCGCCAGTCAGGGAAGCGTTTCTGGAGTTGGTATAACGAGCATAGACCCGACAGGCCTGCGCCCAAAATGAGGACGTCGAAAGTGTTGGTGGTCTGTGGCACGGAGCCCATTGTTGTTGAATGGACGTGATATAGGAGGAGATTCTTTGACGATTTGTCTGTCCAACTGTGCTTGCTCGCTCGCTGATGAGTTACTCGATATAAGCAGCTATATATGAATGTCAATTGAGGGCCCGAAGCAGATACTCACATCGTTTCAAGCCTTGACGTTATCATGCTTGCAGGTCCCTTGAGGAGAAAGTGCCGCTAGAACCTTAGGGCTCCCCATTGCTGTGTTGTGAGTGGGGAAAATGTGATAGAGTACGGTACTCTCAGACATAACTTTCCTTTTACGGCTGGGGTGTTGTAATTGGAGGATGTTCTATGATCACATGCTTACATCATGACCAATGTTTGGCGATACGCGGGGCAAAGATTGAGTGTGCGACAAAGGGCACAGTCTCCAACGCCCTACCATATGTCTATCGCGGTCTGACATTCCGAGGAGAGACAATCAGACTCTCGCTAGGAGGAGACCTGTGGCATCCTTGTTTTGAAATAGGAAACTTTCCCCAAGACTACGGGAGTTGGTCCCGACAACCGATGCGGGGTGCTTGTTAGTGTGGCCGTGACCACCTTATCTTTCTTCCCCACTACGACGATGATAGTGGCAATTGTATCGTCAAACTATCACGAGGGAACTTTTCTCTTCAAAGAAAGTTTCTCCCGAACGAAAATTATCGTCCCATAATGTCCATCTGCAAGAAAAAACCCACAACTCGTCTCAAAAATGGCCAAGGAAGGCGTAGTCGTTCTTTCGGGGGCTGCGTTACGGTAAGAGTTCCCTGCCGCCCTACCATCCTTTACCTAACCATTCCCAGTGTCGAACCCGTCGCGTGAAATGTGATGAAAGCCGCCCAGGATGTTCCATGTGTAGGCTCCAAGGTACGGAATGCGGCGGGTACAGCAAGGATATCTTTTTCGATCTTGATGATCCTTCTATGGGAGTTGCTCGTTTCCGACGACCTTTGCTTACGGACCGGGAGCGCAAGTGCATGAGCGACAGCATCTTGCAACAGGTCCCTCCAAACTTGGCCAACAGGCACCTTTCTCAAATCGAAGAGGAATGTGAAAGTTCAGTGTCGGATATTCAGATATCACGAGGCCCGTTTGGGGCATTCCGAATAACTCAACAGTTCTATCAGCACCCTAAGTCCACCCTGCAGGTGTTGAATGAGAATGACACAGTCCAGTCAAATATCCACAGTTCTGGTGATGAAGGACAAGACTGTCAAATAACTGACCACCTTGACGCCAATGATGAGGTTGTGGAACTGTCAATGGACTTTGGAGACGGCATCGCCGAACAAATTGCTCAGCCACACCAAGTTACACCAAGAAAGAACAATGCGGTGGTGACACGCACTAATTGGCTTGATGTTATTGAGGATCTTCCCATGAGCGGATGTATAGGCCATGAGTACTTCGATATACCCGGCTGGTGGGATTCCACGGGCTTCGACTCAGTTATCCCCTGGTCTGATACCACGGTATCAATACGAAGGTCATTATCGCCAATCCTGCAACCGTCGGATGTTCAGACAAGGTTCATATCCCACTCAAACCTTTCTAATATGGTATCAACTCCTGCCAAAAGTGATGTCCCTCAGGACGCTGTGTTATTGATGAAGCACTACGCGACTACAATCCTTCGTGGCATGACACCCTATCGTCATAGTAAGACACCATGGCACATCCTCTTCCTGCCATTCTTGAAGGGTTGCTTGGCAGCTCTTACATTGGGTGAAGATATGGACCAGGCAAGTCTGTGTGCGTTTTACGGAACGCTTTCCATCAGTGCCTCTAGCATGGGCGGAATACACAGCTCCGTCAAGTTGCTGGAACAGGGCAACGCATACAAACAAAAGGCCTGCCTTCATTATAGACTTATGCTAAGCACGGCGTATGATGTGCCAAAGAAGGCTAGATACAAGTCTATACTCATGGCCCTATTGACTATGGTTCAACTATCCATACTCACTGGCGATAAAGATGAAGCGGAGTATTACTTTCTAGAAACCGAGAAGTTTATCCGTCTGAGAGGGCTGAATCGGAGAAAGTCTCGCAAGGTCCGTTTACTACATCACTGCTACGCCTTTGAGAGGCTATCTCATGAGAGCACTTTCACCGAGAGCAGACTCAACGTGGACCATCGAAACCGAGTCAGAGAGGCTATAGAAGCAAGTGGGGCTGGTGCGCATAGTCGTGATAGCCTGTCATTTGGCCTCACGTCATGGAGAAACTTGGATCAAGAGATGCTCAAGGTCAAAGATCAAGTCGACGGAGAGAATGATTTGCATCTTCAGCATCCTGGCATCTGGTCCGCAACATTGTATCCTGAGATATTCGGCGTGCCAGAGCTCCATCTTTTCATGCTTTCTCTGGTCATCCGACTGGCTCGAGAGAAGGATCAGTGCGATACAGTGGGTGCTGGGCTGAGCTTAAGAGAGTTTATGCTTCGGGCGAAAGCTGTTGAACGCTGGATAAAGCAACTTCCTGTTGTCCGACAGGCCATCTGGATGACCGAAGCTCCTGTTGATGAAGAACAACAGCAGTCTGTTGACCTGTTGGCTAACCTAGCCGAAACTATGCAGCATGCACTTGCTGTATATTTCTACCGCAGAATCTATGACTTGGATCCGGGGATGCTGGAGAAGCATGTCTTTGGTGTCCGAGACCGCCTGCTTGAATTTGATGCATTAGACGCAGGCGTGGGGTACGGGTCTCTGAGATTAATATGGCCAGCATTTATTGCGGCCTGCGAGACAGATGACGCCAATGTTCGTGCTTTCTTTGCAAGATGGTTTGAAGATTCCGCAAAGCGCAGCGGCTTGCGCATCTTTACAGAAACCAAGGATCGCATTGGCCGTATTTGGAATGAAAGAGATACTGCAGAACTTCCAATCGTAATCTAAGATATAGCCAATTAAAATATATCAACAAAAATATATTTGCTGTCAAGGTTCCAGTCTGTTGTGGTGAGTACATTGCTGGTGTCGTCCGCGCTTGTTGGCGTTGTCCAGTGACACATGTTGGACGGGTATGTCAGATCTTCCCCACGAAACAAGCAATCAATATCATGGGCTTAGTTGCCTCTTTCGTAGACTTAGCTTTCATGTGATGTGGGGAAATTTCCAAGTCACCCTATCTCACGACACTTATCACAATGGGATCCCATAACCTTGAGGACAGCCCGTCTTCTATCAGTATTGCTGGTCCATCACCGATTTGCCAACAGATTCTATCATAAATCCTTATCATGACTTCATTCAATGGGAAAGTGGTGTGTAACGCAATTCAACTCCTGTCTCTCTCAGCTGCTGACATGCTAGATTGCCGTGACTGGCGCTGCTTCTGGAATGGGCTTGGCCACTGCGCAGCTCCTCGCCTCCAGAGGTGCCATTATCTCCTTGGCGGACATCAACGAAGATTCCCTCCGCAAAGCCAAGGAGTCACTATCAGGAAGCAAGCACATTTACCATGCAGTAGATGTCAGCAAAAGTGATTCGGTAAACGCTTGGATCCAAGATACTTTGCGAACACTCGGCAGACTCGATGGTGCTGTCAACATGGCTGGTATTATTGCTGAGCCAACGCCACTCAAAGATTACGACGATCAGGTCTGGGACAGAATGTTTGCAGTCAATGTACGGGGGGTGTTCAACTGTATACGTGCAGAATTGAACGCGATGTCTGCTGGAGCAAGCATTGTAAGTCATGACCCTCAGTTTTACGAACTCAAATTGATTGAGCGTTTAGGTCTCAGCTGCAAGCGTCTTTGGACAATTTGGTGCGCCTGGCCATGTCGCATATTGTGCAAGTAAGGCGGCCGTCATCGGACTTTCAAGAACAGCGGCGAAGGAGAACTCTCACGTTCGTATCAATTGCGTCTCACCAGGTATGTCGACAATCCTTGAGATATAGCAGAGTCTTAACTAGTTTAGGTTCGGTAAGCACGCCTATGAATCAGCACGATACTCCGGAGCATATCGCAAACAGCCTGTCGGGCACTGTACAGAAGAGAAGGGCAGAGCCTATCGAGGTCGCTCGTGTCATTGCTTTCCTCCTAAGTGCTGAGGCGTCCTTTGTGACCGGGGCCGTGTACAACGTCGATGGTGGCTGGGTCTGCTAGGTGCTGTACAGCAAGCAAAAGTCGCAGCTCCTCACTATAAACATAACGTGACAGGTTCAAACAGACGAAACCTCTTTATTGACACATTCTTTATCTATCTACCATGGCTAGTATACTTGTTTCTCTCACAATATTGTTCCAAGTATCTCTCTGGTCGCCTCGCTACCTTTTACACTTACTGTCCAACATGACCACAGTCCCCATATCGGCATGTATCACAGTAGCCGTAATTCATGACCATGGTCTCACAAATGCATCGACAAGGACAGTAAGACATAGCTGTATTAGTCTTGGGTTTTGAAGCAGCAGTCTTCGAGCTGTCTTTAGTGTCTTTCTTCTTGGCAATGGGAGCTGCATCGCCGGTCAGTGGCGCCATTTTAGAATCGGTGGCCTTCTTGCTATTAGTCTTCTTGGTGTCGGTCGAGGATCCCATAGTCTTTGGTTCGTCAAGGTTGGATCAAGCTTCACTACTTGGATATGACTTCCTTTTCGCTTGGTTATGTTGACGAGAATAACTTTCGCTTCATGGAGGCTGTCATTGTCGCCGTTATTTATACTTGCTAAGTCGTTGTGAGTCAGACACGAGTGCACTTTGTGAAACGTTGGAGTTGGGTGGTCTTTCTAAAGACCGTAGACGAAGACCATAGTTCAATTAATGTTTTCTGTGATTTGCTAACGGGAAACTGTAAATAAATACAGTACATCACTGGCGAATTCGTAATATCTAATAGCAGCTACTGTAAGTCATATTCTCAGGGCCAATACTTCTTGTTAAGTGAAGCGGTTCTTTTACAGCCTCTTCTAGCATTGAACGTCGGACCCTTGAATGCGATTGGTAGACCTTTCAGTGTTGACATAGTATTACTTTTACACTCTCATATCCGAACATGTCCCTGTGCTGCAACGCTTGTGCTTCCAATTCAAAACGCGATCTTCATCCAAGAACATATCGGGCGATGATGATTGGTATGATATTGCATAAACGTGTTCCGGCCAACAACTCTGGTAAAAGAGTGGATCTCGTCGATCACAATATAATCATTGTGCGACGGCACAAATACGCTTCAAGATAAAAGATAGGTCCTTCCTACAGCGAATGGACTGGTGCAGTCATTCGAATAGAGAGGAAAGCTAACAAATATTGACCACTTGAAGTGCGGCTCATCACAGGATGTAAACAAAGATTCTATTTTCTATAGGCTGCAACAGTCTAGAGGAAAGGTTAAATATTACAAAGTGGAAGAGTAAATCAGAATGCCCAACGAGCTCAGACGGCAGAATAAAAGAAAGGTCAAAGATTCAATAATTCCAACGATGCTCTACTCCTTTTTGTTCTTGCTTTTTCGAGGCACTCGCACAAGCCAATAAATGGTAACTGCGGCAGCACAATTGAAGACAACGTAGGCCCAAAGGAGTCCAAAGTCTCTCCAGCGATTGTCGTAGGTCACATTGATCCTCTTCAGAAACTCATTGGTACTCGCCATGGGACAGTATAAACACTCCTGAGTACTAGTTCCACTATCCCCAGAAAGATAACCGCCGCTGCTGGATATGTAGTCAGAGAGGAATTCTCGACAGGTAGATCCGTTGGCGGGCTTGAATTTCAGGATCTCATTCGTGGCACATGTAACTGGAGCATTGGCAAGTGTTGTGCCAAGGAAACCTTCCACCACGTAGGTGAAAGGATTGACCCGGTACATGAAGATCCAAAAGCCAGGGAGCGTATCAGGGCCAGCAAGTACTCCACAGAAAGCGAACATCATGATGAATATCAGGTTCAGAATACCAGCCGCAGTGTCGGAATCGGGAAGGCCAGCAATGATCATGTGTGTGAAGCTTGATGTTAGGAGGAAGAACATCCAGACATGGAGGAAGATAGTGATTCCACGAGAATCCACTTGATCCGTCCATTCGGCATTACGATAAAGACCAATTGGGAAGTACCAGCAAAGAAAAGCGAAGACACCGATAAACTAGATGGTGTTGTTAGTAAAGAGGCGCAGTCTCAAGGTTTGCTAAAGCTTACCGAGTTCCAAACAATCTCAACAGTGATATTGGCAAACATGAAGGATTGCCAAGAATAAGTCTTTGAAGGACGCTCGCGAGCTTCATATAGAGTCCTCTGTTCCACAAAGATCGGCATCATCTGTTCAGCCACCTGAGAAAAGATGGTCAAGAATAAAAAGACGCCGAACATCTGGTTCTGAAGGCCTCGAAGAGTATTATTTCCGTTCAGCACAGAGAGTCCAATAAAAAGTGCCTGGAAAATTGTTAGAGTTAGTTCATATAAGGTAGTAAAGTGGGAGGGTATTACTTACAGCACCAACAGACAGGGCAACCTTGGAGTACATGTAGCTAGGGCTTCTCCAGTACTGTCGGAAAAGACGGTTGGTCACTTCCTTTATTTGAGTTGTGTAGGAAGATGCAAATTCTTTGAACTCAGAAGCATCAACGCCTGATGGTGGTGGGGCTGTTTGGCTACCAGACTTTAATGCTTCAAGCTCCTGTTGTACTGTTTTGTATTCATGAGACTGTCTCCAAACAGCAGGCCAATCGATATCCGTAGTGACTCCAGGTGCCGCTCCAATGACCTCCAGCATATGCTCGGCAGGGTTGGCCTTGGGTGGCAGCGAGGGACCGCCGTTGCGAGTGAAATAGTCCATCAATGTGGCAGAATTCTGTCCAATCTCGCCAAAATAGACGGTTCTACCTCCCTTCGCTAAGAGTAAGAGTCGGTCAAACCGTTGGAATAGCATAGCTGAAGGTTGGTGAATAGTGCAAAGAATGGCTTGGCCACTCTTGGTCAGCGTTTCCATGAGGTCGCAGATAGACCACGAGGTCTGACTATCGAGACCAGAAGTAGGCTCATCGAGAAACAGAAGAAGCTGTGGCCGCGCGACAAGCTCGACGCCAATTGTGAGTCTCTTGCGTTGTTCAACGTTGAGACCCTCCCCAGGGACACCGATGATAGCGTCTGCATAAGCTTCCATGCCGAGAAGAGAAATGACTGTCTCGACGTAGTCGACTCTCTCTTGTCTGGAATATTTGGCTGGCTGTCGAAGAATTGCGCTGAAACGCAAAGCCTCTCGTACCGTTGAACTCGCCTGGTGTAGATCTTGTTGAGTCACATAGCCAGTCTTTCGCTGGAACGAAGAATCGCGCTGGTGTCCGTTGACAAGCATCTCGCCAGAAACAACGCCCATTGTAACGCGGCTAGCAAGAACGTCGAGAAGTGTTGTTTTACCAGCACCCGAGACACCCTAGAAACGAAAGGTCAGTCACGGTAATGGCATGTGGTTTCTCTTCATCCGAGATAACCACTGTAAGAGAGGATGTGAACTTACCATGAGAGCGGTTAGGGTACCGGGCTTGACCCAACCGTCAACATTATCGAGAATCCTGCGAGACTCGCTCTTGATCTTGATGTCATAACAGACTTCCTTCCAGTGAAAGACGGATGTTTGTCTCTCAACTTCGACCTTTTCGCTGGTATCTCCGGAAGCCTCTTGTCGCCCAGCTGGTAGCGAGGTACCAGACTCCTCGTCGCTGGCACCCTTGGCGGAAGCCTTGTGTATTGACTCCCGAAGGAAGACCAAGACCTCACCCTTGGAACGCTCTGAAGCGACGTACTCCGTGGTAAGTAGATGAATCACCATGTAGAACACAGTCCAGACAATGATGATGCCAAAGTTTCTCCATTTGTGGCTGTTGCTGAAGCCGAACGAGGCCTGCAAGTAGTCCTCACCTCTGACGAAGGACTGCCCAGGCACAGATCCAGCCACGTTGCAGACAGACTCGCCATTACCAAGTCCTTCGTAACCCGGCCCTTTTGGAACAAAGTCGCTGCAAGTAAACTCCTGCCCAACAAACTCGTTCAGAAAGACAAACTCAAGTCCGTAATAAACGGGATTGATCCATCTAATCCAACCAAGCCAGCTTTGCATGTAGGCAACAGGAAGCGAAAACCCTGAGTACAGCACCAAGCCCAACAGGATAATACAAGCAGGTGCCAAGGCCTGAGAGATGGACTTGGTGACCGATCCGATGAATCGAAACATCATGGACATGCACATCATGAGTGCAAACGAGGCCAGCAGGAATTGGAAGAACGCCCCTGCCTCCCGACGCAGGTGACACATGAAGTAGAGTGTTGTGTTCATGAGAATGGCATTGACCACCTTGTAGGGAAGATCAGTGACCATTGCCGAAAGTGATTCCGTGCTGGGATGGTAAAAGGCGTATCGCGCTTGCTTTTCAACGACCTTCCGCTTTGCGTAGAGTGTCATGATCTCGAGGATGCTACCAAAAGCATTCATGAGGACGATGAAGAAGAGTAGAATGGTGCGGCGAATGAAACTGGTTGTGTTGGCGGGCAGATTGTAGAAAATGCTAGAAACGATCAAGCTCTGGAAGATGTTCGTGATAAGCATGGTAAGGGTGATGGTGGGGTCGCCGATGAGCATCTTGACTCCTCTCCAGAGGTTGATGGTAAATTGCTGCCAGTAAGATAGATTGAAAGGCGACTGTTCTCTCTGAGCGCTCGCCTGATCAAGTCTTCGAGACTGGGAAAATCGTTGCAGATCTGGTCCGTCGAAAGGGTGCTGTTCAATGTAGTAGTCGATGGTATCGACGAGTCTAGAGCGCTGCTGGCTCTGCTTCCATACTTGAGCGAAGTCGTCTGAGGTGCGAGGTGGGTTGGCTCCAGGGCGGACGATTCTCTCGCGAGGATTCGTCATGGATGTAAGGAAGTCTGCGGTACTTTGCTGCTCCGGGCAGATAAAGCCGAGGCTCTCGAAATATTCTTGAGCTTCACCTGTCTTTCCGAAGTAGATCTGACGGCCTTCATACAGGACAATGACCTTGTCAAAGAGCTGGCGATTGAGTCAGTATCGAAGTAGGCGTGAGAGGGAACAAAGGCAGTACATACATCATACGCACTCTGGGGTGCTTGATAGATCGCGACACAAGATGATATGCCTAGAACATCTGCTTGGGTGCGCAAAACGCGACAGAACTCAATAGCATTGGCACTATCAAGACCTCGGGTACTGTTGTCCCAGCACTGTAGAGGTGAGTATCCAAGCGCTGCCTCGGCAATGGTAACTCGTTTGCGTTCGCCACCGCTAACACCACGGACGTAATCGTCACCAACTCGAGTGTTCTTCGTATGTGAGATACCAAACATAGCCATGATGACATCTCGAAGATGCTCGGCATACTCTCGTGGTGTTACCCCAGCGGGAAGCTTGTCCTTTGGTGGGCAGCGACAGCGTGCCGCGAAGTAAAGAGTGTCGCCGACTGTCAGGTGAGGGAAGTGGTGATCAACTTCAGCTGTGTAGATGGCTTCTCCTCGATACGCCTTCTTCATTTGTTTCGGTTGGATGCCTTGGTAATTGAGGATTGCATTGTCGCTGATATGAAATCCGTGAGTTTCGCCTGCGATGCTGCGAAGGAGGGTAGAGCAACCCGAGCCAGGAGGACCTAGAACGCAAAGCATCTCGCCAGCTTCAACGAGGCCATCCAGATTGCGGAGGATGTCTATGCGCTGGCCCTTATCACCGAAAGCCTTCCTCACAAGACTTGTGGCGTTGAGGAAGATGTTAGTCAAGGTATTTTGGAAGTCGGTCGCCTGACCAAAGCCATAGACATCGAGATTCTTGAAGGCAATGCCGGCGGTTCGAGGAGTATTGCCATCAGCAGCTGTAGTGCGGGTCTTCAGGTAGGCTTTTGCCCACTTCTTGGAGCTGAAGTGAGGGCTTGCCGGGTCTAAATGGCCATCTTCACTGAGGGGGAAGAGTGGTCCGTGGCCAGACGCTGCGGATTGAGTGGTGAACCTTCTGGCTAATTGATGGATCTCGGCATCGTAATCGTGGTCGCCGTCGGTGTCATTTTGATCAGAAGTGTGCATCTGGTCCTGAAGGGTGGAGGAGGACGATGAATTGACCCCGTTGTGGTGATTCATGTTGCCTGATGGTTCACCTGGCATAAAAGGGGTCTGGGGTATCTGAGGTTTGAAAGTAGGATGGTGGGTTGGACTTGAATAGATATATAAGGACAGATGTTGGTGTATTTGATTAGGGGTTCATAAGATCTTAGTAGATTAGGTTCTGTACCCCTGACACAAAAGTTGCGTTGATTTCTGATATCGCATTCGGATAGAATACGTATGCCGCGGACAGCCACGGTCTATATCTACCGGCGCGAAGGCTTGTACATTCGTCAACAACGGGCCGGACGGCCACCGGGGAAGTGGGGCCTTACGGCACTTCGGACAGTCCGAGCTCCAGGTATATGCAATATCTCGATCAAGCCTGGGGATGTGTCCATACTAGCCCAACCTTGGCAGCATCATTGATCAAAGCTTGGCATACCCCTAAATCTTTGATAGGCGGTACGTCCTGAGATTTCATTTCTCTTGCTCCATTACGAGGCTGCATGGCCGGGTGGAGCTGTCCGCGGAACGCGAGCATGCAAGAAAGCAAGGATGCAAGGATGGGCGAGACCAAACTAGTATGTTTCCGACATGGTCTGCTAAGTTAAGATCTGGGATTTGAGGGAACAATAAGACTTAGATTGCGCTACTTCGGCACTTAGTATCATGGCTTATTCGCTCGGTCTATCAATTGCGTGTACTCTTGATGAAACCTGATGCACTAAACATCAGTTTTTGTAATTCACAACGAAACAAAACCAACCAGCAGTAGAAAACCAACCAGCCATCATTTTATGTAATTTTTAGAAGTCTAAACAAATACAAATTTCACGTACGAAAACCGCCCCGGAATGCTACAGATTATTATCCAGCATCATAAAGATCTCCTGATTTTGCTCAAACCAATTTCCCAACTCCATGCTATGGTTGAAAGCCCCATCATCAAGCATACCATGACCGAATCCCAATGCGTGTTGCACACTTGAGGTGTTTTGAAATCCATTCCCAGCTGCCTGTACACCCATGTGGTTAGGAAGAGGAACCCCAGCCTCGACGAACAGCATCTCAAATGGCGTACTAGGAATCCTTCCTGGTGGCGCCGGAGGGTTACGCGGTTTTGACCCAACGTATTTGCAGGCCACGTCGTACATCAACTTGAAAAGACGAAGTTGTTTCTTGTAAACATCCGGGCACTCGGGAGGTATCCTGTCCAGAGTTTCAACGACAGCCGAGAGGTACTCCAAGTGAGCTGGATCGCAAGTTTCGACTGCGTGGCAGAATAGCACGATGAAGGGTATCAATGGTACAGCTAAAAGGCCCCTTGCTTCTCTTAGTAGGGTGGTGATAAGCGGATCGGGTCACGTACCAGTACAAATAAAACTCAAATATGTTATTTTCGACCTCCTGAAGCATCGACAAGCAGCGTTTGTGTTCCTCGAGACCTTCTTTCGCGGCCACGAGGCATTCATCGCAAAAGGCGGTTGAGGCTGAAGAGTCTGGCGTGATAGCTCTAAAGACCAAGCAGCGCATAGAGAAGTACGCCACCTTGTCAGTCCGCTGAAAGAGCTCCCCCTGCCTTTGGCCGATACTTCTCGTGATTAATTCGAAGAGGTAGTCCTGCAAATCCATAAGTGTCAACCTTCAACATGATCAAGCTTCGGCCAGTTTGGAAGTGGCTTACCTCCGCTATACTCTTGCTGTGGTAGAGCGTATGCAGGTTAGCTGCGAGATTTCTGGCCTGCGCTTCTCTCTGGGAGTCTGATTGGAGCAATGCCCTCGGAGAATAAAGATTGTCGTAGATCTTCCCCTGTAAGTCGCAGATTCGTGCCCATTTTCCAATAATAGGAGTTGGTCCGTCGCTCCCATCGGCTTCCAATGCTTCGAAATTGAGCGTGATCTCTCCATCTCGTATCAAGGCTGGTCGGCTAAGCCGCAGGGCGAGCATCTTGTCGTTCATGTGGAGACACCAAACTAACTTTGCACGTCGCTGTTTTGCCTCTCTTGTTTCTGGTCGAGGAAGGATGTCACGGGTGAAGCCCAGTGTTTGGCACATTTGGGCGGCGGCGGCGAGGGCGTTCCATGACATGGATATGCGGCACTGCTGGAAGTAGTAGTTTGACTACATAAAAGTTAGCACCGCTTTTACGATTCTAATGTGGTGAGTTGAGACTTACGGCCATCAACAAGGCTAGCGCATAGTCTGGGGTGCAGGGAAGGTTAAACGGAAGTCCCGTGAGGATGTTCTCCAAGTTTCGTTGGCAAAGCATCGATTGTGAGATGAATTCGCTCTTGAGCATTCCATCAACCTCCAAATTTCCACATTCTAGTAACAGGCTCTGCAAGCCAACATGTGTCAGGATAAGATCTGCAAGGGTGGGTTTACTGAAGTAAACTATCATCAAATACTCGACAAACTGGCCAGTGCTATGAAAGTCCGCCCGCCAGAGAAATCTTAATTTAGGGGTTTCTGAATTTGGTCAGTTTTCTGAACTATCCCATATTTCAATCACTTACCTTTCAATCTTTGCACTGCCATCATGGCTAAGTGAACTGGGGGTAAGTCATATCCTCCATGCTTTGAGGGCGAGAGTATGTGCTGTGTATCAACAAGACGAGGCTCATCGCCTCCCACATCTCGATTCTTCAAGCCATGTCTCAAGGCGTCCAAGCTGTTTCTGATTTCAGGTATCACATCTGAGAGCTGATCGTTGTCGATAGCTCGCTGCAAGAAATTGGTTGCAAAGGTTGCTTGAGTGGTCAACGTGACGTCGGCGTCGAGCTCTGAGTGCAGTGTATCTCCACTTGCTTCATTGCTCTCTGAGGTAGAGCTAGTGTGTGAAGTTGGGGTAGCGTGGAATCCGATGGGCTTCGTTGAGTTTGAGCTTGTGGGTAGGTATGGGGACGGAGAAGTGAAATTATCCACAGCGAGGCTAATGCGGTCTAGCTTTTGGGATATTGCATCTAACTTATATTCACTGAGCTTGATTTTAGTACCTAGATATCTTTGAATGAATAATTCGATGATGCTTACTAGTCATTAGATACCAGAGCGTGTTGGCGTTTTGTCCGAGGCTTGAAACCGGCGGGGAATGAGCAATTGATCTCCTTTCGATTACACGGCCCGCAAGGATGCGTTCGATCACATTTGACCTGTCAAAGATCAATGAACGTTTTTGAATGGGGACAATCAATAACTGACCTTTCGGGCTCTGCATTGGTCACACTACGTTAAACGGTATTAGCAAGAGGTGTTGCACATGCAGGTAATGCATTAATGTCGGCAAAACGGCGCAGCCTGTGCCAGGAAGTGAAGCTTACCGAGAGTTTTTGCTCGGGGATCCGGCGCGGGGAGGCACTAGCATCCTCGGCATCAATTTCGATGGCATCCATGTCTCATTCTTACTCGTGCTCGTATCGGACAATACCTAGATAAACATATATAAACGTGTAGTTGCTAAAAGGTTTACTCAAAGGGCGCAAAGACGCTTTCGCAAGCGCCCGCTGGGTTTACTTCTCCGCGTCCCGCGCAAGCCGCCTTTTGGATGCGGTCGGCATCTCGGGAGTCCGAAAGACCGTCGATTTACCTTCAGAGTGAGACGGAGACAAGATATTCCGCTACTTCATGTCTTGGAGTTATCCTGAAACTGTAGGACTAGCCATTCCACTCAAAGTCCTGTGCGTCATCTCACCCTACGATGATGTTGCCATAAAATCCAAGATCCAGATGGGATCAGCGCTGAGCTTGGTTGGTATAGTTATTGAGTGGTTGATTCCTACCCTAGAGCTCTAAATGACGGCCATTCTTACTGAATGGCCCGCTACAAAGATTTAGAAATAGGGAAAATACAACCAAATCGTAATATCAAAAATAACGTCGATATAGCATTGTGGGCGGAATTTCTGTTTCACAGTTCTATAATTGCTCCATAAATAAAGTTATCAAATTTGCGACCCAGTCCTGTTGCCTCAAACTGAGCTTTCCAACACAATCAAAACATCATCCTGCTTCAGGAAACCTCTTTCAATAACAACTTCCAAGAATGATCGTTCTTCAGCAAGAGCAGACCTCACGATACTTGATACCTTTGCATATCCGAGGCTTGGAACGAGGGCTGTAGCAAGTGCACTGGCCTCGAGGAGGTGCTTCAGCGAGATCTCTTTGTTAGCGACCAGACCTTCTACACAACGCCTTGCGAAAGTCTTTGAAACACCCGCCAACAGTTGGATACTGTCTAGTAATCGGTCGCAAACAAGCAACTCATAGTGATTAATCTCCAGCATCCCTTGCTGACAAGCCATGGAGATGGCAGCATCGTTGCCAGAAATGGCAAAGGCTACTTGGCAAACTGCAATAGGAATAACCGGGTTAACCTTGCCGGGCATGATTGAAGACCCTGCTTGAACAGGAGGCAGAGTTATTTCGCCGATTCCGCCATTGGGGCCTGAAGATAGCAGGATCATGTCGTTTGCAATCTTCCACAAGCTATTAGCAGTGTTGCGTAGCTCAGCTGACAGGCGGGCGCAGGTATCCATATTTTGCATTCCGTCAAAGGCATTGCTGGCTGGCTTCGCGCAGACCCCTAAAGTAGAGGAGAGATGTTTGAAAACAGCTGTTTTGTATCCAGGTTCAGACCCGAAACCAGTACCAATAGCTGTGCCTCCCAAAGGAAGCACTAAAAACGAATCCCGGATTGTGCTAAGATACTCTTTGTGTCTCCTGACTACAGCTTCGTGAGCGCCAAGGGACTGGCCATAAGTCATGGGCTGGGCATCCTGGAGACAGGTTCTTCCTAGACGCAGCAGTGTCGCGTACTCTTGTTGTTTAGCAGCAAATGCATCAGCGAGCTCTTCAAGTGTATCCAAGACGCTATCCATCGCCCGATAGACAGCTAGCTTCATGGCTGACGGGACAGCATCGTTGGTTGACTGCCCCATGTTGACATGGTCATTTGGATGCACGAAGCTGTAGTCAGAGAGTGCTCTACCCGAGTTTTTGGCGACAATATTGGCGATAACTTCGTTGACGTTCATATTAGTAGAAGTGCCACCAGAGCCCTCCATCATATCGACAGCAAAGTGCTTGTCGTGCTGTCCAGTTTTGATCTCTTCGCAGGCATTAGATATGGCATGTCCCTGGTCTGACGTGATACAGCCGACATCGCAATTTGCACGTGCTGCTGCTTGTTTGATGATGGCGAAAGCATGAATGAAGTCTGGCCATGCAGCGATGGTTCGTCCTGATAGAGGGAAGTTTTCTATGGCGCGTAATGTGTTGATGCCGTAGAGCACCCCCGCTGGGATTTCGAGTTGGCCGAGACTGTCTCTCTCGAGCCGCTTGCTTTCTATGCTGATTGTTCCTACATGCACGCTTGTCTGCGAAGGCTCAGCAGGAAGTGTCTATGAGATTGTATGAGTATAGTTTTTCATTGAGCAAGGTACTGAAATGCTTACAGTCGAAATCACCTGCGACACTGTCATCATGAAGCTCTGAAGTGAGTAGATTGCTGCGAAGAATTGTGAAAGTCTGAGATGAAACTGGGTGAAAATTGTGCTGAATGATATGCTCTTACTCTTATGATGGGAAAAGCTTATATATGGTCAAAGAAGTGCTGGCATTGAGGCCAGCCAGGATAAAGTGCTGGTATTGTATTCATTCAATCCGCGTATCAGAGCGTTGAATGATACACCGAGTTCACATGTGTAGACCAAGTAGTGCATACCTGGCCGTTATAGCAAAGCACCCTCAGCAGACATGGTCTCAGCTACTTCCAAGGCCAGCTCCGTCTTACATGGCACCAACCAACTGCCTTACATATTCACCGTTATTCGACCGCCAGCACCAGTGAGCCGATTCTAAAATCCGGTATTAGCCGACCCAGAGATCTTCGCCGAGAGTCAACTGTTTTGTATGGTCCACCTTCCCCGCCTGTCTTGGCCTTCTCGGGGAGCAACAGTAACTATCTTTTTATCTCCTTAGCGGGGGCGGTTGCAGGGGTTGAAGCATAGAAGCGATTTCGTCAAAACACTTTCAAGTCACGCCGATCCAACCCTGCGAGCTGATCTCAGCTGATCAGATGTGTACAGGTCACAGCCCTCTGGGCCTCTTTCACAGTCAGTGAGTGGCCTCGGCTAGCGCTGTTGTCTCATTCCCCTTATCTCTCCCCCACCGCAGTACCCCGGTCTGGAGGAAAGAGGTGGTTGGCCTTGCTCATCGTCCAGACTCACCGGTTACCGGTGTGCCAGGTTCTTGGAGATATGCAGTTGCCACAGTGGACATGTGCAAATCAGAATGGGAAATAGCCGGGTCCCCGCCGACTTTGCATAGGAGCAACAGCCGACTCAGAAGCGTCTTGGATCGATATTACAATGTCACCGGCAGCAAAATGCATGCATACGGTCAGATCCATGGTGTTGGCAGTCTCTTCTGCATATTGCAAGCAGATATTGATAAATTCGACCCAATCTACATCGGGCCATAAGGCTCCTAAGCCTTCAACAAGGAATGTTAAGTTCCGCAGACGATTATGTCGTCACTTAAGTCTCATTATGTCTCATAGACTCTTACACAATGGGCGACAGTCGGTGTAAGCCCCCACTCATATCAAATCCTTCCCCGAGACAGGTATCACAATATTGGCAACATGAAGCAGAGGGAAACTTAGTTATGTTCACGTCAATAGCATTTCTGAAACACTTAGGCTCAACCTTGGGTTCCCGTTACCTTATCCAAAATCTTTGTATCATTGAGATACCACGTCAACGACTCCAACTCATCCGTCACAAACTTCTCCGCCAAAGTCCACCCATTTCCAAACCATCCGAATTCATCATCGTCACAGTACTCATAGTCGAAATCCTCCCAACGAGGGTTACTCATTGTGCGCACAGCGTGTAAACTGCTACCAGGCCACAAAGCTGACACGCGGCCTCGCTTCTGGTCCTCCCGAGAAGCACCCACCTCGTATGTCTTGTACCAAGAGTTGCACTCCTCGGCGAATACAGTGCTCTTGAAGAATTCGTCGCAGTAATTTGTGAAGGCTTGAACCATCTTGCGTTTGGGTTCTATTCGCACGATGTTGTCATACGCCATTCGAGCTATGATCTTTCCAATGAAGAGATTTGTTTTCTCGATGACTAGAAGAAGGCTTCCCGCACCAGGCATCGAATTTGGGCCCATGGATTGGAAAAAGTTGGGGAAGCCATCTGTGCAAACGCTGAGATACGTCTCAGGACGTTTCTGAAAACGCTCTCGCAGGTTGACACCACCGACACCGTATAAAGGAAAGCTTCTGTTCGCGGGAGAGGTTTGGAAACCAGTGGCACAGATGATAGCGTCGACAGGGTGATGTTGGCCGTCTGTGGTGATGATTCCAGTCTCGTCGATCTTGGTGATGCCAGTGGTGATGGTGTCCACCTTAGGAGACGATAAAGCCTCGAGATAGCCGGGGCCTGGTGACATACGCTTGCAATAAGGAGAGAAGTCGGGCTGCAGATGATTGTATATCTCTGGCTTGTCTTTGAGTCTTTGAATCATGGACTCTTGTGCTAGTTGGCGAAGGTTGGTTTGTTCTTTGGATCCGCTGAAAAGGACGCCAAATTTCTTATTGATGTCGAATTCGATGGCCCGCCGGTACTCCAAGTACGATTCACGGTTTGTTTCCCAGTTGTTGATCTCTTCTGCCGTATACGTGAAGTTTCCACCGGCTTCTTTGATGCGATCTCTGGTCTTCGGATCTCCGAAAAGTCCTGCGATCCAAGAACGGCCTCGAACATAGTGGTCCATGTGCTTGACATCTGGTAATATGGCGGGCACGATCTGAAGTCCGCTGCTTCCGGCTCCGATAACAGCGACGGACTTGTCCTGATTCATCTCCATTAGCACATTGTCATCTGTAAGAGGGCAATAGACACTTACCTTCAAGCTAACTTGGGAGTCCCAGTTGGCGCTATGGAGAAGGGTGCCTTTGAATGAGTCTATTCCAGCTATATCAGGCCATTTCCACTCGTTCAATACTCCCTCTCCTGTGACAAGGACGTCGGCAGAGTCTTCGGACTCAATGCCTGTCTTGAGGTTCTTGACCTGTACGTACCACTTTTTGGTTTCCTCGTCCCAACGAGCGCCAATGCATTTCGTCTCAAAACGGATGTTGTTTCTGATATTATACTTTGCAGCGACATCCTTCCAATACTGTAGGATCTCAGGCGCTTGGGCAAAGAATGAGCTCCACCTGGGGGAGGATTCGTAGGTCAATTGGTAGGCATGCGCCGGGACATCTACAACAGATGTATCAGTCTTCATTGCTCCAATTTCCGTAATCTAATGGTAATCACTCACCACATGCACACCCTGGGTATCTATTGAAGAACTAGATTAGTCACCAAGTATTACAAGGAGCCATATAGGCTTACCTGTTCTCGAACCAAGTCCCGCCAAGCTCAGGGTTCTTCTCGTAGATAACCAATTCTAGCCCAGGTACCTGCTTCAAAAACTCAATAGCACCACAGATGCCAGAGATACCTGCGCCAATGTAGATGACTTTGAGCGGCCGAGCCTGATCTGTGCATCGCTGCGAGACTAACGGCTTGGTCTTTATCTGATGTGACACTTGCACGGTTTCTTCTGTGCCTGCGCCAGGATACTCTTCAATTTTGGTGATGAAAGGAGTGTTGTTGGCGAGGTTGCTGTTCGAAAGGAAGGTGGGCTGTTTACCACTGATATCAGAATGAGAATAAGGCATTGTTGGTTCTGTTACCGTCGATAACTATGAAGGCCGGGTTCTTGATTTAAGCAGGACTCTAAGAGGGAAACAATGAGCCTTATATAAATAGACCAAGGGTGTTCTAGCTGATTATAATCAGTGTGGCCATACGGTTACTGTAAGATACATATTTGCCTATTACTAGATAGAAACAATACTCGCGCTATTGGTAGTGAAATGGAGCCTGAAGGCCGTCAAGATAGCATCGTTATCATGACATCCATAGCTCTCATTGGTCGCAAAGATCGAGGGCCCAAAGATTAGAAACATTTCCCCGCATTCTGGTTAGGTCTTCACATTACTTAGGTTAGCAGGGAGTGGCTTAAAGTCACGGCAGAAGTTGCCGGTGGGTGACGGTTACTGACTCCGATGGTTATCTCTTGGCGCGCTCCCCACATCTCGGAATGGCTAACCGTAGTCACACATCTAGTCCCATTACTTTCGAAGATGGAAACGTGAATGGTAGGATCATTTCAGCAGGCGATACGCGGAAACATGTACCGGTGCATGTTACCTCCATGCTGGCCGATAGACATTTATAAAACATATGCCATACGTTTTGGTGACCTGCTTATCTCAACATAGATGAGCCAGACTGATCTACTCATCCAGCCCGACTACTCCCTTTTCTTTCCGGCAACATACTTATATCTGAACTCGTTGACCTGATCAAACTATCCTCAGTCCCTGCTATCATTTTCTTCAATATGACAACGTTACCAGAGCCCATTGTTTACTATCTCAAGTCAACAAAACTCATCCCTAACTCCCCCAAACCCTTGCTCCTCTACAAGAACGCATTTGTGCGAGATGGCCAAGTTGACCGTACTGCTGCGTTTGACACCTTTCACGCGAATCAATGGGACGTTCAATGGGTAGTAAGATACGGTCAATACCAACGATCGCATTATCACTCTCAGACTCACGAAGTTATGGTGGTAGTCTCGGGGCCCGGCCGGATCCGTTGGGGTGTAGCAGATCTAAGCGACGACTGGAAAGAGCACACTTACGGAAAGGGCTACGAAGACGGTGGCCTTGAAATAGAGGTCAATGTTGGAGATCTTTTTGTCATCCCAGCGGGTGTTGCGCACAAATCTTACGATCCAGATGCGACTTCAGCTGAGTTTGGGTGCTTGACTGGAGCTGCTCGAGGTATCGAAGCTGAGAATCCAAGGATCGCTGTTGCCGAGGTACCTTTGGAAGGTTTCTGTATGATGGGGGCTTACCCACGAGGGTTCTCATGGACTTGGGACGAAGGTGGTGATAGTGCAGAGGACTTTAAGTCGGTATGGAGGATTGATAACCCAGCTGCTGATCCTGTTACTGGGCAGAATGGTGGGATTAACAAATACTGGAAGAACCAGCAACAGGGGTTGAAGAGCAATATTTAAACGAATAATAATTTTGGACGAGTTTATAGAGTAAATGATAAAATTGAATAGTTTATGTTTTATAATGGCATAATTAAATCTAACGAAACGGCAACTTTGGAAACAGACACGTCCTCACAGTAATAAGGTGACATCGCGATTGAAGACCTGAACGAATCTTCAAAACGTCCCAAAATTCCCAAAATCAAGAAGGACGAAAAAGGAAAGACAAATCTGTTCTTTCCAAAAGACAAAAGATAAGGGTCTGGCCGGGGATTGAACCCGGGACCTCTCGCAAGCTATGCTATAGGGTTTTCCCTAAGCGAGAATCATACCACTAGACCACCAGACCGATACAATATGTCGCATGTGATGATAGCAACCTCTCAGAAATCAACCAATGACAGCAAGGCGGAGTACAGTCAGCGATGATCCCAGGGTAGGTGGTTTGGAAAATGGTGTTAAAAGTCGAACAGTTTTGGAATACGACTTAAGCTTAATGCTGAGAGATAACAAAGGATGTAGTGAACATAGATAGTGGAAAGATTTCCTCATTTTTTCGTACGCAATTGACTCCTCTTGAAGTAAGTGTAACACCTTTATGTTAGTAGTTTGTCGAAATCCTGGTTGTCATTCAGCGCTGCCTCTGAATCAGAAAATGGTGAGAACCCACGCATCACAAACTATCCTAGCGCATAAATGGAAGAAAGCTTTTCCGTGATCTCCCAGAACAGAACAGACTTGCACTAGCCCGATTTAGCCCACCTACTCTTGGTTGGAGGCTGGGAGAAACGCGAAAGATCACGTCAATTGAACGACTACAATTGCACTTACTCATTTTCTCAGATATCATTTGGAATCTAGGCCCATACCAACCTAATATCGGGGTTGATTCAGACGGGACCTTCATCATGGACGATAATGTGACGTTTACCGAGTTTGTCGTCGAGAGCATGGAAGTTCTAGACGAGTCGACAAAGGCTCAATTCATCTTCCACCTCAATGGTACCCGTATCATTGTTTCGATTTTCGAAAGAAACGATCAGTCTGGCGATGAGGAAGCGAAGAAATATATTGAGAATCACCTGATCGATCTCTTGGAAGCAGCTACGGACCCTGAGCTCGAGTTCGACGAGCCAGAGGACAATGAATTATTCGAAAAGTCTGTCGATGAGGCCGCGAACACTATAATGGACGTTGGCGAAATCATTTTCTTCCATATGGCTCCGCCACTTAAGGAACACTTCCAACCTCCTCAGGACTTACATCATGCACTCTACCCGGAGACGTTTGACTTTCGCCTCGAAACAATTCATGATACGGCATTTATGATTCCAATAAGTTCGAAAGAAGCTGCAAAACCGCGTGATGACTCCGGACCTGATCCAAATCTCAAAACCAACTTTAAAGCAGACCCTTTAATGTCGAGGTACTCATCGAAAGACATCATTATCGAGAAAGAGTTCAGCAAGGGTCTCTGGGTCAGACAAGTAAAAGTTGGATCAGAAACCATGGTTTGCAAAGCATATGCTAGAGGTCTTGAGTTTGATAATCTAAAGCAAGAACTTATCAACCTTCAGGACATAGCTGAAGTCACAGTCGACTTTGATGTCCCGCTCCGCATTTCTTTACTGCGAGGATACGTCACCCATGCTGTCACAGGCGCTATCATCGGACTGTTGCGCGCTTGGATCTCACCAAGCAAATATGGAAATACCATACAAGACGCTGGCCGCCATATGAATACCATCCCGGTACCAATTCGACGGGGATGGCTGACGCAAGTCACTGAGACGGTCAAAGCTCTCCACGAAATTGGGCTATTCTGGGGCGATGGAAAAGCAGACAATATTTGCATCGACCCAGACGATAATGCTTGGCTAATTGACATGGCTGGTGGATTCACACAGCATTGGGTCAGAAAGGAGATCGCTGGAACTAAGGAGGGCGACAATCACGGGCTGTTAAAGCTCAAGGCATTTTTGGGGTTCAATTGCCCGGAGCTCAGCGATGAAGAGAAGAGGCGCATCTTTATGACTTCCAGTTCAAGTAGCTATTGAATGTAGAGGCATTATTCCAATAATAAAGAAGTTCTCGCAAACTTACGCTGCAGCTACGTCACCTTTTAATCTCCAGTGTCCCGTTAAAACCCTAGCGTCAACCTTCTTTATCCCTTTTCAAGTACGGATACAGAACCACAGATTACCTGTGCCTTATCACAGCTGCTTAAGGCCCAGCAGCCAACGCTACGCTTGGTCTAATTTACCAGATAACGCAGATCATTGTTGGCCTTAGCTGAGGACCCCGGTGTGAGATTCTAGAACCAATCGATATGCCATTATGCGGCTCGGTCACCGCGGATTGGTGACTTCATGAGGTGATGCACCCAATCAAGGAATCGCCGTCCGCGGACCCCACATAATTAAACAGGGCACAGCACATCATCCCAGGATCTACATTTGACTACGGAGCAGACTAACGTTAATTAATTGATTGATTATGTTGGTTCTGCCTCTGAGTTTTACACACTTTTCACCTCTAATTCTCGTCATCTCACTCTCTTTACCTGAGCTGCGGTCAGCAGCCAGGTCTCACCTACTCAGTTATGGCTTCATCATTTCATGTCTTTCTTTCATTGCAGTGCTTGATTACCTTACTGACTATTGGCGCTTTTTCTGCGTCTGATAAGGACGCTATCTCCAACGAATCCGACCTTGTTATCTATGGCAACACAGTCGCTGCATTGGCAGCTGCCATTCAAACAGTTCGTATGAACAAAACAGTGGCGCTGGTCTTTCCCGGAAAACGAATTGGCGGTCTCACCACATCGGGCCTGGGCTGGACCGACTCGAAAGATGGCAGCACGATTGGCGGCATTGCGAGGGAATTTTACAGTAAAGTTTACGACTACTATGATAATGACGATGCCTGGACACTCGAGACCCGCGACGACTACATCGCCAAAAACATACAAGCACAACCTGGTCCAGCCATTGACGACAAAGTCCAATGGACCTTCGAGCCCAAAGTCGCAGAGGAGATATGGGAGTCTTGGATCAAGGAGGAGAAAATACCCGTCTTCCGAGAAGAAGCCATTGTCCGTACCAGCAGCGGTGTGTCTAAAGAAGGAGCTAAGATCAAATCGTTCCAAACGCTTTCTGGGTCGAATTTCTCAGGAAAGATGTTTATCGATGCTGGGTATGAGGGCGATTTAATGGAGACGGCAGGCGTCTCGAATCGTGTTGGGCGTGAAGATAAGCAGGAATACGACGAATGGGCAGCTGGGTTCCATCTTAATGGACCGAACTTGCTTACCACCATCGATCCATATATCAAAAAAGAGAATCGCGACAGCGGCTTTATCTCAGGCGTGGGACGGGATCTCAGCCGGTCTATCGCTGAAGAATCCCGCGGAAAGAAAGATCATCGCCTGCAAGCTTTCAACTACCGACTATCTTTAACAAGACAGGAGGATAACAAAGTCAACTTCACCAAACCAACTGGCTACAACACATCCGACTACAAAATTCTTTTCCGCTACATCGATGCAGGCTATACCGGACCCTTCTTCACCAAACAGCTCATGCCGAACTGCAAAACCGATACCAACGCAGCCGGCCAAGTCAGTACCGATCTCATCAGCGGGAGCTACAACAAGACATCTAATTACGCCGAGTATTCTTACGAAGAACGAAAAAGTGCTGCTCATAGGCACAAAGTCTGGGCGCAGGGGCTGCTTTGGACACTAGCAAATCACAAAGACATACCGGAAGTTATTCGCGAAGAAGTCAGTGCTTGGGGCTATGCTAAAGATGAATGGAAGAGCAATGACCACTGGCCGTATGAAATCTACATACGTGAGGCTAGACGCATGGACGGTGTGTATACCATGACACAAGCCGACATTCAGACACCCAAGCCCTATGACAATGACACGGTTGTCGCGGTGGGCTACTACACTCTCGATGTGCATCAGGTGGAACGCGTTATCATAGATGATCGCATTTTTGACGAAGGCCTGATACACGTTCCAAACCCTGGCCCGTTCAGTGTTCCATATGGATCGATTATCCCCAAGAAAGAGGACGCCACCAACTTCCTCAATCCTGTAACCATGAGTGCTTCGCATATAGCACTGTCCGCCATACGCATGGAGCCAGTCTATATGATCCTTGGGCAGAGTGCCGCAACAGCGGCTGTTCTCGCGATTGAGGACAACGCTAGTGTGCAAGATGTCGATCGTAAGAAGCTGGCGGACAGGCTGTCAGATGATGCTCAGGTTCTGGATTCTTTGTCAACAAGACTAAAACCATGTCTTCACTGGCTTCTGGCTATTTCCATCTTCTGTCTTTATCATCTAATTTTGTAGTTAAATAGATTTATAGATTACATATCATTCTTAGAAAAGGTCCAGGGCTCTCACAAATGGATCTTCAGCTTCCCAGTCCATTGGTTGGCGGACCTCGATTGAGCTCCTCCTCTTCTGCTATCTCCCTTGCATTCTTCCGAGCTATCCATTCGTCCACCCTTGCTGAATGTCTCCAGAACCATAATGGATAATTATCCAAATCGACGCACGCGTCTAGGAGAAGATCAACATCAGTTGCTGCTTCGGGGGTATCATAAGGGTGAACCCTTATGCATAGGTGCCTCAAGCCTTTTGCTTTTCTGCAGGCCTGCAACACAGCAATATCTACTAAAGGGTCAGCAGGCATACCTAGGTATTGTAGGGTTGACGAGTGGGCCTCAATCATCGCTACAAGTACAGCGTTTAACGCATCGGATGCAATATATTCATCTGGGTACTGCATATCTCCAAGCACAATCTTCTTCAGGGGCGATTTAGAGAGAGCAATAGCTCCAATACCTTCGGTCTGCACAAAGCAGCCATACCCCAGGAACAGTTCTTCCAGACTGACCATGGATGGCATGATGTGCGCAACCCAAGAGCTGGTTTCCGCGACGCTGGAAATCTTGAGACTCTTTAAAGTTTTACCCCAAGCTTTGCAAGCTTCCTGTAGATCATCTGCAGTATCTAACGTCTCTCTGATCTCAATCCTTTCCAGAAACGGACATTGTTGTGATAGCTGCGTGAGAGGATCCTCCCAGTCCGCAAGAGAGACGTCCTGGCTAAGGCGAAGGGAAGTAAGACTTGATGCAAGATGTGGAAACAGGCCATTTACAGCCCATTCTGCTTGCCCGCAAAGGGTCAATTCTGATAGCTGTCGCATTGCTTGTTGAAGATGAGCATCATCTGATAGTGGATTGACTACCCCATCGAACGTTTCATCAACAGTACGAGTGTACCGATCCCCTTCGGGTGCCCATCCAACCATCGTAGAGTAATGAAATGAGGTGAGTTCCGGGCACGCGCGAATTAGAGCACCCAGAGTGAGCATATCGTTGTGTGAGATCTTACACGAGTCTCGTAAGTCATCGCCGCGTTGTATCAGCAGGGTTCGTGAATCACGACAGGAAGCCACGATGTCGATCAGCAATTTGCTGTTGGCCCCGTCGCAAAGCCAAAGAAGTCGAAGTGATTTTACTAGAGTCGCACGACTGGGCTCCATCCTGAGACTGTAGAGAAACAACCACTGCTGTCTGATGTCGTCCAGATCCCGGGGATGCTCGTATAGATGCTCCTCGGCTAAGCCCATGAACAGTCGACAGGTTGACGAGAGTGCCACCAGCGTATTTTGTCGAAGTTTGTAATCGAAGCTGGCAACATAGTTGATGATTAATCGATAGAGTTCAAGAGGCAAAACCGGTGAAAGCAAGTTGATTCCGCCTGGGCTATGAACGGAAAGAGTCTCCTCATCTCCTGTGCTGGGAGTGAAGTCTCCCAAATCCTGAACAAACGCTGTTGCAGCCTGCGCTCGTCGTTGTGCATGCTGATCGTCGGGCTTTTTACTTGCGAGAGTTCTCGATAGCCGAGCGAGTTGAGCCAACTCAGATGTGACCTCTCGTGTGAGCTCCTCATATGGCGTTGGGTTCATCACTAATGAGAGCCAGTCTAACTCAGACTCCATTTGTATCGGCGAGCTCATCGTGGATGACCTTGTATAGATGAAATGTACGGGGCAGCGCCGAGTCGCGAGGGGTCGATTTTGTGATTCTGGTCACGTGGTTAATTGCCGCTAAGAATAGCAGGTAGGCAGGTGCCTAAAAATGGCAGCGTTCACACGCAGAGAATGCAGTCAAAGTAACGCAAACTCGTGATATGATCGTAGGTCAGGTCGAGGCTTGTGTTGCGGTAGAAGTCTGTTATTTCGAGACTTATTGTGTTGGGTGGTAGCTGCGAAAGAGGTTAGCGATGTGGACCGAAGGGGGACTAGAGGTTGATTGACTGACTGCAGCTGTAAGGGTTGATTGACTACTAATCTTGTGGTGTGGAATAGGTTGAGGGGTGTGGGAGGAAAAGCCAGCTTTTATGTATGCGGCTGTGTGAGTCATAGTCTATGTGTTTACTTGGATAGAGTTTAGTTGCCGTGTGTGACTTCTGCTGCCCTGATTATATTAAGTTTTGACCTTAGAAGGGTTATTCTTATTATTGATATTATTGGGAGATTAGGAAAGCCTGGGCTTGATAAAACTAATATTAAAGTTAAAAAAAATAAACGTAAACTCGGGTATATGAATGGTAAGAGGGGATATTTATCTGATGAAAGCTACCTTGAGCCTCTATTTGGATAGTGGTAACTATAGATTATGGGATGGCTCAGTGAATCGCGGAGTTGGATATTGCGTGCCGTGTATTTCTTCTAATTCGCGAAAAAGCATGTTAGCTGTTGATACTCTATGGGTAGAGTTGTCTCTATCTTATATGTGTTGCCAGAGTTGTGGTGAAGACCAGGTCTGGCATCGCTACCCTATGACTAGCGATCTTGATGAGATTACCTGCTGAACCAGGAGCAGGTGACGAGACATTAGAAACACAGAGATTGATATATAAAGCAACCGATCATAGCGTATGGAAGAGTAGCCAGGGTCTGCTAACTAGATAGTGGGAGCTTTAGTATATTGTTAGAGTGGACGCGTCTCAGCCCAGTGGCGACGAAGCAAGGTGTGCTAGCGTAAGCGACAAAATACGGGCAGACGGCAGGGAGGTAGGCAACTTCAATAGCATCCTGGTAGGAAGAAGTATCATGATTCTTTTCTGATGAAAATTTGCATGAATATGTGCTAGAAATATTGGTTCAACAGGACAGTCCCTAATGCCACCGCCACAATTGAAGGCCGCCAATGGTAACCAAAGCGCAAGAACCGCAAGATATTGCTACCGCGACATTACGACGGACGCGAATGGGAGTTATACTTTCACGATGGAGTAAAAGTATTATCAAATACTGCTGATACTACTGCAAAGATCCCGTCATCGCTTCAGTGACGTCAGAAACCAATGTTCAATTACACTTGGGTAATGCTGTTGGTGGCACAAACGCTTCACTCGAGACGAAGGGAGACGAATGGCTACTACAGATTGTCAGAGCTTTCGCATTATTTACCTCAATGCCCACGCTGGCCGCTTGGAAGAAATGCCGCGTGCCCCGAACCCGCTAGCATTCCCTGCAGTACTCCTTGTGATCAGAGCTTAGGATACAATGTAGCGTTTTACTCTCATCTGCGACGGTCCGATTAGATCCAATTGTCCCTCATCCATCAGATTAGATTAGATTGCCAAGCTGTTTTATCACTCAGCTTCACCCATCAACGTCCTGCAATGCCTTTCGCGCATGTACCGACATCTCCGTGCTCCCTCCTAGATAATCTCATTGACGTACGCGGTGGAGCTAATCGTGCCGTATTACCGTGAAATCGGTCCTCTTCCGTTTCGACCTCGTTTATAATTGGAACTTGTTTGCTAAAATTCCCACTTTGCTACGCCGATCCTGCCGAACTGGACCAAGGGCCCAGTATTATTTCGGACCAACACGAAAAGATGATCTTATCAGATGCATGCTTTACTGATCGGTCCACCGGTCTCGGGATTGCGGTTCAGGGTTTTTCTTTGGGAGATTGCCTAGCTGTTGGAGAGTTTCTCTGTCTTTTCCATTTAATGTAACCTTGTTTCCAGGTCTTGTTCGGTAACGATTGACCCAACCCAACTCCCGTTCCACCATTAACTTACAATCATGGGAGTTTGGAATAGGATGCGGCCTCAACTGGGCTCCAAGAGCTCAGATGTCAATGTTGCTCCCCAAGAAATAACGACCACCACCGATCATGAGAAAAGTCCAAATATTGAATCTCCAACAGACGGCAACTCCTCCGTGGCTGGGGATGCCCTGCCAGCCGAAGATGTCACAGAAGGTGTCAGGAACATGGAAGCCATCACCCTCGTATGGACCAAATCGTCTTTGATCGGCTTGTTTATCTGCATCTGGCTCGTGTACCTACTCAACGCCTTTCAGAGCTCGACAGTTGGTAGCTTGGTGCCCTACGTGACGAGCTCATGGGGCGACCATTCACTCCTCAACGTCATCGATGTTGTCGCCAGTTCAATGACGGCCGCAGTTTTCATTCCTCTTGCCAAGCTTCTTGATCTTTGGGGACGAGCTGAGGGATATCTGCTGATGGTGGCTTTTGCCGAGCTGGGCCTTATTCTCATGGCTACGAGCACGAACCTGTCAATTTACTGTGCTGCCAACGTACGTGTCATATTTAATTCTACCATGCCATGAGCTAATAGGTTCTGGTCGACAGGTCTTTTACCAAGTTGGCTTCACAGGCCTCATCTACAGCATCGACGTAATGACAGCCGACGCAACCAACCTAAAGAATCGAGCTCTGGCATTCGCCTTCACATCGTCGCCTTACATGATCTCGGCATTTGCTGGATCTTATGCTTCCGACAGGATGCTTGTGGACATTGGGTGGCCGTGGGGCTTCGCCACCTTCGCGTTCTTGACACCCGTCGTGTGCGCGCCTTTGTACATTCTTCTAAAGGTCAACTTGCGAAAAGCTAAGAAGACCATCTTGCCAAAGAAGGCAAGCGGACGAACATTCAAAGAGAGTGTTTGGCACTATGTCATCGAGTTTGATGGTAAGTTTAGCTTCTACTTTTATTTTTTTGACGCAATTGACAAGATCTTGTGTGCAGTCCTCGGTGTGTTTCTCTTTGCCACTGGCCTTATCGTCTTCCTTCTTCCATTCAACATCGCCGCCTCAGCACCCAACGGCTGGGCTACCGGATATATCATCGCCATGATTGTTGTCGGCTTTTTCCTTCTTGTCGGGTTCGCCATCAACGAAGTTTACGTCGCGCCCGTTCCCTTCCTCAAGGTGCATTTCCTCACCGATAGGACTCTGGTTGGCGCCTGTTTGTTGGATCTAACCTATCAAATATCCTACTACTGCTGGAACAACTACTTCACGTCATTCCTCCAAGTTGTCAACTATTTGACAGTCGCAGAGGCTGGTTATGTCAGCAACACCTTCAACGTAGTCTCCGGAATCCTTTTGTTCATCATTGGCTGGGGTATCCGAAGAACAGGATACTTCAAGTGGCTTCTATGGATTGGTGTGCCCCTCTATATCTTTGCCCAAGGCTTGATGATCTACTTCCGAAACCCAACCGGCTATGTAGGTTATCTTGTGATGACCCAGATATTTATTTCCATCGGCGGAAGTGTCTTCACTATCTGTATGCAGCTCGCTGTCCTAGCAGCTGTTGATCACCAACACGTCGCCGCCGCCTTGGCAATGTTGAACGTGACAGGCACAGCGGGCGGTAGTATTGGATACACGATTTCGGGGGCGATCTGGACCAATACCTTCGAGAAGGCTCTGATTAGGTACCTCCCTTCAAGTGCGCTAGACAGTCTTGCGGATATCTACGGAGATCTTGCTGTTCAGCTGAGCTACGCTAAGGGTACTCCTGAACGCATCGGTATTCAAAAGGCCTATGGGTATGCTCAGACCCGGATGTTGGCAGCTGGAACGGCGATCATGGCTTTGTCTTTTGTCTGGGTTGCACTCATCAGAAATCTCAAGGTATCGGAGATGAAACAGACGAAGGGCAACGTTTTTTGAGTGTAATTTTTCTAAGACATCAACTCGATATGTGAGCAGTCTGATCCTTGGTCTGCGCAAAGAAGAGAGGTTCCTCAAGGACAATCTGGTCTGTTCAGCTATGATCGTAATGAAGACTGTAACTCTAGTGCTCGGTTGAGCGAAGGGGTAGGCAGTACCAAAGAACGTTGCGAGCTGAACACCCATATAATCCTGATCGGCTGCAGGTCATAAATCCAACTAGACACTCAACTAAACACCATTAAATTTATCAAGAAGCTGTTGGTTAAAGTTATGCGTTTCTACGCTCCCTGAGACAAATAAATGATTATGTACCATACCACGTATAGAGCACCGGTTATGTGGATCTCCCTCATTAGACCAAGACATGACAACTGGCTGGCTGACAAGACGATTCAGAAATCTTCTTTTTGCCACAAGGCTGATACCCTTCATTTTAGTCAGTGAGCAAATTCCTTTCTCCTACTGTGGCTGGCTGAGAAGATACAGGTTTCCTCTTTGTGCAAGGGGTCTTATATCCCTGGCATTTGCGTTGTCGGGTTTTCATACTAATTTGAACCAGTTGTCTTAGCCGAAGGCTGGGTAGTCCGAAGACGTAACCGGATCGAGACCACCAACAGTCAAATATAACGTATTTTATCTCAATCGCCCTTGCTTACCACGATATTTGCTAAATCAAATCCGATGCTTGGCTGAACCGCCACCAACACTTCTCACAACTTGAAGGTCAATGCGGTCTGTTCGATTTTGTACAAATGGTCACTTGAGGTGCTGCCTTCTGCTACCGTACATTATCTCTTGATAATAGGACAAAATGAAGCGTCAAACTGCAGCCTTTGGACTGCTCAGCAGCGTTGTGAGCCCGGCATTTGCTTCTGCGAATATAGGGGATATTGAGTACGAGAATCCGGCACCAGGAACATACTGCATTACGTACTTATCGACATACCTTGCCCCAGTGTCGATCGGAACTGAGCTCCCCCTGGCAGCCTCGAGCTCTTCAGACTTTGATCAATTTTTTACGACAGAGCCGAATGATTTCTCGTCGCTGTCACCATCCGAAAGCCTAGAAGTGGTACCGACAATCGATGCGTCAGTAACTGAGCAGTCTCCATCGGCACCTCCGTCGTGCTTCTACATCTACAGACTTCAGCCCCACTGGCCAGGCCGTCATATTTGCCGTCACGCCATCCCAAGATACCAGGAAGCGTGACCTCGGGGGCTTCGTCGGTAATGGTGGCCCTGATATCTGTACATTTGCCACCGTGTATACACTTGGACAAGGCCGGCCTTTCGACGGGGGCCTACCAATTGCATACAATGGTGAAGCCTTTCAACCCCTTCGATCCTCATCAGTACCTTCTAGTGATGCCATCACCACTACCTTCAGCAATAATGGTGGCGTCCTCAGCTTTTCGAGTCCTTCCTTGCCGGGAGGTCGGGCATCCTTCTGTCAGACTCCTTCCGATGGCGAGGTATACCTGACTTTTACATCTCGGCCCTCTGGCTGTCAGCCTGTGACACTGACTATCTATGGAGGCATGTATATCTTCGAAAGCTCATGTTAACCACCACTAACATCTGTCAATAGCTGAGAGATGCATCAACGGTAGAATCGATGGCCTGGAAACTTCGGCCATTGCCAGCGGAAGTGCGCAGGTCACCGACCAATTTTCCACCCAAGGTCCCCGATCTACGAATCCTGCCGAAAACATACCAGACACCACAGAAATACCTCCGCTTGAGCCCTCAATGGATGAGACAGTCTTTCCTACCTTGACATTTGATCCCACCAAGCCACTATCCTCCAGCAACATAACCTCTCGTCAGGCAACAGCTGAACGAGACCCTTTGACCAGTGGAATATTGCTTCCTTCTATTCCACCTTCGAGGTCCGTCGAGGAAAGCTCGTTTGCGACAGAGACATTGTTACCCACCCTTGTGTTCACCTCTGCAGTGGAACAAGGTGCTTCAAGTGTAGCCACACCCTCCGATGATGAATTTCCTTCGTCTACGGTTATCTTGTCTTCTTCTAACTTGCCCATATCCACGCTGGATGTTACCTCATCTGCAGATGTCCCAGAGACTTCTAACGTTCCTACTCCGTCATTTGAAGAAACCTTTTCCACCATAAACATTGACACCTCATCAGCTATGCCTACATTGACAACTGAGGATACATCGTCTCCAGCAACCACTTCCGAGACTTCCACTTCCGAGGCTTCCACTTCCGAGGCTTCCACTATACTTACCATGTCGTTGGAGTCTACAACAGATATACCCACTACCACAACAACCACAGAGACAACAACAACGTTCGAGCCTATCATCATCACCAATAGGGTACTGAATGGCAAATTCGCCATGAGAGATCCAAACTCGGCGAGTGGCATGATGGGCTACGAGCCTGAAGGCGACGTCTCACAACATACAGGAGACTGCTATACCGAGGATGGCAGTTCTGATGATGGCTGCGCTGCACTGGCGGTAGCTGAAGGTGGCAAACGAAGTTTCGGGTCCTTCGCAGGCATGTCTCAGATGGTCGGATCTCTCAGCCCCAGCAGGACTGTTCTTTACACGGTACAGTTCTACTATATTGCCATCACAGTTGGGCGCAGTCAGTCATGCACTGTCGACGCCTACCTTGGAAGTCAGCAGTTTTACTCCCAGGGGCTCTTCTCTGGTGGTGGCGTCGGTGTATCATGGAATAGGGTTCTTACCATGGTCAGGGCAGATACTCGAGATGCCGGCCTCCGTATCACCCTGAGCTGTACAGGCACTGGGCAAGCCATGATATACATTGACTCCATCTTCATGTCAAACGAAATAACACCGGATACTATTGACCAGGCTCAACTAGACTTTGGTAACATGGGAAACACTCCTATCGAAACTCCGGTTCAAAGCACACCGTTCCAGAGCACCATGATTGAAAGCACCCCACTTATTGAGAGCACTTCAGTCGAGCACAGCCCGATTGAGAGCACTACAATCCAGAGTACTGAGTCCTTGAAAACAGCTTCGTCGACAGTAATCGAAGAGTCTACCACAGCTTCTCAGACTCTGAGTGCTTCCGCCACCCCAACCGATACCTGTGTATACAAGCATGGTGAGAGATGCGATTTTGACCGCTTTAATGTTCCCAAAGACGTTCTTTGCTCGTATGCCGGCACTTTCAAAGGTGAATCATGGACAGTGACGCGCACGGAGTACCAACACCAAAACTCCTGGGAGCAGTGTCTTGCGATATGCCATACGCTAGAGGGATGTCGTTCGGCGGGTTGGTGGCATGTCGATAATCGCTGTAGATTCTCCTCGAAGGCGCTCGTCCAGGAAGACTTTGAGCTTGACGGTCTTGAGGATTGGGAGCAACAGACTTGGGGCGACATTCGCTGCTATACCGACTGCGAAGAATGCATCCCAGAGTCTGTCCCTATCCCACCATCCAAGAAGTGCTCGTACACCCAAGGCGACCGTTGCACTCGCAATGCTGCCCCCGAAGGTGTTATCTGCAATTACAGCGCTTGGATGGCGGGTATGTACTGGACTGGGGATCAATGGATCAAAGAGTATCCCCACCAAGCATCCTCTGAAGAGTGCGCTGCTAGTTGTTATGCGATGTCGGAGTGCGGAGGCTTTGCGTATAAAGATGGCCGTTGCAAGTGGACTGGCTATAAACTTGCTTTGTCTGGTATGCCAGTGCCACTGGAGACTGATAGAGATCCGTCGTGGAACTCGGTGTGGGATGATCCTTTGTGCTTTACCTGCCCCGGGTGTAGCGACTAGACAATCTTCCTCACTTCACTGTTGCATGTACTAACTTTTCAATCGGGCATCTTTTGTTTGCCCTTCTCTTCCCTTTTGTGTTCCGTCACCCGACAATAATCTTCTCTATTCATCACTGACTGGTACTTTTTTTCTTCTAATTATCGATAGTGTTTTCCATGACAAAGATCGTGCATTCGATATGAGGTTAAATGTGTAATCTGTGAACTCACAAGTATCTTCATTCTACATACTCCCCCGTTGTTATGACCAGTATTTCATACTCCTTCTCTTCATACTCATCCACGAGCTTATGCAATCCAGCCCCTTTGGCAAATTTGGCACACAGTCCATACGCAACACCCAACTGCTCAACAAGTCCTTCTTCCTTGAGCAGGGGAATATTTTCTTGTCCAAGCTGCAAAGCTTCGAAGTCTGTTTTGGGAACCTCGGCAAATCTGGGCTTTTCGCCATCCTTCCCAACGTCCTGATAGATATCAAGGATGCCTTTGGTCTTGGCAATCTTGCGTCTTCGCTCATCGTGTTTAGCGGCATCAGGTCCCTCACAGGCGGGGCACTGACATATGAACCCCCAGTTCGACAATTCTCTTAGTCTAGTCTGACGCGAACACGCGACTTCGATATATGAATTGGTGATTTCCTCATCTTGGCCGATATCCGTAACGGCGTAGACTTGAATGAAGCCGGATGGCTCATCGTATATCCAACATGTGTTGGGCGTGCACGAATGATTCATTCGACAGAATGTGGTAAACAAGCCACATTCCAGACCGCCTGATTGTATGCTTGCAGCGTTGGTGTAGAACTTGGCCAGAACAAGACTGCAGTCAAGACTTGTGCTTGGACACTGCTGTCCTTCGAGGAAGGAAAACTCTAGAAGCTTCTTTGGGTTGTGATATAAGTTCATGAGCCGCTCCTGATCCAGAGGCTGCAACTCAGAAGTTTGATCGATTACACATCTGTATTCGGTCTTGTTTTGCGTCTCGACCTTGGAGACTGACAGAATCGATCTTTCATGGATAATGCGCGTGCCTGCTTTGATCAAGTCGCGAGCGAATAAACCATGGCCATCGGCTATTTCTTTCAGCTCATATAAGAAGCTTATCTCCTCCATTATGCAACTCAGAGTTTCCGGTCAATAGCGACATACCAGAGCTATCATGAGTGATCATGATAGTGTAGGGTTCTGCTGAAGTACGGATAATGGAAAAATATCTCGGGATACCCACAAGGCCCAACCCCCGGCCAATGAACTGTCTCAACGGGGCATGCACACCCTATAAATAGACACTCTTGCAGTATTGCCTAAGAGTGCAACTTTTGTACTTGAGAGAAGCTATTTGCTTGATACTGTACCAAGATACCTCTTGCTTTACTGCTACCTCACCCTAACAGCCAATGTTTTTGAACACGTGAGGGGCCGAAAGAGTTCGGGAAACTGGCCCGGAGAAAATGTTCCGACCAGGGTCAGTCAGTTCGTCAGTCTAACCACATTCGGGCTTTTGGCACTCAGCCATCCTGCGACAGTGGCATTCTCTCAAGATCAGCTAAAAGAAAACGCGACAAAACAGTACTTGAGCTTTTGTGCTGTTACAATTAAAACATTTTGACGCATGATACTATAGAGAAGCAGGCTGTCCTAAAAGTTAACGGCTTGAAGTTCTTCACCAAAGTTCCCACTATTCGTCATGATAAAACGCGAGATCCTGCTGGGATTTCTCCGTTAAATTGCCCGCACCAGCACACAAGATGTGTACGTCTTAAAGGTCACTCCTTCCATGGCTTCTATCTAATCATATGTCTCTTTTTGTGGCTATTCTTTACCCACCCTGCTATTCCTTGTTACATGTTACGCAATGATCTGACTCTGACCTTACCCTATATGATGAATTATTCCCCTGGGCTGTCGGGGTTCTCTCTACAGTCAAGCTGTAATCGCATTACTGACTCACAAAAACTCGGTAAGAATAGTACTTGTCGCAAATATTTTTCAATTGTCAATTATTTTACACAAGTGATTATTAAAACAGCCTTCTTCAACCGCGTCACAAATCAGTTGGAGTTGACGTTGCAAGCTTCAAAACACTTAATTGCCGGCGTATTTCCACATCTTACTGCTTACCTATCCTCGGCATTGAAAAGCGGAGACGGAAACCTGATTCCCGGCATCCATTCGACCTTTGACCCTCTACTCACATCGGTATCAACACCAAACAGGGACTCCCCACCCTGAAATTGCATATATACGTTGGCATATTTATTCTCTTGGTAAAAGGCCACAGCAATGTCAATGCCATACTCGCAATCTGAAGTATCATACTTAACCCAAAATTTCTTAATACTCAAACATCTTCGTGCGCTTCCAGAACAAGATGTCGACTTTCTTGAGCATAACAGGTGCTTTCACCTGCCACTGCCCTCTATACAGGAAGAATTCATCAACCAATATTTCTTGTATCTACACCCTTACTATCCACTGATACACGAGAAGGACTTTTGGGATATGTTTCTGGGCCGGGAGACGGGCACTGAGAAAACTTCTACAATGTCTCTACTTGTCTTCCAAGCAATGCTGTTTGCAGCTTCCTCGGTATGATTTACTCAAGTGCTCTGGCCTCTGTCAGTAACTAACAAAATTTAGTTCGTTTCTCCTGCAGTCCTTAAGAATGCCGGATATACAAATGTCAAAGTCGCGCGGAACATCTTCTACCGAAGGGCTAAGGTATGTGAGACTGCTTCCCTCGGGTTTTGGCTCCGTCTAACAGTACCGTACAGCTTCTTTTTGATTTTGGTGTGGAGAGTGATGCATTTACTAAGGCCCAAGCAGCACTTCTTCTGACTTTCCAGTTTTCCGCCGTCGAGCCACATGCAGGGAGTACTTGGCTCGCCATTGGAATACAGAATGCTATAGTGGCACAAGCACATACCTTTCAAGCTCCTGGTTCAAGTTCGGCTCGTAAGAAGGACAGCAAGAGGCTCTGGTGGTCGTTGTTCTGGAGAGACAGAGTCTTGACCCTGGGACTCCGTAAACCACTCCAAATCACTCCGTCTAGCTTCAACGTTAGACTGGACCCCATCACCCCGGATGATCTAGTAGATGAAGCGGACCACTCGGCTGTTTACAATCTCATAACCAAGCGCCACCTTGCGCAAATACTCAACTATCAGTGCAGACTAGCTGTTATTCTGACGGAGACACTTTCCATCTGTTATGGGCCAGGTGCATTTGATCCAACTTACTCTCTTGATAATTTCGACAGAACTTTGTCCCGCATCCGTTCAGCCAAGAAAGCCCTTTCTCGGTGGAAGAAGGAAGCAGACGAGACCCTCAGCGCGGTCTTGATAGGCCCGGAAGCACATCGATCCACGACACTCATTTCAAATGTTGTCTATATCTATGCCTAGTGAGCCACATCGACGGATTCGTTTATATAAAACTAACAGCCTGTAGTGCTGCTCAGATTGCCTTGGGAAACCATGAGGCGATGATGATAGAACAACGAGAAAAGGGATTGAGTGTGATTGATGACGCTGTCCTCCGAACTATCGGTAAAGACATAAGTCGTGCGACAACAAAGACAACAAAGTTGGTGCGATTTATCGTGCAGGAGGGCTTGACACAACATCTTCCTATATCTGCGTGAGTCGCTTATCTTCTGGGTCTTTTCCACATCTAACCAATATTTAGTATTGCTTATATAGCATTTCCCCTCATGCTAAGCTCTCTAGACGAAAGGCTGTCATCTCAGGATGCGGCAAATGGCAACAGTCAGCTACTGACGAGATACAATGCACAAGCGATGCACCTGTGTAGTCAGCGCTTCGAGGGGGCCGTGGATATCAGTAGAATGATCACGCAGATCGTTCAATCTACACCCATCCAGTTACCACTTCGAACCAAACAACCATTAACCCCAAGATCCGAGAGAGTAGGAGTAGAGGAACAGTCATGGAAGTCATCTAGGAACATGGCAGCATACTGGGACGAGCTTTTTGTCACACGACATTACATGCAGCTTCGTCTTTCACTAGATTATGCCCTGATCACCGGGAGACCTCCCACCCAGGAAGACCTCCCATTGAATCTTCTTCGCGATGCCGGTGTAAAAAGGTTTGCAATGAGCCCTATTCATAGTCTATCTTCAGTAACGCTCCACACGCCACGAAAGCGACGGGCGTCAGAAAGTGTCGCTGGTCTACCGCGGGTTATAGAACTTGATGAAGATCCTAGCGATGTGCTGGAAACCGATACTAATGGATCTTTCGATGATTCGATGGTACCTGATATGCAGGTTGTTTCTCGACGAGAGGAGCTCGAGACGCTTTCTCGACCGTTTTTTGAATACGACACGATTTGGGCGGCCAATCTGTTCGAGGAAATAACAGATGGACTTTGGTCATGAGAAATAGTTATGTGTGGAAGAAATGGTACACCGAATGAACAGGCTAGTAGTTAAACTCTCAACATCATAAACCTGCAGTTGCTACTGTCGCAAGATTTTTCACTGTGTGCCACTGGTGACGATCCCGGATAAAACCACTTGAAGAGTGTTTTTCACCTTCCAGATTCAATAAATATCGATATATGTGGCTGGATGTCATCATCACCTGTAACTGTGTCGAAATAGTCTATGATCGGCAAGTCGGGGTAGAAGTTCAGTTCATCCACTGGAGAATCTCAAATTCCACTACTGAGATCCAAGTCATTGTGGATCATGCTAACTAATTGTGATCAGCCGGACGTTTATGCATTACTCTGTCATTGCTCTAGGTTGTAGACAAGGATTCTTCGCAAGGGTCATGCCGAGCGCTTAAAGCTTCGTGCTATCTTCTACCGAGGACACCACCTCAGGAACCCTGCACTTACCCCAGAAAGTGAACTACAGTCCCGAATGATAGCCCGAAGCTTCCATATTTGACTACCTCCGTCGGCCGAAGTGGCAGTACCATGTATAATATCGTTCATTAAAGTATCGGGTCTGGTCTTGGTCTTTCTCCTCGCTTCTAAACTATTTCTTGCAAAACTCGGTTAATTGTTGCACATTGTTTCTCGACTCATCTCAGCATCTTACACAATGCGATTCTCTTTCACTACAATTCTATTTAGTGCAGTAGGCTTGGTCCAGTCGACTCCTCTTGTCAGGGCTGCGAAACCTCCTCACTTCTTCCTGATCGGAGACTCCACCGTCGCGGTCAACGGTGGCTGGGGTGACGGATTTCTGTCTTATCTAAACTCACCAGCAGAAGGCGACAACAGAGGCGTCAGCGGTTCGACCACAGTATCGTGGAAATCCAGTGGCCGCTGGGACAAGCTCATCCAAGATATTGGTGCAGCCAAGACTGATTTTGAGCCGGTAGTCACCATCCAGTTTGGCCACAATGATCAGAAAGTGATGGGTTTGGATGAATTCCATACCAATCTGGTAGATATAGGTAATCAGATCAAGGAAGCAGGAGGTACACCGGTAAGCGTTTTGAATAAGAGTCAAATACCTTCAAGTACTAATAACTGAAGATCTTTATCACGTCATTGACCCGTCGCACATTCCAAAATGGAGAGGTTGTCCAGAATCTCAAGGATTGGGCAGCCGAGACTATCTCTGCCGCTGGAGATGTCGGCGTCGACTTTCTTGAGCTGAACAAAGCAAGCACAGATTATGTCAATTCCATCGGAGAGACGGATTCACAGTATTACAATTGGGGACCCGGTGATAGGACACATCTCAACCCTGCTGGCGAGGTTGTTTTCGGGCGCCTGGTTCTTGACTTGCTACTTGAGAAACGAGAGGATTTCTCGCAGTATTTCACTGCCAATGAAGCACTCAGTGACAAGATCAAGAAGGGCGAATTCGCGACTGGCGAGGAGTAGGCACTGGTAGCACTGTCATCTGTTTCCGGTTTACTGCATCGCAATTTATTGTTTCGACTATATGATACGCCGTATCAAGAGAATTACACTTCTCCCCAACGATATATAGCGATTCGATCTAGTGAAAAGATATACGAGATGTCACAACCTTGTAGCGCTATGCATCATATGGTTTCTGAGCCCATACGACCTTGCCCAAAAAGTATCCGTGATGAGTTTCGGACTTGATCTCGCGGCGGTAACGAGCAGCAAAGACATGAATCTCTTCCTTAGCCCAGCCCAACAAGTTCGCGATGAACATCAGAGTACCCTCAACATCTTGTAGGATAGCCGCTTGGAAATATTGGCCGGCTTCCTTCGTCTTGGGATCGCTCGACCACCCACCAATTGGAAGCTGTCACGTCATTCCATTGTCAGTAATCTTCTAGCTAAAGTATCTAAAAATGCTTACCTTGATTTCTTCCTCGTGTATGTTTGTGAACCCAGCTTCCTCCATTCCTTGGCGCTGGACATCGTCTTCAAGAATCGAGAACGGCCTTTGAAGTCGTCGACCACCTTCCAGGAAGAGCTTTCCCCATTGCCCCATAGCGCTCTCCGCGGGGATCGAGTCATCGTCACTCTTGATAGTCGGTCCAGCCTCGTGGCTTTCAATCCAGCCGCCGGGCTTGATACATTTGTACGCTTGCTTATAAAGAGCAGTCCAATCAACGATGCTGCCAACTAAGAAGCGCATATGCACGTAGTCGAGAGAGCTTTCTTGAAAGGTCCAATCTTGGGTACAATCATCGATTTGACTGTGACAAGTCTTGTTAGTTTTGCATTTCATGAGTGGTTGGATTCTTACATACAACTCAAGATTAGGTGGTAGCCAACTCGGTTGAATTGGAGAGATATCAGTTCCAATGACCTTTGCATTGGGGAACTCGTCTGCAAAGTCCCTAAGACTGTTAACATGTCCATGCGAACAAATATTTCAATAGAATGTCTCACATTGCCCAAATACCTATTGATTTGAAGTTAGAGGTACATGGCTAGGATGTGGGATCAGCTTAGATCTTACCAGTGCCAGTTCCTATATCCACCGCAGTCTTCGCGATGCTATGTCAATTAAAGCATGAGACCTTGAGCAATGGGTAAAGCACCTGTATATCATCCTTCACTGGGGCTTTGCAAAGCTTTCCATCGTACAAGAGTATCAGAACATGATGGCTATAGGTATCAGCAACGATAGTTTAAATGGAGCTAGACACCCACTTGATGTCCAAGGCCTCGTTGGACTGATTGTCGTTCGAGATCCTACTCAACCCGTTAGGAGCGCTTCCTTCTGGCTAGGCATATTTAATTACCAATATTGAGCATCGCCCTGTTCACTATGATAGTGCCTTCCATTTATCTCACGGTACCGCAGGATCTCGGATGTTAAAGATGCGGTTGAACTAGCATTATCCGAAAGCGTGGAGTCGGTATCATCGTTATCTTGTTCATGGTCCTGTATGAGAAAAAGCGTTTTAGTAAATGAAACTACAACATATGGTGTGTTGAAGGTTGTAATCTCACGTTGGCAGTCTGCGTCCAGTGATCGCCAGGCAGGGGACCGTCGGAGGACTCCCCTTGTAGGTGGGAGGTAATCTGTTCAGGCAATTGATCCGACTTCTCGATGGGTTCTGTTCCCGTCATGTTGACGATCATAAACCACTTGCAGGGTGAACAACAAAGGGCGAACGAGATATGGACTTTGGTGATAATTTCAAGCTGAACGAGCGGGGTCAACCACGCAACAAAATGTTTACCTGCTTTTCTTCAATTAGCCAACGTGTGGTGTGGATACCAACAAACTGTCATTTCCATACTGCAGGGTTCTTCTGGATATAGACGAGGGTAGTGGCTGCAGATATGATAAGTCAGATCATACGATATCAAACACCTGCCCATGTCAGAATTCGCTTCTGTTGGCCAAGGAGTCAGTCTTCGCGGCCTGGCATAGTGAGTCCTACTTAGACCGGGTGACATAGAAACTCGGGACGTCAAAGAGTGGCGCTTCGTTGTTGTACCAATCTATAGGACTCCAATCCGTATCAACGGTCTTGAAGGTGCGTGACAACCAGACCATAGTAAGTAAAGCGATATCTCGTGAATATGCATGTGGACCAATCAAGGATACTACAGCCTCCGAAAAAGTCTTGGAAATCTAGCCCGACTACACCAACAATAACCATGTCTATAGATAAGCTTCATATGTAGATATGGCAAGCTGTTCTCGAGATTAAACTCTTCTTGCTTAACTCTGATCTTGTCGGGTCTAACCTGTATCAGACCCTCTTCCTGATCTTCAGTGTTGCCTTCATAGGAGGAATTCGGTTCTGAGCAATCCATGTGTTCCTAGGTCGCTCCGCCAAATGCCCAATATCATAATGCAGCAGTGCATAAGCAATCATCATCTTGACCTCATTGGAAGCAAAAAACCTCCCCGGACACGCATTCCGCCCGAGACCCCACGCCAAAAAATCCTTCGTCGCCGTTGGAAGAGCATTCCGTGCGCTTTTAACATATTCATCTGACTCATTCTGTCGAGCTTCGTAGAAGCGAAGGGGAACGTAAGCGCTGGGATCCGTGTAGACTTCGCTGTCCTGGTGCACCGAGTATCCAGGAACACCTATCCTAAGGCCCTTGGGGACATGTGTTCCTGATGGAAATGTTACGCCGTCTTTGGCGACAACTTCCCTTAGTACGCCGATGACAACGATGGAGTTCTTACGCTGGCTTTCGCGGATGGCGGAGTCGAGCTTTTCTAGCTGCGCGACGGCTCGTTTGTTCCAGTGGTAATCGTGCTGCTGAAACACAATTTCGATCTCGTCACGCAGCTCTGTGATCAGTTCGGGCGCTGATGATGCAATATCCAAGAGAGCGTGAGTAGCGGCGAAAGTGGTGGTGTGAATAGCAGCGAAGTTCAGGAGCAGGATACGCTGAGCAATGGCGCTGGTCTGCCAGTTCTTAGGGTTTCCTATTCCTTTCGCTTGTTCCACAGACCACTGTAAGAAGTCATTTCGCTCAGACTTCTTGCTATTCTCTCCACGCTCTTGAACATCGTACTCTTTTAACCGTGCTTTGATCTCAGGTGCAATCATCTTCTCGAATTCGCGAGTATGAATCCTGTTCGGCAGGGTAATCAATGGGGCCACAAGTGGCTTGATAAAAGATGGGAAAGCCTTCATTATGGTGGAAGAGAGGGGGATGTCTTGAGCAAATGCAACGACCAGCTTGAGCATCTCATCGTTTCGACATAAGGGAAATCCGACAAATACGCGATTGGTAACTCCGCTCAGCATTTGTTGCATTGTCTCGAAAACACAGACTTCCTTCCAGTCGCCATCGTTTTCCCAGTGCTTGCTGAAGCAGTACTCAATTTCATCAGCAAGATCTGGGATGAGGTTTCCGACTTCCTTGGTGAGAGTAGTAGCCACCAGCTCAAGATGAATCGGGTCATGCGTCAGCGACGGGTCCATGGTGGTGTAATCTGTCTGCAAATCCTTTTGCGCAGACTCGTGCATACTAAGAGCATTAACTGGTTGCTCGCTAGCAAACTTCGTATCCGACCTTGGCAAATAAACAATATTTCCGCTATCAATCAAGGGAACAATGACAGCTTGATCCTTGTACTGGACCTTTGCTGAATTTAGCGCTGCCTTGACATCGAAGGAATTTCGGATCTTGGCTTGCAAGATTGGAAACCAATCGCTCTTTCGAGCACCAATTATAGGAAGATCAGGTAAACCAGATGGCTTGAAAAAGAGGCGGTATACGACATATGACACCAGCAGAATGAGCGGTGCTGCAATTGTCGGCCGTGAGGCCATATTGAGGGCTAATCCAGCCATGTCGAAGTAATGCAGCGCAATCGACTCGTTTTCGGTGAGGAGAAGCAGGAAAGCGTATGCTAAGGTATGAGAAATTGCACGGTCTTTATGTACGCGCTTTTGTATATACCGAAGGTCCACGGAGTTTAAAAGACGATGACAATCTCATTTAAAACAGCTTCGATTGGTCAGCTCAGGTGATCTTACCATAACTGGCACAAGTGCTGACGGCCAAGGTCAGATTATATCCAGTCGCTGCCATGTAGGATCAGAAGGATTCATTGCTAGCGAAGTAAACTACCTGTGCCGCAAAGTGGTTCCTGAAGGATACTGATAACTTCATACGATTGACTGTTTATAGTCATATATCAGCCTACTAGTTGAGCTGTGCAACACTTATCCATTCTTGGTTGCATTTATTCTTGACAACAACGTCAATCTATGGTCTGATCATAGTCATTCTATAAATTGTAGTCTTAATGAACGATATCAAAGACTGCTTCAACGCCCAGATGGTCAGTAATCCATGGCTTCTCGAAACCGATCGAGAGCAACTCCTTTCGGGCATCTTCTTCACCATGGTCCGGTTCCACATCAGCACCAAATCGCTCAAACTCTGAGACCTTGAGGCTGTCGCCACAGAAATACACTTTGTCCATGCGGGAGCAGCCATAAAGTCGACGTAGCTGTGACAAAGCCTGTTGTCCCCATGTATAACCACCCTCGTCGTCCTCTTCACCTCCAAGAGTCAGGTAAGCATCTTCGAGGGCATTGTCGGTGTGGAGCGTTCTGTCGAAAGGCTGAATCGCGTTGAAGTCGCCAGTAACAACAGCGCCTGAGATGTTCTCATCGTGCATGTGTGTTGCGATAAGGCCCATTTGCGCTGGACGCAGGGGTGGTTCTAAGGCCAGGGATTCGAGATGGGTGTTGCATATCCGAATCGTCTTGTCAGAGTTCAAAGATATGTCAACAAACAGAGCATCTCGTTCCATTTGAGTGGCCGAGTAGTGCACGCGAAAGCACGAGGATAATTCGAGCCGGCGATCCACAAGCGTCGTTGTACCGTATAAGTCTGAACCCCAGGTTGAGGTATCTGTGTCTGTACAGTAAAAGCTCTCCCGAATCCAAGGCTTCTGGCCGATATTGATGAGGTCGGAAGGTACACACTCCTGCAAGTTGATGACAACCGCTGTGTTCTCGTCCGATCGATGGTGGCGAGTCAGCTCTTCCAGATGCGCTAACGCAGCGTTCATCCGAGCATCTCCATGTGGAAGCATAAAGTCAATGTTCCAGCTGTATATCGCCAGCTTGGTCATTTTTGGCTTGGGGGAAAGTGGTTGGGCTGTTTGAAGCGGGTGCCACTCATTTGAGTCGGGGCTCCATTGGTAGAAAGGCTGCTTCCATGATTGATCTGCCCGCCAAGCTACTGAGGAAAATGATTTTCGCAGCAACCTCGCGCTTTGTATCGACTTCTGCACAATCTGTTCCATCATGTGAGTGATATGATGAAACCAAGAGGTGGAGTGAACGTCGAGCGAAAGTGCGTTGACAACGTGTAATTTTAAGGCGGGGTAGACCCTGTCTCACGTAAGAGTCCAGGCAGCATCAGGATAACTGTTGCACGAGTTTGCATTGTGTCACTTACCAAGTCATATGGAACAACTTGCACTTGCGGAAGTATATGATGTCTCATTTCGCGATATGTTGGATTGACAAGCAGAATTTGGGCAAAAAGGAAACATGTTTCTTCTCAACCGCGATCTGCATTCGATAATCTGCCCCAGTTTCAGGCGCAATACCCAGAAGAGTTTCCAGATGAGCAAAAAATAAGTACCATATTCGTAGTTTATCAGAATGTCCTAACCCTATCTTATCTCAGTATCTAGAGATCAAGCTCAAAATCCCACACTTGCAACTTTCGATCGGGGAAACCACCGGCCTGTCTAACAAAAACGCTCAATATTCCATGGTCATGAAGGCGGGTTCTGTCGAACAGCGGCTCAGTGGCAGTGTTGGGTATCTCAGCAAGAGACGTCCAGTCTTTGAAACCTTTAGCCGCTGTGGCGACATAGATACCCGTCGATTGCTTCACGGGGTCGGGAAGAAGACCGAACAGGTATTCACCAGTGGCATCTCCAGCAAGCTTACCACGCGGGTCGTACAGGTCAGGGCCGTTGAGACCAGTCGGGTTAATTGCATTCTTGGTCCATTTGCCTAGTCTATGTGAGCAAAAAGATCATCTTGAAAGGATGGGGTCTGTACCATCGGTGCTTCGAAGATAATGCTGATACAAATGTTTCCCAGATAACAAATCTCTCATGAGCACGTGGAATCGGCCTTTGGTATCGACAAGCTGTCCTTCTTGGTTGACCATGCGACTATTTTGTGGAATATCCCAGATCAACGTACTGCTATCAGAAGTCGAGATTGGCTTGTTAAGCTTGGTGTTATTGGTGTTGAACCAGGTTTTGCCATCATCGTTGGAGTACGCGAAGTAGACTCCATGGTTCGTGTCAGCGTTTGGTGTCTCTCTAACCGTCCATGAAGTGTAAAGCTTCCCATCGAGATAGTCTAGTCCGTTGATGTAGGCATTATTGTCGTCTCCCTGGATGTACATGCCTTGGGCCTGCCATTTTCCAGTGGATGAGCTGTAGCGATGAATGTAGCTATCGCCAGATCCGGATCTATAACTGTCAGAGCAATCTCACAGCTCCAGACCCAGATGACTTACTGTCCGATGCGGAATTCAAGGAGGAGATCGCCATTGCTTAAAGGTTCGAAACGAGGATATGTCAGCGGAGAATAAGGCCCTGTAGACCCTGCCAGGCTGTGTACAACCGGTCCAAACAAGTCCGACGTCCATTTAGCAGGAACGTTCTTGGCTATGCCGGCATTCGAGACTCGATAGTTGATCGGAACATCCTTTTACCGTTCGTTAACTTCTCATATGCTTGGGCTTAAGCTGACACAAACTTACGTGGTGGTCAAAACTAAGGTGAATTTTTCCGTCTCCAGAAATACCCATAGAAATCATATTATGCCCATCCATCGTCTTTTGCGTGTAATCATCAAACGTGAGATACTCCCAGTCTTGAACATTGGGAGAGACTCTTCTTCGACCTAGCCGCACGAAGTGGTTGAGATAGCCTGCCGGAGCAGTTTCGTAGAAGGTCACATATTGATGCTCCCCGTATGTGATGAGGGCGTCTTCTTGGTAGCTCACACCATTGAGTCGCTCGGAACCTTGGATATCAGTACCAATGGTCCACTGCTTGGTGGATTTGATAGTGAGGGCTGAGACGGCCGACATTAGGCTTGCAATGGTCAGCACGAGTGAAATCTTGTTTAGACGCATCTTGGCTGAGGGGGTAGAAAGACAGCAAAAAGCCGCTGGGTGAACATACAGGTTATGCAATGGGGACGTTAACTTATAACAGGCTACTACACCGTCGAACCTGGCAATGTGTGGGGAACCCCGACCTGAGTCTTGGCGGAACTGGGTTGTTAACAAGGATAAAAGTATCACTATTCACCTTCCTGATCATCACTAGACAGTTTTCTTCGCCGCGGGGAATGGTACCTTTTTGGCGTATTGGATTTGTTCTCCTCTTGGCCTGGACGATCATTTTCACATCCTGGACTTCCTCGGGCTCGGATTGTTGGTCGGGTGAGATCCTCCGATATCCCGATGCATGTCCTGTTCGAACTTCACGCATCGGGGGTTCGTGATTTGTAGTAAAATTTGGCTGTCGTTCGTGATGTAGAGTCTCGGATTTATTATTGAGGGCCTAAGACGTATCGCGGAGTAAAAAGTAGACAAGATTTGATGTGACAGACCGGATGCTCAGACTCAGTCCAAAACGATCTGACAATGTAGTGTGTAAGTTATCCAGGCATTTCACCCAATGAGGAAAGGCGCAGTGGCAGAGTGGTCTAATGCGATAGACTAGAAATCTATTCTCCTCGGAGGCGTCTGTTCGAATCAGGCCTGCGTCGATTGGTTTATCTTTTGGCTCCATGAGTAAGGAAGTCTAAAATTTTTGGTTTATTCATCAATCAAATCCGGTCTCTGTGAGTATTACGAATGGACTTAGATGAAGGATTTATATTCGCTCGAGGTGATCTAAACCAGACCACGTATCATCACTGCCACATATACCTTCATAAGATCTACCATATACACGATACTTAAGTCCTTTTCGTTGCCAATCGATATGAATCTCACCTGGAATTATTGAAATAATGAGGCGATGCTATCTAATCTTCATTTATATCCTTCAGGCCTTCGAAATGGCAATCGATCCTACAGAACCTTTCTTGACTGAGTGCTCTCCAGCCTCAAGCTGTTTTCCATTGCCAGAAAGGTTGCCTTTCGAGTAGACGGTTATCCTCGTACCGGCAGACACACGAATGAAGCGAATATCTTCAGGCTTAAGGCCAGCCTCTGCCAAGAAGACATTATTGAAATTCCCTAAACCAAGAGTAACACCGTGACCAGTGGCGCTGTTAGCGGAAAACACGGCAGCACCGTGCTTAGGCTGAGGAACGGGGATCATCTTGTCAAACTTCAGCTTGAGGACGTAGGCAAAGGATTCCATGGGCTTGACAGGTAGCGAGATATCGAGGCTGTCCTTGGTCTGCTCCCACTTGGCCACCTTCTTGTATTGACCAGCCTTGTTACCGAGAAGTTCGATGGACTTGAGTGTTTTCAAATCAACGATAGCGTCAGAACCAAGAATATCAATTGAGACGTTGTTATCTTCAGGCCAACCAAGAACCGAGACATAGAGAGTATTCCCTTTTTTGTTACGCGTGAAGCGGATGTCGCTACTGTTGCCCAGCAAAGGAGCCATGAAAGAACCACCAGTCACCTGACTGGGGCCTTCACCGTACACATCCCAAGCTCGTGTATCGTAAACAGCCTCGCCAAAGCGACCAAGGAAGTCTCCAATATCGTGTAGGACCTCGACCTGTTCAGCGGGCAAGACACCAGCTGCCGTAGGCGAGATGTTAAGTAGCATGTTGCCGCCCTTGCTAACGCGGTCGAGCAGGGAGTGTACCATGGCCTTGGATGTGTAGTACTTGATGCCAACGGTGTAGCTCCAGCTTGAAGCGCTGATAGCGTCATCAGTCAACCAGTATGGTCGTGTGATACTGGCCGGTCCGCCACGCTCATAATCATTCACAGCTGAGGTGAGGCGGAACCCGAAGTCGTGATGCTTGTAGGTGGTGACAACCTCCTTACCCCACTCAACGCCGCGGTTAAAGTAGTATGCCAGGAAGTCAAGACGCGTCTGCTCATCAACGGCACATGGGCCTTCAAAACTACCGCACTCGCCGGGACTGTTGAGGGAGAAGTCGTTCCAGATAATATCGGGCTGCACATGATCCAGCATCTCGCGGTGCTTGTCGAACCATAGCTTGTCAGATTCTTTGCGAGGCAGTTGACCAAGTAATTTCTGCAAGCTCGTGTCGTTGGTTTGGGGAGCCCATTGGTAAAACCTATTGTAGTTGTAAGCCTGATGTATGGCAACAACGAGCTTCATCCCGTTCTTGCGAACAAGGTCAGCCCAGAGCTTGGCAAGGTCTATCTTGGGACCCATCTTGACAGAATTCCACTCGTTGACTTTACTGTCCCACATAGAGTAGCCATCGTGATGCTCGCCGACAGGCCTGCGAAGCGTGCACCAGATGCTTTGACAGCTTTGATCAAAGCCTCGGGATCGAACTCGCCGCCTTTCGACTTGAGAACAGGCTTGAATTGGACAAAGTTTCCTTGGCGGTCCTTGGTACCCTTAATGAAGTTCTCATAGCCCCATTCCTCGGGGGGTCCATACACCTCTGTATGGTGCTTACGCTGGTCTGAACTGGGCTCATACATGTTGCGTGGGTACCACTCGCTGGCATACTGGGCTGTGGTGAAAGCGCCCCAATGCCAGTAAACACCAAACTTGGCATCCCGGAACCATTCAGGCGAGGGGTTGTGCTTGTCGGTTGATTCCCATGTAGCTTTGTATGGGCCTGTGGCCTTCGCAGAAGCGCCGATGGGGGATAAAGCGCAGGCGATAGCCGCTACTGCGGTGACCCCGGTGGGTAAGTTGATCATTGCTGCCACAGGTGGTCTATGTTGGACTCCTCAAGTTGCAGTTTATGTAAGGGGGGATATAGGATGAATTGTGGTAGGAGGCCGAGGTCGTCAGGTGTGACAATGTCGGGGCCATTTGTGGCCTTTAAAACACCCATTTAAATCGCCCTCCAGCATAGGCGTAGTGAACTGAAGTGATCAACTGACAAGAGACTACAAACCTGGACATAACAAGTTGCAATAATTAGGCCGGGACATAAATACTCAAGAGGCCGGATGCAACCTCGTATACTGCAAGTCTCTGTAATTGCTACGGACATGAAGTCATCCAGCGATTCAATACTGCCGCTCCGCTACACCATGTCCTGAACAGGCGATCTGCACTCATCAGATTCGCCCGCATATACCCCTGGATACTAAAGAACACGAAAAGCATGTTGCACAGACTACAGCATCATATTAGCCGGGATCGTCAGTTACATTGATACAACCTTGCCACTAACCTTACACGCGTAGCAATACAACAAGACCAGCATTATGAGCAGACCCCGCGTTACCCCGCAAACACTCCATGATCACTCCCCCGTAACAATTTCATCCGGTTGAGTATGCAGTGCCGAACCTTGTCAAAGTGAACGTCTTGTCCATATATATCTCATCTTATCATCAATCTTTTCAGAACCGGAAATATACTACACATAGGGGACTTACTTCATTGGAATGGGAACATACTGTGTTTACGCAATACATGTCAATTAAGCCCTGACCCAAATACCTAAGAATCGATACTCCAATCCTTAATCCTGACTCGCTTGCTCTTTATTCACCCAAGTTCTGCTCTTAACACTCTTGCTACCCTTCATCAAATGTGCCATGGTATGGATACAAGCTTGGTAGGGAAAAAACCTCTCCGCGGCCACAAAACCTAGACAATTGCCACATGCCAAAACCTCCGGACTCAAGATCGTTTGCTGTCCTCCGTATCTCGTATTGAGTCCTTATAGTACATCACAAATACGATGTCCAGCGCGACTCATGTAGTAGCACCCTTCTGGACCGTGGACTTTCCAAGCCAAAACACGAAGACCGTAAGCCTCGGGTTCGCTGAAACCGGGCGCGAACTTGTAGTGAAGATACGATGGCTCAGTGGGGGTGGAAGCGTAATCAAACATTTTCACGGTGTTCCTTTTCATAGTGTCCTCGATAAGCGCAACGAACAAATCATTCTTGGGGCAGATCAGTTCGATGTCGCCCTCGCAGATGTTGGTAGGCACGAGGTCGGCAGCAGCCCCGGATACGATGAAGGGAATCCAGCTCCAATCTGTGTACACGCCGTTCAAGACGCTGTCAGGGTCGGCGACCTCCGGTGTGTCGATCCGCTCACGGTGGAGGATGGATCGTTCGAAGCGGCTTCCAGGTGTGTCCCAGTGCCTGATGGCGTTACCATTGACGTTAATGTTGATGCAGAGAGTCGGATGCGGGTTTGTAGTATTGAAGGGTGAGGTAGGGTCATTGACGATGGAGTTATCCTGAGACTCTGGGACTTCGGTTCTATCATCAGAATTCGACAAGATATTAGTCTTGGAATCACGGGAGTTGTTGTTAGACGGTGCAAGACTAACTGAGGGCTGGGCAATCTCAGAGTTCTCCAACTGGGCGGTGCGGCCGAGTGTAACAGTGGACTCGGGGCCATCATCCTTGGTAGTGGCAGATTCGTGCTGATCTTGTTCGATGGGTTGATCGGAGAGAGAAATGACAGTGTTTCCGTGGTCAGATACAGGAGCCTCCATCATGGTGTAGGAGGAGACGGAAGCAGGCTTGGTCGCGGATTCCGGCTTTCCGGCTGCAACCCCACGAGCCCATATGCTGATACGGAGATCCGACATCTCAGCCTCTAGCTCCTTCATTCGCTCGTTCATTTCGTCCATCTTGAAGACAGGGTTTGCGGCGTGTTGTTCTGGTGCTTTCGTTGTGATGATGATGATGATGATGATGTTGAAGGCTTGAAGTGTTGACGGAGTTGGCGGGAAGGATGTGTGATGTATTGAAAACAGGAAATGGTTTGAGAAGGGTACGATGTGTGATTTTATATCAGTGCTCCTGTTGTTCTGATATCTGTGAACGATCGAGTACACGCGTTGCTGTTCGGTCGTACCACACTAGAACGCGGCCCACGCGAACACTGCTGTCAGTTGCAAGCTTGGACGGGCATGTTCACATGAACAGTATCACTTGAGTTAATGAACTTTCACTATGATTCGTAGAGAAGGAGCCTGGTTATACCATTCATCGGGGATATTCGTGTTCGAAGCTGCAAAGTCGAAGATACATCTTCTCAGGGGTGTATTCTGGCGAAGAGCTGAGGGTAATAGAAGCAGCAATGTTGATATCACGACCAAAGCTCCCTACCTATGTGTTTCTTTGGATCGCGTACTGAATCGATCAACGAAATGGCTACTTCCCTTCCTTTAGAACTCTACGCATCGTTGTATACCAATAATAGCCCTGCTTCACAAGAGGCTGACCCTAACTTGAGTCAGGAGAGCATAGAGTTCCCCTTTCTTTAAAACATCCTGTTACAAAAGTATATAAATGACTGCACGAATCGATCGACTAGTACTAAAATCCAAGATACCTTTCGTCACTAGAGTTCAATCTGCCACAAATACCCTTCTCTTCGTCGCATTTATCCCTTACTAATCAGCAATACTCCTATCACTGTCGCTGTCAGACCCGGACCCGGACCCAGTCCAGCAAGATGCCGACGACGAAGAGCTTGTCCAATCCGTCGATGAGTCATCACTCTCTAGCTCAACAAAACAGTCAATGGCATTTGTCCATAATCCAAGTAACTCTCTCAGCCCAAGCTTGAAGCTTTCCTCGTATAATAGGGGATACGAAACCTGCAGCGTGTCTTTCATCTCAAGATGGATCGGCTTCATCTTAGGGGGACGAGGCTGAACGGGTTTCGAGGGCTTAGGTGAAGCTGATACTGTGACCACGTTAGGAGCTGGTGGGAACATGCGTGGCGGCGGCGGAGGAACAGGGAGAGTCTTAGGACTCGCCTTGAGAACCATGCCAGGACGACGGATTGCTTCCCATACTGAGGGTACGATCACAGCGTTATCCTCTGTGTAGATGACATAGTTCCCCGGCTGGACCCAATAGGGCGTGATCCAGCGCGCGTTGGCCAGCATTTCCTTGATCATCTATGATTTCACTGCATCAGCAGAGTTTCAGCGTATGAAGACACTCCTTTCTCTTTCCTACCTCTAGTGTTGCGCACGATGCATACGGGAAAGGAACCTTTCTTCTTTCCATGTCCAATATGTATATGGGCTCGACCTCCTGGCCGAGACGAAAGAAGAGCGAGATCGATGCTTCAGGCTGGATGACTGCCCGAGTCTTGAAGGGATCGTCAGTGATAGACATGGCTATCCAAGTCGTTTCTCTAGAGTTAGATTGCTTGGCTGTATCGATGGCTTTGTCGATTCGCTGGCGCACCCGCTCATCGAGCGCGCCGTACTGGTCAATGAGCTCCGGACGCTTTCTCCACCTGCGATGGGAAGTTACTTGGGCGAGACTAGACCGAATTTGTCGATCATCGATGTTAAGTTTCCTATGTCCCTTGCTTGAGGAACCACTGTATTGCAAACTTATGTCGACTTGCCAAACCTCAATATCTTGGTCCTTCCACTCATCTGTGTCAGGAAGGAGTAGCCGTTTGAGCCAGCTCTTGAAAGCACGTGCCAGACTTTGTTCATCTTTTTCTATAGTCTTGTCAACCTGCTCGTCGCCATTGGCCTCGGCGGCTACTTCTCCGCCCGAGGTTGGTTCCGGGGCTTTGACCTCAGTGGGAATGACAACCTCTACTGGTTTCACGTCACTACTCAACGTTAGACTTTCCACAAGTAGTGCCCACAATGGGCACCTTCAATCCAGGCTTGAGCAATTGACTTACCAAACAGTCGTAGCAATAGAGGCAGGCTTGCTTATAGCCTTTCCAGGCTTACTACAGTACGCATTCGCGTCAGCCAAATGTCTCGCCCCCACAGACAACGGACGAGAGAATGCAACATACCCAAACAAGAAGCCTGCCACGCCGAGGTCTTCGAATGAGCTTCTAGTGGAAGGGACAGGCGAATCAACCTTATTCCAGATGGCCATCTTCTTCGAGATATGCTTGTGGTGACCTCTCCACCTGGAGGCGACGCGGTCCGCATGTACCACCAATGAGCACTCGGTATTCAGATCGCCTGGGGCTCGAGTCTTCGTCCTAGACATTCTTTAGTCAATACTCGCTTGTATATATGATATAATAGAAATTAACCGACATAAGCTGGTGGTTCGCGATACAGCCCAGCAAATATCGCATCATGAGCTCGAACTTCACCTGTGTCAATAGGTGTTGACAGTATCTGAGCCTGAGCTCTAGCCAGTTCCAGGAATCGTAGCTCCAGATAGCGTTACTGGTAACGTAGGCTAGAAGTGTTTCCGCCTGCTCTTCCAAGAGGCTGGAAGTATCCTTGTCTCTTTTGACGCTTCGTGTGTGCCGTACTAGCATGATGATGATGCCGGTGTAGATCTTCCGACAAGTAGTAGTCAGACTCTCAATATCGTTCATCCCAGCTTCGGTAAAGACCTGGCGGTTTCCTTGGATGAGATGATGAATCTTGCCGAGCGTCGATGCAGTTGAGTTTACCACCGCAACCAGCTTGGGCAATAGCCGGCGGGACTTACGATCAACCTCTGAATGAATCACGAGGCAGCTCGAGAGACCGACGCCCAACTTGGCGACAGAGCCGATGTCGTTTGCATCCATGGTTCAGATAGCTCAGGGAAACCTGATGGAAAGAGAAAAGGGACGACCTGAGGATGCCTGAGTCTCTTTATAAGGACTATCATGTGCTTCAAGATTGTTGGTATTGTCTCACAGATACCCCTCAGTAACTGCAGTGAGACTGTTGAACCAATCATGAACTCAACGACTGCACTTCTGCCTACTTTGAGCTGCATATCAGATACAACTACGTGTCATGCATAAGCCATTATAGAAGCGATTGGCACAAGACACTGTTGTGTTGCCTCTGCAGCGAGACAACTTCCTCCGAGCCGGACATACAGGCTGACCTCGGGTCATATTGAGTACAATCGCAGCTTCGTATGAGGTGAAATGAGACAGCAATACACAGGTGATAACATATAACTATGTGATATTTGAATCAGTACACAATGGATCAGGCAAATTCTTCCGTTTCTTGGGAGCCGGACCATGATGCAACAGCTGGAAGATGGCTGCACACCTTCGACTGAGTGCATCAGCGAATCATGTCATTTGGCCCCCAACTCATATCTTGACCTCGAGCAAAGCATGAGAGTGTCACCACACCGCAACAAAGCAAGGAATCCGTTATGAACAGACCAGTAATTGGCAAGTTTCTTTCCTCATTTCTTTTAGCCGATTTAGATGCTTGCATTGGAGCTGAGGGTTATCCCTGGACGACTCTAAGTAACAGGAAGTGTGAGCAAGAAATTCTGCTGCAGCACTTACACGCGTTGGTGTTGACGGGCCTCATTTAATAGTCCACACCCCATAAATAATGGCTTTTGCCAAGGACGGGTGGGAGAGCTTGATTGATATTACGTTTTGACGCAGCCTTATTTCCGATTTGACTTGTATCGCCACGACGCTATTTCCCCAATTCGTTCAAACAAGCGTCCTGGGCTAGCCTATGGGTCGAGCCCACATTTCCAACCATAAATGACCCAAGCTATCAAGATATCGTGAGAAGTTGGTAAATCTTGTTCCGTGCTCAATTGATATACGCAATTAATGCAGGTATGGCGATTTCCGCCACATCAAAGCACAATAAAAAGTCAAAAAGTCTATTACTGCACCAAGAGCCAAGCTTCAGCTGATAATGTACCAGAAACAAGAAACAGTCCAGTTCATTCAGCTCTTCTCCACTGCTTGTGGTGGCGACGGGTCCAGAAGCCGACAAGCGGAGAATAGAGTTTTTCTTACGTGACTCGCCCCTGACTTTTATCCTCTCAGCGACCACAAGCGCCCCATTATCTTCCCCATTCTCCAGTAGCTCTAGGGGTCACCGTGCGCTAGCAGTGAAAACTTCGAATTGCGCAATCGGAGGACCAGGCGTTGCAAAAATGATAGAATAACTAGGCCTTTCCCTGTCCTTAAAACATGTCATTGGCCTCTCAATTGAGATCCATTCTATGCTTACTTCTTTATCCATTTGCTGTGTGTTGTTCTGATTCTTGCAATTATGGCGCCGAATCAAGACGTTGATGTTATCGAGAGCGCTCCCGCTGCTGTGGCCCACGGCGCCCAGCACGACACAGACGATGAGAAGCCTGTTCTCAACAAAGGTGGCCATGGCACTACACAGCGACGCCTGAAGGACTATCACATCACCTGGATTGGTCTCTGTAGTGGCATTGGTACGGGACTGTTTATCGGAACTGGTTCTGCATATGCGACAGCTGGACCTGCCGGTTTGCTGTTGGCCTATCTCATTGTCGGTGCCGTTCTCTGGTGTGTGATGCAGAGTATCTCAGAGCTCGCGACATTGGTATGTTCCTAACTCGCGATTAACCCCCTAACCAAGTTGCTAACATCAACTCGATAGCTCCCCACAGCTGGTTCATTCCCTCATTGGGCCACCCGTTTCATTGACCCTTCAGTCGGCTTCTCACTCGCCATCTCATACGGCTACTGCTACACCATCGCCATTGCATCGGAAGCCTCAGCAGCGGCTGTTCTCGTCGGTTACTGGACAGACATCACCCCGGCAGTTGTCATCACCGTCAGTCTTGTGCTCATGCTATGGATCAATTTGATGAACGTCAGATTCTTCGGCGAGACTGAAGTTGTCACCGGTGCCATCAAGGTCCTCTGCTTCATCGGACTCGTTATTGTCGCCATCATCATCACCGCCGGAGGTGGTCCTAATCACGAATCCATTGGCTTCCGATACTGGAACAACCCTGGCGCTTGGGTCGACTACAATGGCATCACCGGCTCAACTGGACATTTCCTCGGTTTCCTTTCAGCCTTTGTCAACGCGTCTTTCTCCTTCGTCGGTGTTGAGACCGTTGTTATCACCGCCGCCGAATCCGTCAACCCGCACCGAGCTATTCCCAAGGCTGCCAACCGTGTTACCTACCGTATCGGCTTCTTCTACATTCTCGGAGCCTTCTTGATCGGCCTGATTGTTGACCCAAGAAACACCAATCTTGTATCCGACACCGGCAACGCAAACAGCTCTCCTTGGGTTATCGCCATCCAAGCGGCAGGTATCAAGGTCCTTCCCTCGATCGTCAACGCGTGTATCCTGATATCTGCTTGGTCTGCCGGTAGTTCGTACTGCTGGGTCGGTTCTCGTATTATTGTGGCCATGACCACAGATCGTCAACTTCCGCAGATCTTCGGGCGTACAACATCAAAGGGTGTGCCGTGGGTTGCTGTCATCACTGCTTGGCTTTTTGGTCCCCTGGCATATCTGAGTAAGTTAAAAAGAAATCTAAATTGATCACCCATCGACTAACCCTTTCAGGTCTCGGCGCTGGTGGTGCTGCTCAGGCTTTCACCTGGCTTCTTAACCTCAGCACTGTCGCAGGACTCATCGCATGGGCGACACTGTGCTTCTGCTACCTCCGCTTCTACCGCGCTCTCAAGGTCCAGGGTATCAGCCGTGATACTCTTCCTTGGGCAGCACCCTTCATGCCTTACACAGCCTGGTTTGGAGGCATTGGTTCCGTCATCATCACCCTCGTTGCTGGATTCCCTGTGTTCCTCAAAGGCAACTGGTCGACTGCAGACTTCATTGCCTCTTATATCGGCATTCCTATCTTCATCATTCCTATTATTGGCTGGAAGCTGGTGTACCGCACCAAGGTAAGTCTCCACAAGATATTGGACGCTTTGCAGTTCATTTTACTAACTTTCTTCTGCAGTTCATCCGAGCTAAGGGCATCGACCTGTATTCTGGTCGCCTCTCAGAAGGCGAAATTTCAGGACAGGAATCCGACAGAGAAGCTGTTTAATGTGCAAACATGTTCGCAACGCCTTATGTCTGACTCAAACTAAACGTGTTTGTATTTGGGGAATATCAGCATTTCAACCTATAGATTTGACTTTCAAGCCTTTCTTTCATCAAAATAGAGCATACATAATACCGCGCCATCAGCGCAAATAGAATTAATTTCCGACGCCGTCATATTCGCTCTGAACCAGTGGTGTGTATATGTGTAACCCTTCTTGACTTCTCTAAAATGAGATTGACCCCATCATGACGAACTACGTGGAAAGATTTAAGATGGTCAATCCACGGTAGTTAAACGTTCTTCTTGTTCTGCCTTACATTTGCTCCCATCGTTTGACTCCCTTGTGTCGAACTTGCCGTGGCCAGGCTTCATGCGGCCCTTGCCTTGTTCGGACTTCGACACTTTGTCGCCCAAAGAGCCTAAACCTCTCACATAACGAAGAACTCTTGTCCCAAGTTTATCTGTTCAGGCGTGGTTGCCGTAGGACACAATATCACAATGCCGTTCTCTGCATCTTCTTGTCCAGGTATTGGAGCATCGATGTTGAGATCAGCCAACAATCCGCCAACCTGATAGTGACTTAGTATGTACGCGTAAAATCAACTGCTGGACAAATAACTCACCTGTCCCACAGTTCCAACATCCATTCCAGATGCCCTCAAATTCTGCGCCAACCGAACTGCCAGTGAAGCCGCGAACATGTTACTCTTCCCTACCTCGGTCATGACGCTCATCAAAGCAGTAAAGTTCTCCTCACTTTGACGCATACCGGACGTCAAGAAGTCCGTCAAGAAGAACGACGCGGCAATGAATGTGGCGAACGAAACCAGCGGATTGCGGAACCTGGTGCTGAGATCCGTGACCAGCGCCACTGTCATCATTATTTGTAGAGCTGACTCCTTTACTCGGGAGTTGATGTGCGGCAGCGCGGCCATGTCCATCTGCGACCGTGCCATGGCCGAGCGGTGGATACAAATCATGGCCGTGTGTAACTGCAGGTTTATGAGAACAGCCTCAGGGCTTTCCATGTTCTCAGGACATCTCAGGTGCAAGGGCAGAGTGTCGAAAGCATTTGTCACACCTTTGTCGAGCTGTTGAAGTTGTTCCCAGTCATCATTATCTTCATCCTCCTCGATAGCTCTGGAAAAGGTGAAACACTCGTTGAAGAGATGAACAGCTACCACCCTACAAGCGTTGGTAGAGAGTTCATACATGTCTTGTTTGAGCGCTTGTTTGAGAGTCAGAGTAGCGATTGGGGTACTCGACAGGAAGTAATCCATAGATGTTGGCAGTCGCGTTTGTATCTGTTCGAGTCAGAAAATGCTGAAGGTTGTCAATCGGTGGGATTGACACTCACGCTGCGCCAGTCCATCATTGTAGGCCAGCCCCCCGTGCTACTGGTAATTCTATCAGTAGTGAATATGACCCAGAAAGTTTGCCTTCTTTCCTCCTCTTCTGTAAAGTCTAGCGCCAGTGGTAGCGTGAGGCCAGCAGCATTCTTACCGTCCAGACGGTGAAGACCAAGAATTTGCGCCAAGCGAATGGCTCTGGCTATGCTCATGGAAGCTCTTGAGAACCAGAGGTGTTGGGCTTCAAAATGACTAATCAGAACCCAGGCTTGACAGTGGGCTAGTGAGATCTGATCTGCATCGCTCTACGTGTGTGTTAACACCGATATTAACGAGGACTGGCGTGTCCATACCTTCATCTCATCGGCCTGGATATACTGCCGTGCACGAACGTAAAAGGTTTCGGCCATGTGCTTATAGGTAGGAGATGCACTTGCTCCAGCCGCCAGGATAGAGTACTGCAGGCACATGGGTGGCTGCATATGTGCGGGCCTATATAGAGACGCAATGTACCTTTCCCCGTGGATCATGAAGGAGTCAGACTGGAGTTTGGTGAAGTATATCGTCGTACTAGAACCGCATCAGTCTCAATTTATATTCCTGCTAAATCTATGACTTGGTTACTTACAGCTCATCAACCAGGTACGGAGGTGGTAAGCCTTCAAAGCGGCCAGTGTCAATGAGTTCTGTACTGAAGTCCAGAGGGTTGAGCTCGGGTGGGCTACTCTGAGCCTCTAGTCTAGCCTCCAGATCGCCTACCAGACAATCAGTAAGTTAACAAAGGTCGTCGCGATGGCTTCAACTTACGAATTCGACTTTGCATATCGCGCAGCCGAGGCCTCATGGCAGGGTTAATGACAGGCTTTTTCCGACCAGACGGATAGTCGCATGTTTCACCCACCTTGGCGCAGCGGCCACAAATGGGAAGAACCTTGTCGCATTTCAATTTGCGTGACCTGCAGAGCTGACACGAGAAGGGAGAGAGAAGACCAAAGTCTGACTCGGAGCTTGAAGGCACGTGTGGCGATTGGGATGATGGCGACCCTTCAGACATGATGCCCTTCTAGGCTTGGGCCTTGCAGGTGGCGTTTAGTGGGGTAAGGCCTTGGCGTTTGGCGTGAGGACGATGCGATTGTCTGCCCTATATTTGGCCCTGGACTATCGATTAGATCGAGATGGTACGAGGTGGTACGACAGTGGTTTTGTTTCTGGGAGAGTTCTTGGAAATGGCAATATTTGATAAGCGTGATATTGCTCACTGAGCTGCGGGGGAAAACCGCTGTCAGCATTCCTGCCTAATTCGGGTTACTCCCACCTCGTGCTTCTAGAAGAATATTGCAATGTATTTCTTTCAATCTACTATAATATCACTCCTTTGTCTTGACATTCTATAATCAATAGAGATATCGATATATTTCCATCCTGTAGTATGCAATAATAAATTCTTAAATTCGTCCTGCCATTGTGATAATATCACTCATAATCATAATTAACGACATGCATCTTCTCATTCTTTTACCCTTCTAAAACTGGTCACAATCGTTCTTATCTATCAGAAAACATCACCTTCTAGTTATAATAAATCCGGCAGCCATGCAGACGGCCATCGGCGGTCGTAGATCCCGCATCGCTTAAGTCTGGACTCGGGATCCTACACAAACTAGGACTTAAGCATATCGCTGAGTCTACTAGACTGCCGAAGCCCAGCGTCACTTTCCTTTCCCGTCCACGAGATCCGACCGACTTGTGTCGCTGATTCGCTGAGAGCGGGCGCGTAAAGAGGAACCTTTGCAATTGCCGACCCCCAGGCATCCCAGCATAAGATCATAGCGATAATGCGGCAATCGACAGGGGTTTCCAGGGCAGCTTCCGCTTTGGGAAAGCTAACTTTGCGGAGATATGGGAGCTTTCCGTGCTTGGTGGGATCTTTGTTGTTGTATCACATATATCACCTACCTCTTTCGAGACATGGCCCGGCCTGGGCCAAGATGGCATCATTCGACAGAAGTTCTCTGATCGACGAGCACTATCGTAGTGAGGTCTGCTGATCGCTTTGATAGTTGCGCAATACATCATCAAGATAACGTCCTAGCCACTCAGTTCGAGACAGCTATAAATTCGAGGTAGCAGCCGCTCTTCTGTGAAACTATTCAACCCCGCACTTCAATCACTTCTTCTCATCTCTTGTGCGCAGTTGATTCTCCAGGAAGCAATTGACAGTTCATTGCCAAGATGCGGTCGTCTCTCATTCTCGCTCTTCTCCCCCTGGCCTTGGCCACTGCTGTTCCCAGCTCCAAGAAGGTTGACTACAATGGCTTCAAGAGCCTGCGTATCACCCTCCCCGAGGGAGCTGAGGATTCTCTTGCCGAGATCAACAAGCTCGCTGCCAGCATTCTCACCCCTGGTGCCACTGAGAAGATCGACCTTGTCGTTTCTCCCGAGAACATCAGCAAGGTGAAGAAGCTTGCATCCGACACAACCGTCCTGGTTGAGGATGTTGGCGCTGCCCTTGCTGAGGAAAAGACCTCTACGGTGTATGCGGGTGAGTCCAAACACACCTTTGTCAAGTTGAGAGAAACGAGTGCTAACAATTTGCCAGTGCCAAGTGATTCTTGGTTCACCGCCTACCACAGCTACGCTGATCACCTTCAGTTTCTCACTGACCTTCAGACTAGCTTCCCCACCAAGTCTGAGCTCTTCACCCTCGGAAACTCTTTCCAGGGTCGTCCTCTGACTGGTATTCACATCTGGGGAAGCGGAGGCAAGGGTTCCAAGCCTGCCGTTGTCTTCCACGGCACAGTCCATGCTCGCGAGTGGATTTCCACCATGGTAAGTCATTGGACATTATAGTTTTGATGGGATTCAACGGCTGATCATTTTCACAGACTACCGAGTACATGGCCTACCAGCTTCTGACCAAGTACGCCTCCGACGCTGCTGTCAAGGCTGTCGTCGACAAGTTCGACTTCTACATCACTCCCGTTGTCAACCCTGATGGTAAGCTTCACTCGCCCCTATCAACATCCTCTCACCTTCTAACCAATCTCTACAGGTTTCGTTTACACCCAGTCCACCAACCGTCTCTGGCGCAAGAACCGTCAAACTGTTTCCGGAAACTCTTGCGTTGGCCGAGACATCAACCGCAACTGGCCCTACAAGTGGGAGCTCACCGGTGGTGCTTCCACCAACCCTTGTGACGAGACCTACAAGGGACTCGCTGCAGGCGACAGTCCCGAGAACAAGGCTCTCAAGGCTCAGATCGACTCTTTGTCTGCTAGCAAGGGTATCACTTTCTACGTCGACTTCCACTCCTACGGACAGTACATTCTCTGGCGTAAGTTTACTCTCCTACTCACTCTGAAGTTATCTTTCTCTAACATACTCCTCCATAGCTTACGGTTACGACTGCAGCGTCGTTTCTCCTGAGGAGGCTGCTCTCTCCGCTCTTGCCACCCGTCTCAACAACGGCATCAAGGCCCAGTCTGGAAACTCCTACACCACTGGCAACTCGTGCCGCGCTCTGTACGCCACCACCGGTGACAGTCTCGACTACATCCAGGGTGTCGCCAAGGCCAAGTACTCTTACACCATCGAACTTCGGGACAAGGGCACTTACGGCTTCAGCCTGCCCGCCAACCAGATCCAGCCCACTGTTCGGGAGACCTGGGCCGGTGTTGTTGCTGCGCTTGGAGCGATCTAAGCGTCGTGCAAAAATTGATACGCAGGATGGCTTTGACGGGTGGATGATTTCATGAGTGAAATTTATGTTGATAGAAGTGACAATAAACATCTTTCAACCACGTAACATTTGATTCTCCCTTGGACTTTTGTACACAGACGCCATTATCATTTCATGAAGTCAAATGGTATGGTCACGTTTCGGCCGGAACAAATTCATTTGCTAGTAATAAGGGCAGGAAGTATCAGCACCATCGTTCTGTGAGCTGTTCTTGCTTGTACGTCACTGATAGCCTTTTCTAGTTCTACTTATTTGATGGCTGAACATATTATCAAACGCGAACACACGACACGTTTTGGCAAAAAGAACGCCGAAGATGTGTACTACGTATGGCGTGTATCAGGCTTAGTGTAAATCAGCCTACCCTAGAGACACAAGGAAAACTCATGCAAGGCTGACCTTCAAAGGTGCTATTGGTAGGGGTTATGATTTATTAATAAAACAAAGTCTGCGATATCTCATATAGATCCTGATTTCGTTCCTAAAGATTCTTCTTTCCCATTAATCTTTTCTTGGGATCTTATTTATCCACACAGAGTTGCGGAGTGAACTAGGCTGTTACCAGATCGTCAAGAAGTATTCCAGGTTTTCACAAGGAATGTCAAATCTTGGGTGTTCTCTTCCCTTTATTTCTGCACTATATACGTGTTCTTTCTATGAGATCTTTCTCTTATTCATTTCATGTTTGTTACCAATACTATTACAAAAGCCTAAAAGGAAAGCCTGAGAACTGGCCACCACAAAGAATTATTTTTCGGTCTATTTTTAAAATATTGAGAAGATTATTTGTTTCATTTGAAACGCTCGGTTAAGTTTTATAAGCCCTACAGTATTCTATTCTCGCATTACTCTCTACTTTATTTTAAACTTTACAAATGATAGAGATTCTAGTGAGAAACCGTACGAGCAGATGTTTCTCATGCCACTCCTGTGAGTGTTCAGCCCTCTATTTATTTCCTGAAAGTCCACTCCTCAAAGCTTATAGGACACTATAATTATACACTGTAATTGAACAGTAGTAGAGCGGCCGAGATGAAAGAGACTGTTCTCCTTCTATCATGTCAAGTGAACAAGATTCGAGTACTCGTAAATCTCATTCCATAGAACAACATGCATGAAACCAACCTCGCTTTGTGTGACCAACGTCAACAACTCAATTGGTTTATCAAGAAGCTTGGATTCGTCGTATTGGCTGTAAATAATATCGGATTCGGGATATTAACCTTATCGGTCCATTGATTCGCGATCAAGGGGGCTCAGCCGATTCGTCATCGGTCAAATGCCATCTAATCTTGGGTTTGCTCGTTTAGCCTCGTTCCTCGTTCCTCGTTTAGATCCGTTTGTCTGGAATGGCCAACTCGCATACGCATTCTCGGTCAATAAGAACGGTAAACGAGCCAGGCAATTTATTTATGGCAATCCAAATATGTATAAGTAGTTTTAATGGCCATCTTTTCCCCTTCTCTCAATCGCAACACTCGACATCCAACCTTCGCAATATCTACTTCCGACCATGGCCGACGCTACAAACCCCGACGCATTCGACTTTAAGCTTTATCGCTACGATCCCTCACTACCGGCCGCAATCGTCAGTGTTGTTGTCTTCGCGATTCTTACAGTCTTGCACACCTGGCGGTTATTCCGAGTGCGCGCCTATTATTTTACTGCTTTTACAATTGGCGGCATCTGTATGTCTCCCTTCCATGGCTGCCACAATTCTCGAAGTCAATGCATCAGACCTGTGCTAATATTTCCTCTTCAAAGTCGAAACTGTAGGCTACTGCGGTAGAATATGGGGCCACTTTGACAAGCTCTCGGTCGGCGGTTTTGTCATGCAGGCTATCCCGATCCTCGTCGCCCCCGCACTCTTCGCCGCCTCGATTTACATGATCCTCGGCCGATTAATTCGAACTGTCGGAGCTTCGCATCTATCTCTAGTGCCCGTTCGATGGGTTACACGCATCTTTGTTACCGGAGATGTCATCGCCTTTAGCTTACAAGCGGGAGGAGGAGGCATTCAATCCGCCGGCACACTGGACCTCTACGAGCTTGGAGAAAAAGTCATCGTCGCTGGTCTGTTCGTACAAATCGTGGTCTTTGGATTCTTCGTCTTGACTTCAGTCCTATTCCACTTTCGCCTTCGAAAAAGTCCCACCACTGAGTCGTTACGAGGCGATGTCCCTTGGGCCAGATATTTATACGTGCTCTACGCGTCGAGTTTCCTTATCCTCGTGCGTAGCATCTTCAGGGTCATTGAATACCTCCAGGGGAACAAGGGATATCTCATCTCGCACGAGGTATACCTGTATGTCTTTGATGCTGTCCTGATGGCACTGGTCATGGCCGTTTTTCTGGTATGGTACGTGGACTCTTTGCAGGATGGGCGCAAATCGCAAGATATTGAAGAAAGGGAGCTTTCATCTTACGAAAGCCCTGGCCCCGAGACCCAAGGAAGGAAGCGTGGTTAAAAGCAATACATAGACAGTTTGGGTTATTTGAGATTTAGAATTTCTTTGTGTCGAGTTATAGATCAGCAGGTAGAATTGATGGGCTTTGCTCTAAAACTTTTCTCGATTTCACCTGATGCAAGCGACCATGATAGAGTAGTAGGATATCTACTGATTGTGAACGTGAAACGTAACCGAGCGTAGACTACCTAAAGGAGAACGGTTTAAGGTTATGTAAAGCCGCCACGAAGATTCTCATTAATGAACGGAGTGAAGAAGATGCGCCTTCCGGCTTTGCCTATCTAAAGTGAGGCCATCCCAATTCAATGACTGACGCGCCATTGGCTATGACTTGCTTAGCGTAACAGATCGACCGCTATAGCCACTAGAGAATCGAGTATACGAGTCTGGTATATATACATACATACCTGCTATGTTAGACTGCTATGTTACTATACTATATTATTATATTTAATAAGTTAATTATTTATTACTTTATTTTATAATTAACGAAAGATTAGATTAAGTTAAGTATAATTAATAATCTAGCTTTTTATCCTAGGTTTCCTTACCTTTACTAAAACCTTCTATTCTTATTACCCCTTAGTTTAATATTAATACTCTAAATTTAATAAATACTATAATATATTTTAACTTTATAAATTATATTAAATATAACGGTTAGATTCCTAAGGGATAAACTAGTCTATATTAGGTTTATATTAATAAATACTATAAAGGGTTATACTAAGCGGTTATAAAATATTATATCTCTTAATAATAAATAAAATAGGTTAGGTATATTTAGGTAAAGAAATTATATTAATAGTTAGTAAGTTAATATTTATAAAAATATTAATAAGTATATTATATATACTTAGGCTTTATATATAAAGCTAATAATATTTAAGAATAAGGTTATTCCTAGATTAATACGGTCCTAGGCCGTTATTAATCCTATTAATAATTAGTCCTATAGTAATTAATTAATATATAATAAAACTATAAAGTATATATAATATAAATATAAAGGTTATAATATAATCTCTTTTCTTTATTAAGTCTTATCCTTAAGACCTATATATCCTTACTAACCTAAGATTTTTTTAATATATCTTAACTTAAACCTTTTACTATTATATTATAAAATATCTAATTATATTACTAAATAGATATTTTATAAAGATTATAAAATTTATATTTTTATTCTTTTTATTAAATTTTTTAATAAAAAGGCTAATATACTTTATACTTAATATTTTAATTTTAATAAAAAATACTTAATATCTATAGATTCTACTTATTATAGTAAATATATCTATAATAAGAAATCTTATAATAATACTTAAGTATTATCTTTTTATATATAGTTATATTTTTAATTTATAAATTCTTACTAACTTTTTATAATAATAAATCTAATAAAATAAAAAAAGAAATTAAAAGCTAATAAAAATAAAATAAATAATAATTTTTTTAAGCTTTATAAAAAAATTATAGCTTTATAAACTTATTTATTTATTATTACTAATTATTTATTATAAATTTAAAAGATCTAAATTAAAATAAAAAAATACTATTTTAAAATTACTTATTATAGTCTTTAAGAGGTTAAGTAATATAATAGCTTACTTTTTATATTAAATATTTATAAAAATATAATAATATATAATCTTTAGATTAATTATATCTTTAATAATATTAACTAGTTCTCTTTAGGTCTTAATAATAAATTCTTAAATACTTTTCCTTTATTTAATTTTAATAGAAATTCTTTAGGAATTACTAGGTATTAATAAGGTATTTAGGTAATTCCTATATATTTTTATTTTTTAAGTAATTCTTTTATTAAATTAGGTATTCTATTTTACCTTTATACTTATATATTTCCTTAATTACTTTTACTTTATAGACTTTTAGTTTTTTAATATTTTCTAGTTTATTACTAATTTTAATTTAAATTATATTAACTATTAATTTAAGTAATATAATATAAAAGATTAAATAAAGTCTAACCTTTAATAATAAATCTAATTTATAATTATTTTTTAAGATTCTTTATAATACCTTATAAGGTTTAATATATTTATAATTAAGTCTTTTTATTAATTATTTTATTAAAATAATTTTTATAGTAAAGTAAATTATATTTCCTTTTAAGAAAGATAGTCTTTTTATCCTTTTTAAATTATAATAGTTTTTTATTTTATTTTTAATAAATTTTAATTTAGTTTTTATTTCTTTATATAAATTATTTAAGTTATTATTTTTAATTATTATAGCTAGGTTAATATTCTTAGCTCTTTTTATATTATAAAAAGTATTTAGGTTAAACCTAAAATTTATATAAGCCGGTATAAATCTTATAGTCTTATTATAAATAGTATTATAAATAAATTAGGTAATTAAAAGCTTTTTAACCTAATTATTTTACTTATAGTTAATATAATACCGTAGGTACTATTTAAGTACCTAGTTTATATATTTAGTTTATTTATTTATTTAAGGCCTAAATATTATTATAAATTAGTAATTTAGTCTTAAGTATATTATAAATAATTACTAAAATTTTAATATAAATATAATCTTTTTATTTATTAAGATTTCTAAAGGTAATCTATATATATTAATAATATTTTTATAAAAAATATAAAAAAGTTTTTTTATATCTATAGATTCTCTATATAGTAAATAGTATAAAAATTTTATAAATCAGTCTATAATAACTATAATACTATTATAAAAAATACTAATTAAAGGTTCTTTTAATAAAGGTAGTTTAATTACATAATCTATTATAATTAAATCCTATAATTATTATATAATTAATAATATTTATAAATTCCTATAGGGCTTATATTATTAAGACTTTATTTTTTTATATAAATTATATTATTTAATAACTTTTTCTATAGTCTTTTTAAGGTTTTCCCTTCAAGAGTCTTTTTATATTCTCTTTAATATTTTTATAATACCTTAGTAACTATATAGAGAATATTTATATATTTTTTATATTAATAATTCTTAATATTTCTATAGTATAAACTATTTAGTAAAGATACTATTTAGTTTAAAGATTATTTCTTATAAATTATAAGGGGCGTTTTATAATTATTTTTAGTAATCCTTTTAAAATAATTCTTTATAAGATTTAGGTTTCCTTATCCTAGTTTAGGTAATTATTCTAATTTATTAAGTAAATTTATATTCTCTTTTATTATTATATTCTAGAATTTATTTATTAAACTTTATTATATTAATATTATAATTTACTCTTTAACTAATAGTATCTATATATTTATTATTAAATCCTTTTTAATAAATAGTAATAAAATTAAATTTATATAAATATTCTATATAATATAATTATTATCGATTTAGTTTTTATATATATATATATTTTTCTTTTTACTTTAACCTTTAACTTTATTAAGCCTAGGCTTTTTAAATCTTTTAATAATATTAATAATAAAAATAACCTTTTCTAAGGTTAAAAACTTAATATAATTAGTATAATAAAAGTTATATATAGTAACTAAACTTTAATTAAATAAATATATATATTATATAGTTATATATATAAAAGCTGGCTTTCTTTATATCCTTAACTTAATCTATACTATAAGCTAGTTAATTAACCCTTATAGCTATAGTTAGTTAATTAACCCCTGGTCCTCTACCTTTCGGTCTATATTGCTAACCTCTTTTATAGCTATTACGATAAGTACTATTAAAATAATAGAAACCTGCCGTAATGTAAGCCTTAACCTATTATATAAGAAGATTAATAATATATTAAAAAACTACTATAATATAAAACGTAAGTAACTTAAATATAAGGCTAGAAACCTTAAGATTAATATAGAATAGGAAATAAAAGGCTTTTTATTACCTCCTTATAGTAAATAGGATAATCTTTACTTAGTTATATTAATTACCTTTAGTTATAAGCTTTTAGTATTATTTTTTATATAAAAAGAAAAACTAAATTTACGGTATATAGAAAAGTAGCTTAAGAGTTTAAAAAGCCTAGAAAATAGGTTTATAAAAGGGCTAATCTTAGAGATTAATACCTCCTTTATTAAGGTATTTAAGTTAAAGCCTTATTATATAGTTTAGTATAATAGCTTAGAGAAGTAGGTTAATAAAGTGATTATAATCTTTAGGAATAAACTATAAAGCTAGAAAGAAGTTATATATAAAGCACTAAGGGGCTAGGGTAGAAAGGTAGAAGGTTAATATATTACTTAAAGGAATATATATTTAGAGTTAAAGTTAAAATTAAGGTAGCCTAAAGTTAAAGGTAGTTTTAGGCTAAGGAATTAAATTAGATTATATAACCCTTATTAAAACCTTATTATACTTATTTCTATAATATAATATATAATATTATTAATAATATTATTAATTAAGGTTAGTTTTTATATAATAGTAAAATATATAATATTTTAATAATTAGTATAGACTTTAACTTAATAAAGGCTTTTTATAAAGTAATATTTAAATTCTTTAAAGTAATTAATAATAGTTAAGAGTTCTTTATTATAAATAAGGTAATTTAGTTTTACTTTATATAATTTATATAAATAAAAGGCTATTAGGTATAACTTTCCTTATTTATTATATTAACTAATCTATCCTTTTAAAGTAAAATCTAATAAGTTTATTTTAAACTTAATTTCCTTAGTAAGGTTAAATATAATAAATATTAATTTACTAAGAATTATATCTTTAAGCTTTATAAAAACTTCCTTAGCTTAGTTTTTAAATATAAATTTCTTATTTCTTTTTAATTAATTTAGTAAGTAGGTTTATAATTTTATTAAAGTCTTTAATAAATTATTAATAGTAATTACTAAAACCTAAAAAGCTTTATATTTCTTTAACTATTAATAATTATAATTAATTTTATACTATTAATATTTCTTTTTAATCTATTTAAATTTCTCCCGGTAAGATAATATATCTTAAGAAAAAAAAGGTTTTATATAGAAATAACTTTTCTTTAATTTAATAAGTAA